GTTGGGGCCAAGTAGTTTTGATTCTGTTAGGCGGGAGCAACCAAGTTTCGGTAATAAATATTAAAGAAAAATCTTGGCAGTGACGGAGGAGATCATCAACCAGGGAAGCTTGGAGACCATTGGCATTCCACAGGCCGATGTTGAGAGGGATGGTTGGTGGAAGGGAGGATGCGGTTGGAAAATGAGTGGCAGGAGAAAGTGGAGAAGGAGTGGAAGTATTAGTGTGACGGACCATCATTAGAGAGCATTCGTGACCATGTCAGTATCCTCGTCTTTATCTTTACGGGCAGAAGCATCAGTGTCGGGAGGAGAAGCAGGCGCACCACGGCAGGAGCGCAGAAGTTGGGAAACATTCTCCTCAGTAAAGACACCTGCTTCAAGGAAGGAACGAGCAACAGGGGAGGCAAGATGGTAGGGGAGACGGGTCACAGCCTTTTCACATCGGCTGAAGTGGAGGGTTTCAGCGAACGTTTCTTGTTCCTCAAGAGGTAGACTCTTGATTTCTGGATCCGCGAGGTGTACAGGATCAAGGGGGTCAAAGTCAGCAAAATGGTTGATCGTATGCTTTTCCAGGGTGGCAAGGACAGTGGGACGATACTGGTTGTGGACAAGAAGTCCAACAACAGAGCGGGCAGGAAAAGTGATGTCGAGGATTCTATATGGGTCAATCCCAAGGCGACGGAGACGAGAACGGGCTTCTTGACGGGTCAATCGGCGGGAACGGGGGATATACAGGTACTGAAAGCCACTAGGGCCTTCAGTCTCCTTGAAAGTGCGCACGGATGCAGCCAAGCTGCGCACGGCCCGCTTTGGGCGAACAGGTCGGTGTTTTTTGGACACAGCGGCCCAGGTGGATTCATCAGAGCCCAAAGGGCTCGGCGAGGTAGCCTTATCAGTGGAGGGGGCAGCAGGAGGGGCGGTGTTCACTGAACTAGCATTGGCACCAGAGGTACCAGCTGAAGCTGCAGCGAGACGGGCTTTGAGAGCGGCATTTTCCGCACGAAGTGTTTCCACTTCGGCGTAAAGTGCACTGAATTGTTCAATTTTGGCAGCTTGCTGCGAAAATTGCGAGGTCAGGAATTCAATTTGGGCTTGCATGGCCTCAAATTGTTCGATGGATGGTGGCATTTTGGGAACGTAAGCCGCCGTCGGTGTTGGAAATAAATTTGGAGCGCGGTGCGGTCCGGACAAAGGATTCGAGTCGGGGTTCGAAGAGGCAAGCGGGAGAGCGGCAGTGGCAGCGAGAAAAGAGTTATTGGTGCTTTCGTTGGTTGGATACACTTTTAAAAAATGGTAATATCTCACGAACGAGCAGGTGGATAGGGCTGAAAATTGGTGAGTTAGGTCCAGTCAAACAGATGTACGCTGTAGCAAAAGATGACTGATGGATGGAGGGTGTGGATGCGTGAGAAGAGAGCTTTTTTTATGACGGGAAAAGATTTTTCCGATGTATAAAGGGCAAAAAGTTATGGAAACCGGAAAAAGAGGTGGGGATGTAGCTCAGTTCAAAGATTATATTTTTATTATGGAGACGACGATGTCGGTATTTACCATTATGGCGTACTCCGGAAACAGTGGACAGAGAAGACTAAAAAGCCCCAGGAGACCAAAAGGGACAAAAAGGAAAAGAAAGAAAGGGAAGCAAACGCTAATAAATAGTTAGCTGTCTGGAAGTTCCACTCAGCAGCTGCGCTCAAAGTCGTGGCAGTGTGAGGGAGCGAACCAGAAGCAGTGTCACTATCATTCACGAGGAGAAAGGGAATGTTCATGCCAGTAGGCAACAGGATCGTCAGGTTCAGTGTAATCCCCATCGGGATTACACAAGGTTTCAATATGCCAAAGCAGTGTGATGAGGTCTGACCAGAAAGAAGGACAAGGAGCGGTCACCGAAGTTGGTAGAGAGGAGAGAGCGGCATCAATAGGATGGGAGGTGGGTGAGTAAGAGGGAAGTGACTCCCATAGTTGAGGGGGGATCGCGTGACAGAAAACAAGGTGGCGACGAGAAGTATGGTCTTGCATACAATTGCAAGGGCGTGGTTTACCAGGTAGCCAGCCCATACGCCAGCGTATTAGGCGACTACGGTTCATTCGGGACATTGGAAGATAGAGGATAGGGTCGATACCGAGGGAAGGGCGACAAGCACGGATAAGAACTTGGTCGGTGGATGAAAGGAAGGAATCGAAAAGCTTTTGGTGATCGAGGCGGAAGAAGGAACGTAGCGACGGCAGCGGAGATGGTAGGGAGCGGTAGAGACGGTTTTTCTGTAGTGTCGAAGATAAACGAGTGGTGGGGAAGGATTCGGATATAAGGGATAAGAGGCAGTCGGAAGGGAGGCGGGAAGCCCGAAGGCAAAAGCGAGTGGTGAGGATGTCAATACGGAAAGCCATGGAAGGAAGGTTACATAGGTGTCTAAGGACTGTAGTGGAGGAAGTGGGGTGACCGCCGACGATCATGCGAAGGCATCTGTCTTGCAATTTTTCAATGGCTTTGAGGTCTTTCTTGAAATAGGTTAAGAGGGCAAGTCCATATTCAAATTTGGGGCGGATGAATTGGGCATAGAGTCGGGAACTGAGGAGAAGCGAAAAACCAGAGCGGCTGGCGCCGATGCTGTGTAGGATGGACATTGCGAGCATGGTGGGGGCAGTGCGATAGGAAATGAGGGACGGTGTACAAAGGCCAGTGCGGCGGAAAGGAATACCAAGATAAATAAATTCTTCTACTATGGGAATTGGTTCTCCATAGAGAGACAAGGGGGTGGCGGTACGGGCAGTAGAGGGATTCAAGATGGCACATTTTGATGGGTTCCAGCGGTAGCCAAGGTCAAAGGAATGTTGGGAGGCGAGCGCAAGCATGCGTTGGACTTCAGGAAAAGAACCAAAAATGGCCACATCATCGGCAAAGAGAAGAGAATTAACGGGAGTTGGAGAAGGGGAATTAGGTACGGTGAGGCGGGTAGTAGTGGGGATGGCGGCATCGCGAAGGAGTGAAGGAAGGGAATTAACGTAAACAGAGTAGAGATGGGGACTCAAAACAGAGCCTTGTAGAACGCCTGTGGCGGGAGTGAAGGAGGTAGAGGAGTGGTTTGAGAGTAAGACGGAAATAGAAACGTCGTCGAAGAGGTGCATAATAAGAGACAAGAAAGGGGAAGGCATATTAGCGTTGAAGAGGGCTTGCCATACAATACGTCTGTCGACAGTATCATAGGCAGCCTTTATATCCAGGAACGCTACGGTAGGAAAATGATGGTGACGAGAAAAGTAGGATTGCATAAGTTCATGTAGGCATAGAGCTTGGTCAAGGGCACTGCGACGAGGACGGAAACCGCCTTGGGCAATATCCAGTGCAGGCGAAAATTGGTGGAGGGAGGAGGCGAGGCATAATTCCATAAGTTTGCGCAAGGCAGAGGTCAGGGAAATCGGACGGTAGTTGGAGGGGAGAGTTGGGTCACCTTTTTTGAAAATGGGGAAGACCTGGGCATGGCGCCACACCATAGGGACATAGGACCACTGCCAGCAGAGGCGAAAGAGACAAAGGAGTGTATAGGATAATGGGGATGCAATGGGTCGGAACATTTCAGCTTTAAGGTGGTCAATACCAGGAGCTTTACGGTTGGGAAGTTGGCGGATGTTGTATCGGATGGATTCGTGGGAAAAGGGACAGTTGGAGAGTTGATGGGGAGGGGGGAGGGGGGCCGTGATAAGTGGTGGTCGGGTTGAGGGGAGGGTATGGCCATTATACACGGTTTGTAAATGAGTGCACATTGTTTCTACTGCAGCTGCTGGACCATCTGGGTGGGTAAATGATTGGAAGGGGCGGCGACGGCGTTTCAGTTGGGCGACTTTGGAGGTGGTTTTATTGTAGTCGGTTTCTAAGGAATGGCAGAATGCTCGCCAAGAGGCACGTTTGGCGGCTTGAACTTCAGATCGGAAAGCTTGGCAGGCAGTTTGGTGTTTGTTCCACCAATAAACTTTGTCAATACCAGAGGCATGACGCCATCGTTGGTAGCATCGGTTGCGACTATCGGCAGCCTGTTGAAGGCTATCATTCCAGAAGCGTTTCCAATGAGAGGGTCTAGCGGGGCGTGAACCAATAGATTTATCTAATGAGTCATAGATAGCCTGGTTGAGGTCGTTGGTGAGATGGTCGATGTCAGGACGGGTGGTTGGTGGATTGGTGACGAGATTCGAGAGAGTATGACGGAGGGTATTGGTATTAGAAATAAAGGTGCGGTTGTAAAGATGGCTGGTGTCAGGTTCTTTGAGACGAGAAAGGTACCAGGTGCGGCGTTTTGGTGGTGGGGTAGCGGGGGGAAGATGGTCGTAATTAAAGGATAAGGACATGAGTTTATGGTCAGAGCCAAGGGAGAGGTCAGAACGAATGGTAATTGATGGGGATTGGGAAGATAAAGGAGCGTTGGTAATAAAAAGGTCGATGATGCTGCTGATTTCTTGTTGGCGGCGGAAGGAAAGGAAGGTAGGTTGGCCATAGGCAAGCGAAACATTGAGTACCTCGAGCTGATTGTCAGACAGCCATTGTTTTAGGAGGGAACCACGGGAATTTGTATCATGATCGCCTAGAAATTCACCCATACGGGCATTAAGATCGCCACAGATAATGGTATCGTCAAGGAGGGGAATGGATGATAGGACTTGCATAACGGTTTCGGGAGGAAGAGTGGGAGGGAGGTATAAGCATACAAGATGAAGCGGACCAAGCTTTAGTGAGAGAGCATAGTTAGAAAAGGAAGGTAGTTGGAATATTGGATAAGGACAGGAAGGGGAGATAAGGGCGGAAACACCCATGGAACCACGGTAGTTGCCAGCAACGGGCGCGCCATATAAATGGATTTGTTTCCATGAGGTTGGTAATCGGGCAGGAGGAAGTAGCCAAGTTTCTGTGATAAAGAGCAGTGAAAAGGAGTGGCAGTGGGGAAGAACATCATGTATGGTGGAAGCTTGGAGGCCGTTAGCATTCCACAAACCAATTGATAGTTCCGGCATTATTGATATGAGGTGGGTGAGGTAACAGGGGTTGTTGTGGCGTCATGGTGGGGAGTATCTGTATTGTTGGCCTCTTCGTCTTCAGATACATCCATTTCGGAGCCGAAATCATCGGAGGAGGAATCCTCATTACTGGATGAGAAATTGTCGCGATCTTTATATTTCAAAGATCGAAGGCAGCGGCGGGTCATCTTTGCGGCATCCTGTTCACTTATCCAGCCAGCTTCAAAAAAAGCTCTGGTGAGTGGAAGGGCAACAGTGGGACGAAGGAAACGAAGTGTGCGTTCACAGTGGGTACGGTGCAGGTTGGTTATCAGGGCGACTTTTTCGGTGTCGGAAAGGTCAGCATACTTGGGATCACCCAGGTGGGCAGGATCCTGTGGGTCAAAAGAGGCAATGGGGACGACTTTATGTTTTGCCAAAATTTCTTTGGCAACCGGAATATATTGGACATGCATGAGCAAGCCAACTACAGCGCGAGCGGGAAAGGAAACGTCGAGGATACGGGCAGAGTCCAAGCCTAAGCGACGAAGGCTACGACGGATTTCGGGACGGTCCATGCGTCTAGCACGGGTCAAGTAAAGGTACTCAAAGCCTTGAGGGCCAAGAACAGGTTGAAAGTTGCGGGCATTAGCAGCCTGGCGACGGGGGTTCGTTACAGTATTAATGGGACGAGGTTTTTGGACAGTGTTTGCCCATGAGGAGGCCATGGATCCAACAGGATTGGTGCCAGTAGCCGTGGTTGAGGAGGCTTGATTGGGCTTGAGGCCCTTGTCAGATTGGGGTGTCGTTGGTTTGGCCTTAGAGGGACGCTCGGACTCCGCTAGGCGCGCTTCAAGAGCGGCGATTTTTTCACGAAGTTGGGAGTTTTCCTCCACAACAGCTTCGAAACGGTCCAAACGAGCACGTGTGGACGCAAAGTCAGTTTGCATTGCTGCGACGGTTTGTTGGAGTGTCAACACGACTTGCATGAGGTCAACGTTCGCAGGCGATGGGGGGATTTGCTCGACATGTTGGAATGTCGCTGGGTGGCGGGATTCAGCTGGAACTGAATCGGTGCGTTGCATGGCGGGAAATTGGCCTAGAGGCTCGAAAATGGTATCAGCAGGTACGTGTGAACTTACTTGTGATGGATGCGACACTTTGGCTGATGGATGGATGATTTTTTCTGTATGGGTGTACTTCTTTATGGCGGGAAAACGTTTTGCCGTTTTTGGAAAGGCAAAAAGTTATGGAAACCAGAAAAAGAGGTGGGGGATGTAGCTCAAATGGTAGAGCGCTCGCTTAGCATGCGAGAGGCACTGGGATCGACGCCCAGCTTCTCCAACTTTTTTTATTGTCGTATGTGTCATAACCTTTTTGTGCTCAGCCAATCAGCCTCAAGATTCCTTTTCCAGCGATCATTGTCAGTTACACCGGTTCTTCTTTTGCGCCAATCAGATTTGCTATACCAAAGTTTAGTAAATACAGAAGACAGCGCATTGGCTCATCTGTAGATCGATGTCTGGAGGAAGCTTCGAGAAGGTATGAAGGACCAATGGATAAACGAGGTATACTAAAGGTATTGCCTGGAAAATAAAAGAAATATAAACCGAATCTATTCAGCATTAAAGTGGTCCATAATACTTCTTGATTGGTTATGTTTTGGAATAATAGAAAACTGTGCAAGAAGTTAATGAGAACCTTCCTGAAGATTGTAGATATAAAAACGTATCTTGATAGAAAATATAAATATGACCTTGTTATGGTAGAAATAAAATCAATCAACAAACTACAGATTTAAACTGAACTCTAAAGATGGATATCTAAGACTAGTTAATTTAGAAGAGGTGAAAAAATAGAGTAAATTTTAAAAAAAAAAAATCATAAAAAAAAATAACTAAGTTAAATTTAATAATAAATGATAAGAAATAAAAGATTTTAATAAATAAAATATATTAAAGATATTTAAAATAATTTTGGATATACAAAATAATTAAAAAATAATAGAATAGATGTCACACAAAAGAGTAAATATAGATAACCATCTAAAGGAGTACACAAATCTGACATTCAGAAAAATATCCTGCCAAGCTAACTATGAAATTATTATAGATTAATCTAAAAATATATAAATATCCCCTTGATCAAAACGAATAAAGATTATTAATTATCTATCCTTCAATTCTAATTTATTTCTTCATCTATTGTCAGATTTAAGTACTCCTTTAGAGTTTAGTTTAAATCTGTAGTTTGTTTGATTATTTTTATTTCTACTATAACATGGTCATATTTATATTTTCTATCAAGATCATTTTTATGTCAACAATCTTCAGGAAGGTTCTTGTCAACTTCCTGCATAGTTTTCTATTATTCTGAAACATAACCAATCAAGAAGTATTATGGACCACTTTAATGCTGAATAGATTCAGTCTATATTTCTTTTATTTTCCAGGCAATACCTTTGGTATACCTCGTTTATCCATTGGTCCTTCATACCTTCTTGAAGGTTCCTTCAAATATCGATCTGCAGATGAGCCAATGTACTGTCTCCCATATTTGCTAAACTTTAGTATAGCAAATCTAATTAGCACAAAAGAAGAACTGGCATAACTGACATAAATACTCAGCCTTTCAGCTGAGCTGTTTGATAAAAGAAATGTTTGCTTGAAGGTGATCAAAGCGTCATTATCAAAAACGTAAATGTTGCTGTTAATGTTTTAGGAAATACCAAAAAAGGATATGACACCATACTGACCAATCAGAACTCTCTGCAGACTCTCTTGCAAGTGAAGAGTCAACATCAATAACATATAGACTCTGAAAAGGGCTAATACCCTTTTGTATAATAGATTAATAATCAGTAAATTAGAAAAAAGATATAAAAGACAGAATAAACAGAAATATAAAAGTCAGTCGTTTTTAGACCTATATTTCTTAGCAAACCACTTTAGTGGGATCTTGACTATATATCAGATCTGAGTGAAGTATGACAATTGATAGTGGCTGTTCCATGAACACTGATCTTCCGAACCTTGATAAGATATCTCTCACATCTAAAGAAGATAAGAATCTGTATGAAATTGAAGAACATGTACAAGAAATTTTAAGAAAAGAATTAGTTGAAAAATACCAGAAGTACTGCCGAATTAAAAGTATCCCTTCTGAAGAACATTTAAAGTCTACCTCAGCCTGAATGAAACACTGGAAGAAACTCGCTACGCAGCTTGCACAAAAATTTGAAAAGAAATACTACCTGAAAATGGCACCTAATCAATCCAAGCATGCAGAAAACTCACCTGCTGCAACTGAGCCTGTCACGTCAGCCATGCCACCTGGCATCAATATTCCTTCATCTGATACGTATAATAGCGAATGTGTTGCTACTATTATTGACAATTGGCTTCTTGCAATATCTCAGTATTTACAATTTTATTCAGTATCCACTGATCGATGGATCATTATTGCCATCTCTTGCCTTCGTGGTTATGTCTTGACTAGGTGGAACCATTTGGAGGAGCAAGGAAGGACATAGCACCCGAGACATGACAACAATTCTGGACCCAACTGTTATCCAAATTTGCCTCAGCATACACCCATCACATGGCTCGTGTTTGACTCTGTGAACTGAGACAAACCAGCACCATTATAGAATATATTGATGCTTTCAAAGACATTCGAATGGACCTCCTCAACATGATTGATAATGAAGTGATTGATCATTTTATCATAAGCTTAGTGACTGATGTTGCTTCCCATCTAATATGAGCCAATCCTTTGGATATTGATGATGCTATACTGTTATGCACTGATTACGAGAGGATCAGTGCAAGCTGGACAAGAGGGTGGTGTTAAGTGCTTTCGCAAGACAAGGATAAGACAAGACAAGAAAAGGAATAAAACAGAAATAAGAAACAAGAACGAAATCAGAACAAAAATAGAAACAGGAAAAGAACCAAGACAAGGACAAGACAAGATGGAGAACAAGATAGTGTGAGGGAATACTATATTAATGCGAGGTAAAGATTAACTATTGCAAATTGTCAGTTTATTCAAGACACAATAATCTACAGTATACATACTGTATATACATCTTGCCATTCTTCTTTTTGACAAACAAGACAGGAGCATTCCATGGCGATGAGCTCAGCTGAATATGTCCTTTTGCCAGAAGATCCTTAAATTATTGTTGGAGTTCATCGAGTTCAAGTGGCTCATTTTGTAGAAAGATCGATAGATACAGTAGGCTTGGAATCACTAATTTCAATCATATTGTATGCTCCATATTGCGATCTGAGGATAGCCCAGTAATATTATTGCTAAAGACTTTGGTAAATTCATTCATCGGTTGCTGTATCCAGACAGAATTGTCATCATTCGGCGGAAGGTCATACTTGAGATGCAATAAGAAACAGCAGGCTTCATTATGATGGAGAAGGTTGGTGACTTGCTTGGTAGAAAGGAGTAAATGGGTACCATCAGTAGATTCAGAATGGATACTAGGGCGAAGAATAGAGTATACTGTAGGAGCAAGCATCTGTCTGAACAGTCCAAGTCTAATCAGTCCAATCAAGAATAGAGGAAGTATCTTTAAGCCAGGTGGTATCAAGGATCACATTAAACTTAGAGTCAAAGACCAATACAGTATATTGAATGTTAAGAGGAGATCACATAGCATACCTGTAATGGAGGCTTGGCCTTTAATAACAGAGAGCTGGCCGTTGGTCATTTCTATAGTTTGTCCACCTGTGAAAGGGGTAAAATGAGAGGTGAAAGGCATGACACAAGGGCTAATGTAGTTGGTGCTAGCTATACTATTAATGAGAGCAAGGAAATAGTAACCCTGACTGGTGACAAAATATAGAGGTAGGCAGTGTGATATGGGTGTGTAGAGACGTTGCATACAATGAGACTGTTGTTTATTCTCGAAAGAGATGATCTCTTTAATATCTGGTATTCAAAGATAATAACTGATATTGGGATTTGAATGTACAAATAGTGTGTAACTACTCTAGTGTCTCTTATCTGCTTAAACCGAGGTAATTCTTATATAGTGATATATGAACCCTATCTATACAACAGGCAGTCAGCACTTCTAGCATTCATAGCCTGAAAGAATTGTGAGTCAGAGAATTCTGGAGAGTCATGACAGTCGGAAATTGGGGGCAAGTCTGATAAAGGGAGGTCATTGGAACCAGGTTCCGAAGGTGGGTATACTGTATACTGTATTATGGCAGAGAGATAAAATCTCGGGAGAGTACTGGGCAGAAGATGATTCCTTTATTTTCGGAGAATGATCATTACACAATTCGATATGATGTAAACTATAGAAAAATTTGGCTTTGTGGGCATGTTCTAATTCATGGATGGTATGAGCACATTCTTTGCAGTGGAATTAGATGTGGCCTTCATGGCGGCACCAGTAATATTTGATCAAGAAACGCCAGAGAGGATCAGAACGATTGGGAAACCTTGATGTTGAGTGGAGTTCAACTGGGCAATGGTGGCAGCAATGACAGTGCTAATGTCCATAAGGGTGACATCTGAACTAGAGGGGCTTGCGCACATCAACTGTTGGGAAAAAGCATTGTAACTAAGATGACGGCCATTTTCGAATGCAAGGGCAATATACATAGTGTCAAAAGCAGCTGACCAGGTCTGTCTGAATGACGTGGGCGGCAACATTATATTCTACTGTAAACTGGAAATGAATCAGTCGGTGGCTTCATCATCGGTCATGTCTAGAAGTTTAAGGTGTGATATAGATGAATAAAGACGTTGAGTATGGTGAGACTGTTATTTATTCTAGAAAGAGATGATCTCTTTAGTATTTGGTATTCAAAGATAATAACTGGTACTGGGATTTGAATGTACAAATAGTGTGTAACTACTCTAGTGTCTCTTATCTGCTTAAACCGAGGTAATTCTTATGTAGTGGTATATGAACCCTATCTATACAACATTACACCCCTCCAGGTTGAAGCAGGCTCTGTTATATGGTCATGTTGGTAAAAATCTCTAAAAAACCCTGTGGGAAAAAATACATGAGGAAAAGACTAGCTCATGAATTACAGAGACTTATGCACTTAGTATGGAATTATCTTTTGAGAACCACCACTTATTGTCTATTGCACTTACTTTACTACGTCTGGGGTTGACGTTTTGTGTTTTACCCTGATGTTTCACAGACTTATCTTCAGGCAGATTCATTTCTGTCTTGTTTGATCCATGTCTGTTCCAATATTCTATAATGAATGCAGGGTCAGTAAATTTATCAGCGGTGAGCCATTGATCATCCTCGGCACCATAACCTTTCCATCTTACAAGGTATTCGCGTTTGCCTCTAGGACCTTTATGATCAATAATGGCTTGAATTTCGTACAGTTCATCTTCGGGAACCACACCATCTACGTTGATCAGTTTCATTTCAGAGGGCAAAAAGTCTCTGGACATAAGTGCACTAGTTTCGTCTTGAAGAACATATGATCCACCTTGCGTCTTGCGCAGAACGGTGTATAGGCCTTCATAAATAGAAGCTAATTTACCAGCTCTATTTTATATCTTGACTATAGTATAACGTGACTTCGCTCTGGGAAATCTATGAGTCTGTGCTTGGTATCAAATTTGTCCTTCATGTTGGAACCATGATGCTTCACTTTCTCTTGGAGCGCCAGAAACACAATATCCGTCATGTGTTCCACACGCTTCATCAAGTCTTCATGTGTCATTGGATCCTTTGGTACAGCATTTCTTGAATGGTAGTCCACAAAGTCATTTAATCGTCTTGCAAACATAAGAGAGAAAGGCGAGGATTGGAGTCGTTTTGATATGCGACTATTGATGTGTAATTGTGTGCTGGGAACATAGTAGTCCCAGTCTTTGCCAGCACCTTCTATCTTTTTCCGCAAGATATATATTGTTTCCTGTACATGTCGTCCAGCCACACCATTTGCTCTTGGATGATAGGGTGTAGTCAGCCGATGGTCAATTTCCAGGTGTTCAACAAACTTCTTCATGAACTGATTCTTGAATTCAGAACCATTGTCAGATTGTATAACCTTGGGTATTCCAAAATCACAGAATACTTCGACAAATGCTTTGACGAGTGTATCTGATTGTTTGTTCGGTAAAGCACGTAAAATGCAGAAACGAGTGCAAATATCCACAAGTACCAGAATATAGTTGTTACCGGCATTTGATGTCTTGTGAAAATTGATAAGATTAGCAGCCCAATGATCTCCAGGAAGGTATGCATAGATTGGTCTCAAGGGATTATAACCTTTCTGCCCTATGTTGTAGCGTTGACATTCAATACATGACTTGACCAATATCACAGCATCTTGGAATATATTATTCCAGTGGATACCATCTACATAGATATGTTGTACGATATATTCAGCTCCCTCATGACCTCCAAGTAAATATGCTTTTTCCAAGATACCATGTCTTTCATTCTCTGGTGGACACATTGTATCATCAGTTGAAGCAACAGATTTAATCCTGAATATTTTGTGTCCATCAATAGACTTCTTTGATACAACTGGCTTTGGTCCTTCGATGACAATACCCCTCTCCAGCTTGTCATCAGGAATAAACAAGCAAGAAAGAGAGTCACGGAGAACATTCTGAACACCAGGTAAATGGACAACTGTAAAGGTGTAATCGAGGATAGTGTCCAACCAGGTAAGCATCATGGGGTTTGCAATCTTCTGAGTGTGAAGATAAATAAGCGCCTTATGGTCCGTATAAAGTGTGAATGGATTACCCCAAAAGATACCGGTGAAACTTCTGGAGAGCATAAACAATGGCCAATAACTCTCTCTTCATAGTTGAGTAGTTGCATTCGGATTTACCGAGAGCTTGAGCTATGAAGGAAATGTATTGTTTCCTTTTACCTTGCATCTGAAATAATACAGCACCAATACCATAGTTAGATGCGTCAGTTGCGACAAGGAATGGCTTGTTGAGATCAGGATATTCCAGCAAAAGCTGTTGAGCCAGTATATCTTTAAGCATCTGGAAATGCTTAGTGTGCACATCGGTCCATAGGTTCGTTAAACTACCAGCCGAACGAAGTGCATCGATACCTGATGGTAGCAACGGTAGAAATATGATTGTGGAAATAATTGATAACACCGATAAATTTCTGGACCTCCTTGCCAGTACGTGGAATTGGCCATGACATCACATTGGTAAGTTTGCGGCTATCAGGTACGACGTCTTCAGCTGAAATACAAAAACCAAGTAGGAAGATGCAAGATTGCACAAAATGGCATTTTGCAGGATTGAGCAGTAAATTCACGTCGGTCAGAGCCTGAATGGCTGTTTGAACATGCATGATATGCTCAGAAATCAATGGAGAGAAAATAACGATATCATCTACAAATGTCCGCACAAATGGCAGATGTTGATAAATCAAAGACATCACTCTCTGAAACTTGGATGAAATCGGCTTCAAACCAAAGGGACAACCTTGGAATATATCTTGAACACCATCGTGAATGAATGTGGTTTTACAGTAATACGATAAATGTCTTTGATGTTTTATAAACTAATGAAGAGCTACTTCAACGGATTCTACAGAATCAATGCTTCAGCTAAGAGAAGGTACGTTTTACTCTGTGTGTTCTTGTATAGATGAAGGCCTGTCGAAGCTGGTTCACTTACATCTCACAGCTACAGTAACTAATCACATTCTCTTATGATGCAGCATTTGCGACGAAGAAGTCTTGGTGCAGGACGAGCAGGTGGCTGTTTCTGCTGAAGTTCACACTCTCACCAACGAGGTGAGCACATCGCCTTTGTGCACAGCTGTGCGAATGGGCTTTGACGCTCAGCTGTCCAGCGATGAGGACAATGAATTTGCCAGTGCTAAAGCTTTGCCAGGTAGGAGTAATGATAGTAGCAGCATCCAACCAAACAGTGTAGCAAAAACATTAGGTTCATCTTGCCAGAGTTGACTTCCTTGACAAATCATCTAACATCTTTCTGAAGGCAAGAAACGTGGTCGCCCGGTGAAAGCTATCAATTCCCGTAAAGCTGTAACTACGAAGAGAGTCAAGAAGACTTTGACAAATAGGAAATCTCTTGAATAATCCTATTAATTTATTTAATAAACCAAATTATAAAAACCATTCGTGCGTGCTATTGCTATTTGAATAAAAAAATGGAAGTGAGGTTCCAACCAATAACAATGCCGGTTGGAAGCCAATCAGAGAGACCCAACATGTTCCGAGATTCAGAAAGTACTCTAAAAGTATTCGAAAAATAATCGGAAAATCCCTGATTTGTTACAAATTTGAGTATCCAAATATCCGAATATTTTTTTCCTAAGGTGTGATATAGATTAATCATGGATGACTAAGTGATATGATGGAGTGGTATCATACGCATGAGAGGTAGGGATGGTATAATGAAATGTACAAAGATGACACTAGTGTTTATTTTGTGCTATTCAAAACGATAAAGATTTGTGCAGGTTTGCATTGCTCTGCCTGAAAAACTATGAATAGTCGCAGATTAGTGCACAGGTTTGCACATTTTTGCATGCATTTTTTCCATGGTGTATTGCAGTCATAAAAACCCACAACATTGCTTATTTTCGGTTATAAAAATCCAAAAAGACAATGTGACAAAGAGTGCTTTTTTATTGTTGTTTGACCAGTTTCCCTTATAATAAAAGAAGAATGATAAAAGTGCAGCTCAGAAAGCCACTGCCACATTCTTTTTCTTATCTTTATCAACTTCCTCCTTTTTTTTCATGTTCCACTCTAATGACCTTGTCTGTCTAGCAAAGAATGAAACACTAGTAATGTCTTATGTTTTCAAATGCATGTAATAGTATGGTCTTTTTTTTTGCGAAATTACTCTGCAGCATTTTGATCGATGAAAACGGAATTTTCCCTGTGTTTCTATCTCTTGTACACCTTCAAATGCCGCAAGACAGCTATGAGTTGCCATTCATATGTTCACAAAAGTCAATAACTCAATGTCACTCTTACGATGATAATTCTTGTCAAGCATTACAGAGTCCCGGTGTTGATACTTCGATTCCGTTGAAGGCAACTTACAAAGATCAGCACATCGAAGACGACCGATTAGCTTGGCTGCTGCTAGGCACCGCGTTTACTATGCTCATATTTACGTTGATACCCGTAGTAGCTGATCTCCCCTACATCACACCATGGTTTCCTGGAGACGCTTTGTGGCGATTGTTCGATCCTTTAGTTACCCTGCCTCTGAATTTATTCGTCCTCACTCGCGCTGATATCATGAGCTCGGGCGGCCGTCCACGCTATTGTAAGTAGACTATGTTAGACAATGTAAAGCGCTAAATGCTTAATATAGGTCATAGGGTTAGCTTTAAGTGAACGTAGTGTTGGCTGGTTGCTTTGGAGTATCGGTGCTGCTATATTTGTCCAGGGCCATGGTATCCATACGGCCGCAGGCATGTTCAAGGTAGAATACATCATGTTTTCGAGAATAATCCTCCATGCATTTTAACCTACTTTTCAGCATCCCATGCAAGATTTCAATGAAGCACATCCTGAGCTTGTGGCGCAGTATCCTGTTCTTCATGATATTTATCTCAACATGCAGACCACATGGGTAAGTGGGGTTCCCGCTCCGAAAGCTTAGGTCCGAAGCTGTATTGGTAATCCCCATAAAACGGCTCATTGATAGGAACATGACATTGCGCATTATATGTACGCGGGAGGAGGGATGTGGATGAGTTGGGTTCAGTTATTTGCGTTTCGGAATCAGATCCACGGTCCATTTCAGCGAAAAACATTGACGGTGTGGTTACTGGGTATTGTCATGTACGGCTTATTACTCGCAGGCGTTGCGATCGAGTTTCCCTGGGGACTTTATGGTAACGATCGTGAAGACATAGGATGATACGATATTGAGTCTCAAAATGACCGTATTAATAGTGGGATTGGCATACACGATCATAATCAGTGCGATTTGTCTTATCATGATGGTGTATAACCGGCAAGGATTGAAGAACGGAGGTCTACGGACGATGGGAAGACGGATGGTGTTACAGTACTATCTCGGTGCATGTGTAATTGGATTCATTGTCATTATTATTTGGTTAGCGATATTTGGCTTCAAGAACCGGAAAGCAGCAGGTGTTGCTGTACATTAAATAGTTGCGAATAATATTGCAAGGCATAGAAACAAACGTTTACAGTTATTGTCCAAAAACATCCAAGTTATAGATTGTAATGCGCCCATAAAAATCGGAACTCTCCTCAAATATCAACTTTAGACGCTGCACAGGTGTGGATGACTCAAAATCGAATTTTTGTGTTGAATTGATGTCTTCCGGATAGAATGTGCCAATCGGTATGTTGTATTCGTTTGGAGATTCTGGCAGACTCCCAAGCGCGACACACTTTTTACCAACGAACCCTCCCTGAAAAGTCAGACTGATGGTTTGAATCAAGACCACTAATCCGAAATCAATCAGGACATATTGAGGCAATCCCTAGTGGATAGTGAATAGTTATTTGCAATTGAATCAAAGTTACGTTTTAATCAGAAACAATGAACTTACTTGTTCCGAATTCCAGCATGTTTCGTTGCTGCCATCCGTCAGATTTTGCTTGCCAAAGTTGACGGTGTCGCGCTGCAATACTGAGCTTACTCTAATATGCAAATAACGTTTAGTGCCACTGTGGCTCATCTATTTCCAGGGAGAAATTTCGGGCGTACTTGATGCGGACGTTTGGCGTAATCAGACTTGTCATCGTGCAAGAAAAGAAAAAAGAAAAAAAGTAACCGAAGATACCAACTGACCCAGCTGAGGTTACACGTCACGTCGCCGTTGAGTGGGTTGAATGAAACGAAGCGGGGGTAATCTATTCATTCCCAGTTTCAGCTCCTTGCTCTTCCGGTCAATAGCTTGGACTATGTATTGGCTAAACGGCATAGCAAACCAACTCTCACTTCGCACAGCTCTGAAAGGAGTTCCCAAGACTCATACTTCGCACGAAAATGAGGCAAACACTTACTTTCCATCGTCGCTTGATATCATCGCTATCCAACCTTCACACCACGCATCATTCTTCATTACTTGCACCCGATCGGCGCTTCATTTATGGTCCGTCAAGGTACGATTGGGACGATACACAGCTCATATTCATGTTAACAAACGAAACATAACAGCCAACCACCATCCTGACCTTTGTCGAACGATCCGAAAAACATATTGAAGAGTTTGGCGAAAACCACTCACTTTTATGGAAACCCGACGCGTCCGCCGTTGCCATCATTGTACAGTATCATACCTCCGTTTCTTTCCCTTTGTCTGCCATAGAGTGTCGTGAATTTAAGTGCGGACCTGCTCAACTCTGCTGTTAGACAACCAAAAATTATCTTCTAGTATATGCCGTCCTGACGTTTGATCAGCCCTCACTGGAGTTCCACTTTTCTACTGCACAACATGCATCTATTATGGGACCAGGCGAAGGAAAAGGATCACGGAGTGTGTTATTGAAATTTCGATTAGCTGTTCGAGTAGATGCTGGCATCGCATGGTAAGTTGAATACCGTTATGACCATTCGATGATATGACCGACAACGCATAATGAACGATTTCTCGAAATTAATAGTGGCACATCATCCGACGATGCATTGATTATTGCAACCAAAAACCCACCTGCTGTGCAGTGTATCTCATGGAAACCTCATCGCGTCAACTCAACGCAAACAGCTATACAAAACACTCTCGATATATTCATTAAGAAATCAGGTGAGCGATAATGACATACCTGACCACTTGAGGATCGCAATCTCATTAATAAGAGTCGCAGAACAGATACAACGATTGATTTATGTAAAAGCAATGAATATATCCGTGTGGATTACGAATGAGGGCCGGGCTTACTTTGTCCAATGTGCCAATAAACCTGGCCCTGAGCGACGAAGTAGTAAAGCATCAAATGACGTATGTGTCATCGTATAACTTGACTCTTTTTCTCCTTGTACTCACTGACACATTTTTATTTAGTCCGTCTCTTCCGCAGCAGCAGGCAAATCATCCCCATTAGCTGATGGTTCGAGTACGAGCTCCGCGCCAAGTATGCCATCCTTTGCAGATCCTATTCATTGGTCAGGCGTATGTTTCCATGGAAAGGAGGACCAAGACCTAGAATTTGGCAAACAAGCTACTTGTGTTGCTGTCAATCCAAAATTCTCTTTGATCGCTGTCGGTACCAAGAGGTGGGACAATCAATTCATTTATGAGCCTGTGACTTTGAAATCTGATTCGCAATCAGTGGAATAGTGTACGTTTATTCCATCCAGAATTACACATCCGCACCGTCGCTCTCGCACGAGTTATCGATTGTCAATGAAGGTTACACCTTGGATCCAGTCGGTAACAGTACGTCGTCCGATGAGTGCAGTATTACCTCCATGGCTTGGACTACGGATGGCTACGCGTTGGCGGCAGGATATCGTCATCATGGTTTAGCTCTATGGACGGTGTTTGGACGCACTTTGTGTTCTATGGCGGATGTGGATGATATACTTGGCTACCACAAGCAAATGAATGGAGAATATGCGCAGAGGTAACGAAAGCTTTCCGTAGTAATTCACCTCTTCGCAGACCATGTGAATGATTTTTGCGTAGGCTTTCACGTCTGCAAGATACTTACGTTTTGGGCGTCGATGCAATGGTAAGCTTTCTCATTTCCGAGAACACTAAACGGTTGTAAGTGACGCTTACAGAGCTTTATATGATCAGTTTTGGGCCCCTGGAAACTACCAATTGTTTGCGTTGGCAGGAAATCATATCACAAAACAAAATAACTACAACGGTTCACTCCAGGAGAACGTACGGTTCTTTGCTATACCTTTTGTCAAGTCCGCGCTCACTGCATTTCATAATTCCGTAAGTATGATATCCACTGGGAATCATTTTGCATGTATTTATCAAACGTATTCAGGAAAGCGCACGGCGATGTCTTTTACAGGCAGATGACCGATTACTGCTATACAACAATGGAGGAGAATATCAGGAGAATAACACGTCGACCATTGATCCCGATGCGGTCACTTGGACTCATATTCCGGTAAGCTACAAATGATCTAGACGCAAAGTGAGTTGTAAACAGACAACTGATACCATTGAAAGTACCCAACCATGTATATTACAGAACATTGGCCAATTCGGGTAATATTAACATCGCACAGTAAATATAGCTGTACTGACTATGTAAAAAGTATGCGGCTATCAGTCAAGATGGCAAATTTATTGCTGTTGCTGGCCGGCGGGGGTTAACTCATTACAGTACGATTTCCAGTCGATGGAAGATATTCGGGAACCAACAACAAGAGCAAAGCTTTTTGGTGCGCGGAGGGCTTGCCTGGTACAAGCATATTTTGATCGCTGCTTGTGAAGTCATTGGCCCATCCAATTCGAAAGCTTACGAGGTAAAAAAAAAAGATCCCTGGATATCGCTTCTGTTTTTATTCTCTTTTTCCATTTTGGGACTTATACAGGATGCTACATTTTTAGCTTCGTTTGTATTCGCGAGATAACAATCTGGACAATGCACATGTGCTTCATACAGAAACATTGCCCTACATGCCCGCATACGTTAATATATGCGGAAAGTATTTACTTGTCTATACGACAGAAAATGTTGTTAATATTTATCATGTCATGACGAACGACAACTTCGTTAATGCATTGACGGCGAATAATCCGGCATACCACGCAAAATTGGAGCTAATTAGACGCATTTCTTTTGCTGATGTTGTTGCACGCCCAGCTCGATTACGAAGTGTCAGTTTATTTGGCAATATGAAAGGAGGTATGAGGGTTAATCATGCATGTATTATTCACCAGTACAACGGGTCAGAAAATCTCATTTTTTTTTCTGTATGTCCTCTCATTCGTAGAGCAAATAGAACACATAGATGATGTGATTTCAGCGAATATTCTTCTGTTAGTGGACGGAAAACTGATCATGCTGACTCCTCGGATACCGGTAGGCGGTTCCCAGATTACATGGACTGGATAACCCTGCTTACAACGCTATCATAGGATGATGATGATGATTCTGACCTGATTGAGCATTCATTTGACCAACAAACGCAATATGATCTTCATGTCCTTTCTGATAATATCGAATACTATTGGATTGGACGGAAATCAATCGCCAATTTACGCACCTCGCTCTGGTTAATCGATGGAAAAGGCATTAAAGTAACTATCAGTCAAGTCATCAAAGCATGAGATAAAGAACAATGACTTATTGGATTGTAGCTTCTCACCAATTTATTACGAGGCGAGAGCGATGATGCATTTAACCGTATGACACATGATATATTTGAGAGCGAACCTTCCACACCAACGACACCGGGTTTTTTTGCCGCGAAAAGTAATCTTGGTCAGCCCTATTCTCTTGGTTACCGGATTAACCCCGAAACTTCTTCGCCCAACGCTTCTATTATCGAATTGGAAGGGGTATCTCGGTGGCGCATCGATACTCTGGAGGAAGCGAACCTGCAGGCCCTTTATATTCCCTTGGATTCTTATCCTCACGGTGAGCTTCAGACCTTGTTTTCCCCATCCCCCAACCGTATCCCTCCACCCCAGAACCCCCCGGCGTTTTATCAGCGTCATTATTACGGTATATTGATTTTCCGTTCAATGGGTAGCTGTGCTTCTCGAAAAAGGGGTGATTGTAGGTATCGAGCAGAGTATGGCATACAAAAATGCATTAGGTTTGATGGTTTTCAAAGCAAGCACCAAAGTAAGTTTATTCAATCCAGAAAAAGGGAACAACTTTTCTAAACATCATGACCGGATGGCTCAAATGGAATGTGGTAGACGCATTTGTTTTTGCATCATCTATTTCGGCATTTATTGATGCGAGGACTTGAGGAAGATGCAGTTGTATTTGCTCGTGCCTACGAAGGGCTAGTCTATTTTGGTCATGCACTAGAAATTCTTTTGCATATGGTGCTAGAAGAGGAAGCGGATCAACGGAAACGACAAGGTACGCTTGACTTGACAACTGAACTCAATGTGATGTAAACATTCAATTCATGGTTGGTTTTTATTTTCTTTTCTTTGCATATTAGATGCTATCCTTCCATTGGTGATTAAATTCCTGGATCAGTTTCCCCATGCATTGGATGTTATTGTTAGCTGCGCAAGGAAAACAGAAGTGGCTCTTTGGGATTTTCTTTTTTCTGTTGTAGGGAAACCCAAGGATTTGTTTGAGGTATTAAAGTTTGTTTTAACCTACCCGATCTATTTCTGATATGCAGCTTGTATTACGTAGCTATGTTTAGGAGATGGACGCCTTCGGACAGCCACTTCCTATCTTATTATCCTTCAGACGATGCAGCCGACGGCAGTAGGTGAACAGGTACATTCGATTTTTTTTATTCCTCTTTTCCTCAGTCCAGGAAGTCTCATTCAAGATTAGGATACGACTCGCTTATTGCAAAAAGCGATGGATGTAAACGATTATGAACTGTGCAAAGAACTTGTTCGATTCCTCAGTTCTATTGACAGTAAGTTTTTTTTTATCACATGAAAAAAAAGGTCCTTGTTTGATTACATCCCTTTCTTATTGTTTGAAACAAACATCACAGACACAGGCAAAACGTTGCAAGAAGCATTGAAGGTCATTCAGCAACATATGAACAACGATGAGTAGCCTCAGCACGGTGACCCAAAGACTTGCAATGTAACAGGACGCTGTAGTACAATCTCTGCGAAGGTTTAGTCATTATCTTAGCTAATTGTTTTGATTATCCTGAGTTTGGAACACAAATAATAATTCATGTAAAGTTATGCCATATTCAGATGTCATCTGGAATTCAAGGTTCTCATATGTCGTTTTCCCTCATCCCTTCCACGACTGCTTGGAAGTGTTTCCTTAGCCTTCGCAATCCCCCCCAAAACCAGCTTCCTTCGATTCTTTCCCCTCATGACATGATCCCACATGTGCATCCCAGTCCCCTTAATAAGGGACATCTGCGCATGTGACCTGCGAACTAAAGGCCTGTTTGGGCTGAGAAAAAAAAAGATAATCTTACATTGTGAGTTTTCTTCGCAGAGATCCGGTTATCTTCTTTCCTTTCTTCATTTTTTGGTTTTGTTTTGTTCGACATGGCCAAAACCAAAAAGCGTACCAAGGCAAACGGCCATGGGAACAGTTCATGTGGTCACTATCAGACATTTGGCAATACTCAGATGCCCGCTCCGAAATGCAAATCTTCGTTCGCGTCCGAGCCGCTGATTCCTTTCTTCAATCAGTCGCAGAATGTATCGTACACTCACATATCTGATACCCAGGACAATGTAAGGCAAAAATTCTCGAGAATCAAAAATAAAGGGAGACAAAGATATGCACAGACGAGTTGTAACTTTGATAGTCAGGTTATGTTTGGTTCTGGTTTCTCCACTGAATTATCTTCTCCGACGTACTATCATCAAAACTCTTTGAAAAAGGATGACAATTTCTTAATCAATATCCATACGACCGAGATTCCAGCATCAATGCCTCTGGATTTACCGCTGGATCAGAGCTCCTCTGACGTCAGTAGACAAGTTTCAATTGAAGAAGACGTTTGCTTTCCATCGCAGGACGATAGGTCAAAGGAAACGATCGATTTTGACGCTTTGGAAAAATTGGTTGCTAAAGAACAGCATTATGATTACCATGACATTACCCCACGACGAAGAATACCAAGAGCTTTATCCACGCCGCGGTTCCACCATTACTATGACGAAAATATGAAGGTAACTACAAAGCGAAACAATCATCGGGTCCGCAAAAGATCTTATTGTTATCTGCCGTCCCCCCTCAAAGTATGTAGAAGCAGAGGATAGCGATGATTACCGTATTGCTTTCTATTCTCCTGCCGAACCAACTACCATCCATGCACGAACATTGACAGAAATTCCTTCGATTGCCGGAGAAAGTTTCACTGATATGCTCAAAAAGGCTTATTTTTGGATCGATATATTAAGTCCCACTGATGCCGAAATGCAATCACTGAGCAAAGTAAGTGAACGAATAGGTGCTGGCAAGGTAATATCAAGTCTCAATTGCTGACTTTTTCAGATCTTTCATATTCATCCTCTGACGGCAGAAGATATCGCCACCGAAGAACCACGAGAAAAATGCGAAGTTTTTAAAAACTATTGCTTTGTATGTTTTCGCACTTTTGATCAAAATCCTTATTCCACCAACTACCTCCAGCCGATCAGTCTGTATATTATTATCCTCAAAGAAGGGATCCTTACTGTAAGTGTATTGAATCCGTTTCAAATGGATGACGGTCGCTCAAACGTCATTAGTTTCACTTCCGACCGACACCTCATCCACAAAATGTGCGCAAGCGTATCAAGCAATTGAAAGACTACATTAATGTGACACCAGGTATGGCTTCCAAAAAATCTCATATTAAGACCTCGAAAAAATTTAATAAAGGGAAATGGATAGACTGGATTTGTTATGGACTTTTAGATGATATCACGGATTCGTTTGCTCCGTTGATCCGAGCAATAGAGTTCGAGGTGGACTCGATTGACGAACTTGTGTTGATTTTGAAAGAGTCTGAACAATCCGATATGCTACGTCGTATTGGTTATTGCCGTAAACGTATGATGGGGATACTGCGGTTACTCGTGTCCAAACCAGATGTTGTGAAAACAATTATCAAGCGGGGAGAGCTACGGTCTTCTGACGGCTCCCGATCGACGATTACTACTGACGTAGTGCTCTACCTCGGTGACGTTCAAGGTAATGTCAATAAAATGAAAAGAAAAAGCCAAACTTTTCCCGGGACCTTGTCATCTGATTTTTCGATTTTGGGTAAAATCACACTTATTAAGATCATCTTCTTACCATGCTGCAATCGCTCAATCATTACGAAAAGATATCCTCACGATCACATTCCAACTACCTGGCACAGATATCCATTGAGATGACCCAAACAAATAACGAGATTAATGATGTTCTGTCTAAGTTGACCGCATTAGGAAGCGTGCTCATCCCGATGAATCTGGTCACAGGATTGTGGGGCATGAACGTCCAAGTGCCCGGACAGTATCAGGTTCGATTGTTTTACAATATCATCCAGCGTTTCCATGACTAACAATTTTCTGTATAGGAAGATCTTACCTGGTTCACTTGTATAATGTGTGCAATTCTTACCTTTTGCGTTACTTCAATCATGCTCATGCGATTTTATAATATTGTATAAATTCTGATCTCATGTACCAACTTTTTACTGTCGTTAAAGCTTCATAAAACAATAGAATATCGTCGATAAGTTTTCTAGCCGAACGAAGAACAATTGCCGTGCACCACACCGAGAAATAGAGACGTTTCATTTTTCGTTTGTGTCGTTGCTCTCTCTCAACAAACAATCCTACATGCACCAAATTACACACATCATACGATTGTCAGAACAGAAAAAAAAAATTGAATAAACTGTAACTCGTTAAAACAAACAGTATCTTTGTTCTTATGCAATGTTTCAGTTCTTCACTGTAACATTATCAGCTGACTTCAGTCTTGACTTGTATGGTAATGCAAGCTTTTACGATGGCAGAATTACTGCTTCTTTCTAAAGAATTATTTTTATCTTTATCATCGCCCTTTATATGATGAGTTGTATGTAAGAAGAAAGAATTTGCAAAAGTTGGGTGGTTTCGAGCTAACCTCCAAGTTGGGCAAATTGGAGTTGCCCGGTTAACCATAGATGCCCTCAGGCCGCAATCTTTGCACATGAGCCGAGTTTCAACTGATTTTTGAGCTTCAGCATAGCATTGGCTGATTTCTTTGTGTGAGATGCATTGAAAGTCGCAAATGGTTTTTCCGGATTCAATCATTGTTAGTCGTGATAGGCATATAAGCCATCGCCTACTTGCTCATTGCGAGGAAAGTGGGAAAACCGTTCAACCGTGCAATGTATTTGTTATTGGTACAAATGGCAGACCCATTGACTTGTTTTCCGTCTTTGATGTGTGTTTCCTTGGGGCCGACGTTTTTTCTTTGATAGCAAAAATCGCATCGCTGGTTGCATGGTTCGTTTGCCATTACCACTGCGTTGCATCTGAAGGCCGGCTTTCTGTGGCACTTGCTATCGCGATCACCGATTCGTGAATGCACCTCTGCTTCCATAGCGCCAACCATACGTACGGGTAGATTTTTAGTGTCTTTCAATCGTAACCATTCTGTTGACCGACAATGTAGCTGCTTTTTGCACAGTCTTCGCATATATGCCTTTTTTATGAAGTCAAATGAATCTTTTTGTGCCTCGACCTATTCCGAAAAAAAATATTTTCAGGGGTGCCTAGTTCAAGGAACTGAATCTTCATCACATCTTCTGCTCTCCGTCAAAAGAAGGTGATAAACGCTCGCAAATCTTCTCTTGGGCGATCTAAAGTGTACACAAGCCGAAAAGCAGAAGACTTAACACATCATATATAAAATTGCTATCTTGTAGTTTACAAGCCCTTTAGCAATGGATAACGCATTTCGATATAAGCTTTTCCAATTTAGTCGGTTGAGATATGAACTTCACATTTACGCTTGATATAATTGCGCTGATGTGAGATGCGCAAATACTGACACTGTCATAGTTGCTTATTTAAAGAAGTAGGCTTAACGCATAGATACCTCTGTGCGGTGGCGTTTGGTCGTGAACTATAAATTAATTAATGGGCATGCAGAAACCCGTTGGGCAGGAAGCTGCCTTTTGAGATATCACGTACTGAGAATTCGATTCAAAATTCCATCGTGCTCCTCATATCGCAATGCGAATCGATTCGGCACTGAGCTTCTCTCCCCTAATTTTCGCTTCTTTACTAGCAAGACACGGCCAATTGGATAATTAGTATGCCTTGCTGTTGCCGATTAGGAATGATTGCTTGGAACGCTCATGAAAATTACCGTATCTAAAGCTTGTTTATCGATTTGCACGACAATGATTATCATTTTACTATCAAGGATTAAACGAGAGAACATTCTTTTGAGGCCACGCATCAGCACGAGTAAAACCTAGGAATGTACGTAATAGTATCTCTTAAGTTTTTCGATATTCAATATTATGAAGTGGAACCAGTAATCTAAGAACTGAAGGGTGGACCAACGCTAGCATCCAGTTACGCTCGAGTTTGAGATACACGATCCTGGAATAATCCTATTTTGTTTACCATACAATCATATATACAGTAAATCAACATTGGGAATTCCAAAGTGCTTCACAAAATCGAATACATTCCAAAACCGAATTTCGGAAACAAGCTGAGCCAGAAAGGCGAGGTTCTGTGAAGATTTGTATAATCTCTCTGCTTCACATCCTGCTCATGATAGGCGATAGGTTGCGTGGCGAGCGTAGGAAAGCATTGCAAGTAACGGGAACACGGGACGACCGATCCGGAAAAGCACCCAACCCCAGAGCTGCTCATAGAAATGCTCTGCCAGGGACTAACGGACATTTATTTCGGGCTTATCATCGACTTTAATTTCGGTAGAAATTTGTAAGACATGTACGGCGCGCAAAACCGCGTTTTTTAATCATTTGGAATCGTATAGCAGCAATAGTAATCGCATCAAAGGACAGGCATATGGCGAGACTAATGGCAAGCTCGATCAAGCGATGGATCATTTACGAATATCAGACGACAAAACTGTGTCCCTTAAATGCTTGCACCATACATATTGCCCTTCTTATCGCCGAAACGGGAAGCTCGTGAGCATTAAGGGTGTAACCTACTGCCAAAACCCGCACTGCGTAGCATGATCTTTGGATTACACGGCAGGAGGATGTGAGCCAAACGGCTGTCCCCGATATACTTCAAGGAAGACGTTTAAACTACACTCTCCGCTGATGGACCGTTGCCAGAATACAGGCAATCCAACCAAGACACGAGCTATTAACTCACATAAAAATGCTCTGATTCAGATTAAATACGATCATCAGCTATGCGTAGGGCTGAAAAGCCAATGCGAATAAAGCAGGTCTTTTCGGTTGCGTTATGCCTTTTCCTCGGTTTAAGAATCCGCAATTTTTTTTAATTTTGGTAGATGGGGGAAGCGGTGATTGGTTTGGTTTTTGCTCAAAATCGTAGTCACTGTGTTGTGTCGCAATCCCAGAGTCTGAGTGAAAGACGTCCAGCAGGAAGTCCTCCTTTTTTTTTCTGGTCTTCTGTCTTCTACTACACTCATATCGCTTTAACCTGTTCATTGTGTGCTGCGCGTATTTAGCTCTGTACCAATAACATTTTCCTTTTTTTCTTGGTCTTGTACACAATATTTAAGCATCCAGCTGTGCAGCAAAAGACGGTCAAAGCTTCGGCTCAAAGCTTTACACTTGGTTTACCATGAATTCGGACGATGAAGATTTGGATTGTCCTCTTTGCATGGAGGAATTCGATATTGCCGATCGTAACTTCCGTCCTTGTCCCTGTGGCTATCAGGTACACTTAACAACAGGCTGCTTTCAACGTAGACCACCAACCAAAGCACTAAGGAGCTCACCATATCTTTTTATTTTCTGCGATAGATCTGTCGCTTTTGTTGGCATCACATCAAAACCAACCTGAATGGTCGTTGCCCTGCTTGCAGACGTACATATACGGACCAGATTGCTGAGTTCATTCCCGTCAGTGCAGAAGAAATTTTGAGAAGTAAAAGGGAGAAGAAGGAAAGAGAACGTCAAAATCGAGAGATGAAGGATCCTACCCGTCGTCAACTGTCCAATGTACGAGTGGTGCAAAAGAATCTTGTTTATGTGCTCGGTCTTCCTTCAAAGTATGCCAGTGCCGAGGTAGGAGGATATCTCTTGATTATATATACTTTCCTTCTTTTACGCTGACCATCGCCACTCGTTACTGTTATTTGCCCCTTTTAGCACGAATTCTTCAAAAAGTATGGCAAAGTTCTCAAGCTGGTCATGAGCAAGCGTACCACGGCTCCTTCAACCAATCATCCTAACGCTACCACCTCCGTGGGTATTTATGTCACATACGCTCGAAAAGAAGACGCTGCCAAAGCGATTGCAGGGATTAACGGTGCTGTTTGCGGTGGGAGAGTCCTTAGGTAAGAAGGGAAATCAGCAGGATACGTCTGTAAAGGCACATTTTTTTAATTGCTTATCTCCATGGGATCTTCCGTGCAGAGCTTCTTATGGTACAACCAAGTATTGTACCTACTACTTGCGGCATATGGCGTGCCCCAACCCTAACTGTATGTATCTGCATGAACCCGGTGACGATGTAGACAGTTATAATAAGGAGAATCCAACCCTTGAGTAAGTGACGGCTTAATGCGTTTGGAAGACACTAATGCAGTGCACTAATATCGCTTGGACATCTTTTTCACAGAAAACATGCCGCTGCCAGTTCCATTGGTCCAACTTACCCTAACAAACGCATCGCTACAGCTTCGAAATCCACAGTTTCCGGAACCGCACCTATTGACTCATCTTCCGCTGTTCTTTCTACCGCCAATGCGACGGCGGCTACGACGGTGACGACTACTACTGCGACTACCGCTGTCACGCACGTTCCTGCCGAACCGCCCAAAGTATCACCCTGGGCTCCGTTACCGAAGATCGTCCCTCCTCCTCCAGCCCCAATCCTTGAGTCGGAAAAGCCATCTTACTCCCCCACCGACCATCACTCAGCTACCGCCAAGGCGGTCGTTCCGAAGGTCTCGGCGTCCACCAAAGTGTCATCGTTGACAGGCAAAACGTCAAAAGCTACGCCAAAGAAAGCAGCTCCTGTTATGTCGAAGAGTATGTCTGAAACTTTGTCTAGTGTGAAATCGGAGGAAAGTGGACGCCCTGCATTACCAGCTACGGCGTCGTGGGCAAAGGCTCCAAAGCCATCTCCCAGCGATAGTGTCATCACACCTGCCAATTTCGGACCCTCTTTATCCGACGCTTTGTCCGCTCCGGCAAAACCGAAGCATGCTTCGGTTCTTCCAAGAAAAAAGGAGAAGAAGCTGAAATCGAAGATGGTGCGTCTTGAGGAATTCGAGGAAGCTGAAAAGGAATCTCATCTACCGTTGACCGGTTGGGGTTCCAAGGAAAAAGCAAGGAAGATCGCTGACCCTGGCAAGGATGTTTTATCGGACAAGAGCAACCTTCAGATGGCCGGACCAGAATCACAGGATAAATTACATCAACAAAAGAGCGGTCAAGCGAAAGCAACTGAAACGAAACCGGCTTCTCAGGACACGGTGGAGCCAGCACTTCCAGAGATGGTGGAAACGTCAAAATTACCGACGATCGAACCCGCGATAGTTAGTCAACATGCTGACAGCAGAAAATCAAAGGAACAGGGGGCAGCTACGATGACAGATACTGACCTCGAGGGTACAATGATGGAATCGGCCGACGATGCAATCGATACACACGCATCGGAGACTGTGATTCCTGCTCGTGACAACGCAGAACTCGATTCTGCCGAAACTGCGCAGGACGACAAACTTGATGTTAGTCAAGTTGCTGAAGCCATCGAAGCGACCGACGCCCTTGGCCATCCTGAGGCAGATGCACCTATTATCGATGAATACCAAGCGAGGCATAAGCCAACTTCAAAACTCGCCGATAATATGGGAGAGACGGTGGTTGTTGAGCATCCAGACCAGACCTCAGAGTTGAAACCGGCTACGACGTCTTCCTTGAACGAATCCTTATCCATCCAGTTTGAATGGAATGATTCCGCTATGGAACATGCCCTCGAGAAGGAAGGTGCAGATGAAGATGAACTTGACCTAGATCTGCATGATTTGTCCGCCATGAACGATGAAATTGTGAAAGCGTTTGATTTTGCTCAGGCTGCAGAGAACGAACCACTTGACCAGGGACCCCAGCTTTACGACTTGGACTTGGATGAGAAAATGCAGAACGATGTGGACAATGTAAGCGGTCTACTTTCGCAACAATTGTCCATGCCCCTGGTGGAAATGGAGCGGTTATCTGCCTTGGTGAAGAAGGACTTTTTGCAAGAATCGCCATCCGAATTTTCCGAACAGTCACCACCTCCACCTGGATTCATGAATGACCGTCCTGAACAATTAGATCGCAGTCGGTTCGTTTCAACTGCTCCACCCCCTGGATTGGATCCCCCTCCACCGGAATGGATGACGAGAGGTTTCGATCCGTTCAATGGTCAAGACCCTTCCCTTATTGCTTCAAGACGCTTACAGCATTCTCAGCAGATGTTGGAGGCTTCTGGACTGTTCCATGGGTTCGGGCAACCAATGCCTCGTTTTGGTTTAAACCCCAACTTCCATCCCAATGGTACACCACCACCACCCTTCGCCGGTCAAATGCATCCACCACCGCCCTTGATGTTTCCTCCAACACCTCATCATCACCACCATCATCACCCCCATCCTCCTCCACATCCTCCACATCCCCTTCCTCACGGGATGCTGCGGCCTCCTGCTCACGACTTTGGTGTCTTACCGTCACCGCCGCCGCCACCACCACCACCACCTTCTCAGTCCGTACTGTCTCCCAATACGACGATAGATCATTTGGCAGATGTGGCAGATCTTCACAAAGAGTTCAATCATTTGTCCATCAACTCACAATTGCAAATGCAGTCACCGAATCCGGGACCTCTTCATATGGGAGAAGATGCACGACGATCGATTCGTGACGACTTCCGGGCTCTTTTGCCTAACGTAACTATCAGTTTTGGACCTGATGCTACCAGTCCTAATGATACGTCTTGTGAATCTGTGAATCGTAATGTTGATCCTTTTTTTCAGCAGATGCCTCCATCGATTCATCGCGAATCTCCCATTTATTCGCGTCAATCTATCCCTCCTGATCACGACGTATTCCGGCGCGATTCATCGGCTGTCAACTCCACTGGCTCCTCTGAGCCTTCCATGAACAACGAGTTTGATTTACGCAACCCTATGCGTATGCAAGATAAAGAATTACAGACGGGCATCTATAGGGATATCCCGGCACGGCCGGATGGCTTAAAGCATGATATGATGGATTCTTCAAGAACAGGAACTGGTTTGAATGGTCCTGCGAATTCGTTTTCGCCAGTGGACGATCATCGTCGGCCCTCCGGTTCTCCAGAGATGTTTCGCCGGGGTCCTCCTGGCATTGACATGTTTGCTGAACCATCTGTGAATGCCTATGGTGGTTTGAATCCTGCAGCGCGATCTTCGGAGCGTCCAACGAACGAGACAGATGTCCGAAAAGAAGCCCAAAACTTCTTTGGTGAGTTTCTCAAAAAGGCTGCCTCAGCTTCCCAAGAAAGTTCAGCAGAAAAAGCGCCTACAGAAAAGAACAGTAAGTTGTATTTCATAAAATGCTCCATCAATGAGTAATTTTGCTGATCCTTTGAGTTGTGTTCGATAGCATCTTTACCTTTCCAGGATCCTGCTATTATGTCGGTTCGTTTAAGTGGGGCTGAACAATGTGATTCTGCAGCGGATCGTCGTGCATCAGCCACCACCATGTCAAAGGAGCCGCAAAACAGCATTTTACAGATTTTAGGTGGTCCGCCGCATTCTATGCATTCGACGCCACCTCATCATCACCCTCAAATGTCGCAACGACCACTGCAGCATCATCCGCAGAGGGAACCTCCTTTTTCTTCCATGAATGATGTGCATATTTCACCACCTTCTCACTTTGGTCAGCAAGATAGACATTTGAATTCTCATCCGATGTTTATGAGCGGACCTCCCCTTCCCTCCAATTCGTTCCAGCAACCACAACATCATTTACATCAACCGAACCCCGCTCAGTATCATCCAAATGCCCACTTCCCGCCTCAGGGAGGCCCTGTTCCTGGTCTTCCTCCTCACTTCATGTCGGGTATGAATATGGTGGGTCGTATGCCTCCCATGGCTGGTGGTCCGCGTCCGCTTCATCCAGGTATGCTGCCGTCTATGCCAATGTCCCTTCCTGGAGACATGATGTACAGACAGAGACCTCCAATGGAGAATAATAATAACTTACCTCCCGGGCTATTTTTCGGTGGTGGGATGAATGCGAATGACAATCGCCAGTAATTCATCGCTTTTGATCTCTTGTGGATAATTATCATGTATTTTTTCCCCCTTTTCTTTCCTTTTATCTTTTTTTTTTCTCATTCGGGCTGTTTCTTTGTTTTCTATCATCGGTTCTATATTCTTTTGTGTTGTTGTTTGATTTCTTCACGTTGGGGAATTTTGCCCTGGCCATTGCCTTTTCACCTATTAAAACTTGTAACATTACAGAGTCTTCGCTTTTTCCTTTTTATCAGTTCGTGTTGGGTACAGTTCCCAAGCATATTTTATTTATTGACAAAGTTCATGCTGTAGCCACCAGTGGCTGGATCTTTTTGCATTTGAAAATTGTCGGTCGATAATCCAAATTTACCAAGAATCGTATTACCGAGATCCTTCAGTTTCCCCATCATTTCCTCCTTTTCTTTTTCCATCTGTACCTTGATGATGGGTGGCAGTCGTGCTTTGGCACGATCACATTCTCGTCGTGTGTAGGTATCAATATCTAATGTGCTCAGTCGCTTGTAATCTTCCAAAGCGTCACTCAGCGCTGTGTAGGATCCAATTCGCTCGTTTGCTTGTGCTCGCCGTAATAAGGCTTTGGTATAGGATTTATCAAGGTCGAGAGCCCGGGAAGCCATGTCTCGGGCATCTTTATAGTTATTCTGTCCCATACCCGAATTAGTAAATAAGAGAGCCTTTAGTAAAAGCATGGGACCAATAAGCGTGAACTTACCATCTTCAAGTGGCAAGCTGCAATGTTGCCAAAATATAAAGCTCGATCCTTTGGCAATTGAGGTGGACAGACCAATAGTGCGTTTTCATATTCAGCAATCGCCTTGTCATAATCCCCTTCAGCAAAACATCGATTGCCAATTTGTTTGTATTCAGTAGCCTCTTCCAATATTCGTTCTAACTCTTCTGGATGGTATTCACTACTGTCAAAGAATTCTTCTTCCTCATCAGCGTTATCATTGTTGTTCTTTTCGTTAACTTGCTCGGGATCGCCCTTATTACTGTCAGCATCAGCCGATGTTGCAAGAATCCCGATTGGGGTCGCATTGATAGTTGTTTCTGCAGGACGAAGTAATTAAATAAATTGATATAAATGTATGCAAGAGTTGGTATCGTACCTTTAAACTCATGTTGTTCTACCACTTCTTCGATGACGGCCATAATGATATGTCTTTGGGTCCAGACACAAAAAGAAGTTCGTTTTATCAGTAAATATTAAAAGCCAGACAACGTGACTTTATTGTTTACCGCATGCATTGATTGAACATTGTTTGCAATCAAATGAAGCAGTACGAGCTGGATCACTAAAAAAGAAAAACAAAAACGTTTTGTTTCCATTCAATAAGTGTGGTAAGAAGCAAATTTAGTTTAACAGCTTCAGGCAATGTAAAAAAGTGACTATGGAGGAAAATTGAAGAGCTGGCCCCGGTGGCAACAATGAGGTTTCAAGCTCGACCGTATGACAATCTATTATTGCGGAATATCATTGGCAAACTACCGATTTATCATGCTATCAAGTGCGCTTCCTAAATATTTTTATTGTAATGGGATGATGGAAAAATAGCATCGATAAAAGGTGATAAAACAAAAAGTGATGGGAGACGAGAAAGGACAGTTCAGGAAGATTGTGTATCAAAATCCAAAATTATGTGCAGATGTTTATTCTAACGGACTTTTGGGGATGTTCTTTTTAAATGACTAGGAACAAGAAAAATGTGATGGAGAGGAATGTATAATGTTATTTACATGTCTTACAAGCGTTGGAAGCCGGGCACATGAATGACAGTTTCCTTGATATCAACGACGTTGCAGTCATCTTCAGGAATACCGCTTTCGTGGACGATACAGGCAAAGTCGGCTTCGTGTTCCAAGACGACCATGGGGTGATGCCAGACACCTTCGCGGTAGTTGATACCTTGCTTGGAGGTAGCAATGAAAGCCTTCAAGGTGGACAAATCGGGTCTATCATCAGCACCGTTCAAGGCAACGATAACAAGGTAAGCGCGGACCTTGCCGTCAGTCATAGGCATGAAAGCCTGGCTGGAGTAAGGGTGTCTCTCCAACAACTTGGCAGTCATGGGGAGTTCAAGGGTAGGTCGGCAGTGGAAAACGCACATTTGAACCTTGCCACCACCGTTGGGGTGGTTGTTGACGACCTTGGCAGTGTTTAAATGCTTTTCAGCAGTACCCATGTTGGCACTGATGAAGTGAGAACCGGATCCTTCCTCGATCACATCACCATAGGCAGCGTAGTTCTCGGGAGTCAAGGGAACAGCGACAATACCTTCCTTGTAGTGAGAGGGAGCCTCAATAGGCAAAGCAGGAAGCTGAGCACCTTCACGGACACCATAGGCGCGGACACGCTTGAGACCACCATCTACACAAATGAAGCACAAAATACGATCAGTATTCTGTATATATTGTCCGCTTTATCATTTTCTCTCTTTCACCGACATTCTGACCCATGATCCTCTTTCTCCTTTTATTTTGTACAACCCGTCCTCGCCATGCATGCAAGCATTCTTTTTTGATTGATGATTGTTAACTTACCAGGAACAATAGTGACTCGGAGATGGCTGAAAACCTTGTCGGTGCTGGGGAGATCAAAGTAGAAGAGGCCGTGAGGACCGACCTTACCGGCGTCGACAAGCTTGGTCCACTGAGCGGAAGCCTCGGGAACTTCGGTATCGGTGTTGGTGCCTTCAATGATGAGCTCCTTGGGGTAGTTACCGTGGAAGTCAGAAGTATCGATTTCGAGCTTCAAGACGTGGCCCTTGGCACCCAAACGGATGATAACAAAGTCAGAGTGGTTGGGTTCACGGGAACGTCTGGTTTGCCAGCCATCATCGTGGTTGCAGCCACGGCCAGGCAACAGCAAGTTGCTACCAGGACCGAAATGCTCGTCGCTGGCAGCAACGCATCGACCACCGTTACCGACATAAGCAAGATCAATGACAGCACTGAAAATGTGAAGAAAAATAGAATAATTAGAATCAACTGCTTCCTTAACCGTATAGAAGATCACTATCGTTCTTCCTTCCACTCTTCATCCATCGCATACATAAGAGCAGCGTTCCGATGTAATATTTTTACCCAATCTGAGAAATTAAACTACCCGATACTTACGAAGTGTCCTTGGGGAAGATAGCGCTGACGTTACCGTAGGCACGGAAACGGGCAATACCACCATCGGGGATGTTGTTCACGCGAACGTGGGTATAGACGGCAGTAGGTTGGTCCAAGATGAAGACATTGTGGCAAGAGGGAGGCAATTCAACCTTGGGAAGGATTTCAGTCCACTGGACATCCTTGGCAAGGACATCACCTTCAGGACAGAAAGCAGCTTCAACGGAAGCGAAAGGAGCTTGGTTGCCCGTGAAGTAGTGGGTATCGATGTCGAAACCGCGGATGCTGCCGGAGAAACCGAGCTTGACAATGCACCTAAACAATGATGAAACACGGTGTGAGTCTACACGAATTGGCATATAGGAAACACAGAGCTGCATTGGAGCCCATGCTACAGTAAGTGAATATAGGATATGTACCAATCGTAGGTGGGGTTGTGACGCTTGGTCTCCCAACCGTCCATCCAAGCACCAGTGTCTGACAGAAGGACAAAATTTTAGATTAGGTTATTGTACGTCTCACAGATCAGGGTATGATTCTCGTCAGGTGAAATAACATACCGACGAAGCGACCGGGGCAGTGCTGAGGAGGAGCAGGGTTGATCATGTTGGTGGCAGGGGCGAAGAATTCGTCGGTGACTGCAACGATGGTGCTGCCGATAGCGGCACTGGCAAGATCTAAACATAGGAGGGAAAAAAAAGAGGAAGAGAGGTGAGGATAGTTGAACAAGGAGCTAGACGGTCAGAGAGGCACAGTAATAAATGCCGATAGAGGGCGGATCATACCGATGCAGTTGCCGAGGACAGAGGTGGGGAGCTCTTCGTGATTGATACGTTTGTAGGCAGCCATTGTTCAGTCAAAGAATAAGGGAGTGGAGCAGGACAAAGACAAAGAGAAAAGAGGAAAATTGTATCCCAGACATCGGTGGGTTTATACTTGTTGACGAGGTGGTACAAAATGACCAATAAGAGGTCAGTTATAGCGACCATTGAAATATACCCAGGGGGTGGGTTTTCATTCAGCGACAATGGTCCGCTATCCCGGACTAAAGACTGCTTACCATTAAATTTGCACGCATTTGTGATCTTGGCGTCACCCAGACACGCACTCATCGTTAAAGAAGTCTGTTACTTGCTGTCGGTATCCGAAGCTCGGTATTGATTTATTTATACCAACTTTGTCTCTTATGTTTACAGGCAGAACACTTCGTCCAACATTCTGACAAGGAAGAAAAATTAGCACGCTGTTATTCGAAGTGGACTTTGATTGAAAAAAAAATGTGACCCCGCAATACATCGGTTCTTTTTCCGTTGGTAATTTTTTGTATTTGTTAGTGCCTTTGAGACGGTTATCCTCCGCCTTTGGTGGTATTGTGCTTCACTTTTGCCTGGCTTTATTGCACCAAAAGTCACCGTCCAATCTGTGATTGGAAAAGGTTGGCTGACAGTTAATAACTCCGCTTTATTTAGTGCAAAAGAGTTTGGATGATTTGATGTTGGAGTATAAATTGTTTCAACTCAGCAGATGAAAAAATTGCGTCATTTCTCTGGCTGAAAAAAAAAACATTTTTTGAGGAATGTCGGTTCCAACAAAAGGTTGCACAAAAAAAAAAGAAGGCACGCAGTGCACAGACACATGAAACAGGGGCAACTATTGAAGCAAGGGTTATCACGGTTTCTACCCGTTGAAAGAAGTATCACAACGTGAGATGTCGATGGTGTTTTTGTTATTTCTGGCAAAATGACGCACATGAACGCATAATTTCTCTTTCCTCGGTTTTGATTCGTCTTCCTTTATGATGAAATTGCTTCACCCAATCACAAGGGATCATTTTGCGGCAACAGGATCCTGACATCCGACACTGATCCCCCCCCCCCACTAAATTTTCGTTACAAGTCCAAAAAAAAAATTTAAGCTCGTGTGGAGAAACTGGGTTTCGGTGTGACGAAAGTGAAAAAATGGAAGGAAGCGCTCTGAAGTCTAACATATGACTTTTTTCTCACTGTTATGTTCCAATGCGCTGTGTTTTCAGGAACATGGCATTATTCCAACCTTTGATGGTGGAATTTTGGTATAATATTACTGTTCGTACCTGTGCGTATCCAATTCACTTTAACAACTGAATCAACTGGCAAGGCCACCCCACATAACATTATTTTGAGATACCATAGTCCCAAAAAAGGTTGGACTTAAGGGAGACAAAACGTTGCTTTAATGAACGTAATACCTAGATTATTTTTCCCCGTTCTTCTTGAAAAAAATCTGCTGCCACATTCTTTAGACATACAGAAAGCAGTTCTTCTGATGACATGTCCTCTATGCGACACACACTCACGCATGATATCAATACGTTTAAATGTAATCAGAAGCAAGCTTGTGAGGCTATCGATGAGAAAATCGAACCACACGATAAATAATTAAATGTTTTTATGCAAATACCTCTGAGAAAAGATTTGGTTTCTCAAAAGGTATTATTGAACTGAAAGCATTTCGGGTTTTTAATGCCCCAAGTACTTTTTAATGCATGGAATCGGGCTTGCCTGAGGCAGACACGTTTCAAAAATGAGCAGATGAACTTTTCGGAACTTGTACAGCTTAGGCCTCGCTTTTTCCATGTTCGTGAAAGATATATAGCTTGAGGCGCATTTAAGCACTTATACCTTTGCTATCTCCATGACACAGCATTTGATTACACGGTAGTACTAGTACACCTTATTCTGCAAAACTTAACTAGGATATAACTATCTTCTCTGGATTATGGATTATGGAACTGGAAGTGCAAAGGGGGAAGCCAAAATTGAGATCTATCTCATCCGGATATCTGATTTGAAGCGTCACAAGCGTGATACACACACCGAAACTCCGCACTAAGAACAACGAGGTGCAGATCTCTTACAAGGGTATTCACGATTTGGGCGTTGTAAGCTTCCTCTCAGGGTTTTATGCGGCCCGCTATCTGAATCAAGCCTTCTCGATTAGATTTTATCATACACATGCACCAAAACTTCTGCAAAATGAGAAGAGATGAGGTGCATTTACAAATGGATTTATTTGAATGCCAGTGGAGCAAAAGCTTTGATATACATTCAAATGTATGGAACCCAATACAGAAAGGACACTGCCGTATCTATATTTAGTGTAGAAAGGTATTTTTATGGCTTACTCAAAGCATGTTGTTTTGTCGACACCTGCATTTTCGATATGGACAATGTCAGCAGATGTCTTTGGTCGCGAATAAAAAGCGTCGTCATATATAATAACGACGAATAGAATTTCTCCAAAACAAACGTTTACCGTAGGAAAATATGTCACGTTCAAACACTAATCCGCAGATATATACAGTCGTTGCCCGCTACAAGGCCGATTTTCTTCAATTTTCATGGAAAAAGAAAGCGAGGATTGAAGAATCCGAAGTCAAATCCGCCGTGCTTGAGAGCGGATCAGCCATGAGGATTGCAATGGACCGAAATTAACAGGCGATCCCTGTAGTAACCATTTTTTAGACTGAAATTGAAGTCATACTAACTATGTGTTGGGTCGCAAAGACAGTTGAAGTTGAGCATGAATATCACTTTGCGACGACATAGGATATTATAAGCTATTTTTATGTGTCGGTTCTAACATATTCCGGCTGGTGTCATATCGACTTGTAGTATGCTAAGATCTTTCTGATCAATGTGGTGATATCATTAGTACTTCCCGGCTTTCATTCGGACAATAAGTTGCTAAGAAACAATGACTCGCCATTCTTTCAAAGTTCTGGCAGTTTTATCGATAGAGCCATCGCTCGCTCAGCTACACTGTGCCATTCGTGGATCATTAGCAGTCATTTTGAATAGAACTGCTGCTCTAAACGGTGCTATTTTACCGGTGTTAATAAAAAATGTAATGACTCTTCACCTGTCATTTGCGGTCCACATAAATAAATATCTGTGAGACAAGCAAACTTTGGCACCCTAAAAGAGAGTTCAGAAAGAACAGGAAAACCAATCAAGCCCTTATAAGAATCAGAGCACTCAGTCGTCCTTTTTTAAAAAATAATGGATGTTTGTACGGTCGAAGCTGTGAAAAATAAGTGACAGGACTAAAGATATTATTCTTATATATTACGTGTGCAACCGTATCATTGCATTCAAGCAGTATACAGTAACTAAAGCTGAGCAATTTGGAACAGCCAAAGATGCTGGTGTGTCCTTGACGATTACTCCCCACTTGTTAGTCTTTGTAGTAATATACGCATTTTCAGTAGTGGCTCGATGAAAGTGATTTTCTTTTGGCGATGACTGTTCGCTCATTCGGGTTAACTTCATCCTAATGCTCTCGGTCGATGCCAAAAACAGGGTTTCACTTCGAAAGTCGAAATTTTAGTCATCATTGACGCTGATATGACCGGTTTGCGTAATGTTAATAGTATGTTGCAAAGCTTTGGTCCTCGGAGAGGCGATTCAATGCGGTGGAGGTCTTACGAATACCTATTGCACAACAACTAACGTGTTCACCGGGATAACAGGAGCATGAACATGCGAAATACAGTATTATATGCGTTTTATTGAGGATTGTACTTGAAAACCGATGAAGACTTATGCCAAAATGTTCAAATATCAGGAGATGTTCATCTATACGATTATTTTTACTCTTAAAATTAATTATAATGTCGGATCTGTTAGTGAAGATGGGACACAAGTGATTAGCGACATAGATCTTTACTGTAGTGCGATCCTCTTTTTTTTTTCCTAGAGCAAGCCGTCATGCAATCCGCATACTAGTTAGATCTATCATAAGAAGAATACTCATCATATGGTTACTCTGTATCCTTGAATGAATTCTGAAATTGTAAGGTACAAATGTGGATGAGCTTTAAATGAATTTATGTCGAGGCATGATATGCAAATTATAAGACATTGAACAGAGTGTATGCATAAAATACGATCTATCAAAAAAGGTATCTTTATGGAAAATCCATATCAGCGGGTTATTTTCCATACGATTAACGGTACTGACAAAATCACATCATGTATGCGCTTGTGTTTCTTTTTTTTTTGTCTATTGCCACAATCAGTTTAAAGAAGAGGATAGCTTTAAGGTGAACACAAATGAAGATGATTATCAGCTGATAGGTTTAAGGACAGTTTTAGTTAACGAAGAGACTTGATCAGACTGGCCACTTTTAAAACAACCTACTACTGTATGTATACCCAACGTTGAAGTTCACAATTGCCCAAGTCATATATGCTATTATGACAGTAACTCCTAGAAAACTCCGTAAAGGAGTAAGAATACAGTTCGTATGCTGCATTGAATAACCGTTCTTGCTGATCGTTAATCTCGAATTAACGCGTTGCCCTTCCTTTCCTTTTTCATTGTCATTTACGAAATATCGACTTCATCGGAAGTCAATGATATCTAGCACGATAAAACTATCTTTGTTTCTGTGAGACTACCATCATTTTACTCTCACGGTTTCGCAAAGCTGACGATTTTACACTGGCTGAAATTTTGTAAAGTAAAGGTACAGTATTGTTTAAAGGCTCTCCAAGGATCTGGCGCCCCTGAGAATTTCCGTGCTATACTTCATCATAAATTCATAAGCTAACCGAAAACGGATCAGAGAATATAGGTATTAAGCAGTATATTAAGACGCCTAGGTGTTTTATTACAACCGTTTTGCCATTTGCTCGTCGACAAGCCAAGTCACTTGTAATTCAATCAGTCTTCAGCCCTCTTTTTGTTGGTGGAGTGGGAGGCTTTTGAGAATGTACAGCATGCACTCTGTCAAAACATGTAAAAGCACGACAGCCGTGCAATGCAGAATAATTTACATGTCATGTTAGGTGAGACTACTGGGAAAGCTGATGCTTCAGTGCCCTGCTTTGAGGGCAGATGCTTATGAGAATTGGCCCGAAATATGTATAACCCCAGGTTTTTTGAAGAAACATTGGAAAATAGCGGAGTTAATGTGTATGGGTTAGGAACCGATGTGGTATGCTTGAGAAAGTGGATAGAGTCATGGATGGTGGCAAACCAGTCAGCCGTAGTTTTATGGTCTGACTTAAAGCACATGGTAGTATTTTTCCATGGAACATTTTTCGTTGTTATCCGGCTGATGATGAATTTTTGTACTTCCAGTCGGGAAAGATATGATGGCCTGCTATACTTCCCATTATTGAGTATAAATAAGCGTGTAACCTTGTGAGAAAATCTATTTTTTTTTTCGGGCACTCGGGATGTCATGATGTATCGTCCTTTACTTCAAGTTAAGCAACACGAAGTATGGCTCTGACAGTGCTTACTGTCCTATTTCAAATAACAGATGAATAGTGACGAATGGGTAGAAGCAAGGCGACGGCATGTTTGCGAAACATATTAAAATTTTCCGCTTCATAGTGATCGAGCCATCATTTGATGTGCTACGTTGGCTATTTTCGATCATCTGTTTTGTGAAAAATTCAATCCCGCCTTCACCACCCGAACCTGATGTTTGTGTTCTTTATCCGTGCTTTTGTCGTTATTTCAATTAGAAGCAGTTGCCATTCACTATTGATCACTGGTGGACGATATGCGTAGTGAAGTGTCATTGACTAAGCGTTCCCCTTCGGCTGTTGTATAAAAAAAGGGATTTACTGTATACAGGAAAATAATAAAGAGGAAAATAAAGAGGTATATTAATGCGGGCTGCTCCAAGCGTGGAAAGCAAGTGTAACTATTTGTTTGTATTTGGGTCCCTGTTATTTTGGGTTATTTTTCAGCACATTGATGCAAATCAGTTCAATAAGGCAAGATAGTTCAAAATGTTGCCTGCATCATTGTATATGAAGCGTGTCTATCATTGGAAATGGTGCAATCAAAAGCGAAAAACCTACTAGCTACAGGAATTTCCTCCGAGTATTCATCTTCTCACTCTCGCCTTGTTCTCAAAAAAATAAAACCTCACGGAAAATGGGTTGTGTACCATTAATGTTAGCATGAATGCCCGATTGTTTTTTTTCTGTACTCTGTGACACCTGGGATTGACATTTGTGAAATACATAAAAAAACGCTGTTGAGGTGTAGAAAAGAACAGCGTCGTCACATTGTTTTTTTCCCCCAAGATGAAAAACGGCCGATTTGCAGTCTGCATACAGTGTGGCTGTTGGATGCGTTGGAGCATATAGGATATGGTATTTCCTGGAAAGTCTAGAAGTTTGCTGATATCTTTGCTTTAAATAAAACAGAGCAAGCTTTTTTCGTAAAAAATAAAATATAGAAGGAAGAGTTGAGTGGTACATAGCAAAGGAAAACTTACATCTGTATCTTGATAATGGGGGATTGGTCTGCATAGCAAAGTTCAGCCCACTGAATTCCATGCAGTCAGCCATGCACAATTCCCGAGGTGGGCTGCATCGACTTCCTCATAGTTTTTCTTGTATAATACAGTGCAACACAGTACATGCATTCAGTTTACGGCCAAAAATTTTGATAAAAGCCCCAACGAAAGTAAAGTTCCCAAATTAGGATATGAAGAAAAGTTTACCCATCATCGGAAAACGTACCGAGATGATAGGAAAAATGAGAAATGGTAACGCAAAAAGTATTTTTTTTTCTCATTCCATTTAAACATCAATGCCAATGTACCCAATTTTAAGGCGAAAAAAGAAGAAATAATGCGACAGGGATGATCTTTCCATGCATTATCATCAACATAACACTGCAAATGCATGAACTGACGGTTAAAAAAAAGAAACCTATTCAAAATTAACAAAAGGTAAGCAAGATAAGGTGATCTTATGAGTCTTGGTATAGCTGAAATTCAAAATAATCTTGAATGATGACCTTTTTGGACCGCAACTCCATGGGATAAAGGGGAGCGGATCTACTTAATTAAGGTTTTTTGGCAGAATGATGTTATGCACCAAAAAGCAAGCCCCTCTCTCTTTAGCTGTCCAAAAAGAACAGGAGGGGGAGAAAAAAGAAAATGCATAAAGCGATCGCTTTTGCCAAAAGAAAGGTAAAGCCTTTTTTTTATATTTCCTAATCTTTCCATTTCCTTTCTGTAACGCAACGTTGGTCTGCTATTTTTTTTTTTTTTTTTTTTTTTTTCGAAACCATACAAATAGCGGGCATTGACGGGTGATCAACGTTCTGGAGTCTGTTCCTCCTTGACTCGAATAGTTTAAGCTGTTGTCCTCAAAGTCTAACCACTACGAATCCGTGTTGCTGGCCAGCATGGCTCCTCGCCTACTAGCCTTCCTTGCCCATGTAAGATGGAAGCCCATTGCCCTTTGAATGATGTGGCATGATGTTCATCATTTTTTTTTCTTTTTCTTTTTTTATCCGCCAGACCCGTATTCTAGTTTCCACATGCACTTTCTTAACCCTGGGCTACGTTCGTTCATTTCACGTAGCTTATTTCACTATTGGAGCCGTGTTCACGGCTGTGTTAGCAAAAATTCTAAAGCATATTGTACGGCAACCCAGACCGCAGGGTAGCAACAAACGCAGCAAGAAAAGCTGGTCGTCTGCCTACGGTATGCCGTCATCCCATAGTCAAGCTATTGCCTTTTTCACCGTCTACATCCATCTTCTTATTACCACATCTACCGCTTTCACCTATCCTGTCGTGACTTGGCTGTGCTTGGGCTGTGCCCATACCTTTGCCTTCGCCGTCATTTGGTCCCGAGTTCGGTTACGCCACCATACGCCGGCCCAGGTACTTGTAGGCACCCTTCTAGGTATATCCATGGCTTACATCTGGTTCACCCTGTGGGACACCAAGATCTCTCGATATCAAGCCCTCATAGGGGACGACGTGTTCATTTATGCATTAAACACGATACGTCAAATATACCATGAGCAATAGAATCCAAATAAAACCTAATACATCTTATTTATTTTTCCTCTCTCGCCTTCAAACCGTCATATTTTTCGCTTGTCTTGACTTTCTATTACGTGTTGCTTTATTCCCCTGTGGATTTAATCCTGTTGCATGGGTGGGAAACAGGATTTCAAAGGAGAAAAAACAAATTGGATTAATTGGAAAAACCGTCACTTTAGATCCTATAAAATTCGGGCGCGCAGTATGAACTGAAATCTCCCTGTTTCCTTCATCCATAACCAAAGAGTAAGTATTCATGTATGCTTGCATCCATCCATCCATCCACCCTATCAACCTCATCCATCTATCCATCCATACCCATATCTTTATCAACAGATCCATTAAATTATTGACGTGCATCTAAACCTTTTTTTTTCTCGTTTTAGTGAGAGATAAGTGGAAGAAAAAGCGCCAGAGACGTCTCAAGGCCAAGAGAAGAAAGATGAGAGCCAGATCCAAATAAGCTCATCGCACCCTTTCTCCAACCGTTTGATATTCATGTATTCCGTTCGATCATCTATCTGTCGTTCCCATCAATGGATCTTGTGAAAATTGGAGTCCATCAACTGTTTGGAGTGTGCATACATCTGTATTCAATGTATAAATTTTCTCAAAATAAAACAAATAGTCATCAACGGATCCATCTTGGATTTTGAACCAATAATCATGAAGCCAACTTGTTTTTGATAAACTTTTTTTATTGAGTTCCTAAAAACCGGCAGTTCAAGGTCAAAGGAAAACAGAATAGGGGATGGGGGGATTTTCAATGGGGGAAGGAAGGGGGGAATTGAGAGAAAAGGCAAAGAGAGAATAACACTTTCATTTGCAGACGAATGGAAAAAGGGGAAGGGAGATGATAAGAAGCAAAAAGAAAAAAAAAATACAACATGTAGTATGATTACAATAAGAAAGGGGAAATAAGAAAAGAGGAAGATAGACAACCCAAAAGTTTGATTCATGTGTAGTACCGTATTCAACAATCAATATATAGGATGAGAAAAGAGAAAAGACAAATGAAAGATAAGAAAAGAGACCATAACCCAGACGAAATCACCAGTCAACGACAAACCGGATATTCACAGCAACCTCGTTTCTTTTCTTTACTGGCATGCACGTTTGATCATCTAGAAAAAGAAAGAAAGACAAACACGCGTTCAAAGTTAATCCACCTGTTCCTCCATTGGCACCATAAGCAAGTGTCCTGTTTTCTTTACCTCTTTTGCCCATCGTGATGTCTCCTTGGTACTTGTGCCGAAATGTCGGCTCACGCGTACTTCACGCAAGAAAACAGGGATCCACTCTTCCTGCAAGAATTGCTTGATTTGGCTACCAAAGGCCTCAGCGAGATCTCTACACACAATGCTCAATGAGTCACCTTATCTTGCAAGCCAACCAAATTGGCAAGTCAAACTCCTATTCACAGCACATGGACTTACCCTAGTAGACCAACAACAGCCCGAGTCAAACTGTCCGAGCGATGAGGATCGATGGCAATGGATTTCAGGAAGCTGAAAATATACGGGATATATTGCAACAGTAAAGAGACTATTTACGGAGAGAATAAGTATCAAAAAATCGTCACGAATTCGGGTCATGGTTGTAAATTCACTTACTCTTTGCGCTGCCGTTGAATCCTTGGACAATACCGACATAGGCTTCCACATTGCCTTCATGCAATGTATTAACATAATCGATCATATCGTAGTTATCGGTGTCTGCTCGCATGCTGCCAGCTTGTTGAAGCACCAACATGACCACTTCCAAATAAGGTTCAAAGTCATCACCAATGGCAAGCGCGATATCGCCAAAGCAGGACAAGATGGAAGGCTTCACCGTGCGGTGCAATACCGGACTCTGCAAATTAGCCACCAACAGTTGCATGACATTGTTGCAGTAAACAGTAGCGCCTTTGCCTAAAGCACGGCAGATGTCGCCGATGATGCCAACAGCAATAAGGCACAGTTGATATTCTGCGGGGTTTTGTAAGGCTTGATAGAGAATAGGCATGAATGGTTCCACATAACGGTTAAAATCGGCTTCGAGCGAAGCAGTCAGCGCACCGACAGCCAAGAACGCATCTTCGGTAATAGTCGATTGCTTGTTGCCGCTGTTCAAAAGCTGAAGAATGACCGTCATGATACGGTCAGACACACCGGCAATTTCTCGGGACACGCGACGGATGCAGTTCTAAACATATAGCCACGTTAGTTGATGAGATACTAAAGTCACGGAACAACGGGTGTTGTCACTTACAGTAAGAACACCCAATAAGCTGGATTGCAATTCCGCATGATCCATTCGTTCGTCCGTACCGACAATTTGATTCTATACCAAATGGACAATGAAGCAAAAAAAAAAAAAAACCATTGTCAATAACCACAATTTTTCATAATCTGATTCCCTTTTCATCAACAAAACGCGTCTTACCTCCATTGTCACACTGGCTTCCAAACGATCCAACATCATGATCACAACATTTTGCACAATAGGCAAACAATCCTACCAAGGCCCAATATCACAAGTCAGTAACCGCGGTCCATTGATCAACATGATCACATAGAATAAAATAAAATAAAAAACCAGTACTCACGTCAGCAGCGAACATCATCAATGTAGCGATGGCTTCGTAGGCAGAGGTTCGACTGTTGGCTTCATTGTCGGATCGTTCAGTGAATTGCATCAAGGCGGTGATGATGCCTTCATAGTAGATGGAGAGAGGGCAGCTGACAGTCTCGGAACCAAGAGTTGAACCCCATTGTTCAGCCAAGTTCATCAAGGTCTATTAAAACAACCCCGTTTTTTTGTTAGCACATGAAAACGGAATAAAGCGCAAATAAAGCCATTCGTGACACTTACCCAGCAGCAATTACCGACAATACGCGGATTATCTTGAAGACCAAGGACAAGAGCGGAAACCATGTCGTGGAGGTGGACATCAGGTTTGATACAATGAATCAATAACTCGGAGACACGACCCAAGGTCCAAGCGACCGTATCTTTGACATTAACAATCGGGTCTTTCATCATGTTGATGAGCGTAGGTAAAGCCTATTGCAAAGCCAAGGCCGTAAGACATCCGCCCAATGATCATTGACTGTTGACGAAAAATACATACCTGATCAACAAGAGGTGTGACAACGTGGGGTTCAGGACCATCCAAGATGGAACCGAAAGCCATAACCGCCGCTTCACGGTATCGCCAATCATTGTTCTGAATATTGGTTTCGACAAACGGAACAATCGGGGGAATGATAATGTTACCAACGCACTGAGCCAATAAGGACAAGCAAGTAGCCGCCGCCATGGAAGTATTCCACTCATCCTCATCCTCGTCTTCTTCTTGCTTGGTAAGAAGCCACAGCAGCACGGGAAGAATCTCGGGTAAGGCAGCTTCAGCAAACTGGTGATATGCATGTTCCGCAGGTTCGCCAGTCAATGATGCCTAGAATGGGTATTTATAATAAAATTAAATCAGTGCACTCAATTAAAAAGGCTGACGCTATCTAACCAGTGAGAACTTACCTCTTCCAATTCTCGCTTCAATTCCATTTCTTCATCACACACGGTCGACCAGAATTCGATGGCTTGCAAAGCCACATTTTGTTCCGGGTGGTTCATACCGGCAACAGTGATCTGTTCAGAACAGTGACCAATGATTAAAAAAAAAGGAATAATATACTTCGCGAATGAACTCCTACTTACACCGTACAACGCTTTCTCCATGTAATAACGCATCTTGTCGTAATACAGCTGCATAATTCTAGCCAAACATTCAAAGGCGGCAGCTTGGGTTTCGGTGTTATCGCTTTGGGTAGCTTCACAGACCATTTGCATGATATAGTTTCTTTCACCCTATGTACCTTATCAGTAAATATCATGTTTCGGTTCTCCAAGTTTTATTCCATGCTTTACCTCGCGCTCAAAGTTGTCTTTGACAAATTCCAAGGAGTTGTATAATGCTTTGATGGCAGCCAATCTGACTTCAGGACTGTGAACAAGATTTTGGCACGAGTGAGTTTCCTGGTTTCTTTGAGTTTTTATTCACCCTTTTCGTGACTTACGTATTTTTAGGCTGAGCACCTTGGATGACCGACATTAAAATTTGATGAGATTGACCGGTCAAAACTTCGGGCTCCTGTGAGATAGGTTCATATGAATATATGGTTTGCAATTGTAGGAGAACACAGGGACTGTAGCACTTACCGTGACTTCACAGACGTAACCAAGAGCTTGGAGGGTTGATTGTTGCAAATTGGGATTATCGGTTGCGCTGATTTTTTCCAACATCACATTGATCAAGTCCGGCCATTGTCCTGCAGGCAACTCAATTTCCGCAATGGCAGCGACGACCTAAGGCGAGAAAGATGAGAAGAGAAACAACCGCCAAAGTTAGCGTCAATAAACGTTTATCAAGATGGACCAAAAATAAAGTTACCTGACTCGCAATATTGCCGACGGGTTTTCTTGGGGTAGCCAATGAGATCAATACCTGTGATCGAAAAAGTTCATCAGTTGCTGTTTAAAAGAAGAAGAGCAAGCAAAGGACAACGAAAGGCTTACTCCTTGTTTGATTTGACCTCGAACGTTGGCATCCAAAGCAAGCCATCGTTGCATTTGTTCAGCCTTACGAGCATATTCCTAAAAATTTTAAAAAAAGTTGAATCAGTTTCATTATTCTCATTTAGGATGACAAAGGAGAACAAAGTGGAAATAGACTGCGGTTGCGCGTTCTATTTCCATTGGTTTCCTCTTTTTTCCATTTCTTCTTCCCCTCTTTTCTTTGCTTATTTTACCTTGGCTGTCAAACTATTCTTCAAAGCGAGACCGGCAGACATGCGAATCTCGTCGCCAGCCTGTTCATTGGCAAGTTGTTGACATAATAAAAGCGCGTAGTTTGCCTAAATGAAGATTCAAAAATATAGAACAGTGAGCATGATTCACTTTGGATCGCCCATTCTATTATAAACATGGATGCTTTTTTTCGTTTACGTACGTAATTCTCTTGTGCCAGTAATTCCAATTTCTGGGTGGCATCCTCACGCAAGTTGCGATCTGAAAGGAGGTTGAAAGTAAGTAAGTAATAGAGTCATGAAGAATTGCAAGCTTGGGGGTTCAGAGGGACGTACCGGGCGAGAGGGAGTTGGTAAGAAGAACAGCTATATCCATGAGACGTCAAGTGTATGATCTCGGTAAACAAACGGTCTAATGAGAGAGAGAAACAAAAAATTCACTTGGTCAACCGACGCGTACGAAGAGCGGAAAAAGAATAATAAAATGACGCAGCAGCAGCCACTCAAAAATGAAAAATTTACCCAAAAATCAAAGAAAAAAAGCGCAGGAGTTGAAAGGAAAAAAAAAAAAGAAACAAGCGCGCAGTGATTTGTTGTTTTTATGCGGTTCCCCAGAGCCACCACGAAAAAAAAAAAAAAAAAAAAGGTCGCCCAATGTGTGGGTAAGATGAGTTTGCACATAATGAGACTGTCATTTTACCTTGTGACATCAGTTTACAATTGAAACCCAGACCCTGGTGGATGAGCTTTGCTCATGTTGAAAATGCACAAAAAAAGCAGTGGGCGGTTGATTTATTGACAGCGAAGATGTTACATGTCTGCAGTACAGATCGACGCAATCTGGAAAAACACTTACAAATAATCTATTTAAAAAGAGCTTGTAGTTGGTGAATTGGTTTCTTTCACTTGTGGCGTCGTGACCAACATATATTTCCGGAAGAATTGGCGGTTTGATGTGCATCAAAATAAAAGTGATGATAGGCCAACTGCAGTATAACCGGGTGCCTTGGGGACCCCGGGGGGGGAAGGGCAGGCACAAACAAGATGCGTTGCTGAAAGTGGCGATTGCGACATTATGTGTTTGCCTGCTAGCAGAGAACAGTTGTGGTCTGTAAACCACGGTTTCCTGTATTTTGCTGTGAAGCGGTACTTTGTAAGGTGGCTATCAACTGTGGTATGCTATCAGCATCGAGGATGTCGAAGCAAAACAGTAAATACTCGAGTAGACGAGTGAGCATTTCTAACTTCACTCCTTCCATTTCTTCTGGATTCCCTTTGATGCTTTGCGCAATCGCCCGAAAATCACAATTCTCATCGGCGGCAGAATTGGAAAACTGAAACTATTGCCATGCGAGGTATCATTGGATCAACAACATCAAAGTTGGCGACGGCTGTTAGAGGATGTTGCGGAACTGCACTGTCAATAGAGAACTTGGGAAGACGTGACCCAAGTTCCTTCGTATCACTTTATTTCATGACCGACTTTTGTAGTTTCAATTTGTAGATATGGCAAATACTGTTTTCTTTGGTCACATCAAAGAATATATAGGAGAAAAAGAATATGAAGCGGGATTGTTGCCGATCTACCCGAGTACCTGACTGGTTCCACCGTATGAAGCAAGTTGTGAATAAAAGATGCACGATTATGGACGTCGGAGAGCTTCTGGTCGCGAGCAGCTGTTACGTAGGTCTCTAATATACGGCTGGTATTGACATTACAGTTCCAAAGCTATGGAAAAAAGTTTAGTTGAAAACTGTGTGAATGAAGGCAGGTTATAATGTTCACTTACAAGTGTTCTCGGTTCGTGTTGCCCTGACTCGCATTGAGGGCATTGCCGAATGGGATACACATTGGTGCGATAATCGTTCGCCGCTTTAAAAATACCACTTCATCAGTAAGAGTAAAGGCTTGATGTAACAAAATAAAAGCACTCACGAACTTATCGACGATCCTGACATGCGGACGTATGATGACGGACTTGATTATGATGACATGCAGCGTTCGCTTTCTTGCTCGTTTCAAACAGCTCGAGGCACACGATACTTGTAATGTGCGTCGAAGGCAAACAGCCTACCAATAAAATTGATTTCAGTATCATTGGTATGCCAATTTTCTACTATTTTACCTCCGAACGCACACGGCTCAATGCTTGTATGTATGCCTGATATTCCTGCACCGACATCACGGATGGGAGAGGGGGAGAGCCGGTCACTTCATCGTAGATAGGGTGGATTCCTGAGTGCGCTCTCTTTTTCAGTTCCATCTGTGAAGCTTAACAGAATATGGAGGAGACCCTAGCAGGATAATGGTTAATAGATGCCCACGGAAGCATATCCGTCTGCATAACCATACTTACTGGTAATATCCGTTGTTAACAGAAAAAGTATGCTGCCCTCGCAGCTCCATGGTGTTAAGGTCGTTATTGGTATCAACCGCGGTGACCATCGATCGGGTACCTGGATAATATTGCAAGCTGTGCTATTTCTGCAAGAATTTCCGATGCAATAATTACTTGGGTAAATACCAATGAGGCGAGATTACTCCGACCGTTCTGTTGTCAACCCTTGGGGCTCCTTTGACAGGTGAGTGACCCGGTGCTGATTCGCAAGGTTCATCCGTCGAGGCAGTCGTTGAAAGTCTTTTTGAGAGGAAGGCCGTGGACCTACGAGTAGCAGCTTGTGAGCTTGGTTATGCTAAGAAATTTCGACGATTCAACAACGCTCCTTTCAGACTACGAATGTCGCTTTTGAAGCTTTGCACGCTTGGTGGAGCTTCGCAGGACGATGTCCTTACCATAGCCACGGGCAACAAAGCACATTGAGATCATGACCCCGTCGGATTAGAAGCTGCAGTCAAACAAGATCGGCGGTTGATTGCGGATATTCGCAACATCTATCGTATAACAGAACGTTAGGTCGAGTCAATAGATTTACTTAATATAATTTATGGGATTTTTTCCAGGGCACTATACAGGTACGAGAAGATGTACATGTCGTTCAAAGAAAAAGGCACTGATATCAAGGTGATAAATTTGTTGACTTCCCTAATGTCTTTTTCATCTTTCAGTTCATTTTTCTCGAAAAATGAAGATATAATAATAAAATAAATTGCAAGGAAGCAAAAATCATGACTTGGTCCTTTATTGGCGGGGAGTGTGGGAGACCCCATCATTTTCTTTTGGCCTTGTAGACTACCTGTGTAATCCTGGTGGGAAAATTCGCTGTAACGGACGACTTTGTTCACAAAAAGAAGAGACCATCTTCATGAGGATGACTTCTATTTTCAATAAAGTGTATAATACGAGTTGAAAGATAGTTTAACGTACCATCCGCTTCTGTACCAAAGTTATGTGCATTGTGTATCCGACCAGCCGATATATGAACACTTAAATAAAGACATCCCGATCGATCTTAAGCGTACTTATCTGAGACCTACTTCATGCAGCTATTTCATGCGATGGGGCCACCCTCTTTTATCAATGGATAAATATAACATGAAGTGATGAGAACAAGACACTTGGAGCCTTTTTCATGCTTCATTATGGGACAATAAAGGTTTTAGCTACAGTACGAGGGATCGCCTCTTTTTTCATGTCTATAAAATACGACGCATCTCCCATTCATTTTTTTTCTCTTTATCGCCCATCTATTTTCTTTTTTCTTGCGCAAAACCATCCTTCCATCGTGCCATACATTTTTTTATTGCTCATTTTTATTAACATTTGCTCAAACCCAACTTGACTGTACGTATACTCATGATGACCACAACTGTGATATCAAAACGACTGAACCTCTACATACAGCTTGCGCGCTGAAAAGCTTTTTTTTTTTTTTGGTGGTCAACAAAGACTTTTTTTTGGAAGGTAATGTATTTGTGTTCAAATGTCTTACTTTTTGAATGTTATGCCGAGTCACTTATAAATTGTGTGTGCTTCTATAATTTAAAAAACTTGAACAAAGCCCATGCCTTGGCGGTGTGCGGTGGCGGCTCCCGCAATGCGGGGAAAACAGTTTTTTGTAAGTAAAAACAAAAGAAGAGTAAGCGTGGCTTGTCTAATGCATCCATCCCTTTTTTTTATGTCTTTATCCTTTGGATTTCTCTCTTACTATAATAACATGGCCTTGCCTCTTTTAAAAAATTTTACCCAATTAATTGTGCGCGTCTGTTGAACTTCAGTGAGCGTGACTTGAAAATTGGAAAAGTCAACATCATCCACATGTTACCGGTTTTGTATCTTCTTTACCATTGAACTTGCTAAGATTTTCGAAATGTAAATCAGGGAAATAATTCAAAATATAGCATGCATATAAAGCATACAAAGTTTCTTCGGTTCTGCGGGAAGGGTATGACGAACGTTGCATAATCCACGTAGACGCCATGTTACCACGTCAGATTCTGGATAAATGTTCGACAACATCTTTAAAGTATGGTTATTGCTAGTTCTCTGACTTGTTTATGGCATAAACCAAGATTTTTAATATCTTTTTTTTTTATGTGCAAACTGTATGTGCCCTTTAGGCAAATTTCCCATTTTTTCGCATGCCTGGTAAGCTGTGCTTGAAAAGAATTAAAAGTGCGAATTTTTTTTTTGGATTTTGATGACATGCGCTTTGAAAAAAATTTAAAGGCACGCGTTGCGTTCAGGAAAATTTCGTAACAGCGGCAGAGCTCGAAGCGGAACCTGACGCATCATCGAATCAGAGGTTTGCGTTGGATATTTTTTTTCGTTCCCCTTTCGGATTGCAAATTCGCCTGTCCAGCGTTTTGGGATTGGGCAAAAAAAAAAGTTTTTCCGTTTTCTTTTAAAATCGAAATAGGGCCCTTATTTTTCCATTTTTTTTTTCCTTTTTTTTTTTTCTTTTCCTGATTTAATAGTTTTTTTTGTTTCTTCAATGATGATCAGCGAACCTGGGACATTCAGTATGCCTTATACGTTTGCTTCTGGTGCTGATGTTCGAATTCATCCCTTGTCAGCTTCACCGGCGTCGACTGCTTTGTTTAATCCGACCTTGACATCGCAATTGGGGGAAGATGTTACAACGATATTTGTGGTGGGATTCCCCGATGACATGATGGAACGGGAGTTTCAAAACATGTTTACATTCTGTCCTGGATTCGAAGCGGCTTCATTAAAGTGGCACTGCAAAGACCAAGAAGAAGATCCTACCAACAATATGAGCGGCAAAAAACAAATGGTATGATTTTTTTTATTTTGAGGATTATTATCAATTCGTTTTTTTTTTTTCCCTAAAATGCGTTTTCCTGATCGTTTTTTTTTTTAAACAGATCGGATTTGCACGATTTCGTACTCGATTAGAAGCACTCGAAGCGGTCGAAGTGTTGAGCGGGAAAAAAGTGGATCAAGAAAAAGGCGCTGTCCTGAAAGCGGAGATGGCCAAGAAGAATCTTCACATCAAACGAGGTTCAACAATACCCAACGGCATAGCACAGACATCCAATTCCGCCTCGTCATCTACCTCATCTTCTAGCACTACGGCAGCAGCTTTGACGGCGGCCATGCCGGCCACGGACAGCACCGTTTCACCGCTGAGTATCTTGTCAAAGAAAATGCGCCATCCCGGCTTGTACGATTCATTTGCACCACTGCCTAGCGACTTGCTTTCACCTGCGGATTATAAAAACGATCCATTTAATGAACCTGTCACATGTCCCACTCCGACCACCCCCATTTTTAGCGATGCCCTTTTTGGACTGCGGTCGCAATCGTTTGATGCGCGCAATCAGGATGTAGGGATTCTGTCACCTCCACGTGGATTCGGACTCATGCCACCGGCTCGCATGACAAAAGCAATTCAGGAATCCGAAACGGACCCTTACAATTATCTCTCAAAGTCCTCCCCCGTGCAAAATGACCGTGCACTCGGTACTTCCCCCTTATATGGTGATCATAACGATTTTTTGGGTCGCATGGGCTCGTTGTCGATTCATTCCAGCAAACTCCCCGACACTCGATCCACTGCCGCTGCCGCCGGTGCCACCTCTACCACCTCATCGACCAACAACTACCGTCAAACAAATCAAGCCGATCAAAATCCACCTTGCAATACATTGTACGTTGGCAATTTGCCACCCAATACTAGTGAAGAGGAACTACGCCAGGTGTTCTCCAAATGTCGAGGATACAAACGTCTGTGTTTTCGCAATAAACCTCAAGGTCCCATGTGCTTTGTGGAATTCGAGGATCTGGTGTTTGCAACTCAGGCATTGAATGAACTTCAGGGTCGCAGCCTCACTAATTCCATCAAAGGCGGCATTCGATTATCTTTCAGCAAAAATCCTTTGTTTATCAAACCCAACAAGGATGCCCCTACCACCATCACTTCCATCGCCAATACAACGACCAACATGTCTTCCCATCAGAAATCGAATCTCTCTTTGTTGGATGACCGCCGTGCTCTGCTTTTCGAGCCACAGTTGTAATATGGCCCCTTTCCCTTTCATCCCAACCCCCGTTCGTTCTTTTTTTTTTCCTCTCTCTTTCTCTCGCACTTCGATGGTCCGTTTGTCAACGGAAATCATGTCCATTTTTCATCGGCACTATTTTGCATGCATAACTATGTATCTTTGTCCTCCCCCTTCCCCCATTTTTTTTTTTTTGATGCAACATTTCTCATTCCATTTTCGCGAAATTTCCCTATTAATTTCTTTAGATTCCTTATCGCAGGCATTCAACATTTATCAATTTCTACCATATTGTAAACCTTGTTGTTCCAATCATCTTGGGCATCTTTCTTCATTTGCGCATCTTCCATTCCATAGTAAACATTAAACAATAAATTTTTTTTCTGTATGAATCCCAGGAACCAGACTAAACTTTTTCCATTGCCCATGTTAAGTCACAAAAAAAAGTGATTAATAATCCAAATGTGTGTCACCACTGATGGTTAGAATCATAAAATCCGTTGAAAGCATCTTTGGTGGACTTCCGATGAAGGATGGGTTGCTGTGTTGACAAAATCAATAAAACGTCTATGCGAAATCATGCAAATAATTGGGTCCTTCTTTTCTACGGAATGCTTGTTGCCATTTCTAGCAATCAACACATGAGGGAATTTCTGCATATTGCACCCAAATTTTTTATAGTGTTTCATCATTCATCAAGAAATTCATCAGATACTGAAGAGGGTATCTGCAAGAATGTGGAGTTTTCAAAAGCTTGATGACTTTTGAGCTTCTCCAAGCTGTGCAAAATACAGTTGTCTCAATAGCCATGGGTACTCCAAGCCGCAACCCATGCACATTGGGCCGGGTTTGTGCTTGCACTTTAACGTATAATTGGCTGATTTTTTTTTTCAGGACAGATCGAAAGTCTAGAGGTTTTTCGAGTTCGATCGATGTCCTTTCTGCTAGGCATACACTCCTGTGGATGTGTGATCGCTGGGAAGAGTAGAAAGCCATTCACTCATGTGATACATAACCAGTTGATGTAGGTGACTGACCCGTTGACAGTCTATTCCGACCGATTTCCTTTTTTGAGGAATCTTTTTTTTCGGATGCACGATGCTCGACAGCAAGAAACATGCAACGTTGGCTCCTTCGTCATTTGCTTAACGAGTCGTGTCTAGAGGCCAGCTTTCTGTGTGCGACGAACGTGCCCACGGATTTGTGACCAGCACCCGTTCCTATAAGGCCAAAAATACGCACGGGTCGCCTTGCAACTCGTACTCACTCTGTTGACCGACCATATAGCTAATTTTCTCTTGTACAATCCTTGTGTATGCATTTTGTGTAAAAACGAATGACTATTTGCTTTCTGTAGCAGAGGTGCTGTTAAACACCGCCAGATTGCCCTTCGCTGATTGTGTCAACTAAATATACGCAAGTGCGTAAGCAAAGTCTCGACACGGCATTTCTATAATATGTTATCCTGCGGCTTTCACGCACTTTAGCAACTGATAACCCGTTCGATCCGGTTGAGATACCGGTTCATGGAACTACGCAATGCTAGTTTTATTGAAGTGGTAGATTATCGATCACCGTCAAAAAAAAGAAACATAAAAAAGAAGGAGCATCTCATTTCACACATTAATTACCAATCCATGTTCAAACATTTCAGGCGTTTACTCAATGCCTATACGATCTTATTTTTCCGCAGTCGGTTTTGCTTTGAGGTGGAGGATGTGGCGCTTCGGATTGCGAGAGTTTCGCTGATATGATACTTGGAGTATCCGTGTTGAGTACTAAACAGCTCGATTCGTGGAGCCGACTCTGCTCATTTCTGTTACTTATTTTATGGTATGAATCTTCTCATAATAACTCTCCATTACTGCCGAGCTAGCGACAGAGGCAATCAAAGAAGAAGACCCAGGACATATATAGTAAGTCTTTCTGAGTAATTTACTTTGCCAAATCTTATTGATATTGTTGGTAACTTTCGATGCGTGCTGTCTGCTGATGGATGTTGCGGTTATATGCTTCCCGACAGACGCGTACTCCTCGAGGGTGGGAACTTTTCTCAGTTTGGATGGCTCTTTTGTCGCCGAAATACCCCTCGTAAACGTGCTGATATGGTCTGCAGCGAAGAGCGTAGAATCGTTCGTTGTATTTCGAGCTGCGACAGAGCGTTCGTCATGTAGCATATCCAAGTTGCGGATATCTGGAAAAGGGCCGCTGCGAGAACTTGAGAACCTGATTTATCTTCAGAAAAAATAATCCGCTGGTTGTTTACTATGCTTATATTGTTTTTTTTTTCTCATTTACTTGCGGGACAACGAATCATCACATCTTTGATGATAACAAGTAAACTCAATGTATAATTGTACTTTGTCATTGTCGTTTGCCCGAAAACATATTGAGTTCTGCGTGGTTTAAAGAGGAGTCTTGCAGCACTATCAACCTTAGTGAAAGAGAGCATGCTCACAACTTCCTTCTACTACTTGAGATGAAGGACAATGAAACTTCCAGTGCCAGGACTCATGATAAACCGAGCTTTCAACAACGAACTGGCTGGCTGCACGCTAAGTTCCGTGACTGAGCCAAGGCGTTTATTCAAATATTTATAAAGTTGTGAATTCCATTAGACGCACTACTATTTGTTGTGAAAAAACCACGTCGAACGCCTATTATGTCTTACTATGCCTTGGAAACGTCCTCTAGAATGAATGCATGTATGATGACTCTATCTCGAGCGGGATTTACTGTGATATCAGGCGTTTCATTCTTGAACTGCATGTTATTGAGGCTGTCTAAACACTTTGTATACTTTACTCGTTCCGGTAAAAAAGAGACACTATTATCATCGAGATCGTCACAGATGATAGAGAATTGGCGATTTTCTTTGTCATTGTGGTTGTCTTGCCACCCAAATCCAACATACATTGCAATAGGTATTATCCGCCAGCGTCATAGTTCAAACTGGGTTACTTCATACAACACTCTCCAACAAAAATAGGTATAGCCCTACTCAAATCAAGCTTCAGGGCATGGCCTATAGGTGATCCATCAATTTCCGTGTTTTGTTGATGAACAAAATGGCGAATGGTTCAAACTTGACAAACTATTTTCAAAGCATCAAAAAGTTCATTGGCGACATGGAAAATTAGCGCATGTGATTCAATTCCGCCATGTTCCTGTTCTTCTGAGGTATTCAGTGGGAATGGGAAAAGTTGAACGATCGTGATTGCCCAAATTTACTGCGTTCCAGACACCGACATTTGGCTGCATAAGCCCAACATAAGCCATTCTCACATATCCCAGTGGAATATTACCCTGATAATTCTTGAAGAGATCAGCGATTTATTGTTCAGAGCACGCAGAGATTATACATGTAACCTCAAGCAACATTGGAGTTTAGCAGATCGAAATTGCTTTATTTAGGCGAACATTGCCCGTCCATCTCGCCATCGGGGTTCTTGTTTTCTTTTGGTTTGTGTTGAACCGTGTAACGTTACAATTTTAAACGGAGTTTTGTAAAACACATGTTTAATGACTGGGAAGGCAAACAATAAGAGGAAATATGTATTAAGGGAATTAAGCAAGATACAACAATGAAGAAACAATGGACACCAAGGCGGTGATGCCCATGACGTTCAAGGTAACAGTAGAAGCAGATGAAGCATCGCCATTGAGCGAGAATTTTCCGCCTTGGTAGGTGGTGGCCAAGTTGGGACGGGGTTCGCCTTCGTTCATATTGGTACAGTTATCAGCTGAGGTGTGCTTGATGGGTTCGCCCTTCGCCACGTTACGCAGCCAGCGACCAACATAATCCTTTCGGGGAGCAGAAGGGTTCACAGCATGGATCATATCCTCAAGCAAAGCATCGGCCATAGCAATAGGGGTATCGAACCAGTCATAACCACCCGATTGAGTCAAAATACCATCTTCACGGAAAATGGCTTTGTTTTTGGAGAACTTGTACTTGCTCTCGTCGCTGATTTGGTAATTCTTCAACACGTCTTGGAAATTTTGAGCAATGTAAGTTTCATCGATCAGCACATCGACATTGGCCACCGCATTCAAGAATTCCTCCGCAGTCTTATAGGAAGGTTGCGAACCGTTGAGGAACCGACCACCAGCATCCTGGGTCAGACCAGCTTTGTAAGACGCACCGCTAATAATCCAGCTAGCGGTTTGGTTGTTGTACTGGTCAGGTGCGTCATACATGGTCCATGCAACCAAAGGTCGCTGGTCCTCTGGGTAAGCGGCGGCATCCTTGAGCTTGTTATAGTTGTCCGTCATATTCGTCATGATCTTATTCGCCAAACCTTCCAGATTGTAAAAAGCAGCATAGTATGAAATCCATGAAGATCGCTAAATACAGGCACAAAATTAAAATTAATCGTAATTCATAAGTAAACCCGTAATGCATGTGATACGAGTTTCGTGTCCATTCGGTTTCTCTTTTTCCCCTGATTCTCGAAAAACTTACACCAAGGACATCGGGTTCATAGGTTTCAGCGGTGGTGACGGACGTCTCAGCAACAGGATCGTCGGAGAAGGAATCGACACCAAATTGAACATCCACGGTTCGCAATTGCTCGGCTTCCAAGGTCTTGTTCGTCGACGAAAGTTCAGTTACCTTGCCCGTGCTCATGTATTTCTGGAAACAGCTTGAAGCCACAAACGATCCATCGGCGATCAACGTCACGGAATCCGCAACACCGAGCATCTTGAGAGAAGTACCGGCCAAATCAATTCATCCATGCCTAACCATGCATTTAAAGCGAAACACCTTACCTCCAGATAGGGAACAACCGTCGTCTGAAGAATAGCAGCCTTCTTTACAGGCACATTATACACTTCAGTACCGTTGGGAAGATTGTTGGGAACAGGTGTACCACATTGAACAAGCGCATAAACGGCCTTATTACGGTTGTCGTGGATCAATTTGTAATTCTTTTGATATTCCACCGTAAAAAGATCGGCGGTATCGGCATCTATAAGCATAATATCAAATTTGAGAATACTTAGCGCCACGTCTCGCCAATATCTCTGCATGAACACTTACGTGCCGCCAATTTCTCCGGGAAATAGTCAGTGTTCGGGTCATAATTCGATACACACTGTCCGTCGATCAGATTGGTCTGGCCTACAGGTTGTTGCTGAGCAGCAGCAAGAGAGCAAAGTAAAGTCAGGCCAACCAACTGTTGCAGGCGACGACCCATGGTTACAAAAAGGAGAAAGGGGAAAGAAAAAGAAAAAAGAAAGCGCAAGTAAAACAAGAGATGAGAATCAAACTCAGTTGCTCTGAAAAAAAAAAGAGATGAGATAGTGGCTTGTCCCTGATCGTAGGAGGAAAAGGAAAATTCTTTACATGTAAGTTCCAAAAGTTTAAATCCATTTGGTTGCACCAATCCATGCATGAAAGCTCCTTTTAAAAGCGCAGTAACAGGATCCCACAGTGACACCCTTTTATGGCTATTTCGGTTTATTTAACCGATGACAGTGCCTTTATCGTTTTTCCTGCTCCTTTGAATTTTTATTTAGCACTGGTGGGCTTTCCCTGTTTTAATATCTTTTGGTTCCACGATTCCCCATTATCGACCCATTTACCATACCACTAGTATATCTGGCAGTCGTTCAGGGCTGGATTATGCTTGGAAGAATGAAGTATGACAAATGACGTGATAAAGGGAATCTCAATTTCCCAGCCTTTGGGAATCATCACCACTGATGAAAACCTTCATCATGCTTTCGCTCCCTACGGTGATATCCTGTCTGCCAGAGTCGAATGCGACTGTACTACTCTTCACTCGCGCGGTATCAGTTTCGTCACCTACAGAACCGAGGAGACTGCTCCCGCTGCTATTGAAAGCATGGACGAAGCAGAATTAGATGGTTCTCATGTGAAGGTTGCTCGTGCTTATTATGATGACTGTACTGATGAACTCGATGATAAAAAGAGTTTATCGTAGGAAGGTTGAAGTGCGAAGATTGACCGTGCTGACCGTCCTGATAAATTTGGTGGTGACGAAGGTCGTATTATTTATGTCGGCAGCGGCGATTACAGCGACGGCGATAACAGCCGTGGCGACTACTAGGCAACGACTGGGCTCCTACCCCTTTGTTTATTAAGCGTTTTTACTTTTTCCTTTTTTGCTTGTAATGAACTCCAAGTGTTTGTGTGTGCCAGTTTTATTATTTGTTCCTCTTCTTGTATGCCGTGAACGCTTCTTTTGTCGTGTCTAATTTTGATGGGTTCCGAATACGTCGTACTTGTGGCGAAGCCAAAGGTAAACCTTGAACAGTAATACAATTGTTGTCTTCATATTCATGAATAAGGAACATCATTCGATATATTTTATCAAACTAAAAAGTGACCCTTCGGCTCGTTATCAAGTCGTCCTATCGTCTGTGGGAGTCTATCCAGAATAGACGAGCCTTCACATAAGAATAGCACTTTTTCTATTTCCGTTTTTTCATTATATTCATGTTATTTTGCTATTTCTTTCTCTATCATCCTGTTGGGTTCATCCTCAGGAATAAAACAAAGATAAGGTTCTGATATGTGTACAAAAAAACGGCAGATACGCGTCTATGAATGTCAGATGCGGAGTGAAGCACGTTCACCAACAATAAGAAATTCCAGTATCAGTTGAGCCCCGCCCCCCTTGCTCCGCAATGAAAAAAACGGAGGAGCGATTGGCAGATAGATAACTTCACGGCACTTATGGAAGACTCTTCCACCGGTAAAGAATCGTGATGCAGGAATCAGCGGCAGCTTTGTTTGTTTGACATTGCTGCAGTATATAGTGGATAATAGTCAGTTTCACTGTCATGGCAAAAAAAAGATAAATGAAATACTTCGAAGCCATAATAACCTGATATTCATTCACCATGATTCCCTTGCGAATTACTCGATAAGTCGCTTCCCGCCTGATGATGCACGGCATAAGCTGGACAAGGTACTCTCTGCACAGCCGGCCTCGTCCATAAATGATAGTCGATGATGACGAAAGCGCTGTTTTTTCCGCAAATACTACACGCAAACTGGATTGGGCTTGTGCTGCTCTTCTTCTCTTTCACCGTTATTTACACATTTTTTTTTTCTGACCGTCTTCATTGGTAAGAAAGCTCTCTCCAGTGTCAATAAGTCCACAAATGCTTACGTTTTGTATACCCAATCGCCGCACCTCATTCTTTGTCGGTCAATGTTCTGCTTGGCTATACATCCTGTATGGTTTCGTCCCTGGGTGTTCTCCAACACTGTCGTCTTTCATCTTTGATTGCAAGTGGGCTGTACTATTGTCATCATGTTGCACGTTGAGCAAGCTACTCTTTCAGTAGCGCTTTTGAGACCCGGGGACTCCACCCGTTGAAGGTGTAGTGAATATACTCACGTCAGGGCTTGCCTCATGCCGTCTGGAAGGCCCCGAGGATAACAGGTGAACGATCTTCCATTGAAGCTGCGAAAAAGAGAGTCAGCATTGGACTATGTTCTTAGTGGACCGCGCTCTGGTTGCGTTTTACATCGACATTGGTTTCTTCCTGCTTCGGCAAGATGTTGTCTAGGGCGTACCTGTTCCCCCTTTTCCTCGGGTGTTGTTTCTCCTTCATTTTTCTTGTCCATGTCTCTTTCTCTCTCTCTCTCTCTCGGACAACGTAGTCTAATAACTTTGGGTTTATTTTTCTTCTGGCCTTTTTTTTCCCAATTTTCGTCATTACACTGTTAGACTTCGATAATTTCCCCAAAGGCCAGATAATAAAAAGTTATTCTCAGGAAATATCATGACTGACTATTTATTGGTGAGTCCAATGTTGTATTGCTCGCACTTTTGCATGCAAGACGCATCTGAGTGCGACAAAGCTCGAAACGATCAGCAGTAGGCTTCTTGACACATGATTTGGAAGATATCTATGTCACAATTCGGGTGATCAAATATGAAGCGAAAAGCATGAACAAAATTGCTAATCGCGTCACACGAAGAACAAGGTTGGTCTGCTTTGGTAAATTTCCAACTCGGATCGTTGTCTCTAAATAAAGTGGACCGATTCTATCAAATTCGAACCGCCGAAATCACAGAATACGGGAATCGCATCTCTTGTTTCACGAGGACTGCAATTACAGGAGTATAATACAAGATATTGAATTAAAGCTTTTATATTATCAATTATTCTTTCAAGCTCTCCAACATGATACAGCGGGTCCGTAACAGTTCGCTTACAATGTCTATGACAATGGAAATCTGTATCAGAATCATAGTTTGGCGGCAATATTTTATCATGACAGATTCCTTGCACTCTTTACCTTGCACTTTCATCTTTTCAAAACCAGGTATATGCTTACGCAGTTTGATGTATTCACTTTTACACCGTTTGGAAGAGCTAAAGTATTGTTTGATAAGGTGCTCTGCGGGTCTGATGAATGCTCTTTTTTCACATCTTTCATCCATTTTACTTACAGCGTAAAGTTTTCATCTTGAAGCTTGCCAAACGGGATCTCATATTCCTTCTGCCAACCACCCTTCTGAATCCTGTAGTAAAAGATACATCGGATTTGTGTTAATGCCGGGCGTCCTCAATCCAAGCATTATATTTTACCTCTCCAAAAGTCGGATTTGGTCTTCTATAGTAACGGCGCCTCGGCCCGTCACCTGGCCAGCATTATTTTCCTGGTTCTGGATGTATTGCCTATATAGCATATTCATAAAAACAAAAAGCCACGGTTATGAGCCGTAATATTAAGCGAAAAGAAGATTGTATGTAATACCATCGGGCCTTGCATTGCCGTGGATTTCGTTCATTCTGAAATCCCTTTGAAGACACGTACTCCCAGCTGGGTGGTGTACCGTGAAGCGTTTTGTATTCCGTGATCGTCTTCTTCAGTTTCTCGCTTTCTTCGTTTGTCCATTTTCCAGCTACAAATCGTATTTGTTCAATTAATCTGATTTGATTCATACTCTCTGTCGCTACCTGAACGTACTTTTGCCCACTTCTTGATGCTTTATAGTTCGATATCTAGCCTCGCAGGCTGAAGCAGTTCGATTCATTTGATCTTTGATGGTGGTGGCGAATTTTCTTCCATAGGTCTTTACTAATCTAAATAACATAGTTATTATACAGCTTTGATAGATGAATGTACCACTAGTGTTCACTTACTCTAAAAGTTGCTTGTCTTCTTCCGGTGTCCATTGACCTTGATAGTTTTGCCTGTCATAAGCTTGCTTTCCGTGACGAACAATATGGTATAAAGCACGATCAGGGAATTTCTTGGCTAATAACAGCATGAATCAGTATCGCCTATTCATCGGGGCATAACCCTCCCCCAGATCATATCACTCACCAACATCCCACCAAAATTGCTTCTTATTACGGAACGGTTGTGTCAAAATCTCCTCTCGAAAACTTTCTAAAGTCATATTTCGACGCTGCAACACATGTTTGTTAGTTTTTCTTCAAAGCTTCCACGCAACAATGAACACTCAAGAAAAATAAAATTTACCCGTGCTAACTTCTTGATCCGCTTTTCAAGTCGTAACAGTTCTTCTGCATTCCATTTTCCTGTCTTGATAGGCCATGCGTTGGCTTTTGCTTTTTCACGAATCAGCGCTCCATTTTCGATTTTGCGATGCCATTCCAATTCAGGTTCACCCTCAGGTTCGCTTTCAGAATCCGTATCTGACTCGGAATCAGAGAGAAAGAAGTCAGGGTTGACGGTGGGTATATCGGCCTTCACGATACGATTAGCGTACATGATTTTTGGATCAGCATGCACCTTTATCAACGTAGGGTTCAATCGATCCGAATATAAAACACTCGGTTCGGTTCTTTTACGCTTCTTTGGTGGTCGTCTCGCTTCGTTGTTGTCACCGCTTTCACTTTCGCTATCGCTCTCGCTCTCGCCATCGTTTGCACTCCCAGATGGATTTGTTATCCGCGATTTCGCTGTATTGGGCTCCGATGAAGTCTCTTTTTCTTTTCCTCCTACTGTTTCATTCTCGCTGTCACTGTCGAGCATGTAGGATGTCCTTGGCCCCTTGGCTGACGCACGTTGTTTGGTGATGGCCTTGGTTTGAGTATGGACACTGTCTTTTTGCTTTTTGCTCGAGGATGTCACAGTTGAAGGCGGCTGTGTTAAAGACGTCGAACCGTGGCCAGCAAGCTGATCGGTGCTGTCGGCCGCAGTGTTGGTCGCAGTGGTGGTCTCCTTGGCGTGCTTCTTTTGTTTTTCTTTATCATGCGACTTCTTCTTTTTTGATTTCTTTTCATCGTCGTGCGACCTCTTCTTTTTTGACTTCTTTTCATCATCATGCGATCTCTTCTTTTTCAACTTCTTTTCGTCATCCTGCGAGCTTTTCGTTTCTGACTTCTTTTGTGCCTTCTCGGTTTTGTCTTTACTGTGTTTCTTTTTTTTCCGCTTGGGTGCAGATTCCGTGATCACGTCGTGAATCAATTCTCGAGATCGTTTCTTTCCGCTGGAAGTGGACTCTTTATTCTGATCTACGTTGTCGATTATCGATGAACGTGTTTGTTCAGAATGTTTGCTTTCAGCCTGATCGATCCAAAACTAAGAATGAGGAACTAGAATGACAGGTCTATCTCGGGGTTTTGCCTTACAGTGGATAATGCTTTAGATACACCCTTTTCCGTATCGATTGATTTATTTTTGCGTTCTCCTTTTGCATGCTTGGCCTTTTTCTTTTTCGGATCGCTTCCCATGTTGACCCGATTCCTGCAAGTGGCCGAAAACACTCAGTCTGTGACAGATGGTTCAGCCAAACATTGGTTGGTGACGGAGATTGAATGTGACTTGCTTGATTAACGGTGCCTTTTGGTTGCCGAAATCAGGGCTGAACTGTGTGTGCTTGGTCTACGCAGAGCAAAGATATGTTATGCGACTTGTTCAGATGCGCAAAAAATTCCGTGAAATCCAATTATAATTGTAATAAGCATATACGCAATAAGTAATTTTTTTAAACCTCCCGGACCAGTGTGCTGGCGATTGACTGTAAGCACCGTCTCGCAAACGCATCGTGAGAATACGAAATATGACCCCAAAGAGGCCGAAGCTCCTTCCTGCTAAAGGATTTTTGAAAGAATCTCACTTCTATTTTAGACACCTCAAAAATCCTCAATCTCTAAGTTAGTGGTTTGGACGGTGCTTTAGGACAATCAAGGTCTACTTTTCTTTATAGCTTTTTGGAATCTAGTCATGAAAAGAACGCTGTGCAAGTTAGAAATAAATAGAGGTTTACTGGTCTTATTATGGAAACCGCCAGGTTCACTTCCCACTCCCCAAGGCCGTCATGGAAATCGAAATATAATGTTTGAGAATGATGGTTTTGCTGATAAAGAGAAAGAATCGCACAATTTTTTGTTACCTTTATTTGCAGCTTAAAGCTTAGGAAAGGGTGGATAACGGTATGCCATCCTATATATTATAGAGGAATATCATTATTGACATGTGTGATTGAGCTCGATGTCATAGTAGGATTACGACGAAGGAGACAGCAGCTTTCTTTCACCATATTAATGGATTCAATCCTCGGCAAAAAGAGATCACTTTAAAAAACTTGCGAATAATCTTGACAGATGTTCGTACACAATGGAATTTCTAGATGACATTTTAGCCTGAAAAACAATAACCAGAATGTTTCTACGCATTTCCATGGGCGAAATCTCTGTATATTCGCATGGCAATGATGCCTTATTTCAATCTTAGTAAAATACCACATTGTAGTGAAACATGCCACAATGGGGTTACGGTATTCTTAGTTTCCATGAAAAAAGCAGACAGATCACAAGAACCAAAAACTCAACTATGATCCAAGAGTGACTTGACCCTACGGAAAAATGGCACCTGTCATCCCCACGGTTTCGAGCACGCTGCCACTTTGGCACTAAAAGACACGCAAATACTTTATGATTTTCGGATGTCATGTGAGCCTCGGTTCCTTCCAGCTTTATATATCAATAGTTCATTTCTGATTTCATGTCAAATGCCGAAGATCAAGTGGGTAGGACAGATATAAACAGACAACGTCGGAAAGAACAACCAAAACAAGTAAAAAGTCACCAAACAAGAACGTATCTGGTAGAACAGAATTTTCTTTATGAAAACACAGAAAGCTACTTTTTTTTTCTCGATTGAACGATGCCCCGATCCATCCATGTGTTTGAAATTTTAGTCAAACGTTCAAATAACCATAGTCGGAAAAGCACAGATATTGCGCTACAAGGTTTTACATGAATGAGAAAGGTCCAGGCTCTCTGGTGACCTGGGCCAACTGTAAATGATTTATTAAAGTTGCCACACATTGTACAGACATCACTTTTTTTTTTTTTTTTTTTTTTTTCAAAAACGACGGCCTTGTACTTTTACTTTTTACACATAGAATGCGGAAAGGTAGTCTTCCATGCGTATCAGGACAGATTTATTCAATGAGTTGTGCAAGCTCACCTTCCATGTGAACCATCCTTTACCGCTGTGAAGATTATGTAATATGGCAATTGTGATTATCCTTCGACAGGCTGGATCAAAGTTCTGGCCGCCAGGCGTATTTGCCGTTTATGTTGCTTTTTCTTTATTTCATTTTTTCATTTCGTTTGTACATCGTAGGACCGAGAAAAAAAAAGGACGGCAACTGAGATTTAAAACAATTATCTACAAGAAGCGTGTCAAGAACTAAATTGTGTGTCAAACAGATTTCCGTAGCTGAAACACCCCTAAATCAGAGAAAAAACGCTACCGAGTGCATCTAGAACATGCAAAAGAGGATGTTCCAGATTGGCGGTGGCACAAAGTGAACAAAGATCATGTCTATCCCTAATTGTTGGCAGTGCCTGTAATGAAAGATTCTCGAACGTTTTGGTTTCCTGCTAGATTAAGAAAGACAGTCTCAGACATGCCAATTTTTCATTCGGAGGTCCTCCGTTGCTGATCCGCGACCCGCAGTATATTTGGACGGGGCGATAAAAAATACTCCTTCAAATATATCATCATCAGTGAATGGTTTGATCGGCCTACACTACGCGATCCAATAAAATGAAAGTAAAAACATACAATCTACAATCACCACGCTATCGTCAGACGGCGACTGACAAGTGAAAAATTCCGAACGGCGTTCAAACTCAACGAACTGCGCTCCTCATCTCCACCCAATTGATTGGACAACTGGAACAAGCGGAAAGTCAACCATATTCAATTCCCGGCCGCGGTCCTCTCGGCTTGTTCTCGTCAGCAACTAATTGTGTTTCGGGTGTCCTTTGATCATATACGTGAGAATGACACGGTAGTATCTGTAAAATAAACTCTATGGATTGCAAGTTAAAATCGTACGAAGGTTACCATCGTGGTTAAAAAGCATACTCTTCAGTCTGTACGATTTCAAGCTGACTAAATAAAATACTGCGATACTATTGTAGAGCAGATATGTCGCGTCAAGTTAGGCACACTTACTCAGGCCCTGAGGTGAAATGGTTAGGCTCGCTTCATTATGCTGATTTTTCTACGATTAAAAAATGGAGTCCCCTACCTGAATTATGAAGCATACGTTGGCTATTCTTTGTATAATTGTAGACATGGCTCCCGAAACAGAAACAAACGAGGCGAAGTATCGCGCAGTAGCCTGTGTATAATTTTAGGCCTCACGGCTTTTTTGTCATGTTAGATCGATCGTTCTCAATAACGATATCTTTATCGAGCTGTTTTTGTACCATGGCATTCTAATTTTAAATGTGGGCACAAAAACGCAGTATCGCTAATGCGAATTTCTATTTATTCTCTTGTGAAGCCATATAGAAATGTTTGGAATATGGAAGCTTCGTTTAGATTAAATGATAGCACAAGACCAAGCCCGCCGCATAAACATACTCCATCTATTGTCACCAACTAAAAAAAAGGCAAGCCTGTGCCAATGCAGGCATAATTTCATAACATCTGTTGTCAATGTTGTGTCCTGCTATTTTTACTTTCATGAACACGCAAGGAGAGAGCGAGAAAAAAAATTAAGGTCTCACTTGTAGAACGTCAAAACGCTAGGAAAGTTCGTTCGACTTATTTCAGGCACCAATCATAATTCGACATATCCTTCTTCTTTTGTAGGACATATCATTTCTTCTGGCCGTGTCGCGATTTAACACTCTCTTCAGAAAGTAAACTCGCCTTGGCCGAAAATATAATCAACCCAATGGCGAGAATAAATGCATACTGTACGAGACATGAATTCGTTATAATAAAAACCCCAGAGATGCCCAAGGCTTACACTGCAAAATATTCTTGCACAACTGATTTGTAGCAAAGACAAAGATACTTTAATCCTCACCATTGGCTGAATTTGTTTTCAGTCAATGCGAAATTTCTTTCTGAACAGAGCGTTGCAGGCAATGGTACGAAAAAAAAAAATAAGAGCTTCATCAATCTCAGATGGCGAAACTTCAACGGTTTCGCAAATGGAAAGGAAAATAGGCAAACGGCTCCCACTGCGTTTCCCACGTACCAAGCCAAACAAACAGTGATCTGGAATGGAATAGAGATTAATCAATTGCTTTCGCCGACAAAACACTTAGACAACAATAGCTGGTGGTTTCCAGGAGTAGGTACAAGAATACAGTAATGGCGGAATCATTTTATGAAGATAGATCAACACGATACAAGACTCGTCAGAATAGTCAACAATGTCCGAAAAAAAATGGCAATCCTGGTACGTGTCATGAAACGTATGATTTTTTGCTAGATTGTTACTTGCCATTTCTGTCGTAATTCCTTTTTATTTAGTTTGTTTTAATGGATTCTAGATAAAATGGATTGCTTGTGCTGATTAAACTGCGACCATTTTTAATGATGATGCTGATCTTTTTTCATAGGAATCAAAAAGAAAATGAAAATGAGCCGATCTTTTCACTTGGAAGGCCGACGGACAAAAGCTGCCTTCATTACATGCACATATCAATCTCCGAGATGAAAAAGATCGCAATCATGTAATCACTCTTGGCATAAATATAGTGCAGGCAATGGAAAAAAAAACCTCACAGCTCCCCCTATTTCAATTGGTTTAGCGATTCGGAAAGACAACTGGAAATGACAAACCCGTCTGTCTGAAGCGAAAAAAAAATCATCCACCGCTGTATTAAAATAGGCAGTAAGGAGGTGATCTGATTTACTGTAACCAATAATCCTGCTCTTACTATTTGCCTCATTTCCCTTGTATTGAATGTGGATGTTATCTTTTTCTAGTTTATCAACAACGGGAAAATGTATAGTAACGTTATCCATTGGCGGAAGGGTGGAGATTTTGACGCACAAGTTGAGCCGAAAAAAAAAAAAAAAAAATTTCCAGCAGGTGGGAAATTAGAGCCGTGACTGCTTTCATTAAGACGAACAAAGTGAGGGAACCGGGGTCGGATGGTTGCATAACGACGAGAAATTACATCAATTTCCCAAGGCGCGCGTTCACTTAATAATGGAAATGAAATGAATATGATCTGGTTTATTATTATGAAGATTTTTTTTGGGGGGGGGGAAAGGACGATGCAGACGTTTCTTTTTGCTCCATCTTGTGATGGTGTAGTGAATAAGGTTCTTTGGGTTACATTGACCAGCAAAGGTGGCGTGAGCTTTTGATTCATTTCGATGCCACGCCACCCGTTTTAGGTAGTGATGCTAAATTTGGTAAGTATAAGTATGAATGAAAAAAAAACCAAGCCAATGCGGGGGAAGATATTGGGTGCGAGCTTCACGGTTGGTGCAATAATTGTCCAAAAAAGTTTTTTTTCGTTTGTCACTTTTCTCCGCGCGCGCGCGTTTGTGCTTAGCAATGGGGACCTGGGTTGGCTAGGATAACCGAAAAAGGTAAGATTCAATGAAGCGGACAGTTCCGGACTCTCGACTAGTGACCATAGCAATATGAATTCTCAATAGGCAACGCGACGGGTTTCTATGTCTTCTTCATACTTGTCATTGGCCAAACTTTGTACCAGACCCGTTTTTCGTCCCACACTAAGTATGAAAAAAAAATGTAAAATCGGACCACATTTGAGGTCTGGGATGAGAAAAAAAATGAATCTGGCTCTTTTGTACTCCCCCCAAATTATAACAATTTGCCCATTGAATTGACATGATGGCTCGAGCGATAACGTTGCACCAACTTGGTGGCAATGAATAAAAATATAATGTTTTGCGCTTGTTTCTTTGTCTTCTTTCCTCTCTTTCTTATAAAAAGAATTCATCTCTTTTTTTCTTCCTTCTCTTCATTACTGATTCATAACCTCGCTTGGTTATCTGTGTTATTGTTCTCTGCCCTTTTTTTTTGTTTTCTTTTATTAATTTTTCATTTGATCTTTCTACTTTATATATCACAACATCCATGTTTTCTATTTCCAGCATACTGAATCAAGAGCACGATCAAGTGCATGTTCAAACTTCCATGTCTCCCAAACGGCCCGCAGTACTGGATATCTCGAATCTTCTCAATATGGACATTGAGAAGCCTGTGTTGTCACCTTCGTTGACCCCTTCTCCTGCAAGTGCGACATCTTCGTATGCGAGTTACTTTGAGGGACAGCAAGAAGATGGATGGGACCATCTTTTATCAAAGGAACCACGAGGCAGTATTTCTATTGTCAAACAAGATTGCGCGAGTCCAGCACCGAGTTTCTCTACGGTCGAAGAAGATGAAGACGAAGATTCTATGCAAGCTGCGCCTGTCAAAGCCAAGCGTCGACGGGCTAATCCCAAACAACTGGAAGTCCTGAATCGGGTTTTCGAACGAACCTTTTTCCCTTCGACTCAAATGCGAGCACAACTCGGCCGAGAACTTGGCATGAGCCCACGAACAGTTCAGATCTGGTTCCAGAACCGTCGACAAGCCATGCGTACCCGCGAGCGACAACGACTACTTCGTATTCGAGATGAGTCCGCATCGGACTAAGACAAACAAAAAAGACAAGGGGAACAGTGAATACTTGCACATACGCACCCACAAAACACACATACACACGCAAACGCACACGCACACACACTCTGTCTCTTAATTTATCATCGCCGCTTTCCCTCTATGCTACTCCATTTAAAGTGTTCTTTATCCTATCCAGTTGGCAAGTGTACTATTTCTTGGTCTCTGTCTCTTCCCTGTCACCGGTTTGTCGCCTCTACTAAGCACTGGTTGCTTGTTTGTCTACAATTTATTCATCTCTTCATTATTTTATCTCCCTATATTGTATACATGTTACAGTTTTTTTTTTTTTTTTTTTTTTTGTTCGCCATTTTTCTCATTCACACTTCCACTTTTACATACATACAATGCACGTAGTCAGTATTACTTTTTTTTTTCTTACAATCTCGATTCTTCTCTTTCTATTTGTTTTCAATCCACTCACATATTCTCACCATGCACAAATTCATATTGTTATTCCTCAGTCGTACACACTTTGATTTTCAACAAAGAAAAATTTTCTATGTCATTCCTGTTGGTTTTCTATTGTCAATGAATTGTATGGTATTATGGTCCTTCTGTCGTCTGAGGTCCCCCCGAAAAACAAAAAATATTTCAACTCCACCAAAAAAAATCAGCCCACTCGAGCGTTAATAAAAAGGGTCCAGACATGAAATGAAAATTTCATTTTGGTTAATTACCACCGATGATAAGAAAAAAGCTCCGAAAAAGATCCATGGTTGATCAAGTGGAATCACGATATTGCATCCTTTTTCTAATTAAAAGCGACTCGGTGTAACCACATCCCTCAATTTATCGCTTAGCCATGGCTTCGGAATCTTCTCTTCCTTCTCGCGCGACTCGCACAAAGCCTCCTTCCCAAAAGATACCCAGACTTTGGATCAATCGTGCTCATCTCTCTTTTTAAGGTTTTCGATTGATACCTTTTCTTTTTCATCACGGGCATGGACGAATCTTTTTTTTTTTTTTCAGAATTAGATGATTTACACATGAAAACAAATTATATACAAAAATTATCATAATCGATAGAAAAAAAACGAAAAAAGTAATAAAGGAAAGAATCAAGACATAAGGGTTCAAGATGGAAAAGCAATGACAATCAGCGAACGAAAGATCAATAATAAACGATACTAATAATAAGGGAAAAGAGAAGGAATCTAATAATAGGACCCATAACACAGAAGACAGGTGTAGGAATATAATAGAAGAAAGGGATTGGTGCCCACATTTTTGGTACCAACCACTGGATGTTTGGAGATGTGACCATCATCCATATCGGTATTGGTCTTGGGTTCAGGCCTTTTTTTTTAACGTCGTTTGGGAACCGCGGTTTTGGGTTTGTGATAAACATGACACTAACAAATAAGCTTAGCATGGCACACTTTTTTTTTTTTTTTTTGATGAATAGCGTGATATGACAAAGCCTTGATATCATACCTTGTGTGCATGTCGGTACCAGAGAACACTGTTTTTTCTCTTCACATTGCTCACCGAAACCCACTGATGACATTGATGACACAGACCTTCCACCAGATCTTGATCCACCCAACGAGTTTCAATGGGCTGCAGAAACTCTTTGCCGGAAACAGAGGAGATGCCATGATAAAACTGCTTGTGATACCTGTCAATCATCATGCGTTCATGCCAAGTGTAAGTTTTTGGTTTTACCGTTTTAGTTGCTATGGAAATGCATGGATCACAATCGACTTACCAAAATGCGCTATTTTTTAGTTGCAGCCATTTCCCAGGTTTACATGTATCGCATAAACCTTCTTTGGCTTGTCCGTTGTATCGGACCCATTGTGGCGTGTACTGGTCTCCCGCATAACGTAGCTTCTGACGACGAGGTCTTGCTTCTGGGTCCGTACGTGCCGCTTCCACATCGCGCATCGCCATATCCGGGAACTCCGCATCCCCAGGTTGTACCTGAACCGACATATTGTTCAACACTTCCCCTTTGGCCTTTTTTCGTTTCGGTTTCATCGCTGCCGTGCTGGCAATATGATGAGCCGCATGAGTCAAAGCATGTTCTGACGATGCCGATGGCAAGGGCAGTTTTCCGGGATAGTAGTAATGCGGCGGCGGAGGAGGAGGGGCCATGGGATGACTTGAAGAAGAGGAAGAAGAAGGTGGCTGGAGTTGATGGGGATGAGGATGAGGAGGCGGATAAGGATAAGGATAATAAGACACAGCATGATCAGGATGATCTCGTTTCTGACCCAACTCCGAAGTAGAAAAGGGTGGCGGCGGCAGTGGCGGTGGTTGTTGGGCTAGGGGATGAATCATGGTGACAGGATATGGATATTTATTATCCATGGTTGGCATGGGGAAAGGAGCATGGTACATGGCAGCTGGATGCTGTTCAGCATTCATTGGATACACAGGCACCATTCTTAAGGCCGGATCCGTAGGATGAACGGCATAATGAATGCGCGGATCTTGCATACTGTTGTGCCATGCTGTGTGAAACGGTGGCATGCTAACTGCTGACGAGGAGGATGGTTTCTCCTCGGATGCAGTGGATTGAGATCCAGATGGATCATGCAAGAACATGGCACGATCGTGAAACTCGGGAGGCATCTTATCCCAGGTCATATTTACGTCGTAAGAATGCCTTCGCACAGGCTCGGCTCCGGTGGTAGACCCATCATCAGAGGCAGACCATGTATTTTTGCCTTGCGATTGAGATGCGATCGAGATATCATCTTGCCAGGGATTGTGTGATCTGCCTTTTTTTTTTTGTGGAGTGTGGGGGAAGGGGGATTTTCCATGCAAATCATTAAAAATCTTTCATGCGCATAAAACCGAGTGATGACTAATTTTTGAAAAGAAAGATCTACCTTTTTCTAGATGCGATGAAGATGACGAGGAGGAAGATGAAGATGACGGCGGTTTGGATAGCGTCTGTGGTAACCGATTAAAATTGGCCAACAACATGGCGGCCTCGATAGAGTTTCGATGTTGTGAAAGCTGGTAACTAAGTTGTGCTTGGGCTTCTTCGTCCAGTCCAAGCAATCCCAGCACGGCAGGGCTACTTTTTCGTTTATCCTTTCGAGCCAACCATAACGCCGGATGGATAGGCCGGTCATTTTTTATTCCCATCGAGGGTACCGCACCTGAAGATGTGGATGATGACGATGATGAAGGTGAATGAACCCCAGATTCAGGTGCAGACGGTTGCGATATCACCGGTGTGGCCATGGTCTCTGGAGTTAGTTGGGGCGAATTGACCATCTTTGTGGAATCTGGACGGGGCGACATGTCGAAACGATCAACAGCATTTGCATAATGTAACACTTGCGAGCCTTCGGGGTGCTGTTGCATATAACCTTGTATATCCATTGAGTAGTAAGCCACCAAAATAAAAATAAAAAAAAGGAGTTTTTTTTTCCCTTCACAAAAAAACACTGGATCTTTTTAAGTAACAAGAGAGGAAAAAAAAAGGAAAGACGAGAATCAGATGTGGATGTGTACGTTATAAGTACAAAATAATGCTTTGATTCTTTAAAACGGTGGAGTCCAACCAAGAAAAAGGGAAAAATGCAAAAAAAAAAGTTGTGTCGCTTGAAGAAAAAAAAAAGACTAAAAATCTTCGGACAGAGCAGAAACAGTCTCGGACAAACCAGGAACAGTGATTTTCGGACACATACTTACCATCACTTTCCGCACAACACACACACTACCATACTCTTTTTTTATGTTTACCTATCTCTATATATCAATCTCCATGACACCCCAATTATATTCTATACCTCCGGTTTTCGTTTCAATCCGAAATAACGTTTTGCATAATCATCGGTACCATGATATTCTCCTCCCTCTATTTTTCTGGTGATAGTGATGACATTTGCTGTCATTGGCATTGAAACTATGAATAAACAGCAACAGCAACATGCTTTTGCTGGAAGGGACAAAGTGACAGACGGATCATACGAAAAAAAAAGTAAACAAAGGTGTGTCGCAAATTTCTCCACTTATGCATGTTCGGTTGAGATCTGAAGGCCGCCAATAGAATCCCGCCAAGGGATGGCAACCATGCTGAGTAACCAAAATGCCGGCCCATTCAGTCAAAAAGAAAGGTTTAACCATTAAATATGTCATTTCCTTCATTCATTGCTTCCTTTGAATTGCTTGACGTCAATGACTATGATCTGCTTGTCGTGTTGATACTTTGCTTGACCATGTGCCCATTTATTCTATGCTGGATTGAAAATCGATCTCTTCTATTCTAGTTTCACATGCAAAAGGCCAAAGGGAGAACAATCGGGCTAAACAAATCAAACAATGTATATTATACCATCTTTCTAGCGTACATGCCTGTACAAGAATAGCATTTGAAAAAAGCCAGTTTCCCTTCGCAGGAATCCACCATTCCTCCATTCAGGTTGAATCATCTCCGTTCTAAAAAGTACGTCGCCGCTAAATTGACCGCATACTCCGTTCAGCGATACGGTATTTTTCCCATGATCCACATTCAGCTACAAAATATTCTTAGACCAAGCCAACCATGTCATAAACAAAAAAAAATCACGGCGCGGTCGCCGTTTATATGGAGTCGATGTCAGAAATTAAGTGATGACCATTTTTGTTTTTTTTTCATATCTGTCGTGAATTATTCACGCTTTTACGCGAGATTGAGTTGCATGAAAATTCCAAATTTCCATGGACAGACGTTGTTTCGCTGCATAATTGAATGAAGGCACCGCGAAGCCAGGAAGAATCGACACAGAATAATCTCTTGCCAAACTCAGAAATGCGGATTCACCACCACCCTTCATTTTAGCATACAGCGTCATCAATCGGAGTCAAGGAAAATGTCACAACCACCGAATAATTTTTTTTTTTTTTTTTGGCAGGGTCACAGCTTGGACAGTTTGTATTAGTTTCAGCTCAAAGACATATTATTTTCCTATGACCAAGTGCTTTTACAGTAATGTACTATGAGCTGTTGATACGATGGGATGCCTACCTTTTGGATGTTTGACTCGGTGCAAAAGGGAAACAGTAAATTAAACTTAATTTTCCCTTCAATAGGTAGAACAGGTCAACCGAGTTGAATAGCGTAAACACTTAAAACAATGCCGGTAAATATAACCGCTTTCGTCGCACCACAGCAGGGCCACTATTTAGAATGACTTTACTTACCAGCCTGAACATCATTTGCTTTGACTACACTATGCCGGTAAACAAAAGAATGTTATCAACAAGGGAGCTTGGACACGGTACATCAGACAGATCAAGTTTGTTTGCCTCCCATTTGTAGCTTCAAACAGATGTTGCTGAGCTTCAAAGTCGTTTTCCGCCCTTTTTTGCTTGCAATAAGCGCAATTTTCCAGTCGTATCCTTCAGTAAACTGTTTGTTCGACGGTTTCCTGATTCCGTTCCGTCACCAATTTCAGCTGCTCTGGTGCTGTATACTGTATACTGTATCGACAAATAAAGCTACATTTCTACTGTCGGAGCGTAAGAAAATTAGCCAGAGAAATGCTTTTGACCGCTTTGGCATACTCTCTGAAAAATGTGTCTTTTCTCATTTTTGAAATGATTTGAAGGCCTGGAATCAATGACGCGATCCATGACAAAGGTTCTTAAGGTTTCCAGGCACTCCATGACTGCTGGAAATTCATCCAAATTCATTTCAACTGGAAACTGAGGATGAACACGTTCTCTAACTATTGTCCCAAAATTTTCATAAACGTGGGTGCCCGACATGCTGGATTATCGACTGCTCTCCTTTCTTAGCTCGAACGACGCTTCATCGTCCCACAACGTCTTCCTCCAATCTTCGGTTGTCTAGTGGTTATATTTTTCTTTTTCTTCTTCGCCTTTTACGTCGAAATGATAGGACAGACTCTCTTATGCCACGCATAAATACATATTATAGTGACGCAGACCCTCCTCATAATGGCGCTCATGGATATGTGGTGCCATAATCGTTGTCATATCGCGTGTTATTCTTCCTGGCTTCTCGTATAACAGCGTGTTTATCCCGTTCTGTGAACTTGGCAAGTCCTTCAGATTCTTTCTTAGCAATCAAGTGGACCTTCTCTTTAAAGTGTTTCCGAATGTGGCAAGCAATCTTCAAACGTCATTTGCGATTTTGTTAACATCAACGCTACTTGCCCTCTTGAAAAGGATTGCCGTGTTTTGAAACGGTGTTAAACCATAATATAGCGAGAGCGATACTTGGCAGTTCTGTTGTTAGGGGACGAGAGGATCAAAAACCCTTCAGATGGATAGATGACGCTTGTTTTTTTTTATAAAAGTGGCATCCTTTTTTTGTATGGGAGCAATGCGTGTGACATAACAGGAATGGGCACGCACTTGAACAAGAAAAGGCAAAGACGGACGTTGGTATTACTTTATTTTTCAGCCCCATGGTTAGATCCGATTGGCTTGACGGACTTCGATTCGTTCATGCTCTAACAAGACGCATTTGGCAATTCCACTTTCCGGTTTTAGCTTTATTTTTGTTCTGGAGTTATTTTTTTCTGTCCAATGTCAAATAAACTACTTTGCCACGCATTCTATGATTGCTCATGACATTAGCTCCTCCTTACACTGAATGGCATTGTCCAGTAACGCCTGAAATGTATCTATTCCATGACCAAGGTGATCATCTCGATGTATGTAACGCGAGGAACAAAGTGGGAGTTCAGGGCAGAAGATAAAAAAAAGGGGCGGGGGGGGAAAAGAAAATTAGAAAGAGATGGCTTGGAAGGATAAGAGAGAGAAAAAAAAATTGGATAGCGAAGCAAGAGCTGATGATGATGACGTATATGTCAAGAGTGAAGACAATCTGTTATGTGATGAACTGCGGAAAAGGCCACCTTCGATCATAGTGTCTGATATGACTGACAGCCAACCAACGTCAGAGCCTCCGAAAAATACGTCGTCATGCGGCAACCCAATAGATCATATGGGTACAGACGTCACTGGTATAATAGGAGGCGGAGGCTCGCAGGACGATGCATCGAGACTTGTTCCTGAACCGCTATTATCGGATGCGTCTCTGCCAAACCAGGAAATGCATGCCTTATCATTTGGTTCGCTTTTGCATGTTGATACCCAAGACCCTTACCCCACCAGTCGCTTCCTTCAAGCCATTCGATCAAGGAAACGACGAGAAAGTATCGGTGAAGTGTCGCCTCAGCATCGTCAACCTGCTTCGATAGCCGCCGTCGCCCCTCGTTTAACCAAATCGTCCACCCAAACCACCTCCGCCAAACGACGCCCCCTCTCCCATACCAAGCTCGCCATGCTGCAGCAACAGGACCCCATCGCTCGCAAAGTCCACTGCGATCCCCACATTGATCCATTTGAAATCTTGCGAATGAAGCTCACAGAGATCACGCGATCGATGCAAGAGTTTCATGTCCAGGAATTATTTCGCGATGAACTGGCAGCGAGACGGCAACCGCACGCGCCACCTTCTTCCTCCGCCCATTGGTCCCGACGACTTTCTTTATCTGTCAGTCCGCCGAGATCGAATCTATCAAGCCATTTTCTGCACCAACCAGCATCATCCCAAGGTGTGGATTCAACCACACCTCGTTCGCCTTCCGCCGTGGTGCGCACACCAACGGGTGGGGCCAATATTGTGAAACCAGTCAATGTAGAACAAGAGGACGAGCTGAACATGGTGCGACCAACAAGTGGGACCGTTTATAATACGAATAGAGAAGAGAGCAGTGCTTATGCAGACGAATACGACTACGACGATGTGGATGGGCTTGGTACCGGCAGCAGTCTACCGACGAGTCCCAACTTGACAGCGTTGTTTATAACAACCAACAATCTAATCCATTCACGGCTGGATGAATTGTCTGAAACAGCATCCATCGCCTCATCGTGCGAACTGAATTCATCGGCCGCTGAATGGCGTTCTCAATTTCTTAACCTCACCACCACGTGTATCAACCATTCGGAAGAACTGGAGTCCTTTTCGACCGAATTATTGGGTACTGAACTACGAGTGCGCGAATTGCTGGTGCAAACCGATACAGTGTTAGAACAATTTCAGGAACGCATGAAAGCGTACGAGGAACGAATTCGAGAATGTGAAGATGTCGCCAAGGAGCAAATGTTTCTGATCGAATCACTGCAAGAATTAACCGCTGACGTTGACATGAAAATGGAAAATCTGCGTCGATCCAGTTCAAATGCAAATTTTAAAGATACCAGCGCGAGAGATCATGAGACGAGGGACACTGACCGATGGGATTTCCAGAAATCCGTGGCCGACATTTTACGTTTGGAAGAAAAAGACGATTTCCTCCAAAAGATGCGCTGGGAAGTAGGCATGTTTGTTGGAGGAGGCGTCGGTACTGGCCATGTCATCCACTCTTTCGAAGATGAATTACACGGTATCGATATGATGATTGCCGGTTCAGGAGCCACTTCAGTAGATAGATACCAACAATACCACGATCGAGAAAACGAAATGTCTATATCACAGGTAAAAGAACCTCAATGACAATGGCACTTGGTTCTTTATTCTGGATCCATGCTTAGTCCATGTTACTGAATAAGTTTTTGCGGATAGTCTTATTCAATTTCTCCCCGAATCCAACATTTCGGATTTAAACGCCACTACTATGTGCTTTACATTGATGCCGAAGACCGCCAATCTCGATTCGTAAAGCTTCCCAAAGGGAAATGGGTACCAGATGAATTAGTGGACCAGTGCCAACATGATTACAGCGGAAGCGGCCAAGGCCGATGTCCGACACGATTCTCATTTTTCCAGCGAAAACATCATTGTCGAAAGCAAGTGTTCACAGACAGTCGTGACATTGGGAATTAGGTCAAGCTAACACGGAAAAAATTCCAAATTTAGATGTGGTCACATTCTGTGCCAGCGACACAGCGCGAATCGATTACCACTTTTTTCTCCCAAGCATGACAGGTCAGATGGTCAATGGAGTCGGGTCTGCGACCAGTGCTTCCATGAACTCATAGCCATTCCTCGTAAATGAAATGATACCCTTTTGTAAATAGTGCAAATGTATAGTGTAAGGCAATATGTAATTTATTTATTTTCAACGTTTCATTGATTATCAAGGAGAGGAACGGGGAAAGAGAAATCAAGAAGAATGTTCTATTTACTCAAAGTAAGAGCAAATTAAATCATCATGCAGACTCGTAAAGCCAACAAAAGCCAAACAAAAAGAAAAAAAATCGGAAACAAGAAACATTATTATCGGAAACCATCCAAGTGAAAAGTAGGGAAATTTTTAAGAGAGGGAAACGAAAGGAATGACAAGGGCATCTGGTACAATAGGGAAACCCCCTGTTGTTTAGAACAAAGCGGTAGGCTAATGACGATGAAAAATAAATGTCTATAATGCTGGTGCGGATATATACGTGGCTTGATATGCGGGCGTGCACACTTGCATGCAGAATTCGGGTGTATGCGCGTACGTGCGTATGCCTTGAATAGCTACGTTTGGGTCAATGGGCATGCGACCATCCAAGAGCATGATCCGTACTCACGAATAGGTGGTAAAAAAGAAAAAGGGTTTCAGGGGTGAATTTACCAGGGAAACGAAAAACTAGGGGGGAAAGACAAGGAAAAAAAAAAGCCAGTGACATAAGGTCAAAGTAAAAATAAAACAAAGTAACAAAGAAAAGGGCGATTATGTGAGAGTAGATAATGAGCAAGAACATAAAAACCAAACAATAAAAGACAATGTAAAAGTAATAGAATCAAGTTACGCGTCCATATCTATGCCACTGTCGAGAAAGGCCAGTTCCCGCCCAATTTCTAGCTTGGCATTGGATGCCATGTCGGTGACCGTGGCCAATTCTACATTGCCGTGCCCTCTTTCAAATTCGTAGACCATCGATAAAAGAACCGATGGTGAATTCATATCCGTAACGCCACCATCCGTGCTTGACGGTATATATTTGAATTGCACGTCCTCAAAAACCTGTATAATATAAATGGATAAAACCGCGTTATTACCCTGAAACGAGAACAGAGACTGTCATTCGTATTTTTATATTCTTTTATTCTTACCTGAACAATGCACAGATTACTGAGCGCCAAATCGGCTTCGTCCCAGGATTGAAGTGCGAGAATACCTTTCAAGTAAGCGTCGAGGAATTGATTGACAAACATGAAACTGTAAGTGTATTTCCCTTCGTTGAGCCATAACGCCTGTTGGACCTCTTTGGATTCCAACATCACTTTGCCAAAAGAGTACACGGTCATGGTGCATTCAATAGCACGTCGCTCCTTGGTTTCGAAAAAGCACGCATTATTAAATACAAAGTCGCTAACGCCGACACTGAGATCTAGCCTTATCTGTAACCCATGTCAGTAACGAGGTTGCCAAGCTATGGATCAATTTTACCAAAAAGTACAGAAAAGCAGTTACCTTGGCAGATAATACAGGAGCCGAAGGATGTTGCAAAAGCCGATGCAACGGAGGGCACTTTTGCACAGATAAAAGATCAAGTCCAATCGCTGATAACGCATTCGGATGACATTGCGACAGTTGGGCCAAGTTATGAGACAAATTGACAGCTGGATTATAGGGCAAACTGTATTCGAGATAAAGGCACATGTAATAGGGCCAGAGCGTAAAATAAGGTGTGATGGCAGATTGCAAGGAATCCAGCATTCCGTCTTGACGACTTTTAATGGCACTACACGAAGGCATAGGTGATCGTGAGGGCGTTTTCCGTGCCGTGGTTGCTACATCCAACATATCGGTGGTGGAAATAAAGTCGTCCATCGACATATTACCGCTAGGCATCCACACATTCTGCGACTGAAAGAAATCAACGGCAGCATTCGACGATGACGATGTCAGCGCAGATGAAGAAGTCGGAGGCGTTCGTACGGACACGTCATTTAATCCAAAAAGGGTCTGTTGCGATGGGTCGTACATATCTTTGATTTCCCACATCGGTAGCGCATGGGATGGCAGGGAGTTATTGCCATTGGTCATCATATCAAACACATAATCAGTCGGTGAAGGCGATGATTGCATGGATGATTCATCGGAAGACGGCGATTCATAGGTATGGTAATTCTTTTTTCCTCGGAGGGTAGATAATGTGTTTTTCACGGCAGGATGGGAACGGTGCAAAAGATGTGGATGCATATCGTTGAGATTAGTGCCCGGCATAGTGGTTGGATTGGGGTTATTGTTATCTATTGTATCGGACAATAGGCCCATGACTAAACCGTGTGCATCGGTATGAGAGAGAGGGGGGAAGAAGAAGAAGAAGAAGAAGCATATATGAGCAACCGTTACATTGGGATATGAGACGTGGAAAAGCATTTACAGTGAGGATCGCCTTTACGAGTATTTTTCAGCACCTGAATATGAGAAGACACCTGTTTCCTTGTGCGAGTTTTTCCAGTCTTGCGAAAGATGTAATCGGAAATCAACTCGTTACGCCCTGCAAGAAAGGAAAAAAAATTGTAACTCATGAAGATTTTAATATTGAATGGGACAAAGTAGTGATGCTTACCGCATGGTTTACCACGAACCAAGATTTTTCGTCTGCCTAATTTTGGTATCGTTTTCATAGCTAGTTTTTACCACAGGTTTAATGCGCAAGGCAGTGGCAGAGCGGGTTCTCTCAAACCGCTTACCTTCGATAAATGCTGATTCGACATCTTGAGGCCATACTTGCTATTCAAGTGGTCACATAATTTTAGATGGGATGAAGTGTATGATAGGACGAGTGGTAAACTTGCCTCCTCCTTGTCTCTAGCATTAGGTGACATGGTCATAGGTTGATGAGGTGAAGGCGATGGCTCTTTGCGTTGCTGCCTCGATCGTTTCGCCATACCATTACTTTTGAATATCAGATCTTGAGGGCAAGCGAGCATATTAGTTTAGAGATTAGATTAAGACGTGGAAAAGATAAAATAAGTATTAAAGCAATTTAAGCAGTAAAATATGCAGGACAAAAGAAATAGAATAAACAAAGGTGATAAGAAAAAAACCCCCAATGTGTCCAAGCGTAACGCGAATTGAAAGGAATGTGCCGAAAAATAAAAGATATAAAGACGTATCGTCAAAAAAAGAAAGGACGTGAGCACGCTTTTCAGAAGAACAAAGAATAAAAATAATGAAATGAAAAATAGTAATAATAATGAAAAAAAAAAGACAAAACCTACGAGAACCCCAAGCGATGTAATATAGGCACAAACGGGGAAATTGAAGGGATATGAAAATCCCATCACCAAAAAAGAAACGATCTTGCCTATGGCTCGTTACACTTTGACTTTCCCCATATTACTATGACCACGAACAACCCACTATATGGATACACGCGAGTAAGCCACCCCACACAAGTGGAGTCTTTTTTTTTTTTGGTTTTTCAAGTACATGTAGCACATTGCACCAATCGCCAGAAACATCTTTATTGCCATGGCACAAGGATGCCGTAGTGGTGTCAGGGTAAAAATAATAAAAATCAAAAGTGTGCGTATGCCCGTGACCCGCGGCCAACATGGAATGGATTCACGTCAAAACAAAGTAAGCAATATGTCACCAATCAAGGATCAGTGCAACATGGCACCTCTGAACGGAATCGTGAGGAAAGCATCCAAAGTTCCGCGTTTATATTAAATTTCATCGTCACTGTATGCAGGGCCACAACTGTGGACTTGCAAAGGGTGAGGTGTGTATGGACAGGTATTTCCGTTATGGTTTTTACGCGCCATTTTCTCAATCTTTTTTATTTCTTGCACTTTTCACAAAGGCTAAGGACCTTTTCGCAATATGAAAGGAAAAAAGGACATGTAAACAAATAGATATGCTTGTTAACGGAACAAATGATGAAACTTGAGTTCATCAGCAAATTTTGAATCTATCAAACTTTGCTTAAATAATCATCCACCAAAAAACCATAGCTCAGCTTATCATCAAATGAGAGCTGGCAGAAGCAACGTGTTCAACAGTGAGCCATAAACTTTCCATCCGTCCGTTCAGGTTCTTCATTTTTCTGAAATGTGGCAAGCCCTCACGCCCTGAAACGCGAGTCCAAGCGTGCATAAAAAGGGGTTGCGCAGCTAAACTCCAGATACTTGGGACTGGGTCAAGATCACAGACATCATGGAGATCGTCCTTTTTCCCTCTATTTTCGGCTCGGGAGATCTACTCAATTACCAGGGGTCTCCGTCATTTTCCATCAGAAAATCAATCTCCTTTCCATCAACAAAATCATCATAAAGAGTCAGAAAAAAAAGAATAATAAGTCAAATACAAGTATCAATAGTATAATTTGTTCATCCTCCATCAATGCGTGTGAATGATGTGTAAGTAGAAAAATACGGTTATTCATTGTGTGTGTTTCTGTTATTCTTTTTCTCTGATATGTGGGTATTCTAATTTATCGCAATTGACCAGAAACACTGAGATTACGTAGACTGGCCTTCTTTTTCACCGATTTAGCCACATAATGACGCACAAGATTCTTCTGATCTTCGCGCAAATCTTGCAGGAATCTATAAATATCATCACCTAGTGCTTCTTGAAAGGCAACGATGGCCTCAACGCAGGATTTACGTATATGGATCATCGAATCATTCATTCCCTATGCACAAACAAGACACACTTTAATTATATGGCTCTGGCTCCTCCTGTTCGTGACTTTTGTCGTGCATATATCCCCTGTCCCCGCCCCCTTTGGTGGGGTAGCTCTCCCTCCACGCGATTCTTACCTTGCGAAGCACCATGCTTCCGCCTTGCGTTAACCATTCGTCCAAGAAAAACGTATTATTGACTTCCTTGACCCATTTACCAATGTAGGTGAATGCGGTACCGATGGGATGATAACGAGCCGAATTCCATGTATCGCAAGGTGACAGTACGAACCGATAAATAAGGTAGCACAACAAAACGTCGAAAACAGTTTGCGCATCGAACGCGCCCAACACTGCGTCTAATGCATCCTCTGCCAATGTACTTATCTAAACATATCAGTATGAACGCAAGGCCCAGTAAGAGAAAGCATGTTAATAAAACTTTGAAATTTTGGCCCAATTATCCAATTGACCCCATTTGCCACCTATCATCTGCTGTTCCACCCTCTTACCGTTGGGTTATCGTTACTCCGTAGTTCTAAAAGTCGTTGGACCAATTGGGCTTCCAAGCTCATGCCCTGACTGTTGACCTTTTTTTCGTAGAATCGGAAGAGACCGGTTTGCGCAACTGCCAACTGCTGAATCAATTCCAAGCCCGGGAGAACGGAAGCATGGTCCTGTCCAACGTAGGCCGTGATGACTTGCACAAGTTCAACAAAATTGCCGCCGTTATGATCAGCTCCAGCCCATGCATCATTTCCGTTTTCTTCAGAACCGCCCATATCCCATCGCTTGAGGATCGGTGTCTCCCTTGATAAACGCATCAGCTTACGGAAAGTCATGCTGTCAGCTTCCATGGATTTCAGTTTGTCCACTAATCCATACAACACTGTGGCACGATCTCTGCCACCACGCAAGTGAGCTCCCGTTGAAGGCTGGCTGCGATGGTTCTTTTCAAAAACAGGCAACGCATCGATTACGCGCTCTGGCTGATAATAATCTACGAATGCTGGCAGAGGTTCGTCTTCGTGAGACGCGGATGAAAGTGTCGTGGGAACAGAAGGTTGCATGCTCGTAGGTGATACTAGATGACTAGGTGCAGCGTTCAGTATGTCTGTGGGGGTGGCCACATCTTGCACATGAACGCCATTTTGCTGACTTGATAGCTTGGTTGCACCCTCCATCGCATGTAGCTCCGAGACTTCATGTGCTCTATAAGGACTTTCTCTCGTCATATGTTGCGGATGCTGTAAAAAAAAAAAAAGACACAATAAATCCCCAATTTATCTTTGCAACCGTTGCCAAAACAAGAATACCAACCGTAGTTGCCAGGCCTACCGACCGATCCATGCGGTGGTCAGATTTTCCGGAATCGTGTCCAACAAGTTCGCGCGTAACATAGGGATTGCCAAAGCGTTCGCGCTCCATGTCTTGCAAAGGGGAAGGCTCAATTGTAGCCAGATCTACTTTGTTTTCTGGGGAGATTTTCGGGGCTGTTGCGGGTGCTGAAGTCTTGTAAATGCTATCAGTGGGATGCTCCGCAGCATGGATCGGTGCATAATCCTCCACAGTAGGTTCTGTGATATCCGGCACAGAATAATCGTCATGTGATGGTTGCAATTCCTTGGTCTCGTTACGATCAATTTCAGCCTGAACAGGAGCCACCGTGACCGGGTCGCTTTCAGTGTCGTGTTGGCCTTGGGCTGAAGCTTGCCAAACAGCCGTAGACCCTTGTTGCTGGCTATTTTTCATGGTTCGCGTAGACGGTTCTGCGGTCACAGCTGAAATGCTGAAGCTTTCGGGTTCTTGTTCATCCACAGGAAAACTTTCGTTTATGACAAATTCGCTCACGGCGGTGCCGCTCACGATAGGTTCGTCTGTAATAGATTCGCTCGCAGTGGGTTGATTCGGAATAGGTTCGTGGATGTGTTCTTCACCCATGTTGTCATTTAGATCATCCACGAAAGATCCATCCGTGACGTGCTGGTTCGTGATAGGATCACTGACAATGGCTGGCTCCACAGCTGGATCATGTTCTTGGGGTGACAGTGGAGTGGAGGGTTCCTCCATCGCAGGGATGGCTTCCTCATCCAGTTGACCAAAGTCCGGCGCAGCCTGACACACATAATCGGGAATCACACGTAAATGAATGCCCAGTAACTTGCTTACTTTGGACATGACCGCATCGTCCAAGGTATTGGCCAGCACTTCAAACAGCTTCTGATTGATGAGTCTCAAGTGACCTACAAGAGCTACCAGGGGCGCATGGAAAATAGTGCCAGGAGTTGAAGTGCTGAGAATGGGCAACAGGGTATTGAGATAGTGACGAACATGTGCATCCGATTCAAACCAAGTCGTAGCGATATTACCAGCATCACCTAACCACGCTTGTGCTTCGTTGGACGTGTCCTCTTCAATGGGGGTATCTAAGCCAATGACTGGCGTGACTAGCTCATCCATCCACAACACGAATTGCATAGTCAGTTTACGACGATTCGCCGGATTTTTTGCTGGGTCTTTTTTGATCCCCATCGCGGTCGGTCGACGTGCGAGTGAAGGATCGCTTACACCATTCATGATATTCTGTAAATTGATCAACAAGCGTTCAGCCAGCTGAGCATCATGCCGGCTCAGAAACAGTTTGATTCGTTGTAAACTGAGGTTGGCCGCGTTGTAACGGACAATGTCATCTTCGGTTTTGCGTGCTACTTCATCCATTGTCGCATCAAGCATCAGCCGCGGCACCAGTTCTTCAAATGTCACCAATTTCAATAGCACACCGGCCAAGCCGTCCCAGGAAGCAAACGCTTCGTAAATTTGAACATGGTCTTTGGTAAACATATCCCACACCATACGTTTTAATGCCTCGCCATCCAAAGGGCCGTGGCTAGATTCGAGTTGGATTGCGTGCAGATCAGGTTGAGGTTGGTATGGATAAGCAGCGAGTTTGCGGGCAAGAACAGATACAGATTCACAGCGCATGGCAAGATCGTCGTGCGTCAGCATCGCCATAAGACTGGGTTTTCGTTTGGCATTTAGGCCCATGGTTGATTTTTTACGATGAAGAGCCGGAACACGCGTTTTCCGGGCCGGCGGCGGCGAAACAGGTGGAGCGTGAGAGGAATAAACTTGAGCAGGAAAACTGGGAGGCGAACCATATGATCGTAGAGGATGAGGCGATGTACTGCGGATAGAAGGAGAAGCGGAGCGTGTGATGGTTCTTGATATTTCATGATAAGGGTGGGAATGCGGTTCAGCCGAACCGGTGGATCCGTTGGAAGCGCTGGATGTCGAAGGAGAAACGGTATCGTGGGTGTCAGGTATAAGTCGATGGGATCCCAACGAACTGGATGCACGAAGAGAACCACTCGAATTTGTGGGACTGTACACATTGCGGTGGGCATCTGTAGGTGTGGCTCGGTTCTTTGCTAGCGCGGTCGCTTTGGATTTCTCCAACGCTTTACGGACACTTGCATCAAAGGAACGTAACATTCTAAGACCAGCATGATCAGTTATTGATCTGAGGAATAAGAAACAAACTGCAAATATAATGCTTACGCTTCACCACGATCTTTCCAATGTTCCCAAAAGATCCAAAATGCTTCGCGACAAACTTCGCGCACCGCCGGTGTAGCATCTGTGACGCCTTTGATAAGGATCTTCTCGACCATGTCCGTGCCTCCAGTTCGATTCATGACCGCGCGAGTATGTTCTTTCCCTGCGTGGGCCTGTAACAAGTTCTTGATATAAATGACGGTATATTGCCGTACTTGGTTATTCTTTTCGTTCATAGACAGTGACAGCATTTGAATCATCTTGTGATAAAAAGCCGCATGGCGAATAAAAATGACACAAGTTGTCATGGAAGCGGAAGCCATGATCTTTTTTGACGAACTAGCGCATCCAAAAAGACATCGGATCAACTGGTCGTAAATGTACACTTCACTAGGTTTCGTTAAATGTCGTCCAAGATAAACGCCAATATCGGCAATCAACGATAAGGCGTTTAATGCAAGTGTGGTTCGCAAACTTTCCACCTAAGAAAATATTACATTAAGCCAACTAGTCAGTCAATGAAAGGTGATTAATGAGGGACATGGCCTTACTCACAGACTTGATGATACCATCCACCATCTGACGGATGCCTGCCATTAGGGTATCTAAATATTTTTCTGAAGCATCTCCTCGTAGAATACCTCGTAGTCGTGTTATCGCCTTCTCTCTACTGTCCCAATTGTGTTCTGTTTCCTTGTCCCGAAACAATGCAGCCATGGTTGCAAACTCTGCATCCAAATCCTTTGCATTCCATATCTGTCACATAATATAGTCATCAATCGAAGGATAAAATCGCATTAGTAGCCATTTCGCTTATGGTTCGTGTCTTGGTTCTTTTTCGTCGCTTGTATCTCTTTGTAAGCTCTCATGCGTACTGGTTTCCCCCCTTTTTTCTCCTCTGTTTGACTGAGACAAGCGGACCTATCTTTCCACTTTTTTTTTTCAAGACCCAGACACACACACCACATCCAGCGATGCATAGCCAGGCACCGTATCCTGAAAAAAGAGACCATTGAGTCATTTACCTGAACAGGTTTTACATCTGTTTTATCAAGCTCTTCTCTTGCCGTCATGAACTGTTTCCAATGAGGTTTTTGTTATACCAATGCCATGGACTCGAATAAAGGAAGAGAGCGCGGAGTCCAGTCAACCCCCGATTGAACAGCATCGAACACCCACAAAAAGCAGTCCTCTTTCACCAACCTCATTTCACGTGAGATAGTCTATTCACACAAGCTCTGCTTTTTACATGTGATGCTATTGTATCTAACACCACGCATCAACGTACGTCAAAGTTTACGGATACTACGATGTACGGGCTTTGATGGTCAATATCAGACAAAACCACAGCGACCTTTTTTTCTTATCACAGATCGGTCTTACCAAAATAGACACCGCTTCAGAACAGGAGATACCATATCCACTTTGGCTGCTTATTTATGGCTGTTCTGTTATCATTGTAATGTTCAATAGATCTGAAATATCACTTGAGAGTTCGAAAAAGCACTATCATGTCCGCATACAGAAATGACTTAGTTCAGTACAAAGTCCTACAACGCGTTTTTATGCAAATTTCCTTTTTTGATTGCACACGATATTCATTATGATTCATTGCATCCAAATAATATAACTAAACAGCTGACAACGATTTCAAGTTGTGTTTTTGTTCGTTATTGCCAAAGGAGCATCTTTTAGTTGGTAATTCACACTCTTTTATCCCATTCTCGATGCAGGAAATTTTTTGACCGAAATCTGGTGGCACGTGATTGTCTGTTTCCGCTTTGTTCACAGCCGATGGGATTTCGGAGTTGCCCCATTTGAAACAACTGGCTCTTCAATCCATTCTTTTCTTCCTATTTTCCCTTAATTCAACCATGGCATCACCAGCCGGAGGATCCGAGCTTTTTGCAAGTTATGAGCAAGACTTTAAATCAGTATGCGACAGTATCAAGTCGAAAATTGAAGATCAAATACCCAATCAGCAAGGAGGTGAGTTAAATTGCCTTTTGTATCAAAAAGCGTCTTGTTGCTGACGAACCTACCTTTTGACTGCAATAGAAACTAGAAAAGCAACTGTCCGTGCTGTTGAACGAGAATTAGAAGAAGCCGATGAGATTGTAAGCAAAAAAAGACACAGTCATGGCATGGCATGCCGCGGCAGTCGAGAGTTTTTGCTAATGTTTTTATCTTTCGGGTGTGGGCAGCTTGGACAAATGGAAATGGAGATTTTGAATATCCCAACTACGACTCGCACTCGGTTACAGGCCACGCTGCGTCTGTACAAGTCGGAAAACGAGAAAATGAAGAGGGATTTGGTGAGTGGGTTCTTGGCATTTTCGGGAAAAAAGAGCTCAAGTTACTTACCAGAGGTTCTGCGGTGTGAAAATATTTTTCTCGATATGGTAGCGACGTGCCACCGCCGTAATTCCAAAGAATAACGATCGCCAAGAATTGTTTGGAGACTTGGAAGAGAACAGTATCAGTGATTACGATGCTTCAAGCAACGATCAGCGTCAACGACTATTAAGTGGTACAGAACGATTGGGACAATCGAGCCGACGCTTGGAAGACAGTCATCGATTAGCTTTGGAAACGGAAGGCATCGGTATCAATATCTTGGGCACATTAAGAGGACAACGAGACACCATGATGCGTGCAAGAGATACGGTATGCTCACACTTTGACGTGCGAAACAAATTAATGACGCGCATTAATTCTTTGTTATCTTCTCTTTTAGTTGGCTGAAGCCGATTCCTACATTGATAAAGCCTCCAAAACGCTGAAAGGCATGGCAAGACGGTAAGCTTACTTCCTTTATCTTTGAAATACAATTGACCATTGTGTGACGGAAAGAACCCCCCTTTTTTTCTCATTGTGCGTTATTTTATTCTTTTTTTTTTCAGTATGGCCACCAACAAGATGATTACGGCTGCCATCATTTTGGTCCTTATCGCTTTGATTGTTTTGGTTATCTGGAGCAAACTCTTTTAGATCCTTCCCCTGAATTGTGCGTTTTTTTTTCTTCTCAATATGGTCTATTTTTCTTTCCCTGTCGTATCTCCGTATTCAACATATCTTTGTAGATTTGGGCTTTAACGTCATGTGTCTACTACTAGCCCAAAGGCAGTAAAAATCTAAATTCTTCTCCTAAGAAAAGAAAACCGTGTTCGATACGGCGAATTTGAAAATATTTTTCGCTGCGTTTGTGTCTCTGTTCCACAACATGCCACAACTTTGGCAAGCGAAAATGCCATGAAGACCGATGAGGGCATTCGTCATATTCTAGGCCTGACATGAATTCGATGTACCATATAGTGTTCCTCACGAGAAGAGGCGCGGCGTTGTTGTTACAATCCTTCAACCTGGTTCTGGCAACATTTGGCAAGGAAGTGCAACTGCCGGTGACTCCAGCTACTGCTCGGAAGCATGTAGGCATCGATGATCTGACGGAGCATATTGTGGCGGTATGTGGTGTGTTCCCAGTGCCATAGGGTGTATTCTCGACAAGAAGCTCCTCAACGCTGCAGCTATGTTCGCTTTCCGGAACACAACCGTGAAATCCATCCACAACTTTGTAACGCACTATTATTCATCGGGAACGGTGCACCCAAGAAAGAATGAATACCCATGCAATTCCTTTTTTCAAAACTTAAAGGTATTCTTTCAGCGGCGCCCTCCTCCGGACGACAACACAACGTCGTAACATACATCAACAAACAAGGGGGGCACGAAGTCACTTCTACTGATGAAAACTGGCACGCCAAAATTTTGGCGCTATTGTCTCTGGCAACAACATCACGATAATAGCCCAACATATTCCAGAGAATCTGACTAGACAGCCGACTTCGAGTCTCGCCACCAATTTACGAAGATCAAATGGCGAGTTCTCCCATCCATCTTCCAACACTTCTGTCGATTCTGGGGACCTTATGACATCGATCTATCCGCCGATCGGACGACCAACCTCCTTCCAAGGTACGTATCTTGGAAGCGGGACCCGCAGGCACTGACGACCGGTGCTTTCAGCATACTGGGGTCCCAACTTGCCCATCCGTGGATCAACCCGCCTTGGAATCTGATCACAAATAACCAGACCCTGAAAATCGTCTAACTTGCTTCCTATTATGTAGCTCTATATTCAATCTGTGTCTCTCTCTTTCCCTTTCTCCTTCCTTTCTTTCCTTTCAAAATGTGTATACAGTATAAAGAGATATCATCGCATTGTTATTAATGACAGGCGACGTGCAACGAGAAAAGAAATCATTCAAGTATCATGTTTTATCCTTTTTTTTTTTTTTTTTACTCGCGTATGTCGCCAATGCCGTCCTCTAGAATAGCGAACATGCCTTCACTTTCTGGTAATGAAGGGGAATCGTAGATTTTGCATATTCTGTTCTCGTTTTGCCCTTTGCGTAAATAGAGCCGAGTGCAAGCTGTGTGAGCCATGACATGGCCACCGGCAGGTTTCTTTGGATCCACATTAAACATGGAAGCCGATCCGTCCGCTTGAGCAATCATTTGATTGGTAATCACGACCGCGACTCCAAACTAAAAAATCAAGTACGAAATGAATAAATTTCGTGGGTCTCCTCCGTTTTATTCCTTTCAATTACCTCATCGGCAATCCTTTGTAACTGACGCAGAAAACGAGCCAAATGCATCTGACGGGCAGAAAGTTCACCTCGACCAGAATAATCGGTACGGTATAGCGATATAGCGCTGTCGACGATCAACAGTGCGCACCTTTGAGTCAAAGAAAACAAAAAGCGGGTTAGTATACAAGTATTCGCACGCCGCAAACGTAAACGTAATAGAAGCACTTACCGTGTTTCTGCCATCAGTGCAGATGCATGCACCAAGAGCGCCAATTGATGGTCCGCGTTATAAGCTCGTGCGCATGCAATGTTGTTCAGAGTTTCCTCGGTATCCCGCTGATATCTGGGACAAGAGTGATCACCACGTTTTCACTTAATGCTGTTCAAATGTTTTTTTTTTTTTTTTTTTTTTTTTTTTACCCTCAAGGAAAGATAGCCCTACCTTTGAGCTGTAGCAAGGATGCGGCTTGGTCGAAAGGTTCCTTCGGTGTCGATATAGACGCAATGGCCTTCTCCTCCGCCAAGGCCAACAGGCAATTGACAGGTCACTGCAAGGGTGTGACACAGCTGTGTTTTGCCTGTTCTGAATTCGCCAAAGATCTCTGTAATGGATCCGGTCTCGATACCGCCTTAAAAAGCTGCGATCAGTGTCCAGAGCACCTGTAAACATAAAGGTTGCTCACCCCCCAACAGTTTATCGAGCTCCTTGGATCCTGTGGTGATGTGGATCATTTCACTTCGACGGACATGGATATCCAGGCCTGTCGAAAATCCGATATCAATAAGTACGATGGCTGAAAAATTGAAGAGACCCGATGATATGCATTAATGGCACCGTCAACCACGGATTCTGTTTCAGCTGACCTTCTTTCATGATTTTTTCCACTTTGATGTCAGATAAGCCTTTCACCCTAATCAAATTCTTTTTCGGCGAATACGCTACGGATTCAATCGTGTAATAACCGGCATCTTTCAATTTCTTGATATCCGCAGCAGACACGCCGCAGTTCTAAATAATACAGTAATCGAAACGCTCAACACATCACCCATATTGCTGACGCAGGAACCTCTCTACCTCCAATATTTCTATCAGCATCACCGAACTCGTATCTTGACCTTTTCCTTCTTCTCCTTCTTCTCCTTCTTTGATGACTTCCATGTTGGTGGGCGACTGTCTGTCTTTTGTGGAGAAGGTCGAATCCTCGGCATAATCTTCCTCTACCGATGCTGAGGATGCTGAGGATATCTGCAGTTGACTTTCAGACATAGAAAATCAGAGTATTTTTTCTATTGGGGGATTCCAAAAGAAAAGGAAGAAGAATAAAAAGAGTGACGGTTCAATTTATGTGCTTGCCGTCAAAAGGATGGAACATGAAATGACTGTCCGTTTTCGTTTTCTTTTTTATTAGGTTGTTCGGATTATATATATTCAAAGGGGAGAAACCAGCAAGATTAGCAACAAAAAAAAAGTTAAAAGGCAAGATAATTATAATTCAGCGTGCGATGGTGATGGATGAGGAGGTGTAAGTGGATAAATAGGATAGTGAACGGTGTAATCCATGGCTGTGGTGGCAAATGTACGTCGTGAAAGTTGATCTGTAGGGAAAAGGAAGTCGGCATCATGAGTTTAGATGGAAAGGGAAAAATGTTGCACAAACGATAATTTGATCGCACAACCATGACTTACCCATTAAGCTAGGAATCGGCGCGGCATATTTCCACTCCATATCGACGGGCGGTGTCACACAACTGTTAGAGGCCTGATCAACAGGCGTGGTGGACTTTGACCAGAATGGCGTGCCAATGTCGGACGAGGGAGAAGATACATTAGGCGTAGACATGGACGGTTGCATGGAGGGAGGAGGCATGCTCGATGAATTCGAAGTAGACGAAGTAGATGAGGACGAAGGAGATAAGGATAAATTCAGCATCGACGACGTCAAAGGCTGAGTCGCTGTATGGTGCGACGAGCTTTGTCGCAAAATACGACCTGGTCGAGAAGGCGAAGACGGTGAAGGTGGCGAGGGCTGATGCGGACTGGCAGGAGGCGAGACAGGTGTGGCTTTTCTAGTCAAGGCATCCCCTAAAACCAAAAAAACAGAAGTCAAACCTGCATTTAGTAAACTAGCCAACTGGTATGAAATGAATTTATCTTACCTCGTTTGGTAGCTAACGCTGCTCGTAAGTGGACTTGTTCTTTGGCGGCGTTAATCCCCTGAACCGAGTGGCGATGTTGGCGCACCGTTTGCGGTGGTGGTGGAGGATGAGGGGAAGACAACTTTCTGTAGGAACTGGAACTCCAGGTTCGTTCGCATTCTCCATTTTCAAATACTGTGGTGCTTTGTGATAATGGACTGGGGGAAAAGGCGGTCATCAATCTTTCAATACGTCGCAGTCTGTCTTCAATGCGATCGATCGCTTCATTGTCACCAGGAGCTGGGGGATTCGCGGCGTTGGCCAACGAAGCGCGTTTACGGCGTTCCGAGTTGTTGACACATTCAATCCCGTTGGCAGCACAGAAGCTGCAAGGGCTTCCACCATCGCATTTGGTTTTTCGACGACGGCACGTTTCGCATGCAGACCCACTACTCAAACGACGGGCACTGCTGGTGGTGAAAACACTTCTTGGATGATCAGAAATAACGCTGTAAACACATTCCATCCCCGTATCTAGACATGCATTGCATGGTCTTTGGCCGTTGCAGAGCCTTTTACGACGTTTGCACGGTTCGCAGGCTCGGAGAGACGAGCATCGTTCCACCAGCAAATTTCGGCTTGGACTGGGATTGGTCAATTTGCGACTAACGGGCGGACTTGATGGCATCTATTTTTTTTTGAGTGGGTTCCAATGATCACAGAACGGAGAAAAATAAATGTCGTAATGGGAACGGCGACATACAAAGGCAACAGAACAATCATGAATGAGTATGGACTGTCAAAGGAAAAAAATAAGGTTTCAATCCACTTTACCTCTTGTTTGATCGTTTGTAAAATGTGTTTGATTGGTATGTGAACGCGTGGTCAAAAATAAGAACCAGAAAGAAGATGAATAATCACAAGAAAAAAAATGGACAAAGAATGTGGGAGATTGGAGTGGAGAGGGACAAGATCAAATGATGGTGGTTTTCACGTCTTGCGAATACACAGCAGAGAGAATTAAAGAAAAAAATGAAAAGGAAAGAAGCGAAAAGACAGCTGGAGGATTTAATACTATGAATAAAGAAAACGAAACAAAGGACGAAGAAAAGGGATCCAAGCAGGCGGATGGTGAGAAGGCAAAGAAAAAAAAGGGAAAAAAGGAAAAAGGCCAAGCGTCAGTGTGAGCGGGAAACGAAAAGCATACCATCGGTGCACATCCGGACCCGAGTGGCGAAAGATATACCAAATATGGGGTGGAGGGTTACAGGACCCGTTGACTCGTTTATACGATGATTTAGAGTTTTTTTTTGGCCTTAAAAAAATGGCCCACCGGAAAAAGAGATAATAGGACGGAAACCGGGGTTCCAACTCTATCTGTATGCCTTAGACCGAACCAATCTGACGCCGGTAAATCAAGAAGATCGGTGGGATTGCCTTGTCGCTGGTTGCCGTTTTCGGTTGAATCAGAATACAAATGGGGTAAATGCTGGACCAATAAATAGACTCTGTTCTAAAGTACCTGAAAGAAACCGTTCAAGCCTAATCCTTCTTAACTTCTCCATGTGTGGATCTTCCTTATTTTGATACAAGGTGATACATTGTGTATGAGAAGTCCTGCTCTGAACCGAGAGCCCTCCTCTTAACCCATTACAGACATAGATCATGGCGCACCTTGTGTTACAATGATCACTGATCGGAAAACAACTGTCTCCCCCTACTTTAGATTATAATTCCCTTCTCGTATCATCGTTATAGATACCTGACTCCACTTGAAAAAAAAAAAAAAAAAAAAAAAAAAAAAGATAAGGCTACAGCAAAGTTGTCTTGTTCGCGTGTGAAAAAAAAGGGAATCAAGACAATGAAAAGAATGTCTTGGTGAAATAAAAACATGTCCCAATAAAAAGGGGAGGCCCGACTTTCCTAACTGTCATCTTGTCAAAATAAAGAAAATCCATGTCTCTTTTTGTTTATGTGTTTTGACGGTTTCATTAACATTTACCACAGTGATTCCTTAAATCTCTTTTGGGGGGAAAAGGGGGTTGATTTTCACACCGTCTGTGCACCATGAGGATTGCGTAGAACCATCGGCATTCTTTATGGAAGCCTAAAAGAATACAGAAGATCGCTAGGCTACTCGTCGTCATTTCTGTTTCAGTTTGTCCCGCTTTGCAAGCCTATCAGCGATCATCATGCTAGCATGTCATGATAACGAATGCAACCCAAACGGAGTCCGTTTTTCATTTCTACAGCATGGTTCCTGGCTGCTTTTCTTTTACTGATAAAAATAGCAAAGGTAACCACATAACAAAAGGATGAAAGTGGGTGGTCGAAGCTTAAAACATTCAGGTAAACAAAGTGTTGATGGTCAAAATGTAACCGTCAGGACCAGCGCAATCTTAGTGCAACAGCGCGGGGAGGAATTCCGATCTTCTGTTTCCACGATTGTGTCGCCATGTGACACCCCGCGGAGTTCACCTCCCCCACTCGGAGTTCCTTGGTCTGATGAAAACAAAGTACCAACGTGGAAAACCCGCGTTGACATGATGGAAAAACAACCGTCAGTTTGTAGTCAATCATCCACAAAAACGGTAATAATATGCCGCTTATCGACCATTCGAAAATAAATGCTTGTATTTGTTACCTCGTGCTTATTTATATTTTTGGCCGTGTATCTTTATCAGATACAACCACGTTAGCGTGAATGTTCACCCTACTGAAACATTAAAGTAAACGAACGAATGATATTCGTGGGCCAGTTCGGAAAGTGCAGCAAACCAAATGAAATAAAAGCATTATCCGACGGAGTGTCAATTGAAAGTACAAAAGCAAAAAGAAGCTATTATCACGATCGACCGAACCTATAATTGTTCGCTATTTGGCAACTTTTTTGAATGCAGAACCGGGAGGACCAGGCGCACAATCCAAACGGCGGGCAATTCACACACAGTCCTTTTTTCAAAGCCCAATGTTTGGCTTGGAAAATGAGCATGCGCTCGTGCCAGCTGCAGTTCCTCGTTCCCGTCTCGGATGTCTGCAAGTGGACTTCAATGCCCAACTTTTGTGCCCGAGAAGCTTTTCCACGGTGTTCCTTTGTTGTTCATCCTGTGGGCACATTGCGATCCATCGATCACATCTCTTTTTTTTACGGGAGTTGTGGGATAATCGGTGGCGAGGATAAACTTTTTCCGATTTCTATTTCGAGAAATTCACTCTTATTATTCCAGGTCATGGGGATCGCGACCATTGGGTGCCTACTTGTGATATCCAATAGAGATGACATCTATCATTAGTGAGAAGTTTCAGCTAGCTTATTTTACCGTCACCGTTCCCATGATCTTGGGAAAAAAAAAGAAAAGGGTCGCCCTTATTTCACAGCTATTCATTGTCATCGCCTGCACGACAATTTAAAGGAACTTGATGATGAAATCAACTCGCATGTATAGTAGTAATATCCTTTTATTGATAATGATATGCCAATAACAAACGATGATGCTTTCCGTATGAAAAAGCATATACCACTATAGCTGATGATTTTCCTCAAGTTATTGTCGGAAGGCTGCACCAACTGAGCCGTGCCAGATTTCTGTGTGTTACTGGCAACTGCCTGCCATAATTGGATATTCTTCGTCATACGTCGCACGTCACATAAAGATGTACTCGGCCGGAACGGCAGAGGAAGATCGTGGATCACAGAGCATCCAGTCACCTTATGACTACTTCGTCATCTAGCATCCAGTGACGTTATGAGTCATTAGTATCTTTTTTTTTTTTTTTTAGCTTTGAGTTAGGGTGGAGGTGCCGCAAATCCATTGACAGAGATCGTGAGATAGAGTGACACGTGAAACGGGTTGTTGCTGGACTAGTTCTTCATCACTCGGATCTTTTTTAAGTGCCATACTGACTACCACCCGGGGATGGGGATGCCTTACCTTGCAATCAGTCGATCCACCGCATCGCCCTTTTTATCTTTAAGATTAACGACGACTTTGTTTTTCCCCCATACGAAACGTTCTTTTCCAATGACAAAAAGAGAAAAAAGAAGAGAATTGTTAGGCACCAAATAGGGTGCTGTAAGCGGAATGACGGCATGGGGCCTGATTTAATCAATTGCACACAAATTGATTGCACCACGTTAAACAGTTTGCTCGTTTCCAACTTGAAGCTTGCTCCATTTGGATCATGCTTTCATTCATTCTAACCTTGGTGCACTCTTTAAGGAAGCATACCATTATCAATATGTCTCCTTCAAAATCAAAGTGAATTCAAGCTATCCAAATGGCAGCGACGACCGATGGAAAAGGGAGATATCGCCTCAAACTGTTCCTGGTAGATGAAGACGATGTCTCTATTGTCTAACATACATCAAGAAAAAGATGGCATGTTTCTTCTCCCGTCGCCTTGTGCTATATTAGAATGCGGTATCATTGCATGAAACAGTCGCATAAAAGGTGGCAGGCACATTAAAAAATTGATCGGCTTATGTCTGGTTATACAGGTGTGGTTTCCTGTCATAACTGAAACTGATCGAATTCCTGACATACAGATGCACGACTGCAGACATGACAACACATAGGAAGTCGATGCAAAGAGCGGAATACCACAATAATGACTCGGCATTAGAAAAAAGTCCATTCTTTACCCCGAATTCTGGTGATGTCAAAATCAAAGAGATTAACCTCATTAAAATAATGGCTCGCTGTCTTTTTTTCTCGCTAAACAAACTGTATTTTATTATTTTGACGTTATGCGTTACAGTTCTTAACACTGACACGGTTGAAATTTTGGACGTGGAGTTACTGTCGCATAAGGTATTTCATAAAGGCGACTGTGCAAGGTGAGTATGGGGAATTTCTGTTATTATCACAGAGCCTAATTTTTCAGTCACAGCTGGAAAATGACCAAAAAAAGCACCGCTTACCTTTGAACTCTTCACAACCAACAAAAAACTAGTTTTTAGTTTATGACAGGAGACTGCGCTGTTTATAATGACATTTACAAGTGAAGGTGAGTGTGCAAATTTTGGTTTTATGACATCTTGTTGCAATGAAAAGTATTCTTTTCGGGTTTACTGGCTCACTGAGTCAAAGACCATACTTCTACTTATGAGTGCTCAGTGCTACATATAGTTCTTTATAGGTACTATCCTGGAGATGACAGTAGTTGAATATTCATTATATGCATGTGATTGATTGGATTATGCGTCGCGTTGAAAAATTGCACGCCGTGATTTACGGGTGGAGATGATTGGGTTTTTTGCGAGCTGTAGTTCTTTTTGCTTTTATTTTATTTATGAGTGTTGATAGGGTTCAGCGACTTAGGATGGGGCTGCCGGTGGTGCGGGCGGTTTGTTGTGTTTGGCGATGTATTCATAAATCCATTCATGCCTTAGTGCTTCTGCAGGTGTCATGCGCCGTTCCGGATCCCAATCAAGACAACGACTCACAAAGTCCAAGAATAACGTATCGTGGCAACGCATCGCATGAGATAAAGTTTTGTGTCCAGGGCGCCGCTTTTTGCCTCTGGAATTGGGTATAATGCGTGGATTGCCATGGGAATCTAAATTCGTCGCCAAACGCCAACCAGGGAAAAATTGTCAGCTGCACTGCATCCGTGTAACAATGCCCAAAGCGTCAATACTTACCAAAGAACAATTTTCGTCGAGCGCTCTGCTCAATCAAGTACATATCAGGGACACCCATTACTTCCATAATACATGCCAGCTGTTCTTGCTCATTTTCGCCTGGGAAGAGTGGCACACCTAACGCCATTGAAGACAAGACAAAATTTCAAGTTCAAAAGATCGCTCTCATGTTTTGTTGTGGATTTCTCACTTACCAGTGTATAATTCTGCCAAGATACATCCCAGACTCCACATATCAATGGCCATATTATAATTCATGCCTGCAGCAAGTATGATATGAGTCCGCTGTTTTCTCTATCGAAATGTTTGCTAAGGGTTGATTCGCTTACCAAGGATGATTTCTGGCGAACGATAGAATCGACTCTGGATATATGTGTAGACTACGTTATGACACGCAATCCACGTTAGCGTCGTATAGAGACAATAATCGAACTGAACCACACCACGTTACCTCGTTCGCTTTCTAAGCAGCTACTACCAAAATCAATTACTTTGATTGTGCTTTTGGTGGGATGTTTGAGGAGAATGTTCTGAAGAAGATTCACGTAAATATGGATTTGGTCATAGATGGATATATTTTCCATAACAATACCTCTGGTTTTAAATCACAATGAACGACACCATGATCATATAATAAATTAAGCGATTGTAACAATTGATAAGTAAATCTAGTAATTAAACAAAATCATTAGTAAAGCCAAGAGTAGATCGGGGGAACTTTTTTTTTTTTTTACCTTCGAATCAGATTCACCGTAAAACCTTTGAAATTATGACTTTTGATAAACTCATAGAGATTGATGCTTAGACATTCACAAGCAATGCATAAATGGTTGCGGAAATAGAAATAGTCCGTCATTCTCACATTGTGGTGGGTATCCTCAGGATCCTACAATAATGGAGGATGAAGTTCAACATACATCTTCCATCATCGCTCACCACCCTCACCGCTCACCGCTTATCTCCTAGCCCAATCGCCTAGGCATTGCGTACTTACCCAGTCCACCAGCTTTTTGAGGATTTTGACTTCGGTTAATGCTTGTGCATGGAATCGTTTTTTGTTTCGGATAAGTTTGATGGCAACGGTGGATCGAGTTTTGTGATCAAAGCATTTGACGACTTGGCCAAAAGAACCGCGACCAAGCTCTTCCAATACTTCGTATCGATATCCCAGATGGTCCTGCATCACCAAATTGTAATCGCCGCGTTCATCATCATATCCAAAATTGCATTCCGGACGGTCCAACGTCGCTTGATGCTTGGCTGCGTGAGGACCAACAAAATACACTTCGGGATAATCTCGAATCTCATGACGTTCATAGACGGACAGATGATGACCATACAATCTTTTGGACGTTTGAGGACTCTTGGGGATACTGCTGTCATCCAATTCCTTTTCCCACAAGAAAGGATCGCTAATTCGTTTGGCTCGCATCAGATCATCTGCCAGTGATTCTTCCAAGTCCAAGTTTTGACTCTTTCTCGTTCGTCGGTCACGCATAAACGAGTAGGACTGCATATCATCGCCATACAATCCGGTCGTGTAATCTTCCTTGATCGCATGCTGCGCTACCATTGCTTGAAGTCGCTCATGCAGGCTCATGGCTCGCAACCGATCTGCGTCATGCCGATTATTAGAAATCAATAGCAACTTCTTCATCCAGTAAATAACAAAATTCTTTTTTCATAATTTTTACCTTTGTCTTTATCAGGAGATTCACCTCCGGTGGTAGATGCCAATGAATTTTTGCGACTGCTGGTAAACAGGGAGCTGGCTCGACTCAAGGTACCAGCACTCGTGACACTTGCTTTGCGTGTTCTCGTGCCCATGGCCGATGTCGAGCCCACGTTGGGTTCTTCAGTGTAGTTGGAGTTTCGATGATTCGCAATGGATAACGACAGTTTGCGAAGAGCCTGCTTCGATGAGGTTTCCACGGTGGCGGCACTTTGCCGTCGAGTGGAAATGGGGCCGGCCCGCGGCGACAGGGTAGTGGGGGCGATTGGCCCACACTTGGGGGAAGCCGGGGTAATGCGAGGAGTTTTCAGTGACGCTCTGCGTTCAGTAGGAATGGCCAGATGGTTTCTGGTAGTGGACGGTTTGGCCTTTGTCAAAGGAACTTCTTCTTCACTGCTGGTGCCACTGTTGGCCGTGGTTGTCAAGCCAGTATCCTGCAGTGTCGATGATTGCGATCCTGAAGGTTTCACTTTTTGCGTAGGCGTGGTACCTGCCATGGATCGTGTGGAGGGGGATTTCGGTACACCTTTACCCGTCGATGATTTTGGAAGCGTCAATCGAATTGGTTCAACCTTCATCGGTGGCAGATGCAATGATTTCACCACTGGCGGCTTGGCAAGATTGCCAGGCAACGTCTATTTTCAAGCCAAGAAAAAATTAAAAAAGAGTGAGACCACCACTGCATGTCCTTCATCTCTCTATATATTTATAAATCCTGTATGCGTGTATGGATGACTCTGGTCTGATTTTCATGATCCAGTGACATCCAGTGGGAATTGGTTGTATTGATCTCTGCCCAGAATAAATGATCAATGATCTTACCTTGCCTCGCTTTCGTACAGTGACGGATTTCTTGGTCTGTGCTTCGTCGGATCCCACGGGTTTGGGTTTTGACATGCGTTTGATATTCATTGGATCGCCTCCACCTAGACTCTTTTTTCGGACAAGAATGGCGGCGTTGACAGAAGGTGCAGTGGGAACGCCTTCTTTCAAGGATTCGGTACGCGACATGCGGCGACCCGCAAGATTATAGAAGCCGCCATCCTCGTCGACCATGGTGACGGACTTTTTCCTTGAACGAGTGGGCGCAACGGAGGAATCTGCATTGGGCGTTTTGCTGGGACTGTGACCGAAATCGGCCAAACAAGGTTTACTAACGGTACGTCGTCGTCGCTGTTGAGTTTGTTTGGCGTCTTCTTCGCTAGATCCCAAACCGCCATAGGTCGAACTGCTGGAGCTGCTGGCTCGGCTCAATGCGTTGGTTTTGCTTTTTCCGTGGTTGGATAGAACCGAGCGGCGTTTGCTGTTGCCAGGCGACCGTATCTCTTCACGGTCACGTTCCGCGGCCAGTGGGCTGCTCACCGTAGGTTCGTCACGACTGTGTCTCCATTTGGGAGAACCGGTTTGTCGCAATGGGGAAGGCGGTGAGCACAGATTGGAATGACGACGTTGTTCGCCAATGGTGGATCGCATGTAGCTTGGCTTGGTGGGTGTAATCGCAAGGGCACCCACTACTGCCGATTTTCGTCGCTCCGTTCGAACGGTCTCGATGGCTGGTTTGAGTGTAGCCCCACTGGACAAGGTGCGCCGACGAGGGGTACGAGGAACAGCGGCTTTCGTGTCGGTAGGTTTAGGTTTTAACGTACGTGGAGTGTCTTCAACCACGGATGACCGTTTGGGCGATTCCGCGGATGAGCCATTCTGATGAAGCGATTTTCGTCGTGGCGAGTCGAGAATGGCGGTCATTTTGGCGGAGCGTACTGAGGACGGTGGCGGTTTGATGGAAGAATGCTCCGTGGCAACCGGTGGGGATGGTGGTGAGCTTAGTAGGGTGGGTTTGATGCGTGGCGAGACATTTGAGGTTTTCTCGGGATACAGACCGAGCTCTTTTTTCGCTAATTTGCGTTCCACAGCCAGAGAATCACGTAATGCATCCGCAAGACGTATAAACCCTCCACCTCCACTTCCTCCCTCTCCTTCCGGTGGTTCCACACGAGATGTCGATTTCACAGACGAATGAGCGGATTTGGCGGCAAGCCTTGGTGACGACGCGTCATTTGCTGATGGCGGATACACGATCGATGGTGGCACATTCGATTTGGTATGGGTGACAATGGAGCCTTGCCGGGCACGGGTATCTTTATCCGACGTCTCACAGGCAAGATCATCGTCCTGGTGCTGGGTAGTAACCGTAGCGTCGGTGCAAGGTTCCTTCCCCGAGTGGAGAGGTTCAGATGGCATCGTCGATGACGGGTTGGAGGATTGCTCAGATACAAGTACGGCTCCCGAAGACACTCGTCGTCGTGCTAAAGATGCTTTAAGTGTAGCGGCTCGACCCGTCAAGTTGTCGTCGTTGGGTGGTTTGGTTTTCAGGGCACGTACGCGTGGCGAAGCCGAAGGAGAATCCGCAACCGTCTGCGCCGTAGTGAAACTACCGCGGCGTAACTGAATGGATGCTAATGTATTTGCTCTCGCTCGAGTGGTAGCCGTGATGGTTCTTGGCGATGACGATTCGGGACCGTCGGCCACGGCAGCACGCGATCTTCGTTGGGACGGTTGTGATTTCGCGGCAGCATCGTACGCATTGGTGCCTAGACTTTTTCGCCGCATGGTAATGGTAGGAGCGTGTTTGGGAGGAGCGTCATTTTCGGCTAGCGACATTTTCCGTGATGCGGGTGCGGATTTTTTGACAACGTCGGCACCCTCCTTCGTGCTGTTACTACTGAGATTCTTTTCGACTTGTGCAAACGCTTCAAAGATTCCATCCCGGGTCATCCCTACTTCGTCTTCTGTGGCGGTCGGATTGGTAGTCTTTCCTGAGCGCGATCGACTACTAGCGGTGGATCTCGCGAATCGGCCGGTATCGATGGAAGGACGACTCGATCTTCTGGCCGCGTTAAATTTGTCGGCAAGGTCGTGGGTTTTTCGTGCCTGTTGTGATCCATGTGCTTGATGTTGCATGTGTATCCACGTCTCGGTAATGTATGGATCGGTAATAGTTGATGATGACATGAACTAAAGTACGAATTCCAGAGAAAAGGAAAAAAAGAAAAGAAAAACCTGGTGGTGAGAAACCTTGATCTGCTGGTTGGCCTTTTTGTTTTTTTTAATACAAAGTCGCAACAAAGAAGGAAGAAGAACGCCAAACAAGAAGCATCAGCAGTAACAAGGAAAAAGGATAGGGAAGCGGTTTTTTCTTTTTGCTCTTTTTGGTTGGGCGGACTTTCTCTTTTGTTTCTTTTTTATCTTTTTTGCTCTTTGTCACTCTTTGATCGTGTGTTGCAGAGTAGTTTTTTCTTTCCTCCGCGCGATGGAGGAATCCTTGTTTGGGAAAGGAGAAAGAGCAGATACAAAAAGAAGAGAAAGCGGTTAAAAAGTAAAAGAAAGAAAGAAAGAAAGAAAGAAAGAGAGGGAGGGAAAAGAATCAAAAAAAAAGGAAAGGATCAGTCACGGAAGGTTTAGAAATATATGAATACAAATACGATGATATGCATAAGAACGGTTGCTTGGACAACCAACGAATTTTTTTTTGATTGATTGTTCGGTGATACTCACTTTTGGTTTAGTTTTTGCTGTTCACGAGGGGATAACAAGCGATGACAGAATAGAAAGGGAAAATATACACACACGAATTGACTGAAGGAGCCCCAAATAGAAAAAAAGTTTGAAAGACAGCAGATAGTTAGAATGGGCTACTCCACGGCCACCATAATCATCAACCGATTCACGTTTCTCACCAGTCCGTTCAACCGTATTGCAACAGTAGCAAAAGCGTTATGTATAAGGAATAATGAAACAACCAGACGATAAGAGAAAAAAAAGGAACAGAGCACGCAGGACAGATTCAAGATGAGCCGCAATGAAGCTCAGTAAGAGTTGAATGGCCGGGTTGGTGTGGGAAAATGGTGCTGTACAAAAAGGGCCAAATGAAGAAAAAAAAAAGCGTTTATCTTTCTGTCTGCAAAAGAAAAATATAAAGACCAAGAAAAGAGGACAGACGCCGATAAAAAAAAAAAAAAAAAGAAAAAAAAGGAAATAGGTGGTGATAGCCAAGAATATACAAGCACACCAAAAAAAAAAAAATAACAGTGAAAGGAGAAAAGACCAATCTTTATAAAAAGCCCACTGTCTGTGGGTCAAACCAAACGAGAAATAGGGGTTACATCGTCACTGTCAAAAATAATAGAAAAAAAAGCAAGCTGTGTAACGATGATTCTCTATTCCATACAGCCTTCACATGTTGTGAATTGAGAACACCCAATTCAAAACAATAACATTTGCTGTTTGCAGAGAGTTTATGAGGTCCCCCCCCATCTTTCTTTTATTCCCTTGTCCGTTTTACAAAAAGGTCTTTTGGTTACCACGCTTTTTTTTACCATCCAAAAACAATCGCATTTGTATCAGTGCGGTCATCATCGTTGCACATTGTAGCTCAGAATGGGCACGATCATCCATATCACCTACGAGCCCAAGTGGACGATCTTCTCCCTAAAAAAATAAAAAATAAACAGCATTATATCGGACGCAAACCTTCAAGTGACCACCAAAGAAAAAGCACAAGCCCCCTGTCATATTGCGCAAGGCGCCACTTGCTTTTAGACCTTGCTTCGTAGTGGTGCCGGGCACGTTCCGAGTTCATGGAAATGCATTATTGCTATGCACCCATTGCAATAAAGTATCCATTACTACACTAATCCTTGGCGACAGCATACATATTTTTTTACACTAGACGGAATTTCTAATCTGCTGCTTAACTTTGTTTGCAAGTAGATGGCGCGTTCATATATGGCGTGACTAAAAAGGCAACCTTTAGTGTCGTACCTTTTCTTGTTCCTCTCAGCACTCCGTTATTGGTAGACTGCAATTGGACCAATCTTAATTTATCCCACTGCAGAACACGAATGGGCCCACTTGCAGGATTCAAGGGTAGCCCACCAAGTCGATGAACTTTTTCGCTTTTTTTTTTTTTCCCCTCAGGAACCAAACAACACGGAGCACTGGAATCTCGTTCTACACAACGTCATTGCAATAAATCGTAATTATGAATCTGTAAGGCCGATGGCTGCCAATAGAAATGATAAAAATAAAGTATAAAGATAGCTTATAAATAGATTAGTTTTTTTTGTCGTACCATTCATTCATAATTTAGGGTTCTTTTTTTTTTTTTTCCTTGGTCAATAATGACGGACACGCATGCCATGGCAACTTCATTGCCTGCCATAAAGTGTTCCGATTGTCAAGCAGAAGTTCAACTGCACCATATGAGCATCCACGTTTGCGGGAAACCTAGAATGCTCAATAAACCAGCCCCAATAGATACTTGTAAGATGCATTCCACTTGATGTTCATTCGCACATCGATCCTCTTGCAACGCCATTCCTCATTCGTTAACGCGATTCAAAAAGTCTTTATCCATGCTTCTGAAACCATAGACAAGCCTTCTCCTCTAGATAGTAAGTGATAAATCCATACGCAACGTATTTATTTACGTGAATAGATGAATTAATGGAATGGATGTGATCTGTTTACTGTGTTATTCACAGCTCCAGGTGCTCTTCTCAGCAGTTCTCCAAACAGCGAAAAGGTGAGCTCTACAAACCAATTCAATCATTCATGTTGCCCTGGAAATCGTTGAAAGTGTCAATTGATTAAAAGCTCTCTAGACGGCAATGATTTCGCCTATAAAATCACCGGCATCATCCGGAAAAGGTGGCAATCCATCATTTGCCGGAGCAGGAGAAGACAGTTCTGTCAATAGTACATCATCTACCCGCATGATAAAACCCAGTATATCTACTCTCATTCAAAGAACGCGGTCAATTTCCATCGACTCTCCTTCACCACAAACACCACAAAATGATTTTCTCGGGTTGCGGTTCAAGATATTTGAAAATGAACGCATGATCCGATCGGAAGCTGCGGCTCAGCCTCCGGAAGGGGCTCATCCGCCCTCTCCTTCTCCTCATCATCCTTATCGACGAGCTCCTATGACGGATACATGCAATCGATGCCGACGAAAAGTACGTACAGACGATCAGCCTGTATCAGTAGCGAACAAAGTAAAGTATCATGACCCGTCTCTCCTTCCACCATCATACAAGTGGGGCCATCTACTCAGATACTTGTCGGTAGACCTATCACCGTGCATGTTACTCCTGTTTCTTTTGCCGCACACAACTCGATCTATCGGTATCACCTTTACAAATTCAAGGCAATATTTACTGCCAAAAAGATTATGATCTCGCGGTTAGAAAACCAGCATGTACAGCTTGGTAAGTGGTCCCATTGTCCATTTCTTTTTTTTTCTTTTTTCTGACGCCCATTGATTAAATTTTGGCGGTTTGATGTAATTGACTTGCTTCAGTGAAATGCCAATCGAGCCGCATATCCGGCCGATCCGGGCTCTTGGTCGTTACTACCATCCAGAACATATTCGATGCTTCCATTGCCGTAAAACCATCGATCCCGACATGACCGGCCTCGTCGAACGCAAAGGCAAATTCTTTTGTCGACCGGATTTTAATCTATTATACTTGCCCAAATGCCAAGCTTGCAAACGAGCGGTGGAAAAGGAAGCTGTGTCGTCCAAGGACGGTAAACTCCAAGGCAAGTGGCACAAACATTGTTTCCGTTGTCAAGTAAGTTACGGCTCTTTATTCGCTTGCAATCTTAATCTTATCATCCACCTTTTTCCGCATGGATATGAATACAATAGCTATGTCATTGTTCTTTTCCAAATAATGTCTTTTACATCTACGAAAATGCACCTTATTGTCGACGAGATTACCATCAGTTGAATGGATCACTGTGCCATGCGTGTGATGAACCGGTGGAAGGACGGTGTGCCGAGACCCAGGAAGGCTGGCGGTTTCATCCACAGTGCTTTACCTGCTCTGTAAGTAGATCTAACCATACCTTCCCCCCCAAGAGGGTCGGTGAGACCCACCATACTTACCATATTTCGTCTCAGGTTTGCCATAGTGGAATCCGCGAAACGATCTATTACGTACATGAAGGCAAACTTATGTGTTTTCAAGATCGTAACATCCGAGCTGAGAGACGTCATACTCGATTCTCAATGGCCTAAATCTCTTGGATTTCTCAAACCCTTCATAACCGTACTATGTACTTACTGTATATTTTTTTTTTGGTTCTCATAATTCTAACATTTGATCCACTGTGGGAAAGTGGCTCCGCTGACAATTCACCTGAAATACATTTATTTAACTCTTGAGGCAACGTGAAATGTTTGTTAAAGTCTTGTTAAATCTGCTGTATTGAATTGTGCCGCTGAAACGGTCTGGAGTGCTCGTTGATGGGTAACTTTCTACCTGTGTATATCGAATGCACCTTAATATATAATACTCGGTGTCACAATTTATGTTGTGCCTAAGCAATTGCTGCTGGAAAGTTTTTAAAGTGATGACTGTTTGCTTGTCTTTTACATACTGAGACAACTTCTATTAGTTCTGGATCGAGTGGATCGGACGGATTTGATTGGAAGGATCATTTTGTTCTTTTCTTGTTCTACTTGTGTTTCGGGAGATCAGCAGGGAGCCATGAAATGAGATGCGAGAAGATCAGCGGATTTCTTTGTGTAATACAGTATCCCACGTGGGGATAGCTTGTTCTCCTTTTATGGACTAAGATCGGTCAATATATCATGGACTCATTGTTGTCTGCATTTTTGTGTATCCATGAAAATAGAATGCCTCATTGAATAAGCTGCACCTCATTGAACTAAAAAAACCGAGCTCAAACATGCATTTTATACTTATCCTCTCTACTCTCCTGGGCCTGATCCAGCTAGTAATCAATACTATCTCTCAAGTCAAAACACAAGCCCAAACATCTTGTCAATGCAACCATAGTCAAATGGTTTGCTTTTTCCGTGTGATCCAGTGCTAAAATTCAATGCAAACAGTTTTATTATGTATTTATCAAGGAAGGCGATAATTTGTATATCATATCCTAAATGCCATGGTAGCCATCGTTACGCGTATGGATGATTAAGGTCGAAATTAAACTATTCATCCTCGTCTTCAAACTCATCCACCATATAAAAGGTGGGCATCAGGGTCATGGGGTTATCCAAATACCATACGTCGTTGTTCAATTTCCGTAAATCGACGGTGAGAACCATGCCTATTAATAATTCTTTCACAATACTGGTTTCAAGGCAAATAGGATATCGGATGGTTTCGTCTTCGTATTCTGCAAGCGTGACCGAAACAAGTTCATCGCTAGCCGACTCGGGATCGAAAGAACCAATGTCGGCGATTTTCACAAATCTCGTGTAGCGTTCATCCACCACCAGGGTTTTATCGACCTTGTCCACGCGAGGTTTGACGATTTGTCGTGCTTCAGCCAAAGTCATGCCTGCTGTATCGGCTAAACAATCATCGATCAGGGAGAGCACCTTGGCACTGGCCGATTCCATCCACGAAGCCTGAACTGAAAAAGCCGACTGCAATTGACCACCAAATAACAACGAGCATGCTTTGTTGAAGTTGCCGGGTAACACATTGGTAGCGCGCTTACACATGGGTAATTCAATCTTGGCCTTGGCCGCAATCTCACGAGCATGAGCAATATCGTCTGCGTATTCGGGGCACACGTTGCGAATTTGTAAGTAACGTAAAAATGCATCCACAATTGCCGGTGCGTCATGGAATTCTTGCAGCGTGATAAACATGGGCTTTCTCACAAAGAAATTTCCCAAATAAACCTGCGCTACTTTGCTGAAACTGATTTCCACATCGTCATCGTCCTCCTCGAGATCAGGCACAACGTCCGTCACCGTTTTGGCCATTTCAAAGTCTTGCTCGGCTTCAGGATCATCAGGCGCATCGGCACCGGTCGTACGACCCATGAATGCCTTTTGTCCCGTCTCCACTCCGCCAAAACGTAGATAACTGTCAAAGATGGCTTTCTTGGATTCCGAAAATCGATGATTTTTCTTGTATTTCCAGATCGCATACTCGAGACGTCGACTCGCAGGACGTTCACTGTCAAAAAAATGAAGGAAAACAGATAATCATTAGTCAAAATGAATAAACCGATACCAATCATTATTAACTTACGGATCAAATGGGTTTTCAATAGGATCTTCATTGTATTTTTCTGCATAGTCGTCGTTGATATCGGCTCCGGCTTCAGGCAGGTCGGCTGTCTTGGATTTCTTCTTCTTCTTCTTCTTCTTTTTCTTGTCCTTTTCCTTTTCCTTTTCATCCTTCTCTTTCTTCATCACACTCACGGGAGTCGATAACCCAGTGGGCATCTTATCCTGCTGCTGGTGTTTAAACAATTCCTCGTCGTCGGAAGCAAGCGCTGTTTCTTCGTGGGCCTCACGCGCAGCCGCTAGAACATTTTGACTACATTGACCATATCAATAAACTAGTTAATGAAGTGCTCATACAATAATACATACATGATCTGCTGCTGTTCCGTCAATTGCTCATCGTCACTCATGGGCTTTGAAATGGCTGAGAGAACAGGCACGGGAAAGTGTCAAAATGGGTAATGGAAAACAAAGCCACTTTGACATGCACGGATTCGTAGTCCGTCTGCCATAAGATATTCAGACAATGAAAATTGACGATTCTTCTTCACTGGGCCCAAAACAGCACATCCACTTTTGAATCATGGTAAACTATTTTCTCACTTTCTGCTTTCACTACCTTCACCAACAAACTCATTGTCTTGTTTAGTCCCGCTTAGAATTGCTGACGCCTGAGGGTACGATTATTTTCTTCATACACCCACCTTTACACTGAACGACTCAACTCAACAGATCGTTGACTGTTATTATTATTATTATCTTTTTGCAGGTCTTCGCATTGACGGTCGTCGAGCCAATGAATTGAGGAAGATCACTGCCAAAACTTCGGTGTTCAGCCAAGCTGACGGATCTGCTTACATCGAACAAGGCAACACAAAATGTCTTGCTGCCGTCTATGGTCCTCGAGAAGTAGGTGGCGCGTACAGACCGGTGAATTGATCCAGTGATAGATCACTTACGCAAAAAATCTTTTTGATGCACTTTAGGCGCGCCATCGTATGCAAATGCTTGCTGATCGTGCTCTCATCAACGTCGAATTCAACGTTGCTCCTTTTAGTACAAGCGAACGAAAAAAGCGAACAAAAAATGACAAGTGGGTGGTGGTTGGACTTTTTTCTTTCACTATTGGATTGATGTTAACGTTTGATGCTTTTCACTGTAGACGTTCCCTTGAAGTCGCCACATTTATCCGACAAACATTTGAACCCGTGATTCAGACCAGCCAATTCCCGCGATCGCAAATTGACATTTATCTCCAAATCTTTCAACACGACGGTGGTATTCTTCAAGCGTGTATCAATGCAGCCACCATGGCGCTCGTGGATGCCGGTATTCCCATGATCGACTATGTATGTGCATGTTCAGCTGGATGCATCGACAAAATCCCGGTCTTGGGTAAGTTTCTTGGATATTTGCATTTGATGGACTGGGATTGACATGTTCTATTGCGGCAGATCTCAATAACCTTGAAGAATCGTCTGATACACCTGAAATGACGGTAGCGATACTGCCAAGAACTGGCAAAGTCAATTTGGTCGAGGTAATGCGGCGCGAAAAACAAGCTACGCGGTGATGGAATGCGTATTTTATGATGACTTTTTATTCACTGGGAAAATTAGATGGAATCGCGATTGCATATTGACAAACTGGCGAGTGTCACAGAACTGGCTACGCAGGGATGTATGCAGATTCATGAGATCCTTGACAGCGTGATTCGCGACAACACACAGCATTTGATGAATAGATTGACCGCATAATAACAAAGAAAAATAAATACGATTGACAAACTCGCATAAGATTCCTCCACGCTTATTCGTATGCAACCGTTGTTCAATACAAGCGGTCCCCATCGTAAAGATCTAGGCCTTGATATAAAGTCCGAAAGCAGTAGAACTACCCTTTTTCATCTGATCACCTCTTTCTAAATTCTATATATGACGCCGAACGATTCATCAAAAACCAGAGATGGTGTATTTGACAAAAGACCAACAAAAAAGACTGATAGCCTGGATCAAAAGATATCATGCTGCGAGACAACCCATTGGTGGGTGGTCGAAAACAATAAAGATGAAGTATGACTAGCTCAAATTGGCAACTTCTGTTCCATAAAGACCATCATCCAGAGGAGCATCACCAGAGCCCGTACAGAAAGGGAGAGAGAATACGAAATAGTCCAAAGTTGTCCGCACTATAGCAAATTTGATCATCGGCTTTATGGCGCGCACTCATGATAATGCCAGAAAGTAACAACTTTCCAAGTTCATTATTTTGACAAAGCCAGTAAGTAAGATTGTACGTTCGCGACTAAAAGCTTTAAACACGTGAAAAGAAATGGTATGCGCTGGCGGTACAGTCAATCCACAGACATGATGTGCCAAAGTGATACACCAGACAGAATCCTTCCCAGCCATGTAACAATCTACTCATAAACAAAACCCGTAATAAAATAAAAAGGTTTCTAGACAGCTACTAAAGATGATATGTTGAATAGCTTATAAACGAATGTGTCAGATAAACGTAATTGAACTTGATTTGGCCGCCTTGTTCTTCATTCACAGCACGGCATATTGAAACCGAGTTTCACATCCTTGGCGCCTCAGCACGAGCAGTTCATTGCTGGAGAAATGCAGTTTGTCAATATCCGCATCAAGAGGGTGAATGCAGACTTTTAATAGATGTTACATTTTAATCAATAACAGAGACAGTTCTAGCGTGTATGTTTACAGGGTATAAGTATGGCTATTAAAAATCGTACATAAAAAACAAAAAAGGGAAAAAAGAGGTGGCAAGATTATTCAAAGGCGGGCCAGACAGGAGCATGAGGATTTAGTCGACTTTTGGCGTTCATTGTATGTCGTTTTCTATCGTTGGACGACTCTTTTGATTGATGTTGAGGTAATTTGACGGTGAATCGCGAGATTTGCCCATTGATTTCGGTCAAGAAGGTTAATACTTCGCCATCCGTACTGTAACCGTCTTCGTTGGTATTGGGACTCGACACACGGCTGACTGGCATGCTGCGAGTAGGAAACCTCGGCGGCATACTTCTTCTGTGTTGTTTGTTGTGGCCCCGTTTTGGATTTGATGACGGCACAACGATTGTGTCTTTGAACTCCTCTCTGACCTTGACCGTTGGTGCCGGTGCCGGTGCCGGTGGATGCTGTAAGTGCTCAATTTGTATCCGATGGATATCTTCCATTTGTCGCAGATGCTTATTCTCTTCCTCCAAAGAAGCAATACGTTCTAGCAGTGGCTGGAGATCGGGGACCTGAGAATCCTCTGTGGTAGTTGTCTTTCCTTTGGGTGAGACTCGATTGACTTCATCTGCCCATCGATGAAGGCTACCATCAGAAATGGACACGGTTTCATTGAGTGGATCGGTGTCTCGATCCTCGTTTCCGGATACTTTAGATTGTTTTGCTGCTGTGCACTCGGATTCTAAATCTCGGATACGTTCATTCAGGCGATCAATTTGCGCCTCCAGTTCATGGTTTCGTGCTAGCAATAAGTCGTAGTCATGATCGACGCGTATCACGGGATCGTGCACGCCGACGGTTTCCGTTATTGATTTTCCCGGTTCTTGATATTGATGGTCCAGGGTAGCATTTCGTTTTTGCACCAACGCACACTGCCGTTCCAACTCCACATTACGCGCTTTGATCATGTTCATCTCATACAACTCCCGTTCCAGACCGATTTGCTTGCGTCGATAGCCACTGTTTTCCTGCTTTAATTCGTTCACTTGAGCTTGCAAAGCCGCTAATTGGGCCCGATCCTCATCCATACGCGGTGGTTTTGCGTGAGGTTGCAGTTTTGCCAGCATGTTGGAGCTGTACTCCATCATTTCCTTTTTCTGATCTTCCCAGAACCGCCGCGTATCTAACTGGGTCTGAGTTGCTTTCCACAACAGTTGGGCCAAATTCGATTGCAATTGTCCATCGATAATATCATCAATACGTCGCAGTAATTGGTTCTGAAACCCTTCAAAGCTTTCTAATGCACTGGTTGGTTTGGCCACCGATTGTTTTCGTCCTGTAGACACCATACTTGCTTCACTCAGTTTTCGCAAGGCCATAAAACGGGGACTTACGGCACTGCTGCCGTTAGTTTTCTCCGGCTCATCTTCAGCAGATATAGGATTGGGCGGTCGAGGAGGTGAGACAGTCATGGATTCAATAACATCTGTATTTGAAAGCGCACGAGAATGACGTTGCGATTTGTTCATATGGGAAGGCGGACGAAGAGCAAAGGCTGGATTGGGTGATGAGCTGGATGGGGATGTCGGAGTTCCATGCTTCATCTCATTACTATTTTCTTGATCTGAAGTTGGGACGCCGATCAATTGCCGTGCAACCGATGAAGGTGCCCCATGGTGCGTCCCGGTTGCTTTGGCCAGATCATCCCGAGCTACTTTTTGGTTTTTTTTTTCAAATTTCAGTAAATGCCCTAATTGATCATAATGGCAGCTACCAGCGCACTAAAGGTATGTTTGCTACCGTTCGTACGAGGAGATATGGATAAAGAAAGGGATGATAATATTTACCTGGTGACATGGGTGGGGTGGAGCCGGCCGGGAAGGGCAAGGGGCTCGTGTGGGCGACTGGAGATGAGGAAGTAAAATAATCAGGCGATGAATAATTGAAGATAGAAGGTGCTGATATGGACATGTTGACCGGATGAACTGTTGGCTTATGACCAGGAGGATGGTGTAATTTGTCATTGATATCCAGCTAATATAACCGGGAATCAATAAAAACACGGCTATTTTACATTTAAGGTAAAAACTCGACGTTACCTCATGTGCAAAATCTAGGAACAATTCCTCCACATCATCCGTATCATCCGATTCATCGTCCTCTCCAGAACCACACTTTTCTTTCTCTTCCGTCGTTCTCGTCTTGGGAGGAGGTAGCCGGATTCGCGGAATCTCGGTTTGTTGAATCAATGCAGATACAGGAAACCTATCGCGTGACCGACTAACGGTTTGATGCAATATTGATGCCTAGAAACATTTTTCATTGTTAGTCGAATGAAACAAAAAAGTGACGAGGCTCCAAATCACTGTGAACAAAAGAGTAGAAAAAAGTGATGAAATATGTACAGATACATAGGCATCACATATTCTAGGTTCACAATTGTAAAGTATCATCCTTCATTGAATGGGCAAAGGAACGAGACAAGAATATATCTGAACAGACAAGAGATTGAACGATACTTGCCTCGCAGATATCGCTTGTATCTAATGACCTAGGTTTCCCTGACGGATTCGTTGCATGCGTCGACAGGGTTAACGGATAACTGCATGAACGAGTGGACGGTGATGATGACCTTTTAAATGGTTTATTGTCCACTTCAACACCCGACATTGGAATGAAAGGCAAATAGCAGTGAGGTGGTTGTTTGGAAAGAGGCAAGCAAAGAAGAAGAAAACGAAAAAGAAATGGAGAAATAAAACAAGGCAGTACCGAAGATAATCGAAAATCGTCAAAAATAGGCAAGCTGTCATTGAACAGCTTGATGATTTTTATTGTACGTGTTTATTTTGTCCTACATCTTGGAAAATCGTTGCCAGTGAACGGCGACGGCGTCCGTTTCCTTTTCCGGTAATAGCAACGAGGCTAACATATCGGATAGAAACGTGGCTTTTTCAGGTACCACAGACCACACCCTAAAAAAAGAAAACAGCATCGCCACAATAGTGCTTCGCAGCTAAAAGATATAGCACTGAAGAAAAAGTTTTCTCTGTATATTCATGCTATAAAACACCACCATCATTCCAACTTTTTAATAAACAACCATCCAATTGCGTAATGTGTAAAATTATCATACTACAGCGGAGAAACTTAATATAATGGATAAAACAAAAATATGAAAGCGGCAAAAGCATGGAGCAACCGCTAGCAGTAACCCTTGCATACTTTTCATGGTAACATTGTTTCCTCTTTAAACTCAACAAACCTTCAAAAGTGCCGCATGGTCGACGAGCTGCCGACCATACAGAGCTAAAGACGAAAAGAAAGTGGCGTTCGTCCCTTTTTCCTCTACAAAAGTCGCGCTATTGCTTTTTCTGAACGTTGTTTTATGGCAATAGATAGCGTGACATGAAAAAATTGAAAAGGAAACTAAGCCGTCCTGGTGTGTTAGTTAATACACTAATTGGCACAGCTTGATGACTAGAAACAAGTTGAAAGTACGCTTCAGTACAGTTAGTAGAAAAGCTGTCAAGAAGCATTACAAACAGATGCTTGTGCAAATTCAGCTATCGAAAGGCACAAGGCTCCGAGACAGTGCTGACGTGGTCTGCAAAAATTGGACTGGAACATGCTTTGAAAAAACTCTCTTTTTTATTCCCCCTACAAAATATCATTGTCAAAAACAATTCAAGTAGTCGGTCAGTGCATCCTTGTCAAACAATCAAGAGTCACACATTCACCTAGCACAAAGCGGCAAAAAACGAAGAAAAAGCCGTGGTTAAAAAGTGAGGCCGTGTAGCTTGAACAAACTCCGTATCAAGGACTCGTTACGTTTCCCAACACTGCTCGCCAGTTTATTCATTATCTACTGTCATTAGTTACTGCCGTGGCTAACAAATTAGAGGGTTGAATCTCAAAACGACATGTGTCAATGGAACCGTATGGAAAGCGGCCAGTGGAAACTTTTTTTATACAAATTTAGGCTACAAATGTCTCAAAATTAGGTTGTCCTTGCGACGGTCCAATCGTTTTGATGCGTACAACATGGTTGGCCTTGATCGGATAGATCTCTCCGTCCAAACACAAATCGGCGCCATCTTTTACACGTAGCACCATTTCGGTTGCTTTGTAATACTCGACTTCGGCTTCTTCGTCGACGTGACGACCTCCTTGGAAAACTTTAATGGATATCTCTTTCAGTCGAGCTGCCGAGATTTGACGCATCATAATCACGTCCATATCATCGCTTGCATGGGAGGCAAAAGGCGTGATTTTGAATCCAGGTTCCAGCGAAGGTTGTTTGGAAGCCAAAAAGTATGTAAAAGGTTTGTCGCTCAGTTGGACCGTGCAAGGTGGTTGGAATGCGCCGTTGTGCCGACGCTGAGCATCGATCAGCACCAATTCTCCCGGGTAATGCTTCAAAAACAGGGCCAAATACAAGGCGACCAGGGAAAATCTTCGATTGCCCATCCACCTCTGAAGATACCGCGCCTTGGATACGATTTCGGCATGAAATCCCCAGCTCATCACTACGAGAATGCGAATCGGTGTACGTTGCGTATCGTAGGCAACATGCTGATACCATGGGTCTTGTTCAGATGCTGGGGAAACAGACCCGAATGAAACGTCCATTAATCGGAACGGCGACGTTCGCTGATGAATGATGTGAAGAGTTGCTTGTTCGGCCGCGGAGATACCCAAGCCAAGGGCAAAAGCGTTTCCGGAACCGGCGGGAACAACGCCCAGACGGAAGGAAGAGACAGGCAAGGTTCGTTTATCAAATGCATCCGACAAGCCATTGACGACGTCGTGAACGGTGCCATCACCTCCTATACAGATAACCATGTGAGGCACCTCTTGATGGTCTTGCGCAAGAATTTGGGCTCCCACCTTTTCGGCCAAGGATCGGGTCCGGTTGTTTCCGGAGGTTGGCACCACCTGGAAACGGGATTCCTGGAACCCAGCCGCGACCAGCATAGGACGTACCAGGTCATTCCATACCTGAGGTCCCTTTCGCGATCCCGAGACCGGATTGAGAAACACATACACGCGGGTCACGGCCAACGATTCCCCCTTTGGCATGCTGCGTTGTCTGAGCTGCTGAGCAAACTTGACTAGGGCTTCAGAACTTTGTTGGTCATTCGATAGAAAGAAAGTCAGTGTGACCTGCTCCCACTGTATCGCCGAAGAGGAAGGGACACCAAGCAAAGTATCTCTATGATGTTGACTATCGTCATTGGCCGCGATGGGCTTCATCGGCATACATAACTGGATATCAAGTTTGTGTTGCTGCGCCGCTCCATCCAGTGACGGTGAATCTGAATTCGTAGATATGCCATAGATGTATCGGATATCATAGACAGTCGATAAATTTCCATGCGAACAAGTTGATTTCAAGTGGGAATTATCTAACTCCAATGTGTGCGGCGTCCCATGCTTATCGTTAACGGTGATCCTTGGAGTAGAGTTCATCAGTTTGGAAAGAAAGGGACGAGAATTTGGAAAAATTAATAATCCTGCGACGGAACTCCAAAATGGCACCATAATTGACAGATTGTTCAACTTGCGCAAAGCGCCATTCTATCCCGCGATTTGGAGCTAAAAAATTGTGATTTATAATAAACTATGGGCGGAACTATAACAGCATGGAATGGCGGTGCGGGACGATTAAGATACTGCAAAAAATGGATGAGGTAACCGAAACCGAAATAAGAAAATGCGTATTATGTATAAGCTCAAAGCGCATCACTAATAAAGAATGTAAACATCAACCACAAGCTTCCATTTTCACATGGCCTCAAGGTGGCAAGCATATGAAATTGAAAAGGAGAGGCTCAAGAAAAGGTTCCGATGCACTTACTTGATCTCCGCCCGCTTCTACGTCATTGGTGGTTCCGGTTTTTGCAGCCAAGTTATTGGGCCACCGGAACAAGTCACACAATCATTGGCAACACGCCGAAAAACCGGCCAACCCGATTCAGGTTTTATTACCTCTTTGTTTCGCTTCCCCCACTCTCTTTGCACACACTCTATTTTTTCTCCCTCTGTTCTCTATACATCAACCACACATTCACCATGGTTATCACACACGCTCAAGTTGATGCTGTCAATCGCTTTTTGGCTTTAACTGCTGCTCGTGAAAGAAGCTGTCGTTTGGTCCAATATTTCTCCCGTTTCTTCGTTTTCTACTTGCTCCGCAACGGCGCCTCCAAAGACACGATTGCTCGTTGGAACTCGCTCAAAGGCCAGCTTGGCAACGCCCGTAAATTTTTCCGTCTGCTTAAACCCATTGAATTTGCTCAAGCCGGTGTCAAGAGCTTCTCCACACGCGACGAAATCTTGCGTTTGGGTGGTGTCGTTAAGCAGTTTGGTATGTTCCTCTACTTCTGCTCCGAAGCCATGAGTTTGGTAAGTTTGTTAAAAAAAAAAAGGGAAAAATAGGCCAATGATGCCCTTTCAAAGAGGAATTACCAAAGTGTTATGCAATGATTTACTGATGTGACCTTTGTCCTACATTGACATAGTCTACTTCCATCAATTTCTATCGTTTCGGTGATGTGAAGAAGTTGAACGAATTCGGATTAAAGTGCTGGTTTGTCGCTTTGGCCGCTTCCTTCTTGTCCGGCCTCTATAAATTCAAGCAGCTTGCTGTTCGTTCTCACCTCTTGGAGAAGAACCGCAAGGCTCTTCAAGGCGAAAAGGATGGCGATCGCGTTATTGAACTCAAGTCGGAGGAAAAGAACCTTACAAAGTAAGTCTATCACCTTTGTGTATTTTTCGTCGTGGTGCACAAGCAAGTCAGCACATACTTATACATACTGCTTTCTTATTTCTAGGGACAAATATGCTACCAAATATCAGCTTGTCCAAGATGCCTTGGATATCGTTATTCCCACCGCTGGTTTGGGCTGGCTCCCATTCGACGAAGGCGTTGTCGGTATTGCTGGTATGATTACCTCCCTTATGGGTATGCATACTCAATGGAAGAAGGCCAACCCCATGTAAACATGTGTAAATCTGCTCAACAACATTTTTCAACTTCTTGTGTGTGCCCTCGTTTTTGTTTCCAAATGTATATCGACTGTGGTAATCCAATAGACCTTATTTGCTTATTACTATGTTACAATGGTTCTACAAAAAGTATGGTGATGGGTGTTTATCGATGGAAGGAATATCAATGGGATGCCGTTGTATATATATATATAAAAGGGAAGGGAATGATGATGCAATGGTGAATGGAGAAGCTCTGCACCAGCAGAAGAGTGCCAGTAGCATCAGAGTGCGTGGAAATATGTGAGAGTTGGGGATTCCTTTTATCAAGTGGGTTTCTCGGTAGCAACGCGTGTACGCATGACATACGACTTGAGGCCTATGCATACGAGCAAACCTGTGGCCGCAAGCGCCGTGGATCCCCAAAACGACATACGGACAGAATCCATGTAAGCGTTGAGGATGAGCGATCGGATGGGTAGAGGCAGTTGCCACAGATAAGCTGAACTCTGACGCACCATGTCTGCCGATACGCCTGGTAACGCTAGTTTGTCTACATTCTGCTTCAATGTGTTGGAAAGAATACTGCCCGTCATCGTAATGCCGGTGATACCGCCCACTTGATCGCAAAAGGTCATGAAAGCTACCATAGATGGAACGCTACACAAAACCCACATGAAATTGCATAAGCATAAAAAAAGCGACATTCTCCACAGCGTGTTCATCCTGAAAACTTACTGTTCGATAGAAACCGAAGCTTGAGCTGTAATAATGCTGCTGTTGATCATGGCACCACTACCGATGCCTGTAACGATCATGAGACCGACAATAAGTCCAGTCGTGGAATCGGTGCGCAAGAGATTCAATAACCCGCAGGCGAGCGTCAAAACAACGAGAGAAAATCGAGTGGCCCACGTGTAACGTCCAGTTTTGACAATCACAAATCCTGTGAGGACGTTACAAATACAAGCAAACAACACGAGACACAGCAATAAGAGATTGGTGGTCATGCTGTCTTCTTTGCGAATGACGGATAAATACAGCGGCGTATAAGTCATGAGCGATTGGAAACAGCCTCCGTAAAGGAAAGCGGCCAAAAGGATCAGAATACTGCTGCGATTTGAAAATACGCCACGAGGAACCAGTGGATCGGATGCCCAAGCGTATTCCCAAACACCAAACAGAACCATAATCACCACGGAGATACAAATCAAACATAAAATGATCGGGGAATCCCACGCTGCAAAATAGATGAGACAGTCAAACCATCATAGTCATGTACGCCCTCCTAAATTGTTTTTTCTCCCACTTACCATACGTAGTTCCACCCCAACTAAGACCCAATACCATGCATACAACGCCAACGGACCACAGGACAATACCGACAAAATCAATCCTTGCTACATGCTGACGCCAGTGCGTGGACGTGGTGGGTCGTTCAATCGAGATAAAAACCAAGACTAAAGCAACAACGCAACTGAACCAAAAACCAATCAGCCACCGCCTCATTGATTACTATTTTTTCTCATCATCTTACAGTCCAAGCTAAAGGCACCAAATCAGTAAACAAAAAACAAATCAGCATGATTGTTCAAATATTGAATCGGTGAGTTAAAAAAAAAAAAAAAAAGATTCCCTTACCGCCATCCAAAACACGGAACGCCATCCTGCATGAGTGGTGGCGAGCCCACCTGAATAGAACATCACGATAAATCATCCATTGGTTGGTTTACTAATAATTCATTGATGACCATGACTTACCCAGGAGAGCACCCGCCACATAACCCAATCCCCAAGAAATGCCCAACAAGGCCTGATATAATCCGATATAACGTACAGGGATATAATCTAAAAATGGGCAAAACTCGGATTAACCTCAGAAAAAGAAAAAGCAAAACAATTGCGGTGTACCTGCTACGATGATTTTCATCAGGGTATCGAAAGCGCCGATGCCAAGGCCACAGAGTGCTCGCGCGACGATCAGCATGACCATGGCTTGCGCCGCTCCACACAAGATAGCGCCAACGAGATAACAGCATGTGGCGAATAAAAAGCAAGTCCGTCGACCAAACATATCGACCCATTTTCCGTAAAGCGGTTGGGATGTGGAGGCGGTCAAAAGAAAGGCCTTGAAATTTGTCAGATCAGTCACGCGCGCTCTCGATCAAAATCGATCCCGGGGATCTTACCGTGTTCACCCATCCATACAAGCTGAAACCGTCAAATTCTGTGTTGATAAATGGTATGATATGAATGAAAAAGAAAATAAGGGTCAATTGAACCGCCCTTGCTTCAACGCAATGGCATGTACGCTACCAGCAGCTACCAATGGTGTATTGCTTGCTACAATCATGTTGTCAAAAGCCGCCAAAAAAGAAACCATGCAAAGACTTTTGTATTGTATAGGACATACACCGATTTTAGAAAACGAAAGGAGAAAATTGCTAGAGAAAAAACCAGGGCGCTTACGATGAGAGAATCCACGCCAGCTTTTTCCGATCGATGGTGGCATGAGGGATCTGCTTTTCGACATCCCCTGAATCGGATTCACTGAAACGTTCTCTGTCCTCTATTGTACTTGCGGTTTCCTTTTCGTTCATGCTGGAAAAGTCGAGTTGGTTCATCACAGCTGGAATAGATGGTTGAAATCGAAAAGCAAACTCCCGTCATGCACAAATGGCTCCCAGAAAAAAGATTGATTTTTTAAAAGGAAAAAGATTGGTGAAAAGAAAAAAAAGGAGGGCGTTTTTTTTTCTTTGATGCGGCGAGAGGAAAATGAAGCGGAGTTGTTCACCGTGCTGACACATCTGAAGACACAAGCGGTCACAATGAGAAAGATGGGTTTGTCAGACATGGTAAGCAAAGGGAAAAAAAAAAAAAAAAGATGGGCTTGTCAGAAATGATCCACAGCGAAAAAAGAGTAGAAAGATGAAGGTATTTTCTTAAGAGGAAGGCGCCACTGCATCCAGATAGTCTTGGATATACTGGAAGTTCTCGGTAATGAAATTGGCCATGACGCCTTCCGGTTCGTCTGCCGCAGTGGGTGGGTGAAGAGGAGGAGGAGAAGACAGCGCAGACACAGGTTGGGGTTGTGTAAGCCATGGGATGGATGCCACGCGAACTGATTCGACTTGTTCAATTTCTAATCGATCAATCAATGGACCCATGGACCACGGCTGTTGTTGACTGAAATCGACTTCGGGAAAATCGGTTTTCAGGATTCCGGTATTTTTTAGGCCGATCATTTCAAGCAAAGGGCAAGCGTGCACCACTTGTCGCACGCCATTGGCCGTGACACCGACACAGTAGGATATATCGAGATGGCGAAGGTTGGATAGACGTTGAATGGCACCGAGAGATAGATCGGTGACGGCGCACATCAGAATAGTGAGTTGTTCCAGGCGTGCGTGGGACTGAACAAAGGTGATCAAAGCCTCGTCATCGATATCATCGCTACCGCCTACTGAAAAGTAGCGTAAATTGGCCAGCGGCATAGTCCCATCCTCATGCGGCGTGGAAATATGGTGTAAAAATCGGCTGCAGACACTTCGACAGCAGACCACGTCAAGGTGCGTAAGATGATGAAACGAACGTAGGTCAAAAGCCGTATTTTCAGCGTCCAGCCAGCGGGAACTGGCAATGTCGAGGTATTCGATGGGACAGTTGGCGAGAGGAAAAAGGGTGATGGGCAATAGATTTGGGCATGACTGAAGCGTCAGTTTACGCAAATGGCGGCAAAGGCTCAGATGATGAATGGATCGGTAACTGATATTGACGCCGTCCAAGTAAAGTTCCTCCAGCTGCGGACAATAACGGGACAGTTGGCTGAGACTTTTGTCGGTCAAGTCCTGCGACTCGTAAATGAGCAAGGTTTCCAGATTGGGCACGCTGCGCAAAAGAAGTAAGCAAGTGCGGTCGTCCAAAACATAGGGCGAGTCAATTCGGAAGAGACGAACAAAAGTGCCGAGCTTAGGTTGCGCTTGTTCGAGACAATGGAAAAACTGAGCCAGGGCACTGTGATGAAGCACCGGGGCTCGCCACAGCACAGGAATACTGGCTGCATAAAATTGCTTGCTTACGAGAGCGCAAGCATAACAATCACTCTGATCGAGAAACGTCAGAATGAGTGACAGCAATTCGGTAGGTAGCTCAAAGATGCGCATAGTGTCATCGGTTAGCTAGTCACGGAGAAAAAGAGCTACAGCGAAGAGAAAAATAGTCAGTGATTCAAATGAGTGCCACCAGAACAATCTGCAGGAAAAGAAAAATAGTAAACGAGGCGTAAAAAAATCAATAGAAAAAGACGACGTGACTCGCATAGCAACAGGGTCTCCTGATGATACATCAGAACACCCTTAAAGCTATCATCACACGGTATATGCGACAAACCAGGAAAACCAGTACTAGATGGTATTATTTCTCCCGGTTTTTTGGGAAAAACCACAAGTATTATGAGGTTTTGTCGCGGCTTTTTGAATTGACACTACGTTATTACTGTTTTCCATGGTTTTTTTTTTTTTTTTTTTTTTCTGTTTGTACGGTTTTCTGCCTCTCAGGCTTTTGGTGCTGTTTTTTGCTTGACCGCGCAGTCGGGCTTTCAGTCGCCTCGTTACACCAAAGTGTTGGAGGTAACCATTATGCGAAATTGTCCCGTCGTCAAGCACGACATTGCGTTATAGCACTTTCCTCGCCTACTGTCTCCCTGATTACCGCAATTATAAAAAGAGTTCTCTTGCAATGTTATAACATGTTATCTTCCTGGTATAACTTTTTTTTGCCCGGTTTTCATCCGCGGTGTTGGCCAGGAAATCTGTGACTTTGTCCGAAAATTGGGATGGAGGCATGGCGATCCTTGTTGTTTCGTCTTTTTTATTTTTTTTACCCCGCAACTGTTTTTCTATATTTTTTCGGTTTCGGTCATTCCAGCGATTTTTCTCTTATTTACCCACCTTTTCCTTGGCTCTGTGTTCATTCTACCATGGTCGCCAATAATACAACGAACCCTTACACCAACGCATTCCTGGTAATAAACCTCAATCACCATTTGCCAATGTCGTCTTCCGCCTCGTTTATATTGTTGGCAAGACCGACATGTTCAACTCTTGTCAACCAGTGGACTGACATGGCTGCTTATTTAGACAAAACGTCCCAAGGATGGTATCGAAATTGTTCAGGAGCGGCTTCGACAGTCGATAATGTTGGACGAAGAATTATCCCAGTATTTTAGAGAAAGGTAGCTTCTACAGACGACACGTTTTTCTTTTGCAAGCCAGGACAACGATATATTCATCGGCTGATACTGTGTTAGAGCGCTTATTGAAGATCAGTACGCCAAGAGCCTGGTCAAGGCGTCGAAGCGGCTGTTTGTTACGGATAAATCGAGCTTAGGGTAAATGGGAAAGAGATGGAAAGCTAAAGTCATGATGATTCTTCCGTGTAACTTAATTCGTTATCTTGCAGCAATTTTACTCCGATTTGGGAATGCCTTTTTAATGAGTTTACAGAAATATCCACCGCCCATGCCATTCTCGCTCACCAAATCGCGGAAGAAATTGAAAAACCACTGAAAACTTCTGCGTCGCCGGCTCATGAAAAGATCAAAGAGGTGAGTTTTACCAGGCATGCCGTCATGTGGTTATGCTGGTCGTATTGATTTCACCCTGACACATGCGCTTTTTAGCTGGAGCCCGGTTTCGCTCGGCTGGCAAAGGACTCCGAAGGTGCTAAAAAGGTAAATGGATGAACAATATTGAACCGGACAGTTCTTTGAATTTAGCAATGGCTAAAGAAAAGGACCATTAGAATAAAACTCTATTCAAGCGATCGAAATCCCATTCCGACACTTCATTTCCTACATGGCAGGTGGACGGTCCTAATTTTTTAGAGGTAAGGAAGAAAATGGTCACCAAATGAGTAATGACAGCGGTAAGACTGAACCCTTTTAAAGCTCCACCAGACAGTGGAAGAAGCACGCTTACAGCGATTAAAGACCCTGGTGGAAAAATTTGAGCAGCTCCAGATGGATCAAATGCTGAAACGAATGGAGGTATGCATTTCAAAGCAAGTGGAGGTGATTGGTGGTATAAATGGGATGCGGCGTCATTAATGGTTGTGTAATGGGGTTCCTGTAGATCGCCAATGTCACACAATCAACTGCCACAGCATTGGATGTCCAAACCGAGATTAATGATTTCTGTGCCAGCCGTGGCAAACAATTGAGCACTATCCCACCCTCCACATCGCAAGAAACGCCCTCCAGTTCACCTTCCTCTTCCAATCGCGCACGACCACAAAGCACAACCGTTAGTTCAATGAGCAGCAATCCTTCCAGTTCAAAATGCAAGTCATCACTGACACTTGATTCGTGCAATTTTTTCTTTATTTCGTACTAATTCTTTTATTTTAGTGAAATCAGTATTTTCCATACGTCGAAAAGCGAAACACGCTGATTCGGCACCAGCGCAGTAAGTAAAAAAGAAAAATGACATTGCTGATACAGCCCAACACGTTTTCCTTATAATCGCCGTTGCAGGCAAAACTCCTTTACCATGATTGACGAAGAACCAGAACACGAGCAAGATCAGTCACACTCCACCCCTCCAATGTCTCGGGGATCGCCAGAGAGCACGCGACAAGCGAGTCATGCTTCGGGGCAACAGAATCCTCCCCTCGAACGAGAACGCAGTAAACAGAGCTTGACTTCATGGTTCGAAGTGAACAATACAAACGGCAGCTCGGGACAGCCTTCCGTATCCACCCTGACTCAACAAGCTCAGGTACATTCATGTTATTGATCATTAGCATACACTTTACTGATGAAATGTGTTGTTCATCTGTCCACAGTCACCCCAGGTGGATGAAGAAGGATTTTCCGTTCCTCCTCCAGATCCTCATCGAGGGCTATATTCCAGCAGCGGCGCGCTGTTTACCCAAGAGCCTGAAGAATTGGATGGCGATAGTCACAGGTAAGCGAGGAAATGGTGTATGCATGATAAATATGCCGATATCTTTACTGAATGCATGAATTTAGCAGTACCACAGGACACCGATTCAAGGTCGATATTCAAAACCAACCTGTTCATCATGAAGAGGATAATCGTGTAGCGACCGAAATCATGACAAGAATGGCTTCCTTGTTGAGAGAGGTAAACATTTGAATTTTGTAGATCATATTCCAAATATGCCGCCTCATACTCAGCTTGTGCATGCATATAGAAAAATCAAAGCATTTCCAGACGTCCACGCGGTCGACGAGAGTAAGTTGATTTCATATTGTTCAGGGATGCAAGTTTTTATTCACTTGTTACCTTGCTTTATTTCAGACATTTGCGTTCCTCTCAAGCAGAACCCAACAAGTTGTTCCTGTCATCGTCACCGTCAGCAACTCCTTTTGACAGTTCCGAAGCGATTCATTCAGGTTCGAACGTGTCTGCTTCTACCGCCGAATCCACTCGTACCAATCCGTTCCACCAGAGCTCGCTTGAAGTCTCGACCCCAACCAGCGCCAACTCGGTATCATCGTCGGCATCAAGGAGCCCATCCTTAGCCACCGACATTCCTTGGCAATTACGACCTATTCCCGAAGTAACGCAACCTCAAGCGTACGCTAGCATCATCGAGACCCTTGATAAAAAGGACAATGACGTGTTCTATGTAACTGGCGTAATTAAACTTGCATACAATGGATCTTCAACACCCATGTCGCCTCTTTTGATCCGTATCCAGAACTACGACACTATCAAAGATTTGCAACCGAATAGAGACTGCGTCGAACCATTGAATGATGAAAAGGATGTATTTGCGTTGAAGGCCGAAGCATTTGATGGAACCCGAGGCACGGCAATGGAATGTTTCACCTATCATTTGGAGATCACTGGTGATGGAAACGATATTCTTCCTGTCCATGCGTCACCACTGTGGAAATGCGCGGAAAATGCCTCGTATCTGATGTTGCGGTACCAAGTAACAGATATGTTCGACGCATGCAAGGGCCACGTAGCTCTGTCGGTGCCATACGACCAAGTGCCGGTGGAAGCGGTTCAAAGCTCACCACAAGGTTTATGGGATACTACAAAGAAGCGACTGACATGGACCCATGAAGCTCTATCGGAACATCGACAGACAACCTCGACAGCCGATGTAAAGGGATGGCCACGTTTGCTGGCCAAGTTTCTCACCACCGGTGTGGGGCAGGCACAACCGGTCATGTTGAAATACTTTTGCAAAGACACGTTGGCCAGCACCATTGCCGTAGAAGCTGTTCCTGCGTTTGATTGCCAATTGGAAGTCAAGCAAATCCACAAAGCCCTGAAATCCGGAACCATCCTGTTTTCTTGACTCGCAACAATGTAAAATGTATCATTTGTATTTTTATGTGAAAAAATTGGTGCTGTTAGTTCCGTTAAATATTTTATTATTTTTTTACGTTAATGACTTTTATTCCATAGTCCCTGCTTTTCTTTGTTTTTTTTTTCTTTATTCAAATCATAAATAATTGAAATCAATCTTACGTTACGATGCTTAGGGTCGTCTTCCTTTCTTTTTTTTTTTATTCAAATCATAAATAACTGAGATCAATCCTACGTCACGATGCTTACGGGTCAGTCTTCCCTTTTTTTTTCTTATTTTTCTGTTATCGTGACGGGATGATGGGACGACAGCATGATGCCCAAAAGAAAATCGGCACCCATTATTGAATGCAGGGTGTGTGGGGATCATGCATAGGCACAGAATCATTCCGCAACTGGAATGCTTGCCAGAAAGGTGGGATAGTTAGGTCACGCAAGTGCACAGGGACTCGCTCAATCAAGTCTTCGTCGGTGTAAAAATCGACTTTCTAAAAACGGTAAAACGAAAAAAAAAAAAAGAAAGAAGAGAAACGAAGAGAGTGTTAGCAAAATGAGTGGCCTTGTACAAACATGATTGGATTGGACTCTAATACGCTACCATAGGAATCTTGCCACCATAGGGTGTGACGACGTTTTCCACAAACTGTTGGCGCCAGAGAAGAGGGACGACACCGGGTGTTTCGGATGCGGGTAATAAAGGCTCGGTCACGTAACAGTTACTCTTGCTAATGAAAGCTTCCTTGGGATTCAGGTTACCGAGACTAATGACATTGGGATCGATTCCTGGAGCAGCACCGAATTTGTTATGCTCGACGGTGATTTGTGACGCCCAAGGAGAAATAGGAACGCTGCTGTTCCAGATCGGTGGTCGGATGGTGTTATTGTAGCGAGCCGTCCAGAAATCGAAAAAGGTGACAGCCTCATACAACCAGCCATCCAAAGGGGCCGGCGGGTCGAAAGAATGGTCGAGGAATCGGTAAAAGAAATTATCATGCACAACAATGTTGCTCACTTGCATGAAATCTGCATGGTTGGCAACATACATCATAACGGCAGTATTCGCCAAGTAGTTCGAAACGAAATAACCGTCCACCTAAGAATAATGCAAACGCCATCAGCACCCCGAGGTTAAAGATAAGGAGTAAAACGTGAGATCAATATTTGTGGCTTTGTTATTCATTGATCTTACGGCAGAGGTGAAACGGGCGGCACCACCAAAATCGGCCAATTGCCAGCCGGCAAAGAAGTTTTGGTAAATGTAAGTCTGGTTGGATCCGACAATACTGATAGCATGGTCTTGTGCTACCGCTTTGACATCTGGAAAGGTGCCGTTCTAAAATATTGTAATACATGAATGAGACCAGGTAACCAAGGCATCAAGGCGAATAAGTTACCATAATATTTTCTCTAATGGTGATGCCGTTGGTCATGTACAGCTGAACGCCGGAAGCCAGATACCCCTGTTCATCGGCAATCGGCTTGTTCAGGCAGGATCGCAAGAACTCAATAACCTCCAAGTTGCGTTGCAGTTCAGACGTGACGTATGGCTTGACATCGGCTATTTTGCGCATATCCATGCTGATAAAATAAAATTGCAAAAATGAGACATTGTCAGGTATTGGGTTGTCAACCAGGCACGTACCCAAAGATGTTGTTGGAAATAACACTTCTCTTCTGTGTCTGGAAAAGAATGCCAGTATCTGTTGCAGATCCAAAAATCAAGAATTTACTAGTCTGCATCAAAATAACGTAGAGACCGCGTAAAACATACTGGTTGTGTCATAAGACGGAATCATGACCGTGCCAGCGTGAGCCTCATCGCGCAAAAAGATGTTGCCGTCTAGTAAAGAAAGACGATCAGTTGAGGATCATCCAATTTGTCTTAAAGTATTATTCTGATGACAAACCGATGTATAATTGTTCACCACGATCGGCAATGACGGAACCTCTTCCACCGTTGATGAATATGTTGCCAAAAATGAACGAATCGTATTCGTTGGAGTGAGGTTCAATCAGGATATTAACGTTTTCAAACACAATGTTGGTAATAGACCAACCCACGTTATCATGAGGTACTATTAGGAAGAATTTGTAAGCTGACCGTGAAGATCCTTTGTTTTAAAAATAAATCAAATCATTTACCCAGGATGGAGCCGAGCTGGCTGTTTCCATCTTTTACTGTAAAAATAGTTGGTCGATCCTGTGAACCTTTGAGCGACACACCTGGACGAAGTACAATGGGAGTGTGGTCATCCAAGACTACTTGGCCTACGATGCGGATAACACGGTTAAAAATTCGTTTTTGCTTGCAATCAATTAGTGGCATATTTACCAGGAGGAAGTATGACAGTGGATACACTAACATGGTATAGACGTTGAATAAATTGCAAAGGGTCAAATTATTGTTTATAACATACTTTTGAGTGGCAGCATCATCAATAAGTTTCTGCAAGGTTATTGCTGTGTCTGCATTTACAGGTGAATACAACTGCAGAGTATCCGAAGTGCAAGCCAAACTATCTTGATCGATTGCTGTAACCAAGAAAACAAGGGCAACTCCAGATAAAACGGACGTTAGTAATCGCATCTTTTTCAAAAGAAATAGCAAATAGAAAAAGAGACGACAGTACTGAAGGATAAGAATTTGTATTTATTTTTCTTATAAAAATAAAAAAATAAATAAAAAAAAAATTGAGTTGCGAGTTTAAGCATAAAGGTTGCAATTACACGAGGAATGCATTTCTGGCTGCCCATAACTCACCTTTGCCTGCTGTCCTTACTGCGGTGTTCCGTATATGGTAATGCCCGTTTTTCACACGCCGACACTGAGCGCCAGAGGCAGTTGCTGCTTTTTTTTTTTTTGCCTCCCCGGAAGACAGGCTTGCACTTCCTTGTTTGTTCAACATTTTTGCTTTTCTTTTTTTTACTTTTCTCTAGTTGTTGGTTCTTCTCTTTCACTGTCTTACATTCTGAGTTGTTATTTATTGGGTTAACAAGTCATGGCGACTCCACACTCTATGCTAATACCCAAGGATCCTCCTTCTTATGACTCTTTATACCTCACTATACCCTCGTCTTCCACATCGCAACACGATGCACTTCCCTTGAACTCATCATGTTGCAATTCTGTGCGTGGCTTCTTTCGTCGCCGGGTGGCTTTTTTCCAACGATTAGCTGCAGCTACATTTGTCGCTGCGACAATCTCAGCAACCGTCATGCTGCTGCTGTGGCAACTGCAGAATTTAACGTCAATCGACGATCAAGACGATCCATGGTTTGACCCCGATAACTTGTCAAGCTGGTCGCACGGTCATAACCACACTGTTTAATCGAATCATACTGACTTGGTCATCGTTGTTTATCCTTTTTTCATATTTTGCCCTCCCATCGTTTACCACCATATTTCTATCATTATATTACTAGTGTCAATCATATGAGAAACCTTTTCTTTTGTATATATTTTTTTAGTTGCATTGTAATCCAAGAAAGCAATAGCGACAAACCTTGTTTTTGCTTTTTTTTTTTTTTCCTTTATTATTTCTTTCCGTGGAAACATGAAACGACATCTTTATGCTTTTTTCTTTCCTTTTGCGTTTTTGAGTGAGACGAGCCTAAAAAGGAGTGGTTGCGCTTTTCTATTCCCCAGCAAAAGAAGAGGGCTGTATTTTATCTTCCACTTTGCACCATAGATACATTCATAAATTCCTTACCTAATGCGATTCTTTTGACGGGTATCGATCTACGCAGGATCAACACTCAATATGAATACTTTATCAATCAATCAATCATTGCTCAGGCTTTCATATGACGTACGTAGTTAATGCCTACTTAGTAAAAGCAATAGTGCTGATTCTAATGTGGGATAGGCTTCTTAATATTCATACTATACTGTATGCTTCTGTCAACCTTAAGTGGTAAGACCGCTAAACCATTTCCGGGTTGTCAGCTTTGACGCATGAAAAATCGATTTACCGTACTCGGTTACTTTTTTAAAAAAAAAAAATTGGAAAAAAATTCGCGGAGACGGAAAAGGACTTCTCAAACGGAGGGGTTTTGTGAAGAACAGATAATGAACAAGAGCAAATGGCTTACTTTGTATCATTTAAATTTACCGTAAGCTCTGGAGAAGCTTCCCATCCAGAGTTTTGCAACCTCGGGAAGACGGCGATAACCGGCCGGGAGAATGTGAGAAACAATTCAATAAAAGCACCCAAGAAACGCCCCCCACCTACGAAAAACCTGCGTGACAGCGGCCGTCAACAAAAGACATCCAGACCACGAAGAGCAACAGGCGGAATGCCGAAGAAGGAAGGATGCCTGCAAGCCTGTAGTAATTAGGTAGGCTTTTTTGAAGGTTTACTTGACTTGCAAACACCCAACCGAACAGACCATCAGACACAGGACGAGGAATGAAGAAGAGCTTGGCTGTAGGATTTCATACCGTAGCACGAGAGAGAGAAGGGACAATGTACGGTTACTTGAAAGTCTTTTTCTCTTCAGCGATCGCCTACCGTCTTTTCTGTATTTGAGGTTAACCGAATGAAAGAGTAAATTATGTACTACAGAGAGGGTTCTCAAACCAGGGTTGGCGTATTCCGTTGACAACAAGGAATATAACAAATCAATCAAACAGCCCAACGTTCAACTTCCTTTCAGTAATGTAAATTTTTAATATGTTTATTACAGAATAATCGAGCAATTCAACCTTTATAGATAAAGAATAATTAGTTAGGTGTGGATTTTGACCGATTCCGTATAGTTTTTACCTCAAAGGTTGCTGTTAGTTGTGATGAGATCTTTGGACGCACGGTTATCTTGCGCTTTCTGCGTACTTCATCCTAATGATAGACAAGTGCTTGATGGACGTCTCCCTTGCTAACTTTTGAAAAACGTAAAAACCATGATCGGTTCGCTTCGTTTTCCGTCGTATAGTGAACACGGACCTAAGAGAATAAATGTTCAAATTGATTAATACAGATGCCCATCCTAATGATATTAAAATCTAACCTTGTCGCCTTCGGCGACGGGGCGACCCTTCCCAACCAGCACATCCTCGTACTGGCGAGCCTCCATGAGCGCCTTCAAGTTTCCTACAAGATGATAGCTTCGTTAATCAGATCACAATATTTTATCCATCCATCAAACCCTTACTTCATTTCTGGCGTCATACATGGGTGACAACACCTCATACCGCGCCATGTTTTCACCATGTCTCTGCTTCGCGTCCCAACTTCCCTTTGCATTGCAGTCTCTGTAGTCATGCGTCTGAAGGTTCGCGTTTTTGGTTGTTGGATAATATATTCATGTTGAAGAAAAAGAAGAGGATAAACCGAACGCGATGAATTCGGTCGATTGTTATGTGGACAGCCACCATGACTGGCAAACGGACGAGAGACTGAAACATCAGCATGTGTCCTTTGAATTTATCAGTTTTCACATAGCTGAGAGTAAGTTCCTCTACATCTGTTATGCTTACGGTACTGGGGAAACGTCGGAAGCGGTGTAGTGCTGTAAATAGTGCGATACAAATTTGTTGCGTCAAAAGAAATGGCATTGTCAGCAACGTATTCTCTTAAAGATACTGCGACTTGACTGATACCTTCTGGCCGCTCCTGTTCTCGATGCTGAATCGCCAAAATAGATTGGCACGGTCGATTTTGCCTTGGATGGCGCCAGGAAAATCAAAGACACCCATACGCAGCACTTGCCGAACGTGCTCTTCTGCTGGTATTTGGAGATTGCACACCCTCTCTTGCATCCAATAGGCAGTGAAGGTGATTAGCTTCTGCATTGCTGAATCTTCTTGGTTAAGCAGATAATATCAGAACCGTCGCACTGCTGAAGTACTTCCAAGAGGCGAAGGATAATGTCTCTATCGGACAGTGCCTTCATGGCGGGACCAAGAGCGACAATAGCGATAAAGTCATAAGTACACTGTGAATCTCGCCAAAATAATAGAGTTATGCGCATAGTAAACCTGTATTTTGGCATTCGCATTTATTGATCGATCTACTTTGCTTGTTTGTAAAGCGCAAATGATTTTGGCCTAACTACGAGGTACTACCGTTGTCATCCGCGTTTTTGGCTATATCTTTGACTTCGTTGTCGCCCTCATTTTTTTACGCATCATATTCAGCCACCATAGTAACTCTCGATACAAGGGAACATCATTCTCCTCTGAACGTCCAACGCGGACGGCACATTGGTTCTTATCAAGATACCGCCATACCCCCAACAAACAGAGTCGACGGTTTGCCGAGGTATGATATTACAATTATCGAACGGCGTACGATCTTTCAGCTTCCATTTCTCTTTAATGCATTTGTCCTATAGGGTGAGCCTCCAGGGGAATGAGAAATGGCCGGTTGAAGCCATTGAAATTTTATCCTACTTTTGATTGTGGTGTTCCTTTTTGACCGTAATTTTGGTAGCAACCACAAGAAATAACAACGATCAAGTACCATACTAAAAGTCCAATGTGAGAACGATAACTCTTACGACAAGTGTATATGTCATGATCATTCAAGATTAGCTGTGTTTGCAAAGTGATGGCCAAACGAAAATGACTGATAAATATTCTCATTACCTTATAGCTGCCTGCTACGACGAAGCTTGTTCTGAAGCCAGAAAATTGCAACGCAGAATTTGCCAGTCGTAGTGGTCAAATGCTGAAGGATGCACTGAACGACTCGCATAATGAATTCGAGAGAAACGGCATTTCTGTCGCGTGTTCTAGGAGGTTGTCAGTTCACGTGACGAAGTATGAGATAAACATTTATGCAAGTGAAATTTTCTGGGCGGTCTTGCCACAAGTTGTCTCAGCTGAAAGTGATGATGAAGTCCTTTATGACAAACTTGATATCTACAGGACATCTCTACTAGAGAACAGAAGGAGTGCCGCAGTCAAATGAATTGTTTGAATAATACTGCTCCTTACTTTTATACCAACAATAACATGATTTTTGTTGTTTTTTGGCAATGATATACATACTGTACAACCCGAGTAAAGATATATAATCTCAAAGAAAGTAGTGATCATACAGTATAACCTAGCCTCCTTTTTTTCCGCTTTGAAATAAGGTGACTCATACAACAATTCGCGCAATTAGCAACAGTCCCAACATGAAGTCAGTTCCCACCACCACTGTTAGGACTATTAAAGTACGTTTTTGAAGTGGAGAGTCTCAATAGACTATTGATGCCGCCCTTGGTGTTTCACGTCGGATGATTGGGATCTTGCAGCAGAAAACATTCATCAAAATGGACAATCGCAATATTCTCTCCCTTGCTTCTTGAGGACGCAGCCTATGCTGCATCATGCAGTAAAGTTCCATTTGCCGCCACCGAGTGGCATGCTTTCGCTGCAGACGAGTTTCCGCAAACACTCCCGAAAACCCTGAGGCCAAACAGCGAAGAGTTTGTGTAAATTCTGGAAGCACCTTTCTAGACACCAATAAATTGTTCGTCCTTTTCATTTTCATTTATTTTAAGATAATGCTTGAGTAAGAGTCATCTTTGGTAATCACCCTTCAAATATAAAGAATTGTAGCCATTGACGCGAAAGGATAGCCGGGAGCAGTGTGAACTCTGAGGTATCATAACAAAAATAAAGGCATGATTGAGTGGGTTTCGGGTATTTGGAAGCCCGACAAGTGAATCTGTCAACTCGCTCTTTTTTTCCGCCTTTGCATAATCCCAGTTACTTTAATCGAAGCATGAGTGATTCGCAGAGAAGCAGTTATCACAGCACCTACAGCTCTCAAACGCTGTTTGACGACGATATTGACGATGATCAAGCTTTGAATGACGATATTCAGGTAACGTTTACATACAGTCCTCTGAAAGAAAAAAGGCACGTAGCTTGAAAAGCCAACTGCCTTTTTGTGTATCCGAATGCTTACCGCCTTTTTACTACTTGTGAACAGACTGCTTTTGCAAATAAAGACAGCATTCTGTTTGCTATTGACTGCGGGCCGACGATGCTGGTTCCCGATGCCAGCGGCAAAATACCTCTTCGCGTCGCGTTTGCATGTGTTCAATCCGTGTTGATGAACAAAATCTTTAGCAGCGAATCAGATCTCGTGGGCGTCTTACTGTTCAGCACAGAAAAGAAAAGGAACGCCGCCAATCACGATCATATCTATGTTCTCCAAAATCTGGATGTACCCGACGCTCATCGCATCAAGGAAATGGAAGCACTGGCAAAAGGTACTTTCCTTTTTTGTATACGATCAACCGCAGCCAAATACCAAAAAAAAAAGGAACTCAAGGAACAAATAATTTATAATGGGATTATCTATAGGACCAACCGACTTTGAAAAGGAATACGGATCGACCAAAGAAGAATATCCATTCGGCAACGTATTCTGGACATGCACAGATCTCTTTGCAGCAAGGTACGCAAGGATTTAAAAGGGAGCTCTTCCGCAATGTCTACCGGTCACTTAAATTATATCCCATAGCACGCAGAAAAAGGGCACACGACGTATCTTTCTTATCACCAATACAGACAACCCGCACGCAGATAATGCGAATTTGCGTAATTCCGCAATCCGACGAGCCAAGGTTGGCCCTGATTTCTTGCACCATCTTTTTTTCACGAATTTCGGCTAAACGTTTGTACAGGACTTGTGGGATGTGGGGATCCGTATCGAGTTGTTTGGTCTGGATCAATCCGACGGTCATCATTTCGACTACAAACTATTTTATTCAGTACGTTCATTTCGTGGTATCGAGTCGTGCTTTGATGTTGATCAATCTTCAAATAGGAAATCATGGCAATGGAAGATGAAGAAGCAGATGGTGATGACGACGAAAGCCGATTGGATTCCAAAGACTATCAAAGTTCAATGAATAAGCTGGAAGAGTTGATGCAAAAGATCAGACGCAAAGAAGTGAAAAAACGTTCTCAATTTCGCATTCCCTTCCATCTTGCGGAAGGCTTGACGATTGGTGTACGAGGGTAAGGCGCTTATCTGCTGCTATGTGCGCGATCAATGACTAAAATATATCGTTAACAGCTACGCTATTGTCATGGAACAGAAAAAGGGCACCCCTAAAAAGGTCGTGACGAGCGGTCGGCAACTCTTGGAAATCGATACGCAAACCACCTGGAAATGCGCAGTAAGAACTTTGCCACTGCCACTACCTTTCTAGATAACATATGACTCATGGGAACATGGCATACAATGATTCACAGGATACAGATCAGTACTTGCTTCCATTTGATATCAAATACTACTATGCTTATGGTGGCGAAAATATTGTTTTTACCAAGGAAGACTTGCAAAAGGTTCGCAACTTTGGCGATCCAGGTAGCTCACATTCTACAACCACCTAAAACGAGCCATCTCGAATATTGAACTGGTGCTTTTTTTTTCCCTGAATAGGTTTGGTGCTTATTGGTTTCAAGCCTCGTGCATCCTTGTTACCTTACTATAACATCACGCATCCTTACTTTATCTATCCGAATGAAACAGTATGTCCAGTAGATCGTCTGTGATAATCGTGATCGCGGTGATATAATTTATGATACAATAGGACTATGAAGGTAGCACAAGAACTTTCTCGGCTCTCCTCCGGACCATGGTCAAACTCGATCAAATCGGCATTTGCTCTTTCTTCCGCCGCACCAACTCGCTTCCTAAACTCGTCGCTCTCTATCCACAGGTAAAACCGAAGAATTTTTTTTCTTTTTCCTCCAATGACCGAATGTGTAGCTTATCATGATCTCGTAAACTGTAGCCAGAAGTCCTGGATAATAATCAAGTTCAGATAACTCCGCCTGGATTTCACTTGATTACGCTACCTTTTGCGGATGACATCCGACCTCTGCCTGTCGAACAAACCGCTGATGGTATGCTTGACATTGAAAAAAAAAAAATCCCTCATTCTCTCACTCATGTAGACTTACCATCACCTAAATGTAGCCAATGTGGATGAAATTGATGCTGCCAAGAAATTTGTGGAAAAATTATCATTTAATCAAGGATTCGATCCTGCCGCCTATGAAAATCCTTGTACGTTACAGATTTTTCTATTTGCCAAGCTGCGGTGACTCATTTGTCTACCTACTTATTTCATTCTTTTATCATGACAGCTTTGCAACGCCATTATGCTACATTACAAGCTATTGCGCTTGAAAAGGAAGTCGATGAAATTGAGGATCGAACATTGCCCAATACCAAAGTTATTCACGAGGTGCGATAGCGTAGAGAAATGCAATGCACCATGACTTCAAATTAATCATCATCTTATTCCGCAGCGATTGGGCAAGGATATCGAACATTTCAAGACCCTGATCGGCCAAGATATGGAAATTGAACCTGAAGCTCCGAAGCGCAAATCACAGGTAACTGATGTCTGATAGACATTAAAAGGGAAACGATTAGCCTTGACTGAATGTCAAAAAAACAAAAATATTTTTTTTTATTATTTTATGTGATCAAGGGCGAATCAACCTCGAGCAAGCGAGCTAAAGGTGCGCTGAGTGTGGAAGATCATTGGCGGGACCAAAGTTTGGATAAGGCAAGTTAAGAAATGAAATTGGTCTGTGCCATAATTAGCTTATCTAAGCGGTGAATTATATTTGGAAACAGTGCCTCGTGGCGGAACTAAAGACTTGGCTGAAGGAGAATGGAGTAACGCCGAAAGCACGAAAAGCAGATTTGGTTCAGCAGGTGTCAAAGCTTTTGGAATCCCGTCACGCTTGATCGGTTGCCTTTGGTTCTTTTTTTTCATATCGCCTTGATCAACCGCAGAATTTATAAACTCAGCCACGAGACCATCCGAGACCCTTTGGAGAAATTTTTAGTCATAGGCTAACAAATTTTTTCATATAAAAAAAAAGGGTTGGGCGCATTGAAAATAAAAATAAAAAAAAAGTTTTAGGAAATTATATTTCTTTTTTCTGCATCGGTGCATTTTCCCTTTTTCTGTGTCCTTCTTTTTTCTTTACTCTATGCTAAAAGAAGACGTTACGCTTGAATTTCAAATCGATCCTTCCTTTACAGGCATCTTGCGTGGTGCCGCTCACGATGAGTCCGAAGGGTGCACGTTGAAAGGCAACTGCGTCGTCAACGTCGTTCGTCCCATCAAAGTGCGTCGTTTGATCGTCTGGTTCGAAGGACGATGTAAAGTGCAATTGAAAGCGGCCGGCTACTCGGTTCATCCCACCGAACACACCGATCGTCGTACGCTTTACACCAAAGATCAACACTTTATCGGCCATGATGCCGAAATTCAGAGTTTGGAACCAGGGCGTTACCTGTATCCTTTCCAATTCGAGATTCCTTCCCATTTACCGGCCAGTTTCCGTGGCAAACGCGGTTACATTCGTTATCGACTGTCGGCAGGCATGTACCGTCCTATGTTTGCCAACGACATCACCATTTCCAAGGATATCACCATCAAACGATGCTTACTCAACGACCTGGCACCCGCGTCCGATATTCTCGAAACCGCACATGGTCAAGATCACCCTCAATGGATACAGTACAGTGCGACCGCGCCTTGCATCGCGTATCGTGAAGGCGGGCTCATTCGACTCAATCTGACCATGCTTTTGCTCCGTCCGGAACTGATGTCGGTGCGATCCGTAACCTGTGCTTTGCGCGAACGAGTTCAGTACCGTACAACGGATCAGCAAGCTCACACGTTGATTGCCAAGACCGACGATCTGTTTCCCCTTGGTTACAGTACTTTCTATCCATCTCAAGACGAAAACTATAACCCTGCCGAGAAACACAACTACAATGCCGTGTTTCGACTCATTCCCCGTGTGAATGCCGACACCAACAGTCGCCTCTTACGCGTCACTCACACCTTGGTCGTCAATATCATGCTCGAAGATAAACATCATCCACACGAATCCGGGGACGAAAGTGCCAGTGAAAGAGAATCCGATGTCGAATCCGAAGACGAGAAAGCGAGTATTCAGATGAGCCCGTTTTCTACACCCCCTCCTTCTCAACCCAATTCTCCACCCATCAGTCGCGCCTCTTCCTCCTCTTCTCTTTCCTCTCTATTCTCTTTGACCCGGAATACTCATGGTGATGCCGGCAAAGACGGTATCTCCAACTTGAAACAACATGCGCTTCGCAGGAAGAAAATCCGATCTGGTCTCACCATGTGTTCACTGGAATTGCCTTTGGTTGTCACCTCGCGTGAACATTTCTGGGACAGTGGTATGCCCAGTCCTCCCTCCTACGAAACGGGCGATTTCCCACCAACTTATGGCCAAACCATCGAACAGTTGCCCCGAGTACCCCACTACTTGAACGAAGAAGCCTCCGCTTCCTAGGTTTCATCTTTCTCTTTTTTTCCCACTTATATTCTTGTAAACCCCAATGCTAATCAAATACCCATATTCTTTCTTCTTTATTTACCATCACTTCTATCTAATTCACTACTTCCTACTTCAACTCATATTTCTAAAAAAAAAAAAAAAAAAAAAAAAAAAAAAATATCATGATAATCATAAATAAACATGCATAAACAATTAGTATCAACAAAAAAAGTTTATTTCGGTTTTGAAATTAGCGTGGACCGGAGAAAAGGGGATCTATTTTTTGCATGGTGGTGTTTCATGAACTCATGCCGATCTTCAAGCCTAACCTAAATTGAACGCGCGGACTCCGATGTGGCGGGAAGAGTCGGGTTCATACTGAATAAACAATGGCCCGGGATCATCGTATTGGATCCGCTCTTTTCTATTCAAATACAGCTACCAGCACCTCACTGGGTGAGCGTCCTTCGCCTGATCCGCCAACGGAAATCCATTCAAACCGAGCTGCTGCGCCATTGATATTGATCTGGCTCGGCGTGGGGACTCGCTTCTCGAACAGATACTCTCCGATAGCCACAAAACCTCGATGGTTTCTCTTGCTGTCTTTGTGAAAGGTCACCTTGACATCACGATCACTGGCTTGCGATAATTCAGAGACTTCTGCGCCCGGAATGATATGGGACACGGATCCCAAGAAGGCCAATTTTCCTTCCTGTGGTCGAGGAATGTGAAGGAACGTTTTGCTTTCGTGACGTTTCAGCGTGACAGTGGACGATGGGTGGTAGAACAAACTTTCTCGTTGATCGGGGATCGTCATATGCATATCGTTGTCCGTGGCGAATAACAAATGCGTACTTTCGGAGGAGGAAGGAAGGTAGATCGTTTGCTCATCACTGCTCAGGTTCGCAAAAGTAGTATACATTTGATCACCGTAACGGAATTGGATCACGAATACGTCCGAACGAAATTCAATGACACTCGATACTTGAGCCATGACTTTGGGAAATGTGGCTGAATACAGTAAATGCTCATCCTTGCCGTATTCCGCTACATTGTCGGAAATAAACACCAGTGCACCGAGAATATTGTTCAATAAACACAGCGTGTATCGCTCATCAGCCGTCAGTTTGTTCTTGTGCGTTCGCAAAATCATCACGTCAGGATCATTGCCAAACATACGATCCGACATGGTCCACCGCGTCAGCGTCGATACCAACGAATTGGCGGTCGACACGCGTTCACGAACATGCAGCATCTTTAATTTGGTGTCTATACCATCAGGTTATTTTTGAAAATCCCCCTTTTTTTTGGTTTCCACAATTATAGCTCACCTTCCCACCAGGGTGCGACGTCCGATCCGATGCGACAATAGTCGACTTTTCGCCATGCCGAAGCAAGAGGCACACCACAACCCAATATCAGTTTCTCGGGTCCGACAAGATCGCGGATGAACTCCATAGCATCCCACATGATCTCACCACGGGATTTGCCTAATCGAGGAATCATGGCAGCCGCAAAGCAAAAGTCCAGTTTCAACATATCAAAACCCCATTCATGCAATACCGTGTGGAAGACGGTTTTTAGGTACTCGCGTGCTTGGGGATGGTACATATCCAAAGCATAGAATCCGCCCCAGTTGGGTCCTGCCACCACCGGTTTGTCGCTTCCTGCTTCCTTGATCAGCCAGTCAGGATGCTCTTTGGCTAAGCGACTGTGAAATCCCACTGCGTAAGGTGCTAACCATAAACCAGGCGTAAATCCGGCTTCTTTGATTCGCTGAGCAATCGCTTTCATGCCACTTGGAAACTTGTGATTGATGGACAACCAGTCGCCAATAGCGGTTTGGAACCCGTCATCGATTTGAAACACGTTGATAGAATAGTTGAACCGTTGCAAAGCTTCCAAGTTGCGAATCACGATATCCTCGCTTACATCGCCATAGTAATTATACCAAGAGGTCCATCCGTTGACATGACGATGCTGGTTGTTATCCCCCTTTAGAGCACGGCGATCCGGAAAAAAGGAAGCATAGCGGTCCCAAATCGCACTTTCAGCATCCTTGCCTTCGGCCATGAAGATTTTTACCAACTCTAATTCTTCGCCTTGTTTCACCGACTTGCCCAGTACATCCTTGTAAATACTGAAGACATTGTTGTTAAAGTCGCCCTTGAAGTAAGTATAGCCAAGGTGCTCCGACAATGAGCCGAAGAACTGGATGTTATTGGTCACGTCGCGGAAATGCGTATAACTGCTGGAATGAATATGTCCCTTTTCTCCAGAATGAGCAAAGAAATCATAATCTCTAATAAAGTCATCAGAAACCGAATGATCAAGCATAAATATGTGTATGCTTTCCATGTTGTATGCAGGAACTTACCCTTGTAAATTTAACTGGGTGTACCAAGCAACCGAGGATCGAATCGCGGGAATTCTGTCGTCTTTATCCATTTCTCGGGCTTGGCTCCAACTTTGGAAACCGTTGGCCAGCATGCGCTTGGTTTGAATATCGGCAAGGTATTTGACTTCAAACTGCACAAGCTCAATCGCAATATTCGCTTTGACATGGACACTGTAGAGCTGATCGTCTCCTTTGCCATGACGCTGCATGTCACAGCGAATGGTCAATACGTCATCCTTGAAAGGTGTCTGGTCACTGACAAGGACGTTGGTCAGCTTGACTGCAGGTGCTTCTGGATTATCGAGACGTCTGTAGGATACATCGACGCGAGTTTTTGCTGATGCAAAATTATGTGGTGTGAGATTCATGTGGGGGAAAGGAATGGCAGTTTATGAAAACGATGGAGAAAGCGTTTAAAAAGGCAGGAACATTGTGTCATGGACCGAATATAAGAAATTAGAACCAGCCGAATCGCCGACTGAATAGGATTTGAAAGAGAGATCAAGCAGACGGAACCGTCTGACTGACTGCAATGCTTCGTCCATGCTCCTGATAAGGTAAAAAGGAAGTTTTTGTGAATGTTTACATCTCTGTTTTCCCGAATTTCTACGCGGAAATGAACTCCAATAGTTTAAGCATGACTTCCGGTCACACAATTTATATTTTAGCGCGCAATACTCTTTGTTTTTCGACGCACCCAGCTGATAGGTAGCTTCGCTTCAATTTTGTCCTCCCTTTTTCTTTTGTAGTTTTCAAAAAAAAAAAAATCCTCGTCTTTGTCACCTGTAGTAAAAGTGTTGGCTTAATATACTCTCGGCCACTTGGCTAGACTTTTGACAGCTTATCTACAGTTACACCGGACCGCTTTCATAGGCTTTTAAAAGTCTATGTTGCGGCCAATCAAACGGCCTGCATAGACTTTTAAAAGTCCATGGTACAGTCAATCGAACGGGTCGCACAGACTTTTGAAAGCCTGTGCTACAACCACGCAGATCCCTTGGACAGGCATTGATAGAGTTAATACCAATACCTCATTAATACTCCTTCTCAAAGCTACGTGAAAACTAAGACGGATTTCAGGAGGTGTTTCCACTTTGCATCCACACATGATAGGCGCACATAGCAAAGCAAGGATTGCAACATCACGAAAGTTGCCATTCGCGCCAAGATGTTTTCATACATTGTACGACCTTGGTTGTGATTCACAAAATGCGCACAATTTACACAGCCAGCATGAGTTGACTCTTAATCTAATCAATAAATACCCATGCAAAGAGAAGATTTACACATTGGTATTTTATATTTATACGGGATGGAGGAAAAGGAAATGAATGGGATAAATATGAATATGAATATGACTATGAACTCAGAGATATTGACGAATGAAAAGGATGAAACGGAGAATAAACTTAGGTAAAAGAGATATAATACAAGCAAAGAGAGATGTTGTTGGTATATGTGAGAGACTTGGGTACTATGAGAATACTCTGAACGAGATGATCTCTAACATCAGAAATTATAACCAGGAACAGAATTTAAATATGCAAACGATTTATTTCACTACTCTAGTGTCTCTTGTCTGCTTGAACCGAGGTAACCCTTATGTAGTGGGTTATAGCCCTGGCTATACGACAGAGAGAAGATAAAGCTATGTCGAGGAAATTGATCCCAAGGAAGGTTTTCGCTTTGCTGGTAATTTTTTCCTTGTCCCTTGGACAAATTCAAATGGTAATGTTGGATGCTTTGTATTTGGAGTTTGGGACTTGACAATCGTGCGATGATAAACGACAATCTTGTAAAAGATCGTCCAGAATGCTCGTCATCGTCATGATATCATTCTTGGTCTTGGGTGTCGTAAATGGTTGGAAGTTCTACAAATGCATAGATACTGGACTCTGTATGGATCATTGTATAACATGTAATTTTGGTTCCAAGGGCTTGAAGTCAAAGTACGCCGGTAAGATTGCTGGAGACCATTTCCAATTTGGCAAACACACCCAAACGGTAAAAGCCCACTATCGACAGGGTAACCGATGAGCCTTCCCCTTTAAGTTCCCCAAAACATGTTCTGTAGGACGGTTGATAGCGGTCATACATCATGACTTCGTAATCTGGTCGTCAATTCACATCCGTGCCGTTGTCTGGCAGAGTATTGGTACAGTACATCTTGCAGCTTTATCTTCAGTGTCATAAGCAAGTAATGCTTGAATAAGTGGATGTACAAAAGAGGCAGCAAGCTCGGATTCACGAAGGTGACCAATATCCAAATCTTTGAGTGCAGGAAACAAGGATTCGATTGCCAGTACGACGTTGCGCTCGGCTTCATCTTCCTTCATCGCAAGTCTGATCAAATGATACCGTGCGGTCAAGCTATTGATCTTATCTCGTGGAATTCGTGGACAATGTTTTTAATCGAAAGGTACAGATCGGCGTCAAGTGAATTAGGCAACTCCAACGAAGACAGGGCATGTTGGCGTGTTGCTTCCAACAAAGGAGGAGGGAAATATTTTGCCGGTGCGGATTCGTACCTGGCTCGTTTTTGTAGAACCAATATGGACGAGAGGTGCCTGTAACAGAGAAGATATGAGTTTGAACCTTCTGCATGGACAAACTATGGGGAGACGCGGACCACGAGAAAAGGGCATTGACTGTGGCCCACCGCGACCGTCGACGCGTCTTCGTATGCCATGGCTGCTCTAATGGCCAAGAGCACGAGCCTAGGATCGGAACACCTCCAGACAGACTTCACGTCGCAAACGTAGCAAAATTGCCAAAAGCGGCTTCGCCATCGAGGTTAAGCATCGCCAACGCAATATTTCCCACTGCTTGAATTTTTTTGGGAGACTTCCAGATGACGCACCAGATTTCAGCACCAACCTCGGGGTAGAGTCATAGCGTAGACCACCAAAGGTACGGAGTCTGTAGAACACGGAGTTGATCACAACGTTCCGAGCTTCTTCACCACTTATTCAGATGGGTTGCGTTGCGGTTCCCAGCATAGGTTTTTGGTTCTCGTGATTTCGGACGAGGAGCTGCGGTTATGGCAGGGACACGACTTCCTAGTTGCAGCTCACAAAGGGCGATGGTCGACATGCGGAGCATCTTCCTGTTCAATGGACGGAGAGGGCTTGGAAGTAATGGAATTCTGGTTGGCCACGTCAGTGAGGAAGAGGGAAGCTTGTAGGGGACAACATAAAAGGGAAGAAAAAAAGAGACACAGAGGGAAAAGAGAAAATAAACTCATTTCATTGTGCTTTGGACAATGAAGGAGAGTAAATAATTTTTCTCAACTCCTATGTAAGCAATCTGATTCGACTGTTTAAGTCCACGCAGGCGCCATTTTGGCTATAGCATGGGCTTTCCAAAGTCTATATGCCTGGTTTGGATGCATCATATAGACTTTTAGAAGTCTATGCAAGCGGTGTGATTTGGTTGTAGCATAGGCTTTTAAAAGTCTATGTAAGCCGTCTGATTGGCTGATACCATACATAGGCTTGCCATAGGCTATGCCGGCAGTCTATTGGAGCGTGCGTCTCCCTTCCCTGTCTCTCTCTCTTTATGGCAACACCGAAAAGAATATGTCCTTACTGTGACGATGACAATAAAATATTCTCAGCAAATCAGAATGTTAGGATGCATGTATTTAAGCAACATAATGTGTTGCTCCCAAGCAATCACGACAGAGGAAAGCCCTTGATCGATCCCAAAGCAAAGGGTCAACTATTCTTGTGTCCCTGCTGTATTCAAGTCACGGATTCAAGAAACAAGTTCAAGGAGCATGTAGACGAACACAGTTTCAAAATCTCTGCCACTTTCCCGAGTTGCCCTAGTTGGTTATTGCAAGGTGTCAATATTGCTGAACGGTTTCGCGAGTACTTTGCCACATGTCTGGAAGATTGTCGCAACTTCTTCGATGTCGATCAATTTTTCAATCAACTTTTGTAATTTTCCCATCTTTTTCATGGCTTGACAATCCAATGGATTCAAACTCATATCTTCTCTGTTACAGGTGCCTCTCGTCCATATTGGTCCTGCAAAAACGAGCAAAATACGAATCTCTGCCTGCAAAGTATTTCTCTCCTCCTCTGTTGGAAGCGACGCGTCAAAATGTTTTGTCTTCATTGGTATTACCTGATTCCCTCGACGCCGATCTATACATATCAATTAAAAACACTATCCGCGACTATCATGAAAACAAGATCAGTAACTTGACCGCACGACATTATTTGATTAGTCTTGCGATGAAGAAGGATGAAGCCGAGCGCAACGTTGTTTTGGCAATCGAATCTCTCTTTCCTGCACTCAAAGATTTGGATATTGGTCACCTTCGTGAATCCGAGCTTGCTGCCTCTTTTGTACATCCACTTATTCAAGCATTACTTGCTTATGACACTGAAGAGAAAGTCGCAAGATGCACAAATACTCTTCCTGACAATGGCACGGACGTCAATCGGCGACCAGATTACGAAGTCATGATGTATGACCGCTATCAACCGTCCTACAGAACATGTTTTGGGGAACTTAAAGGGGAAGGCTCATCGGATACCCTGTCGATAATGGACTTTTACCGTTTGGGTGTGTTTGCCAAATTGGAAATGGTCTCCAGCAATCTTACCGGTGTACTGTGCTTCCAAGCGCTTGGAACTTCAATCACATTTTACACCATGGTTCATACGGATTCCAGCATCTATGCATTTGTAGAACTTGCGACCATTACGATACCCAAGACCAAAAACGATATCATGTCAGTGACCAGCATTTTGGATGACCTTTATAAAATTGCTGTTTATCATCGCACGATTGTCAAGTCCCCAACTCCAAATACAAAGCATCCAACCTTACCTTTTGAATTTGTCCAAGGGACAAGGAAAACATTGCCAGCAAAACGAAAGCCTTCCTTAGGATCAATTTCCGCCAGGTAGTTGCATCTTCGGCCTCCCTGTCATATCTCTCTTGCTTTATACCTCTTTCAGCTGAATACATTATGCGTTCTCCTTTCGTTACCACTACCTTCATATTCATACTCATATCATCTGTGTCCTTTCTTTCCATCTCGTCGAAAATTAAAAATGTAACTCATTTATTCACACTTTTTTCCCTATTTTCCTTGATCAAAAGTGAACTACTGCTGGCTGTGTAGATTTCTCTCTTTGGGAATCACACCAAAATCGTACAACATTTTAAAACATCTTGGCACGAAGGGCAACACTCATGATGAAAGATATGATATTTATTGACTGTATAGTTATTATTGCCAGTCCCTGCTTTGCTCTATGCGTCGATATGAAAAAACGCCTTCTAAACCTCTCCTAGTTTGTACTAAACTTTGAAGGAGAATAATGATAAAATACAAACCTTATCAATTCCTATGCAAGCAATCTGGTTTGGCTGTAACATGGGCTTTTCAAAGCCTATTGTCAAGCCCTCTGATTGGACGGCATAGGCTTTTAAATGTCTATGCGAAGCCGTCTGATTGGCTAGGTTAGGCTTTCAAAAGTCTAACCAAAGCCTTTTGATTGGTCAGCATAGGCTTTCAAAAGTCTATGCGAAGCCGTCTGATTGGCTGGGCTAACATTTTCAAAGTCTAACACGGAATATGAGCCCACGCAATATTCTCTGTGAACACGATAAGAACGCGAGACAAAACCGCTGTAAGTGACCCTTTTCCACGCTGTTGTAAGGTTCCCTAATCCTTTTGGAACGGATAACGCTTAACTTACTCGTTGCTACTGCCCAGGATTCCTCTGTTTCAGGGACATAATTAATCCACCTGTCATTAGCTGTCATCCATTATTTTGCTATTAAAGCGATCTTACATATCCGAAATCGGCCTTCACTAAATCTTATAAACAATCAACACTAAATATATGCAAATATTGTCTCAATGTTGAAAAAAGGAAATGTCTGCTTTTGCAGTTTCTCCGATTGTCCAAGAACAAATTACGACACGACATCATTTTTAACAGCAAGCGACAGTTAAACATCGGCTTATGCTGCGGAATAAATGGTATGGTTTTCACAGATACTCCAAACATTCCATTATGGGTGCGCCAAACATTCCGTGGAATGAACTTCAACCGTTAAACCAACAGAAAAATACGAGTTGTTTTTTTTTTGAAAACGGCAAATTTGACAGGATTTTGATTGGGTGGCACCATGAATTATGACTGTCCGCGACATTGCTTATTGCAAGCACTGTGCATATTGTAATTCACGGATAAGCAAATGAATGCGTTCAACTTACAGGAAGGAATAGTTTGAATTCTGCTGGCAATTCATCCTCAGCGTATAATTGATCGGTGAAATAGATCCTTCGTATCCGGCAATTGGCATGAAGGGTCACTCGCGATGTTTCTGCATAATTGGATCCGTAGGCCCGTTTGACGTAATCGGCAAGGTTCACCGTCACTTGATTCCAACCAGGGTCCAGCCGCATCGGCATCGTGGTGATATACGGTTTGACGCGGGTCGTCATCTAAGGGGAAACAATAAGGAATTGCATCACAGGTGACAGGGACAAGTCCGTTTCTTGTACCTGATAATTGGAGGCACGGAAACGTCGCTTGACATTTTTATCGTCAAGAACTTGAATTTCAAACGAAAAATATTTGTTGACATTTTTGACAAGGAGTACAATGAAAGGTAACTTGATGCCCAGAGTGCGATTGAGGGAGGCTGGGCAAGTGATGTAAGTGTTGGATAGATTGGGGGACGCCAGTTCAATGACTGTAGAACTGATGGTATCGTCCACTACGCGCTTAATATGAGAGGATGAATCGTTGGTCTCGTCGTTATCGTCTTCCGCTTTATTGTTTTTGTCGACATGGCAGGACCATAATTGCAGTGGTTCATTACTACAGCATAAAATATAAGTTTGAAAGCGTGGCAACAGTAAAACAAAAAAGGTTGATTTACCCAATGCTGTATAGAATGGAAAGGAATCCTGACTATATAAGTGTACAGGTTATATCGGTAAGTCCAGCCATTGTATAAGCGACGATCTCACCTGAAAGGTGTTCCTGAACATGGCTTCACACAAAGACAAGAAGGCCACTGTCGTTTGCCCAATATGGGCTCACCGCAAAAAATTGGGAAAAAGAGAAAAAAGATGAAGTCACACGACTCAATTTTCTGCAACTCAAAAATTGTCATGCAACGGAATTGCAATGGATCCAAAAAAGATGCACAAAGTTACCCTTTCAACATGGATTTTATAAAAGCTCTTTTATTGCAAGAGACCAAAATAACAAGCGTATTCTGATTCGTATGTATGATGTATGGTTTTTATTGTGAATGATAGAAAAAATAAATAGGAATGAATTTTGACATGTATGATATTTTCGCCTATAACTGGGTTGGATTACAGCAGACTTCGTTTCTGCTTGGTTTGTTCGCTCGTCTCAGCGAGTTTCTTGGCGGCCTTGTGTGATTTATGCTTATGCTTGGATTTCTTCTTCTTATCTGTCGCTGCTGAATGCAATTCGGCCGGCTGTGGTGGCTGTAATGCTTCGCTTTGTGGCTGTGCTTGCTGTTGTTCCGGATTGGCCTGTGTCAGCGGTGCTTGAGTGTTCGTGGTAGAATGCCAAGCGCCTTGAACTTCACCCGTTATTTGATCATCGGAACTGTTAATAGAATTCTCTGTGGAAGTGGTGTCATACATGACGGGGACATCAAAGTCGGCGTATCCGGTGTAGGCCGCAGGCTGGCTCGGCATAGCAAACTCATCACCAGGAATCATCTGTTGGCCAGGCTGTCCACGATGCTGTTGTTGAGCATGAGAAGGGGTATCGGGGCCAGTTTCAACCGCTTGAGCTTTTACTGTGCGTCGTCCGTGACGACGTCCTCGGCCACGCGCTTTGCCTCGGCCTTTGCCTCTTCTTCTTCCGCGACCTCGACCATGCTTCTTCTTTTTACCACCACCGCCACCGGTCTTCTTCTTTGGTTTATCATCGTCGTCATCTCCACCTCCTTTGGCTTTGGCTTTATCGTCGTCGTCGTCATCTCCACCTTTTTTCTTCTTGTCATCGTCATCATCGTCATCGCCGCCTTTCTTCTTCTTCTTCTTGTCGTCGTCGTCATCATCATCATCCCCGCCCTTCTTTTTCTTTTTCTTGTCATCGTCGTCGTCGTCACCGCCTTCTTCTTTCTTGACACTGCCTGGGGGACCCAAAGCAGGATTAAACATGGGGAAAATGGTCGCATTGGGAGCACTGGCCGTTTTCAAAAGATTGGCTAGAAGATCGCTGGGGTCGTCACGCTCTGTAAGTTTCGATAGGAGGTTACCAGGCGTGGCTTCTTGAGCTTCAACGATTTCGGCGCCCACGTCTTTCTCGCCCTCGGCAGGAGCCGGTGATGATGCAGCATCTGATGACTCTGCTTCCGTAGCCGGTGCAGCTTCGCCCTTAACCTCGTTTGTATTGGCATCATCAGCTGCAGACGGAGAATCAGCCGTGGTGGTTGTATTGGTTGCATCGGTTTCTAGGAATTGAGCTTCGGTCACTTGGGTTTCGTCGACAGGCGACGAAGGATCAGCCGTGGTGGTTGTATCGGATGGATCGATTTCAGCCAGTTGCGCTGAAATCAAGGTGTTGGCAGGCATATTGAGAATTTTGGCGTCTTTCATAGAATTGGCATGATCGGGTGAAGGGGGCATGTCGCTTTGTGGCTGCGCTTCATCTATTTCCAAAGAATCGTCTTCTTGAGGCTGAGGCTTAGGCTTGGGATCTTGGATCTTGGGAGAAGCCGGCATCTCTTGTGCATGGACGTCTCCGGGGTAGATCACGTCGTTGGGCGCTTGTCCTTCCATTGGCATTTGCAGCATACCGTCGTCAGGAGTAGGAGAATCAGAAGCCATGGGAACGGTACTGCTGACCGGTTGGACGGTGGCTGGTGCCGCAGCAGCAGCAGCGGCAGGCTGCGATCCTCGTACAGTAAACACGTAGCTGTGAGCCGCGTCTTCCTTGTCGTCTTCATCCAAGTCAAGAATCTCGACATAGTATCGTCCTTCAGGTACACTTTCCACCTGCCAATTGAATTTAAAGTGATCATTGTCGTCGCCAATCATGCTACCCTTCCAGGTTTGAATGGTTTTGACAAAACTAATGAATAAAAGAAACCAAGAGTCAGTATCTTTCTTATTGCAAAAAAAAAAAAAAAAAAAAAAAAAAAAAAAAAAAAAAGCTGCAAAATTTGCTTACCTTCCATCTTCTGTGTAAAGACTGGCCGTAACAGTATGATCCTCATCATTGGGCATATCATCGACGGCAAACGTGGCGGTACTGCCAATGGCATACACGGTGTTTTGGGCGGGTTTTTGAAAGTATTCAATGTCTGCGGACACAAAAGCCGACAGGAGCAATGAAGCTAGTAAGGACAATGAATAAGGCTGTGGCCAAATAAAAAATGGTGTTAGTCAGTGATTCTCCATCGGGATCAAGTGCTTACTGTCAATACAGTACCTTCATCGTGAAAAATTAAAAGAGTGAAAAAGTGAACGATGTTCTGAATACAGATTCCAAAACGAAAAACAAGTTGTCAGGACTGTCAAGGGAAAAAGTTAAAACGCGCAAAGCGGTTGATTACAAAATGTTGCATACCATGGTCGTCAAAGACGAATCGCTTTTATAACAATGGAGGTCCATTCGTAATTTTTGCCTCCACAACACAAAAATAGAAATTGATACAAGAAAATCATGCGTGCTAAGATAACCAATGTCCCGTTTTTTTTTTTTGGTTCCCCTGGGCTCCTTACATGCAGTATTCATCTTTGCCCCATTTGACATTTTAATGCAGGCTCCTTCATCGCCCCTTTCATCTCGTTTAATTTCTTTTTTATTCATATCATCCGAGCTCCTGGTCCGTGAGCCTTACAGCCAACAGAGTAATGTGCAGCGATCCCTCCACATGCCGCGAGGGGACAGGAGGCGAGGAAAAAAAAGAAAAAGAGTCAGAGAACTTTTTTTTTAATCCATGGTCCAGATCTCCTTACCGCGTAGATTGATCTTTTTTGCCATTTGCCATTTTTATCACACTAGTCTGTTCTAAGCTTTGTTACTGATTTCATTACAACTCAAAAGCTTTGTTATATTTCTGATTACAGATGAATGAATTGAATACAACTCCCCACAACATACATCACTCCTTGTACTTCATGAAAACAAAAATGGATATGATCATAGGTCCTATTTGTTACTTTTACTTTATCGTACGATTTCAGGCGGGTTGTTTCTGGGTTCTTTTTTTTAGTTACATGTTGAATGCTGGTTGGGCTTTTATTTGCTTTGAATTCTTATTGAGTAGAAAAACTTTGGAATGTGCACTGCCTCCTCGAACATGTTGAGACGTTCTATATTACAAATAGTTGTTGCTTTCTTGACAAAAGTCCGGTGTTGTTGAGATTTAGTCAAAAAGAGTCAATAAAATAAGTGAGCATAAATGAAAAAAAAGGGGGCGATGCAAAAAGAATTGAGAGAGAGACTATCACTATATTACAAGAGAGATAAGCCCAGTGATCTGGCGCTTAGTAGCGGTAGTGATCGGGCTTGTAGGGACCCTCAACGGGGATGGACAAGTAGTCGGACTGGACAGCAGAGAGAGCAGAAAGCTTGACACCGAGCTTGCCCAAGTGAGCACGAGCGACTTCTTCATCCAACTTCTTGGGCAACACATGGACACCAACGGACCATTCACCAGGCTGAGTCCACAAGGCGATCTGGGCCAAGACTTGGTTGGAGAAAGAGTTGGACATGACGAACGAAGGATGGCCAGTAGCACAACCCAAGTTGACAAGACGACCTTCAGCCAACAAGATGATGTGGTTACCGTTCTTCATGGTGAAACGATCAACCTGGGGCTTGATGTTGACAACGGAAGCAGCGTTAGCCTTGAGCCAGGCAACGTCAATTTCAATATCGAAGTGACCAATGTTGCACACAATAGCATCATCCTTCATCTTTTCAAAGTGAGCACCAGTGATAATGTCACGGCAACCAGTGGTGGTGACGAAGATCTGAGCTTCCTCAACAGCTTCTTCCATGGTGGTGACTTCGTAACCTTCCATAGCGGCCTGGAGAGCGTTGATGGGATCGATTTCGGTGACCAAGACACGCGAACCGAAAGCACGGAGAGCAGCAGCGCAACCCTTACCGACATCACCGTAACCAGCGACAACGGAAACCTTGCCAGCAATCATGACATCGGTGGCACGCTTGATACCGTCGACGAGGGATTCACGGCAACCGTACAAGTTGTCAAACTTGGACTTGGTGACGGAGTCGTTGACGTTGATGGAGGGCAACTTGAGGGTACCGTTCTTCATCATCTTGTACAAGTTGTGAACACCAGTGGTGGTTTCCTCGGAAAGACCCTTGATACCTTCGAGAAGCTGGGGGTACTTTTCGTGAACGATGTTGGTCAAATCACCACCGTCATCCAAGATCATGTTCAAAGGCTGACCATCGGGGAAGAACAAGGTCTGTTCAATACACCAGACGAATTCCTCATCAGTCTCACCCTTCCAGGCGTACACGGGAACACCAGTGGCAGCAATAGCAGCAGCAGCGTGGTCCTGAGTAGAGAAAATGTTACACGAGGACCAGGTGACTTCAGCACCGAGAGCTGTCAAAGTTTCAATCAACACAGCAGTTTGCTAAATAGTCAAAAACGTTTCAATGGTCCGCCACATGAGCGACATCTAGGATCCCACTTCAATTCCTCCCCCTGTCATTTCTCAACTTACAATGGTCATGTGCAAGCAACCGGCGATGCGAGCACCCTTCAAAGGCTGAGAAGGACCGTACTTTTCACGGATGGCCATAAGACCGGGCATTTCATTTTCGGCAAGTTCGATTTCCTTACGACCGAAAGCGGCTACAGAGAGAAAAGGACGAACGAATGAGATTTTCAACTACTACAGCAAAGTGGATTGTTAGCGTTTGAGCTTACCAAGAGAGATGTCGGCGACCTTGTAGTTGACCATGATGTAGGATTATGGATTGAAAGAGTAAAGAAAAAAGGGAAAGAAAAAAATTTTGTATTTACGCGCCTCCTTGAGTCTAAAATTTCGAAAGATGAGATGTGCCTTCATTGATTGGCTGAAAACTCTCGAGATGGAGCTTCGCCGAAAAAAAATTTTCCAAGACCATCTTGGCCAATCATCGCTACTCGGTACCTAGGTCCGCGTACTTGCTTTTCGCCGTCAGCTTATGCAGCTAGACATTGATTATTTGAGAGGGTTACCTATGGTCAAGAATGCAGCGTCTGTATCCAATGCGTCAGTGGTTGTGGAGAGCTTAATTCGATGCATATGCGTGAACGCCAGGTACAGCTTTGCGCACTCTATTCAGTGACGCAATGTCCATCTCTTCCTGGGTACAAGATTTGCACACGAGATTTTCGATGGGGTAACATTTGCATGGTGGATCCAAGCGTATCGGGAAACCGAGAAAAATGATTGGCAGACATTCATGCAGCAAATCGACGCCCCACCCCATCATCAGCTACACGCCTTTGACATTATTCAACGATCTATCAACGGCAAGCTCTTTTGTTCCCCTCAACCTATATCAATATTCGGAATACACTATGTTTTTTTGCTTTGCACAAAATCATTAACTACTGAATAACTATTGTTTATTCGATATAGCGACAAGTATCTGGCACATCCTGGCATAATGTAGTGGTCATTTCATGACGCGGCCCATGGTTGTACAAAATCTGGGGACCCATCTTTTAACATGTGCTTTTGGTGACTGTTGGTCAATTGATGGAGTTCCCTGGATTAGCATCAGCGTCGCAAGAAGCAAAAGATCTTGGCGCAATTTTTTAAATCTAACCAACCAACTTTATTTGCCAGATTTCGACAATACAATGTAGATACCGCATTTGACTGCACCAATATCAATGAATACTGAACACAAATTCATCCAATTGAAATGAGGCACGTCGACCCACAAATATTCAAAGTTCTGTACTTTGTAGATAGGTCTTTCTTATTTTAAGCTCTCGGCTGATATAAGGAACGTCGGTGACTTTTGACAGATTATATCTATTTGCTTCGTATCTATCTCGCTGCTTAAATTGATTACTTCGCGCAGAAAAATATCGTTTCTTTTTTTTCATTGTCGACGAAATATCGAGAGAGAGAAAATAATGAGTTAGCCACAACGATTCGCATGTAGCAATGATAAAAATCTATCCGCCAAAAAGACATAGAAAACAATGCTCATAGTTTCGATTGTCTGCAATCACTCTGTCTGTTGGGTCATGTTTAGTCTGTCCCTAGATACAGCGGCAGTATAACTTGGAAGGTCCTCTGATATTCTCGAGCAGTATTGAGTTTCCTCTTTGATCTTCATATCAATGGCGAAAGCTACAACGGAGTAAACATCTCAAATCACTTTTTGCCTGTTACTTCGTAGACGTCGTAAATGCGGCATTGTTAATTCTTGCTTTCTCTGAAGAGCGGTCCACTCGGTTACCAATCTCGGTTTTTCTTTCTGTGGGAAATACTTGCTGCATTATCCGTTCCTGAATTGTTGTCCCTCCTTTGCCACTTTCTTTCAAGTGATCTTTTGTATCAGAGCACCATCTCAACCTTCCCATCCATACCTTGCAAGTGAAAGCTGTCACTGGAAGATCTGTTCACTGATAATAATTGTTCCTGATCGGAACCCATGATATTTATAACGCAGAAGATTCCAATAAAAGTGCAACGCACTATCTTTTGCTTAGACAGACAAATCGTCAGAATGCAGAGGTCAATCCTCTTCAACGCTAGTTAGAAAACGGTTTTGATTCTCTTTCAAAGAAAACTCAATAAAAAAATGGCGAAAAGATCAAATAACGTTGTCAGTTACGCCGGTTCTTCTTTTGCGCCGATTAGATTTGCTATACCAAAGTTTAGCAAATACGGAAGACAGCGCATTGGCTCGTCCGCAGATCGATATCTGGAGGAACCTTCGAGAAGGTATGAAGGACCAATGGATGAACGAGGCATACCAAAGGTATTGCCTGGAAAACGGAAGAAATATAGACCGAATCCGTTCAGCATTAAAGTGGTCCGTAATACTTCTGATTGGTTATGTTTCGGAATAATAGAAAACTGTGCAGGAAGTTGACGAGAACCTTCCGGAAGATTGTAGACATAAAAATGATCTTGATAGAAAATATAAATATGACCATGTTAAGGTAGAAATAAAAACAATCAACAAACTACACATTCAAACGGAACTCTAAAGGAGTACTCAAATCTGACACTCCAATAAAGTACCTGGCTTGTTTTTACTAGATACAATTTACACGATACCTAAAAAAAGAAAAGTTCAAGCCCGAAGAAAGGCAAAAAGGAATTGCGGCCTATGTGGATTGAACACATGACCTTTAGATCTTCAGTCTAACGCTCTCCCAACTGAGCTAAGGCCGCTTTCTTGTGATTGGTCAAACAAAAACTATACTAAATGCCATTAATTGTGACTGCGTTGTGACCGGTTGCTATTTTATCTGGTTTCGTTTTTGGCCTTGGTCCTTATAAATGTTTGGCTTATTTTATACAAAGGTACAGAGGAGTAAATGATAGTAAATAATGGGATTTTATCTAATGGGATAGGTGGACGATATAATATATAAAAATCTCATTGTCTGAACTTAGCTTTTAGGTGTTGTGACTGCTGGCGACTCGTTTCCAAATTTCCGAAATTCTGAAAGTCTAATGATATTTTTGATCATATGTTTAAACGGCCTTCTGGATTCAATAAAAGATATGCTATTGTATTGCCCGAGCTTCAAGTGAATCTATATAATTAAAATCTTTGAAAAATTAGCGATTTTGTAAATCACATGATCTATACTAAGTTATCAAGACCTGTTAAACCTTTTTTTCATCTTTCAACCATGCCTCGCTGCCCACTTTCACGATAATAGGCGAAACAATCAGCAGCAAGATGCCGTTTGCACCAGTTGTGGTCAAACAGAGCATCGTCGCCGTTCACATAAAATGTGAGTGGAGCTCTTTTTTGAAGAAAGGTGATTGACGATACGACGATCTGGTGTTTTGTAGTATCATTTAATTTGGGTTATCTGTCAGTTATACTGTATATGCCCTTTCATTCTCTTCAGTAATCGAATGATACATGGAGCAGATATGCTTCGATCTGTGTAGCTCATCATTCATGCATCAGTGAGGTGACTATTGTTTCATCCATGGAAAATCACATATTTTTGTCCGAATTTTTTCTTCTTCTTTAGTTTTGCATCTCTTCTGTTTGCCTGGAAATCCCTCACTATCATTGCATCCATCATCCATCATCCAGACTATGGCGTGTATCTGATCCGGTCGATTCGATTATTATGAAAAAAGGTACCTTTTGTGTGATACAACTATCCGTTTTTCGACAAGAAAAAATTTACCTGTCCTTTTTCTCTATTCTGTCTTTAGCTTTTGGTTTTCTCTCCGGTTTTCTTTTGCCTGGCAAGCCATTCAAGCCATCCATCCCTCCAAAACCTTTCTACTTTGTTCGGGCACCAGATTGTGGCCAATCCGGTTTTTGTCGTCAAAGGACATCTTCGGTCGTGTGGCTCTCTTTCTCATCGGGAAACGCTGACGCGTCCTCCTCATGTTGCCCTCATTTGGATTCCTACTCTTGATATCGTCTTTCATGTAAGTATTCTTTTCGCAGTCTTCCCTCTTTTTTTCGCCACAGGGTTTTTTGTGAGATTTTTACTGACGCAAGTTTTATTTTCTTTTATTTTTACTCGGGAAAACTATCGATATCTGGCCTCCAGCTCGAAATTACCGGCACTTCTGACTACATCAATATCTTGGCCCTGCTCAAGCTGACACCACCGCCCCAAAAATATTCCGCCGCTTAACTGTTTCTGCAAGCAATTTTCTTTTCCGCATCGAAGAAGAAGCTTACGTGTGGTCCGTATACATATTTTCTTTCGGCACAATGTTTGATTTAAAGGTAAACCAACCGCAAACGTTCCACTTTTTGGCCCATGTGGTTGACCTGATCATCATTCTTGCATTGGCAGAGTGACTATTGTTTCATCCATGGGAACTCATTCATTTTGTCTTCAATTTTTTCTTTTTCCTTTGGTTTTCTCCCTCTTTCCGTTTACCTGAAAAGCCCTCACTATCATTGCATCCTCACCCGCATCCACATCCATCATCCATCATCCAGACTATGGTGTATCCGGCGTCTATCTGTAACCGGTCAAGTCGAGTATTATCAAAAAGGTACCTTTTGTGTGATGTGACTATTCGTTTTTCGACAAGAAAAAACTCACGTTCTTTTTTCTCTACCCCTTCTTTAGCTTTTGGTTTTCTCTCCGGTTTTCTTTTCGCTTGGCAAGTCATCCATCCCTCCAAATCTTTCTACTTTGTTCGCGCTCAAATGTGGCCAAACCGGTTTTTGTCGTCAAAGGCATCGTCGGTGATGTGACTCTCTTTTTCATCGGGAAACGCTGACGCGTCCTCCCCAGGTTCCTCTCATATGGATTGCTGCCCGTGGTATCGCCTTCGATATTTCTTCCCGACCATTTTATTTTGTAGTTGTAGTATGTATTTTGTATTTTAGTGAATAGTCTTCTTGCAGTCTTTTCCTCCTTTTTTTTCCCACAGGGTTTTTAGGGGTTTTTTACAGACGCACCTATTGTATTTACTTTTTTTTTTATATTTGTATCCTTTCTTTATTTCGGTCGGGAAGCCCTCGGTATCTGCTGCATCAAACATCAAAGGTAAAATATCTCAACGAAATTTGAATCAACCAAAGAGCTTACTAACTCATTTTTTTTAAATACCCAACATTCCCACACATCTTTGTAGATCTATCATAACCTTGGGCGGGACAGAACGGAGGGGGTCAATAAGTGCTGCTTTGTTCATTAAAAGTGTTTCATGGTATGCCAGAGTATTGACATTAATATACCAAAGTTCCATCAAGAGTCTCGCCCAGGTTATGCCGTATTGCGTTAGGCTTTTTGTCTGACGAATGTCGCTCAAGGCAAGAGTGCGGCATCCAGTGGCAGGCGGCATCCATTGCACAGCGGGTGTACGGCTTGTTAATAATAGCATCTGATAATTCCCTAATATGTATTCCGCAACAGTATAAGAAACAAAGTTATACGTAAAGCAGGTCTGAATAAGCTGATATAATCAATGATGAAGTTTTATAGCAAGAGAATTAAAAATAAATGCTTACAGTAACCAGCCATGGCGCGTCGAAATACGATATGATAATCTTAGATCAATTACAGTGTAATATTATTTCAAAGCTGTTTCTTTATTTTCACTCACATCTGAGCGGTTGATTGCCTAAAGTGATTCAGCGATGATGTTGTATACAGAAAATAGAACAGTTACTAGGCCTTTCCTCTCAAAATTTGGCAAATCATTCATTGAGGATATTCTGATTTTGTCGCAGGATTCTTGGAAGCTGCAAAGATCGCACAACTTTTAGCGAGATATTCGAGACTGTAGACTCCTTTTTTCTTCGGTGCAAATCTACACGAAATAACATAAAATGAATTAGTGAATTCAAATTAATTCGCGGCCCAACGCAGCCAATGTAGCATAAGGCAATCTTGTTGTAATAATTAGAGTCAACCGTGTACAGTCCAATTTTGCGAGAATGACGATGATAACTCTCAAATTTGATCGCAATGTGAAAAAACAAACATAGCTCTATAGAATCATGAAGATGCATAAGGTCGATATCATTACACTGATTTCCCGTAATCTGTTGGCTCTTAGCAAATTTGTACTAGCTCGTATTGAAACCACGTACAAGGGTGCAATATGGTAATATCAATGCCGTTTATTTCAGTGCTAAAATGTTTTAGGAGCTATGCCGCAATTTTCCGCAAACGCTTGGTCAAATTAGGGTGTGGTGCTTGACCTAAAAGATGAGCCAAGAGTCACTTCTTTGACGAGACGGTCAATTAACCATGTATCCCGATCATCAGATTATGAGTCGCTAGATCACATCGCTCGGTAGAATATACCATGTGAAAAATGTACAGTGTTTAGCCTAAAGAACAGAAGCTGTAATGGTCCGACTCACTTATTGCAGGTCTAGTATTATCGGGCAGTCATAGAATACGTCGCTGCATGCTTTAGATTTGATCATCTCACTCGTCCTTGTCATACTTGTTACCATTGCTTTTCCACTTTCGAATTCTTTACAAAGATTATTTTTTGAACGGAATAATCAAGCGTTACAAGAGATAAAGTCGATACGAGCGTATGATTACGGTGCTTGTCCTTGAGCGGCTGTGTGATCGGACGATGAGTGTTTGCTTCTTGTATATCTTTATTGAATCCCATTGAATGTACTACCTTGGGAATCCGCCTCCCTCCCCCTTAAATCAGATGTTTTTTTTTTTTTTTTTTGAGTAACGCAAAGGCGAATAAATTTTCTCTTGGACCAAAAGCGGCATAGGATAAACATAATATGCACACTAATGCAGTTGAATAAAAGTGGAAGTCTTTCAGCTATACGATAATACAAAGTATCGCTTCAACGCTTTTCTCACGCTTAACACAAATGAAATATAGCAGGGATATACTGGACTACTTTGCCATGTATAACTCTTTTTTTTCTGAATATAGCTGTAATGAAATAAAGAACGATGCCGAACTGAGAGAATAAGCGTTGCTTGTGACACCAACTGCAATATAAACAAGAAGAAAGAAAGAAAAAGGTCCCCCATACGCCATTTGACGACAAAGGCATATGCTTGTATCCAAGGTTACGTTAACTTGCGGCCTTCAACATCTCATACTTCTGAAAACTTCAACCCGCATTTGAAATGAACGGTAGGAGGTTAAAAGAATAGAGGATAAGCTTGTCATACGCAAGGAATGGTACCAAGGCTATCAATTTTAATCGAAAAAAAGCATTCAGCTGGACTTCAAATGATCGACAGCCACATGTGTTACCATGATCGCTGTTGAACAAAAGCTTCTCCTCAATACATGGGGTCATTTTTCTTTATCATGACCAGCAATGAGATTGACACCTTTTATCTTTCGGTTCAAGTGAAGGAACGATGGCTCACAAGTAACAACGTGCGAGAAAGAATGTATCCATAGTAGAAAGCTGTTGATGTTATGCCAAGCATCAGAAAGTTTTGAAATCCAGCAAGCTTTGTATAATGAAAAGTAAGATGAAGATGTTACAGATTGCAATTCCATAATAATCGCTCTTTTTTTTCTGTTCAAGATCAACTAATGAACCGGTAAGCCAACTTTTCATTGGTACATGCTGCGGGACGTTTCACATGAGAACGATGTAGGAAGGCGGGCAATAACAGGAGACTGTATGCGCCGCATGTTTCTCGAGATTATCTATTCAGAAAGATATATTGGATTCCCGCATTTTTCACTTTTAATACTGATTCACAGTCTGAAATTGCTAAAGCTAATCGTGTAGATGAATGCGGTTTCACTGCAGTATCTGTGTGAACATTGCCCATAAAAGTTTACACTCATCTTATTGTTTTTGTAAAATGAATGCCTAAAAAGTAAAGTCGGGACGCGTCTCCCCAATTCGTGCGTGTGAACGTTCTCAGTGGTTTTTACAGCACGTACAGGAATAATGTATTCATTTTTTGGTTTCTTCTTGTCATCCATCATAAAAAAAATAGAGGTCAGTAAAAAGGAACATGTTGATGCTTAGAAGAAGTCATGCATAACACTTCAAAATTTGCGTGTCCGAACCAACGCCACAGATGGGAATTACGTAACCAGAATGCCAATCATCTTTCACAATCCAACATTACTTGTCTTTGTCTTTGTTGTTGTTTTTTGATCGTTCTTTTTGCAAGAAATGGTGAGACAGCAACAAAAAGGCTTTTTACATGATTTGGTTCGGAAGTCATAGACCGGTATTGCAGTTTAATATAGTCAGCAATAATTGTCTCGTCAGTCTCCGCTTCAAGTGGGAGATGGCCGGTGGATTGCTGTGTCTCACTGTGCAAAAATGACGGACAACATCCCTAGTGGGCCGATACCCACAGCAGGTACCCCGAGCCTAAAAAGACTCGCGAATTGAGAGCGCGATATATAGTAAATAAAGCGCCGCGCTCCTCTATCTGTGTGGTGTGAAGTGGTAAAGCGTTCCGATGTTATGCCAAAATAAGCTTGATAATTGTGTTACTACATGTCTTGGTTACTCAAAAAGGCACTGTACAAAATGAAAATACCGAGTCTTAGGCACCAATACTTCTCGTTCGGAACTTTGTACTGTGACACCCAAAAAAAAAAAAGCATATTCAGCGTGTGCGATAACCAAAACTCATTTGATAACGTTTTAAAAAGACGTGTATGAATGGAAAATGAATGATGGGATGATGATGTTATTGAAAATGAATTCATGCTTTGTGATACAAAAAAAGAATGCAAAAGGAGAGAAGAAAAAAATAACATAGAAAAGAAAGTATGAAAAGGAAAATGATCATGATGACTAAAAGAATGAATGGTTGTTGAAATCCCACTGCATTTCGGATGGATACGGTGGGAGGTAAAAATGCAAATCAGGGTTGGTGTCAAGGTAAGTATCGGAGAGTGAGGGCAGTTCATGGAAGAGGAAAGGGAGATTCCCATCTAAGACAGGTGGGGTGGTTTTGAAGTCGCATACTTCGATGGTGTTGTGTTCCGATTTCAGGACCGCGAGTTGACTTTCAAGCTTCATGATTTCACGTTCAAGATGAACCACCTGCAAGTCGAGGTCATCGTACGCTGTTAACAGCTCCTTCTCCATATCACCAAGACGGGTATCGTTTTTATACTGTTCGATTTTACTTCTTGAATTGTAGTAAGCGTGGCGTAAACCATCAAACATGACGGAAATCGTCGCCAAGGAATCATAGGCAAAAGCGAGCTCGGATTCCAGCCGGTGCACTTGAGCGTAAGGATTCGCTGGCTTTTCAGGAGTGACAGTGTCCGTACTACTACTGCTGTCACTACTACTTGTACTGACGGTACTGGTGGTACTACTGCTACTGCTTCTTCGGATCTTGGGAGCCGGACGTGCAGGTGAACGCGAACCGGAGGAAGACGAAGACGTCTTTTTTGACTTCTGAACGCGTCCCGATTTGACCGTGTCCGGATGACACTGGGCAGCCCACTTGAGAGATCTTACGCGGGAAGACAGAACAGTTGACGGCATACCAGGAGACATGAACAGAAGCAACAAGAAGCGCGAAAGGATAAATCGAATAGACGAGAAGAAGAGTGGAGAAAGTGGTGGTGAGAAATGGATAGTAACTTTTTTTTTGTTCTCTTCTTTTTTTTTCCTTTTCTTCTCTGGAATTCCCAGACAAAGATATTGACTGATAAGAAAAAGTGAGAGAAGGAAAAAAAACCGAAAAGCGTGGCGTATTTATACACTTTTCTTGATGGTCTCGCAAAGAAAAAAAAAAACTTATCGCCCAACTTGGGATGATGTACACCATATGATGAAATTGCGGGACACAGTTTGTACGATTTATGGTTACAGATTAGACTTCATTTGGAATGATCCATTTTTGATCCCTCATAGCTTATCTTTTTCGTGTACAAGCGACGCGCCCCACCCGAAAACTAGGAAAAGAAAAAAGAAAATCACACCCCGCTTGATCGACAACACCGGGGACTTTTGGATACAGGTAGGTAGGTTGGAACAAATGTTGTTGGGCCTTTTCTGCATGTTCCCAAACTATTTGCGTTTATTCTTTACAGTTCAATACAAATGAGGAATTGTCCCAAAACGGTGAGTCTCGGGCATGGATGATCCGAGCGGATATTCCAAAGGAACGTTTCCATTGTACAAGGAAAATGTTTCTACCCGTCCTGGCACAAACATACCACACAGTGGCTTATAGCCTTTCACAAACATCGCACAATCCTCTCGACTTTGTTTGTCGGCTCTTTGCCAGTTTCGGGGGCCCTTTTTGTTTGTTAGCACGTGGCGTAAAAAAATGGAGGACCTGTAAAACGGATCATGTTGCTTTGCGTAGTCCACTGTCGAAACCAAAAAAAAAAGTACATCATTTAAAGTTGTGCACTCCAAAACGTTCCCTGCGGAGTCTTGCTAATGCCGGTTTTTATCCAATTAGATAAAGTTAAGCTCTGTCAAGTGCTTCATCGAGCAAAAAAAAAAAAAAACAAGATGATGCATGAATGATCAAAGCATTTCACACATCATATTCAGGACCCAAAAGTATAGGTAAGACAACAAGCTATTTCTGTTCACAATCCCCAAAATAAACAAAAAAATAGAGAAAAATGTATTCTAGACATTGGGCAAGGATTGAGATGCTGTTTACTGTACTTGGCTTTTCATATGCTAATGCGATAGAAGGATCGACATTTGGTCTGCTTACGTTGAACTTTTTCACCACCAGAACCGTTAATGTGCGGTTGTAAGGAATTCCGCTGAAGAAACGTTCGAGCGAATTGTTACTTGCTGTTCTTCTTCTGTGGCGTTCTGCAGCATTGCAAAATGATGCGGGAATCGGTCCGGTTCATCCGTCATTTTGTCATCATAGTAAATGCGTGTAATTAAAATCAAATTTAATCAATCGCTTTTTTACAACTCAAATTTTTTTTTTCTGATCTTCAAGGTGGTGCAATCGGTCATTTTGGCTTTCCATCGTCCTCCGAAATGAACCGATCTTTTTATTTTCCATCATAACGGGCACCATTTTTACCATCGGCAACAACGTCGAGAGCAACACCAGGCATAGTAACACATTGTGTGTTGAAAGAAACAGTAGCTAACGTGTACAAAGCGACGATAAGAAGGGTTCGTTTTCTAAATGGAGACACAACGTTCAGATCGATATGCAGGATGACATTGATCTTACGTTCCAACACTAGTGGTATATTGGCTGCACCATGTTGCTTAATCTTTCTATATGAACGAAGGAATGGTTGCACCTATTTTCGGGTGGTAAATGGGAGATCCACCGATATGAAAAATGGCTATCGGCCAACTTTAAGATGGCAAACGCTCAATGCTAAGTTGGGGTTTTTTAGTTTGTTGCACGTTGCACATTACACAGAAACACAGTCTCAAGGAACCATGGAAAAAGGTCGCGGATACACAAAATCTGCGCAATGATGTAGATTTGAGGCTATGCACCCCATCGTGCGGAAACAGGAATCTCGGCAAAATTATTTTCACTTGTTAGTGACTTGCGCGACGATTACAGTGCCACTTGTCCTCCCACGTTGGGCTTCCCTACCCCCAAATGGTGATTCTATATTCCTTTCCTTGGGCCGAAATTTTTAGCTCTGATTTTGCATCACGCCCACTATTTTGCCCATCTTTCTTCTTATTTACCGGTGTTTTCAAAATAAGCTAGGTCGCACAAAAACAATGAAAAATACACTTGATCCTGAAAGCAACAAGGCTTAAAAATGACGTCTAAGCAGACACGCTGCAGAGCGTCCCCTGTACGCCTTATTTTTTTTTTCAGCAGTGACTGTAAGCCACCAACCTGATCAACATGCCCCTTACCAGCCAAACAGTCACGGCTGCTGACGGACATACCTATCAGTGGATCATGATGAGTGGCTGTTGATTTCGTTGACATTTCAACTCTGTGCTTTGTCTCATGGCCTCGTCAGTATGGTTGTTTTTTCTTTGACCACCAAGTGCATCACATAATGCATGAGCTGCATGGGTGCACAGACATGGAGCAAGTTTCAGGAAAGCCAAGAGTCACCCTTTGAGGCCAACTCAACGTAAAGTGGTTCAAAATAGAAAAATAGAGATGTATCGAGAAAAAAAAAAGGGTCCAGATGCGCGGTACAAGGACCATGTCCCTTGCATCTACTTCCAACGACATCGGTTCAATTCCAGAATTTGTTCATTATTTTTGCTTGGCGCTGAACAAGTCAGTGGCCATCCAGTGTTTAAGTAAGTTTTTTGTTTGTTTGTTTTCCTTCAGTATGACAGAATCAACAAGGGGGACAAAACAACGCAGTTTCCTGCAGTCGTAACTTGTGAAAAAGTATCGACTATCCAACTTCAAGCTTTTCAAAGACAACAGATGCCCTGAAAGGGTATCTCCTAGTTCGGGAAGGGGTGTTATCACTGCTGCTCTTGCAAGTTGATTATGATCTCAAGGGGATCACTTTTGATTGCCTTGGTTCACTTACGTAATGGCAAAAGCTTGTCGAATCAGCATGTCAATAAACATTGATATCGAACTGTCCAAGTACCCTGCGTGCTATATTACCTACTTTGCCTGATAAAATCTGAGTCATGAGAAATAGGATGATACAGAAAAACCACTGACAAGCAAAGTGCCAAGTGTGATGTTCATTCTACGGTGGTCCTCGTCGATTCCAATCATTGCTTTGAATAGAATCGCATGATAAAATGCAATGCGCTCGGTGGTAAATAAAACCGTACTCCATTGTTTCTTTTTGTTGATGCGTGTTTTCCCCAAATGGATCGCATAATCTTTAGGGTCTGGGTTCTGTCGCACAAATAAAAAGAAAGGCTCGCCATTTCGTATCATTTTACCCATGCGTCCTCTGTGAACCTGTTTGTTTTGTATTTCGACCAAAAAACGCTTTATCATGAAACAGTGCAAACACAATGAAACGGTTGATAGCTGTGACTTTTCCTATTTTGTCTATTTTGTATCAACACTATTGCGATGGCGTCGACAAGTTTGCATGTCAAGGATGGGGCAATCAGACGATTTGCGCTCATTGAGCCTAATGGCGATGTGGTGCTTGGCATGTGCATATGGACGGTTCCTATTTATCTACGTGCTTCCGCTTGTTGGCCTACTACGGATGGCCACCCAATTCGGGAGCAAGTCTTCCCTTGTTCGTTCCAACGAGCCATTGACACATAGCACAGTTGCCCTGATGGACATGGCTGACCGTGCGCTAGGTAGTATCATGGCCCAATTCGACTGGCTTGTTCAACCAGAAACAGCGAGACGTAATTTTGTCAAACTGGTTTACAGCTATCTCGCATGGATCGCTCTGCATCAGCTTCTTGACGCGCATCACATTTTCCAAATGTTGGGTATTTCCATCATTTTATGGCGCCATCCAATGATAGTTAAGGTTCGAGCCCATTTTGCTGGTTTGATGTTTCGAGATGTGGTGGATGCACTGTTCATTGGACCCGTTGCTGAGTCAACGGTTTCCAGCCAATATCCTTTGATGCAAAGGGCACTTGCTTATCAGCAATCCATCCAGAGCAACGGCCATTCAGATCGATCGATCAACGACCAGGACTTTGAATTTGTTGTGTATGAAAATCAGGTACGCATCATTGAAGTATGACTCAAAAGAATTTTTACGTTTGCGTGAAGCAGTAACACGGAGGATTTAGCGACGTCAACCGTTTGGCAAATGGACGACGGGCACTCTTCCATTCGAACGATCCGCATGGTCAGACGAGGCGAAACAACCAGTACCACCATGCTCCAAGTTTGTCCTACCTCCACCCTCAGTGATGGTTGTTGAAAGTTCTAGCCATCCCCAACGCCGGTGGCAGAAGACGTGGACCTGGGTCTGGACCGACGATGATTGGAGCACCGACGGTTGGGAGTATGGGACCTTGCTGTGGACATCGTTTAGCTCACATTCGCAAAAGGGCTTTTGGCCTACGCGACGTCGACAATGGAAACGCCGAGCCAGTATTGAACGGCATGTCAAAACAGTGGATGCTCCTGTCAGTGTGTCAATCAAAGGACATGTCCCCACTGAAAGGTCAAAGCTCTTTATTGAACAGTACAGCGCAATGCTGGAAGTATCCGATAAACATTCACTGGAATCACGCTTCGAATTGACCGACGCGCTCAATAAAAGGACAATGCTGACCGTAGATACCGGCAATCAAATTACGAACGATGATCTGTGGGCAAGTCCAGTAAGCTCACCACAATCTCCCGAGAAGACCATCAGCTTTTCGTCAATCACCAGTATGAACAATAGATATCGCGATAGTGGTCCGCTCTCATCTCGCAGTTTAATCACTGAACCGGATTCCTCATCATCGACCCCAGTTTCACCGGCTGAGTCACGATTCTCGAGAACATCGGCCGACGATAGAAAATATGATGGGAAAAGAAAATCTACTGGGTCAACAGGTCGACGTGAAGCAGTATGGAAAAGAATTGTGCGGGCATAATATCTTTTACACCCCCAACCCGAGATTACCGCCGTGCAAAATATTTATCTTTTCTCTCATGTTTCTTATGATTAATGGAATGTAATCTTTTCTGATAAAAACCTTGGTGTTGTTATCTTTCAGTTCTGTTGAAAGCTCTTTCACAAAGTACAAGTTTCCTATATAGATAGTGGGTAAACCGCCAACTAAACACAGCAGCATCCATTGTTAATCCATCTCCCAATATCCATTAGGACTACCCTCGACTCGTTTCAGGTACTGATCCAGGAAGCCATCGACAGCTTCAATGCTGAGGCAAATGGCAAGACTCTCGAACTGTCCTAATCTCTCCTGCGAGACAGTTGATCTTTGATATTAGGGAATGAACAAAGACACGGTAAACCGCCTGGCAACCGGAAGCTCCGCTGCCCCAATTGTACGAGAAACATCAATGCCTTCACTATGCAAGTCCTTTTACTTCAGCATCTTTCCCTGCTGCCGCTCCAGGTGCGGCCAATTCCTTTTTTTCTGTTGCTACATCGGTCTTCTTGTACGACCCATGGAATGCATGCAAACTCTTAGGCTCACACCGGATTCGCTCCGTCTAATGCAGCTCACCGAACTCCGCACCCAGCGGGAACGGCTCCACTGCCACGAAACTATGTATCAGGAAGTCAAGCGCCTGGGAACGAACCTAGCAACGCAGAAAACTGCATCACAGGACTCAAAGTCACGAAACGTGGCCCTTAGGCAACAGCCATGCCACTCGCACCGATCGTCGAGGAGAATTCCCTCCTTCAAGACTGAAGGTAATGTCTATCTCGTACCGCAAGGTGAACTCAGTTATACAAAGCAACGCTTCCACTGGCCTACCTTGAGATATCAATCAACCAACGGAATTCTTTCGACGGCAAATTGTTGGTAGAGCACAACACTGCTTCCGCCTCGAAGCGTATGCGAATCCGCCGCCACATCGGCCTCAGTCCTTATGGGTTGGCAGTTCACCAGCCATCTTTTCGCTCATTTTATTCCAAGCTGAAGTACGGGCTCGCTATGCTAAACACCCAGCTAAAAGCCCTCGAAGCAGTTCATAGTACCGCTTTTGAGGTAGTTGTACGGCGCCCTGACCAATTCAACAGCAAAAGGGACGAGGCGCCTTTCCAACCTCTCTAGCATGACCGAACGCAACCATCTCCTCAAAGGTGACCTCTATAGCTCCCCAAGTCTCTTTCATTTTCTCTACCTTTTTCTGTGTTTTCTGCCGTGGTTTCCTTTCTTCCGATTGTTCATTGAGCTGACTGGAGCGGAGTTCCTTAATCGAGACCTGCGTTCAATTTTGTGTTGTAAAAATAAACCAACACTTTTTAAACTTAATCGATGAACACCCCAGAAAATTGGTTTTTTTCTTCCAAGGGCGAACACGAAAGGTATATGCTGAGCATGGCTAGATGTTGAGTGTCAAAAACTCTGTAGTATTTATATTTGTGTTTTGAACGACTGGATAGTTTGTCTGTGGAGGGAGGGAATGGATAAAAGGAAAAAAAAAAATAAAGACATTGGGATATTACTGTTATACAAGACCATCATACAAATTCAATGCCTGAACAATGCTTGGGTCCTTTTTCGAACCTTCTTTGAATTCATCCATGCTTAACCTTCCGTCCTTGTCCTAAAGATTGATCGCATGAGGATTATATCAAAAACCTATGGAACAGCGGTTTTAGGGATTCTCCTGGATGACTTACCAAATCCATCATGTCAAATAATTTGTTGACACGCATTTCGGGCGTTGCTTCATCCGGTGGTAACTTGACCATACTGCCCACCATTTTGTAGATCGCTTCCACTATACGAAGCATCTCCTCATACGTAATGTAGCCATCGTTGTCGATATCATACAGCTGCCATAATCCTGTTAAAAGGAAGGCTCATCTCAGGACACCTTGGCGTCACTTGACTTACTTGAAATGCCCCTAAAAGCAAATGATGAGCCGTTAGTTACCATATACATTCTACGCACGCACGCACAACACACATATACAAATACACACAGTTGGGCGGTGTCTCCTCATTCTTTACTTACAATATAATTTCTCGTCGACTCGTCCGCGACTTGTGATGGATAATGCGCAGATGAACTCTTTGAAATCGATGGTACCGTTTTTGTCGCCATCAAAGACATTGAAGACATAATCTGCAAAGCGTGATGGATCGCCAAATGGGAAGAATTGCTTATAAATCTTTTGGAATTCTGTCTTGTCGAGTTGTCCTGATGGACAGTCCTTCAGGAATCCCTTGTACCTGTACCATGATAAGTTGGATGGGGGTCATTTTTATTTGAAGGCCAAAGTGGAACTGTCATACCATTGCTGTAATTCTTTCTTGTCAACTACGAACCGGGGATTAGAAACGTCAACACAAGCTAAGTGAGGGCAGATGGACGTTTTTTAAAAGGAAAAACTTACAATAAGTGCACTTTTGAAGATCGCTCAGCTGCTCGGGACTCAGTTTACTTTGTGCTTTTCCCATGATGGAGTGTTTACTTCTATGTTCTTTTTGGCTTCAAAGGGAAAACAAGGATGAACAAAAAAAAAAAATTACCAAGACAATTGTACTGTACGTACAGGCCAGTGGCGGGGATTGGAAAAATAGCCAAATCAAAAAACTTTAAACCTTCACAGACCACGTATTCTCCATGCCAAGCCCGTCTTCGTGCCACTACATCATAATGAGGTTCACAGAACGGCTTGGATCACTCTTTTTGCCCTCAATTATTACTCTACCTACAAAGTTTGGCATAAAGTCATATGAAAGTCATTTTTCAGCCAAATCTTTGTAATGCCGATGGCCTGGTAAAGTATACACTGCGACGACGGTGGTTGATATAACATGGTCCCACCAAAATCAATGCTTTGCAGACCACAGACGTAATGTGGATCTGCACCAACTGTCATAAATAATACTTTTGAAATGATTGCCTGTCGAGTAATCCAATAACGCTAACCCATTCAAGAAGCCGACATTTCTCCGATCCAGTGATTGCTGGAATACAAATGTTTCCGCCCCTTGAACCCATCATCACTTTGCATGCCAAGAGAAAGGATTGTCTGGAACATATATTTGAAGCGTTTGTTGTCATGCACAGTCCAATTTAATGGATGAGTCGAAAGGAGGTCCAGGAGATGCTAAACTTGTAACCATAAAAAAAACCAGGCCTCCCATAAAGGAAGCAACGCTGTAAAGTTGCTCTGAAATGAATATAAACAAAAACAAACAAAGCCGATGATCTGCACCAGATAACATGTTTGCTCATACTACTTTCATAATTGGTTTAGTCTGATCAATCTGACAGTTTTTCTTTCTTGTCTTTGCTTTGATTACTGTAGATCGCTTCTCATTCATTCGTTTTACGTTTGCCTGTGACGGGAATAGCTACTGATTTTCACGTCTATATAAGTCTCATTATTTACCTGATTGGATGACCGCATGGGCAGATCACTTTTTACTTTTCCCAGAATTCGATACAAGATGTGCATTGTAACAATTTGAGCGCATTTCTCATCTATTGTTTGTGGGACATTGTTGTGTCATTATAATGAAAGCGGACATGACACCTTCCAAGGTATAGAGAACTCTTGATAATCCACTCACTTGGTGAGACACACACACTGATTCTCTTTTTTTTTTTTAAACGTAATGGAATTGTTCTTTTTCATTTCGCCACAATCTCAGCGGATCAAATGTCCCTTTCGCGTCTCGAGCGGGTGTTGATCGACCAAAAAAAAAATGACGCAAAAAGGACAGCTCCGCACAACAACCCCGCTTGAAAAATTGCAAATCTTTTTTATGTGAATCCATGAGTTCAGAGAATTCATGCCATTGGATGTATCATATTGAGCGCCGCTGTAGAAAAGGAAAAAAAAATACAAATGTGGTTTTTTGCATTGGCTTGACGCAACGTGAGAATGATTCCAAATTATGCCAAAAAAAGAACAGCCTTTTTTGGGATCAAAAGGGGAAAGGAAAATAAGAACTGTTAAATGATTTTTGAGCTATGCTTTTGGTCGATCAAACAAAAAATAAGAATCTAGTTTTTATGGGAAGGACTATAAAGAAAAGGATAATGTGAGGCGCCTTGCATAGCCAAAAAGAAAAAAAGAAAATAAATGACTGATGGATTGGTAAGGACAAAGCGCATATAAAATAAGGGAAAAAAAAAGAAAAGAAAGAAGTAGATAAAACAAAAAAAATGATAAAGAAAAAAAAGAAAAAAAAGCAAGAGAGATAGAAGGTGAATAGATAAGGTTAGGGTGACATGGCATTACAGAATCAAACATTTAGGCTTTCTTTCTTTCTTGGTCTTGTTTTTCGGGCCCAGACTTAACCCTTCACGTTGAGCACGAATGATTTTGACAACTTGGTAGAATGACCGTTCGACATTAACGCATGTTTTCGCAGACGTCTCGATGAAATCGCAGGCCATACGTTTGGCCATCGCGTAGCCTTCTTCACGTGTTACTTCACGTTCCGTCACCTTATCGCACTTGTTGCCCACAAGCATCAAGGGTACTTTGTCCACGTCTTTCACCCGGAAGATTTGGTCGCGGAATCGTTCCACTCGTTCAAACGTTGAACGAGACGTAATCGAGTACACTAATAAAAACCCTTCGCCATCTCTGCAATGCAAAACAATGAGTATACCTTATGCCTACAAAATAAAACCCAAAGCAAAAAATGCCAACATGTAATGGCCAGCATTGGCAATTACCTGATCCACTGATCTCTTAAAGCGGTATATTCCTCTGCAAAGAAAATCCAACAACAAAGAATTATTACAGACGGTCCACTAGAAACCCCCCCAAAAAAAAGAACTCATTTTCTCTTTCTATTTTACCTTGACCGGCAGTATCCAAGACCTCCAAAACGCAAGGTTGATCATCGATGACGACCTGCTTACGGTATGAATCTTCGATGGTGGGATCGTATGTCTATTTTGAGGGGGAAGGCAAGGAGGGTGAATTCATTCGTGTTTTTTTGTCGTCTCCAAGAAACCGCAACGTCTGATTGATGTAAACCAAAAAGAAAAAAAAAAGCAAAAATCAAACGCACCTCTACAGAGAATTAAGCCGTTGAGTAAAATAGCAACAAGCGTTGGGTCTTTTTTTGGGTGGCGAACTTACCAACAAAGTGGTTCAGACACAGTTGAATCGTGAGTGCGGTCTTTTTGAACAAGGTGAGTAAGAAGTGTGAACCGTGGCATTGAAACCGAGAGACGATTCTTTTACCTTTCCTACACCACCATCTCCAAGTACAACAAGCTTATAGAGCATCATTTTGTCGACTGGATATTACGTGAGATAAGGAAGTGAGAGAAAAAAAAAGTAAAATAATAAAAAAACGCAAAAAGAAAAAAAAGATTTTTGCACCATGTATGACGAGCGGAAATGTAAAAAGCACGTTGTTTCATCGGGCGGCAAGTTAGGAAACACCAAAAACAGTTCACGGTGTTTTTTTTTCAAAGGAGTTCAAGGCAAGAATGAACAAAGAGACCAAGAAGCATAAATGTACGAGCCAAAGAGAATATACAATGATATATAAGACGTTAGTATATTCAGATGCTCTCGTTAAACAACGAAAGATGTAGCGGGCCATTTCGCAATGTGAAAAAACGTCATCATGGGACAAAACGAATAAGAGCATTCCATTTCTCCCTCCCATTCCCCCCGTCTTTCACTTTTCAAATTGGTCGAAATGCCGTGGTGCTCATGAAACGTACCGGTATGCTGTTTCTTCTGTTCACTTGAATAACGGTAAAAGGAGTGTCCGAACGGATAATACAGCAAAAGGAACTGACCACGAGGTGAAAGTTCAGCAAAGAAAGGGCGAAATCGGGGAAGAGATTCGCCAAAAACTGGACATGGTTTATTCACACCCCGATTTGCTCTTTGGCGCGCAATTTCATTATCTTTGCTCGAAACACCGACAATCGCCGGACCACGTCATCAAGCATAATTGTTCTTTGTCAGATGCTTGATGATGAAGGTTGACTGCCCTTTATCGGATCTGTGCAATGGCACTTGGCTACCAACCGTATATCACGATTGTTCCTTTTACTCCGTCGAAATATATGGTTGATACCACGACAAAGCACGCGAAAGACAACGAAATTGAACAGGTAAACGTAAGGGTTCTGAGAGTATCGAATTAGTGAGCAAAGAATAAAGAGATGATTGGTTTGAAGCTCAAGATCTCGAGGTATCGGCAACTCGAGTCAAATCCTGGTGATTCATCATTTTTTACGACCACATCGATCTCAACGGGGCCTTTTTCCGAAAAAAAAAGTCACCGATTGATGCAAGTAGATTTGCTGATTGTTGTGGGAAAAAAGGATTATTTGGCTTTACAATGAGACCTACCGTCCCCTGCTTTGCCGGCTCCAACTCTGTTCACACCGCATGATGTAAGCCAATGCCCCTGGCTCTACAGAACAAAGAAGTTTAAGATAAATTCAGAGACAATAGTATGAAAGGCTTGAGTTGCTTTGTTAGGCTGGCATAACAGTTCGATTAAATGGCTGTACATGCATGCTTTGATTAGAATACAAGGGTGCATTTTGCAATAGTAGCATTGCCTTTCATTTCTATTGTAAACCGACATATCTAGGTGATAGCAGCTTCAAACATAATATTCGCACCATTTATTCAGTAGCACGTAGACCGCTCACAATTAAAAAAAAACGCGTCAGCATTGAAATTGTTCTTATCATATCACACATGTCTTTGCTGAAGAAAAAGTCTATTCAATATCATTTATCTATATTGTCTCTGCAAACAGGTCGTTCTCAGCCGAACAGCTGAAGGGATCTTGCCGTTTACGGTTTCTATTGTGTGATACTGCATTGCAATTGGAAATACCGTATGGCCATTATTCTGATATAGACTCTCGACAGTATTTATCAGCCAAACTACTATTTTCATCAACGCATATGTTACACCTTCATTGACCTTCACTTCGACAACGTCTCTATTGCAGATCAATTTACCATCCCATCGCAGCTGTAATATGGAAAATGATACCCAGTTTGGTTTACAGGGGCTGAAGTCTATATCGTTTTCTTTTGCTTTGATAGCTTTTATAAACGCGTCAATCGCCGGCAGTATTACCAAGAATTAAGAAGCTACAATTACGTCGTCCATTCTCGCCGTGGGACTAGTCATCCCCGCTTAGTCTAGTGCATAACGCGATTCATTAAGGCTCTGCAGTGTTGTCTCTGCCATGTTTGCTTGTGTAGCCTTGACTATGTCCTTTATGTGTATCTTCCGAGCGGGGGCGTTGCTGTTATTCACTACACGTAGACGCGAAATTATGCAGATACTAGGCGCACTGTTCAGTTTCCTGTTGTTCTTTGAAACCAGTATGGTCACTGATGAAATCTCTCAGCCCGTCCTTTTTGAGCAATTTAACTGGCCCTGTCGAGCGAGTACTCTTACTAGAGTGCGGATGATGGGCTATAGGTAGCCCATAATGACGGTAAATTCTGCTGCAGTAAGTCGATTGTTGCCCATGGTTACCAGCTACAATGGATATTGATATGAAAGGGAGCGTTATAATTGGTCCGCTTATACCATACTGTCACTTTTCTCTTACATTTCGTACCAACAACGGTTGAATGCTGTATTTGTTCACTACAATTCGCCGTTATGAGACTGGATATTATAGAAGAGGGTTCGTATCCCCTTCTTACGCAAGTCATTTGTATCGCAACATACGTCATGGAATCTCATTGCAACCTAAAGAGGCTTACAACCATTGGCAAACAAGGCGCTTGCCTTCTCCTGATTACAATAGGAAATCTTGTACCATTGCAAGTAAACACTACTCATGGTTTTGATTGTAGTAAAACTGCGGCAATCCGGAATAAATGGTAAATGAGGAGACAACGGTATAGTGTCGTGAATAATCATGCTTTCTCAAGAGAAATCTCACACCCGTCCATTTCAATTCATGGGATTCAAAAAAAAAGTCAACAAACTGACTATCAAGTAAAACTCACTAAAGCTCTTTGAAATTTCGTTATTGTTCAACCCTGTCTAATCGCTAATTTAAGTTATCTATATTCCTATGTAAAAGGTCCAGGTGATGGTTGGCATGGTTCTGTAGACAGATGGTTTTGACATACGAGACATGAAGTCATGAAGTAAAATACCACGATATTTTATGTGAACGCAGTTTAGGTAGTAAATATGATTTAGGCTCATAGTATTAATAAAGATCGGCAAATCGCATTCAAAGATATACTATCCACATGATCTTCGCGTTACTCCGTAATCTCATTGTGGCGGTCAAATGTAAATCATTCAATTTCCTAGATCGAGTTGCACAAATCTAAAAAGAAGTATGGTACGAGTCTAATAAACGGACCACAAGCTAAAATATAAATTGAGTTCAATATCGGTTCCTTTTTCAAGCTCATCTTTACATGAGGAGAAAAAAGAGGATAGCCCATATTAAAACAAAGCTTAAACAGGGATTTTTTTTTTAATTTACCAGAAAAATTTAAGTCTGATGTCAAAATGGTCTATCGATCGCTTGATGGATGGATGAAGATCATTGCAAAACGAACTAGCACGCGCAATTGATCTGAATCATCCGATCTGCTTCTCAGAAAAAATTAAAGCACCTGTACAAGCTAATCGAATGCCTCTACTGACTACGTATGATGCTTTGATGAATAAATCTGGCGTATGGCAAAGCACTCCAAATAAGGATATAGTGTCAACAGGTGGTAATTGCTGGTTCAAATGATGATTGGCTAGTTTATGCCTTTCAAGGTAGGCGACAACAGGATGCTCCATCAGCTCATAAGATGGGGTCCCTTGAATATCCATTTCATACAAGCAGTACCTTTTGGTCCATCCAGTGATTAATTTTAATATGCTACAGGAGGGAAAAGGGGGGAGATTGCATTTAAACATGTTTATCGTCGCGGCTGGAATCGGTCGGTGAGTGTATTTGTCTGCTTATATCGTGTCATCGCGTTAGCATGGCTAAAACTCAAAAAAAGGATGACGATCAAAGAAAAAAGAAAAAAAGGTAATTTGTCTAACATGCCGAACAGATCAAAAAAATGAAATGAAATATTATTTGGACGAAAACGACACTAGTTGAATCATTAGCGTCCGACGATGGGGAATTACATAAGAGGTTAGATATTATTATACGGACTAAATTTGTAGGCACTTTTTTTTTCTTCTCCTGATTCGAATAGACGACGATGCAAGACTACAGTGATTCATTGGGGGAGCACTAGAAAGAACAAGCTAGCTAGGGAATGATCCATTGAATGCAGCCCGTCTTAGGCTGCCATCACCATATTTTTCACGCCTTTGGGAGTTGTATCATCGTTTAGATGCTTGGAATTATATCTCAGCGCAGACATCAGATTGGACGCGCTGGATTCATTAGATATATCGAGTATGTTGACCGCCTGGATCATTTTTACAGAGTTTTTGATCTACTCGTGAAGAAAAGGAATTTTTCACATTAATCATTTTGCCATGTCTGGGATGGGTTCCACGACGCTTTTTCCACTTACATTAATGGGCGAGCTTTTTGAAAAGGCACCGCTGGGGTCGATGTGATCATAGAGAATGATGGATATCACCATGACTTTGAGACAAAATGCCGATACCTCGGGACCTTGGGATCTAAAACCAATGCTACACATTGAGTTTCCTGTTGCTCACGGAATTCCCATCACCTTGCCAACCCTTACTTTTTCTTGTTTACTGTTTGAAAGCACGCTGACCAAAGCGCGCTAAGACAATCCGCCACGCTTTTCTGCAATCTGTTGTCTTTGACGTATTTTGTCGTGGTATCAATCACACATTTCAGCATGGGTGTAGGATAGGCGATAAATAGTGATATACGGTTGGCGAGATCATCTTCTACCATGGCACTGCGTAAATCCGAAACACTCTCGTCCATCGACATTCGTCCCGGTGAACTGTAACGACCGCGTTGCAACATTCGTCGATAATACGAAAAATCATTCTGCAATGTCGGATGTCGCATCTATCACTGCCTTGTTAGCATCCCACGTATATGAAGCCGGAGACTCTCTTCTCTCTTGTTCCCTCTCCCATGGGTTGCCCACCTTGAGATGATCGAATTCAAACACGAAATCAAGCAGATCAGCGAATAATTTGGTGAGTCCTTGATGCTTCTCGAGGTTTTTATTAACGTCTCCTTGGCACAGTACGTTCAAGAGTCGTGGCATGTTCTCCTCTAGAAACCAACAAAACAAACAAGCACCATTATGAAATGAGTAAAAATAAGAGGTTGCATAACGAGTTCACCAATGATTAAGGCTTACTTAGATCGGCCGCATAGTCGTAAAATTCACGAAGTACATCTACGGTTGGCAGGACAGCATCCCACGCTCGATTTTCATTTTCAGGATTGGGTGTTGCAATGGCTTCACGAATAAGTTCAGAGGCGGATGTATAATTTTTAAGCGAGGCTAATAACGCAGGACCAGGTTTCACCAACAGTGCGGTTAATTGATTGTACAGCTGCAGTTCGTCCGTCGATGGAGTCGCATCTGCAGGTTCAAGTTAGCTAACCCGCATCCACCTTTTTTTTTTCTTTTTCCCCACTTGACCACACGATGGCCATAGAAACCTACTTTCAATATCGAAATTCAATTCAGGCACCATGGCATCGCTTGCGCGGAGATTGAAGCTAGACAAGATCTGACCCATTGTATTATATTTTTGTGTTTCAAATCACGAATTGGTTCAGCGAAAAAAAGTAAGAAAATTGGGTGGTAGAGCGGGAGAGGAGTCACCAAAAAAAAAAGCGGGTTCAGGGAAAGAGAAATAGAGAGGTACGGTTTTCTAGTAAGGTCGAAAAAAAAAGAGGAAATGGAGATTCAAGTGATGGTTGGCAATCTGATGGGAAGAGATATTAAAGGAGTAAAAAAAAAAAAAAACTTTCAACGAGGAGAAACCCAGATGAAGGGAAAGGGATTTGCGGATTCAAAAGAAAAAGAAAGGGAGGAGCTTTGCACTGGCGCAAAAAGAAAAGAAAGAAAAAGAAAGAGAGCAAGAGTAAAAAAGAAACAAGTGCAAGTCGCTTACAAGACGACAAAAGATATAAGGAAAGGTGTGGGCAATAGGTGAAAGATGGCGTCCAGATTGCCAAGAAGTAGCAATAAGAAAAAAAAAAGGCAAAAATTCAACTAAACGCAAGTGGCCGATTTCCCTACCCACCCTCTTGATTTCCAAACGACGTGACCATCAATTTCCCAATCTTTTCAGGAAGCATCCTCGTCGCGGGATTTTAAACTCTCTAACCATTCACGTTTTTCCGACCATTTTCAACACCGTGGCGTTAAAATACATTGCCCACCCGCGTCATGAATAGGGTGTGCAAAAAAATCTAACTTAGCGTCAATTCGATAAAATAGATACACAGCAATATAATTAGCCTATTCACAAAAAACTAGACGATAGACTTTAGAATATTCTATGAGAATACAATGATACTCTCTCTTCTATCACATCTTTATCCATTTTTACAACGACAATCGCACCTATCGATAGTGCTGAAAGTGTATCTTTTTAAAGAGCATAAAAGCCCCCTTTACTGTATGAAGGAACGCTTTTTAATTATAGCTTGCTCACACTGATCAGGCATCACAGTTATTATCCAGAAATAAAGTTTTTTCCAAGCTTCTTTTAGCATGTAACAATTACAGTAGCCTGTCACAGTGCTGTTCAACCCATGTTTCACGGATATCAATATAAATTGTATTATACAAACGCAGAAAACAACCTTGCAGTTTTACCATACTGTGATGCAATGAACTGTAATTTAAATGCATTGCCTTATTTCTTTGCTCAAAGAAAACGCGTTTTACGGTACTGACCGCTTGATTGATGCCAGTGTCGCTATTTAAAGTTGCATCGGCCACAGTAATTTATAAAAAGTGGTCTGTATACATATGAGTATCACGGTACCATGTGGGCATCTGTATGTACGGACTCACATTTTCCGTCGAGTTCTACTGGGTTCCACTTCTCAGCCATCCGTCAATGGAAGCGACCCCTACACCGGTTTGTAAATAGGCTTATACTATCCGATCAGATCCAAATTCACCTCGAATATACATGTTCATATGAAGGAAGCCCCTAAAATGTTCCCTGATCTCAATTTACGTGTTTTTATGATCTTGGTCTCCTGATTTTCATAAATAACAACAAGCCTCAATTATCTAGCGTCACCTGTTATCCTATACTCTCGGACTTGATGAAATCCGTATAGCTTGGTTCACAAGTGTCTAGCCAGTGAACAGACCTGGAAGCAACATTTCGACTGTAATTTGATGAATTATACGGATTCAAACATAAATAGGCGGTAATTCCACGTTTTATCGATACACATCCTTTGTGCAGGAAGTCAACCGAATTGTAAATATACTAATTTCCGATGATAAGAAAGACTGCAAATACCGTCTTTTGAAACGCATCAAAGGTTTGACTATTTTGCTGGCACGATCTGCAATCGCGATTTATAGCGCTTTCATTCATCATATCGGAGGTGGCGGATGATGATCGATGACCCATCTCGAGCTGCATGATTTTATTTGTATAGACGACACGGGCCTTTGTTAATGACAAGTGGGCCAGGGCCAGCGAAAACGTGCATAGACTGTTATTATTGTTTTATTTATTGATTTGACGGTCCATAAATGCTTGCAATGCATAAAGTTTCATCCATCGCATGGATCCATCTGCATGGTATTGACGAACAGAAAAAGGCGTTGATGTTCCTACCACGAAAAGGGTTAAAGGGCTCATTGAATTTGTAACATCCACTATTCCTTAATGGGAAAGAGTGCACAATGCGTCCATCTGAAACTGGCCTAACCACAATTGCAAAGGCTTGAAGTTTAATAGCTCCAAACACAACACTACAGGATTTTCCTCTAATTTTTACGTACTATTCCCTAACCAAGAAAAGCTCATCAATGAATAGACTTTCTCACTAAACTTAATTGGCAGACATAACAGAGTGCGACAAGTGTGGAAATTAGCACCAAGGTCCCAGCTTTCTAAAGCTAGAAAACCGATGAATGATTTAATCATTTGTTTCCAATGATCTTAATGGCATATAAGTTTACCTGTGACTTTTTCTTGCGTTTCTTTCGCTTCTTGCGGGGTTTGCTTGCCATATTATGTCTGTCCGCCGTTGATCATTTTCAGCCTGCATGCGTTATTTCTTCCTTGCGATTTGGAAATCGCAGCTATTAAGGATATAGTAGAGATCGGGAGGCTGATGCAATATGCCATTTCATGGAAAATAGATAATAATGGTATATTTGGAAATTTCACTGTCTTGTGGGATAATTGTGGGATAAAAGATGCTGTTCAAAGATTCAACGGGTGCGGTTCAAATTTGGAGAATGAGCCATTCAGTTTTGCACAATTCTATTTTCTGTTGATCTTTTTGTATTCGGGCTTCTATCAAAAATCAAACTCATGGGATCGATCACTTAGCCATTGTTTACAACAAAAACTTGTCTATGATTTGGATCTGTCCCATAGTTCAAAATATTCTTGTGGGACTTCATCGTCAAAATCTTCAATGTCTAACTGACAAGCCATCATAGTCCGATGTTTGCTCGCAAAAAGTAAATGATACTGCATGGCCGTCAGTGTCTATATGGTTGATGAACGCTCTACGGTGATCTATAGTCTACATCGGACTTGTAGACATGGCAAAAACGCTTACGCATTCTAAAACCATGAGATCATGCTTTGTTGCTGTTAATGTTTTGGTGCAGTTCCCTAAGAGCAACAAGCAATATTTCAAGAGGAGTCATAGTAATGCCTAATAGCTAATGAATCATTATCGGATCCACGCTTGTCTCAACTTTGCTTTGTCTGCCAACAAAGTTAAATGAAGACTGTTGTTTCAAAAACGCGCTGTTCACTGATTGTATTTTTTTTTTTTTTTTTTTAGTTTGGGGATGTTACACGAGGTGAAAGGAAAAATTTCCGTAGTGTTGCCGTACAAATCTTACCAACGTATTGCAGATGAGGATTCTCTGAACTCAGCTCACGGCACTACGTTATATTAATGAAAATTAGATGAATCGACGTACACAGGAAAAATCATTCACTTCTTCTCCAGATTTTCACCGGCTATTGACAAATGACGATAAGGCAGGCAACGCCGGTTTTTCATTCAGTCATACCAGCCATCAACAAGTTTTTATCCTTTAGTTAGAAGCCACGAATATAGAATGATGCCATTGAAAGTACCACAGAACTAAACAAACCAGAATCTTCTGTGTGTTCTTCCTCTTGTTCCTGAATCTGGGTGGGGCCAAATTTTTTTTTTTTTTAGGCTTTTCCATATTACCGAACATTGGGCCGCAATAGGAATCTCCGTGGATGCGATGGTCAAATTACGGAAAAACAAATGACGACAAATATTTGCATATTCAACGGAAAAGCATCTGCACGTCCATGTTGCACGAAACTTGATTCCCCAACCATTCTTTTTCCACAATTTCATTTCTTTTATCCTTCACGCATCTTGCTATAGGTTTCAATGAGCCAAAAAAGCAAAAAACATCCTACAAAAATAAGATCGAAACACAACACACAGTAGTAGAAATGTTATTTCATGTGATTATAAATAATTCTATCTATATGTTGTTTCATTCACATGGACGAGCATGGACCACTTTTGATTGAAAAACAACAATTCTCACTTAGTGCTTTAATAAAATGAGCCAAAGAAGCAAATTGCTTCCGCGGAAACTTGGTACATCTTTGTTTAGGTCATCGACAATGCATTTCATTTAAATTCAAAATAATGTTTTGATGGAAAACTTTATATATGCTTAAAAATATATACTTGTTCCTCTGTCCATGTGTTTCTAGGGTTACTGATGTGGTTATAGATAGGATGTCGGTGTCGGTCGGCTGTCAAATTTTTTTTTCCGTGACTGAAAAAGTTTGGCATCCCCAATTCCTGTCAATCCCCTTTTTTGGTCAGTCAGTCCCGGTGGGTCCCCAAAAAAGTCAATTTGACGTTCCGAGTTTTTATTACTAACGAGTATTAAGCATCGCTGATCGCTCGCGTGAGATTTCCCGAGAGGCTTCTTCTTCTTACTACTCATTGTTGCTTTCGCACTCATGCCGGCGCCTTTTCACCCTACTCGTGCTTTCCAAGCATACCAACTGTTCGCCGCCAATACCAACGTCGGCAAAACCGTCTTTGCTACCGGTCTCTGTCGAGCCGCCGCCCTTCTTGGCAAGGAAAAGAACCGCAACGTTTTTTATCTCAAACCCGTGCAAACCGGCTACCCTGCAGACAGCGATGAACGGTGAGTCACCGTTTCTCTGAATCTGTTCATTTGAATCTTGTCATGACTGACTATCATTCCCCGTTTGCCATGCCATAGACATGTCAAAACATACAACTCGTCGACCATTCGCACACAGACCCTCTACACATATCCCGACCCAGTTAGTCCTCACATCGCCACCAACAGCGTAAGAGATTAATTCTTTGGAGTAGTATGGTCCACCTATTTGATCTGACATCCGTGCTGACGGTTTTGCATGAAAAATTGATAGCCTCCGGAAGACGCGGAAGTGATGCAGAGAACCAAGCAGTGGATGCTTGATTCTTTGAAAGGCGCACAAGATAAAAGTGGTAGTTTCTTCTTCTTGGAAACCGCGGGAGGTATCCATAGCCCAGTCATGTCAGGTAAGTCGTTTTCCCGGAACCTAAAGGGTGGGAATTTTCAAGCAACGGAATCCTCCAACTAAAACATGTGTGTTACCCAGGGACACCTCAAGCTGACTTTTATCGTCCATTGCGACTTCCTTCCATTCTTGTTGGTGACGGGAATCTTGGTGGCATTTCAACTACCATGACTTCGTATGAATCGCTGATGCTTCGCGGTTACGATATCCCGGCCGTCTTACTGTTTGACAAGGAGTACCGAAACCATGAATTGTTGCAACGGCGTTTGAAAGTCGATGTCACCGCCGTGCCTCCGCCTCCAGCTTACATTGAGGATCCCGTTCATGAACAAGCTTCCATGAAGAAATACTATGAACAGCTCGATGAATACCTATATCCCGTGATGAAGCGATTGGATCAGAAACACGAACAACGTTTTGATCGTCTCGAGCAGATGGCAGACAAGTCGCGCGAGGTGTTTTGGTGGCCTTTTACGCAGCACGAAACGGTCAAGGACGTAACCGTGATCGATTCGGCTTATAACGATTATTTCCTCACTTATGCCAAAAATGAGAACAAGGAATTGGAACCCAAGGAAATGTTTGACAGTTGTGCCAGTTGGTGGACGCAGGGTTTGGGTCACGGGAATCCGGACCTCGCCCTGACCGCTGCTCACGCCGCCGGTCGTTACGGCCACGTCATGTTCCCTGAAGCAACAAATGAACCGGCCTTGGCATTGGCGGAGAAAGTACTCGAAAAGGATACGTGGGCTTCGCGTGTGTTCGTCTCGGACAATGGATCCACGGCCATGGAAGTAGCGCTTAAAATGGCCATGAGTGCGACAGGAAGACGGTACGGCTGGGCTCACAAAGCGCCGATTGAGATCCTCGGTATCGATGGCAGCTACCACGGCGACACCATTGGTGCCATGGACGCCTGTTCCGCCAATGTGTACAACGAACAAGTGCAGTGGTATCAGCCGCGCGGTCACTGGCTTACCCCACCTTCGGTTCACATCACCAAAGGGCAAGCTCACGTCCGCGTTCCCGCCCAAGTGCTTCAACAATCTCATGGCACCACGGTGAATTACGATTCCGTGGCCACCATTTACTCTGTCGATAAGCAAGGCGAAAACCGTGATCCTGAACTGGCCAGCATTTACAAAGACTATATTCGATCGCAGTTAAAGATGCTCCGTGACCAAAAACGACACATTGGTGCTGTCTTGATGGAACCGGTGCTCATGGGTGCGGGAGGCATGATCTTTGTTGATCCACTTTTCCAACGCGTTCTCGTGGATACGATTCGACAGGAAAGCGCCGATCTGTTGGGTTATTCCTCGGCCGATAAAGCAGGATGGCAGGGACTCCCCGTCGTTTTCGATGAAGTCTTTGCAGGATGGTATCGCTTGGGAAGACAATCAGCCTCTGATTTCCTGGGTGTGGTAAGCTTCGAATGACAAAAAGAAAAGGAACTATGTGGTATAATGATTCGGTTCTTATTCATTTTGTTTTGGTGTGTGCTTTAGAAACCGGATATTGCTGCGTATGCCAAGACATTGACGGGTGGGCTTTTGCCGTTGGCACTGACGGTCACCAAAGAACCCATTTTTGATATCTTTTTGTCCAAGAACAAGCCGGATTGTTTGTTGCACGGTCACTCGTACACGGCACATCCCATGGGTTGCGCGGTAGCCAAGCGATCGATCGAATTATTGGATGAATTTGCGGCCAGTGAGACAGAACACTGGGCGCCTTTCCGAAAAGAATGGCAGCAACAACAAGAAGAATCGGTCTGGTCCATGTGGTCGCCTGACGTCGTTCGCCAATTATCTTTCTCCGATCGCGTGGAAAGTGTGATGACTCTCGGATCCGTGTTGGCCGTTGAATTAAAGGATGAAGCCAACAAGGGATACGGATCCACCGCGTCTCAATCCATTGTTCAGAGTATGCGCAGGAACGTATTTACTGAAAATGGAAGCGAAGCGACCATCAACTTGTTCGCTCGTCCTTTGGGCAACATCATTTACCTCATGACCTCTCAAATCAGCACTCCCGAACGCGTTCGACAATGTGAGCGCATCCTTCTTCAATGTATTCAGTCCTCCTCCAACTAGAAAAAACGTCTATAGACATCGTACGATGGATCATGTAAAATTGTAAAACTACCGATAATAAAAAGATTCATTATTTTTGGTACGTGAAAGGGGAATGTAGTGATGAATGGTGAAAGTACAAAATTGTGAATGAACAGGACAGGATCAGTCCTGCATAAAAAAAAGGGAGGAGATGGTATAGGGCAATAGAACGGATGGATGGGTCGTTTTCATTTCAATTCAATAATTTGAAATCCATCTTCGTCCACCTGGATTTTTGGTCGCGAATTCGCTCCGTGCCCACCGATAGGCTGTACTTGGGACGTCGATGCGCTGTTGGTCATGGTGAATCGCGTATGGTTTGTTCGGCAACGAAATACAGCATAGGCAAATCCCATCTACAATACGAGTCTCCCGGTTAGTTTGATAAACATCCATCTCACTTTTAATACATGGAATTACATTAATAGCCAAGTCCAGTATCAGCGTCAGACTATTCCAAATCAAGGTTTCTTCCCATTGACGCACACAGAGCGCTGGTTTATCGCAGTCTTCGCAATCCCATTTCATCGCAGCATGCTCCTCCGATGTGCAAGCTTGAAAAAACCGATCCTTCATTACGCAGTGAAGCGCCAAGTTCCCGCAACTGTTGAGGAAGCTGCAGACCGTGAGAGTGTAAAAGATCCACCAGTTGACCATCAAATATCTTAGATGTTCCTATCCTCCAGAGATCAGTCAAGTCTGTCCCAACGTGTATGCACTGCTACTTTGTCTCCACTCACTTTGTACAGAAAGTATGTAGTAGAGATTGACGTGGACACCAAAAGAGCGCTAAGGATGCAATTGACGTAGACAGTTGGCAAAAGTTGTTGTTGAATAGTGGCTATACGATGCAGAAAGACCCCAGGTTGAGACGTGGTTATTTTTTTTTCGTTACGTTAACAAGCCCAATGGTTGCTATGCATTTGGCATTCTTACTTGGCCAGCCGTTGTCAAAGGAACCCCACATTTGCCACAAGGCTCTAAACTTGATCACGTAGCAGTAAAATATTAATTAATACGCTTTTCCCCCCTCACATACGACACTGCAGAATGTCAGTAACAGATAAATACCCACCATTTCCAGTCCCAGAAAGACAATCATAATATGATCAAGCTTCTTTCTTGCATGACAATGAACTGTATGTGTACTGGCTCTCATTGTGTAGAATTGACTGAATTAAAATGAATTTACCAAAAGAATCTGTAAAACGTGCAACGGATGGTTTGCTTTATATACACAATCAACGCCAGCATTCCGGGTCGATTTGAAAATTTTGGAATCAAGCTAAGGATCATCTTTTGTATTCCCAACAGCTTCACTCGCGAATTAGATGTAACCTTTATGAATGGAGATGGAAGATCAAATCGTTTATTTGATATGTTACAAGATGAAGCCACGGGTTCCTTTTCTGTCCGGACGCCCGCTCGTCGTCATTGGATGTCGGGTTGATAGATAAAAGAGTGGATAGGATGGAAAACAAAAACAGTCAACCCAACCTAAGGAAATCAGCAACCAGTTCTACCAGCAGAGATTAAAGCTGTACAAGTGGACAGAGGGTGAACAAATTACGATTCAGTACAAACCGACAGATTTTTAGGGTATATATGAGACAAAAAGATTTGAATCGAGAGAGAGTTCAAAATGCGTATGCTGTTTATAGTAGACTTGTGTAAGAACAAATAAACAAAAAGGAGATTATGCAAATGAACGGATATATTCGAGTAGAGCGGCATCGATCCAGAGACGTCCGGACTTGTCTGATTTGCTTCGACGAATGAACTCTTGAATCAGCATTGACGCTTTGTCACGATGCCGGCTTTTAACCCACGCTTCTATGAGAGCACAATACGTGACGGTGTTGGGAGCGAACCGTGTACTGGTCTTCATGAGATCGAAAATCTGCTGGGCGGTTTCAGGCATATTGTGACGGCCGTACAAATCAATCAAGGATGTATAGGTGTAACTATTGGGTTGGATGCACCGTTCAATCATTTCTTTGTGGAGACTGAACGCCGCGGTCGGTCCGATAGAGGCCGCTTGGATCTTCAGCAGCATGGAATAAAGTACTGCGTCCGCCTTGATACCTGCCCCCATGGCTTGCTGCACAATCCGTGCCACCACCTCCAAGGTGTCTCGATGCGAATAACAATGACGCTTGGCGAAAGCGTTCAACACACAACTGATCACATATTCATTTGGTCGCACATCGTTGTCCAGCATCCGTTTGAACCATTCAATGACACTGTGCACATCCCTTCGGTCCGCATAGGCTTGTATTATAATGTTATAAATATAGATGTTGGGCTGGATGTTCTGCTGTTGCATCATGTCGTAATACTGCGCACATATTCGGAAGAAACCTCGTTTCGCATTCGCTTTGATCATCTCCGCATACGAAGCAATGTCGGGTAGAATGCTGTGTTCAATCATGGATTCAAAGATGCGCACCGTTTTCACGACATCGCCCTGTTCGGCCGACAACTGCAGTAACGCGTTGAACGTCTTGATGTCTGGATTCACGCCCATTTCCAGCATTTTTTGAAAGATGCCCACCGCGTCCATGTACTTGTTCTGCCTCCGGTAGGCGTTGATAAAATTCGTATAGACTTGCCCATTTTGCGCTTTGCCATCCTGGTGCAACCGTTCCAACATATTGTAGGCCGTCGTGGTTTGTCGACAACGAAGTAACTGCCAAAATATCTCGTCATACGCATCCAACGTACAGTAATTGACTTTCAAGGCCGTATCGATGACGTCCCGTATGATTTGTTGATCGTTGCGGCGCAAGGCATAGCACAGCTTGGAAATCAGCAAAATCGCATTTGTCCTCAGACTTCGACCGTTGGTATCCTTGATATGGGCGTGCTGTTGAGCCACAAACGTTAACCGATCGGACAACTCCGAGGCACTTAAAGTGTCATCGCCTCGCAACAGATTCATCAATCGAAGGTACAAATACCGTGGTATATCAGCTGCGCAATTTTCCTGCACCATATGAAGATAGCAGGACCATGCCTGCTGATGGTTTTTGATGCGAATGGCATGTTGCAGTAAGGCCTGCGGTTCCAAGGGAAGCACCTCGACCGAGGCGAGAAACTGATCTTTGGACAAGCCAAAAGCGGTTTCTACATAATCGACGAGTTGGTCACTCTGGGATTGACGAAGTTCAAAGGGATGAGGAGCTTTGGCAAAACTGGCCAAATTTTTGGCGTAGATTAAGAGTGTATAGAGCGAGGAACAAAGTGCGAGGGGTATGTAGTTGACATTATCGTCGTTTCGGCTGGTCAATGTCGAGAATAAAGCCCATGCTTTTTCGGCTTGTTGCAGTTGAATCGCGGTTTCGAGATCGGCGAGGGTCACAGAGTTGGATAAGTTGAAGATGGCGAGAGGACCGTGAAGTGACGGCGGCGGTTCGGTCATGGGTCGTGGCGTTCGAATGCGTTCTAATGGCTGTGGTGAATAGGACGGATTTTCCAGGGCAGCTGCGGTGGAAAGCGACCGTACTTTGACGGCTCGTGGTGGTTTTGTCGTCCAGCGATGAAGAGGGGCATGGGCTCGTCGATAGGGTATCTGCTTCCCAGTAAGTGGGCGTGCCGACGTTGAGGAGGAACTGTCGACAGCGTTCATGAGAGCTCTCAAGTGTGAATTCCAGCAACATGACGGTATGTTTGTGCTTGAGGTTCCTTTGGGCGTAGACGGAAAGAGAAGAGTGGCGGCTTCTCTTAAATGAATACTAGACTTGCGCATTCCATTACTTGGCCAATAGTAGGAAAAAACTAAACAACCCGTTCGGTCTACCCAGTTGAATTAAATTTTTTTGTCAGTGGAGACCAATTTGTGACTGAGTCGGACCATACGGCGTTTGACCTTTTTCTGTAAATCCCCCCCTCTCCCTTTGAAACAGCTCTTTTTCCACATCGGATAAGCCACCTCCTTTCATCCCAAGCCACCGTCAATTTTCCCTCATGCCCATCCTTTTGATCTCCAGGAACCTCCAAACTGCTTGAAATTTCCATGCTTTGTAAAGCAACGTCTTCATATACAATATCATTTATTTTGTTGCTTCGTTTCAGCTACGTATGGTTTCATCATAATTTCGAATGGAAAATATCGCTCTTCCAAAAAGGTGACGGATCGACCAGTCGTCTTGCATGTTCCGATTGGCTCAATTGATCTAACCGTTGAATGTCGGACAGTTCAAGCTGGATTGTCTCCTTGTTTTGCTTGATGCGGGATGGGGTTACCGATTTTGGAATAACCGAACACTTTCGCTGGATACCCCATGAAATCAGAACTTGAGCAGGCGTTGTGTTGTACTTGTTTGCCACTTCCAACTACTACATCTTTCAGAAAATCGTCTTCTTTTCAGTGCATCTCTTTTATACTTACAACAATAGGTTCTTGAATGAGAGGAGAGTCGGTACTGCCCAGTGGCGAGTACGCCGTCACTATTGGATTGTTCAGTATCGTGTGTCGTCCCACTCGGTGGTTAATTTCAATTACCGTGAATGTTTTCTTCGTGACAAAACTTCAGGAGCTCTTTTTGAGGAAGATACGGATGCAATTCCACCTAGTTAATCGGTCAACATGATGTTAAAAGGACTTGTACCTTTCTTTTTTTTTTTCTATCTTGCACCTGATTGACGGCAGGAATGATTTTCGCAGTGGCAAGCAACTTTTGAAGATTCGGGATACTGAAATTGCTGACTCCGATGGCGCGTACTTTCTTCTTGTCCAGTTTTTCCATCGCCTATAGTGACATAAATCATTATGGTTGTCTTTTTTCCACATCGAATAGGAAATATTTTCAATTAGTCATGGTTATTATCGCACTTACAGCATAGGTTGCACAGAAATCCACTGAATCCAAAGCAATCTCACCGTTCTCGTCCTTGGGTACCATGCGTTCAGAAGGTTGGAAGGCAATCGGCCTACAACTCTTTGTTTTAGCATGATTTTATCATGTCAGAGCTAATCCCATCAACCCCACCAATGCATCAGATACAAGTCGATGTAATCGAGCTGAAGGTTGTCCAAGGATTGTTCCAAAGCGGAGGCCACCAGCTCAGGCCGATGACTCGTATTCCACCTATCAAGAAAACCGTGAGCTGCATGTAGTCGAAAATGACATGACGTAAAGGTGTACGGTACAGTTTGGTCGTAATGAACAATTGATCTCGCGGAATACCACTGTCCTTGATGGCTTGACCGACTTGCTTTTCGTTTCGATCTATCAACTAATGTTTAATAGCATTCGCCACAACTCAAAGAAAAAAAAATGCCTGGGACGACTTGTTACAAACGTAAGCTGTATCAATGTGCCGGTAGCTAAATCCATAGTTAGTAATTCATTGCTGTTACGAAAGAATGGACGTATAAGAAAGAATCGTACCCAGATTCAAGTGCTGCTAGAACAGCATGATATACTTCGTTTGGCTTCGACTGCCACGTCCCAAGGCCAATGGCGGGAATAGTTTGACCAGTGTTTCTGAAAAAAAAATGTAAGCTTACTTACCAATGCATACGAGAAAACAGAATGATCACCGTATATTAGTTGATAACTCACAGCTGAAATACGTTATTTGCTGTCATGGATGTTAATAAGCTAAGTTACAAAGACAGAAGGGAGAAGAAAAAGGGATGAATAGGAAAAATGTGACCGATAAGATCGTAATTCACATGAAAAAACCGTATTCGCAATTTTAAAAAAATTTACCGTCCTCCAAAGACCGACTTTGGGGGGGGGGGGGAAGACATCTAATGCATCATTAGCCGCTACATGGCCTCGCTACTTGAATTCATTGGTTTATGAAGCAAATAGATCTGGGACTAGCGGTTATCTCATCCATAAAAGCTAACCGAAACTGTTTAGTACGAACGGCAGATGTGCCTCTTACAGTTGATCAAACGGTGTTGCATCCTGCCAAAGAAAATATTTCTGCGATGGATAGGTACGCATAGATGATATATAAGCATGCAAGGCAGAAAACTTTGGAAATGTGTTAGAGTCAAGCGACATTAGCTCGACTCAACAGCGAAAAGATAAGAGTAGATTTCTGGTAACCCCTTGACTAAGGGTAGAAAAAAAGGTACATCATTGGGATGTCGCCGTCACTCTTCTTTTCCAAAGGCGGGAATTCACAAAATAGTCAATCATGCGGTATTTTACAATTTTTTTTGGAGCAATCTCTGTGTGTGTATACAGTGAAGAGAGTCATCAACAATTACCCAAGCGGTGCATTGAGCTTGTGTTAATTTTTTACTTTGTGAAGGATGCATAGTTCATATCCACTTTTGATCATGGTATATATAAAACTGTGGTTGGTCCGCAGTAGTCAAACTGCAACACTGTAACTTGATTCTGCGTCAGGAAAAAAGAGCAAATCAGGGCAAAAGCACACCTACTTGAAGTCAGTCATCAGGGGTAAAGGGCCTGAAGTCGTTGGTCATGTGAAAAGAGGAGCCCAATGGAACGTCAAAGGATGGTTCCATGTGTATGCCTATGGGTGTTTCAGGATCTTCTTTTCGTAACAGAGAATGGCAGCCGTACGTCATGAACGAAACAAGTGATGACTGATTTCCATATGCTTTTTGGAAGAATGGTTAATTCCGGTTATTTTCCATTGGTGGAATGGGCACGCCGTTTCTACCCATAAGCTGCAGTTGGAATGATGTTTCGATGGGAAGGCGGGGATGAAATCAGAACATTGGCAAAATTTCCACACCTCCTTGAAACTGTAAATGCCAAACACTGTTTTGTTTTTCTCTTCTTCCAAGGATGACAGCTGAAACAGGGATCAGCAAAGCAATGAAATGGCGGATGGCTTGCATCTGCACGGATATTGTTACAATCATACATTGTAAGTTGCAGCCAATTTCAAACGCAGATGAATTGGCTCTATTTCTGATTCACACTTTCATCCTTCCACGTCTTACAAATTGTACTCCGCCTTTGAATAGCTTGACTTGTTCATATGCAGCGGAGCGATCTAAAGAACATGTACGATAAAAATGATGAATGTATATTATATGCAACCTACAGGGGCAGTCTGTTCGTGGTTATGTTAAAAAATGAGCTTTTCTTCCTTTTGAGCCCACATCAATGGTGTTGCGTCCTTCTTTATGCAAATAGCCCGTATAAACGATCTACTTTTTGGCTCAGACTTGCAGCTCAGGCTTGGCCGGACGAACCAAAGTGACAGGGCCAGGTGAGGACGGTTGAAGGGCAGAAGCAAGGATGACAAGCAGAATGGCTAAATGAAGCAAGAGACAGGAACGATGCAAAATGTGGGGCGTTTCTGGTTATGCTGGGTGGGCATCCTCGGTTCGTCTATTTTTGGCAAATACCGAAGTGGAGATGTCTGAATTGGAGGCCGGTGTTCGAAACGTCACGATGGCAACTGATGAAAGTTTTGGGTTTTGGAAGTCTGAATTTTTTCTTGAACGTGTTTATTTTGTGTGAGAAGGGGAGGTTGTTTATCCCTTCTTTTTTTTACTTCTTCTTTACTCTCATTTTCTATTTGCTACTTGCAACACTCGTATGTGTGCGTGTGTATGACGTTTGTGTTCCTCATTTCTCTTTGGCACATACACACGCTCGCATTGAGTAGTCTTCATCGACCATTCCAGTTTTTTTAAAACCTTTATTTTATTTTTGCGCTCCTTTTTTCCTTTAGCCTGGTTTTTTATCAACAGTTACAATTATTATTGCACCAGTCTCAAGCTTTTTATATTTTCGTATTCCCTTTTTTTTTTCCCTCCACACTTTTCCTATCTTTTCGCCGTTTTTTTCTTTTATTACTACTTTATTTCATAACTCGTCTCTATATCTTTTTATTCGTCGTTGCTGACGCCTCATCACACACCGTAAACCCAACCTCAAATCTACCCCGCTTTTGAGTAAATGAGTTCGACTCCCCCCAAACATTCCTTATCATCCCCCACATCAGGTCATGCCTTGGGCGTGCCTGTATTACCCACACCGTCATCCTCGACTTCCAATCGCACCGCGCTTCAGCAACTCAGAGGAGAGCTTGAACAGCAGCTCGTCGAAAAGGAAAAACAACTGCAGGAATCGCAAAGCGGAATTGGAAAAAACGTGCTGGCCAGACAAATCAGTCAGATTCAGGAAAGGTTGCGAGAAATGGACCTACAAAAACAGGATCAACAAGACGATTTGCCACCCGCGACCCTGGAAAAACTGCGTAATCTCGAACGCGATCTAAGTGCTTATCGCGGTTATCCACTGTCTCCCGGATTGTCAGGTCACCGTAAAGAAAAAGTAAGTTTGTCATACTCATTACCTTTTTGCCAACGGATCGGTCTTGAGGTGTCCGACTGACTGGTTGCGATGGAGTAAAGGGAAAGAAAATAGGCCTTGGTGACCCAAATTCCTCCCTAACTTGCTTTTTTTTTCTTTCAAATGATCGACTCCTAGTTACTTGGTCAGCGATCTACGGGATTAGATGGGTTACCAAGCCCCTCCGCCTCCACGCTCATGCTCCCATCTCACGGTCATGATTCAAGTTCATTACTGCCGTTGCCACCGCCACCTACCGGTTCTACACCGACCAAACGACGATCCAAAGTCCCCAACACCGATCGCAGAAACACCGATATTGAATTTGCCACCGAAATCGGTCAAGGGTTGCTCGTCGAGGTACGCAAAATGCAAGCTCTATTGCAGGAGAAAGAAGAACAACTTCGTGCTCTCGAGATTCAGAAAGCCGATCTTGAACGCGCTGCCGAAGCCATGGCAAAACAGCTCAGACAACGTGAGGAAAATGAAGGTACGCTCTGATATACATTTATTTTCGGTCGTCTAGACAGACCTCCCAGTGGAACAAGGTCATTGATAGAAAATGATCGTCTGTAGAGAAATTAAAGGAAGAGACGTGGAATCTGGAGCTGGCCAAACAAGAACTGACGATCAGTGTCACCGAACTGCAACAGAACCTGAACAAAGCTCACACGGAGCAAAACAAGGTGGTGAAGCAACTGAACGAGTTGAGGACAGAAATTGAGCAGCTTCGAGATCGCGAGGAAAAATTGACGATGGCCATGGATAACATGAAACAGCGTCATGAGCAAGATATGTCGGCGATTCGACGCCATGCTGCGGGCCTTCAACGTGAAAAGGCCGATCAGAGTAAACAGATCGAAGCCTTGACCTCGGAACTAGCCATTGCCAAAGCCCAATCACGCATTGCCAAACATGCGCACGCCGAGACCGAACCTTCAGAGAAATCCGATTCCAACCATGGCACCTCGGATGAAAGTTCGACCGTCAAAAACGATTCAGCCCATCAATCGTCCCCTCCCCCTTCACCCAAGCAGAAACCCACACGCAACCAAGCACTGGAAGTGGAAACGCTGAAAACGTCCTTGGCGCACGCCCATCGCATGGTGTCCAACCTCCGATCCAATCTGCACAAGGAGAAAACAGAAAAGTTTGAGTTGAAAAAGTTGCTTGCGGAATCCCAAGAGACCATTGAACAGCTTCAAAACGATCCTCGCATGTGGATTGACGCCGGTCAGCGCAACGCGGCCAAGGAAGACGCCACCGCCGCAGGGCAACGCCGATCACGTAAACCGAAACGCCGCACGCCGGCAAGACGAGCACGTGCATTGAGTCGTACTCACCGTGGCGAGGACGATTACTCCGAAGCCGAGAATCGACGTAAACGCAAGAATTCCCAGTACGAAGACGACGATGTGTACTCTTACTCGTCCATGAGCTCGCCCGAAGAAAGCGATGTCAGCGAAGATAGTGATCATGAAATGGAAAAACGTGTCACCATCGCCCCGCGATTTACATCCTTGTCGTCGGAATTGAGCCAGAGCCAAATTAAGCAACCGGTCGTTGTGGACGCCCAGGTCAACACGGACCCTGTGGAAATCACGCCTTTACCCGTTCCAACCTCGATTCCACGTTCACTAGGCGACGAGCTTACCAGTGCCGATGCAAAATCCTCACTACTGGAAGATGTCAACAGTGCACCAGAGACGATTGAGCCAGGATCTGACGTGTCGACGCAAACCGAACCTGAACCTGTGCCCGTGGTAATGACCGATTCTCGCGCCATTCAAACCGATAGTGAGCCCTCTAAACCATTCGAAATGGTGACCATGGATGCCATGCAAGCCGCTCCCGTGGAACGTCCCAGCGTCGATGCCTATGTCCAAAGTGTCACGCCAGATGCAATGGAGCGCGGCGTTCAATCGGTTCCTGTCCCTACGACCGATGCGGAAACTCAGAGTGTAGCGGTCGTGACTTTAAATGCAGAAGTCCAAAGTGTGCCGGCTGTGACCTCGGATGCAGGTATCCAGTCGGATACCATGGAAATGGTGCATGTGGCAACGCAGATGGATCCTGTTACTTTTGAAGATCAGAGCACCCAATACGAAAGCCTACCCGGTATCGATCACGGTGTCCAATCCGAGCAGGTGGCATCGATGCATGTGGGTGTGCAAAGCGAAGCGGACGATACGACCTCCAATGCCTTGGAAAATATCGGTGTGGCGTTGGCCGACGTTTCGACCGCCGTGACAGTGGATGCGAGTGTACAACATGATCTCATCACACCCGTCAAGGACGCTGAAACGCAATCACAGGCCGTACAAGTGACTGATGCAGCTGTGCAGCATGCCATTGTCGAAGAGAAGCCCGAAATGTGCGACGCTGAAGTTCAGCACTGGCCCCTGACACCTCCCTTGTCCGAGGTGAACCTTGAGCAAGGCTGGATAGTGAATGCATGCGAAACCGTGGATGCGGGTGTGCAACCGGAAACCGAGCCGGGCATGGATGTGGCCGTCCAATACGATCCCGTGCAAACGCACGATATCGATGTGCAGTACGAACCCATCCAGACACACGATGCCCACGTTCAGCACGATCCTCTGGAAACGCACGATGCCGACGTGCAGTATGATCCCGTCGAAACGCAGGATGCCCACGTTCAACACGATCTTATCGATACCCATGACGCCTACGTCCAGCACGAGCCTATCGAAACACATGATGTCCATGTGCAGCACGAGCCCGTCGAGACGCATGATGCCCACGTTCAACAAGAACCCGTCGAGACCCACGATGTCCACGTCCAATACGAACCTGTCCCTTTTGAATGGACGCAAACCACCCTTGAACAAGGATGGCTGTGTAAGGAACGAGAGGCCCAGGATGTCGGTACACAATCGGACGTTTCGGCGTTTGATAAGCAAGACCAAGAACGCGTGTTTGTGGATGCTGCTGTGCAGCATGTTGACCAGGCTGAAACCCGTGACGCTGTGCCTCTTGCATTCCCTGCCACGGCTGAGTCGACGGTAACATCACGTGAAACGAAGGAGGCCGTTGCGTCTCATGACAACCAGCCACATAGGGCTGATGCTATCGGTACTCGAACAGCGGTTGCTGCTGCTGCTGGTGTGGCAGGATCCTCCGCTCTCACAGCTCACAATGAATCTACCCACGCATCTTCTTCTCATGAAGATCGAATTGCTGCGGTTGAATCGGTGACCAACAGCCCGACGATTTCTTCGCAAGCGGACGAAACCGTTCAACAAGAAGGGATGGTCCACCGAGACATTGGCTGCGATGGATCGGTACGTACACGCGAAATGCTACCGGAACGCCCAACCATGGCTGCACATGCTGTGAGTGAACCTGCGCGCCCGGACGGTTATCGTCAAGCAAGTCACGATCAACGCGCCTCGACCGATCTGTGCAGTCTTTCGACCGCTTCGCAGAGCAATTACGATCACCGTCCTTCAATTTCATCGTCTCAGCTTGATGCGGTGACCCGTGGACCCGGTGGTGGAGCAGACCCTCACGTCATCTCCTTGATTACGCAGACCATGATTGGCGATTGGCTGTACAAGTACACCCGACGAGCGGTCGGCAATGGCATGTCTGAGAAGCGCCACAAACGGTTCTTTTGGATTCACCCTTACACTCGCACCCTGTACTGGGGTCCGCGAGCTCCTGGTGTCGATGGAGGCGAATCCAAAGCCAAGAGCGGTAAGTTGGTCATAAACAAGATACAGAGCAGAAATTTGTGGGCACTGACGTGACAAATGATTAGCTTTCATCGAAGGTGTGTCTGTGGTGCCTGATTACACCCAAACGCCCCCCGGTTTGCCGAATGTGAGCTTGCTTGTCCAAACAAGTACACGTCAAATTAAATTGACTGCACCCACAATGGCGCGTCACGAAATGTGGTATGAGGTAACGTATTGGGTAAACATGATCAGAGTATGAGTAGAGACTGATTTCCATGGATTTTTACTATAGTCTCTTTCGTATTTGCTTGAACGAGCCAAGGGAGAATCATCCGCGACGGTATCCGAAACGAAGCGCGGTGTCGAACCTCGTAGCGTAGCACGATCGTTATCTAGTTCATTGTACCGAAAACCGAGCTTACAACGGCTTCATCATCTTTTCCATTCCAGCAGCGGAACGGTGCGTACGTCACTATCCGGTTCCGTGGACCACTTCCACGATGAAGATTTGGATGACGAAGCACTGGAAGACGTCCGCATGTGCTGCAATGGCAAGCACCACGTATCGAAGCTTGAGAAAGATGCCAGTTTACGTCCCACGTACCGCAAACGCAAGAGTCGTCCCAGTACCCTCAGCCAAACCCAAAGCCAAGCCGGCAGTCAAGTTGGAAGTCAATAATTGACGCCCATTCTTTTACTCTTTTTTCTTTCCATTTGTCAATTAGCATGTGTTTTTCTTTTTTTTACTTCTGCAAGTGCTTACTGTATATTTCTCAATCGGCATCTCCTTTTAACTATATCGTGCATCCATTATTTCATCAGCCAAAAAAGAAGGTTCCTTCTCTCTGAGAAGACTTGTGAACTGATCCTCACTCACCGGCTGGAGACTCGACACTATCAACCCCCCTTTTTTTTATGTAAGAAAATCCTCTAAAAAACCAAATATCCCGTCTAAAGTCTTCTAAAAAAAATACCTTTCCTTTCCTTTTTATTCCTTCCTTCCTTTCTATTTAATTTTTTTATTTTGTTATTATGAACACTCTCTTGCCAAGACCTAATAAAAAAAAGGAGAAATATCCACATCATTCATCTGGATAGAGTTATTATGTGCGGATCTTGCAAGGTATATTAATTGGTTAACAGTAATGATAAACACTAAAGACGATATCTCGATAGTATTTAAGGACAAATTTCAGTTGTTTTCGGGATATGGCTTCTCGATACATGATCTCGTCAATATGATGTTTTCCATCCATGTACGGAATCAACCTTTCGAAAAGTTCGGCAATTTCTTTGGGTGCCTTTTCATGCGCTAGACGCTTGAGACGATACCAGCTAATCTCGTCGGTGCTCGTGGCGGGACTGGAAGCCATGGTGTTTTCGGAAGTGGAAGTGGGGATTTGCTCGGTGGAAGTGGATTTTTCGGGATCGGGTGAAGGGAGCATCAAGACGAGGAACATGTGCAGTTGAACGACCAGGTCCTTTCGAACCAGGTAGGTGATGGCTTCCAGGTATTGATTTCGCAATTCTTTGGAAGGCGTGATCATGTGAAGTGGTTTAGCAATGGATAGTTGGGAGAGAAGCGTGGGTAAATCGAGGTTGGGTATATGCATTTTAAAATCGGCATCAAGTACTGAAATGTCGTTGAGACTCGCTTGCGGTGACACGACATAAATATTGCGTTGATGAATAGTGTGAATCAACTTGGCTTTACGCCAATAAATCAAATGGGCCGCTAACCGATAAATCTGGGCTAAAGAACAATCCAGCAATAGATGCAATTCCTGCAAACTAAATGAAAAAGGTCAAGTCGTGAGACAAAGATCATAGAAAGTCTAAAGAATACCATGATTTACCTCTGAGTAGGGGTGAGGATTTGGACCAGTTGCACCAAGGTTGGACTGGCATCCAAGGGCATGTTCTTCAAGACTTCTTCGGGGTCTTCCAAGAGCAATAAGGTATGATACGGGCACAGCATAGGGTAACTTTCATATTCGTAGCCACCCATACCGTAAATATCCATCAATGAACCCTGGTGCACATCCCGGCTGAGAGAAAACGAGGTATTATTGTTTGTCGACGCATCCGGTCCCAGCACAGGGATCTGCAGTGATAAATCGATAAAGTCATTGATAATCACATGCGCGGCCGTGTTGGTAGAAATCGCACAATAAATCTGTTTAATGTCGCGGGCCAATGAAGATTCTCGCAGGATTACTTCCATGACCTCGTCGTAAGGTGTGCCTGATCCAAACCGGGCTATTTAAACATCTTTTTCTGATGGGGCGGTCCACGGTATAACTTACCATTATTGAAAGCTTCTTCTTTCAAGGCCAGCATCTTCTCAATCTCCTCTTGCACGTATCCGCAGCGCAACTGTTCGTACCGCAGACTCGCGGCGTATTTTAGAATAACGTGCGTGTAAAGCGAGTCGACTTGATTGTTCAGTTCCAAATCGTGAGGAGACAGTACATAGACGACGTGGAACAAGGTCATGTGTGTCGAGGCAGCGACCAGATCGGCGTTTCTTTCCTCGGTCTCTGAGGAGCGTGCGCTGTTATGGTAATGGTGGCCACCGCGACGACGCGATTGACTGTCGTGAGGTGACGGTGGCGGTGAACGATGAGGGGAGGATAACGACGGTGCCACGCCAGCATGGTCTTCGACTTCTTCCACGGTGTCTTGTTTATCGTTAGCGGTTAAGCTGACAGGATGACCCACAAAGGTCAAGTCATCCATGCTTAGCTGAAATTTGCGATCGCACAATGGCAGTTTGGGAGCCAATGCGTCGGCAAGAAACGACACTTCGATATTGAAGATACGATCGCGACCTGCAAATTTATCGTGTTGGGATTTGGAAGGGGAAGTGGTGACGGATGCACGGCGCGAGTTGTCTGCCGAGCCATTGCCGTGCGAGTTGTACCGATCCGCTTGATTCGTAGGTCGTAAAGGCTGGCTGTGCAGACTTGCTTTGGTGATGGAGTTGGCGACGGTGTAACCTGCGGAGGACGAGTCTACGCGAAGACCCAATGGCCGTTTTGGATCGGGAGGGTAACTAAAGACATAGTGATGACCACGAGCTGAATTGACTACGAGCAGAATAGCTAATAAGGAACTCATAGAAAAAAAAATGAGGCGATTTCCAAGACGCCCTTTATTGTCCAAATAGTCAAAGTGGAACTGCTGGCGTGACTGGGGAAAACCCAGCCAGCGTAGAATGATGATCCATGACTCGTGCTTTCCTCAGAGCAGCAAAAGCAAAAAACGTATAGAAATAGAGAACCATGATAATAAATAAAAAATGTACATACTCTTTCTCAGCACCGGATGGCTTTATGAGGCACGTTCTCTGGATAATTTTTGGTATACAGGCAATTCGGCTCTTTTTTTTTTTTTTCTTGTTCGACTAGGCTGCATTCGTTCCCCGAAAAAGTGTGAGCGACCTCAATTTCCGCTGATTGTTTCTTTTTTGGCTATTCCATGGAGATATAAAACAAAAGCATGGCCGAAAAAACGACCAAGTTTTCGCTACATGTGCGACCGTCCAGACTCAATTACCTCGGCTTGTTCTTTACATTGGCCGGTTTTCTCTTGACCTTGCTCTGTCTCGTCGGTTGCCGTTCTTCCGGCGGACAATCGCTCCATTTCATCAAAGTAGCCGACCGGCCATCCAATGGGTTTCAAGCTCTTTACGGATGGCAAGGTTATTGTATACAAGATCAAGGAAACACTCAATGCCGCACCGATAGCAATGTGATGACCATTCCTTTTGGTACGTTAGCATAGGATTTTTTTCCAAAGAAAAAAGAGGAACTTTGACCGGTAACCAATTTTTACTTGAGCAGATGTGTGGGTGACGGATCAACTCAACAAGACCCGACCTCAGCTGTTTGAAGATGCCGTACAACAAGACGAAGATTTGAATCCTTTGGCGAAACCTAATCCACCTCACGATCCCAAAATCTATGCGGGGGCTATTTTATGCTTGTTGTGCGGTGGAGCGGCGTTCGTATTGGCGATTGTGAGGACGACGTTCTATCAATATTTCCAGGATGATTATTATGCGCGCGGTTTATTAGCATCGGGAGCGACGACGTTGGCGTTACTGTTACTAGCTCAATCGTCCATCATGTATCAGAACGCCGTTCAACAACTGAATGTGGAATATCCTCATTTGGAAGCCACCGAAGGGCCGTGTATGACTGTCATTGGCGTGGCGTTCACCTCTTACTTTATTGCAAGCTGTATCTTTATGCATGGCTTTTTATCCAACGGATCGGCGGAATCGCCCACGAATGGAGGATACAACCCCTTGTGATTTATTTTCTTGTTGCCATTTACTATTTCCCTTTCTTCCCTCGGCCCTTTTTTATATACACGCTTTTTCCCAAAAGCCACAACCTTAAACTTTTTTTTTTTTTTTCATCATATTCACCGGATAACCCCGATCTTCTTATTTGGTCATCTTTTTCTTTTTAGACTATTTCAATTCACCATCTAAAATCGTCATCTCTTGTTGTTATTTTCTATCTTTTATCATCCTGTTTCCAACTTGTCTTATGCTTGTCGATACATAACGTTCTGCTTTTTCTTTTCTTTTTTTTTTTTTTGGGTGCATGGTTGGGAGTGATTTGAATGACCGGTTTGGCTTTCCTTTTTTGGGGGTGGTTAGTTGTGCCTTTTTTTTTTGATGATGCATAGGACAAATGAATGGTGCTTTTTTGTTGGATTTTTGTTTTAAAGGCTATTGAGTCGAGACTTTTTGGCCGGAGCGATTTCTTGCATTGCGGGACGTTTGGTGGTTGGAGGTGGCGATTGTTTTGGGTCAACAATAAGCGATCGCAGAACTTTGTTCTAGAAGCAAGATAAAAATAACATCATTCAGTCTTTTTTCTGATGGAAACCCGTCAGGATGGTGGGACAAACCAAAAAAAAATAATGGGAAGAAAAAATATTTACCTCGACTTCTAGATCATGCAACTGTGATCGTAAAGTATCTTGAGCCATGTCCGCTTTCAGTCGTGCAATTTCACGTTTCAGACTTTCGTTCTCTTGGCGCAGTTGTGCATAATCCAAGGGTGGAGGTGATGTGGTTAAGGGGCTGGTGGTACTTGAAATGGAAGCTTCGGATCGGGCAATCAACTGCGGCGATGGATGGTCCATTTGGGAAGTCGCCGATAAAGGCGTGATGGCGTGAAGATGACCCGACCCTGATGTCATGGGAACAGAAGGTGAAGGTAATGTGCGCGGATGTGGCGGCGGCGGAGGCGGCGGTGGTTGTGGTGAGTGAGCATTCCATGTACGATAGGAACCTTGTGGCACCGGGCAATCAGGGAGCGGCGATAACAATGGTTTCACTTTAAATAGTGGGACCGATAACGGGCGATAATAATCCGGTGATCGACCGTAATGTGAAGGATCGGTGCCTGTGGGAGGTGAGGCTAACGATAAGGATGCACTCGATGAGGGTGGGAGTGGGGGTGGTGAAAACCGAGACAAGTTTGGAAGAGGCTGTGAAGCGGGATTCGGAATATGAATTTGTGGTATAACTGGACGACCTGTCGAATGAGTTGTGGCGGTGACGCCCGTGGCTTCGACCGGGGTTGTCGTTGTCGTTGTCGTCGTTGTAGCCGGCGAAGAAGAACTCGTCGCTGATGTCAAAGGTCGCTCCGAAGAAGAAGATGAAGATGAAGATGACGAAGAAGAAGCAGTCGAATTCGAATGTCCTCTGGCCTCTTCACTTTCTTGATTATCTTTTGGTTTTTCTTTGGGTCCTTTGGGTGTTGTTTGAAGTTTTGTTCGTGCGGCTGATATGGTCAGTGTTGCGGAGGTTGACACGGGAGGTGGGGCTGAAGAGTTGGTTGCCACACTTTGACGCATCATCGTGCAAGCGGTGCCTTCAGTCCGCTGATGACGATTGAGAGCGTCGAGTCGTGCAAAGGATCGATGACAACCGTTACAAACATAGGGTCGTTCACCTGTATGCAACTTTTGATGTCGTTTCAGATCATGATGACGCCGAAAGAAGTGTTTGCAAATGTCACACTAGACTAAAATGAGTAAATCAGCTTGCTATTTGGATATGGCCGATACTAACCTTATAAGGACGTTCTGGCGAGTGAGTGGTGAGATGTGACTTTAAGTTGTGAGGTCGGCTAAAGCATTGGTTACACTCGTGACAAATAAACGGTTTATTGGGAGTGAGCAATTTAGGGTTTCGCGATGGATGCTTTTCCAGTGCGAACAATCCAAAACCCTTTTCCTGAGGCAGCGAAGGAGTCGAAGGTGTGACGGGGGTTGGTAATGATTCAGTGCCGTTGGTATCGTTGTTGTTATTCAATAAAGAAGGGATGGAGGTGTCTTTGTGGCGTGGTTCATCCATTGTTGTGGTAGCGGAAGATTCGGATACAGCAGTCATATTGAGTATGGACAGTATGCTTTATCGGTGGGTTAAGTAAAGTGTTGAAGTAAAAGAGAAACGCCAGAATTAGACAGTAGATAAGTGACTGAAAAAAAGTAAAGTGTGGCTTTTTTTCTTGTGGAGATGGATGGTTTTTAGAAAATAGAAGAGTAGAAAAAAAAATTAACACGAAGTGATCGATAGGAACGTCAATCGTCCGGAAGAAGGAAGAAAAAGTAAAAAAAAAAAGGGGGGAACGCTAGGAAAGATAAAAAAAAAGTTGAAAGAGTAAAAGTAGTAGAAGAGGAAAGGAGAAGAAGGGAAAGAAAAATAAAATGACGGTGACACGAGTAAGGAATGGCTCGTTTTTTCCTCTTTGTCTTCTTTTTTTACCCTTTTGCAACAATGCCAAGCCGAGTGAATGTGGCTTTTAAAGTTTTTGCTCCCGCGCCACATCCTAAAAATGCAAACCAATCCTCATCATTGCTTTTCAATCTACGACATCCCACGGCAATGCATCTTTTCAGTCGGGGGTGGCAAAGCAATCAGCAGTGGAATTCGGGCGGGGCTTTTTCTTTTTTTTTTTTTTTGCTCACAGCTCAACCAAAAAGAAAAAGACTCTGGACTCAATCCACGGCATCCAATCCCGAATCAAAAGTGTCGGCTATTGAAATGAAAAATGAAAAGCGGAAGTTCCTCGTGGCGCGGATGATATGGGCCAAATCGGACTTGTTCTTCATCCTTGATTGAGCTTGATGGGAAAAAAGATATATATATGTATATAAAGATGAATATCAAGGGCAGAAATCAGGAGTAAGGGAAAATGGAAGGAACCAAAAGTAGGAAAATCCCCTGATTCGATCTCACCCCATTTAATAGTAAAAATTTTAGGTCAATCGAGATTGGTTCGTTTTACAGCATGAACTTCATACCCTGCCTGAAGACGCAACAATAAACTGTCAAGAATTTCGCACGTTCTCTTGATTGATCCTTTCATAGGATAAGCCATACAATCGTTTTATGATGGTAACACATCCTTTTTACCTGTTACTCTGTCGATGTTCAATGGTTAATAAAGACCTGACCCTCTGTCGATGTTCAGTGGTTAATAAAGACCTGACAATCATATTTCTGTGGATTGAAAAAGGACAATGTCGGGCTGCCTTAATCGATTGTTGTGTTGCAGATAGATAGGATGTGTGGATTCTCCATATCGAGGACTGATGTGTTATGCGAAAATCAGGGCGCCCATCTTTGGAATGGTCTATGAATCGTAAAAAGATGAGTCACCGAATGGTCATCGCACCTGTCATCACTGTCGGGTTTATAGGTTAGGGGTAAAACGATGACTTTATTTATCGTTAGGTAAAGTATGAATAAAGAAGAAAGAAAAAGTGGTGAAAAAGGCTGTGCAGGATATGTAATTTGAGCCTATTAAGCTGGGAAACGTCATCCCGCAATTTTTAATTTTTTTTTTTTTTTTGCACTCTCTCAGAAACGTCTTTTTTTTTTCTGCATATTGAAAAAAAACACAAGGAAACACTGCTGTAACTGCCTGATGCCCTTGTATTAGAAAATGACCGTGCCTTTACCCACTTCAAGTCCACTTCTTGCTGGAGCCGCCGCCGCCACCCAAACCACTTCCACCACTTCAGGTACAGGCGTTCAAACGGCTCCCGAAAAAGATGAGATTTGGTCCACCATTCTGAAAGGCGTCGCATCGTCGAAAATGATATCCACAAAGCATATCCTTATACTAGGTAAAAAAAATTCGTCCAATGTTCAAGATGACCACTTAGTGTCGGAACTCTCCGTTTTTGACTGACCCGACTTCTGTGTAGGTGATCCCGGTTGCGGCAAATCCACCTTGATTCACTATCTTAAAAACGATCCTGGACCTCAAGCTCATGTCCCAGAGTCGGACGATACAGCTGCACCGACATCCTTTGGAGTCGGCTCCAGTAATTATACCCCCATGCCTGTAGAAAATCTCGACCAAGACGCGACCAATACCCTCGCCCTGGGTTACACTTTTGTCGATATCCAAGACGAAGAAAATGAAGGTTCGCCAAATAATCCCACCCTTTTTCTTTTTCTGTCGCTTGGCGACTCATGCCGTCTCCATTTCTTTTTTCCTTCTACGTAGCGATCGCTCGATTGGGCTTGTACCAGCTGGGCCTTTCCGCACCTGAATATCTGCCACTTTTAAAATTTGCGTTCAGTTCAGAAACATTGGCCAACTCCATGGTGATTATCGCCCTTGATTGGACGCGTCCTTGGAAATTTTTGGAAACCTTGCAACGCTGGATCGACGTCTTGCAACACGCCATTGACGAGATTTGTAAAGAAGGAAGTGCAGGAGAATCCTGGAGTCGCGGTAAAGCCATTGTCGATGAACTGAGAGAGAAAGGTAATGACCGGCACCCGATATCATTTTGGAGTTTTGGGGATGGGCCATCTAATGTTGTGTTGTTTTTTTTTTGACTTTGGTGCAGTGGAACATTACCTACAATCGTATACCGAACCCACTCCTGCTGTGAATGGAATCAATATGGCACCTTCGACATCCACCAGTTCAATACCTTCCACACCGACGGGATTTGTTCCCACACCTTTGGTCACTACTACCACCGCCGCAGATCAGGTCACCCTTCCTTTGACTCAAGGTTGCTTAACCACCAATCTGGGTATCCCTATCGCAGTAGTGTGTTGCAAGGTAAAAAACGCATTCATCCCCGAATATAGCATCACGATGGATTATTGATCACCGTGATACGCTCCTTTAGAGTGACGCTTTGAACAAATTGGAGCAAACCCAGGATTATAAAGAGGAACAGTTTGATTTTATTCAACAAACATTACGGTGTATTTGCATGAAATGTAAAATCTTTTGTCCATCCACAGCCCCGTCATGCATTTGGCTACTCACACATCGATTTTTTGTTTCCATGGATCTTATTTTTTAGATGGTGCTTCTCTATTTTACACTTCCACCTTGCATCCGTATACATTTCACAATCTTCGTCAGTACATTCTTCACCGACTGCTCACGACCTCTACGAAATCTTATCCATTCATGCTGAAAGCGCAGGTCATTGAACGAGATTCCGTTCTCGTTCCTTCGGGCTGGGATTCATGGGGCAAGATTCGTGTATTACGAGAAGGATTTGATTGTGAAAGCATTCATCAAGGCTGGGATGCCGATATTGAAGCCGTCATCGACCGACAACAACCTGGAGCTCACGGAGCACGTGGCATTTTTGAAGAAGCTATCCCCGATCCCGAAATTGAAGAACAGGTAACTTGGGACAAAACCTCGTGTTGCTTTATTATTTTACTGAAATGACGCGGTGACAGCCGTTGAATATTCCAGCCACTGTCACATGTGAAGATGAACAAGTATTTTTGGAGCGCCATTTTGAGACACTTCAGCGTGCTCCCGAAGGACCTACACGACAAGGCACGGGAAGCGCCATTGGATCGACGCGACCTAGTGTTGTCGGTCCCTTGGGCGTGTCGCCCGTGACCATCGATCTGATGCGTGTCGGTGCCGATCGCGACAGTGATCGATCTAGTCGACACAAGGCAAGTGTTACTAAAATTGCCTTTTTGCATTTCCAGACCAACCTCCACTGACCCAGATCACTGCGTTTCATCCCTCACACAGGATACCATGCTTGATAAAGCCGGCTTAGGTAAAGTCGCAAATTCTCCCAATCCTGTGGATCGTATTCAGACCATGGGATCCAACGGGACTCCTGTCACCGGTGGTCCCGCCAGTCCTCTCAGCAGCGCCAATGCCGGCGCGGCCGGTGGTCCATCCCACGAAGTGCTTGCCAATTTCTTCCAATCGCTGTTATCGAAAAAGGCGTCCTCCGGCAGCGGCTCGCCTACCGCCGCTTCCCCGGCTTCGTCTCTCCTAGCTGCCGGTGGTACCTCGCCTACCGGCCGTGCAGAAGACGGATCCTCCACTGGACGTCGCGCCACCATCAGTAGAAAAGACGTCCACAAAGAACTCGACCGTATGCGTCAATTTGTAAACAAACCCTAAACTATCATGATGGATTAATCCTGCGAATTTTGTGAACCCTGAACCCTGTGAACCTTGTGAAGCTTGTGAAAATATCTGAAAAACCCAATACAGAAAAAAAAAAAAAATACCATTGACACCGAAAAGGAAAAGCTGTAGAAACTCATGATCATCGGCAAAGGCAATTGTATTGGGGTTGTAATTTTTTTCATCTCTTTGGAATGTTCTATCTAGATGGTTTTTCTTTGTAGTATGACATGGCTGAATAGAGCGGTCTAAAGTATCGTTACATGGAATAGGTTTATCTGACAAGACAACAAAAAGGAAAAGTCTAGTTTTGATCGTCTTTCTTATCATCCTTTTTGTCATCTTCATGACAAAGTTTCTCTTTTAGCTTTTTGAAAAAACCTTTTGATTCTTTATCGTGACTCTTGCCTGACTTTTCATCGCTCGAGGACTTGACATCATGGTCCTTCTTTTTCGAAACAGGGTCGTCACCCTTTGATGCGGATGCACCTGAACTCGGGGGTTCGGATGGAGGAGGAGAGGGAGGAGGCGTAGGTGGGTCATCCACACGATATTCAGGATCCACCAAACTGGCATACTTTTCGATAATCGCGCGCTGTTCGCCCTTGATATTTCTGCACAATTCGACCATGTTAAAAACTCACGCTTTGCACTTCATCTTCTCCATTTATATCATTGTACCTTGGTAATTCGACCTTGATGGTCACGATCTGATCGCCACGCATGGTGCTGCGCAATCGCTGCACACCACGACCACGGAGAGCAACGTTATCACCCGGTTGCGAACCCATGGGAATCTTTAACTCGACATCTCCATCCACTGTAGGGATGCGCACCTTGCCACCCAAAATAGCTTTGTAGAACGGAATTTTCGCATCCACAAAGATATCTGCATCTTGTCGTCGGAAAATCTTGGACGGCAAAATCTATTTTTCCCAGAATATATACATGTTAAAATACGAATTACTCAACAAAAGAGCAATTATATGAAACACATACGTTCAAGGACACGAAAAGATCGCCATTGGGACCGTGACCCTTGATGGGTGCATCACCTTCGCCCGAAACACAGATGCGCGACGTGTGATCGACACCCGGCGGAACGTTGACTTGCACGGACTTTCGTTCACGTACTTTGCCGACGCTGTTACAACTTGTGCATCCTGCACCAGGAGGAATGGACGAACCGGCACCACCGCACGCCTGACAAGTGGTTTGCATATGGAAACCACCCATGGCAATGGCTTGCACACCAGTACCGTGACACACTCGACACTGTTGCTTCTGCTTACCGGCCTTCAAACCACTGCCGTGACATGTATTACATCCAGTGACTTTATTCACCGTGACATATTTGGTCGTACCCTTGACCGCTTCCATAAACGTCAAAGTCAAAGGAACCTACAGAGCACCCGATTTTTAGCCTCCAGGCCCAACAAAAGATCGTGTTCCTTTCTTTACCTGAATATCATCGCCAGCCACGTTGCGGAAGGGATCGGCACCGCCAAATCCGCCAGCGCCTCCTCCTCCTCCGCCAAATCCGCCACCAAAGAATTGACTAAAGATATCGTTGGGATCGAAGCCTCCCGGGAATCCGCCGCCTTGATGGAAACCACCAGGTCCGCCTGCGCCTGCTGCACCGTCAAAACCATGGCCAAATTGATCGTACTGTTGACGCTTTTGATCGTCCGACAAGATTTCATAGGCTTCCTGAATCTGCACAAACTTCTCACGTGCATCTTTATCCTTATTGGTGTCTGGATGGTACTTTTTCGCCAACTAAAATTCCGACATCCCGGTAAGAACTCTTATTGTGTGTTCCAACCAACCCGAAGACCAATGAACTCAAAAAACGGTGATCCTGTACTTACACCATAGTATGCTTTTTTAATCTCGCTAGAGGACGCGTCCTTCTTAACACCCAGCACTTCATAGGGATCGCGCTTTGCAGCGAATTGAGGACCTGTCATACAAATTGTCTCAATTAATTTCATATTGTCCGCAATAACGGAGATACACCTGCATATGAAGACATACCTGAAGCATGGAAGCCTCGCTGCGGTTACCGAGGAACCGTTAGCGCCCATGCATAAAAAAAACGGAGCAACACACCATGTCAACTTACCTTTTGACTGTACATTGAAGGCAAGGCTCCGCACGCATAAGGATTGACTGGAAAAACGTTTGACAGTAAGAACCGAAAGGCTGCGGACGAGATTTTAAAAAAGAATTGAGTTTACCTTTAAGAGTCCAGATCTGTCGCTTGGCAGCGGCCGATCCCAGTTGGGCTGCTTTCAGGGAGCTATACATTCTCGTCATACTCTCCGGGGCACGAAGCCAAACCGCGGCATGCTTCAGGGCAGTTCGATGGACTACCATGTCTTTTTTTAACTTTTTTCTTTTTTTATTCTATCGGATTCTTTTCGACTCCTTGGACATTTTTTCATCTCTCAAATTTGAATCCACTCGATCGTGACTGCTAAAATACAGTGCGCGTCACGTGCAGCCAAGCAAAAGGGCCAATGTCCAAGCTGCAAATCCCCTGAACTACACAGGCATTTCGAATCGATAAATTGCACAGATTAGCAGAGATATTTAATAAACTATTCCACATGAAAGAGTTTTTTGAAGAATGAAAGGGTTGTCTTTTTCTTTCTGCACAATATCTGTAATTTTTTTTGATTTTTTTAGGTCAACTACCCGGCAAGACGATCAAGAAAGTTTTGCTATTTTTGAGTCATCTGATAACGAACGATGGACGGATTGAACTCATTTTTACTGGCTTTGAGGTCGGAAGACAGCGAATCCCATGCATTACAGTTGTCCTGTCAAATGAGGTGAAAGAAGGCGGACGTGATTGGTGGACGGGTGTTAAAACCCCGATAAACCTGTCACAAAATTGGCCCGAGGTGAGAGAACGGGCTCAAGTGTTGATGTGGCGGCTGCAGCCCGAAACACCTTCTTTATCGAAACGACTATATCATCATGGGTAAGCTGTCAAACAGTGAATCCAACCATGAATTCAGCTACCATGAGCGAAACAGACTTTTGGATGACTGGATGCAATGAAACACACGATGGATGTTTCAATGGATGGATGAAAACAGCCCTCACAACAAATTCCTCGCCAAAACGAACAGCCGTCGAAAACGAATTAAAGCAAATTGAACACTACCACATTCACCTCCCAGTTTCTCGTCATCGACATTGGAACTGTTCTCGACCACTCATCCTGATTGTGTTTCATTGCAACATCCATCTGTCGCCGTGGCTAGCATGTTGAATTCAGTGGTTGTCTAGCAGCAGAGTTACTCACGTCTTTCTTTATCGTTTAGGCAAGGGACAGCCTAGAGGTTTGAACGCCGCTCGTAAATTGCGCATTCATCGCCGTGAACAGCGCTGGGCTGACAAGCAATATAAGAAGAGAGCTCTTGGAACTGCTTTCCGTTCCTCTCCTTTTGCCGGTGCCTCTCACGCCAAGGGCATTGTTTTGGAAAAGATGTAAGTTGTAGTTGTTATTGTTGACTGTTTGGGCAACGTGGGATGGACCCCAAATGTCGAGTGAACGGGTTGACTGATGTGTTTGGTTTTTTTTTTTCTCTTTATTTTAGTGGTGTTGAAGCCAAGCAGCCTAACTCTGCCATTCGTAAGTGTGTCCGTGTTCAATTGATCAAGAACGGCAAGAAGATCACCGCTTTCGTTCCCAACGATGGTTGTTTGAACTTTGTTGACGAAAACGACGAAGTCCTCATTGCTGGTTTCGGTCGTAAGGGTCGTGCCGTCGGTGATATTCCCGGTGTCCGTTTCAAGATCGTCAAGGTCGCTGGTGTCTCCCTTCTCGCCTTGTACAAGGAAAAGAAGGAAAAGCCCAGATCATAAATCTGGAAGCTTTTTTCTCCTTTCTTTTTTTATCTTGCCATTTTCCATCATGCTTGATTCAAAATAAAAACTTGCCTCAGCTGCTGAGCACATTCCATGATATATGCCGCTCTCATTTATGCTATCCACGCGCCCTCGCCTTGCGCTCAATGTTTTCAAGAGCGCTTGTTTTCATACTATGATTTGATATTTTCACCACCCATCAAACGTTTCCCCCGTTTCCTGGAAATCATGACATTGGGTAAGAACCTTTATTGTAGCTAAACATGCTGCTGTCAGGTGCTTCGGATCAATATCAAAAATTTAATAATGTTCACAAATAAAAAGTGCTTTGCATCAGATGGCCTTGTTTTTATTACAAGAGAATTTGAACGCGAAAAAGTAAACTAGGAAAAACAATTAATTAAAAAAAAGTGTTCTTGACATTCAGCTATGAGTCGTGACGGGTGATCCCCAACCAACAACTTCCGCTGGGCAAGTTGTTGTAACTTGTTCCCTTATCCCACCCCCCGTCCAACTTGTAGCTGCGCCGCTTGAGAAGTTGAGAAACCTACAAAATGTTAGTATCCTCAAAACTGCCCTACAAATGTTAGTACAGCCAAAACTTGCTGAAACGCCAATCAGCGGGCACCAAGTCGTCACCGAAAGAGCAGATCAGAGCAGAGCAGAGCAGAACAGAGCCGCTTGAAGCCTACAAAATCTTAGTACCTTCCGAGCTGCCCTACAGAATGTTAGTACTATCGGGAGGTCGGTCGGTAGTGATGGTCAAAGGGAGCGTTGGGGAGAGAAAAAGGAAAAAAAAAAAAAGGAAACGGAAGAAGAGGAAATAAAAAAATCTTTAGCGTTCTCTTTTTTCCCCTTTTTTTTGTCAATGCAATAGAAGGTTGAAGGGCAGCCATAGAATGAAAAGTGGAAAAAGACTAGCTTTGCGAGATTTGGGCGTAGAGAGACATGACGAATTTGTATCGATGCGTAATTAATTCAATGGTATCCCGGCAACATTGGGATAGGAACAAGAATTGTTTCTCACTGTGAAAAGTTCCACACACGTCTTCAGAAAAAGACAAAAGGACAGTGCATTAAAAGAAGTCCAAGCGGACATTTTTGATGATTTCAAGTCCGAAAGGCATTGAATAAGATGGACCGATCGATGGTTCCCCTTCAGGTTATCCTGGCCCATGATATTGGCATTTTTTTACCTTTGTTCGTATCGTTATGGATTTAAAACCACCTTAGCGTGACGGATCCCGTATAAACTCGAAGCATCGCATTAGAGGCGTATGCCGCCAAGTTACGGTAATTACATTTTTTTATGCCAACCATTAGGCTACGGCTGATACGCCAATAGTAATAAAACATACTACTGGAAAACACATGCTTTATACTTTTTGAAAACGCCGACCAAGGACATGGGATAAATCAATCAAAAGTATTGTATTTTAATTTTCACAGCACTCGAAACTGTAACTTGTTCCAATAAAATACTGCCCCCCTGCCCAAAAAGTAACGGGAATAATCATCAGGCGAAAATTATGCAATTGGGGCGGAAGAAGTGGAAAACTGTTTGTTTGGAACGTAGTCGGTAGCATTTCTGGACAAAGCCAAAGATCGTCCACCGATAAGCGTAAGTTGATATTCAAAACCGGATTTGCAAATCAATGGCATTAGCAGGTTTTATTGGAACGCACTCTTTCGCTCCATATCTTGACAAAAAGCATTCGAAAGAAAATGAAAACGGTGATCATTGACTCTGACTTGGGTTGATTAAGAATGAATTTAAAGCACTAACGAGATGAGAGCAAGATTTTTTACCAACTACCGGCCAAAGTCAGGAACGCATTAGAAACTCCCCAATACGAGGTTGAACGGGGAATATACGCTCAACGCGGAGGAAATTGAAACACAACAAAGGAGACAAAGACAGATGAATTCAATTTCAATATACTGTTCGGGTATGAAAGCCTCCTCAAAGTATCTCAATTGCCGAGTCGAAATTCTCGCAGCTTGTGAAAGCGAATAATGAGACGGGATGAACCAGCGGCGCAAATGGAAACTGCTGGATGGATATCGGACTTGTTTGATAAAAATATCCCTGTCATTGGCAGACCTGCTTAGGAAAACTGCCGTCGCTGTTTGTCAGAAAAGCTTCTTTTGAAAAATGAAAACAAAAAACAAACGCTGTCCATCCAAGCTTCAAGTACTAAATAGGCTTTTCAAGAAAAAAAAAATTCAATAAGGGCAGGTTTGGTTTGGATGAACTGAAAAGGTGAAAAGCTAGCGTTTCCAAAAAAGGCAATCTTACCATCCAATGACGTAGGGTAGAAAATGCGAGAAACTTATTCGAGTGCATAAAATGGGTCGACGGAAAAAATTGACTGACAAATTTCCTTCTTTTTTTTATTTTATTTGTTTTTTCTCCAACGGATACCCTATCCTTTTCTGTGCAAGTGAATTATGGGTAAAGATTATTACGCTATCCTGGGTGTGTCCAAGAATGCGGACGAAAACGAAATTAAAAAGGCTTACCGCAAGCAAGGTAGGTTCATTACTGCCTTTTTTTTGCATGATTGTATGGAAGTATGATAAACTAACGCAACGTTTTCCCCTATAGCTTTGAAATGGCATCCTGACAGAAACAAGGACAAAGCCGAACTGGCTAAAACCAAATTTCAGGAAGTTGGTGAAGCCTTTGAAGTGTTGAGCGACAAGAATAAGCGTGCTATTTACGATCAGTACGGTGAAGAAGGTCTCAAAGCCGGTCCACCGCCATCTGAAGGCCCTGGTGGCGCCGGTGGTGGATTCCCTGGCTTTGGTGGCGGCTTCCCTGGCGGTGGTGGTGGTCATACCTTCACCTTTACCTCTGGCGGTCCTGGCGGCGGATTCAAATCGTACCACCCATCGAATGCCGACGATATCTTTAAACACTTCTTTGCTTCTTTCGGAGGCGGTGGTATGGGCATGGACGATGATGACGATTTTCGCGGCGGCGGTGGTATGCCCGGCGGTTTTTCAGCTTTTGGTGGTATGCCCGGCATGAGCGGTATGGGTGGTATGGGCGGCATGGGCGGTGGTCGTGGTGGCGGAGGCGGATTCCGTCAAGCCCAGCCACAGAAACCCCCGGCCATTAAACGACCCTTGCCTATTTCTCTGGAAGATTTATACACTGGTACGACCAAACGACTTAAAGTCACACGCAAACTTCGCGATGGCGCCACAGGACGACCGGTGACGACGGATAAAATTCTTACCATCAATGTCAAGGCTGGGTGGAAAGCTGGTACCAAAATTCGTTTCCCCGGCGAAGGCGACGAGTTGGAAAATGGACAAGCACAAGACATCGAATTCATTGTCGAAGAAAAACCGCATCCTGTATTCCAACGTGAAGGCGATAATCTGCGCATGAATATTACGCTCAGTCTCGTGGAAGCACTTACCGGATTCTCGCGCGTCATCAAAACTCTCGACGGTAGATCCCTCAACGTGAATAACAGCAACTCCATCATCCATTCCGGCCAAGAATCCCGCGTCAGCAACGAAGGCATGCCCAATTCCAAAACGGGCCGCAAAGGCGATCTCATTATCAAGTATACCGTCAATTTCCCTACAAGTCTGACGCCCGCACAAAAAGAAGGCATCAAAAAGGTGCTCGGCTAAGCATAATCTCTCCATTCCATCTATCATTTCTTTGCCAGTTCTCGTACCATTTTTGAATCCTTGTATATAGCTTCTACTCCTTGGTTTCTGTATATTTTTCTCGCCTAGTAGGCTTAATCACAAAAAAAAAGGAAAACTTGACATGTATCAGCCCTTTTCTTTTCACCATTGTCATTATAAAAACTGTATAATAGACAAATCCAACATTAAAGAATCTTTTTTTTTATGGATTCCTTCTATTTTATACTTGATGCCCTTTCCTTTTTACAATTCCTATAGCTTTTCATGATCAATAAAAATGCCATTGTAACAATACAATATTTGATTCGTTATGAAGTGTCAGTGATATGATGATGTTGTTACTGTTGTTGTTTACACGAGATTGCGTCCAAAGTTTTGGTTCCATTTGAGCAGTTCATTGATATCCTTGGCCCAGCTTGTGCCTCCATTGACTTGACTCACACAGGGGATAGGGTATTTTGACATCCGGACCTGAATGATACGGATGGTCATGAAAACTATGACTTGTATACTGTAATTAAACCAGACATACCTGCAGATATTCGCCTCTATCCAGCATAAAGATTTCCTGTCCGTCCATAGAGACCTCGATTTCGCTTCGACTGGCCTGCCCAATCTAATAACGTCGCCGAGTCACACATGCTGCGTTTCTTGTCAAATCACTTGCAATCATCAACCAACCTTGAGCTGTACGTTGGCACTGGGTGGAAGCAACACCGTTCGGAATGATAGTGATCGAGGACAAATCGGCGTCAGCACAAGACTTTGTACGCTGGGATGGACAATAGGTCCGCCTGCATAGGTTTCGTGGATTAGACATATCCTGCGAGCTATATTTACATGGTTATTGCACAAATTGATTCACTTCATAACGAACCTGCTGATAACGAGTAGGCGGTAGATCCAGTGGGCGTGGATACAATGAGTCTATGCGTCCCTTTTTCATCAGTAACTTTTCGTCCCCAAAAATGCGAGTCTCGTTCAATTACCCGTCCGCCTAGAAAATCAAAATGAACCATGAAATATTCTGGTTACCAGCCCAATATCAAACCAGTGAAGGAATACGTACCACACATTCAGTAAGATACTGATTATCAATAAGGCAATCAATGGTCGTCAAGTGTGGATAACGACCACGATGGAGCGATACTTCGTTCATCACCTGTCGGTCACCAACTTCCTTACCATCCACGGTGATCCTTCGACCATCCGGTTGATGCAGTGAGCAAAAAAGTCGCATACGAAGCATAACCGATACTTTACAAGCCATCATATCATCCAGTAACAGCTTGTAATTCTTATAATCTACGGTTTGAGTTCAACTTTTTTGCTTGGTCCTTGCAGTGCACCTAAACCCGAAATGAGTACGTACCATAGGTCATGAGAAAACCCAACGTTCCCAGAGAAAAGCAAATGACGGGTGGGGCCGCTTTAGGAAACAGGGACGACAAGTGAAGCATGGTCCCATCGCCGCCCAAAGTAATAGCAAAATCCACTGTTCTGGTGTACTCCTGTTTCTGACCTGGGTGAAGATAATGAGATAATGTATGACAGCTTCAAAATAGCGGTGGGTCTACCTTTGGGAATCACATATGCAAAGGGAAGTTCTTGATGGAATTGCTCGGCCACTTCAGATTCGACAATGATATTGACTGGATGCTTTTGGTGCAGCCAACTGGCAGAATATCCGTCAAATGATCGATCACTTCCCATGGGTTTCGCGACGCGTTGTTTACCTTGCGATATCCACCAATGCCTTTTCCGTCTTGACATCATTGGGCTTCTTTACAATGAGAATATTGCGCGGTCGTTCGGCCCAATTCAAAGTGAATTGACCACTGCAAAGTAATCACAACGTTAAATCGTGGCTCGGAACCAAAAGCAAAGGTTCAGTAAAGGGCTTACCCATAAGTACTGCCTGGCACTTGGACAATATCGCTGTCTTTGCCTGTTTGAATAAGATCTATGGGTTGTACGTCTGCTTTAATGGCATTCGGTTCTGAAATGAGGTGGCGTCAATCGTGGCATTCTCGTTTCCTGCAATATTGTATATACCGAAGGAGTCTTGCTGTCGATTCAATTTCACTGGTAGTTTGTCGGCTAGTTGGGTTGTCTTTCGCATCGTACTAGTGTTGTAGGAATGAGATATATGCCATGGCCAGCATGGTCTGCGGGCTATGGCCGATTGTCTCGCGCACTGTCGCAAGAGTAGCATGGTAGGAGGTGACAGGCAGGCCAGAAAATTTCGCATTATGACGGTCGCTGTAATTTTGAGTCATTGGTGCCGATCGATCCATCACCGTTACACAGATGGGTTTTTTTTTACGGCTGTCAAACTTCAGATCCATTTCATTTTTGCTTTTTCAAGCATGAATTTATTGTTGCTTGTACGCCTCACATCATGACCACAACTCATATACCCCATACATAGAAAAAAAGACCATATCAATGATGGGCTTTTTTGGGGCAAGGTAGGAGAGTATAGTCGATAATGAAGCGTTATTCTCAAGATATATGGTGAGTGGCTGTTTAATGGCGAGTGCAATGTGTACAGTACATCAGTTATCAAATTATTTTGTTTCTTTGCCACAGAATCAAATGAGCTCGGCTATCGTTCTTCACTTTGAATGCGAAACGCATATTGAGGCGATAGCTCACCCGTCTTGCCGTCGAACATCCCGTGTACTTTTTCATCTGACTAGTTCTTGTCTTTGTGTTGCTTTTTATCTTGCTTTCATTTCTTCTCTCATCTGCATATGTTGTCGAGTTCTCCAGCTCCATCTCTTTTCAGCATTTCCCTTTCCAATGACTCGCCCTCGTTCGAACATCTTCCGCCTCCCCTGAAGTCACTCCATTCAAGCCGTTCTACCTGTAAGCCATCATTTACGCTCAATTAAAAAAATAGTATGCGTGCTGAATGAAATGTTTAGCAAGCACTCTGCGCTTCACAGACGATTAGGGGCACTTATCGAACCCTTGCAGCTCTTTCATACGCAAACGGTGCACAATTCTCATCGGGTCTTTTTTTTTTTTTTTTGGTAAGCTATTTCCTGCTCTTCTCTCCTTATTTGGAACCATTCAATACTTTGCATATAGCGATGACCCCGGATCATGTAAGCATTATTTCGTCCCAAAAAGGCCATCGAGTCACGTCACGCAAAACGATGTTTTGGAGTGTACCAAGCGTTGGCCCACATTGCTTTTCGAGCATTTGTTACCTTTTTCAATGATGAAAAACAAGAGAGCTGGCAAGCAAGTCAGGTAATCAAATAGCTTCTCAATCAAGACGCCATCTCGCATATCTTCAATATCTTGCGTAGATTAAACCCCAAAAACTTCATCCAGACGCACATTGATGAGTATTTCTCCGCAGATAAGAGCAAGCGGGCAGTCAAAAATTTCGAGACCACGAGAATTTGTCCATCAAAGAGGTCCAAAAAAAAGAAGAACATGGAGGGCTATCGGAACGCTATTTAGCGTGTACTTGACGATATCTGAGATTCAATTGCACGCGCGTAATAGTTGGCAGTCTTTGTTAAGCAGCACCGGTTCTATGCATTACTGCTGTTATTATTACTGAGTCAATGCAGAGGTGATTCTTTTGCATAGGAAGAGTTATTCATCGGACACAATGCTTGCTCGCTCGGTGAACTGGTATGACAATGGTGTCCGTAATGAGGAAATGGTTTGGGCGGCGTGTGCCGATGCACGAAGCACACCGTCTCAAGGTGTCAAGCCCCTTCACGGTCCGTCTTGGTGTTCCTGGTGCAAGGCTCTCCCTGCCGTTTCGGTGTCCTGGTACTCCTGATCGAAGGTTCTCTCTGCGGTCTCGATGCCCTGATGTTCCGGTTTTTCTCGTCCCTCTTTGGCGCTCCTTTCGGTGGCGCGCTTTTGGCGGTTTTCGTTGCCTGGCAGTTCTTGGCTCGACGTCTACCGTTCTCTTTTGGAATTCAGCCTATGGAATTCCCTCCCAATTGTTCACCGTTTCTCTCAGCTGACTTTTTTCAGCGTCACCGTTCTCTGCGATTTTGGTGTCCTGGCGACGACTTTTCTCTTCCTTCTTCAGTTTGTTGGATTTTCTCTTTTGTCTCCGGATGTTGTTTCTCCTCTTTTCTCTCGTCCTCTGCCACTCCATCTTATTCTCTCTCTCAGACAACATATTCTAATGGCTTTTAGGTGGTGGGGTTCTTCTGGTATTTTTTTTTCTCAACCTTCGTCATTACAGCTGTTAGACTTTGGTAATTTCCCCAAAAGCCAGATAATAGAAAGTTATTGTCAATATATATCATGACTGATCAGTTATTGATGAGTGCCAGATCTTGCAAATGGTAAGGATATGGTTTGGTGTATAGATCAGTTTGTAAACATTGATGCATCATCTGTGCCACCAGAGGGTTTTTGGTATTGCGAGCAATGCCAAAAACAACCATCTGTGCAAAGTATCCAACGGTTTGAAGGCAATCTTATCTCCTTGACTACAGTACCCTCAAAATATCGACGTTTTCCTAAGGTGATTCTGGTCGCTCTTCTGTAATGAATGCATACTCGGGAAAATTGCCTGCAATACTGTAGGCTGAAGTTTTGAATACAATTCTCTATCGTGGATAAGATATGGAAGGCGGTCCATATGCCGAAAGAAGAAGAGTTTATTCTATGCGACTTACAGTAATTTAACATAATTGATCTTGTTCAAGCTCTTGTTTAGTATCATTTTCCTTTGGCTTCTTATTCATGGGTTGGTAAATATATATGTCTCTCAATTTTAGGTGAGCAAATACAAATCGATTCAACGCGAACTCAAAGAATAAGGTCGGTCTGCTTTTCCCAACTCGGATTGCTGCCATTAAATAAGGTGGATTGGTTCTATCGGATTACAGTGAAATCTAAGTAGGAGTTAAGTCTTGTTACAGTAGTAAAATGAAGCGCAACAGGCATTTGCAAAGTGAAAGAAAGATGGGTTACATCGGGGCAACTAGTCATATCAGTGTGACGCATCTCTAATGAATATATTGGATGCAAAATCTACATAACTAAAATCTTTGGGATATTAAGCGATTTGTAAATCACATGATCTACACTAGGTTATCAGGACCTGTTAAACCTTTTTTTATATCTTTCAATCATGCCTCGCTGCCCACTTTCACAATAATAGGCGAAACAATCCGCAGCAGATGCCGTTTGCGCCAGTTGTGGTCAAACAGAGCATCGTCGTCTTCGAATAAAAATGTGAGTAGAGCTCTTTTTGAAGAAAAGTGGTTGATGATACGACTGGCGTTCTTCTGTAGCATCATTCAATTTGGTTTTTTTTTGTCAGTTATACTTTATGTCCTTTCATTCTCTTTCAAATAATACATAAGCAGACGTGCCTCGATCTATGAATTCATGCATCAGTGGGGTGACTATTGTTTCATCCATGGAAAATCATATATTTTGGTCTTCAATTTTATCTTGATTTTCTCTCCCTCTTTCTGTTTACCTGGAAAACTCTCGGTATCATTGTATCAAGATCCCGTCCGCGTCCATCATCCAGACCATTCTTATCCGTGTATCTAACTTGGTTAAATCGACCACCATCCTCAAAAAGGTAAGCGTCGAGTGGTCTACCATCGATTTTGCTCCGGCAAAAGAGACTTACCTCTCTTTTTTTTCCATCTCTTCTTTTAGCTTCCAGTTTTCTCCGTTTCTTTTTGCCTGGAAAGTTCTGGACACCACAAGCTGACTTTTTCTCGCCATTCATCCATCCATCTGGCGAAACCAGATGACGTCAAAGGCCATCGTTGGTGGTACTCTTTCTTTTTCATCGGAAAGCGCTTACGCGTGCTCTTCATGTTCCTCTCCTTTGGATTGCTTCTCATGATATGGTATTCGAGATGTCTTCCCAATTATTGTATTTTGTTTTTATATTTATGTACATATTCTTTTCGCAGTCTTTCCTCTTTTTTCCCACAGGGTTTTTTTAGGAGGTTTTTACTGACGCGACCATTGTTTTTTTTATCATCATGTACTTTTTTTATTTTTCTTTCTTTTATTCGGGAAACTCTCGATATCTGGAATCCAGCTCGAAATTACCGTCACCACTTCTGGCAATCATATTTTTTGCCTGCTCAAGCTGACATCACCGATCCATCGCTTAACCGTCCTTGGAAGCAACTTCATTGTCCGCATCGAAGAAGCTTACCTGTGGTCCGTATTCAGCTGTTTTTTTTTGTTCGGTTTACCATTTGGTTCAAAGGCAAGTCCAATTTCTTTTCCTTTGTTATGATGTAATGAACGTATACTAATTCAAAATTTTCCAATGTCATATAAACCAAGCCATGTCAAGCGATCAATGACTATTGAAAACTCAAATAACAAAGGTAAAATATCTTGACGAAATTTGAATCAATCAAAGAGCTTATTAACTCATTTTTTTTAAATACCCAACATACCCACACACCTTTCTAGATCTATCATAGCCTGGGCGGGATGGAACTGAGGCGGTCAATCAGTGCTGCCCTGCGCGTGTTCAGAAACAACTCACGTTGCAACGTATGTCATAAGGTTGTCATTAATATACCAAAGTCCGTCAAGAGTTCTCGCCCAGGTTATGCCGTGTATGCGTTAGGCTTTTTGTCTGACGAAAGTCGCTCAATGTAAGAGGGCGGCCTCCGGTGGCAGGCGGCATCCATTGCACAGCAGGTGTACGGCTTGTTAAGAGAAGAATATTGGATTCAGTCAAAAAAAAAAGTTCGTCAAGTCCGGTGCAGCCATCGTACAGTAATCAGTATCACGATATTGAATTACGGACGCAAACCCTCATTGCAACAGCAGGGCGAAATATTATCAAAAAGCCATATTGAGACAATACATATTTTCATCGCCAAGTCCTCCTCAACCATCGTAGCCAATAAGACAAGTCTGAATAATGGAGGAATATCATCATTGCAGCGAACCGCTCAGCAGGGCGATTATTTCCATCATTGACATTCCGGAAGAAAGGGGGTTCACAGTGGAATCCACCCAACAAGTTACTAGATGTGTATACATGCACAAATACAAATCTAGTGTCAATAGCTTGATCGTCAAGTTCAACAAGGTCGATTACTCCGTCCTACGACATGCCGTCACGAAAAGGTTCTACACCGACTTCCATCTTCCTCCCAAGATATTGAAAATGTCTAGATGCACAAAGACAATTTTCAAAAGACAAGAGCTTGATCGCCCGGTCCAATTTGATCATCGTAGTCAAGGAGACCACTCAATTCGCGGACAAATACATCATCGCAATCCAACAAGACCGCTCAGCAGGGCGATGACAGCGTCCATGGCTCCCCAGACCATCCCCCGGCTGTGAATGAAACATAACCGATATCGGTTTGCCCATATGCTCATTACAACTATTTTCAACAAAGTTCACCGAGCGAGCAACCACCGCGTCCGATGATTACTCTTCCTGTGCAAAAGAATCACCTCTACACTGGTTCAGTGGTAATAACGACAGGCAATGCATCGTCGCAGGAACCGAGCTGCTCAACAAAGACCGTTAATTATTACGCGCGCTCAAGTGAATCAAGCACGCCAAATACATACAACACACAGTCCGCCGAAGCAAGAATAAGCAAGTCGATGTAGGCGCAGCCAGAGACCCGTCAACACGAGAGAACTCAAGTGTATCACCCCCGCAAACTCTGGAAGAACGCCACTCGACTTTTCAGTCGGAACCCTTCAGTTGAACTTATCACCTACCAGATCGAACCCCTCCTGTCGATGACCCTACTTCGTCAACAACAGTCATTGGGGCCCCTGCGACAGTGTCACAATAGGGGAGGTATTCTTTCATCCGACGTCGGCTCAGGGGCCCTCTCGGGGCGTAAGCCACAAGCCTTGACGTGGTATCATTCCCAAAAGCATATGGAATCCCCCGGTCGCAAAAGCGCTACTCAAAAGAGTAGCTTGCTCCACGCGCAACGTGATGACAATAGTACAGCCCATTAGCAATCAAAGATGAAAGACGACAGTGTTGGAGACCAGCCATGATACAGGATGTAATGGCCAAGCAAAACGTTGACCAACCTAAAATGAGGAGCGGCGATTGCGTATATAAAACGTGCAAGAGTCAGCAATTGTGGACTTATTGACAATGGGAAGCTTTTCGAAACTTACCAACTAAGACGACCAGGAAAAAAAAAGTTGATGAAACGGCAAAAGAGAAGCAGAGCAGCAAAAAGCCCAAATTCACCTGCGTAATACTTGCCGAAAAAAGTCACCTTTCGCTATCACCCATTAACCATTTATGGAAGAAGCCGACTGGACAAGAGAAGTATCTTGGCCAGCTTATGCCAGGCATTATCAGGCGACATGGAGGTACCCTTCGCAGCGATTCTCAGGGAAGTCATGGTGAAAATCAAGTTGTTATGCTAATACGAGGTATTTATTTTGCCTCTTTTTGCCATGACAGTGAAATTGGATACCTTATCCACTACATATTGCAGCAATGTCAAGCCTCCATTAAATTCTGCATCGACGCCTCGGAGCTAAAGGAAATAATATCACCTTCCATGCGTACCATTGAAGTTATTAATTTGCCGATGACCCGTCCATTTTTTTGGCCCGTTGCAACCGCTCTCTGGAAAGAGAGTCTTTTCATTCCCTCTGACGAAATTTTTGATTTCGCTTCGACATTGAGTAGAGTACATACTCGCTTTTCATTTGCAATCGCGCCCCAGTTTCTCAGTTTGCTAATGCGGCCTGATTGGTCAGCGCTTGCAGCTGTCAATGATTATCCTTCTTGCCTTTTTGAACGCAAATTAGCCGATATTCAATCAGCTTCTTCGTTAAAACGGTCCAATATTAGGAAGCCCATCATGGAGTTTTCTTGATCGACTCAACCGAGTTGGTGGTTAGAAGCACTTATTTCTGTTCCTTGACAAATTTTACAGGAGTTGCTTCAATAACATTGCGGCCCATGCTTTCGTATCAAATCCTTTTCATACGCTCTCGATAGCCGTTCAGAAAAAGGCAGCAATCTGATTATTTGTATGGTTACACGGAATTCATGATTTGAAGGGTTCACGGGATTGCACCAAGCGAATAAAAAAAACAAAAGCAGGGCATTATTCTTATAGTCACCACAACATATCGACAGTGATTCAATGCAACGTTATCACGGATTATGCCTTTATAAGAGACTGCAAATGTTGCAGTACCATTGCCTATTTAGAAATTTGAGCAATAGTATCTGTCCATTTCATCGAATAAAACAAGGTTGTACACTGACTTTTTTCATTTTTCTGCCAATGCGACAAACAATTTTGTTAGAACGAAATTAAATTTTTCAGGTATGGATGCCAAAAATGGCAAATGGGTTTTCCTTGAGTGGCTTATCCGATTTTTGTCAAGCTACGGTGTGCTTTAAGCAACTGTGGATTTTTTCAGTCTTCTTGCTCTTTGCTTTATTTTTTATTTCCCGGTGTTCGATCAACCATGTCTGCGGAAAATCGTGTCAAGGATAAACGAATTAACAAGCAACGTGTGTTGTTGCTGTCGTCTCGTGGTATTACGTACCGGTAAGTGTAGTTTGGTCGGGTGCATCTAAGTCACTGTCTATTTCTGATCGCTAAAAAATCATCTTCTTGAATCGCGGCAGTCATCGTCATCTCCTCACCGATCTCGAAGGTGTATTACCTCACGCCAAGAAAGACGCTAAACTTGATACGAAAAACAACTTATACGTCTTGAACGAATTGGCGGAATTGAATAATTGTAACAATGCGGTTTTCTTCGAAGTACGAAAAAGACAAGATCTATACATGTGGATGGCCAAGACCCCCAACGGTCCTTCGGTGAAATTCCACGTTCAAAACTGTAAGTGATATTGGACAAAGTTGGTGGATCATCAGGCTTATGATGGCAAACATTATAGTACACACCATGGACGAGTTGAAAATGACGGGCAACTGTTTGAAGGGATCGCGCCATGTGTTATCGTTTGATAAAAACTTTGATTCGGAGCCTCACTGGCAGTTATTGAAGGAATTGTTCTCGCAAGTGTTCAATGTACCTAAAGGCTCTCGACGTTCCAAGCCTTTTGTCGACCATGTTCTTTCTTTCTCCATTGTCGATAACCGAGTTTGGTTCAGAAACTATCAGGCAAGTTTCCAAACATTGGGACCGCGTGTGTGGTGGGCATCTGACTGATGTTGCTGAACCAATAGATTGTGGAAAAGAATGCGCAGAACACCCCTGGATACACCGCCAAAGATAAAGACGACATGGCCTTGGTTGAAATTGGACCTCGATTCTGTTTGACCGTTACACGTATCTTTGAAGGCGCATTTGGTGGACCCACTGTCTTTGAGAACCCCGAATTCGTTCATCCCAACTTTGTAAGTGTTTGGTTATTTGGTTTGCTAAATGTTATTGATGAGCCTAATGTTGTCTATTTTTCTTTTCTTTACACAGATTCGTGCTGCTCTTCGAAAAGAGAAACTTGGAAAATACCAAAAGAGACAACTGCAATTGAATGAACTCAAGACGCGATTCAAGAATGCGGAAGGAAAACAATCGGATTTGAGTGATAAGAGCGTGTTTGAGTAAATGTAATATAGAAACCATATTAAAAATTTTCTTTTATGATTCCTTTCATGACAAATACATTTGATTTGTCGTCGTCACCTAAGCACCAACAAAGTAAAAACGATTACTTTTGTAAAAAATCTCATGACACTCTCGATGGCATGGTAATAATAAGATGCAAACGATTCAATTGCAGTTCTTTACAGGCTACGGATCTATCAAAAAGAACACATAGTAAAGAAATGTGGCATTTTTTGGCTCCTCGAAAAATTTCAACTCACGACGTATAAACCAAAAGTGGCGGCAGTCACTTGACATTATTGACGTGGCGCCGCATAACTTCGAGCGGTTGTTGATTGCATAGAACACGAGCCGCCTCTTATCTTTTTGTTTTATATTGCACCGATGAAGCTCCATTCGTTGCTGGTGCTCCTTTGCGCGTATATACTTGCCTTGCTGGCGCCCGTTCAGGCCCATTCGGTCACAGGCAATAAAGTGCTTGTCTTGCTCGACGACCTTGCACAGAAAGCGACTTATTCACGCTTCTGGCAATCCTTAACAGGTACGCGACGCCACTATAAAAGAAGGGCCTACCGTCATCATCATGGCTATTTCAGAATCTAAACACTTTCCGTGACCACTTTAGATCGTGATTATAAACTCGTATTCAAGACTGCTTCCGAGGCTGATGCCACATTATACTACTTTGGCGAACGTCTTTACAACCATATTATTCACTTTGCACCGAAAGCAGAAAGTAACTACCTTACTAACTCTCTGTTCTTCCGATCACGCAATTTTCTGACTCACTTTCTTTGACAAAGTTCTCAGTCAACATGGTGGTATCGGCAACATTCAGCTTGTTAAATTTGTCAATGATGGCGGTAATCTTTTAGTCGCCGTGGATGAGGACGCGAGTCGTGCCGTCAAAGACTTGGCTAGCGAGTTTGATGTAGAATATGATCATGGCAATAACAAGGTGTTTGATCACAATGCTTTACCCCACGATATCATCGCCGCCGACGATATTGTTGCGCCCAACACCATCATTGAGTCGGACAGCGTCCGTGGACCAGTCTTGTACAAGGGCATCGGTCTTTTCGTCGGTCCTACTCCTCTCTTAAATCGTGTTTTGACCACCGGCCCCGACGCTTTTAGCGCTGACTCGTACCGCGAAGGCGCCAAGCATGAACAGATCGACCTGGTGGCGTCATTGCAAGCCAGAAATTCAGCTCGCGCAACATTTGCAGGATCATTAGCTTTGTTTTCCGACGAGTAAGTTCTATTCGCGACTGATTATCTTGATCGTACGTTATCCTCACTCAGTACTTAGATTGTATGAATCATCTCCTGCAAAGAGTTCCAAATCGCATGAAAAGTAAAGCATCCATCGTCCTCCCCCCTCCCTCCGTCAATACTGGAAACAGTAACTAACAATTTTTTTAGGGTGTCGGGAAACGCAGCATTTATCTCGCAGCTCGTTGAATGGACATTTCAAGAAAAGAGCGTACTTAAACTCGTTTCCCATCGCCACCATCGAGTCAACGAAACGAAGCAACCCGAATGGTACAGAGTTAAGGATCACATGGTAAGTTATTGCTCTCACATTTCATCCTACTTTGGACAGAGATCGCCACGTAACTTATTGTTCATGGAAATGACCAAAACAGGATTACATCTTGGAAGTCTCCGAGTACAAGAACAGACAATGGGCTCCTTTCAAGGCGGATGACATTCAGTTGGAAGTGATCATGTTGGATCCTTATATTCGCACAACCATGAAACAATTGCATGTGGAAAAGCATCATCATTTTGGACGATTCATGGCTCATGTTCAGTTACCTGATGTGTACGGTGTGTTTACGCTGCGAGTCAATTACAAACGCGCCGGACTTTCGTATTTGCTGGCGGAAGATGTGGTGGCCATTCGCCCATTTAGACACAACGAGTATCCCCGCTTCCTTATCGCGGCCTATCCCTATTACGCGTCGGTTGGTAGCATGATTGTAGGTTTCTTGGTGTTTAGCATCGTATGGCTTTCCACATGGGGTACCAAAGAAATCACCCCGTCCAAAGAGAAAACGCAATAAATCACAACACACAGACACCCAAAAAAGTGGTTTATACAAAATACAAGACTAAGGGACACCGACCACATGACCTGCAACTCTCTATTGTCCGAGGTGAAAAACGAGAAAATGAAATTTTTTAAACTTTTACAGTGATTGGTGCATTCTTGAGAGTGCCCTTTTTGTTTGTTCTTTCACCGATCCAACCATGGATCAGAAATTGCCAATGATGTTTCTTTCTTTATTTGGGGAAACGCATATTTAAACGATACTAAGGAATGACGATCGTGAGCGGATAAGCAAGATGATGAAAAAAAGCGAACGAAAAAATAGTTGATAGATGAAAAAGATAGATGGGATCGATAAACGTACAGTGCATGCATCCGAAATGAGGGATGATCCTAGACCACAATGATAAATGCCACCGTAGCTATTTTAGTATGGTCCAATGCAGAATTGCTACGACAACCAGGTCGATTAGGAGGAGATCGACGTTTATTTGATGCTATGCACCGAGAACGGTTAGTATAAAATAAAAATTCAGACCGTGCATTCCTTGAAAATCTTTATTACTTTTCTATTCTGCACGTCTTATTATTGATACATACACGTTTTTTTTGAGGTTTTTGCTATTTCTTCGTCAGTATCATGACGTTACCACCTCCGACGCCACCTTATCCCTCCGAAAAGAGGAACAAATTTGGGTTCCCTCACTCTTATTGGAGACGACGAGGAAGCATTAGCACCAGCAGTAGTACCGACGTATCAGAATCCGTTAATAATGGGTCTGTTGTGGATCACAAAACTTTTACACCTAGAACGTACCCTCAAGCGTGGCTGGCCCTTTTTCTGCTTGTCCTTCTCCGCATTGCCGTTTCCGTCTTTCAGTTCACATTTAGCGTCATACCCTCGTTAACTGGCCAATTCCTGGGCGTATCACTCACAGCTGTCAATTGGCTCGCCAATGTCCAGGGATTGGCCTACGTCTTTCTCAGCTTTTTCACCGGCTGGATCTTTGAACGACTAGGTGTCAAACGATCGGTAAGTCTTGCAAATGAGGGCTTTTGTTCCAATGAGAAGAAAATATTAATTAGTCTATAATAGCTTATTGTAGCCGGGTTTCTCAATACATTGGGCGCGGCCATACGATGTGTTGCGGTGAAAATCAATCCACCTTCATTCGCGTTTATTATGCTGGGCCAAATCATTGGATCACTCGCCGCACCGTTGGCGCTCAACATCATGACCATGGTAAGTGTTTCAGAATACCATTCAATGAAATGGATGTCATTCATTTTCTCCTCTGTTTAGTTTGCGTCTACGTGGTTTACGGAAAATATGCGGGCCACGGCGGGCATGTTTGTTGGTAAGTTAAATGCCTGATGCCAAACGTCATTTTGTCTGCTATTGACACTTCTTTTTCGTAAAACAACAAACAGCCTCCAATTATGGTGCCATTCTGGTCATGTTCATGATACCCGTGGTGGCTACCACGCCAACGAAGATTCCCATGGTGGTAAGTCACGCATAAGAGAAACACAGCAAATAAATTCAACAAGCTGATTGGACACCATGTTAGCTTTACATTGTGTTGATCATTGCAGCGGTTGCTTTTGTCCCATTATTATTTATGCCTGCGCAACCGCCCACACCGCCGTCGAGAGTACAAGATCACAAGAAACCGGCTTTTATCGAAGGATTGTGCATCCTCAGTCGAAATTACAATTTCTGGATTCTGTTTCTTATTCATGGGTTCAATGTCGGCCTCAGTATTGCGTTTGGCACAATATTCACTCAAGTGGTGGCGCCGTATGGTTACTCCGATGCTCAAGCCGGTCAATTAAATGCCATTGCTTTTTTTGCAGGCACTTTAGGATGTTGTAAGTGTCCTACTTACTGTTACTATTGTGATTGTTGTTGCTTTGGGGCTCACCATTTATTTGTGATGTACAGCGGTGGCGGGTCCTGTGTTGGACATGACCAAACAGCATAAGTTGTTCTTGCGTCTTATTTCACCAATGGTGCTTGTCACGGATCTTGGCTTTATCTTTATTAGTAAGCAAAAAAGGCATACCATGCTTTCCATTTGCACACACTCACTTTCTTGTTATGCACAGTTCGCAAAGATTCGTATGCGGCAATTCTATTTGTGATGATTATGAACCAATTTTTCTTGGCATTCCTTATTCCTGTAGTCATGGAACTCGGCAGTGAAAGTAAGTGATTAATTTGCAAAGTATGATGCATATCATGACGTGGAGAGTAATTTGATGTTTGTGCTAGCAACGTATCCTGTGGCAGAAGCAACCACCAGTTCTATCTTATGGCAAGGCGCGCAAATCTTTGGTTTTTTGGCTCTGCTGATCATGGACGCGGTCCGCGATCCGCAGGGAAACCCGCCCAATACAATGTACAATGCCTTGATCTTCCAAGCGGCGGTGGCAGGCCTGATCATGATCCTATCATTCTTATTCCGGGGGAAAATGGCTCGTACCGAAGCCATCCAATTGGCTCAGCAAAAAGTCAATGGTCAAGAGAAACCGCCCGTACCACCGCTGATAGCGGGAATCAATGCAGCTTACATGCCTTCCGCTGAGACCGTAATCGGGATCAAACTATCCGACCCACCTGTCCCCTCAAGTAAAAGTAGCCTTGAAACGGACGATCGATAAGACAGAATCGCTCATACAGTACATCAAAACTATATTTTAATTTTTTGTGAGAATATGTACATAGCCGGAAGCAAAAAAAAAAAAAAAAAAAAAAAAAAAAAAAAAAAAAAAAAGTAAAATAAAAGCGGAACAGAGATGGCACTAACTTTTGTATAAAAAGAGTGAGTTGGCTGGTTTTCCCTTTCAATGGTTGGCATTTTATTGAAGACAAGCCGCTTTTCAGATGGTGCAACATTGTCAAATTACAACAGTGTGGTACAAATATCCTTTTCAAACAACGAGTTGGCTCGATATGGTATCTGTTTATATCGGTCGAATTAGGTAACCACTTACAGAACAGTTGCGTGCTTTCACACAGCACGCAAGTGCGGGAAGAAATCACAGCACGGTTCATTGAGCGGGTCCAATAATAGGTAAACAAATAAATAGAAGCATTTTGATGGATTAGTGAATCCTTGAAAGCACCAATGACAAAGTATCATCTTGTAACATGCAAAGATAACCTGTATTTAGTGCTTTCTTTTATTCTTTTTCCTTATTTTTTTTTATTTTCGTTAGATAAGAAAAAAGAACAATGTGGAAATGTGCTACCTGTGATTTTTCCTTCTCATCTGAAGCAGCGTGTGATTCGGAGTGATTCCGTACTTTTTTTTCTGTCTTAAAGCGATTGATAAAGTGAATTCCAGCTTAGCCAAGAACCCATTTTTTTATTGCTTCTTTTCTGTCATTCGTTTCTTCTTGTTCTTCTGCCTGACCCGATTTTGAAATTATTTATCCAGAATATTTTTTAATTTATTCGCTTCCTTGTTATCCATGGTATCGGAACTATGGAAGTCACTTGCCATCAAATCCAAATCATATCACACACGATCGCCCATACATGCTACACCTGAACATGCCGCCGTATTTAGGTACTAACTTAAAAGAAAGGGAAAAGAGAAACCAGCCATGAGAAAAAACAAAAGATACAAGTGATAGATACATTACGGAATGGGAGGCCGATACTCACCGAGACATATTTTTTTGACCTTGCAAATTCTCAAGTCACTCGTCGGAGACATGGCGACATGTAGATCCACTCGATGCATCCAAATCACCGAGTCGATCAACAAATTCATCGCTTCATCAGCTCCGTCAAAAAAGGGATAAAGAGACGTCTCGCCATTTGAAAGATGGCAAGTCAAAGTCGAAGCGATCGTCGCTTTTATCCACGTTGAAAAAAGTGCTGAGTAAGCCACCACCCAATCCACCAAAAACTACGACCGACGATCCTTTCTGCCCACGCACTGCAGTGGGAGTGACACCGTCTAGTGGAAATCAAGGTTGGCTATTCGACCCATGCTTTTTTTTTGAAGATACTGTGACGACTGACGGGTCATTTGTATTTTTTTTTTAAATGGCTAACAAGAAATCAACAAGAAAGAATGCTGTTCAACCCATTCAAACAAATTGTCATTAAACAAGGAAAGCATTCCTCCTGTGAACCCGGAATTTCTCAGCAGGAAACGACGCGCTCATTGGCCCGAGTCATATGATCCCATCGTGTTCACCAAGACGACAACAGCAACAAACACTTCTGCCGCACGACCGCACGTCCCAGGCAAATCATTACTGTCTGCGCAATTGCAGCAGCAAAACGAGCAAACCGTGATGAAAACAAAAGCTAAATTGGAAGCTGCCGCTGCGAGACGGAAAATGATAAAGTACTATCATATGCGCGAACAAGCAGATGCGACATGGTTGGAAACCCTGCAGATGAAAAGCGGTCACTATGGAGACGCATGGCATCTAGAGAAAAGCGCGTCATTGGTGGGTTTGCGACATCCTCACACTGACCCTCTCAACGCTGATGTTTTGATTTGGTGACAAAAAAAAAAGTGACACAGAAACCTTCTTTTTATGCAGATCTATTAAAAATAGAGAAAAAAATTCTATTTTGTCCGAATTATTTCCATGTATTACCACAACAAATCACTTCATCAATTATCAAGATATATGGGTCGTTTTATTTTTGTCAAGTTATTGTAACGGTCAAAGTCTACAAAGGGAAAGAAAAAAAAGAAAGAAAATCAGGCCAAATGTTATACGTTAAAGATAAAAGTGTAAGCCTATCGGATCCTTTCAATGGTAAAGAAGAAAAAAAATTGTGGAGCAGTGGTGGGCCCAATCTTGGTTGGTATTTCCTAAAATAGAAGAACCGAGGAACGGTTTGGCTGGGTTCGAACGAGGGGTGAACCTTCCCCACTTGGCGGAGGGGCTCTTCTCCGCACAAATCAAGGAAGGTGCTTGAATATTTCTGCTCCATTCCAAAATTTTCTGTTTCCGGAAAGTGGGGAAATCCGAAAATGAAGTCATGACAGGCTCATATTTTATCAGGATATCCGTACGTACATTGTTCCTTTTTGAAAAGAGAAAGGAAAAAAGATCATCATGAGAAAGCCGCAAAATGGTAATCATTATGATTGTGTTGATCGGTCTAGAAGACCCAAAACGGTCAACCAGAATAAAAATGACGATGATTTGACTCAACTACTCAGTGGATGCTCTCAAGTCGTTCATTGATTGATTGCTGATTGGTCAACCCGTTCCCAAAAAGCGAAATTAAGCAGGATAGGCAAAAAAAGGAAAAAAAAGCCCGTATCAGATGACTGGAAACGGTTCCGGGAGACAGCATGAAATTTGTGTAAAACAATTTACCCATCAGACACACTCCAAATAATGGAATAAGCTTCGGCAAAAATAGAGAAGATGGATTTTTGGTTCTGTGATCAAATCGACTAGAGAAAATCAAATAATCTCTGAGTTGTTATTATTTTGGCGCTAAAGCTTTCCTTTTTTTTTTTTTTGGTTGCAGTGCGGGTTGGCACGGAGAAATACAACGAAAACTGAACCTTATCTTTTTGTATGCATGGCAATGGGCTGTCAAACACCAAACTTTTTTTGGGGGTCAGACAGATTCTGATTGGTTCTCTCGTGCGAAAGTTGCCAAATTTAGCCATATCGTCCTGTCTTGGGGGAGAAGATCACTTTTGGGAACTTCCCCCCTCTTGCGCTTGTTTGCTGGCCCAATTGCGAAAAATTTTCACTGTTGCCCGTCACTTCTAGTACATGAAGAATCTAATCATTTATCCATGAAAAATATATATACGTCGTGGTTTCTGAACATCAAGGCCGCTCCCGCTATTCTTGGGTTTACATCTTTCAACACTTTCAACCAACGATTTTAGGGAAAACAAACCACATCAAACTTATTTCCATCATCCGTTTGATTAGAAAACTCCATTACCCAAATCCAATCTCTTCTCGTCACCGTTACTGCTCCCACCCATTGGTTATTTCATCACCACTACAATCCTATTGTTTTGAATTGATCCAAAAGAAAATCTAATTCCCAAAAGAAAAAACTTGGTATGCAACGCCATTTCTTCCCCCGTCCTTCTACTGCTTCTGTCTTCCAACACTATCTGCGCCACTCCTCCGTAGCATCCAAGCCTTCATCCGCTGCTTTCTTGCGATATGCTCAGTTGACACGACCCATCACCACCTCCAAAGCCGCCGCATCAGCATCATCATCAGCTGCAGGAGCAGTCGGCTCCTCCGCTCCACGATCTAGATTCCCTGTCAAGACCATCTCTTTGAGCTTGGCTTTGACTTCTGCTTCGTTGGGTTATCTGTACAGCCAACAATCCAAGGGTCATCGATTCGGTGTGTCCACTGTTGAAGCCGAAGCGAGTGCTCCCATTTCTGCTTTCAGTGTATCGTCACCTTCCGCGACCATGTCAGAACTGATGGATGACGATAATCGCGCAGCATTGCAAGCCAAGTCGACGGAAGAACTCGTGTTGGCACTGTTTGTGTACAAGCTGTGCAGCTATTCATGGATTGTCGATGCTGCGCCCCACATCATCAAGTTGGCGGAATCCTTGCATCTCACCGAACCCGTCTATTGGTTCGTCAAAAACACCTTTTTTCGCCAGTTTTGCGGCGGTGAAACTCCCGAAGAATGTGTAGCATCCATGGAACGTCTGGCGCAATCCGGTATCAATTGTATCCTCGATCTTAGCGTCGAAGCCGACTTGCACTTGGACGACGCTGAAGTCACTCCCCAGGATGCCGATGTTTCTCGCGGCAAATACTGGCGCCAAGAACAGAATGCCGACGTGATTGTGGCTATGATCAAGAATTGTTTACGTACCGCGGCTGATGGTCAACAGGCCAATTTATCCAACGCGTGTGCGGCCATCAAGGTGACTGCGTTTGCGCCTCCGGAACTTCTTTTGCGCATCAATCAAGTCTTGTACCGGTTGGAACAATCCTTTGAAACACATCAACGTCAGGGTAAAGTGAATGTCAATGCGGTGCGCGACGTGATCCATCAGGTGTTACCACCCTCCCTAACCGAAGCACAGCAAGCACAACGTGAGGCGCTGGTGGCCCGTTTACAAGATACCAACGGTACACTGGATCGCATCGAATTTTTCAAACTGTTTAACCTTCAAGGCCCTGGTCGCGACATCTGGTGGGCCACTTCGGCCAACGATGAAAAGAAAGCCCTGCTCACCAAAGACGAGCTCGCCGCTTACGATCGCATGGTGCATCGTCTCAACGAAGTGTGCTCTCTCGCGCATGAGAAGCACGTTGGCGTGATGGTGGACGCTGAGCAATCATACTTCCAAGAAGCGATTGATCACGTTGCCATGAACCTTCAAGCCAAATTTAACCGTCGCGACGATCATAAGCATGCACCCACGGTTTACAACACATGTATGTATCTCAAACAACTGATGGATGATCTTGCAGAACGTGATGTCTGACTCATGATTTTTTCGCTTTATTTTTTCCCTTTAGATCAAATGTATACGAAGATTGCTCAAGGAAAATTGGAGCGCGATGTTGAACTTGCCAAGCGTGATAATTTTACGTTTGCGGCTAAACTGGTCCGCGGTGCTTACATGGTTTCGGAGCGCAAGGTAAACTAGTACAATCTTTGGATTCTTTTTGAAACTGGAAATTAAATTTTTTGTTCCCTGTCTCTTTTTTAGCGTGCTACACAGATGGGTTACCCGTCCCCCATTCACGATACGCTTGAGGATACCCACGCCTCTTACAATGGCGGCGTCCGATTTTTGCTGGAAAAACTGCACGAACATCAGGAAACTACGGGCGAAACGTTGACTTCGACCACCGCTCCCATCGTGTTCATGGTGGCCAGCCATAACCGTGATTCGGTGCTGTTGACTGTCGAGGAAATGGAACGTCACAATGTTCTTCCTCGTGCAGGCGTGGTTCACTTTGGTCAGTTGTTTGGTATGCAAGACCAGATTTCATATACCCTGGGCAAGAATGGATACTCCATTTACAAGTACTTGCCGTACGGAAAGATCGATGAGGTGATTCCCTACTTACTCCGCCGCGCTCAAGAAAATTCCGCCGTCTTGGGAGCCGTGACCAAGGAACGTGCCTTGATGGTCCAGGAAGTCAAGGATCGTCTTTCGGGGGTTTCGCCTGGCATTTCAAATGCATTCACACCTGCGTTACCCGCCTCATCCCCCGTCGCAGCTGCCGCACCCGTCTATGATACATCCGAAACCTCCGATATCTCCATCACGAATGTTACCGAGACTACCGCTTAAAGCACATGATTTCAATTTCTCTACCTCCTTTTTTTTGTGCTATTCTAATCTAATGCTTCTTTTTTTTTTGCATACCATATTTTGTATTCTCTTGTTTTCTTGATTCGCTCTCCTTTTTGTATCATCATACTCTTTTTTTATCTTCTGCAAATGATTCTAGAATGCTTGCATATTCTCTATACATATTATGATCATTCCCTCTTCACTATAAATAAAATCAAGTAGAAGAGTAGTCATTCCTTTCAACCTGACGATACTGTATCCAGTTTGCCATGGTGCCTGACCATTCTATGAGATTGAGAGCGATTTTTTTGGTGTCGTTTTCTTGGGGTATTGTCTCGCATTCACATGCCAGGCATGTTACAAACTTTTTTTTTTTTGTTAAAAAAGAAATTTCTGAAGGTTCCCTTTTTGAGATGCAATTTTTCCCGAAGCACAAATCAGAAAATAATCCGTGATGTGCTAGTGGGACTTCGTTTTATTTCATTCTATTGCGATAGTGCGAAATTCTGCGGGAAATTCGTGTTAAGATCGGGCTTTTCCGGAATTCACATGCACGATGGAAGCGGCCAGTCCGAATTGGATCCACCTTAATATGACGGGTCGGACTCGAGTTTCCCATAACTCTGCATCGGACATTGGTTTGCCGTTGGCATGGTACTGTCTCGCTACACGGAACCATTCACGATGCGATGTACGACATTCTCCACATTTAAACCCTGCAGTCGAAAACATACTTGTCAGCTCTAAATGGATTAATCGCTCCACCCGATGCGACAGCGGGCATTTTGGTAATTTATATCGCTCTTCCTTGGTTTTGGTACTCGACAATCTTGGAAAGATCTCGATTACTTGGGGAACAAAATTGCATCGATTCGAGACTTGATACATGCGTAACGGTGGATTCGTACTTCGACCAATTTTAAAATAAGCAAACCGCGTCGTCGATGCCCGTGGTCCCTCGACAAGACTGTACGCATAAATGTACCCATCCTCATCACGATCGGAAATCGGACGCTCCATTTCCTGTTGGATCAAATTGCGCTTTTTCCCCCGAATATGGTTGCCTATCCACACTACCGGATTAAAAACAATAAAAAGTTCATTCAGTAAGGTGACAACGGCGGAGTTATAAAAAGAGGTTGCATACATGACCAACAATCCCGAAGAGGTAATGATGTTGACAGGGAAGGGACGAGTGTGTTCGTAGAAATTGGTTCCTCTGGCAATATGATAGGGGAATTGCTTTTCTGGACAGCTGTATAACGATGAAAGTGGCAGTATCGATCGCTACCGTCAGTGCACTCCGGTACCATGGGGACCATGCGTCGACATCGTAAACCATCGATGCGAATACCATGACATTGCTGTATGAGAGGTTCGCTGGCCACAGCATGGGCTTGCCGCTGAATTTTCATTTTCCTCCTTTTAAGGTCCATCGTTCCGGAAAGTGGCTTTGGATGAATACAACGGTGTTGTAATGATAACGGTGGGCAGCAAAGTGGCAGAGGAAAACGATGCCCACGGGTCGATCGGTGAGATGCAAGCAAAGCATTCATAGCCCACAGATACCATGGTCTTTTCAAAAATGCATAATGACGCTGATAGAACATGACATTCTTTGATTTTGACCAATCTCGGTTACGAAGGCCGCGTATAAAAAGTTACCACCTCTCGACCGCGACAATTTTTTAAATTATTTTTTCTGTTTATTTTTTTATTTTCTTTTATTGACTGTTCCTGAAATTGACACCACCACCCGACGGATCATCCGTTCTTCTACAATCATCTGCATCGCATAACGCGCCTGCAAGTAATTTGTTCTTGCTTCTCTCTTTTTTTTTAAAAAAAAAAAAATGATGATAAAAAAGATTTTTTTATAGACACAAAAGGTGTTGAAACTATTGTACAGTTGCTATTCTTAGAGGGGGAAAGAAGCGATAATGCAAACTCTAAAAAAAAGATAATATATGCAAAACATTCGTAACAATGACAATGGTGTTGAACCATTTTTGGTAGATTAGAGACAAAGAAAGAAGGATCAGGCCATGGTATCAAGAAAAAATATGGCCCAGTCACTTAGAATTCGGGAAGAGCTTCTCTTTCTTCCTTGGTAGGATAGGTAGGACCGACACGCTTGATGACGAGATGCGCAAGGTAGTGACCAGCATTCACAAGACGAGGGATTTCTTCGACACCTTGAGCATACAGACCCATGAAACCACCACAGAAAGCATCACCAGCACCGTTACAGTCAACGATATCCTTATCTTCGACCTTGGTCACAGGGAAAGAGTAAGCCTGGTCACCCACGGCAACAACGGTTTCCTCAGCACCCTGAGTGAGCACAACAATACGAGGACGGCTGTTGCTCTTCTCGAGTTGGGACAACTTCTTTGCAATCTCTTTGACATCGTCGGTGTCCCACTTGGCTTCCTTGGAGTACACGCGGGCCTCATCCTCATTACCGAACAAGATATCCGTGTTCTTGATCACGCTGTCAAGACGGTCCTTAAAGAATTGAGCCAAGAAAGGAGCGCTCAAATTCATGGCAAACACCTTGTTGTTCTCAGCGGCATACTTGGACACAGCAAGAGCTGACTCGTAACCACCATCGTGAGACAAGAAGAAAGCACCGACATAGTAGTACTTTGCATTTTCCACATTCTTCCAGTTCTCGGGCTGACGAAGTAATTCGTATTTGAACTTTTCAGCAGCAGCCAAGTTGGCAACGAGCGAACTGTGAAACACACATCAATAATAATTCTTCCCATCCACGCGCCTGCTCCCTCTTTCGTCCTTTTTCCGATATGCGTCCTTGTTTGTGTTTGTATGTTCGACTTACCGATGGTGACCAGTGATCAAAACAGCGCAGGTACCGGTGGGAGCTTCCTTGGTAATTTGGTATTCGGTACGAAGACCGTCAGCGGCGGCAGCGGCCTTCATGGTCTCGGCAAACTTATCGTCCGAGACACAGCCGGTGTACACGGTGGAGTTGGGAGGCAACAGGTACTGAGCACCACGGATAGTGTTTTGGGTAGCACCACCAGCAACGTACACGACGTTGAACTTTTCAATAATCTCATCATACCTATAAGAAAACACCTGGTTAATACCTGATACAACAGTAAACATAGCCATTGCTACAATCTTTATCCACTTACAAAGCCTTGTGGGATTCATCGGCCAAGATGGCATTGTTGGCCTTGAGACTGTACTTGTTGAGGAGCTCTTCAGTGGCGGTGCACTGAATGTCCAACAAGGGGTTTTCCATACCGAAAAGTTGATAGCTCATGATGATGATGATAAAAAAAAAGGCGTCAAAAGAGGGAAGGCGAGTGGTGACGGGAATCGAGTTTTTACGCCCGCCGCCCTTCTTTTCCTTTATATACTGTGTCGGTGGTTAAACTATGGAAAAAAATTTGCATCCCCTTTGCAGCATGATTGGCTGCAGTTTTTTGAAGCCATCAGTAGATGAAAAGATGGGAAACATGGGCAGCAGGTCCCACTTGAAACGATCTTCCATCTTTTTCCCGTACCACCCTCGATCTTCTTCCCACCGCTGGTCCGCCAGTAATCTGCTTTTTGCCAAAACAAGTAACATCTGCATCATTCAGAGCAAGATCGTCCATCTCTCGTGCAGCTACAAAAAAAAAAGCACAAATCCCGACCATTCAAAACGGTGTCACGCACCATTATTGCAGCTCAGTGCATATTCGACAATGTTGGTTCGAAAGCAATAAAAAAATTTAATTAATTTATTCCCTGCTCAACTGTATAAAATGGTGGAGGTTGCATTTTCATGCAAGCGACATCGGATGTATTGACTTTTGTCACCATGACAGTGATATCGGACGTTCACCCAAGACCGCCAGTGCGCTGGCAACGCTTCGTGTTACCTACCGCGTGCATCGTTGCTTTTCTTTGGATAGTGGGTTATGCTTGGTGGCAACGCTCTGTATCAGACAATGCGGCAATGTTTATGCAGCAAGAACTCATGCTTGGTATCCAACGGCCCGTGAGTCCTCCTGTCAAGGCCACTTTTCTCGTTGTAGCACAAAATCACGAACGGGACGGTATTTTGTCCACGATCTTACAAATTGAAAAGCGATTTAATCATCAATTTCATTACCCATACGTGGTGTTGAGCCCTGAACCTCTCACCGACGCCTTCAGGAATGCGATGGCCACGGCTACCAAAGCCAAAGTTATTTATGGCACGATCGATGATTCTCTGTGGACGTATGACGACGCTGAGAAAGCCAAGTTAACAGTGTCACTCGATACTTTGCAAAACGACGAGAAGGCGGTCTTCCATACCAAATCAGGTCAATATTTTCACTATAAATCAAGGTCGCTTTCTTTTTTTCTGCAGCAATGCATCGACCGTGCGTCAACTAATAACACGTGTCCACAGATTTTACACTGGCTTTATGCATCGTCATTCGCTGTTACAAGGTTTTGATTACTATTGGTAAGAAAAAGATTAAACAAAAATTGCCCATGTTAGGTTACAGTATAATCGAATTGCCTTTTTACTTTGAATCTTTAGGCGCGTAGAACCAAATGTTGAATATCATTGTGACATCGATTACGACATATTCCAGTGGATGAAAAATCAGCGACTCCAGCACGGTAATATATATGTACATGCAACCACATCCACTAGAGTCAATTCATTAACTTTATCACATTTTAAAAAGGATGGGCGCTGGCGACCATGGCTACTACCGAAGCCTCACTGCATGACACATGGGTGTCTTACAGCAATCATATTCGTTCTGCTGTCCTTGACAACGAATTTGTCACTGACGAGAGCACGTTTTTCATTTTTATCACGGATAACGGAGCCGCTTACAACGGGTGTCAATTCGGCTCCGCTCTAGAGGTATACATACCTCCTCTTCTCTAAGCGACATTGTTTGAGTTACCTGACCCTTTATTTTCACAGATTGGATCCATGGAATACATGCGCACTGAAGAATATGATCGATTATTCAGGTTTTTGGAGCAGAGCGGAATATCTTATGGAAGGTACGCATACGATGAAATGCTGTGCAGCATGATATCATAATACTCATTGTATCTTTTTTTGTGAACGAAAGAGAGACGGATGTTGCCTTGCGCATGTTCATGACAACGATCCATTTACGGAAAAATCATATTCATTTTTTCAATGATATTGGTGTATCGAAAGGAGGATTAACGCATTGCCCTTCCGAAAAATACCTCTCTACAAAATGTCATTGTCCGCAGCCCATGGCAGGTAAGGATTTTTACAAAGCCCCAAATTTTTCATTTTATCATGCTTATCGCACGCGCGGACTTAGCGAATGCATCTACATGTCAGTCTCGTTTTGAGAACCTACGGCATGGATTAAGATGGGATGAGGAAACTTACCGTAGACGCACCCAGCCCCAACGTCTACCCATACACCTGGATAACCTTAAATTGACCTCTTGAGCACTAATGGTGGTTGTGGTTTCTGTGGTTTTTCTCTTGTTAAACCAAAGAGCAAAAGAAACAGATCAGCTTTTCGTTCATGTAATAAAAGGCGCGGATTGGCTGTTTTTGCAGTGTCACACAAACAGAGAGACTTTCACTGGATCGTGCTTAATTTCGCACTAGATTTTTTTTTCTTTACTTTGAGTTCATCTATGCATTGGTTGGGTTCCCTTACTTTGCTTCAGTACAAGTTATGGCTGATTGTCACGCTTTTTTCCTTTACCGTCACTTGTTCTTCTGTAACTAAACCACAACAGTGTCTGAAAATTCGGGACAATGATGTCTTCTTGAACATTTGTCCTGCAACTGAAGACGATGCCATTGGATTTTCAGCCGTGTTCCCCGACGCTACAGAAATACCTCGCATGACAGCACAAAGTCCTTCGTCGTCGTCGTCGTCTTCTTTGCAGGACGAGGAAATGTCCAACCAGCTCATCACCCTCAAAGACGACCAAGCCGCACTCGTAGCAGGCACGCTACCGGCGATCGTCCCCATTACGCAGCCCACCCACCGAGTCTTTGTCTCCAATCAACCTAATGCAATAGGACCCGATACCTCAGCACCCAATAAACTCACACTTCGCAATGATAAATTCAACCTGAGCGGACGAAGTACCACGGCCGACCAACGCAAACCCCTGCTGTCCTTTGAAGAGTGGCAGAAACAAGTCTTGGAAATGGAGAATGCTCGACGTCACACTCGAAAGAAAGTGGGTGGTCGAGCCACTGCAAAACGAGGGCAGCATCAGACCATCGATGCTTTGGATGGCGGATTCGTGGGTGATTTTGGGTTCATGTTTGAAGGCCCCAGCCACGGCCAAGATGATTCACCTTTGCCCGATAACACATACGACGAAGACACCTACATCGAACCCAGCAAGTCTACCAAAAGACGCAAACCTACCTTTGAGAAACCACCGGCAGGGTCGGAAAAGAAGAAGCAGTTTGCCGACGTACCTATCAAGATGCTCAAAGAACGATTCAATTACGCTTCCACTGACTGCGCCGCCACCGTGCGTGCCGTCAACAAGGAAGCCAAGGGCGCTCAATCCATCCTGTACGAGTCCAAGGATCAATACATGCTCAACAGATGCTCCGCCGATAAATACATTATTATTAATCTCTGCGAAGAAATTCTCATCGATACCATTGTACTCGCCAATTTCGAATTCTTCTCCAGCACCTTCAAAGACTTTCGCGTCTACGTAGCGGATCGGTACCCTACCAAGGATTGGAAACTTCTTGGTCAGTGGCAAGCTCGCAATACCAGAGACCTGCAGGTAAAAGGTGGTGAGGAAGTGGTTTTTATTACAAGTCATGCTCATTGCCATGTTCACAGATATTCAAAGTCGAAGAGCGTCCAGGATGGTTTGAATACATGAAAATCGAGTTCGTATCCCACTATGGTCACGAATACTATTGTCCGCTAAGCTTGCTTCGTGTCCATGGAATGCCGATGATGGAATACTTTAATCTGGTGGAGCGACAAGGTTTGTCGAATGATGGAGATGAACCGGTGTCGTGGGAAGATGAATACCTGTGGCCGGCTGAAGTGCGAGATGAAATCATTCGACCCCAACCTCAAGTGACCAACCCCGCAGAACAGTTTCCGATCCCTCCAACGGAACAGACTGAGGAAGATGTAGAAGAAGAAATAGTGATCATCGAACCGATCGTTCCCTCGCCTGAACCTCCCTCTGCATCGGATTCCGATTCTTTGTTGACAAAGCAAGATGGATACGATCATCCACAAGACTCTACCGGACCACCGTTGCAAGAAGCGACAGGCACCACTATTCCATCTTCGATGGATAACGATCACGAATATGAAACGAATCCTACGGAAAATCCAACCCCTTCGGTGACCATGGACTCGAGCAGTAGCACATTGCACGGATCGAGTGCTTCTTCCTTTTCCGAGACGCCAGCTGTGCAGGAGGAGCCTTTACAAACTCCGTCAGATTCGGAAAGAATGGAGGAGATCAGTTCCGCATACCTGGAATCCATGTTTTCTTCCACCGCGACAACGGCGACGCCTTCCTCGGAATCTCAAACAAGCAATCACATTGCCACAGTGGAAGGACGAGTTGGCAATTTTCCCAAACCGATCATGGGTCCGAATCCAAAAGAAGGCACCACGCAAGAATCGATTTACAAAACGATTATGAAGCGACTCAATGTACTGGAACAAAATGCTACGCTGTCGCAACGCTACCTGGATGAACAGAACCGCATGTTGAATGATGTGTTCACTGATATGGAGAAACGACATCAGGAGCAACTCATTTCTCTCTTGGGTCGTCTAAACGAAACGGCAAGTAACCGAATCGAAAATATGGTAGGGGTCCGATGCCCATTGGGTTATTCTCTCTTCCCCCCACGCATTGATATCTCTATTTTTCTGTGATAGAAACGTCGCTATGAGCAATGGTATGAAGAACTCAAAATTCAAAATGAAAATGATATCAAAGAATTGACGGCAAAAATGAGTCTCATGGCAGACCAGGTAAATAAGAAAAGCTGCATCCGTAGATTTTTGCAAATAACTAACGTGTTTACTTTATAGATTGCGTTTGAGCGACGTATCTCTATATCACAGTTGGTGATTGTCATTTCCCTGTTTGTGTTCATGGCGTTGTCGCGGGGAACATTCAACACGCTTTCGCCCATTATGGTGGCGCAAGCCGAAGAACGAAAGAGACGGGCCTCGGCGGATCAGATTGTTCCTGGTAGCACCAAAGCGGCAACGCAAGAATCACCCTCTTCGGACAAAATCAGTCTTCGTGATCGCAGAAACCTGATGTTATCCATGAAATGGCTCAGCGGCTCGTCACCAGGACCGTCTTCAGCCAAATAATTCCCATATATACATTATACATATCTATTTTGCAGTTGTTATCTGTATGACCATTTGTATTATAGTCGCAATACATTTTTTTTCCCCAAAGTCATCGTGAGGATTTGAAAATGACAACAAATCATGCGCTGGTGAAGAAAGCAAATTTTTCGTTACATCTGCCAATGAATATTTCTTATTACCGTCGTTTGAATCGCAAAAATAGGGATCTCTTATTACAAGGATAAATATTGCGAAAAGATCATGACTGAGCTTACAGCGTGATTTGAAGTGATGTTACTAAGATCTTCCGAATAACTACAGAAATTGACGACATATTCGATCGCATATTGCCATCTGTTTATTCATTGGGAACATTCTTCCGTTCCTCCTCCGCTTGACCATGTCGTATGATGGTTTGTCCTTATTATTCCATTGTTTATCTATCTTACTTGTTTGCTCTCGGGTCATTCCCCCTCTTTTTTTTTACAATCACTATGTCGTCCAGTAACATCAGAAAACGCGAACCTTCAAACGCACCCGTTGAGAAAACTGCCAAACAGCAGAAAATTGAAGTACAACGAAAGAAACATGAAGAAAAGATGGTGGAATACGAGCGCATCGACGCATTGTATAACGTCAAAGATGAGGTGAGGGCTTGATGGATGGATAAAATATCATACCTTGATCTGATTTGATGAATTATTACCTTGTAGAAACGCAGGAGATGATATCGGCCCTCAACTACACCATCATCACAGAAGGCGAGGGCCGAGCCGTCAGTGAGAGTGATCAAGTAGTGTCTTTAATTCATCACTAGGCAGCATATACTGATTGAGCATTTTTTTTTTCGTAGGTTCGATTACATCACACTGCTAGAACCGACAACAGCGGTGTACTCGATGACCAAGTCATCAAGTTCCAAGTTGGCGTCGGTAAAGTTCACACCGAGTTGCAATTATCGACGATTGGAATGAAGAAGCACGGAAAACGTGTAGTGGCCGTCAATTCGGCGTTCACACTACCCCAAAAGACAATCTTCGAGGTAAAGTATACATAAAGTCAAAGTCGAAATGTACATCTATCTAATGATTCCTTTGTCTGCAAAGATTGAACTGCTGGCCATTTTGTAAAATGACACATTAGAAAATTACTTATCATAGACTAGTTTGATTTGCTTTGCTTGATTAAAATGGCCAAGTGAACATATCACGTACTCAGCTCAGAACCTGAAAGCCGATGGCAAACAATGAACGTATACGCTGTTGAGTTTGAGTATTCGATAAAAGTAATGAAAAAAAGAGGACCATCCTCATATTGATAAACTTCAGGGGAAGGCATGGCAGGCGTTATTCATCCGTCAGCACAGACGCGTCAACGCAGGAATCAGCTGCGGCTTTGTCTTAGATATTACTGCAGTCTGTCGTGGATGATGACCAGTGTCACTGTCATGGCAAAAGAGACAAGATAAATAATTCGGATTAGGCATAACAACTTGAGTTTCACCATGATTCCCCTGAGCATCGCTGCGAAAGTTGCCTCCGCATGTCGCCTGATGACGCCTGGCATAAGCTGGCCATGATACTCTCTGTCCAGCCAGCTCCTTCCATATATGGTTAGTCGGTGATGGCGAACGCGTGATTTTTTTCCGCAAATATTACGCGACCGAATTTGGGCGTAGAACCTTTTCGTGGCGGCATGTCGTAGGACGGAGTAATCGACCTTGTTGAACTTGACGATCAAGCTCTTGTCACTAGATTTGTATTTGTGCATGTATATACATCTAGTAACTTGTTGAGTGGATTCGTAATATTTGCGAAAAAAACGCAGCGCTTTCGTCATCACCGACTACCATTTATTGATGGAGCTGACTGGACATGGGACCATCTTGGCCAGCTTATGCTGTGCTTCATCAAGCGACAAGGAGATACCCTTCGCAGCGACTCCCACGTAGGTCATGGTAAAAACCAAGTTGTTATACCAACACGAAATATTCTTTTTGCCATGACAGTGCGACTGACTATTATCCACGACATCCACGGGGCGCTCCACGACCTACTGCAGCAATGTCAAACAGACGAAGCAAACTTATTAATCTATAGACTCGACAATTTGTAATGCATTTCTAAATAGGCGACGGCGCTGTGGCATCGCGTCTCTTGTAAAGTCGAAACCGTAATATAGGTACATTGAATCACCGACGACGTTACTGTGGTAACTGAGAATAATTCGCTTGATTTTCCTGTAAAGTCTTAATCATGAATTTAGCAAACCATAAAGTAAGCAATTAGATCCCTTTCCCCTGAATGGCCATCGAGAGCATATGAAAAGGATTTAATATGAAGCATGAGCCGCAATGTTATTGAAAAGATAGCGCAACTCTTGTAGAAATGATTAGCAAATAAAATGTTTCAAACAGCCGACTTTTAAGTCGGTAAAGAACATATGCGTAAAGATGTAGTTTTTTTTGTGTAGTGTATGGAAGAAGAGGATCAAGGTTTTTAGGGGCGATGCCGGCGTTTCTCGATTTCGGTGGAATCCCATTTATTGCTACGTTTGGCCGGTGAGGCGGGTCCCGAGTTGACGGGCGGTTTGGCGATCCGGCTCGCGACTTTGGCAGCGGTGGCCATGGCGGCGGCCATGGCAGACGCGGGATCCTTGACGGAAGGGCTGGCGGAGACGGTAGAACTGTTGACAAAAGGGATATTGGACCGGTGTTGTTGGGCCATGGCGCGTTGTTCGGCGGCTCGACCTTGGGCTTCCAAAAGTCCGTCAATGTACGATTCTTTGGGAAATCCATGCGGATCGTAATCGTCTTTGGGAAAATTGCTGCCGCATTCATCGACATCTACAAACTCCACCAGTTTGGTGTAAATACGTGGATTTCGAAACGCTTTGTTCCGCTGTAAATGGTCGTTGAGTCGATGTCCTGACGCCCTCAGCGACAGATAATGCATGATTTGTGCCTATTAAACATATTCGGATCAATACGTCAATCGAGCCGAGGATAAGTGTTCCTACTTCTCTGTCAGGATCGCACTCTTCTTCTGGCTCTGGCAGTATTCCCCAGTTATCGAGACCTTCGATAGGTTTTGCCTTCAACAATGCTTTGCGCTGTCTAGCTCGTTCCAATTCATCGATATCAATACGATACATGGAAGACGGTGGTATTGGTGCTGGCATTGAAGTGTTATCAGCTGCATGCGAGGATTTCTTTTCATTGACGACCGATGATGCTGGGACAAGAAAGGATGTGGATTAATCAGGTGTTTTGGCGTCTTTCTGTAATTCCCAATGGCGAAAACCTACCTAAAGTCTAACGAGTAAAATTATGAGCAAACTAAAGTTGTCACGGAGATTGATTTTCAAACGATTACCTCTTTGGAGGCTGAGTGGCTGGATGGACGTACTTCGGGTTTCTTTTCGGCGGACAAAGTCGATGGTTGGGTGGAGGTGGAAGGGACTGGAAAACGGAAAGTGAGTGGATGTTGAAGTTGTAAGGTGCGTTTCGGGCATGGCGCTGTTTACCTTGCGGTTGGGAGACTTCTTCGTCGGACGATCGGTCTTCGTCGTCTGAGTAATTGACCAGTCCGCCTAATAAACTCATGAGAATAAAGTGGATAACGGACTTGTGCAGGTTTATGCTTGAGTTCACGGACACCTAAAAATAGGTGTGACTCGTCAATTTTTTCGTCCTTGAATTTTTGGTCCTCAGAAAGAACAACATAATTCATACACGAGATATCCAATGACTCATAAATGGATAGATAAATCAACACTATTTGTTTCCCAACTAATGCGCGACACCTGTCAGGCTTACTGGAAACCAAATTTCACAATTCATTTTTCAACCCAAAAACAGCAAGAAAGAAAAACTTTTATTCTCTAAATTACTTGAAATCTTTGGAAATTAACGATTTGTAAATAGCATGATCTTCACTTAAGCTATCATATCAGCACCTCTTAATATATTTTGCGCTACACTAAGCTATCAGAGACTGCTTATCTTTCAACCATGCCTCTGTGCCCATCTTGCCACGGCAACGATCATCAGCGCTCTACAAGTCGTCATTGCCTAAATTTCTCTCCAAGAAACACTTCCCACAAATAATAGGCGAAATAATCAGCAACAAGATGCCGTTTGCGCCAGCTGTGGTCAAACAGAGCATCGTCGTCGTTCAGATAAAAATGTGAGTAGAGCTCTTTTTGAAGAAAGGTGGTGTGATGATACGACTGGCGTCTTTGTAGCATCATTTAATTTGGTTTTCTGTCAGTTATACTGTCATTTATACTTCACCGAGCGAGCAACCATCGTGTCCGACAAATTAACTCTTCCTATGCAAAAAGATCACCTCTGCACTGGTTCAGTGGTAACAACAACAGCAATGCATCGTCGCAGGAACCGAGCTGCTCAACAAAGACCGTTAATCATTACGCGCGCTCAAGTGAAATCAATGCACGCCCAGTACATACAACACTCAGTCCGCCGAAGCAAGAATAAGCAAGTCGCTGTAGAACGCAAATAGAGCGCGGTCCACCAAGAACATAGTACCTGATGACTCTTTTTTTCGCAGCTCCAAGGGCAGATCTAAAGATCGTTCACCTGAATAATCCTCGAAGTCTTCCGAGGACCGCCAAGTCCTGGACATGGTAATGATTCACTAAAGCATATGGAGTCCCCCGGTCTCAAAAGCATAATCAAAAGAATAGCATCCTCCACGCGCAACATGATGACAATAGCACAATCAAAGATGAAATACGACAGTGTTGGAGAACAGCCATGGACGAAACCGTACACGATAACGGCCAAGCAAAATGTTGACTAACTCAGAATGAGGGCGGCGATTGGGTATGCAAAACGGGCAAGAGTAAGCAATTGTGGACTTATGACAGTGGAGAGAACATTTCGGAACTTACCAACAAAGACGAGCAGGGAAAAAAGTGATGTAACGGCGAAAGAGGAGCAGAGCAGCATAAAGCCCAGCTGACTTGCGTAATATTTGCGGAAAAAAATCACGCTTTCGCCACACCGACTATCATTTATTGAATCAGCTGGCTGGACAGAGAGTATCTTGGCCAGCTCATGCCTGCATCATCAGGCGACATGGAGGCAATTTTCGCACCGATGCTCAGGGGAACCATGGTGGAACTAAAGTTGTTATGCCAATATAATTTGTTCTTTCTTTGTCATGACGATGAAACTGATTGTTATCCACAACGTACTACAGCAATGTGTAGTAGGCAAAGCCGTCACCGTGCCTGTGTCGACGCGTCTCTGCTGATCGAAAACATCGTCCTCCATGCGTGCCCTGAAGTTATCAATCTGCCAATGACCCTTCCATATTTTTTTCTCATTGCAATCGCTTTCATGGAAACCAAGTATTTTTCATTTCCTGACGAATTTTTGATCGCGCTTTGTTACTGAATAGCGCATAAGATCGGTTTGTGTTTGTGATCGCCTTTCATATTTTCAAACGCTAATGCGGTCTGATGATTTCGCGCTTGCAGCTGTCAAGGGTTGCGCTTCCCACCTTCTGTCCGAAAAAAAATCACACGGCGCAGTTCAACCAGCCAAGCTTGGGATTTCGTCAATATATATATATATATATATATTGGTGAAAAAAGGGGAATACCATAAGAGGCAGTAAGACTGCTTTCTGACAAATGTGAGGCACGCGCTGGTGCAAATCAAGCTTGTTTGGCGGACTATGTCGGTTTATCAAGATAACCGCTGATCATCCGTCACTCTGACGTATGTTATTATAACCAGTCCAATGCCCACGGTGATGGTGGGCGATGCAATCTCAGTCATTCTTCTATATGCCAAATCATCTGATAAACATGTATCGTATTTTGTGGATCCATCACTAGGATAGCTTAGATAACGGAAGAGTACTGAGTGTGAGGATGGAGTTAAAGCAGCAGGCGCTGTAGGCGGACTTTGGTTTTGATCATGCAAGGGGTCTACTTTTTTTTTTCCTTTTTTTGTTTCAATACGTGGCTGACAATGCTCAAAACTGGCGTTTCCTTTTCTTACCACTTTTTCTTTCTTTTACCCTTTCTACTTGTTTTCTAGCCATGGCAAATGAGAAACTTAGTTTGACGGTTTCTGTAGGCGATTCTATTGATTCTCTCCAACCAGTGACTTTCAACGACGATGCGCATCCTGTACATATAAAAAACAGCGCTTTTGAAGGCGATGTTGCTATTCGTATCCGTGGTCGACCCGGTAATACACACTACTTTGACCACTCGGACGACACCTTTTGTATTCAAATCCGCGGTCGGTTTTTGCATGAGCATCTTACCGCAGACGATATCCTTTTCGGCAACCAGTTCGATCGACCGATTCGCCTACCCACGGGGTCGTCTGTCGCGCTCAAATTCGCACAGTGGTTCGATCCCGGACTACAAGCCGATCTTTACAGTGACCAACCCCATGCTTTCTCGCCTCTTATTGTTACCATGAATCGATTAGCTGTCACCCAGTCAAAAGACATGCTTGCATTCCCCAGTGATGGTGCACCTGTTGAAGAAGACGTCACCATGCTGTCATTTGATTTGAAGTCTCCCAAAGATCGCAAGACATTCTATACCAGCGCACAGAATCGAAAAGCTGTCCAAATTTCAGACGATCAGGTTTGGTGTATGGATTTCGGTAATCCTTACTTGGACTTTGCCAAGGTAACGTGATGCATATATTGTTGCTGCATGCCCGCTTTTCTCACGGGTGCTCTTTATGTAACATTATCATGAAACAGTGCACCGTGCGTTTACCTGGATTCGAAGTGGATGCATTACGTTATTGGGACGGTCAGGTAAGCTAGTAATATCGTGCCTCAACCTCCGAACATTCCTGTTTAACCATAATGATTTCAACTTGTGTATAGCCTGTTCGTTACGTGGCAAAGACAAAAGATGACTCGATGGTATTTTTTGTCATCGAATTCAATTTACAGGAAGGATCCAAAGGCATTAATACCGAGGACCAAACCGCTAAAACTGAGGATAAAAACGAAGATACGGATATTGATTAAATACACATTCAAAAAACTTGTCTGATATCACGAAATTGCATATGCTCTGTTGACTATTTCTTCCTGCACCCGATGACGAATATGTTCAATGGTTTCTGACGTTTCAGGAAAAACAATGGGATCACTGGGATAGGAGAGATCGGCAAAAAAAAAAAAAAAAAAAAAAAAAAAAAAAAAAAAAGATCAGACACTCAATTACACCGTGCTTAGAAGAAGGAGACCTACCTGCCGTCCGGCACATAGAGTGCTTCGATGGGCAACAATAAGCGAGAGGTGCCTGTGAATGTGTGACATTAGTACGTAATAGCGCTGTCGAATACACAGCGAACTCACTTGTCAGAAAACATCCTTCCCATCTGTTGTCTCTGGCGTCTTGTAACCTGGGAAAGCCCCATTGAAATTCTATTCCGTCCTCTTCACAGATGGCCATGACAATCTTCATGACGGTGCCCAGTAAAATATTCTCTAGCGCAGCACACATCACCACCGACTTGCCATCGGTTTCTCTTTTACGTACGGCAAAAAAGTTGGAAGCCATTCCCTCGTACAAGTTGCCATCATCGTCCGTTAATACGACTTCATTGATATCATGAAGCTTGTGTTGTTCTAATGCCGCTCGCTCTCTACGCCGCGTACCATCAGCATCAATTCACTATCGAAAATTGCTAATGAATACGTACCTCACCCATTGCGAGTCCTTTACTTCGGGCATCTTTCTTGCCTTGTTTTCTATTTCTACCTTGACTCGATGTTTCTTTGGTGTCACAAGAGGCGCAAAATGCGCAGCAAAACGGGGTCGACGTGACTAGAACCAGCACGTGTTAAAGGACGTCTTCCCTTTGCAAGAAACGTTTTCCAACTTACTTCATAGCAATAAGTTACCATGAGCGATATTTTGGTTTCTGAAGGATGATCGGTGGCCGTGGTAGGATCGACATTTGAATAGTAATTTTCCAAACCGGCCCTTAGCAAGGGCACAAGTCGATGTTCCAAACTGGTGATATTACGAAACGGGCTCATCATTTGTGACACTGTCTCGGGCTCCACTCCGTCGCTATTCTCAAAACGCATGAGCGAAAGCGAGTTAACAATGCGCTTCATATGCGATCCTAGCTCTACCACTGATTTGCGGCCTACAGTGCGCATACCAGTGTAGGCACCTAACACGACCATTGTTTAAGTTACTTTCATTCAGTGAAATCCCGGTCTCCATGCGTATTACCACGGGGATAAGCGAGAATGAAGCTGTTGAAGGTTGGATGTTCTTGATGCGTCTCATATTTGCCTACTTCATCGGCTTGCAGCGTATTTATCTGCTCGACTGTCACTGAGCATCAAGAGAGTGATTAGCATATTCCTCCCCGAAACTCCCATGAGGTGAATGGACTTACAAGTACGCAATGCACTTTTGGACGACATGTAACGTAAAGAGTTAATCGAGCGAAACAAAAAATGGGGACGTCGAGGGATATGATACAATGGAATGGTTACAAACTGGGATATAAGGAAAAAATAGAGTAAAACAAAAATGATAGTCTGTGAATCATTTTTCTATTTTCGCCAGCGTAACTAAAAATAAAACGCATCATGCTACTTCCACTGATATCAACTTTACACCTTATATCATAGAATCTACAATATATCGAAAGGCCACAGTAATGTTGTTTGATTGTCATGACATTCAAAAGAGGAAAAAGTCGTCAGTCTGCATTGTCCAAGTTGGGATGAATCGGAAGTTCAAATGATGTAGGAAAACAGTTTGCCAACTGTCGTCGATATGGCTGATCTTTTTTATTTCATCAGAGAGACATGTAAAAGTGCCAATGCTTTTTACTTGTTCAACTATTGTACCCATAAATCATGGATAGTCTTCCTATCCGTTTTCCGATTGTTAGAACTTTGGACTCAGCGATAAGACTTGTTATCATTAGCTATTCGAGAAAAAAGTTGGGGTAGGGACATGTGTGCAATGTCCCACTGTGGCTTGGGATGGGTAATATTGTCGGTCATACCTCTAGGAAAAAAACATGCTAATATCTAGCAGTGTTATTTATGTATCCATTGAAGCTAAAATTGGCAGCAGGAAACTTCGAGCTTCTTTCGTCAGGCCCAGGTCTTTTTTTTTTCTCAATTTTGAATGTGACGTAAGCAAAAAAAGCTCCACATTTCAAATGTGCAAAAAGTCTATGTGCAAATTGCAAAACCCGCATGTGACTTGGATCTCTTGAGTTTGAACCTCTTTCCATTGACCATGGAGTCCACTGACTCTCGAACACAAGATAACGCCAGCCCTGCCTCATCCTCCGGAGACCTTGATCCGACCAATACCTCGACCGGTAATGCAAACGTTAATGATCCCAAAAAGAAACGAACCGTCACCAAGCGACGAAAAGTGACTCACGGTATGCTCCATATTTCGCACCAGTGTATTTGAGTAACCCTCTCATCGATGTCCTTCATCATATACCCTGTAGCTTGTGTGTACTGTCGTCGATCACATATGACTTGCGATGACGGTGAGTAACCGACTCTGTGTATTTTTTTGGTCTTTTTTCATCACGATTGACACTCAGACACTACACCCCAGGTCGGCCTTGTCAGCGATGCATCAAACGTAGCATTGGCCATCTGTGCCATGACGAGCCGAAGCAGCCTTCCTCCAGCTCACAAAGTAATGCCCAGCAAGCACCCAAAGACAGGTCCCCAATGTCAGCCGCTGCTGCGTCAAGTAACAGCTATAACCCACTCTCGTCACATATGGCTGCTGGCAACGGTAAGAATATGGGAGGAATCATCCACAGAAATAGTCTTGGAGCTCAAACAAAATGCATCATGGATAGGTTTTGGATCCAATCACAGCAATCTTGGCGGTCTGCCACTCCAATTTTTTGGGCAAATGGGCACGGGTCAATTGACCTTTGCCAGCGAGCATATGGGCAATGAAATTTCAGTTATCAGGTACGCCGAACCGCTGGAGACCATTGCAAACGGGACAGTGCTAATACAATCGTTCACAGTGACTTTCTTGATTCGCTCGGTGCCGACATGAATCCCATGTATCCGAACCAGCAACCTCACCCGCAACAACATTTACAGAACAACTCCTCCGTTAATACCGCTGAAAAATTCTTCCTCACCGCAGCCGATCCTTCCGACGGCAAATTAGAAGATCGACTCACCGAAGTCATTAATGCCAAATACGAAGCTGGATTTTTGAAACCATACAATTATGTGAATGGCTACGCACGATTACAAAAATACATGGATAACAAGTAGGCACAGGTCGAGTCAGGGTTTCCCGAGTTCACTGGTAGATTAAATGTTGCATCGACATTCTGTAGTATGTCAGCAGCAAGTAGGCAGCGTATTCTGAACGTCATGGGAACATTCCGTCCAGCCTTCCGATCAGTTGCGCAATCATTGACGGATATTGATCTGATTTTGGTGGAAGAAGCATTTGAACGCTTACTGCTTGTAAGTTTGTTATTTGCGGACCGTCGTGCATGGTGATGACTGATCCTTCTGTTGCCAGGATTATGATCGTGTATTCAGTTCCATGGGTATCCCAGCATGCTTATGGCGACGTACAGGCGAAATATACAAAGGCAATAAGGAATTTGCATCCTTAGTCAATGTACCCATTGAGAATCTGCGAGAGGTAATACTTCCATCCATCGAGGAAAGAGATTGAATAGCATTCGTGCAACCGACGAACAACCTTTTTTAACAATAAGCTTTTTTTTTTCTCAGGGACGATTATGTATTTATGAACTCATGGCGGAAGAATCTGCAGTGAATTATTGGGAGGTTGGTTCAGATCATGGTTTTTAAAGGATTATGCGGCTCATTCATTATATATAGAAATATGGCAATATCGCCTTCGATCCCGGTCAGAAAGCTGTATTGACTTCCTGTCTGCTTAAGAATCCCGATCGTGAGAGCACGAGTGTCATCTCTTGTTGCTTTTCATTTACCATTCGAAGAGATAAATATAACATTCCGGTAAGAATACTTGTTAAAGTGTATGCTACTGATCTCTTACTCATATCCCTTTCAGACTGTCATTGTAGGCAACTTTTTGCCAGTCCAGTTGCAATAATTGATTTTATATAACTTCATTTTGTTATTTTTTTACTTTCTTTCATTCCTTTTAATGCATCATTTTTTTTTCCTTCGTTGACCTGTTTTACTGTTGGATAGTTAGGCTGGCCTTAATATCATGAACGTTTAGATTCTTCACCACTGTATTATGTCGCCATAACAATGCAATGCGGCATTTTGCCTTGAATAATTTTTTGTCAATGCGAAATCATGGTCCAATTTCAAAGTCACATATTGTCCCCGATGGGGGACGAAAAAAAAAAAGAACTTTTTTGTGCCATTGCCGTGTAAAGTACTTTTTTTCTGTTCACTTAAACGAATTGCAATATGGCTTCAGCGGATATTCCTGATCCAGCTACCAATTTCAAGGCATATCAAGCGTCGTTGTTCAAGGCGCTCGTGTCCGCTACCTCGGCCGCCAATGCATTACCGCCGAATGATCTCGGGTTTTACCGATCCCTCGATCGTGACTTTGCCAAAAACTTGGACTCGGCCGGATCAAGAGTATTGGACCTGTCCAACCGTTTATTACAGCAGGCCTCGAACGATACCGGTATCGTGGCATCGAAATATGAAGATATCGACGATGTCGTGGATCGCTACGGCAGCGCTGTCGACGTGATGGATAGTCTGTTGGAGAAAGCCGTGAGTTTTGACATTCATTGGAGGCGGGCTTCTTTGTGTTTTTGTCGCTCAACTGTAGTATAGGATATCTGGTTGGATGAATACCTGGGACGCAATAAGAAAAACGATGATAGTGTCAAACAAAAGGCACCCGAAGTAGCGCAAATATCTGCCAAAGTAAGTATTTAAATTTGTTAGACCGTGTTCCTCTGCAGATTCTCATCTGCATGTTCGCTTGCAGTCCAATAGTGGAAAGCTCGAATACAAATATTTGCACGCCAGCAATGTGGTTCGTCCCCAATTGAAATTCAAAGATCGCGTTGACAATCTGTCATCGACGCCATTTCAACGCAAGATCGTGGTAAAACCTCATGCGATGGTACCACTCGATCACGGTAAGTGGGAAAACTGGTATGATCTCACTGTGGGAAAACGGTGCACTGACTGTTTTCCTGTGTGTTAGGATTGAGCGCTGATGCGATGGAGACCGAAGATGGCATACCACGATCGTTACCTCACCCTTATGAGTACGAAATCCATCATATCACGTATCCTGAACATATGTTTGAGAAACGAGAACCTCAGCAATACCTTCCATTCGACTCGACTTCGGCAACCTGGGTGGATAATGATGAATCACTGCAAGCCATGATGGACCATCTCAGGGGTTATCGCGAACTCGCCATCGATTTGGAACATCACAACTACCGAAGTTATCAGGGATTTACATGTTTAATGCAGCTTAGCACACGTGACGAGGATTTTATTATCGACACTTTGGAACTTCGTGATCGCCTTTGGCAACTGAATGATTTCTTTGCTGATCCTACGATCGTCAAAGTAAGTTTTTAATATCCATGTCAAAAAGGAAGGAGAGTGTGTGAACTGATGCCCTTATGTTTGCGTTTTGTGATTAGGTGTTGCATGGTGCAGAGAGCGATATCATCTGGCTTCAACGGGACTTTGGCCTGTATATTGTGAATCTATTCGATACCTACTTTGCAACCAAAGTGCTTGGTAAGAAAAAATGATGGCTATGGAAGTCTTGACAACGTTGACATTGAACAAAATGGATGGTTATTGTAGAGTTTCCTCATCACAGTCTGGCCTATCTTTTACAGAAATATTGCAATTTTATTGCTGATAAGAAGTATCAGTTGGCAGATTGGCGTATTCGGTATGGGATTTTTGGTGATGTGAGGAAGAAGAAAGCAAACAAATCGTTAATATGAATGAATCTCTTGTTAGACCATTACCGCAGGAGATGTTGGATTATGCACGTGCGGATACCCATTATTTGTTGTACATCTACGATTGCGTACGCGACGAATTATTGGAGAAATCCGGTGCCAATGAGAACTTATTGCGATCTGTTCTGCAGCGATCAGCAGAGTTGGCGTTGACAAAGCATGAAAAGCCTACGTACGATGTGGAGACGGGACTAGGCCCAGGGGGTTGGAGCGGCTTGTTGCGTAAATGGAACAACCCAATGAACGAGCAGCAATTTGCGGTATTCAAAGCATTGCATCACTGGCGTGATCATGTTGCACGAGAAGAAGATGAGAGTACGAGATACATTTTACCTAACCACATGTTATTCGCGCTGGTTGAACGAATGCCCACCGAATCGGCTGGTGTGATTGGTTGCTGTAATCCGTGCCCACCGACGGTACGTATGAATGCTCAAGCAGTCGCTCTCCTTATTCAACGAGCCAGAATGGACGGGTTGCGTTCACTTGAAGAAGGAAAATCCAAGGCCAACCAAGCCATCACGGACGCAGCGGCCGCGAAGCCGGAGGTGACCACGGTGAGCTCCGCAAGAAAGCAAGCCAAAGTGGTGCAAAAAGTGGATCCCGCAACTTTTGATCTGGAAAAGGTCAATCAGCAACGACAAGCAACCGCCGCAACCTTAACCAAACCAATGTCAGTGTTGTTTGGTACGGACACGTCGAGCAGCAGTGCAAGCGAAGAGACCGCCAAACAATTAGCGGAAGAGATCCGTTCTACGATTAAATTGATTCTCCCCATCGATACCTTGAAGATTAAGCGTGTCAAATCGGTGGCCGATATAACACCAGCAGCAGAAGAGGCGTCTGCCGAGCATGTGTATGTACCTGCGCAAGAAAGAGTGACCACACCCGCGAAACGAAAAGAAAACGATGTGATCGTGGTGGGACATTTCCCGAAACGGTCAAAAAACGACAAACGGTCTTAAACCTTGGAGAGTCCCTTGGAAACCAATAAAAGTTCTTATCATCATCATTCATAGAAACCTTAGTAACCGAAGTCTCTTTTTTTTTTCTTTATCGTGTGAATGGGTTGAGTCCACAGATGGGGCAAAAAAAAAGTCGGTCGATGTCATGGACCCGGATCAGATTAGATTACCAACGAGAACCGATTGGCGTATGGTGCACAGGGGAAAATCATCTTTTTAGGAAATTAAAAACTCACAATGAGAAGTTGGAGTCGTTCTTTCCGTTGAAATCATATTTGTGTCAGCATCAAGCGACCCATAAATATACTCACATATGGTAATTTTTCTGATTTTCGCTTCGAGTGGGAGTTTTTTCTCACCCTTTCTTTTTAACCAAAAATGGAAATTTAATGGTTTCCCCATGAATCGAAACAGCGTGATGAGAAGGGAAATCAGACACAAAGGTCAATGTGTCAAGTGATTCAGAGAATCTCCCGCGCAACCTCGCGCAAGCCGCATCAAACTTTATCTTGAATAATTTTTTTATTTGGGCATTTAAAAAGGCCAAATCAACCACTTATAAAGAATGCAACCACTTTTTTTTTCTCCCCTTTATTTACCACTTCTTCCTTTTTGTTCCTTTGCCTTTCTTGTTATTTACTGTATCTGATCCATCATGGGAAAATCTTCAGCGGCTGATGTTGAAGTGGAACAGATTGAAAAGCGTCAAGATAGCGCCGTCAAACGGCATCTCAAAGCGTTCAGGGACTCCATCTATCATAAACCGGAAAAGCCTACCAATATGTGGCATCTACTTACAAACCTCACCAATACACAAAGAATCACGTTCGCAGCAGGTAAGCAAACCATGAATAGATTCAAGTACCCCATGGGCAATGCAGTGACATGTTTATCTTTGGAACCCAGCTTTCTTTGGTTGGACATTGGACGCCTTTGACTTTTTCTCAGTTTCACTGACCACAGCCCAAATCGGTAAGTGAGGCGAAGTGAAAGCATTCATTCCTGTTGCATCGGAAACCATGGTGAAAAATGAAATCTAATGGTCAGTTTGTGTGGGAATCCAGCCAAGGACTTTAATGTGGAACCTTCGGAAGTCACAAGTAAGTCCAATCAGAGAAGTTCTTTCTCACCTTCATCACCGAAAAACATGTATAACAAAAAGCAAGATATTGACGGATAAATTTTTAGGTGCGATCACCACCACTCTTGTAAGACGATATTTCACAGGCTAAAAAAGATTATACGCAAATACACCAATAAGAGTGTAGAAGCTGATCTGCGTCCTTTTTTTTGGTGGATAGATGCTTCGACCCATCGGTGCGCTTATATTTGGGTAACTATGATGAAACCAAATATGTGCATGTTTCAACAGACACTCATAATGAAATTGATTCTGTGATCTATCCTAGTGCTTTGGCAGACAAATATGGTCGACGCTGGCCGTTGATGGCGGATATTGTATTGTACTCTCTTATCAATATGGCAAGCGGATTCGCTCCTAATCTTCAAACTTTTATTGGCCTTCGAGCTGTCTTTGGCATTGCCATGGGCGGTGAATGGGTAAGTTGAAAAAGGAATTAAAAAAGTTGATCTTGTGTCACTTTTTAACCGCGAAATTGTTTTCCCTTGTGCAACTCGGTCGCTCTCACGGATGACTGTCCTGATCTCATATTCTGCTTTTTTTTGCTTTTTTTTCACAGGGTCTCGGTGCAAGTTTAGCACTGGAATCACTTCCAATTGAAGCACGTGGTTTGTTCTCTGGTATCTTTCAAGAAGGTAAGTAAACGGATCATGCACATTATTGAAAAAAGGGTCCTTGGTATGAACCTTTCCAACACACTATTCCTTTGTTAGGTTATGCATGCGGTTACCTACTAGCTACTCTGGTAAACTATGCAATCGAAGAAACTGGATCCAGTTGGCGAATTTTGTTCTGGGTTGGCGCCTCGTTTGCTCTGCTAGCCATCGTTATTCGATTTTGGGTGCCTGAAAGTGAAGCTTTTGAGAAACAGCAAGAAGCTCGCCGAGTGATCGGTCGGTCTTTACTTAAAGAGACATGGATCGTCCTGAAACATCATTGGCTGCGTCTTATCTACATGGTCATCCTAATGGCATTTATGAATTTCTTCTCCCACGGTTCGCAAGATCTGTATCCCACTTTCTTAACATCTCAACTTGGCTACACTCCTACGCAGAAGACGGTCACCAGTGTCATTTACAACATCGGTGCAATTTGTGGCGGTACAATCATTGGTTACTATTCTTCGTACTTTGGTCGCAAATTATGTGTCGCAGTCTGCGCCATCTTGGCCGGATGCTTTATTCCGCTGTGGATTTATGGTCCCAATATTCATGCATTGCAATTCGGCGCATTTACCATGCAATTCTTTGTTCAGGGCGCCTGGGGTAAGGAGAATCATTCCAAATATTTTTGATGATCTGACGAATTATCCTTGGTGCACATACTCAAAGAGGAAAAATCATGGATAGGTGTCATTCCTGCACACATCAATGAATTGTCGCCACCCGCTTTCCGAGGTCTTTTGCCCGGCTTGGCATATCAACTTGGTAACCTGGTACGCACCTTTTTACTGCTTGTTTCGTATTTTGGATATGGACTTTGGGAGCGGGAAAAATTCATTTTTGGGACTGTGGTGGAAGAAAAGCCAAATAGCAGGTGCTGGATATTTGTAGATCTGACGGTCATCTATAGATCAGCGCCGCCAGTAGCCAGATCGAAGCGACCATTGGTGAACGGTATCCCATCAGAAATGCCGATGGCAGCTACAAATTGAACGCCGAAGGCAAGCAAATTGCTGATTATGGATTGACACAAGCGATTTTTATGGGCTGTGTGTGTGGTGGTCTGCTGATTACAAGTAAGCTTGGCACTGGATGAGATTAACGCTTTGCCAGTTGCATACTGACCTTGTTTGTTTGTTTTTTATTTCCTTTACTTTTTTGTTTGGCAGTTCTTGTGGGCAAGGAAGAGCGTAACAAGGACTTTATGGAGCATTTGGTGGAAGACGCTCGTTCAGGTCAAGCGGTGACACCGGACGATGTAAATGCAAGCCGTATTGAACAAGGCATGTCCAGTGATGGAAACGGCAAGAGCGAGAGCGATGAAAAAATCCACCGCTTTGAAAGTATGCAGGAGAAAATGACCCTGGAACATGCTGAATCTGTCCAGCCCGCAGAGACAAAGCAGCACGAACAGCATGATTCAACAGGAAAAAATGCAGAGTAAGCGAACCGCTTATTACAAATGCATTCTATTTAAAGTTACTGTACAAAAAAACTCGATAATATCTCTATGTAATAAATGTATTATTTTTTTCTAATGATTTGTCAAGTTTTCAGCCTCTGTTTCTCTGTTTCGACAAATGGAATCAGTCACAAGTAATGGCTCAAGTGGGTGTGCCCAACTATTGGTGAACGAATGATGTTGTTTCATCTAAATGTTGGTCATTGAACGTTAAAGGAAACTGAACGCAATTAAGGATAGATATCATGATACATGTCAATGGCATGTGCAGGAGTAAGCATAAAAATTGGAAAAGTACGGCTGTGAATACACAGTAGCCCACAATCTAGAAAGAAAAAGTTGAAGGAAGCTGTTCTTACCGTGCCTCACAAAGTCACACAGCTTGCCAACAGTGTGAAGTTGAGCGCTTGATGTTCCTCCCTTGCCAGGCAGCGGAGGTACCAGGGGTCGTTCACTGGAAAATCTACGATGACGACCGTGGTGATGACTCCCATATCGGCAGGTGTTTCAAATTTCTGGAGCAATACGCTCGACTTTGGGCGCTGACTGAACCGGAGACCTTGCTGTACACAGCGAATCTGTTTGAAATTGCGCTGACATCTGATGGCGCCACCGATCTAAGCTTCTACGTACCCTCATCAACCCCAAAAATTCCAAAAAACAACTCATTCCAGAAAAAAAAAGTCAAGGAACCTGGCAAAGGCAGCGACTCAAAAGGATCATACTCCTTGAAAAGAACCCAAGAGCAGAGAAGGTTTCAAGAAAGCGCTCAATGCCTGCCAACAACTGAAACGTCTGAAACAGAGACGGTTTGTGGGAGACTACGTATAACGATTCGGTGATATCGCTGTGCGTTCCCGAATCTTGGTAACCAAGATGCCTTTCACAAATTCACGATCTGCCTGCCTGGTGAGGTTTATTTGTAGCTGTGCGACTTTGTTCTTCATTTGCATTGACAAGAAGCCTGGAATCAGGCGATGAAATTGTGCGAACGCAAGTTGATTGCTTATCTGTATTCTGGGACAATCTAATTTGATGCACGATTGAAAGTATAACCTGATGATTTAGTTGATTTTTAGGCCAAACCATGGACTTTTTGATCCAAATCTTCAGCGACCGTACATAAAACTTTTTGGAAGGAATTTTCTTTGAAGTGAATACGATGACTGTAAGACCGATTTCTTCAGCTAAAAAAAGTCGGAAAGACGTAACCACTATCAATTGAAAAACGTTTTGGAGGGTATGCCACGCAATACGGTATTTGTCAAAGTAAAATGCTAGTCGGGTTTTTATGATAATAAGGCTCTCAAAGATCTATTGCCGCACTATCTCGCGGATAATTGGAGCTATGACATACAACGGGTAATGCTTTATGATGAATATTATATGAGATCTAGATTGTCCAAAAAAAGTCGATAACTGTATTTCGCATTTATATCCCAATCTTACCAAGTCCCATTCTTTGCTGGGCTGCTTCAGAATAGGAACATATTTTTCTCAAACACAGTTGCATCTAGGCCCATGAAGGTTTAAACGGTGCTAGTGAAGATAAATAAGTGATGTGAAGAGGATGTAATTCGCCGTTCATGGCAGGGCAGTAAAGAAGAGACGTGACTGATCACAAGGTTTGTGTCATGATATTTGACAACAGCTTGCACAAGGGTAGCAAAAAGGCGATGAAGAAAGCCCTTCCTCTCTTTCTCCCCCCCAAAAAAAGGAAACCTTAAAAATAGAAGAGATAAAAATAAGAGTGAGTGAACGAGCGATGCTGTGTGTCCTTTGTGGCAGTGCTTCGCGGTCCCGTGCAGCCGGTCGAATATGTAAAATTGGTTTGGACTTGTTGAGAGCACATAAAAATAAGGCATCATGTGTACAAAGTAGTGTCACCTATGATTTCATATGAAGCTGTCAACTCTCACGCAGCGGAATCTGTACCGAAATCCACACCCTGAAAAAGACTTCGGATCGCTGATGCACAAAGATGCTGAGACATTTTTCGTTTAACTCTGTTGAGCTTACCTTGTTATATTTTCACGGTCCAAACAAAGCCAATGTCTGAAAGGGGATGAGACTATCTGTGAGATGATAAAGTTTAAAGGGCGCTTTTATCGAAATGGCGCGCACGGAGCAATATCAACAAAAGTTTCGCTGGGTCAGTGAGGAGCAACCAAAGTTGTATGTCGGAACTAGGATATGTGCTTTGGTGTTACAGATGAGAAAAAGGAAACGTCAATTGCTGGGTGTACATGGGCGAGACATAGCAAATAAAAAGCAGCAACATCTTCTTGGCCGTAACTTCCATTAACTTTAGGAAACATTGATGGGAAAAGCGATAAGAATTCCACAGCTGGGCAAATATAGCAATACTTTGCACCTCTTTTTTTTTTTTTTCGAAAAAATTTAAGCTATTCTTTGCAAAATAAAATCCGCTCGGATAGATGGATGACAATCATTAAGAAAGTCAGATAGCTTTTTTCATCACTTACAGCATCACTTTTAACTGGTGAGCGAAGCATCAGTACAAAAAAAGTAATCGATGTTTCCAAACTCATCCTCTGATTGCATCTTGGAAAGTATTGTTCTACTCTTTCTTTTTGCCATTCCATTTTCTGAACAAGCTGTCTGTTGATATCCTTTTAGCATCATTTTATACCTGTATCAAAGCACTTGTCCATTTTTCATAGACTCGATTACTCTTATTCTCAGCCGTCCATCGTGATAGTTCCATGGCAAATGATTTAAAGAAACTGTAAATTAGCAATATCATAATAGATTAAGAGCGGACAAAAAGGTTGATATTCGGAGAATAGACCAGATTTGTTCCTTTTACATCCAACCTCGTCAAAGTGATCTTTGAGATAAACTTGAATAGATACATAATTGCGTCATAATATACAGCTTTACTGCATTTTTTGCTAGAAAGCCTTCCTGCAGATATCGAACCAAACAAATAAGTCAAAAAGAGGCTATTGTCTACTGTCACGCTTAGCTTGCGTTAAAAGCGCCTTCAGGGGACAGGTTAGGTCTCCGGCGGTGACACCAAGTTGAGTCTCCCTCTGGGCGATCGCGATTGGAGATGTTTCAAACGGCAAGGTTCAACTGCGAAAACAAGGTGATGCGTTTCGCAACACATAGGCAACAGCAGCCACTGTCCCCGCGCGAAGTTCGTTGCCAAAACGACCAACTTTCTAATTCCAAAAAATCCGCCTTTTACTTTTTTTTTGCCTTCTTTTTCCTTTTGTTTTTCTCCTTGTATTTCTAATATAGACAAAAACAGAGGCAGTTCACCATTGTCTGCTATCATTACCCAGTAAATCACGGCCATTTTGTCTAGTGTTCCTGTACAATCATCACCATTCACAGCTGCGCCCGGTACGTATTCATGGCACGATAGATACAAGCTTTCAGTGGCATCATTTCCTATCATTTCGTTTCTTACGATTTGGCAATGAAATTTCTTGCTGAGTGCACTTTTTGATTTACGCATAAAATCATCAAGTCTCATTATTGTTAGCCGAGAGCCTCTCATTTTTACCCACAATATCATTATACCCGCTTGTCAGCTTACTCTTTTCTTCCTTCTTTAAACCCACAAGGGCTCTCCTTCTTATATGTCGATGCTTTTCGCTTTGTAGGATGGAATACACTGACTCATTTATGAGCGTTGATATTCTGTCTGTTTTCTTTTGTTTTCTGCTGCTTTTTTTCTCTTCTTTCTTTTTTTCGCCACCAGCTCATTTACACTTGTGGACATGTATTAACGATGCTAGTAGATCTTCATTGCCATCATTTGCGCATTAGTAAGCAGTGTAATAGGGTGTTCGTTTATTTTGATATGTGCAGTTTGAATAAGCCATCAACCCAAATTTGACAGTAATTTTTTATTCCCATAGTAAGCCTGTCAAGCCATCACAGGAGCAACCCCAAATCAGGTGGATTTTACAAAGTCACGAGATCATGTCGAGACTCTCGGGACCTCAATCGACTGTCAAACAGGAACATGTCAATCCCAATCAGGTACAAGAAACAGGCCAGCAACCATCGGTGAGTGGTTCCATGATTATGGTTTCTTCTGCTGTATTTCTGACCATGTTCTTTCTCTTCTCTCTCACAGTTGGATCCTTTTTATACTGATTTATTGAACCAATCATTTGAATCCAATACCTCTGCCATAGAATATTGCCGGGCGCTTTGTGCTCAATATGGTTTTACTGTCAAACAAGAGCAGAGTACACAACGGGTATGTAAACATTCACTGCTTATTTTTTTCCTTTATCTTCTGCTATCCTGCCATTTTCTTCTGTTTCCTCGTTTTCGACTGTTTTGATGAAACTTGTACTCACCCTATTGGTCCCTCCTTCACTTCTTGATTTTCTTATATAGAATATCTATGTATACTGTTCAAGAGAAGGTTTACCCGACTCTCTTCGTTTCCCAAAATCCAATCCCAAACGCAAACGTCCTTCAAAACGCTGCGACTGCCGCTGGCGTGTGGTCCTCTACGAAAATGACGGACGTTGGGAATTCCGCAAATCTCAGAATCCAGATGCATGCAAACACAACCATGAACTGATGCGACCAGAGGAAATTGAGACGCCTTGGCCAAAGGATGTCAATAACCTTATATACGAACTGGCAAGGCAACGTTTACCGACGCAAGAAATACGATCGCGTGTTCAAGCCACTTATTCCACCCTTCAGTGGAACGAACGTCGTTTTTATAATCGTTTATCCGAAGAACGTCAAAAAATTCGATACCGCGAAACGGCTCAACGCGCGAAAACCTTTACGGCGTTGTGGACAAAGATATGCATGGTGACAGCAGGAAGTGAGGAATTGACGAGTTATGCCGAAACGGAAGCCATGCAGCTATTACACACGGTGTGCGAAATGGCGCAAGTCGACCCGCAGACCTTAGATACACCTGCATGCTTTATCACGGACGATGCTGGAACCGGTCAGTCACCTTCATCGGATGATACTTCCATGCGCTCTCAGCCGCATCAACACCCAATCTCCACTTCAGTAGCCGATATCGGTCGATCGTCCAATACTATGGATGAATTTTCGGAAACTCAAAGCATACAACGGCAGCAACGACGCATGAGTCAGACCGCAACCAATGATGAGAGTTACTCTACCGCTTTTTTCTCCCAGGTAAAAAAAAACCCCCCAAAACATGGAATTTAAAAATAATCGGTTAAAAGCAGTAATACTGATGTTGTTTGTGGTAATTGGTTTTGTACAGAATGCCGAGGAAGGACCATCCACGAGTCAGCCATCCATCAAAGGAGGAAAACAATCCGAGGCACCCAAGGGATATATGACCATTGTCATTCCGCAGCATGCATATTTTGTCAAAGTTCATAATCAGCGGACACTGAGCGAAATGCAACATTTAAAGAATCGCCGGCGATCGAGATCGCTGCAGGTCGCGGATGACGGTAACACCATCATGACAGAAGCAGTTGCTTCAACCGGTCAACAACTGAAGAAGAGGAAATCATCCAGTCTTTTGTCCATGGAAGCGCACGTTGGTCCTTCATCATCCTCCATGATTCAGTCGCCTATGCCATCACGACCTTTGTCAACACCTATACTGAGCAAACCTTCCATGGGACCTGCCATGAATGTCATGTCATCCGTCCCTCCCCATTTAAGACCCGTTTCTCTCCCGAATGCACCGCATCATGACCAATCCAATTTCATGTGTTATAATACCGACAGTATGAACCTAGACAGTTCATTATCGCATTATGTACAACACCAACCCCAACATTATCATGCCTACCGAATGGTAGCCCAGCAACACACGGATCTGAGTAGAGGAGACAGAGGATTTGCGGGTCAAGGCATGTCTCTTCGTATGGATACAGCAGTTACATCGAATATGATGATGCGTCATACCACTATGGATGATATGCATTGTCCTCCTTCCATGCAGCCGTCAGCTGTTATGAGTATGCAATCATCTCCCTCTATCGCCCACCACCGGCGAGCTTCATCGGCTGTCATCAGACAACCTTCCATTACGTCTCAAATGGCTGCAACGACGCTTCACTCGGCTGGAACGGACCATTTCCAGTCCTCCTTTCAGCAACAATCACCCACACGACCGTCGGGTCATGCTCCACCGCCTTCAGGATCTTCATCAGCGCATTCAGCCGATGCCTCGTTATCAATATCCACGGGGACCCCGATTCCCAATTCGGGACCATCCCAACCGTCTCCAAGTCAACGTCACTCTTCACAGCACGGATTCTACGCAAATACCCTGTTTGGGACCGATCCAGAACAACAAAACACCGGGGATAAAATGATGGTGGTTTCTTCTCCGAGTATGTATCAACAAAAGTTTGCAATGGCCGACGCCAACGCCAATATTCCACCTCCTCATATGACCTCCACAGCGCACCATCCCACTGCGCCTTCATTTTCTACGAATCCGGCCATGGTGCGGCAGCAGCAATACATGATGGAATCGCAACAGCAAGCGCCACCAGCCGATCCTTTCCCAGCTTTCCCATCCAATGCGAATCCACTTGCTTACTCGCCCTCACCGTCTGCACAGTTGCCTACAGGACAATCATCAAGTAATGTTACCATGTCAAGCGACATGCTACAGTATGGCATGCCTACAGCCGAGGCAGTAAGACAGCAACGACAACAGTTGTATCGGCGAGCGAGCGAAGGGCATCATCGGTGGTAAATTTGCCGTATGTTTACAGCAGCTTTTTTTTCATTACCAAATGAGTCAAAATTTATTTAATGTCGTCTAGTTTTGTCAGTACAATCGCCCCATCCTTCCTATCGTAATAAAAAGTGTCCTTGATTAATGCGCCAATGCTATCGCGGGTAAATGCAAAGAACGGTGTCAATTGGGCATGAAGGATAGTAGAACAATAATGTCTTCAATCCATCATCAACAGACAGAAAAAAAGTCTATCAAGAAAGAGGAGGCTTTCGGACATTGAATTCATGAAAGAGTACAAGAAAAAGGGGTCAAGCGTCCTTTTTTTTTCTTCCTTTTCCCCAGCAGAAGGGAAAAGAGAAAAAAATAAATAACCACAGATCTTATTTGTGCATAAACGTTATAAACAAAAAAGTCACATTTTTGTATTCCTTTTTTCCTTCTTTTCTTTCTTTTGATTGCCGTTCATTATTTGTTCATTTTCTTTCTTTATTCTACGTATTTCATAAGAGGCATATCATCGATGACATTTGACTTTGAAGAACGGCGAGGTAACTTGCTTACTTGTGTATCTCCGTCGGAGAGTCTTGTGCTCTGCGTGAGTGAGGATTTGCGTATGAGTAAAGGTAGGTTCATGGAGTTTGGCAACATAGAAAAAGGATCCATTGGTAACGTTTGCACGGTAACGGTGGCCCAGGAATTGCCGTTGCGTTTCGTCAGCAATTCGGTGGATTACAGCAACTTCAGGCACAGAAAAAATCGGTCGGTCAAGTAGCCCACCTGGCCATTAGTCCAAAGCGGCACGTATTCTATCTAATAACGCGACATAAAGCTTACAACAAAGCCAGTTACGGCGACTTGGAACGCTGTTTGATGGAGTTGCGTAAAATGTGCGAAACTCTGGGCGTGTTACATTTAGCTTTGCCACACGAGCTCGGCGTTGGTTTGGATGGATTTCAGGAAAAGTATGTAAAAGAAGTAATTTTCAAAGTCTTTCACGGTAAGTTATTCAAGCAGTGAGTCACGTCGATACGACACAGTTGACTAAGCAAGACAAACCCGTTTGGCATACCATTGTATCGTATGCTGTATAGGCTGGCAAGGAAAGATGATTATGTATCAAAGCGACGAGTAACGTGTTTCGAGGGTTTAATAAATGTTGTACCATGTCATTTTGCATTCATCTCTTTCCATCGAACTTTAGCTGATATGTTTGTGGTTAACCAAGACCTTTCTTCTCTTTCACACTACGGATGGAATATTATCTGTTACGGCTGAAGAAAAAAGCACCGTTATGCAGCGAAGCGAACAGCTACCGTGTACGTTGCCTTGTGCTTAAAGGCGATACTTTGTTGGAAGATGAGCAGTGGTTGGGCATGGAAACGTGATGAACGCTTAGACTGAGACCACTGTTTTGACGCGTGTGCGTAATTGAATGGGAAAAAGGAGGTACGGAGTGTCAACCGCCTGTCACACGGGCCGCCTTCATCGGCCGCCCCCTCGTTAAAATAAAGACCATCTATTCCATCTGTATGAAGCAACTGTCTTTTTAAGTACACCATCATGTCAAGAAAAAATATCCTAAAATATCAGAACACTTTCGCAGACCGATCTGTGAGAGCTTAACCTTAAGTTGAGTGTTTCCAAGGAAGCCTTTGCAGTGATCTTCACCAACACGTGGTTAAAGCTTATCATGCTGAAGAGCGAATAAAAATGGCATGGCGTCAGACGCACAAAATATCCTGATCGTAACAACCATTGGGAGAAAGCTGTCGCTCACGACAGCCGCGATAAAAATGTATTCAACTAGAACAGAGAAAGTGGTCTACTGCATGAGGATGTCATGGCTTCTTGGTCCCTTCTAAAAAATGTCGCGTCTCTCAGCAATACATTATCAAAACACGAAAATGGTGTGATGACATATTGGCTGATGACGTTCTATGTGATACACTATGAATCGAATGACGCTGGGAAGGGACAAGCTTTCCAATTTATACATATGTGTATTTCTGCAGCCATGTGACTCAGAATTGGTACGCTTTCTCAGATTAGGGAAATAGTGTCGGCTTTCGATCTCGTAACCAACGTCATATAAATCATGCATTTTCAAAACAGATCAGAAGCAAATTCGATGACGATATTTGTAACACATCTGATTACTGCGATAGCCGATCGATCCTCTTTTTCAAGTAAAAAAGGTGCTCCCATGAACTTCCAATGAAGAAACCAAATTATGATATGAGAGCATTGAAGAAGTTGAATGAAACACATGTTTTTTATTTTTGCATGTTGTTTCATCATGGTCGTTTGTACGTCACGTGGCAACTTTTGGGTTACCGGTCTTAATTCCTCAATTTACACGGGGTCAGCTCTCTTTCGGTTATATCCATAGTTGCAGTATGGCTTCCACGGAAGAAGCAACGCCATTCCTTCACCGGCACAGCGGCAATAATCATTGGAATCGCATGAAGAAGAGGACAATGGTAAGGCGAATGTTCGAAATGTCCATAAAGAACCCAGCACCTGCCAGGCGCCCCATATTACTCCGAGACAGTTACAGGGGGTCTCTTCAAGTCGTTCGGTTTTTTCGTTACTAACCATTTTTTCTTGGTGCTTCTATTTCCTTTGGAGTAGTGTCTTCGAGCAACCTGTGTTTTATCGATCTTGGCATTATTAGCCACCGGGGTTTGCGCCCTACAATACGTTTGGCATCCAAAAAGAGACATGCAAAAAGACTTTGCGTCGCTGAAAGATTACTGTAACCATGTTCAACCTATTCAACCTTTGGAGTATGTCTCCCGTCAGAAAAAACTGGCCGAGACTCTGAAGCGGGAAGGCGCCAGAGCATTCATCATGGAACCTGGAGCCACGATGTCCTACTATACAAACATCGATTGGTCGCTGAGTGAGCGCCCTTTCCTGGTGATTTTGCGCATAGACGATGATTTACCGACAGGGCTCAATATGACCATCGTCACCCCGGCATTTGAAGCCACCCGAGCGCGTGAGAATCTGGATCAAGCAAAACTTCCTCCACAAATTGAGCCTAGCATCGTAGAGTGGCGAGAGGAAGACTCTCCGTATGACGCCGTGGGAACCGTACTAAACGAGACTATCCACAAAGTGTTTATGGAAACGGATGTCCGGCTATTTATTTTCGATGGGGTCAGCAAGGTGCTCGGCAATGACGCGGTAGAGGTGTCATCCAAGGCTATCCGAACATTACGCATGGTAAAATCGAAGGCCGAACTGGATATTTTACGCTGCGTGAATCATGCTACGGAATTGGCGATTCGCAAAGTGAGGCATCACGTGAGAGTGGGCATGACGGAGAATGATATAGCCGATTTGATGGAGAGCGCACTACACACAGCAGGATTGACAAATACTTGGGTGCTTGCGTTAATTGATGAGAATGCGGCCTTTCCTCACGGAGAACCGGGCAAAACAAAGCGAGTCACAAAAGACAGCACCGTCTTGATAGATACAGGAGGAGAACTATTAGGTAGGAAGGGGGATGAAAGAAGCAGTAACGATGAAACATCATGGCAAAACGAGGCATCGGCTGACATAGGGACGTTCAACAGGCTACCAATCAGATACAACACGTACATTTTTCTTGGGACCGGAGGGATTCAACAAGACGATAGAAGATGCGTGGTATACAGTGAGACGAGCCCAAGAGAAAGTCCTAAATCAAGCTGCGGCGGGAATGCCATGTGCGGAAGTGGATTTAACCGCACGCCATGTTATTGACGAGGCCGGTTATGGACAATATTTTACTCACCGATTAGGCCATGGCATCGGCATGGAAATGCATGAAGAACCTTATATGAATCAAGGCAATACAGATCAAATTCTGGAACCTGGATTCACCTTTAGTGTCGAACCTGGTATTTACGTCGCACGGGAATTCGGAATTCGACTCGAAGACATTGTAGTCGTCAATCAAGAAGGAAAACTGGAACTTTTGACTTCAGGTTTAGCACAGAATCCATGGTCCCTGTAATCACAATTTATCGAAGCAATATATAATCTACTGATTCGAATCTTGCCCTGCAACAGACATAAAGTGACTTGAGGATCATCGAGGAATTGGTGGATGCTTTCTACTCTGATGTTCCCTTTTCTACTTGAAGCATAAATAGAAGGGTAGGAATGGATGATTGATTTGTCAGAAAAATCTTTGTGGATCGAGTGGAAAGATCGTAAGATTTCTTCGGAATGAATGATTCTTCTTCCTGGGTCGGGGATGACAAAAATTCAGCCAAGGAAGACCAAGGTTGCACAGCTATCAGATCTGGGTTTGCTCCAATAAAAAGATGCTTCAATATCATGTGGGGATCGGTAGGGACCGATCCGGGAAGACGCTAATGCGATGCCATGACAATATTATTCAGTGAGTGATTGGATAAAAAAGACATACAATGACTGAAAATGCGATGAGAGTATTTCAAGGAATCCATGAAACGAAAGCACAGAATGGCTCATGATGTAAAGTGTGGGGAGGACGACATTATTGAGATGGAGGAGGAATACCAGCAAGATAAGGATTGTCTTCCAAAGCGCTCTGTTCATTCTCTGGATCCGAATCCTCAATTGCCCACTGCCATATGGAAGGATCGTAGTTCTCAAGTAACTGTTTCTCTTTACGATATTTTGCGTGCCATCCTTCAAATCCTCCTCTCAACACTTTGACCTAATACAACATTGTCAGCAACAACATCACGTTGCCATGGCAAACCCAGTGCGGTCTCTTACTTGTTGGTTTGTTTGGATGCCCTGAAGGTGCAAGGATTCTTTGTAGATACGAGCTGCCTTGGGACCTTGTTTTAATTTATTACAGTGTCAATCGGCGTGTTTCTGAGTTTAGGTGTACACGAGTGTGAAGGGTCTTACCTCTCACTTGAGATAAAGCGCAGTGAAAGTACACACAAGGCACTTGTCCATACTCGTCAATGATCTCGTGAACACGATCGAGCAATTGTCCCGCAGGCACATTGACAGCGTGAGGGATATTTCCGCCCTGGTGATAAAAAAGTCGGGTGAGATGTCAGATACTGGGTAAAGAGTGAAATGAAGAAGAAGAAAAAATAGGTACCTCGAAATCAGTATCGCGTACGTCGATTACCAGATAGTCTTTGCGCGGTACTTTGGTGGGATCAAGTATGAGGGCTTTGAGCTCTTCGCTCTCAGCATAAGGAGCCAGGTGGGACATGGAATAACTTTCGCAGGCAGAGATTGATGATGATGGCAGTGTCAGCCGAAGACTTGGAAAAATTGCTTTTTTGTTATTGGTTGTACCAGGCGAGCCAATAGAAAGAGACGGACCGTGGAAAAAAGCTGCACAATTCACATGAAAATTTCCATGTTGCAAGCACGGGTCAGTTAAAATTAAGGAACACGTTACTGGCGGTGAACGATTTTGTTCAGCTGGTTGGAAGGATAGATAAGCTTTTTTCTTGCTCTGCACATGCACCCGTCTATTTTTTCGCAGATTCCGCCGTGATGTTCTGTTTTTACAGCCATTAGATTTCCAGCAAATAACACCGTTTCGCGCTGTCGAGGTTCTTTCCCAGTTTCTATTTTAAAACGCCGCCAACGGACACTATGACGTATGCTCTTTTTTTGGCGAAATTCCCTTTTTCAAAGGGAAGCCCTTGAAATATCACTTTTACTGCAGTTCCGATTTCAACTGATGCATGTATTAAATTGAATAAAGTGGGGATTGCGGTGAAAAAGATGAACGAAACTGTGCAAAAGAATCCAACCATGGGTTGCTGTTGAACGTTGAAAGGTACGACAAAACCAGCAATGTCCGTTCATAAATAAAAATGTACGACATGGACTATACGAAACGAACACGGATGAATTCCAATTACTTACTAAAGTTTAGCACCAAACGATAGAATGATAGGGCATTATAGACTCATCTTACGTACGAACCATTTTGGGGTTATGCCTTTTTTTATTGCCTTTGTAACTAATATGGTGACGCTTATTTTCCCTTTGAAACATGTCTTTTTTGTCCTGAATCAATGTTAGTGCCAATAGCCATTGAGGGCTGGCTTGATGTTAATTATGTCATCTTACTGGAAAGACTTGGCTATTGTCTATCCCCTCGCTCATTCTAATATTTCAATCCGTTCCCACCTCGTAGTCACTGGATATCATGGGCTACGTAACCATGGAACGGGTCCATATCCTTCATCTTCAAATGCTGTTCCTTGAAAGAAACAGATGGTTGTGTTGAAACAGAATGCTACGCCCACGTTGTTGGCATCGAGGATCAACTATTTCATACATCTGCAATTTACGTCTCCGCCAGCGCCAAGCCTTGGTACGTCCACTTTGATCCTCCTTTTGTATCGCTCTCACGGCTGGCTCTTGGTTAAAAAAAGACCGCCGTCTGGATAGAACGATAGAGAATGGGTATATTAGTGCTTCACAAAGACTCGCAGCATTGATTTGTGACCGGAAACTGCTCAGCATTAGAATGCCAAGGGATTATGTAATTTACAGGAGGGGGACAAAAAAAAAAAAAAAGAAGGCAAAGAAATGGCTTGGCTTTTGGGCGAACATCATGATCACCCGGTTTTAGTACACCACGAACGTCATTGAACAAAGGCAAAAACAAGCATACCGGATGATGACAAAGAATTCGAAGAAGAACTTACTTTTTAACTTTTGACGACCACTGGGGTAGGGGCGGGAAGGGAAAAGCACGAGAAAGCGGGCTTTCTGTATCAGTGAGCGTTCATGGTCCCTCTAATCTGAGATGAAAAAGAAGAGCTCATTTGAGAGGCAAAGCGTACTATGATTGTCATTCCGATCACCGTACAAAGTCCAAAAAAAAAAAAGAAACAAAGAAATCTCGCCCAGTCAGGTCGCACCAAAATGATTCAGACAATCATTATGTGCGACCTCGCTAAAACATGATCGTCCTCAGTACGTAATAAGAATCAAAACAAACCATTTTCTCTTGTCACTCTTATTAATTTTCTAACGTATAAACCACATTCTCACCTGCTATAAAAGAAAATAAAACGACTTTCTATAACTGGAGATGAATAGATAGCAATGGATTCATGAAAATCTGTTTAAAGCAATCCTCTCTCAGTGATCGGATGGGTTCTTCTGGGTTCGGATGAATCAAGGCATTTCATTGGTCAATGGATGCAAGGTGACACAGGAACAGAAACCTTTTTTTTTTTTTTTCGCGTCCTCCGTTATAAAAAGAAAAGATCGGTTTCTGATACGCAATCTTTTTTTTTTCTTTTCCTCCTTTTGGTTGTTTTTTGATTTCTCTTCTACTTTATTCTTATTCGTTTCTTGTTCCTTTTCTTTTATATTACCTATTTTACGCTTGTGTAGTTGTTTGTTTCTTTCCAAGAAAAATCGTTGGGTGGGAATGAATCTACTTAATTACCCCTTTGAGCTTGTTGCTCCAATGACCGCCATTGGGTCCGTGTTGCTCCTACCATTAGGACCGTTACTCATACCCCATTTCTACCTCATCTTCCTGCTGGTCTACTTTACATGCTTTTTATACACTCAAATCAACCACCTGTTCAAATTCTGGATTACCGTCTCAAAGATCAAGAAAACGATACGCAACTGGAACATGTCAGAACGAGCTCATCTGGCTAATGACAAGTCATCTGCTTCTGCTGCCTCCTCCGGTCCAGCTTCGCCTTCTCCCACTCCCACTCGTGAACGCTATCCCAATATCGTCGATGATGAACGTTTCAGCGAAATGGAAGCCACCCTCAAACTGTATGAAGACTCTCATTTTGTTCATGCCTTCATTGTACCAAATTATGCGGAGCCTGAAGCGTTACTCAGAGACACCATCAAACGATTGGCAAATCACAGGTAATTGAAAAAAGAACCTTCCTTTATCCTTCCCCATTTTGGTCCCACATCAACCTTTTTGCATTCACCTTTCCCACAATACAGTGCTGAAATAACGCGCTGCTGATGCTTTGTCTCTTTTTCTTTCCTGGGGTTTTTCCTCCTCTCTCCCCTCTCTCCTCCCCCCCTTTTATCCATATAATTTTTTTCCACCAAATTACTCACCGCAATTTCCCTTGAACCTTCTTTTTTCATGATACAGAAATGCACAAACCAACTATGTCGTCATTCTTGCCATGGAAGCCTCTGAATTCGGTCACGCCCAAAAAGCCGAAAATCTTGCTAATTACTTCAAGGACAGTTTCCTTCACTTTATTGTCACCGTGCACCCATCGGATATCCCCGGAGAAGCTCGTGGCAAAGGGTCCAATGTCGCTTACGCCGCTCGAACAGGTTGTGCTGAACTCATTCAGAATGGTGTTGACAGACGTAGAGTGATCTTAACTGTATCGGATTCCGACTCTTCCATTCCCGAACTTTATGTCAAAGAGGTTAGTAGTGCTATCTTTTTTTTTTTTTTTTTTTTTTTTTTTTTTTTTTTTTTTTGCTGTTTGTGTGTCATCACAACAGCATTATCATGCTTAAAATCTGGTTCAATGTTATTCACACGTGATTCTTGTTTTTTTTTTCTTTGCTTCTGTTTTCTGCTCTAGGTCGAGAAGTCTTTTACGCAGGCTGAAGACCCCTACTTTTTATTATTTGCTCCGCCGATTTTCTTCTCCCGTAATTGTTTCGAAGTACCTGCCGCTGTACGAATGACCGATATTACCTGGTCGGCCATGGTCATGTCCAATCTGAGTAACAGCAGAGGCATCGCTTTCCCTTGCTCCACTTACAGTCTCAGTATGGTGCTTGCCGAACGTGTGGGATTCTGGGATACCGATTCGGATGCTGTTGGTGAAGATATGCATATGATGCTAAAATGTTTTTTCAAAACGGATGGTTTGGCGCGCTGTGCCCCTATTTTCGTCCCTATCAACCTTACCAACGTTCAAACCAATGGTTATCTGTCCAACATCAACGCTCGATTTGTTCAGGCGAAACGACATTACAACGGTGTGGCTGATGTGGCATATACCCTGCGTAACGCATTCGGCTTGCGGAGCTTGGCGGTCGATGCAAACGGCGTGGTCTTGCATACTCCCATTCTAAACAAAAAATCATCCATGTATGCTTCGCCTACTTTTTGGATCGACAAACTCATTGTCTGTGTGAAAGTGTTGGAAGCCCATATGATTCCTGCCACTTCTGGATGGTTGATGTTTGCCGCCGTCCCGCTCATGCAGTTTATTCTTTTCCCTCCTCACCCCATGGTGGCCATCGTCAATCCCGCCGATAACCCTATCCTCACCTCGGATTTCTACGCTACTTTGTGGAACATTGTCAAAATCATCACCGTGTTTTTGCCTTTGCCTCTCTTTGGTACTTTGGCCATCTATGAACATCTTCATCGTGTCGTCGATCGTGAACTCTACCGCAAATCCAAATCCGAAACCCGTACTTGGCGCAACGTTTTCGACTATATTTCCCTTCCTATCGCAGCCTGGGCTTTTTTGACCATTCCATCTACTATTGCCTGCATCAAGCGTCTTTACAAAACCAACGATCAGTACATTGTGGCCGAGAAGTTCTTTGACGAGGATGAACGCCACTAGGTCCATGTCTGTCTGTACTCTCTGAGATCCCTTTTCTTTCTATCTGATACGGTCAAATACCCTCTCCACCTTTTTCACACGGAAAACGAACGAACGTGAACAGAAACTACGTGCCTTGTTGCTGATTTCTTTTCCCAACCGAAAATAACAAAAAGGAGAAAACTTTTATCGATTATTAGTATCATCTTGTTTTTTCTACTTGCCATTTCATTTTGTATAATGCCTTTACTCTTATTTCTTTATTTTAGTCCTCCTTGTCGTATTTATCATAGTAATGTATACGCAGTCTACTTAGTCATTTTTACTCTTACCTAGTGAGACTTGTTATTTTTTCTTGTGATTCTGATATCGTTTTTTCTTTTTTTGATTTTCGCTTAATAGTTTATACTCTCAATACAGTTTTTCTTTAAACCTACATCCCTCTTTGTTTGGTGGTTCGGACCTAATGTAAACAATACAAAAAGCGTTCGTTTTCTTATCAACCTTGCATTCACTATTTTGGATGCATCGCATCTACAGCAACGAGAAAAAATAATAAACGAATCATGCATCAATGTTCCTTTTTTCATCTGCTTTTACTGCTCACCACACCATCGAAAAATGGGATACGTTCGTCCCTTTTTTTTATAAAAAAACAAGCAAATTTTTTAAAAAGGAAAGCAGTCGTTTGGTTTACTAATCCATATTTGTGCATCAAAAGCATCCCGATTGTGTCCAGACAGCGATCGGTAACAGGTGAAACGTAACACAATCACTGCATTCCACACTATAAAACATAGTTCGAACGGCGACTACAGGAAGTAATGACACCCAATTTGACCCAACGATGTCGCCAATAAAGAGCAACTGATGTCGTTAACCACTGGGAACTGATGCTCCATGGAATACAAGGCCACCAAATTTGGTTTCGCATCCACTCTTTTTTGAACCCAAAATTAAGCAAAATGACACGTGCGTCAATTTAGCGAAAGTAGTAGGTACAAGTACTGCTGATGGTGTAAAAAAGACGACTGATAACCGAGGCGGGCATGTGGCGGAGGACTGTATATTCTTCGAGTGGCCGAGGTAGTATTGCGCTCGACCAACAATTTAGCGTCGAGACGACAATGCAGGTTCGTATCGGTTCCCCAAGGTAGGCAAAGGAAGCCGGCCAGTGAAAGCATTTTCTGTATTATGGGGTTTCTCCTATAATTTGCGTTGAATCCGCGGCTCTTTTTGGTTCATCTGTTGCAAGACCCAAAAGAATGAGCGACCGCTGTACATAGAAAGCAAAACAAAGAGATGCCAACTGCTCGGTTCGTGTTGTTGAGGTCAAACCTGGCAACAGTGGAGCGTTGGAACTTTGGAGACGATTATTTTTTACTTTGATTGCCTTCTGCACGAACAAGTAAAGGTTATTAATGACAAGTCCAGTGCCATCGTATGAATTAATGTAATTCAAATTTCTGCAAGGTAACTAATGAGCATATCTTTCTTTTATTACATACCCATTCTTATTCACCAAGACCTATTTGGATGAGGGTTTTCGCGCTCGATTTTGAAATTCCGAAATGACAGTGATGTCACCGTAACCGAAAAACCCGTCACGAATCGGGTTGTGCGGCCAGCGGGCCTCCCCTCGCAGAGACGGGCAAAGAAAAAAAAACAAAACATAATTTCTGGGCCCCGGACGTTCTCTTACTCTTCAACGCTTAATAGAAACCATGTCCGCCGTTCGCGCTGCCGCCAAGCAAATCGACTGGTCCAAGTTGACCGTGAGCCTTCCCAAGGAAACCGCCGCTTCCTTGTTGGCTTTCCGTAAACGCAACGACGAAGTCAAGCGTCTCCTCCACGAATTGAAGGAACAGCCCACCACTGTCGACTTTAGCCACTACCGCAAGGTCTTGAAGAACCAGGACATCGTCGACCAAGCCGAAAAGTCGGTCAAGGGTTTCAAGCCTGTCGCATACAACCTCGATGCTCAGCTCAAGGCTATCGACCAATTCGAAGCCAAGGCCGTACGTGTTTTCTTGAATTTCGTTATTTTTTTTTATTGTTCTCTGTTTCTGGTCCATGCGAACCACAAGACTTTTTTCAATCCTGACATTGCGGAAAACCAAGCGAGATGAATTATCGATGTTCTAATATACGACTGTTCTTTCGAAATTATAGGTCGAGAAGGCAAAGAACACTGTGCAGCAGATTGATGCCGAATTGAAGGATCTTCAGGCCACTCTCAGCAACATTGAAGGTTCCAGACCCATTGAACAGCTCACTGTAAGAATCCGGCAAGTCATTACCTGTCACCATTGCATTAGACTAAATATGTGTTTTTTCTATTTAGGTTGATGATATCCTCGTTGCCAAGCCCGAGATCACTAAGAACATCGAAGACATGCTCCAAAAGGGCAAGTTCACCATCCCTGGTTACAAGGAGAAATTCGGCGACATCTCGTACTTCTAAATTGTATAATCGCGAAAAGAAAATATATACAACACGCCGTGTATGCGTTCCCGTTTATTTTGACCATGCATGAGAATTTTTGTTGATGTTTATTGTTTTTCGGATTGCCGTTTCTGTATTTCCATGACATCCTTGTTTTGAACAATAGCAAACACCATGTTACGTTTTTACCAGACTACGCGACCGCATTGTTGAGGACCGGTTGCCCAGATTTCGGAATTGTCATCGATGAGTTTAACAAACACGTTGATCCACGCTTCTTGTTTCGTTAGTTCAGTTGGACCGACCGTGCATTTCGGGAGCGTGAGTAAACCAGTATAAGTGAAATAGGAGTTGTTCACCTTGGCGATAAATGTGACAGGCGGTTGCATCAACGTGGTCTATGTGCACAAAAACAAACCAAAACAAATAAGCCATACATCGATCTCAAACTGGTTCTCTCTTCGTCTTACCTGTTGATTCAGGATGGCAAGTGGATCGGCAAATATCATGCTGACGCCCAAACGATCGTCAAAGTGAACGAGCTTTTCTTTTGTTAGAAAGCAGATAATGGCTGCTTTACGAATGCGACCACGCACATCTTTTTTTTTTTTTGGAATTTTTCAACCAGTTAAGTAAATACAGCAATAATATGATCATTGCCCGTTCGACAACGTACCTGTTTTCTTCGCATTCTGAATCAAGCCTTCAAATCGGATAATAAGATCTTCATGTGGCTTCAGTTGAATGGGCTGCTGTTCATTGAGCATAGGATCAATTGTAAGTTGGACAGTAATATTTTTTTGATGTTCAAAGAAACATCGAGGCAAAATCAGCGAACACTTGAGTACATCTCTTGCAAACTGATCCATGTCATCAACACATCGCTTCAAAAAATAAAGGAAAATCGAGAATTTAGCAAGAAACATCATTATCATCCATCGTCGTCCTGTGTCCCCGTTTACCATCAATCGAGCATCACCCATGGGTTCATCCAACTCTTCCCATTCAATAACGGTTCGAAGAAATTCAGTGCACGCATCAGAAAATCGCTGATTTGAATCGTGAAAATTCGTCAATGGACGGTTATTGTCCAAGATGGGTATCAGAGATGGATCGATACAAAAGAAAGTATCCCTAGTAAACAGGCATCACATTTCAGTTGGTGGATTCCGTCCATTGATCGCGTATCTCTTTTATTTACCTGTCACTGAAAAGAGTCCGTGCAGCATGCTCAAATGTCAGAGCACAGATTTTGTACGACTCGAGAATCGCCAGGGCTTCTCGATCCATGCCAAAGAAGGATTGAGCGATAAAATCGTAACGAAACGCCAGCCGCCGAAATTGAGCTGCATAGTGAAACATCTACCAGGTCCCAGCTATTCTTAATACACTTCACAGTAACTATGCATATCTTCAGTTGCAAATACCAGATCCTTTGGTTTGTCCGACATGGTTTCTCCATTTCTCACTTGTTGAAGAACCCCACGAACACCTTGTAGAATATTAACCATCTCCATTCGCAACTGAACAAACCATACTTGAAATACTCGAGGTTCAGTCAGCGTTTCAAATGCCTATCCGACTGCTGAGAACGATGAAATGCAAAAACATGATATTTGTTACATGGTATACCTTGAATTGAGTGATGGCTTTTAAATACGAATCAGTGACTCCTATAGCATAGCATTTTTGGTCTACTGCGTCATGTTGGGGTAAAAGTCCTTCGGCTGCCGCCACCAGCGATAAGGCACGGAGCCAATACCGGCACGCTTCGGTCTCTACCTATATTACACATCAGAAATTTTTATCTTGTTTTTTTTTCACTTCTTGTCCTCTTACCGATTTACTCAAATCACGCAATATACTATGCATGACTTGATACCATCCACAGATACCGGCTTCAATACTGATCAGATAGAGTTGCCAACAGTTGGTTTGGAAGACTTTTGTAGAGGCGTTCCATTCGCCAAAGTCATGTAATAAGGGTATAATAAGAGACCGCAGTGATGTTGAAAAATCCGTTGTTCGCAGTAATAGTCGCAGCATATTGACCTAGCAAACAAATTACCCGGATTAGGAAAAATGCGCCAAATCCAGAAAGAGGAACCACGAACTTACAAATTTTACGGGTGTTCGTGTTTGCGTTTTGAGCACTTCGATCGTACGATTGGGGAGCCAAGTCGACAGCTGAGAACATCGTGTGGCGATATTTGACAGATAGGGTAAGAATAAGTATGCAAGTTGATCTATGGAAAAATGTGAGCAATCTATAGAAGCATGTAAAACTAGACAGATTTTTTTCTCCTTACAATCATGATCAGCCATAGTTTGATATGTGTTTTGGAAGTCCTTGTCACAATCCCAGTCGCTTAGTCGTCGACACAGAGAAGCTTTCAATTTCAGCCATACTCGCAACTAATTGTCCGTTGATAACCATTAAACCATAAGTTCCAATCCAGCAAAATCCAGAATTTGGGTACCTACCCGAGTTATCGAGGATTCATCTTCGATTTTGCAACAACTGATTTGCTCATCCAATATCTTGACAAGCCGCATACCAAGTTTCTCCATTTGAGATGCAAGTTCCCGATCATTGTCCACTTGCATGTCATTTTTCGACGTTGGCAGTTGTTGTGTTAATGGTAATGCAATCTTTACACTTGCTGCTAAAATCCGTGCGCAAGCAACGGTGAGCCCATGTCTTTTCAAACGAACGGATTCTACGAGACGTTCTTCACAGAGATACATTGATTGCATGTATTCCTGCTGCTGCGTCGATACAGTGCTTTCTCGAAAGATGTGAATAATAAGTTGTTGATGAGCTAGAATCAGCGTGTGCGCGCATTTATAGGCTTGTTGCTGCAATCGAACGTTGGCTGACATGGTGTTGACGATACGAAGTAATTGCTTTGCAGCGTCGGCCAAGTCAGTGTTCTGTACTCACAGATGCAATTTGAAGCGCGGAAACTTACCAGAATGTTGGTTTCATCAAACATGATGTCGTTTTTACCGAGCAGTACCACATCGTACAACGCGCTGTATTGAACGCTAATCCGATTGTCATGAAGGGCGTAATATAATAATCGATCGATCTGATTAAACGCGATAACTCAGTGGACGTACTTTGTAACGCCACTCGGCCCTCTTCAATCTTTACCTGCTCTTTGCGATCCATGAGTGCTTTACTCAGCAGTAAAGTAAGGGTACGCAACGTGACAATAACCAGCTTTTCCTCTGTGTTTGGGTTATCTAGTAGACCCAAGCAGATCGTCTTTGCTTGCCTTGCCATGGCAATATCGCGGTGCATATGACGAAATATCTTGATGTATCGTAATTTGACGTCCAGTGAAATTGTCGGATCTATGGGTGTTCAGACACGGTGTCATTTGTTACTATTATCAAATGCAGAATGCAGTATTCTATGTTACCTTGCACTTTGGCAGAAAGTTTTGGAAATATGACTGAAGGGAATCGTAACGAAGAAGCACAGAAATTATCGCTGGCCCAAATGGCTGCCTCGATTTCGATACGACCCGTTGCGGCTTCAAGTCGTTGTAGTATACTAAAGAGTACACGAAAATGTTATGTGTTTGCCGACAATCTCTACTTTTAGTATCAAACTTACGCATGGTGAACTTCCAGTTTCTCAGAAACAATCTTGGCCATGCACCCCAGAATGCTAGCATAACGGTGAGCAAGGAACTTTTTTTTCTGTCAATCAACGTGAGCGACTCACCGAAGTGTGATGGAACGAGCGATCGGATCGTTACTGCCAAGTACTGTCATTATTCGTCGTACGGTTTCTTCAATATTGAAGACTTTGGCGAGATGTTGATCGGATGCGTCTTTGAATACTTTGAACACATAATATTTCACAATATTGTTGCTGACAGGAAGAAGAAGAAGAATAACAACAGGATAAGTATTATATGCTATTAACAAGAAACTTGTTTCGTTGTCATTTACTTTGTTCGGAACCAGTCAGCCAGTTTGAGAATGGCGGCATTAATAACGACCGGGTAAGGATACTGTTCAAAGATTCTCGTGAACGATGTCAGGGCATAAATCTGGGATCCTTGAACGTTGAAAAAGGTGTTGCGCGATTTGGCGTGGAATTGAGCTTCAAGCTCAAGAAGAGCCTTATGACCATCATTCTCCTCCTGTGCCGTAGACGCTACAGTATCCGCCATGAACTGACAACGATCGAGATCCGCGTACGATTACTGCAAAAGTAAGAACAGACTTTTTTTCTTTTTCGTGACGCAAAAGACTTCGGAACATCCAACAAATTCGCCAATTCAGGCAGATTAGCCACACCTTTTCCATCTCAGCATTATCTTCAGCCGCATTATACCTGTTATAGATGTTCTATTAGCCACTTCGCTCCTTTTTTGTGAGCAATACCAGCCAATTTTTGCCTTTTCGGGATGTACATGCGTCGTATTCTTAATTTCTGCGAAACCTTCAACAAGACTTGCTGGTGTAGTCGGTTATCACGCCTGTCTCACACACAGGCGGTCGCCGGTTCGAATCCGGCGCAAGTCATCTTTTTTGGCCTCCTTTTAATTGTTCGGAGTATGAAGATATCTTTTTTTCGCGGATCTTTTTATTGTTATTGTTGTAATGTGGTTTGCCGTCACTTGAAAGTCTGTAACCATAGATGGTGATAAAGGTAGGAAACGAGCTTTTTTTTTTCCCTTGAGAGTGTTAAAAGAGATTATGTTGTCAACGTTTCATTATTAGTAAAAGGGCGGCAGCATGATTTTACCAAGCCCCTTGGTCCAAAGATTTGATACCAAATAATTACTTTCTAAACGAGATGCTAGATTATCTTAGTATCTCCTTCAATGGCATTAGTAATGTTTTTAGTCTTGGATTAATGTTATTTATTCTTGTACTTTTAACACGAGAAAGACATTATGGATGCAGATTATATCTTGTCATACAAGTTCGAGTTTATTGGGTGAAATATGCTCCGACTGTGCCGAAATCGGCACAGTAAATACATCAACTTCTCTCAAAATTTGAATAAGCAAATGAGTGCTCTAATTCTATATAAAACAAAAGTTTAGCACCTTGGCTTCTTTGTTCCAATTATATCTGTGGGATATGGCTTCTGGTTGTTGAAGTAGAATATATTTTCAAAGCTTGGGTTGGGAAATTTTTAGGTGTGTCGAAATTGGCACAGTTGTTATTTCTCTCTATCCCATTTTTTTGGCAGAGAATCCTACTTCATAACACATTGGCTTATACAAAGAAGCATCCAAATTTTTACCATATACCTCGCAATTGCTGGTTAATGATATGCACTGAGAAACAAGCAACACAAATGCCCTTGGACATTCACAAAACAGGTGGCAAATTATGCAGCGTTTCCGTTTATAGGTTGCCATTAGGCAATTTGCCCAAAGGAAGCACTTGATTTGAAGAACTATCCCCTTTCTTCTGTTTTCAGTTCCTCTGCGTGTTGTAACAGTGAAGTGGCGAATCTCCTTCAGCATTGTGGAAAAGATACAAATTAAGAATGCCCTGGTTTACCGCATCCCCAAAAGAAGGCTAGCGTGCGCCTCTCCCACCGTTGTGCCTTGACATGTGGAAGAGTCGAATGTTGTCCGGGCGGTTGTTTGCGGGGCCCACTGCACCTATTACCATGTTAAAACATTACTGTAACATGATGCTTATCAATAATGATACGTTGAAATTCGGATAATTGAATTTTGCGAGGAAAATCAATAGTTTATTTTTACTCGATCTATACATTTTCACACAAACAAGAAAACAAATAAGCAATTACTGACAAATAGCAAACGAGCGAATTGAGCAGTATATAAATACAAATGTCATATACAAATTTACATGGAAGAACCAGCTACCATGTAATTGACCATTCTTGGTACAAGTGAATTGAGTTCATCGCTATAAGCACCGTGGTTCGAGTCAATATATGACAAGGCCTCGTGTATCAGGTTCAGAAGAGATGCAGATGTACTGTCTTCATCGCTTAATTCATCATAATACGAATCAATTTCGCTGTCCTCTTCCGTATCTTCTTGATAATGTAAAAAGGCGGCATCTTCTGCAATAATGGGAGTATGGACGTCAATAAAGTTCTGTTGGCTTTTCCATAAAGGTTCAGGATGGTGTTCACTGGTTGCAATACATGATTCACTTTCTACGATCTCTTTGGTTTCTTCGTTCACCACGTCGTCTGTAGTAGTAAAAGTAGTCTGTTCCGGCAGAGAGCACAATAATCTATCGTTTCCAAAATAATGATGATCAATGCTGAGCAACGGTAGTTCAGGGAAAACCAAAATGACTGGAAATTGCAACAGTATTTGATCATGAATCGTCCAAAGGCAAGCCAGTTGAACCATGGATGGAGGTAGGGTAATAGTAGTACGGTCATCATGATGTAAGGAGAGCGATACGTTTCCTCCATCGTAAGTCACCAAGACAGTCTCTGCTGGCATCGACTGAAGCAAGTCACCGACTTGTTCCAACATCGTGTAGTGTTCTCCTGCTTCCACTTTGGTTATGGCATTGTTTGATTGAGTAATGACGGATTGCTCATGCTTCGCGTCGCTGTTCTTTGTGGATAGATCGATCGGTATTGCGATAGATGGTTCTGCCGGTGCACAGCAAAGAACGGGTTGCATCGATTCTGAACTTGACGATAAAGTCAAGACAAACGTATCGCCCAGTTCAACGGAGTTCTGTTTCATGATATCGATGGGGCTGCGACGAAGCCATGTATCGAATAAACGAGGGAATGCATTATGGGAATGCGTCGACGTCCAAGAGGAAGAAGAAGAAGAAGGAGAAGAAAGGTACATGGTTGGTCTGACTGGTTGGCTGGTATTGGTCGGGGTGAGTGGGGTGGCGTTAGAGGTATTGCTGGTGTTGACGGGTTGAGGCACGGTAGGTGTAGCGCTTCGACACACTGATTTCCACCATGCTCCCCTCAGGAAATCGTGCACTGACTCTCCATTGTTCAAAGACTTGGCAGGTGTAACAATGTGAATCATTGTGTTACGCATTGTCGATGGTCGCAACTGCAATAGCACGCCATAAAAGGAGCGAAGAAAAAAAAAAAGTGGTGGTAAAAGGGAAAAGAAGGCTAAAGTCCAACAGAAAGGTGGAGTTGGAAATATCATTGCGGGGAAACCGGAGTACTTGTCGATAATTCGATGGAAGGAAAAATATGGTGTTGTCTGATGTTGCCGTGGAAATTTTTATGGCACCATTTTTTTTTTTTTTGTTACCCATGAAGCCCAAATTTACTCTCTCTTTGTCATTCATTGCTATGATACGGTTTGAGTGAGTAAAAGTCCTCTGCAGATACCAAGGTGTTTGCTTGCGTTTATTGTCAAACACTTTTATTAAAAGTCATGATTGAGCTTTTCAAAGTTCATAGTGACCAGGTCACCTGTTTTTTTTTTTTTACTATGGTGTCGTCAGTCGGAGGTGAAAACACTTTGGATGATAGGAAATAAAAACCAATGAAATTTTTTGATTGTAAAAAGATATATGCACCAAAGACAATAGCTCGAATGAAAAAAAAAAAAAAAAAAATATAAAGAAAGAAAACCAATATCTCCAAGATGATAGAGAGAATGCATAAGGACAAACCGATATATACAAAAGGATAAGAGAAAGGAATGGATACATAAAAAAAATAATGATTGAAAATGCGCTTCGTTTAACGTCCTCCCTCAGATATGGAGACGCCATCGGATCCTGCAACCACCACTTGACCTTGATGGGTTAACATGACGGGACGTACACTGGGATTTTTCGGCTTCATGCCAGGAAAATGTTGGTGAATAACATCAGTGTGATGTTGATGAGCAGAAGCATAAACACCAAGACCGATGTTCATGTATCCTGACGATGGCTGGAACTGTGCAAACGGTGTTTCTTCGCGATCCTGCTCCTGTTCATTGACCTGCTGAGGCTCGACTGGAGATTCCTTTTGATCAGGCGATTTGCTTGGCGCGTTTTGTGGCCACAGTGAATAAATAAGGTTCTCGTTTTGAGGCTCAGTGACATTTGAGTTTCCCCACATGTCATTGTATCGAGGGTTATTTCGTGCATCCATCCGTGGGCGTTCTTGTGCGTATGGTGAGTTCATGGTGTCCTGAGGAAACATCAACCGATCTCTGTAAAACATAGGGTCCAGCACCGGATCCTTGACCCCGCGGTCTTGCTTGGGAGTCCAGTTGTCCGTGGCCAGAAATTCCAATGGATTTTTATTGGTGGCTGGTTGATTTCGCCAATTGACGGAGTTCATCGATGACTGAAACGTGTTGGACAGAACCTCCGCCGCGTTTTCTTCGGCCGTTTGCAGATAATTGGGCTCCGCTGAAGTCATTGGCATGGAACGGGGTGGTGGCATGGAAGCGCGTCCGCTCGTGTTGTTGGGTGTCTGCATATAATCACCAGAGTAATAGTTGGTCCTTTGCCATGCCGGTTGTTGTTGCTTTCCTTCATCAGGCGTTGGGGCCATGCTGCTTTTCGGTCGCTGAGCAACAGGCGAGAACAATCGTCCCACTGTCGTGTTGTTCGTTGGCACGGAAAGACTACGCTCGATATTGTTAACAGCCGTATCCATACCGGGAATATTTCGATGTTGTATCAGGATGCGCAAGGATCGAACCGAACGTTGGAACATGAAACGGGCATGGCGCGCAAACGAGATATTTTCACTGGCGCAATTCATGATGTGGATGCCCAATGCTGCTTCGAGCACATGCGCCGCAAAAGAAAAGGAGAGAATCAGGCTGGTGTCCTCCACGAGGTGACACATCAGTTGGGTAATGTTGGTGGCAATAGTAGCGCATCGTTGCTGTAGTGTTTTGCTGACAGTAAGGTTGCGAATCTTGAACATTTGTAACTCCACGGCATTGAAAGCAAGGTGCAAGTGACATACAAATGGACTGGATGGTGGTTGCGTGGGAACAATATTGGTATTACCGGGGAAAGGGGTCCACTGGAGATGCACCGGAAGTTGACCCAACCATTGCAATAATTTGTTGTCGAAATTCAAAGCAACTTGCTCAGTTTCCCGCGTCTGCGTCAACAGTTTCGGGGAAGCCATCACGTCGTAGTTGAGTGCCATTTCGCTTAGTTGCATCAGTTTGATAAACTGCACAAACGCCTCCAACACGTCGTTCTCTTCCACATCGTCCTCAGGCTGTAACATTGGGAAATCCACATCTATATCTTGACTACGCAGTTTCCACGGTTGTGACGGATACATGTGCTGGGTTTTGTCGAGACAATAACATGTCCAGAACACGCGTTTGCGGAGTTCAATGTCGTTGCTGGATAACCGATGACCCGCGGGGACGCGTAGATGAAGCCCCATATCGAAACACATTTGAAAAGCCATGGAACTGAACACGTTGGAGCGACACTTTCCGTTCTCGGCACATGTGTGGCGATTCGGTTCGTACAATGACAGCAAACATAAGCTCATGATGGTACTGAGACGAGGGACGTCTAGAAAATCCGGCAACATGGATTCGGCTTTTTTGAAAAACTCATTGGCTTTGTTAACGTCATCGTGGGAAAACTGAGCAGCGTGGGCGTAAATAGAGTAGAGAAGAAGCGGTGTGATAAGTGAACCGTGACGATCGATTTCACCGTATAAAATCCGTTTGGGAATGAGCGGTAAAAAAGCATATCGATGGCGATAATACAGTGTGATCAGATGTTGGCGAATAGATCCCGCTGATAACTCGAAACCTTGATATTGGATAGGAAGGGGGGGTTCTTGATTGTAATATGTATGGGTATCGAAAATTTGATGAGCATTGTCGATCCAGGCGCTATTGCCATTCTGATCTTCTCCGGGCCATATGTTGCTTAATCGATCCAATGTCTGTGTTAAGCCTTTCAACCTGGCTTTCTCTTTTTCCTGTAATTCGACATCAGAGACCTTGGACGAAAACAGATGACCGATCTTCATTCGTTTCGACGTAGGCGGAGAAGGTTGATCATCATTCCGAATATCTTCCTGCTCCACATAGTCAGATTCTTCCAGCGATCCGTCCTTTGAAAATGAACAGGGTCTTCGACGAGCTATAAAATCGGGACGGTTGTGTCAAGATAAGTTGCTATGTTGTCGTCATGGTTTTTTTTCCGAGTTTATTTTTGTTTACCTTTACACTACGATAGCGAAAAAAAGAGGAAAAGAAGATTATCAACCTTGTGGACCGGTAACCATTAAAACCCCCAAAAAATTTCCTTACCTGCATACAAGGTTGCAATCCATCACACTGTACATTAACAATAAGAGAAAAACAGCTCATTAGATTCCCGATCTTTGTTGAATCTGACATGTGACGTGCGACAATTACCTTGATTTTCTTGACGCGGCATGTATAACATGCGCGATTGACTTTGTGACGCTTTTGACGAGCTCCACCCGTATCTAAAGAGTCCATGGTGCGAAAAGCAGAGTTTGGATAAACGTCCGTTGAAAAGAGACGGTAGAAAAAGAAAGGAAAAAAACGACAGACTGTTTTTTTTTTCTTTCTCTTTTTGAAACTTTGTACAAAAATATAATGGGCCCTGTTTCCTTTTCCAGGGAATCTATTGGCTTTCCGGAATGCGTTATGTAATCAACGGAGATTGAAATGTCTCAAAAGATCAACAGCACGAGCCAACCCGGGTGTTCAAATTTCCTGCAAATGCACCCGATGCTACTTCTCGGGCCTGAAGGGAAAATATGCAGAATATAAGCACATTACTGCAACGTGCAGAGGTACGTATAATGTTATTGTTTGCTGCCAGTGGTATTCCCTATCATCTCAATTTCTTGATAATAACAGAAGTGAATAAAGGCGCTCCGCCAACTCCGAGGATCGGATCGCTATCCGATCCAACAGAAGAGATCCTACATTGTTTCCTCCCAGACCAATGATGTATTTATATGATGATTATAAGTCTACTTTTCAGATAACAATATTTACATGTGTGTTTGACCTTATCATGTGGGTAAAAATCAGCTACCAAGTGATATGCATTAATCAACGATAATCGGTGCTTCAACTCAACTCTATCCGAATTTGGCATATCGTCCAATGAGATCAAGGATGGAAGGCGACACGGTGTGCTAAAAGTGGAAATAAAAGTGGAGGCGCCAAATGAGGACACCAGATTTTGGACACGTTCATCGCAGCATGGTCCATGCATCAGGGGGGGGGGGTTCGAAAGAGTTTCCTTTTTATGTGTTGTATAAAAAATGGTATGATGTATGATTTATTATTTTTAGAAAAAGGTTTAAACAACAGAGTATCTGCCAGCACTGCCTCCACCGGTTCTTGCTTCGGCTTCGAGCTGAGCCACCGTAGCTTCCATAAGAATACGCTTGATTTCGTTCCTCGCCTTTTCCACCACCAATTCAGAGTCACCTTCAATGAACAAATACAACTTGCGTTCGTTTGGTCCAGGCTGCTTTCCAGGAGGAAAGAAAGTACCTCTGGTGGTAATGGCCGCCCCGGAGATTTCTGTAATTTGTGAAATTTGTTCCTATTCAAACAGAGAACGGTGAGTCGGGGATAGCAACGCAAATACATTTTTCTAGTATGGAGACATACCCTATTGGTGACTCTCCATCTTGCCTTTTGGGGAAAGTCGTTGATGACCATCTCTTCCGCAAAGACTGGATTGCCATCTTTTCCTTCCGCCTGTGCCGAATTGGTATTTTCACGGAAGCGAGCATTGATATCCGCGAGTACATCGTTGGCAGATCGGTTCTTGTTGCCAGCCATGGCATTGATACGCGCTGCCACTTGAGCTGCCGCCTTTTGCGCTGCCAAAGCCGCTGCACTGAGTTGCTCGTCACTGCCTTTACCAGCTTCGGCCGCACTAGCTGCTGCGGCCGCTGCTGCCGCCGCCGCTTGACCAGGCGACGAAGTAACAGTGGTAACTTGTGGTTCTTCCACCTTGATCGTCGTGGCAGGCGTAGGTGGTGCCAATTTAGTTTCTATTTCTGCCGCCTCTTCTTCATCAGATTCTTCCAGATCTTCACCTCCATAAGCCTATACGTTTTTTTGATCACATAAATATCAATACTTATCGGATACCACAATTTCAAATCTTAACGTACCTTCTTTTGGATCTTCTTTACGAGATCACGATCCTTATCCAGACGTTCCAAACCTTTACCGCCAAAGCCAGAACTGGCCATACGTTCTTTACCGGCCTTGACCTTTTCCTGGAAATGATCCGTGAGCTTTTGCAAATCAGGAGGGATTTCTTGGCCACTGAGACGAAGGGCTTTGCAGATATCCATCGCGTAGCGATCTTGATCAGGTGTAATGAAAGTGTAGGCCGTGCCCTTGTTACCCGCTCGACCTGTTCGACCAACACGATGCACATAATCTTCCATGTGATTGGGACATTCATAATTGACCACCAACTTCAACTGCTTGACATCCAAACCACGAGCAGCTACAGACGTCGCAATCAAGATGTTGGTCACACCCGACTTGAAGTCGGCAATGGTACTGTCACGATCAGCTTGATCCTAAAATAATCGGAGACAAAGATGAGTCAAGTGAATCACATCATGCGTCAAATAGACGATTCCTCTTACCTTGCCACCGTGCAATGACTGACAAGGATAGCCTCGTCGAATCAAATCTCTCAACAGGTTATCAGCTGCTTCGTGACGGTCCACAAAAACAAGGGCTCTGCTGTCTTCTTCTTCATCCACGTTGAAAAATTCTCCAAGAATCTCCAGCAGTCGAATAAATTTGGTGTTCTCCTCTCGTACTTCGACAATCTGTTCAACATCGTTGCACACCACGCTACGTCCACCGACTGTAATTTCAAGCGGCTTTTTCAAGACTTTGCGAGCAAGTGCTTCCATCTATTGATTCATATTTTAGCAAAAAGATGATAATGGGCGTTAAAGTATGTATGTCATTTTGCTTTACCTGTCGAGGAAATGTTGCCGAGAACAAAACTGTTTGTCGACTTGGTCGAACGTTATTGACAATTTTCATCACCTACATACATAATTCAAGGTAAGATTTCCATGCATGCATGCCTTGTTCCTTCGTATTTTTTTTTTGGCATACCTGAGGCTCAAAGCCCATATCAAACATACGATCTGCTTCATCAAGTACCATGTACGTGACTCGCTTTAGATTCGTAACACGACCAGAGTTGGCGCAGAGCAAATCGATCATACGTCCTGGCGTACAAACAACGATCTCACAACCACGTTTGAGATCCGCAATCTGGTCCTTGATAGGACTACCACCATAAGCACAAACGGCCTAAATCCACAAAAAACACTGGATAAGCCAAGCTAAACTTTTTCATCACACTTCCGTCATGCACTTACCCGCAAGCCCAGTACTTTCAGAAAAGGTTTACATTCACGATGAATTTGAGTGGCCAATTCACGGGTGGGAGTCATAATCACAGCAATGGGACCTTCGCCCATCTCCAACGATCGCTGATCTTTGATATGACGGAACATTGGCAACAGAAACGCAATTGTTTTGCCTGAACCTGTCTTTGCGACACCAATGACATCGCGTCCATTCATAATGGCTGGCACCGCTTGGGCTTGGATGGATGTAGGTTTTTCAAACTTGAGTTTTCGAATCACTTCGAGACAACCAGCAGGTAAACCACAGTGGGTCCATTTTTGGATCGGTTTGGGACAATTGACACCGCGAATTTTGATACCATCCAGTTCCATACGAAGCAGTTCTACCTGATCAGGGGTCATGTCCTTCAATTCCGGTGGTTCGATGTAAAAGTCTTTGCGGAAGAATTCATAGTGCATCGTAGAATGGTCCACTGGTGCGATGTCCTTTCGTTTCGCTTTCTTTGCAGCAAGCCTATAAAACATAGTCGATCAATTGTTACCAAGAATTCAATGCAAGCCTGCTGTTTCCCACTTACGCCAAAATATCCTCTGCATCGCTACCAACATCGTCGTCATTATCTGCTGGCTCAGCTTCCGGTGCATCATCATCGGCCAAAATCACAGTGGGTTTGACATCTTCCATGCGTTTTTTATCTTCTTCGTCAATCTTTCGTGCTTCTGCTGTGACACCGCGCATGTATGCTTCCAAAGGATCCACATCATCACCCGTATCCACTTCCATTGCCGTCGTCGTTTTCGACTTTACCTCTGTCTTTGGTGCAGGAGTAACAGCTGGTTTTGAAGGTATCACTGGTTTTGTGGCTTTCTTGCCCAACCCAAAACCGATACGCATGGTATTTTTGGCCGTCACTGCCGGTTTAGGGGCTGCATTGTTCACCTGTGCGGTACCGGTTCGGTTGCCGCCCATCATGAACATATTTCGTTGTTGCTGGATTGGACGGCGAGTGACAAATGAATCTTCTTTTCCTTCGTCGTCTTTATTATCTTGCTTTAGCGGTTTGAAGCTTCTTTCCGCATCGGCTTGGGCATGTTCTTCCATGTCAACGTCCATGGTCTCGTCCTCGTCTTCGTCTTCCCAACTCCAGCCTTTATCTTTGGCATGTGAATCTTCCTCCATGGCAGCCGCTTGATGTTCTTCCCCCATTTTTTCGTCCGTTTCATCTTTTCCTGCCATTTGACGTGCTGCAGCCAGTGAATCTTGGAAAATCTTATCCTCCAAACGAGCGGATGATTGATCGTCGGTCGTTGACACCGCTGGAATTTCTATTGCAGGTGGAGAAGCATCGGTTTTAGATGGCTTATTCAACTCTTGGCTCACAGGTTCAGCGGTTGACTTTGTTTCTTCCTGTTTTTGTTCGTTTTCGGCCGCTGCTTTGGCCTGTTCTTCAGCCAACTTGGCTTGTCGTTGTTGTTGTTTCCATTTTTCGAGACGCTCCTGACGTTTTCGCAACACATCGTCTTTACTCTCTGTGGTAGGTGCCTGAGGTGATGCCTGTTAAACCATGTCAAAAGATGAATTCAGTTTGTGGTGTGTATGCCGACTGAGTATTTTCAACTTACCGTGCTTTCTTGGTGATTTGTCGCAGCAGGAGATTCATCTGCTTTAGTGTGGGTGTGACCTATACCAGGGCTTGTCTCAGCTGCATTGCCGTCTCTCGCTGGAGACTCAGTGCGTACTCGAGAAGATGTGTGATGTGAGGAACTCCGTTCTCTCGGAGCACTTACATCGTCGTAATGGCGGCTTGACCTGTTGTAATCACGATGCGATCGATCGTCATGACGTGAAGATCGATGTCGATGAGAAGAGGAAGAATGACGATGTCGGTCGCTGTATTCTCTACTACGGTCTCGATGGCGGTCTCGGCTACGGTCGCGATGATCTCTTGGGGAACGGTCTCTATAATGAGAACGCTTTTGTCTTTTACTAGAGGGCGAAGGCGATCGACGTCGGCTGCTACTGGAAGGCGAGCGATGGGAAGGCATACTTTTGGAGAAAGGAGAGGTTTGCTACAGAACTGCGCAACTAGCAAAAAAAAAAAAAAAAAGACTTCCCTATCCGGCTGGTGCTTCACCCGTGGCGTCATTGGGTAAATCTGCAAAACAAACATTTGATTGGACAGCCAGCAACAGACGAAGGACTGTTAAATTTTCTGCTACGTTCATTGGTTGCAATCTGTCTATGCGCAGGTTCCTTGTCATTCGTGCATCTGCATCCGCCGCAAGATGAATACGTGTCCAAAGGACTCGGCTGTAGAATCACACGGTTTGCAGAAGATACAATAGTTATGCAGTCAACGCATTTATGCTATTGCTGAAGTTTTATAGATAAAAGTGGTAAAAAAGAAAAGACGCTCCTGCTTCTGTTGCGCCTCATACGGGTTCTGCTTCTCTCCTTGATTTCTCTGTTTCCTCACCCTATCGTTCTTCCTCTCTCAGTCTTCTGGTCTCTCGTGCTCTGCCTAAAATTAAGTCAGGATAAAGGAGTGTAAGGTACAGACCCTTGTCAGATCCATGCTTCTATACCATCAAAATTTTTCGTCTGATTCGTTGAAAATAAAGATAATGTATTCTACACAATGTCCATTACTGTGAAATGTTCCGGAAGGTTTGTCAATTTAATTGAAGAAGCGGCAAAGAGCCAATGGCCAGTAGCAAGTTTTCTGCTTCTATGTTCGTGTAGATTACATTAGCTTTTATCGGTGATACGAGAGTGTAAATCTGTAAATCTATGGATAATAGAAAGTGGCGGACATAATTTGTTCAATGGACAGAAGAATATTGGTAGCTGGGGTGTAGCTTCAATTGATTCTGACGAGAAATAGCCCACGAGATGACCGCCAGACAAGCTACACTGCAACCAATGCCAATGAGAAATGTGTCACGGAAGCAACCCGATCCTCGGCAGATATGAGCAGCTTCACGGTGAGCTTCACCATCATAAAGAGCACCATACAGTACGTTGAACAGTTGACTGCCGAATGCAGGAGCATACAATAGCCAACCCCTATGGCGCACATACACCCCCCCAAAAAAAATATCAATAAATATTTTGCTTGCACAATGTCGAAAAGCATTCTCATATCATACCAGTTGCGAGCAAATAACTACAGAAAATGACACCGGGAAATTGAAAATAACCAGTAGTGACCAGTGAATAAACAAACAAACAACAAAACTGCGGTCGCAAGATGCACGTACCTCGGTGCCAAATTCAGCTGTCGTCGCAGGTGCGACACCGAATGCAATACCATAAACGACGGCAAACATCACCGTGCAAGGAACGAGATCTCGGGTGGTGGAGACAAAAGTCACCAAGTAAACCTGGTTCAGAAGTAGCCCCAGTGCAGCCATCCAAAACAACCAAAGGCGGTGAATACCCCATCGTCTTTGGAGCACATCGCTCAGTGTACCAAAGGCGGCACGCGAGCAACAATTAGCCACGCTGAAAAGAGAAACGTGCATATTCAACACATGCTGTAGGTTCGCACGTGGGTGCAGCGAAAGAGCGAGCAGGATCGACCCAATATTGGCAAGAAATACATAACCTAAGCCGAGAATAATGAACAGACTCGTAAACAAAGCAAAGCCAACGGGATGGGTAAAAAAGCGCATTCCCGAAAAATTCAAATCCTTGTTTGGCAGCAGTGGTGCCACCACCTCCGAGTCGTTGGGATGATGATGGTCGGCGACATGTTCTCCTGCGGCGTCATTCGATAGAAAATGGCTCGTCTCAGATACGGTGCGCTGCACGGCATACTTGTCAGGCACACTTGCTTCTTCGATAGGTCCGAGCACAAACGAACCAAGAAGCATGCCTGCAGCCATAGCAAAAGCAAAAAACATCAAGAATCCGTAGGTATTGCTTTCATTATTGGGACCATTCTTGAAAGCAACATCGTCGATCTGAGAGTAAACAAATCCACATAAGCCTAGTGAAGCGCTCGTGATCCCCATACTCATGCCCCGGTATGCTTTAAAGTTGTACGACTAAAGTGATACACGTATTATCCATGAGAACGTCTTTCTTCCTGATCCGTGAGTCTATCATAGTTTATACCTGGGAATCAAGCGCGCATAAATAAGCGGCCGCAGCTGCCACTCCAGTGACCATAAGGTACATTGCACATAGTATGAAATGATTGGGAAGTCGACCAGCATATGTTTGAGCAAGTAATAAAGGGCCGGACATGGCCAGAAAACCTGATACACGCAACGTTCTGGTGCAAGTTGGCATAGTGATTAGTCATTTGAAGAAGAACAAAACGGGGCTTGGTATTTTGGGCTTATATAACTTACTTTTGTATTCCCCATTGTTCTACCATCCACGCACAGAGTGGGCCTGAAAAAGAGACGCCCACAAACGTAGCGGTACTCACCAGGCTGTTTTCAAGGGCTGACCAATCGAATCTTTTTGTGAGAGCAGGACCAAAGGTAGGATATACGTACTGAGGTCCAGATACATTAGCCACTAACAGAGCTGTTAAAAATGAAAGGCAAAAGATAATTTTGTCTGGTAAGAAAGTCATGAAAATATATTCAATAAAAAAAAGTAAGAAGAAAAAATAAACAGGAAAAAAGCGCCAAGGAAAAAGGGTGAAAATGCAGAAAAAGGATCGGGCGTTCGATCTGGATGGTTTTATCATCCTCCTTGCTCAAGCTTTAGTTCCTCCTTCCTTGGAGCGAAAATGAATTCTGCACGGTATAAATTGTTTATCCATGGTTTTTTTTTTTTTTTTTTTTTTTTTGGCTCGGTTATGGTCTGCTGCCTGTCAGCAGTCTCATTCGCCATGAATTTCCCAATATCCTCCCTTTTTCTCCTTTATCCACATTCTTCTTCTTCTTCAAATCATCATATATGCTGCAAATGAAATCTCAGTCCACGGTATTCTGTGAAGATTGATTACTCTTTCGCTTTTTGCTTGAAGGAAAATACCATCAAGAAACATTCTTCTGTATTGAAAGTATCTATGCACCAGTGTGCCAAATTTATCTGAAGCAAACTTGGTACCTTTTTATTCCTCAAACAATAAAAGCAGAAGAAGTAATCAGACTTTGACCCAGTGAGCGCAAGAGGAAAACGTCATCAACCCGACGAATGTCCATGAACCTTTACAATCGCGAATTGCACTAGTGTGAGTAACATCGATAAAACCGTTTCCTAGCAATATGCAAGTGAGGGTGCCTATGTCTCTAGAACCCAAGTGTGAGGACAAACGTGAGCTCCGATGATAAGTCTTCATTAGCGGTTGCTGCTTGAGCTACATTAGCGAGATGGAGCATGTAGAGTAGAGTTTGATGAACCTTCTTGATACAACTTTACTTCAAATGGTCAGCTGAGGTCAGTTAATCAGATTGACTGGAATTACAACCGGAATTTTGCTCGAACAAAATGTTGGTGCTGCCATATCAAATAAAAAGTATCCCGTTGTAATAAATTGCTCGTTTTTTTTCTCTTCCTGTATGAAATTATATTTGTTATTTTGGCTCTCATATTACACGAAGCCGTTCTTTACATGAATGTGGTTAAAGCTTCGGACATGGAGTTTACTGTATAAGGGAAATTCATAGATCTATTTCGACAGAAACGGGAATTTTTTTGTCCAGAAATTTTTCAAGGGGGCTGAAGAAGAAGTCGTTTGTTGCTGGATCTCTTTAATCTTTGATTGATACTTGTCATGTTGCGATCTCGAATCAACGTTTTCCGACCCTTCATTCGAACGGTCCACAACAAAGCTTATGGAAAGCGAAACCCATCAGAGGGTTCAGAACCATCAATGCCGTCGTCATCAGGAACTAAGCAACAGTTGCCGGACGACATCATGATTCCTGGACAATTTTTACGTTTTTTCAAGCAGAAAAAACCAAAGACCTGGACTCCGGAGAAAGTAAGCGAAGTCAAAACCTTTTGCAAAAAGATAATTCAGGCTCATCTGTGAGTGTATTTAGAATACTTCAGTAAGTCTCCATCGTCAGGGAGCTCGAGCGCTGAATCACAACGAGTTTGATTCCACACCGACAGTTATGCAAGCACGCATGGCTCAACGAATCCAACGAGCACTCCTCACTATGTACGCCACAGAAGCTCTCCCCACCGCATTAATAACACCACAACATTTAAAGATTCACGATGTAAAGATCTTCTTTTGCTGCGCAAAGAATATGAATGATATCACTCACCCTGCTACATGTAGATCAAAGTATCACGAAATCTTCGAAAATGCCGTATCTTGTATGACCCCATTGACAGCAACAAAACAAAAAGGGTAAAATTGAGATACAATACAATGGCCAAGCGTGAACCATTGAACTCATTTTTTCTTTTTTCAATTTGGCAGGGCAATGTTCATGGAGCGCTGATAGACCATGCTGTGCGTCTTGAAGCACTTATTCGATTCCACGGGCAGTTGCATCGACCAGTGTCCATTAAATTTGTTCCGGATACCGATAAGAAGCAATTAGATCAAATATTTGAACAATTATCTCTCGAACTGAAAGATACCAAGGAACCGAACGATGGAGCATAAAAAAAAGATCGCGTATATTTTCGAGGAATCATACATAGGTAATCATGTACAAAAAAAAAGGGTGAAGCAAGACTGTGTCGGTCACAGACCTTCGGGACGACTAAGGCCAAATCCCACGCGACGATTACCAAGATCAAAGACCTGTAAAAATATAATGGACGACATCTAGGTTAATACCAAAAAAAAAAGATAAACCGCTTCAATCACCATATAATGTATTTACCGTATAATATTGTTTCATAAAAACGTCTCCGAGAATCCAAGTATCTCTGCGTCCAATAGTTTGACCTGCAATTCCAGACAGGCACATTGTTCGCATCATATCATCCGAATGCATGATGTATTTATCAGGCGTCAACCACAAATTCACGCCATTGATCGTCAACGTCAACTCGGGCAAAGACTTGATATCTCCGCATGGTACCGACCACGTCCCGTCCCCATTTGATAAAGCACCCGGAATATCGCCATGAATTTTCTCGGCATCCTCAGCCGATGTCAAAATAAGTGTGGTGCCTAAACCAAAGTGACATAAAAAGTGATTAACAAAGTATCATTTTCCAATTTCTCTTAATAGATACCTACCACTGTCGACAATGGCTCTACGAGGACCAAGAGCTTCCCCGCCGAAAACAACCTCGTCCATACGCACCATCCAATAACCAGATGCTATAAGATCAGCGTACAAGAGATCGCCTTCATACCTTGTCGTATCAATCGCGCCAAAATCAATTTCTCCTCCTGTCGCTGTTGTATAGATGGCAAATAATGGTTCGTCAAGCACGCCTTGCATGGCATAGAACGGAGGTGGATTGAGCGAATTGCTCAAATCCGTCATGGCGAGACCAAATATACCGTCAAAAGGTGTGGCCATGAATTCGTGGGATAATTCGTGGGCGTCGGCAACGACTTGATCATCCAGGGTAATGCCTGCCACCTGGATTTTATCACGTCCCAAGTGAGCTCGAATCTGCCCACTTCCATAGTTAACTTCAATGGTTTCATCACCGTCGTCTCCATAGCTCGAATAGCTCGTAGAAGCATTGGTAACAAACTGACGGTGGTGTTTACATGTATCCACGGTAACGCAGTTGGATGATACCACCCAAACATCAGCACTGCCCGTATCAAACACCACATTAAACTTTTGCGGTGGCTCGCCAATGTAAATCTCGCCATAGTAACCTACAATCCACAGAAAAGGATGAGTATTGAATCATCGCCTGCTTGTAAAGAAATCAAGCTTATTTTTACCATGCTGGTAGCTGACTTGTTTTTCCTTGGTAGCAAGAAACGAATGTCCTTTATCAGCAGAGAAAGGCAGTCCATGAGGGGCGGAAAACCTTTGAAGGGCCACTTTATGTTGCTTTGTTACTGTTTCCATGGGCCTAGCCCAGCCGATGGCCATCAAGGAGAAGCCGATGAGAGAATATTGCAGAAACGATACCATAGACGTAAATTGTAAATTATCAAGATCAAAAGAAGAATGTTCTTACCATTTGGCCAAGAGCTTTATTCTTTTTCAAAATCAATGATCAAGCAAATGTATTTCTGTTAGTTGACAGGCCGTTGTTTGTTCATAGCTTATATCTATCCTAGGAAACATCCAAGCGACCTGAAGAGCATCTTCTCTGATATACCATTCAAATGCAATAACCCAGTCTTAGAAAATAACAAGTTTTCATGCTGATGCATATCGTTTTCATGGATATCAGAGTGCATCACACATGAGAGGATCATGTCTATCAGTCGTTTTCTGGGAGATCAACCCAAAGGATGTTGAAATTTTATATGAACAAACAAATATTGGAATACAAGATTTTTCCGCTGAAGCTCGGACTACCCGTTGGACGGTTAGATGAAATCAAGATTTAGTGAGCGGTAATTGTCATTTGTGTTCTTAGATGTATGTACATATCCAGACTGAAGGGGAAGCAACAATCATAATGACGTTATGTGATACAAGAGGAGCTGAGCGTTATTGTCTGAAAAATATACAATGATGAGTGTGAATATAAAAGCGAATATGGGAGGGAGGACATGAAGAAAACCGATCGAATCATGCAGAGAAACGAGCGACAAAATTGAGTACAATAGGTCGACGCAGCCTTAGTCGGTGATGTGGAAGGTAGGCGATGCTTCGTGATAAAAAAAGCCAATACCGAAACGATAAACACCAGGTTGAGTTTTGTTATCGACTGTCCATGTATAACTGAAATCAAGAAAGCTCAGATGGGTATCGATCTCCTTGACATAGCTCCCTGTTTTGCTTGCATCAGACTTTAGCAAACCACCTAAAGAAAATCATATTGATATGGAGGAATGAGTCTAAAAGGAGTTTGGAATACATGCACAGGTACATACCCACAGTTTTGGCCGTCCTTGCAGCGGCATAGCCATATAAAGGGAACCGAGTCCCTGGCACAAGTTCCCTATAGATATAAAAGCATATCAGAGTGGAAATTACATTTGACCTTACCCGGATCACTAGACATACCAGGTTACTTGAATAGAATCACCATGTTTAAACACTTGTCCCGACGCTGGTGAGGTGACGATAAAAGGCGGATACCGTTCTGCAAGATATCCCTCAGTAAGGGACACAATGGCGGCGTATATAATCAGCAGTGAGAGACGGAGAAACATAGCTGTTCGTGAAAGAAACCGAAAGATGAAGAGTCTGAATCTTGTTTTTTTATTTTTTTATTTTTTATTTTTTACATGAACTTTATGTTAGACGGTTTCCTGTGGCGAATAGCTTGAGTCTCCGACATGAACCTTTTTTTGGTGGGAAAATTGTATCATGCTGCAGAGCTTTGTGATCATTACGAAAAAATGTGATTCTTATGAGAAAAAAAAAGGAACAATAGACCCATTTTGAGAGGCGCCACACGAACTTTTGATAATTCATTGTAAAGCAGCGCGTCACTTGGAGTCCGAACATCTGTTCTCAGTTTTTGATGAGACGAAATATTAGCATTTAAATTGAGCCGAAGTTCGCCACCACACACGCACATGTACACAGACGCCAGCGACAATATCATCCAAATGCTTTTAGCAATTTGATCGAGCATTCGTATGCATAGCCCAAAATTGTACTTAGGGTGTATAGACTAAAGTTTTGGAAACTTGTTTAGTCTTTACTTAATTTTTTGGGGTGTGATTCATTAGTTGATCTAGCCTCGGATTTCCCGTTTTTAAAGCAATTCCTGCCTTATGTTATTTTAGGAGAGAAGAAGATAGAGCAAGACAAGCTTGCTCCATTGGCAAACGTATCCAGCATGAAGACATAAATTGGCGCATCATTGTTTGTGCTCTGTCACACATTCGTTGAACGACCCAACGTTGGCTGTTTGATATGATGTCGATTCAAAATCGGATGATTGCAGGACAGAAAATGAAGACTAAGTAAGGGACATTATGGATTTGTACACTTTACATCAGAGTGCACAGTAACAACGGTGATGCTAGGCACTATGAGAGAAAAGCGTGCAACGTCAGTAAATGCCAAGACACAGCTAAGCAATGCTCATATTCACGGACCAATGACAGCATCAACAACGGGTGGATCCTATTTTTTTTAAGCACCGGTTCTTTTTCTGGTAAGCTCAATTGGTCCACCATCAGAGGATGGTGAGACGTTGCTGTCAAAAAGAGCAAGCAAGCAGTGATCCCAGTGATAAGTTATTTCACACAAAACACCAAGTAATACTGGTGACTGGTGGTAATCCACTACGATGCAAAGGGTCAACACTACTCGCGGCTGCAAACAAGGATTTGTTTAAGCTTATCGTAGGCCAGGTAGTTCTCAAAAGCGGATCCGTTGTTACATGCCAACGAAAGATCTCCCAGGGCTGCATTCGACAAGTTATTAATGGATTCTTTTAAGACTCACAAGTTACTGAGCAGAGTATCGACCAAGTGTCCTCATGACTACCGCCCCATTCTGTGTAATAACGCGGATTTTCTCCTAAATGTCAGGTCTATCATCTCTTAAGGCGTAAATCCTAAGAAGGAAACCAAAAGCAGCTGTCAGCCCCAGCTATTTCCTTCGTTCTAGTTTTAGTCGAACTACTGTCGTAATTTTTGATAAAAAAAATTGCAAATCAAATCTTACGGTTGAATCTAAATACATGCTAATCAGTGGAGCCGCAATCATTACTGAGAGGCTGGATTTCTCGGTTGATTTTCCTGCAGTCAACCTGAAAAGAATGGACTTCGGGGCCCATGAACATGCGTTATGATTGGTCATTTTCAGCAAGCAAACGCGCGCCCGTAATATGGGAATGTTCGGCACAATGCGGAGTCGCAAGCATGATCTCCAACAGCTGTCACTTGGGCCGAACCGCTCAAGCAATCAAAGCCTTTAAAGGAGTTGCCATAATAATTGGTTGTTTTCTTTTCATATTCGATCAAGAAGCTTGAGTATCTGTGTATTAAAGAAACCCATTGTCTGACCAGGTTTGCGATGAATGTGGGTGTTTGTGCACGAGACTTCCCCAGATTTCGGATCGCCGCCGCATCACTTCCAATAAAAAACCAGAAATTCACAGAAATAGACCAAGCATTATACCATTTTTGGAAGGTAATAGTAATTTTTTTTTCTTTTTGCTTTTCACACCTGTCAAAGCACACCCATATAAGCATCAACAAGTGACAGATTCTTCCATTCTGCATAATGGTGGATTTGCAACTCGCGTCGTCGATTACCGGCTATATGTCCATTCTATGCTGGATTATCGTCTTCATTCCGTAAGTTCATTTCATTCTCGAGATTGGTGCCCGGACAAATAGCAAACAACTAATATCTGCCATGGGCTGCTCCAGACAACTCGTCGAGAATTATCGGCTCAAAAGCGGAAAAGGGTTATCCAAGAGCTTTCTTGTCATTTGGCTTGCAGGCGACTTTTTCAATCTCATGGGAATCATTGCCGAAGATCTGCTGCTCACCATGGTTAGTTGCACCCTGATCCTCCCCACTGTTACAAAAAAGGTCATGCTGACGAGGAATTGTAGTTTCTGCTAGCACTTTGGTACACGGTGGCCGATATTGGCCTCATTTGGCAAGTCTACTATTACGAACGTCGTTCCGATAGCCGTGGAAAAGCCAATCGTCGTAGAGCATCGGGATATAACGATGAGGATGCTGATGATGTTCAATTATTGGTGGGCCACCGTCGCATGAGCAGTGAAGCGGACGCTCTGATAGAGGATTGGTTACCCGAGGACCGGTCAAAGTCTTGGACATCGATGGATTGGATCGGCCTGAGTTCAATCATTCTCACGACGGTGTTATCATGCTATCTGTACTTTGCGAATCATCATCAACATGGATCCGACGGATCAAACAATGGTGACGAGACCTGGGCGGTGATACCGCAATTATTGGGATGGACTAGTGCTATCCTGTACATCGGCAGTAGAATTCCTCAAATCGTAAAAAACCATCGTCGCCAGAGTACAGAAGGGTTAACTTCTGGTATGCTTATTTGTGCCGTCCTTGGCAACGTCCTCTTCACCATGGTAAGTGCTCCCCAGGGTAGTACCTGTCTTGACCATGTTGCTAGCGGATCTGAATAATGTTTTTCTGCAGTCTATTTTCCTACGATCGACCGAAACAAGCTATATCCTGAAAAACCTGGCGTGGATTGCTGGAAGTATAGGCACTCTGGTTTTTGACTTTACGGTAAGAGGGTAAAAGTGACGACAACGGGATGAATGGATGCTCACATGTGATATTTTTGCCAGATTTTCCTTCAATTCTTTTTATATAATGCTTTCCGAAAATCCAAACGTCAAGCAGACTAATTGTGTAATATAAATGTTTATAAGGATGGTATGCTTGTTCCGATTGTATTTTTATTCTCTCTCGTCTTTCTGTACATAGTTTGTCATTAGATAATGATTATAAAAAAAAAATAGAATAAATGATGGATAATATAAAGTGTTACATATGAATATGGACTAGGAAAGAGAAAGATATGCTTGTGTATCATGAGATGCCATGGACCTTTCAGCTTATTGTGCATTTATCCTTTCTCCCTTCTTCCAACGACATGAGCGTGGCTAGTTGGATTTGCTCATTTTCCGTCAACCGCTAAATGATCTGTGCGTGAGTACCGAGGTTGTAACATTTTATCTTCACCAAGAAACACTCCAATAAAAACTTACACCGGCGCTTGCTTTCGCTTGTAATCGGGTGATCGCTTGCTTACGTTGCGCACTGGTCTGACTTTCTTTCAGTCGTTGTCTATGCCGAGAATGATCAATTCACTGCATGCATCTCCCCGCCGCATCCCTTGCCTTTATTTACCTTTCCGATTCCATTTTGGAGGTCGTATTGGATTGATTGTGGCGCATGCCATTTTTGGCCGCTCGTCGAATAGCCGCCAATCCTGCGAGTTGATGCGGCGCTTTGGAAACAGCTGGCGCAGCAGGTCGGCCCTGACACTGGTGATCTGCTCCGAGACGATGCTTGACGCAATACGATTGACCACAGTCAGGACATTGAATGGGCACCAACAGTTTGGCTTTACAACCTCGTAAATGGCAGATGTTGCCTGGTGATTTTGATGTTGGATCGGCACAGTTGTTTTGAATGTGACGATTGACTCGGATATTCGGATCTTCGCCTCGGGGACCAGGTACAGGTTTCTCGCATATGGGACACGTGGGCACACTGCAAAGCACGTGCAGCAAATGTAATTTAGTAACATGGAACGTCATAAACCATTATATTACGCATGCCAGACTTACCGAACATCAAGAGTTGGATCCTCCAGACTTGGGCAGTGATGATCGTCTAATTTGAAATGTTCTTGACTAGAAACCGTACATGTTAGCTCAAATAGTTGCAAAAAGGTCGTGGTCCTGAGAATCTTACCAAAAAATCTTTTTGCAGTGATAGCAAGTGTAAGGCAGAAAATCTATGCAGATCACGATCGCATGAGATGGCGTTGCCACAGGAACTCTGGTAGTGGAACAACCTACCTAATTGGCCACACCCGTTGTAAGTGCACCGTTTGCCAAGGTCAGGAAATTCCATGTTATTTTTTTATGAAAAAGAGGGGAGAGTTGAAAGAACAATAAAAAAAGAGGACAAATAAAGAATCAAAAAGAAAGAAATAGTAAATCAGGCACCTCTTTGGTTTGTTCGCCTTGAAAACTCCGCCAAGCGCATTCTAAAACCCTTTTCTGTTTTTGCAGCAGAACTTTGTCGAACTATTTTTGTAAAGGTCCATTTGTCATCATGTCTGCCCTTTCCGATGACGCTATCCGCAAGGTTTTTCATCTCGAAATTTCCATCTCAATTAGAACAAAACAATAGGGCTGACTCATCACATCCTTGTCCAATAGGTGTTTGTCGAACTTCAAGCAAAATATGTCGCCAGCTCGCAGCAAGTCAACGTGGTCAAGAGTCAGATCCAAACAACACAACGCGAACGTAAAATGGCGGAATTAACACGACGTGAACTCGACACATTGGGAAACGATACCAAAGCTTATAAACCCGTTGGCAAAATGTACTTGATTCAAAAAAAAATATACGATTTACCATTCAACCATCGAGTGATTAACGCGAATGTTGATAGGTTCCTCCAAGCACCTCTAGGGGAAATGAAGAAACATTATGTGGATGTTGTGGCTCAGTCGGATGAAAAGATTCAACAATTGGAAAAATCGCAAAAATACTGGGAACGCGCTGCTTCGGATGCACAGAGTAATCTCAAGGATATTCTTCACGGACCTCGCACCATGTAATCCACTTTCGTCTGCGCCCCCTCCCCCTTCCCCATTTTCTTATTTCACTACGATTGGTTTTCCTGTTGCTTTGATACGGGCCTCCTTGGCATGTCTTTGGTTTTAGAAAAGAAAATAGTTATTATTGCATTATTGTATTTACGACATGATGAAAAAGGATGGAATGATAAACAGACGCTAAAGATGGAATGGATGGAGAGGAAATACGAGAAAACAAAAAGGGAAATATATCAATTAGACATAAAAAAAAGAAGTTTTCATATTGAGATTAGGAGGTGCCTGACATGAATTCATCAATTTTGTTGCGTAGCATCATGGAAGTTTTGGATTTAAGAAACCGTCGCTTGGAAATGGTGGAGGAACATTCGCTGTGTCGGCTTTCGTCGCTGATACTGCTGCAATCCGAGCTACTGACGGAACTTAGCATACTTGCGCGTATATGTGTTTTTTCCATTTCTTTGGTGGTTTTGGCTCCCATTTTTCGCAAATACTCTGCAATGGTTTTGAGCCCCCCGCATTTGGCGATATCCAAAGGCGTGGGAACGTTCTTGCTGTATGGATTTGGGTACACACCGAGTTCAATCATTCTCGCAACGACTTTTGGGCGTCGACTCCGTACCGCCCAATGAAGTGGAGTTTCGCCCTTGTCATCACGGGCATCCGGTCGTACTTGACAGTCTCGTATTAACAAAGTCACGAGACGCGTTTTCCCCGCCATGCATGCATAATGGAGTGCAGTAGCACCTAAAATTTCCAGTTTTTGCGCGTTAGCTTTTTTTTTTCATTGTTCCAGCTTGTTCAATCCTAACGAAACCATAATTTCATTTTTACCTGCGGCATCCACTTGCTCGAGCAACGTAAATTTTGATTGACGTATGAGATAGGTAACGATTTCGGGGTTATCGTGTTCCACTGCAGCGTGAAGAGCGGTTTCTTGCTGTGGACCTCGAGATAGGATGTCGGCATTCGTCCGTTCCAGCAGTAATCGTACGCCGTTGAGATAGCCTATTTTTGCGGCCAAAACAAGCGGACTGATCTTATCGTTGGCATGAGTCGTGAGTGGCAAGACATTGGGATTGGCACCGGCTTCAATCACACGCTGAAGTGCACTTGTGTTCTTTATCGCAATCAAAGCATGGATCAAGCTGTAGCCTTCTTTGACCGATTTCACCGTGGCTGAAATTTTGGCAACGTTGGGTCGACCGCCTCGTCGAAGATAATTGCTACAAAGATTAACGCAAGCATTAGTGAATGTCATTTTTTTTTTTTTTTTTTTTGCTGGTTCATTCATTATTATACCAATCTGTCAGAGCACCATACCTGATGAGTCTGTCAACTTCTTCTTTTTCGCCTTTTCCGCGAGCAATTGTATCCCAGAAACCATCACCACAAGCGAATTGAAGCGATCCATTTTCTTCCTGTTCCGGCGGAGTGCCTTGGTCAGGGAGTTCATCCTCATTGCTTTCGGCTGGGAAATTTGGCATGAGTGTCGGCGAATCGGGCCTCAAAGGTGTGACCTGGTCAAGCCAGGATGGCGAAGAAGGTAGCGGCAAAAGAGGAGAAATGGGCGGTAAGGACAAGGTAGGAGAGGCTAAAGACGAGGGGTATGGAGTGCAACGGTCAGAATCATCGTCGTCTTCAGAGTAAATTCTAGATCGGGCACCCATGGTAGAATAAGAAGATAAAGAAGAAACACAACTCTCGTAACTGTTATATGAGTTGCGACGATCATTTTGACGTCGTTTCATGCGTGCATACGCATTAGCAGCTTGTTCATATTTGGTTTGATAGAAATACGTTTCGCGTACAGCTTTCTGATACCGCAGCGCTTGTGTTTCAATGGTACTCTGTAGCGTCCGTTGTACCTCCACCTGTAGGTTTAATTGATCAATTAGAGAATCATGTCGAGCACTCCATGATTCGAGAATTGCATCCATGGCTTTTTGTAATCGTTGTTGAAGGTCGCCGGAGATTATTTCTTGTACGATGGATTGAAAAGCGTCTATGAGAGGGGCGTCCAAAACGCTACTTTTATAATGTGGTAATGGTGGAAGCGCGCAGCTCTGATAGCACTCCATGACTTTAAAGGAAGGAGAATATTAGAAAGAAAGAAAAAAAAGACTGGAAACAAAGAAATGATAAAAAAAAGCAAGCAATGAAAGTTTATGGTAATTGATAAAGCGAGTCGTAACCATTTATAGCGAGCTGTTTTTGCTCGGACGGTGTTTCAGTGTGGGTGAGAAAGAATGTTGATATATGTGTGTGTATGTGTGCCTGTGTGCCTGTGTGTCCGTGTGTGGTGTGCGTATGGGGTGTAAGTGGGCGCGTCATTGGCCGGGTTAGGTGTGTAAACATCCCGTTTTCCATACAGTTCGATAGTCGGGACCAGTTAACGTGCAAAAGGGAGTAGGGAGCTCGTTTTCAGCTATGAAGCGTGTAGAAGGTTCATAATAGGCCTCCTTTTTTCCTTCAGGTTTCTGGTCCCTCAAAAAAATCACCGGAATGCCGTGTTTTCATAGGGCCATCAAGTGATCTTCCGAAGCATCATGCAAACTTTGAAAACTTTATGTACATTGCACAGATCCGTCCCGTATATGGATATTCACCGGGATTGGTTTTCTTTTGTAAAATGCTCCCTTTTGATCTTGCACTGCAGCTCGTCAAACAATGAAAATAATTTCCAATTATCTTTCGTTGGACCAGTTTTTCTTGTCAAAGGGGCCCAAGTTACTCAAAACTTTGTTGATGGTTTGCCTTTCTTCAGCCGCAATCCGTCAACTCGATTAAAAAAAAACTTGTCATGCATTGACATATTACTCTGTATGCAATCGTGATTATTCTAATTACTATTATAAGTAGGCAAATGAAGAGGAGATTGGCTGCCCTTGTATGGTTAATTTTGCTTTTTTAGAAAGGAAAAGTGCACGGTCTTGATGAAGCTGATATTTGTGATGGATATGTGAGGGATGAAAAGGGGAATGGAGGGAGATAATACAATATAACATAAACTAGAAGACAATAATAACAACAAAAACAACAAGAAACAAAAATGCGAATTATAATGTCAGTGAGGATACATAAAAAACTACGTATACACCATCTCCATATTCTGATACTCCTTAGAACGCCTCTGGAACCGTCGAACGATATCTATTAATGATCCATGAGTTTACGTTTTTTTTTTCTCCTGCAACTTTTTTTTTCTTTTCGCAACACAAGATCATCCTCTTTATGTTATCTCTCCTTTCAATTACCATGCCAAAAGTTTGCTATTGCTTGACGATATTTCACGTGGATGAGCCAGATAGGGATCGCCAGTAGAACGAAGCCCAACGCCGCCAAGCTCTCAAAGGGCGCTTCGATAAATGGTGTAGTGCACAAGAACAAGGCTACAACACAAAAGAGTACCGGAGTAGATAACCAGACGCGATAAGGGCGCTTCAGATCGGGTTCCTTATATCTGAGGATCAACAAGGATAGAACGGCCAAAAAATAAAAACTATAAAATTGGCGCAACGGTGAATCTCAGCCACTTGGATGGAACCCCCACCCCCCTTTCAACCCCCTTTCTTCCGTTTCTTTTTCTTCTTTTAGGCCTACTTACAACCATGCACATAGAGAATAAAAGTTGACCAGTCCGCGGAATGAACCCACCAAAATGAGCAGGGTAGTCAAACCTGCTTGCAACAAAATAGCCGTCAACGGAGTCTGACGCGAAGTGTTCAGTTTCCCAAAGAATCCAGGCAAATGTCCTTGCTTTGCCGACACATAAATGATACGGGCACCCGTGAAAACCGAAGCGTTTGCCGTCTAGAAAAAGAATTAAATGGTGACGAGTGAGCCAACACGCAATGCAGATCAGGGGTTCCACAGGTACCAGATACTCACGCCAAAACAACTGAGCGCGACACAAACAGCAAAGAGAATTCCGCCGGTGGGGCCAAAGAGCTTTTTACCGAAATCCATGGCTACCGTATTGGTATGCATGATGACTTCAGGGCGCAGAACGGCTAGATAGGCCACATTCGCCAGTAGATAGGCCAGAATAACAGTGGGAATGCCAAACATAATGACGCGAGGTAAATCTCGATGAGGGTTGTTCATTTCACCTGCCACATAATTGAGGTTGTTCCATCCATCGTAAGCCCAGAGCCCTACACACAGCGATCATTGGTCAGTTAAAGGGCTAGTCCATGCGTGACTGAGTATTCATATAAATTACCAGAATAAAATGCCAAAGCGTATTGTCCGTAGGTCATGACATCAATGTCTGCAAAAGGAGCTTCGACTTGGAAGCTGTTGCCTGCGATGGGACCCTTGGCCAAAATAACAAAGCCGATCACCGAGATGACGGTGGCCGTGAGAACCTTGAGCACTGTCAATACATCCTGCACACGGATGCCGGCACGGATAGAAAACGCGTTGATGACACTCAAGATCAGGAGACTGACAATGGCGAGAAGTTTGGGGAGAAAGCCGGGAATAACGGCGTCGGCGAGTTCCACGGATGCATCGGTATCATGGGGTATTTTGAAGAAGTAGGTATGATATGCAATCCTTGAAACGTATTCACCAAAAACAATACAAACAATAGCAATGGATCCAGGCTGGCATGACCAAAAAAAAGTGTGAATTGCATGAACATTTTTCGATCTCTTGGTAGGTGCGTCGTGGATTTACCTTTTGTACTACGATGCTCACAAATTCAAACATAAAAGACACTAAGCTGCCAAACGCACGGTTGAGATAAACGGCTTCGCCTCCGTTCATTGGCAGCATGGTCCCCAGTTCTGCATAACATAATGCACCTGACAACGCCAACAACCCTGAAATAAACCATATCACCAAAGCCGTACCAGGCGCACTGTGAGTGGCTTCCAAAACAGGACCTGTCATTGAGAGATGAGTAAGAAGCAAAGAGAAAAAAGTGTCAAGTGGTGGTCCTTGTCATTTGAAATACCTGGAGAACTAAACAGACCACTGCCAATCATGGCGCCTATCACCAAGCTCAGACCGTTAAAAAAGGATACTTTCTTTTGTAGTTCCGGTGCTCTTGCTTGGGTTTGGGTCAGTGGTATCATCGGAATGACGTCAAAAGAAAAGACAGATGTCGATGAGCTGTTGGCATGGTGGGTGGATGGCAGCAATGTTTGCTGATCGTGGTGATCCGACAGCAGAGAGGCAGCGTCATCGTCTTCATCAGGAAGAGAACCAGGCGGATCATGATCCAATGCGCTATTATATGCATCGTCCAGTTCGAAAGCCGACTCCAGTTCGCGAGATTGCAAATGTTCATAATGGTAAGAGGACGAGGGACTCATGCTTGAGTTTGTGCATGCATTGGATTAACAGAAAGAAGAAAAAAAAGAGTTCACGTCTGTTTTGTGCCTTGCTTGGAGCGGAATTTGAAAAAGACTATATCGATCCCACATTCTACGATGCGGGTCCTTTTTATTGTTCACATAGCCATTATACAACTATCAACCCATATTGAATAAACGTGAAAACACATGAATCCCTCTTTCCTCTTCTAAAAAATTTAGTTGACAAGAATACCCAATTGTTCAGCGGCTTGTAGACCTAAATATTTAAAGGAGCCTGTTGTGTCACGTAAAAAATTCCTTTCATCAACACAAATCAAAACCTCATTTCCTGCCTATCCTTGGAAACCGTAGCTAAAAAACTTGTCGGCATCCAGCTATGTGATTTTTGATTCCTTTCAACAATAGTTGGGGTAAAGTGTAATGAAGAAACTAGGATTATAACCTAGTCATCATTATTGTCTGTCGATCCATCGAACCATGACGGTGAATAAAAACGCTTCTCAAAAGAGAGGCCAAAAAAAAAAAAAATGGATGACCTATACTCCCCAACTTGCCATATTTGCACTAGTTCCATTGCTGATGTATCGTAACACAGGCTGTCACGTTAAATATTTGATCGCTCGCTTTATTCAGCTGTGTAATATCCATTAGAGAATTTTTAACTTGGTAGTTGGAGAGTACATAAAAACTGGAAACAGACGCTAGAAGCACAGGGTGAAATGGTGATTATTACAACATATCCAATTCCCAAATTTTGTTGATATTATAAAAAGTCTTAAGGACAGCAGAGTTTGTAACCGGTATCGCACTGGATACCAAACCAACCGCAATCAACAGCGCATTTGGCATTGGCTTCTGCTTGGCTACTGGCGGAGCAGAAAGGGGAACTTCCGTCAGGACAGTTATCTTGACTGTCGTACGTGCACCAGTATTCGCGATTGGTGTACCAACGTATAGCAGACACACCACCGAGGATGGCAGCGAAAAGTACAACAAGGGTGGCTGTTCGTCTGGTCATACTTGCTCTTTTTATAATGACAGAAACGAGTTTCTGTTACCCCATTTATAGATTGTGCTTGTATTCGATGTCAGCCAAAAAACGTACAATATGGCATTAAAAGTATCTCGGTCATAATCATGATGTTATTGTTGAACAGCAAGTTTGCATTTAAAATACCGTATAACAATTGAATAGGACCCTACAAGTTTTTGTTTTACTATGTTCTGCACCGTTTTAAGAGCTGATCTGGTGCGACACATCAGGACTGGCTACATCAAACAAATGCTTGCAGCTGAACCGAGAGGCCCAAATGAGTCCCTTTAAAAGTGGTTAGATATTGCGATCTGTAAATCGCCTCTTGCAGTCTCCAAGTTTTGGCAGGTTGCTAATACATACTTTAGCTTGCGCTTTGTGGGTGTTCTATAATGTTAGATTCAGTCTTTGCCTGTTTCCGCAGTGGATTTTTTTCAGTATCCCAAAAATGACCTCCTAACGATTTGCATCATTCTGTTGTAGCGAAGAGCATTCACTGCTTTAAGGTAGCATTTACTAAACAAAGATTTCCCCATGCAGTTGAGAAGGATAATGATTTGTATCGATTATTCCACATTATTTAACGGTTCCTGTGACGGGGTTCTTCAGGATACTATATGGTCAAAAACCAGTTTTTTTTAATGCAACATCTCAATATGATGTCGATCTGCCGCCCCTCTTTGAGAAGGCCGGTCAGGTTGAAAGGAGCTTGAGCTTGCCCAAACACTCGGGCAAGTCGACGTATTGGCATCTCAAAGTCGTCAACAGTTGGGTTTTTGGGTGGTATTGACCTTCAAATTACGAGCATTGCGATTATCTTGTGTTGACGTCTTTACGCGATGTCATGTTGTATGTGGCACCGACGATTTGTTTGTTCCTTGCCGTTGTAAGAACCACGGTGTCACCGATGCCGCGGAGAACGTTCGTTGGAAAGCTAATTAAAAGTACTGTTTCCACGAGAGACAGAGAATAACATAGAAACAAGAATGTATTATTTAGCGTTGAGAGTTGTCGAAACGTGTAAATAAGGAGCCTCCTTTGTGAAACCTGCCGAGTGCATCCTTACTTTCACGTTGATGTTGCTTTATTGTCGCAAAAAGGATCATTTTCCAAAATCAGGGTAAATCCCGTCAACGACCAATCATTACCATGGTACTATGATGAAACCTTAACAGTAGATTGTCCGAGGCATATTACAATTTTCTGAGGCCCTTTTCTCAGATTAGAAAAGCTATGACAAGGCAAAGTCTCCAGTTTGGTTACAGGCACAGTTTTGTAGTCACCGATCAGCTGACAGGCGAAACAAAAAGGAGGACCATCAACTGGTTGGCGGTTAGAGCGGTCACGAGGCTTAGTTACGGATATGAACTCATGGATAAAGTCGGAGTAGCGGTTCCAATGCTGTCTTAAGATTCCTTATGCAAATGCTCCTAAAACGTCAGGCGTCAATGAAAAAAAAAAAAAAAAAAAACTAGAGAGACAAAATCGATAGACGATCGCCAAACAGCGGTCGGAAGCATCAAATAAAGGGACTCCGCATCGTCATGGGAGGTTTTTATGAAACACTTTCCAAATAAACCAGGAGACAAAAGACACTGAAGTCGTCATACCCATGAAGGACCCATGCTAGATAGGATGGTCGGGGGGAGTTTGGTGGTTTATGCCCAAGTAAGAAAGCAAAGCCGAACCATGCTTCAACATTCAGTCTCAGCCGGATCGGTGTGGGAACCATCGTGAGATAAACTTTGATTTTCGTTCACGAATCAATCCATTGGAAAGGGAACGCAGTGGATATACTGCATATGGTTAGGCAACGAGTTTATTTATTTATTTATTCAGCTGACGTACGAGGACCCTTTTTTATCTCATTATCTTGGAAATAGGTAAAGGCAGAATTGTGAACTCAACAAAAGAGACGCGACAGAACCGTACTCAAAATGGATAATTGACAATAGACGGCCTGACACTCTTTCACAACAACCGTCAGGGGAAATTTTAGTACAGACAAGGGCCAAAAGACATGACTAAGGTTATCCATAAAAGGCTATTTTTCTCGCATCATTTATACCATGATAAACGCTGAAGAACTCGTCCAAAGGTTTCCTTATCGCTCCTTCTACTCTTCCTTTCTTTTTTCTTCGTTTTTCATCTCCCTTTCATTTTATATAGCGTTCTTTTGCAGTTGCTTGCGATTGTGAAGAACCCGATTTCATCATGCTACCCTCGGTCTCGATCTTAACACCGTTCTCGAGCACGGATGACCATCACCGAAAGATGCATCGAAGTCATCCACATCCACATGTCACTGTCCCTGACGAGGAAGACTGGTCTTCCCGCAGCGCCAAAACCAATTTGCTCATGCTGAGCCAGCGGATCCCGAATTCTCAATTGCAACAAGCTATTCAAGCCGAGATCCAGCGCTTATGCTCGGACCATGAGCGGCTTTTGACCATGTTACAACAACGAACATCTATATTGGAGCGACAAAACGATGAATTGCGAGGGCTGGCTTCGGAACATCAGCGGCGATACGATAAAGCCGTTCGGGAGATGCAGTTCTTCAAGAAGAAATATGACAAGGCTGCGGAATTAAACAAACAGCATGTACGACCGCGAAGTCTATCGATTGGATCGCATTCTTCAGCCGAAGGTCCACCGAAATCGCAACCCTCCCCACCGATATCACAAACTCACATACAAAGTTACCCACTCACCCCTACCAGCCCACTACCTTCATCCAACTTCTCTGTCGAACTTCTATCCAATTACCCACCGACCGAAGGTTCCAAGCCGAAACCCAACTCCATTTCACGTGCCACGGGTAATTCTATCGCTGGATCCGTTCCACCAACGCCTCTATGGTCACCAGCACCTACAGAATTCTCACACTCAACACATCCTCCCATCCCTCAATTCCGGCAGCATTCTATTACAAGCGCCAGCATTCACAGCTCTTACTCTTCCAGTACGGAAGGATCTCATTACAGCAAATCTTCCGATCACAGTTCTAAGACTGGGATCAAACAGAAGCAATCATGGCAATTTCTTCAACAGAACCCTTCGGCCCCTCCTTCAACGTCTCCATCCGTTACCATCTCGGCCCCATTTCCCAGTAACTCCGTACACTCCGTTCCTATGACGCCAGTACGATCGAGCACCGCGACGAACGGATACACCGGGGCCTCCCTGATCCAGCAGAGAAGGGTGGACCCCTTGTTGTTTGGAGGATCGGATGCTTTATGGGAGACAATAGCGAAAAGTCAGGGCAGTGACGTGACAGTGGAGAAAATTATTAGGTACAGTGGATTGGCTCTCATTGGCAAAGCGCTTGCCTATTATCTTTTTAAAATCGGTTACCCTATTTTCGGGAGAGGCCTTTTTTATTATTATTATTGGACTCAAACTTCGTAGTGAACAGAGGGGGAGGGTTGAGCGTGATGGGAGAATGTATATTATTTTCTTTTTTTTTGCCAGATATGAATGCGAAAAACATGCGACTCCTTCAAATGTTGACGACTCTTTTAATAGCAATTTTCTGCGTCGTGGAGGATCACCAAACACAGCCAAGCAATCCCCATCAGCTCATGCGGTAAAATATGGTTATGGTATGATTCATGCCTTGATTGTCACCAAAGCCCCTGGGTCCCTGGATCTCCTCCTTCAACAGGGAGCCAATCCCAATGTGATGACACTCAGTCAAGTTGAAGAAGACAAGGTAATCAAATTCATCCGAAAAATACAAATACTTTTTGATTCATAGGGCGTGTCATCGCCATGGTGTTCAAATGTCTCGTTTACATGTTTTGATTATTTTTCGTTTTAGGTCTCTCCATGCTTTTTAGCTGCAAGTGTGGGCTGGCTCTCAGGGTTGCAAAAGCTGGTGCAAGCAGGCGGAGATTTGATGACCGCTCGAGGTGGAGGTACGAAGAACAAGACGGCTCTCCATACGGCGGCCGAGCATTGTCATGCAGCCGTAGTAGAATATATTGTCAGTAAAACTCAAGGAGCGTTGAATTTGGAATTGGATAGCGGTGGTAAGTGACCGGCACAAAAATGATGGGCATTGTTGATTTTGGAAGCAACAAGGGTGAAGTGTCTTATCAACTGCTTTATTTGGCCATGTGGGTGAAACAGGAGCTTCTGTCCTACACTATGCTTGCGCATCCGGTCACACAGACCTGGTTTCGTTCCTGGCACGATCATGTCAGATCCCTGTAAACCAACCAGACCAACGAGGAGAGTTACCCATCCATTGGGCGGCTCGTCATGGACGATTAGAAGTGGTGACCTTGTTAATAGAACGATGTGGATGTGACTGCAACGCATATGTGCCTCGGAAAGTGCCGACTCCTTTAGACCTTGCAAAAGCGGGCGGCCATAAACGACTCGTCGATTACATCAAAGGTGCTGGAGGCTTAACAGCGAAAAAGCTAGATAAACGACGAGAAGAGGAACTAGCCAAAGAAGTACCTGAACATTTAGAATCTACATTAGCTAAAAATGGCTTTTCTTTCCTGGATGATTAAATATGTATTTTTTTTTTTTTCAACCATGGAATACGCAAAAGATATTCAAATGATAATGATTCATTTAGGAAAAAATATGGAGCCAATATGAGCATTCATGCAAATTATAAAACAAGGCATGCAAACAAATCAAAGAACCTGAATGCACAAGAGGAGACAAATGGGAAAACGAGGTGACAATGATAAACCAAAGAAAAAGGATCTGCATGTTCTGGGGGGAGAAGACGGGAAAAAAAAAACCAAGTTGGGCCAACCTGAATACATTGGATCTCCGATCAAGTAAAGCATAAATGAATCGATAGACCTCGTGGGAGAATCACCTAATTTCTTCGGGAATTCCCAGCCGATGGTTCATTTTATTAGATCACGTGAGAGATGAAAATTGTAATCGTAGGATGTAATCAACCGTGTGAAGCTATTCACCGGTGCAGGAGATCGAGCTAGATCGAAGCCGGTACGATGGGAGAATGTAAAGGAATGGAAGGCAACAAAAAAGCAAGGAACACGTTACAGAAGAGAAAGCGGCAAGCGTCGTTATGCCAACGATTCAAAGATGTGGTGTGCCGAGAAAGGCAGTCAATGTGCCTTAACGAGGTGATACCTTTTTCTTTTTGGGCGACTATTTTTTCTTCCATTAGTGGGGGAAACTGCCTTTTTTTTTCCTTTTCCCTTTTTCTTTCTTTTCAAACAACCCTTTGCGGAACAGCCAGTGTTTTCTGTCTTGAGTGGCTTTTGGTTGCACACACACACACACTCTCTCACTTACATTCACTTCTCTTCTTTTCTCCTGTATCTATTGTTCGGCCCTGGTGCCCTGTTGTTGTCCCTGTGGAAAACGACCTTCTAGTTTCAATCATCCTTTGTACATTCCAACTTTCCTTCACTGTTAATTGCTGAACTCTTTTTTTCTTTGTTTTGTTTTTTGTTGTCAATATACCCTTCCATTCACCTCATTCAACCACTTGTAATATATATTATACCCTATGCCTATACGTGGTGTGACTGAGCATATACGCACGAAATGGCGACGCTCATCTACCAAGTTAGATTCTCCTGTGGTGGCCACACCTTCGCCCGGGTCGCCTTCCGGGCGGAGTGAAGAACCGCCCAAAGCGCCGCCTAATTACGCTCCCAACCCAGACGGCCAGCTTCACGGTATTGGTGTTTACACATTTCTGCACGTGTTGGGAGACGGCAAATTTAGTCGAGTCATGCTGGCCCAACATTATCTGACCATGGAAAAGTTCGCTGTCAAGGTAATTTATCAAGGATGCAGTATATGATATGTAAACCATGGTGACGGAAAAGAAAAAAAAAAAAGAGGGAAAAAATTCAAGGAGGTGTGATAACAAGGAGTAGATTCCACAGACTAAGCAACCGCGCAGGTCATTGATAAGCGGGTCCATGATTATCGTGTCATGTCACGATTGGTACGTGAAATCGCATTGATGGAAGTCCTCGATCATCAAAATATTGTCCACCTATATGAAACGTACGAAACCGCCGATTCACTATTTCTCGTGATGGAATATGTGCCTGGTGTCAATCTGGATGAACACTTGCAACACTCAGGGGGCCAATTACAAGAAACGGAAGCCAGAGCCATTTTTCGACAAATCGTTGCCGCAGTGGATTATTGTCACAGCCGATGGGTAGTACATCGCGATCTCAAGGTATAAGAGTTGAGAAAGAGTAGCAGGAAATACTCTGTGCCTGAACCAGTGATACGATGATGATCATGATGTGTAGGCGCCCAATATTCTATTGATGCCGAATGGGGAAGTTCGTTTGGCCGATTTTGGTTTGGGGAATCGGTTTGGCATGCATCGCCTGAAAACCATCTGTGGTAAGATGTCTGAAACGAGGAGAAAACAAATGGGAAAAATCTCATCTGGGACAATGACTTATGGTGTGTATGGTAGGTTCGATGCTCTACTACAGTCCCGAAATTATCAGTGGCCAAAAATATATTGGTCCCGAAGTGGATTGTTGGTGCCTTGGTATCTCATTGTTTCGCATGACAGCTGGATTTGAACCGTTTGCTCACGCACGGAGTAAGTGATCTCGGATCGTGTTAGCAAAAAAAAAAAAATTGGGTGGTGACTGATGTGAGTTCGTGATTTTCCTTGTTTCAAGCTGTCGGAGAGTTGAAAAAGGATGTGTTGAGCCGCAACTATCCGATGCCTCCCCACCTGAGTGAGCCACTGAAACGGACCATTCAAAAATGTCTTGCGGTTGACAGACGACAACGGATGGGGGTGCGCCATACACTGAAAGATGATCCCTGGTTGAATGATGATGGAAAATTGGAAGATCTGTTTAAAGATAAAACGACGATTTCGTATGTGGATGATGCTTCCAGTGTCAATAATGATATGGATAACAGCAATCGATCACGGCTGGAAAAGGAGCGAGCACGTAGTCAATTCATCCGCGATATGCAAGAAGAACAACGGAGAGGTTATCGTGTGAAAAAAACCGTCATATATCATCCGTACAATGCATCCATCTATTTCACCAATGGCATCGCCCATTCCCGTGATACTGAAGAAAATTTTGAAACGTATGAACTGATACGGCGAGATTTGTTCCATGAATTCAAGCTGTTATTACAACAGGTGCACCTTCAACCCATGCGAAACATGCCGCTAAGCGATCTGAAATCCCCGATTCAGCATATCCTACGTAAATTCAAAAGAACCTCTCATGAAAAGCAGCTACGTCGATCCTCCTCTGCTTTGAATTTGTCGCAACTGTATCAACGGGTGACCAAGGATCAGGTGTTTTATTACACCATCCAATCCAATGTTTGCGCAGTATCATCCACCACTGTTGTCTCTGGATGTTCCTCCCATTCCATGTCCACATTTTCGGTCGATAACCGCATGCCTTCCGTGACCACCACCAAACCTCGCCTTCCGCACCTTGCCACCCAGCAGCAACGCGATGAATATGAATTGTTGCTTATTGTTTGTTCCGCCTGCGAATTTCTGGGCGTCAGTTACAAGCACGAATCCAAATCACGACTTGCGTGCTTGTTAACCTTGCGCGATTACACGGTGCAACGAAAACGAGCGTCACAGGTGTATTCTCTCATTTCCCGCAGCACAAGTTCCAATGTGACTAACATCTCGGTGCCTTCGTTGGCGCCCACCCATCGACAATTGTCCAGTGACGCGGTTTCCTACGCCAGTTATTCCGATAAAATCAGTGAAGGAAGTCAAACCCACTGGTGGGCAAGACAGATGAAACGATTATCGCTTCCCATTCAATCGAGCCCTTGGTCCAATACGATCCATTTATCGTCGACGGCATTACGTAGTAACCTACCCATGGGTGGTCATGAGCGATTGTCGAGTCAGCAACATCAACCATCACGATCTTCAACAGCGGGTAATAAAGCCACTACCCCCAGTGATGAAGGCACGACATTGTTTATGATTGAAGTATTCTCGGTTCCTGCCACCAAAACTTCTACGAGAATCGTTGGTCTACGATTCTCGAAAATGAAAGGATCTTCCAAAGCGTTTAAACTGGCGACAGGATGGATTAGCTGCGCGTTAGCTTCCAATAACGAATCATCCGAATAGGTGACGACTCGTTATCACAAGATGACGGTAGACTTCATCCGAACCTAAAGACGATGATTACCCTGTAACTCTCTAACCATATATCCATTTATAGCATGTTATTTTACAATCATTTTTGCATACAATTATTATTATTTCTTACGTAACGTCCTTTGTACATTCATACATCGATATCCTCTTTCTCACCACCGCTGACCATTTCTTCTTATATTGTATCATAGCTTTTTCTTTCAGTAGATGAGTGCGTATGGGAATTTACTTGACTTTTATCATGATCCTCGTTTCTTTGATATAAAAGTACTCATCATTCGTTGCTCTCAAGCGAAGTTGTATGTCTCATAACTCTCTTGCAAGCCACACCCCATTTCCTCAACTGACAAATAAACAGTTACCCTTCCATGGGACCTAAAAAATTTTCGGTAGATGATGATGTCGATATTTTTCATTTATTGGTATAAATCACTAGAGTTGTCTTTCGGGGACGTGTGATCGGATTAGTCAGCATAAGGCTTGCTATCGGATTCTGCGGTTGATATACCATCCGAAGGATATATTTCTGGGAAAGAGTCTCTTTCGATTTGGTGAACGCTGCTACGATCTTCCGACGACAAGTTGATCCTCGGACCAGTAAACCAGTGGCGGGCATACAATGCGTATCCCAGGCCTGCACCAATAAGAACAGCCCCAACCGCCACGCAAGTATCTACAATGTACCATGTAAGCATGCTGTCCAAAGTCACAGCTTGTCATCCATTGACTTACAGTTCATATTGATGGCCGTGACCGGAGCTAAAAATAGTTCACTCAGTGGATGTCAGTTTGCGCCTTTTTCGCTCGAGATAGATCATACCTTTCGGAGGAAGAACAAAGAGTACAGTGATGAACAATATCCATGCAAGAGCCACCCTAATATGATGATGTTGGGAAATTGTACTGAATTGCAATGCATTTTTATGGTCATTTTTACCATCCAATCGGGCTGGAAAATGAGCCTAAATGCAATGGGCCTACAGTTACGGAAATAACAGTCAACCACTTTTTTATCAACTTTTGCATGTCCATAGCTCACTGTTCAGTATACCTCTAACAAACTGCTTCTCATTGAGTAGTTTGGTGATGATCGGCATACCATACGAAAGATAACTACCAATGGTCGCTATGGATGTAATAGCAGAAAATGCGGTAGCATTGCCTACAGATAATAGGCCAAGGAGAGAGGCGACGATCACTGAGAGCCATACAGCATTCAACGGCGTCTTTTTATATATATGAATCAATTCAATAGGCGCTGTACCAAATGCTGCCACATTGTCCCTGCTTTTTTCATACCTGGCGTTTTTTATCGATCAAATGCCACCATCGGCTACCGGGCATAGCCCCATCGCGGGAAAATGCATAAATCATTCTGGAATTGGATGTCACCGTTGCGAACCCGCAGAACCAACAGGCGAGCATAAGAATAACCATTAACACCACCGCCGGAGTTGGACCAGCGCAGTCGACTATGATCTGCATCACTGGGAAATTGGTGGTTGTCTCAATCGTGGTTTGCAGATCCTGGATACAAAATAAAAATCCAATAATGAAACCCCATCCTACTATAGCGCTCACTAGATGAAAGAATAAAAGAAATGAATACCAATGCCTAGACAACGGACCATCTAAGCTCCTACCAACGATGGCCATAATCATGCCTACAGGGCCGCTGACAGCTGCATTTTGGGTTTCTTCTGCCATGTGAGCGCTGGCATCGTAACCAGTAAAAGTGAACTGGGCTTGTAACAAACCGATTAAAACGACGTAAGCAGGGCTGGACCATCCGGTGTTATTGTTGTAGTGAGTAAAGACAAATGCGGAGGATTGATGGATTGGCGCTGTTGCAGCAATCGTGCAGATAAGCACCGTAGGTGCAATCACCTGCCACCAAGTACTAATACCTGAGATCCGCATTCCGTTAAATATGCAGGTCTCTGTTCACCATGAATTGTCAAACCATACTGTTAATCCACCGCATGACTGTGGGACCCAAAGAATTGGCCACGCCGTGAGTGAAACATATAAGAACGTGAAGTCCCACCGTCGCACCCGTACTGGGAATCCAAGCACCGTGAGTGGCGACGGAAATGGTCGCGCCTAGCATGAGAGCAATGCCATAGTCGACGCCAGCAGTGACCGCAAATTGCCCGATCAGGTTGAACCATCCTGTCATCCAAGACGCAAAGGGGGCATATCGTGGCGAACTCAACCGAGCCGCCCACCAGTAAAGCCCGCCAGAAGTGGGGTACGCCGAAGCAATTTCTATTACAGAAAAAAAAACCCGATTCTTTTGAATTCGTTTGCTCTCAAAGGAGATAAACGTAAAATTACGGATGACTATCTACCTGCCATTGCCAAGCCCACCATGAGTGTGAAGAACGACACGCCCACCCAACCCCACGTCATGGTCACCTAAAATCCTCATTCTTCGTATTAAAAAAACTTTCTACATGTCTCGTATTGCATCTTCACTTACGGGCCCTCCTGTTGTCAACCCAACTTCAGATGTGGATGGAAAACGTTAGCAGAATACGAAGAGTGAACCACTCTTTGTCACTTACAGCCAAACAAAGAAGTCAGACCAGAAGAAATACAAACGACGCTCAATGCCAGGCCATAATTTCCAAGTGACTGTGGCAAACAACTTTTTTCAAAATCCATAAATCCCGCTTCCTGGATCGCATTCTTACTGTAAGTTCTCGCTTGAGTTCCTGCAATTGTATCCAAGATTATTAGCTCAGAGAGAACCACCCTTCTTAAGGAGCCAGGATCTCATATCATGCCTGCTTGTATCCCAATTGTTTCAATCGTTCAGCGTCTTGCGCTGCTATTTCTTCGGCGGTCGCCTTTGGCCACATAAGGGAGTCGAGGGAAGATTAGGGTAGACAGGGAAACAAAAATCAAATATAATAAGGAGATCAATGCATGATGAACTTTAAATAGAATCGATCTTCCTTTTATTTTACATGCCCGGAGATCGAATGCAGTACCGCAGACTAAACATAAATAAACAAAAAGCAACTGGTACAACTGGTACAGCAGGTTCTTTTCTTTTTGAAATGACGTAAAAGTTAAAAAGTTACCATTGTCAACATTCACTATTATGCAAATGATACGTAATCTCCATGGAGAAAATGAGCGCAAAGACAAAAGTGCCTTTTTTTCACTGGCAGCCTTTCTTCATCAAGTGTAGAAAAAGAAAAGCAAAGTGGAAAGTACATATCCAGCACGAACCAATCAATGACAGACATCAAGAGCAAGTAATTTTATCACTTGGTAACTAATGTTTATCATGTCTATGTCGTGGCTGCTACAGCGATACCGTAACTACAATATTCCTTCCGTTGTCTTGTCATTTAATAAGCAGATTTGATCACCATCGTTGGCCAACCACATTAATGGAGCATGATCTTCCTCTATCTTGGAATTGTTTCATAATAAGAGCAAGTTTTTCAAGACTATGTCGATAGATATACACTAAGAGTTATGGCAACAGGTCTGATATTATCCTTCATCGTTTTGGTGGCTACCGAAATGCTCCTTCCCTCGATCATCCGCTGGTACTGCGCCGATAGGACTTTTGATTCAATCCAAAATCCGTTGATAGAAAAGGAAACTTTGCGAAGCTCCGTTAAAGAATCGAGCGTGATATGTGCACAAAAGTACATCAAGACAACTTATAGTCCCTACCAACCGTGAAAATCATCAAGGCCTTGTACAAAGTGTAAAGATAGCAAGACTGACAGGCAGCTAGAAGGCGCGACTCCATTGGCACAAATGTACAGTATAAAGATCCGATGTTGGTTAAATCATAGTTCAGCAGCTATTAGATGAGGCTTCAGTCGTTGATCGCTTGAATATATTACAATGCCAATTATAGAGCATAGTTGTTGTTCGTTACCTCTTTCAAAAATGATACACCGTAATTTAGGGCGAAGAAATACAAACAAGAGCTCTACGGACGTTACGGTATAGTTGCCAATAATCAAGTTTCATCTGTAAGTTGATCTGGCATAAAATGCTGTATCGATCTCTTGATGAAGCAAAAAAATAAATTGAAAATAAAGCAACATCTGTGCATTCAGAGGGTTAATTGTTTGTAATCGTAATTAACAATAACTCGGACAAATTTTAGGTGGACATATGCTTGTTTGAGAACAAGTGCTAGCAAGCAAGCAAGCAAGCAAAAGATTTTTCTCGAATCTTGAGACTGAATTCTATTGATGGAGGCAGAAATGCACCAAATTCAGAGAGATGCGATGAGACAATGTTTTGTTTAGAGTCAGAGATGATAAAAATAGGCATTGTAGTCTGAATAACGACTGAAACAATCTACGGTTCCTACAATTTGGACAGTCTGCGGATATGGATCCAGTGGCAAAATTGCAATGTGTTTGTTGTACATCTACAGAAAAAAGAACTTTCCAGCAGAAATATAAAATATCTGTCGGGTGAACAAGTAAAAACAACAAAATAAATCTGCAATACATCGTCCATGGGTTGTTTTCATCCTATAAGAAATAAGCTCACACTAAAATACCAAACAGTCAAGGTAATATATGAAGTTCAGTTATGAAGTCATTCCCCGGTATCACCTCGCTAGGTTACACCACGTGGCCACAGTTGAGCAATGATCACCATGATCGACAATGGAAGAAACGGCCTTGATTTTCAACCTACAATTGCAATCCAACTAATGTCTACAGGAGACTTTGTATATTAAAATCAGCAATATATACGATACAAGAGGATAATGATGGATAAAGTGCACGAAATATGAGCATCTTGGCCATGTCGGCGAAGAAAGCAATTCAAAGTCCGGTTATATTTATAAGTTTTTTAGGTAGGTTTCCCCAGCTCGTCTTGGAGTAAAGGAAAAAAAAAAAAACAATGATCCATAGAAAAAAGTGATCAAGAAAAAGCCGGGGACGAAATAGTGGTGATTAAGCAAAAAGGAATTATACAAAACAAGGCAGGAATATTCTGAACATCGATATAATGTTGCGACGTATATGAGGAGGAAAAGTGTATAAAGATGAGTATACGATGAGGAGGAATTAAATAGAGGGAAAGGTGAGCATGAGTAAAAAAAATCAACAGAGGACCATCAGAAAGACTTATACGGCTGACATCGGGACCAAGTAATCGTTGGTAGATTCATCGTCTTCGAGTCTTTTGGCATGATTTGTAGACAGGTTGGTGAAAATCAAGGGGCCGGCGCAGATGCTTGTATCTATAGACAGTTTCGGTGGTCGTCTCTTGGGCAGCAATTGAGTGGCTCTTTCTGTGTCTGGACTACTGGTTGCGCTGCTACTGCTTTGTCCGTCATCCTCCGAATCGGTCAACGCTGGAGGAGGAATGGCAGGGATATCAAGTGATAATTTGAATTTGTACAGAACTGGCATGGCAAAGAGACCGCCGCGGTCATAGTCCGCCGATGAATAAGTTTCAATGATGCATGGTGTCAGGTCGAACTGAACACTCTTAATGGCACGTTTACGTTTTATACCACAAATAGTTGATGCCATGTTGTTTTGAAAAAAGTGAGAAGAAAAAAGGAAAAGGAGTTGAAAGAGAGCTCAAATACTGTCTTGAGGAGGAAAAAGAAAATAAAAAAAAATAACCCAAATGAAACTCCACAATGTGGAGGATATTTTTAGGCAATCATCATAAAAATAGATTAGGATTATTGAAGATCAGAAAATTACGATGCTTCGACTCCTTCAGTGAAACGAAAAAGATCCCTGCCTCTGCAATCAAGGGATACAGTGGGCGCTGCAGTTCATTCAGAAAAAAAGAAATCTCATACAGAAAGATAGGAACACGCCGAAGACGACAAGTCATAGTCATTTGTTCACGCCCACGCATGAGGCACACAAAGACCCACCAGCCTGAGAGCCGCCATCGTAGTGCAGATAGTCCTTTTAGAGAGGGTAATTCACGGTACGTTACACATACTGACCAAAATTAGTCTTGCCGGCTAGTGGTAAAAAGGCACCAATGTCAATCAATGGCTTATCTGCTATTGTATTTAGGAGTGGATGATGCTATAATTGACGGTCCATATGCAGGCGACACTTGGCAGATTTTAGCAAAATCATGCATGCAGCAACAGAAAGAACCCATTCGTTTATTTTAATCACTGCACCAAACATACACACATACGCACAACCTGGCGGGAATTTTGAAATGTTGACCTTGATCACCTTTTTACGGCCAACATATCATTACAAGTGCCCATGATTTTATTCAGTCATTGGCTTTTTTCTTTTTCCCTTTCTAAACATTTAATACAATGTATAAAAAAAGCACACCTTCTGAAATTCGTCTGTCTGTCGTCTGCCATGTTTTTGGTCTACAACCGCAAGAGAGGATCTTCGTTACCATTGCCAACAGTTTATGCAGTAGATCTCGCTATTGGTTCTTTTTACGTGCACGGAGTATAAATATAGCGCCTTGTGGAATTGCGTGTGTGGTCTGTGTGTAACGGTTTTCACCATAACGCTGAAATGATAGAAAGCTTACTAGAAAGACTTGACTCTATCGTACTGAGAACACATATACTGCGATAGCAGATGATGTGTTATGGAAGTAAAAAAAAAAAAAGCTTAGGACGAATGCTGTGAAACTTAAAATAGCTGTCAGTATACATAGTCCTTAGTATGGTACAAACTGAATTCACCTTGTCGTCAGCAAGTGTCACTCTGTATTTCACTCTGTCCATCTTGAGCGACAACCAGGTGTAGCTTGTGATACTTCAATAGCATTTAGATATAATTCTACATTTTGTTCATTACCAATATCAATCGTTAAAGGAAATCACTTTTGAAGCTCTAATGGTGAAAAATGTAAGTTGGCTGGTCTTTTTTATTTTTATCTCGATTACGTATTGAGTGCCTTTCTGACCCGGCTGGTTTAGTATCCCCTGAATTTATACCGTGATTTGGCCTGCAAAGTGAAAACAAAACAACGTTGATTTTACCCCGAACGGATGTTGTCGCATTACAATGCGTAAAAAAGCTCTTTGTGCTCTTCTTTTGCTCATTTTGTCAATCGGAAAGGGAGCTTGTCACAGTAGATCTGTAATTTTTCCTGCTTGAAATTGTCTTTACGCCGATGGGCGGTGGGCATGCCGAGGGGTGCATAGGTGCAGTGAATAATACAAACAGTTATCCGCATGATCCGATGACGCCCTGTGAAATCGTACTTTCCTTTCCATAGCTTGTTTCGTTTTCATTTCCTCTTTTCGTGTTGGCTGTGAAGATGATAAGAATAGACATTGAGTTGGCATTGATAATGCTCTCTTGGCCAAAGTCGTTCTCGTCATCATTCATGGAATGGCTGACATCATACTACCCTTGGGGAAGACTTTTTAGGAGATCAGCTTCAGAAAAGGATAAAGCTGCAATACTTTCAAAACAGCCAATCCCCGTTATTTTTTACGGCCTATGCGGTGCGGAGCAAGTTGATCCAAAGACAATCTTGATTTGCTTTGTTTCAATCCTTTGAAAGGAACTGTGCTCTTTTACACTGCTTCACTGTTATGCATTCAAGACCTCTTCAAGGCATCCATCAGTCGACCTTTGGATGAGCATTGGGTATGACGACATTTAAAGCGTCGCCATAGTGGATGGGAATTGCTTTATCAGCTTTTTTCCAATTTATGAAGCGATTAAGATGTTGGTGTTTGCTCAACTCATCATGCAGCAAGCCCTATAAACCGTATGCGACGAAACAATCAGAGGGACGAAAGTGGATATTGACGAAATTCGGTTAAGTTGCGCTATACTTATAATGTGCGTTTGGTTCGTAAGGGATTAAGATTCTTATTTATTTGTGAAGGATGTTCTGGATTATTTAGAGGGACCGAGTTCGATTATCAGAAGGAACTTCCCTCATCCAAATCCACCAATTGACATGGCCGGTCATTAAAAAAGTCTCGAATATTGCAAAGCATTGATACAAGCTGGGAATTGTCCTTTGCGTTGATGATGATTTTGCTCCACCGTCTGTAAATTCAGTATGGCATCACCTCCGCGATTGATCACTTGCGTGGCGATTTCTCTGAATAATAGCGATCCAACCCGCTCTTGGGACATTGCTACATGGTTGGACTCTTGATCTGACATAGTCCAAATGGGGACAGGTTGAACTTCAAGATGGGATGCAACATCGGACGACGAGCGGCACATGGTATAGGTCGAGAGGTAGTTGAACCTGCGCACTTGTCTAAGGAGGTAAAGGGAAGGTATTGACTGGGGGCGGCTGATGGTGGGATTTAAAAGCATACGTTTGGCAAGTTCGACTGAATGCTGGTCGAGAAATACGCGGGTATAAATTTGGGAATCATTATAAAATCTTTGGTGAAAAGTGAGAATTCGTGGGGCCAAGATTAAGTGACACACTATCTAGTCGTAGGCTTGCCGAGACCAGAAAATTGCAGGTTCGGCTGCCAAGGACTAGTTTCAGGCCGTCCGATGAGTGAAGGAGGGAACCAGAATGACCTGTCGCAGAAGAAAAAGAAAAAGGCCGAGTGAAACAGCCTTTTCACCCAGCAGCGTGTCGCGTGGGTACGGTTCGATCGTGTTCAATATTCGGCTGTTCCTTCCTCGACCAAGATCGCATCAGCCAGCAGTCGGGACGTGCAATAGCACAACTGAGGGTACTGTAACCGATCGTGATGTTGCGCAACTGCCACTGTGGCTGCCCCAAACGCACCAGTTGTTAATTTTCTGTGTTGGCGACATTCGCTAGCAGTCAGACATTCCTGCTGGTAATTCCTTCGGACGATCGTCAGCAACTGCCACCAGCTTGGATCTGTGACATTCTTATATTCACCAGTAATAAATTTCCAAAGGATGAAGCGACGCCAGCAGAAAGCTTTCCTCTGCCGGCGTGTAGCAGTGTCGATGCAGTAGTTGCTGATGTTAGAACTCCGTATTGCTTTTCGCCCTGCTCGTAAATCAGAGGGATCCATCTGCCCACTTTCGCAAGCATGAGCTTGTCTTCTTGAATTGATGGGTCCTCGTTTAGACTATCGGTGGAAGCTAAAACAGCTTGACGGTACCTGAGGCGAGAGAGTTTCGTCTCTTTCGTCAGCAAAGATAAAGGTGGCGGAGGGGTATCCACCCCGCTGTTCCTCGATTTCAAGGTCTTCTTCGCATGGACCAGGGAATTCACCGATGACTGCGCGCTGTAGCAGTTTTCTCTTTCTCTCCACTAAGCATTCAATCCGTAGCTCCTGAGATGCCCAAGTCGAGTCGCTGGAATGCTCTTGGCACAAAGCGGGTAAGGAAACCCATTTTCGCTTCTTTCCACCAGTGTTAGCCCATGTACCCAAAGGTGTCAATACGTATGTTGCTGTCTCTTGCAGTGAGATCGTTCACCCTTCCCGAAATAGCGGGACTTCTCAACAAAAAATACGACCGACGTCTCCTAAGCTCGTCAACTCGAACTCAGAAACAAGTTCTTGACCGAAAGAGAGGCACTTTTTTTGATTATCACGATTTCAAAAAAGATAGCGATTTCCATTTCTGAAATACAAAAATTACTTTGATTGATCGGCTGGCAACTTCTTTTTCTTTTCTATGGATGCGACTTGTTATAAATATCACAAAGAAAGTGTTACTTATTACATAACAATCATCATTTGGGCAGGAAATTCCAGACTGAATAGCTTGATAGACATTTTCTTTTTGGCAATAACAAAAGAAAAAAGAGAATAGTCATTGTAAACAGTAGAAAGAGGATAAAAAAAAGGGTAACACACAAACAAAACAATTACAAATCGAATGAAGAAAGAAATAATAGAGTGTCACAGACACAGGAATCATTTTCACTGACTATCACTGGCAATGCCACTGACGCTTTCGGCAATACGCAGTCGATCTCTTTCAGTAATGGGTCCGTTCCGTTGGAGCATGTCGCGTAATTCAGACACCAGTTGCTCGACATTGTCGCCAGAGGTTCCTGGAATGCGAACATTTAATCCTGCAAATACTTCCGCCACCGTTTTCTTGAACTCGCTTTGTTTCCGCAGCTCTTCTCGCAATCGCTCGTTTTCTTGATTGGCCGCGGTGAGCTTTTGTGAAAGGACAAATTCCATCGATGACGGCGCCATGCTAGATGCCCGACTGATTAACACATCGTCGACCAGATCCACGATCTTTGCACGTATTTTCACATCCACATCAGACATGGCCTCAGTAGATTTCCGTGACCTGAACGAGAACAAAAAAAAAGAATGGAAGCCCAAAAATTTTTCAGTACGCAGTCCATGTCATCTTCCTGCAGCTGCCCATGAAATGGAGTTAATATGATAGTTACCCTGGAGTGGATGGCGTATGCGCTTTGTTATTGAACCTTGTGTAATCTACTGAATTTCGTCCATTGCTAGTTTCAGGAGCCGCAGCCGGCGAAGTGCCGTAAGGTGTCAGAGGTTGATTGTTATTCGCATTCCACCGCTGTGCGTTGGCACGGATATCGTTTTGGATCTAAATGAGAATATTTTAGCCCATCTCCATGGGATACTAGATGCATCAATACAAGTTCTTCTTGGCACCTACCTCATCAAAATCTTTGATAACTGGCGTGGGGGGCTTGGGGGTGATCGCGCTGGCATTGGGCATACCGACTTTCTTGTTATTCGCCACCGGCGCGACGATCCCGGAAGGGGCAGCTGAGGTCGGGGAAGAGGTATTGTTGTTCATGCGAGGCGGAGCAACGGCCGGTGAGGGGAAATTCAAATGAGCTTTACTGGGCAACTTTTGTTTGACGGGAGCGGTACCGTTCAAAGCCAGCGGGGTGGAGGAGGATGCAGAGGATGGAGAGGAGGTCGAAGGTGATTGCGCTAATGGTTTTGTTGCAGGTGGTGTGACTGATTTGGCAATGTCGGATTTTTTGCGCTTTGCTTCTAGTCTTTCCTTGAACGACAACCCAGAAGGTTCACCGCTCGTCGACTTATTGGATCGATGACGTTGGCTGGCGCCTCGTCGTGTGCCCATATCATCATCGGAACTTTGATCACTGAGAAACAAGTTAAGATCGGCGCCACTCTTTTTCTGATGTGGCGCTGTTGCACGTCGTTTAGCTGGAATATTGCTTGCCTTGACAGCTTCCTTTCCGTTCTTTTTGCGTGATGACAGACCGAGACTGTCATCGGAGTCGGAATCTGGATCCTCGCCATTTTCTTTATCTTCTTCCTCTTCGTCATCGGACGCCGCTTCATGTTCATCACTTTCCTCGTCTTCCTCGTCATCATCCTCATCCATTTCTTCATCTTCACTATCGAGTTCCATCATCCGACGAGGTAGCAATTTCCGACGTCGGGCACTCAAGGATGACTGTCGTTTCGCGTTTTGTGCAACACGCTCCCCAGATTGATGATCTCCACACCTAGGAGAATAGTTACTCGGAACGGAATCGGCGGGCGTGATTAATCCGTAATTGATAGCACAGGTAACGTGAAATCGTCTATAAACCACAAGCGATGAGGAAAAGCTTGAACTCATCCTGCTGGTTTAAGGAGAAAAGGGAAGTCTAGATACTTACTTTGTGCAATTGGGTTTTTCGCATCGAATACACAGGCCTTGTTTCTTTTTACATAAATAGCATTCCTTTGAGAGAGTTTTTGTCCAACGTGAGCTTTCCCGCCACGAAAAAATAAAAAGGTACCATGTACTCAGGTGTCACTTACATCCACGTCCAATGGTCTTTTTCTAATATCATAGGGTTCTAAATCTTCTTTAATATCCTTATTCCACATGGCACATTCGACATGCATAAAGTAGCCGGATTTCACGGTGTGACGAAGAGCACCCACTTGAACCGGACAGCAAGCAACTTTCTGAGGTTTTTTGATGAGATACATGGGGCTTCCATTTTTCTTTTCTTCCGAGCAATTACTTACTACGTCTTTTCCCATTCTTAACGCTTCGCAGCGCTGACAAAACCAATCGCCTTCGGGTATCTCGTCCACATTGTAGCATACTGATAGATAAAGAATTAATGCAAAGAGTGAGATGTCCGCCCATCATTTTTTTTTTTTTGATTGTCTTTCTTTTTGCTATTTACATACATTTGTGGACAGGTAAATTGCAACCTATAAAAGACGAAGAATGAGTGAGCCTAATGTTTCCTGTGATGCCATTCCCACCCAACGTATATGGCAACAAAATCAAGACATTACCTTCTCCATCGCAATAAATGATAGGGTTTCGCTTTGTGGAGCGGTCGCCATCGCAAATAGCGCAAGCCTCCTGTATAATTTTTGCATGAATGATGAGTTTTTTGTTGGTTTCGATTTCTCGATATTTTTAATGATGAAAATTACAGTATCTGATTTACTTGATGATCCAGACGGCATGATCTAGTTTCTCCAGAAATTAAAATATTTTCATCTCCAACAGCTGTATACAATCAACTCACCTGCGATTTTTTGATACTGTGTTTCCCAAAAATAAATAAAAAAAAAGATGTATTCTTCTCCTTTTTTGTTTTCTTTTTGTTTTTCGTGGGGTTACTTAGTCTTCCTGAACTCTTTGCGATTCAGAACAAACGCAGCTGATGAGTTTTCTACTAGTATGCAAAACGGAACGGTGGAAGTGGTGCTTTGGTTGGTTGCACGAGAAAAAAAAAAGCAAAGACGAAAAAAAAAAAAAAATTAAGTTACGCCGCTTTCCAAATTCACGGATAGCGAAGAGAGAACAGGCAGCGCTGGGCCACTCATCGCGATATTTATATGATAGCAATTTTTGTAGCAGTCACAAGCACCGACGTGACGACCATCGCATGCCATGATTCACTGACTTGTCTGGAGGGGCACAACCCAAAGGTCAGTTGTTATTTCAGTTTCAGGAACATAATCTTCAGCGATTCGCGCTTTCAAAAAAAAGAAACTCATCGTTATTCTTTACGGTTTTCTCGGTGCTATAATCACGAGAAATTCTCGCGAACAAGCGATGTATGGCATGGCGATATCCGCCATTCACTAGCTTGACAGTGGAACCAGCATGAGCCAGTGTGATGGATATGAAGAGCGGCAAACTTGATGTGTGAGATAATCCCACATTTGCTGACGGCAAAGGGTTTATTCGATAAAGAGGAGCACAGCTGTACTTTTTGGCTGATACAAAAGCGTGCTTTCCCCGGACTTATTTTCAGCTTTTGAAAGGCTAAACAATTAACCTCTGAATTTTTCTCAGAAAGAAAATGCTTCGAAGTTATGAGTTCAGAAAGGCAATAAAATCAATGGATAAGCCAGAAAGCACCCAGGACCTAAATATCAGACAAGAAACATCGAATATAATTTTATTCCTTAAGAGTGGACGGTAACAGAATAGCCCGAGCCAGTGTTCTCTTTGTTTGACCGACTTTAATAGCAAAAGCTTCACATCGAGTCTCCACAGTATCAGCATCGATATGGTTTGTCCATGACCGAGAAGTGGCAATATTAAATGATTGATACCTGTAGGCGAAAGGATAAGTCAACGTTCATTTGATCCCGCAAGTAGACCCAATATGTATGCTGATCAACTCCAAGCTTCTATTTTTTTATATGACACACTGTCTGAAGAGGCACTGACAAAACACGGTGGCAATTGTTCTTCAAAGGCTATAAAAATCAGTCATTACAGAAAGGCACGAATGGTCTCAGTACTAAGTGAGACGAGTCAGTATACTGATAATTTACGCGAAACAATTAGCGTGCGAAAACTGATGGATTCTCCGCGGGAATCACGACAAAGTGATTGCGATTGAGTTATCCATTGCCACTGCGAATGAGGACAGCGGTTTTTATGCAGTTTCATCCTCAGATATGTCAACTCGTGAAATCAACGTCGTTATTCACCACTTGTTATAGCTGTTCAAAATGAGCTTTCACCTGATGGTCAGATGAGTGTTCGAAAAAGGAAGTTACTTGAAACAGCAGTTCCTCGTTCAATACAAGCTCTTCCGACTTGCACACAACCCAAACAGCTTTTTCTGCTCTAAAAGTATTGACAAAATTTCCTTTATCTATACTCTAATTCGATGTTCCGCTCGCTGCTGTCCAAACGTCGAAGCCTGAAAAGGGAGGCTCATCATGCTATGATGATTTCCCCAGTTGTCATTCTCCTCCCTTTAGGTTCACGGATCCCGCTGTGTCGATGGCAAAAATAAATGCTCGTAACAATGGTAAATAGTGCTGTCGTCAAGGAGTGTTTCCTCAAAGTGGACGCCCGCCGCTTGGTTTTCGGATACCGTAGCCTTCTTTCGTTTTGTAGTATGGTTCAATAATGTGTTGTTTACTGCGTCTTCGACCTTTACTCATTCCCTAGAGTCGATAAAGCGATAAGTCCCCTTATCGTACACGTGCACGGCTCCAAATGGATTTGAGCCACCGATCTCCCAGCTTGTAATCCTTCTAGCGATCCGGCATTAAGGCTTTGTCACCTTTCTCGCAAGGGCGTATGATCTGGAGGTGCCCCTTCGATCTATTGTATGCGCTCACGGATTTTTGTTTCGTGGTTTGCAATGCAACAATTCTCTCTTGATGCCTCGTCATACCTGCGAGCCATTCTCGTATTGTATGCATAAAATAGCATCCCACTCAGCCCTCAAAGAGGAAATCCGCCGTGGCGTTTTCGGTAATTATTCGGCATTGCTGCGACAACTGACCATCGGGTGAAAGCAATCTACTGCGACCAACAGATATGTATCATCAATTATACAATCTTGTAAACAGACCCACAGCATCTAACGTCGACCATAAACAATGAATGCTCGGGGACGCGGGTGATCTGATTAGGTTCAGTCCTAATAAAGTGTGCTGGTGCACGACTTTGACATGTCTTGTACTGCTTCGACGAAATTTTTGACATAGTCATACATTTGGTCCTCCTCATAATGCAAAACGAAGTCTTTGTCATACAATATTCGCCATCTCCTTTATCATGGATTTTATTGACAATGACCTTGGCTTTCCTTGGATGAAGGACTTGAGGGAGCCTCTTTTCTACTTTTGGTGTACAGTCTTACCATCGATGTAACGCAACAACTCAACTTGTTATATATTTCGCGTTTCTCTCTGAGATTGTGGATGATAGAAGTTTCTTGAATCTTCCCATAGAAAGCAGACCATTATATGATTTTATGCGGTGCAGTTTCGCAATGGTTACATTCCTGCGTACAGAATTGAAATATGGGCGCAAACGCAGTGCAGCCATGTATCATGGAGACCGCATGCTGTTATTGGAAAATGACGAAAATATCACTTGTATTAGATTACGCAGAGAACATCCAATGCCTAGAATGGAAATTTAAAGGAGAGAATCCCAATGGATGTGACCGAAAAAAAAATAACCGCGGATGAGCCAATCCACATCAGCTAGGCCGAAAAAGGACAGATGAGCATGAAAAAAAGGTGTGGTACTGCTGTATTTACTGTTTTGGTCATTTCCATGGCATTTGCTCAAAGCACCATTCTGCCCACCTCTTGATCTTTTCTTTTCGTGTTGCTGCATCCGATGGCAGTTCCAACGAGGTTCTACAGGACCGTACGCGTGCCAGACGAGAATCATCCCAATAACTTAAAGAGAAGCTGATTGTGGAGCTCGGATGATGTGCGTGGTTTTGCCATCAGAGTCACACGGTACAAGACTTTATTGTTTGCTTGGAGACGGTTGCGCTGCGATGACACGATCGGAAAGGATGGTGAGAGGTGGAGTTCCGTTAAGTGATTTGAAACCTTCTTTTTTTGTGCTACGCTTTGCTGCGAAAGCTGCTCGTCACGGCTGGTGGGGTGCGGTAGACTATGCGGGTTGGATTTATCCCTAACTAAATAATCATAATAAAACAGCCATCATCCTATCCTACTTTGTTACGTTACCCTGATTCTATGCGTTTATTCTCATCTTCTGCACCGTCGTCGTTTCGTTTTTGCGTCTTTCTTCTTTTTCATATTTCACGTTGCCCGCCCAATGTCCCTGAATAGACAACGACCACGTTCTCGAGTCGCTAACCGAGCCTACACTCTATCTTCCCTGCCTCCCAGCACTCAGTCTGACATCACCGGTTACTCATCGTCTCATTTGCATTCCATTGAGGAATTACTGCAAGACTGGCTCACCAAAGGAATGCCCGAACCGGCTCATTCTCCATGGTTTATCGATAATATCTGTCAGTGTTGTCAACGACCCAACTGCCCTCAATTCGACAATGTCATGGCCGGCATTCGTAAATTAGAAAACGATGTTCGCTTGGCTGCCGGTAAGCAATAAGTCCCCTTTTCTTATTTGCTCTTGCCCCTTGATGCCTTTTTACTTGCTTCTCTTTACATTTCCCTTTCGTTTCTCATATCGGAAATTAACATGAAGAATCATTTTAGAAATTGGGCAGAGCCTTTTGCATAAACATGAAGCATTTGTATCGGAATCACAAGAAGTCAAAACAGTATTGGAACAGCAGGTTGCTAAGTTAAAACAAGGCAAACGAGTCATCGTAGCATGTGCCCGACCCGTGTAACACGCTCTTTTTCCCTTTTTTAGCTCGAAACATCCAATGAGAAGGTGCATGAATTACAGCAACTCTTGGAAGAATCTGATACTCAGAAGCATCAACTGGCCGGAGAAAGGGATAAAGTTACATGGGAGCTGCAAAAGATGGACAAGGTATGGATACCGATGAAACGATGGGGAAATAAAATAAGGCTATTGGCCAGCGCATATACTGAATTCGGTGGATGGCAGACTCTGCAAGATACGCTATCCGATCTGGAAGCAGCCAATGCTCGCTGCGTTCACCTTGGCGGCGAGTTAAAAGCGCAGAATGTGGAGTTGGAAAAGCTGAGGATACTGAAATTGATGGTGCGACAAGCCGATGTTCGAGAAGAAACGTTACATGCCAAGGTAATCCCATAAAAGAAGCATAGTAACTATAAATACGATGATTTATATAGCTTTTTTTTGGCAACACAATCGGCGTCAGTTGGAAGATTTGCAACAAGAACTGGCAATTTCAAGAAAGACAGAATTATCACTTGAATCCAAATACAAGAAGCTAAAAGCAAAGCATGGTACGTTTCATACTTGTACCTGAAATAGATTTCGTTATAGCAAACTCTGATTTAGGATGCTATAGAAACCATGTGTGCTGCTTACGAAAAGCTGAGGCTTGAAGGTGATACACATACGACAGATCGCGATAATAATCTCGCCTGGCTACGTGAATCCAATGAAAAGCTGAGGAGAGACATGTTAAAGGTAGATCACAATCTCAATTATCACATGTTTTTATTACGTGGAAAGGGGCCTTTAAACGATGGTGAGAAAGCAGACTGGGAATATATGGAGAGGTGGTATGGGGGAAAAGGAAAGAGGGTGCAAAAAAGAGGCTGACAAGCTATTCAGTATCGTCGATGAATCGGGTTTTTACACTTCAACGTTTTTTGTTCTTCATGCTGGATAACCTAAAAAGTCCCTTGCATTTGTTTTGCTTGCAGCTTACAACGTTACCTTCTTCTCCGATAACGCACTCGCAACAAGCCAATCAGAGTCACTGGATCACGCTTATCAAAGAGCTGGCATCAGCCAATAGCAAACTGAAAGCGGACCTTTTGGATTGCAAAGATCACTTATCAGAAGCTCGCAACGAAATCTTTGCTCTCAGCTGCAAAATTGATGGTACAGAGGAACATACCATGGTATCGAAAGTGGAGGATGAAGAGGACGAAGATCAAGAAGAAGAAAAAGAAGAAGGTTCACTGCCATCGTTACCGCATAAACCTCCTGTGGAATTGGCACCAGCGGGATGGCTCAGTACGTCGGCACCATCGCTGCGTAATATGCGCAAACAATTACGGACACAACCACGTCGCGTGACCAGGGACCCCACTCATGCTACCAGCGCCAAACCTCTCCCTTTATCCTCTGTTCAGCCCAACACCACTGCCACCACTGTTGCCTCGTCCATGCCGGGTCCGTCCGGAACTGCCGTGATTCATCACCATTATCATTATTACATGCAACGCAAAAAGAAATCCGCCAAAGCTTATTCAATAGATGCAGCGTCATTGCATAACAGTGGATCTTCCGTACATATTGACAGCAAAGTAAGGAAAAAACTGAAACCATGATTGACTACTGGCATGGAAAAGCATCCTTTATTCACTGCACCTATCAATGACCATGTAGGAAAAAACGCTGGTACATTCTGACATGGATGACATCAAGGAAATAACAGAGAGAGGAACAAGTGAAGGGAACGATGTAATGAGTGCATTTCATCAGTTACAGACTTACCTGACGGAGGTGTTTCGACGGTTAACGGCAACGGATATACGGGCGTTGAATCGTCAGCTGAGAAAAGCGTTTGATATACTGGAATTGACGAATATGAGCAATTCCATCATCGATAGCATTCTGACAGAAGTCGAGAGTTTACACTCCAAATTCCAATGGGTGGAAATCGAGGTAGCACAAGCAAAGGAGACTTCCGGTCTTGCCGGTGACGGTTGTCTGGTTGCGATGGAGGATTTCTTTCCACTTCTCCACACCGTACAACATATGCTCAAGGAAATTGGATCGTTAAGAATGACCATGAACGATTTACAGCTCGAGTACGTGAAAAAAATTGAAGAAAACGATCAACGTGTGGAACAGGAAGTGCTCCAGAAACGCGATGCGCTAATGCAGCAACAACAACAACAACACCAGCAAGCGCAAACCACTACTGCACCCGCAACTTCGCCACCTTCCAGCGCCATCAGTTGGCTCACCCATTTTTTCCAGCGATCATCCACTGTGCAGTCGCTGAAGCATGTCTCATCGCAAGACGATTTAGGGACACGTTACATCAATGATCTCGGCAACAAGTCATTTACGGCCGTTATTTTGGATGACTCCAAGCGACCAATTGATTTGCATTCACCGAGCAAAGCCAAAAGTCTGCGGCCAAAAAGTGATGTGGATCGGTATGGTCCGCTTCTCAGTTTCCCCACGGACGACAAGCGGCGGCATCGAAGTAGCGCTGCTCAATCTATTCCATTTCCAATGCTACGGTCGTCGCGTAGCGCTGGGACAATTCGCCGGGGTGAACCATCCTCGGTTCCGGCTCTCACGATTGCGCGTCGAAAGCGTAGCACACTCGGTCTCAATTCCGAACTCGACCTTCGTGGCCAGCCGGGATCCCCTGACTTCAACGGCGAATGGAGCGTCAATGCGTTCGCCACCAGTTGGCTGGGCACCAAATGACATGCGTGTTTATGGATGTTTAAATTGATGTGCTTTTTAGTATACCCAGTTTCCTTTTTTCTTTCTCACTCCCTTCCTACCTATCACAGTGGCATACCGCTTGATGGGGCATAAAAAAAAGCAGCATAATAAGAGTAATAAAACCTGATAACAACAATATGAATGATAAAAAGAATAGGAGCCATAAACACACGGCTATAAAAGTCGGAGCAGAGCATGAATTATAATCCGAGTTATTTGTTTAATCCTTGCAATGGACAGAACCAACTCACAGTGTAAAGCGCCATAACATTGGAGTATTTGATTGATTTGGTATGCCCCTGTAGTCAATTGAATTCCGCAACATGAACGCTGGACATAAAAAGTAACCTGTGTGAAACGCTCCATGTAAGGAAAAGTTCACTCATATTCCCTTGATTGAATTTTCTTGAAAGCCAAAAAAAAGGGCAGACAATCGCTAAGAGAAAGAAAGCAAACGAAAACACTTTCCAATGACTTCTCTTCTACTTTCCCTTTCTGGTTAAAAACCTGTCATTTTTCCAACTGCTGGATTGTGTATTTTGAATAGAAGCCCATACAAAACAAAAACAGAAGACTCTTGTCCTTTTTTTCCTTTTTATTGTGTCTATAGAGAGAATTACATATTTTAATCGGATCGGATCTTGAGATCAGACAAATCGACATGAGTGCCACCGGTCAAAGCGCGAGGACTTGCGGCTTCGAAGGATCTGTAAAAAAAGGAGGAATTATTAGAAGCTGCATAAACTTTCAAATATTCGCTTTTTACACTTACTCGGGATATCTCATACGATACATGGGGGCGCGCTGAGCTTCTTGGGTGATCAATCTATGAATTAAACAAAAAGACCTTAGTTTCAACGAGAATCGCTTCTGCAAGGAAATCGAAATTCTACCGGCGGGCAGCGAGTTTGCCAGCATTATCCAATGCTTCAACGGCTACTCGATCGTTTTCAGCATCAGACACCATATGAGAAGCCATCCATCGAGTTAAGGGATGCTTGTTCTATTGTCATGGGCAACAGGAATATAAGTCACTCCATTCACAACCTGATGCCGAGAATCATAGGTGTTCACGTACCTCGCCCGAGCTGGTCAAATGCTGATCGACCTGGTACCAAACAGCACCGAGAGCAACAACGGCAACTGTCTTTTTCCAGATGCCAGCGTTGAAGGCTATTGTGACCGAGAAAAATTATATGAACTGGTAAGCGTCGTGATTCGTGTTTATTTTTCGAAGCTGATCTCAGGTACTAACATTCTTCGGAGAGGGATTGGCCAGCATTCTGAGCGGCGTGATGCTCAGATGCGTAACCGCGCTTGATAATGTGTTGAGCGGGTGCTTTCACTCGTGAAATGAATCTCGAAGCCATCGTGCAGAACGAGTGAAATTAAAGCCAAAAAAAACAAACACAAAAGTAATTTTGGGAAATCCCTCCCCCGCTCGCCCCTCTCATGATTTGTAACGCCGCTTAATCGTGACGTAGCTCTCTCGTGCACTGGATACGAACCAAAGTTGACGAGCTGTCAATCGAAATATACTTGACAATATAGACATGATATTAAAGTAACGCCTCTCTTTATAATGAGGTGAAGCATATGCCTGGTGTATAGTAGCTTATTATAAGATTCATCTGAGTGCATGCAATATTGGTATTACAAAGAGTGAATTCAGGTGGCATAAAAAAAAAGCATGCCAGTTGAAATAATCTACGCAAGTCGTGTGCATTAATTTGATGATAGTGTGTAAGACGCATTAACTTATTCTACTGTTTTTTTCCAAAATCACCGTAGGAATTTTAAAAATTACAGAAAGAAAATCGCAAATTATGATACAGGCAAAAAAAGAGAAAATGACAATACAAGAAAAAGACATAAAAGAGCATAAACATCAAATGATGAGAGCAAATCAAACATAGACAAATAAAAGAAATGGTTGAAATGATTAATTCGCGAGTTAGAAAATGACTAGATTAGGGAGAGAAGAAGACATAAAGAAATCAAAGAAAACAAGAGTCGTCAGTAAAATTATATCTAGGGACAGACAAGCAACGCGGACAACGGAAAAAAAAAAGAAAAAACCTTCGTGACGGGGGCCACCAGCAAGACATCTTCAGCAGGACGGGACCAGATAGAAAGGAAGGGTGCTTGCTACCCCGTAGTGATTAGGTGCCCAATAGGTGCTGCATTGTAATAGAGAAAGAAAGCGGTCAAACGTTGTATTAAATATTGTTTGTTACAGGTTATCGGATATCTCAACTATAAATTTTGGAGTTGTTCGGATGGCCTTTTATTATGGACGCTGTCCATCGAAACATATCATTGCAGTTTCTTTTTTTTTGAAAATTTTAAAAATTTTTGAAATTCCTACGGTGACTTTTGAACTTATTCTACGCAAAGATTTATTGGCGGGTTCAGGACACTAGCTGCCATTTAAATCATACGGTTGTTATGCTGCACACTTGCACTTTGTGACAAAACCATTATCAGGCCCATATTGTTCCCCATCCATGATAGTGCAGAAATGATATTCTTCATAATTGATACAACAAAAATAATATGACACGGGTTTAAGAGGATGACGGTCATCTGGACTAACTAATATGTATGCCTGGGGTCATGGCAGCGATTATGCTGCGGTGAACGAATCAAAAGAGGAAAAAATCATGACTCGCCAAGAGACTGTACGGTTTCTTTCTGCCTTCCTTCCAAGCTTTCAACCTTGTTGAATTCACACCATGACAAACTTACCTGATTATTACAGTATTCTGGACATTCCCGAAACCGCTACACAGGAGGACATTCGCCAAGGTATGGTTCTCATGTCATTATTTTCGCTTTTTGAAAAAGAGCCAAGACTTTTTTTAAACCATACATCGCAGCCTACAAAAAGCAGGCACTGCTTCACCACCCCGACCGTCTTCCTGACACTGCGACGGCCGCTGAACGGGCAGAGCAAACGAGACAGTTTCAGTTGATTGCCGACGCTTATTATATCCTTAGTGATTCCACACGTCGGGAAGCCTTTGATCGAAATAGGGCACAACACAGAACGTTTGCTTCATCCTCCACTGCTGAGCCGACTACATCCACAAACTATGCACATCATATGTTTGGTAATGTCTTTGAAGAACTATTGCGCCCAGAAGGTAAGGAAATGATATTCGATGATCGTTGAGAGTATATGGAGTATGAGCGTGTGATTAACTGTTCCGCCCGATAAAAAGTGGAACATCCATCGCATCTTTGGCGAATCTTGGGTGCTGGTGCGGGAGCGATTCTAGGATTTATTATCGGCAACGTAGGGGGTCTTGCTGTGGTAAGTTCGCGTACAGGTTTTTTTCCATAATAATTGGCAAGTCTGATGGTCTGATGATGTTTGTAGGGTGCTTTTGCAGGAAAGACATTGGGACAAATCAGGGACCACAAAGGTAAAACTCGAAATGAAAAAGGGTTTGTGTAACATATGCATAGCACAAAAACTAATGTTCATGACGATGCACAGGTGTATCCGTTTATACCGCGTTTCAACGATTAGCAATCGAGGAACGACGAGATATCCTAACGGCTTTATTGACCCGTTTCTTCACTCACGGTGCAGCAGGCATGATGAAATAAAACACCCATGATTTATACCACCATGAAAGCAGGAACGTGGACATTATGAAAAGAGCGAAATGCGCTGGTAAACACATGGTGCAGAGAGGGAATATATTATTATTGTTTATTCTTCTCGAGACTGAATGAGTAGGGGAGAAGTTCCTCGATAGTCATTTGCGTAAATTCGCCCTTGGTATTCAAAAGATAGACGGGCATGTTGGCAGGACCGAATTCGGAAATGAATTGTCTAGCAACAAGGGATAGTTGGCATTTGCTATTTTCATGTAAACTACTCACCAACATACCTGCAGATACCGCATGGGGAACAAAACGCATCTTCGTCGGTGGCTGCAGCCAGGGCAACGAACCGAGTGTGCCCTTCACTCTAATGCCGCCGTTGCATTTAGCATGCCATCAATACAACACAAAACAATACAAGCGGAAAACTTACCACAGCCTTGACGTATGCCGTTCTTTCAGCACAAATAGCCCCGCCTTACCAGAATAGCCGTATAAGAAACCAAATAATGGTGGGAAATAGTGTTATATGGCCCAGGGCCTACTTACCGTACGATGCGTTTTCTACATTGCAGCCTGTACAAAACACAAATGAGTCATTTCGACAGTAGCAGAGAGATCAGGGACATTTACCTTGGAACATGGTACCGTCTTCCGCAAGTAATGCCGCTCCTACTCTGAATTTCGAATAAGGGCAGTATGCCTTTTCTTTGGCTACAGGAACAGAGAAGTCAATAAGTATAGCTACACTATCACAATGGATATTATTTGACGCTAACCATCAAGTGCGAGTTGAAATAATTCTTTTCGTCGGTCTTCAGTGAGTGTTTGTCCGGTCATTAGAGATATTTAGAGGGAAAAAAAGGTAAAAAGAAAACGAAACCAGTTCCGGTTGCACATTAATCGAAGCCGTCTGTTTCCCACGTCTTCCCGTGCACGGAGTCACCCAATTCACACACACTCTTAAATCCCGCTGCGCCTGATGGACGGTATATATTGAAATCCTTCTCATATAGGACGACTAGCACCACATGTAACACAACTGTGCTGTTGTATTTAATATGGTATTGCAGCAATAATAATTGTGACATGGCGAAAAAAGTTCTGTCAATTGGACAATTTGTGCAGCACTCATTGCAAATCAATATGTCAGCCCAGAAGATAGCAGGCATCTCCTTAACAGCCATCCGAACATTTGTCGTCAAGGGATATTGGATGAAATAGTTGGCTTGAGGGTTATTGCAACGAGTAACCAATTGTCTTTGGGCCACGGATCGTGTCGGAACGACAAAGTGGTTTTCCTTTTGCAAGATCAAGGCGGACAATGATTGGATGCGTTCGTAATTGGATCCCCGACTGTAGCGCAACCTGTCAGATACAACTTGAAAAGAACAAGGAACGGCAGACAACAATAGGGGCATCCATCGAATCTTTTGGTTGTATTTAACAAGGTTTTCCGGTGCAAGAAAGAAGAAGATGGGGGTAGCTGACAACTAGCAGGATCTCGTATCAAGAATAGAGAAGAGAAGTGTGGAAATCCTTGCAAATAGAAACTTTCTGCACGGATGAATGGTCTCGATATTGAGCCGTGAATTAGCCCCAATTTTGATGCCATAGCGTAACAGCATGGCTTTAAAAGAATGATAAAAAGGTAAAAGGTAAAGACTGGAGCAAGATGATTGGTGAAAAGATCGTATAATGGTATTTATTTAGACACTTGGCGTTTCTCAGAAACAAGTCACTCGCAGCAACCAGAACTTCATTTGCGCAGTTTGAGGGGAAAGCCGTTTGTGCGTACAATTGTTCTCTGTTGTCAACCATTATGAGTCGCCAAGGTCCCGCCAACAAGATCCGCGTGCAGCTCGGTTATGAGGAACAGCACGGCACATTTGCAGCCAACGGTAAGTTTATATGACCCGTTAACAGCCTCGGGGGATAGTTCTCATTCGTATCCTTTCTGTCCACAGATCAATCCAAAATCACCACTCTTCGTTGTGTTTTCTGTAATCAGGTAATTATACTAACGGACAATAATAATTTACTCGACATTAATCACTGCAAAAATGTATTTATTAGGATAAGCAACTGGATGCCTTTTCCAAGACTCAAGTCACGAAAGCCACTTTCAACCGTAAGTAACTTGCCACTGGCTTGTTTGAATAAGGACAATACTGGATAAAAATGACATGATTGGATCGGTTGATAGCCTGGGCTCCTCCTAGCTATAACAAAAAGCAGAAGCAAGTTACGTGTAAAAAGTGTACGCAAACCCAAAGCAAGACGCTCACTTGCATGACCTGCACCAAGACTATGCCACTTGAACGTTTTGCAAAGGTAAATATGTGACAGTCGCCCTCCATAAGAATCTTTTGATTGACGACGTTGGATTGATTTGTGTCATGTAGAGTCAGCGAAGAAACGCCGAAAAAGCTAGATGTCTGAAGTGCATGAAGAAACGTGAAGAGGAAGATGTGGACGACTCTGAACCGGATTCAGACGACTCGGATGACTATGGTTACAAGGAGACATGGCATGACATTATGTAACAATAACGATATATCCAACAAATTCAATGTATCCCATCAGCCCAAAACATCCAGCACTTAAGGAAAAAGGGACTATAACAGCATTTATTAAGGAGTGGTTTGGCTTTTTTTTTTCACTGGATGAATCAACATTCCCTCAACCAAAATAATGGATCGTTTCAAATTGTAAAAAGAAGGGTAATGAAAATCGGCAATCGGGCTGACTGTAATAAAAAAAAACCCCCATTGCGATTATCCGTTTATTCGCAAAGTTGGAAAGTGACGAACTTTCAACCAGTGGAAACGTAAATCTGAGCAGAGAAGAGATAATGCTTATAAAACATATTCACTGTTTACTCTTGTTCAACTAAACTTATTGTAACCGCTGTGAAGAGGTGGCTCATCCCAGAGGTTCGCAACCTCGGCAGGCTGGTGGTAATTGGCTAGGACGCGGTGATGGAGGTCACTATAAAACAACTAGAAAAAGTAGTGAGATTTCAAACGCTGATACGATTACGTGTAATTCTAAAGCTCGGATAACGCGGATGAACCCCGGCGGAGGATCCCCTTTGTAGATATCTACCTTTACACATGGATTCGAAGTTGAAAGCAATAAAGGTAATTATTATTGTTATCACCAGACAGAAAGCCATCCATGTGTATCCACCGCTGATAATGCCTACAGTTCCCCGTTACCCGTCTTATTTACTCTTCTATACTCATTTGATATGCTTTCTTCTGACATAGAGTGACTTTATCTATCTCCTACGAATAGCCCTTCTTCTCTTAGAAAGTGTGAAGCGATGATATATACAGCGGATGGTGCGTATTGGAGCAAAATGGAATAAGCGCTATTTGTTGGCATGGAGTGCCTGCTTGTCCCTATCAGGGAAAAAAAAATTTGACGGCCTTTTTCTGGGGCACATATTGAATGACCGCCGGCAATTGCTTTTTTTGTCCATCAGCTATTTCTATTTTTACGAATTTCTCTTTTTTTGGATTTGCCCTTCCTGCTTTGTCTTCGTCTTTCATTCTGCATTTTGATTCCAAATTGTCTCCCTCATTTTACATTACTGGTAAGCTTTTGCCATGACGACGCGACTCGTCATTATGTACACTCGGCTCTTACTGTTTCTGTATACAGTCTAGTCCAACGCTGTATAGCATTTATCTATTCTTATCGCCCTTCATTCCAAAGACAGCCTTTTATCTCTTTTTTTTTTCCTCCTCATCTGAATGCTCCATCGGTCTCTTACCAAACGACAAACCGATATTACCACTCTGCAAAGCGATCATGACTGGAAAAAGAACAGACGTTATGGCATTGTTATCGATGCAGGCTCTTCCGGTTCAAGAGTCTATGTTTATTCGTGGAAGGATCATGAACATGTAAAGTCCATCACGCCACCCGAGCAACTTAGAGGAAAAATCCCTATTGTGGAACGAGGTGATCAACACGGACTCAAATGGACTCATCGTCAAGAACCCGGTAGGTGTCTCCTTTTGACAGTGGATGCCACCGTCACGGTCGGCACGCTCGTATTGTTCTGACACCAACACTATCGGTTGATAGGCATTTCTACATTTGGATCCAAACCTAGTGAGATCGGTGAACATCTCCGAACGTTATTGAATTTTGCCAAAGAAGTGGTGCCTGAAGAAAATTATACCACTACACCTGTATTTCTCATGGCCACCGCTGGCATGCGTCTTTTGCCAGAATCAGAACAGGCGACCGTGCTCGACGCCACTTGCGCATATATTCGTGACAACTACCCATTTTTTATGAGCGACTGCAATACGCATATTAAAATTATTCCGGGCGAATTGGAAGGCGTCTATGGTTGGGTAGCGACCAACTACCTGATGGGTGGATTTGATCTCAGTATTCAAAACTATATCGACAATGACGAGGGTCAACGAGAGACTCACCACACGTTTGGTTTCTTGGATATGGGAGGCGCAAGCACGCAAATTGCATTTGAACCTGAACATCATCAAAAGGAGGAGCACAAAAGTCACTTGGCCAAAATTCATCTTCGCACATTGGATGGCCGATCCGTGGATTATGACGTCTTTGTTACTACCTTTTTGGGCTATGGTAGTAATGAAGCGCGACGACGCTACTTGGAAGAACGCGTTAAGCAGATGTACGCTCAGGAAAGCGGGAAAAATGTGCTAGACGAACATCACAGTCTTCATTTGGACGAACCTTGTCTTCCTGTGAATTTGAACATCACCGATGCTCATTCCACCAGTGTCCCGCTCACGTTGCATGGAACGGGAAATTTTACGCAATGTCTGGAAGCCACGTCGCCATTGTTGAACAAAGATGCGGAATGTAAAACGGAGCCTTGTCTTTTCAATGGAGTTCACACACCTCACATCGATTGGTCCGTCAATAAGTTTGTAGGAATCTCGGAATACTGGTATTCGTCTCATGATATTCTCGGTCTGGGAGGCGTTTATGACTTTAAAGAGTACGAAACCAAGGCAAGCGAATACTGTGCCAAGGATTGGACCGTGCTGATGTCGGAGCATAAAGATTTGAGCGTCGTCGAAGTTCAGAGATACCAGCTGCAATGCTTCAAATCGGCCTGGATCGTGAATGTCTTGCATAATGGTATCGAAGTGCCGCGTATCGTCGATCCCGGTGGACATCTCAGCGATGATGCCAAACTTCTTGAACAATCCATCGAAAGCGTTCAATCCAAGAACTGGACAACGCCGTTCCAGAGTATCGATACCATCAACGATATTCAGGTCTCCTGGACACTTGGCCACATGGTGCTCCACGTAACGAATCAGATCCCCTTGCTGGACTATCCTAATCAGTTAAGCGGCCACAGCACCGACGACGAAGGGCCACATCAAATTGTAGATGGCGTTGAATTACCTGAACCAGGCGATCATGATCACAGTCGTCCCATTGCCGAGATTTCTCCAAGCAGCAAACCCGGGCTTCTGGACAGCCTGTGGATGGACACTTCGGTCTTTAGTATTGGCATCATGTTGGTCATGATTGCTTGCATTGGGTTCATCTGGTATCTTTATAACAATTCGCGACGGAAACGACGATTCGATGGCGATTATCGACGACTGGATGGCGGATCCAACGGCGGACTTTTAGGAGTCAGTACCGGTACGACGGGCCAGTCGACGCTGGGTAGTGTGAAGAATGCACTGTCGTCCACGATATCACGGAGCGCGGTTTTATTGCGGTATTGGACATCACGGTTGCTGCGAGGTAGAGGCATGTATGTCAACGCGAACAATGGACCATCCGATCCACCGATTGTTACGGAACCCATCAACTTGAATGACAGTGTCAGCATCAACATGAACATGAATACGCCCAACGACAACACCAACGGATCAAGAACAACGCTGGGACCTTCAAAAAAATCGCACAGCTTTGTGTCCAGGAAATATTGGAGCAAAAAACGGTACAGCGGTGACAGTCATAATATTGGAATGCTGATAGCGAACGGGAAGCCCGGTAGCTATCATGGAAGTGAAGGGTCAGGAACCTTGCCATTCCGTAGTTCATCATCAGCATTTGGTCTGGCGAATCGGAGCAGCAGTACTTCGAATTTAACAGCGCGTACAGGCAGTTCACCAAACCTGCATGGTCTCTCGACAATGTCCATCGAACGAGCTCCTTCGCCTTTAGCCGGTGAAGCCATGGGTGCCTCGGCTAGTCGACCCACATCACGAATTGGATTTGCGATTCATGAATTATCTGACGAAGATGAGTATGCTCTTAGTGATGGTCCACTCTCGACCCGGCAGCACCGAGAAGCTCCCGGTACGACTGCGGCCTCCACTCATGCTTGGCTTCCCAGCGACTCCAGTCCCCGTGGTAGTCCTCGAGCTAGTCTTGATGATCGAAGGAAACCGATAGAAAAGAATACGTAAAAAAAAGCTAGACCTTTTGTATAATTTCCATCTTTGCATGGAATGTTCATTTATCATTTTTTTTCTTCTTTTTACACATATTATACCACATAAAATCGTCATTAATTTTTTATTCAATCCCAAGATGCAGAATCTCTTTCGGCATATTTGATCATGGCGGCCCTCTAATAATTTCATCTTATGTGCTCTGTCTTCAAGCAAGGCTGGCTCTACGCAACCACGACTGAATGGAGCCCTGATAAAATAATAATCCACGGCAACCTTTGATGTTTCGAAGTTTTGGAGTGAATTCAAGGTACTTTGAGAAAGCACTTTGTAGAACTCCGGCAACAGTTGGCCTTGCAACGAACAAGCTGAGTGGATATCGCCTACTCTGCGTTTCAAATGGCGGAGCGCGATTGCAAAGAAAAAGTGGGTCACTGCGCCATTCAATGTCAAAGCGGCTCAGGAGAATGAAAGACTTGGTGCCTGCAAGTGGTTGCAGTCGGAAAAAAAAATTAGGCATGCGGCAGTCTGTTGTGAATAATAGTCAGTTTCACTGTCAAGGTAAAAAAAAAGACAAAACAGTAATTCGTGTCGGCATAACAACTTGGAAGTCACCATCACTCCCGTAAGAATCGATGCGAAGGTGGCTTCCGTGTTGTTATGCCAATACCATTTGGTTTCTTTTTGCCATGACAATGGAACTATTCACTATCCACAACAGACTGAATAATGACTACCCGACAAAGCTGTCACCGATGCCTGCATCGGCGCGTCTGTGCTGTCGGAAAAACACGATCGTGCCCTGAAGTTATCAAAGATGGTTCCTTTTTTTTTCATTGCGGAGCAAGGGGGCCTCAAGGATATGGAAATTTTTCATTGGGTGAACGCGCTTTTAATCTGCATAGAATTTCAACGGTTCTCAGGTTGAAATCGATAACGTAATATGTCCATTTTGTCCTTGCAGCTGCCAGAACTATGCAATTAACTTTTTATAACAAGGCTAAGTATTGCCAAAGTTCATCACAGAGCTTACAATACGACTTGAAATGCTGCTGTAGCCCAGACTAATTGTAGGGACGCATCAATGATTCGGGCACTTATGGCACGGTATCAGCAGCCGCTCGCAACGTCCGTAATATCGAATCGTTACAATTGCTTTACTAACATAATAAAGCAGATTGCGATACATTTGACTGGCTTGTCAATTGCCTCTTTCTATTGCTTTGCTAAGAATGAACGGGGGCGCCGTGTATCTGATCATATTATTCCGCCGACCCGGTGACAGAAATACTGGAAACAGAAAAGGATATAAGGTGTGACACAAGAGTGGTTACAAAACTCTCTTTTTTTAAAACTCCCGTATGATTACTTTAAATTATCTTTCCATCTATTTTTATTAATAGCCCTTCATTTTTCTTTTCCGTTTTCAATTTCATTCTTCATTTTTTCTGTATTATCTTTGATCCTTTCGGCCTTGTCCCGATGAGCAATGTTTACGTATCTTTTGAGGATCAGAAAAGAGAGGATGCGGAGCTCAACCTCAAGGCAATGGGCACGCAATTGGGGATCAATCTTGGTATATCCATTGTTGTTCTAGCTGGTTTCAGCTGGCTCAGACCACGGCATTCCTTGGTCTATGCACCCAAATCCAAGTTTGCAACACCAGAGTATGTCAATGCAATTCCTTTCGACGACTATTCCAATCTCAATCTCTTCTCGAACGCTCATATATTTATGCCTACTGTAGCAAACAACCGCCTGTCATTACGCCGGGGTGGTTCGCTTGGATAAAATTGGTGTACTCGGCAACGGACGATTTCTTGATGGATCGCATCGGCTACGATGCGGTGCTCTTCTTACGCACGATTCGTCTCTTCAAGAACCTTTTATTGATCATGTCACTCCTCGGTATATGTGTCCTCATACCAATCAATATTGTCGCTACACGATTTACAGGGTAAGTTAGGGTCTCAAGATATCATGAATTCTCGCTTGGGGGAAATCAAGCGCCAAAAAAGCTTCAAAGGAAAAAAAAAATTCGATGCTAAAAATTGCTTGTGTGCAGCGATTGGCCGCCACCGCCGGGGCTTGACTTTCTTTCTATTTCAGGCATCAACTACCTTCATGGAAAGTTACGACCAGATCCCGATATCCGATGGTATTGGTCACCATTTGCAGCCACGTGGATATTTTCCATCCTCATCATTTATTGTACATACCGCGCTTCGAATGACTATGTCCGCATGCGTCAACGATTCTTTCAACAATCCAAGAGCGACAACACACTTCTCATTAGCGGGGTTCCAACCCCGATGCGCTCGGACGAAAAGCTTAAAACGTGGCTCCAGTCATTTAACGTGATCCAGTACCCTATTCAGCAGGCTCTGATAGGTCATCACAGCTCCAAATTGATCAAGTTAATCAAAGAACACGAAGAAGCCGTACATCATTTGGAAAACGCATTGGCTTCCTATCTAAATGGTAAGTTCTTCGTTGGTCTTGTGTCACACAGTGCAACCATCCATTACAATCTTCGCACGCGTTCCGTTTTATCAACTCATCTGAATTTTGCCTTTTATAGACGGTAAGCATATTTCTCAAAAACGACCGAGCGTAAAAGTTGGCGGCTGGTTAGGCTGTGGTGGCCGGAAAGTCGATGCCATTGAGTACTATACGAAGCAAGTCAGTGACCTGGATCAGGAAATCAAGCAGTCACGGCATGAAGTGAAAAAGGTAGCTCCGTATGGCTGGATAGCTTTTGACCAACCTTCGTGGGCTCATAATGCCAATCATGCACTTCAAATGTTGGCACGACGTTTGCGCAAATCAGAAGAGGCATTGAACATGGATGTCCGTATTTCGCCTCCACCGAATGATCTGATATGGTCCAATTTACAAATGGATCATCGAACACGACATATCAGGCGATGGGTGGGCCGAGCCATTTATTGGGGCTTCACATTGGCTTGGTTTATACCTATAGGTGCTTTGTCAGCGACCTCCAACGTTATCAATATCATCCGCCTGCTGCCCAACTCTCAAGAATTCATTGACAATCATGAACTGCTCATGGGTGTTATTCAAGCATGGTTCACACCGATTGTCATGGCCGCGTTTTTCTTCCTGGTGCCCCTCTTTTTTCGCTACCTGTCCCAGCAGCAAGGCTACCGTGCCGAAACCACCTTGGACCGAAAAGTGTTTCTCAAACTGTATACATTTTTCATCGTCAACAACCTGTTGGTATTCACCTTGATATCGATCTTTATCGGTATCTATGGTCAGCTCGGCGCTCTCGCACATGCAGGATCGATCAGTAACCAAGAACCCATTTCTGAATACCTTTTACAATTGGCCAAGAACATTGCCGACGTATCAACCTTTTGGATCAATTATGTATGCATTAAAGCGTTGGGCATCACTATGGAATTGGCTCAGTTACTACCTTTTATTATCATCACCTTGCGCAAATGGATCACACGACCTAGCCCTCGTCAATTGCGCGAATTTGCTCAACCGCCCAATTTTGATTACCCTCAAAACTACAATCTATTACTGTTCTTTTTCACCATCGGTCTTGTGTACTCTGCCATTGCTCCACTTGTTCTTCCTTTTGCGCTTTTGTACTTTGTCACCGCCACAGTCGTCTACAAGTACATGCTCATGTACATTTTCGTCACCAAGATCGAAAGCGGAGGCAAGATGTGGCCGGCTATATTCCAGACCATGATGATTTCCACCATCCTGTTCCAGGTGATCATGATCATCATTCTCAAACTCAAAGGCGGCGACCTTCAATGCTATATCCTGATTCCTCTTCCCGTCTTGACCGTGGTGTATCAGTATTTCTTGTACCGACGCATGCACGTGCTGGGTTCGTTTTCGAGCGGTTCAGCGATAACGGAGTCTCAGTTGGCGGTCATGGAGGAAATGGTTCCTGTGAAGAAGAAAACCACACATCACTCCTTGGCGCAGCAATTCCGTGATCCAATGCTTCACAACACTTTGTCGACTCCGATGATTCATGACGATGTGAAGCATCTTTTACCCAAAGTATATCACCACAGGTTTAGCACCCAACAACAGATCGAAATGGAAGATACCAAAGGAAACCTTGGCACGGTCCAACCATTCCAGGGCCAACGAGACAAAAATGCACACAGACTAACAGTAATGCAATTGGATGGAGGTGGTGCTATTCAATTCAATACAGTCACCGAGAACCAAGTACTGGAGCCTGAAGAAGAAGAAGAAGATCGTCTCTCCGAAGCATCTTTAGCCCGCGAATCGTTGTCTCCGAACCCATTTTCGTCGCAAAAATCGCTAGCACACTCCTCTTTGTTCCAGGAATCGTTATCGCACAACGCCACTGATGACGAATTCCGCGGTCTGGTCGTCAATGATCATGCCGAGAGTTACTGGCAACAACAGCAAAAGCGAGATACCTACGAAACCAGCGTGAAGGAGCGATATTCCAAATATTTGGAATCAGAAGAGGAGGAGATAGCCTCCATTCACGAAGCAACCGTTGGCCGACGAAAAACCGTCGATACCATGCCTATTTTGCTGAGCGAAGGGTTGCAAAGTCTGGTGGCGCCCGCTGGTACAGTTGGACCTGCGCGTCATACCGGGGAACAGCAACCACGGACAATCACGTCCGAGCTTGTGGATATCTATGAATCTTGGATACCCGAGGAAGTATCAGAAAAAAGTGAATGGAGTGATTGCGATTCCGAAGATATTCAACCATTGTCTTTGCACGAGTTTGGTGCCACCATCGATCCTATCGCCATTGCCAAACGGCAATCGGCACCGCTCCTCGTGCAAACATGGACTCAACCAACAGAAACCGAAGAACCTGCAACGGAGCATGATATTCCTACGATCCGACGATCCCGATCTTTGCCAAATTTGCAGGTTCACGCTGAACCAACCTTATTATCTGACAGCACACCGCCCCCAGTGGCACTGCAGCGACAAGTTTCAGCTCCCGTACAACGCATTGCGCATCGCAAAAAACGCCCTGCCAGTCCGTTATATACCCCACTGCAACGCAGTAAATCAGCCACAGCTCGTTATGGACATGGTAGAAAAGACGAAATAGCCCGAAATAGCGCTCTGGAGGAAGATGTGTTCAAAGCCGTGCCCACATCACTGCAGAGAAGTAGAACTTTACCCAATAGGACACAGCAAAGACGGCCTTCGTCGTTGTCCTCCCAGACTCAACTGCATCGCAGTCGCACGGTTGCTTCTTCACATACTCATCGTGAATCCAATTATCGTATCACTTACTATGACGAATTACTGGACGATCCGCATACCGATTCGGATAGAGATACATTGACAGATATCAGCTCAATAGTCAATACCACAACACCCAATCCCGAGGACGATCCTTTTCGCGGCTAACGAACTGTAATTTTTGGCATCAAATTACCTATCGCATTACTATAGATATATAAAACTTATTTATCGTAATTTTTCAATTGTCGGGTAGCCTCCAAAACCGGTTCTTCAAACAAAAAAGGTACTTTGATGGGGTCGCTAAACTTGATATTATCTTATTTACGATAAAAGTCGGTTGCGAATAGCGCGATCACTGTGCATAGAAAAAAAAGAAAAAAGAAAAAAAAAGGAACCAGGCATCACTGATTTTCAGTTGGACGACCTTTTTTCTGAATCGTCGGCTGAGTTACAAAGATTTGATTTTCTTCAGGTCACTGGGATGAATCCCTTTTTGTGTACAAAAGGACATGGCTTTTACAGATGAAGACGCGAACGCTGAATTAGAAAAACTCCAGCAGAACATTACCCTTACCCTTCAAGCTATTGATCAAAACTTTGCTAAATGCAATCAGATCGTTTCATCGAGCATTCTACCAGCCGTGGATAAGTTTGCTGAAGCCAGTAAAGGCGTGTGGAACGGTAGCAAGGTTCTTAAACTGATGTTGAACATGTTTAGTTGCTGTGATACTAATGTGGTGCAACTATGTTTTAGTTATGGCTCTACTTTTTCCAGTCACTTGACGATGGGCATGGACTGACGCGCACAGACGACGAGATCATGGGTTCCAATCGACCGCCATTAGGCGCTTCGACTATTGCAACGACACCGGGGGATCGCACAACAACCGATTTGCGCGGACGATCGCCGTGGCAACGTCTAAACAACGAAATGAGTTTGGAAGCTGTATCGGATACGTCATCATTATTACCAAGTATGACCCGCCACCGCGCATTATCACCCACATTGTCCCATTCCGATCATAAACTGCTGGGCAAAGTATTACGACGCCAATTCCATGAACATGCCTGTACACCGGCACCGTTGTCTGTTTCTGACGCATTTAGCACGGTACAACGCGCGTGCAGTGAATCGTCTTCGTCATCACGTACAGGCGATCCCACCGATCAGAATGGCTTGTCACCTCCTCGCACCATACCCTTTGGTATTTCGCCCTCGCGTTTAATAGGAACCCCGCAACGGGACGCCGCCAAGATTATCACTGAGGATCTACTGGCAGCTGCTGGAGCAGGCAGCCCGCCGTCGTCTTCATCGAATACCGGAAGCGCACGAATGATGGATCATGCGGAACATCGATCGAATAAAAGCACGACGTTATGGGATGGAAGCGCGTTGAGCAAGGCCGACGATGAGGGACGGGAACATTTTGAACAATTTATGAAGAACCGACAAGAAAGACTACAACAGATGGATCCAGAGGAGGAGTTGCAGGCAGTCTATGGTCGGTTTGTGTCACCGTATCAGGCCACGACACCGATGTACAGAAAGGCCACCACGCCCATGGTGAGCACACCGACGGTAAAAAGAGTATTTGAAAGCTACAACCAGGATTTGCGAGTATCGAAACGGCCGCAGCACGACGATGATAGCTGGCATAATGTATCCCGATCCGTAACTAATAGCGAATCAGATGAGCGGAGACGGGCACCACCACAGGATGATGATTTCGATCTTCCCTCGTTTAATCAGCCGTCATTTAGCCAATTGTCGTTACCCGACATCCCGAGCGAGCCGGGGGATGTGGCTTACGAATTCTCGCAAGCATTACCTTCGCACCGTGCGATTGCGACACCCGGAATGAGTGAAAATGGAAGTTTGAGAAGCGGTGAGTCGACGCCAAGTATGATGTCGATGGTGAGTGGCATGTCAGGTCAAATTCCTGTACGGTTCAGCCTGAAATACTTCCCCAGTTCGTTCCAATCACCGCCTGGTTCCACCCAGTTGACTCGTCTGCATTCCATTTTCGCGGATCGACCTGGTCAAGTGTTGACGATGGAGGATATCCTGACCATTGTGGAAGACGCCAACCCACCTTATAACGAACAGAATCTGATAGTCCTCTTGGACATGCTCAAACGAAAAAAGTTTATCAGAAAGACCAGCCAAGGGTGGTCCATTCGCCGTTAAAATGCATATGTACATAGAAACAACTTGTCTTATTGACTATCATCTGGGAATATCAAAGCATAATAGTACTAATAAATAACCAACTCAGGCCGTGCTTGTTCGCTTACTGATCTCTTGGAGCCAACACCAGAACCTATCATGTCAAGTTGACTAAAAGCAGAGGAACATAATTCATCTAATCTTTTTGTGCTATCTGTCATATGCTGATGCTGAAGCGCAGTGAGCCAGGTTGTCGAACGATCATATACCCAATGGATTATGCGGGAACTTGACAGAATCTCCAGGATTGACATGGATCATTTTAGGCCGTCTCACTTTTTTTTTTACGCCATCACCCATAATGTGCTCAGTGTGGTGGTAGTGAATGCTTCAAAGCCAGCATCCCATTTACCGTTTATCCACCGTATAATTTCCCTTCTCTACCGTTTTTGACGCATTCACTTATAATGAACTTGTATGCATATGCCATATCACTCATTTTTCCCAACGTTATTCTTTTTAATTTTTTATCAATGCAGATAGTGTTGTGCCTATCAAAATTCCATCATTTGTTTCATCAAGTCGCTTCTTTCATAGCAATGTTTCAGATATCCTGGTGGTCAATTTGTCTCAAACAAATGAAATAAAAAAGAAAACTGGGTAGGCATCGGAACGGTCACAGTCACAGTCAAGGAAACAGAAAGAGCATATTTAGGTCTCCATTCCCAGTAGATGTACCCTCTGATAACCTCTTTGTAGGGCTGTAATGCAATCGAGAAAAGACGGAAGATGAAATTAGTGACATAAAATCTCTGTCGTGGTTGATGTAGAGGTCAAACAATTCGGCGTCATTCAGGTCTGGTTCGAAGAAGGGGCTGGGCCCCGTTTGTGGCTGCCCTTTTTTCCTCAGAATGATGCTCCTTTTTCATTGCTTCGTATTGAAACATGACATCGTACGTTATTTCCATTTGAAGAGAAGTGACACAGTGTTGAACGATCTTTCGTCATAGTCATTTCCCTAAAAAGAAGTGAATGGCCTAAAAAAGAGGTCGGAGTCCGAAAACTGGCTGTAATTTTTTTATTTTTTTTACAGACGCTTCTTTGAGTACCTATTCTTCTTTTTTTTATTTCTTGTTCTGTCTTGCACATCTTTTTCAACCTTTTTTTTTCTTCACTCTCATGCTAACGCAAATTAAAAACTTATTCAAGCCGAAGAAACAGTCTGACGCCAAAATGAATGGTACGTAAACAGACCCAAGCCAATCGTATGCGCGTTTCATGCTCTTCAAGGGGGGCTTTTCACTGATGTTCTATTTTGGATTGTTTTTTTTAGCAGACGAAGAAGAATGGGAACGAACCGCCAATGCTGCTGTACGCTTAGTGGAAGAAGAAAAGCAGCGAAAATCCCAAATGCCGCAATATCCCGGATTAGAACGATTTGATATCATTGAGAAAATTGGCGAGTATGTGTCTCCATGGGCATTCACTCGGCCCCACCGGTCTTGTTTCAATTTCCCAATTCTTACCTTTAAATTTTTGGGGATTTCCTCTAGTGGTGCCTTTTCCAATGTTTACAAAGCTCGCGATACCAAGACCAACAAAATGGTGGCCATTAAAGTGGTTCGCAAGCGCGAACTGGATGCTTCCGATGTAAGTTACGAAATGAGTCTTTTTCGATAAATCTCATGAATGGCTCATTGACCGCTGCTGTAGATGGGTCGCACGCATTTGCATCCCAACATGAAGAAGAAGACCAAAGTCACAGAGGTATGTCTTTTTCTTTTCGATACTTGTGGATGATGTTATTTTCAGTGGAATCGATAGGCTTTGGTCTATTTTAATTTATGCCGGGTGTTGTCTGGTTACTGATTCATTATTTTTATTGGTTTGCTTTTTTTAGCGTGCAAATATTATGAAGGAAGTGCAGATCATGCGCAATATTAAGCATAACAACATTGTGCAGCTCATTCAATTCACGGAATCAGATGATTACTACTTCTTGGTGCTTGAATTATGTCAAGGTGGCGAACTCTTCCATCAAATTGTGAAATTGACGTATCTCAGCGAACCCCTTGCACGTCACGTCATTGTGCAAGTGGCACAAGGTATCCACCATCTTCATGAGGAATGCGGTGTGGTGCATCGGTAAGTCCACCATTGTTTTTTTTCTTCTTCAAGTAATACAAAACAAAAAGGAACCATTCATTGATAAATGCATTTTGTTTATTTTTTCCTTTTTCCACGGGATGCCTCTTAGTGATATCAAACCCGAGAATATTCTGTTTGAGCCTATTCCTTTCATCCCTTCCGAAAATCCCGAGAATGCATTTGACGAGGAAGACAAGGAAGATGAAGGAAAATTCACAGAGGGTGTCGGTGGTGGCGGTATTGGCGTTGTCAAACTTGCCGATTTTGGATTGTCCAAGGTTATCTGGGACAACTCCACTTTGACACCGTGTGGTACTGTTGGCTACACCGCTCCCGAGATTGTCCGCGATCAAAAGTACTCGAAATCGGTGGATATGTGGGCCATTGGTTGTGTCCTTTACACCATTCTGTGCGGCTTCCCACCTTTCTATGATGAATCCATCCGTGCACTTACCGAAAAAGTGGCCCGTGGCCAGTACACCTTTTTAAGCCCTTGGTGGGATCCGATTTCCGATTCGGCCAAAGACCTCATCTCGCATTTGCTGTGCATCGACCCTAACCAACGTTACACTATCAACGAATTCTTTGAACATCCATGGGTTACCGGAAAGCCTTTCCCTCCGCCCCAACCACAGCAGAACGCGAGCAATATCCCTGTGATGAAGAAGCAAGGTGGTGACGCACGAATGCAAGCTATCCAGAATGCGGCTGCCAAGGCCCAGCGACAGCAACAGCAGCAACAACAACAGCCCGCTTACGCTTCAGCGCTTCCTACTCCTGGAGCTCACGACCTTGATACCCCGACCACAACCCGACGAAAGGATCTCTTTTCCCCCGACGTGGCCTCTATCAAGGAAATCTTGGATATCACTTACGCCGTGCAACGTATGGGTGAAGAAAAAACAAAACATGGACAACATCGCCAACATCATCAGCTTCATGCTGTTGACAGCTACGATCAGTCATGTTCTTCGGACGAAGACGAGTCCTCTGAAGGATCCCAGGATGCATCGCCACCCAAGTCAGCGGCAGGTTATTCAAACAAGGATAGAATGGCCATGGCTGAACAATTAGCTCATGACGGACGTGGTGTGGCTGGTAATTACGGTGGTAAACATACCATAAGCCATCCACAGCAACAACAGCAATCGAATATGTCCACGCCCTTGTCCAGAAGACGCAAGCATGGATTCCAACTCGATATGGGTAATGCCACTATTTTGAAGAACAGAAAAGTCCAACCACCGACCATGAATGGAGCTCCTGTCTCTGTTCAAAACTAGAAGAAGATCGGATGTTCTATTTCCAATCTTTCGGAATTGACCGCAGTAATACGATCCCTTTCAGTGGGTATTCTAAGACTTTTTTTATCACCATTTTCCGCCCATTGTATGTACATTAATTTGATTTCCTCTATTTTTTCTTTTCTATGTTGCTTCTTTTCTTTCCTTTTTGTTCCTTTTTATTTCTTTTCTATATCCTTGAATTGTGTTTTGTTTATTTATAAAAAGTTGCATTGTATTTTAACGCACCAACAGTCCTTTTTTCATAATATTCAATTAACCTAATGATGTGGTTTGTAAACACGTTTCTATCATGATGACGTATGGTCACCATGATTCCCCTCGCCTGCCGACTGCCCTCGTCCACGTCCTCGCCCTCTACCGCCACGACCACGGGAATTGCCTCGGGAATAACCGCGGTGGTTGCCACGGTGATCGCCCCGGTAAGCACCACGTCCTCGGTTGGAAGAGACTTGATCATTCTCTGGTTTGGAGAACTCGGTTGCTGTCGCAGTAGTATCCGTTTTTAGCTCCGATGGTGGATTTACGGATCGAGGTTTAACTCTGTAATAAGCCTGCTCCGGTCGAGGTGGTCGTTCCTTTGGTACACTCGAGGGGACGGATGCATTTTCTGCAGCAGTAGAGGACGGCTTTGCGTGCGATTTCTCTTTTGCGTCACGATCATGCTTCGTAAATCTTGCTTTGTCAGATGATGGGGAAGGGTCGTTTTGCTCTCGGCTTCTCTTTGGTTTTTCTTTTTTCGTGGCCTCGGATGATGGCTCGGATGTGGTGTTGGTTGCTGGTTTCCTGGATTTCAACGGCTTTTGGGACGGATCCTTTGGCTTTGGCTGCTTTTTGACGATTTCTGACTCGTTTAGATCTTCGGTCGATATATCCTTGGGCGTTTTACTAGGTTTCTCATCGCGATTCTTTCGTGGCTTCTTTTCTTTCGTCTTGTCCTTTTGATCACTCGTATCCTTGGGAGGCTCTTTTGTTGATGCTTCCTTTCCTTTGCCCTTTTGTTGCTTCTTGCCACGGTCTTTAGCTGGCTTCTCATTCTCTTTTGCCTTTGGCTGGTTCTTCTCATGATCTTTTGCGTTTTTCTTTAAAGGTTCTTTTTGTTTCACAGGCTTATCGCTTAGTTTATCTTGTTGCTCGCTGCTCTTTGGAAGCTTGCCGGTATGACTCTTCTCCTTTTCGATTGGCGTGGTCTATTGTAAAATAGCACAATAATAAACAATTATCAGTGGACTGGTATATCTCTGCGCGATAATTAATTTTAGTAACCCACCTTGATTTTGAAAGGGACAAATGGAGGAGGTCCTTCGGTAGTGCTTGCATCATCCCCGCCACGACCAAGATAACGTTTAACAAATTGCTGTATTCCATATGGTATTTTGTTAGAAAAAAAAAAGTAGTTTGAAAAATCCATCAATAGCATAATTTTACCTTGCCGGCTCTCCATGCCTGCACCAGCTCTTGTACGTGGCCACCAAGCTCTTTCAACATGCCAGGGCCGAGTAGCAGCAGTTGTTCACGAATCTCAATGGGTTTCAGCACCAGAAATTTGGTGCCAGGCACAGAATGAAGCCTATCATTTCCTTTCAATATAGACGATCTTAAGCTACTAAATACGTTTCAAAACACGAACTTGATACAATCAACGGCGCCAAAGTATTCTACGCCTGTCCACTTCTTTTTACCGCCGTCGGTGAATGTTATTCGCAACAGTCGCGGTGCATCGGTTTGATGAGCTAATGGCATGGCGACGTTGCGCACTTCAAGCAACTGTAGCACAAGAGGACTCGGAAGTGTAGATACAGGCTGCATGTCTCCTTTGCGGAATCCTTTGGAGCTCAACTGACGTAAATCCATCTAAAGCGGCGGGTCAACATTCAGGTATTGCATTCATTCTGCTGACCCCATCTTTATAGGCCTTACATGTAATGCAGTCGCGATATAATCGTCTACGGTTTGAGTTCCCTTGTCGTCATCGAATTCATCTTCTATCAAGGCCAAGCCTTCTTCACTGAGATACCAGCCTTTGCTTTCAAATTCTGTTAATGGTGGCCTAGGCATGTTATGGTATGTGGAAAAAAAAAATCAAAGTGCATCTTTTAGCGCTGCTTAATTTTACGATTTTTATCACGGCCTGAAACCTCAACGCAACTTGCTCCCAAGGCGATAAATGTATTAGTAGTAAGGTTTATTTCTTTTTCTATTCTTCCTTGACACCCACTAGCAGAAGAAGAACGAGACAAGATGCCAATGCTAAAATAATAAAGAAACACAGGAACAATGATCGACGTTTTTTTTTACGCGAGACGCTTGGGAACACCTTCATCGTTCAAAAGGGATTCACTCTGTTCCAGCACACGGGGACCGTCGTGACACTTTGTGTGCAATAAGCGGCTGACACTGCCTTCAGGATGGACAGGAATGACATTTTCGTTGAAGGCGGAATGACCTTGTGGCTTGAATTCACCGCTCATTGATTGTTCTCCCAGAACTTGATAATGATCGTTGAAATAGTTATCGTTGTTGGATGGGAAATAGTGAGCAATGAGCTGAATAATCTCGCGCATATTTTCCTTGGGAGCGTAGATCACGGCATTTGGACCGGCGTCGTAAGTGTAAGCGGCCTTGAGCTTACCGTCAGGGGAACTGGAGTTGTACTCATGGATCAATCGAATAATGGCACGGGACGTATCGTTGAGGTAGAAGATGGGAGGATATGTGTCGAGACAGACAGCGTGGAACTGGTTCGAATCACGCATGGTCAATTCGGCAAACGATTGGAAATCCTTGCTAAGGATAGCGTCTTTCATGGCCTGCATACGTTCGGGAACGATCTTGACGCGCTCTTTCATCAGAGGGCTAGTTTGAATAGTATGCTGCATACCTTCGGTGGAAGAAGTACCCTTTTTGGCATCGGACACAACGCAGATCAAAGCTTCCAGCTCGGGCCAATGGGTTTCGGGAGCGATCTGAACTGCACGAGAATCCGAACCGTCGTCCTTGTCACCCATCTCCCAAGCGACAAAACCACCAAACAAGGAACGGCAAGCTGAGCCGGAACCCTGACGAGCGATGCGAGAGAGGTCGGACACGCTGATGGTAAGCTCGAACAACTGTGACAAAGTATACACGAGAGCGGCCAAACCCGAAGCACTGGAGGCCAGACCAGCGGCAGTAGGGAAATTGTTCTCGGAGCAGACGTGAACGTGGTAAGTAGACAAGGGTTCCAAAGGTTGGCCTTTAGCCGCCGCGTCATCTTCCATCTGCTTACGAAGTGCACGGGTTTCACGGAAACAGTTGTGCATGCGCTTATTCTTGGTAATGTCCTCTTCCTTGCCATTCAGCCAAAGACGATCCTTCTCGAACTCCTTGGCAGCCGAGATGGTGGTTTTGCTGTGAAGAATGTCCTGCGATAAAGTCACTGACAACGAGTCATTGGTAGGCAGAATGAGCTGCGTGTCGCGTTTTCCCCAGTATTTGATAACCTAACCACTCGACCATCAGGATCATTCACGGTCAACTACAACAAGGGGCCCTAAACTTACGGCAATGTTAACAGGAGCTGTACAAGTAACGGTCTTCATGATGAGAATGGAGAGGAGATGATGAAGGCGATGAACAAGAAAGACCGAAAAAGAAGGGAGGTGTCTGTGTGCTTCCTTTTTCAAACACCATCAATTTTTTTTCTTTATTTTCGATAGCCGCATCCCGAAAACAGAAGCAAAAAAAAAATGGCATTTTGACAGCTCCGCCTCTTTGCTGGTTTCTCGCCAGACCATTTCTGCTAACACTTCTACAAGTAATCCTCTATATACTCGCTATTCAGGCTCTCTTTTATGTTCGTTCCTTGAATTTAATCGCTTCTTTCCTGCTTGTTGCTACTGTTGTTATCAACTAAGGTTATCCTTATTGCTATGCAACAGCAACCTTATTTTTAGATTTGTCAGGGGTCAATATCGCCATTGGGCGGTAGGGATGATATGCACATGTCCGGCTTTATGCTTTTCATGACACTCAAGATTTTGCAATGTACCTTTTTTTTTTTTTGTTCAGGCCGACTATAGCTGAGGAACATAATGGAATGGGAAACAGAGTGTGGTTCAGAGGTTGCGGAATGGAATTGATACAAATTAAAGAAAAAAGAAAAAAGAGAGATAAGTTTTCCTCGAGCAACAAGCTCGCCAAGGCCACCGTACTAAACGATACAACTATCATATTCGTTCTTTGCAGCGGTTCATCTCTAGTCACCAACTTCGAGTGGAAGGAACGATGTTCAGCTGAAATTTAAACTCAGCGGCGCATGCCCAAAAAAGAAAAGAAAAAGTGCAAAAGGGAATCCCGTAGTGCCGTTTGTCTCATTGATCAGTTCGTCTATGCTCTTTACAGCTCGTTTATGGATCTCTCGATCCAACCGTATCGCTGTTCATTCGATATCGACCAGTAGCAAATTATATCGCTCGCATACCCTTCATTTTGCAGCAAGACGATGGCATCACACCCCTGTTCGTGTACGATTCGCGCCTAGCCCTACAGGACAACTGCATTTAGGTGGTTTACGGACTGCTTTGTTCAACTATCTTCTTGCCAAGAAAACTGGCGGTCAATTTATTTTGCGTATTGAAGACACCGATCAGGTAATGTTGCCTGCACCTCCCTGACATTCTGATTGCCTAACGCATGCTGATCGGCCCACCAGACTCGCTATGTCGAAGGAGCAGTGGAAAAGTTGGTCTCGGCCTTGTCCTGGGCCGGTATTACGTATGACGAAGGTAAGAACAATGCCTGAATGCTTACAGCATGGGTGCTTATGCAAAGGCTTTTAGGTCCTGGATGTGGTGGTCCGCACGCGCCATACTATCAGGTAAACAATAATGTCGGAAGATCTGCCATTGTACAGATTGTTGACAGCAAAATCTTGCACAGTCGGAAAGGACAGATCTTTACCGAAAGTTTGCCAATGATTTGATCGAGGTAAAAATACTCACATTGGGATCCTGGAATATGGGAGGCTGATTTGTCATATAGAATGGTCATGCATATCGATGCTTTTGCACTCCGGAACGGTTACAAAAAGTGCGCGAATCAAGACATAAAACAGGAAGAACGGTAGCTTATGATAAGCACTGTTCGTATTTGAGTGACGAGGAAATTGAAGAACAATTATCGCAAGGCAAAACTTTTACAGTTCGACTTAAGGTGAGTTTACTGGATCCAGTTGGATACATGGCATCTGCAGATGGATGGTCCCTGACGAAAAGAGTCACATATAGGTGCCTTCAGAAGGATCGACTGAATTCAAGGATTTGGTCTATGGCCAAATCCACTTTAATAACAAGACGATTGAAGATACAATCTTACTCAAAAGCGATGGGTATCCGACGTATCATCTTGCGAATGTTGTGGATGATCATTTGATGGGTATTACACACGTTTTACGAGGAGAGGTAAAGGCATTACATCTCTCAGCATGGAAACATGACCAGAGTAATAGGTAAATTAATGGAGAGCTTTTTAGGAGTGGATTGCGTCGACGCCCAAACATTTGTTACTATACAAAGCTTTGGGATGGTCCAGTCCCCACTTTGCCCATTTACCGCTGCTGCTCAATGCCGATCGCACGAAACTCTCTAAACGAACCGGAGATGTCCACGTCGAGCAATACATCGCCAAAGGCTATTTACCAGAAGCCGTCATTAATTTCGCAGCACTACTTAGCTGGCATATGAAATCCGAAGAGGAGATTTATACCATTGATCAATTAATTCAAGCTGTTAGTCCCAATTGCGCGATCATACCTGTGAAGTTAAGATCCTGATATTCATTTTTTTTTTCTTACAGTTCGATCTTGCCGATCTGAATAATTCAGGGGCTGTAGTAGACATTGCAAAACTCGATTGGTTCAACAAACATCATCTTTTGAGACGAGCAGAGACAGCCGAGGGTCTAAAAAGTCTTGTGGATATGTTGGTGCCGTCCGTGCATTCTCAATTTGGTTCAATGTAAGTGTCCATGATCTACCCATCAATGAGAACCTGTTACTCATCATTTTTGTAGATTAAAAGACAGGGATCAAGCGTATCGCGGCGATATGGCATATTTAACCCGCGTGGTCGAAACGATCAAAGTAAGACGGAGGGTTTCTCACATAAAAAACGAGCAGGCGTTTAATGAAATTATGTGTGTCCACTTTCTAGGATCGAATCCGTAATATTCAAGATATCCCACGATTATGCAGCTATTTCTTTGTTGATCCTGATTACACAACTGCAGCTGCAAAAACTTTCAAGAAGAAACTGAAAGCTCCTGCGATCCAACTCGTTTTCTCACCAGAAACCCAGCAACAACTTTCTACAGTTGAACCATTTGATGGGGCGACTATTAAACAATTCCTTCACGAAACAGCAGAGAAGCAGAACGTCAATCCCAACCACGTTATGATGGCCATGCGTTACGCTGTGACCGGTACTCAGGTCGGCGCTGGAGTGGCAGATACAATGGCAGTACTTGGAAGACAAACATGCATCGATAGAATTACAACAGCTAAAGCACACCAAGTTTAGATCATAGCTCATCCCTCAATAGATGGAAAAACATACATCCATTTTCCATTGACCATACAAAAAAAAAAATGCAACATTCTTCTCATCAACATGCGTAATATCTCTTTTATTCTCCCCATTTTGTCTATTTGTTTGTTACTGCGTATAACTGGGTATACATTCGAATCAAGTTTTCATAGCCCAACATATCTTGGCAACGCAAAAGATTGGCGGCGTCGCAGTTCAATGGCGACGATGGTTCGGGATTGGTCAGCAATAACGAAATGGCCAGCACTGTCGATTTTAAGGTCCAAGCTGGAGACCAAGCTGTTTTGAGAATATCCAAGCAAATTTCACCCGTCTAAATTGAATTGCATGAACGTCAATGGAGAATCTTCCAAGCTGCCGGTCTCTCTGAATGAACTTACTTTGAAATGGATGTTGGGATGGCAAATGGTAGTCTCGAACTGAATGGTGGGAGGTTGCATAGGGTAGGTGGTAGGAATTTGGATGGAAAGATCGAATACACCTCCTAGAGTTAATGATATTGAGTCAATAAAGCGTCCTGACGTAAAAAACGAAAGGACCATGCAGCGCTCTTTACCTTCATAAGGTGTATCCTTGAGTCCTGCTAATTTCGCCTTCCAATGCAGCAAATCGTCGTCGTCCACTGGAGACAATTCAACAATCTCGGGGTGAGTTGAAGATTCCCGATCAAAGTCCCTTAATTCTTTTAATAATCGTCGAGAGACACTATCCATGGGCGAGACAATAACGATGAAAGAGATCAAAAAAATCACCGCTGCTGCATCATTTCACTTTGGCGGAGAAATCGATTGGCTCGATCAGATCACGAGACTTTGTGAAAAACATCAGAAACGTCAATTCACTAGTCTTTTGGTATTAACGTATATCGTTTCACGTTACCCCACATCTTGGAAAACAGGATATACTAATAAGCAACCTTTACTCATATTGTTGAATTTACGAATCAGCAATAAGTACAAGAATTCTCGATGGTCTTAGATCGAGATTTCACATTAATCTGTTCACATGCCAATATTTTTATTTCCTGCCTACAAAAAGGCGAACAAGCATCTCCATATTACATTTTATGTTGCGGAAACAAACGGGAATTACAAAGCATACAGGCAAGTAAAAATAAAAAAGAAAAAGATAAATAGGACGAAGAACAAAAGGATGCGCGAACCGGGAATCGAACCCGGGCCCTTCGCGTGGCAGGCGAAGATTATACCACTTAACCATCCGCGCTCCGATGGAATCTTTATTTTGCAATATTCTGATAGTCTAGTACACAATCACGTGATCTCTCCAATGAAATGTCCGGAATTTCACAGTGCGCTAACATTCAAAAGAGGGAAAGGCCTGTAAGTGCTTCTTTTTCGTCAAGCAGTAGATCTATCTTTTTTAATCATTTTTACCTCTGCCTTCAGGTTCTGGCAGTCTAGTCTACAGCTACTGTAGCTGGATAATGGGAGTACCTTATCTGATATCGCAGGTATGGATAACCATTGCGAATATATGAATAAAGGAGAATGATCTTTTGTTTTCACAATAGTTCGTGTTTTTCATAGCAGTCATTGATATCCCCCTCCGTTCCTTCCCGCATAGAATATGCTGGATTTAGACCGCTTTGCTGGATATTTTAATGCATTTCCGAGAGTACTTTAATTCAGAAATTTCATTCAATATATTTTCTTGAATAGTTGAGTTCCTGAATATCCTGTTTTACAGTATTGACGTATTTGTTTACCAGTAAACCTGTCATTTAATTTCATAAAAAAAGATACGGTGAATAATAACGTACACATCCCATATCATCTGATCTTTCTTACCACTAAAGACAATATTCTTTTTTTGTTTTGACTGCGCAGTGATTCGATAACATCGACCAAGTAATAAAAATCCAAAAGCAAAAAACCAACCGAACACAGACTGCAACTGTGATATGCCGACATTCAGCGCTTTATTTAGCCCAGGACATTAATCTTGCGAAAAAGGTAGCTCGATGAAAACACGACAGTTGACTGCGATAATGTTCGTCCCCAACCTGCTGGCCATTCGAATAAAAATTGTTGTCCTTGGACCCCTAAGACCACTTCTCCAATAAATTATAACTTTATGCGCAAAAATAGACTTCCCAATATGACGATGTGCCAAGCTTCATATTTCCAAGTCTATTTTAATAGGTGTTGTCAACGATAGGGATGATACACCCAATTCACGATGCTATGTACCATAAATAGGCGGATTCTTGCCAAGGCGTGAGAATCGTCCCGACGACGGGTGCCGAGATCTTGCTGGAATAAACCTCACCAGGGTATGAGATATCAAGCAGCAAGTTGCTTTGCAAAAGAAGACTGAGGTCTCTAAAACTGGCCAAGAATAAAAATAAAATAAAAAATAAAGGAGGTTTCGGCTGACAACTCCATGAGATAATATACGCATAGAACATAAAGGTATACCGGGAATTGACATTTCTCGCTATCTCATCATAAAAGATGTAGTGCGGTTTATTTCACATTATGGGTTCGCGGCGCGTTCAGCAAGGTGGCCATCATTTTTTTAAGCCTCAAAATATTTTGGATTATTTGAACGCAAGGCAAAATAAATCAATGGTCAACAACTTCAGCGATCCAACCATATCAACTTTTGAGTATCTTCTTCGCTTTTTGTTCAAGGAACTTGAGTATTTTTTTTTCCTTTTTTTTTCACTGAGAATATCCCAAAAAGGTGGCTTGACTTTGAATTTTCTCAGAGCATATTATTTTGTCGATGGTTTGAATCACAGAATAGGTGTTAACGAATCTGTGGGTACTTTGTATAATCCCTCTTTGTCCTCACTGGCTTCCTTGGTATAAAAAACAGTATAACAGATAGTACGAAGAAATAATGTTTAAGCTGAAAATCAAAAGGAAATCTTTAAACGATAGATTACTGTTGACGGACTTCATTGATTTTTGCGAATGTCGTGCCTGTGGCTTGTCCATCTCGAGATGGAAAAAGAAGCACGGTTTTTTCTGGCAAAGCGTGAATTTCATAGTGTGCCGTTTCATGTTCATTGTAAAAATAAAACCAAGATCTCTTACAAGCATTTTAGGAGCCTATGATTGGATGAGGGCATTACACAAAGAAGGGAATCAGAACACGACAATGTGACACGAGGAGTATTGTTCAAATTATCGAATTTATTTTTGCATTTGTCTAGGCGTGCTTTACTTTCTTTCTCCACCCTTCCCATTCCTTCACGATAGACTCCCTAATTTTATTTCTTGAAAAGATACCGTCATCGAAACGATGACCATACGAAAACAAGCTCTCGCTTCCCTGACCATCCTTCCTCTTATACCGTCCATCACTGCGTTTCCGTTATGGCACAAGCGTGCCGTCCCCACTGAATCCAACGCTTCAGCAGATGAAGCATCATCAAAACATGAAGCGAGTCCAAAGAATGAATCCAGTAAGAATACGAGAAAAAAGCCTAACGATTGAGAATAATCATTCTTCTGTATGATAACTAATGACTCATGTTTTCGGTCGGTTAGAAACCACAGCAAGTCCATCCAAAGATCCTCAGTGGCTCAACGATACATCGCAAAGCGTTACTGCATTTCCTCCAGCGCCAAAGAAGACTCCTTCTACATCCAGTTCACCTTCACCTACGTCACGAGCTTCTTCTACGTCGTCCGCTTCGTCTACTTCACCAACATCGTTCGCCAGTTCTCCAAAGTCTCGCGCACCGAGTACTCCAGCCATTTCGCCTTCGTCGACGACACCGACGTCTATTTCCGCCTCGCCTTCAAGCAGTCTTTCACCAGAAACGGAAAAAGCCGGATCCCAAAATGGTGGTGGATTATCAGGAGGCGCTATTGGGGCGATTGTCGCGGTGATAGTCATTGTTCTTTTGGGAATCTTGGCTTTCATTTTTATTCGTCGACGGCAATCGAAAAAATTACAAGAGGGCCGTGCTGCTCGTCCAATGAGTAGCGTGTCTTCGTCCGGTTACCATGGTGCATTTTCGGCCGCTGCTGCTGGTTCAGCAGCCCAACCCAATGTCGCCGTGGCTATCACTACGCCCGTCGAGGAAGATAAAGCCGCAACCGAGATTTGGAAGCAACCGCCGTTGGGGACTTATACGGTGGTTTCCACGTATACACCCACGTTAAGTGACGAAATCGTTATCCACGTCGGCGACCAAGTGCAGATTTATGAAGAATATGACGACGGTTGGTGCTTAGGTGCCAATCTGAGTCGCCATGGTGAACGGGGCGTGTTTCCAAAACACTGTGTGCTACCGCCCACACCGCAAATGATCCCGTTACCTCCGAGCACATCGAGCTTGGCTATTTCCTCGGATGATAAGTCCAAGCATAGTCGTCTAAGCTCACTATACACCGAAGCACCGCATTAAGAAAACAAAAGAAAGACGAAAAAGAGTTTAGATCCATTTTTGTTTATCCTTGTTGTTTTCATTCCCCATTATTGTCATTTCATCCAAGCCCCCAATTAAACTTTTTTTTATTGTTTGTTTTGCAAATTGCTTTTAATTGGTTACATGTTGTCAATTATTGGCAGAAAAAAAATTGATGAGACCCGGATCATGGCATCGAGACTATCCCATATTCAAAAAAGAGAAAAAACAATGAACCCCATTCGTGATCAAAAAAAAACTTCCGCCTTGGCTCACCTATGTGGGTCGTCCGGCGTCTCAACTCCGCCAGCCACGTTTCGATCTTGAGAAGAGTTCAGGAGCAGCAATAATTACATTATCAAACATTATCCGCCACACAACCTACTTGAAACCGGAGCTAGCATCTTTTTGGGATAGAGACGAGTACAGTCGGGAGAAGAAAAAAAAAACTTCGCCTCGAAAGAAAAAAGGAGTGGACGAATCTCGAACAGCATGTCCCAGCACCTCATTTTCAGTATAAAATAGTGGCACTTTTGGTTCACTCTTTCTTCATCTTTATCTTCTTTTTCGCTTTCTTTTTATCCCAAAAAAACGCAGGTCGTTTTTAACGCATACCCCGGTCTTCCTTTACTTGATTCTGTAACTTTAGTGTGTATTTTATATACTTGATTCCCCTTCCTTTCTTTCAGCGTCTTTTTGTCTGCATCTTTCCCTTCTTCCTTTCACCTGATATTCTCCCTTTCATCCTCTTGTAACCTACATCATGAACTGTATCCAACGATTGATGACCCTTTTCTTTGCTCTTATTGTGCTTGGCCAGATTTGTGCTGCTGCGCCTATTCTGGAAAAACGTTCATTTAGCGGTGATGGCACTTTCTACACTGTGGGTATGGGGTCCTGCGGCACCGACGATAGTAACGAGGACATGGTGGCTGCATTGAATGCACCACAAATGGGATCCAGCAGCAACCCGAACAACAACCCCAACTGTGGTCGAAAAGCTCGAGTCAAGGGTCCCAAAGGCTCGGTGACCGTCAAAATCGTAAGTTATCATGACCACGAGTATCTGCAAAATCCGGTTTTTTCATTAATTCAAACTCATCATCTTTTTTTTTTCTTTTGCTGCAGGTTGACACTTGCCCTCCTTGTAAGAAGGGTGATCTGGATCTGAGTCCTGCTGCTTTTGCAAAAATTGCAGATATGAGTGAAGGACGTGTGAGCATTAGTTGGAACTGGGCGTAGAAATGCGGAACGGGATCCTTGCCATCGATCCTTTCTTTTTTTTTTTTTTTTTGCTAACTTGCTTCCCCTTGCAAATGCAAAAGAGGCCTACCGCATCAACGAAGAACTGACTCCTTTGTTTTATTTAACCATCGTATTCCAATTTTGTTTTCATACTGATGTATCACTCCTCTCTTCCGTGTATTTTTGCTTTACTTCTCCCTCTGTCACCATTTTTCATCCTCCCATTCAAGGGAACAAAACTGTACTGTACTAGATAAAGAAGAACTTTTGATCCTTTGCCTCAATAGACGTATTATATTTTAGAAGTGTTCTTTTTCTTTTCATTGTTGGCCCGAACTTCATGAAAAAAACGAGAACTTGCTAAATGAAATTTCATTTGTTATCTGGGTATTAACAAAAATCGACCATGTTTGTGCAACCTTGTGAATGGCAACAGCATTAGGTTAGCGTCAATTTATCGAGTCTGTGATACGTCTCAAAGGAGCATCATGGTTTGGCTTTAATAAATCATACTACTCAGAAACTGCAGACTGTCAAATTTAGAAACTGCAAATGTCGGCATCACATCTATTGCACGTTCGTCGCACATTGAAAAAAAAAGTTTTGCGGCATAAACTGTGCCTCGACCTATTTCCGAAAAAAAAAATCATTTCGAATGTGCCTAGTTCAAGGAACTGGATCTCTGATTCAACTCATCTCCTGGTTTCATACACCAACTCAACCTTTGCACTGCGGCGAGATCATACCACGACCGCGATGGTTTATGATATGCATGTGCCATAACTTGCGTGCGGTTGAGAAGTGCGGAGAAAGTGAGATATTTTTTCTCCATGGATACAGAAGATCGCCATCAAGCCTACAATATAAATATACTTATGCGCTGCCTTGCCTTGCAGATTTGCAAGGTAGAAACTGCGGATGGATGCAACAAGTTGCCTAAGAACTTACGAGTCCATTATGTGAGTAGTGCGAGACAATCAGATCCATCGCCTCATCGACTCGAGAGAACAATAACACAGAAATTGGAGTGTTCAATTGGAGCAAACAAAAAAATTAAAAGAGAAGACAGATGACACATGCACAGATGTGACAAGCTTATTTTTCATTGTCAGAGATATTAACGCATTCTTTGTATGCCGCTATGTGGATGCGGAAAACTTCCAAACCTGGAGAATAAAAAAAAAAAGTAGGCATATTACTGCCATGGCCTACATTAAGCTACAATAAGGCGTACTAATCATATGAATGGTGTCATTTAACAACGAAGTGCTGCATTGTTTCACTGTTACAGCAAGTTTTATGCTTCTTAATTGAATAAGAGCGGTTTTGCACTTGCAATATCCAAAGACCCTTCATGAAAAGCATCTTGTTCATTGTATGAAGGAATATCCACGCTAATGTCACACTTTACACGCTTTAAGCATGCTTTAAGGAGAAGACAGTTATAGTCCACGAAAAGGAACTCTTGTGGTACTACAAGAACAGGATGAACGCTTGTTGATTTTGGCTTGGTCAAAAAGTACATGACTGTGACTGTAAAAAAGCCAAACCGTGCTCTCCGTAAAACCAGCTTTTCAATGGTTATTCAGCCTTCGTACGTCCATTGGCTCATGTGCACGTATTTATAGACTCCATATGCAAGAATTATATTGGATACCTCCGCATCTAGCTTTAGGATTGACTTTGTTTTATGACATGTAACGCGCGTACTATGCATTATTTTTCATCCCAGAGCAGATCGATTCTTCTGGTTTCTCCTGAAGAAAACAATGCCAATCGATCGCATAGAAAAAAGGCGCGCCAGACATGAATGGGGCTGAAAAAGAATTCCCTGATGAAAGAGCTCCGCATTTATTCTTTACTATCTTGACGGTAAGTATACCTCATCATGATCATCATGATTCAGGCGGCCAATGAGCGATCGATCTCGTAATTCTGGTGGGGACCCCGGGTTCACTGGATGCTTCACCCGTTACTTGTCCTGATGACATTCTTGTTACTGCATGCACCTGCAGTAAAACCGAAAAATGATCTTTGATGATCCTGAAATGATTGGAATGTCTCTAGATCAATTTTTTCTTCTGTGAGTCCGTTGACTGGAAGATGGCTTACGATAAGAACTCATGAATTGACGGCATATCAACCGTGATCTGGAACCTATTTTGATTCACAGCATGAAATAGAAATTCATTTTTCGGTGCTGAATGCCGAAAATTGTGCGTCACGCGGTCTGTTCGTTGTAATGACCAACCCGATACATTCTGAGTTAATTTAGCGTCTCGATAGTTGGCATAGAAACGGTATGTTGCATCATGTTTGGATAGGTTATCAAGAAAGATATGAAATGTGATGCTTTAAAGGGATGTTTCCAAGGAAAAGCATGAAAAATTATGAAGAAGTGACAATAAATTGATCGTCACTTTAAAAAATCTCGGTGGCGAGCTATGATTCCATTTTCTAGGCATTCAGGGTTTTTCTACTCCGCAAACGACCCCCACAATATCTGAACGTGCATTAGAGCAAAAAAAAGGAAACAAAGTAATGAATGCTTTATGAATTGTCTGATATAGGCTTTTTTACATACAAATGCATGGATGATAGGAAGAACAACAAGATCGAAAGGAAAAAGGGAAAGAGGAAACCCAAGCCGGGGAAATACATTATCCATTTTTGCATGGAAACAAAAGGACCCAAAAAAGAAAAATCTTTTTATAGAAATAAGTAAAACCGTTTGACGTCGTTGGGAAGGATGCTTTTCAGTTGCTTGTTATCCTGGGCACTATGTTATCGGCGTCGCTGACCCGTTCTTCTAGCATTTCGACCACTTGATAGCCTAGCTGGGTATCCTGGAGACCACCTTCCAGACCTTCTGCCGGCTGGGCAATGTCGCTTACCGATGGTAACAGTGAAGCGGAAACTGAATGGATAAACAGCCCGAGAATGACGATGTTTGCTGTGACAATGTGCATTATTTTTCCGGGGATTTGCTGCAATAAAAAAAAAATTAAAACACGGCTGTTTTATTATGGTTGAATGGTTTCTTTAGGTTGTTGAATTTTTTTTGACTTTTTTTTTCTGGGCGTTAATTCAAACCGCTGGTTTTATATTTCCTCAGATCCGAACGGTTTGGTGGTGTCAAAAAGAGAAAAAAGGGGGTTTTGCGTATTTTCCCATCATATTATCACTCGTTCTCTCTCTTTTTTTTGGGCCCCCTTTATTGCATTTTCCATATGATAAGGAAAATATGACGACACCCACTTGCGCCCAAGAAACCGAGTTTGTCGCTCTTTTGAAAGAAATCACCAAATTACAGTGGGTGCGCGAATCATTACCTTCTCATGCCCACCATTATGAAGGGCTCAAACAACGTTACAAAAGAGAACAGCACTTCAAATCGCTGTTAGATAATCAGCTGTAAGCTCATTACTATCCACCGTATTTCCAAAAACAGTATTATTCATTTTCGCGCCAGCGAGGAATATCGTAGCAAACAAGATCAGTCGGGCGTGTTTCGCGGCAAACGATTAAGTCTCGGACGATCATCACCGCCCGAGAGCTCCTTTGTCGATATCATAGAACCACTCAAGCGCCACGAAGCAGCGATCGCCGAGCTCGAGACGCAACTAGAATCAGCTGAACACATGGTAACCATCGATCCCAAAATGAAAAAAAAAAACGACGATTGGACAGAACAATTGCCAGAGTATTCACAAATGAGTTTACTTGTCTATCCATCCTAGTTACAAGATCTTTTGATTCACAAACAAAAGCTGGACGATCTTTGCGAACATTTACACACTTTGTACGATGAGGTATGTGGGACAGGGTGGGACAAAAAAATCCAATTCGACCCAATCTAAGGTAGAAAGCTCAGGTGGTACCCAGTGCAGCCTACACTAGTTCCACCCACACGGAACAAAGTTTACGAACCGAAGTGCATGACCTGGCCGAAGCGATACCACAGGTAGCAAACGATTATTTTAAAGCAACGGAGTTTTGCATGAATATCTAACGGACGACGGGTGTGGGAATCAACAGATCGAACATCAAATTGATACCATCACTCAAGCACAGAAAAAATTGTATGATGCAAGGGAATTGATGGAAAAAGCCATGAAAACTTTACCAGGTGCCGCTGCTTTTTTGGATCGCCAAGCAATTGCTTCTGAGAGCAACGGTTCACTATTCAGTAAATCGGGATCACTAGGAACCATCTTAAATTCTGGTTTATCCGTTAAAGGTATATCCAACATCAAGAGAGTGAATCAATCATTTTATTTTATTTTTCCGGCTGATCATCAGAGAACTATTCTAGACGCGGATCGTCTTGCGCAGCAAGCTTATCAGTTACAGGAGGATGCATCTAAGGAATGTGACTATGTGCCATTAATACCCACTACATCCATTGACAAAGGTGAGTGAGAATCTCTAATCACGATAGAATTTTTTTATTTTTCGTTTTCTCCTCCTTTCTCTTCTCATTTTTGATTCCTTTTTCTTTTCTTCTATTGATGAAAATGACGAATGATGATTTATGATGATCCTTTTTTTTTGATTAGATGAAAACGTGACGAATATTCTGACTTCATATCGAGGTTACCGGTTAAAGTTGGAATCATTACTGCGAACGCAAATCAATCCTCGGTTAAACAAATTGCAAAGCCAACTGGCGATGACTCGATATCATCACGCACAAAAGACGATCGAATGGATTGATCAGCAAATCATGATCCTGCAAAACGTGCTAAGGGAGAATGGCTTTCTCAAACATGTTTCACTGGAACGAGAAATCTCCATTCTACGCATGGGATCCAATGCTGCCCTGGTAGCAGTTGCTGCAGAGACCAGTGGACGGATTACCATCGACGACGCACTGGAAGTGGATCCAGCCACTGCCAATGGACTGGAAGCTGAAAATGGGGCGTTGCCTCAATACAGTGCGAATGGAGATTCGGGATCTTCTGATTTAACCAACGCTACTTTGCCAATGTATATATCCTCTGAAGCACAGCAAGACCGACCTCCCGCATACACCGACTAGACCTTCGGATACACAAGCTTCCCTTTTTGTAGTATTTATAAGATTTTATTTCATTTTTTCATTTTCTGCTTTCTGTGAACCCGATCGTGGAATAAAATGGGGGCCAGATAGAATCCCCGATAACGTCATGCTCATTTCGCCCAAGAGCTAAAACATCGGAATTGTCTCTTTTATCTCGAGGACTTTTTTTCTCTTTTCAATTTTTATCTACAGACCACGGTCTCTCTGTTATCACTTGACATTATCGTCTATTGATTATGGCGACGACCCGGATAGGCAGGACCTTGCTTATGGTCTTGGCACCACTATCAATTATGTTCACTATGCTTTTGGTTGCACAACAAAACGGATACATGTCACGAACACAAAATAGGCCATTGCCCAAACCCATGAGCTTCAATGGCACACGAGAAAACGCAGCGTTTGTGGTGCTCGTACGAAATAGCGAACTCAATGGATTGCGAGAGACAATGCAACAACTTGAAGATCGGTTCAATCGCAAATACAATTACCCTTGGATCTTCCTCAATGACGAACCCTTTGAGGACAAGTTCAAGGAGTGGACAGACGGGCTCGCGTCAGGTCAAGTCTATTATGGGCAATTGAACCATACGATGTGGGGTTATCCAGACTGGATTGATCAGGAGAAAGCGAGGGAAAGTCGTGCAGCCATGGAGGCCAACGGTGTCATTTATGGCGGTAGTGAATCCTACCGTCACATGTGTCGGTACGGTTATCTTTATCTTACTTCTTGGTTCCATCTCAAGCTCATTCGTTTCTTTTTACAGATTCCAAAGTGGATTTTTCTTCCGTCATCCTCTGCTGGATGGATTGGATTATTATTGGTAATTGGGTGTATATGAGGATTCTTGGCAATTTGGCTCATCCATGTTGTGTCGTCTTTTTTGTTTGTTTGTGTATTTCCAATTAGGCGCGTTGAGCCCCATGTGAAATTTTCTTGTGATATCGATTATGATCCTTTCAAACTTATGCGTGAGCGTGATCTTAAATACGGTAAAAATGTCTTTTTTTCATTTCAACGTCGCGTAGGTCATCATGTATCATAACACCGATTGGTATTCGTAGGTTGGACGATTTCAATCAAGGAATACGAATCTACCATTCCCACGCTCTGGAACACCGTCAAGAATTTCATGAAGGAACATCCGGAACATATTGTTCCAAAGAATGATCCTGAGAGCCTATTACCATGGATAAGCAATGACGGAGGCGACACCTATAATTTGTGTCACTTTTGGAGCAACTTTGAAATTGGATCGCTGGCCTTCCTTCGGTCCAAGGCGTACTTGGATTTCTTCAATTACCTCGATCAAACAGGTGGATTTTTCTATGAACGGTAGGTTCATTTTAATTTTATATTGCACGGAATGAAGGTCGTGACAACAACACGCGAAAAAACACTCGTACTAAAAATATCGGACTACAGATGGGGAGATGCACCTGTGCACAGTATTGCGGCGGCGCTTATGCTGCGAAAGTCCGAAGTTCACTGGTTTTACGATGTCGGCTACTTCCATAATCCATACTATCAATGTCCGCGCGAGCCTGCTTGGGTGGCAGCCGAGAAATGCTCTTGCGATCCCGAAGGCAGTTTTGGTACGTGCTTATGTCACTTATTGATTGGCGGAGATCTGTGATGCCCATATTTTACTTACTTTTTTCTTCTTGCAGATACCCATTGGTATAGTTGTACACCACAGTTTCTCGAAGTGACGCATTCGAAACCCACCGATTATCTCATCACGCAAAGATAATAACGAAATAAGAGCTTTATTTTACCATTTGTAACTGGATCGGTTTCCTCGTTGAATGTTTGTAAGCAATGTGGCATGGTTTTACGAAAAAGGGCAAAAGGCTGCTTATCAAATAACCTGTGCTCGTTTCACAATGGGCATTCTTCTGAACGCGGGCCAACGGAACGGATCATCCCGATTTCGCGCAACGAGACACAAACAAGGGTCCAACAATGCGAGATATCCTGGCTGATTGGCTCAATTTTGAAAAAACATCGAATCGTGTGGGTCATTGAAAGCCTGTGATTGGCCAGAATATCCTCACACGCCAGAGCACCCATCCTAATTTTCATTACTAATGAGAGATCAAGGAAGGAATATAAGAGCTTGATTTAATTGAGTATTATTGGTAATTGTTTTATGTAGCTAATACAAGTTCGATGAGTTGACTAAGTGTCTATTTGCAAAAGTCATGGAAAAACTTACAAGAGTGGATAAACGGGTAAAAAGAGAGGATGCCCCTGAAGTGTTTGGAAGGGACTTCATAATGGCACGTGCAACGGCTTTTATGTTGGCAGATTAAAGGTGCGGTCTCAATTGCTGGCTAGTTTGTCTCGCACGAGAATTTCAGGGGTTGGTTTCGAATAGTGACAGGTGCCATTTTCCGGCGCAAGGAATACCAATAACGCAGTGGAGCCGTGGCAACTTGTTTCCGAGGTTAAACGACTCATAAAGAGGACATTCACAAAGCAGCGAGCTCAAACGTTTTGTTTCGATTGACTGCATACCAAAATTCCTTATCCTGCTGAGAGCGGCACGGATTTGACCAAGGCAATGCTAGATTGGATCATTCGATAAATATCACATTGTCGTCACCGAACAGGAGAAGCTATTCCAAGACATGTTTTGCTTTGCTCTGCTTCGGCATTGACTTCATAAGCTTGTTATGACGAAGACATAATGTCGTTCAACTCAGTATATCTGTGTTGGCGCGCAAATTTCGAAATCGCACCAGAATTAAGGAAGCTTTCAATATTGAATCAGTTTAGAGGCTAATACTCAGTTGATGGGAAGGATCACTTGTCCAGAGAGGCGGTGACTTATTTCTCTGTTATTTCACAGGTTTGGGAAGCTTCCGTCTGTAAGCCGTTTCAATCATTCTGAGAGATTCAAAAGTGAGTGTCAAAGACAGGGACGCGATGTCTCCAACAATTTCTCTTTTTAACTGCCAGAGAAGTGTTCAGTTGATAAGAAACAATGAGAAAAGAACAAAAGAAGCTGTGGTTCATTACAAGGCTCTGAAAAAGCATCTGAAGCCTGCTACGGGGCGATTGTTGGTCGATTTCTTTTTGCCAAAAATCAACGCTTTATGAAAATGGCTGTAGCCCGACAGCTCGTGATTGGCCAGAACACTCTCCACGGAAAAGAAAGGCCGCCATTGATTGTCCCCACTGCAGAATGTTTGGACAGAATTTTCCCGTTCGAGCCGTTTGCCTCCTCATCTTTTTCCACACAGAATTCCCAGTTCATCGTGATATTATAAAACTCTTTCTCTGTTTATGTTACCACAGAATAGGCAAAGAAGAGACTGTGAGTTTTGGTAAATTTCGAGTATTAAAATTTCGCCAAGTCGCGTCCTTCCTTCCTATTGACTAATGTATGACTAACTATCTACTTCAATATTCGGCCATATGATCCAATGTCCCCGCGAATTGCTGGACTGACAGCGGAAAAAGTGCTCTTGCGAAACCGATGTATTGTACCTACCTCGCTTACTGATTGTGCCGTCTGGGACGGAGATATTTTCAGTCTTCATTGTTACCCTGCGTTTTATTTTTATTTTTTTATGTTAAACGAATATCCAATTGATGCAGCTGTTACATCTGTTCTTGCAGATAAGCTCAAAGTTCACCGATTATCTCATCATGCAAATATGGCTGGCTATATGTTTTATCTCCTGTAATTGGAGTTTTTTCCTCTTCGTTTTGTTGTTTTCAAGGGACGCGACTCCAATTGCGAAAAAAAAAGCCACTTATCAGATAAGCTTCGAGGTGATTTCCACATGGGCACGGTCTAATCGCGGGCGAACGGAGCGATCATTCGATTTTCTCGTAACGCGGTGCAAAGCAAGGGTCCAACTGGGTGCGATAGGAACTTTTGGGCCATGTGATTGGCTAAATTTTGAGAGGGATGTTGATCGGCGTTGTTTCGCGCCAGTTGAAGAACAGCATAATCGACTAGTCCACACAGTCTACTTGCGTTTGTTTGAGGTCGTTGATTTCTATTTTGGATACAGCGAATCATAACAATTCCAGAAAAAAAATAAGATGATACTTTTTAAAGGGAAAGAACGTCCACAGAAATTCCTTCTTTTTTTCCTCATCTCCTCTTTTTTACAACAAGACTCCTTCAATGACTGTGTTTGACGCAAACAGTGAATTGGAAGCCAAAACCATGCGGCTATCCATTGCTAACCGTATTGAAGCGGAAGCGGAAGCACCTGAAGAAGAAGTCATTCTCAAGGAAAATCCACGCCGTTTCTGCTTATTCCCTATCAAATATCACGAGGTAAACAATATAAAGCCTCTCCATTTTGGTTCCCACGGCATTCGTCTCATCCTCCTCTTTTTGTCTAGATTTGGGAATTCTACAAAAAACATGAAGCGTCCTTCTGGACAGCCGAGGAGATCGACTTGTCCAAGGATCAGGTCGATTGGGACACCAAACTGACTGCGGATGAACGGTTCTTCGTTTCCCGCGTGCTGGCTTTCTTTGCTACTTCGGACGGCATCGTGAATGAGAATCTAGTGCAGAACTTTTGTGATGAAGTCAAAATCGGGGAAGCCAAATGCTTCTATGGTTTCCAGATCATGATGGAGAACATTCACTCTGAAACATATTCACTGCTTATCGACACATATATTAAAGATCCGGAGGAAAAAGAACGGTTGTTCAACGCCATTGAAACAAGTAAGTCCCTTTTTTGATTTCTTTTTGATGTCAACCATGGTAACTTATCGGTCGTTTTTTAGTTCCTGTCATTAAAAAGAAGGCAGCTTGGGCCTTCAAATGGATTAACCGTGATCAACCGTTTGCCGTTAGACTGTGTGCTTTTGCCGTCATTGAAGGCATCTTTTTCTCCGGTTCCTTTGCGGCTCTCTTCTGGTTGAAGAAGCGAGGCCTTATGCCTGGCCTTACCTTTTCCAACGAACTGATCTGTCGTGACGAAGGTCTTCACACGGACTTTGGCTGTCTGTTGTTCCACCATTTGCGCCATCATCCTTCACACGAAACCGTAAAAACGATCGTTAGCAGTGCCGTGGCTTTGGAACAGGAATATCTGACTGATTCCTTACCTGTTGCTCTCATTGGTATGAACGCTTCGTTGATGTCGCAGTATATCGAATTTGTCGCCGATCGATTGCTCGTATCTCTCGGTTTCCCCAAACTTTACAACGCCACCAATCCATTTGATTTCATGGATCTCATTTCGCTTCAAGGCAAGACCAACTTCTTTGAAAAACGTGTATCGGATTATCAGCGGGCTGGTGTGATGAACAAGGATGCCTCTGGAAAGCAGTTCACACTCGATGCCGACTTTTAAATATAAAAAATGACTGATTGCAAATTTATATTCCAATATCTGTAACTGTACCGTAATCGAAAAATGATTTATCCCAGCATCTGTGATGTTCACGCTTATTTAAATAAAACCCCACCCTAATGTTATGCTAATAGACTTTATTGTGTCGCTGGTCAAAAGGTAATTTTTTGCACCTTCTAAAATTGGGATGCTCTCAAGATAGTAGGCAAGACGGATATTCTTTTACCGCCACACTACAGGCCTTTCGTTAACTCATTCACTTTGTTTGGTGACAATTTTTTACTGTTGCACTAAAATGGGTTTTTTGCTTTCAAAGTTTGCGTCTACAGCAGAAATCGCGGAAAGCAGACCGTGAACCGTGCATTAAATTTTTTTAATAGCTTTAAGCTTTTCTACGCGCATGCTGATTGGCTCACATTCCTTTATTTGGCAAACTATCTGGCTATGGTAATTTCGAACTTTATGACGATAGCCAGTGATACAGGACGCATGATGCTTTTCAGAATGGCACTGATTTTGGAAAAGGAAAAGCCTACTTCTTTTGGTGTCAGTCAACAATCCCGTTGACTTTTTTTTCCATAGAGTCTTTGTATAAAAGCCGATCTCACCACAATATCGCTTTCCCTCAACACACACCCCTTGCTACCCGTCTCTTTTTCACTGTGATGTGCTCATTGCTTTTGCCTACCGCACCATCGTTGTCTGTGGTTCGTAAATCGGAATGCCGTACTTTTATTGACCACAAGTCGGTTCACGTTGTACCACTTGGATGGCAGTCCAAGGCACCGTCTGATATCTTTATGCACATTGCTGATGGGCTTGCCATGCAGCAAGAAATCACCAATGTTTCGATTGACTGGTCACGGACACTGGAGCGCACAATTACCTTTTTGATCGATTCATGGGTGTTTCCCCGCGTCGACAAACGCTCCATCTCAATGCAGGATCATCGAGAAAAGTGCAAGGCCGGGCTCCCAGGAGCGGCGTATCAGCAACAGCCATTATGGACCAAAACAGAGGCGTACCAAAGAAGCAAGAGAGCCTATCCTGACAGCTTACGGATCAATTTGGCGGAGCGCGAGATGATGCGACATGCCAAAATCACTCGGCCACTCAAAAAGCGCACGGGGCTACCGAAACGAACGGATCAGTTTATGTGGGGTCGTCCGAGCACCCTGAGGAACGTTTCTCAGTAAACCATCCATGCAACCTCTTTGTTTATAATTTTGTCCTTACTTTTGTCCTTTCTTTGTATTTATTGTATCACTGTTTATCTTGCTTTTTTTTTGTTTGTTTTTCACGCCATCCACCGTGATGATATGTATTTTATTTTTTACCAAAATCTGAATAGAACCAATCACCATCGTTACATTAGGTGAATAGACCATCTTTGTGCTCACTAATGATATCATTGTTTACTGTCGGAAAGCCTAACATGGAGAAACAATAATTGGCAGAGGGCATATCCATGTGACAAATATTGCAACTCATGATGTTTGTTTGAATTTTTTCATCATTGACCATTGTCAACTAAATTTTCATGGAATAACATGATGCCATCCAAGGTCGCATAGGTACATTTATTATCGATAGGCCGTTGTCTGCTTTGGCCAAGCTTACTCTTTCTTTTGTACTGGGAGTTCTTTATCCGATTCCCGATACGGTGAAATGGCAATTTTTTATAGCTTGATCCATCACAGCATCCAGCATCATTTCAGTGATATAGGAACCAGTAAACCATTTTCAGTAGATGTGAGTACCACGCAATTTATTCCAGGGGTTGCCATGTAAATTGCATAGCTACAGTTTGACAGGGTAATTCAAGTGCACAGATGTGATTCAAAATTATCGTTTCCCAACAGGAACTATCACCGTGTGCAACAGAAGATTCGAAACATTTGGTGCACCCAAACTCTCATTGAAGCACCGCAAGAACACTCACTTTGCATGCATTTCTGCCGCCATTGAGAGCTCGGAACGGTTTGCCATGATGGGCTGAGCGAACTTGGAATGGAAATACGTAAATAGTTTTTCGGTGACCAAAAATCCCTGAGCAGTAGCAAGATATGTACCATCCCTTGCATGTCCCAGTGTTATTCAAGCACACCACCGTATGCTCCTCGAGAGATGGTGCAAACCGTAAATTTGCTTGTTACTGTTGGTTCCATAGGCGATTCTGTGAACGTACTTCCATTGTTGTACAATATTTTACAGGGCCAATGTATCATACATACTCTTTTGGGAAGCTCATCGCATCTATTCAGCAGTGGATGTTTTCATCTGCTTTTATGATATAAAGATATATCAGTCCTTGGTTATCGCACAAATACATTATACATTATCTATGCCACGAGTTGATTCGGTTACGCTTTACAGTAACAAGCTTAAGCAATAGTCGAAGCGGTCGGGTGAATAAAAGAAAAAAGGGACAATAATACTTTATGTGATGTGCTATTTTTTAATACATCTTTCCAGTAGTTAAGCTTCAAGGTTAATGGCGACAGTCGAAATTTAGTGGGTTCGGTTAGTTATCGTGAAGGGACTGCACAGACATTGCAGTAAAGTCACAAAGCCAGAAAAGAAAAACGTGGATGTTTATGAATGAAGATGATATTATTATTGTGCGAAATGAATGGTTAGATTTTTTGAATTTGCAAAATGTAGAAAGCGGTTGAGCGTGGAAAAAAAGATGGAAAATTTGTACAATAGGAACTTGAGAGTGATGGATGAGAAATATGACATGCAACACAAGAACAAAAAGCAAAAGGAGTCCTTGCACACCCAGATGGAATAATTATAATTAAATAAGTGAGGTCATCAGTTCAAGGAAGAAGCAAAAAGAAGGGGAGACCTGTATGTGGATCAAGGTGGATCAAGGAAGGTGAAGCAAACTGACGAGTTTCAGCTTAGGAAAAGCAATGCGTATCCAGCCCTTGGGAAAAGTCCATGATCAAGACGCGCTGGTCATGACTCGCACTATACATAATGGTGAGATCCAAAGTCCAATGTATGGTACATACGCACTATTCGTAATTACCTCACGATGCGATTTTTGTCAAAATGAACATCAAGAACCCAGCTGGAATGCCCGCTCTGGAAATTGAGTAAACATGCTCCCGTCCTACGACAGACTGAGATTAGATCATGCCTCATACAGACAACAAAAATGCCATTAATAACACTTACTTCATATCCCACACACGAATACTTTGATCATAACTGGCGCTCACGATCTTGTCCTTTTCAAAATGTAGTGTACGAACTAAGTCTGTGTGGCCTATAAAAAAACGAACAAGGAACAAAGTCAGTAACGACGCTGGAACTTAATTCATGCAGTTTATAAAATAAACTTGGAATCGATCACTTACCAAAGAAATTCATTAGACATTCACCGGTCTAATATACGAAAAAAAAATCTAATGAGGCTCTGATGCTCCCGTTGCCATTTTGCCTACAATGTATTGTTTGTTTACCTCTGCATCCCAGACTTTGATTGTTTGATCGTTGGATCCGCTGACGATACGTCGGCCATCGTACTGAACACATGCCAAACCACGCGTATGGCCAGCAAATTCGCGTATACAGGCGCCCGTGGTGACGTCCCACATTTTGATCAGCGCATCACCCGAGGCAGATACAATATTGTTTCCGCACAACTGCAAGGCATTGACTGGACCGTGATGACCGGTAATGGTACGCAACAGAGCGCCCGTGTTGAAATCCCATATCCGAATACTGGTATCCTTGGAACAGCTGATGATATAACGATGATCGAAACAAACATCAAGTACACCTGCAGTGTGACCCTAAGAAAAGAGACAGATAAGCATTGGTCGGAGGACGTATGTAATACAATGCAGCTTGGCCTGCAATAAGCTTACAGTCAATCGGCGGATAGGTTCGCCCGTACGCATATCCCAGACAATGATGGTGGTGTCGGAGGATCCGGAAATCATGAAATCGTCCTTGTATTTCAAGCACAGCACACTTCCATCGTGACCTTGCAATGTACGCACACACTGGTAGGTGGCCATATCCCAAAATTTGATGGTTCGATCGCGGCTGCCGGTAATAATTTTTTCCGCATCAAATTGTAGACAATAGACACTGTCAATGTGGCCAATCAGATAGTGGGTAACGACTTTGCCCTGTATCCAACGTCGTTCAAGTTGATAGCGCTGTTTGTATAAGTGATACCAGTCGATCTGCTGAGCCAAGGCAACTTCAGGGGATAAATTAACGGACCATTGCATCTCCCACATGCGGTGTTTCCAGATATCATTGGCTCGATACAGACTGAACCATGTTCTAGACACAGACGACACAGCAATCAGTGATTGCATGTCCAAAAAGGAAAGAATGTGTGTGGCGAGTTCAAAAGGCAGGCAAGAAAGAAAATCTGAGAAAATATATTAAAAAAATCATGTTAGTTTTTTACTGTGATCTTCATCAGCGCGTATGATCTGTATATGAAGGATAAAGTATTAGTAGATCATACCAATCTTTTTTCCCAGTTCAAAAGGTTTGGGTGTGCGGAAGAGAAACCGGTGGTTGGAGTGAAAAGCATAAGGCATAGTGGAGCGTCCGAGGGATGCCACGGTGGTGCGTTTCTTGAATCGTCTTGTGGCTGCCCTTACACTGAGAGAATGGCTGGTGAGAGGGCTGGTATGAGTGATCTTGGATCGGGAATCGGAGAGTGGTGATGGTGCATCGGTCATGGTAACCTCTCGAGAAAAAGGGAAAGCGACTGGAATAATCAGATGGTGAGGATCTTCTTGGTGGTTTGCCATATTGAGAAAAAGGGAAGTAGAGAGGTTAAATAGCAGAAATATGGCAAGCCTTTTTGGAGTGGGGAGACTGACAAAGGGGAGGGGGGGAGAAGATAAAAGGAGCAAACACGCAGGTCAAACAAGAGGAGATTTGGATTCGTTTTTTGCTTTAATAGTGCCGGCGGAGTTTTTATTCCCAAAAAGCATTCAAGTCCAATGTTGTTTTTCCTTTCTCTCAGGCCAAAGGGGTCGACCTTCTATGCTTTTTCTTGCTTTGTTGGACCAACACACCCACTGATGGTTGGTTCTATACTCTTGACATTCATAAAAAGACCCTTTACAGTTTTTAAAGTTTATACTTTAAAATTATAATGATCATGTTTCATACGATGGTTGTCATGCTTTTACGCGTGAATGGATTCCGCACTGACTTTATTTTCCTTTGCTGGTCCATGGGACGAGCATTACACATGAGGATATCAAAATAGGCAATGAAAATAATCTTCTTTGAATGTCATTCTTACTCTTTTACTCTCAAGAGTTGACAGTAAAGACGTTTACGTAGGTTATACAACGTTCTATATTAGGCGTTGTTTTGTTTTTTTGTGTCTAAATTGGCATGTATCAAAAACAGGGAGATCAAAACGAGATTTAGTGTCACATCAACCTGTGGCCATGGCTAATTATAATCACACACTTCACCCGCTCCAACGGCACAGCCGCACCCAGTTTTGATACCAGCCCCAAAGGATGATGCAATAAACCGTGTTGTCAGCAATCTTATTTTTTCACGCGTTACGACTTGCATGTACCGAGCCATCTGCAACACCTCTATCAGAGATCTATCCGTACAGAAATTTATCGCTTATGCCGAACATAAGCCTTGTGATTCAAAAGAAGAAAACTTGGTCAAAGCCATATCTATAGTATGCACGAGTTTCTGAGTTTTGTGGATTTTCATAAAGTAAAAAGTCGATGTGTGTTCCCTTCCGCTGTAAATTACAGAGTTCGCGATTGGTATTACAAAGTTACTTTGGCATTTCTCTTTTTTCAATGTGTACTTTGCATGTTTACTCTCGGCATTTATGGACCATTTGCAGCGTATAAGTACTTGTACTGCCCCACGGCATAAAAGCTGAATCAGCACAATTAACTATCTACCACAAATAAAAGAAGGCATTCACAGAAATTGCTATCAGAGCGCCATAAGGAACCTGATTGCTATTTTTTTCCAGTTCGAGCATAGGAATGGTAAATTTCTACTAGTTATGAATCGTGCATTGGGGACCAATTTTGCGCCATTATCTTTATTTGATAGACCCAGGTTTTACTTGCGCCTCCACATATAATTTATCCACAGGGATCCATGCATTCATGTTTTCAATACATCAGTGAAGGTACGCGTATGAGTCGACATCATTTCAGTGAAATGATGACTTTTTTTTTTCTTTTTTCTGGACGTAACGAACAGCTTTATCCATTGGATCGTTGCAAGCAAATGGATCGCCTTTATCGTAGTGTAACCATGTATCATGAAACCACAAAAACCCGTCATCCCAATTAATTCCAGCATCACTCTTTACATTGCTGGCGTTTTCTAATCACGGTGCTTCTGCATATTGGCAGTGCTACAAAATAAACAAAGCCCACTGACAATCTACTGTGCCTACCAGCGGTAATATCTCATTTGTTTACCCGTAACCCTTTTTTCCCTTCTTTGATTCTTTGATTTGTTTTGGAACTTGGTGCAGCTGTCATACGCGTTGTTATGAGTGGCTGGAGTTGAAAACGACAGATTTCCACGGGTGACAAGCAACACGAAATTGGTAGTTTGCATCATCAACTTTATTACAATCCTTTTTGGTTGATTTAAGCATTGCTTGGATCAGCATGACAGACAGATTCGTTACCATCATAAGTGATAGTTGCTGCAAAATATCCATGAAACCGGCCAAGCGAAAGAAAGATGGATATAGAAAAATAACAGCTCACTCTTCGCTATTGCCCAATGGGGTGGCGGAGCCGGGTCGAACAATTTTTTTATCCTCATTCCTGTTTTTTTTTCAGACCAAAATGTGGGAGCGACTGCCTATGAATTTCCCATATTTTGGGCTTCTTTTTCCCTACCACTTTTTTGTTTTTCGCCTCTTCCTTTTCCCCCACTCACTCTGTAAGTAGCGGAATTTTTTTTCTGTGTTATATACTTGGTATGGCAACCGGTAAAAAATAGTGGTCATCATCCCAACTTGACATGCAGCAGCATCTCCTCTTTGACCACCCACACTGCCTGCTATTCGTTCATTACACGTTTTGTTGCAAAAAAAAAAAAAGCTTGTTGCTCATCCTGATGATTTTACCTAGGAACAAATGGGTAAAAGTAAAACTGGTACTACCGAGTCCAAGCTTGAACTGAATCAAGCTCAGGTAAGGTTTTCCATGGGTTTTGTGTGTTGCCAAAGAGAAACACGCTTACAGTGGTTTTATTACTGGGTATGTAGTTGGGACAATCCTTTCTGGTGTTGGCAAAGGAGTTTGCTAAGCTTGCTGAATTGATGGGCGCCGAAGCTCCCGCTACAATGACAGCTGCAGCTGGTTCTGGTTCTGCTGATCAGAGCTCGTCGACTGCCAATGATACTGCCGATCAAGTGCCGAAAAAGCGCAAGAAAAAGGACCCCAATGCTCCCAAGCGCTATATGGGCAGCTATCTCCTTTGGTCTCAGGAATTCAGACACAAGTTGAAGGAACTGGAACCCGACTTGAACCCTCGCGACGTTGCCAAAGCTATGGGTGAAAAGTGGAAGTCGATGACTGAAAAGGAAAAGGAGGTGAGTTTTGATACTAGAATGGTGTTTCGCAATTTGTTTAAGTGTTTGGAATTGACTGATGCGATGGGGTTTTCCTCGTGCGTTTTTCTTTTTGCAGCCTTATGTCAAACGCGCTGAAAAGGAGAAAGCACGCTATGAACAAGAAATGAGTGAATACGGACGACATCACGACGCGTCCCAAGAATCAAAAGCAGACGTTGGAGAACCACCAAAGAAAGCCGCCAAAACCACCCCTAAAGAGTCCAAAGCGTCTGCCAAAGCATCTGCAGTGAAATCATCCAGTGCAAAGAAAGAAGCCGCTTCGCCTGCCTCCACAACGAAATCTTCGGAAACTTCAGATTCAGACTCCAGCTCGGACTCTGATTCCTCGGATTCTGACTCGAGCGACGACGATACTTCGTCTTCATCATCATCGGGTTCATCGACTGCTGAGGAACCTGCTGCTGCAACCCTACCTCCTAAGAAGAAAGTGATTGCCAAGAAGAGCGCCAAACCAGCGATGAAGAACGACAAAGGTGCTGCAAAGAAAACCGATAAGAAGGGCAAGAAAAACTAAAGAAAGGCTTTGCAAAAGGCATTTGTTCTTTTATGTAGAAAAAATGCCCATAGTATAGGATGTTAACAAGTTTTTTTGACCCTCTTACCATGATCAGATGTTCTCCAAGAAAAAAACTGAAAAAAGGAAAAATAATAATATGTTGTTTGATTCGATTGAAGTAAGTCCTTCAGCACAAGGTATCCCCATCCTGTGACAGAAAATATTTGTCTGTATAAAAGTGGCAGCACCGAGTCAAAGAAGTTGACGACAAAGTCATCATTCGACATTGCTGAATAGCGTGTGTCTTACAGCTCAGAGTGGTGCTATATGTATGTCAGAGCAAATCTATTGAAACTCTACTAAATTTTGCTGCAAATACCAAACATCATATTACTACGGCAATCCTCAAAAAGAACCATCATCTGCACGTGATACTTTTTACTGATCCCTTGACTATCCATGCTGCTACAAAGTATCTTTGCAGATGATAATAGCGTAAAACTGCTGTATGTTATCTTTCATAAACCTGTGATTTGCTAGCGTTGAAATTGGCACAACACCAGAATTGATAGGGCAGGTTTAGATTCCCGCCCATTTTTAGTGCAATTTGCACTTCTTTCATTGTAAATGCGTCCAGTGTATACATTGAACCATTAGTGTCTTTGGGATATGCAAGACACTCATACAGACAACACCATCAATATACAGCAAGATTCTGATGATAATCATGAAGCAGTGCATCATGTTTCTGGGCCCCTGCTGAACAAAGAGAATAAATAGAAAAGGGAAAAATGTCTGTGCTATTCTTTTTTTTTTTGCTTGGGCGAGAATTTTTTAGGCCTAAATTTTTTGGTGGTTTGAATTTTATTTCTTCATTGACCCTCCTCATGGATGACGATGATGTGCAGTTCAACGATAGGGGACGAACACGGTTGGAACCTATGACCGTGCGAGATGATGACCCGCTTTGGTCACACGGTACGAGCCGAAGACAAGCAATGACCCAGCGAATAAATCGGCTTGTTCACTTATTGCAAGATCGTCAACGATTAAGCATGTTGGCTCACAAATATCGGTGGTTGCTCGCAGCCGGAGTGTTTTCATTTGTGATGGGTTTATTTATGTATGCATACCGTCGAGAACTTTTGGAAGCGCTAGAAAATCTTAGTGCGGCGGTCAAGAGTATGGGAGCCGGGTAGGTTTGCGACTAAAAATGTACAAGGCTGAACGACAGTCGGTAGGACCCTACTAACCGCACAGTGATAATGGTAGTGGTTACTGTTTAATAGGCACGCTTATCTTCCTGAGCGCATTTCCTCCAATGATTGGTTACAGCACATTTCAAACGTTATCCGGGTTCACCTTTGGATTCCAGTACGGATTTCCGTTATCTTATTTTAGCGCATTATGTGGCGCGGTTGGCTGTTTCATGCTGTCCCGGCATTTACTCAAAGAACGTGTCCAGCGATGGATGAAGAAACACAATAATTTGGAAGCCGTTGTCAGGGCAGTCGAGAAAAAGGGGTTCAAGGTAGGCCTTGCATCAAAAAGACTCATAAAAATCCCATCCACTCATTGATAACCATGTCGGCCTTTGAAATGAATGATATCATATTAGCTCTTTTTGCTGATCCGGCTTTCCCCATATCCTTTCGGCTTACTGGTATGTGTGCAGCAGCATCCTTTTTTTTTACCATATTATGTAACTCTAAACTTGGGATATACCGCGATTTTGCCAACTTAGAATGTTCTATTTGCGGCGATCGATATTTCCCTGTATCATTTTGCCTTGGGTACGGCATTATCGCTCACCAAGATTGCATTGCATGTTTACATCGGGGCCAACCTCACCTCGTTTGCCAAACGTGTTCTCGGCGAGGAAGATGAGATGACGGATGAGGAGAAGCATTTGGAGACAGTCCGATATATCATTGTTATTATTGGCTCGCTTCTCGCTTTTGTTATTATGATTTATGTTTATACCATTGCCAAACGCGCAGTTGACGAAGCCAATCACTTGGATAACGATGAATCCGTGGCATTCTTGGGACCCGATGCCGACGACGAAGAATGGATTGAATGGAACGATGATGAAGAAGAAGACGAAGATACCGATCGTGACAGTGATGGTGGCAATGATAAGCACGCGACTCGCGGATTTAGCAAATGAAAAAAAAAGCCTAAGGCGTTATCCTGTAAAAAGAAATTATTATTGTACGACCCCATTACATCTGTCATCCACATTAAAAAAGTAAAGAAACAAAAATTCCATCCACGCTTACCATTTCCATCGTGGTCATTTTGAAGGGTGCTGGGCATCAAGGATGCATTACCTGGCTTCCTTAACTGTTAAGGAACGCGTCATTTCGGAATCTCTTCATTGTATCACACGCGAATCAAGCCGACTGATCTGCGTGGGAACACCCATCCTTTCCCCGTTGATATGGAAAAAAGAGAATCACCAAGAAAATACTGAGTAGTTAGTTTACAGGCCAATTGTATTGTCTAAGCGCTGTTTGACTTTCAAAAAGAAAAAAAAGTATAGATGGTCATATGAATAGGATCTCGCGTAACACATCACTTCGATCGCTTATCTCAATTCATCGGGTCTGTCTGTCTATCTTTTTCGTCATTTAATTAAAGCTGGCAATCGTAGTACTTTTGTTTGTTGATGCGTACCGCAGGACCTCTTCTTTAGTAATCAAAACTATGACAAAAGAGCATGTTGCGCAATGGACTTACAATGTGCCAATCCAATGAATATGAATTATTTACTTTTTTTTTTTCCCATGATCGCTCAGGAACCAATGGTGATCATATTATCGGTTGAACTATTTTTGAGACTCCGCGGCGGTTCCCGGTGCGACCTCAGGATTGCATTAAAGAATGCCTGTGGGAAAGAGGGTCCTTGAAGATGGTCCAGTTATGCCTGTGGCACTCCTGATGAATAATAAAGTTCGGTGGTTAGGCTTATTTAGGACATCAGAACTAAACTTTATTGAAGATGACAGTTGGCGAAACGGGACGGATGCAAAACATGTTGGCGTTGATGTCTAAACAAACACTCACCATTGGCAGTTGGCGTTGCAAAGCGGCAAATCAACGTTTAGCTTTTCTGCCGCTTTTACTTACTTTGTTGATGGGAGTGTTTGGCTAAAAAGGAAAAATGAAAAAAAGGCCTTGGCTATCTCAGGGACAGTATGCGGTTAGTGCCAAATTTACCTTGTCCTCTGCAGCCGCCACCGCCCCACACGCGCACACACATGGCGCCAATTGTAATATGCGATCGGATTTGTGTAGCAATGAATGGTAATTTTACTATAAAAGCAGATCGAAAAACAGACATCGTATAATATCTGCACATTCTTTTCTCGTATTGTTTCTTTCTTCTAAAAAAAAAAAAATAATGCGATCACTGACCTTGGCCATCAGCTTATCGCTTGCCTTTGTTGCTGGCTTTACAGAGGCGGCGAAAACCGTTCACACCAAAGTCGCCATCCTCGGAGGTGGCGTCAGTGCCATCAATGCAGCTCGTAACCTGACTGGTGCAGGTATCCACGACTTTATGATCATTGAAGCACGCGACAGCTTGGGTGGTAAGTTGGCAAACCCCTTTTCCCCTTACCCTCACTTCCAAGAAGATTTTTCTTTTTCTTTCTTGTTTGCATGCAAGTTATTCACTCTCATTTGTTCAATGTCATTCAGGACGTGCTCAAGATGCTCCTTTCGCGGACATTCGTCTGGAACTTGGCTGTAACTGGGTCCAGGGTTTGGGAACCAACCCTGTGAATCAATTGCGCAAGAAGTATGGCTTGAAGACGGCCGAAACCGATGGTGACGATGTCGTCTTTTATACCGAAGGCGGTAAAATCGACAATGGCACCGAGGTTTACAAAAAGTAAGTACTTTTTCAGCTTCGGTACCCAGCTCCCCCAAACATGACTGAATTAAAACTTATCCATCATCTTACAATAGATTCAACGAGGTGTACGAACGCATGAACGATATGGCGTGTAAGTACATGGGTATCACTGTTATGAATCGGATTCGGGGTTAATTGGTTGTTTTCCCTATAGTCAAGAGAGTCGAGAACAACCAAGTGGATATCTCTGTTCGTGCTGGACTGGATTTGGCCGGATGGTATCCCATGACCCCTCTCGACCAGGCCATCGAATACTATGTCTTTGACTGGGAATCCGCAGAGGAACCCGAGGACTCTTCCATGATTGGTTCGGCTTTGAACGACAACGCTACCTACAGCAGCTTTGGTGAGGGTAGCGACGGTGATCGCATGGTCGTTGATGAAAGGTAAATGCGTCATTTTCAATAGAAGCCTTGTAGTTCCTGCAACTCACCCTTCTCTTTTTCCACAGAGGTTTCAAATACATCTTCTTGGAAGAAGCCAAGACATTCCTGAAGAAAGATGATTCCAGAGTCAAGTTAAACACAAAGGTTACCAAGGTCGAATATAACAAGCACGGTGTTACGGTACACACGGACCAGGATCTCATCATCAAGGCTGATTATGCGATTTCCACCTTCTCGTAAGTAACAATCATGCAGTACTGCATCCCGGAAATCGCCGCTCACGCCTTTTTGACATAGACTGGGTGTCCTTCAGCACAAGGATGTCGAGTGGAGCCCGGCGCTCCCTGACTGGAAATTGGAAGGCATCTACGGTTTCCACATGGCCACTTATACGAAGATCTTTTTGAATTTCCCTTATCAGTTCTGGGACGATAACCAATTCACCGTCTACGCTGATCCCGATAACCGCGGTTACTACAACACTTGGCAAAACTTGAACGCCCCTGGCTATTTCCCCAAGAACACCTCCACCAACATCTTCTTTGTCACTGTCACTCAGTCAGAGTCCTACAGAGTCGAAGCCATGGAAGATGAAGAAGTGAGAAAGGAAGCCATGGCCGTGCTTCGATCCATGTATGGTGACGACATTCCCGAAGCTACCGAAATTATGTTCCCTCGCTGGCACAGCAACCCCTTGTTCCGCGGAAGTTACTCCAACTGGCCTATTGGTGAACTGGATCAACATCACATCAACATGAAAGCTCCTCTTCACAATCGTCTTTTCTTTGCTGGCGAGGCCATGTCCAAGGAATACTTTGGTTTCTTGCAAGGTGCTTGGTTCAGCGGTGAAGAGACTGGCTCGCACGTAGTCCAGTGCATTAAGAAGAAGTGCCCCAGAGCCGAATACTACCCCATCATCACCAAACCCGACATCCACCCCAACTACATCCACAAGCGTAGTGTCGTCGTATAAATAAAGAACTTGATTTTTTTTTCATTACCATCTCTATCATAAACAAGCCGTGCATCCGATGTGCAATGGATGCCACCTGCTACTGGATGTCGCCCCCTTACATTGAGTGACATTCGTCAGACAAAAGCCTAACGCAATACGGCATAACCTGGGCGAGACTCTTGATGGAACTTTGTCTATTAATGTCAATACCCTGGCATACATGTGTGCAGCAGCACTTATTGTCCCCCTCAGTCCCGTCCCGCCCAAGGTTATGATAGATCTAGAATGATGTGTGAGAATGTTGGGTATTAAAAAGAATTAGTTAGTACGCTCTTTGATTGATTCAAATGTCGTCAACATATTTTACCTTTGTTATTCGATGCAGCAGATATCGAGAGCTTCCCAACCGGAAAAAAAAAAGAAACGATATAAATTATAAAGAAAGTAAAACAATAGGTGCGACTGTAAAAACCCCCTAGAAACCCTGTAGGAAACAAAGAAGGAAAAACTGCAAGAAGGTCTATCGAATAAAATACAAAATATATACTACAAACTACAAAGTAATGTGGTCGGGAAAAAATATCGAAGACAATACCACGGAAGTAATCCAAAGAACAGGAACCTGAGGAGGACGCGTAAGCACTTTCCGACGAAAAAAGAGTCACCACCGACGATGCCCTTTGACGACAAAAACCGGATTGACCACATTCGGTGCGCGAATAAATTTGAAAGATTTGGAGGGATGGATGGCTTGCCAGGGCGAAAAAAAAACCGGAGAGAAAACCAAAAGCTGAAGAAAGGATAGAGAAAAAAGAACGTGAGTTTTTTCTTGTCGAAAAACGGATAGTTACATCACAAAAACGTACCTTTTTGATATTTAATCGACTTGACCGGTTACAGATACACGCGAGATAAACCATAGTGTGGATGATGGATGATGGATGCGAGGGGAAGCAATGATGGTGAGAGTTATTCAGGAAAACAGAAGATAGAGGAGAAAACCAAAGAAAAAAGAAAAAATACGAAGACAAAATATATGTGGATTTCCCATGGATGAAACAATAGTCACCTTATTGATGCATGAATGATGAACTACACAGATCGAAGCATATTATGTAAAACGGCACACATATTACTGACAAAGTGAAATTAAATGATGCTACAGAAGAACGCCAGATTCAAATTGACAATAGCCCTTTACAGAAAACTCTCCCCTTCCATTGGACTTTTCCAACGTCTTTGGATGAATAAATGACACTACGCGAAGTAGCTGCCAAATCCATATGATGAAAAGGAACACCATGTGACTGTTTTTTGGCTCGCCAATTTTGGGTGCGGCGACTGGCTCTTAGTTTGGCAAGAATTTTAAAACATTAGAGATAAATCGTCGTTTTATGTCCTATTGCATTTATATCGGTATACGCGCTGTATATTGTTGTATTTTTATAAACTCATCCCTGTTTGGGTTCCCTTTTTCTTTTCCGCCATTGTTCTGCAGAGAATGGTTACACACGTTTCCCTTAATTTTTTCGCGCAAGTACTCAAAAAAAAAAATCTAATCCCCGTCCTTTTCCATTTTTGTCACTAGCTTAAACTTTTTTTCTTCTTTTCTTCATTGCTTATCAGTCCTTTCTCGCTCAATTTATGACCGATCTTTCCGAGAAATTGGAAAGGCCTGCATTGACAGGCGATCCCATGTCCACCGTTACGGCTGACGATGAGTTGAAAAAGAAAAAGAAACATAAGAAGCGCTCGCGGTGGCACTTTTTTCACCGGCATCACAAACGCAACACTTCCGATACGCAGATACCTCAGCCCAAGGAATTGACCGATGAACAGGCCCACAAAATTACAACCCTAGCCGATTATGCGGAACGAAACTTTTCGGTTACCATCGAGAGTTGCTTGTTTCAAAGCTTGTTGGAAAGCAACGACTGGAATTTGAAAAAAAGCATTGTTGATCTGGAAGATTACGAAGACGCTGCTCACGGAATTTTACATGCTCCTCCTGCTCGAGGAACCACCTTGCTGGGAAGCGAGAATCACAAAGGCACATCGTGTTACATTGATGCCCTTTTGTTTGCAATGTACATTGTAAGTTGAACACTTTTTTGGCCACATTGTCGTCGCCAAGCTCACCATCACTTTGCCAGAATCTTACCACCTTTGACCCTCTTTTAACGACTTTGGACTGTTCAATCGAAGAAACCCCTCGACAGAGTCTGCAGACGCTTTTACGGCTATTTGTGAATAAGCTACGGAGAGGCAATTTGATTCAGGCCGATTTTGTTGCTTGGTTACGCAAAGTGCTGGAAGAGGCATCTTGGCATGGTCGGGATCAATGGGGCAACTGGAGCCAAGAAGATGCGAGCGAATTATTCATGTTTCTTACCGAACTTTTCGACCTTCCGTATCTTCCCGTAAGTTTTATCCTGGGATTCAACGACGGGTTTTTTTTTCAGTGGTGGCTCACCAATTGTTCCGCTGTAATTGATAAATGAGCAGTTTCAAATCCGGTTATTCCATGGAGCCAATAGAGACTCGGATGACGATCGTGTAATGACCGACCGAGCATTGTCGCTGTCAATTCCTTCAGACACTGATATCAAAGAACCGCTTCGACTGGAAGACATTCTTCTCGATTATTTTTACAACAGTATGGTCACTGGCGTCAAACGCCAAGTGGATTACCATGCATTCAGCAGCTCGTCCACCCCCTCGTCTCCTATCAGTATAAAGAGCAGCAACAGCATACCCAAAAAGATGGCCGTGATCGAACATCAGGAAGAAGTCGCGGTCACTGCATGGCAAGTCCTCGAACTGTTACCCTTTTACACGGCCGTGAATGAACAAGGCGAAGCCATTGGGCAGTCTGAGGGGTCGTTCCCCGATTCACATATGATTCTCCCTATCGTCCTGAAACGATACAATTATGACCATAACGGTGGCTCTGTGAAAATCAAGACCCAGGTCGACATTCCATCTTATATCCACTTTAACCGGTTCGTCAATCAAAATGCCGATTTACTCGTATGTCCCACCTGTGGACACACATTGGAGGGGGTCATGCATTTACGGAGCGCCGTATGCCACAAGGGCGAATCACCCCACTCTGGCCACTATATCGCCTTTTCCCGTGTGAATACGGAAGATGATGCTTCATGGCTTAAACTAGGTAGCCTTTGTTATGATAACAAGAACAGAACCATTATGCATGTATAAGATGAGTTTGAAACTAACCTTTTTTTGTGTGGTTAGATGACATGGATCAACAGCGTGTTCAGCTAATCGAAGGGAAAAAGGTGGAAACCGTATTTTCCGAGCTTGCAAAGGATGCTTACATTCTGTTCTATGAGTTGGACAAGTCATGTAATCATGAACCGATTATCAACAACCCGATGCCGTCCGAGTCAGAAAAGGACTCGAGTACACTTTTCACGACTGAAATTCTGACGTCGATCGATAAAGAAAGCAAAGATTCCAGTGCATCCTCATCAAGGCATCATCACCACTGGCGAAAACGTCCTGGGTATACTCACGGTCACAGTCATCATTCCTCGTGTAGTGTCATGTAATTTTCTCATTCTTCAAACTTGTTCATTTTTGTTCCATATTTATTTGTCGTTCGGTCTTTTTTTTTGTCGCGTATTCAAAAGCAATACACGTCTCCATTTTTCGCGAATTCGGGAACTGGGAAATTTTATCGCGCTTTTTTCTTTTTCTCTCTTCTCTGTTGAGTAACGTTTATGCAATAATGCCTGATCGCCATGATCATGCTCCACTTCCTCAATCGAATACAACTCAGTCAACTAAAGTCCCCCTAAATCATGATTCTGCACCGAATGACGGTACACGCAAACGTCACGGCGGCCATAACGGTATGAACAGACCTTATTCATTGCACCACGATCGATCGAGTGCCTGATCCTTTATATTCCTCTATAGACGTCTTGCAGCACCACCAAATGACGTTGGCTCAACGCGCTTCATTACCAAGGTAAATCTTATCGGATGCATCCGTTATTATTCTTTTCTATAGCAACTTGACGGTTGATCCATTTATAGTCCTGATACGCATCAGGTCGCTGACAGCCCAGAACGCAACGTGAATCCTCACTTGATACAGCAACGATTTATGAAGCGTGTGCTTGAAGAAAGCGAAAGATGCGGTTTCAGTTTGACAGCCGAAAAACGACTTCAAGCCAGCGCATCACATCGTCTTTCGCCCATTAAATCGAACCAGGCTCGTGATCCCTTGTACGCGACGTTATCTCAGAACAGCGATTCCTTATTCGGCGAAGATCTGCCCTTGGACCAACTCAATATCCCTATCGTCTCTCAGCATTATGAAAAAGTGTCCGAAAAGGTCGGTATGAAACCAACCATTTCGCACCTTGCCAACCCGCAATACCTTAACACCATGAAAAATGCTGATGACAACGAGGACGACGATGACGATATGTTTGGCGACGATATTCCTTTGGATATCTTGGATGCAACACTCGAGAATCAAATAGTGGAGTCGGCCACAACAAATAACGTCCTACCACCGAATCAATCCCTCGATCCAGCCGCAGCCAGCTCGGTAGGACCACTGATGTTGGTTATCCTGGATCAGTCCAATTAATTTGTGATGATCTTAGATGGACGTAGACGATAGAAATGCGCGCTATACTCGATACATTATCATCAGTATTACACTTGAGAAATACGCATACAATGACGATATGCGTAATGAAAAGGTAGAAATGCGTCGTTCGGGGACGAATGGAAAGAGATGGCATGTTGATCGCTCTTTATTTTCAGGTGTTGTTATTATTGGATCAAGCTCGAAACGTACCTGTTCGTGCACATTTACGTGACGATTGGTGGCACGCACTGGTGGCTGTGGGTAAGTGAACCGTTCACCGTGTCTATTGAATCCCGTGTCATTGATCGTTCTTACATAGGGGACATTGTTCATATTCCTTCATCGCCCACCACAAACACATCAAATATCATCATTGACAATGAGAACAACTATTTGATTATTCATCCTGATCGGTTGATTTCGTGCACAGCGGTTGCCGACAGTTTCTTTTGTTTGCGCAAATCGGTATTGCAACAAAAAATCAAGTCCATTAGCGAATACAGCGAAGTATTGGTGCATGGTAACATTATCCACCAAGTGATCCAGCAAGCGCTTCAAGCCGGTGATTTTTCGTCTGAAGCGATACAAGAAACAATTCAACGCGTTGTGCTGGATTCTTTGGACGAACTATATGCTATTGATCAGGATGAAGACACCGCGATCAAAATCTTATCCATGATGGCTCCCGAAATCAAAGCCTTTGGCGAAATTTACGTTGGATCCGAGCCGAAACCCTGGGCTAAGATAAGCGATGATGTTGGACCGACGGTATCGAGTGATATGGGATGCGAAACACTAAGCATCAACCGTATCTTGGACATTGAAGAACACTTGTGGAGTCCTACCTATGGTCTCAAGGGTATGATTGATGCTTCCATCCAAGTTAAAGCGAGCCCTTGCGGAAAAATCCTTACCATTCCTCTCGAATTGAAAACTGGTAAATCCAATCGTGTGGTATCGCATCGTGCCCAAACCATCTTGTATACCCTTCTAATGAGTGACCGCTACGGTAAGTGTTTTCTTAAGTGCAATTGTTTGGCGTCGCAGCATCTGATGATATCCAATTCCCCTACCTTAGATATCATCATTTCGGCGGGCGCCTTGTTTTATTCACGTACAAATACCTTTTACCTGGTCCCGGCTGTCCGAAATGAACTTCGGTCGCTTATTTTAGCACGAAATGAATTAGCGGCCGCCATGAACACCCGTCAAAGTCTTCCACAGATGGTGAAGCGGTTGCACTCCTGCCAACGTTGCAACATGAATGATGCCTGTCTAATTTATCACAAGGCGACTGAAAATGGGACGCGTGATTCCAGTGGTCTAGGTAACTGGTTTGAAGCAAAGACCGCCCATTTATCGGAGGAACACAGTGCCTTTTTTCGTCACTGGCAACAGCTAATTGATATGGAAGAAAACGACATTGATCATTTCCGAAAAGATATCTGGCAGCAGGAACCTGATAAACGCGAAATGGCGGGAAAGTAAGCATTTCGTTTTATCATACGTTGGGATCGTTTATCTTGGTGTTGCTTACATCAGGAACCGCCGGTATAGATGTTTTGACCATATGGTGATAAGCAAGGAATCCATGGTGGCTAACAGAAACATGGCCTCGGGTTGCTGGTATACTTTTGTCCGAGATCCAACCCAATCTGAAGAGATACAGCAGCGATCCCTTCTATCATCGCAGATCAGTGTAGGCGATCCGGTGGTGGTTTCCAGTAGACAAGGACATATCAATCTTGGCATGGGCATGGTGAAACGTCTGTCGGAGCACGCCGTGACCATCAGTCTGACACGACCTTTGCGACGACCTCCTCGTCGAGCCGACAGCTTTGACCTGGAGACTTGTCAGACGTTTATTCCTCTGGCGAGCGATTACGGCATCCACGCGGATATCGCTCAAGTCGGTTATCGTATCGACCTGGATGAAATGTCCGGTAGTATGGCCCTGATGCGCCGTAACCTTATCGCTATTGTTAACAAAGAAGAAGATGGAGGCGACGTGAAGCGGCGACAATTGATTGTGGAATTAACCACCCCCAGCTTCCTGCCGGCTAACTCGATCCGCATGCCCAATATACCCAACCTGAACCCGGATCAACGTACAGCGGTTGAAACGGTGCTACGAGGTATAAGAAAAAAGTACTTTTCATCCCTCTTGACCCGCATGGACTAAACAAAATTTCTGTACATGATAGCTCAAGATTACACTCTGGTCCTGGGTATGCCTGGCACCGGCAAAACAACTACCACGGCTCATATTATCAAAGCGCTCGCGGATCAAAAGAAATCGGTCCTGTTAACAGCATACACTCATACCGCCCTGGATAATGTGCTCGTCAAAATTCGTGAAGCAGGCATTGACGTTTTAAGATTGGGTAATCCAGAAAAGGTAACAAAGAATGGAACAGATTCAACATGATTCTCTGTGCAGTCTGTCTGATATCATGGTAAATAGACCATGCCATGCCTTCGAGATTGCATGCCAAATTACAACCCATCCTTATCTTCCGTCAAGGCATTGGAAGATTTCTATAATTCCAAGCTTGTGGTCGGCACTACATGTCTTGGCATCAGCCAGTAAGTAGTCCAATGAGACCCGTTTTTTATTTCATTTTTCAATTGACCGAAATTTTCTCTAGTCCATTATTTCAAAAACGACGATTTGACTATTGTATCGTCGATGAAGCGTCTCAAATCACATTACCAGCATGTATTGGTCCGTTGCGTTATGCCGATGTCTTTGTGCTTGTGGGTGATCAATATCAGCTACCTCCTGTGGTAATTCATCGCCATTTTTTTTTGTTCCTTTTGGTTCAAGACAATAACGTTAAATTGATAGGTTCGCGATGATCAAGCGCGTGAAAATGGGCTTGATAGGTCTCTTTTTACACTTTTGGCCAAGGCACATCCGGAAGCGGTGGTATTTCTAAAGTATCAGTACCGCATGAATGAGAACATCATGACGGTATCCAATCAGCTTATCTACAACGACAAATTGAGGTGTGGTAACAGAAAAGTGGCATCGCAAAGCTTGCATCTTCCACAGTTGCACCAAGGTCTCGATAAGCTTCATAAATCTGTGGAAGAAAGTATGGGCAGTCCGTCTATATGTGTGGGCTCTTCTTGTTGGCTCAAGGATGTGATGGATCCTCGGTAGGTTTTCCAATACGATTCCAACGTAGCTATTCAATGATTGAGGAATTGGTCTAGAAACTAATGATTTGGGATTTCTACCAAGACGGCATGTGCTATTTGTAGATACCGATGCTTTGTCGGCGAGAGAAGAACGTCCTCACGGAAATCTTGTTCAGAATTCAAGTGAGGCCCATCTTATCTACCAGACGGCGGAAGCCTTATTAGGTTGTGGTGCCAAAGAAGATCAGATCGCGGTTATTTCCGTCTACCGGTCGCAACTACGATTGATTTCGCAAACTTTGAGGAAAAGACCCTCCATCGAAATTGCCACCATTGACAAATACCAAGGCCGGGATAAAGACTGCGTGCTAGTTTCGCTGGTTAGAAACAATGCACAAGGAAGCGTAAGTCAAGACATGAGTTCTCTGAATTTATTTGAAGCGGGTTGATAACCACTGGATGATTGGTTTTTGCTAGGCGGGCGACTTGTTGCGAGACTGGCGACGCATCAATGTTGCATTTACGCGTGCAAGGACCAAGCTCATTGTGTTTGGGTCGGCGTCCACCCTGGAAACATCTGCGCTATTTATGAAGTTTCTTGGATTGTTGGAACAGAAACAATGGGTAAGCAAGCATCGGATCATTCCCCTATATGTTCTCTCGGTTGTTAACCGTGAACACAATAGATTTACAAACTGTCAGCTGAGGCTCAGCATCAGCACCCTCAGTTACAAATGCCCCTTCCCGAACCTTTGCCCAAAACAAAAGAGCGGCGAGTATTCACTCCTCACGAAGCACTATTGAAAGATCGTCACATTCTTAAAGATGTTTATAATCACGCCAAATGAAGTTTTTACGGGGTTCATTGGTTACTCTGTGTGGACCGTATTTGACCCTCTTGTATATCTGTATATTCAAAATCAATACACTATTTATAATGCTATTGTCTACCACTTTCCGCACCATTATAGACTGGTTGTTATGCTGTAAAGAAACATTATATAGTACATGGTTACGCAAATTTGGGGCATGATTTTTCATGATAATAAAAGTGTACCACGGGGCTTGCAAGTGCCGCTCGTTGTCGTCTAGTAGTAAACACTTGCCGCATCCAACACCATACATCCTTTGACAGAGTCGTTGACCCCGGCCTGTGTGGGATGCTGTTATTATCTGTACGGCAAACACCGAAGAATGAATAGAAATTTCGGCTGACTGAATCATGAAAAAGGATCATGATTTCGCCGAAGCAGTGTATCTGCCGAGACCTCCAGTGCTGGGACCTTCAGTTCCGAATTGGCGAGTTTTCAACTTGCGACACAGGCTTGTATCGAAGAAAACAACGATGCTCCGCAAAGAGGGCCAACATGACGAATGTCTGCGCGAAAGAAAGAGGCTCCGCTTTTTATCTCGGATTAGATTTAATATTATATGCTTTGGGGAAGGAAAATGCTGTCTAAATGAAGAAAAACCGCAAGCATATAATGGATTGGAAGAGAGAATTCAGAGGATTTTCTAGAAAAATCCTCCTTTTTAATCATTTGCATAGTATTGATGATGTTGCCTGTAACAGTATCGATTTTTGCTGAGTTGATTTATTTTGCAATGGGGACTTCCCGAAACAGAAAATAGGCTGTATGAACAAAAACAATGATCGTCCAGTATCCAATCGGCAACAGTTGCTAAGCCGCAATATCATAGCGATTCATTGTCCTCTTTTTGTTATGGCATTGCATAATTTGGTCGCACTTGGCAACAGAAATGTCTACTCGCGTTTTTTCCAAGATACTCCGAGCATTTGCCATTGGTGTCGTGATAATGTCCGCTCACCATCATTCTCAGAAAAGCGATGCGTCTCCAAACAATGAAAAAACCCCGTTACAAAGTGACAAATGGTAAGTAATAAGTGATTATATACCTATTATCTAAGTGTCAACAAGATATAATCTCAAATAGATTCAAGTGAAACACCCTATGTAATGCTTTTCCAATAAGGTCAAAATGTTATTGGGCGGCCATCGGAAAAGGTTGTCTTGCAAGGTTCTGCTCCATCTCCGCTGTTGCCATTGATGTTTTCTTTGGTTGTCGGAGAAGCAAATTTTCAACCGAGTGGAGTGTAAACAAAAAAGTCCATGTGCATTTAGTTGCGACAAGGACTCGTGAGCTTTGAAAAAAGAAAGACATAAGTAAATGGCAAAAATGAATTCTGATACTGTTACCGGATGTTAAAAGAAAAAAAAAAAGCTGGTCATGAGGTTTCGGTCTTGAAGGTTGGACGAGTTTGGTAAGAGACAATTACAATGATTTTAGAGATGTATTGTGTATCCTGGCTGGGAAGATGAAAGAAGTTGCAACTACTTTCGGAACCTCCCTTGTTTATTTCAATCTTGACGCTTAGAATTGTTCTGGTCTTCTTTATTTACGCTTTGCTTTTCTTTTCTCTCTCTTTTTGACTGCAAATATAAAGAAGTGTGAATAAAAGCAAACATCCCACCGTGAATGATAACGTGAGCTCATGTGAGATGGTGAACTGGATTTTTTTTCCAGCTCCGTCTTACGATAATGTTGTATTGAAGACGGCCTCCCTTTTTTTTTCCCACTTTTTTTCTTTCTCTTTTTTTTTTTTTGGACTCTTCTCTTTTTTGGTTCTTTTTTTTATTTCCCTTTTCTACACCTGACACACTTTTTGCAATAAAAATAGGGAAAACGGTCAAAACCACAACGTCAACCCTATTAACGAAACAGTCTACTACAGAAAGCCAAAAAGAAAAAAAAAAATCACCAAAAAAAAGGGATACTTTCAAGATTTCTATTTCACAACAATCTCTTGTTTTTACTCATGCGTGAACCCAACTTCAGCTTCCCGGCTCAACACCGAGCCGCTGTGGTCATTACGTCTTCAATGTATGATCGACGAGCATTGGATTGTACCGCCACTCTACCGCTGGTCAATTCACTTACCCATCTTGCATATATGACGTCGACATCCCCACGTATACGAGAGATATTATCATCAGATGGAGGCATGGAACGGTTGATCAAGATTTTGGCTACTTGTCAACACACCGATAAGCATTCATTGTGGAAATGGTCGTTAGCGTTTCAATGCGTGGTGAATGTGGGGGTCCGCGGCACTGAAGCTATCCGTACCCGTGTGGTGGACGCTGGAGCGGTCCATATTGTGCTTGTTATTCTGGAGAACTTTTTGAAAGCGTTGGAACGAGCGAAAATGGACAAGGAACAAGAACATAAACAGATTCAAAACCTTCGTGAAGCAACAGCTTTGACGCTTCCCACCATGCCTCTGCAGCCACCACAAACGAGATCGACACCTATCACCCCTTCACGGAGATTTTTCGGCCAGTTTCCCTCCCCTGTGAATACCACCACCATCTCGTCTTCTTCACCAGAAACCAATGTTTCATTATTCACCACGCCCAAGCGATATACCTTTCTCACTCGCACCCTCAAAACCAAGCCCAAACATCACCCGTCGCCACTGCTTACTGTGCCATTTTTCGATGAACTCAGTACGGAAGCAATTTTGCATCGCGAAGAAGATGTCTTGCTATCCCTCCAGTTGCTGGCTTATCTGTCAAAATATGCTCATATACGTCACACTTTCCATCACAACTACCATCGCAACGTTTTCTCTGTCGTAGAACGATTTACCCATCGTTTACATCCCGCGGCCATCGTGTACTGGGCCGGAGTCATCATGCGAAACGCATGCAGAAAGGACGAAACTCGTGGTGGCATTCGACAGTGTGCCAATATGCTTTGTGGCAAATGGGAACGCTTCCCAAGAGAATTCGCCAAATGCCGTCGATGGTAAGCTGACCCTTCTTTTCTTTTCTTTTCTTTTCTTTTTTTTTTTAAGCAACTGCTCTTTTTTTGTTTTTCTTTGGATGCAGTGCTAATTTTCATTCTTTCAATTTTTTCTTTTTTGTCTTTTGTTTTCCCTTGATTTAGTCGCAAAGCCAAATATTGTTCAAAACCATGTCAGTCCAAAGCGTGGGCTGATGGTCATCGGTGGTGGTGTGTAGAACGTATCCATTCAAGTCAGCCTCCTACAGCAACCACGACTTCAGCTACCGTGGCGGCGGCGGCGGCTGCTGTGGTGGCAGGCGATCCTCAACCGGCCCCTCCAGTGGATCAAGTGGTGTCATTGGATGATACACGAACGCCTGATGCGGTGGCTATTACGATTGATAATCACGACGGGAATATCCCTGTGGAAGAGGTCAATACCACGCCCAATAATATGCACCGTCGTTCTTCTCTGCAGCTTGATGCAGCTAATCTTCATTCACCCAATAACAATGACCACGGCAACATGGTCGATCGGCCGCGTCAAGAATCTCTACTGTTTTACCGTCAACGAAGGCGAAATTCTCGATCGGCGCGTAGTTTGGCCTCTGGATCGTCGACAGAAGTGGAAGCAGAAAATGAAACGAGTCGAGATCGAGGGCGCGATTTCATGGATACCGATTGATCATGATCAACAGAGAGGGAAGATGCACAGCAGGAAAGGAACCACATCTATTGTAGAACAAGCAATTCACCCACTCACTCATGCGGCGCACATAAACACACCACAACCCAAACCTAACGCAACCCCCCCACACACACACACAAAGCAACACCACACACATACTCTCAATACCCTTTTGAATGAATCTCAATTTTTTTTTCTCCTTTTTTTTTAAGCTGGATCATGGATGGCTTCAAACAGAGAATCGGCAAGAGAAAATCAGGAAAAAAAAACCCGACAATTGGCAATGGAAAGATTTCTCAAATTTTTGGTTTTTTCTCTTTTTAAATGTTTTGAAGAAAGGGAAAAAGGGAATCTTTACTAGGCTGACGAGAGAGCCCAACAAAAAAAAAAAAATAGGTGTACACCTATCTAATCTCTTGATTCAAACCCACACACATTTCATCAACCCTTTTTGTCATTCTCCTGCTTTTTCCTTTCTTATTTTCTCAATTTTACTTCTGTTGCGCGAATCTGGTCTTCTTTCTTTTAATATGTATTTGCTTGAATCATTCATCACAACATTTTGTTCGCAATAAAGCAACAACCACAACCAAAAAAAAAAAAGAAAAAAAAATGGACTGGACTCCCTGAATCATAATGAAAAGCGTAAAACAAAATGTAATTATCTGCTGTAAAGGAACGAGGAAGTTCGATATCAAAGTAACATCCACCTGAACACCATTCATTGGTAGCTTATCAGCCAGCCGCTTTTGCTCTTCATACCAATTCGAAAGTTTTAGTAGTTTACAACATCGAAAGCGCATTTTGTTATCGCGATGCAAGAGAATGCATTACCCATATTGCCCGTATCTTCAATCTACTTTAGCTGGATTCGATGTATTTATTTTTATAGCATAAAATGACTAAGCAAGTAGGATCTAATCTTCCCACGAATATACACCATGACACATAGGCAACAAAAAAAAAACACGGCTATTGATCATTTCCAATATCGCATTCAGTTATCAACGTATAAGATGTTACCTCTCAAAACTGTCTATGTTACCTTGGGGAGCAGATGGGGATTTATCTGCATGATAGTGGTAGAAAAGCGAAAACATCCCGCACTTATTCTTTTACTCCATTATTTTGAATCTATTAAAACGAAATCTTGACAGCTTAAAAGCAAGCTCATGGAGAAGTATTTTGAAGCAAAACCTCATACTATACAAGGAAGAAAACCTGTTTATAGGACGTGTAACGACGCGTTGCCAGTTTACAAAGCAAAAAAAAATTGGCGCTAATCAAGTCATTAACATCGCTCTTAAAATCATATACATAACCTCCTTAAATGACCCATAAACAGAGGAACCACCTCTTGCAAAAAGTTTTTGATATGCGAAAATAAAAAAATAAATCAAAAAAAATAACGCATTTAGCAAAAATGCGCCCAAAAAAGATGTTCCCCATCGGGGAGTCGAACCCCGGCCGTCTCGGTGAAAGCGAGAAATCCTAACCGCTGGACCAATGAGGACTTGTTGAAAATAAAATTGCTCTGTTGGTCACACTATTAAGTACACAATCACGTGATCACCGCAAATTTTCCTTCATTATAGGGGACAACCGACGATTCCTTTCGCAGAAATACGTTATTTCCTTCCCACTTGAGTAGACTAATGAAGGCAATGGTATCGCCCAAGAATGAAGCTGGGGAAATTGGTCTAAAAATTGCTGATAAATTTCATGCAATGAAGCGGAATGTGGAATTGTCACTTTTTTGAAGCTTTGCTGTAAACTGGCAAAATGTGCTCCGAAACTGGCATTGTTGTTGTGAAGGTAAAGTTGTTATCTACAAAGATTTTTTGTCTCATACAAAGTACACCTTTATTTCATACTCCTCTATCGTTATATTCCGGTGGCAGCCAGGTAGCAGAGGTATTTACTGTACGTTTCCAGCCATAACATTTTCCGGTTTGCCAACTGGGCGAGTTAGTTAGCCAAAACATAGATAATTGCTTTTCATTTGGAAATAGTCTTCTCTGCCAATTCCTTTGCTCGTGAAGTTTTTGCTTCTGTTTCCACTCGAGTTTAAAGAGCTTGAAGGGTGTCCGAACAACAAGCTGAATGCAACGTTTTCGGCAAGAATGAAGAGGCATCAAGATAAATTCTCGAACTTCCTTCGGATCAGTATATTTTCGTGGCTTGAAGCGGCCCCTTTCAAAGATATTTTTGTATTGATGAACTTTCATTCGTGATAACAGGTTTACACTTTGAAGGGACTTCCAAGCTTGATCGCTGCTTTATCCCAGCACGCACAGGCACATTCGTGCTCGACATACCTTTGATGAGCAGATAACCCCCCTTTAAAAAACTGATCCTTTCGCATCCCTCTACTGTCGATTCCAAACTTGTACTGCGGGTGAATGTCTTATTGATTTACTTCTTGAATTCCTGTAACATATACAGCAAATTAAAAAGTCTGAGGACTGAAATTCTTGGTTATAGAGGTTTTTCGTTCTATTCACCGAAGCACAACATACAACCACATATGTCACACGCGCGTTTCGCGTTCAGAGAAATATCTGTGATTGAATTGGTCCCAATCTAAAGCGTATGGACGATTTTCGAGTTCGACTTAGATCTTCGATTACCCATTCAGCACAGGAGAAACCTCGAGGAGGATACTGGCTGCAGAAATATGGATGCTAGGTTGATGGTTTTCTTAGATATTGAAGCATCACGGCTAATGATAGAACGCGCTTCAGCATTGGAAGTTACAGTAGCTCTTCTAATCAAGAGGGTAAGCACGATGACTGAATCGAGCATAAGTAATGTTCCGCAGGAATGACCAGGCATATCTACAGCAACTCAAAATAAGAACAAAGGGCATTTAACTCGAGTCAGGTTTCATTTTTCCATTCAGCCGGCGATCAGATGGCGACAATAATTTGGCATAGGATATAGCCATGGATCACGGTTCGTAATTGCAGTATTGCTATCACCGAACTCGATCCCTGCAAACACAATTTTCAATGCGACACAATGTTGACAGCCACCAAATCGCAGCGATATCTGATGATGTATCATTTAATTACAAAAATGGAAAAGAAACAGAAAGAACATGTATCATCAGTACGTTGTAATGAAATTGCATGTTATCATGTTATCAACCATTTTAAAAAGCTGTTTGCCCGCTTAGACTTTTTCATCTTCCCTGCAATTCTTTTCGGTAATCAATGTTGTAGTAACTGAAAAGCAAAAGTCCAGACATATTAGCATAAAAAAATTTTCGCCTACCTTTTTAATAACAATTTGACTTATCATGCAACTGAACAATACTAATGATATGCGCATCAGCTTTAGATATTGAAGATGTTAAAAGGGGGAAACTTGGAAAGAAGGTAAACGAAGGAACTGATTTCATCAGAGGACTTCCCTTTTTCATTTTATTTTATTTTACATTGTCCTAAAAATTTTGGGTGTCATTGTTTCGGCGCTTCTTTTTTTTTTTTTTTTTCTTCTTCTTCTGTGGTTCACTAAGTTTCGTATGGCAAGTGAGCAACTTACGATAACGAGAACACATACGTCACAGCAAGGAGAGTCGACCAAGACGAGTCGGGCCATCCCTGCCAGCGTTACCATCGTCAATGAATCCACCCCACTCGTCAGTCAAAACCGCCAAGGTAGTTCATCGATGACCGCCGACCCCGAGTCCCGAATAATGATGCTCTCATTGAGCAAAGAACCCTTGCTAAGGAGAAAAGAGGTGCTCGGCATGCTGCTCATGGTATTTTCAGCGCTCTTGTTCACCTTTATGACCATGTTTGTCAAGATGGGGAGCGAGATGTTTCCGTCATTTGAACTTGTTTTGGTGCGGTCGTTGATACAAACTCTCCTGGCCTTGGGAGGCTGCGCCATCTTTCGTATCAACCCACTGGGAAAACCCGGCATCCGGAAATGGCTCCTTTTTCGTGCCATTGTTGGCGCGATTGGTCTAGCTTTGTTCTTTTACAGTCTCTCCGTTCTATCACTGAGTGACGCAACAGGTAAATTTTACATCCTGTTTTCTTGGCTTGTCTATGTGTTTTCTTTTTCTTCATCATCAGCGATGATCTTTTATATGTCGACTTTTGGATGTATTCGATGGCGAAAGCAGTGATTCATGCAAAATGTTAGTGCTTTTCTTTCTAGGTCCGACATTCACAGCGATCCTGGCATCAGTTATTCTGAATGAATCCTTTACGTTGTTTGATTCGTTCTGCAGTGTGTTGTGCCTTGTAGGGCTCATTCTCGTGTCCAAGCCCATGTTTTTGTACAATACGGTAACGCACGACCAGACTGAATTGCAGCGCATTTTCGCCATCAGCTGCGCTATTGCAGGAGCGATCATGTCCGCCATTGCGTATGTTACGGTGCGCAAAGTGGGCAAAGGCACTCACATCCTGGTGCACGCTGTTTACCTTGGTATCGTATCGAGCATTATCAGTGTCCCCGGCATCCTCCTACTTCAAGAATTTGTTTGGCCTCAAAACGTGCGCGATTACATCATTCTTGTATTTGTGGGTCTCTTTGCTTTCATCGGACAATATGTACTTAATGAAGGGTAACGTTGCAAAACGCATTTTCACCATCTGCCATGACAAAATATTGAAATGACCTTTTTTTATAATGTATCATTAAACCTCCAGGTTGAAATTGGCCCCTGCTGGTCTAGGTAGGTGTGATGGATTGGGTTTTATAGGGACGTAACCACTAATCATAGGGGGAACAGGTACACTTATGCAGACGGCCGATGTGGCATTTGCCTTCTTATTCGGGGTGCTTGTGTTCAGCGAATATCCGGACGTATCGACATTACTGGGATCGGCTCTTATCGTTGGAATGACCACCGCTCTAAGTTTACATCGATGGCATACGCGCGCTCTCCACTTGCTACACATGAAGAAAAAACGACGCAGCAGAACCTCATCGGATTCGCATGCTAACACGACTGCTCCTTGTTCCTCGTAGACTTTGATACCTTTGTTTCTAGACACTTGGTTTGTTTTAATGTTGTTTTATTTCTTTTTTTCTCTTCTAATTATCTTTTACTGTGTAAAATTCCCCTTCTATGATACTACTGTTCTCAGTTATATGATTAAAGAAAATATACCCTTTGATAATAATGTAGTTATGCCAATACACTGGGTTGGCCAGGAATGTATCTTCTTAGCACGGGCGGGACATCAATGCTGCCATCTTGGCGTTGGTGTGTTTCCAGTAAGGCAATGATGACACGAGGTACGGCCATGGCGGTACCGTTCAAGGTGTGGCAATAGTCTACCCACTTTTCCTTGATGTGCCAGGGCACTCTTACATCCTTTGTTCCCACGTTCTCTTTGAATCCAGCCGACAAAAATCGGGTATCCAATCGTCTCGTCTGATAATCGGTACAGTTGGAAGTGGAGGAAATCTAACAGCAGAACACAAAAGAGTTTAGCAGGCAAATACGATGACCTTTTTTGATTTATTACGTACCTCGCCCCAGCCATTTTTGCCGGGCATCCATGCTTCAATGTCGTATTTTCTGTAAGCGCTAGCGCCCAGTTCTTCGGTTGGCATATCCAGTACCCTAATCCACGCCGTCAGATGTCACCCTTTCCTTATTATTGAAGGCATCATATTCACCCCACAACGTTGATTTTGCTGACTTACCGGAAGCATAATCCGAGGTCGCCAAAGAGTTGCTCTTGTAACTTTTGAAATTCCTGCAATATGGATTCACTTTGTTGAGGTGTGGTGACGGCAAACAGTTCGACCTTTGAAAATTGATGCACGCGATATAATCCTCGTTCTTCAGCTGATCCGTGACCTGCTTCGGCGCGGAAAGCACGACCAAAGCCGACCACGCGTTTGGGCAATTCTTCTTCTTTAAACAGTTGCTGTGCAAACATGCCGGCGAGTGGAATTTCGGCAGTGCCGGTTAAACACAGGTTGGGTGCACTGGTATTCAATGTACTGGTGGTGGACACGTCATAGATCTGTGACGCTTCCTTTTTCCGTGGTTGGAATCCGCAGCCGTAAGCGATGGACGTGCGTACGACATCGGGGGTGATAACAGGTGTGAATCCATGCTGAGCGGCTTTTTCGAGCGCATATTGGATCAAGGCGAATTCCAACCATACGCCGTTGTTTTTGAGATAATAAAATTTGGACCCGCTTACCAAAGCGGCTTGTTCAAAATTGACCATATCCAATCGCTCGGCCAACGTCAAGTGGTCCAACAGCGGGAACTCAGCCTTGCGTTTTTCGCCCACTATTTTCACCGTCGTGGCTTTATCTTCCGAACCCACAGGAGCATCGGGATGCGTGTCGTTTGGAAGAAGCAAAGCATGATTCAACAGATCGCGGTCAAGTTTGGTCAAGTGCTCGTCCACCAAACGTAACCGTTCTTTCCACTGCTTGGCTTCGTTAATGTACTTTTGTCGTTCTTCTTTGGACTGCGCGCTTCGAATATTGTGTTGCACCTTGTCACGTTCAGAGCGAAACGTTTCTGCTTCTTCCATTGCATGTTGTCGAGAATCGTAGAGTTTCTTGAACTGCTGAATGGATTCAGTATCGTAATTACGTTGCCTCATATTGTTCGCGATGCGATCCACATTGTCGGCAAAATACTTGTAGTTGAGTTGAGGCGGAATGCGGTGAATGTCTTCCTCTTCTACGTTGGTTCGTTCCGTGGCAGCGGTCGATCGCGCACGTTGTTGCACAAAACGAGGACTGAGACGAGGTAAAACACCTGTCAAAGTGCGTTGACAAAAACAACGTCTCAACATGGTGGAGATTTATGTTTTTCTGCTTCCTATATAGGGAGAACAAGAACTGAAAATAAAGTGTAAAAAAAAGTGACAGCGGTGTTTTGAATTATTCACGGAAACCCATCCCTGCCAAAGAAAGCCAATCAAGCTACTGGAGTGTTATGAAACCAAAGTGTGGAGTCTCATATACTCCAGTAACGAAGGAAAAGAAATCGCCATGAAAAGTTGCTTAGGTACTCGTCGATCACCAAGGCAGCAGCATACGTATGTCTAAAAAAGTTTATTTTTCCATTTTAAGGGATAAAGTATGCAGAAAGAAAAAAAAACCAGTACTGAAAGAAAACAAACGAGGGTAAGAATGAAAAGATTGGACAGGTGTGTAAAGATAAAAAGGGAGCGGAAGGACAAGGTGGGAAGGAAGAAGGGTGACGAAAAAGGGAGAGGGATCACAGTTGTTTTGTTTCTCTAATGAAATTGGATCCCGGTATCCGCCAGTTCTTGGCTGTAGAGAAGGTTCGTTTCATGGGCGAATCGTGGGTGGGGGGCAGACCCGACATGGGCAAGACATCCATGTTCTTTTCACACGCCTTTGACTCGCCTCGATCCACGTCACGTTTCGCATTTTGGTACATCCACAAGCCGACAAAGGTCAACAGAATACCAAAGGATTGAGCCATCGTCACTTGCTGACCAAACCAGAGAATGCTCATTACAATCACGAATATTCGCTTCACCAAAGATAAAATGGAATAGGTGACCGGAGATGTCATGCTGAGAGTCGTAAAAGCGAACCAATTCTGAGCAAAATTCATGGTGCCGTTGAGGAAGAAGGAAACGGCCAGATGGCTCGCACTAATCTCCGTCGTGGAGCTGCTATGCCAGGCCCATAAACCGGAACCGTCTGAATATAACCACAACGGAATCATGAGGACGCAAGAGATCAAGGATGAATAGAACAGCACGTTCAGCTTATCCAACTTGTTCGGATTAAGGTCACCCAGCTTGGATTCCTTGAATAGCAGTTTCTTGCTAAAGATGTTTTGGGTCACGAAGACGAGGCAAGATCCAAACGCGCATGTGAGTCCGACAAAACTATTTGAAAAGGTAAAGGTACACGCCAGAATCACGCCAAAAGTCAACGGCAGCAGTGAGATGTAAACGTTGGATGTGTAACGGACTTGAAAGATAAAGCGATAAAATAGCACAGTAAACAAAGGTGCCAGGGCCTAAATATATTGCATGAAATCCGTAATTAGTAATCTGATCCCTCCTTCTTTTCCAATGCCGTCCCATATAAAAAATATCCGTTTCATCTTTGCCATCCACGAGTAGGAAAAAAAAAGGGAGTGTGCCTTAAACAAAAAGTCAGTGATATGTACCTTGATAGTGTGAACAAGACTGACAGGAACGCGACTGATGGCGACACTGGAAAAGACGTGCCCCACGATCAGGAAAATGGCTAACGGAACAATGGTTCTGGCAATTTCCGTGGTGGGCGATCGAATCCGGGTCACTTTTAGCGCCGCGGCCATCGTATAGCACCAAAAACTCACGAGAGCAAACTGAACGATGGTCAAGGTGACGGGAAACTTGAACACATTCAAAATTTGTTTGCCGATATTGTTGGTCAGTGACGAAGCCGCGTACCACATAAAGCAGTTGAGGATGAACTTGAGCGTATCCGTCATGGAGTGCCGATTATGCGGTTGTAACAGATTCCACAGGTTCTGCAAAGACGAGTTATCGACCGGCTCGACATGGGAAGTGGACATGTCATTGTCGTCCTTATAATGATTGGAAAAAAGGGGAAAAGACGAAGAAAACTTTGAATGATCGTCTACGGAGGTCGACAGTGGGGTTGAAAGGGCGCCGTCGGTGCGATCGATATATGCTTTCCGATCAGGAAGATCATTGGAGATGTGATATCTGGTATGAGGAGGCAAATGCGACTGGGTATGAGCGTTCGCAGGGGTGCTTTTCAGTGCAATAAAGTCTTGCTGGTCTACAGGAAGGAAAGCCGGCTCGCGTGTAAGGGTGGCGGCTGGCATAGTTACATCAGCAAAAAACCAGAAAAAAGGAAGGACAAAAAAAGATATCACTTACCCACTCTCTGCCAATCGGTCGGCATTTGAAAACAAGACTCTACGTCAACAAGTGTGACCGGTTCTCAGCAAGATAAGACGGCGGGCTCTAAAAATAGAAAAAAGAAAAGCGAAAAGTTTTCCTTTTATAGAATTCAGGATGCCCAAAAAAGGCGACTCCTTCAGCGAACCACGCGTTATGGCGGATAGCCCGACTTTTACTGCATTTTACCGGGTACTTGCTCTACTTGATGTGTTACGAAACAATGAATGTGAACATAAAAAATAGGTTTGTCTGGGAATATCGGGAGAAATCCACGGCGGTCAGAAAATGTTCACATCGATTATCTATCAGCGACTGGCATAGCGCAGTTTAGCCAGGCCACCGAAAAACCATCACTCCTGAGAAAAAAATATTTTCCTTCTTTTGTAATGATGTATCTCTCAATAGAACAGTCTCAAGCCCTGGGATTGTATGCAGACAACGCATATACTTATGAAAGACGTTGATACAGCTACACGGCCTCGCTCAATATGATGTTGGCAGAAACTTTTGTGTTGCAATCTCCATGGCAAATCAAAAAGAATTCCACTTTATTTATCACTTTAGAATTTTTATTTTAATGATAGGCTGACCACGTTCGCTTCTCTTTGATGGTAAGAGCGAAGCAATACATTATCTTTTGAATCATATGTGTGGGCCTTGCCGTTTGATCTACGTGTAATGGTTGTAAGGATGGTCCCTCCTCAGCAGCCTCTATCAATATCTTGAGATTTAAGCCAGCTTGGACAACCCTGTACCGGTTATTAAAGGTCCAGGCTCAAAACATTTCATCATTATTTCGTCCATCACACCGGGACACACGAAAAGAGACCACACTAGCAGCCGACGAATGATGGAAATAGGAGCCACCAGAGCAAAGATGGAGATGGATGAGGTTGGTGAAAAACAGCGCGCGTTTGTAACGTTTCTGTTGATTGAATTGTTGGTCACAATAGAAGCAACCATGCACATCACTGTTCGTTATTATGTTAGGATCTCCACAGTTGAAATAGTTGAAGTAAATTAGTTTTCTTCAAATAGAACATGCTTGGGTCGTCCCAGGTACGAAAACATGTTGAAGTTACTGATATACCTTGACCGATCAGCATATATGTGCTGATATGTTGTTACATTCACATGTCTCTGTAGTATCGTATAGATGGGTCAACGACTCTCGTCTTCCGTTGTCGATGTATCCTGCTTGCGTACAAATTCGATTCCAGATCCATCGAACTAAGGGGCCTAGGTAGCCGGTTCATTGGAGATTGTATCGTTGAGTTAAGTTACAACGCGGAAGATCGGCAGAAATAAACAGATCTCTTTATCATTGATTGTATACATAGAATAATGTCCCACGAATGATTTTTAGAAAAATCCCTCATTTGTAGCGAAAGTAGAGCGCCAATACACTACGAAAAACCTGTACTTTTTTTTAATACGGTATCATTGCTGGCAACTCGCTCACATATGCTTATTTTCTCCGCACATTCCCATCACTTCCATTAGACAATGATAAGAGCAGATCGGATTTCTGTGAAGAAAAGAGAGAAAGAATGACGACACATATATTATATACAAGAAGCTTCAATGTGATACATAATGGAGAGTTACAAATTGACGAGAATGGATAAGAAAAGGGGAAAAATAAGTGGACGGGGGGGTATTGGGTGAATGGGATACGTTTTCTTTTTCTTAATCGAGCAATGTCTGGGTTTCCGGACCAGAGCGTCGATCGGAGGAAGGGGACTGATTGGACTGGGCAAGTTGAGGCGACGTGTAAGGTGGAGGTTCGGTGACCGTATTGACGTCGTCATCCATTGAAATTAAAACAGCATCACCTTCGTCCCTCGTGGTGGCAGACGACATACCTGCTGCCAAAAGAATGGTATCGTTTTCGGATCCGTAAGCAGGTGGCGGTGCACGAGTTCCTTGTGAGGGAGCCAATCCCCACTTTTTCACATTGGCTTCCACGAAAACGAATCCCATCTGTCCCAAATTAACGTGAATTTGACAAGGTCCATTGGCGCCAATTGTCGGAAACAAATTCCATCGAAGACCGGTGTAAGCGTCCTCCAGTTTGCGTCCATTACGAGTAAAAAAAACTGTTCCCGTTCGATGGCGATAACCCACCCCAATCACATCGCCATGATTAAAGGGCATGCCGTACGGCTTCCCGTTAAACGGAGAACTAAAGTATTTGCACCCATTATCAGAAAAGTAACCAATAGAATAACGACTCCAGCCTTCAAAAAAGAAAGAAAACGAGAGAACACATTGTTAAGTACAGTGGCATCGACATTAGACAGTGAGCGAAGGATATTTGTACTGACCTGGTAAGCGCCAGCTAGGATACGGTTTAGTGGCCACGCCTACCGATACTGTCGTGGTGTGCGGTTTTTCAAACATTTTGGCCTGTAAAAAGAAAACGCAAGATGAGCATCCTTAAATTGGACTCCTTTTTTCCCAATGATACACAGTCTGCATTTTTTTTTACCTCCCAATAATATACTTCTTGATTTCTCGGCAGTGGCAAATTGGTCTGCACGCAACATTCACCATGCAAGAATTGAATTTCTGTGCGACCAGCAACAAAGCAATTCGTCTCCGGTTCCCATTCAAACTCGAAAGCAGATACGCCTTTCTCTTGAATAATCATTTGTTGCGGAGGCGTAATGTCGGTGGGAATACTGTCCGGAGGATGACGTTCTTGCCAAGCTATATATCCCGATAGCTCGTTCAGTATCTTTTTCCATGTTTTGTCTTCCTTTTTTTTTCCCAAGCTTTATAAAAAGCTGTGGGATAACGTCAATCTACTCACTCTTTGCTCTTTCGTAGCTTAATCTTGCATCTTCTGGTAAAGCGGCAATCAGTTCTTCTGTTTCTACGGGCCATTCATCAAAATCGGCGTCGGCACCTCCATGCAACGGAAGTTCAATGGGGGAACCGGTGAAAAACAAGAGAATGACAATAGCCACAAAGAAGACGATAATTCCCGTTATAAAAATCCAAGCATAGGCGCTTAGCATGATTGCAAAGATGAGATTGCGGGGACAGTGGCCGAATTAAATAAAGTGGGTGAGAAAAAGAGGAATACCAACGAAAAAAGAAAAAGAGAGAAAAGGGAAGCAGCAAAGGGAAAAAAAAAAGAGGCGAACGGAACATTGGGGTGAGTGGCGGAGATAAACGGGAGTTCAAACGTCACGGTGAAAAAATGTAAGCTTCTTCTATATGAGATAATGAAAAAAAATGGTTGATGTCCGCAACATCACTACGCCTACTTTTTGTTTTCACTTTCAGAAGGTTAGCAATGTATTCCACAATTGTGTTGTTTATATCTACTATTAAAACCATGGTTCTTCCCAGTACAGGCACACATAATGTTGCTTTTGTCTTTCCTTATTTGGTTGCCGCGCACTACGCTGCATCATTTTTTCCAAAACAAAAAGCACTTTTTTTCCCATTTAAACCCACCCCCCCTTAATTTTTTTTTTGGTATATGCAGATAAACCAATCATATCGCTTTTCTTCTTCTCTAGTGATTTTTTTGTTGTGAGAAACTGCGATGAAAAAAATAGTAAAGAAACGATAAATTAGAAAAGGCTCTTTCTTTTAATAAAAAAAAACAGAGGTTACAAAAATGACAATAAGATATTAATGATCGTGCTACACTAACATACATGAAATGACAAACAAATACTAGTACTAAACATTTTGAATAACAAAAAAACATAGTAAAAGAGGAAAAAAAATGATCAGGACGGTGTGACGAGGAAGAAAAAAATAAAGAGGGAAATCGAGAAAGGGGGATATACGGTATGAGTTTACGAAAAAAAAAAAGAGAAAGAGGCATATGAATCACAGCGTGGGATGTTCATCAATGAAGAGGAACTTGTTCATCTTGCGTGGATTGAAATATCGGAATCGAGCCTGTGTCTTTTGATGATGAGAAGAGGGCTGAGAATCATTGGATCGTGGTTCTTGGGCTGGACGAGGCGGTTCGGAAGGGGTGTAGGTATTGAATTGGATGAATGGAGGTGATGGTGAGAACATGGGACCACGTTCGCTGGGAGAATTCGATTTGCTCATATCGCAGAACTGATTTTGGAAATGTAAAGATGGCATGGACGGTTTTTTCGGGGAACGGAGGGTAGGGAAGGAGATCACAGACAGCATTGATCCAGATGGCGTCAAATTATGCGACTCTTTTTGAGGCTGCTGTGGTGGCGGTGGTCGTTGGAACGGCGGTGGGAGGAAACTGGAACCCATCATGGGTTCGCGTACTTGGTTGCTCATCCGTGGTTTCAAAGGTAGTGAACAAGTGTCCGCAGATGGGGTGTGGGTCGTCTGAACGGCTGGCGATGCATGTGCCGTGCTCGTCGCATTATACGAATGCAGCTGATGTCGTCGAATCTCGACTTCTAACCAGTCGGCGACTTGCAGCATATTTTTGCTTCGCGCTTGATAATCGCGTGTTTCTCGAAGCACTTCCAGGGTTTTGACGAGACCATTGTCGTATTCTTTGCGGTCGACACCGTCAAAAATCACGGCCTGATCGGAAGGAGACGTGCAGGTGCGGCAAATATCCATTGTCATTGAAACGATTTCGGCCGCCCGCCACAGTTCGTCACGGTCAAAGGCGCATCGGGCAATGCTGCTGTGGTTGCAGAGACTAAGTAATCGGAGCTGGGTGAGAGCGGTCTGTAAGCATACGTTCAACGATTTGAGCGAGGTCACACTAGGCTTGGAATCGTTGACTTCGGGGATAAATAACTTGTGGAGAATGACTCGCGTAGCGTTGTATTCCAGGTTGACACGAGCGCAAGCCAGGAAGAGTTCTTGATTAGTGTAGCTGACATTGTCTTTGAAATGCAGGTACGTCGGCAGCGATTCATAGTAAGTCAGCAGTTGTTGGTCGTGTTCAATCAGCTGGTCAGCCGTCATGTCCGATTCTTGTTCGTAAAGGGTCGAAATAATGTCGGCTTGAATGCGCCACAATCGCAAACATTGGGTCAGTGCCAAGACCCCGTATTCGGTGTAGTCGATGTCTTGTTCGAAAATGCGTGGAAAATCAATGGGTTTAGTAGTACGTGTACGAGGCGTATTCTTGGGCGATCCCGCCGAGTACAGGTAAAAGTCGGTGGCCCAGGCAAACCACCAGAGGCGAGTGTCCATTTCTTTGTCAAACGAGTCGTCTTCATCTCCGACCATGCGTGGGTAAATCTCGAGTTCCAACAAGGTGGAGACGGCCATTCCCGTGTAGTGGTGTCTGCGACTGGACTCGGATCGGGTGCCCATGAACAACAACGCAATCACCGTAAACCGGTCGGGTGTATCAAAAGACTGAGCCAGCAGCTCACGCGCTCGGTCAAAGAAAAATTCTTCCTGTTCTTGCAGTCGATCCTGATCCGCTAGGAAATGACTGAAACTGGCCTGGGAATGATGTGTCACCATGTGACGGAAAACGAATGAACAGATAGCGTTGACAATGAGAGTCTCAGTGGGCGCTTCATGTGATCGATACCACGCTAAAAATTCGTCTTTTCGTAGAATGGGGGTGTGACGCACCCAGCAGGTGAAATAGGTATCGATGCAACAGTCGGCGATTTGTCCAAGGCTCATTTCGCCGTGTTTCGATGCAGGATTCAGAATTTGGCCTAACCGGGAAGCCGAAGCGAAAAAGTTGACGGGTTTGGTTTTTGAATTCTTATTTCTATAAAGGACCACATGCGATCCTTTGGCATGGTTCGTACACGACGAAGGGGTGTCTTGCGATTCATTTGGAGATGTGGCACAACATAGTTTGCTAAAAGCTTCGACAAGCGAACGCAAATCAGAGAGGTTGCAAATGCGAGCTTCCATATTCAGGCCAAAATCGGTATAAGAAAGCTTAAATTTCGAGAGTACATCGGCCACCCCACTGGCGTCGGGCAGCGACGATTGGACGGACGGAGGTGATTCAAGCGGGAAACCGATCGAATTCGAAGGCGGTGGGATCAGCGATGTGGGCGTGTGAAGTGGCGTCGTGCAAGCAACCGTACTTGTATTTTCTGACCCGTCGTCCCAAACGGACCATGACATTGTTGAAGACGGAGACATGTGATCCTCTGCGCTCGAGACATCGCCAAATTCGGCCAGTGTTTCAGACGCAGGGTAATTTATGTGAATGGGTGGATGGGCCGTCGTGACGGGGGCGGCTGCGCCGTCGACAAAAGAAGAAGGTAAGATGGCATTGATATCTACGTCGAATGAAGAAGTATGCGCTTTGAACAGTCGGTCTTGGACGAGAGGGACATGTGGATCCTTGATTAATTTATTATTGGGGGTGTAATCGGAGGACAATTCAAAAGGATCGGTAGGATGGAACGACCATGAATGATCTAATAAGCCTTCTTCATGGGGGAGTATATCAGCTCGAATACGTTTAAAGCTACGGTCAATAGTATCAAAAGGCATGTAAAGAGGTGGAAAACGGGAATGGTGGGAAAATGAGGCATTCCGTTATTATATATCGTTATCGAACGCGGTGTGAGAAACCCAGCGTAACACAAAATCATCTCTTCTGAGTCATGCGTTTTCATTGGTTAGTTTCTTATATCACCACAGAATTTTCCCTTTCAATTTGTTGTCGTATTCCAACTCCGTTTCAGACAGAGAGTTTCGTGACATAAAAAAAACCTACCCGAAAGCGCGGCATCCTGCCATAAAGAATGAGTCACCTTTTTTCTGTTTTTAAAAGCTCGCCAAATGGAGAAAAGAAGAAGTATAGCCAAAAAAATAGTCGAAAGGGTTTGAAATAAAATCAAAAAAAGAAAAGAGATGGTGCATGCTTGTAATCATCACTGGATTTGGTGAAGGGGTCATTTTGTGTACCACCTCGAAGTAAGATGATAAGCAGAATGCTATCGATTTTTTTTTTTTTTTTTTTGTTATTTTTACCTTTTTCTGCCACATTTTCTTCATCGGTTATTCAGTCTTTGGAAAACCGGTGGCCCTTTTTTTTTAATGAGTGGGAAAAAAATCGCTGCAAGGATAAACTTTGTATTTTGGCTTTGTAAAAGTGAGATGAAGTTACTTTTTTTTTTGAGATCTGTAAAGATGAATCTGGGTACAATGCTCATTTTTTTTTTCTTAAATTGCTATCGTGATATTCACAATATTTACTATCATCGGCGTCATTTTATGAAAATTGCATAACATCCATTGCGAAACATATCATTCCACCCGATGCATCATGACAAGAATAGAATAAACCATACTCGTGCTTCCATAGGTTAATTGTATTTGTGCCCATTTACTCTTTGACCTCGCGGTGCTATTAGGATAATGATTTGCCTCGTCATATTGATATCATTTTTTTGATGGAGTAAAGTGAAAACAACCTTGATAACCAGCGGAATTGGATCCAATGGCAATGCAAAGATAGTCGGTGACATTGAAACATATTTTTTACTTCCATGCATTGTCATGGCCTAATCTATTTTCCTTTTTTTTTTTGAAGCAATTCAGATAATATTTGCTGAATTCATGTAAAACTCTCCACAGAAATATGGAGACTCCGTGATATGATCGAAGGATTTTTTTTTTTTTTTTTTTTTTTGGGCGCTAAGTGAAGTTCCATGTTGGGAAAATAAGTACTTATGGTTCCGTCGTTTGATGGGTCCATCTTCTTCCAAGTGCATGGCACGAACCATAAACGAACAAAATGGGTCGTCACCTGTTACGCAATTTGCAATTGAAATGAAGTATCCTTTATGGCCACTTTTGGATCACCTGAAAGTTAAAAGCAGCGGATCGAGAAATGTTTAGAACATTCTATTCCCCATGGATCGTGGCCACCGTCGGACATGAAATGAACTCGACTTGAGTAAAGTATGCTAACCTTTCATTTCATGTTTCATAGTTCAGAACAATGCGTTACTAGGGTCCACTTTTCCCTAATTCAAGAACATGGCACATTCCTAAGTTTTTGTGCAGCACACCCACTACATAGTATTTGTTTTTAGCTTGTCCAACTCCATAAAAAGTGTTTTCGTTCAAAATAGGAATCGATCAATCGTTTTTCAGTCAGCCGATCAATCTCCCTCGACGAATCAGGAACCACGCCTGGTTACACTTTTCTTAAAGTCAATGCAAGCCTGTGGACAGCAATGTCCCGTTACCACATTAAAAAAAAAGCTCAGATAATTCGCCTTGACACTCGCACGATCGGATAATCCCGTCATCAAATTAAGCAACTGATATTGGCTTTGCAATAAAAAACTAGTAACAAGGAAGCAAGGGCAGGAAACATACAATAGAGAAATATTTAGCAGCATGTTATTACTTTCTAGCTGCACGTGAGAATAACGAATTACTCGCATCGAAGGAAAGTGTAAACAGATGATTCAATATCAAGGAAGTAGGCTATTTTTTATCCTATTATCCAAAATAGTATCTACTTTCTCTTACAAGAACGCCTTGGCGTACCATGAAATTTTGCTTAGCAACATCGTATTGCTACGTAATACAAAAAAGAAAAAACGAAACTCACGCATGTGAAACAACAAGCGAATGACAGTGACCTTCTTCTTCTTCCAATAACCAAGACAACCTTTTCTTTAGTCCGAGGAGATCCAAAACATGTTTTGCTACTCTCGATTCTCGCCGTTTATGGGATCTCAGGTTATGCCAACCCCGCGTCGAACCATTGCCATACGACTGGTGCACTACAACCTTTACATTCTGTGGTTGGCTACACAAATGTGGCTTGCTACGCAATAGATCTCATTTGAAAATAAAAATAAGAATAAACGACTCCGAAGCGAAAGTGGTAAGCAGCAGTTCCAACAGCGCCGCAGCCGTCTAATTGATGCATGTTGGAGAAACCTGTTTTCAAATATGAAAGTTCAATTGTTCTCCTCTTGTGGAAGAAACAATGAAAACATATACTATTTCTGACATCGTTTTGGTCCCCAAAATCAAAAGAATGGTTTTTTATGACCAGATACTTGCTGTACCAGTAATGTCCTCTTCTCTAACCGGTTTTGAGGCCGTTTTACATGCTGATAGGAATATAAGCGCAGGAATTTTGAGATTATCAATGCGTACAAAAGAAATCAGAAAATACTAGCTTTTAACGCCAAAGATTACTTGGAGAAGCCATGCATTAGCAGACGCATAATTCCACCGGAAACAATGCAGTAATTGCCGTGGAGTCTATGCAGGAATGTATCATAATAATAGCCCTATCTAATGCTAAAAGAGGACCAAAAAAAAGGCCATTTCTACTGTCGACTTAAATGTCAGCGCTATTATTTGCTTTATTACACTAGCAGATACCCGATTATACGCAGCGAATGGTGATAGCCCGGATCCCACCTTTGCTGCAATGTCATGCGATACGAATGGTTTCTTTTTTTCCCCCCATCTCTTTCAGTATCCGGCAACGCACACAATGAAAATATTCCTAAAGCATGATAGCATAAATAAGCTCATTGTAACTAAATGACGCTAACAAGTTCAAGTGAATAGTGTGACAACTGGATGTTCAGCCAAGGAGAAAAGGGGCATCCTCATGTTCTGGCAATAAATTGCCAGGAACCGACGAAAAAAAAAGTAGGCCACCTTAATCTCCTTTTCTTCTTCTCTTCAATTTTCTTTCAATATGAAGTTCACTTTTTTACTAGTCAGCGCGTGTCTCATGCTTTCTGCTGCAGCGTTACCCACGATCGATCAAGCTTGTCATCAACTTACCGAAGTCCACGCTCAAGCGGTATGCCAGGAACATTGCGGTAACCACGGGTTCAAACTCGGTGAATGCGGTCTCACCGGTATTTGCATATGCGACGACTGATGACACTCTCTTGTAAATACAATGTTCCAAATTGAAGGCTTCTTTTATACGTGCTTTTCTCTCACACCTTTTTATATATTTTATAGATCCCCGTTAATCCTATATCTTATTGCTGGCAATGATCACTAAGCGGCAAAATATGACCTACCCAAAATTTCGGACCTAAATGGCTCCGACTAGATTAATTAAGCGAGTGTTTGTTGCCAAATAAAAAGCAAGTTGACGGTAAAAAAAAGCCGCTTTGTCGAAAAGATAGATTAACCTGCACTGCGATTTCAACCCCCATTACTGTACGTAAGGATTCGGCAACAGTGCATCGATTTAGACTGCCCATGACACGGTAGTTCACGACTGTAAGCATAACCTAGGCCGAGCAAAGGATATGAAAATTGCTGGGCATCTGCAAGGGAACTTGTTAATAATCAAAGCTCCCGACAGCACTATTGAAATACAGGTATAACACACTATTTAAAAAAAGGGAGACCAATTGGATCCTTGGTCCACAAATAAAGAAAAGAAAAGGTTCTCCTGTTAATAGAATTTTCAAATGCTTGCTGATATTTATAGATAAGGTAAATCAAGAAATTCATCACTTTATGCAAGAAATATAATAATGATCTCGATCTACCTTGATTCCTTGCAATTGGGAATATGCCATCCATTGATCCTGTGAAAAACGGTCTTCTTAAAAATAACCCACATTCATATTTTAACAGAATCGCATCGTAACCAAAGAATAAATAAATACATAACAGACGTATGGAACTAAAAGCAGGACGATAACAAACGAATGGCAATCTCTACATAATTAAAATCTTTGGGAAGTTAGCGATTTTGTAAATCACATGATCTACACTAAGTTATCAGGACCTGTTAAACCTTTTTTTTTTTTATCTTTTAACCATGCCTCGCTGCCCACTTTCACGATAATAGGCGAAACAATCAGCAGCAAGATGCCGTTTGCGCCAGTTGTGGTTAAACAGAGTATCGTCGTCTTTCGAATAAAAATGTGAGTAGAGCTGTTTTTGAAGAAAAGTGGTTGATGATACGACTGGCGTTCTTCTGTAGCATCATTCAATTTGTTGTTTTTCTGTCAGTTATACTATATATGTCCTTTCATTCTCTTTCAATTTTCAATGAATCGAATAATACATAAGCAGACGTGCTTCGATCTATGAATTCATGCATCAGTGGGGTGACTATTGTTTCATCCATGGAGAATCATATATTTTTGTCTTCTTTTGATTTTCTCTCTCTCTTTCTGTTTGCTTGATAAACCCTCACTATCATTGTATCAAGATCCCATCCGCATCCATTATCCAGACTATTCTTATCCCGTGTATATAACTTGGTTGAATCGACTACAATCCTCAAAAAGGTAAGCGTCGAGTGGTCCACCATCGATTTTGCTGCGGCAAAACAGACTCACCTCTCTTTTTTTTCCATCCTTCTTTTAGCTTCCGGTGTTCTCCGTTTTCTTTTCGACTGACTAGTTCTGGATACTACAACGTGACTTTCTCTAGCCATCCATCCATCCATCTGGCGAAACAGGATGACGTCAAAGGCCATCGTCGGTGGTGTACCTCTCTTTTTCATCGGAAAACACTACGCGTCCTCTTCATGTTCCTCTCCTTAGGATTGCTTCTCATGATATGGTATTCGAGATGTCTTCCCGATTATTGTATTTTGTATTTTGTATTTTATATTTCATGTACATATTCTTTTCGCAGTCTTTTCCTCTTTTTTTTTCCCACAGGGTTTTTTATGAGATTTTTACTGACGCGACCATTGGTTTTTTTATCTTTTTTTATCATCATGTACTTTATTTGTTTTTTTTTCTTTTATTCGGGGGACTCTCAATATCTGGAATCCAGCTCGAAATTACCGACACTTCTGGCCACGTCAATATTTTTTGCCTGCTCAAGCTGACACCACCGATCCATCGCTTAACTGTCCCTGGAAGCAATTTTATTTTCCGCATCGAAGAAGCTGGTTACCTGGCGGTCCATATTCATCTTTTTTCCTTCCGGTACACCACTTGGTTCAAGGCAAGTCCAATTTCTTTTCCTTTACTATGATGTATAATGAGCGTATACTAATTCAAAATTTTTTCAATATCATATAATCCAAGTCATGTCAAGCGATCAATGGCTATCGAAAACTCAATTAACAAAGGTAAAATATCTTGACGAAATTTGAATCAATCAAAGAGCTTACTAACTCATTTTTTTTTGTAAATACCCAAAATACCCACACATCTTTCTAAATCGATCATAGCCTGGGCGGGATGGAACTGAGGGGGTCAATCAGTGCTGCCCTGCGCGTGTTCAGAAACAACTCACGTTGCAACGTATGCCATAAGGTTGTCATTAATATACCAAAGTCCGTCAAGAGTTCTCGCCCAGGTTATGCCGTGTATGCGTTAGGCTTTTCTGACGAAAGTCGCTCGATGTAAGAGGGCGGCCTCCGGTGGCAGGCGGCATCCATTGCACAGCGGGTGTACGGCTTGTTAGAGACAATAAAGTTAAGCAGGCCAGTTTTTTTTTCTCTTGTCTGAGTTGGCGGGGCGCATTGGGCATAAGTTGTCACGATTTCACAGTCCTGCATCAACGCATTTTTGAAGAACGCTTGGAGCGCTGAGCGGCGCAGACCGATTGAAGCTTTCGATTTGCGATCCTTGTCCACCGATCGTCTGCCCATGGCCGCCGCCAATTCGTCTCGTTCACCCTCGACTTTGAATAAAAAACCGCCATTGAGTGAGTTGCTGAACAAGCCGCTCGGTCCGGAATGGTTGAGTTATCGAGCGGGACCAGGTAGAGTTGTTTGATCCGTGTCAATGGAAACTGCGCCTTCCCGGTTTCCCCTCAACAACTAAACTGTTTGTACAGGGGGGCAGTTCACCTACATTGAAGGCAAAACAGCTATTAATCTGGCCAATGACCTGTTTGGGAACAGCGGCTGGTCATCAGAGATCAAGAACACCACCGTCGACTTTGTAAGTCATGGCGCAGTTCGTGGCGATTGTAACGATGACGGCACATTGTCTCACAGTCTATTACTAGGTCGATGTGAGTGATAATGGTCGAGTCAGTTTAGGCGTTTCAGCTACGGTGCGTGTTACTCTCAAAGACGGTGCATTTCACGAGGTAACAAAAGAAAAAGTGACTGCGGCATGGATCCTTTTTTCCCTCGGTGTGGATCCGTTGTCTCAATTTAATGTTGCAGGATATTGGTTACGGATCTGCCGAAAATCAACGTAACAAAGCAGCCGCATTGGAAAAGGTACGCAACTTCAAAAATAGCTTAGTGAAAACGAAAAAGTTGACTGAACGTCTCTTCAGGCAAAAAAGGAAGCATGTACGGATGCATTGAAACGATGTTTGCGCATGTTTGGCAATGCTTTGGGCAACTGTATCTATGATAAACAATATCTCAACAATATACGCAAAGTGGGGAATGCGCAGGTAGTTATTCTGAAACCGGATCAATGGTAATGGATTCTGCATTATTTGCTGCCAATGCTCATATTATTGTGGTGTTCCCCCCCACCCCGCCCTTTTTAGATTAAATTCGATGCAGACAATCTGTACCGTCACAAACAATTTGCACCACCTCCAGTTACATCATCACCTTCAACGGCGGCGGTCATGAAAACGACCAACTCTATCATTCCCTCTCCGGCCAATCACTCGCCTTCCATACCAGCAAAGGCTCCATCCAACGTCGCAACCGCAGCCACGACCACAGCCGCGACTGCCGTTTCGTTACCTACGGTAGCCCCTGCTTCCAAACCTATTTATGCCTCTGTCCAACCACAAACGTATTCTCCTCAGATATCCAACATGCCAACCAACACATCATCTCCCTCCATCAACACAACGGCACAAAACTCTCTAACATCATCCTCTCACACAAACAGTCCTATACCTCCGGTGGACGACGGATTCTCTTATGGTATGGCAGTGATCCAGTTGGGAAGAAGGCGTGAAAATATAATCAACCGCATGTCTTTTTTTTCTTTAGGCGATGATGATTCGTTATTTACGCATTTGGCGGGTCAACCGGAATTTGACAAGGCGGATATAGAACTGATGGCGGTTATTGACCAGGCAGAGTATGGCCACTTTTATGGTTTTTTTAGCGGCGGCGAAAAAAAAGGGTTTATCAGATCAAATAATAGGATCATTGGCTGACGATAAACCCCACCCTTTTTTAGGATGTTGAATAATCTAAATGCGGCTGAACACGATGCCAAAGTCACCCTCGTGAAAAGTGAAACAGGTGAATGTTCCACTTTTTACAATTTTTGAGAATGGACGTGACTGACCGTACTTCTTGTCTTTGTAGCCTTAGATCCTATCTCTATTTCAGCCATTCCAGCTCAAGAGCGGCCCTCGTTCAATCCGCGTACAAACAGTAACCGAAAGGTTACGCAGCAGTAAGTGATGATTGGTGAATGATCGCCGAAAAGCCGCTGACGGATTACACATCTGGATTCCAACCGATTCTAGTCCGCCACCGTTATCAGATTCAGATTATCGGGCAAAGAGAACTCGTTACTGAAACCACCGCCAACGGCCCTTGAAAATATCGTTCGATCCCCAAATCCTTCTTTCGCCATCTGCAACACCCATGTACCATGGTTCGGCCAACGTGAGCAACTGTATTATCATCATAGATTCGTTTCAAAGAATTTCTACCGTGGCAATAAAGTGCATATCTCATCATCACATAGTGTAATTTCAGCAAACGTCATGGATAAAGAATGATCCTTTCGACCATCCAATAGAGGAGAAGGAAAAAAAAAAAAGAATCACGACCCGATCAGTCGGCTGAATATTTTTTGTGCCTGATCCGGTAATTTTTTTTCCGACAAAAAAGATTTCCCCCCTCTTTTCCTTATTAATTTATTATTTTTTTTTCCCTTTTTTCTTTTCTTTTCTTTGCCTTTTCCCCGTATTTTGGATTTTCTTAGTTTATCTCATCTTCAGTTTTAACCTCTTCCCAACTTTGTATGGAGATCCTTGATGACGATCGATAATGCAGCAGTATCCACTCCTCACAATGCGTGGGCGACTCTTCAGCCGTCGATTGAGGGCATGACTTGTCAGGTAAAAAACCGACCTTTCCTCGAAAAAAAAGAAAAACCAAAAGAAAAAAAAAAACCAAGACGCCACCAAGATTAGACGCACGACCACCAGTAGCACATGGATTTATTCAATAACATTGTTTTGCTTTTGCAATAGTCATGTGTGAAATCCATCACCAAAGCATTGTCTGGTTTACCTGGATTACAATCCATTCAGGTGAGCTTGGAAAACGAAAACGCCGTCATCATCTACGACCCGACAGTATTGGATCGCGCCACCATCGTTACAGCTATCGAGGACTGCGGTTTCGATGTACCCCATATCGATGACGATTGCCACGCTACCGATAATCAAATGGTCACGACAGTTTTACCCGTCATTGGCATGACTTGCCAATCTTGTGTCAGATCGATTACTCAAGCTCTCCAGTCGCTTCCGGGCCTGGATTCCGTCAACGTCAGCTTGGAAAATGAACAAGCAACGATGGTGCATGACCCTAGTCTGCTTTCTCGCCAACAATTGATTGATGCTATTGAAGACTGTGGATTCGACGTTCCCGTCAATGCGCCCGTATCCGCCAAATCTCCCAAAGAAGATTCTCCGTTATTATCCGCAATCAAAGAACCCGCCATCATTTCTCTCGGTGCAGAAAATGTCCAATGCATTCAACTGGAAGTCAGAGGAATGACGTGCGCAAGGTACGTTGGACGATTGTCCTTTTTTTTTTTTTTTTTTTTTTTTTTTTTTTTTTTTACTGGAAGTAGCAGAAATCCCGCATTGTTAATAGTGATTTCCCCCCTGCATCTCCCCGTGTTTGCTTGTTTGTTTTTTTGTGCATTTTCTGATTTCCTTTTTTTGGTTGCACTAGTTGCGTCAACAGTATCGAAAAATCATTGGGAGCCGAACCCGGTATTCTGTCCGTCAAAGTGGCGTTGTTAGCCGAACGCGCCACGGTCGAGTACGATCCTGATATTATTGCCGATGAAGAGGCCATCGCCGAAATGATCAACGATATCGGTTTTGAAGCGCGGGTGATTCAGCGAAAGCAGCATGATTGTTTACAGCTTCAAGTGTTTGGTATGACCTGTGCGTCATGTGTTCACAGCATTGAGCGCGGAATTTCAGCTTTGCCGGGTGTCTTGTCCGTCTCCGTGAATTTAATGACCGAAATGGCGAAAATTGAACACGATGCCACGGTAATTGGCGCACGCACCATTGTAGAAACCATTGAACAACTCGGGTTCAATGCGCTTGTAGCCGACAATACCAAAAGCTCGCAGTTGGAGAGTCTTTCGAAAGTGCGTGAAATCCAGGGTTGGCGTCGCGCGTTTTTGCGCAGTCTTTTCTTTGCTATCCCAGTATTTGTTATTGCCATGGTTTTACCCTCGTTTGGCTGGTCCATCACTTCCCTGACACTTTTGCCCGGTCTCTATTTGACCGATTTACTGCAATTGATTCTTACCATCCCCGTGCAGTTCGGTATTGGAGGTCGGTTCCTCACATCAGCCTATCGTTCCATTCGTCACGGCGCGCCCACCATGGACGTCCTCGTATCGATCTCCACATTAGCCGCTTTTATTTTCTCCGTCTTTTCCATGGTGCGTTCGGTCCTGTCTCCATCGGATCAGCGACCCACCATCTTTTTCGAAACGTCGACCATGCTCATCTCGTTCATTCTCCTCGGAAGATACTTGGAAAACATGGCCAAGGGCCAATCGTCGACGGCGTTATCCAAACTCATGAACCTGACCCCTTCCACGGCATTGATGCTCGTCACCGACAATACCACCCAAGAAGTGATTAGCGAAAAACGTATCCCGTCCGAATTGATCCAACAAGACGATTTGCTCAAGATTGTGCCCGGTGATAAAATTCCCACCGACGGTATTGTGCATTCAGGGTCCTCGACCGTGGATGAAAGTATGGTCACCGGAGAAGTGGATGCGGTGCCGAAGAAAGTCGGAGACCCAGTGATCGGTGGCACTGTGAATGGTTTGGGCGCCTTTGTCATGAAAGCCACGCGCGTCGGAGCCGATACTGCGCTTAGTCAGATTGTGAAATTGGTGGAAGATGCTCAAGTGAGCAAAGCACCTATTCAAGGATTTACCGATCAAGTGGCCGGATATTTCGTGCCGAGCGTGATTGTCCTGGGTGTGGGCACATTGGCGGTCTGGTCGATTCTCGTCGGCGTGTTTGGCGTGGAACATATGCCGTCCATGTTGCAAATGGAAATCCGGGAGGATGGCAACGGCAACTGGTTCTTTGTCTGTCTGAAGCTTTGTATCAGTGTCATTATCGTGGCGTGTCCATGTGCGCTTGGTCTTGCCACTCCTACGGCGGTGATGGTCGGCACCGGTATTGGCGCCGAAAACGGCGTTCTCTTCAAAGGCGGCGCGGTTTTGGAAAACGGTCAAAAAGTGAACAAGGTGGTGTTTGACAAGACCGGTACATTGACCACGGGCAAGTTGACCGTGGCCGAGTATGAAAACTGGACGGCTGATCTGAGCGCGGAGCATATGCTGGTTTTAGCGGCAGTGGCGGAATCCGGTAGTGAGCATCCTTTGGGTCGCGCGGTGGTAACAAAAGGAAAAGAAATCACCGGTTTGGATGCCCTCGATCGCTTGGCCCACGTCACGGATTTCAAGAGTGCCACGGGTCTGGGCATTGAATGCCACATTACCCTGACGCCCGAAGCCGCTTCCCTGGTCACGGATCCTTCTCTGAAACAGTCGCTTCACAGTCTGGTTGGTCAAACGCATGCCGTCGTCATTGGCAATCGCACCTGGTTAGAAGGCCATCACGGAATCCACATCCAAGCACAAGACATGGTCAGTTACGAGCAGCAAGTATCTCAAGGCCATTCATGCATCTTGATCGGCTGGCACGGTGTCGCTGCCGGGTGTATCTCTTTGGCCGACACGATCAAACCGGAATCTCGACGCGTGGTCGCCACGCTTCACAAAATGAACATTCACACAGCCATGGTGACGGGAGACAACGTGTTGACCGCGAAATACATTGCAGCTCAAGTCGGTATCACCGAAATTCACGCCGGTGTCTCACCCAACGGTAAAACACAGCTGGTGCAACGCATGCAAGCACAGCCTTTTTACGGGTCGTCTGGATTCTTTCAACGCTGCCTCGGAAAACGTAGTTCGGGAGCTCAGCGCACGGTGGTCGCCATGGTAGGCGATGGTATCAACGATTCACCAGCGTTGGCTGCCGCCGATTTTGGTATTGCGCTTTGCAGCGGTACGGATATCGCCATGGAAGCGGCGGATTGTGTGTTGATGCGCAACGACTTGTCCGACGTGGTAGCGGCTTTGGACCTTTCTCGGTGCATTTTCCGACGAATTCGATACAACTTGTTGTGGGCCTGCATCTACAACGTCATTGGTATTCCATTGGCCATGGGTGTGTTCATGCCCTGGGGTTATCACCTGCACCCGATGCTAGCCGGTCTTGCCATGGCCGCCAGTTCGACGAGCGTCGTCGTCAGCAGTCTGCTTTTGAAATGGTTATGGCGCAAACCGGCCTTGGTCGATGCCATGGATACCGATATCTCGACTTCCCACGTCGCTTTAGATGTGTTCACGCCGACAGACGACCTCGGTTCTCATGCTCCACCGTCCAAAGGATTCGCATTCCGTCTTCGTAGTATGATCAATCGTCTTACGGGGCGCTCGGATTATCACGTTGTCGCTTCCAACGATCACTCCAACGCCTACGATTTAGAGGCCATGCGACTGTTACCCTCCTCCCCTACCTCACCTTAAAGACTAATTCATTATTACTATTTCATCATCCCCCACATCTTCATTTATTTCATCTTTCCTTGCAATACTCATTCATCATCCAAGTATCCTTTAATAAATAATCGATACAGTCATTTCAGAAAGCAAAACTCGTTGTTTCTTAGCTTGATGTCGTGCAAGATATTTGTTACTCCACAAGTTCGTTTTTCTGGGAGCCAGATTGCCACGGCCATTCCGCACACACGCTGTCTTGACAATACTGCACAACCATGTGTATTATTAGTCTAATCCCATTTCTCGCTATTGGATTGCTGGTCCATGCGTTTGCTTGATGCTTGTGCTTCTGCTTTTCTCTATTGTTGTCCGCCCTCTTTTGTCGATCGCTGCATTATGTCATGCTGTGCTGAAGTTCATTTATTAAACGTGCATTTACATCTCTGCCTATTCTGTCGCATATAAATCTAGATAAATATTTGGTCTTTCTCTAATATAACGGGGACCTTTCGAAGCATCCGATGCCTGGGTGTGTGTGAGAACCTGTTATACAACAGTGGTCCAATCGTTAGGGTTTCTTGTTCTCAATCCAATCTGCCTTGTCTTGCCTTGTCTTGTCTTGTCTTGTCTTGTCTTGCGAAAGCACTTTACACCACCCTCTTTTCCAGTTGCGCTGACCTTGTATAGACTGCACATAACACAGAGTTCCCTGCAAGTTGGCCAAGTATGAGCTGGACAGAGGGCAACGATACTGCAGGCCGTCATTCAAATTTGGTATGCAGTGCTCTTGTAAACGTATGCTGTCCACAGCAATTGTCGAGATGATCGATCAAGTCGAGCAGATCTGGCTTTCTTGTGTGAATGCGGACGCGAATCAATTCTGTAAAGTATACAGGCAGGGGAATGAGAGGTCCATGAAGAAAAACATCACGCAGTTGGAAACGGCTTGGAAAGCCATGACATTCCCCAGGTTGTACTTGTCGATGGCGTCAGAATACACACAAGCGGTAAAAATCCGTAACGAGAAGTGTTGGTGAAATATTGCCGCTTTTTTTTTTTTTTTTTTTTTACTTCACCAAATGCATTGCTGTATGCAAAGTAATAACCAAAAGACGCATAAACATTGATTTTGTAATCCGGGCGTTCGATGGCGTCGCCGTGCTCCTCTGGAACAATGTTTGAACAATGGGCGACTCTCGTCGGTTGTTTGGCGGACAAGAGACCATGCATGAACGGGTGTATATAGTTTGTTATCAGATGTGCCTCCGACAACGGCTTCATTCCACAATTATACAGGTAAGAGATCAGACACTCGATCGCGTTGATCACAGCACATTCGTATTCCTTTGGCTGTTCGTTTGTGTCCGCCGCAGCGTCTGCCGACGGAATGCAAAGCGACAGCAGCTCAATCTTTGCACACTTTTCGTCCAACTCATCGTCGACATGCCCTTCGCTCGTCCAGTCGCTTTAACGCCACGTTTCGTAGGGAGCTCCTTTTCGTCGGTTGACCAGCCTGCAAGTGCCGCAGTGCTTGCAGACCGAGCTCATGCTGTGGGGACTGGAAGCTTGATTGCTGAAAGCAGGATTGTACTTCTTTGCCCTACAAGTTGAACTGAATTACGGATCTCCTCCCCGACGCATATATTCCGTCATTCGTTCATCGTCAAACCTGAGGATAACTCGGGAAGAGCCAACCGCTCTATTCAACAACTGAGGAGACGAAAATTCAGTAAGCGTTACGTAACGCGCTTATTGGGTGTATTTTTTTCACTAAGCGTCAAGTAAAAATAAACGAGCACGTCAAACATTTGAAACGAGACTTTATATTGGATCAACCGACAAAAAAATATCGTTCACGATATCAAACACAAAAATAGCAAACTTTGCTTTCCAAAATGACTGTGCTCATCATGTCTTTAGCCGAAAATTGTTGCCAAGCAGCCTTATCAGAACTTGACGCCTAATCAGTTCATGAATCCGACTTTACTATCTGGAAAATATGAAATTGATTCTGATTGACTCCGGCTTTTTTTTTTCAATCTGATTTAGCGACATTGATAGTTGCAAGCATCACGGGTATCTCCTTGACATTCAGGTTGCACCAAGTTTAGGTTGAGACTCTCCATGGTCGTCATGGTGTATTTTTATTTTATTTTTATTTTTTGTGTCGCAGAAAAATACCAAATTCCTTATTTTATTTTGTACACTGTTCATTGAGTTATCCTCATGGAGGCTTTTCTTACGACATTGCCGCCTTATGTGCATGTCTTTCTTGACAAGCATTCGCCAACAGAGACGTTCAATATTCTTCGCGAGCTTATTTGTTTCGCTGTTCTCTATTCAAACGACCGTCAACATATCTTGAGCCTATCCAAAGAATTAATTGACAAAGGAGCCGACTCTGTCAAGGAGAGCGAAACAACCCCAACGTCCACTGCAGACCAAACTCTGAGCTCGAAACAAGACTTGCCATTACCACCACCCAAGGTAAATCCATTGTTCCATTTCTCCCATCCACTTGCTCATAATAAACTCGAGGTAGGCAGATGACGACGTTCTCGACACGAAACCAACCATTGACGAGAAGAATAATCAAAGTGGGAGCAGTGATGAACAAATCGTGCCTGACCACACACCAATTCAAGAACCTGTGCGCAAAAAGACGCTTCCCTGGACGTTTCCCGAGTGGTGGGGTCATCAAGAGAGCGATCATGTTCCAGTACGAAACGGAGCCACAAAGAAAGAAATATCTATAGGAACCCGATCGCCATCGCCGTCTCCTTCAGCGCCCGTAACCGTACCAGTAACTGTACCTGAGAAACTCGAGCGACCCATCCCCAAACCTCGAGCTGCCTTGGCCGCATCCATACCATGTAAAAACGCTGTCTTTTTTTTTTTTTTGTTTGCCGTTTTGTTACGCATAGTTTTGCTGAACCCGATTTTCGCATATTAATTCATAGGGGAAGAGAAACCGGTGCAGCAATCGTTTACGGAGAACTGCGGTATTCCCAATTTGCGATCATACCTTGTTCGGTCGCAAACCACCAAATCCACCACAGGGAATCGAAAAGGTCCGGTTCAGCAAACCATCGACACCAGCCGAGCGTCTCGTCGCATGTCCGCTCCCATTTACGATTCGCCCGTGTCTACCACACCTCCTCGAACGCAAAGTGGATCCAGTTCGCTGAAATCCTCGGATCGGCCTTCCTCAACTGTTTCGCGTTCCTCCTCAGCCTATCGTCCCAAACAAACTGCCACCGTAAGGGCTCGCCTCGAACACGCCAAACAACAGCAGCAATTACTAGAAGAACAGAAACGCAAAGAAGCCATGAACAACAAAGTGCCCAAATCCAAATACAATGTTCGATCGAGCATCAATTGGGATCATGTCAAACAGGAGAGAAGAAAAACTTTGCCAGCCACACCGGTATCAACCGACAAGACTACGAACAAATAACAACTCCCTCGTGCATACCTTACATATACCCTTTTCAACACACACTTTTTTTGTGTCTTGCTATTGATTAAATCTTTTCATCATCATTCTAAAGTATCCTATTTGTCACATACCCAGCTCTGCCTTTGACACAATAAATATCCACAGCTGTGTGGATGTGAAATTATCTTTTTCTTGAAACAAATTTGCGTGTATGCGAATCCATGTTTCTCAAAGCATAACACAGAGATCATAGGTTAAAAGAAGGGACCTCGTAGGCCAAAAAAAAAGACCTCATAGGTCAAAAGAAAGGACTTAATAGGCCAAAAGAAAGGACCTCATACTGTAAATAGTCAAGTATGTTTATAAAATTATATTGGTGGAACAATGTAAGGAAGAATGAAAGTGAGAAAATATGCAAAAAAGGCGAAACTATAACAACAGGGAAATTTTTTGAAAAAAAAAGATAATGACCTTCCTTAATATCATCTCCAATAAAAAAAAAAAGAAAACAGAAAGTGAAGGAACATACAAAGAGAGAGGATAAATGTATGAATCTCGCAGAAATGGAGATGCAACCGGTGAGAGGAAAAAGAAAAAAAGAGAAACGAATTTGGGACGAGGGGCTTTTAATTAACCGCTGCAGCTAACACAGGCGTCCTTGTTATCGATGGAGCATACCATGTCACTTTCATTTTCCTTGGCTGACTTGGCGCGGTATTCCTTCAACGACAGTTGATCGACAGTGAACTTGATGGCATCCACGGCGGGACGCGTACGAAGGTAGTACATACCCGTCTTGAGTCCCTTCTTCCAACCGTAGAAATGCATACTGGTCAATTTGCCAAAGTTGGGTTCACCAATGAAAATGTTCAAACTCTGACTCTGATCGATGAACGCGCCACGATCGGCTGCCATATCTATGATGGTACGTTGCGAAAGTTCCCACACCGTCTTGTACAGACTCTTGAGTTTGGCGGGGATATTGGGAATGTTTTGGATCGAACCACTGTCGGACATGATCATGTTCTTCACATCATCGTTCCAGATGCCCATTTCCACCAGATCCTTCAACAACCAAGGATTCACGATTTGGAACTCACCCGCCAACACACGACGCGTGTACAAATTGGACGTGTAAGGTTCGAAACATTCATTGAAACCCAGGATTTGCGATGTGGAAGCCGTCGGCATGGGCGCCACAAGCAACGAGTTGCGTACACCGTGTTGAGCAATCTTTTCCTTCAATGCAGCCCAGTCCCACAAGCTGGTGGGGGTCACGCCCCACATATCGTACTGCAGTTGGCCTTTGGAAACAGGGCTTCCCTCGTACGTCTCGTAAGGACCTTCCTTTTGAGCCAATTCCATGGACGCTTCCAAAGCAGCGTGGTAGATGGTTTCAAAAATCTGAATGTTCAAAAGTTTAGCTTCAGGGGAATCAAAGGGATAGCGCATCAACATGAAAGCGTCGGCCAAGCCTTGCACACCAAGACCCACAGGACGGTGACGTTTGTTGGATCGTTCGGCTTCAGGCACAGGGTAATAATTGACATCAATGATCTTGTTCAGATTCTTGGTAATGACTTTGGTAACCTAAAAAAAAGTTGGAAGACATGGCAATCAGTTTTGCGAAACTCGTGGCTCTCTTTTTTTTTTTTTTTTTTTTTTTTTGAGCAACTTACATCGTGCAATTTTTGGAAATCAAATCGTTCACGGTTGACGACATAGGAGGGTAAAGCGATACTGGCCAAGTTGCAGACGGCGACTTCGTCGGGGCTGGAGTATTCGACAATTTCAGTGCACAGATTGCTGCACTTGATAGTACCGAGGTTCTGCTGGTTCGATTTGCGGTTGCAGGCATCCTTGTAAAGCATGAAAGGATTGCCGGTTTCGGTCTGAGCTTCCAAGATGGCATACCACAGCTTTTGGGCCTTGATCGTCTTGCGTGCGCGACCTTCCTTTTCGTATTGAGTATACAAAGCTTCAAACTCTTCACCCCACACTTCTTGCAATCCGGGGGCTTCACTGGGACAGAACAACGACCAGTCCTCGTTGGCTTCCACACGATGCATGAACAAATCAGGGATCCACAGAGCATAGAACAAATCACGGGCACGGATTTCGTCTTTGCCAAAGTTCTTTCTCAAATCCAAGAACAAAAAGATGTCGGGATGCCAGGGTTCGAGGTACATGGCAAAGGCGCCTGGACGCTTGTTACCACCTTGATCCACGTAACGAGCCGTGTTGTTAAAGACACGCAACATCGGCAAGATACCGTTGGAGTAACCGTTGGTACCAGCAATGTAAGAACCGGAAGCGCGAATGTTGTGAATATTGAGACCAATGCCACCGGCCGTCTTGGAAATCTGAGCACAGATCTTCAAGGTTTCGTAAATACCCTCGATGGAATCTTCCTTCATGGTAAGCAAGAAACACGACGACAGTTGAGGACGAGGGGTACCGGCATTGAACAAGGTAGGACTGGCGTGGGTAAAGTACTTTTCGCTCATCAGGTTGTAGGTTTCAATGGCGGCATCAATATCTTCTCCATGAATACCGACGGCCACGCGCATAATGAGATGCTGGGGTCTTTCGGCCACCTTACCATTGATCTTGAGTAAATACGAGCGTTCCAAGGTTTTGAAGCCGAAAAAGTTGTAACCGAAATCACGGTCGTAGATAATGGCCGAGTTCAGGCGGTCAGCGTTGGCCATAATGATCTTATAAGTTGCATCGGAAATCATGGGCGAATGCTTGTTCGTCTTGGGATTGATATAACGGTATAAATCTTCAACCACGTGAGAGAACACCTTTTGGGTTTCTTTATGCAAGTTGGAAATGGCAATACGAGCGGCCAGAATAGCATAATCAGGATGCGAGGTGGTCATATAGGCTGCGGTCTCGGCGGCCAGGTTATCAAGCTCCACCGTCGTAACACCTTGATACACACCGGAAATCACCTACACAGAAAAGAAACATTCAATGATAAGACAATCCATTTCTTGTCATGTCGACCTGTGTTCCCTCCCCTCCTAAAAGGTCCCACGCCGAAACACCCTGTGGGTATATCTTGTGTGTTCCCTCTTTCCTCACACATACCTTTTGTGTAATGGCGACCGGATCGACGTAATTCATATCCAAACCATAGCACAACTTGTTGATTCGGGCAGTAATCTAGGTTGAAATGGGAACAGATCATGAAAATGAGGATGCGCAGCAAAATAAAAAAAAAGTACTCGAAGTGATGTGAGAAAAGCTTTACCTTGTCAAATGCGACTCGCTCACGGCGGCCATCTATGCACAAACAAAGGGATAAGTGAGATTGCCTGGAGATTAGTTTTTTTCAGTTCATCAACGTACCTCGTTTATATACAAACATTGGCATGGCTGGTCAAAGACGACAGAGAAAAAAAAAATATAACGGTAGCAGTTAAATAGACTAGTGGCTATGAAAAAGTGAAACACGTCCAGTCAGCACGATAGCTAAGCGAGACGAAAAGGAAGAAGGAGTAGAAAAAGTAAAAGAAGAAGTAAAAAAAGACGCGTAGGTCCAGAAAAAAGTACCTTTTATACTAAATAAAAAACTTACGCGTCGCAGAACGCGGAAAACGGAGCCATGACTTTCTTTTCAGTCGCGTGTCGGGCCCAACGGATGACAAATTTTTCACTGCGACGCTGCTTTGTCGGAGGAAAAAACCATTCGTCCCAATGGGTCCCTTTATATTTTTATTTTTACCCACTAACCTTGCTTACCCATCAATGCTCAGCATGAGATTTCCATTCTCTTCACTTGCTCATCTTCCTCATCCTCTGAATTATATAGAGCACACTTTTTGATAAGTCTAATTATTGATATATTACCAAGAAAAGTCAATTCACTTGTTATGACTTGCCTATAGTCGCCTGTTTCTCAATGCGAATTGACGCGGCCTTCACTAGAGTCAGGGATACGTCAAGTGCAGCGGGTTCTGATGTGATCGTGCGCGAAACCTTTTGGTGTTTCAGCGGCGACCTTTCGATTCCTTGGGCGACTGGATCCGATACGCGGGTCAAAAGATTCGGTCGCCGCACTCACGCTTTCTGGACGACGTTACAATTACAAACGGATTTATAACCCGAGTTATCCGAGGGTCTCGCTTCGCGTTCCCTTTTAAAACGCGTTAAAAATCGGGATCTTCCAATCTACGCGCTTCGTTGCATGTGCCTTTGCCAATCAAATGGATTGCGACGAGTAGGATGAGGAAAGTTGGACGTTTGTAACGTGGAGAGAAGAACACGTTATGCAGCGTATCAAGTGATTACGTCGCTCTGATATCGATCCAGGATGTTCACCTTTTTAAATGTTTTTCGCTGTTTTATTGAATTTTTCGATCATGATGAATTTTTGTCATTGGACAGCACAACGAATGTGAGGCGATTAGCGAACAATTTTTATAAAAAGAGGGGAATCATGTCTATTTTTTTTGTTTTCTTCCGTTGTGTTGTTATTGTCTTCCAAATCGTGGTGACAGTTAGGTTCAATATTTTTTTATCTCTCTTTATGCATTCAGTTGACGTCTGATGTTCAGTTGGTCTCGTACCAAACCTTCAATCTTTTGTGCAAAAGCCTGTTTGGCATGTTCTTCGATTTTCAGTTGATGGCGGGCTTCAAACGCATTCACTAAGTCCATGTAGTTCTCCATCTCGTATACGTTGAGCGGAGCATAGAAGCCGGCAGCCAGTTCAATGTTGAATGAGAAAATGGCCTTTCGTTCAGGTGCACTGGCCGACGGCACCGAGGATGTGGAGGGAGAAGGTTCACTGGATGTAGATGGGGTTGCGTATTTCGATTCCAGAGATCCTGCCGAGGGAGAAGGTGTAGCGTACTTGGACGCCATGGAACCACTCGAAGGGGCATACTTTGAAGCCGTCGAACCGGAAGCGTATTTAGACGCAGTCGAACCGCTGGGAGTCGAAGCATATTTTGATGCGTTGGCATCTGGAGGTGGAGCGTACTGGGATTGCATGGATGCCGACTGAGGTACGGGAGCTGGAGGAGCTTGGGAAACGGGGGGAGCGGGAGCAGGAACAGGTGCCGGCGCCGCGGTTTGAGCCCATTGATGCGATTCGGGAGTAGCCCATTTGGAAGCAGTGGAAGCCGTGTTGGCTGGTGGAGCAGCAACGCCCTTTTGCTCCCAGAAAGGTGTGGAGGCCAATTGTCCCGAAGCCCAACTGTTGACCGCAGCTCCACTGACATCACGTTCTCTAATCACACGAGCACGAGTCGCGGTTGGCATACGAGCCGAAGTGTGAACGGCTGGAGCCGTATGGGGCTGAGGAGGTTTGTGAGCTGGCTTGGGTTTGGAAGCCGACTTGGGTTTGGAAGCCGACTTGGTTTTAGAACCACCGGATTTGCCGCCTCGGCTTTTCTTACCAGTACCGGGAGGTTTGGGAGTCTGTTTGTTCAAACGTTGGGCGAGAATGTAGCTTTCATCCACAGGCTTGTAATTGGCACCTCGACGATGCAGACCACCGGAACCAATACCACCCGCCTTGATTTTCACCGTGGGATCGATGAGCGATGCCCATCCGCCCATACTTACATTGACCTGAGGTGTCGCTGCATTGGGCTGCGACTGCGCTTGCGTACCCCAACCGGTCATTTGCAAAGGAGCGTATTCTTCATCCTCATCGTCCTCCTCGTCAGAGAATTCGCTGTCATATTCACTGGATTCAGAAATGGGCCGACTCGAACTCTCGGTCGTCCACTGACTGGAAGCAGATGGACCACTGGCTTGCCACTGAGACGCTTGGTTCGTAGTAGAGGTCGCTTGATTCGAGGCCGGGGCACCCCAAGTACCGGCAACGCGAGCACCCGACTGTTGGAAAATTCGGTCGTAATCAGACATTAACTTTGGCTCCGCCTTCTTTTCTTTTTATGACAACTGAATGGGGGGTTTCTGTCAAAAAAGCAAACCGAGAACGACGATTTTCCCAACTGTGACTTGCGGAATCCACGGTCTCGCAATACGGGGTTTTACTTTTTTGGCATTCATTGCATACAATCCATCCAAATCCTACGCAGTAATTCGATAATATTCTGGCCTATTCTACCTACTGTCTCCCCTTTTATCTTTTTTATCCTTATATTAATTACTACGAGATTATAATGGCCGTATAGTATAATTGTCAAGCAGCAGCGGAAATGATTTCTTCTGTTTGAGCCAAATGTCGTCAAGGGAAATTGATCCCGCTGCAAGTGTGCAGCGATGACATACTTATTAGTTTCTTTTGGATCATTTTATCCGTCAAAAACTTACTCACCATGAAAAGATTACTGTGGGCCCTTTTATTTTTAAATCAGAGAAACGTGTCTGCATCGCTATATAAAGATGGGTGGCGGCAATTTTTAAGATTTGATGGCAATTGGGGATTTTGTACGACTTGGAACCATTCCATGATATCATTTTTCATTTTACGATGAAAAAAGAGAAACTCATACAAATTCTTGCAGTAATTAGTTCTTATTTTAAGTATGCCTTTTTTTTTCGTAGTGGTACATGGTTGTCTTTCTTGACTGACAATGGCAGTTTCCTGCTAACCAGCAAACAAAAGCCTCCGATTTACAGTCATCACCAAAAGGCAACCTTTCCTCGTGGGATATCCTAAAGCAATGTTTAATGGTTTGCGGTACGTAGGTAAGGGCTTCAAACTGCAATTAAGAATATTACACTGTGGTAATACGTGGGTGTAAATTTGCCAAAAGCGTCCTTACAAAAAAAAAAAAAAAAAAAAAAAAAAAAAGTTTAGCACTCTATTTCTGACATAGTCCTTGTCAGGAAAGTCTATTTGCAACGGATTGGCAAGAAAAAAGCAGGATAACATTCCAGGTGGCGCAAAGTCTGATCTTTGAGTCATTATGCATATGGATAATATGTATGGACCATGGATTGATGGAATCGTTCAGCATCGTTTTTTTTTTCGTTAGTCTCCTAAATCTTTGCTCATAAATCGTTTGATATGATAATGAATCACATTGTCAGTTTGGTTAAAAAAAAAGAGTTGCATTGATTTTGCTCCTGGAAACAAAGCTGCAACGATCGTCATAAAGCATGAACCGAAAAGTAACGGTTTATCCAAGTCCAACAAAAAGCATGTCATAAACTAACGATTCTTCTTTGTTTATGATGGACATTACATGATGTAGTGCTTTAAGCATGCAGTCGCCTCTCCCCTTTGCCGCTTAAAGCACTCATTTAAGAAATCGTACAACCTATAACTTAAAAACGAATCATCTTGGGATTTAAAAAAGTCTAAAATGGCATTCCCAAAAGAAAAAAAATGGGTCGCGTGTTCATCCATACCATAATGGCCACTTCATAGATGGTAGATAGGCACAGTACACCCAAACACCCGCCACGCGCTACTGCTTGCTCAATTATAATGAATGGATCGGTAAATTTTCTATACAGTTTTATACACACTTGTTCTATACGCTTTTTTGTAAAAAAAAAAAAAAATGATAAAGATAAAGAAGAAAAAAGGATAAAAACAACTCGAACAATAGGGGGAAAAAAGGGACATAAACACGAAATTACAATGTACACAGGCTAAAGGCTAAGAGCTAAGAGAGATAAGGAAGGGTAAAAGAGACGGCATTTTGTTTTCAAGACAAGTTACTGATGGCACTGCGGATATCGAATTCTTCTTCTCGCGGTTCGACTTTGAGACTTCGGGTGTAGTAGACGAGATTATCGGTTTCGATGGTTTCCAGATACCGCACGAGGAAGCGTTGGATCTCATCCACTTCGATCAGTTTGTAAGGAATTTGGAACTGATCTATTTCATTCAATACCCGTGTGGTTTTGATGTACTTGTCGAAATTGATCAACTGGTGACCATTGGGCGACGTGCGGTAGTTGCCATTGCCATCGTCAATAAATGTGATATCGGTGAGGTAGATACCTAGAAATGGGAGACACGGGGCCATCGCGTTCTTGAGTCGATTGCGGTATTCGGCAAAGTTGCGCTGCGAATCGGTAGCACGGTAAATGGGATCGATCATGGCCTTGTACTTGGCCGAGATGTGATCCCATGTCTTTTTCAATCGCGCAATACTCGTCGAATCCAGGGCCGATCGAATCGCCATCAACGTATTGTAATTGCTCAGTTGCAGACAATGCTAAAATAACCCCATCATCGCCATCAATAATGCTTTCTTTTTTCCCCAATTCCCCCAAAACACAAAACTTACATCGGCCACTTTGATCCAGAATTTGATGGCTTGCGCTCGCTTTTTCGGATCGCTTTCGCGCAACACACTGTCAGAGACCCATCCAGTGACCTGATTGCTACGTTGGATCATGGCCTTTACATGGATGGACCGACTTGAATCGGCTTGTTTCGTGAATTCCTGACCGATCATCTCGTAAGGCTCAATTTGACAGAATAAAGAGTTTTCCATCAAGGTCAATTGGCGCGCCAGTTCGAGCGGATCAAAATCATTCACATTCACTTGAGAAAGCGCATTTTGACTTAACGCTTTACGTAACGTATTGCGAAGCGATCGGTTAATGTTGGGTTGAGGATGTCGTTCTGTGAGCGAATCAGTGGAATGATGATCTTCAAACAAGGAAAAAATATACGACCCAGAAGAGATCGACGCATGCGAACCCGTGGCAGATCGTTGCATCATTGCTCGCACATCCTGAGTGTAAGAATGTTTCCTTCCTGCAGGTGCCAGACTTCGCAATGAGAACTAAAGTAAACAAAAATAAGAAGCACACAGAAAAGAAAGAAGAAGAAGAATTAGCTCACTGCAGGATTCTTCTGCATTGCTTTTTGATAAAAACGTGTTTTCTCTTCTTTTTGGGGACTTACGGTGCGTCGAATAAGTTCCAGCATCCGTTTGGATGGACCTGGCATGGCCTGCGCCATTTCATTGGCAGCAAAGTGAATGAGAGTTTGTTCAATGTGCGCATCTTGTTCAAACGAAAAATAAACTTCAAGCCACATTTTGAGTACATTGCAGACTCTCAGACGAACGGGTAAAAGGACACGCTGGGTCCAAAGTTTCGATTCTTCCGTCGTCAATTCCGGTTCCACAGGAGGTGACAAACGGAAACGATCAATGAGCAATTGCAAAAGAGTGGATGGATCCGTAAATAAACGAAAGTTGTAAAAGAAGGCGCGTGTAAAAATCAAGTCTATAAACATAGAATAGCACATGTCAGTCAATGTTTGACCTTAACGTCCTCCATCAAACGGGTGTAAACAAAGTACCTGGTGACTTTTCATGGGATGTCAGCTTGATAATCAGCGCTTCCAGTGTAGCCCCGGTCACTTGACCTTCCCCATTATACATCATCTCGTCTTCAGAAAAGGCGCGTTCCTTGAGAAACCAAGGCTCAGGCTCCTTTGGTTAAGAAAAAAATAAAGAATCAGTCACAATTAACAAAACTCAACCAATGACTATTTTGCCTTTCTTACCTTGATCGACAATGGATCTTGGCGTTCCGTCACTTCCATGGACATCCATGAAGACATACGACGCAACGATGGTGGGTCGATGAGAGTTTCATTGGAAATGTGGTGCAAAGAGGGTGGTTCTTCGCCCTTTTGTTTTGTCAAGGTCATTCGTAAGGTGGAAACGCTCATGCCTCGTGAACGACGTGGTTTGGAAAGCGCAGGGTCAACGGTTGGTGTGGATTTGGAAACAGAGAGTCGAAGATCGCGAGTGCCGGCAGGATGCGGATGGGGGCTAGGAGGTAAAGGGAATGTGCCATTGGAAGCTGACTGTAAAGCGTTAATGGATGATGCACGCGGCCGGGCGGTGATGGCATGCACGGATCCTCGATGCGGTAAACATGGTGGAAGAGACCCGATGGGATTGTCGCCATCGCACTCTTTGACAGGACTCATTGATTCAGGTGTACTCATGGGAGTCACATTGATAGATTCCACCGACGATCGAGCTGCCGTGGTACTGGAGCGACGTACGGTTTCAGAACGCGAGAGCTTGTGACGACTTGATTTCGATGTGGGCCGATCCTTCCTCGACGTACGTGGTGGATGGGTCTCGGATGGGCTGCTGCGAATACGCTGACGCTCTGCCACTGGTTCACCTTGGCATGAACCCATCTCTTCCTCATCATGATCGTCATCGACATCATCGTGGTCATCATTATCGTCTTGTTGTTGCTCTGCAAACACATCTTCCTGATGAGAATAAAGCGTCGAAAATGGCGGTTTGCTGGCATCAGAGTCGTCGTTTCTACCAGGTGAATAGTGGCCAATCTCCAACTTTTCCACGTCCTTTTCGGTAGGTCGAGAATGGTGTTTGCCGGCTAGGGTGGCTAAAGGCTGGTTTTCGTCCACATCATCGTCGGCATGCGTGACGCGCGAAGGAGGCAGATGGGAATGAGAAACCGACGACGAGGACGACGACTTGTTGTTAAGTGAGATTTCGTCTTGGGGTGACATGGAGGATGTGCTGCTGTCGGAGGAACTGGTGGCATCGTCGTCATATTGAGACTGAAGAACGTTCAAACTGGTGACTTTGCGTCCAAGAATACTAAGAGTTTGGTGACGACGTGTATCGACCGAGTCCTGAAGCTTATCGCGCATGGCGCGCACATCATCTTGCATGTCCCCGGTTTCGGCAGGATCAACGTGCAAACATGTCTTGACACACGCAGCACATTCGTGGGTGGTACGAACCACGTTTTCGCAACTTATTCGTAACTGTTCGCAATCATCGGGTGTCTGCATATCACGTGGCCCGGCCAAGGCTCGTACGGCTGTGACAAGATTCGTGATCGCACTGTACACGGCCTCTTTAGCAAGCACCAAGGCAACCAAATGAGGATCTTCAGGGATAATGGAACAGTGCTTGTAGTCAAGTTCGCCGATATTGGAACACACATGTTCCACGACGGCAAGAAAGGTACGAACGGCTTCCACGGCTTTCCGGGTCATTTCCAGCATATCCGTGGCGCGGTGTCGGCTGCCGATAAAATGTTCAATGGTGTGAAGCAATCCCTGCATGAGGGTGTCAATGGTGTGCTGATGATCCAAAATCGTCTGCAATATATGCTGCGCATCACAAAGAGGGACTGCTTTTGCAATCAGAGAAGCACTCGATAGCCTTGCATCCAGGAGCTGTTGTCGTAAGGAGGTTGTGGAAACAGATGCGCTCGACGTAAACGACATCATCGACACGCGCGGAGACACATCGTCTTGCTGTTGTTGGTGTTGTTGTTCTGTTGTAGATCCCGTGATATCGGTGGTTTCATCGTGAGGGTGGTGATGGTGCGAGGGAACAGTTTGGGCGATCGTTTCAAAAGTATTCATTTCCGACAGCAGTTGATGGGCTAAGGAGCACACTTGTTCGATCATCTTATCGATGTGCGAATCGTCGGCTTGCAAGTCTTTTCCTTTGAGTACTAATTTACTGAGTGCACCAAGTACGACTTTGCGTTGGCGAGCTAATTCGGGAAACGCCTTGAGAACAGGACTGTCTTTGTTTACAGCGTGAGCCGATGCCAAGACGGATCGAACAGCGGAAATGACTTGAAAATTACACAGTTTAATATTGGACGGATCCCCGGTGGAACAAGCGTCCACGAGTAATGCAATTTCTTTGGCCACATCTTCCAAAAGATGGGAGGGATCGGTCGATTCGATCGAGGCCGCAGGGTCCTTGGTGGTGGATGAAGGATGGCCGTGGATCAGGGTTTGAGTCAAAGGTCCATGACCTTGCACGGTTGGGGATTCGGACACTGATTGGGAGATCTATACAAGAAAAATTTTTCGAGTTGGATTAGATGGGAATACAAAATTAAAAATGGGCACAAAAGGTGGAAGAAAGAGACGGATTACTGTGGATAGCATGTACACAAATGACGAGATGTCAAATTAGGAAAGGATCAATTTTTTTTGAAAGTCCTCCCTTTTCTTTTACCTTTGAATCCCAACCCGACATGGACGATGGAGTGATCTCCTCTCCACTGAGCTGAGCCATGTGTTGGCGCCAGTGTTCAAACTGAAGAACATCCTTGGATCCATCTTCTTCGTAATCGATACTGTGACGACTCGCTTCGCCAATCACGCCCACGTAGTTGCTAGGAAACCATCCTCGACAACCGTCGTGCTGTCCATCCCACCACCCTGATTCGTCTCGATTGAGTACTTCGATGATAGCGCCTCGGCGGAAAAAAAGACACGACACATTATCGGAGGGTGCATTGTTAGGAAAGAAGTCGTGAAGCGCTTGGACAAAGTGCGATGTGAAAGTGGAAGGAGCAGATGCAGTGACATGGCGTGGTGAACTGGGAAGCGATGAGGGTGGTGACAGTGCGATGGAGGTCGGTGAAGTGGGACGAGCGAGAAGCGACAGTGGTTGGTGTGATAAGGTCATGCTATGTACGAATAAATATAAACAGAATAGAGGCTGAAAAGATTACAAGTAAAAACGGGAGTATATCTTTCTAGGTTAGATGGAGTGGGTGAGGGGTGGGTGGGTTAGTTTTTATAACGCGTGTTTGCAACGATCAGGTAGAGACCATGGAGAGGAATAATTAGACAGAATATAGAATCAGAAAAAGGAAAAAACAACGACACCGAAAAAAAAGAGATAGAACGAGATGTTAAAACGGTGAATATGATGAGAAAGATCTGAAAGCAAGATGAAACGAGAAAGAAGAAGAAAAAAACAAAGCCCACACACGATAGATCAAAGGATATATACAATGGCAAAAAGTGAAAGAAAAAAAAAACGAGAAAAGGGAAAGAAGAAAAAAAATTCCAAGGGCGTTTTATCCTGGCTTTTAAACGGGAAAGGGGAAAGCGGCAAACGAGGTCGTCGTTGAGCTACCAAGTTTAGGGGTGAATTTGTCTATTTCTCTATCAGCCATCGTCACCTCACCGTCCAAGCCGTTCTCGTCCATTTTATTCATTTCTCACCTTCTACACTCAACACACGAGTTTCATCAATATTCCCTTGTTAGTGAAAAAAAAAGATCGACAATCACACGATGTTCCACTCCTCCTTTTCATGGCTCGCTCTATTCTCTCTCATTTTTTTAATAGATTATCTCGCGCCATTTGGCTTTGATGGTGGTGGTTGGCTTGTAGCATCGATATATGTCTAACTTTTGACTGCTATCAATTCATAAGGTACATCCAACTATGATTATCCAAGGCATCACGGATACGACTGCTTTTTTTGATTTTTTTCAGGTACCACTGTTTTACATGGTTGTTGTATTTATTTGTATTGGAGAGAAAAAAAAATAATAATCATTCGATGAAAAAAAAAAAAAAAAAAAAAAAAAAAACTGCTAAAGTATCGACAATGACAATGACAATAAAAGCAAGGCGAGGTAACCGTTCTAAAAGGAATTGTTCGATTGCAAATCATCTATTCCCGCTGCATTGGTCACCAGAAAGGTCCGAAGTGATTATTTATAGGAGTTGCCAATGAAACTCAAATCGTACCCGAAAAAAAAAAGTGGTGTCCATGCGATGAAAGCCAGGCATGTAGACGATATAAAAATTCACAGAGACAAACTTTAATAAAATGAGTCAACTCAACTTATTCTTCTTGATTAACTTGAATTAAAAAGATTTCCTTCGATTGTTCCTTTTCCTTTGGCGGTCCGTGAAAAGCATAATGCGCTGAATTAGACAATGGTTTCTGGCGGAGCTTAAAATGGTCTGCAATCATGAATTGCACCCATCTGCAGTTGCTATGCTCACTTTTTTACGTGATTAAACAAAAATGGGTCTCATCAACTAATTGCCCTTGTTCTCTTGGAAATGAATAGGGTTCATAACAAAAAGAAGCTTTTAGTTTGCAAGCCAGGGTCTGGGTGAGCTGTCCTTCCGGGTTATTCGAAAATGAACCGTCCGATCAAGGAGAGTCATTAGCGGCGATATTCGAGTTTATTTAGGAGCTGGGTATCGTTTCGATAAGAACCATTCTCTTCCCGATAATGAGCACTTGCACCTGGAGAGAAAAAAAAATCTGTCAGACCCTAATAAAGGGAAAGCTTTTAATACCAAAATTTTTTCGTCCATTTTTTTCCAGGCTAATAATTCATTTGGTCTGCGGAGACCTAACCGATGATGGGTCGTAGTCAAATGACACTTTGCGCCACAAGCATAATGCCATAAAGGAACGAGGATCGACGAATAATTATCACGGATTTAAACCAGAATAGACATCGGATGTTTAAATTAAGAACCTATTTCAAAGTGCTCCTTTACGACACGATACGAATCTGTAGAAAGGGAATTTCGATGAATTGGGTGATGAACATTAAATCGTCACCGCATACATGATCCTATTATTCGTAATGATAGTAAAAAGAAGCTAGCTTCACAGTTGCAAAGAGCCATGTTGACGATGGCGTTGCGGCCAAGGGGGCGTAACACGAAACAACAATAATAACAACATCAAATACAACAACAACAACAAGAATTTGCGGGTGTGAACAATGACAGCGCAAAGCAGTCCCCGTTATCTTACGACAACGGGGACCATAGTTGGATGATGTGAAGAACCATTATTTTTTGCGTGGACAAACATGGGCTTGGCAGTAAGCACCAATCACTCCATGCAGCATTGGAAAAAAAAATTCAAACAGTTATAAGCGTAACCGCGTGGAAGACACGAAACCAGAGTTACAGTCACCCGGATCAACAAAACAAATCTGCTACGAAAACGATGTGGGCAAAAAGAATGCTTCCTTCTCTTTTGACACATGCTACTACCTGAACAAAATACTTTAATGGTCTACAACTGTTCGTGTGTTTCAACTAGCTTACAATTGAATGTTATGAGCACACACTTGACCTATGTGCAGATTATTTGTGAGAATAGCAGAAAATAGAACAATATCAAAAATCAAGAAGCCCCCGAAAGTGAGAGCGCGAAACTATCTAAAGAAAAGGTGTCCAAAAGAAGCAGTGTGTAAACCTTTAAAAAAGAATCGCAATCGGCGAGATAGTCGTACATTCGAAACGGGAGACAGTGGAATAAGAAAAGATCATCAGAACCCTTTATTTTCGTCAGCAATGTTTTAGATGATATTCACGACAGTGTTTTTCACCTAGCGCTCTATGGACATTAGCACAATCCTGGTGGTGACCTTGGTAAAGTCCAGTTTTGCGGACGTGTGATTTACTTTTAAAGCAAAGCTGTCAGCTTCTTTACCTTTATGGAATAAGATTCTCTGTAGTACGATATCTGGTAGGAACTTATTCCTGCCCATGTGCCCAGACTTGAGACAAGGCACTTTAGCTGACAGTTGCGTATTTTTATCGACATGGCTGACAGTTGCGCATTTTCATCGACTTAGCTGACAGTTGCGCACTTTATAATCGACTTGTGCCAGCCCGTGAGTAGTGCTGCAAATCCGCTTAACAACCCGTGTCTTTCAAGATGCTTATCCACCACCAAATCAGCGCCATCAACGAAAGTAATTTAAATTTGGTTTCAATAAAATGTACTTGGTAACTTAGGAAGTTTTCCTGATGAACACGAATAGAAAAAGAGAGCATAATCTTCTTTTTTTAATAGGATGGTTGACGCATGCCCTTATTTTTCTCGTGAACGCCATCAAAATTACTAAATTTGCACGGCAACAATTCCTTTTTCAATCACAGCTTACCAGGCATGCAAGCGTGAATAGCGATCTGGATATCTACCCGGACTTTTGATAACTACATGTGTCTGCAAAATAACTGATTGTTGTCTCGAACTTCGATCGTCGTGGTATCACAACTGCTACAGACTTTACTCGTCTTATACTCATCTACACAGAGCACAAGAGCTTTTTGTGCGAGAACTTGTCGGAATTTCTATCCGTTCAACTTATAAGTTATTTCCTCATGCGAATTACGTCGCCTTTTTTTCTGTTTCACCTTGACGGAAACTGGCGGATTGCCTTTCAATGAATGCAAATCGGCGTCGCCAAATGCAACTACAGCCGCACCTTTGGGCCTCTCCCGCCCGCGCCGGGCTCTCTGTCGTCTTTGCTTGCGGCATCGTTGGACTGCTTGTAGACCCACAGTGGTCTCTATAGCATAGAATGAGCCGCTATCACTTTTACGTACGATAACACAAACTCACTTGCAAGTTCTTGTCTGCTGGGTCTCCTAACAAGCTGTCGGCCATTTTGTGCATGGTCATTTGCCGCTGTCTCTCGAGTAAAGCACGTTTCTCTCGGTGACGATACGATCGATTGAAATTGTACAGTCTGTTCTTGAAGTCTTAAGTCCTGAGAATCGATCTGACGATATGCAACTTACCTGTTGTGGACACTTTCCAAAGTTCTTAAATGGTCTCGGAATTCTGCGACCGTACCACATTTGGCAGTGTTCTCGCGTAATCGGTCATATACATCCTGAATGCTCGCAGATCTCCTATTGTTCAGTTCGATCTGATGACTCCAATGAAACCTACTGCTTCGTCTGTATTGCGAAGGATGCCAAATAAGTGAATACATTTTCTCTTCTTGCCCAATTTAACCTCTACTTACTGATATGCTCCATTTGATATTGAGAAAACGTGCCTATATCGTTGCTCAGGCATATGTAGATTTTTCATTTGAATCTACCGCTGTTATGACAGATCGTAACCCTATTGATGCGGATATCATAAGTTAACATATTGATGTATTTCCCAGGGATAGCGCAGTTTACCCGGATCTATGCCAATGATTCTTGCATTGGGAACAATTCCAGTTGGTTCTTTCTTCAAGTGGTATAAACCACGACGCCAACCAGTCATGTCCGGCTCACGCGGAAGGAAATCAAATTCTCTCTTCGATGAATGGATTTGGACTACCATTTACAAGTGTGGCAAGAAAGTAAGTATTCAATATTCCATTTTGAATTACAAGGTCATAGCGCTTGCAGAATTTTATCGTCGCCATCACCCCGTTGGTTTCGAGTCCGTAGGCGAATTGATACTTTTTTGAATTGTCGGCTATTTGAGGCCTGGTTATTGTATCGAAAAAAAAATGAGAGATCATGTTAAGTGGCGACTTACCAGCCTCGATGAGCCCAGCTCTGAATCGATTGGGCATGATTTTGTCCAAGTCAAATATCGTCTCCCACATGGTTTGTTTGAAAGTCTGATCATCTGGACACGACCGTTGAAAAACTTGAAGTCCAATAAATCGTTCTGTCGCCTCAATCTCGTAACGACCCCTCCTCATTATTTATATTGGAGCTAAATACATTGTCATAAAAAAAAAGTGAAAGGTTAGGTGATATATTATTGCTTACATTCATTTCATTAGGCACGATGTACCCTTCGTTGTAGGCGTGCTGACAGAAATAATAAAAGCAGACGACACTCAATGGGAGATAGCCTCGGAACCCACTGTGAATAGCAATATAGATGGCTTATAATCTTTGATACATACCTATTTGATGAGAGGCCAAAGGCAGAACGGACCATATACGTCCATTATAAAGCTTGGCTTGCGAAAGCAGCCAGGTAGAAAACTGAATCAATCGACCGCTCCCTGAGGGGCCTGCAAGGGCTTCGATGGCGTCACTGTTGCGATCCCCAAACTGTTGATTATACGTCTGCAGTAATTCACTATAAGCAAGCGTAAGAATATATTATTTTACATTCGTGCTCCATATATTGTGGTCAACACACCTGTAAAAAGAAACAGATAAATCAGTAATCAGTGGATGTGAAAAAATTAAGAAACAGATGGAAGTGAGAGCAAGAAGCGCTCAAATACTTTTTATTGCAAGTGCCTCACGAGCTTGGTTTCAGTTGAGGGCTGCGCCATTTGTTCAACGCGCCAATATGCAGAAGCATGATCGACAAGTGTTACGACGACTTTTTCTAGTCAGGTAAATCCGGTGATTGCCTGAAAATGATAACTATCATTGATGACATGGTCCAATAGAAATCTGATAGACTAAACACCATTAGTATTGTAATTCGAAGTGTGGTCAACAGCAATATTTTAACTCTGTATTCAAGTGTGTGATTGCCATTCTCTTACATTTTCACACTTTTCGATCACTTCTGTGGCTATTCGCAAGCTGTCCATGCGTGTTTTTAAATCTCGACGGTTGCATTGCGAGCAACTTCTTCAATTAGCTTCGGGAACGAGACTCTGGATCTGCTATATTGAGACAGGAAGCAATCCGATTCTGCAAACATTTCGCAGTGGTATCTTCAGGAACGAGAAGGTACGGGTCTGACCCAAGAAAAAGGGTGTATTGCGATTAATGGTAGAAGAGGACAGACTAGGAGGAGCGACATAGAATGAATTCCGCTGATCTAGCTACCATCATTATCGATCATAACTGCTTGGATTTGACCCATGATCGTGTTTCAACCAGCATTTACGATGGGATACATTGAAAAGTTATCGGTCAACATCCATGCCAACGGCATGCCTTTCCCGGTTACTTGGCATTTTGCCACATTGTGTACAAATATGACCTCTTGCCATTGGGAAGCTTGGCAGTGTTGTGAGTGGCATTCATACAAACAATAAACGAATTGGCTCAAAGGAGCTGTATTGGTAATTGACGATTTATTTTATTTAGGAAAACATAGACTTCCCTACTACTAAGAATGACCCCATCTGTGTACTTACTCCAACTGCCACCGGCTCATGAAAGCAATTAGTGACCATCCAGAATTAGTGTGGTAAAATTGCAGAAAGAAGCCTTCTTCGTTGATCTTCTGCCCCCCACAAAGCCAAACTCTCATAAATATTTTCATGGAGCTGGGAGTTCTTCTTCAGGATACGCTGGATGGCATTGTACACGTGCATATATCCAATCCAAAAGCTTTCCGGGACAAGGGCCTCACCGTTCCAAATCTACATGACAAGTGTTAATGCATAATACTGAAGCAAAAGGAAGATGATTTGTCTTCGTCAATGTATCACTGTTCATACGAAGCATGCGATTGATCTGCGCTCAGGTGAAGTTGCATTGTACCTGCTCGTCAATCCATGTAGAAAGATTAGATTTGAGCGGGCCGGTACGCAGATCTAAAGTACCCGGGACATGACCTCATGCTTCCAACGGTAAGTCACCTTCACATGACCAGCGTCGGCGTCGAACGATGAGGCGGCGTTTCTAGCCGTGCATCCACACCCGATGAAGGGACGAGTGCGGCGCTTCTTTGCCTGAGGCACATATTTTGCCTCCACGATGGCATTCGTAATAACAACGGAAAAATGGACCGGGCTCGATGGACCCTTTCTGGAGGAACTTACAGCGATACTTGGCTTCTTGTTTCTCGATTTAATTTGAGCAAGCACATCCTGCGGAAGTATGAAGACGGCAGGACATTCAGATGCAAAATTCTTCAACAGGACGGATGACCGAGTTGGTGATAGCGTCGTGTGAGAAATCGGCATACTATTGATAAGGTAGACACACGCGCCGGTCATAGTATTGAACTATAGGAATAGACAAAACACATACCTTTAAGTTTATAAGATGGTCGACTGATGACGCCACTGAAAAATTTCAGAGCGCGACGACGCGCTTTTTGTTTTGTGAGTGTGTTTTTCGTGTCGTTCCTTTTTTTTTTTTTTCTTTTCAAGCTTCACGAGTCGTTTTTAACCATGGCCGCTTTATTACCGGTGACAATCGGCATCAACTATGATGAAGATAAACGTAACTTTGAACAAATCTCTACTTTTATATAGAAAGAGAGAACGCTGACTGATTCTCTTTTTTGCACAGAATTACTGTCCCACTTCCTTGCCAACTTCAAGGACACCGCGACCAATGCCCTGAAATACATGGATGTGCTTGTACGTCGATAATAAAATATACACCAATCTGCGATTGTCTAATCTTACCCATTTCCTTTGTTCAGCAAAAAGTAGTCGATAGAGAACAATCCGTCGTTACCATTGAATTGGACGATCTGGCCGTGGTAAGTGCAATTAGCGTGGCGCGACACTGGATTTCCCACTGATCCTTTTTTTTTTTCAGCACGAAGATTCGCGTGTGCGCAGTGTCGCTCACATTCGACGCAATACGAAACGTTACATTGACTTGTTCTGTACCGTTATTGACGAACTGATGAAGGACATGACGCCCGCTCGACCTGAATTGTCTTACAAGGACAGCGTCCTGGATGTCATTATTAGCCAACGTCGCGTGCGCGATGAAAATCTGGTGATTGAAGGAAACGACGATAATGCCGGTTTCCCTCCCGCTTTAACTCGTCGATAGTACGTACACAAAACAAACCTCTTCTGCTCTTTTTTTTTTGTGCGTCTTAATGTTTTGCTAAATCACCGGTTATTTAGTGAGGTGTTTATCAAGCCTTTGACCAACGATCCCACCTTGGCGGTTCGTCACGTGAATGGTGCTTTGCTGGGTCATTTGGTTACTTTACGTGGTATTGTGACCAGAGTGTCCGATGTCAAGCCATTCTTGCAAGTCAATACCTACAGTTGTGACGCTTGCGGCAGTGAAATTTTCCAGGAAATCAAGCAACGTCAATTCACCCCCTTGACGGAATGTCCTTCGCAAATGTGCCGAAATAACAGCATCAAGGGTAAACTGTATATGCAAACCAGAGCTTGTAAATTCTTGGCTTTCCAAGAAGTCAAAGTCCAGGAATTGGTAAGTTTGTTGGTTGGAAAGGAAAAAAAAAGGCGCGGGATGAGATGGAACTTGGGTGGCTAACCCTGAAAATTTCATGATAGACGGATCAAGTCCCTGTGGGTCACATTCCAAGGACAATGACGGTTCATCTTTACGGCGCCATGTGCCGTCAATTGACGCCTGGTGACGTGTGTCATGTTTCCGGCATCTTCTTGCCAATGCCATACACCGGATTCCGTGCCCTGCGTGCTGGTTTATTGACCGATACCTACTTGGAAGCACAATACATTCATCGTCTCAAGAAGCAGTATGATCAGTTGGAGATGTCTTTGGAAGATTCGCAGCGAATCGAACAACTCAGAGCGGATCCCAACATCTACAGTCACTTGGCTCGCAGTATTGCTCCTGAAATCTACGGTCATGATGATGTGAAGAAGGTGCTTTTGTTGTTGCTCGTTGGTGGTGTCACTAAGACGGTCGGTGACGGCATGAAGATTCGTGGTGATATCAACGTGTGTTTGATGGGTGATCCTGGTGTGGCCAAATCCCAATTGCTTAAATTCATTGGTAAAGTCGCGCCTCGCGGTGTGTACACCACAGGTCGTGGTTCTTCCGGTGTCGGTCTGACTGCGGCCGTCATGCGTGATCCTGTCACAGATGAAATGGTACTCGGTAAGTCTTGAAGGCATCAGCCCATGAGATCAGCAAATTTTTAACTCTGTGCTGTGATGAAAAAAATTAGAGGGTGGTGCTCTTGTCCTTGCCGATAATGGTATTTGTTGCATTGATGAGTTTGATAAAATGGACGATTCGGATCGAACGGCTATCCACGAAGTCATGGAACAGCAAACCATCAGTATCTCCAAAGCCGGTATCAACACGACCTTGAATGCTCGCGCTTCCATTTTGGCCGCAGCGAATCCCTTGTATGGCCGCTACAACACGCGCATGTCGCCTACCCAAAATATCAATTTACCGGCGGCCTTGCTGTCGCGTTTCGATATCCTGTATTTGATGTTGGATAAACCCTCGGACGATTTGGATCGTCTGTTGGCCGAGCATGTGACCTACGTCCACACCCACAATAAGCATCCCAGCTTGGACTTTGAAGTGTTGGAACCTAATATGATCAGGTATGTGATCGAAAAATGGAGTAGGAGGTTGGAGTGGGGGTTTGGGAATAGGGGTCGCCATAACGAAAAAATTGGATGGCTCATTCATTTATTTCCACAGACACTACGTTGCTCAAGCACGAACCAAACGACCTGTGTTGTCCAATGAGGTATCCGACTATGTGATCAGTGCCTATGTGCAAATGAGGCGTCAGTACAAGTTGGACGAAGAACGTCAGCAACAATTCACGTATGCGTCCGCACGTACATTACTCGGCATTATCCGTATGGCACAGGCCTTGGCGCGTATTCGATTTTCGGACTCCGTGGATGCGGCGGATGTGGATGAAGCACTCCGATTGATTGACGTATCCAAGGCTTCCTTAATGGACGACGATTCGCGCGATCAGCGTCAAGACCGTACTCCCACGTCGGTCATTTTCAACATTGTTAGACAGTTGCGCGAAACGTACGGTAACCAGATCAATATGTCCGTGGTGCGAGACCGTGTATTGGCTCGCGGTTATACCGATGCACAACTGGAAGAGGCTACACGAGTGTACTGTGACTTGGATGTATGGCAGTTGAACGCCAGTAGAACACGTCTTATCATTGTCCAGTAAAGGGCCGTTTGTCGGCTCTCATATTAATCTTTTTTTCACATCTTTCATTCTCTTTCTTTCTTTTTATTTTCTTTATATTTTATCCTGTAAATAAAATTTCCCATATTGGCATCATTTGGTTAAGCGACGATGGCATCGGTCCAGGCAAAAAGAGACAGACATAACCAAGATGGCTACGCTGCTAGGATAATGGATGATTCTATCTTGATCTAATTTTATTCGGCGGCTTGAATGGTATCGACATTTTGCGCGATGGTGTCCGGTTCCATTTCCGTAGGCGATTCACGTATATCATGGATCTGGAGGAATCAGTCAGTCAGTCAGCCAACAAATACCAGGAAATGACGCTATTTTCTTACCTTGAACATGGCCACGATAAATTCAGCCAATGGTTTGACGATCCACCGTGTAGGTTGACGTAAATGTTCAAACCAGCCAAGGTGGCCTCCCTTTTCGGTGGTAGCAAGCACGACATAGGGATTCACTTTGACTTCGTCGTAGGGAATACATGATTCGGGTACAATGGGATCATCCAGGGCGTTGAAGCAAAGCAGGGGAATTCGGACCTTTTCAATAAAGCGACAGGAACTGGCGTCTCGGTAATAGTTATTCACGGTGGTATAATTGAACATCTTGCGGGTGCAAGCATCGTCAAAGCCGCGAAGGGTGGAACTGTTCATGACTTCCTCAACATTGATTTTTCCATCCTGACCCAAAATATCTGTATGCCTAACATGACATGAGTACCAAAAAAACGTGATTTTTCAAAGTTGTCCACAGAGAATACCTACTTGCTGAATGCTCGTTTGAGGTTATTTGCCATGGTGGCGGAATAGACGGATCGCGAAAAATAGTTCTCATCCAAGGATTGGGATGATTTCATGAAATCAAAAGGGTTGGCAACGGAAATAGCGGCTTTGAAAGGCGTCTTTTCTTGTTCTTCACCGAGATACTAAATTGACAGATTATCGGTCATTTGAGCTGATCACGATTTTCAAAGGCTATGTCGTACCTTGACCAGGATATTCGCACCCAACGAGAATCCAATACCCACGAGCGGGGTGCCTGCAGGCAGCACCTCTTGCAAATGTTTCAACACAAATCGAAGGTCGTCGGTATAGGCCCCGTTAAATAGCTGGGGCGTTTTAAGACTGGTGTTGGCACAACCACGGCAATTCATAACCACGGCACGATAGTTAAATGGAGGGCGTGTGACCTGCGATGTGCGTTTGTCTTAGACATTCAATAGGATCACCAACATAGAATTATGAAGCTTACCACTTCGAGTACACTGCGAATATAAGATTCATGACTACCTCCGGTCAATCCGTGTAATGCTACGAGTACTGGAGTATTGTCAAGGGGCTGATTCGGTGGGGTCCAGTCGAGGGCGAGATGACCGCCATCGGGTAAATCGAGCATTTGACGTTGGTAGACAATGTCATTGTCGGTGGTGCTAGAATTGTAGTAAGCAGCATAACCGGTTTGAAGGTGACCGTTGAATAGATAGGACGTAGGGGTAAAAGTGGCTTTGGGGCCGACAATGGTCGGACAAGTGGAAGTGATATAATCAGCCAAGGCGACCCGTTGCCCTTTCACGAGCAAAGGAACTGTATTCGGATGATGCGTAAGTTTGACAGCAGCCATCAATAAATAAAATAATCACAGTGATATTAAAGAATCTGGTTAGTTTTTTAAAAGCTAGGAGATTCCCTTTATATTTCAACGCATGGTTGACCCTGGCGCGTGTGCCACAGTGGCTTGTTTCACACACAAAGAACGCATATAAAATTACAAATCTGAAACTTCATTAGCCACATTATAAAAATTGATGAGTATGCTTTTAAAAAAAAAAGTCTGCCCTTGATCAAGAGATACTTAATCAAAGTATGATATGTCATGCCCGTACGTATACTGCCACTGGATAGCATCCTTTGTAAGGTGCGTGACCATTCTGACTGCAAGGATCGTCTTGGTTGATGTCAAAGAACAAAAGCTCATCGCAAGAAGGGAGCACATGTCTCGGCAGTTGGTTCGTCTTTTTGTCATGTAGCTCTTCCGCGACCTTTGGTTGCAACCGACCAGAAGCAGTACATGATTACTACATGCAATGACTCTGACGTCTGACGTCCCAGCAGCCAGAATCCACGTATCATGGCATATTTGATTGTGAGAACAAATTATCAAAATGTTTAACTGTTCATTTTGGATCCCTCATCCTTGTTGGGGCTCGCTGGAATTTTTTTCATTGAATACTTCATCATTGCTACTGCTGTGAGTTGGATTTCTCAAGGCCAGAAGCGACAGACGACAACCCACTTTTTCGGTATTATTTTCGGCCTTGGGTTCACCACGAGGAACGGGAGCTCATAAGACAAAGTAAAGCTCGCATAACTTATGCAGCCACCTCTGATGTCATTCCTTTTGAAGAAAAAATGGTTCGGTATAAAGTTCGACCGCGCAAGCTCTTCAACTTGGAGCTTGCTGGGATAATATCGCTTTTGCAATTTTTATGTATGGCATTGTCACCTTCCCAATTCGGATGCCACCGATGAAACTGAGTTCCCAACTTTGCCTATTATTTGCCTAAAATGGGCAAATTACGAAATAGGCAAGTAAACAACGGGTGAGGTGGATACCACAGATCCCCTGAAAGGAATATAGTATGCATGCTTGTAGTGTTATATACGGAAAAAAAATCCAAGAAACGGATTGAGGTGCATATTTTCAAACGCAAACCAGTGCAGAGCAAACAAGCACGGTTCAAATCAGTGGTACGGAAAAAATATACTGCCGGGCGTAAACAGAATACACATGTGTCTGAAATAGTTGAGCAAAGGACACAAAACTCAAAAGGCGGCCAATGCTTGGCACGGTGGTTTTGTTTCTTGCGGCATGGCCACTTCCCAATGTCCAGACAGAGGTGGATTGCAGCATGACGGTGCCTTGTACGTTTTTAGTTTTTCTTTTTATCTCCTGAGCGTCCAATATGTATCACTTGTCTCACTTGTTTTATTCCATAGCCAACCGGGCCATGACATTAGTGATCTGATTCACCATCCCACGTGCGTTTGAATATCACGGCTAAGGTCTTTTGCACTGAAAACTCACTTAGTTTCTTGACAGATATTCTTGGCATTTGATCGGTTGGCTTGTGTCGTTGGTATGCGTGGCCGTGGTATGGATCGTCACCGTTGTCATTATCATACGACATGTGCGTCATTACTGGTATGTATTCAAGTGGCTTCAACTGATGGTCATTTCTTTTGTCAGAGAACTCAAGAACGGACCTATGTACAATGATTATTTTTTCTCAGGAATCCAGACACGCAACGACACAAACTTCGTGTTCTGCTATACCCACCTGTGTATTCTACACTAGCATGGTTTGCTTATCTGCGCTATGACTATTCAACGACCATCATGTTCTTTGCCACCGTGTTTGAAGCCTTCGCCGTATTTAATCTGTACAAATGCTTGCAAGCGTACCTACAACCCTTTCGAGACGAAGCAGGCGATGTAAAGGAACCCATAACAACCAAAGTCATGTATATTTACAAACTGCATGTGTAAGTCGGGAATGCCTTGGTTACGGGGCATGTGAAGGACAACGGACTGAAGTTGGTGCATTTTAGAAAATCCAAGTGGGGAATGCATTACCGCATCATTAATGATATTCTTGTGTATCAGTTTCCTATATGGTAAGAGCTGTGGTCCCCCGAAAAAAAGAGAAAGAGAACTATGTATGAACATAGGAAAAATGTAGGTCGGTGTTGGACGCGTTCATGTCGATTTTTGCTGAATTGAAAGGACGTTACTGTGAAGGCAGTTACTCGTTCAAGGGCGCTTATGTGTATCTGACGATTATCAACTTTTGTTCATTGTCGCTGATTCTTACGGCGTTGTTTGCGTACCTCGCTGTTTACCACGATGAATGGCGGCGCGGAAAGATCAGTGCTCACGGCATGTTTTGGTGTGTTAAGGGCCCGATTATGTTCATTTTCTATTTTGGCGAAATCCTGTTAACCATTCTAAGCACGGCCAATGTGATTCAAGGAACCGATGGATCGCATTCAGCAGATGGGATTGCTTGGCCTGCTGCGGCTGTGAAAAATGGTCTCTATGTGATCGTTGTATGCGGCACTATGTTGGTGGACGTGTTCTTGATGGCAAGGTATTTCGGTCCGCGCGAAGACATTAAGCAACACGACTCGAAGCTGGAGGGTACAAAGCTGTCCCCGTGGCGAGCTCTCTACGATGCTTACATTGCTTACATCCCCGAATTCTTCTTTGGACTTTTGTGCTGCGGTTACGACTCGTATAAATTGGCGAAAAAGCGCGTAGAACTTCGACGACGAAAGAAGCAGGAGAAACAGCAAACCAACGTTTCCATGCGTCAAATTTCTTAGTACTACTTTTTTAAATTATTCACATACTATTGTCTATTGTCTATTTATATTTTTATCTGTATATTAAATTTTAACATTATCGATGTCGAGAAAAGAGAAAAGTACAAGAGGAGTAAAATCCCGGCATATGAAAAAAAAAGAAAGAACATTCAAAGCAGGTGCCACATGGTTCAGAAAAAGCCGATTCGTCGCGGCGTGGTGATTCCAAACTCCTCCGTGTAAAACTGAAAGCTCTATGAACCGATGAACAATTTTTATTGTTTAAATGCCATGTGACAAGAACTAAATGAAAAAGGGTTCTTATCGTCTGTGCTCATGTTATTTTTTTTTTTTTTTTTTTGTGCATCGCTTCGTCCGACATGTCTTATATTACCCTCCCACGCTCTTTTATAGTTCCCACTCTTCAAGATACGCTGCAGTATTTTTTTTATGAGACTTCCAAGGTCGTCCATTCACGCCGCTGAATGTGTACAAAGGTACAAGTTGAAAACGCGACAAACAATAGCGCGATGTAGCTGAGATACATAGATGGCATTTGGGATCAATGATTGGATGAAAATGACATGACAATTGATCAAAATGTTGAAATTTTTCCCGCGTAGGAAAAACAAACGATTTTTATTACATGAGAGGGGAAGGTGGTGCGAAACCGAGGTGCCACCTGAATTCGACGATACCAAAAAAGGAACAATTTTCGGATGGCTCGCTGGGTGATATTCGGCATGATCAATGGCAACAGGTCCATGCAGCCAATCAGCGAGCGCAAAAATTATGATTCATTTTTATTGATCCATTCGGGTCGGTTTTTCCCACACCAACAAATCTTATTTTCTTTCTGCATTCGGCTTTCCCTGATAAGGTTGCGGCCTTTGATTGGTTGGTTTCCATAATATGTATTTTTTTTCTCTTTTTTTTTCTTTTACTTTATGAAATAAACAAATATTATGTACACAAAGAAAACATCGAAACTAAGGAGAGGAAGCAACAGCGTGCGAAAAAAAAAGTAGAGAACAGAAATTAGCGTTTGTATACACATGAATAAAAAAAACAATACAGAAATGTGCATAAAGAAAAGGGGGGAATCAATTTGAAATCGAAACAGGAAAAGGAGGAATGGAAATAAGGCTCAGGAAGCCGTGGTAGCATCGACAACGGACCATCGACCATCATTTTGTGATGGGGCCAACTGACACAATAGGGCTTTACCCGAATGGTATACCATGCCGTCTTTGCGCACGAGAAGAAGAGGTAACTCGAGACGTCGACTACCATCAGCGTGAGAGATCAGGAGATCGTGATGTGTGGCTAATAAACTCTCGGTGGCAGGAAGGTGAAATGTCAGTTGAAAGGTGGTGTTGGGTTGCGCTCCCACGGTGGTGGTGGTGATGGCCAATAATGGCCCGTGGGTACCTAGCCACAGATCCAAAAGTCGTGGCATACCTTCGGTTGATGATTGCATGAGGTGCTGTCCAACAATATTAAGCGAATGGTTGAAGGACTCATACTGAACGGAGGTCAGGAGTGGAAACGGGGTGATGGTTCGAGGTGGCGAAGGGGGAGGCGACGGCTGATTGGCATAACTTTCTCGGGTCACTGATTTGTCTTGGACGGGAACAGACGGTGGCGGTGGTGCTTCGTAAAAAGTGTATTCGAATTTTGAAATGCCCACAATCGTCCAACAGAGGTAATCGTCCACTTCTTCATGTGATAATTCCAAAGATCCCGGGCCTGGTTGAACCAATCGCGATGGAGTGAAATCCAGCCATGTGCTACTGTTGGTTGCTGAAGACACCAATCCATTGGCGAGGTCGGCTTCCACATTGCCGCTGGGACTATTGGCACCGGCTGCACTCAGGTAGACGGGTTGTTTATCGACCGAAGACGCAAGTTGGAGAGCAATTTTCTGCATTTGGCTGACCGGACCGTAAGCGCAATTGACAATGCGGCCTTTGTCGACTTTACGGACGACCATGGGGAGCGAGGCAACACCGGTTTGATTATCTTTGAGAATGATTTCCGTGCCGTACATTAAAGGGAGCGGCGTGAGAGGTGAAACGGAAGGCATGCGAGAATTTTCGTTCATGACCATGCTGTTCTTATGGACCGCGGGTTGACGTAAAATGATGATATCGAACGGAGACCATGTTGAATTTTTCGCGCACAGATGATCCAATTCGGTTGTCATGTATTTGGTGCGTACAGTTTGTGAATTGATTCGATTGAAGAGCGACACGGGATGATTGGCTAATACGCAAGTTGATACATTACGTGCTTTGGCCGTCTTTTTGGAAGGTTTGGAAATGATGGCAATAGGATAGGATAAAAAGGTAGCATAGGGGACAGTATTGGAAGAAGAAGAGGATGATGAGGATGACGAAGAGGAGGAAGAGGACAAAGGAGACGCAGAAGAGGATGGGGAGGAAGGTGAAGATGACAATGTTGAGAATGAAGGATTAGGCGAGGAAGCATGAGTAGGATTGTTGTGGCTCAGGTTGACACGTAAACAGAATTGTTTTGCTTTGGCTGTGCCACTGACATGCAGGTATTTGAAACTGCCACTCAAACTATCGTCCAGCATGACTCGTTGTTCCAAAGGTCGTTCACCATTTTCGCATACCACGGCCATGGACACTTGAGGTTTGTCATCTCGATGACCTCGACGCATTAGGACCATCGGTGGTGGACAAAGAAATCGTTTTTCCGATCCGTAGGATTTTTGAGCTACCGATGCATGCATGCAAGTGATGGTTGCAGTTGATCCAGAAGGCGTAGGTGGATGATTCTGAATACGTCGCATCTTTGAAGCGCGCGGTTGGAATGATGGTGGTTCAAGAGTTGAAAAGTACCGTCGCTTGCTGGATTGTTCTGCGGTTGATGATGGGGTTAAAAGAGCGTTGATATTTGATTGATGGTGACGTTGCTGCGTATTAGGAAGATGTTTGGGTCGACGATGTAAAGCGGTTAACGAAGGAGAAGAAGGGGAGGATGATTCACCATTGGAATCGAGCAAGGATTCAATGGACATGGTCTGTTGACGAGAAGTATTACTTGGACGAGCCATTGGTTGAGGCAAATGACTCGGATGTTCGTGGTTGGCTGCATGCAGCAGTGAATCCATTCGTGTCAAGCCGATAAATTGAATTTTACGACTTGACCCGAAGACTTGTTCAGATATAACATGGGATTGTTGTTCCATTTTAAAAATGAACAAGAAAAAAAAAGAGAGAGAGTAAGAAGCGAGAAAGAAAGAAAAGAAGTATAGGTGCAACAAGGAAACAAGAAATCTGGAAAACCCTTTTGTCCACCGGTTCAAAAGATACCCTCATTTATATACAGAATTGGGCAACAACTGATAAGATGAGTCTCGTTGATCTATCACGTGGAGCGGACTTTGATCGTTTTCCCACCCAATTTTCCCAGGACACACCAAACCTTTTTTTTTTTTTCCTTCCATGTTCAAAACAGTTTAAACCATCGTATTCCAAGAAAGATCATCGTAAACAAAAAACCATCGGATGGCAAAAAAAAATCAGTATGAAAAAATATAACATGCTTTTATTTTTATTTTTTGGTTTTTTGTCTGTTATTCTGTTTTCGTTCTATCGGTTCAACAACATGGAATTCACGCAAAAATTCCTCCCCTTTTCGCTTAGGGTTCTCCAAAAGGGTCCATCTTTGGTTTTTTTTTTTTTTTTCCTGCTCAGATATAGCTGTGTTTTTTTTTTTCCTTGCCATGGAATGACTTTTTCATCGCTTCGGGTTCGCTTAGATGGCTTTTTGTATCCCCGTTCCGTTCACGGCAATTCCCTAAAAAGTCTATGAATTGCTATAAAAAGTAATGATAAGTCCACGGCCTCTTATTCGCTCCAATCTCCGCAATTTGACAGAAGGGCATGTGACGTACAAATTTGGAAGTTGGACTCTTCCAAAACAGATCACGCTCTCTTGTTTGCAAGCCAACAATTGCCGGAAATGGTCGCGTGGGAATAATTTCGCCACTTTTTTATTGTGTTGCAATTTTTTTCACATTCTTGATTAAACTTCCCTCTCCAGAGCCTTTTCGTAACAAATATATCGTTGGATCTCCCGGTCTATTTCTTGCGTATCACCATCCGATAACTGTAATGGGGATATCAGAATTTTTTTTTTTTTTTTTTCGGTGCGCCCTTTCTCCTCCCCCGCCCTCACCCCAACCCATCATCCATCTATCCTATTTTGGTAAATCTTTTTTTTTTTTTTTCACATATCTCCACTTCTCGGATGCGCTGTAAAGCTTACCTTTTGTTGTTTGTACAGATAAGCGAGATACCCTTGAATGGCTTTGTATTGTTGATGTTGATTTAATAGACTGGATCCCGGAAGATAAGAAGAAGGTTTCCACTTGCACAACGTTGCATTAATATTCTGAGAAGGGACTTTGCTCTCACGGGCAGCCCAATGATTACAGGCATCGATCCATGCTTCTGATTCGCGGTTGGAGCTGCAATTTAATAAATGCATTCGACCATTGGCCAATGTCAGTGAAAATGTGCATTCCTTTTCCTTTGTCCGTCCCGGTTCGGTCGTTCGCTCGGCCACAGTGTGTCCAAGACTGATCTGAGCTTCAAGAAATGGCGAGGTTGAAGGAGACATCTGGTATTTTTTTCGATACACAAGGAAATCAATAAAACTTCCATTCTTGTCCGATAATCTCGACAGCAGGTAGCATCATCGATCTCGCCCACGATGATTGGCCGAAAACAAGCTTACCATATGACCTCTTTGTTCATTTCCAAATAAGCTTATCCGTTGCGAACGCGGATCGTCGGACAAAGATGCATCGGCGGAATACATGTATATATACAGAAACCCGCTTTCAAGAATCACCCAGCATATCTTCCATTCCGAATCCTTGGGATTCAATTTGCATGCCAATGGGCCTTCCTTATACGGTCCCTTTAGATGCATTTGTTTATCTTTGCGTCGCAGGCGGGTCCATGTCCCAGTGGTCAGTGACATGGCTCTTTTGCGAATGGTAGTGCCCATTTTTTCGGAATCGAGGACCGTCGACTGAACGACCACTGGCTTCGAGCGCGGTTTTCCTTGTCCTTTTCGTCGAGCGGTCGCCACCATGTCGTTGCTCACCAGTGTCGTTAAGCTTGTTCGATGCAATGACCAATAGACTTTCTAATGTTGTAGGGTGATGGATTATTGATGGATGTTCTATAAAAAGAAAAATGAGTTGGCTTACTTTGAGACACTTCCTCATTTCTTGTTGCCATTTATGGCGTGGTTCATTGTTTATGTTTGATACGGATCGATTCTCCTCTACTGTTTCTATAATTTGATCACAAAACGTCGTTTCAGACATCTCCTTTTGTGTTTGATGGATATAAAGATCCGTATTAAGTAACATCAATGTGTAAATGGTGATGTATACCGTAGCTGCGATTGAAAAAGAAAAAAAAAAGTCAATTTTTGATGAGGCATTTGTTTTGCTCCAATCCATACGGAACATGTTTTGTTGCAAATATAAATAAAACGCAATATCTCGGTACCTGCGCTACCGTAAATACCGGAAATGTTACACGTCCAATAACGTCTCGCAAAGGCTTCAATGAGACGATCAATGTCAGCCACCATGCGGTCAAGCTGGAGTGCCGTCCATAATGTTCTATTTGAACGTCCCTGATAGGCTCAGACATGGCCTTCAAATTTTTGACCTATTATTGGGTATTACCTGAATGCAATATCGATCTCCAGACGTTCGAAGCATAATGTGTCAAGAAACTTTTGGAGGCTGGTGGAATTTAACTGATTTCTGCCGCCGCGATAAAATAGGCAAAATACAGTGAATACCATGATTGTAAGAATGTTTCAAAGAATCGAATACGTTACGTTTGTCCATAACGATTGACAAGATCGATTTCCTTTTTGCTGACGGTAATGACGTCCTGAAAACCGGAAAAGAGCTGAGAAACACGCCATAATTCACTCTGTAAAGAGAAAAGGTTGCTCCAATCTATATCAAGTAACGATCGTCGTTTCCACTCGAGAAGCGTGTCTGCTACTTCTGGATCCATCATGGACGAATGCATCACGTTATCCAATGGTTGTGCTTTCCTTGAATTCCATCCGTCTTGCGGCTCGCCCTCATCCGCGTCAGAGCTAATTTCGGATGCCGTATCATATTCATTTTCAAGTTTGGCCGTTTGGCCGCTTTCGATCGGATGGTGGTTACGGCATTCGTTGGGCTCCGTGGTGGTGACACCGGAGAGATCGTCTGGCTCATGCTCAGATGAATTGTCCGTGTTGATGGATGGGTCAGGATTGGCGATATTGAGTTGGTAGTTGCGTGGTAAAAGTGCTTCGTCGGAGATGCTGGAATTAATTGAGGCGGGCGACTACTCGTAAACGCATTATGTTTAGTGCATTTCGTCATGCTGTGTGGTGATGCCACGTTACGCAGACGCTAATGGTCGATGGCTTACCTTGCCTACCCTCTTTATCGATTTCCACCGTGTTGGTCTCTTTTGTGACATCATCGTTAATCATCTATTAATGTACGTCTACGACTTGCTGATGAGACAATAAAGCAGATACACTACCTTATGGAGACTTGGATTTGATTCTGAATTATGCGTTGAATGATACGTTGGCTTGGAGCCACTGTGTTGCAAACGAGTTATGGAGAACAAAGACGATAAAGCATGCTTGGAGTCAGCCAAGGCCTGAAGCGACCGTGAACGTCGACACTGCTGTGGCTGTTCCCTTGATGTTGTATACTGTTCCATCATCTTGTTCACGTACGCACAGTTTATACCAAAAAAAATCAAAAAGGAAGAAAGGAAAATATGACAGCAGTAAAAGGATCAAAGGAGCGAATGAATTGATTGACTGACCAAATTCTCAAGAGAGTAAAAAAAAGAGAAGAGAAGCATATATTAAAGCGACCGAAAAAAGACAGCTACAAAGTGATAATACAAACTTTATGTGACTTTCACATGTGATAAAAGAAAGGTATGGAGAGGGTGGTATTGACTGTTGAAATTTTACACGTCCTGGAATAACTCTCTTACTTCCTGATCACTGACATTGCCGCTACTGGTAGAACCAAAATCATCTATATCTGAAAGATCTTCCTTTGTTTCCTCTATTGATCGCGTCTTTTTGCTTCCTCGTGGTTCATGGGCCGGGGATGATTTCCGCTTTTTACTGCTATCATTGGGGTGAGCCGGCGGTGGCACATATAATTTGCGTTGATTCGGCAGCTTGGGCGGAATCTAAAAAATGATCCCAAATTCAAGCATTTTGTAATGAGTGTCTCGGTCAAGTGCTTCATCAGCGACTTTTTACTCTTACCCTAAAGAAATATTGAGGATCCTTCATGGTGCATTTACGTGCTCCACGACCTGTCTGAGTGGATTGCTTTCGTCGTTCTTGATCGGGATCTAAATCTGCTTGATAGTACCATAAATCTTCTTTCGGTGATCCATCCGCGGTTTTGCCTGTTCGTTTAATGCGACCAGCGCAAGGTGCTTCCAGCAGCACTTTGGCAATGGCTTCTGTTTCTGAATAATCCATCCGAGTAGCAATCTCACGAATCGTCATGGACGATTTTCTCGAAGACGCTAAAGTACAAAAAAGAATAGATGCGTGTCAGCGTCATTGCCTTTGATGTTTACTGTGTGCCGCGCATCTTCTGGTGTGAGCCCCTTTTCCTTTGTCCTACCTAGTAATCGAATCACTGTATCGGACAAATCTTTTGGTTTTTCCGCAGAGATGACTGGCGATAATGAGGATATATCATTGGTATTTGGCAAGACGGGTTTGGTTTCGGTACATGCATTTGTATCGGAAGATGTAGGTAAGATGGTATCGAGTGCGGTGGCCTGTAGAGGTTGAGGGGGTGGTATACAGTGATCGGTCGGTTCCGGCTTGTGTTCATCCTCGGCAGCAGGTTCTACAAAGATGAGTCGGGTTCCCATGATCTCAATGGTGGTGCCTTCGACCACAGGAACATGTTCACCGCCAGCAAACATGATATGGTCAACGAGTGCCCCATTCGGGGACAGAATGGTGAGTTCGAAGCCATCAAATTGCGGTTTATGCTCAATGGCAACGTGAGCGCGCGAAACCCTTTTGTTATGTCGACCAATCTTGATAGTTGCATCGTGACCTCGACCGACGGTCGTGCGGGTGGTTTTACAACCGATCAACATGACCGCTTTCGCATCGGCCGCTGCAGCGTGGCGTTGGGCGGCCACAGCAGGGTGAGACTGGAAATATGCAGTTTGGGCTTCAAACAGCTGCGAACGATCCACCGCTTTCGGTCGCCCTGAAGAATATAGATTGGAATTGTCAAGGTTGACGTGCGCTACCATGGACAAGAGAAATGGATGACAGCCGAACGGGACAAAATAGGAATGACAAGTAGTTCAATATCACTGGATAGAGAAAGAAGTAGGGACAGTGAACGGCTGGAAATGAAAAACGAAAAAAGAAAAAAAAAAAAAAAAGACCCGCCACTGCAAAAGCTACATCAATGTCCTCCGCGATTGGTCTTCCCCATTTGGATCTGCGAAAAAAAAAAGAAGAGAGAGAACAAAAGAACAGCTCTCCCGGGTTTTCTGCATCACTTAACGGACCATTAACTCCTCATAAGCAATTTGTTAATGAAATCAACCCATGTTTCGTTTATCAGCCATCACTTTTGGTTAGATATCTCCTTTATCCGATCGTGGCGGGAGCCTCCGTTTTATGTGCATGATTGCAATCATCACCACGCTGAAATTGGATCAGTAAAAATGATTGGTTCAAATTCCAGATTGCAAGGGCGATTTTGCTGCCTCCACAAATCTTGCCTTGGTTCACGTCCGTCATGGCTGCATGGGCAAACTCCGTGCCGTGATGATGTGATGCTCGACACGTGGGAAAAAAAAATATACTGAGAGCACATGATCCTCTTAATAGAACCCGGAATCATCGATCCGCAATGTAACTGTTTATTCAATTTTGCAAAATCAAAAAGTTCATAATAAAAGATCAAGCTGAAAGTAATGTATGAGTTATCCAAATGGCGGCGAAAATTAAAGAAAAAAACGCAACGTTGCCTGAAACTGTTCCTGCCAGCGATAAAGCAAAAAATAAGGCGCCATGTCTCTTTTCTCATCACGTTCTATCTGTCTAAATAGATGAAATGGGACAAATTTGATAAACCGTTCCGTCATTATTTGCCCCAGCCAGCAATCGGTACTGTAAAAGGGCGAACACAACGTACCTCATGATAATAGCTGCTCATTTTACTTTCTCTTCCTGTAAGAAATGGTGCTCCATCATTTTGATTTTTTTATTATACAAAGCACCAACATGATTAAAAACTTCCAACAAAGAGTTACTGGCCCCCCAAAGACATTTCACGTTTTCAAGGTACACAAGACCGTTAATTTATGCGGTTTTTATTATTGACAGAGTGTTTGCGTGGTTTCTTTTTTTCCTTTTCCCCTTCTTCTAATCCCAGTATTTGATAGAGCCATCCCACGAACACGTTGCCATTTTCGAGGTTTCATGAGGATGCCATTCGGTATTCATGACCACTTTGTCGTGTGCCTTGAACTTCTTCAAAATCTTGCACGTCTTCCAATCCCATACCCATACATTGCCATTGGAATCACCGCTACTGATAAATCGTCCGTCCGGAGAGAATCCAGGCTTGCAAGCGTAACCGGCCACCAAGTGACCAGCGAATCGTTTCTTTCGATTCATACGGAATCGATCCCTTGCGCCATATACGACAATTTGATTATCTAATGACTGACATGCCATCCATTTATCTGTTCCATAAAGAGCAGCTTAGCAACAAAGTTTCACCATTTTGAACCTCGAACCACTTACTGTTAGGATGCAAGGTCACGGATGGCATGGAATACATGTCTGGTTCAGCAATGTACTTGATGACAACAGGAATATCGTATTCCCAAGCGCGCATGGTTTTATCGTCCGAGGTTGAAATGAAGCGACGGTTATCATCCACAAATGTAATAGAATTCACGGCACCCAGATGCTGGTCATATTCTTGCGTAATTTCACCCGTTCGCGTATCAAATTGCACAATCTTTTTATCTGAACAACCGGTCAAGAAGATGTTTTGCTTGTCCTCGTCAGGGTTGAACGTAACACAGTAAGGTGTCTTTCCCGTAGTAAACGCTCGGATGCATTGACCTACCAACGCAATCGCAGATCCAATGAGTCAGTGCTCTCGACGATGCAACAATGAATTGAAGGATTGTCTCGTACCTGTTTCAGTATCCCATAATTTTACATAGCGATCGTAACTTGCACTGAGGAATTGCCGACCATCGTTATTGAAAGCAATATCTCGGACGGCCTTTGTGTGTCCAATCATGGTGCGCAATAAACTTCGGTCATGGTACACATCCCAAATCTAACAGATTCCCCAGTTATTATTCCATCACGGACCATGAACTCCCTTACCAGAAAAAAAGACAGCTAAAACTTACCTTGAGCTTGTTATCCATACCACCACTAAGTAATAAATGGGCTGATTTGGGCAAGAATCGAATAGCAGCTGTACCGTGAGCGTGACCTTCCCATACGTGAATGCATCGTTTGGGGACAAAGCAATCCTGGGTGCCGGGCTCGCCTAGTAAATTGACATCCAAATCTTGAGGCACCGCCATATAGGTGCGGCCAAGATAATCGCGTTCGGAGGCACCGTGGAAGATGGTTGTTTCGTTTCCAGCCGGTTCGGCGGCTTTTTTGGCCTTGGGAGGGTGCATGACGGCTTGCACTTCTTCCTGTTGTTCCGGCTCCAAGCCCACCGGTGCTTTGTGATCTGTCTCATATCCAGCCCACGGTCCTTTGTATGCATTATCACCTTCCAGTACGCTTGAATCGCCCTTCTTTTCTCGCTTTTTACGTATATCTTTGTTGGGCCTTAATCCTTTCGGCACAGCATCGTACACGGATGCGCCTCCCAGATGAGCGGCTGCGGACAAATTGCCTACATAGCCTGTTCCCATCATACCTTGACCGACTTGACCTGCCAGATTGGCTGACCCTAAAGAAGGATCGCGTGCATAGCCATACGTTTCAAACGTTCGAAGTTGGGTTCGGAAATCGCTTTCGGATATTGCCTGCATTTCGACGTGGCCCGTCAAGATATTTTGTGTGGCGAGTTTACGACTGGAGAAAGGATTTTCTGGTCCCATGGTAGGTCGGGTAAGATCAGTATACGGAACGTTGACGGTCAGTTCGGTGGCGGTAGGCGCTGTATATAAATGATTCGAATCACGCACCTAGTTCCAAGATACAGTTATGCTGTCAGTCTCATGGGACGATCGGGGTCGCTTTTTCAAGCAGACGATATGACGCAAATGGGAAAAAAACTTACATCGATACCAGTGTCTGGAGCGGCATTCACCGTAAGGGATTTTGACACTGTGGTTGTCACGACATTGTCTTCCTCGTCACTGGAACCGTAATTATTGACCAAATCCATGGCGTGCAGTTGAAACTGTTGAACGAAAATCCTGTCCTTTGAACCCGACTAAGTTACTCTTTCATTCACCCAAAGTGTTGACTCGTAAAAGACAGTCACACAACAACCCCACTTCACAGTCAGACAGCGTGTGCAGACAAATCACCATTGAACAATGAATAAGCATATCACCAATGTTTTATATAGATTTCTTTGCATCAAGTACGTTAATGGCGCACTTTGGGAAAGCGGTAACTGGAAAGAGTTATTGTAAAAGATCATATCATATTGCAACGGTCAACTTGATAATGCAAGTAATCTGTTTGAAACTGACGAGAAAATGGAACCAGCAACGACATTCCCATGAATTTTGATAACGTACGTATTAATAGTACAGAATATATGTGTCCGAATTATTTTCGACATGATCCGAATGAAGATATGGAGGCGGCGTCAAGACACGTATTGATACCCTTCGTTCAAAGGGCATCTTTCAGATGGGCTCCATTTTCGGAGTGGCTAATTTTCTATTTTGGGAAAGAAATAAATGGAGTTTGAATGTTTGATGAAATGGGTGAGGCTCGATGAAGAGGGAAACACACACCAAAAAAAGTTTCGGGCTCGGTGTTTCCCTGATTTCAAACTACCACGACGAATAGACTGATATGGAAGCCCAACGAATTCGCGACGGTGTCAAGCTGATGCAAGAAGGCGATAAAGCGTATGTTACAGCGCATGAGTAGCATCAACTGACCCGAAACTTTTTCAACTGACGAGTCTTGCATAGCTCTTCCAAAGGCTTGTTTCGAAAGCCCGACTGGGATGTCGCTGCCGGCTGTTACGAACGTGCAGGTAAACAAAGTCAATCAGCGAAAGCATGCTCGATAGAAAAGGTGACAACTAATGGACGTGAACTTATTTGTCGAAATGGCATTAGCCACCTCGTTTAAAATTGCCAAATCTTATGAACAGGCAGTGCAAGCCTACGGAAAAGCCTCCGAAGCATTATTCAAGACAGATGCGTATGTTTTCCATTGCATGACTGTTCTCCATACCCGTCAACTCACCTTGCCTATCTGTCTGTCAGTCTTCATCTCGCAGGAAAAGCCATGGAAAGCGCTGCTCTTATTTTAGCACAGAACCTTAACCAACCCCAACGAGCCGCCGAAGCTTATCAAAAAGCCAGTGACTTGTTCATGACACAAGGTATATATGCGACGACTTGCGTGCGGTATGCACGAAAAAAACCGGAACATGTCGTACTGAAAAAAGCAACAACGCGATTTAGGAAGCATTGACCGTGCAGCAGAGCAGTTGGAAAAGGCTGGAAGGTAAAAGCGTGGAAGCGTACTACCTCTCATGAATGATGGGTGAGCCAACTCTTACGTTTTTCGATACCTTGTTAGAGCACTGGAAAATATCGATGTGAACGCGGCCATCGAAATGTACAGCTCAGCATGTGGACTGTACGAGCAAGAGGATCGTGGACGATTCGCTATTGATATTTTCAAAAAGGCCATTTCCTTGTTGGTGAAGAGCAAAAAGTAAGAAGAAAAAAGGGTCGCACCGTGACATGACGTGGCATGGATATGAATTAACAGAAAAACCATTGGCACAGATATGCGAAAGCGGTGGATATGTTGCATCGACAATCTGTTATTTTACAGAAACTGTCCAGTCGCACCCACATTTATAAAGCCAATTTAAGTATCATCATTCTACTGTTAGCCATCGGAGATGATGTCGAAGCAGGCAAACAGTTTAACGCCATGTGCAAGTAAGTCAATCTTGGAATTTCTCCTCCTTAACATGATTATATACATTATAGATGTGGAAGGCATTGTCAGAAGGCTAAGCATGGTGGAATTATAGTGGAGACGCAGGATTTGCTCAAAGTGAAGAGTCCGATATCAGTCAATGTTTATTGCAAGCGTATGAGGATTTGGATCAGGAGTTATTAGAAAAAACGGTTCGACGTCAACAAGTCACTTTCTTGGACAATGAGATCGTCAAGCTGGCACGTACATTGACTGTCCCTGGCGAAGGATTGACCGGTGGCACCACACCCGGCCCTCATAATCAGTACGCCCCTCCTCGTGAGACAGCGCCGAGCCCACGTTCTCCACCGATCTCGCGAGCATCGCCTCGCGGTAATGTTCACGATATGTCACCTGCACAAGTCCGAGCGGAATTGTACGGCAGCCAATCAACCCAAGAACCAAGTAGCCATCGATCGCCTGCAAAAGAAGAGCACGCGCCCCCACCGCCCTACACCACTGGTCCGCATGATGTCCACCCGTCGGCCGATGAAAAAGAACGATTTCTGGATGAGGAGTTTGCCCGGCTCAATATGAAGGATGAAAAACCCAAACCTGTCACTGCCACCACCTCACCCGCCCCCGCCCCCGCCCCCGCACCTCGAACGCCGGTATCACCACCAGCGAAGCATGAAGAGGACGATGACGATGAAGGGTTATGTTAGAAACAAAAAGGAGAGAGAGAAGAAGAAGAGAAAAAGTGACACATGATTGTCTCAGAATGATAAACCCTGCCGTTCCACCAACGAATAAAAAAAATTCTCTGCAGAAAAAAAAAGCGCAAGCACGGACGAAAACCGATCAAATAAAAGTGAAAAAAGTGGTTCCACTTAACTTTTTTAATTATTTTTAAGTCTCATTCAACACTCCTGGTTCTTTTTTTTTACTTCAGCTACAGTTTTTTATTTATTTCACATCATGGCTCATCCAGCACGAGATCCTATTATGGAAGATGACCATTTCTCCCTCAAATTCGGTAACCCTATTCAACTCATTCACAACATCCCCAAGCATACATACGAAACTTTTGAACCCACAAAGGATCACCTCCCTTCTACACTGGCCACCGTACTAAGCACTGGCGATGCCGCCCCCACCAAAGACCGACCGTCATCAGCACGATCGCAGAGTTACCGAGATTCCACCTCCGTGGCCGAATTCGTACACAAGGACGGCAGTGTCGCTGAACTGAAACATGAACAACCTTGAAATTCTTTCAAGTGAAAGAAGGATGGCCGCCTGCGCAAAGTGAGGACGACAAATGAGCGGAAAACCATATATCTTGCATACTATACTTCTGTTGCCGTTATTTTTTGTATTTTATTATATTTTGGTTACATGTATGCATGTAGCAAATAAATCACAAGTTTAAATCACCGAAATGGATACAGTTGGCTGCGGCAGGAAAGCAGATCCGGGAGGGAGACATCCTGTTACAGATGGAAAAGGGTCATGATACGATAAGTGACACTTCCGACGAAGCGAAAAGCGGCTGTTCCCGCAACCAGCCAAAGGATAAATCCAGTGTATGCCATGCCTACATCATTACGATATTGATCTCCGGTCCTGGTTTGCATGCTTTCAGGTAACAATGTCTGAAAGCTGCCACTTGTGATAAACGCCACAAGTAGTGCATTGCATCCAATCCATGTAAGCACCAGCCGCGTTCGAAAACTGCGATAATAATCATCTTGTTTTGTATTCGGTGGTCGACTCTGTGTTAAAGAAAGAAAAAATAAGTTGGGACAAGAACGGCATCTGTGAAGATAAAGGCGACGGTTTTACCTCTCTTGTACTGGGTCGTTTGGTGTGAAGACGATTGATGGCCGATTCATATTGATCATTCACAGCTTCCACTTCGTCGTCAAGCTCTACCTCAACCGCTTTCACTCCTTTCTCGGTCATCACTGCTTTACTGGCAATGCCTAGATCTAAATTGATGGAATCTGACCCCTTGGTGCCCCAACTAGCATAAACAAAATTGTTACGTTTCATCGATCGACTCTTTTTCTTATCAATGGATTGCTTACCTGACATCATGCGTATTGCAAAACGCATACACATTAAAGATATTGACATAGGTGGGCAGTAACAGCAAATACTGAATAAAGCTGGTCAGCATATGCCATGGATCCAGATAGATGAGACTGGCGACAATATAAAGACCGTATGTCGATGCGAGTGAGATAATCACACTGCGAAACACCGACTGACTCATCAACAACCGCGTGTTGCCGAGCAGATCGCCCGGTGTCCATCCTTCGGACAACATGCCATCACGCACGTTGCAGTAGGAAATCCACGCTCCAGCGAACAAGGTATAACTCATGATACAGGCATAGATTAATACGGATGCCAAGAACATCCACTTGGACCTGTAGCATTGTATGAAAACTTGTTAGCAAAAAAAAAAAAAAAAAAAAAAAAAGATAAAAAAAAAGGACTCCCCCAACCCCAAAATAAAAGAGCTTACCCTTGAGGACGGTTGCCCATGGAACAGATGAACGAGACGATAAATAGGAATATGTAAAGGTATCTAAGCATTTCAAATAAGCGGCCACCCCAGCCGTTGCCAAATGGGTCCATGCCTGGTCCCGAAAATGTTTTGCCAATGAAATAAAATGTCAGATAAAGATTTGCCTAAACACATTGGCATCACACTCAGCAAGCTAATATTTCTCTGTTTTCTGTCACTCGGTCCATCGTTTACCATGCATAACCAGCTATTGATCAAGTTGACGAAATTGAACGCAAACTCAATAGAGAGCAGAATTTTACGTCGGACGGTGTGATCGGTACTCCATATTCTGGAAAAATGCCACAACGAGTACACGGCGGCAAAGAAACTGCCATTCAGCCAACGTCGACGCTGGGAAATGAATTCGGGCAACTGATCCGGACAGTCGGTTTCCCCATACGCATTTTGTACGTATCGCAACACCCACTTTTCATGCTTCTTTGCCAACAGCTCGAAACATAATATTCGATCTTCAGCAAGGTACATGTTGGCAGTAAAGATATCTGAATTGCTCTGATCATCTCCACCTTCGCCCATAAAGTATTTTTGCAGAGGTCCTATACGCCGGAAATAAGACCATCACATGCATTATACGAGGCCCAAACTCTTACCATTGCCGTAAGGATCGTTTTGAAGCGCTACATAGCGGTAAGCCGAGAACGCTCCGGGCAAGACGGAAATGTAACCGAAAACCGATTCGAGCGGTTTATCCAAGATATTGGACATTTTATATTCAAAATTCTGAGCCGCCACCAGCGGGTTCAGTAAATCGACACATCCTTGGCCTTTCATGACACAGATCTCGCCGCAAGCGCCGCCCACGTTGGCATGGGTATGAAACACTTTCCACAGATGATAGATGGAAGTATTTCCCGGCCGTGTGCCCACATCCAGTAACACGCAAATGTTGGGTTGAAGTACTTTACCAAAAGCATTGAAAAACCAACGATGCGAATTGATCTTTTTCTGGTTTTGCTCTTTGAGGCAAAACAGGATCTGAACTGGCACAATACCTCGTGCTGCACCCTTGATATTCATCTTGGCATCCACCGATATCTGCGTAGTGTACTACCCATTTGTAACTGTGAATATGAGTCCGCGCAAGAAGCACAAACAGAAAGGGGAAAAAAGCCAAGAGATAAAGATATGGCATTTGTACTGATGATACATCCAGTGCAAAAGTAGCTGCATATTTACCTCGAATAAATGTGCTTTCACCGGTTTACCGTCCACGATGTTTTTGGCTACAGCACTTTGATACACTCCCATAGTGGTGAGGACATCCAAGACCCTTGGATGGCATTTTTTCCGTCCGTCGGCAACGATGCACACCACGATCTTCTTCCAGCCTTCGGCATCCCATACCTGCGACCGCGTTCGCGAACATAGATGAGCAATATTTTTCATCACACCGTGCATTGTGCGAGAAAACAGCACTTCATCCTCCTAGATTAGGATGCGTATGTGAGGTCTTTGTCGGCTTGGATGGCATGCCAAAAATGTATCACCTAATAAGAGCTTACATTGTACATGGTAATACCAATCAACAGTTCGGTCTGACGGTTCGTCAGCTGCGGTCGCAGTGTATAATGCGAGGCGGCGAAATCGTCGGCATCGCAAGTAACAGCCGAGTAACGCATGAGTTGAAATTCCTTTTCTTTCCGCGGGCTTGCTTCCATCAACCGCGTAGGCACAGGACACTCTAGGATCAGATTTCCTCGGTACAGTGGGACTTTTCTCGTCCGGCGCCCTCGTTGATGATCATCCATTGGATCCACGACCTGTTCCAGCCGATAAGGTGAACTCGGTGCCTTGACGGCCGGTTCGCGAGGTTGGGACGCACACGATGAATGGTTGCGCGGCAAGGGAGCCGTCGACGTGGGTAAAACCATACTGTGTCGTTGATAATTGGCATATGCATAATCCAGATACGGTGTGCCTAACGGGGTTGCTGATGCTCGTAAATCCGGGTGATAACACTGATACAGTCGCTGGGGAGGTCCGCGATATACATATCCCGGATCTTTATGCATGGAGTGATACGATGCGGCGCCCAACGAATAGGGTATAGCGGCATGATCGGTAGCCAGCCCCATTTTTTGAAAATTGGGCGTCGACTGGGCAGCGGCATATCCTACATGAGAACCGCCGGGATGAAATCCGCCGGGCATAGCGACTCGAGGCGTGGCAGGATAGATCTTGGGTGAAGTCAATGGCTTCCGTGACACTCTAGGAGATGAAGTCGTCGAGTAATACTGATATCCGTCCATAAGAAATAGCCTCAAGTGAAGAAGACCGAGCTTTTGCCGAGACTCCCGTAATCCCATCCATTATAATATGTAAAACATAATAATAATAAAAATTTCCGATTCAATGAAGCTTATCTTCCAGCGCCAGTTTCCGACTTTTTATCATCCACCTTATTTCCCTCACCCTCGACCCCCATTTCCCGCATTCACCTCACAGCGTTCTCTTTCTTTTCGCTTCACAGTAGTTGACGAATCAGATCCGTCCACATTATCCAAGCGTGTCAATTGTATCTGATCCAAAGACTTGCGTTTAAATTTTTATTATTGTTAGTGGGGATGCAATGAAAGAATGTTCGATAAAATTTCACCGCGTTCACAAATCGTTTATTTCTCCTATAAAACACAGTATGTGAGCAAAAAAATTGATCAATGTGCGTTTCCTCGCTTCCCCAATTGTCCTACTTACGGGAATTTCGACTTCACCAGCATCGATGGCATCGCAGATGGCCTTGGGGCTTTGACGGTCGACGGTGCAACCAACAGAGTGAGCAGTACCAAGGATCTCCTTGACAGTACCCTTGAGTTCACGAGCATAAGACTTGAATCGCATGGTACGTGCGATTTCAATGATTTCCTCGAGGGCAATGTTGCCGGTGTGCTTGACTAAGAATTCACAAAAACGCCTTGAGTAACAATGCCCACACATACAACATACATACACGGAACAAGTTGAATTAATAAAAATACGTACTGTTCTTGTCCTTCTTGCGGTCTCTTGGGGGTTCCTTGAGAGCCTTGATGACCAAAGAGGAAGCCGAGGGGACAACGGCGACCTGAGCTTGACGGTTCTGGATGGTCAATTGGACAGTGACACGGAGACCCTTCCAGTCCTTGGTGCCCTTGGCGATATCTTCACCGACCTTCTTGGGCGACAAACCCAAGGGACCGATTTTGGGAGCAAGCGCACTGGATGCGGCAAGTTCACCACCTAATCGAATTAAGCAAAAGATTGATTAGTCTCCCATGGTCGAGATGCACTAAATCCAATGCCGGATTTTTTATTCTTTGGAAAACGATACGAACCGGTGGCACGAAGGTAGATGATTTTCACCTCAGAAGGATCGAATTTAGGAGGCATCTATACATCACATGAGCATCCAATCTCAATCAGGATCACTTGGATGGAAAAGCATCCTTCATGGATGCACATTTACCTTTGGTCTTGGGAAAAAGGAGGTTCACACATCTTTGCCTTCACAGCCCATGATGTCCATTTGGGGCATCCCCCCAGCGGGCCCAATTCAAATCCCGCCCATAGGCTAATCCGGACTGCTCCGGCGAAAATCCCACCGGACTGCTTTTGCCGAACAAATGCGCCAAAACGTCCCAAAATTTCATTAATGCAAAACCAAGCAGTCTTTTCAGACCTCAAAAATAAATATTGTTACCGAGTAATTCAAAGGTGACCAAACATCTCACCACCTAATAGCCATGAAGGAATTAAAAGATTTTTATGTAAATTTAGCAAATGATCGTCTTTCTTTCTTTCTACTGCGCTTTTTTTTGTCCATTAACAATATTTGGCCTTTTTTTCTACCATCTTTTTGCATTGAGTCTTTTGACACCCTGTCCGATAGAGGTGCGCGTAATTCTGTAACTTATTATATACAACACTAGTCGATCCTTGTACTTAATGCTTCTTCTCACAGATGCCAAGCGGTTCCATACAACTCAAGCCCGGCATGATATTTTGTCAAGGTCAAGCTGTGGTTTGATAATCGGACTTTCAAGGATGCCAATCATCCAAAAGGGCATCCTTCATGGGGAACTTTTGAAACTCCGAGTTTTTTTTTTTCATCGCAGCACCAGACTCGTTGGGCTTACTTTTTTCCTGCATCTAAAGGTTGAGGGTGAAAGCAAGCAACCATGAAGCCAGCCAATCCTTTGCGAAGTAAATCAGGTGGTTCAAGTCCGCTTAAAAAGAAGGATAAAATTAACCGCCCCGCTTACTCGCCATCGCCTCCTTCCATTCCTACACAGTCAATGCCATCATCATCATCTAGACCTTCTCGTTTACCCGCCAGCAACTTTCCCCTTACTAAAGCCCCCATCGCCCTGGATTTGCATCGCTTCGCTGACAGTAATTTACAACCGGAAGAATGTGGGTCTATTTCAACGAAACGCATACACATGATATTCCTTGTCCCTGGCTTACTGATCTGTGCCTTTGTCTCTATTTGTCTTGCTCTACCATTCGTGTAGTTGTACGTCGATCGCTCGGGGACGCCAACGAGGAAGAAATACGAGGTTTTCACAAATCACTTATTGAAGCGAAACACGTCGTAGGAGGCGATTTGCAACGCAACGTCTATCGCAACTATACGGAGTTTGTCACCATCTCCAAAGAAATTTCCAATTTGGATAGTGACGTCCTCAATCTGAAAGAATATCTCAACGAACTGCGAAGTATATGGGATGGATTTCAAGCCATGGCCATTACACTGGAGGATTCAACTCCCATGGGTAAGTGTCCAAGATTATTTGCGCGTTTTACTTGGCTTTTCCTTACCTTCTTCTTGAACGGTTCCTAGATGGAATCCCCGTAAATACCACCGTGTCATCGTCGCGTAAAAGAAATGATTACATTACCACCGATATGCAGAGTATTTATCGTGCGCGAATGATGGCCTTATGGGAAAATGTGGAAGGATCACAGGTAATCAAAAATACTCAGAAAACCCACTCGCATCGAGCGACAGATCCATAGCTAATAATAACATGATTGCATGCAGAGGTTCATTCCTTATATCCAAGATCGACGCCTCATCCGTGAATGCGTGAATTTTTGGGATATCCATCCCCAAACTTTCAAGCCTCGACAAGCGGTTCACATCTTTCTGTTGAACGATTGCATTCTGATCGCTTACCGCAAAAAACGGACCATGTCTACTCAGCAAAAGCTGGTGGCCGAGCATTGTTGGAATTTTCGTGAAATGACCATTGTCGATGTAAAGGACACCGATGGTAATGTGTCAGTGTCCGTTTTCCATCCGCGTAAAAAAGGACTAACATCTGTTTTTATTGCAGACCTGAAAAATGCCGTCAAGTTCGTGGTGTATCCGAATGTTTACTTATACCAGTCGGAACGACCTGACGACAAAACCGGTCTTTTACAAGCATATCGATCCATCAAAGATGAAATGGATGATACACATCAAATTATACCTTCGCAATGTAGGTGACTTGCTCAAGTAACCGATGGTACTCGACTCGATTTACTAATTTTTGATTGAAATCCTCGTTTGTAGTTAATATTCAAAAGGTGGGTTGTCAGCTCAATCCCAAGGCGTCGCTTGACTGACGTTTTCAATTACAGGATATTGCTACAAAAGAATCGCCTGAACCGGAAGAAAAGAAAATACAGTTTAACCCTACCGATGAAAAATGGCTGAACGATTTACCGGATGAGTTGGAAGTGATGATTGCCCTTCGTGAATTTGAAGAGGCTGTGGTAGCTATTGAAAAAGGTAATCTTTTGTTACGGCTACCCTCTGTTGATCAACTATTTTGATGATGCTGCTCTTGTTTTGCAGCCAGTGCTCTTTTTGCTGGATGCGGTGATGCGACGACGTTGCAGGACATGCGAAAACGAGTACAACATTACACCGAGTCGTTGTGCGATTTGATTTGTCAAGATCTCGGCAATACCTTATTGACAAAACTTCAATTTCAACGATTTGTCAATTGGCTGTTAAGACTGAATAAAGGAGAACAGGTAGGAAAGGGTTTGTCCGAAAAGGGTATTCTGATGAATCTGATGGAAAAGAGTGATGCCAGGCTCGGGAAATGTTTTTGAAAACACGATCGCTTATCATCAAGAAACGCATCAGGCAAGTATATCAGTGATTTGTGGGTTGACATCGTTATGATGGTATTGTCAGATAGCTGATGGAATAGGACAGGCAGTTGGTCTTTGAAGGTGACATTACCACGTACATTGGCGAGCTTGCTTTGGTAGTATTCACACTTATTCGGAATACGTGTGAATGGTATCGTGATTCTTTTAGACAAAATGACATGGCCTCAGGTAAGGATAGTGTTGTATACCCACTGATGCGAGTGCCCTGATTTTTTTGTTAGGTTTTGTGACCTGGGTACGAGAACAAGCCGAAGTTTATGCAGCCATCTATAAACGACAAGTTTTCAACAACAGCCAATTGAGCTGCCAAGCCATTGCCGAGTGTTTCAAATCCACGCTCGATCAATGTGCCGTGGTAAGACGATTGAGACAAAAATCTCGAGACCAGACACACTCATTGTGTTGATTTTAGCTTCGCAAAGTGGGCCTTGATCTGAAATTTTTGCTGGAAGATCTATTTATGGAAAACATCAAGGAGACGGTACTGATCTATCAGAAGAAATGCATGGACAAGGTCAATCGATTTGTAAAGAATGACAACTTTCTGGTTGTCACGAGTCAAAATTTGGGTATGCGATGACGGGATAGAGTTGTGAGAAAAGGATGCTTCCTAACCCAAGTTATTAATCTGCGGCATGTTAAAAAGGTCCCGATGTCAAGGTGACATCGAGTGTGGTTAGCTTTTATAATTTGCTGATCAAATTTGTCAACGACATTTGTCTTTTGGCAAAGTTACGAGTAAGTTGTGTTTAAACAGATGGACAGTATGGGACGGACGGCCTGTCCTGTTTCCAAATGTTCCGATTGATTTTCATTTCGTTTAACCCACTGTTGACTTAGCTGTATACAACGGTCATTGATTGTGTATCACAGCTGACAGAATTTTACTTGCGAAGCATGGTAGAGGAATCCAAAAAGAAGGATTTGTCCAAGGATCAGGTAAACGTTTTGCACCATTCGATGGGTTATCCTCTGTCACTTACTGACACTACATTGACTAGCGATCTCTTGCATTTTTGAATGTATCATTTATTCTCGATAATGCTGTTCCACGAGTATCCTCACAACTCAATGTAAATGCGAATTTACTCTTTTTGAATGATTCGTTTTTTTCTAATCCCTTTCTATAGTACCACTTTGATCGGCCGATACCAGAATTAGATGCCCTACGCGCCAATCTACGAGGTAAGATGGATTACACACAGCGCACTTTGTGATTCCAGGGGGGTTGGGTCCTTGTATTCTCACACGATAATTTTAGTTTTAACGTATTCATCACCTCAGCCCTGATGATACATGGTGAAAAAGAATCATGATGGAAAAAAAAAGTTGTGCCAATTTTTTTTATGTCGATACCAAAAAAAAAAAACAAAGGCATCCAACTACTGTGATGCTTTTTGGTCATTCCCATGAACAGACAATAAAATGATAAATGAGGTGAACAGGCTGCGGCTCCATCGGTACCAAGTATCTGTTTGACAAATTCCCAAATAGAGCAATTTAAGCTACAATGACTTCCGACACCATGTTGCGTAAAATTACAGATAACGATGACCGATGACGTGTGTCCATCTTTAAATAGATTTGTTAGGGAGAATGATCAAAATGAGTGATGAGTTGCAGTTTTGAAGTGATTGAAAATGATCAAGCTCTTGAACTTAATGAGACAAGAATCGGTTTAGTTAAGGGAACTTGAGGCATTTTTTTTTGTTTGTATTTGTTGTGTGGATCTTCACTTTTTTTGACATGTTGGGTTTGGGTTGTTGGCTTGTGCGGAGGTTAAAATGATGATGACACGTGAATTTTTTAAAGCATGAAACCTTGGTTTTTGTGTGGTAGACCCTTTTATCATTTTTCTTTTTTTTTTTTTTCCTTTTTCTATTTCTACTTGCTCTTTTTGACCCTTTTGTGTGGAGCTCCTTTTTGTATAGATCTGCGAGTAAGCGTTTAACGAGAGAATTATTTTATTTGTATATATTTGGTAGTCCAACCCCCCCTTTTTTACTGTTCAATGATATTCCCCGTAAGAGGATTCTAATCGTCGCTTACAGTTGCCTTTTTCTTGTTCTTCTTCTTCTTTTTACATCCCTTGCCTCTCCTTTTTAAATTACTTGTTATTTATATTACCCGCACTAATGTTAATAATGACATTCTACCTTGCCTTTGGACGTCGTTACATCGTTGTCACGACCTTATTCCTTGTGTGCATCGTTCCACACGTTTACAGTTTAATGGCGGTGGTCAAGACCGAGACTCCTTTACGCACCTTTGTCCGTTTCGTGGGTCCTGCCGTGCTGATACCCATTATCACTATTGTCGTCTACGGCTGGTTAGCATTTGAAGTGTTATTTTGGATCTACTTTCTCATTCAACGTCGACGACTGCAGCAACCAAGATATCCCACTCGACGTTTAACCAAAGATGAACGCACTGCTCTGTTCTGGAATTGCGTCCATACAATCAAGGATCCTGAAGAATGGTGTGTGGGATGGTTCTACCGTCGTCACGATTGTTCTCATCCTGCCTTTACAGAGATACGCAGGGAAAATTTTGCATTGTGGTAAATATTCCTCCATCTGTAAATAACGCAGTAACTCAATGGATGGAACTCATTCCGAATTGTAGGTTTGCTTGGGCATTTTGGCATGATGAACTGGATAAAGTGCGTGAAAATTCCGAGGACGCTGCCGAGCTTGAATGGATGATGAATACGGCCGAATCGCGTTTTCAAGTCAAAGTGTTACCGGGATTCAATGATCAGTTGCAATGCATTCGACTGAGTCTGGATCCTGTCCAAGCGGTGCATCGACCGTTGATCATGTATGCAGCCATTTATTGCGGGACGGCTCTCTTTAATACTCTGTTTTTGGAGTGGAGCTGGCACATGAAGCGACTTGGAAGTCGGTCCGCCGGTGTGTTATGGGGCGGTTTCTTTGGGTTTCTCGAAGAATGTCGTGAAATGATTTGGCCGTCCGCCACCGATTCTGCACCAAAAAAGGACCGTGCACATAAACACAAACACCTTGTATATTGGTATTACGAACCATCTTCACCAGTCTCGGCCAAACAAACGCCCATCGTTTTTATTCACGGTATTGGAGCAGGATTACTATGCTATGGCGAATTCATGCATCATCTCCTTGGATTGGGACGACCTGTATTCTGTGTTGAACTGCCGTACGTCGCGATGCACATGGTGGAACATGTCCCCACCGCCGATGAAACCGTCGAAGAGATTGTGGCAATGCTCGAGACTCACGGATATCCACGCGCTGTTCTTGTGGGTCATTCGCTTGGCACCGCCGTAGCGAGCTGGGTGGCCCAAGCCGTGCCTGACAAGGTGGCCGGCATGGTGATGATTGACCCCATTTGCTTTTTACTGCACTACCACCATGTAGGATTTAATTTCGTGCATCGAACACCCAAACGACTTTTAGAGGTAATGCAGACAAAGGGAGAAAAAAAAAGGGGAGGGCATGGATAATGATGTTTTTGCTCTTGTGCTAATCATTGACAACGATAACTAGTATCTCATGCATTACCTAGCATCAAGAGAATTGCATATCAGTTATTACATTTCTCGTCACTTCCAGTGGTTCCAAACAATTTATTTTGTACGCAATCTGGGCAAGGAGCAAGTTTCAAAAAGAGGTGACGATTTCGACCCTCAAGATCCGTTGAGTAATACGACCGTTTTTCTTTCTGAAAAAGACGGCATCGTCGACAGTCCCTTGGTAGCCCAGTACCTGCAACAAAACCATGTGGATGCGCGAATTATGCCGGGACTCCAGCACGCCGCGTTTCTGATAAACTGGAAATGGCGCCAACAAATCATCCATCGTATCGAGGAAACAGCTCGCAATATCGATGATGAAGGCATTCGATCCACCTGATTCCTTTCTTCCCCCATATCCTTCCAATAAAAATATTTTGTATAAATAAATAAAGACGCAAAAAAAAGCAATAAACAAAGCTACAACAAGGGCAATTGTATTTTTTTTTTTTTTTTTTTTTTTGCTTTCCCTTTGGTAGATACTAGAATAACACGGACGATAAGAAAAGAGATAAAAAGAATAAGAAGTATAACTAATGGACAAGCTTTTCGATAAAGCATATATTGGATGGTTTGAATATAGGACTAGAGATAGTAGGTACATAAATCAGCCAGCAATCACGTTTGACGTTTGAATAAAATATAATAATTATATATAGAAAAAAAAAGGAAAAGAAAGTAAAAACGAGGTCGTAGCATTGCTTTGCTTGGAACTAGGTATCAGTTAATCGGGTTGGGGAAAAAAATAAAGGTTTCAGGAACCTCATGCTGCATGTGGATTGGGAGCTTGAGGGCTGAGTTGCTGACGTGGGTTCTTTTTATCGGTATCTAGATCCATAGAGGTCAATGCGGCATCTAAGCTTGCCATACTGGTAGGTCGACTGAGTCCGTGCTGCTTCATGATGGGACTGGGCGGCGAAGGGTTCGATTTTGGACTGTGACTAGAGGTGGTAGGACTGGTAGGCACGCTGTTCAATCGTTGCTGTTGATGACTGTATTCGAGCAATTCGGCCTGCGATAATCGCACCGACAAACGCGATTGATTGGACGGCGATGAAGGTGATCCCGGTGATCGATTGTTGGGTGTTAAGGAACGATTGGAACGATACGATCGCACCGAAGCCGGTCGAGACGGCATGGGAGGATTGCTGGACAGGTTATGTTCGGCGAGAAATTGTTCCAAGAAATCCACCACCAACGGTTCTTTCATCGCTGACAGTTTATATTCTTCGAATGACTAACACATGAACGTCAGTTAAAAGGAACTTGAATATCCCAAACTTTCAATAAATTTACCAGTCGACCATCTCCATCGACATCCAAATCCTCAAACATCCTTGCAATCATTCCTTTAATATCATTCGTTTGGTCTTCCTCCGAGCAAGTCGTGGCCTAGACCGACATAATAAGCGAAAAAGAAAAAATATTAGCCATGTCAATACCAATCTCAACCCGCTTCACCGAAAGAAAAAATAAAGAAGGTAGACAGCGCAAAAAAAAAGTTCACATTATTTCACATACCAGCTGCAGCATCACTCGTTCCAACTCGCCTCTTGTCAAATAACCATCACGGTTGACATCATACAATTTAAAAGATACTAAAAATGCAAGTAAAGTGAGTCGAATGCTTCTGGTTTTTTTCATTGTCTGGCAAATAAGCAAAAGATAGACTTACATGCGAGTTTTTCTTCGGGGCTGCCTTTCATAAAGACACTTAGACCGTCCACGAATTCGCTGCAGTACACACACCAGCTTAGAAAATATATAAACAAGTAACAGCGGGTTCATTCCTTACGAGAATTCAATAGAGTTATTGTTGTCGACGTCAAATGCAGCATACAATCGTTTTAAAAAGACATCGTCACTGGATGTCACCGAAGGAACATATTTCTTTACCGTCTGTAAGGAGCGAACCAAGGTAAGACAAGTGAAAGGTATATCATTCGCATATATAGAAATAAGTACCTCTTTGAAGACGTCTTCGGTAATGGTGTTTTTGGTGGACGAGGATGCTTCTACATTTTGTCGGAGATGACTGATTTCTCTTGGAGAAACTATCAAGATTTTATGATGAGTGAGGGAGTTTGAGAGTTGGCGAGAACTTTTTGAACTGACTTACAATGGGTCTTTTGTGCGAGAACACGGTTTTCTTTGCTTTTGGCTTGACCCATGAAAAAGGAAGTCTTTTTTTTAGGTTAGAAAGGGAAGTAACAAACAAAAAAGAAATATGAACAAGCTTATGTCCTTGTTCCCTTTTTTTTTTCTCTCTCTGAAAATCATGGCCGGACCAATGACGCAATTCCAAAAATTCGTTGCCTTGGGAAGAACCTTTTTAAATAAGACCCGACACCTCGATTTTTTTTTTTTTTTTTCATTTGTTTCCCAATTTTGTCTTTTTTTTTTCCCAGTATACCTGTCATTTTTGGTCCATTTTTGAATCGACATAGAATCATGGGAGAGGCGACGGTTATCTTTATCCAGTCCACCGCTCACTGGGAAGCCATCCAGAAGCAGCGGGTCCAGGTGGAAGGAGCCTCCGCCGCTTCATCTCAACCACCTGCCATTCCCGAACCTTTCTCCCTCGATGCCACCACCAAATCTAAAAAGAAGAAACGATTCGTTCCCCAGAGAGAATCTCTAGCACGTCGCAACCGTCTTCTCGTTGGCAAAGAGGGCAGTCGTCGTCGTCAACGTTGGGATAACAGTAGGTGATCCCACTTTTTTTTTTCGTGGTTGGGGCCAATGCATCTCAATAGATTAATCTGTCCCTCCTTCTAATTGCCTTGGTTACCTTTTTGGTTGCTAGACAATTTTTCAGATCACCCTTTCGCCGTTCTACATCCGGACGATCTTCGTCCCCCTGGCTACAGCCACCAGCGTCCTTCGTTTCACTGGACAGATGAGGATGCCGCAGTGATTTTGGAAGCGGAATACGAATTCTGGGATGAAAATCATCCTGATCTGAATGGAGCATGTACTGCGCCTCTTACACGCAGTGTGCGACAAGATTTGAAAAAGATGCATATTCCTAAAGGTCTCGTCATTTTCTATGAAAATCAATTGCTCGATTTTATGCAACAGATGCAAATGGTCTCGCTCGACACATCCACACCTTACATGCAGTGGGAAATCGGTGATGCATTTGCACGGTGGATTGTGCATGCTCTTTGTCGTTACTATGGACTGGTTTCCCTGAGTAAGTAATGCACATTCTTTGCGCCCAGCGGAGAATAACCTTATTTTTTTTTCTTTCTGTTTCTAACTTCTCCAAACACTTTACCTTTTAGGTAAAACGCTAAACGATGGTCGACGTGTCACCTTTGCCTGTCATAAAGCCCATCTCGATTGTGTCCTTGGCAATCAGCACACCCCAATAGACGCCGCTGAAACGTTAGAATGGGACATGCCGGCCATGTCGTTCTATGACTATTTATTCAATAGAACCTTATGATTGAATACGGAGCGTACCTGAATCGGGTATAAACCGTCTCGCCTGCATGGCCTGTAACAACATGGAATAAAACACCATGAATCGCTCCCTTCCTCTCTTTCTCTCTCTCTCTCCCGCTTGGTTTCGTACCTTGTTCAAATCTTCCTCCGTACCAAGATGGGTTTTTGGGAGCCCTCCCCCCTTGAAGCTTGTTACGCTGTCCTCCCATCATTTTTCTTTATTTAGAAAGACAGATGGCAAGACGGCGTGGATGCGTCGTAGAGAACATGCATTGCTCGGGTTCAATAAACGAAACACCCACATCAAAAACAAGACGCATCGGAGTTTCGTTTTTCTTTTTGCCCTGTCTGGTTTTCCTTAGACATTTTCCTCCCTTTCTTCTTTTTTTTTCGCGTTCTTTCTATCATTTTTTTTTATTGTTGGTTGCTTTTTTATTCTGGTAGTGACGACTGATGACAAAGCACAAGGCAGAAGGAGCCATCATCAACGAGAATGGCGTGGAAGTTTGCAAAGCGAAGATGACCGACTTGGATGAAAAACTGGATAACCAAGTGATATACGAATTTGGTGGACCGATCGGCGTGATGGCTATGATGACATGTTTTCCTGCGCTCATGTATTACTTTTGGGTGTGTCTCGAGTATCATCAGGGCAAATTGCTTGTTCCTAGCCAGTGGACCATCGAAGCATTGACGGATTTTTTCTGGCATGATATTTGGGCGAAAATTCAAGTCGGCGCCTATCCCACGACGGCGGCGGTGAAAATCTACATGGGCTATGTCACGCTCTCGTTTATTCTCGCCTACATCATGCCAGGTCCCATCGTGGAAGGATTACCGATTCCATCACTCAAAGGCAAAAAGGTATGTTCAATGGTCGTGGGCTGGGTTGTGAGCCATGGTGTTTGTGTTTTTGACTCATGTTTGGTGGGATTCGGCGGTGCGCATTTTTTTTGGAAAGAAAGAAAGTGCAGAGAAAAAACAAAGAGTTCGTCACACCAAAATCTCAATGGTCATCCTTTGTTTTGACATTGTTCCTAGCTCAAGTATCTGTGCAATGGATTGTCTTCGTGGTATTTCACCTTGGCTTTGTCGGCCGTATTGCATGTTACGGGCGTGTTCCGCTTGACCTCCATCATTGATAATTTTGCTGGTATCATGACCGTCGCCATTATTTGGGGTTTTACCATGTCGGCGTTGGTTTACCTCTACAGCAATCTTACCGGTCAAAATCATCGCATGTCAGGCAACTTTTTTTACGATTTCTTCATGGGTGCGCCTCTGAATCCGCGTATCGGACACGTTGATTTGAAAATGTGGGCCGAAATTCGTGTGCCTTGGCCCGTTTTGTTTTACATTTCGCTGTCATGTGCTTTGAAGCAGTGGGAAACCCGAGGTACCGTCACCCCGCCTGTGGCCTTTATGGTATTGGCCCATTTCCTATACGTCAACGCGTGTCAGAAAGGAGAAGAATGCATCCCGCCCTCCTGGGACATATTTTATGAAAAGGACGGTAAGTCGGCGTAGATGGGGATTGTTGACCCATCCCTGAACCTGAATTCGATACGTATTGGTTTAGGTTTCATGTTGATTTTCTGGAACATGGCGGGGGTGCCCTTCACGTACTGCTATTCTTCCATCTACCTCATGAAATACGAATTATTGACCGGCACGGCGATCCTTCATTCAATGCCGTATACCGTCTTTTTATTTGCACTTCTCCTGACGGGATACTACATTTTTGACACCGGTAATTCGCAAAAGAACCGCTTCCGCATGGAACAGAATGGCATTTTTTTCACGCGCAATGCGTTCCCGCAGTTGCCGTGGGGTCACTTGAAGAACCCTTCGTACATCAAAACGAAGCATGGTAACCTTTTGCTGACATCCGGATGGTGGGGGATCGCGCGTAAACCGCATTATACGGCGGACTTGATGATGGCAATTTCCTGGGGTCTTATCACCGGCTTTGGTTCGTTTTTACCCTACTTTTACTTTTGCTTCTTTGTTTGCGTTTTGACCCATCGCGTGTCCCGCGACATGGAACGCTGTGCCTCCAAATACGGTGACGATTGGGTCCTGTACTGTCAAAAAGTCCCCTATATTTTTATACCTTTTATTTACTAAGCTTTATTCTTGCTCCAAAATAATGAATCGCACTGTCACATCATATTATGTGATTGAAAAAAAACTTGGTCACCTTTGATCTTTTACCAAAGCCGACGCACCTTTAAACACAGTTGAGACCCCTTTTTGTTTGTCCGCATGTACAATGTGTGGGAAGGATCGGTCAATTCAAAGTTGGCAAGGTTACCTGGCCACCTTATCCGCGTACTAGTTAATCAAAACAATTCGCTACAAGAAAATAAAGTAGGTGCCATGCCAATCATACAGTAATGAAATGCTTAGCTTGCGACACGTAGGCAGGAGGCTGCTAAGCTCGGATGATGCCATATTTGTAATTGCAGCTGCACAGCTTTTTACTGCGGCCAAAACTTTTCATCAAGAGGAAATAGCTTCATTGCAAAACCTTTTGGATTCAGCCCATCAAACAGAGTTTCAAAGCCTCGTTTGGCGAATTAAAGGCTGTAAAACCCCACTTTCCTCTTTTGCTCTATTTTTGAAGTTGACTTTTTGCTATCATGTCATCATTGAAAAGCCGTGGATCCGTTATTTTGAATCATTTGCGCACATGTTTCATAAGCGTTTTGGATTTTCTATGTGCAATGGAGAATAAGCTGGCAATAAATGGTGAGATTACTAAAATACCTCAGAGACAATATTTTTTTAAACTGATTCTTCACTAATCCCAAGGATAAAACGGTCAAGATCCATTGGATTCCGGTGCGGCAAGAATTAAGAAGCGTTGATTGTAGGAACTCGGCAACAAAATCATATCGTATTTGTATCCATAGTATCAACATTGCTCCAAGCTCGGTTAAGTTATTGCTCAAAGCATGCTGCCTGATATTTGGACTTAAAAGATTTGGACGAAAGCCCTTTAAAGTCTACACATAATTTTTTTTTCTTGTCTTCAAATTGATCGTGGCGTGACTGCTCAACGCGTGTTCCAAAACGCGGCGGACAAGGTGTGCAGTAAAAGAGCCTCACTTTGCTTGCAAAAAAGCAGCTATACTTCTTCCTCATCTCATGATCCCTGATTTCCCCCATAAATCGCTTGTTTTTGTGCTCGAATTTACTCACGATGTACCCTGAATGCCCTCACGCTTTTTTCCTGGTAGATACATATCTACTCAGCGATAACGATGCCCAACTTGTCTCCAGTTACATCAACCTCATTTTGCTATTCTTCGTGCAATTCATTTGTCATAATGTGACTTTGGGACTCCACTTCTTTGACTCGAGCTCTGAAAGCTCCCCATTAGCCGAGTCGCCAATAATCAACTTTAAAGAGGAGTCAGCTCAGGACGTTCAAACCGAGTTCCTGCAAGCGATCAAATCCGCACGATCGTATGAAATTGGCGCCCCAAGTTCCACTCCAAGGTTCAGTCACATCCAAAGCGCGCTCAAGCAATTGGTCGATAGCTTCCCGGTCCATTCGCTCTCGTATACATCCAATCAAAGCAATCCCACAGCTTCGGCCTACAATTGCATTTATATCATCAGCAAGCGCCCCCGCAGCCTCCAAGATTTGGACATCTTTATGCACGGCTCCCAACAGGCTCTCCAGAACAATAACGAATTTCAAGTAACAGCCTCTCATATTTCAAAAATGGCTTCATCTCTAAAAGACCTGCTTGGCGACAAATGCCGTAAACATCACGCTTCGCTAAACTGGATCGATCCCACAAAATTCGAATCTACCATCCAGCCACAGGTAAGCTATCGGTCAGAAACAAATAATTGTGTTTATCCATACATGCTCACATATTACTAGCTGATTGATTCATTCATTGAGTACGGATTTCATTCGGTGCTACGAAACATTGGTGGCCGTTTCGTGCCTGAGCAAGTCATGCAAGTGCAGGACGATCCTGAAAGCGGAGTTTTCTCGGGCTTTTTTGCCAATTATATTTCCAAGACGCTTCAACAGAAGCCACTCCCAGCCATTCTTTCCTCCAGAGCGCTCATCGAAGAAGAAGATGTAGCAAGATTACTGCATGAGAATTTGCAGCAAGGTCGGGAGACCGGCGTGCATGTGACTGCATCTGACTACGGAAGCCCGTCTCGTAAGTATAGCTAAATTTTGGCTGCAATTTTTATTTTTACCCATCGATGCTAATGATTTCCATCCTAGGTCTATGCGCGGCCACATTATCTTCCACTATGCCGTAAGTAAACTCGCAGGGAAAATTGGCCAAAGAAAAATTAGGCTTATGCTTTACTGTTACTTTTTGTAGTTCGACGTTTCCCTGTTTACCCGTTTGGGTTCAACACACCACCACACTTGACATCAAATACGTTCTTCGAAGCTCAGACATTGAATCTGATTGGCTCGAATCGCCAGACCTTCCCGCGGCAAACTTTGCATTAACAGGACAACCTGAAAACGCCGGGCTTATAAAAATGAACCAATATCTAAAATCTCATGAAGCCGTCTTATTGGTTCAATTGAAAAGCAAGAATATGCCAGACGGCCCCTTGGCAATTGTAGCCCCCAAGCGGAGCAATGAAGGACGTGTGACTCTTGTACGATCGAGCTGCGAGCCATCGCTGGGACGCCTCATCACCGACACCTTTCTTTTTTACATTCAAGGAAAAGGCGTTAGCATCGAACATTTGTTCGACGCTGTGACTTCCAGTCCCAGGTCGGTGCATGAAGAAATTTTCTGGTCAAGAGTGACAGCGCCCACCGACGTCGATGATGAGGATGTGGATGATCAGCTGAGATCGTTAACGGATCGTGCTCCCAGCGTGTATATGCGACGTTTAAATGAATATGAAATGTCGTCAACCACTGAGTAAGTTTTAATGCGATTACGTTGACCGTTTTATATGTCCTCATGCGAATCTTTTACTTTATCACTTGGTAGAAGTCGCGAAAACACGCCACCTCTAATGGACTCCCTTTACGACGAGGAGGAGACGGGGGCACGAGGCGTGAATCAGAGCTGCTCTGAGCATGATATCGCAACCGATCTCAACACCATTTATTATGAAGTTCTTTATCAGGAAATGGTAAGCAATCTGATGATATCATGGGCCTTTTGACGAAAATGAATTCTAATGAGTTGCATAGTGGTCCTTGGAGAAGTACATGAAGTGGATCACTGACTATATGCGACACATCTTCCAAATTTATCCCGCATCACCACGTGAACAAGTGAGTTTTCGAGTGGTTAGATGGCAGACTTTGATCTTGTTGAAATTAAGGAATGATCAATATAGGTTCTGGAGGCGCTCGTGAGAGCCATCCAAAGCCGGACGCTGTCCGTGGGTGAATTCGATTCGAAGTACTGCGAGACTGAAGTGAAGACAGAAAATTCACCGTACGATTATTATGGAAGAGAAGAAGCAAAATTTTTCAAAGATTGGAAGAATGCGAACACGGTGAATGCAAATACAGAAGATGCGGAGGCATCATTACTTGCTTTGAAGATACGAGAGTAAGCTACCAACACTGATCTGGCTGACGAAGTCATGTCTAATTGGATGAGTGTTTTGTTATTTAGTGCCAAAATGCAAATGGTTTTGTTCATGTGTCTACTTGAACTCAAAGAATACAAGGCTCGACGCAGAAAGGCCAATATCAAAAGTGAAAAGAGGGATCAAGAGCCGGATATCGATGCCAACGATCTGCCAAAAACCTACCTCCGCATGCACTGGGGCCAGTATCTACATCGAGTGCTTATGTGGATAGGCACTAGTGATATTCAGTCGACTCTTGCTATCCGAGATGCGTATGCAGCCGCTTACGGCCACAAACGCCTCGATCTGTGCGATATGCTTGTCGATATTTTTTATTCGAACCTTCAAAGACAGTAAGTAACGCTACGACCCCGAAACTGAATGGTCGGCAATAGAGATGTTAACTTTTTTGCGTAGTTTTTTCAGTCTGCCAGAATTGCTACATTTCATGGGGGCAAAATTACAACACTTCGAGAAACACGGATATCAAAAGCCGGAAGAAGATCGACGAAATTTAAAGCGAAAAGGATCCCCGGCGGTCGATCCAAGACCAACCGTGAAAAGAGCCACAAGCGAAACATCGGTTATTCGGGACAGAATTTCACCAAGTCCGAACCGCTCATGTACACGCTCGTCACAAACAGCATCCGCACACAGATCGCGAAATCGAACCTCGCGAAGCGCGACTGGCCCCCATTCTACATCAACTACACGTACACACTCGCGGCAACCCAATTCACCGACGACAAATACAAACATTATCCAGGCGCCAAATTCGCCCAGTGCCAATGGCAGCCAATCAAGTGTACAAACAACATCGCGACAACAACGTTTGCCGACGATCGATACAGATCCTATTCAAAGCCATGGTTCGTCAAGCTCTAGCAGTGCCGGCTCAAATGTACATACACCGATACAACAACCAAATTCGCCGGATCCATCCATTATATATAATCCCATGTCAACAAGTCCTTCTGGTTCCACTACTACGCCGACTTTCATTCCGTCACAACAGCAATCTTCAACGATCGACTACACAACTTACCCACAGAACGAAGCCTCTTTAACGGCAAGCGGTTTTAGAAGTCATTTATCACACACATTGCCACGACGACGGGCATCTATGCCTTGTAATCCATCTGGTGTACAACACGGCGTCTCACCAGAAAGTGGCACTTCGAAAGTCATTAAGCGTTCGCAACGACGTAATTCCTGGCCGATCTTCCCTCCTGCAAATCTACAAACCGAGTCTTTACGTCGTAAAGGAAAGCAAAGAGCATGGTTCACCGTACCGCAACGATCAGGCTTCTCACGTCATGTAGCTTGATGGTGATATATTGCACAAAAGTCAAGTTGAAAGGATACAAAACCGGTGAACGAAAAAATTTCAATAACGAACAATCCAGCAAAATGGAAGTCGGGCTTATGGTACAGAGCAAGACGCAGCCAAATCCAAGCGACCATGGCACTACTTGTGTGATGGATTTTTATGCTTTTATTTTCTCTGGCGTGAATTCTTTTCCCTATCTTTATTCTGGTGGACGGATACATTTCCGAAAAGCTTTGGTGTTGAACATAAACAGGGACATCACAATGAATTCTCTCTCATTGGGGGTCATGATGGCGTGATGGTCATGCTGTTGATATTACTCGTTGCGATGTAGCTTGATGATCATATAATGAGCGAGCAAAACAGAACTGAAAGGATAAAAGATCAGTAAACAAGGTTTTCCAATAACGACTACAGTAATTTAGTTGAATAAGACAATATCTGCAAGATCAAAAACCATTTTGTACAACATTTCCATTATTAAAAGACAAAGTGCTAAAGGTACCCATGAAACAACACACGTTTGCGATAGATCAGCAAATGAACAGAAACAAAAACTGATCTCATTTTTGATAAGTCATCTGCAGAACAGAACTGTCGTATTGGTCGATTAATGAGGTGATGATTTGTTGAAGCGTACTGCTGGTTTCGTATTTACAATATTTGTCTTGCAACGCTGTTAATTACAGAACATTCTTCACTGTATGATATATGCTTAGCTTGTTAAACAATATAATACCATATCTGGTAATTCCATACGCACGTCTTTTTACTGCGCTTGGTAACATTCATGAGAGGAAATAGCTTCATTGACATTGATTGGGATTCAATGCGTCAGACAGAGATTCAAGCCTCGCTTGGCGTATGAGGGTGTAAAAAAACCCACCTTCCTCTTTTGCTTTCTTTTTGAAGTTACATTTTTTTGTTCTCTCGGGGGAATCCAAGTTAAAAGGAAATCTGATCATATTTTTTGATGAACTATCTACAGAACAGCTCTGTCGTATTGGTCAATTACTGATGTGATGATTTGTTGAAACACTCTGCTGGTACATTGGTCCAGCAACATGTTTATGATATCAAAAAGATTGACTATCTGATACTGTTTAAGGAATGATAAAGGGAAGTTACTTTTTTTTTGCTATGGTGATTAGGTTATCCTTAGTGATGGAAATATTTTTACGTATGGTTTTATGGTGTTGTATATCACTGCAGCGTGCTTTATTCCTCTACATGTGTTGTCGCAAAACGTTTTTTCACATCTCGCGATAATTTTAATAGGCTGATCCAACCGATCAATCAGCATTAAATCATGGGCAAAAATTTTGAGACCAACGATTTTTCAAACTAAATTTAACAAGATATTCTACTCAAAGCCCGGTGAAGCCAAGTTTACTGATTCATCACGCATGTTCTCTGATAAATGTTTTATGCCTGTGTATATCGTTGGGCTTGTGTTTTGGAGAAACCTACAAGAAAGGCGCAGTAAGCTGCGTAAGATAATTCCGTTTATGGTAATTCTGGTTCCACACCATTATCGACCGAACAAGCACAATGTAAAGAGGAAATAGCTTAATCGACAAAACACTCAATTTGGTTGACGCTTGGTCTGCGGTACGAACTGCAGATCGAGCAAGCAAGGGCGTCAAACCCCACTTTCCTTTTTTTTCGGGTCTTTCCCACCTTTTTTTTTTTTTACCTTGTCGATAAATTGTCGTACTTCACTCGGATCTGATATACCGGCAAGATCACCAGGGTGGGAAACAAGAGGATTAAGGATAGGAAAGTTAACGCTTTATTTTGTTAATTACAAGGAGATATTTATATGTGCTTATTCAGTCTATGTTCTTAAAGAGGATAATGGCTGAGGTATGAGGATAGAGGGCTGAGCGGCTAAAACTTCGATAAAAGGATGATTGTACTTAGCAAGGTGCTAAGCTGATTACTATTTTCGGACGTTATCCGCTTCAGCCACGACAATATCCTGTGGATGCGATCTACCGACAAAATCCTCAGCGTTGAATAAACGTAGAAGTAAACACTTTTTTTATTTGAGCGTGGAATGGGATATCAAATACTGTACTGTATAATCAATCATAGGGAGACATTTATGTTAAAATACAAAGAAATATTGGTATCAATACCGATATTATGGCCCAAGGAGTAATGGTTTATGTTAGAATGATTGGATGAGTGACCAAGGCTTGACAAAAAGATTTTATTGCTTAGTTATGGCCTAAACTATAGTATCCCGCATTTAGAGACGTTATTTCCGCAAGACACGACACGGCGATGTCCACCCATTGATACAAATTTCTGATGATCAGTATTTGTTGATAATGAGCTAAATGAAATAAACTCCTAACAAGCCGTACACCCGCTGTGCAATGGATGCCGCCTGCCACCGGAGGTCGCCCTCTTACATTGAGCGACTTTCGTCAGACAAAAAGCCTAACGCATACACGGCATAACCTGGGCGAGAACTCTTGACGGAACTTCGGTATATTAATGACAACCTTATGGCAATACCATGCGTCGTGATTTGTTTCTGAACACGCGCAAAGCAGCACTGGTTCCCCCCCTCAGTCCCATCCCGCCCAGGCTATGATAGATCTACAAAGATGTGTGGGTATGTTGGGTATTTAAAAAAATGAGTTAGTAAGCTCTTTGATTGATTCAAATTTTCGTCAAGATATTTTACCTTTGTTATTTGAAGTTTTCGATAGCCATTGATCGCTTGACATGACTTGGATTATATGACATTGAAAAAATTTTGAATTAGTATACGTTTATTACATCATAGCAAAGGAAAAGAAATTGGACTTGCCTTTGAACCAAATGGTGTACCGGAAAAAAAAAACTGATGAATACTGACCGCCAGGTAAGCTTCTTCTTCGATGCGGAAAATAAAATTGCTTCCAGGGACACTTAAGCGATGGATCGGTGGTGTCAGCTTGAGTAGGCAAAAAATATTGACGTGGCCAGAAGTGACGGTAATTTCGAGTTGGATTCCAGATATTGAGAGTCCCCCGAATGAAAAGAAAGAAAAACAAATAAAGTACATGATGATAAAAAAAAAACAATGGTCGCGTCAGTAAAAACCTCATAAAAAACCCTGTGGGAAAAAAAGAGGAAAAGACTGCGAAAAGAATATGTACATGAAATATAAAATACAGAATACAAACTATAAACTACAAAATAAATAATCGGGAAGACATCTCGAATACCATATGATGAGAAGCAATCCAAAGGAGAGGAACATGAAGAGGACACGTAAGCGTTGCTGATTAAAAAGAGCACACCACCGACGATGGCCTTTGACGTCATCCGACTTCGCCAGATGGATGGATGGATGGATGGATGGCGAGAGAAAATCAACTTGTAGTATCCAGAACTTGTCAGGCGAAAAGAAAACGGAAACCGGAAGCTGGAAGAAGGATGGAAGTAAAGGAGAGGTAAGTCTGTTTTGCCGGAGCAAAATCGATGGTAGACCACTCGACGCTTACCTTTTTGAGGATGGTGGTCGATTTAACCAAGTTAGATACACGGGATAAGAATGGTCTGGATGATGGATGCGGATGGGATCTTGATACAATGGTAGTGAGGGTTTATCAAGCAAACAGAAAGAGAGAGAGAAAATCAAAGAAAAAAGATAGAATTGAAGACCAAAATATATGATTTTCCATGGATGAAACAATAGTCACCTTACTGGTGCATGAATTCATAGATCGAAGCACGTCTGCTTATGTATTATTCGATTCATTGAAAATTGAAAGAGAATGAAAGGTCATATATAGTATAACTGACAAAAAAAACAACAAATTGAATGATGCTACAGAAGAACGCCAGTCGTATCATCAACCACTTTTCTTCAAAAAGAGCTCTACTCACATTTTTATTCGAAAGACGACAATGCTCTGTTTAACCACAACTGGTGCAAACGGTATCTTGCTGCTGATTGTTTCGCCTATTATCGTGAAAGTGGGCAGCGAGGCATGGTTGAAAGATGAAAAAAAGGTTTAACAGGTCCTTATAACTTAGTGTAGATCATGTGATTTACAAATTGCCCTAATTTTCCAATAGCAGTGTTGCATTTTGTAAATAGGGCGTCACAGCGTTTCGGTGTGCCAACTGGGTGTCAGAGTCGTAAATATACAGTTGAGCAAATGCAGGAGTATGGTTGTCCGTTGGCGGAAGCAGGCCACCGATCCGATGATAGATGCCTCCTTGGATGGGATAGCAGTAAGCTCCACTGCGATTGTTGGCCACTGACTCGTCAATTTGAGCACCTAGGGAAGTGAAACTGAGATTCGTGTTGTAGCCGCGGATCTGCTCACGGAAATCTCCTCCATTGTCGGTGTTGCCACGAAGAAGACGCGCAATTGTAGGAGGTGTAGGCTCCAAAGGCGGAAGCACAACGGAACCTTTGAGCACAGCAGACCTGGAACTGTGGATTAGCGATGGATCCAGACATACGCTCTTTGAGCCACATGTGTGCCTGGCAGAAATTGCACACGGCATCCATGCGTCCCAAGATATGTCTCTCTGGAAGTTCTCACTCGTTATTTCGGCCACTGTTGAGCGTTCCTGATTGTTCACTTGACAGCGTATTAGCATGATGGTCGAAATCTGCTTGGGCAACGGGCGCAGATAAAGTACGAATACGTTCCGTAGTGTCACTTCTCCAGCCACCCTCATAGCCAATCTTGCTGGATTCAACGGGCAAGCGAAATGGTTGGAACGCTGGTGACCCAGTTGTTGGCAAGCTCTGCAACGGACTTCGCTTGGTCCTTGGTTGTAGTAATTCTACTTTGTTGGGCACGTCGAGGGTTGTTGGGGCAGTTGCGGTTGGTGGAGCGAGCATGTCCTGGCAAACTGCAAGAAGCACAATAAACGTTTGAAGATGACATTGAATTAGTTTTACAGAGGAAGAATAAGAAAGAAGAAAGGAACAGGCCTGGATAATGCAAAGCAACACGATCTCTTGCATCCGTGTATGTATCACGGTCTATCTATTCACAAAAGGAAGCACAAATCAGGAGCCATAATTCAACATCCGCTCAGATCTTATCGTAAATCATGTGATTACAACCGTTTTATCCAATCAACGTTCATTGAGTTTGAAACTACCCAATCATCAGCGGTTTTTTGTCGGCAAAAAAATGTGACGGTCGAATATATCCAAATATGGCAACTCAGAGGCAAACATTTTAATAAGGTTGAGATTCTTCGGCAATGGAAGATCGCAAGACTTTCGTTCCTGAGTGCCAATTCTGGATAGGGTGTCCACAGATGATGGGACAATCTAATGAGCGAACCAAAGCATTAAGTTTTCATCTATTGGTCCATTTAATTACGATTGTCCGATCGCAAGACCAAGCAGCTGTCAAAAAATCAATAACGCAATGCTAGATATTCCATGTAAAAGTCAGGTGGTACGAAATACCTACCATTATTAAAATGTTTGGGAGTTATGCGCGCTAATTTTCAGTCACAAGGCAGTCACATTAGGTTTTTGCTACATTTGTCGGCTTTGATTGGGTAATTTTTGAAAAACAAATATTTATGATTGGTTGACAGACAGCTGTTGATCGGTCCGACCTTTGCGCTCGAATTTTTAACATGAAGCGTAAAGCTCTGATGGAAGATCTAAAGAAGAACCATGTTTTGGAAAGAGACGTTACCCATGTACACACGGTCGAGTTTTAGAAGCGAGGCTTACCGCATCTTCATTTGCTTTTGGTGCTACATCCGGAGGAAAAGCCGAGAACACTTGATGACTATGATCGTATGTGTGTGCGGAACTTCCGGACAGAGAGAGATTTCCTGAACTCTACGACACTGTCAGCAGATGTATGATGCACGGTCCGTGTGGAACAACGCATCCGAGGTCTCCCTGCATGGAAAACGGCTCATGTAAAAAGCGTTACCCGCGCTCCTTCAATGAAGCTACTGTCGAAGTTAACAGGGGTTACCCGTTATACCGTCGTCGCAACAATGGTGATTTTGTGGTCATGAACCATGTCCAGTTGGACAATAGATGGGTTGTTCTCCACAATTGATACCTCTGTGCAAGATATAACGCTCACATTAACGTCGAAATCTGTACTTCTCTGGAAAGCGTCAAATACCTGTTCAAGTATGTTTACAAAGGCCACGATCGTGCTGCAGCAGCAATGTATCATGCCGACAATGACAGAAAATGTCAGGCTCCTGACCCGTTTGCGCTTTGGATGCAGTTCCGCCAGCACTTGGCAGAAGACTATATCCATTTTTGGAGCAATCAAAATCAAGATAATGATCATTAAATTGAGCCGCCCCAAATCGTGTACGATCGCGCTTTGCTGGACATTGAGAGCATCTGAACCGCCAATCGAGTTCACTGCTGAATTACGATCGCTTTGTTCTTCCTGATCGCCAAGAAATTGGCAGAAGCACACTTCGCCGCCAGCCCAGGTTGGTAAGAGAACAATTCGATCTCATCGCAGACGCTGCCAATGTTCCCCAAACACACGAGGGCCTAAACCGTGATCAACATGCCGTATACGACGCAATTCTCCAGAGTGTCACGCATGGAAACAACGAATCAGCCCGATTGTTCTTTGTTGATGGTTCTGGTGGCGTCTTTACCCTTATGTTGTTGTTTTTATTACTCCTCTATATCTTACTGTGTGTATTTTGTCTTATGCTCCTTTGCTTTCATCCTTTGCTATGATTTTTCAAGTTATTCTTCACCTTTATGTTTTACTGTATGCTTTTTATCCTTATGTTCCTTTTGATTTTATCCTTAGCTATGTTTTCCCAAGTATGATTTTTTCTGTTATCTATTTTTGTCTCTCCATTTAATATTATACGATGCCTGACTATTTCTGTTCCTAACTTTGTATACATATTGTTGTTCCTCTGTCGTGGATGAAGAAAATGATCGCTATGTGGCGGTAGGTCAGGGGGGGGGCAAGACCCCCGGGAAAAAAGAAAAAGAGACTGTGCTACTCTGTTGTCCATTGAATACGCAAAAATTTATGCGCACATCAACTAAATCTTACCGAAAAATCAACCGCTTATTGACAAAAGATTAGAGTTAAGAGAACACCATGACCTTTGGATACACAAATTCGAGTGCGGAGTTCTGAATATTGCAAATGGAGCATCCCATTCCAAACGCATCTTTAATCAGCTACTATTCCCACTAGCCTCAGAGTAACAACAAACTACACATCCAAAGAACCAAACTTTGTAATTTTCAAGATCACACGCGCTACTAGTCTACATAATTAAAATCTTTGGGAAATTAGCGAATTTGTAAATCACATGATCTACACTAAGTTATCAGGACCTGTTAAACGTTTTTTTTTATCTTTCAACCATGCCTCGCTGCCCACTTTCACGATAATAGGCGAAACAATCAGCAGCAAGATGCCGTTCGGGCCAGTTGTGGTTAAACAGAGTATCGTCGTCTTTCGAACAAAAATGTGAGTAGAGCTCTTTTTGAAGAAAAGTGGTTGATGATACGACTGGCGTTCTTCTGTAGCATCATCAATTTTTTTTTTTTGTCAGTTATACTGTATATGTCCTTTCATTCTCTTTCAATTTTCAATGAATCGAATAATACATAAGCAGACGTGCTTCGATCTATGAATTCATGCATCAGTGGGGTGACTATTGTTTCGTCCATGGAAAACCATATATTTTGGTCTTCAATCTTATCTTTTTTCTTTGATTTTCTCTCTCTCTTTCTGTTTGCTTGATAAACCCTCACTATCATTGTATCAAGATCCCATCCGCATCCATCATCCAGACCATTCTTATCCCGTGTATCTAACTTGGTTAAATCGACCACCATCCTCAAAAAGGTAAGCGTCGAGTGGTCCACCCTCGATTTTGCTCCGGCAAAACAGACTCACCTCTCCTTTACTTCCATCCTTCTTTCAGCTTCCGGTTTGCGTTTCTTTTCGCCTGACAAGTTCTGGATGCTACAAGTTGACTTTCTCTCGCCATTCATCCATCCATCCATCCATCTGGCGAGACGGATGACGTCAAAGGCCATCGTTGGTGGTGTGACACTCTTTCTCATCAGAAAAACGCTTACGTGTCCTCTTCATGTTCCTCTCCTTTGGATTACTTCTCATCATATGGTATTCGAGATGTCTTCCCGATTATTGTATTTTTAGTTTATAGTTTGTATTTTGTATTTTGTATTTTATATTTCATGTACATATTCTTTTCGCAGTCTTTTCCTCTTTTTTTTTCCACAGGTTTTTTATGAGATTTTTACTGACGCGACCATTGGTTTTTTTATCTTTTTTTATCATCATGTACTTTATTTGTTCTTCTTTCTTTTTATTCGGGGGATTCTCGATATCTGGAATCCAGCTCGAACTACCGACACTTCTGGCCACGTCAATATTTTTTGCCTGCTCAAGCTGACACCACCGATCCATCGCTTAACTGTCCCTGGAAGCAATTTTATTTTCCGCATCGAAGAAGCTGGTTACCTGGCGGTCCATATTCATCTTTTTTCCTTCCGGTACACCACTTGGTTCAAGGCAAGTCCAATTTCTTTTCCTTTGCTATGATGTATAAATGTATAATGAACGTATACTAATTCAAAAAATTTTCAATGTCATATAATCCAAGTCATGTCAAGCAATCAATGGCTATTGCAAACTCAAATAACAAAGGTAAAATATCTTGACGAAAATTTGAATCAATCAAAGAGCTTACTAACTCATTTTTTTTAAATACCCAACATACCCACACATCTTTCTAGATCTATCATAGCCTGGGCGGGATGGAACTGAGGGGGGGAACCAGTGCTGCCCTGCGTGTGTTCAGAAACAAATCACGTTGCAACGTATGCCATAAAGTTGTCATTAATATACCGAAGTTCCGTCAAGAGTTCTCACCCAGGTTATGCCGTGTATGCGTTAGGCTTTTTGTCTGACGAAAGTCGCTCAATGTAAGAGGGCGGCCTCCGGTGGCAGGCGGCATCCATTGCACAGCGGGTGTACGGCTTGTTAAAATTAGTATTACTGTTGCTGGTAATTGTTCGATGAAGCTCTTTCCATTTCCCCATATGGGAGTCGAGTGTTGCGATCCAAGGCACATCTTAATGTTATGAATACTTTTATCAAAAAAGCATAACACAGACCCAATGTAAAAAGCTGGCAAATTTAAAAGATGTAAAGGCCATACAAATCATAAAGGTTACAAGTGCGAAAGTAGGATTTTCAAAATTACAGCTATAGTGGTTGCTTTATTCACGAATTTTACCAATTCCGGGAACAATGGTGATTGAAACGATGGTTTGTATGTACAATGAAAGAGTAATAAAAAGTAGTATAAAAAATAGGTGAGTTTATCGAGTGGCGCAGGGCACATCATAGGATGGAGGTCGGCCGAGGGCAAATAGATCCAAGTTGGAGGATGAGTCCATTACGGTTCCGTAGGAAGGAAGGGGGCCAAAGTATGAAGTGGTGATTTCACGGTCGTGAGCCACGGGCCACAGGTAGGGCGAGTCTAAAGGCAACCATGCATCAGGCTCACTAGTAGGTGTCGAATGCTGACTGGAGGAAGCGCAGTACATGGCAGTGGCCGGTTCGTATGGTGTGGATCGGTACGCTTCTTCGTACGGCGGTAAGATGTGATCATGGTTATGCTGGGAAAGATTGGCATCGGTCGATTCATCGACAATGGTGATGGGCATTGAAGCCCGCAATTCGGATTTCTCGCCATGCTCGTTCACTAAGCACATTGTAAACTGCAGCTTGTGTTCGATGGTAAAAAGCGGGTGGTGAATGTCATGCTGGATGGCTTGCGCACTGCGTGGTATAGCAAATGTTTCGGTTTTCTGACCCTGTTCACTTCCTTGTCCAGGGAATTCTTCGTCACGGATAAAGCGAACAATGCGACTCTCCGTACGTTTGCTGTTCATCTGTTCATCCATCACAAAAGTGGTGTACTCTTTCATGACACAGGTCAAGTATCGGATCCGCATCGCTCCTCCTTGGCGTGGTAGCACTGTAAATTCCAGAGGAATCATTTCACCTCTTCGGTATACCTTTTTCGGCACCATAATCCGATAATGAAGTCGTTCGTCCCAGTCGTTCCACAGGTAACTCGGCAAAGCTAGCTCCTGATTTGCCGAGGGCATCCATTGACGGATAATGTTCAAGGGTATGCGATCGACAAAATTTGGTTGCAAAGCCGGTCGCTCAGCCACGGCTTTCAGCTTGTAATAAATGTCGCCATAGCTGTTGTCGTTCACGGATTCGATGGTATTGCCGGGCAGAACCATTTCGAAAGGAAACTTGTATGTATCTGCAGGTAAAACGTGAAATGTGTTTGAAAGGGGAAGAAACACCCATTCATCATCCAAAATGTCGAATTGATGCTTGTTATGTCGTTGATGCTGGTAACCAACCGTCATATTCACCGAAGTGGACGACCATCGATTGGAGCAAACACCTAAAAATCAAATCGATCATTGGGTTAGCACACGCAGTGATACCATGAAATGAGCGAGTTTTTTTTCAACTTACGTTCATTCCAGTGCACTCGCATTCGACCGACCATGCGCAGTTTGAGTGATTTCAAGCGAGTCTTTTCGCGCAGGTGCAGTACGACACATCCGCGAAGGACACAACCGGTGGATTCATCGGCATTGCCTCTGAGAATGACATTATGATTTTCCACATGAATTTTCACTCCAGGTTGACTATGCATAACGCTTTGACAAAGATACGATGTTCAGGTATGAAAAGAAAAAAGGGAAGTTGTAAAAAGTGACAGGAAAAAGGTAGAATGTTTGCAGAAAGAAGAATTAATAAACCCTTTTATTTTTTTGGGCATATCCAATGAAATCTGGTTGAGCGGCAGTTGAAAAACCCATTGATTTTTTTTTGTTCACCCGATTCGAAGCTAAAATTCATGCTAGAGCGATGGGATTAACATTCCGCATACAACACGACATGAAATGTTCTTTGATCTCGACCCTCCATATGCAGTAACCGTATGGCAATCACCATGATTTCATAATATGTCTGAATAGAACATAATGTAAGCGTTTGGCTATACGCTTTCTTTTTCCTATATGCTGGTCGATTTCGAGCAGCAATGATTTTTTCAACCAACCATGACTTGTCCACTGTGACGTGCCTTATAAATTTTTTTTTCGCTTTGGGAAAATCTCGCTTATGTGGTTGGTGCGTGCCACTTTTCACAAACAAAAAATATGCCTTTACGTTACACAAGCCAAGACGCAAAAACTTTTTTCATTTTGTGACACTAAAAAAAAAGGGTTTTCCTTGTTTTGCTTGATCTGTTATGCTTGACAGCTGCTTCAAAAATAAATAGATTTTTTTAGGGAAAAAAGCTCAGATCAACAAACCGTAGCATAAAATATGTGCAAGTGTGACGTGAAAGCGGGCCATAGAATGCTGGTTTTTTGAATCATGGCTCTTTGGGTTGAAATGATCTACATTTAACATCTTCCATATTCTAAGAATAGAAAATTTCCCCAACTTGGCACATTTTCCACGCTGATGGTTGAAAGTACTTGAACAGTGCATACGCTATATTTCCTAACATGACGTTGATCAAATCTAATACTGCTTGTCAACTGGGTCGACGAATGAAAACCCGCGTTGTTAGAAATAGAGCCTTGAAGAATATGTTATGATTCAGTCCGTTCTGCAGTATTCGCTGATTTTTCCCCCCTTGTTGCTTCCAAAATGAACTGCTTAAAATTCTTTCAAAACTCAACACAGCAATCAATCGACAAAAAAAAATATACCGGCATACCCATGTCTTTTGGCGTTTCCCCACATCAATCATTGTGTTGGCCACCCAAGCGAATTATCTCCATGTGTCATGAATTGAATGCACAAACTAAACTGCTCATTTCTTACAAACGGTTGAAGGGATGTATAAAAGATATGGATGATCTGTTCATTTATTTTTGGAGCATCGAGAAAAAATTCTAGGGTTTTTAAATTGACAGTTTTTTATAATGATTACACCAGGGTCAGTAAATCTTGAAGCGACATGAGGTTCATTAAGGTGAGACTGCGGGTGGCAGGTCTAATGAAATGAAAAAGAAAGGGTTAGCCAGGTTGGCATGAAATACTTTTCTTGAAAATAATAAGCAACTTACGTGCTGATAGTTTCCGTGCGAACGACGGTCTGGACAGCGACAGTTCGGGTGACGGTGCTGATATCAGTGGTGGGTTCGGTGTAGTAGACATAGACGGTCTTCTTGTGATCCCACTTGTTGCCTTCCCAGTCGTTGTTGTCTTCCCAATCGTTGTCCCAGTCCTTCTTGCCTTCCCAACCGTTGTCCCAATCTTTCTTGCCTTCCCAACCGTTGTCCCAGTCCTTCTTGCCTTCCCAACCGTTGTCCCAGTCCTTCTTGCCTGCCCAGTCGTTGCCCCAGTCTTTCTTGTCTTCCCAGTCATGGCCCCAGTCCTTCTTGTCTTCCCAGTCATGGCCCCAGTCCTTCTTGTCTTCCCAGTCGTTGTCCCAGTCGTTGTCCCAGTCGCCTTTCTTGTCTTTCCAGTCATTGCCCCAGCCGCCCTTCTTGTTGCCCCACTTCTTGTTGCCCCACTTCTTGTCTTCCCAGTCGTTATCATCATCCCAACCCTTCTTGTTGTACAGGGCCTGGGCTTTGGGAACGATACGGAGAGCACCGGTACCCATCTTGTTTGCAGAGGTGGCGATCTTGACGTTGATCTGATGCTTGCCCTGTTCCAAAGCGAAGGCACCTCGGCTGAACATGCGGTTCTGAAGAGCTTCTTCAGGTGTCGCAGCGTATGCGCTGGTGGTATTGGCAGAGCTGGTCATACCAAGGGACATACCATTGTCCATGATTTCAAAGATATCACCACCTAATTATCGAAAAAAAATTACAAGATACTTTAATGTCCTGGCACCAAATAAAAAATTTCCGATAATTCGTTTCATCAATATCGTGATGAGAGGGGAAGAAAAACTCACCTAATTTGTAGTCGGTGACTTGAAGTTCTGCGGGTTCGGCCAAGTCAATGGTGAAGGTGCGGTCAACGACGGGAGAGGATTCACTGACCATCCAGTTGAAGGCCTGGAATTGTTCACTGACTTCCAATGGGCTGATTTGAGCACTGGTGAACTGGCTAGCGTCGATTTCGCTGTTGCTCACGGTAGTGGGAGCCGTGGCTGCCAACTGAGCAAGATAAGCTGCAGAGAGGATAGCAAGGGTAAAACGCATAATACTTTTCTTCTGTATTTTTTTCTTGTTTTACTGAGGAACAAAGAAGAATCAGCAAAAACAATGGTTAACCTAACATGAGATCATGTTGATTTGTAGTTGCAATTTATACGTTTTTCCTCCATTATCAACCAAACCATCTCAAAACGGCGAACAGTTAATGGAATGATTCGGAAGAATTTTTCCTCTCATCATCTACTACGCTTTCTGTACGTTTTGACGGCTGGGATCAAAACCTTTTTATTTCTCTGAAATCCATTCCTCTCGCCCCATATTCAGCGTGGCAAAAAAGAAAAAAAAAGGCCGGAGATTTATTTTACAATCGAAATTTCCCAATATCATGCATGCCCGATTCATACTATTTCCTTTCTGCTTGTCGCCATATCCTTATGTATGGTGGAAGGCATAGTATATTTCGCTTTTTTATTCGAGACAGTGAGGTAACAGATACCATAGCTTTTCATCGACACTGTCATGGTCGTCTTTGGGCAAGCATGATTTTCTTTTTCGGGTTCTTTATGGCAATGCTTAGATCCTGAGGGTCCTCGACTCCTTTACTTTGGCTATATCCCACATTAAAAGTAACACATGTAAATTTGATGTTTTCAAGATGATTTACTCTTAGTCCCTAATTATACCATGATGAAAACGAAATTCTCGACATGTTAGAAAAATCCTTAATCCTATTACGTACGCACGTTACTGCGAAAGTAATTGATAACCCATACCACAGCCATTGCCGTATTATCCGAGCTGATTTGCATACAGTGTATTTATTGTCAATGAAAATGATATCATACAAATACAATGAGTTGTACGGTGCGACCGATTTCTATGGTGCTACCAGGCTACGAGGCCGAAAAAGCCTTGAGGCCATCTCTTTGCTAAATATTTACGGATTTCATCGGCAACCATGATAAGAGCGGCCCAACCAAAGGGGATGAACCAGAACTGAACAGGGACCGACGAGGTTCCCAGATAAATGTTGAATACAGGCACGTAAAGAATGATGATGGCAATAGCGAGCGATGCGATCATAGCCGCGAATAAATATAAGTTCTGATTTGGACCCCACAATGGATTGGCTTGCACCAGTGAGAGACGACGGGTGCGAGTGGATAAAATGTTGCCCCATTGACAGATGACAAGGTTCACAAAATAGATGGACTGGGCCGTCTGTACCAAATCCGTAATTTCTTCTGCGGTGTGGCCCATGTAGCCTTGAGGACTGCTGAAACTTGAAAAGGATAAAAAGACCTTGTTGGGAGGAAGACCATGGCTCGCCAAATAGTAGTAAAACATGAACATGGAGGAAAGCATTTCCATCAATCCAATGAATCCGTAGGCTTGAGCGAGAAGTTTCATGTTCACCAGATGTTCTTGCTTGGGTCGACGTGGGGGGCGGCTCAGTAAACCCGCTTCGGGCTTCTCCATCATGATGGACATGGACGGCAGCAGATCGGTCAGGACGCAAATGACGATCATTTGGAAAGACGAAATCGTTTGAGGCGAACCCAGAAAGATCGTGAACAGCACGGGCCACAATTCGGACCAGGAACCAGCGGGCAACAGATACAAAATCACCTTTTTCAGATTGTCGAATACAAGTCGGCCATTCTCAATAGCAGCAACGATACTTGAAAATTTGTCCAGCAAAATCATATCGGCCGCTTCCATCGCCACATCACTACCACCACCCATCGCGACACCTACGTCCGCGGCTTTCAACGAAGGAGCATCGTTCACACCGTCACCAGTCATGGCCACCACGTTGTCCCGCTTTTGAAACTCCTTGATAATGCGAAGCTTCTGATCAGGCGAGGTACGAGCAAAAACAATTTCCTCAAACTGGCACACTTGCTCCCACTGGATTTCGTTGAGCACCATCAGATCCGTGCCTGAAAGCAATAAAGCATGGTTGGCTCCTGTCGCAGCATAATAATCCGGTTTACCCTCCTCGGCCAACGTTTCGGCTGAACTAGTGGTTGTTTCCTTGGGCAAGTTCACCGGCACTGTTTCTGGAAGGGGATTGGATTTGAGAGTTGCGCTTGTGTTTGGATTTGGATTCGGGTTCACATAAGGATTCAGATCTTCAATTGTTTTGGGGTATTCGGTGGTAAAGATTCCAACTTGACGAGCAATAGCGGCCGCGGTCGCAGGTAAATCTGAAATAAAAATAAAGAAAAGTTGGATGATGAGCTCAAAGTGACTCAAAGTTGCGAAAACAAAAAGATTCAAACTTACCGCCTGTCACCATGAAAAAGCGGAGTCCAGCGCGACGACAGATGGCTACGGTTTCAGCGGTTTCGGGACGAGGGGGATCGACAATGGCGACGAGACCAACGACCATCAACTCTTGATTCATCTGAGCGGCCCATGTAGCAAAGCGAGAAGAACCGGCGGTTTGACCTGCCGGAGTATCGTTGGGTCGAATAATGCGTTGCGCAAGAAGGAGTACACGCATGCCTTGATGTGCCCAAGCTACCTGCACCCGGACGAGTTCGGCGATTCGTTTCTCGGTCAATGGATGTCGTGTGCCATCTGGTAACAGAACCGAAGAACATCGAGGCAACAGAACATCGGGGGCGCCTTTACACATAAGGACCCAATCCTGGCTTGTAATAGCATCTGAAGGGGTCGACAAGGTGTCAGCAAGGGCAGGTGAAATACCACCGTGAAGCGTGAGCATCCATTTGTTCTTGGAATTGAAAGGGATATTAAAAATGAGATCGGCTTGAGATCGCACGGTATCAACAGTGGCATGAGGGTTGACTTGTTCGGCGAAGCGAAGGATCGCGGAATCGGTAGCATCACCAAACACGTTGCGTAAGCCTACAGGTTCATGGAGGGTAGCGGGATCGAATTGAGCAGCATTGCACAAGGACGCCACGGCTTGAAGATGGGCCAAAGGATGTTTCGTTTGTTGCGCCACCGCATCACGACTTTGAGCACTGGTGGTTTCTTGGTTGTAAATACTTGCGTGAGTCACCAACATCTTGTTCTCTGTCAAAGTGCCTGTCTTGTCGGAACACAACACATTGACACTACCGAGGGTTTCAACCGTGCTCAACACCTTGCATAGAACATTGCTCTTCTGCATTCGGCTGGCAATCAGCGTCAAACAAAGCGTCACCGCCACAGGCATACCTAAATCGCATTATTGGTAATTCTGTCGAGGACTGGACGTGTCAACACAGGATCATGATTTACCTTCAGGTACAAAAGCGACAATCACACTGATGACGGCGATCAAAGCATTCGAGACAGACAGGTAGTCGGGGTATTTGACACGTAACCAAGCAGCCCAAGTCACAAGGCAGATGATTCCCACCGTAAGCGAAAGAACGGTAATGATGATGACGAAACGGAAGATTTCGGCTTGCAAAGTGGTACGACGGTTGTTGTCGCTCAATGACAAACGAGCAATGCGACCCATCATGGTACGATCACCAATCGATACGACCACCCCTACCGCGGAGCCATTGATACAGTGAGTGCCCATCATGGCCATATTTTGACTTTCCAGAACATTAGGATCCGTATTGTCGACTGAACCAGGAATGGCTTCCGATTCACCTGTCAGAATGGACCGATCAAACTTGACATCATCCGAGACTTCCACCAAACGAAGATCGGCCGGAATTTTGTTACCCATGGAAATGGAAACTATATCACCAGGGACCAGTTGTGTGGCATCGATGGTTTTCACGACACCATCACGTTTGACAAGCGTCTGAGAAGGAAGCATGTGATGGATGGAGTTCATCACGCGGCTTGTTGACCAATCTTGCCACGCGTTGAAGAAAGCTTGAAGAAAAATCACCATCAGCAGAATAATTGCCAGAGCCAGATTCAATGGCGAAGGATTCGGTTCACCCAAGGGTTTCCAACTGATCCTACATGATTTCAACCCATCCCTCCAGCGTTAGATATCGCTGATTCTGTTTAGTTTTTCTATTCGAGGCCTTTTTATCACTTACCAGCAAATGATACTGGCAATCCATAGGATTGTGCAAAAGCCACCAAAAAAATAATTGAACAGTTTGCGACCTAGGTTACTCGACGGAGGCGAGATTGTATTCTTGCCATACAAGGCGGTTCGTTTGGTAGCTTGATCGGTGTCTAGGCCTTGGTTGATGGATGTATTGTATTGTTGAGCCAGTTCCACTACAGATAAGATGTGATAGTTCGCATTGGATAACTCTAATGTATCACATAGGACAGATAAAATTTAGCCTCCTGCATGATGAATAAATGTTTGATAGGCGGATGCATTACCTTCACCGAGATCCTCGGCTTTGGAAGTTTTGTTATGTTTCTTGCGAGACTTGCTGGTTTGTTTCTCGGAAACGGTAATGGACAGGGTCCGGTAAGCAATGATGGCGTGGCTACCAGCAGTAGACGTCCGACGCAACGAACGGCGTGAACCAAGCGGGCGCCTAGGCTCTGCGGCTTGCATGTCGTTATCCCTTGAGGGGCTCTCAAAATGAATGCCAGGGTTAGACTTGACCATCTTGACAGCGTTCTGTTGAAATCAAAGTAAATCATCTCTGGGCGTCCTATTTTTTACCGTATTTATAGTGGGGCATTGTGGCTTTTTTTGTCGTTGTACTCTTGTGGCGTCGTTTTGTCGCAGTGGCCACTAATCACAAAAATGCCTCGCCATGCGCCAATTTTGCGATTAACAAAAAAGCAGGAACAGGAGACGATCACGTCTCGTTTTTTAAACCCCGATATGCGCCTTTTTATTTTTCTTTCCGTGGCGAAAAATCTGAATTCAGAAACAAATGACAATGTGGATCGTCGCACATACAAAAAACAAGCTTGGCTTGTTTAAATGAGCCAATGGGCAAAAAGGCGCGTTCATTTTGTGCAAAGGGTAAAAAAAAATTTTTTTATCAACATATCTTACAAGAGAAATAATCTAAATGAAGGAAAATAGAACACAAAAAAAAGGGAGATGAACATGATAATGAAGTTTCGGTTCGAATACAATCCCTTCGTCTAGAATAGGTGGTTTTTCTTTTTTTTTTTTTTTAAACACTGTTGGCGACTTGCTTTGCCTTTTCAGAGGCAAGACCCATGGTGACCAAGAAAGTCGCTGTATCTTGGTATTCCTTCTTTTGACGAGCTTCGTCCCATTTAAGTTCCTCCGTCATGATTTCAATCACTCGAGGAAGAGACTGGAGTGCAGCTTCAGCGTTCAAGAAGGCAAGACGGGTACGACGTCCCAAGACATCAACAGCTGTGCTGGCATATTCTTGACGCACAGCGTAACGTACTTCGGCTTCGATATAAGGGTAGTTAGGGGTGATACGCTTGCCATAGGTTGGCCAGCTCGTCGCCGTATTGTCTTCAATAGCACCGACGGCCCAAGCACGGTCACCATAGCTGTTGGCAAGATGCAGCGCAACTTCAGTATCCATGCCGAATTCCTGAACCAAGCGAATAAACATGGTATTGGTGTATCCTTCGCTACCAACCAACATCACCTTGTCGGTGTGACAAGGAGCGGTGGGTTTCAGACCGTACACTTCGATCGCCTTGTCAACAGTTTCCTCCGCCATGGCGCGATACGTGGTCCATTTACCACCAGCAATGGTAATAAGATTATTCTCGCTCACGTTAATCATATGGTTGCGCACCAGTGATTCAGTGTTTTTGGCATGAGGATCACGGACAAGAGGACGGATACCAGACCATGCTGCCAGCACATCGCTGCGACGGACCTTGACGTCTTTTTAATACGGCAAAAAAGCAGTGATTAGAATACTTCTTCTTCAGCGATTACGTAAGGCTCATGTTAATTGCTTACCAGCACTCAAATAATGGGAAACTTCATCGAGAATCCATTTGATTTCATCTTCTTTGGGCATCGGGTTTTGAGTCACATCGGTCGGAGAATCTAAAATTGATGCCCCATTACACAGTCTGCCTTACAAGTAAAAAATATGACAAAGCACTTACCAGTGGTTCCGGCAATGGTATTTCCTTGCCAGGGTAGGAAGAAAATGACACGGCCATCACTGGTAGAAGGATCTAACAAGCCCATGTTACGAGGACTGTAGTAGTTGGGAAGGATGATGTGAACACCGGCCGAGGGAGCGACAATTTCTGCGTTTTCCTTGTTGTCCATCTTGCGAAGACCATCGGTGAAAGGACCTGTCGCGTTAATCACACCCTAAGCATCAAGCAAGGAATAAAGTCAGTTACCGTGACCCAGCTTTTGCGACCATTGTTTGGTAAGATACCTTTGCTTTCACGTTCCATTCTTCACCGGTGATGTTGTCTCTTAATTTAGCGCCATTGACCATGCCCTTGTCATCCTTTGTAAGATCGATAACTTCGCAGTGATTAGCAACATCGGCGCCATGATACACAGCAGTCAAAGCGAGGGCGACGTTCATTCTTGCATCATTATGCTGACCTAAGTAAATACGGTCAGATCAGATTTTTGAGGGTAATGCAAGGTGTAATAAGATTGAACGATAAATTACCATCGTAATAAACAAGCGCACCGACGAGTTCATCCTTCTTCAACATGGGGAACGCTTCGAGAGCCTTGGATCGAGTCAAGAAATAACTGCTTTCCAAGGCTTCACGACCGGCAAACAGATCATACATTTTGCATCCTACCCAATAGTACGGGATCTGCCACCATCTAGTAGAAAAAATTTGTAATAATGATCAGTTTCTCAGACGAACTTAACCAACCATCGTTAATTTTGAATATTTTAGAATGCCCGCTTCCACCTTTACTCCACATCCGCCCCGCTCGCCCACCAACACGCACACACACACCACACGGCAGCATTTTGGCACTTCCTGCCCGATGATTACTCCTTTGTCCTCCCCCTGGTTTTTCGTGAAACTCAGATGGCCGATTTTACACCGGCTTTTTTTTTTTTTTTTTTTTTTACTTACTTGTATACGGGAAGCATGATTGGCAACTGTCCTGCAAGGTAGGGAGCAATGTCCAAAAAGATCTTTCGTTCATGAAGTGCTTCCACAACCAATTTGTACTGTTCGTAATCCAGTTCCATAATAGCCTTCTGAAGATATCGTACACCGCCATGAACAAGTTTGGTGGATCGGGAAGAAGTACCTGGTGAAAATGTATCAAACAGTAAAAAGTCAATTTCCCGAATCCATCATTTTTGGTCCCCTTTTCCCCAATTTCACCCCTTCCTTGCTTTTTTCGTCACTACAATGCATTCGTGAGACACGCACCTGACGCAAAATCATCTCTTTCCACCATGGCTACTTTGATGCCGCGAGTGGCAGCATCTACAGCGGTACCAGTACCGGTAGCACCACCACCGACAATCAATAAATCGTATTCGTTTCCGGCTTTGAGTCGTTTCAACATTTCTTCACGTGAAGGGGCCTGCCAAAGTTCCGTCGGCTTTTCCATTTTCTCCTGTAGTGCTTCAGCGTGGACAATGCTACGAGGCATGAGCGATTGTAATGCTGACGTCTTTAGGTTATCATTGGCGAATATCTTGTCTTGATGTCGCAGTGTGGACAAGTACAGGTTGTGACGCTGGCGATCATGTTGATGGTAATAATACAATGAACCGGCTCCGGCAGTCGCGGTAGCGGTTGCCAAGGTCAAAAATTTCTGAGAGCGAGAAAGGCGTCTCCACATATTTGCAAGGGTTTATGTTATTTGGGGGTAAATGAAAGAAAAAAAAAGTAGTAATAAGTTGACAAAAGTGAAAGATAAGAAAGAAGAAGCAAGTGCTTGCAAAAAAAAGATGTAATTTATTTTTTTATTTGCGGTTTCGATTCAACTAAAGCCGGCTGAGCATCAAGCGGACATTTGTTTTTCACGTTGACGTAAAATTGAAGCCGATCTCCTCTTGAAAAAAACGGCAAAATTGAACCTTTTAGACTAGACTTTGATATTTTCTTGTTCCTCTACCATTACAATGGATTGCTTCATGAGGTCCTCATAGACAGTCCAATCAATTATAACTGTAAGTTACTGAATGCGGTAGTAGTAATAGCGGTCCTCTCGTCGTAGACTGCGGTAATATCGGGCCTATGGATATCCAATGCTTTTTGTCGGGCATGACGTAACTTTAGCATGATTGGTGAGTTCCTTTGCAGTTGACGACTGATCCACAGACGAAGCTTTGTGCAGATATCCAGTGAGAGCCGAGTTCGGAATGTGAACCCTGTAAATTTTTCGTTATGACGAAACCACCATTCACCCGCGGTGATCTACCGAGAAAAATGCACTCTTGGCTCGACCGTCTGCGTTTGACGCTTGGCTGAGGTGAATTGGACGCACTAAAACTGTGGAGTTTTATCCCATCATCTCACATAACTCATTATCAATGACGATCACCACCAATCATTTCGCTTTTTCTCCGATGATTCATCCCAGATAAATCCGGCTAGCAGCGATGCTCAATGAATCTTATCGAACATTTGCCAGATCTCTTCAACGTTGCTGCCACGGTCCACCGGAAGCAACTCCGCCCTGGAAAAATAGCCACCGCAAAAAGGGTGAAACCATCACTATGACTCCACAAAGGAACACCGTAAAGCATACATTTTGTGCTCTGAGGTAGACTGTAAAACCACGTTCAAATATTTCCGTCCATCCGTCCCTGATACAGTAACAAACACTGAAAGATTTTTTTTTTTTTTTTTTTTTTTTTTTTTTTTTTTTTTTTGCCTTTTGCATTTGCTGGTTTTATTGCCAATTATGATACATTTGGAGAAATTGCCTTGTTGATAGCTATAATCAACGCATGCAGTTGGTGAGGATACGGCTGTCCAGATGATGACTGCCATTATCCTCCAATAAAAGTTGAATAATCATTCAGTATTCGCTGTAACTGTCGATTTTGACCTGAGGTGACCATCGTCTTCATTGAGTATTTTTGCGGTGATGTCCATTTCCTGTACCTATCTTACCTAGTATCGGTAATAATTGCTTTAGCAGCTCATGTTTCGAAAGACGGTCCTACAAGTGCAGGCATGGTTAATTCGCTATTTTCGGTCCCTATGCAAGAATTCCATGGCTTACCAAAATTGTAGACTCCCATGGAGAGTCACTATCGGCATGACTGTATGAAAAGAAAAATCGATAAATAAAAGATCCCATGGTAGCCACCTTGTTCAGTTTGCTTACATGAATGGTGGTCCAGCAAGCCATCGACACAGTTCTTCCACTTTTCCTTGTGCATTTTCTTTGGATAATCGTCTTGCATAAAATATGAGCCATTCTCTGTATTCTTCCGGCGATTCCAACAAAGCCGCCACCGCCAACTGGATCTAAATCAAACATGCCTCAAGGTTACACTCCAATACGGTGACGCTCTACTGCCGCTGCTTACTTCAATGTGACTTATTGTGATGGTGCCTATAATGTCTTTATCACTGTTGGAAAGGCTCGACAACGATTTACTGGTCGGATCACGGCCCGGGCCACGCATAACAGCCAAAGAGAGCCAGCCAAGGGGATGTTGTAATCGATCATGACCAGGCCGACTTTCTGAACCCCAGAACTCTGAGATGATATACCAAGCGTCGCTGACGCGAACCCAAGCCTTCATGCCTCCATGATAAGTGAACGCTTGACGATAGCTTGTGACTAGTAAGACCGATCCATTCTTTTGCACTCGAGCATCCTTAATGGTAGGTGCTTTTTGTGGTCCATTGGAAGGTAACTGAGCGACCCTTAACAGCGGAGCCACTGATATGCCATCCAAACAACTCTGCTCTCGAGGAATATCCCTAAAACCGTCATTGAGGGTTAGACGTGAGCAAGAGTAAGATATGGGCGACGCGCATTTGGTTCTCTTTTTTTTTTACCATGTGTATATAAGTCCGGTTAATGTGAGGCACAGCAGCCACTGCTCATTGCATTGGAGGATGACCGGTGTACTCTCAAGTATTACGGGAGGCATTAACCTGAGATTACCGCTTATCAATAACAAGTTTTTTTTTTGGGGGGGGGGAGGTAAATAATTATTATCCTTACCTTCGACCAGCTGGAGAGTAAACGTGTAATGTACCATCCTCACATCCAGCAGCACAGAATAAAGAGTTGCCGGTCATCAGTAATATCGCGCTTGGCAAATAATCTGTCCATAAGATGGATCCATGACGACTCACAACCAATTTGGCATAATCTTATTCCCCAATAAGGCGACGTAAGCATAAAAAAAGTTCATTGTCCTTTTTTGTTTCTATCGCGCTTACCTTTATCTCTCGGATTATGGCATTCCATGACGGTATTAGACTCTGTCGGAGATGTTTTTCGAATAAAGGTCGATTTGACCTTGGGTGCACCCAATTTGACTTGACTGGGTAAAAGAACGACAGGAGGAATTACTGCGGCATCGATCCATTCGGGTCTTTCACGCGGATTCGCAGGTGCAGTGCCAGAGACCTCTGCAGAAACCGTGCCGTCGCTTTCTGTCGCCTCCGCCTTCCGCTTATTGCCTACGACTGTGGCTTTTAAGCCGGTGGTTGGAAGAGATACGGCAGGATCATCATAGTCCACTCGTTCTAAGCTTGATACTGCTGAAGTGGTTGCCATGCTATTCGTTTGATTGGATGGATTTGCTCCTGTTCCTTGCGATGCCTAAGAACAATCATTGACTATTGTTTAATGTCTGTAGTTCCACCAAAAATAACAAACCCAGAAAAGGAAGAAGATTCACCTGCATCGATTGATAGGATCTACTTTGAGCTGATGACTGATTAGATGAAGAGGAAGTACCGCTTCGGATCATAATAGGCTGAATACGCCGTTTTCCATCTTTGCCAATGGTGACTTTTTGTTGAAGAGGGGTGACTGGTGCACTCCCGGAAGACGATGTGAAATCCGCATCTGCCGGTCGTGGTTGTGAGACAGATAGCGATGATGAAGCAACAGTAGGAGTATTGCCGGTTTCGTTGACAGGTGAAGAGGTCGGTTTCGCATCGACATCCATGGGGGTAGGTGATTGCGATGAGGAAGGTGTTGTATTCACGCCCATCAAATCCGCTATTCTTTTTGAAGATAAGGCTTTGCTGGAAATAGCATGTTCATCTTCCAGTGTCAGTTGGCCAGGCGTTTCCGGCAACTGTGCATTACGTCGGCCATAACCGTATCTTGATAGTTGCTTAAGCTGAACATAACGATAAAACAGAAGAAACAATGTGTCAGTGAGAATCCCTTTTTCTTTTTTGGTGTGTGTTCCATCAAAGATTATTGAGATTTTAGTTTACCATTTCTTCCTCGGGGGCTACTTCCCGAAGCTCTTCGCCTAATTGAAGACACGCCACTGTGCCGTCCTGAGAGCAGGCAAACAGATTTTTACCGTCGGGTGTCCTATAAGATACATGCAACGGCACCATCAGCAATTCTGCAATAACCATAGTTCAAGCGGTGATGATACTGACCAAGCTAAATCATAGACATTGTTATCAAAGACATCGGCGGCTACGCACAGCGGTCTGCAATACTTTGTGAGCCATATAGAGATGCTGCGGTCTTGTCCTCCTAAAGCACAAATAGAAGCCCAGGTATCGTCATCAGAAGCATTGTCTGTATCGCTCTTTCCTGATGAAGTGCGAAACAGTTTTGGATTAAAGCACTATAGGAAAAAAAAGGTATGTAAAGAAATGTTAAAGCTGGGAGTTTGCTTGTATTCATTCTCGTCCGAACTTACCGTCACTTCAATAGGTAACTGATGTCCGACAAAGGAAATGTCGGCTGCCCAATCGTCTCTGCTGATGACGGCAGCTACACACTGAATACCGTTTACAGCATTGGCTGCAGCAATGTGAGATCCATTAGGCGACCAGCTATTGGCGCCAAAAAATTCCACAAAAAGGGAAAGAAAATATGTCAGTTCAGTAGAATATAACGATGAACGGGATGCTTCCATACCTTAATCGCCGATACAATGTGGTGCCTGGGGCATTGATGAAAGGTCCCTTGATATCCTTCTCCAGTTCCCAATCCGAGGTTCGCCAAATTTTCACCATTTTATCATCCGACTAACCACTGTGTGAATACGCAGCCCATCGTTTTTCGTCAATATGAATGGTTTACCTGCGAGGCAAGGTACTTTCCGACTGGATCCCACGTGACGCCTTTGACGAACCCACCGTGCTGATCGATCTTTTTCACTTGTTCTAATTTCCATAACAACTGGTTATGGCTTCTATTCATGTGATGAAATCAAATGTTGGCCGTACCAAAAGTCTGCGCATCCCATACAATGACATAACCATCGACACCGCAGGATGCGAGGTATTGATTGTCTTTTGACCAGGCAAGATCTTGCACATCTATAAGTAATGGGGAAATGAGTACCTGGGTTCTTCTTGGATGCACACGCAAACATACTGACCTGAATCATGACCGCGCAAATATTTCACGGGTCGCCAGGTCTCGCGATTGACTTCAGATGATCCAAATACGGAGCCACTTCCTGCTTCCCTAAATATTTTGCATCAATGGATGCGGATCGGGTGCGATAACTCACAAATGGGCTTACTTGTCCAATTCCCAGATAATGATAACATTATCATTATCAGAGCTCGACGCTAGATAACGACCATCGTTGGACCAACGAACGCATAATACGGCGCCTATCATCGACAGTATGAATAAGCGACAATGGCCAGGGACAGGATCTCTTATTGTTATACAAAACTCACCATTGTGCATTGTCATGGTGCAAAGCAATTTATGACAATTGGTATCCATCTCGGCGCGTTCGTCCAGGACCGGTTGGGTATTCCATATTTTCACGGTAGCATCTATGGTTCAGTGGTTGGTACTTGGGAAAATATAGCCAATAGTGGTGTATATGTGTGTTTACCTAGACCACCAGTGGCCAATCGACTGCCATCTGGATGAACATGAATGGAGTAAATACAAGGCTTCTTGCCTTTGGATCCGAGAGCGTGATCTGTAAGGGAGGCATGAGTAGGTTTTTGTGTGGAGGCAAATGTAGAAGAAGGATGAGAGGGGACTTACCACCATGGGTAATCCAACTAGGTTTGTAGATAATCATGGGTGCGATCCGCGTAATGCGCGTGTAACTTTCGGTGGACTCAAGGTGTGAGGTTCAGGAGGTTCTGAAAGTGAAGCCGAGGATGTGACTGGCGTTATGCTCTCTCACACCTGAGCCTTGGATTTGCCTTGTGACAGACAAAAAAAAAAAAGAGAAAACTTGTACTGTGGATGAAATGATGTTTATTGCGCTGCAAGTGCCTCCTTCGTCCATAGAAACAAGCGCTCGCTAAGAAAGTTATCATGGTGAATCAATACTAGGGTGAATAGGCTCAAGTGGATCACGTATTCACTACGCTGGAGGGCATGGCCGTGGTTTTAATAAGCTGGCTTACGTTGAATGAGTTGATTTCCGACCTTTTTTTTTATTTAATTTTTTTTTTCCCTTGTTTCACTCTTTGGCGCGCCGGAATATTTGATATAAAGTGAGATGTGGATTAAAATACGGAGTGATACTGAAGCAACTTCTTATATATATCAACGGAGCTTGCAGGCACGCTTTGAATATTGACCTTTTATAACAGAAAACATGACGTGGGTTCAATTGGAATTGCAAAAAAAAGCGCAAAGAGATGTTGTCGCACTAGGCTGACATTTTTTTTTTTTTTTTATATTCGAGGGGTTTTGGTTTAGCGCTCTCAAGAGCAGTAACTGTGAGAGACATCCACGCCAAAAGATGGCTACTGAAGGTCAAATAAGCACACATTCCCTTGTAAGTAGCTATCGTACGCATGCTGATGTCTTTATCTGATAAAGTAACCCATCTCTTCGACCACCAATTGTTTCCTGATCAAGCAAAACCATTTCAAAATGGCCTTTGATTGGCCAGGAATATCGGCACGGCGCAAAAGTTAATGCACGTCACAACCTTTTGGTCGCACCGCAACCCTGAGGCGTCTGTTGCCTTCCCTTACTGTCCTGCAATAACCGTGCCTCGCTATGCGTTCGATACAGTGTGCTGTTGTCTTATTGATAGCACACCTGTGTGCGTCAAGTCTGGCGTCATCTTCCATTTATGATGATATGCTCGCTTTTCCTCGTTATCGTGTCATATTAACCGATAAGAAGATTTCTCAATCCGGACTCCATGAACGCCGTCCGCAACCCCATGTACCGTAACAATCTTGAAAGTTGGCAGCTGAAAGTTTCCAACTTAACCCTTTTTTCTGTCATTGGCATAGGAGGAAAGCTTAACAGCGTCAGCTCGTGGTGACGACTCTTCTTTTATGTCTAAAGGAAACAAACAAGTCATGATGACGAGCTCTTTCGGGCAGCCATTTTTATGCAATATCCCCAATGTCGACAAAGACCGCGAGAAACATGAAAGACTGATGTATGAGCGAGAAACCGCAGAAGAAGATACCCAGCAGATCATTAGACGAGGATTGGAGTTATTAGAACCCTTGTCCAACGAGTGTCTGTATTTTCATGTAAGGATGCTATCATGCAATGAAATCATACGACTGCAAAGATGCTCATTTCTGGTACCAAGACGCATGAATATTGGACATATGAATACTGTCATAAAAAATATGTACGCCAATTCCATATCGAGAAGGAACAGCAAAACGATGCCACCGCTCGAACGAAAACTCAATCGTACTATCTTGGATACTATAACAACTATGCCAAGCCAAGCATGCACAAAGATGCTTCCCAAAACAAACCGGCCCAACAATCCGATGTTGCCTCACCAGACACCATCGACGTTTCCAACACCGAACTTCGCCGCGTAGCTGACAAAAAGTATCTTGTCCAACGATGGACCGGTGGGACCCAATGTGACTTGACCGGGAAACCGAGAACCGTGGAGATACAGGTAAACTCAAGGCTACAGCATGGAAGTAATTTGATCCACAGCATATTTACATGTATCTGGTTAGTATCAATGCGATATGCAATCCCACGACCGAGTATCATTGTTTCAAGAAATCACGACTTGTCATTATCAAATGATAATCTCAACCCCACGATTGTGTATCGAAAGTATGCTGGTACCGCACCTGCATGCTCAAACCTACAATATCCATTGCAACCCTATCGTACCCGATCACCTTATTTCTGACAGTGAGACCGAGGAATTCAGAGAATCCGAAAAGCCCAGTCATATCATACATCAAAACGTCGATGCCGATGCTGCCATGGAAGACGGACCAAGCATATCGACAAATGCAGAGGAGGAAGGCGCTATGGATGCGGAGACAACCGCCATCACCACCGCCGCCGCCACAGCTACGGATACCTCCTTGTCGGGTACAGACGTGGACCTTCGTACCAAGGACAATGAACCCCATTCCACCGATAGTGCTGAAACGGCACAAACTACGAATGATTTGCTGGCAATGATTTCGGATCTTACTGGGCAAATGCGGGAGCTTCAACGACAAATTGAAGCATCACAGAGAGGTGGAGCCGTTGTACTGGAACCGGAAGGCGAATTCATCTATATCAATCCCAAAGCCGAGGATCTCATGCAGACCCTAGAAGAATTTTGGAAATCGCAAGACAAACAGTCAAAAAGAGATGAAGAAGAAGACGATTCATCCAGTGTCACCATTGAACTGAAAAAAGATGAGGCCCACCCTGCTTCGGATGCGCAACAACGCAACAAGAAAGCCTATGATCAGCTGTACTTAGCACTCCAATAATACGTAGAATAGACCTTTTTTTTTTTGCCCTAGGTATGCTATAAGTAAAACACATGTTGCACCTTACGAATTCGGTGTAAAGTGGAGAGAAAAAGTCAGCAGAGATGAGGGAACACGCTGTGAATTTATGAGAAAGAACCAGTGCGGTTCTTTTTTACATTTGGTTTCGCTCATATTCATTATAAGATACAATAAGCGACTCACAATGGATGGCAAGGTGGTGACAAAAATGTTATCGTGCGCTTTGATCTTTTGCTTAAACGCTTACCATGTAATGGTAAGCATGGATGTGTTCGTTACAGTTGACGCTTGTTATTTTATTTTATTTTATTCTCATTCATGCTTTTGGGTTTTTTTTTTTTTTTTTTTTTTTTTTGCTTATCTTCATTTTTGCATCAAGCAATAAGAATGGGGTTGTATATGTATATGAGCGCGTATATTGTCTATGCCATTTTCTTTTGGAGCAACGGATCAGTTACGGTATCCATGGATTCAATATTAATGGCGGGTGTTGTCAAGCCAGAAGACGAACGAGGTTTCAGATGCGTCATGCTTAGATCGTCCATCACTGATTCACTGTCAAAGCTGCCCGAGCGGCTGCGACTGAGATCATAAGATGGGGTGCCCACTTCACTCGTCCAGCCACTAGAAGCACCGCTATTGTTGGCACTGCTCATACTCAAGTCTTTCAACATATCAGCATTGGCTCCTTTTGAAGAACCCCAGTTAAAAATGGTCGTATCATCCAACCATTCCATGCTCGCCACTTGTTGAAGGAAACTGCTACGAATACGTGGAAAGCGGCTACCAGATAATTGATCCTGTGACCCACGAGGCGTACCGGAAACACTGGTGGATGAACTGGTTGATTTCGGCGTCGTTCGACTGATGTAATCCGCTGTTAAAATACATGCAATATTTTAGCGGTTATGTTTCATCACTCAAGTGCAATGCAATACAACAATTGCTTACCATCAAAATCAGGAAACACTTGGGGGCCATATTCATTGATGAGGTCCGTCAGGTCGCGGGAAAGTTGGCTTCGACTGTGACGCAACGATTCAGCTGCAGCAGGGTTCAACACGGACATAAGTAAAGGACGCAAGGACCTGATAAATGGGAAATGTTTTAAGAGCTATGATCCTACGAAGGAAATAGACGAGTGACATGTCACTTACTTTGCGATATCGACGCCGATTTCTCCTAATTTCAAACTCATGTAGGACATGAAGGAAATGACGGCTATAGAACCAAACGCGATCATCAGCTTGGACTTGAGTAACATGTCTGTTACTTGTGAGAGCGCAGCAAAGACGAGTGAAGCGTAGAAACAGTACAACGTAGGGATCACCACTAAGCCTACCAATAATTTCCATGTCGCAAGAACATCTCGCCCAGCGATTTTTACAGTAGAAGCCTTCAGCGCAGCTAATCGAAAGCGTGTGTGTGAGTAAGTGTCCGTCTGTCAGTAATTTGGGGGGGGGGGTTGTCTGTTTCTCTGTCGCCAAGCGTTCAGTTTTTTCTTACCTGCGGCTTTCTTTTGACTAATTACTTTGGCGATCACCATGACGGGCAAGTTCAGCACAGCACTAGAAAAATTACATGATGATCAGTCTGCCGTAATCTCAAGTTTCTCTTATGATAATGCGTCGTCCTACCCAGGAAGTCCAGCGAGAGCCAAGATAAGCAAGGCAAATAAGCGTCGGAACAGGAGGAAAATAGCCCGTAAGCCGCCAAGGTTTGTCTTTGACACTTGATGATCCCGGATACCGTGATATTGAAGAAGTTGGTTATAAGCAAGGGTTCGTTTTTCTAGCTCAATGACTTTAGGATCATCCTTAAAGATATTGTAGCCAATAGCAAAACGGCGATTCAAATCAACTACTTGCGAGATGTGGAGCTTGCGATGAGCTGGCTTGTACAATCGACGAGCAGCTTGGATAAGCTAAACATGTCGCCATCAGGGGCCGGGGAAAAAGTACAAAATCATGCAGGTCAGCTACTGGTGCAGATAAAAGAATTTGCAAAACCAGCTCACTTACCATCAGCGTCTCGTAACTACCAGCGTTAACTGTGACGCTTTTCAAAGCACCGTGGATGGTGTCGAGTAACTTATTGCAAGCTTCACGCTTCTCTTCAGCTCCTTGCTTGTATTTTTCCACCAACGCTGGAGAAACCGAAATAGGAGAACCAAATTCAATCACGGCGCGGGATCGGAATCGATGCGCATGGAAATAATTTAAACCTAGGGTTGTCATCAATATGCTGTTTTCGTCTAGCCATATGCAAGAGTTATATTCACATACCAACAGGCACAATTTTAACATCCAAATTAGGGAATTGCGTCATAGCACCCAGCGCCATCAATGACACGCCAACTGTGAAAAAGGTCGCAAAAAAGGATATAAGCAAGTCAAGCATAGATCATAATGCTTCGGTAGATTTACCTTTGAGTGGTAATAGTTCGGCCCGATCATGACTGCCTCCTTCCGGGAAAATAGTGATACAGCCACCATTGTTGAGTTCTTCATGAACTGCTTTGTACACCTTTTCCTGGTCCACGTGTGGCATACATTTGTAGGCTGTGCCTTCGTTGTTGGTGAGTAGTTCCAGGGCCTTTAATTCTTTAAACTCTTTCTTGATGATCAACTCGGTGTTCGATATCACTTGCACGACTTCCGCTTTTGCGATGCCTTTTGGCAACACAATGGAATCACGCGGCCGCAGTTGGGATAAAAATGCCGTGTCAACCCCGGTGATTCGCAGCGGCTCGGACTTTCGATCCAGCAATTGAAGACGACCTTTTCCGGCGACAGCGAGATCCTGAGGTCGAATCACTGGAACTAAAATCAAATCGGTAGCTCAGAACCCCGTTGTCTATGATACCATAACTGAAATAAAAACTGATTCAAAACTTACTGGCATGAATCATTCGTGCAAATGTACCAATGCCTTTCTGATGCATGGACTTTTCCGCAATGAGGAATGAGACGCGACGACCGCATTCACGCATGAGCAAGATCGGATCGACAAACTATTGTCACGGATATGAATAAATTGAGCAGAAATATAGCAACGGGCGCGTTATATCGTGCAAGCCTTACCTGACTGGCATGGGGACCGACGACGAAAATAACAGGCCCTTGCTTGGGGATTTTATAGGCACCACGTGGTCTGACTTCCCGAAAAAAGAGACTGATAAGGATATTAAAGATCCATTGTGCTAGATCATAAGTGAAGGATGTGGGGTCTTTCATTTAGGCCAAGGCAGCGCACAGACAGGCGAAAAGAGGTATTCAAGTCGCTAAAAGAGGCGCAGTAAGAAAAAAAGGAAATCGAAGAAGAAAAAAAAAGATGGAGAGAAAGAAAGCGTATCGCGATGAGTGAGGTTGGACAACTTTAAATTATTTTGACGATTAACCTTTCAGCACCACCATGACGTGTGTCACCAAGCACTCCAAAGTCCTGGACCACATCACTTTGTACAGCAACAGAACCCTCACTCATGTTCCACAAGTCTTTGTACTCACAACGTCATTCAACATAAACAGAAGAAACAGATATAGTAAAATTGAAAACACCACAGAATCTGTTCCCTTAATGAGCGGTTTTTCTTGCATACAAATCTACCTATCATCTCATCAGACAGAATATTACAAAGGCGCGTCAAAGGGTACGTGCTGCACTTTATATATGTCCATCTGAACTATAACAACTGGTATTTCCATTGTTCGCATTCATGCCTTCAGTAAGGCAAATGCGACGTTTGTCAAAAAAAAAAAAAGCAGCAAGTGGAAGAACTCGCTTTTCGGCGGTGTTCAATCGAGCAGCTCAACGCCAAAGAAAGTTGGATTTAAAGATGGCTATACCTGTAAGCAACTTGTTACAGTGCAAATGCGAGGGAAAGGGGGATGTTGCTCAGTTTTTAGCAATTGAACGATGCATTTCCCGGGCTTCTTTATGACCGCATTTTGAACGTTGATGAATCTAGCTTTTTTTTTCCATTGGGTTGTCCCTCTTTCCTTTAACAACAATCCAATCAGATGGCGCAATGATAAAAGTTGACCTTCCTTTATCCGGTGATTTCTGAACGTTTATAGAAACACGTCCATTCCCGAGAAAAATATACGTGGTGCCTGGAGACTGCTTCCGACTTCTATCTGCGGATTTTCATTGGCTGGTGTCACCTGCACGCGATGTCTTTTTGCTTTTTTTTTCCATCTCCGCGGAAGAATTTTTCGTTCCTGCTTTGTGTTACAGTGGCAAAAAAAGTTTTCTTCACAGCAAATAGAGGTCACATCATCGCTTATATCTGCGATACAAAAGCTGCCGGTTGTACATGATGAAATAGAATCACAAACTTGTTATCATCGCAAAAGCATACCTGAATAAGGCATGATGGTACTTGGTGATTCGACATCAAATTATTCTCGAAAGCCAACCTACAACCGAGAAAGATGCTGCCGTTTCTAGCAAGTCAAAGTAATATATGGCATCCTGGGGAAACGTCCTTTCAAACCCTTTGAAAAAGGATGAATGCCATTATACAAAATGATTTTAGACAACTGAGCCCAATAAACTTGGCCTAACCTCGGTTTTCCCCTATGCGATAAAAAGAAACATTGTAGCAGCAGCAAAGGATCGAACATCGGCAATCTCAGTTGAAGGATCTTTCACACGATTGCTTACTGCAAATTAGTTTGAGGGCCTATATTATGGAAACATCCCAAACCTACGGTGGATGGCTAATATCATGAAAACATGGTAGAAACCAAGCAAAAAGCCATTCAAAAAAGGAGAAGAAGGAACATGCTTACTGACAATGTTTGTTAGGCATGGCTTCACTGATTCTACGACCAAAAACCAATCGTTTCCCTTTTCTAGATATTACCATGGGAAGAATGCCTTGATATTTTTTAACTTAAATTTCGTAGATTCTATTGCAACAATGATAAACAATAATACACATTATTTAGGAGGAAGCCTGAAGGCATGGTTTTATTACATTCTTTTTGGTATCTCTTGAAAAGTATCCCGTGTATGATACGGAAATGGGTGGCACCGGAAAAGACAAGACGCGGAGTAAGACTGCTTTTATCGGCAGGTGTTTTCACGAGTATAAAAAGTGTGAAAAAATTTCGCGCCCTAGGTTCTTTACATATCAACCCTTTTTCTATCCTGTGGTGAGTTTGTCACCCATAAGCTACGCCCTTACGGGAAAAAAAGGGAAGACTGATAGTGGTCTTTTGCTTTTGGTTATGAAGAACAATATTTTTAGTTGTTTTTCGTCCAGTGAAAGTCCAACAGTTTTATCACCAACACCTAAAAGCAAAAATGTAAATGAAAAATCTCACAATCAACAACCATATTTGATTGTCAAGGGTGACCCACCTAGAACACTGATTAAAACATGATGTTATAACGTGTGTTGAGAGCAAAAGGTTTACTTCTTATCCGAAGAGAACGGAAATGAGAAATATTTGACCCAGTCGACTTGATTGTATTGGGTGTCGATCACCTTGACAACCGGTTCACAGGGTGTATAGTTGTATCAATTATCAATGATATTATCATGGTGTGATGCGTACAAACGCAACTTTCAATCGCTCAAGTATCGCGAGATGAGAGTCAGAAGTTCCGATGAGAGTCAGAAGTTCCTTTCAGCATATGTGGGGGCCCACTGCGTGCGTATGGATTACATCGGTCAAATTATCCATTCACCCACCCTGTATCCATCCATCCATCCATCCATCCATCCCTCCCGTCATCACGCATCCCTGCATCCAGATGTAAACACTCGTTGAAGGATGGATAGATGCTGTTACATTCCTATCCGTTAGACCAACCTTGCTTGCTACATGTTTCTGCCCAAAGGTCACAGAACCTGTTTTCACTGGGGAAATTGAAATCCCGACATCCCAAGAGGTATCCTTTTGGCAGCCACAACACGAAAGTTTTTTGATGGATGTTGCGAAAACCAACAAAGTGTTTCAGCTTCTTGTCTTATCGCATGTATATTTTACTATGTATTGCACGTTGGCCTGTGATGAATGGATTCCGCGTGGTCCGTCGTGCTCTATACCGATACTGCCAAATTGACTCTTTAGTTTCCGATATCATCTCCTTCTGGTCATTTGAATTTAGATTTTTTGAGCAGTTGAAGAAACTGTAGGACCGATTAGCGACAATAAAGTCAATCTTTCTGACTCTTTTGAGTTTGCTGACTCGAAGGTTAAGTAAAAAAGAGTGCAGGACAGTAAAGCAGAGCAATTATTGAATATTGTTAAGCGAAAATATACAGTACATACAGTGAAAGGGACGTGCAAAGTCGGATTTTTCGGGAAAAAGATTATTTTATGCACAAGGCGTTAGGCGGTGAGGCAACACCTTTCTCCTTGTTCAGTGGTGCACTCGTAAAGAAGTATTCATAGACTTTGTCCTCGTCCGAGTCCTTGGCAAGTTTTTCCAAGTAGAACATTTCGCCAATAGGCATACCCCAACCTCCAAGGAACATGCAATCTGTAAATTACAATACCAGCATTGAGATCAAGTTCGATTTGATCAGAGAATAGATTATGAACTTACGGCAAGATGACTCCCAGTCCGTGGGAGGGAACGCTTCAAAGGGGAAATTGTCGGATGCCACAGCCGCAAAGTGATGATTCCAGATCCAACGGAATGTGTCTTCACACGCTTTGACGCCAGCGCAGGTGGGTTCGGCCAAGTTCATGATATCCTTCATGCGGTCGCCTTCCACTTCATATTTTTCCATCCAGCCCGTACGAACAAGCAAAATGTCACCTTCTTGGAAAGTGACTTTTTGATATTCTGCCACCTTTTCAAGCTCTTGCACCGTAATTTCATAGCGAGCAAAAGGATCGAATTCCTTGTTATGAACCTTGGCCCATCGTCCGTAGTCCAGCAATACAGCGCGACCAGCAATACCGCGTCGAGCCGCATGATGAATGCCTAAGCGGTCCGTTTGTTCGGGTCCAGGAACGATCTCCGAGGAAGTCACATTGTTATAGAACTTGCCACTACCAAGATGAGCAACGTGGCGAAGTCCATCCCATTGAGTCGAAGATTGCGTGTTGAAATTATTGTAGGTATCGTCAAAGGCAAGATCACCCTCCACAAGGGGTTTGAACTGATGCTCCAGACCTGAACGGTTGAATAACGGAGGTGACGGCGACTCCAACTTCCAATTCAACGGAAAGACAGCACCGCGTGTGATACATTTGGATGCCTTGATATAGATGGGTGGTATTGAGTGACCTTTTGCCCTTATTCTCACAACTGCAATGACTCTATGTCAACTTACATTCGCCACACGCTCTTCTGTCAATAAATTCAGGGTGCCCAGGTTATCGTCTTTGCCCCATAAACCCCAAGCGGAGTGAGCAGGGTATGTAGGCTCAATAGGCAATTGGTCGTAAGTGGGAAGCGTCATTGGACAATAAAGGGTTGAAAGGAGTTGTCATTAAACAAGTCAGAAGCCTTGATCATATTTAAGCGGGGGTGCAATTTTTCGCTTTAGAATCGTTTCGCTGCAAAAGTTCCGCGTGCCGGATAATCTATCGCTTGAACCTATTTGCCCCTTTTAGCCCATTAACTGTTGGATATAGACACTTCGAGAACCCCATCTTGAGGAAACAATTTGCCTAATGGGAATTCTCTATCTTTGCTCACTTGATTAGTAACGCTATTTGAGCATTGTAAGCCTACAGTACGCACTTTTTTCCCAGCACCAAAAGCGTGGGGAATGTAGCAAATTAACTGAACTTCAATTGATTGGTTCTCAGCAGTAAAGCTTGACAGTAGTGGATGAAACAAGCGCCCTTTGACTGAAGGTCCAGATAAACAAAATAAAAAGCATCGTATGATGACAACTGTCCGTGTTGGCATATGCATCGATTTACTTTTTGAGCAAGCGTGGTTTTATGCATACCCGTGAATAAGAGCAATGTGAAAATAATCCAGCATCCGGATGACGATCTGGCGATACTGATAGCGGCAAGTAAGATCGTGAGAATCCGCTTACTTAATCGCTTTAAACAGCGAATACAGCTGTGCTCAGACTGAACACTTGAAAGCTTCAGGACATGCTCTAATAAACGAATATGATCAGGGTAATATAAGCATCCATGCCAGCCATATAATAAGAGGAATAATGATGTTGGCTTGAAATTAAGTTGGTTACGCAGGTAGATTATATCGATGGAGCCTCGGACTACAACTTTTCCGAAATACCTGGTAGAACTTGCTTGTTAATTTTGCAATAATCGGCAAGAGAAGGACAAGAGTATCCGAAGAAAAAAGGTTACTTTTATTACAATCATTACGTTGTCCTTTAATGACGGAAATCCTTCTATCATACACAGGGGTTTATAGTTTTATAAAACAGTATCATCTTTTTTTGCTGAATTATTCGTTATATAAAATTCTTGCTATCGATTTTGTATCCGTTCAGCTTTTGTTCCTCATATACCACCATCAAGCTATACAACGTGACAAGCTTGAATGTTGCGGCATGGTGAGTCGTGTTCGTTTGCTTTGCTTTGTGACGTAAAGTCTCCTTGGGTCGATTTGCAGATGAAAAACTTGGCCACGAGATGCGTTGGTGTGAATACTTGATGATTTTGGAAGTGCCATTTCTTGCGGAGACGCAATGATGTACCGCATGGGAATTACATGGCGTACCGGTGGTCGTGACAATGTATGCGTCCAATGGCTTTGGAAACCTCTTGCCCTCGGAGAGGCTTCATCCTGAGTAGTAGCTGTCCGCTGATCATTGGAGATACCTGTTGTGACTGTATGACAGACGACGTAGTTGTCGAACCGGAATGCCTTGGCGATATGGAATTCTGTCAATGGTTGTATTCGGTAAATTTGGTTGCTGCGACGCTGTATGTACACTGGAACCGGCACTGCTGCTGCTCGGCGAATTGTAGGTTCGCGATTGCCAAGAATGATTCCTGCTAAAATGACGTTTTTTGCCTTATAGCGTTCTGTTCTGGGAAGGTTATTAATCGTGCGGTAGATGGCCCCAATCGAATGTGGCTCTGAATAATATTTGCATTGATCGTCGGCGAACGTTTACGGCATGTATCACCAAACAGGTCTTTTAGGGATGACACCATCTTTGAAATATGGGAGGCAGTCACTTGAAATTCGTTTTTGTCTTGGGGAGACTGTTGGGAACCGTGTATAGAACTGTCCAAATCTTGGAGGCTGCGTCGGGCGCTTGCTGAGGATGTAAATGTGATTATACGCCGAAGGTGAAGGATCGTTTTGGTTGGATATGCTCGAATCTGAATGCACCGAGAAACTATTGAAGATTTGAGGCGCCAGTTTCACACGATCGGGCTATTCTGGCTTTGATCGCTTTCAGATATTTGGTTCGGAAATCCTTGTTCGAGTTCGAATGCACCGAGAAACTGTCGACCAATTGAGTGAGCGCGCTTTTGATGCGGCTGAATCGTGAAGTTGAATTCGAGGCGCCAGTTTCATACGGACGCCTATCTTGGCTTTGATCGCTTCTAGATATTTGGTTAGCAAATCCTTGTATGGGTTCGAATGCACCGAGAAACTATCGACCAATTGCGTGAGCACGCTTTGAATGCGGCTGAATCGTGGAGTGGAATTTGAGGAGCCAGTTTTATACATACGATCGCGCTATCTTGGTTTTGATCGCTTTCAGAAACTTGGTTCAGAAATCCTTTGCTGAATCTTCAGTGTAATTGATTGTTGGTGAATCGCTTGATGGGGAGCTGTCACAGCTCGAGTCAAAGAAATAGAATCCCCAGGTCACATCACGATAGATAATTGCACGAAGAATAACAAACAAGGTTCATGTAACCGGAAACAAGCCGGACGTTGTGGTTGCTCAGTAGAGGTGTATTCACCAGGAAGAAAATGCGGGGCGATTCAAGATACATCGTGTGTACAGTCGAGGATGACAGCGCGGAAGTCGTGAGAGATCGGTTGATGGTCGCAAATGATCGCCGGCAATCTCGTCAACGTCATTCTTTGTTTTCTCCGACTGCTTGAATAATACGTCGTCGTCGTTAACGGGCGGGTTCAGATTGATCCATTGGAGTAAGAAGTAAAGACCAATTTCATTCTTCTTCGCTTCGCATTGATAACTTGATGACTATATTTTTCGCAGGACGAGCGTACAACTTGTAAAAATGCAAGGTTGTTTGATTCGGTTCCATGATTGCCAGCGGGCCGCCAGGCAAGTTGTGGCACTTCGGACGAACCAGTATAACGGCATTATGCGTTTTCAGATAGCGGGCCATGTTGAACAACATGCCTTTTTTCTTTTGTCCCCTTAAGGCAAAAGTGTCTGTAGTATACATCGCATTCGGATTCATGAGCCACGCGCGATCAACTGAAGCGGCTGGCATCGCGTATAATTACGGATGTCATTGGTGTGTAAAAGCCATTTGGGTAAGCAAGGGAACGTGTAACTACAACATATGCCAAGGAAACATAAGCATGATTGTTGCTTTGGCACAGTTTGATCTCTAATTACTTACGGCATCATGGACGATAATGTTGCCCCGCCCAATCCAATGATGAAGGACCATTAGACATTAACCGTGAAGAGTTTCAGCAAGACCAACTATACTTATGTCTCGAAACTTTTTCTTCAAAATACGTCAAATCGACTTGAACCGTTCGGCCGCTTCATAAATGTTCCTGCAGTAACTTAGTGACATCTTCCTTGGCGACTGGAGCTTCGGTGGCAAGAATTGGAGGAATCGGTTCTTCTTGAAGAGTCTTGGCGACGTAATTGGTAAAGTAACGGAAAATAAGGCCGCTGGAGTTGGGTCCTCTACTTGCATGACTTTTTAAGGAATGAAATAACCACCAAGGTTGCGCAACACCGAATGAAAGTCGTATTTGATAAAAGAATCAATTAACTAGTAACAGGGTGAGTATAGATTGCTAAATGCGACTAGTTGTTTCTGACAGACAACTTACTTATGATTGGTTGATAGGGTCATTTTTTGTCGGATCGATCCAGTTGAGAGAAACGTGGTTCTTTAGGTGTTTATCACCAAGCCGGTCTTTGATGGAAGCAGCCATTCCTGAAATATACTGTGCTGTCGCTTGAAATTATTTTTTGCTCCGAAGAGTCTGTTGCGATCCTTGCATAAAAGCATTGAGTTCTTGGACGGTGTGGAGTCGCTTGCTAAGGGCGTAAACGTAATTCTGGCTGGAATAGCTCCTAGGCACTGTTCGAAAACTTGAAGGCGTTTACCGGCGATGCTATTGATGACTTGTAAGAGCGCGCTTTGAATGCGGCTGAATCTGGGGATGGGGCTTGAAGAGCCAGTGTCACACGATCGGGATTTCTTGCTGCGATCGCTTGTAGAAATTTTTCTTGAAAGACTTGGAGAGGTTCTTCAGTACAGTGGATTATTTGGGAATCAGTGACAGTTGCAGCCAGGTTGAAACATTGGAATCCCACTGTCACTTCACGACATATTAGTTCCACGAAGAACATCATGATGAGATTGATACAGTTTGCAATAAAATGGACATCGGGGGTCGCTGAGTAGATAAGTATCTACTTGAAAGATGAAGTGAGGAGAATCAGGGTACATTGCGAACAAAGTAGGTGACGAAAGAAAGTGATGTAGGAATGAAGTGATGGATTATGGAATGAGGGAAGAGGTATAACTGCTTTTCCTCTAGCGAGAGGCTCTTTTAACTGCGTTTTTAGAATAGCGAGGCTAACCAGTCTCAACGCCCACAGCACAGTGCCTATCGAGCTTTTGCATGTCCGACTATGATGGTTCTTGACCGGTTTGTTGGTGGTGATGATGGGTCCGTAAAAAAATCACCAATTTAAGCACTTGACTAAAGTGTCGAACCTTGAATGTTTTCAACTCTCGGAATTTGTTGTCATTTTCTATTCTCATACGTTGCACATGACATTTAGACACTTTGACTAAGGCTACTGAATGATGAGAATATAAAATCATATCTTCACTAAACTGGATTGATTTTCTGGTAAGTGTGGTTGAAGAGAATAGCTGTTACAAAATGCCCTGGACTAATAACTTTCAGAAAAGACCTCTTGAATTGTGCCTAGTCTTTCTGCATGAATCCAGGGGTGATCTGAGCGCGCACTACCATTATCGGCGCCAATCTCCCCGTCGTGTCACTTTACTTCCAGGCGCCGAGGCAATTTTCGACCACTAATGTCTATTGCAATGCAAAAAAAAGCTCATAGTTTTATCCTATAAGCTATTAGCCAATACTGAAAGACAAGCAAATAGTGTTCATGAGGATATAGGGAACAAGGTTGCTCAGCGTCGCAACTGAGCGAAGCTCATGTGAAACGAAACATATTCAATGGTATGACCGGAATGAATTCAGCGACGAGTAATTCCGACGATCTGATATTTAAAAAACATCGCGTTGACACCATTCCGATCAGGAACGTCCATGGTCGACAAAGAAAAAGTTACTCTCTTTCGCTCAAGCAAAGCTGTTGAACCGTAAAGACCTACTCAACAACTGGCGAAGACACTCTATATGTGACGTGCGAAAAAAAGTTTCATGGCTTGTTTACATTTTGTAATAAGCCAGTCACCCCGCGCAATTGGGCATTTTTCTCTGAAGGACACCAGTCCTGGCAATTATTTCCTCACATTCGATAACCAAATAACGAAGGATTTTTGAATTTTTTCTTTGATGTGGACTCAAAAATATAGGAAGTGCTATTATTGCTTCCAAAAAAAAGCGACCCATTTTCAGCAACCATTAACAGTTTAAAATTTATTTAGTAACCAATTTCTGCTGTGTGCGCCAATGATCAATTATTTGGCCATTATCAGTGAAAATAAACCATTTTATTATATTACAAAATAACATTCGCATGAAGGCATGACTAACAAGAACCTAAAAAAGGATCAAAACGTGTGAGTTTGCATTGATTGGGTAAATGCGTGCTATTTGTGAGAGTCCTTCAAAGGTCGTTTTTTTTTTTTTGGTCAGGAGTCCCAAAGCGGTCCATTTCTGCTTTCTGCAAAGACAGCCGCTCAGCTGTTGTGTGAGCAAGTAAGCAGAGTAGCGTCGTTAAAAATGGCCGTGTCTACAGCCAATCAAGGGAAAATTGCGATTCTGAATTGTCAAAGCACCCTTTTTTTGACGCCCCCACTTTTTCTTCTCTTTCCAGTTCTCCACTTTTTTTACCAGTAATCGCTGCTCTCTAACCGCACACTCCATTTTGGAGGCGCCAACAGCACTTCTACCCCTCCTCCCTCTAAATGGTAAGCCTTGACAGACGGTCTGCCTTCGTCCCTCCGTTCGCAATGACCAGAATCTAAAGGATAGTGCCTCCGCTGTCAGTGCAAAAACTCAAAGGCTAAAACAATTCCAAGGAGCCTCAAACACCATGATACACTGGCCAAGCCGTCCTCAAATTATACAATGATTGAGACACAATCAGCTTCCAGTTATAAAAATTTTTTATGGTAAGCCTCGTGCAAACTCCACTGGATCCCCAGCATTGACCTTGTATGCTCGTTACAGCCAACGCGCCATCTTCGATTCAGCGGCGCAACCGACGCTCAAACTGCAGCTAAAATATCATTTCCATGTCGACCATCCACCGATGTTTACTATGGTAATCATGTCCTGTTTCATTTTTTCTGTTCCTGTTGCCAGCGCATTGACCTCCATTTTTAATCAGTTTCTCAACTCAGTTTCCCACACGATCGGCGCCTTGAAAACAAACAACAACGCCAGGACTATTCATCCAAGGCTCAAGAACGGGCGTTTTTCTCACAGCTGAAATATAATATTCACGCACAAAAAGTGCCTCAAGCAAGCTGATCTGAACCGAAGATACTGGCCCAGCCTTTTGCCGCCGCCACTATCATCGAAAACGCCACACAAATGATTGACGCCACCGCCACCATTGGCCAAAATTTACTTCAATTGAAAACTCCGACAGAACACGCCCATCTCAACAAAACGCCACAGAAGAATTTTCCCCCGCTGCAGAAGACTGCCATGCATGCACATTTTCTTTACTATTTCTTTTGTGCTCTACAACCGTGTCCCTCAACTGCAAAGAATTTAAATGGATTATTATCCTTCTTTCTCTTTCAAAGGTAAGGATTCCAACCTGATGTCGCCATGGTGTTGGGAAAAAATATTCACGATGAGCGGACTCTTACAATAATTTTCAATAGGCAAGCGTTCCTGCAGCCATTCCCAAAATCCCAAGTGAGCCTTGTTACAAGTGGCTCAATCAAAGCATCTTTAATTCGTCCCCAGATGCTAGCAAGCTTTTCCAAACAAACCAGAATACAAGCCTACGGTAAGCTTCAACAAAGTCAACTCGACTGAAAACCCAAACACTAAAAAAGCTTTTTTGTGCTCGTTTCAACAATCAGGCAACCACATCCGCCATGCCCACAATTCAGCCCTCACAAAACTCAAAGTGGAAAACGCTTCTATAATCACCTCAAATTCGGAACAGGAACTCATAGGCATTATACATGACTATCCACCGATCAAGGCACCACCTTTACCAGCTACAAGTTCCGCAAGTGCTCAACAAGAAATGAAATCTGGGCTTACAGTAAGTCTCAGCCAAGCTCAGCTCGATTGAAGCCAAAGCAGTAACATTAATCTTATCTACAGCAAAATACACCGCCACGCCTTTGTGATTCGAATCAGAAACGCTCAAGTTCAAATATTCCCTCAGACTTCTCATCCGAAATGGGACTTTAGAGGCCTTACAAGCGGCCAATTCAATCGATCAAGGATTTTTTTTTAATCCATTCCAAAATCAAGCAGGTGTTCCAAAGCGACAAATATAAGCCTATGGTAAGCCTCATAGCGAACTTAATTCGTCTCGAATCAAGCATTAACTGTTGTATCGGCCTTGTAGAAAACACATTACCATGCCTGCACATCCGAGTCTCGTAAAATACCAGGAATCATTAGCCTTAAAGGTGGCTACTGATCGAATCAAGGCGTATTTAATCCATCTCCGAATGCAAAGCGGTGTTGATCTAGAATCAAAAGATAAAGGTACGGTAAAAGTCCCAAGGAATCTCTGAACCAACGCACTGATCTTGGCTGCTTGTTAGAAATGCACCTCTACGCCCTTGATGCAAGGTTATTTTCCCAACCTACGGCTGCTATTCCCGGAGGCACTTTATTCAAGCAAATTTGTGGCATACCAATAGTAATGATTCTTATTTGTGATTTTCGGTGGCCGTTTCAAATGCATTGACAATTGTATTTCTGTTTATCTCGAAAGCTCAGTCCTCACCATGGTGCTGCAATACAACGAAATAACACCGCGCAACGTCATCCGAATCCCACGAACAGACGTTTTCCGACACGCACCATGAATGATGCTTTTTCTGCAATCATTGACAAAGTAAGTGCCTGAATTGGCTTTGTTGAATTCAAAAGATGGTAATACTACCGGTTTCTACTGCCAATGTAAGCGCCCTGCGAATGATCCATCACGACCGTCTGTTACAACCATCAATCGAGGCTCCGCAAGGCGACATATGAATTTATCCACGCCTCAAGAATCTGCTACGTATTCCATCCAACAAGCAGAAAACAACATCAAAAAAGCACAAAAAAAAAGAAGAAGAACTTTAAAAAAAGAGAAAAGAACAAAACAAAGAAAAAGCCAAAGGGAACGATGGAAAGCGGGTCCCAGGTGGGTGTCCACCTGAACCAAAGATGCACGGTGGGTGGCTGGGTGGGGGATCGCAGCGTTTGAGTCGACCGTCCTCTTCCGTTTGTTTCGCGAGTTGTTTTTCGACTTCTCCCGGTCGGTCTCTTCTGGTGGTTCACGAGTACGGGATTTCGATGATGCCTCTCAGCTCCGAGGCTAGGGTGCGGGAAAGTGGAGCCAGGCCATGTTCGTGTGGCACGCTCGGTTAAAATCACAGGGTAAGGAGAAGGCACAGATGAAAGCTCGTGATTAACAATGATGTCGTGTCTATGTTCAGTGTTAGGTTGTTGGACTATAGAAGCTGGATTACTACACTTGATCCGATCCAAAAGTGTCCTGAGGGGATTGGGGGGGGGTTACTAACCTTTGTGGTTTTGTAGGGGTATTACTAATCCTTTTTTTTAACAGCTTCGATCCGGCGTGGGACGATCCGAAGTGAGGGTAACCAGCTAAGTATGCTTGGGAAAATTGGTCTTTTTTTTCAGATTTACTCACTACTTCTTGTCATAGGGATTTGGTTCGTCATTGCAGCAACAAAGTAAAGTATCACCGCTATTCAATTTTTATTCGAATTAACACTACACTATTAGGTTCCCTGTACAAAAAATGCGCCGCATGAATACAAAAGATAAATTGACATACATTGAATGATTTTTTTTGGAATGTGTACTTACTGATATTACACCATTTGAACTCTGGTAGGTACCGCTTTGCGGGCTTGGTCCCGCGAAGGCTATTTTTCCGACGAAGACAAGATGTCAGCAAGCCGTAGCGATATTGCTAAGTATCTTCATTACCCAGATTTTACTCGAAATTACTTACTACACTATTTTACAGGCTTCGCTTCCATGAGAATGATGCGCAAAGGATGAAACAAGTACGTACACACAACAATGAATAGCATTGTATGGATGGTTACTAACTGATATCATACCCTTTAATGAGCCTTTGAACATCTACGAAGAAATGGGAAATCAAGTTACCGACGAAATTGTGCAAGGGTAAGTATATCTGGTGGCTATGAAACTACGGATAATGAGTGCTTGAATGGTCCAATTGAGTTATTTTCTTGTGAATGGCAGCACTTGGCCGATGGATCCACCGGAAGAAGGAGTCACTCAAGTTGCAATGGCTGATCCAGGACCCGTCATGGGCTTAGGCTTGAGCTAGGGAACCATGTATGGTGGCACGTATGCAGGCAGCGAGCTGTTGGTAAGACGTCTAAACGACTACTTGACGGAACCCTTTTTCCGGACGACACAACTGGGTTCAGCAATTGTAATGAAGGGATGACGAATTGGACCGGGGGTTTTCCGTCGATATGGGATAGATTACGGATGATCCATTTGGGGATCTGCGGGCAAAAAGGGATAAAATGATGGCTCAAAATCATGCACAACCCAAATTCACTTGTTGAATATTGAAGAGCAAACTTTGTCTGATTATCCATATTATCTTCAACCAAGCGGTGGCTGTGGTCATTATCATTTACAGTTATTGAGGCCCTTCATTTGTTATGAGCGTAAAGCAACGGCAATAAGGGCCAATTACCTTTCAGATAAGTATTTTGTCACATTGAATGGATCTATACTGTTGACTAAACAGATTGTCGTAGATTATTTTTACTGTATTATTTACTCGACGCAAGGAATGGTTGGAAATATGATAGTCGATTCCGGGGATATCAATCAAGACTTCATTTATGATCTGTGAAATTGGTAAAAAAAAAGGTGTAATGGGATGGGTGCAAAATTGGTTATCTAACAAGTAGGGGATTGGGACACTTGCCTATGTTAATCATTCTTTACGAATAAATATCCTTTTAAGAAAAAGTCAGAAAGCTCTGGATCTAGTCTATGATGTTCTTGGACGCTCTTTTCTCAGTTTTAATGATTGACCTTTCCTTGAAGGAAAAAGTCGAGAAGTTTATTGTTTAGAAAAACCGATAACGGCGTTCTTATGTTATGTTCGATCTTGAAGAAAAAATAGTCATTCTGGGCTAGGATAAAAGCGGTGACAATTTATGCAACTGCTGATTGCGTTCAAATATCCTGTTTGCGCTGCAGTGGCGCGCGTTTTCCTTCGGATTGAAATGTTTAATACCAACCGCTTTTTACGGCGGTGATCTACTCTTCCAAGGACGAGCTTCCAAGCACTGTCAAAAAATAACGAATATCTGAGCGCAGATGCGGTTTACAATGGAAAATGCCACCGAAATCAATTGTTCACTTATTTTTCTCAGTTCTCTCGTAACTTCAGGCTCACGATATTGGATATCCCACTTCCGCACTTGTATATCTTTTTATTACTTCTCTAAGGCCTTCTATATACATCTATTTAATCATCTTGTGGGCTTCAAAGTTTTACGTCAACAATGATGCAGGATGTAGGATCTGATCACTGGATAAAATGAGTTTTCGCGGTCAATGGCTTGAAATATCACACGTTGTTGGGTAAAAAAAAATCTGATCCATGTTTTGGCACAAAACGGATAAAAATTTTAGGCTACTTCTTCCAAGGTGCCAAAGGCCACTCAAGCCCCACTTTTAATCAGGCCACCCCTTGTTGAAACAACGTTGGCAGAAACCCTGTTGCTTTGTTTCATCTAAGCAATGTTCAGCCAGTCGAAGAAAGGGCGCCTCATGCATTTCTCTGCGGAGATTTAATATTTCACCAATCGGACAATGTCCAACCGAAACCGTGAGTCCTGTCCACACAAACGGAAGGGCTCGTCCAGGGACCTAGATCAAACATTGGTTGGACAAGATCCACTCTAAGATTTGATCTTGTAAAATGAACGTTGACATCGCAGTTCCTCCAAGTTGAGCTTATGGAAAATGGGACAAGAGTCGGTTCCCTGCTGGTAGTTTTTCTGCCAAAGGGTCGACGATCTTCTAAAGGATTTCCACTAACCTTTTCTGTACAAGGTCCATCATTATTATCTGTTTTTGGGACGCAAATAAACGATCATGATACGCTAGCTAAGAGAGTGTTCCAGTAACTGGGAGTCATTTACATAAAGGAAACGAAAGTATATTTTTGTACACAAATAAAAAGGGGCGAGTGATTCTTCAAAAACACACTACACGGAATATAATTACACTATACAGAGACAACAAGCTATACAGAAACAATAACGACAATTGGAGAGGAAATACAATGTTTTTTACAGGATATCATCTACACAAGGAAACCAGGTGAACGGTTAGGAGTGACGGGGCAAAGATAGCGATGCACTTTTCAAGGAAGCTATCGGCTTGGCATCTTTCCAAAATGGTTTCTGTTTTTGCTTGGAATACCAATCGATGAAAGGAAGAGAGGCATGCTTCTGTTTGCCGCTGTAGGAGTTGACGTTCGCAGGGTGATGATAGTCTGGAAATCGGGACGGCGAATGGTAGTCTGGACACCGATGCTTTCTCGTCCGTACTCGGCTTCGTCTTTTCAGTGTGCATCGGCCAGGCGAAGAGTGGCATTCGGTATCGGGCGAGTTAAATACGTCTGTACTTGGAATTGAACTGGGAGGTCGCTGACCCTCGGGCCTAGCGACGTGAGCCACAGGGATCCCCAGTTCCGAAGAAACTGACAGCGGCGAATACAGCGAACCCTCATGTTTGGAATATGTATCGGTTAAGAAGTAGTAATGGTCGTGGTCATCAAAATGTTCGATAAATCGTGAGTGTCGCATCATGACAAGGAGGAAAGAAAAACTGACAATTTCATAAATAAATAAAAAAGGCGCCAATGCAAAAGTAGTATTGGCCAATATTTATGGAAATCGTGGTTGAACCACCGTCGTCATCGCATCCAAAAAAGGCAATTATTTGGGATCTAAAAATTTTTGCTTTCCGTTGGTGAACGAACAACCGCTGTCTGTTCTAGGCTTGTGATTGGCTAAGCCGAAGATTTTAACCTTTTTTCATTTGACATGAATGAACTCCCGTCCGATGCCAAAATTAGAACGCACAGCGTCATTGCCATGCACCAGTCATTATTTGTGTTGTATCGAAGAATCACAAGGACTTATTTGATTCGTTCAACCTAACATGTCGCGCCTAGATTTTGACTCACCCGACGCATGTCTTCTGGAAACAACCAAAGACTCTACAACGCCATATTAGTAAGAAGGCGTCACTTCTTGGCACTTGATAGCAGGAAACAGCCTCGGTTCATCTGTACAATTGATCCATAAAATGTCGAGAATGCTTGTTGTTTTTAGACTTTGCTGTGGCAAGTTCCGCTTGACTGAAATGTCACATTAAATCCGGATCATACGCATGTTTTTAGAGCCGTTATACATACCGTTCTCCCTAGATAAGTTTTAATTGATACGGTTCAATAGCAACAGCATGATCCCATCATTCACGCATATACCACCTGCAGATACAATAATCTTTTAACGATATAGCGTAAATCATCCTTCCTGTGCAATGCTGCATATCGCGGGACTACAAGTACCAGTATCTTTTCAATGCAATTTTTAACAGTAAAGCGCATATGAAATGAGACAAGCTTGTTGGTAGCTAAATTTTTATTAGAGAATCCATTCATACAGGAAAAAAAAATGGCTAGAACAAGATAAGTAGACACAGGCTTCAAAAATTCACAAAATTTACAAAAAGAAAGATCATATTTGGATAGTCAAACATCATTTACTGTATGTTTTTTTTTGTTCATCCATGAGTGACCGGCTAAGACGACGATAGATTAGCTTTCCCCATCAGGTCACAATAAGGATCACGATAGCAGCCTTTTAAGGCTTGGATTTTTTGTTCGACTGTCTCGGCTACAGGATCCAGTGGTGCAGCTGCGAATACCGGTGCTCTTTCATTGAAAAATGCAAAGTATTCAAGGTCACTTGCAAACCCGTAATTTTCCTTTGTATAATGGAGCAATTGTTTGACAAACATGGCAAGTGACCTGCACTTTGCAAAATTAACCATGTCGTCCGGAAGATACGTCGGGTTGCCCTCGATCAAAAATGTCAGGTCTTTAATGACAAGTGGAAAGAAAGGAATCGTAGGTGATTTCGCTTTTCGTAACGTATGTCGATACGTCGCCATATTGTTGCTCACGTTTAGTTGCTTCTCAAGACCAGCAAACGCTTGCATGTCGCGGCTTGGCAATGATTTCCACTCCTCCAATTTTTGGACCGTAGCGCTCCCCAGCCCCATGGTCAGTACCATGCTGGTGTGGAAATTGCTCCACTCAAAACAGTGCTACATAAACGTGTTCACTACCATGCCTTTTGACTTGTTCACCGTTTAGATCCTCATGACTAAACAATGGATTACCTTGGCTATCTCTATCAGCTTTCGTATCACGAGGCGCCTCTGCTTGGGCACTTTGACCGTACAAACTTCGTGAATGACCCAATGGCTCAACTATAATATCATCAATTGAGTGATATGATCAAGGTTATTTTTGAGAAGGTATATATCATACCAAGTTGGCGCGATCGGTCATTTGTGCAATAGGACTGTTCTCTGTTTCATGACCCTCGGTACGCCAAGAACCCTCGAGATATTCTTTTGCCGTGATGCTCTTGAAGCAATGGTAATCGGCTAACGTAAGGTACTTTGCAACGTCTTTGGCATCATGTGTGGCCAGGAAATTCCCATTTAGGGAATGCGATGGTTGCCAAGACACTGGCGAGTCAGGAGGTGTGCTGATGCTGGAGATCAAAGAAAACAAACTGGACGCTCCTGAAGGACGGCGATGACCATTGAACGCCATAGTGCTAGTTGGCGACGCTGGTAAGGAAGGTAATGTGCTTGATGAATAGGTGGAGTGGTTTGACGGGTCCGCGCAGCGACCTTGATGATATCGATGCATCTGTGCTGTCATGGTTACGGCTAAAGTTCATTTCCATGTATCCAACCTCGTCATTTTACCTGGAACGAAAGAAAATGCCTCAGCGTAACATACTCTGCTGCAAATTCCGTTTTTCTCACATCACGCTCAAGGAAAGATTCAACTTGGCAAAGCAGTGTGACATCCTGCCCAAAATCCTGATACCGTAGTTTGATCCATTGAGACAATGTATTCAGTATTCTACATCAACCACATGAGGGTCAGTATGTCCCAAAGGTTTTTGCACATGTAGACATACTTTAGGCGAATGTGGTTCTTCCACTGCAAAAGATGCGCCTCTTCACTTGATAGCTGATCCAATCGAAATCGGTCTATTAGCTTTTCCAGTAAATCGGATGACGGGATAAAGAACGGATGTGTCATGATAAAAGTATCGGTATATTCCAGGTCCAGCAAGGATTCATCGGTTAGCGTGCTTAGTAATTTAGCTGTTGTCCCGGAGAGAATGATCATTTTGTCAGATTTCTTCTCAACCGTGAGCACTTTCTTCCCACGTTCGGACAGATGAAAAATGCTGCTGTCGATGAATTCCCCACGCGAAAGATCAATGGCTTTTCGACACGTTATATCGTCGGCGGACCGTTGTTGTCGTACAAAGTATGAAGCGTTGTTGCCGTGACCTTGTCGAAAAAACAGATTGTTTTCTCTCTTTTTCTGTTTGGATCCTTTGGACAGGTCCTGCTGCCCATGGACTGTTTTGGTAGGAGAAATTTTTCGAGATCGATATCCTTGGATATTTGGAGAGAATAATGAGAATTCGGTCAAGGATACTGCCAAAGCAAGGTTGGACGGAGGACTCGTTTCTTCGAGGCTTTGGCTCAACCCTCGAAGATCACTTTCGGACTTGTGATGTTTAAGACCTCGCATGTTCTCGGTGCCAGCACTCAAGAAGCCGGTCTGATTGTCTCGGGTCAAATCCTCTCTAGCAAGGTAAGCAAACATTGGTGGCGAATTATCTTGCTTGGCTATCATGACACCCATCCGTGCGCGGGGTTGACCGCCTGATTTCAGGGATAGCTGCGTACCTGATGATGGATCTTTGCCCACAGCACGGCACGGCGAACTATGAAGTATTCGTTCCGATGATCCTGAGCTCTCAAAGTTTCGTTGCAACTTTTCGAACGTATCAGCATAAGGTCGTACAAAGGAAGTAACAGCTTCGTCTCGGGGCGGGGACGAAAGCGGATGGAAACTTTCTTTGTCGGAAACACACATCAATGCGTAATTGTAGACATTGGAAACAGGCGAAAAAGGCGTCGCTGTATATTCGGACGTATCAAAGACCGATTCTTCACGATCATCGTGCGTGGTTAATAGAATAGGCGGAATGACAGGCGGAAAGTCAGATATCTTTGTGTGCATAGGTTCGCATTGAATGGCTTTACAGGCCGTCCGTGAAGAACAAATCAGATCTTTGTTCACAATGGGCTGCAAGTTTCGGGGATATTTGCGCTCCGCTTTCTTCGTACGTGAGTGGGATGAATGCTGGAAAGATGTCACCGAAGCCGTCTGGATGGATCGCTGACCATCCTTTTCGGAAATGATGTCCGTTGTTGCCTGAAACGCACCATCCTCCATATTAGGAAACTAAAAAAGTAAGGAGACATTACAGATGGATTAACTTATCATGCTCCATGCTTGATGCATGAATTGGTGGAACATCAATCTACCTTTTGACAAGACTGATTGTTTCTCAAGTGCTTGTACTCATCATTTTGTGCAATGGACAAACTCATTGAGGGCTCGCCGATGGATTGGCTCTGGTGCGAAACATGATTGACTGTCTCCGTTTCTCGTCGAACTTGTAATAATGATGTGATTTTAGACTTTGCACTGATTCCAATGTCGTCCAGTGGAAAACGCTGTTCCATATCGGTGGATGCTCGGTCATATGAATGACACTTTGGGTGAAAGTCGATAGGGTCGGATATTTTCGTAATGACTGACATGGATGATAATCGTCAAAACGTGGGTGGAGAAGGAGACCTTTGGACAAGAGGTATGGTTTTTAGCCAAGAGAAAGATCCTTTGCAGTAGCAGGATGGGGTGGACAAATAATTATATAGGGGATGACAAGTGGGAAAAGGGGCCAAAAAATTGAGAAGACGCTGTTGAAACTCAGCAGCCCGACAATGTGCCTGAAAATGCTTTTGCCCGGTTCACTCACATCACACATGAATGGTCGATTTCCCGGAAAAGCGGTAACGTTCTGCTAATTCCCCAAGACATTCCTGGATCATATATGTCCTCATTAGGATTTCTTTAGGACTGTCCTTTACAACAAGCGCTGAAGCAAGAATTATCTACGGCAGTAACCGTATCTCATTCCTATGCACTTAGCATCATGCATTAATCAGACTGTGACAAGCTTGCTATTTTGATGTTTTTGGCAATTAACCGTCCAGCATATGTAGCGTATGCACGATGATCATGCTTAATACTGTGGGAGTCGATAATCATGTCATAGTAGTGCCAATGTTTGGTGAATGGAAGTTTGCATACAACCTTTCTTGCCTATTTGTTGGGGTTATTTCAGTCTGCGGGAGTTCCTTTGGTTACCGTTTGTGATTATATTTTATCGTTTTACGTCCGGGTTTCGCAAAGAATATTCGGATTTAAACTCCTACCTTCGAAATAGGGAGGGATGCGAAACCCGGGTGGCCAACAGGGTAATTTCGAGGTGAACCGGAAAATGCAGGCAGAGAAGACAATGATCATCCAACTTATGGTAACACAGTTGGAAAAAAGTAACTTTTTCCTTTGCCTTGGGTTTCTTTTTTTTTTTTTTGGAGTAAGAGAAATAAATAACACTTTACAACTATTACATGTTTCAAAAGCAACGATGAACGGTATATACATGTCAATAAAGGTGACAGTAGCAGGCACGCATAGGTTTTCGGATTGAAGTGAAGCTTGAACTTCCTGCTGCTTATTGTTCCGAATTCCATTTTGACCCCTTGATCAGCTCGGCGCTGGATAACGAGTGTGATTTTGCACGGATAAAATTCTGATACTTGTCACTCGAGTGCGTAATTGCGACGCAGATTTGACAATGGGGAACGACCGAGTTTTTGGCGCGCTTTAAATGTATTTTTGTTTTCGATGATATTGGTGGTCGAGGGTATACTAGATTAGCGGTGATGATGCATGATATCTATGATATTAGCCACGTATTAGTTGCCATCATTTGGGGGCACAAGTCATTCTTTGCAACTACTTGCCATCTAGGGTCACCAGGATGTTACGTTGTTCTACTTCGCAAGCTTCTTCTCCAATCTAAAACCATTCGTGAGCTTATTTTACACATGCGTGATGACATGCAACAGAAGAGCGCGAATCTACCTGAATGTAAGCGGTTGTGAACCCCGCCTCATCACATTCACACTGTTCGGTTAATGCATCAATGGCTAGGAGTCGTTTCATCAGTCGATCGGTGTTTGTACGTTTCAGGTGTTCAGCGACCCCGAAATCTGGTAACTGATGATATCTACGTTCGATAACCCTTGAGGTAGGCGATCCACGTAGAATATCCACGATTTGATCGAAGGTCACTTTTTCTGCTTGCAGCTGACGAACTAGACGGATAGCGGCAATAGCTTCCTTTGACACATTGCGTTTGACTTGCTTAGATCTGCCACGTCGCACACAGTTGTCACACGTGTTATAACACAAATTGGAATCGAATTTCTCGTCAAAGTGAGCCAGGACTTGTTGCCGTCGACAATCGATCCTGTTCTCGCAAAACAGGATCATCTTCTTCAAATTGTCGGCCAGTCGTCGCTTCTGCTGCAACGTGCCTTCGCCTTTGTTGATCAATAATTCGTGTGTTTTCCGATCAGCATACGAATAATAAAGACGACAAATCGCTGGCATGCCATCTCTACCAGCACGTCCTGTCTCTTGATAGTAGTTTTCAATGGAAGCCGGCATCGTAAAGTGAATGACGAATCGAACATCGCCTTTATCAATCCCCATACCAAAAGCGATTGTAGCTACGATCACTTGCACAGCCCCAACCTGCCACTCGTGTTGAATGCCTAACCGTTCTTCGGGCGATAAGGCGGCATGATAATGCTTCGCTTTGAAACCATAACTGAATCGAAGTTGTTCAGCCACTTCTTCGCATTGCCGCCTTGTCGCGCAATAAATAATCCCCGATTTGTTTTGATAACGCATCATGAAAAACGCAATATCCCTCAGTATAATATCTTTTGAGGCTATTTCGACGACTTCGTAGCTGGGCAACCGGATGAAAAGTTCCAATTAATCAGCTGACTTTAGAGATCGTGAAGTCAATAATTGATATCCACTTACGTGAGATTGGGGCGGTTAAAGCTTTGTTGCAAAATGGTACAGTGCTCGATTTGAAGATTGTATAAGATATCTTTTCGAACCATTTCATTGGCGGTTGCCGTTAAAGCCATGATAGGAACGTCTGGAAATTTGGTTTTGAGGTTGCCTAGCAGCTTATAATCCGGACGAAAATCATGACCCCACTGTGATATGCAATGCGCTTCGTCGATAACAAATCGTGCCAGCTGGCCTTGCCGATATAGTTTCTCGATGGCGACCTGCAATGCCTCGGAGCGTTGCAGTAATTCGGGCGTAACATATAGTAGTTGCAGTGCAGGAGGATCATGCGCAAGCTGGTCGAACACTAAGCGCCGATCTTCGGGTTTCAGTTGACTGTTGAGGAGGGATGCATGGATATTACGCTTAGTGACCAGTTGTTTCACCTGATCGTGCATGAGTGAAAGTAGCGGAGAAACGACAAAAGTGACCCCTTTTCTTTGATAATCCTGGATCACGGCCGGTAGCTGGTAACATAAACTTTTTCCTCCACCGGTTGGCATGAGAACAAAGATGTCTTCCCCGTTGAGCGTCTTGTTGATCGCTTCCAACTGATTTGTCCTGAAATCGATCAGGCTGAACTTTTGTTTCAAGGTTTCTAGGACAGCTTCCGACCATGGATACTGCTGAGAGGCAAGGTCAGACAGACTGCGAGATAACACGGTCGCTTTGGTAGAGTTCTTGTGTCTGTTTTTAGCCGGCACAGCTAAATCAGCCTCTCGATTTTCTTGCGCCGTTGTATGTTGCGTGTTGGAGGTGCCGCGATTCGATCGGTTATCCTTAGTTGGAAGGCTAGGAGAAGGAGGAGAAGGAGACGATGATATGGGTTTTGAATTTACGCGGAGATCTGTGGCAGAGGAATGGCCATTTGTCATTGTCAACTGTTTCTTCATGTCAATAGAAGGTTGGAGACGGTCACTTGATGTGAGTGCCAATGGTGCCAGTCTGGATTTGACCTTTTTGATCTTGTGCAAAATCGACTTCCTATGTTGGAAAACGCATTAAGTATTGGGCGATGGATCATGAATATCAATCATTCATACCTTTCTTTAATAAGCTGCTGCCGAAGATCATCATCTTCGGTAGGACGATCGACGAATAATTCCACCAACCTTTTATTGATGATATGCTCCTGCCGTTCCAGCATTTGCATTTGATGCCGGCATTTCTTATGGAACAACGAACGTTCAGCCATCTGTCGAAGCCGTGACGCCCCAGTTGATTTTTTTTATCATATATAGTTACCTCAACCTTTGAGACCGACGATTGCTCGTAAGCATCCATGAGTTGACTGACATCTTCATCCTTCAAATGATTCATCTCCTGCGACAGGGACTGCGATTGCTGTGAAAATTAGATCTGTCAGCGTCGATGAAACATACCGTATCATATTTAATTGAATTACCACTGAATTATCTGCATGGAAGCCATCGTCATGCCATTCGGTTTCAATAGGATCATCCGATAACTCCTGAATATCGCCGTACAAAAAATCCAGATCAGGAACCGATGATTTGGTGTTATCTTTAGAAGGCTGCAAGGCGCCAGATATCGACGGAGGAGGTATTGCAAACGATCTCGCCGTTGCAAGTGATGTTGTGGAGAGCTGCATCGGTTTGGACGTATTAGGGTTGAGGGCAGCCTTGTTCCCGGGGTTCACAGCCTGATCCACCGTTTGTTCATTTACGCATGTAGGATGCTGGGATTTCGATCGCTTTGATAAGGACAAACTGAGTGGTTTACGCGAAGCGCGTTTGCAGGAACCGGTACCTGTCCGACTTTCTAGCGAGGGTATAAATGTCAAATTGTCTGCCAAAGCAATTGCACCGGTTGGAAATGCATCATGAGTGGGGGAATTCAGTTGTTCTATGACCATGCATCGTATGGTTAGATCAAAAAGAACTTCCCCGTTATTGAGAGGGGACTTACTATTGGATATGCTTGATGGTGAGTAAGGAGTGCGGGTATTGTGTGTGCGATGCAAATGGTATTCACGGCTAGAGCCACGTTGGGAAAAACCATGCATGCTGAATTCTCATAATTTCCGTATGGAAATTCAAAGTGAAATCGTGCCTAGTTTTCCTTGGCTCACTGCGAAAAGCGCTTGTTCAAGTGGATTTGAGGCTGAAAATTTTTTGATGTCGCCCACTCCGCCTCTTCACTCGCACAATCTCTTGGTTGGGCGTAAAAACATTCCAGCTGGCTGCTTGCATTGTCGCCCTATTATTATTATTTTTTACCATGCCTTTGAGGTTGACTGACACTGCATGGGACTGCGTAATCTGTCCTGACCATTAGGTTGGTTCTCCAGGCAACAAAGATCCGTTGAGGCTTACAGGTATGCTAAACATTTTGCTACATCGGCTTACCCGTCTCGCTATCTTCCAGTTTTCGTTCGTTATGATTTCAGGCTGAAAAGTGTATCACTGTATTTCCTACTCAAACGTGTCTGTTCTGACCCAAATCTTACTCGTTGTATGGTTATTTAATATATCGTGAAAGAAAAAAGACCTCAATTATTTTAAATTGATAGATCTACCAAAAGTGTTTGGTTGCCGTAAGCTAATGGTAGCTGATCCTGCTGGGCAGTGACCTATCAATACGGAGCAAAAATTCGACTCATCTGTTTGTCCCTGACGTTTTTAGAATGCGTTCAAATGGGTCTAGTTGGCAGGGCATGTGCATATTGATCGATCAAACCATAAAGCAGCCTAGTTAGGAGTATGTCCATGGTTAGCACTCATTTTGCGTATGTGTTGTTATATTGTCTCTACGCTTAAATTAAAGATTCAATGGACCGATTTCTGGCTTTTGTTCTTTATGAGCACGCACAATTTAGAGATCATACGAAACTGGAGTCTCAAAATAAGCGCGTTATGTAGGATAATAATGTTCACCCTACAAAAAGTTCCTGTGTGAAATGACAGAATTATCATTACAACACGATCACTATGCTGTTGCCATGCGATGCAAGTATTCGCTGAATGGCATCACTGACAGGAGGGACACCATAATTAATTTCTAGTCGATGGCGAGTTTATTAAAACAGGTGAAAGGAGGGAGGAATGTTTACCGTTCATACTATCCATAGCAAGAGGTCTATAGTGAAACTACGGATCCTAGTAACGGTGCCAGCTATTGTCTTCTTTAGCTTTTGCTCTTTGCATATACGACAAAAGGAGGAGAGGTGATCAACAGACTCTTTCCTTGCGAACAGTAAATGTGCAGTTTCATCCCCACTATGTGTTGATGATGAAAGATCCATTGTGGACCTGGAAAAGCTAAAAACACAAAAAGTCGAGCACCTTGAAGAAAATGATGTCACAGTCCCATTGTGACATTTTTTTCTAGTCCCGATACTTCTTTCAAGGGAAAATTTTTTTTTCTGGTGTTAACGCGTGGCACCCCTATTGGACCTCCTCCAACGATGAGAGAGAAGGAATTCTCTGTCTTTGTCGGGCCCACCCATTTCAACTACAGGTCCCAAATTTTTTTTTTCACAATTTTTTGGAATTTTATTTCTTTTTGACTAGTTTCTTTTTGTTTTTCTTCCTTCCTTTTCTTCTCTTTCTTCTGCTTTTTCTTTTTTGTATTCTTTCCCGTCTTCTCTTCCTCCTTTTTGTACTTTATCTTTGTTTGATATTACAGTCAGCCACCCAATGTCCAGTCCTACTCCCCCCAAACGAAAAGTGACGCCCGCGTCGCCCAACCAAGACTTCTCTGAAGAGAAATATAAAAAATTGAAACGCAAGCTGCGAGAAATTATGGAGGTGACTGCAAAAAGAAAACATCATACCCGCTTTTCTTGTCAAGAAAAAAGGAGGGAAAAGTTTACTCATTCATTTTTCCTCACAGGTGAATGAATCAATGACCAAAGAATACACGCGCGCAAAGAAGAAGATCCGAACCCTTACTTATGAACGAAAGTACGTTATTTATCCATCCATGATGTCTTGTCCCTTCACACACGTGAGCATGCTGATGTTTTCTCTTTTCCACTTAGTCTGTTGCTGGACAACATTGCACGTATCGAGAACTTGCCAGATTCTGATGATAGTAGCGATCTAGCGAGCGATTTGTCCGATACAGAAAGTGAAATGGAAGAATTGCCAGGTGCGTATATGAGTAAAACTGAAAGGAGGAAGCGAGAAGGTTCAATAAATCCACAAGCGCGAAAGGGAAGACAAGAAAAGTGAAGAATGGAGTGGATGTGTGGGAGGTCACTGAAGGGGGAAAGAGGAAAAGGATAAAAAAAAGTTGGTGAATTCTTTTCGGAAAGGAAAACAACAAGATATTTACACCAGAAAACCCACATCCCGCAGTTTCAACGTCATCGTTATCCAAATCTTCACGAGCAAGACCTCCACCACGCGCTTCACCTATTCAGAGCCCGACAAGCACACGCGACTCCACCGTCGCTTCTGCCCCACCCAAACGATCTAAAATTACCAAAATCGCCGTAAAGACACGTCGTGTGCAACCCATTGAACGTGACGCCGAAGGCAACGCAAAATTACCACAGCAGATCGGTGTCTTGACCGTCCTCGATCTTGGAAAAATCGTCAGTGATCGCGACACATTTCACAACGAACGTTATATTTTCCCTGTCGGTTACACCGTTAGTCGCACTTACCCGTCCATGGTAGATCCCAACAGTAACACTGTCATCACAAGTACCATTCTCGACGGTGGTGACGGACCTCGATTTCACGTTGTGGCAGCTGATATGCCTGATTCACCTATTATCGCTAATTCAGCCACCGGCGCATGGACGGTGGTGGTGCGTCGTTCTAACGAAATTCGTAATCGTGAACACTCCAATTCAGCCAGTGGTCCCGATTATTACGGATTCAAACATCCCACCATTGCTAAACTGATTCAGGATTTACCAGGTGCTGAGAATTTGAAGCATTACGTGTGGCAAAATTTTGAGGAAATGGAACCAAGAGCGGCCAAAGGCGTCATGGCCGCGGCAGAGAAGAAGCGTGGTAATTTGGAACAGATGGGCAATGCCAACCGACGTGCACCTAGATCAGGAGGGGAAGAATTTGAAGAAGACGGAAGTACTATTGTTCCATTGAATACATATGAAGCGGACGAACCCATGCCAACTGCACCTGCAAACGATGTCAACCCCGTCAATGTGACCGTCCTGGACTCCTTACCGCCTCCCACCGAAACTCACTTGACGTCAACCGCATATCCCGCTGTCGTTGATGATGGAGAAGAAGTGGATGAATTGGGTGCAAGTGATCCTGAGCAGTAATATCTTATATTTCTACGAATTCTTATGTTTGCCTCTACTGTATTCCCCTTTATTTTAAGTCGCCCCGTATTCTTTCTATTATTCACTCGCTCACTCTATCACTCTGTCTCTCTCTCTCTCACTTTCTCTCTCTTTTCCCTCTCTTGTCATTCACAGAAATACATATTATTATTTTTTTTTACCTCGCATAACTTATAACCATGTTCTCGGATTTCATCTCTCTTTTCGTTTGATCTGCTTTATTTTGTATTTTTGTTCAAGTGTTAATTTTTACTTTCTTTGTGCAAGCGAAATGGTAAACGAAAGAACAATAAGGGTAAAATAACAAACTTTTGAAATTGATTTTATACATCAAATACGAGGTTGGCGTTAGCATTGCTAGTAGTTACTATGATATCGCCTTGACCTTGCAATCGCTGTCCTTGCTTGTAATGACGCTGATTGTCGTGGAAAACAATATGGCCCTCCTCACCTAACTGATCTCTCACGTTGGCTCGGCTCCAATTGGATGTCTGGATCATGAAATGTCCTTCAAACGTCATTGGCTTTGCAAAAAATATTTACCATTTTAGATTTTTACTTTGCTTTTGTTTATATCGGTTTCTTGTTTTGTTAGCTTACCATGTGAATTGTGGCAGGTCCATTGCTTGTAAGAGCCTTAATAATAACATCCTTGGCATTTTCAATGGTAGCTTCGATGGGGGCATTGGATGTTTTCAACAGAGCTTCTCGTTTCGCCTGGATATGTGCCAATGAAACCGCACCATTGGAGGTCTCCACGATCACTTGCGTGGCAACAGCAGCGTTGCTCACAATAGCTCCATTCGAAGATCTGAGCAACACTTTATCGTTTGCTGAAATGGTATATGCTTCAATTTGACCATTGGTATTTTCCAGCGCTACATACGACTTGGCCGTCACATCGGTCACGGCAATGACTCCATTGGTAGTTTTCAAGCTCACAGTTTCGTCGCTTTTCAAACCGTTGCCCACGCGGATATTGCCATTGCGTGTTTCCAATACAAGCTGCTTGCCTGACCATCCCTGATCCAAGGAGATGGGAGCATTGGTACTCCGAAGTTGGACAATATCCACATCGTGAAGTTGGTCAACCACTTGTGTGACAATGTTGGGCATACTGGTGCGCAGTGATGTGGTGGTGGTTGGAAGATATATTTCCATTTCCACGAAAATGCAGCTGTCCGTCAGTGGGTGAGTCGGCATTTTTAACACAAGTCTCGTTTCGTCGTTGTCATTGTCCAAAGTATACGAAAGCTCCTCCTGCAGTCTCGGTGGCGCCAGTCGGATGCGGGTATGAATAGAACCAGAAGTAGCTTCGTCGCCAGGAGGCAATGAATGGATAATTAATTGGCCGCCAGACACATGACCTTCGAGTGATACTGACAGATCTTTGTCGAATTGTATCTCCTTTGGCAAGACTGATTTGTAAACAGTCTCGGCACCCTTGCAGTTTATTAAACCTATGTGCTTTGATGGGTCGGAAGGGTTGAACCAGCCGCTGTATTTCGTAAGCACAAGCCAAGCGAGGATGCCAAGGAAGATGTATTTGAACCATTTTTTCCCGGAACCATTGTTTTCTTGTTGTTCTGCCCATGCTGGTGGTGGCATTCCCGGCGGTGGCATCCCTGGTGAAGGTTGAGGTGCCGATACCGGTGATGGCATCGGCATCCCTCTTTCCGACCATTCGCGTGGAATATCTAAATAGGTATCAATATGTTAGTGGGTACCAAAATGGAAAAAACTAAAGAACGTACGAGGATTGTTCCATGCTACAGGCATGGCGGGTGCTGAAGCAGGAGAAGGAGGATACATCGCGGCATCGGCTATGCGAGAGGCCGAAGAAGATGGTCCTGCAAGAAAGTGTCGGGCACCCAACAAACCCGGTTGGCCAGAGATAATGGTACCATAAGTATTGGATATGCTTCCTTCGGTATCTCCTTCTGAACCCATTGGCGGGCTGTAAGGCGGTGGAGCCATATCGGCCGAAGCATCGTCTGGCTTATGGATCTCCGGTCGTTTCCTGTTACCGGCGTAATCTGTAACAGAAGTATGTTTAAAAAGATGCTATCTTTGGCTTGGCAGGTAGCGACGTCAAGAAAAATACCTGGTTGGTTATAATACGCTTTAGGATTACCGGACATTGGTATGGGGGGGGGGAACTAAAGCAGGATAGAAAGAAAAAAAAAAGAAGAAAAAGGGAAAAAGGGAAGAGAGAGAAAAAGAAATACGGGGTTTGTAACAAAGCAAGCAAAAATAAAAAGGCAAAGCCTCTTTCCCAAAGTCGCAGTTGGCCGAATCAGGAAATCCACACTTGTCCAAAAACCCTCACTTGCATTGACATTTTTGCCCAGAAAACCGGGTTACACGACAGCCTTGGCAAAATACAACCCAGCATTTCATATAAATCGATGGAAGCTGCAGGTCCTTTCTCTTTCTAAACTGTCATCCTTGTCGCTCCCAAACTCACGATCCACAACCAAGAATTGAAGCCTTGACCGAGTCACATATAAAATCGTAATGCTCGTCCATCGTACTATAACCAAATCGATAAAAACCAATTAAAAGTGGTCTACATTACCCATGATGGACTTGTTTGGCAATATGGACGCGAGATACATTGAGGGGATCCGCTGCATCAAATACATCCGTAAATAGTAAGTTGAAAGCATAGTATTATTGATATGTGAAGGAATTATACATCGAAAAAAACATCGATCTTGGCATTGGTGGTGTCGACCGTTAAATTAGAAGAACCGACGCCATCGCCTCTGACGCCAACCTTCTCATTTTTTCTGTCGGTTTCAAAGGTGATCATTTTGTGAGGAAGAACAGTGACTTCCGCGTTGGATGTTCTCACAGAGAATCGTCCATCATACGTAATAGGCTATGCAAAAACGAGAGTTAGTTCAACGTCTTCACTGGATAACCTTCAGATATGGATGCTTACCATGTGTAGTGTGATGTGTCCGTTGATGGATTTGATTTTTAGCTGTGTATGAGGCGTGACGGAAATGACTCGCATATCGATTTTGGCGTTAAGAGACTCGACCATGACGGATTGGACACCGGTCACTTCTTCCAAAGTAATAGTGCCATTGTTCGTTGCGACATCGAGATGCCTTGCTTGCAAATTTTGGGCTTCAATTTTGCCATTCATGCTGCGCAACTCACAGTGACCGTCACTCACGAGTTGTGCAACCTCAATCCTTCCATTATTGGTCTTGGCCAGCACTCTGGTGGAAGCCAGAATAGGGCCCTCCAAATGAATACTGCCATTGCTGGTTTGCACTTCAATCGACTTTGCCTTTAACGAATTGTGAATGCCGATGGTGCCATTCTTGGTGAGCAGCCGACATCGATCGCCTTCCCAAGCGTCCTCCAGGTGAATGCTCTTATTCTGTTCTTCAATCACAAGCTCCGTAGTCGTCGGCGTGTCGGAAATATCTGTATCGTCTTCCAGCGAATCGCCATCCGTTGACTTGAATGAATATTCTGGTAAACTGTATGGATTGGCGTCTCTTTGCGCCCCGCTAGAAGAGCCTTCGCCGGCATCGTTGGCTTCGGAGGGTGAATAAGGTGGAGGAAGATCCGCACTCACTAAATACAGCAACCGTTAGTAAGTACTCAGAACAACGCACATAGTGTACTTTATTCAAAAACTACTTGCTTTATGATATAAAATAACTGTAGGGAAGAGTTATAGGGGATGGTCAAGATAGAAAGAAATCACCAGAAAAAGAAATGCAGCGGCCTTTCCACGACAAGAGAACAGGTGACTTATAACTTGCCGTGACCGATTTCACGCCGCTCCAGCGCGGGCTTTGAATTGGGTCGTTTTCGCTTTTGTTTCTTCTCTAATGGATAGAACGCCATCCACCACGGACATTAAAGAAACGCTGGATAGTAAGTTAACTATGGATAACGCCACACGGCATTTGTTTTACTAAGGGACATTTTCGCTTTGTGTTTCAGTTATATACGAGATGGCCACCATTCTCGATACAGGGCTTGATCGTGACACCTTGGCCCTGTGCGTTTCCTTGTGTGAGAAAGGCGTGAATCCGGAAGCCTTAGCGGTAGGTGGTCATTCAGATCGCTTATGGGTCATGCCAAACTGACTTTTTTCAACCTTGTACAGACCGTCATTAAGGATTTGCGGGAGCAGCAGCAAAAGTTGTCTACGAGCACCAACTGAGAGAAAGACAAGAATCTGTAGCGCGCTGGCCGTCACAAGTGCTTTATACCTCTCCCCAATTTCGTATAACGTGAATCGGACGACCATTATGGATGCATCCGTGAGACATTGTCCTGTATGAATTTTTGTATATAAAAGCATCGTAAATCATTGGATTGGGCTGTTTTTGATCCGTTGAGTGACCGACGTTGGGGGAGGATATTTGACAGTCATCGATCACACTAACGATGAAGTTCTTCCTTTTTTGGACCATCTAACTTTATACATGAAACGGGCTTCTTCCAACAGTCTTTCAGAATCCAACAAAAAGCCCAAGCCAGAAAAAGGTGCATATTTGGGTTGCCTCGCGATAAAAAGGAAGAAGAGCTGACGGCTCTATTTTCTTTTCTTAGATACAGACACCGTGCCACGAGTCCATCCATTCTTTAATCAGTCTATGAAGCAAACCGTCAAATGGTTGTCTTCCATCGAATCTGTGCTCATTGCGAAAACAGTAGACAAGGAAGTCGGCCGTCATAAAGTGGCTGCTTTTGATCTTGTAATGATATGAGTCCACTGAATGTACCAAGAATGACGTATGCTGACCCTCCTACTGATAACAGGACGCCACCCTGATATCGACGAAAACTGGTCGCGTCCACTCAAAGGACGAGAACGATTGGCAATGGTGGCATTCGTCTGTGCCAAGCCAAATTAAAAAGCTGCATGACGACGGGTAACTATTTGGGTTTCATTGTCTACGCCGGTTGCACGCTGACACCCGACTGTCACTTAGCTACAAAATCGTCGTCTTTTCCAATCAAAACGGACTAAACTCGCCCACGCGGATCCAAAGTTTTAAACGGAAAGTGGAAGCCATTCTCAGCCAGTTATCCATGCCCGTATGGTTGTTAGCAGCTATGAACAAAGATCAGTATCGTAAACCCATGGTGGCCATGTGGAACTGGTTAGAGAAACAAGCGAATGACGGGGTCAAGATTGGTAAGAATAAAAAAAAAAAAGTAGACGAAAAGGCTTCATGCAGCCGCATCAAGGCAACTGACACAGTGGTTAGATAAAGAACAGAGCTTCTACGTGGGCGATGCGGCTGGCCGCGCTGATAACTGGAAGCCGAGGCAAAAGAGAGACCATTCTTGCACTGACAGGTATTGCGCGATGTAAAGTCCTGTTGCCATCCCGTCTGACACGGTTTGCTGTCTAGAAAATTCGCTGACAATATAGGCATTGGCTTCTACACTCCAGAGGAATTCTTCCTCAAGGAGCCAAAGGCAGCTTTCTCATGGGGCGGCTTTATTCCCAGCGAATCCACGCAGAATGGTAAACGTATTTCGTTTTTGAAGGGCCCTTTTTTCCCTTTTTTATTAACCCATTGATCGGTCCATTACACTGACAGAAATGCTATTCACTCCTTCATCATCACCGCTGGTTCTCAAGGATGAACCGGAAGTCATTGTATTTGTTGGATATCCTGCTAGCGGAAAATCCACATTCGCTGAAAAATACCTTATCCCGCACGGCTATGTCTACGTGAATCAAGTAAGCATGATAAAACAAGATCCTGTTTTGTCCGATGTTGTACCAACATGGTCTTTTTTATTATTATTAGGATACGTTGAAAACACGCAACAAGTGCATTGCCGCATGCAAAGACGCTCTTGCAAAACACCAGTCCGTCGTCATTGGTAAGATCGGCCCACATGCCGTACATACAGCATCATCATATTCATGACTTGCTCTGTCGTTGTAGATAATACAAATCCAGAAATCGCTACTCGAGCTTCATATATTCAAGTAGCACGCGACGCCGGTGCCAAAGTTCGTTGCTTCTACTTTACGGCCGATGAACATTTAGCACGACACAATAATTATTATCGGGCGATACAAAAACCGCATGAAAACAGGGAATTACTATCTGACATCGCCTTCCGAACCTTCAAATCACGCTTGCAGATCCCCACAGAAGCAGAAGGGTTCGATGAAGTGAAGAAAATCAACTTTATCTTTGAAGGATCGGAAGAAGAACAAAGGACTTGGAAACAATGGTGGTTGTAAAACCAATAGAGCCCTGATGCTTGATATTAGTAGCTGCATTGGCCCATGGTCTTGGAAATGGTCAATATGGACACTTCAGTCATAGAAAGTATTATTATTCACTCCAAAGATAACCCAGCCACAGTAAAAAGACCCCCCATTTACAAAGTGCTCTGGCAAAATTCTCTGTAATCCCGATAAATTTATTGACTTGCCTGATGTCTTTTTCATCTTTCAATGCATGGAAACAAAAACCTTGACTTGATCCATTATTCGCGGGAGTGGGGTGGGATATCCTCATATTACTTTGGCCTTGTAGAATGCCTGCGTAATCTGATGGGAAAATGCGCTGAAACAGATGACTTTATTCATCAAAGTGAGGCCATTTTCGAGGATGGCTTTATTTTTCAATAAAATGAATAATATGTGGTAAAATGCCAGTTTAACGTGCTTATCCATTACTTCTGTACCAAAGTTTTGTGCACCTGTGTATCCGACCAGCCGATATGAACGCTTGAATAAAGGCATCCCGATCGATCGACCTCTAACATATCTGAGACTTACTTCATGCACCTTTTTCATACGATGAGCTATTATCAATGGATAATATGACATGGCGCCTTTTTCCTGCTTCATTATTGGACAATAAATATTTTTAGCTACAGTACGAGGGATCGCCTCTTTTTCCCAGGTCTATAAAATACGATGCATCTTCCATTCATTTCTTTTTTCTCTTTATCGCACATCTACTTCTATTTTGCAAACCAATCCAACTGAATACGCACATACGCTCTCCATTGCAAAGACATACTGTATTCTATCGCTTTTTTTGATTACCTTTCTCAAATGACGATCTTCGTACGTATGATATACTCAAAGATGATCATAACTGTCAGCGATCTAATCTTTTATACTGTATTGCAGTTGCGCGTCGAAAATCCTCGTAAAAAAATTTTATCCAGACTTTTTCAATTAAACTGTGCAAAGTGCTCCCTGATTGATTTATTGAAAGCGCCAATTCTATTAAACCATAGAATTATATATATGTGTGTATATAAGAAAAGAACGGAGATATTAGCTCTTGAAGTAGATGCAAAAGGTTACATGAGAAAAGGGAAAAAAGTAGAAAAGGAATTGTGATAAGGAAATCACCAAGGAGACCGAATTATTGACTTTCTGCCGGTGCTTTTGAATCATTCATCCAGCCTGCTATAGATGGATGAAGATTAGTACTGATCACATTTTGATTTCTCTACTACTTACTTCGTGAAAAGTAGCCGCGAGCTCGAAAATCTCCTCGGTAGGAACCGCCACGACCACGACCGCGACCTCGTCTACGTCCACCTCGTCCACCGCGACCACGACCCCGTTCACTTTCGTTACTGAATGATCGCTCGACGCGGTTCTGTGTATTCTGACTTTGCCATGCTTCGCTAGCAATCTCAGCCTCTGGAGGACTCTCCGCTTCTGTTGATACAAGCGGTTCCTCATCAGCTGCATCGCTTTTTTCTTTGGGTTCGGTCGTATTCGCTGTCTCAGCTGCTGAATCCGCTGCAGATTTCGTCGTTTCTTCTGTTGTTCCTTCCGTCGTTTCGGCCGTTGTTTCTTCCGTCGTAGCCAGTTGTGCTTCTGTAGCTGTTTCTGCTTTTAATGATGGCTCTTTATCGGCCACGGATGCTGTTTCTTGGACCAGCTCTGATCCCGGAGAAGAAGATGGTTCTTTGATAGGCGCACTAGATTCTGGATGCACGCTATCTACCGGATCTATCATTACAAAGAATCACTGATATCAGCACCTTGCCCTCTTTTGTTGCATGATTTTATGCGGAATTTTCACTTTACCGTAGTAGTCGCTAAAGGCTCCTGAATTTACATATGCGGAAGCGTAGGGTGCTTGTATCGGTAATAAAGAGGTATCGATCATACTGTTGTAAGGTACGACGACCAGTAACGGTTGCGAAGATGGCGTTGACGATTGTGGTGTGGGCATACGCTGGGTCCATCCGGCCCTTTGTGGATCGGATGACGCGTCCAGTGAATTGTCGATAAGGTGATGGATGATTTCACGGATCTCACGGAAAGTGGTGACAAAACCTTCGTCGATAGGCTCGTCAACTCCGTCGTTCAGTTTGCGTAACAGTGAAAATACTTCTTTGCGTTTGCTCAATCGGACTTCTTCCGAAAGATCCTTGGCAGCAAATAATGAACCGCCCACCAGTTTATCACAAAGATGAACAATAGCGAGGGGTTCTAATCGAGGATAAACGCTGGAGATAATCGTGAAGAAACCCTGTTGAGCGAGTCGTACGATGTAGAAGAAATGCAGTAATGTTAACGACCGTTGCTGCTCGTACTCCGGACTCCGTTTCGATGTGCTGGCGACTTTTTTATCTTCTTCTTTTTTCTTACTCGCTGTATCCCCCAGCATATCAGGTGAGCTCTACACGAGACATGTCATTCCCCCATTAGTATCATTTTCGTCTTACTGTCCATCGTCCTTTTTTTGTTTTGAACATTTACCAACTTGGCATATAAAGCTTGTAACTGCTCGAGCGCTGCTGATGTGGCCGATCGTTTATCAATGCTCACTTGTTCTTGCTCAGTAATTTTTTCTCCCGCTTCTACTTTTGTGCGGGCTTCTTCCGCTTGACGCTGTGCGTGGGTTAGTCATACAATTCAAAAAGAACCGATTCCCTTGACATCAAGCTGTCTCGCTTACCAACTGTGATGCCAGATCCTCCATTTGTTGTTGGATCACCGTCAAGTGCGCTGTAGATATTTTCTTTCTTTTGCTTTTCGACTTCTTTTTCGATTTTCGTGCAGCAATTGGTTCTTCAGACTTAGCTGGTGGGTCGGCTGACTGAGGTGGTGCAGAAGTTTCCACGTCGACAGTTGACGATCGTGACGGATCTGCGGTTTCTACCGGTTTTTCCAAGGCTACGCTGGCTAGTTCTGCTTGTGACGAAGATGCCATTGTGTTTCAGAGAACAATGCACAAAGTGGCTGTTTAAGTGTCAGAGAAAAAGGTGGGAGGCGAGAAGGCGCTTTTGAAAACCGTTCTTCAAAGCTCGCTTCCCAACGTCGGCCTGGAACAAGCCACACGTCACGCTGCGGCATTTCAAACCGGCGCAGCAAGGTCACTTGTCCCAGACTCAGAAAAACCAAACATCAACCTTCACACAGTTGTACCATAATACTCCCGGAAACTAGTCACTATAAAAGGCAGTCGTCTTGGCCTCTAGATTATTAGAAGCACCTTCATTTTGGTAATATGGGTCAGCACTAAATATTTGAGTCTCATTGGGCAAGTCAAATCGATAAAGAAGACTTTGCAAACTGGAAGCATCGGTGCAAGGATATATGAGCAGTGTATCCATTACATGTACTCATGTCACTAGGCCCTCGGATCTTACGGTCTTCACCCACCATTGTTGACATGAAAATTTGACAAATTTTGATGTCCCTAGGATGACTAAGTTGAATAAACTGTATAAAGGCCATACAAGTCATAATGAAAGATACAAGTGATTTTTGAAAAACAAACGTTTCTGACTGGGTAAAACGAAATGAATCACATGATTTACTGCAGTGGTTGAGTTGGACCTCCCTTTTTTGAATGGGCAGAGCGTGATACATCGATACGATTTAGCAATTAACAAAACGCATTACTCGGGCTAGATTGATCTGTTCCTTAACTCTTTTATTTGCTCATTCTTTAAGTTTTTTCATCAAATAAAATTTTATCAGTTCTGACTGGCTCATATGCTCTATATGCATTGATAAATTCGACTTTGTTATCAGTCTTGGGTGGAGGATTCTTCTTCTGAAAAAGCCATTTATTTACCATGCATTATGGCAAATTGAAAGTCAGCAAAGCCAACCGTCATCACAGCCCAAAAGCAGCTTTGGAAAGAAAAAAGCAACGTCTGAACCAAGATGAGGTGTCCCTTTCCAGCTACTAGAATACTAGTGATACCTCATTAAATCCAGCATACTAGCTGGCTTAAACGTCTGGAGACTTATCGCCTGGAAGATCCGTCGGCGTGAGCAGCGGAATGGTCTCACAAAATTTTGATCCATTCGCTTAGACGAATGACGGGAAAGCATGACTGTCACATGCAGGATTTTTAATACATCAAATAAAAGTGATTCACAATAAAAGAAGTTATTCTTTGCTCTCTTTCTTTTCTTTGATGGATTTCACCTCTCGATTCCATTATGATTGGAGCTGGTCAGCATACTTGAATTTCGTTACTCCTTCGGATTTGCTTCTCCCGAAATCTGAGTCAATCGTCCTGGAAGCAGAAGCTCAGCAATGCACATGAGTCCACAGCAATTCCCATCGCTAACTTCACTGACAATGGACTGCGATATAAATACACCGTTAGTTTTACGATAGCGAAAAAATAACAGAAGTAACATCTTTGGCCAATGAAAATACAAAGAAGGCACTGCGTATCTTGTCAAGAAGGTTTGACATCAAGCCTGACCATAGCCCGAGTCTCGCTTCGGATGTGGCTCGATTGTTGAATGATCGCAAGAACCTTTGTACAACATTGATATCACCTCAAAAAGGGATGAACCCTTCGTAGTCCCGATAATAGAATCACATCTCACGTTATTGGCCATATCGTTACAAATCAATGTCAAAATTTTTCTTTTCTCCACTCGGTCCCACACACGCGTCTTTGGCAACGGAGACTGATGGATCGGAATTTCCATAACGTCAGTTCATTTACAGGTATCGTATAAAACATATTTTTTCATGTCTACCTTCTAAGTAACGACATATCCAGGAGAAAGCACCTTTATTCCTCTTGACCCGCAGCAGAATCGTCTGCGGAAACTCAACGCCCATGCTTTCTGTGCAGACAACGGGACCTCACAGCCATCTTCCGGTGGCTAGAGTGCGAAGTACGACAAGCCGAAAAGGCAAAATGCCAGCGGTCGTCCTCAGCTCCGAATATTGCTTGAAAATTCTGATGACATTTTTCGAAACATATCTTGAAAGCAGGGTCACGCATGCCCTCGAAACGAAGAACAAGAAGAAACGAAAAAAGCCTCGACTCAAAAATAAGGGGAAAAAAAGGCCAAGATGCAAACCGATGTGACCAATTTTGATTGGCACGACGACAGCAAGGACGATGAAGATGACGACGCGCGAACATCTTCAGCAGATATCAAAATCGAATTGCTGCAAATGGGATTCATCCGTGGAGTATACAAAGAGTGCGCGACGCTTGCCGAAAAGGAAATTGATGGTCTCAAAGGGGAACAATTTAGAAAAACGCTCATCAAAGAAAAGATTGACTACATGTCACTTTGGCGCGAGTATGTCATGAATCATTTTCGACGATACTTTCAACAGTATTCGCAGTAGAATTGAAGCATCGAAGAATGAAGATAAAGATGAACAGACGGACGATCCTGTCACGGATCCGAAAAAATTCAAACAACTTACTCATACTTGCTCTGTCCCACTTCCACGAGTCATTCGTTCCGATCTCCTTCACCGCGATAACTTTTTGCAAAGCATCAACAAGTTTTCAGTTCACCTTACCGGCATCATCTCCGAACTATCAATGCTTACTTATCTCACTTGCTTGAATTGTAGCAAATCGCCAAATGGCAACATCCAGACACCACCAGCTTTATTCAATTTTCATCATCTTTTCCCGCCAGCGTTTCAATGGCAAAGCGAATTTCTCGGGACTTTCAAAATGATACCGATTCCACCGATACCTGATGGTTTACAAGAGAGACTGCATGCGAGAGCCAAGGACGGCAGCAGCAAGAAGCAGCTTGATGCGCATGATGATCTTCTATCGTTGCGGCATTTACAGTTTTTATATTCGCGGTTTATAAGTTCCGCAACAACGAAAAAAGAATCAAGGGACTTTCCTTCCCTCTGGTTCGATTGGTGCAAGAGTTTACCGGAAATGGCGCAATCGTTTTCGGATATGCCTGGCTGCTCTCAAACGATCAATGCTGGAGTCAAGGAATATTCGACTAACGTCAAAACTTTATGGTCCCGCGCAGCACCCGGAAAAATCTTGGATCGAGTAGTTCGCACTTTATTACGCATCCACTTGGCTCCTGTTCGCGAAAAAGCATACCAGGAAAAACTCAGAAAGTCGACGATTCGTAAAAGAAACGATAAACGAAAATGCCCCCATGCAACAAAGAAGGCGTTGAAATGGAGAATCAAGCAAAAAATGAGAAGTTTAGCGCAAGCTCGGAATAGCGAAAAGTCCCTGATCAGGTTACGCCGGTTGTATGTTCAATCTGAGCCAGACAGAGAGGTGACTATGCACGATATCACCGATGAAATCGAAACGCTGTATATATCGGATGTGCCAAATATCGATGAAGAAGATCTGTTGGAGCTCATTGAGGAAGAAGACGACGAAGAAGAAAGATTTGAGGAAGAGGAGGGGATAGATATCCGTCAAACCGAAGAACAACAAACAACATTCGTTGGCCATCAGGTGAGTCACGAAAAGGGATTTCCAGTTCAAAATTTGCATTTAACACTTTATTAAAGGACCTGAGCTGTCGTCGCTTGAACGCTATAAAGGCGGTGGTAAAAAAGTTGATTACGGAATCAAGTATTGATGGAACTGGCACAAAATCGCGTATTGACAAGTACACACCGCGAACTATCTCCTGGACGGACGAGGAATACCGGGTCATTAGATTGATTTCAGACCAACTTGCACCTTATTATCCCAAGAACGGAAAGCTGCAGAAGCACCCTGCCCTCCTCTTACCCTTTATCACATTTTCTAATGTGATCCTTCGTCTGGCTGGATACAGCAAATTCACAAAACGAATTCATCCCTCAGTCTCTCCTTCAGCGGAGCATGTGCTACACCTTGACGAAACTACCATTTACGAATTGTTTGGCTCGCAAAAAGGCATGTATGAATTCGTCTCGGAAAACGGCCATCCAATTCAATCCCTGGTGGAAGCGCGGAAGTATCCCATTGGTGTCATTGCATCCACATTTGATTTGGGACAGATCCATAAGATATGCAAAGGCTATGGATTGGCATTCAAACACCGCATTTCGACGAATGGGCACGTGGCCATTTTACAAGGAGCACGGATAAACCACCAATGCTATGACATGATTTCAAGATACCACAAACGTCATGAACGTAAGAAAGCACAACCCACTCCCGCGACGGTACAAAACGACAAAATCAAGGAGCAGATCGACTCCTTGAGTGAAACAATCGGTAGCCTGCAAAAACGTCAAAAGCAGATCGTGACAACCAGAGAAAAGGTCCAAAAGGAGATGAGAATTTTGAAGGATCAATTTTATCATAACCGTTCTGATGAAAATTATGCAAGGTGGCGAGACAAGAAGGCTGCGGTTCGTAGGGAGAATTATGTTCTTCTAGAATGCAGGAAAACTTTAAGCAAGACAAAGAACAAGCGTTATCTATTGCAACGCCAGGTACGTTATATCTTATACATTTGAATCAGGGATGATTGAACTAATACAACCCAGCAAAACCCCACCGAGGGAAATAAACGTGATACCGTGCTTTCAGTACCCTTTCCTCAATGCATGGATGAAGCGCAACGAATGGATATCAGCCAGTTACAGCATGCCGTAACTTTTTCCGGAACGGATTACGGAATCCAAACAATGTCGGTGACCGTGCCTTTGACCATACCGACCATCAGCAGACACTTGCAGTTATACAACAGATACGCTCGTCTTGAAACTTGCGCTGACGTCGAAGAAGGAGACGTTCTTACTGATTCTGAGCTGTTCCTTCCGAAACCGGTTAAAATCCGTGCTAAGAACACCGAAGAAATCTCATTTGCAAGAAGAAGAAGGCGTGAAAAATAAAAAAATGTATTGTTTTATTCACATCTGGAGAATGGCTGACTGATTGGAAAATAGATGATTCCTTCGATCAAAAGCACTGAAGAAATGTTGAGCCGTAACCCAATTTTCGCACGCTTGGACGCAGGAAGAAGCATTGCATAGTTTCAAAGTAATGCAGATTTTTCTTGAACCAAGTGGATATACTAAACTCACACCGTCATTGTTGTAGTTACAAGAAGATGCAAGCGACACATTGCGTAATTTTTATCATAATCGCAAGTCCAAGAAAATAGCATATACGCAGTCATTGCGTACAAAGCGAGCCTATGCGATGCTGGCGTCAAGCGAACGGGCGCAAATGACCGATCGAAATGTTCCAACGAACTTAGTGCTGTGCATTGGAAACGCTGGGACAGGTGTGGGCTCTCGCATCAGAGGCCATGCACGAGCGGGGGGGGGGGGAAGAAGATGCGGACGGAACACTCAAGAAACACTACAGTCGCTATACCAAATGAATTTTGCTCATCGAAGACTTGTTTATTCTGTTTCCAACAAACAGAGCTAGCGAAACGAAGATTACCGGATGGAAAAACGAAGCAAGTCTATGGTGCAGTCCGATGCATCAACCCAGATTGTCCTGCCGTGCGCAGAGGTTACGCAACACGGAATCGTGATCAGCAAGCTGCTTTCGCAATTGGTTTGGTGCGGTGCGAATGCTTTCGAAGAACAACATGACCTTGCCACCGTTTGATCCACGACCCCAAAGCAACGTCAATATGTTATTCAAAATGAATAACGCTACAAACACTATTGAGGCTATCCGAAACGATACGCCAATGGTCCCACTCAGCTTGAATGGATTAACAGTGGGCCAACACGCCCAAGACTAGTTAAACTTTAATATCCCGAAGGACAACGCACGTTCAGAACCATACAACTGCATCGCAAGAGCCATATTTTTGAACGCAGTGGGCAGTTGCATAAATTGTCACCGCTTTTGACCTAGCCCAGAATGACTGTTTTTTCTTTGAGATCGAATAGAACAGAACAGAACAGAAAACGCCCTTATTGGGTTTCTCTAAACAATAAACTTCGACCTGAACTCACTCAACTAAGAAGAGTTGTTTCTCTCGAACTTTGAAACTTCTTCCAGGGAAGATCGACCGTTGTAAGACATCCAGATCGAGGCTTCGCAAAGACGACAGGTAAATTTTTCCAGCCTCAAGAATCTGCAACGTTAACCCTTCCTCACTTTACTATGAGATGCCGCTGATTTCTCGGTGGTATCTCCACATACGTACCGCTGGCTTATTTTGCTCTACGTTCATCTTTTGGAAAAAGGAAAGCGGGGGTGCCTTCGAGCTGCGTATCCAGATGCACTGATGGTTTTCCATTCTTACATTCTTATAATAAAGAGGAACATTTATGACAATGAACCTGCAACCATGGTGAAGGTCATCAGACGCCAATCAACAGGAACAGCAAACAGCCATGCTGCGCACAAATCACTACTGTAAGCTGGAGCTTTGTTCAAGACACATTCACGCATGAGTGTTAATGATTATCATATTCTCCTTTTTTTTGTGTTTCTTAATTGTTTTATTTATTTTTTGTTGCCACTGCGTACTACGCAGGCCATCCTGCGGCAAACAGTGGACTATTTGGATAACTAGTCTTGACGGGCGGTGTGGACGAGGGCCGGGAATGGCTGTCCTTGGGTCCCTTGAGCCAATTGGCCCGGTGACCTGCCTCATACACACTTTCCAACATTTGGCCAAAAGTACCATTTTCCCGGTACTCCAAATACTTTTTATAAAGTATCAACGCCTGTGTCACAGAAAACGTCAGTTCCACAAAACTTATCCCCCGGATCTCTTGCACTCAAACTTACCGTTCGTGCATCTTCTATACTGTCGTGACCTTCCGACTGGATATCTTGGTGCAGCAAATGCCATGCTAAGAATCGTAAAGAGATTTTTCTGCACAACACCACTAGATGAGTATGCAGAGAAATGAGATGCATGTCACGATACTCTTACCGTTGTCGATTACGAATATGATAAATGTCTACTGTGTCGATGATTTGTTCAGGTGGTACCAGTAAATCTATGGGATCTCGTCAGCCACCTGCACTCCACCTTCCACATAGAGTCACTTACTGATGATTCGGAAATCCTTCTTCAAACCGTGGCCGATAAAGATGCATCCTAGATCGAGAAGCATGCGTAGTTTTTTATATGCAATCTTGAGTGGCACCAACGTATATTTCGAGGTCTTTGGATCGAGATCGCCCAGCTCAATACCACTAAACTCGGTCAAGTAATCCACAATAGGTTCACTGGTAGCAATATAATCATCAATAAACGGCACGGCCTCCTTTTCACCATCGCCACGAAGTACCGACACACGTGCCAGCGTGAGTGTACTCGGACGGATGAGCGATTTAGTGCCATCACTTCGGATTTCGGTCTCTTCCTGATTCAACGCCACAAATTCGGCATCGATAGCCACAATCGTGCCTGGTTTCGGCATTTCATCAGGCTGCAAAATTTCATACCGTGGCGATTTTGCAGGATTTCTATATAAAAAAAAAATCCCAGATTTCCCGTGAATATCGGTATGCCTGCTGAAACATGAGTCAAGAAAAGAAAAACCTACGTTGCTACAGTCACGTCTTTGAATAAGAGTGAGTAATCCACTTCTGAAGGCAAGACACTCAGATCTAACAGGCTGTCAATGTCGACGCGTTTGTATTGTAGAACAGAGGGCGTCTATATTTCATCCATGGTTAGAAGATGATCAGGTTATTTCCTTTTTTTCCCCTTTTTTTACCTTCCATATGCCCTTGAAGGACAAGACATCGTCACGCGATATCCGATTCACCAAGAAATCATTGAATAGATACCATGGCGTCTTTGCCTTGGGATCCAGTTCACTGTCGGGAACTACAATTGTGGTTAACTACAGCTTCCATAGGAGTGGGATCAACAAAAAGCTCACCTCGGATTTGTGCGACAAGATGCGGTAATTCCTCCTCCGCTTGAATTTGCAAAATGGTTGACTATGATTCAGAAGCGGTGAGCAGCATGGTATGAGCTGCGATCATGATGTGTGAAACTTACAGATAATTCATAGATAGCGCAGGTCTCGGGACTGCCTTTGAACTCAGCGGGTATGTCTTTGCCTCGGGGTAATGCCTTGATGACTAATTCGGATCCGTTGATATGGATGCCAAACCTATTTTTTATAAAACAGTCAGACATCCTAGGAGGACAAAATGCAAGAGAATATTCATTTAACCAAAAAAATTAGAACCTACCGTTCTGGTAACCACGAAGAAGGCTTATTGGCCGCTGATGGGTCCGCGCCGTTATCGCTGTCTTCTGTTGACTGTGCTTGAGAGAGCTGGGAACTCTTGGGACTGTTGGGGCCGTTTTGACGCCACATGGCGGCTTCGGCGTGATTGGAGGCTCCGGAATTGATCAGTAACACCCCCGGTAAACCTTGGATGATCTTTTTCGTGGTCGTAGGTTGGTATGAATGACAACTTGGGCACCATGCTTTGGTCTGATTCTCCCGGTACATGCTCGCTTTAAGTATGCTTGTAAACGATCGTTTTTTCGACTACAAAGCAAACGTTTTTTAAATCGATGGCACTACTTGACTTTGTTTCACTAAAGGTAAATTTACCTTTTTCGGATACAGCAGATCCACGACAAACGGATAGGTGATGCGTGATATTTCGTGTTGACAACTACCGCATTTACTGTGACTCAATGTCTGAAGACCAAACAGCTGTTGCATGGTTGAAGGGACTTCGGCCGTCATTTTTCCGTCAATAAGTTGCTCCGATTCTTTCACATTCCAGTTCAACGTCTTTGAAATCAAAGGATTGGAACCAGGTTGATTGGACTCTTGGTGCAGCTGTTCCATGATAAACCGCGTAAAGTTTTGCATGAGCATACTGTAAGAAAGATGACGATCGGGGGTCTCGGGTTCAAACAGTCCTAAAGCCGCGGCTATATTGCAACGCGTTTAAGGCACAATCCATTCAACATTCGCTTGTGCTCGCCTACCTTGAGGAATGGTACTGAAAGCACGCAAAAAGTTGGTGGCCTGGCAATTTTGCCCTTTAGAATCTTCCAACATGCGGAATAGGAAGCCCAATTCACACAACAGGCAGTTTTCTTTTGGACACGACGTTTTGATGTGGGATTTGGCAATATTGCGAAGAGGGAGAATAAAAAAGAGAACTTGCAGTAGGGAATTGCAATACGAGTTCCAAATGTGTGTTTCCAAACCGCCGTATTTCGTGCGATTATAATAACTAGCACGCAAGCAAAAATATTTAGCAGTCAACCTAAGGCCACCAGGCAATGCTGCTATACGTACCCAAAATCGAAATCGTCCACACCGAATTTGCTGTATTGGATTTCCACTCGACTGTATATTTTGGGCATAATCAGTCCAGACGGGTCCACCGACTTCAAATCACCCACAGAAGAGGATCTTCGACCGGAATGCTAAAAATGCACAGTGAGCGAGAAATTTCCAACACTGACCCTTTTCAAGCTTTTTTCTTACCTGAGGCTCATCATCGCCATCCAACAAGACGTTGGTGGCCATCAGCATCTCTCGTTCCTGTTCTGAGCGGAATTTCGGAATGTCCTTTTTGTGCGCTGCTTTCTTTCTTCGAGGAATCTGGTTGCGCAGCATATTGCCAGGATTGGGAGCATAGCCAACAAAATCCAATGTTTTCATATTACGCAATACCTCCTCGTCAATTTGAGCCGGTGGATGCCCAACTTCATAGGTGGCCATGGGTGACCATATTGACAGCAGAGGTTCAGTGTAATAAGGCATACCCACCGATGACAATGGACTACATAATTCTCGTATCAGAATACGTGCCATTCTACATTATGACGGACGGCTGTGGAATACGAACCTGTCTTCACCCATTTTAACATTGACAGGAGGTGCAATATCCGACGTTTCGAGAGGAAGAGAATATGGGTTACAGTCAAACTCTGCGTCGTCGGCGTATTGATACACAAAGCTAGCTCCATCGCCAAACGCGAGTGTATGTGCGGAACTGGAAATATCCATGGCAGTGATGTAGCTGGACGTTTGGATTTGATAAAACTGGGCTGGAGGCGCATAGGATCCCATAGTTAAACGTGAGATGTCGCACATTTGGAACTGGCCGGTTTGCGACGCTACAAGACAGGTGGTGCTGAGGGTTGGATGCATTTTCAAGAACATGGGACCGCTGGGAAACGGAATCGGCGCCAAGGAACGCATGCCCATGCGAATATCGTATACTTTGACGAGCGGATCCATGATCAGTGATCCTTGGCGTTGAGAAAATCCACAGGTGAGTAAAAGATTGCCGGAAACGTCAAGGTCGGAAAGCATGGCGGTGTGGGCTTGCACGCGTTGCTCGACTTTCATGGTGCGTGAATCTCTCAAGGTAACTTCACCTAAAAGGGAACCACACGCAATGGCGCGAGGAAGATTGCGCATAACGACAATGTTGGAAGCGTCTGAAATGGTGCGTGTAATAGCACCTCGTGCCAGATTGATAACTAGCATATCGTCCTGTTGACCGGCCGCCAAAAGTTCGCCGTGGGTTAACGTAGTCGTGGTCATGCAATGAAGATCTTTGATTTGATCATCGCTGAAAAAAAAGTTGAATCGATGAATACACCAAGGTAACGATGGTGACCATTGTCAATATTATCCAATCTACCTGAGATTCCATTTCACAAGACCTCGTCGATCGCGCATTTGTATGCTTTTAGGACTAAGACTAATGACACCTCGGTCGATCACGCGAAGTTGGCGAATTTGTTGATCTTTATGCGCTTTAAACGAGGTATAGCGTTGCAATCCTTTAGCGTAATACGATGTTACTCGACCCTAGTACACACGTATTGAAATAAGACATGAGTCAAAAAATATTGTGATAAATGAAAAACAATTGGTTAAGAGAATGCAGTTGGTGACATTGTGGGACCATGGGGTGTGGGGGGGGAGCGCCGCCGGGAGAGAGAGATAATGAAGGACGAATTAAATTGGTTAATGGAAACACTTACAGAGTCATTGCCAACCCATAGGAGTTCTCTGAATGGATCCCAACATAGGGAGGATATCGGCGATACCTTGTTTATGTTGGGATCGCAGAAACTCTGAACTTCATTCCAACTGCTCTCCATGAAGCTTCAGTGCCAGCAGCGAAAAATTGACAAGCTCGCGCACGCATATTGGGAAATTTTGCTTGAAATTTCGGCTGTAGGCCAGCTGAGGTGCGTCATCGCACATTGGCCAATCATAATTTGAGTATCTGACTACAAAGGAGACCGGCCCGGATTCTTTCACTTTACACTTTTTCGGGAATTGGATTTGGGATGCAACATGTCAAAGATGAGCTATTTCATGCATCAGAGTTTAAAAATAAAAAGAGTTTCCCAAAAAGCATGTGAAAGGTTCTTCGCACAAAGTCCACTAAATCTCCCATCCAATCAAGTTCTTTTGAGCTTCACCGTAAAGTATCCGAGCCCCCACCATGCGGTGAACCGCCTTTACTATTCCCTTTTACTTAAATGTCAACCCAACCAGTCAGTGTCTGCCTAAAACATGTGTGTCACCTGTGTGAAAAAGCCTTTAAATCACCTTTTGGTTTACGACGTCACATCACCTGCACGCACAAAATACCGGTCCACCCAGAGATCCAGACGGTTACTATTTGTTAGAAGGAATAGTTCTCGTGAGCGATGACAGAAGGAGCAATCCCTCATTTCGCTTGCCCATCTTGTTCGAGTCTGGCTCCCGATTTCGAGTGGCTGAAGGACCACATTCCATCGCACGAATTTCAGCAGAATAATGGTAGTGATAATATACTACCTTGCCTTCCGTCGCAGCCATTATCAACCCCTGGGATATGCATTTATCGGAAGAATTCAAACGCATTTCAAGACAACAATTCCTTAATCAAGCAAACCATGCATCTTTGAAGCAATCCCCTTTTGCCTACAGCAGTCTAAAACAAGCCTTAGATGTGGACTTGCTAAACGTACCACGATTTATTTGGTCTCTTACACCACCCGACGACGAACCACGGTGCAAACTTTCAAATATGCAATTCATTTTAACCGGCTTTTCCAGCAAGTGCCATCGTCATCCCTTTTGTCAATCAACCAAAGAATGAACGTACTCACTGGATTGATCAATTTGTGCCAATCTTTCAAACATTTGCCGACAACAGCCAGTTGGTTGGCTTCGGATGCTGCGAAGTCCCGACAGAGGAGCGCGCAGACTTCACAACTGTTTGAAACAGACGGATGCGAACAAACAAACAAATGTTACGATGGTCTTGGATACGATCTTCATGGTCGTATTCGTCTCGTTATGGAAGCCTCAAGCAACAATGTCACGGAAGACAACATTGAGCACACCCAGGAAGATACTGTCAAGACGCTCCATGCGTCAATCGAGATCCTGAACTCGTTCATCCGTCGTTATGCCGCTGCGTCCTTCTCGAGCCTTTGCTCTGTCGTGTCATTATCTGTCCAGTGCCTTTGTACGACCATCACCCTCTCAATCACCACCATGGACTGCGATAACATTGGTGCGTATATCTTTATAGAAGTACGGTCGGCCGATATCCACTTTCATTCCAAACTCGCTCATCATGGACGGGAGTGTTCGAACTGATTGCCTATGTCTATGCATCCCTTCGCGAGCAAGAGGCCTTCATCGAAAAATATTGAAAGAAAGTTCTGGTCTGATTCCTGGCGATGACCGAGATCGTGGACTGCATGTTCTGGCTGGAACATGACATTTTCCACTATAAATTTGCTCTTACATACATGCCGTTATCAAGTATCCTTGATTTACGTCAATAAACAGGAATGGTCATACGATGGTAGTGTTTCATTGATCCTCGATGATGGGGAAAAGTCTACTTTCTGGTCTCATTCGAAAGAATGGAATTAAACTCTTTGTTTAGTACAGTTTATTTTTATTATCATCTCTTCATTTTCTGAGAAAATGAATTCGAAGACGAAAATAACATTAGGGAAGTCAATAAATATGTCGGAATTACCTCATGCGCACCCGTACAGAATTTTCCACCCCTCCTCTTTGTCACGCTCTCCGGATCGTCCGCTCTACACTATTAGATAAAACCATTTACCTAACACCGGTTCTTCGACATCGAATCAATCTCAGAAGATGCCTCCGAAAATCGATCGTCCTATACTCCCGAAATGCATACAGCCGCTTCCAACCCAGAAACAGAGGGTAAGTCGGTGATATCATGAAGCTAGAAATACTTCTTCCAAAATCGTTAGATGGATTGTATACCTGCATGTAAACGACGAAGAAACTTTCCGGGACAAGGACCTCACCATTCCTGATCTACATTGATGGGCGTTAATGGTAATATTGAAGCAAGGGAAAGACTACTTACCTTCGTCAAATGTGTTTGTTTTTACTAACCATTTGACTAATTGGCATCCAATTGAAGTTACATTATACCCGATCGTCAATCCATCCTGAATAAAAACAGAAATTGAGGCTGGCCAGAACGGAGGTCCCCGGAATACCGTGATTGTGGCCGTCGCAGTTCTGGTCGTGCACCACAACGAATGATGTGTACTCTGATGCACAAAAGGTCCATCTCTATATACGCAAACCTTTTCCGGTAAAAGTGAACAGGGATTAAGGTTACGTCAAGTATAATTCTCACAACTACAGGAGTGGGCTGCAAGGAGGGAGGCCAGTGGTGGTTGCCCATGCAACTGTCAAACGGCATAACACAATGGAGCCCGAGCCGATCAGGTGATTGGTCGAAAATCTGTGTCGGCGGTTATCTGAGAGGAATTTTTCATTGACGAATTTTCATGAAAAAAGAAAGAAAAACCAGTTTTCGAACGGTTTGACATGTTGACTAAGAAAAATTATATATATATTTTCTGTAAGCCCGCAGAAACCGCTGATTTTTTTTATTTTCCCTTTATCTGTTTTCCTTTTTTTTTTATTTTCTTCGGTCTTACAGCATCTAACATTTATACCTCCCAAGTATTTGTTTGTTATCGTTACAGATTAACAAAGTATAACTACGCAACAGTGAACAATGCCTGTCTCTGTGCTTTCTGTGCCCTTTTTCACCTCGCATAAACAACTGTCCATTCATTTGGCCGAACCGGTCGTTATCTTGCGAGGATTCCCTCAAGATCCCGTCACACAGGTGTTACATGGTGAAGTCGAACTCCTCCTCACCAAACCTATCAATGCCTACTCTGTCAAGGTCAAATTAGTAGGCAAACAACATATGCTCTGGCCTGAAGGTAACCTATTTTTCTTTTTTTCTTTTTTCGGCTTTGATAAGTTCATCGCTAAGTGCTAATGTGAATTCTCTGCAGGTTTTGGTGCTCGCGGAACCAAATTGTACAATGAAAAGACAATCTATTCACAAACCATTGTGCTGCAGACATGGCCTGAAGATCAAAAGGAGCCTTTGAGTCCTGGACTGCATCGATGGCCGTTTGAATTTATGTTACCCAAAGATACGGTAGAGACGATTGAAGATGAACTTGCCAAGGTGTTCTATTACATCTCCACGACCGTGCACCGGGCGGGCAAAAGTGTTCCAAAGCTTCGATCGCGACGAAATATTCTGATTTTACGTACGCCCAATTGGTCCGATCAAGCCCTCGCCGATACTTCATTGCCGACGGCCTCTATCACCTCGGAACGGCACATGAAAATGTTCGATTCCATCATCTGTATCGAGAAGTCGGTGGTGTCATCGGGCACCCGATTCCCGATTGCGCTGACCATTGCACCGACGGTCAAAAATCTCTTTTTGGAATCGATCAATGTCATGTTGATTGAGCGGCGGTCATATCGTTTACCCGAGTTCAATGCACGACGAGGAGAAGTTCATGATTTCAAGTTACCCATGGCCACCGTTACCAACTTGACCGATCCATCGTTGACCGATATCGTTCCTGCATCGGATGTGTCCCTCCAGCATTTGCGAAAAGTGCTGTGTACTAAAAATGCCCATATTCCTCTCGAAGCCAACCCTTTCCAATATCGATTTGTGTTCAATCTACCCAACTGTGTCAGCTTGAATCATACCACCACCTACCATGAGATTGAATTCCGTCATTATCTTCGTATTCACATCGAACTCTCAGTCGGTCTTCCACCAGGCGGTGATCAGAAAGCGCCTCGCGAACACATTCATTTTGAGACGCCCATCACGATTCTCGATTGTCGTTTGAAAGAAGATTATGCCGCCTTACCCACCTACGTGGAGGCGTTGTCGGACCCTACCGTCAACGACGATGATCTGCACGAAAGTGCCAGTGGATTCTTCATTTGTCCGTGCTACCTCGAATACAAAAAAAAGAGACAATCCAACGGAAAACGTGAATGGATGCTTGTTCGTCAAAATAGCAACGAAAACACACCACCGCCCCCATCCTACGAATCCGTGGCTTCCAAACCTGCCGCCATCTCCACCGCTTAAGCAAAACAACAAAACCTCACAAGACACGATAGACGCTTATTAGAAACGTGCTGGTTACGTGATGAATATCCATGACTAATAGTAAACTGCATCTTGTCATTGTAAATATAATTGTAGCATGGAAATCAACAATAAATAAAGAATAATGCATATAAACGCACTGAATTTATTGCAACTTGTTCTTAGTTTACCGATGACCAAAATACCCTACAAGCACAGAGGACTCAGATAAATCTAAAGCTGAATCTCCAATGGAATAAAAGTCTGTGCTTTTCTCTACCTCAGTTGTCTTTGGATAAACTTTTCATCCAGGCAATCCAGCCATCTTCTCTTATCTTTTGAAATCTTGGCTTATAAAGGCCTATGATTGCCACATATGGTTATTCCCGGCTTCGCGCCTATCCCTGAACTGCTATTATGTCACCTTTCTTTTTTTTTATAATTCTATTTCTTTCTCTCGTCAGTTCCTTTGCCTTTATGTTATCGTAAATATTAGATGCAAAAAGTGAGTGAAGATAACATTTAGTCCAATGTTATGACAAGGCTTGATGAAGACTATAAGCAAGCCAATAGGAGCACAAAAGACGGTCCTTATTGAGGACCAGGCCATGTCATGGTTGGAGTCGGTATACAACTTGGAACCAGATTCATTCCGAGATGTTCCATTCTTATAAACCTACTTTTTTCGCTTCATGAGATGAATTTTCCGGGTGAAGGACAAAGAATGCGTTTATCATTTTATATTGGATGGTCGGTAAAAGGATCAAGTTTCCAACAGCATGTTTGGATCGGAGCTTCATTAGCTGACAAAGATAGATGATTGCTCTCGTCCCCACGGGCAAATTTATGGCTGCAGATTTTGGCACCAATGAAGATCTTCCGATCTGTCGGACCGGGAGGGTCCTTTTTATTCACATCTTTTTTTTCTCCTTTTTCGCCGTGCTCTTTTCCAAATTATCGAGTTTCTTTTTTTCTACTTGCTGCTTCATCGTTCGTTTCCGCTGGCATAGCAAGAGATGCCGGTAGTGGTTCCCTTTTTTGGGAGCAATCCTTTGTCCATTGTGTTGGCTGAACCGGTCGTTATGATTAATGATTGTCCAGATGACACCATCGCTCACACATTACATGGTATCCTTGAATACGTCTTGACAAAACCTACTACAGTGACCCAGATATCGATCAAACTCGTTGGCAAACTGCGAATGATGTGGCCCGATGGATTAGGCCGTGGTGGCAGTCGAACATTGCACGATAAGGTCCTCCATGAACAGAAGCACGTTCTTCAATCATGGCCCGAAGGTCAGCTATTGGAACCGGGCCTGCATCGATGGACGTTTGATTTCTTCATCCCGAGCGAGATCATAGAAACCATTGAGGATAACTATACCCAAGTATACTATTATCTATCGGCCGCAGTGCGTCGTGTCACCACGTTCCAACCCAACCTACGATCACGGCAAAATTTGCTCATCCTTCGTACCCACAGCTTGGCCGGACAAGCGCTGATGCGTCCCATGCTAATAGACACATCGACCAGCGTTCAGCGTACCATTGACGAATGCGATGTTACAGCTTGTCTCGAAAAACCAGCCACATCTTCAGGGACCCAGATTCCGATAACTGTCCATATTCAACCACATGGCAAAGAACTTTTTCTCGAAGCGATCTCGGTCATTGTTACTGAAAGAAGGACCTACCGGTTTCTGGGTGACCAAATGCAACGGACGGATGAGAACAATTTCAAATTGACGCTTATTTCAGGCACTAATATGGCGGATCCGGCATTTGGGATTCAAGATGTGCCCGAAACCCAACTTCGTAAATTATTGACGGCCAAAAATGCGCACGTCGCCATGAATGCGCCATTCCAATACCGCTTAATATTGGCTTTACCTTGCTGTCCCCACCTGAATCACTCAACCCAATGTCCCTTCATTTCCATCACTCATCATCTTCACATTGAAATCGACGTTTCGCATTGTACCATTCCCACATCATCCCCCAGTTTGACTCCTTCTTCCTCCTTCTCTTTTCTTCCGTCTACCGCATCTCCAGCGTCACCGGTCGAGTCAAGAAAAGTCTTGCATATGGAGCTTCCTTTGACCGTGCTCGATTGTCGTCTGAAAGAAGACGCTAATTTCTTACCGACTTATGCAGAAGCTTTGACCATGTCCAATTCCGACGTCATGGGATCCCCTGAAAGTGCCGCAGGGATATTCCGGTGCCCCTGTTATCTTGACTATTGCAAAAATCGACGCAATGCGAATCAATGGCCAGACATCAATCCAGAGAACTTCCGCAATAGATCCCTTCACACCAATAGAATTTCACTCAACGAACCACCGCCTTATGATGATGGCGTTCGCATCCCGCCCTAATAACTAATGCACGTGAAATAAACAAGTATAGACCCGACTTCTTTTTCTCAATCATCTTTGATTCAAGAAATGGGTTGATGTCAAATATGCGTAAGATCTGAATCCACCAACCGTTTCAGCAATAGCAGACGTGCAAGTTGTGATTGCGGTATGAGATTTAACTTTTACCCCTCCGTCGAAAAATCCTGGTTGTTGGCGCCATTGGTATACGAGGTGTTTAAGAGTTCGTACTATAGAATATATCAATATTATTAGAAGATCGCAATAGATCAAGAAAAAGAGCCGGTCGATATCTGACTTGTTGCTATTGACGGGTTTGACGTATCTCATTGCATTTGGACGTGCGATCGCATCAGAAGGAAAAGAAAAAGTCCGCTGAGATGTTCAAGTTCAAGCATTGGGTTTGGTCCATGGAAGCACTCCGACAAAACGGGTGATGACAATCAACGCCAATCTATTACCAAGTGCCTGAAAAATTGAAAAGAAATATGGAAAGCTCCATCTAATAATGAAACTAGGTTCGACCTGGCTTTCTCTTTTATGCATTAGGCTTTTTTAAGCATGGTCTCACGGGAAAAACGGATCGGAGCCGAATTACAATAGGTTGCTAAAGTGATACAAGCGAATGGGAAAATGAAGAAAATGAATTTAAAAACATGGTAAAAGTACAAAAAGAAATAGTATGTATACAGAAAAAGAGAGATTGTGAATTAACAGAAAATCGTGAAAAAAAAGTTCACCACCCTGTCAATATATGTGTGAATACAGCACCCTCGATGAATGGAGAAATAAATTAAGAGACGTAAAGAGGGGAGGGGGAGGAAAGAAAAAGGTCGTTCGTTGATGAGTCAAAGGTGCATCAGGAATTGTCATGGGGAGATTTTTTAATGGGTTGGGGTGGCGACACCCTTTTTCTTCATGGTCTGCTCCGCTTGAGCATCCAAATTTGCTAACCATTGATCATCGATGTACCAAAGGCCGCTTTCCTGAAGTTTTCGTTTCTTATCCTCGCCAACCTACAGATTCAAGTTCGAACATGTCAGTATACCTAGGCACGGGAAACACGGCAGTGTTTTTTTTAAAAAACTATACCAGATAATTGGCATGGACAATATAAGGTTCAACACCATGCTTTTTCGGCAGATCGTGTGTAAAATAGACGAACCCGTTCGGGAAATGAAGAACGTCGAGAAGCACGACGGTGGAGGTCCGAATATCCATGTTTAAATGGTCCAGGGCTGCGTTCATCGCACCTTGCTGAGTCATCCCCTCATTGGTATCCTGTAAATAAATGGTCTCGGCAAGCAATCGCTTCATCTCATCACTCGGTCGCATGATATAAAATCCGCTGTTGACCACTTTCTGATCAAATCCTTCTTGCTGGAACATAACGTGGGTCTCATGACGGATCTCCAAAAATGTGTGAATATATTCTCGCATGCGTGGGCGAGTCCATACAATATCGACATCCGAAAACAGGACTTTGACGTCGAGATAAAGCAGTTGCTGCACAACGAGAGTTTTGGCGTGAGTAATGGCTCGGTATTTTTTGGTGTAGTACTCTTCAAACCCGGCTTCAATTTCTTGATGAAGCCAGGCTTCCGGAATCACTGAAGCGTGATTCTCGTAACCGGCTTCGGCCAAATGATGATACAGTTGATCGTCGAGACAAAAGATGAGGAATTTGTCTTCGCCCGTACGCTTCAAAGATTCGATCCAATTATAGACATGATTCCGCATACCATAATTGGATACAGCGACCGTCAGCACTCGATCTTCCCAAAGATTACTGTTAATTTTATCGAGCAGGGTTTGAGGAGGTGGGGGAAACGACTCTGGAACAATAAAAGGGCTGCCTTCGGCATGTTCCTGTGGCGGAGATCCGTTGCGGTTATCGTCAACGACCCCATGGTCGTCATGACAAACACAATTCGAAGATTCCGGCCGAGATTGCGTCGAGTCGGACTGCGATCCATTAAAGTAGGTCTGCTCCTCCAAATAGCCCGAAGAAACAACCTTGTCGATTGACGATGACGATGAGGAAGAAGTGGTAATATAGTTTGTATAAAATAAGGTGACAACGATAAGAAGCGCTAAAAGGATGGCCAGCACCTTGCGCGAATACTTTTCGACAAACGACATCCGGGTTCTATGTATAATCAAAAAAAAAGAAAGAAGGACTAGAAAAGATTGGAAAGGAAAGGAAGGGAAAAAACAATCGAATGAAACGAAAAGAAGAAAAAAGATGAGGAACAAAATTTTGTATGGCAAAGCGGAAATACAAAACGATGATGCCTGGAAAATACCTTTTTTTGCTACATACTTTCCATATATAGCGATCCGGGCACTTAATTTTGTATTGACGGAGTATAAAACCAGCCCCGTTCAGCCAAACTTCGGCAAGCCCAGTTGTCCGTTTTTCCAACCAAGCTTGGCACCAGTAGCAAAACCTAATTTTGCAAGGACTCTATTTTCGAACCGCTTCATTGAGCTCGATGCACATTAGTTTACTATATAAAATCAATCTTCCAAACATGGCTTACTGTGTTTGCTTGATACAAAATGCATAAAAGGCTGGAGATGGTATTGGCTGCTTGCAAGCTGTGTGGAACTCACGTTATCCTCGCTTCGCTAACGGGGTTTTTTAAAATTAGACTTGGAGGATGTCTTTGAGGTTGCACAAGCTAAAATTTCTAGGCTAGTTTTTTCTTCATCCCGCGATCAGTGGAGATCCCCACATTCATTTGTAGACCGTTGAGCTGTATAAGAAAAATAGTACCATCTATTCCTAAAATGTCGAAACGACGATCATCCAAGACGATCCATTATGACGTCGGTGCTTCCTGATATCCCAGACACTGATGAGACATCAAAGACAAGATCAAAGCAACAAAGACTAAAGATTGTTCCAATACCGGGGCAACGATAATACTGGAAAATTTGTTACCGAGACAATATTCATCTCATTCTAAGAGGACGACAAACACTTCATTTCTTTATACAACTGCCTACTCAAATAAGGCTCATAGGAAGTGCCCATTAATATCATCTGTCACTTTTTTCTGGCACCTTGACCCGAATCGTTTGCTTATTCGTGTAAGTTGTGGCTCTGACAAGTGGTTTTTTTTTTTTTTTTTTTTTTTTTTTTTTTTGGACAAGAGACGAATGTGATGTGGTAGCCTGCGATCTTCTAGAGCAATTTAATCATACCGCCTGACGATCTTTAGTGCAATGGTTGTCATCATTGCGCAAAAAACACCACATTTGCCGATTTGCAGCTGCGGATCGCTGGCATTTCGGTTTCAACTGTAATTCAGCATGTACCATTCTCAAATACATGATGCTTGACAGCACCTTGAGGCTGCCGCATAGTTAGCATCCAATGTCTTTAGTATTATTATTATTTCCAGTTTTTGAACGATGCGTCGAGAGAATGTTGAACTCCATATGCATGATAACAAAGCACAAATGGCTGAGCCGATGATCTGCAGCTTTGATTTTTCCGAAGCGCGGGCATTGATCTGTGGTCGCAGAAAGGACAAATGACCATCTACGACAATAACTCGATTGGTCGCCTACAGGCTCCTTCTTTGTACCACAACCTTCATTACTATAGAGCAAGGGGTCTCATCTCCCAGGAGATGAGACCCTATACAAAACAAAAGATGAATAAGAACCACTGGTCCGGAACTATAAAACAGTACATCTGAATATGTACAGAAAACGACTAATTTAGCCGATCCATAGGCTCATTCCCATTTAATACCACATTTAGCTACTGAGAATACAGTGAGCATGGACAGAGCAATCCGATGAGCGGCTCGATTGGAATAATAAGATGGGCAAAGTAAATGAAATATCGACGTCATTTGGGATTGGCCATTGCCGTCATTACAAACAAACAACAAAAAGGTTCGAGATACAGCCGTTCATACTATGAGTGGAAAAAGAAGAAAAAAATATCCTTTTTCAATGTTTGCTTTGTCTGTCATTGACATAAAAATATGCTGTCGGCAATTTAAGACAAAAAAACCCACGCGATCATCCTTTTGATAGACATTTATCGTTCATTATTGTGTTGAATGATGCAATTCACTGAAGGAAACCTCCCAACCTTACCTTCCATGAAACAGCTCTTGGATGGCATCCCTGCTTCTGGAGCTTTCGGTACGTTGGGCATACCTCTTACTCTGAATGCTAGGTGCTAAATTATTATCTTTTCACCATCTCATTATTATTTTTCTGCTGTTCGAAAAAAATAAAAAAAAAATAGATAGATCATCATTTGACGACGATGCCGTGACCCATTTACCGCAAATCCTAGAAGATCGTCAAGATCGTTACAGTCTTCCTCCTCCTGAGCCGATGCAACCGAGTGTCAAATTGTTAAACTTGCCACTGGATGCGTTGCGCACTTTGAGCATTTCAAAACTAGCCGCACGTCCTCACAGCACGCTCCCATCCCCGCTGCCCACCGAGAGCAGTGATTCTCGTCCTCAACCGGTACTTCGATTGAACCTTTACAGAGGTGACAGTGCAGAAGAAGAAGATACCACGGGTCGGTATCCGTGTCAGTATTGTCCCAAGCGGTTCACACGTCCGTCGTCACTGAAAACACATGAATACTCCCATACCGGTGAAAAACCTTTTGAGTGCGAGGAAGGATGTGGACGCAGGTTCAGCGTTCACAGTAACATGCGACGTCATTTGAGAGTTCATCGTACCGATAAAACTAATGCACAAGAGAAATCATCATCTGAATAAAATGAATTACGGTCTATAATAACATTCTATTACATTCACTGCCGCATGGCAACATTTTACTTTTTTTTCTTATTCCCTGCTACATGCTAAATATAAAAAGAAAAGATTACAAAAGAAGCGTGCTTATAAACATCAGAAAATGCAGTAAAGAAAAAAGATAATGGTATATAAATCTATAGGGGAGAGGGCGGGGAGGGCGTGTGGATTGGGCAAGGATGACAATTCGCAGCGTGTGGCCAAGCGCTTGGTCATCCCTGATCCATCAAGGTGGATTCTTTTAGGGACAAAAATAAAAAATCTACAATTCCTCTAGTTTTCGGACCACGGTAGCCATATAGCGTGCTTTGGCAATCTCTTCATCTGACCAGCCGATGAATCCGTCGTTCAAATCGTCAATGTCTTCGCTTTCATTGCCATCCTCTTCACTGTCTATGCTTGTGTGTGATTCATCCTGCAAGCTGCTAGTACTGCTGTTGGTCGTGGTGTCATTTTCGAAATAGTTCGATCGATCATCATCGTCAATAAACAAACCAAACACCTCGTCAAGAGCCACGTCGGACGCATTGGATGAACCTGAGGGAGGTAATGGAGGTCGACGAGCTGAAACAGGCCATGAAGGAGGAGAATGAGGTGGGGGATGCTGCGATGGTTTGCCAGAAGGCGTGGTAGCCGAAGAACGGGTGGTCGAAGATCCATTACTGGAACGCACAGACGGTGCAGATGGCATGCTTTGTGTAACCTTATCCCCTCGATTATTCTCCACAACAGCAAACGATTTTTGCCGCTGTCGCTTGTTCCAATGCAGGCATTTTTGTAAGGCATTAAACCAATCAATGGCCTGATCCTCTTTGCAAACCTAATGGGCAGTCGGTCAATACACACCAGCTTTGCCAAATCCAATGCTGGATCAAGCTACTTACCGTGGGGAAAGGATATTTTGACGCTGTCACCTTGACGTGATCACCCTCTATGGAAAAAGGAAAAATACAATTAGCCTCGATAAAATTGACACAATATTATCTAGGCTGGAAAGAAGAAGAAGGACAAAGAGGGTTTGGAGGAGTTTAGACACGTACGTTTGAGCTCAACCCTTCCTCGGCCATCAAAACTGGCCCAGGCCGTGGTGCGGGAATTGTAAGGAACACAGATCCGTAGTTCCATGGAGTCGGGAACAAGAGTCGGTCGGAAAGAAAGTGTGTGAGGACAAATAGGCGTGATCAGCGTGGCATGAATCTCTGGATGCGTGAGTGACCCGCCCGCAGAAAGCTAATGGCAACAAAAGATTGGAGGGGTAAGTACTGATGTGTGACGCAAAACATTTGGATCTATCTGGTGCTTACGGAATAAGCAGTGCTTCCGGTGGGTGTGGAGATGGCCAGTCCATCTGCTTGCACGGTAGTAAGATGTTTATCGTCGCCAAACAATTCCAGCAAGCTAACGTAGGGACTCGGCCCTCGGTCGACCACCAGTTCATTGATTACTTCGTATTTTTCAACCGGCACCGTGGTGAAACATGGGATCTGTCGTTGTTCGGCCATGTCGTCCTCTTCATCGGCGTCGCCCTCGGCCAAGGCAACCGCATCGTCATCAAGATCTTCCCCATCCACCTCGCCAAACTTTTTTTGCTTGCTTTTCTTGGTCGACGAACACCACCCACCGACGGTGATCTTGCCGGTAACCGGGTTACGTTTGACATTTCTAAATTGAACCGCTTTCCCCTCCGCTGCAGAAGCACCATTCATGTGGGGCACTTGCCGGTAAACGGTACACGTAAGACGTCCACGCAAGTTGATTCGTACCCCATTTTCCATCGCGCGAGTCAAATGCTTGTCGTAACGGTCAAAATCAAACGGTGTCAAAAATCCCAATGACCCCAAATGGAAAGGAATCACCGGCGGAATATAATTTTGGAATAGCCACGATGAAAATAATACCTAATCAAAATCCATCCTGTCAGCTAAACAGAAAAAACCCTCCAAAGACATGATGCCAGGGACTTACCGTGCCATCGCCGCCGAGCTAATCCATCACACATGCAACACACAGATACACAATGGTTAGTTCTCGTTGCCATCCTTCTTTATCGTTTCTACAGAATGATTTACCGTGATAATAAAATCAAACATTTTCGGCTGCAGGACACACATTTCCGGATTCCAAAATTTGAGTTTATCGACAGCATTGGGATAACGGCGCAGCACCTTTTTGTATCGAAATCTTTTGGAAGCCTTCAGTTTTTCGTCCACATAACTATCATTTTGTCATGGTTACTTAATTGTCACCACGTGGATCCCTTTTTGCTACTTTTGCCTTCGCAAAACTTACACTGTAATACCGCTGGGTAATCCGTATCGAGGTGTTTCAATGAGCCACAGTGCAAGATCACGCGTCATACGCACAAGCGAGTAATCACCCGGTTTGGTGATGACCATGACCGATTTGGGATTATCCCACTTCACCTTGGTTTTACCTAAGCAAATCAACGTTGGTCAAAGCGAATCGAGGGAAAAAAAGAGTCCACCATATCATTTTCAAGTATTACCAATTTTTCGAGCCACTTCTCTTACGGCACCGGCGGATTCTGTCAAACATGAAGCATGGGTTGTGGGCAAAGGTTGTTTCGGTGCCTTGTTATTGAGAGCCGCCGTGAGCTCGGAGCATGAAGCTGCCTCGACGGTAGTTTCTGGATGTCGGGTCATGCCAAAACGAGAAAAAAAAAGGAAGTGGACGGAATGGGGTTGCAAATCAGACGGGGTCACTCTTTGCTTAGGTGTCAGACTTTGGGTTCCTGTGGGTTAACCTTTGCGGGGCACATTCCCGAAAAGTGCGTCACATGATTAAATATCCGAAAAACCTCATAATGAACACAACTCACCTCCGACTCTTAATAAACTCTTAACATGTCAAAGCCCGTTCGAGCAGACCTGCATTTTTTTTTCCAAAAAAATATATTGCCATGACATTGCTTTGCTGAAAGCTTTGTTGTAAGGAACAGTTACATCACAAAAGGATAAGGACGACATACGATCAATACTCTGACCTCAGATGCTTGAATCTACTCTTTTGCCTGTTTTGGCCAAAGCAGTCTCACTCCGGGAGACCATCGGTGGTCATGGTGTGGTGGTCATCCGAAAAAGGAATGGATCTCTGTACGAACGATCTAACCGAATCATCAGATTACTGCTGTACAAACACTGCCACATCGTATCTACCTCCAGGTCTTCTCTCTATACATTCAGCATGTAGCATAACACGCTTTTGCCTTCGATCGAACATTTTTTTTCCTGGCTCTCCGATCCAGGCCCTTCAAATTTCTAGTACTTTTTGCTATAAAATAATAAAAAAGACAGATGGTCAGTGAGAATATTCAGAATCAGTAAACTACAAGCATGTGCTGAGGATGGATGCAGCCAGTTCGTCTTTCAGTGGGGACCGACACTGTCATTAAATTAGTTTTGAGACCGAATTCTCTCACATTCGTTGACCTAGTGATTTTACCATTTTTGATGTGGCTCCTGTTTGTATAAATACACCTGCAATTGACCTCCTCGTCTTCAAATCTTTCTTCCTCGGACTCCCATCCTTTTGTCGCGAATACGAAGGAATATCCACATAAAGACCGCAAAGTAGGAGATCCAGACAAAGTGTACTTTATTGCTCGGTGTCTCTGAGAACGCTTTGAAAAGCTAGTACGAACTCCCAACAAAAAAAATCAGATAGCTTATTCAGGTTTTATAAGCTGGGCTTAGGATGTTATCGATTGTCACAATTAAACTGCAGAAAATGATAATCCATCCGATTATCATTATATCCTATAGATCGTCCTATCTAATTATTGTCTATTTTGCATATAAATATCCATTGTCTACCATAATAAAACGATATCAGATTATCTTGTGAAAATCCACTTCTTGTCTGTTCCTGCCCAGCCCGGATCCTGGTCTCTTTTCTTGTCCTATCCTGTCTTGCCTTGTTCCTGTCCTGTGAAAGCACCTAACACCTTCTTGTTCCTGTCTGTTTTCTACTTCGACCTATCCTTTCATTATTACCACACCCTCTAGTCTAGTCTTGTCCGTCCCCAGTCATTACATCAATAGTCTAACATTTGTTAACGGGAATGCAACTATGCTAGACAGTAAGCAATATGCCCTCGGAGTGGCCCCATTTAAGTCTGAGGTGGAAAGTTGGGATCTTTTTTTATGAGTGGTTTTGGATAGCCTTTTTTTTTATGGCCGGTTTTTTTGGATAGCCTTTTTTTTTATGAGTGGTTTTTTGGATAGCCTTTTTTTTTATGAGTGGTTTTTTTGGATAGCCTTTTTTTTTATGAGTGGTTTTTTGGATAGCCTTTTTTTTTATGAGTGGTTTTTTTGGATAGCCTTTTTTTTTATGAGTGGTTTTTTGGATAGCCTTTTTTTTTATGAGTGGTTTTTTTGGATAGCCTTTTTTTTTATGATTGTTTTTTTGAATAGCCTTTTTTTTTTATGAGTGGTTTTGGATAGCCTTTTTTTTTATGGCCGGTTTTTTTGGATAGCCTTTTTTTTTATGGGTGGTTTTTTGGATAGGCTTTTTTTTTATGAGTGGTTTTTTGGATAGCCTTTTTTTTATGAGTGGTTTTTTTGGATAGCCTTTTTTTTTATGAGTGGTTTTTTGGATAGCCTTTTTTTTTATGAGTGGTTTTTTGGATAGCCTTTTTTTTTATGAGTGGTTTTTTTGGATAGCCTTTTTTTTTATGATTGTTTTTTTGAATAGCCTTTTTTTTTATGAGTGGTTTTGGATAGCCTTTTTTTTTATGGCCGGTTTTTTTGGATAGCCTTTTTTTTTATGGGTGGTTTTTTGGATAGCCTTTTTTTTTATGAGTGGTTTTTTGGATAGCCTTTTTTTTTATGAGTGGTTTTTTTGGATAGCCTTTTTTTTTATGAGTGGTTTTTTTGGATAGCCTTTTTTTTTATGAGTGGTTTTTTTGGATAGCCTTTTTTTTATGATTGTTTTTTTGAATAGCCTTTTTTTTTATGAGTGGTTTTGGATAGCCTTTTTTTTTATGGCCGGTTTTTTTGGATAGCCTTTTTTTTTATGGGTGGTTTTTTGGATAGCCTTTTTTTTTATGGGTGGTTTTTTGGATAGCCTTTTTTTTTATGAGTGGTTTTTTTGGATAGCCTTTTTTTTTATGAGTGGTTTTTTTGGATAGCCTTTTTTTTTATGAGTGGTTTTTTGGATAGCCTTTTTTTTTATGAGTGGTTTTGGATAGCCTTTTTTTTTATGGCCGGTTTTTTTGGATAGCCTTTTTTTTTATGGGTGGTTTTTTGGATAGCCTTTTTTTTTATGGGTGGTTTTTTGGATAGCCTTTTTTTTTATGGGCGGTTTTTTTGGATAGCCTTTTTTTTTATGGGTGGTTTTTTGGATAGCCTTTTTTTTTATGAGTGGTTTTTTTGGATAGCCTTTTTTTTTATGAGTGGTTTTTTTTGGATAGCCTTTTTTTTTATGAGTGGTTTTTTGGATAGCCTTTTTTTTTATGAGTGGTTTTTTGGATAGCCTTTTTTTTTATGAGTGGTTTTTTGGATAGCCTTTTTTTTATGAGTGGTTTTTTGGATAGCCTTTGGGTCTGTGAGACTGTGCGTATATTTGAGAAAAAGAGAGAGTTACAATATATAGACCACAATAAAAAATATAGCTATTGGGCTTACAATGAGCTAGTTGTACAAGGCAATAATGGTGTCTATATAAGGAACTACTGCTTCAACCGGTTATGTCTGAAGACTCATCTATACGACATTATCCCCCTCCAGGTTGCAAGCAGGCTCTGAAAGAGTACCACGTCTGTAAAAACCTCTAAAAAACCCAGTGGGAAAAATAGTATGAGGAAGACTGTGTACCTCGTGACAGAGTTTCCATGATGAAATCGCGGGCATAACCATTTCAAGGTCGTAAATTTCGCTTGCTACGTCTTGTTGCTTGAGCAGATTCGCTTGCTTTACGTTTGTCGTGTTCGATATAATAAATAACATATTCCACATACATCAATTCCTCCTTCCTCGCATTATGGACATGGCCATGGATAATTCTCATCCTCAGAACGTTCGCAGTTCAAATATGCCGAGTTGTACTACACTCAAATCCTAATCAGTGAAGATGAACCTGATGACCATCTTTATTCACGAACCGACCTTTGACATAAAACAATCTTGCCATTAAATGATCATGCGATCCACATTCACAAATTCACCGTCTCCTTGTCAATCAAAAGTCACAAGGACAACCGTATCCTCTTGTCATTCGTCCACAGTAGTTCTACAGCAATATCTACAGGATAAACGACTTATTATAATACGATCAATTCAGATGACGATCCGTTATAAACTATATAAGCAGACATGAAGAATTGATCTGGGCCTTTTTTCCCTTCTTTTGTTTCTCAATAAATCTGAGTCTCAAAAGTTTTCAGGTTTTCTCTGTTTTTACACTTCTTTTTATTCACAAACACCACAACGTTTAATGGACTTGGTACCTTTGGTGTCTTCATCCTTGGTCCCACGTCGATTCCAATATTGAATAATAAAATCTGGATCAGAGAACTTCTCGGCAGCTAACCATTGATCGTCTTCTGGAACGTAGCCTTTCCATCTTACTTGATATTCACGGTTCCCTTTAGGGCCTCTGTGTGCTATAATACTTTGAATTTCATAGTATTCTTCTCTGGGATGACTTCGTCTTGATTGATCAATTTCATTTCCGATGGAGAGAAGTCCCTGGACATAAGTGCACCAGTTTCGTCCTGAAGAACATAAGAGCCACCTTGCGTTTTCCGTAAAACTGTATAGGGACATTCGTAAATGGGTGCTAATTTTCCTGATCGATTCTGCATTTTCACCATGACGTGACTGCGCTCTGGAAAGTCGACAATTCTGTGTTTCGCGTCGAACTTCTCTTTTTGTTTATCTCCATACTCCTTCACTCTTTTGTGCAACGCCGGAAAGACGATGTCCGCTATATGGTCAGCACGTTTAATGAGTTACGCATGAGACATGGGTCGTGCCTGTACTGCGCCATCCAGTCGGTAATCTTTGAAGTCGTTTAACCTTCGTGCAAACATCAATGAGAAGGGCGAGGCGTTAAGTCGTTTTGAGATACGACTGTTTATAGCCAACTGCGTGCTTGGAACGTAATAAACCAGTCCTTGCCAGCACCTTCAATCTGCCTTCTGATGATTTGCGTTACCGTTCCGACATGTCGTTCAGCAAGTCCGTTCGCTCGAGGGTAGTAAGGTGTAGTGAGTCGGTGATCAATGCCGAGGCTCTCAGCAAACTGTTTCATCAACCGATCATAAATTCTGTACCGTTGTCAGACTGGATTATCTTGGGAATGCCAAAATCGCAGAATACTTCTACAAAGGCTTTTACCAGTGTATCTGCCTGCTTGTTGGGTAAAGCGCGCAGAACACAAAAACGAGTACAGACGTCCACCAATACCATGACGTAATTATTCCCTCCATTTGATGTCTTGTAAAAGTTCACAAGATCAACGGCCCAGTGATCACCTGGCATGTAAGAGTATATTGGTCGTAAGCGATTGTAACCCTTTTGCCAATATTATACCGTTGACAATCAAGACACGATTTGACAAGTTCCACAGCATCTTGGAAAATGTTCGACCAGCGCATTCGATCAGCATGTACGTGTCGGACGATGTGTTCAGCTCCTTCGTGACCTCCCATCAAATGTGCTTGTTCAAGTATCGAATGTCTTTCCTCATCAGGTGGACAGATCATTTCTTTTGAGTCAGCAACATGTTTGATGGTCAATATCTTTCTCTGTCGTTTATCCTCTTTTAGGCAATTTTAGCTTGTGACTATGTGACTGAATATCCCCCTCCAGCTTGTCATCAGGAGTGAACAAGCGAGAAAGTCGGTCGGAAGAACGTTCCGTAAAACCTGGATGATGGATCACCTTGAAGTTATAATCCAAATCGTATCCAACCAGTTGATTATCATTGGATTAGCGATCTTTTGGGTGTGGATATAGGTAAGGGCTTTATGGTCAGTGTAAAGCGTGAACGGGTTTTCCCTATAGGAAATGATGGAATTTCTGGAGTGCATAAACAATGGCTAGCAACTCTCTTTTGGTCGTAGAATAGTTACATTCAGATTAGCTTAAGGAGCGGGCCATGAAGGATACATATTGCTTACGTGAACCCTTTTCCTGAAATAAAACAGCACCAATGCCATAATTGGATGCGTCAGTCGCGACAAAAAGCTCTTTACTCATGTCCGGGTATTCCAGCAGGAGCCGTTGCGCCAATATATCCTTGAACATATTAAAATGCTACGTAAGGTAATTGGTCCATAATTCTCCAAATTGCCGGCGGAACATAGTGCGTCCAGTGGTGCACTCACGTGCGATATGTTTGGAATATGATCACGGAAGTAATTCATAATACCCATAAATCGCTGAATATAAGTACCTGGTCGTGCGATCCATGACATCACGTTGGTGAGTTCGCGTTCATCTGGGGTCATACCATTGGAGGAAATGCAAAATCCGAGTAAATACACACATATTTGTGCGAAGTGGCATTTGTCTGCATTGAGCAGCAGGTTTACCTTTGTCCGAGCTTCAATAGCCTTCTGAACGTGTGTTATATGTTCATCCAAGGATTTGGAAAAAATGACGATATCATCTACGAATAGATCACTGATCTGGGATTGTGCAGAAACTGTCCTTTGGAATGGCAGCGTTCGCGTTTAAGAATGGTTGGATCTTTTTCATAAAATGCTCCTGTTGTTCCTTGCTACCTGCAGGAGATTGATTCGATTTGGGCTTATCTTCAAGCGGCACAACTTTCGTTTGTGGGTCCATTTCTTTTTTAGAATCATTGTCCCAACTGGTTGCCACGCCTATCAACCTATGCCGATGAGAGGCAAAATATCATAGCCTAAAATGGCTTCGTAGTCATCCAAGACCTCAAAAACATGAGAAATCTTATGGCCATTGTATACCACTTCAAGTGGTACAGTAATACCGTATTTTTGACAGAATCCCCTTTTGCAGCATACATAATAGAACCTTTGACATTATCAATGTGCCATTTATTCTGCATACAAATCTCTTAACTGATAACGGACATTTCCCCTCCAGCGTCCACTAAGCCCATGCAGCGTTTACTCTGGATCATAAGTGGAGATTTAAGCAATAGTGAGTTTTGATGATGCTTGATGGTATTTAAACGGAGGCACTTACCATTTGCATGGCGTTCCGACTCCTCCATGCCTTCCAACAAATCGTCGAGGGCTCCATCAGCGGAATGACTGTCGTGGACACTCAGATTTCTCATGGCGTCCACATTCTGCGAAACAGGTGACCGCTCAACTCTTTCCATCCCGGCAGTACTATTGCCTGCTCTCATATGACGGTTGAGACGTGCCTGTCTCGACTTCTCTTGGTTCTTCTGGCCCATGACTTTGCGATATTCATCGCATTGATGGCCCTTGCCCCATTTCTGGCGGCAATGAATGCACAAACCAAGTCTTTTCAGAGCTTGCTTCACCTCACTCTCAGTCTCTGGCTTAGCTTCCCTAGCGGGACGCTTGCGCGAGGCTGAAGATGTGTAAGGAAACGATATTTTGTTCGATTAAACTTTCATTGTTCCAAGATGTTCACTATCACCCTTGTTGCTATCGCTGGCCTTCCCATGGTTGACGTAGTGCGCCACATCCGTCATGAACAGAAAACGCGGGTTCAAAACCCCTGTGTGTTTTTCACGCAGAAAGTATACCATTGTAGGTCGACGAGCTCACCTTAGATAAAAAGAGATGCAATAATAGCGTCTCATAGTTATACTCGTTACGACGGGCCAGTTGTAAGAAACGTTCCTTTTTTTTATGAGTGGTTTTTTTGGATAGCCTTTTTTTTATGAGTGGTTTTTGGATAGCCTTTTTTTTTATGGGTGGTTTTTTTGGATAGCCTTTTTTTTATGAGTGGTTTTTGGATAGCCTTTTTTTTATGGGCGGTTTTGGATAGCCTTTTTTTTTATGGGTGGTTTTTTGGATAGCCTTTTTTTTTATGGTGGTTTTTTTGGATAGCCTTTTTTTTATGGGTGGTTTTGGATAGCCTTTTTTTTTATGGTGGTTTTTTTGGATAGCCTTTTTTTTTATGGGTGGTTTTTTGGATAGCCTTTTTTTTTTAGTGGTTTTTTTGGATAGCCTTTTTTTTATGGGTGGTTTTTTGGATAGCCTTTTTTTTTATGAGTGGTTTTTGGATAGCCTTTTTTTTTATGAGTGGTTTTTTGGATAGCCTTTTTTTTATGAGTGGTTTTTTGGATAGCCTTTTTTTTTTGTGAGTGGTTTTTTTGGATAGCCTTTTTTTTTATGAGTGGTTTTTTGGATAGCCTTTTTTTATGAGTGATTTTTGTTCTTACCAGTGTTGGAAATGTCGAAACAGACAACCAATGTAATGACCCTAGAATGTGCCATTAGAGGAAAACGGTAAGCGGGCAATCAGATACAAAAAAGGTTATTCCAAAACTGGTAAGAAAAAAAGATATCCCAATTTGTCAGCCTCATCTAACGCCTTTTATATAGAAGAACATCATGAAGCGAAAAGGACCCATTTGAGCAATAGTTTAGTAGATGCTTTAAAATGTACAGGAATCAATTGGGATGAGAGCTGTCAATTGTGATGGTTGATACGTGCTTTTCTTTTGCGATTGATGCGGATATCCATTATTGTTGCTATTCATTGTCGGAAAAGGTTGCCATTGTGGTATATCCACTACTTGTCGTATTATTTATCCTAGACCGGTGTTCCCAAACAGAAAACATCGGGTTTTAGACCTGTTTCCCATTCTTTAGTGAGGTTAATTAAATCACCGATCAAGACCTATTCATCCATAACTTGAATCTACAGTACAGTATCACCGAGATCAATTCATATGGGTAACGCTGTCACAAGACAGCATTGCGAATCCTTCCAATATACCTTATAACCGATGACTACTTACTGATAATTAGGCAGATCACTTTAATCGAAATAAAGATATACAACAGTCTCAAAGGATTCTCATTGTCTTCTTTTGTTCTAAATTCTCTCATATATTACAGGCATAAGTGACGATTGTTGATCCCTTTTTTTCTGGTCGCCGCATAGGCTCCAGAAGGAAGACGCCCTCTAACCTCAGACGTTAGAACTGGCACATCCCCATGCCATTCTAACCACACCCATGGTGCATATGTACCGTACACGTGCTGGGCAGATTGACGGAACAATCCAACGCCGACCTTGGGCGGCCGTCATTGACACCCAGGGTGGCCACTACTCCATTCAGTGTCAATAGACAGAACGGACAACATAAAGCAGTCAATTCCAGAAGCTTTACCTTCATAATGGGAACATCTCCTTTTGGCTGCCATTACGCACTCTTGATGCATACAGGAAAGAGAAGCCTTTTCCGTACTACAGGGAAACGGTCGGAGTGACATGAAATGGACGGCGCGTCATCTTAAAATTTTGATTGGTGTGGAGTTTTCCCTCATGGGCTATCGCGGTTGCTCAAGCATGAATCAACCAAATCAACATGAAAAAAAAAAGAGAGGATCGTGTATGCCAAGAGGGGAACAGCAAAGTAGTGTATTTATTATATATTTGTATTGCAACCATTGCTAGCGATGATCGGAGAGCAGGCAGAGAGTTAGGCTTAAACAAATAAGGGTGCTTAAAGCTTCATGTTGTGAGGTAACTGGCCCTTGCTCAATCCGAACGAGGTGCTCAAGTTTTGACGGAGGAAAAGAGTCTTGATGGCAGTATCAATGACAGCGTTCTTCTGGTCAACGATTCTTGGATTCAGGAAGAGCTTTCTTCTACGACCATTCGTAAAATACAAACCCGAGTCTACCATCTCAGTCATTATTTTATGCAAGGTGCCATCATCGTAAACAGCCACCTTTGGCTTGTCACCTTCAAGGAGTTTCTTGTAGACCTTCTCCTCGGGTTTCTTGAAGTGAGCATTGTTGAACTTGTCATCGACCTAAATTTTCGAGGATAAAAAAGGCTTTCTTCTATTTGTTGGTAAGGCGATCATAAATTGCGGTAGGTAGATCAATTTCAGTTCGTTGTCAGTGAGCGCCAGATATATGTGTAAAACATATATATCAGATTGTAGATTTCGTTAGTCTCGGCGGGAAAAGTGGGTAACTTACGAAAGTAATAAATCAAAGAGTCGAAGGCCTTTGTTGCCTGACTAAAAATTTCCAAATATAAAGAAAAGCTTCATTTGAGCATCTTGATAAAGAAAATATTAGAGGAGATGTGCTGGTATGTTATGAGTGTTTATTTCGGATCGAAATACGAGGGTTATATTGTTAAGGCTATGGATCGGTGGATGAAGAACGGTACATCGGCTGCGGAAAACCAAACCCAGCTCCAGGAAAATCAGAGAAATATCAGGGCAGCAGAAGCCGGGCAGAATACTGCCAGCCAAAAAAAAGGCCATCCAAAAAAAAAAAAAAAAAAAATTCGTTGTTCCTTTTCTTCGTCCGCAGAATGTAAAAACTATGTCCAACAACGAAGGGAATATTATTGTGTTGTTGAAGAAAGTGTGCCCCTATTGCGACAAGACATATCAGTCGAACCAAAAAGCTATTAACCATATCGCTGCTACTCATCAGAAAAAAGTCCAACGTCTTCTCACTGGTCATCGCAATTTCGGCGTGTACACTCAAGCGAATGTTCAAAAGTATGAACAACTTGGCTACTCAATCACGATTCATTATGGCTGTGTCTCGTGCAAACAGACCTTCGTTGTGAAAGAAGAACTTAGAAAGCATTGTGACCAGAACCATGTCATGGCATCTCAACCTGAAAATGGGTATATGAAAATACAGTATCTTGTGACAAATGAATTGGGTTTTTTATATTTTATTGTTTTAGGATCATTACTGCACCTGACGATATCATCAAGACAGGCTGGATTTTTCGTTGTCCAGACAATGACCATCTTTTCTTTCAAAACATCGACATCACCAAGCGGTTTCACGAATTTCGCCATCATGTGAAAACGATTATTGACGAACCGCGTCTCTTGACGTACGAATCCCATGTCCAGCACGTCTTGGCCTTGTCATCGATTCTATTGCTCAAGCCATCCCGAACTAACAGTGACCTTCATCAGTTCATAGAACCTGAAATATGTGAAGATCTTATCGAATATTTGCTGGACGAATATGGCATTCGGTCTTGCGAATTTGACCAATATGTTCGGCTTGATGCTGAAAACATTGTGAAGGTATAATCGAGAGAGTGAAAAAAAAATGGCTGTAGCTTATTTATAAGTTATGTAGAACTGCATCAGAAAGAAGGTCACAACGTTCCAAGACTCACAACGGATGATGGCTCTTATGGTTGCCAGCAACGGTGCCCACAATAAGATATTATTATGCTTTCGAAATCTGTAAGGGCGAATTAAGAAGAATAACAAGCCATAACGCTTATCTATTATATGTCAATTAACGTTTGCCCGTAGACTTGAACAATTACCTTTAGAACCAATCAGTCAGAAGGTTGATGAATTTGAGCTGATAACAAGATAAACCTCTGCGGCCATTAATCCATTGCTGGAAAACCTCACGAAGCACGTCATGTTTCGATGGTATGAAAAGAAAAAATCTCAGTCAAACGCAAGCTCAATTTTTTTTTGTCATTTTCACGTATTTTAGGACTTCTGTTGCGAATGACGAGTGGAAGTCCAGTGACATGTCACTCTTACAGGCCAGACCTGATTCAACTATCAGCATGGTGATAGGCACAGAGATCGGCCAAACACTAGGGTACGGAGAAGTGAAACCGGCTTCGCAGACCATGAATCACAAGCTGGTCGGAAAAGACTTTGTGCGCTTGGCACTTTTAGCAAAAAACGCCATTGATAGGTACCATAGCAAATTTGTCCTGTCGTTTCTTGTCGTTGGTAAGTTTTTCTGTTTTATTTTGAATGCAAAAAAGAAGACAAAACAGCACTTTTTCTTAACTCTGATCATGTTGAGTTAGGCCACCACGCCACCTTCTATTTGACTGATGGTACAAGAAACGGTTTCTATCCAATGGTCGAAATTGCACATATTCAATTGCCAATGTCTTTAAAAGAACTCCCATTATTCATCGCCCAAGCCGACCAACTGGCAATGGTTTCCTCAGCCTTCTGGAACTTGTGCGTCGACCAGAAACCGGATCAGCAATCATTAATTATGCCCACCCTTTCCGACAATGAAATAGCATCAATTATGGATATCCACACCAATCGCAAAAGAAAAGCTCATACCAGCCATCATCATCATTAGTACCTCTGATCGTAATTCATTCATGTACATCGATTAAAACAGCTACTGAAGTATAGTGCTCAAAGTTCTTTTTTGTTTCAAGGTATTCGTCATATGCCTGATGATATTTACAGGATAACATTTTCCGAGTATCGCATCAATTTTCGCATGGCGGGAAGTTGCAAGTTTAAGAGCCACAAGTTGGACTAACTAGTGGGCGATGTTGCTTTCGACGATCAAGTTACTGTACAATGCCAAAGGGCACAAACTTATACGATGAGGGAGACCCAAACTATGTTAGAGCATGAACAGATGGATTCGTAAAGAAAAAAAAAAGATATGTTATCATAGTTGTTGTGATATAAGCAGCTTGACATTCCATCATATGATAAAGTCTCAAACAAATCAAACCGCGGACTCGAAGTGATAATGTGAGGTTCACGGTGTATAGAGACTCGAGAAAATGACTGATGCAATAAGAGGGAAAATAAAAGTAGGGTATAGTTTAATCCTGCATGTCTGTTTACGTTCCTTTTTACATGAGAACGGATGCGGGGCGATCAAGTATTATCCAATAGAGAACTATTCTATACGCTTATACTGTCATTATTGAAACTATTGGCCATTCATTGTTAGCAACAACAGTGATGCTATGGCAATAAAGAGTCCGTAACACGATTGGCCGGTGAGGGTGGCGCCATTGTTGGAACCAGACGGATTTACGGTATTGTTATTGCCTACAGGGGCATTCTCCTTTTTAACACCAGAATAAGATGGAGTATCGGTGGGATATTCAGTTTGCAGATAGCTGGGAGGTGCATTCGGTGATCCACACTGATAATAATCATTGCAAGCGGTAGCACATTTGGCGTCCTTGGCAGTGATACAAGCCGTTTGACACGCTTGATACTTTCCTGAGCATTCACCTTGGACAATGGGCCATAAGTATGGAGTAAAATCCGGGACTTTTCTCTATAAATAGATATGCGTTAAGTGTTTGCCGTAAGATGCATCCACCATAAAAATAAAAAGAGCTTGTATTCCCATCGGCATTCCGACAAAGTTGAGGGATCGGCATGCTGCATGGATAACCTTTTTTTTTTATCCTGGACTACGCGTGCGTAGGAAAACGACCCACGTAAAACTTTACCTTGCAACCGCAACCCCAGGCCATGGACGTTGAATTACAGAAACTAAGGGACAAAAGGGAGATGCAAATAAATGATTAGAGTCGATACGAAACAAGGGGGTGAAAGATCCTTGGAATCCTCTTCGGGGGGGCCGCGGGGCAATTAAACAAGAGGAATAGAAAAATAACTGATGGTATTTTATCCAACGTACTTTTTAGGAGCTTCATTTGGCCCGCCGCAATTGTTCTGATAAATATGTAACAAAGAATCATCATAAGTATCCATGCCAGTTTGCATAATCAAGGATGTAAAGAATCGAGGGTGGCCACTTACAGCACAATAAGCGATTTGACGCTGGCATAGATTTTCGCGGTTGGCCGCATCCATCCTTAATATGTCCCAGTCGACGTTGGGTAAATTGGCTGCAACAGTAAAGACGTTAATAGGATTATACTAGATCCAAAGTCAAGTTGAAGCATACCTGGTTTGTCTCTGGGGGCGGTGGTTACAGGTGCTTCCTGAGCATTCACGAGAAGAGCAGCCATACACAGTAAGTAAATATATTTCATGATTATTACAGGGGAAATAGAAAAAGATTATAAAAAGCGACGAGAGACTACAAAATAAAGAAAAAACTGCTTGAATTTATAGTAAAGAAAAAAAAGCGAGTATGTGTGTTCAAATATTTTCTCTGTAAAAAGTGCTTGAGGGGCAAGTCACCATCGCATCACCTCCTTTTAAAAATACTGTGCCCTTGCCGCTGAAATAATGGCCGGGACACCATCATTTAAGCTCGACGTGTGATAAATTGGAGAATGTCTGCATAAATAAAAACCATACATACCGATAAAACAAAGGAAGCGTTGTACGCCAACAATGCCGTCCCGCATCAATGGAGACGGTCTATCTTTTTTGTCCTCTTATGTAGATTGTAATATATAAAGCAACAGCTCGGACTGGTTGATCAGCTAGCCTAGTGGAACGTTCAATAAAAGCGATTTATCCATTACAGTATCAACATGCTGTGAAACAAACATGCAATACTGTCTTGCTTGTGCTCTTTCTTTATTGTCTCCAACTTTTTCTTTGACTGAAACGTCCTTACTTCATTCATTTTCTATTTGATTTTCTCGGGTTTTTTCCACTGTTGAGAGGAGCAACAAAGAAAGGTTCCTTCATCTTACTGTAACGTAACCCCTATCTTTAGTGGTATATCACGATACGAGGTAAGCTGCAAGTGGTTTCGTGCCTTGCCCTTTGTCATTGTTACATGGTTATTGGCGAATGCCCGTTTAATGTCTGGCAGAGTTGTAGGTCTGTTCACTCTAAACATTCTCAAAGGATGGTCTTGGAACGGAAGGTTTAATAAGATACAGGAAGAAAAATTCATGACAATTGTAATTCTTTTGTATTTTTCTTTGTTACTGTGTCTTGGACCTTGTGCATTACTTTGCACGATAGTCTTGCTGTGTTTTTTACTACAATGTTTCAAAAGATTAAAAACAGCTAGTTCCCAATAGGACAATGAAGATGGAATGAATAGAATCATAAAATGAAACATACAATTATGATGAAAAAAAAAAAAGCAACAAACTTACAATGAGAAAAAAAATAAACAAAAACGAAAATAATCTAGATAAAGACAAAGAAAATAACTATAGCACATGCGAAGCATCATGTTCAACATGGAACGTTGTGCTTGCTACTCTATTCGGATGACGTGGTCTCCTCAACTCTTTCGAATTCAAGCATCAATTCGCAATGATCGGTGTGAGGGAACAAATCAATGGAGACGGCCCGGGTAGGCTTGAAAGGCATGCCCTTGAATCGATTCGATTTGGGACGACACAAACTGTTCAGCGCGCAAGCCCATTAGCTATTCTATTTTTTGTTTATGTTTTTCCCCCTGGAATCATCTTATTTTACCTGATGAAATTGGGCAATGCCTGCTTTGCATCGCAACTGATAAAAATAACGCGCTTGATGGCGGGCGACTCACGAACCGCGCGAACCACACTTGCGTGAACACCGTTTCTGAAAAAAAAAACCAATGATTCTTAGAAACTGAAATGGCAGAGCTTGGGAAAATCGTTCCTTTTACCTTGGGGGATCCAAGACGGCCACCACTTCCTCATTGGAAGCATTGGCGACCACGTCGACTCGGTCTTCGACCTTGGCGGCATAGTAGGAAGCGTTGGTAATATTGTTTCGTTCGGCATTGGCTTTGGCGTCAACAATAGCCTCGGGCACCATTTCAATACCAACGACGCGATCCACCGATTTGGCCATGGTGATACCAATTGTACCAGTACCACAACACAAATCCAACAAGGTGGTCTTTTTTGATTTATCGATATTACACCATTCAGCACATTTGGCATAGAGCAGTTCTGTTGCAGGGGTGTTCACTTGGAAAAACGCGCTGCTGGAGATACGGAATCGACAACCGAGCAATTCTTCGTATACGTAGCCATCCCCCGTGAGAGTTTCGATCTTGGCTTTATCGGTAATACCATTCGAGTCACCGTCCCAAATTTGAAGTAATAAGGTGGTGATTGGCACCTCCACGTTGTTCCAATATTCAATGAGTTTCTGTTTTTCGGCCTCGATCTGAGCGTCGGACAAATCCTTGGCCCTCATTTGAATCAAGACCATCACTATTAAAAGGAAAAAAGGACAGTAAATATAAAGTACACCCTATTACTTGTCTGTTTCAAACTGCATGTTTCTCGGACGATCGGCCTTACCATCACCAGTGCGTTGAGTTTTGGTCATGATGCATCGCCAGACGCCCGTTTTTTCAGCTCGATCATATACTTCATAATCGGATGCTCTTACATATTCCTACATTTGAAAGTTAACTTGCACTGTTCCTTTTCGCCTTTTGTGCCTTCTTCTTTTACCTCCATGGCTTTGGCCAACTTTTTGGTGGTATCAGAAACATGCAAACATTCACTGGGTTCCAAAACAGCGGTAATACCGTGACGATAAAGGCCCAAAAGAAAACCAACGGTAGGTTCGCCTTCCAAATTCTTGCCAATAGTGAATTCGCATTTGCTGCGATAACCATTCACTTCAGGCGAGGCAATAGGATCCAGCACTTCACACGGTAACGAACCTCTGCGTGACACAAAAAAAATTAGAGTCAGAAAAAAAAATACCCCATTTTTAAATGAAAAAGCTATTCAGAAGTTCAATACATTACTTTTCAAAGGCCCATGAGATTTGTCGCTTGGAATCCTCTTTGAGATCGGGAAGTTTTGCAATGCTCTTTTTAAGATTCATTAAGTGTTTGAGACCGGATCGATTTTTGCGCTTCAACTGTTCTTCATAAGATAATCTATTGAAAATATCACCCCAGTTAAAAAACATTAGGTTTTGGCCGGTCGGTGAGTGCTAGATTATATTTGCTTACTTGTGGAAAGGCGTGACCTGATCTGCTAAACGTTCAGCGGGGGTACGAGGATCCTCTTCGGCTTCTTCTTCAGGCTTGGCATTCTTCTTGCCCTGGAAGCGTTTACGATAATCCTCTTCCGCGATTTGAACGTATTCTGTTTTCAACAATCGCTTCTTGAAGTCAAGGCCTTCAAGTCTGGCCATGGCATCGCGTGCTTCACTTTCAGACTATTATAAAAATACGAAAACGATGAGTCAAGGGACAAGCATAGAGATGATGATAAGAAAACAGTCGAACTTACGTCAAAGTTGATATAAGCATAATCCCAAGTGGGGGCTTTTTTGTACCGCGAGAATCCCATGCTCTTGAAAAGCTTCTTGACAGCGGCAAGTTCTCTTTCAGGGAGATTGGTGACCTTGACACGGTGCAAATAGGTGATGGATTCCGACGGCTTGGTTTCGTTCACGGCGGCGACGGCGGCATCATCGTGATCGGTTTCAACCTTCATCTTTTTTTGGTTCATTTGTTCTTCGTCGTTCTCTTCCTCGTCAAAGGATCGCTTGCGTGAGAAAACGGAGCTTATCAAGGAACCAACGTACTTGAGCATATAGATACTTGATAGACGAAAATAGAAAAAAAAAAAAGAAGTGGCAAACGAATAGACGTTATATTCAGTAATAAAGTCCGGAATCGAAAAAAATAAAAAAAAAAACTTTTTTTTTTGTCACATCTCCCCTCTGCTCATAAATTTCAGCCAATCAAATTGCAAGAATCCAATGTGTGGGGTTCACAACACCGGTGTCAGCTTAATCTAAAACTGACACTTTGTATGTCTCTTTTTTTTTGGTGGTTGATGTGTTATTTTGCATATGGTCAAGACATGGAAATGTGCTTTTCCGAGCGCAAGATAGAAAACAGAAACAGAAAAAGAACAAAGGGGGGAAAGAACCAAATATGACGTGTGTGCGAGAGAGAGAGAGAGAGAGAGAGGGTGGGAAAAGAAAAAAAAAAAAGAAAAAAAAACCAACAAGAGAAAAAGACAGGAAGACGCAAGGGGAACGAATGGAACAAAAGGTGATATATAGCAAAGAAAAGAAAAGGAGTGTGTCTGGGAGCCGTAGCTTTGGGAATAGTGTGATTTGGGGAATTTACAGGAAAAAGTGAGTATATTGACGACTGTCGATGTGAATCTCCATATCGGACAGTTTGTACTCATTCAATTCCTGCTTGATTTTCATGGCCAAGACCGGTGTAAGTTTCTGGCAGGTGGCGTTGGAGTCACAACGACGGTCGTATTCGGAAGGAGAAAACGTTTCGTGAACACGAATCGTAGGACAGAATTGCAGTTTTCTGCATTTTCCCAACGAACTCGTCGAAGAAGTCGCGCTCGGTTTCAAGATGGGCGATCGATGGTGGCTTCCTCCAAAGTACTCTTCGGTAGTACACCGTTTGGTCTGACTGTACGTCGACGATACCACAGAAGCCGCAGGTGAAGGTAATGATTCTGCACTCGAAAAGCGCAACGACTGCTTACTGAAAGATGTTGGCTTGCATGCATCCGAGACTTTGCAAGAAGGTCGCGCTGTTACACATACAAAGCGGTCAGTGCCATCGTTCACACAACTTCAAAACCAGTGCTACAAACCTCACCTTTAAGATTTTTTCGCGAAGGCTGCTTCAGGATCTCCGAAGTGGATTGGTGGACGTCATCTTCTTCCTCGTTGATGGTGGATTGGCTTAAATCCGACGAAGAGTTTTTGTGAAACAGATTGGAAATCGATACAAACGATGATCGTCGACGTCTTTGCTTGGATCCCACGGATCGAATGGAGCTTGTTTCGCTGTCACCGGTTCCCGTTTCCTTTTTACCGTGATTGATGCTAAACACGCGACGCAACCTCTTGGATATCGAAACCTTGGTTGCCGTCGATATGTCGGAACGGATGGTGGTTTGTGAGGCCGATGAGGATAACGAATTGGTGGAAGAACGACGTGCGGATTCTAGAGATGGAACGGGCGAAGCGGAAGACGAGATGGAAGGGGGGCGCGAGATGGAAGGTGTCCGAGATCGTCGATCCACGGATGGCGGACGTCCTTGAGTATGATGAGGATTGGATTTAACTTTAGCTGTAGGGTGGGAGTGGGATGCCACGGTGCCAGATGAGGCTCTTCGTTGGCGGAGATGATATTGTTGAGACGGTTGCATAAACATGCGTTGCTGATAGTGTTGCTGATGTTGAAATTGTAAGTATTGCATATGCGCTTGTTGTTGATAATAATACGCCCCATAGTGTGGATGTAGCGACCAGTCGGCAGAATAATTCCAAACGTCAGACCCATGTAGCGGCTAATAAACAGTAATAAAAACTGGCTTAGTTTTTTATGCTTCATCTTCAGGAGTCCCGAAAAAAAAAAAACCTGGAAAAAAAAAAGAACAAGGGAAAAAAGGAAAGAAAGATGAGGAGGCATGATTCAGGAGTCAACTCATCATCCTTTATGATTGAACCAATGCCATCGCCCGTTCCATCCTCTTAATCGTCATAATGCACGTTCCTCAAAACCATATCATTCCAATAAAAAACACCCCGAAATATATGTATAAAAAAAAGGTTCATCATGACAGTCGTCAAAAAAAAATTTGCACGCTGTCGTTTGTTTTTCCATCGTTTAGGATCTCTTTTTTCTTTTTTTTTCCTTTTCGCCCTCCATGATAAACAAAAGGGAAAAACAAAAAACAAAAGAGCACTATCCCAAAATGGAAACTGGCGCTCATCCTCCTCTTCCAGCAAAAGACCATGAGTGCAGGTTTTCGTCATGATGCTACTTGCCTTTTCCATTCTTAATTTATCGTTCAGCAGCGTCGCGAGTGTCTTATCATCGTCATCGTCTTCATCACTGGCTCTTTCGACGTAGTCTCGAATCAGCGTAGGGGATTGAACTGTTGTTGCCATGGTGAAACCGACCAAAGTAAAAGTGATGGAAAGAAGTGGGGAACGATGATGATAGATTCAAAGCAACTGGAAAAACGATGAAATAGGCAAGAAATACGGAAAAAGAAGTACAATAGGAGATGATTTCGTCGTATAGTGCAGAGTGTACAAAAAAAAGTCTTTGGGTATATACAATAGGAATCGGGAAAATAGTAAGATAAAAAAAAAAGATATAATAGAAAATATAAGAAAAATAAGAAAGAAAAAAGAGAAAGAAAAAAGGGAAAAGGAGAACCACGTAGACAAGTAACTTCTAGTGATATAAACAAAGAATGAGAAATGATTGGAAGGTGTAGGAAACAGAAAAAAAAAAGGTGAAAAAAGAGAGAGTGTCACAGGTTATATAGAAGATGAGAAACGCGCGTTTTGCTCCGCCTAAAAATAATCCTTTTGCGCTTCCGTCTTCTCGCTCGGTCGTTATCCCTTTGAAAATGACTTCATCCCTTTTGACCCTTCTCTTGCTTGCACCAAAAGTTTTTTTTTCTCTGTGCCATGGAAATCCCCTTCCCTCTCCCCCCAAAAACACAGTGTATCTGATGATAAACAAGACATCTCCTATACCTCCTCAGAGTTCCCCTCCAAAACTCCCATACCGAATAACTGAAAATAAAAAAAAGTATCTCCCATCGCATCTCCTTGAATCATCGCGTTTTTCTTTTTTATTTAATCGTATTCCACCATATCATCGGGTTCCTGAAACAGACAAAAAGACAAGTTCAACACGTTAATGCATAAATGACAACGTTATTAAGGAATGATCCTTGGCCCTTTTTCTTTGTCCTACCTTGGGTTCAAGATCTTCTCCATATTGCATCGCATGATCGATACTTGAAAGCACATATTCCACCGAGTCTTCATCCGTAATGTTAAGAGGTATAAAACTCACCATACTGTAATCGTCAATCTATCATAACCCCAGATCGCGTTAGACATTCCATCATCATCATCACCCAACCCCGATCCGAAAATTCATCATAGTCATGTCGTCTTACCAACTGCACAATGGCTTGATTTAATGCTTGGAATTTCAGAGCTCTTGCGCTGGGTGCTTGTTCAGATGTTTGACCGGCTTCTTCAGCCATGAGAAGCGGATCCGGTTCCAAATACCGTTCTATTTCGCGGTCATTCATTGCCTTCTCCATACGTCTTCGTCTTCGTCGTTGACGTTTCTTCTTTTCACTTTCATCTTCGTCAACGTCGTCGCTGTCGTCTCGCTTGTTACCATAATCGCCTTGTATCAGATCCATCTTGGTCATCACATTAATATGGGGAATTTCCAGATTCACCATGGCACTCATGGCACTCAGGACTCCGGAGAAGTATTTGCTTTTATCCTCGATAAACTGGGATTCCAAACAATAGACGCCACAGATATTCATGTTCCATCGACCCAAACACTCGCAAATCCTTCGCATAATTGGGAAATGTGTATACAGTTCGATTTGTCCAGGACAGTCAATGATCAAATAATCGTCTTCGTAAGTGCCGATCTCTTCTTCCAACCAGTCAATATTGTTGAGCAGGAACCTTGCATCGAGAAAAAAATGGATCCATTAGTTTTCTGTCAGCAAATGACCCTCACTCATGCTGTCACGCTTACTCAAGGCAATAAATCAATCCACCGTTTGGACCATAGTCCAACTCTTCCATGACATCTTCCAGAGTAATCAACTCTCGAATATCTACAACAACTGCATTGAGAATTCTTGTTATCCCCATCAGTTACATCGGGATGCGAATTACCGATCGTTGGTTCATATTCAAAGTTTTCCGCAGCAGGATCGAGATTCACCAAATGAACTTTGCGTCCCGTAGCCTGGCAGTGTGTCATCATAGTGGCGCAAAAGGTAGACTATGAGCCAAAGCAAAACATTTAGTAAGTACAACAGATATTAAGGCTGGATCGATAACGAATTGGGAGTAAAGAGGAAAGAATTGGCAAACCCCCACAACTCTGCGTGTTGGTGATCGCCGCCTTTCTCCAATTCGTGCAACGCTTACTTTGCCACTTCCGGCTGGCCCCATAACAAGCTGACAATGACGACCCCTATATCCAACCGTCAATCAGTGAGACAGTGTCAATAGCCATGATCAGGCGATCCTTTGTCACATACATGATGGCTGCGATAGAGTTTCCAGTCAAAGAAAAAAAGACGCCCCGCAGAGAGAAATTTTGATGGCTGGTCGAGCTGCGTTTCCGTGCTAAATTGCAAGTCACACATCGGCTGCGCCAATCCATAAATGGATTTTTATTGCTGCATCGTTGGCCTCTCTTAATTCGTGAGATGTTTTGATTTTTCAAATGTGTTGGGCACTGCATCAGCTTTATATATATATAAAAAGCAACTCATTGTTGGGAAAAATGTGTTGTTGGCTATGGCATCAGCCATAGTTTGTCATAAGCCAATGGTTGCTAAAAGGGTCTTTTGGGCATATCAATCAATTAATGCCATAGTGTGTTTTCAAGCAACCTGATTGCCTAAACTTTGAAGATTCTTCGTGATAATGCAACTTTTTACAGAGCCAAGCCTATTGCGGCTACGCCATGGCATATACACTGCCTACTCGGTTGGGGAAATATACAATGGAAAAGCATTTGGATGGTTGCAAAACCTGCGGATTTGTGTCACGAGTCAATGCTGAAGTAGTCTCGGACGGCGCTTAAATCTGTATAGTAGGGTGGCCTGATGCCTGGTAATCGAGTCAACGACTCGGCACAATTGCTATCCATACCAGGTTTCTTGATAAAAAGGAATTCATTTGTCGACTAAAGTCACAAAAAAGTCAGATGCTTTAGTAAATGAAAATCGGGAATAGCGATCGCAGTTTCATCCGAAAGTCGGCCAATGATGCAATTTGGTGCCGGGCAGGGCACATTTGGATCAACTGGCATGTTTACTCTTGGCAGGGAGCAGTAATAGCATCATCAGCCGTGACTTTGTTTTACATGCGGCGCAAAAGTTGGGAGTTTATGATCCAAGAGCAAGCGCGTTCGACTGATCACAAGACTTATCTTACATAATCCACGCCTTTTTTGTTAAGCGACATCTTCCGGATCGTTTTACAAAACCATGCAGCTGGGAGATGCAGACGAGACTATTTTTTCTATGGGGCCACCTGGAAATAAGCTCATAAAAACTAAACTGGTGTAACGGCTCTTCTCTTTAGTACCGCTCGGAATTGATCAAGCGGCACTTGACCCTCCAAAGAGCGAAAGTGAGACGCCTCATTGTCTTGGGGTCGGCTTCATCCAACAATGACTGAGTACACAGCAATCATCAAACATTAGAAGAAAAAGGAATTAGGCTAGGTTAAAATGACTTGCATTTTATTGTTCATTCTTCAAGTTACACAGGAATACGTTATGTTCTCACCGTCAATGCTTATTTTCTTGGTTAGAAAAAAAAAAAGTTTCTCGGCCTTCAAAAACAAACAAGTAAATGCGGAGTGACACGAAAGAAAAAAATTGGACCTATCGTCTGTCACCATTGGATACAATTAAACATACCATACCTTTGTGAAGATAGGAGAGCTGAGTGAAATGCACGGTGATGGTCAAATCCAAAGCGAGATAACCAAAGCATTCTGGATTACTGTATTTCTGCTCTTGGCAAATGTCACGCTGCATGCTGTTTATAATAACAAGAGAGAACAAAAAAAACCAAAAAACGATAGCCGCTTTGTCTCAACTGTTGCTTTTTTGCGCTCATTGTTTGTTGTTTAATAGTTGATAAGGAGAGCACCATGGAAACATATAATAAGATAGAAGAAAAAAAAACTTATACAAAAAGAAAGAAAAGGGTTAAAATGACGAAAAAAAAAAAAATACAAAAAAAGACTAAACCCAAAAGTTTCTCGGCTATGGTCCCCCTATTTCTGTGTTCTTGATTTGTTTCCCAGTTTCTTTTTCCATGAATCAGTGTGCTGGTACACTTTGATTATCCCTTTTTTCTGTATTCCCTTGGTTTTTTCCACACTCGTCCATCTTTCCTTCTTTCTTTTTTGATTTTCTCCTTGTAACTGCGAAATCCTCTATCCTTGGTCAAGGTTTTTCCCCCATCGCTCCTTCTTCATTACCGAATGTCTAACTCGCTTGGCCTGAGACCCAATTACCACCACCATGCTACCGAAGTCTCACCGCCTCGAGCTCGCTCGGCTTCATTCAACTGTCCTCTTCCCGAGAAATCGAAACCACGTTTCCTCACCAAATTAATGCATCAAAAACGACCGCCTTGTCACTACCGAGTCGAAAACGAACGATGCGGTAGAGACTTGTCTTGTCCGTCGTTATCCATGGAAGCTCAATCAGAACTACCCAGCGATATGAATCCTTCACTCACTTCACATTCCTCGCTCGTAAACTACGATTCTATCGCTCAATCAAAATCAGCGTCAGTCCAACCAATCTCGGTCAAAAAGGTATGACCCATCGTTCGTTGAATGTTGGCTCTTTTTTTTTGCTAATTAACTCGGCATTGGGGATTATAGAAAGGCGGTATGACCATTGGACGTTTCTTTCGAAAATTAAGCAACAAGGTAATGAAAGCCGAAAAAAAAGAGGAAATCGATGCAAAGGGAAAAAAAGACTGTGCTTCTTCAAGTTCTGCAAAAATTAACCCCTGATTATTTTTTCATAATTCCTGCTGATAAACAAATCTTATTTATGACGACGTGATTCCTTTTAAGCAGCCAAATCAGACAACGCGTAATAAACAAACGATCTTGGCAGCTCAGAAACCGTCTGTGCACGATACGACGGATGATGGACGATCGTCAATCACACTTCAAGCGACCGAGTCCAGTGCGTCGACGTCAAAATCTGAAACACTGGATGATCAGCCTCACGACGTATATCATCTTCAAGCTCCGCCTGCACGCCTTATGCGGCGATCGGTTTCATTTGATACTTCTCAGCGACCTTTATATCATCTTGATCAAGACACATGCCTGAAACCCACCTTGTCTTCCGATGACATCCTGGGTCTCGCAAAAGACGACGATTCCCTGGACGAATTTTTGTCAGACGTTGACATTGATCCAGCAGAAGCCCATGACAGTAATATTGTGGGCGACAAACTTTCCAAGCGTTTGAGTGGTGGTCACTTTGGTTCCGCCGGGGGGCTAATCTTCAGCACGTTACAACTCAAGGACAGTGATCAAAGCAAAGAATGGGGGTCCCGTAAAGCTCAAAGCGTGGACTGCAGCGAATCCGATTCCTTGGTCCCTGTCACTCCCCCTTTGCCTGACGAACCTGAATGTCCGGGCGGTTTTGAAGGCCGTGATAATGATGAAATTGATCATCCGTTCTCCGCTTCCAGTTACGCTGAGCGAATATGGGAAGGTGACGAAACGGTTTATTCCGACATGGAACGAGTAGCCCAATGGATCGGCGATGGAAAACCTGCCAGCACCGAAATTCTAAAATGCTATATGGGTTATTTTGACTTTGAAAACCAGCCCTTGGATGAAGCTTTCAGGTACCGTGATTTGCCATGATGCACCGATATTCATGACATTTTTCATTTGTTCTTTGTTGTGTTGTTAAAAAGATGTGACATGAAAATCTCACATATATTTTTTGTAGAACACTGTGTGGCAAATTGCACTTGAAAGCTGAAGCTCAGCAGATTGACCGCATTCTCCAATCCTTTGCTCAGCGCTACTGGGATTGTAATCCCAACTGTATCTTTGGCAATCGAGGTGAATATCAATAGGATTGTGTGTCTCATGCATGTATCGCTCAACTGTAAATGTTTTCCATTGTTACAGACGTAGTTCATGCAATTGTCTACTCGCTGCTTCTGCTCAATACCGATCTTCACGTAGCGCAAGGCGAGCGACGCAAGATGTCACGTCCTGCATTTGTTAGAAACACAATGAGTGCTGTTACTGGCGATGAGCAGCAACTGACAATAGATGAAGAACTGTGGACAGATGATTACAAACGTGCAAGCACGGTAACGTTCCAATCCTCCGAATGGACATCCACCGCTCCACCTGATATGCGCCGGACGCCTAGTTTCAGAAGTGCTTGTAGTAATCAAAGCAGTCATGACCGTTTAATGAAAAATTCCACCGAAGGATCCCCTCTGGTGGTCGGTAGTAAAGCTTGGCGGGCCGAAATTGAAATGATACTCAAGGTACGACGTCGAATCGTGATTCTGTGTGCTCTGCTTTGTTTACCTTTTCTTTTTTTCTTAGCATATGTATACATCGATTCGACATCATCAGATTCTTCATCCGTCGTATACCGAAGACCCCAACATGCGTGGTAGGGCTCGACGTCGTAGTCTTCAAGTCATGAATGGTATTCGTACAAGCGCTTTTAAACGAAGTGTTGGTACCATGATCTGGAAAGCTACACGAGACAGTATCTTTATCAGTGAAAATTCAGAGGTGCGTCTCGCGTAATATGTCTTCTCCAACGTTTAATGACGCTAAAATCTCCCTTTTTCCGTCTTCTTTTTTCTTTCTTTTACAGCTGGAGAATCTCTATGTACATAATGTGCTGCCGCCGAGCAGTCCACGATCAACGTTATCCACGAGTCGCGCCGGTTCATTTCAACAGCAACGACGTCCCTCTTCATCCTCCATGCGCTCCAGTTTGTCCCAAGGTTCACATCATACCCATGGCGGCCATTCCACATCCGCTACCACCTATCAATGCATTGGACCACTGCTTCATCATTCTGAACTTCCTGCATCCTATACTGCTTCAGCACCATACTACAAGGAAGGCACGATTGTGCGTAAACATTTACTAGAACGCGCCAATCAAAAAGCCCGTCACCGAGATTGGAAGGAGTGTTATATGGTGGTGCATCAAGGCGAAATACGCATGTACAAAATGGATCCGGCACAACAACAGCAACAATCTCAGAATCGGAAAAGTATGATTCGAAGTAGTATGATGATCAGCCGGACCAATCTAGCTGGCACGGCCACGTCTGGACTCGATACATTATTTGAACATGGTACACAGTCTCTCGGTGCCGGTGATTGGTTGGTAAGTCATTCACGGTCTGGCCTCCGAAGGAGAGAAAAAGAAAAATAGACCAACAATGAACAGGAAAAAAAAGAGTGGACAGGCATATTGAATGTGTCTTTTTTATAGTCCAATGTACAAATGATTAGTCGAATTGATTTAAAGCATACATTATCCAATGCGCTTCCTTCCGGGTATAGTCGTCAACGACCCCATGCATTTGCACTGCAGCAACCGAATGGCGGGGTCTACCTATTTCAAGTTGGATCGGTGGAGCAAGTCATGGATTGGGTGTCCACCTGCAATTATTGGGCCGCTCGAGAAAGTAAGGAGCCCTTGACAGGAGGGGTTAGCAGCTTGGAGTACGGATGGTCGGCTGCTTGTTTCGACAATACCCCATGTGTTATTCACGAGTGGCAACCGCCTGTCCCACCAACCGTCAGTAGCACTTTGGAAGAAAAACCTCAGCTCGATGCGTTGCACAGACACGTCAAAGAATTAAATGAAGAATTAGATAAACACCGAGATTTGAAGCCAGACATGGAAACTCGGGTAAGTGAAAAACAAGAAAGAAAGAAAAGAAAAAAGTTAGCTTTCGTTGGCCTTCCATTTCAGGAGTCAGCAATGAAAATTTAGAAAAGCCCACGGTTTATGTCTCATTCGTTTTCCACCCCTAACATTTTTTATTTTCTTTTATATATAGTTTTCTTCGAAAGCAAGCAGTGATGTGCAAGCCATGACGAACTGGGAAAACAAATCACAGTATCTTTTACATGAAATCATCAAATACCAGAATTATTGCGACTCGATAGAGAAGTCACTCGCTTTGCAGGACAAAGCAATGCAAGAATTGGCGTCATAAGCAAAAATAATAATAATAAAAAAACCAAGAATGAGTAGGGACGTACAAATCGTGGTTGGTGATACGTTGCCTTTTTTCATTTTTCTCGTTTTCCCCATTTGGGTGCCATGCAAACCGTCTCCATCGTTACCTGAGTTTCAACTCACCATGTTGGTCAATATTTGGCATCCAGTAACTATAAAAGAAAATAAGAGCGAATAAATAAAAAGCGATGTTTTTCATCATCCTTGCCCTAAACATATTCGTCACTCTTTCCTTTTTCCTCGTTCTATTCTATCGCTAAGCCTCGACTCATCTTTTTTTCTTTTCATTTATCTCTCCCTTCCTTTTGTTTACTTTCTTTTCCTTCTCTCTTTCTCTCCTCTTTCTATTTCTACGCTACTCTTCTTTTTCTTTTATCTTTCAAAAATGCGTTCCTGGAGCAGTTGGCTATGCTCCTTGCTGCTACTCGGCACGGCCGTCTCGGCTCTCCGACCAGCAGCTTACGTCGTCGAGTTGTCCACTAAACCACATGATTCCATGTTTTACAAGCGAGACAACAGCATGATCGTTCGATATACGTACGATTCGGCCCTGCTTCGAGGTATGGCGGTTGAATTTGCCTCCGAAGACGTTGCCAAGCAAGCGTTGCAACATCAGGACGTTATCAATTACTGGCCCATCACCCCCCGATCACGACCTGCAGCTGCGACGAATCACACTGCTACGAACGATTTACCATTAAAACTCGCTCACAAAGTAATTACCGCAGCCCACAGATACAAACGATGTGATATAAATGAAGATGCTGATGTTTGTTGACAGGACGATGTTGCCACCTTGACAGCCCAAAACAATGTTTATAAACAACTTGGTGTCACAGGAAAATCTATTCGTATTGGCATCATTGATTCCGGCGTCGATTACCGTCATCCAGCGCTCGGTGGATGTTTTGGTCCAAAGTGCAAGGTTGCTTTTGGACACGATTTGGTGGGCAACAATTATGATGGCACACCCAACTCAATTCAGGAAAGTGATGATCCTCTTGACGATTGCCCTGCCAATTCAAGTAAGTAACCAGTAAACCCTCATTTTTATTGGAGATTTTAAAGTTTCATCTAAAATTGGATAATCCCGGTTATTTTTAGCTGCAGCAACTGGCCATGGCACGTTTGTCTCTGGTACGTAAAAAAATAAAAAAAACTCCATATTACTGGTTAGTCGGTTTTTTCTAATGACCATGATTGACGCTATTCTCTTTTAGGTCTCATCGCAGCACAAGATAAAATCTACGTAAGAAAATGCTATAATCTTGCTGAAAGGATTTTTTTTTCTCAGCTATAGTGGTCGAGAATGCAAAAGTTTAACTAACGGTGAATCTAGAACTGGACAGGCGTTGCTCCCGAAGCCAAGCTAGGCATGTGGAGGTAAGATCGGATTGGTTGACGTCAGAGGATAAAGAAAAGCAAAATACAAGATAATTCATTGTTCTTACTGTTTGTTTGTGTGTGTGTGTGTGTGTGTGTGTCTTTTTGTACGTGCATCTTAGAGTGTTTGGTTGTAACACCGGAAGAACAGGCAATGATATCTTGATCAAAGCAATGGAAATGGCTTTTCATGTAAGTTGTTTTTGGGTCTTTGAAAATTTTTAGTTCAATGAGCAACGGATCTAGTGCCCTGATCTCACATTTGCGAAAAAAAATCTAGGCCAACATGGATATTATCAGCATTTCGCTGGGCGATGCCGGAGGTTGGGAAGAAGATGTTCTGTCCGTCATCGCCAATCGCATGGTCGCACAAGGTCGTCATGGTAAGAAAATCTCGAAATCTCGAAACAAACTTTATGTTGCTTTACTTCTTGCATACTCATCGGTGTTGTCTAATCTTTAGTGGTGGTGGCCAGCGGTAACAGTGGCGGCAGCGGGATCTTTTTGACGGCGACTCCAGCTACCGGTCGTGATGTGATTGCTGTGGGCTCAACGCTCAATGATCACACTTCCGCTTATATGCTAAGCATTGATGATACGCTGGATGTTCGTAAGTGGCATGATTTTTTTTTTTCGTGCGAATCCAAGTGGGGAAGAGAGCGATTAAACTCAGCCTCGGATTTATTTGCATTAGCCTATCGAAGCTTTGTCAGTTTAGCTATTGATCTGAATGGTACTTTGCCGATGGTCGCTTCCAGCCATAAATTCAATGTTACAGACGACGGTTGCAAACCGCTTGGTGACGATGCCAAAAATGCCATTGTACTTATTCATAAAGGTGGATGCAGTACGTCGAGCAAGGTACAACATGCAGAACAAGCCGGGGCCAAAGCGGTGGTCATCTACACCGACACGCATCACACCACCGACGTCGAGGTGATCTCGGGTGCTAAAGTGCCGGTGGCCTTTATCAACTCGGTCGATGGCGAAAAAGTGCATTCTATTTTGGTCAAGTCAAAACATGCCAAAGCCACCTTTACGCACATCATGACGGCCGTGCCAGCGCCTCCTCATGACGTGAATCGTATCTCGTCGACTTCTACCCTCGGTCCCACCAATGAAATGCAGCTTAAACCGGAACTGGTGGCGGTAGGCGGCAATGTCTTTTCTACTTTGCCTCACTACAAAAATTACTACGGTGTCATGTCTGGTACTTCCTTTTCCGGACCCTTTGTTGCCGGTTGTGTGGCCCTTTTATTGGAAAAACATCATCTGTCCCCCGACGAAATGAAAACAGTTCTCATGAACTACGCCAGCCCAGGTATGATTCTTTCTGGGTTTCTATGGAGTATAACTTGACAGAAAAAACGTGGTATTGATCGAAATCAACTTTTCTTTCTTTTTTACAGTGCGTCCACTCTTCAATAGTTTGCCTTACGGTGATTCACCGGTCCGACAAGGAGCTGGACTCGTGGATGTGGTTCAAGCTGTGGAAGGAATGAAGCACTTTAGTGTGACACCTGCCAAAATCAGCTTTAACGACACCATGCATCACAAATCACAAACATTGACTATTCACAACACCGGTGACCACGAGTTTGAGGTGACGCTTAGCCATGTCCCTTCGCTGACAGTGACAGGCTACAACCAAAAGCATCCGGAAGATTTTACACCTACCGAACCTATTGCCTTTGCTGTCCACAATAACTCGGTCGCTTCGCTCTCGTTCTCAAAAACACATGTCACCATTCCCAAAGGCGGATCCGTTTCGGTTGAGATTGATGCCCATCCACCCAAAGACATTGATCCCAAATCCCATCCTATTTACGGCGGCTACATTCGCCTGACGAGCAGCGCTTCCAAGGATAAGAAAATCACGGCGCACGTTCCTTACATTGGTATGTCGGGCAATATGAGCTCGCTTCCTATCCTTGACCGCACTAAAGGAGATCCCAGCAAGCCAGGCCATTATCCTTTCCCAGCGATTGGGTTTGGTAACGGAACAATTCTCGCCAACGATACAGGTTACTTTAATATCAGCTCCGATTTACGTGATCAACCGGTGGTTCTGGCCCGTCTTCTCACTGGCACAGCTCAGTTGCGCATGACGGTGTTGCAGGACGGTAAGGCGGTCGGAGAAGTGCCCAATGATCCGCTTTCAGATTACTCGCGGGAATGGATGCAACGCAATACTCTTGCACCTACCAGCAGCTCCGTCGCATACTATGCATGGCCATGGAATGGGGTTTACACCACGTCTTTAAACAGTCACGACAAGAAAGCGGTTCAGCCAGGTCATGTGTATCAAATTCGCTTGGAAGCACTTTATGTATTTGGTGATCGCGATAAAAAGGAAGACTGGGACATATGGACATCTCCAAAGATGATTTTCAACGTCCCTCATCGTCGTTCACGCCATCATCATCGCGCATCTCGTCAGCAACACTCTGATTAATCGATTGCATTCTCCTTTACTTTTTTGTTTTTGTTTATTTTGTACCATCTGATGAATCAAAAGTTTGATCCATCATCCTTAATAGATATCCAAGTTTTGTATGTGTTCTCTATCTGACAACCTCTACCCTCCGCTTTTTTTTCCAACTTTCTCCTTCCAATTCATCTTTCCTCAATAAGACCCTACTATTCGAGCGCCAAGAGACGCGGTGGAGCTACGATTTGTTTCCAAAGAGCGTCACGCCCAGATAAAGGGTCTGTCCCTGAATAACGTTTTTTGTCCGTTTCTTTGTTTTGTCATGCATTTTTCTTTTTATGGTTGCTGCTGTCATCATAAATTGTATACAAATGAGGAAAGATAAAAAGGATAAATTTTGTCTAGGATATGGATGGATTATCTGCAATGAATTCGGTTGGATTTTTTTTTTACGTGCGGTTCTTTTACTTGCGCGAGGACTTTTTACCGCCCTTCTTAAAGTCACCACCCTTCTTGAAGTCACCGCCTCTCTTCTGCGAGGCTGCTTTGGAATGCAAACGAACCGCTTTGGCAACATCCATTTGTTCCTTGCCACCCACCACTTTCTTCAAGATGTCCAGTGACGACTTCTTTTCCTCCTTCACATCACCAACCGTAGGTGCAAACTATAGAATATAGAATATAGAATAGGACACTGTTAGCATATATTCATACCGTACCATACCAAGCAAGATAGTGATCCTTTTTTTTTTTTTACCTGATGAGTGACACCCTTGGCCTTGGGTTCATTTTTCAGCTTGGTGTCGAATTTACCCAGACTGGCGGTGGCGGTTTTGGAGGCGGCAATGGCGGCTTGAAGTTCGGCCTTTTTGAATTCTCGCACATCCTTCTTACCGGCCATGGTGGCCACGGCGGTTTCCTCCAAATTTCGTTTCTGTCGCTTAGCATTCTTTTCCACACGTGCCTTCTTATCTTCACGGCGCTTGGCATATTGATCTTCCATAGGATCGGCATCCTGGGGCACCTCGATCAACCAGTCAGAAGCCAATTTATCCTTGTCTTTGCCACCAGCATAACCCCAACGGGGAACAAATTCCTGTGATTCGTCGTCCCACACCATACGTTCCCGTTTGCGATTCTGAATGCCCTTGGCTTTTGCGAATTTCTCCCATCGTGTCAATGGCTTCTCCTTTGGTAATGGTTTCTCACGAGGTAAAATGCTCGTACGTGCGGGAAGTTGAGCGAGAACACCGGCATCGCCACTCTGTATAGGCAACTTGAAAATTTCATTCACAAGCAGCTGCGTGTTATCTCGAGTCAGATTCTTGATATAAGCTTCTCGGTTATTTCTGCAAAAAATGTAAACAGCAAATGAGTATCGTCTGCAACCCAAGCCAATTTACACTGCCAGAATTACTTTAATTCCTTGTCATCGAATGCATTGGTGTCGAATCCAGCTAAAAGATTGAGATCGAATTCCAAGGGAATCAGCTTCTCGACCGTGATAGGTTTACTAATTAAAACAGTAGGTGAGGGGTTGGAACGGTAAGCTTTTGCGCTTGTTTGCATCAACACTTACTATTGATTTTTGTGTGCTTCCAAGATCTCGGTGACATCCATGATCAAAAGTAGTAGATGAGGAGGGAATCTGATCTCTGTGTGTGAAAAGAAAAAGAAAAAAATCAAAAAGCACGGTTTTTTCCCATCCAAATCGGGAAGTGGCTTTTAAAATGAAAGACGGTTTTTACTCAATTTTTCTTTATTGCGGATTGGATGAAGCATGTTCTTTGGCTAAATCGGCACGGAACGAGGACCGGTGACGTGGATGATTATTGAGATCTACGGAACTGGTAGGAGAGGAGGAAGCAGTGTTTGGTGGGAGTTTTGTATTGGTATTGGTATTGGGAGTAGCAACGGATTCAGTGGAAGGAGGGGTGGCGGGCGATACCTGGGTGGAAAATGTGGTGGTAGGTTTCACGGAGGGAAAATTGCGTCGGCTCAAGAGCATGCCTTTGAAGCTTCGTATTTCACTCTTGAAACCTTGCACGACGGAATCATCGCTTCGATAGTCTCTGAAACTGAGTCCAAAGTTATTGGAAGTGTTGAACGAGGAAAAAATGACGTCGGGATGGGTTAACTGATCTTTGAACCCGTTGAGAGCATTCAAGAATTTTGCATATGGCTCGTTCTCATCGATGTAACCATGAATATCCGTTTGAACTTTTTGGAGATTTTCCAAGGATTTGGTTTGCTGCCGTCTAATGACATCCAGCGATGCAGCCGAACTGCTTTCCATGGCCTTGAGCTTGGTATTTAGCCTCTCCAACAAGGCTTTGTGCTGATTATATCGATCGCATTGGTAGACGGCAATACGACGAAAAATGCGTGACATGATACGCTGTCATTGCGAAAAGAGTTTTGGTCAGCGATGGATGCGTAGTTTTTGTAGATTATTATTATACAGTGAGCTTATACCTTGATAATGCCTACGAGAACCGCAGTGACTCCGACTGCGCCAACGCCGGTTACCACCGCCAGACGAATGATACTTTGTGTTGTCATACGCGGCGGAGGCGAAGGCTGATAGTATGCTATTTGCACGGCTGGTGGGGCCGACGAGAGCGCAGGACGAGGTGGAACGGCGGGAGACGAAGAAGGACCCGCAGTCTAAATACAGACCATTCAGCCAGCATGTCCTACATCTTTCTGCTTTTTGCTTGCAATAACTTACATTGACAATGGCGGGTTGGGCGTCACTGCCGGGTACTCTTTTGAATGCTTCGTCAATCTCGGCTTGATTCAGTCCTTTATTTCGTAGGAATGCTATCTTTTTGGCTTGGTCGGCTGAACGCACTTTGGGCGACGATAAAAATGAAACGGCCGACTTGACCATATCTTCCCTCAAAGGTGGTTGCGGTTCATTAGGCGTAGTTGTAGTAGCCAAAGACGGTGTATGCGACGGCGGCGGCGGTGGCAACGATGTCAAAGTGGAAATGTTCGATGGCGAACTAGAATCGTTACTACTGCCACTGTTGTCGGCCATGAAAAAGAAAATGAACTAAAGCACTGCCCAAATTTCATGTGCCAAAAAAAAAAAGAGTCGGGCAAGTTTCAGCGATTTTTTTCTCAGCCTTGTTTAATCCCTATATTTTCAGGCCATCTGTTCCTTCACAAGCAAACCTCTTTATATCCTGTCAAAACAACCAAAAAAAAGAGACAGTATGCTAGATACAGCGCATGTATCAACCTCGCTGTGGGCGTATGTAAATTTTCAGAGTGTGGATTCAGTGCTTTCAGTGGTGGAAGGGCCTGGTGGCTGCAGCTCATCGATCCGGGTCACTGCTGACTCTGACCGAGTCTGTTGAGATGTATGTTAATGGACTATCTAGATGTATTTTCTTTGGTTCGCTTCGTATGATCATGCTACTACAGTTTGAGTTGTCCTTGATCCGGTGAACCAACGTCAATTATGTTAAAAAGAAGCATGGAACCTTTTTTTGTAGTTATTGTGTGAGCTACAGAGTATACTGTATTGGTTTGTCATCAACGAGAAGAAAAAAAAAAGGAAGAACGGTAGGTTTATGGAGAAAGTTGACCCTGGATTTATGGCAAGGGATATTTTCTCTTTAGTGTGGACTTTTTGCTTCTGCGCTTCTTATTCCTTTTGCCTCTTTTTTTTTTTCCTGGCGCCTTTTCGTCATCTCATTTTGGTTTCTTTTTTTTTTTTTTTTTTTTTTCCTTTCTTCGTTCCTTGAGTGATACTCGCAGGATGGTTGGCCTCGATCTCGATGAATGCATTGAGCGATTATACAAAAAGCAGGTGTTGGCGGAATGCCTAATAAAGGAGATATGCGAGAGAACCAAGGAACTGTTGATGAAGGAAAGCAACGTCGTGCACATTCAAGCGCCTGTTACCGTCGTAGGTGACATTCATGGGTAATTCCCAAAGAAAACACGCGATGCTGTTGTTGTGAAAATCATTCGAGTCATTCTGATAATAGTACTTAACAGGCAGTTTTACGATCTTATTGAAATATTTCGAATTGGAGGTTACTGCCCGGATACCAACTACCTTTTCCTCGGTATATCGTTGATCCAATATTTGCTGCAAAACCCCACGATCCCTTTTTTCTTTTTTTTCTATTCTTCTCATCCTTGACTTGTGTCGTCCGCGTGTTATAGGCGATTATGTTGATCGTGGCTATTACAGCGTCGAAACGATCTCACTGCTCACCTGTCTCAAGCTGAGATACCCCGATCGTGTCCAATTGGTACGCGGCAACCACGAATCACGAGCTGTTACTCAAGTACGTTCATACACGATGTATGAGATGTGTATTGATCCTTACCTAAACACGATTGTCTAGACCTACGGGTTTTATACCGAATGCATGAGGAAATATGGATCGCAGCAGGTGTGGCATTATTTTACCACCATGTTTGATTTCTTGACACTGTCAGTGGTCATCGATAACAGCATATTTTGTGTTCACGGAGGTATATATAAAAGAAAGAGGCAATCGGAGCGTTTCAGTGAGTGATGTGGACATTTATTGATCGTCGATTTCCGCGTTGCAGGATTATCACCTACCATTCATGTTTTGGATCAAATACGAGTCATTGATCGTTTTCGAGGTAAACGTGGACTATCATCACCCCAGGGATCCCACGGATGACTAAAAAAGAATGTATGCTATGTCATTCAAAGAAATACCACACGAAGGTGCCATGGCGGATCTTGTGTGGTCGGATCCTGATCCTGACAAAGAAGAGTTTGCTATTTCTGCCAGGTAAAAACAAGGGGAACCTCCAATGGCTTGTTGTAGTGATAGACAAACTTAAAAAGGTAACTGACATCTGCTTTTGATGGTGACGATAGAGGTGCGGGTTACACTTTTGGCAGTTTAGTGGTGGATAAATTTTTGTGGATGAACGACATGTCACATATTCTACGCGCCCATCAATTATGCAATGCAGGTTATCAAGTATTGTTTGATGACAAGTTATCCACCGTGTGGTCGGCACCCAACTATTGTTATCGATGCGGAAATTTGGCCTCGATTCTCGAAGTGGATGTGAACGGACGACGCTTCTTTAATGTCTTTGATGCCGCTCCTGAAAACGATCGGAATCAGCAATCACCGCTCAAGGTACTTTTTTTTTATCTCCCGATCTGTTTTCTACTACCTGCTAACTCTTTGGTACCATAGGACAACACTGTTGTCGAATATTTCCTGTAAATATCTTCGACTGACTATCCCATCGCTTTTATACTCTTTTGTGAAGGTTACGCTCATGGCTTGTTTTTTCATTATACTTGTTACATTTCTCATTTCATGCTCCTCCCATTTCTGCGTCTTTCTGTCTTCTTTCCAACAGTTTCTTTTATTTCTATTTTTCAACTGTATAACTGCCTTTTTTTTCCCTATGTACAGCACATCAGTTCTACTTTGCCACACCGTGAATCCGAAAGAAAAAGCATCATCCTCCTCCATCCTGATTGATGATTTTTTTTCTCTCTCCACATGGGGTTTTCTCTTATTTTTTATTTATTTACAATAACTGCGAGAGGTGATGCTACGTATGATGGATAAATACAAGTGTCACAAGCAAATAAACTTAAATACAGACAAATCCTCATTTTTTACGGTTAATCCTTTTTCACGACTAGCTTGCTAGAATCTTGTACGCGATGCTCTCTGTAAGCAGCATAGAACGATATAGCAGCTCCGGGTCCCAGCAACACACTGCCGACGGCCACGACAAGACATGATTTGATGCCATCTTCAAGCAAGACCCACAGAAGCAAGGATAAAGTAAGGATGGCAAGGTCGCCGAATACCATGGCCGATGTCAAGAATTGACCCTGGACCTCGACTGACTGTCCAACAAAGACATTGTCTGGACCCGACAATAACATCTTGACCGCATCCCACGGCAGAACACCTCGATACAGTTGAGAATGCATGTAAGCAATATAGTAGACAATCAGATTAAGACCACCGATCAGCAGATAGGTCCGCTCGACGAAATCTTTCCCTTCAACGACCTTGAGTTTTTCCTTCATCACCGGATCTGCCACGGTATCGACGGGAGAAGGATACCGAGCAAGGAGCCTGTCAAGAGCACCATACAATGTCCACATCAAAAGAGGTGCTACTTGGACAAGAGCCATTGAATTTTGCTCTGCTGGCGAACCGGTACGGAATACGAGAGTCGTGAGCAGGGCCGGAATAGCATAGGTGATAAGCATCGAGACGACAATGGCTATGGTGCGTGAAGGAGAAATTGTCCACTGGCGGACGTCGGCATTGAACTTGGCGAACAAAAAGTAGCAAGGCATCCAAATGAAGGCCGTGACAGCAGCCACACCAAAGACGTTCATCAATAGACCAAACACGGGCAACCAGGCTAAAACGGTGCGAGAAGCACCTCGACGGGATCCTTCAATGGCCATGATGACCAAGACTGTCGCGACCACTCCCCAGTACACGCGCGTCAAGTTGAGTCCAACTACATCGCGCAAAGCATGCTGGTACGTATTAACCGAGACACACAGACACTGGTCAAGCAATGTCCAGCCTGTGTAGGATGCACGAAATTGACCAAACGCTTTATCGGTGACCCCATGTTGACATTGATTCCACAGCTGGTCTTTCCATACTTGCAACGCGCTTGAATGGTACCTTTGGAAAACACGCGCTAGTGGAATACAGCTAACCAAGACAGCAATTAACCTTTTGTTCATTTCGCATTCAATGTAGTAAACAGAAAGCGGTTGTTGGAAAAAAAGAGGGTGGTTGGTGTCAGACCGTTCTTTCATGGAAAAAGTCACATCCGTTGCATTTCAGCAGAGGTGGCTTATGATTTTCATGCATTATGCGCTGAGCTTGAACTACTCGAACAAACCGACCTTTTGCCCACCTTTTTTTAGGTTAATGATTTCATGCCCGAAACTGAGAGTAACCAAGGTAAAATATAGAATTTCTTTTTATTTAGCACAACGACGTGTTGCCGAGAATTAATGGTACGGGCAATGGTCGAGGAGTTCCACAGTGATGGGTACACCGATGATATTTTCAGACTCTCACAACACATTCCGGGGGGCAAGCTTGTCCCAGGCTTTACTCTTCAGAGTTCTCGAAGAACCGGAATCGTGAGCTATGGATGCTGAATTGCCAACCACCTATATTATCCACGGCTCGGTTTTGCCAAGCTTATCGACTACGTTTGGCACTTCGTGGATTCTGCTTGAGTATTCGTCCGTCCATTGTGCGGAGCAGTTCCCGTCCATAAGTCTTGTACGTTTCCTTTGGTTCGTCGATTTTTTGCTGAGTCTCCTTCAGACGAACGATCTCACCCTTAAATATTGGCGAGTTCCTCAAGCTCAAACCTCAGCTGAAGGTGATCGTCTTGGTAGCCGAACAGTTACGGTACGTCATAAATAATACGGGGAGAAGCATGTCGAGTGCTATCGCCCAGCGTAAACATGGCTCTAGACGGGGCGCCTATCCCATAACCGAGGGAATCGGCCAGTTCCTTGGGCATACACGTTTGTGCAGCACCGGTGCCTGTGAGGGCACATATACGCTTGTTATCGATGTAAAAGTCAGTATCATGTGGAAGGACGAACTAGTCGTGATTTGAGCTGTTAGCGAGCACCAGATATACTTGACGATTATATCAGATTTGATGTGAGCTGGTTCTGACAAGTGATAAGAACAGAAAATTGAAAGAAAGCATCTAATAAGCAAGGGATCCTTCTTTTATGTGTCGGAAAAGAAAAAATAGCAAAGGTTATTTGTTTTTGTGTACCAATTTTGGGTGAGAAAAATTAAAAAGTCGTAAAAGTCTAGTGGTGTCGAAAAGGAGGTGGAAGGAATCTCGTGGATTATGTGACCGAACGGAAGGTTATATGTTTCCATCGCAATATCTACCCAATAGGGCGCTGCTGTATTAATCAACCTCGAGGGCTTGTCAATGAAGGTTGGCAGTATGTATGTATGCCTGCAGAGTTCGACCCCTGACGACGTTGCACAAAGGGAGCTTCAATGATCAGCAAAGCACGGATACACAAGTTCTCCATTAACCAATTCTCCAGTTTAATTATCAGCAAAACCAAACATTAAGAAATACAAGTCAATAGCTCTGGTCATTTCGGTTGGGTCGTGACTTGCGACCCATAAAAAACTCGCAATGGACAAGGAAAATATTTCAATATTTGTCGCGAGTTCCGGGCTTGATGTTTATTCGATGGCCAATTCTCAGTGGAGGAAACGACTGCCTAAGATATAGTAGCAGCAACTAATAAATTGGTAGATTGGCAGTATTCCATATAATAACCACTAAGCAAAAGGAGACCGAAGAGAAAAAGACAAGTACAAACACATTTAGAGCACAATGAAAATGCAAATGGTTATCAAATATGGAAGATCCACCAGTGAAGTAATCATCAAAATTGTTTCCTGAACGGGAGCCTATCAGATGAGCCCAATGATGCTATTTTTCTTCAGCACGCTCTTCTAGCCCAATCTTAGAATAAGCTTGTCGCCTGAATGTGTGCGTCTTCAGATTGACAGTATTTGATCCGTTGTGGTAACTATGAATCAATGTTTGATAACCAAGGTTGCCTTGACAGAGACACCCTAGTGTCGGGCGCAGTAAGCAGTCATAAAGGGAGCGGAAAACCCAGCTGCACCAATGAAAATGAGAGATTGGAAATGGATGGAAAAAAAAAAGTCGCCCTCTCCCTTTTATTCATCCATTGGCTCCCACCCAATTCGTAGTCACAGCGATACTTCGCTGTTTAAATGAAAGTGGGTTAGGTGAGTCCTCAGCGCTTTTTCCTCGTTGATTACACAAATCCTCACTTCGACATCATGGCTTCATCGACTATACCGTTTCCTTTACGTGAACCTCAACCAAAGGAAAATACCTCTCAGCCATTTCAGCCCAATCTTAATGTGAAATTGATCTGTCCCGATTGTCGTGTGACCCCACCCCATATTGTCGAAGAATTCGCATCAGGTGATCTGGTGTGTGGCGATTGCGGTCTTGTGCTCGGAGATCGCATCATTGACACACGATCAGAATGGCGAACATTCGCAAACGATGAAGGCGATGTATGTAGTCATTGATTTGCTCTGTATGAGGCAAAACAATGTGACAGCTCACCTCTCACCTTCACTTTTAATCTGTTCAATTTTCTTTTGTTTTGTTTTTTTCTTTTTTATAGGATCCGTCTCGTGTGGGTGCTGCGGCGAATCCTTTGTTGGATGGTAATCAACTGGATACGGTGATTTCGAGACGAGATGGTGGAACGGGCGCTGCAAAGGATCTGAACAAGGTCCATGGACGAGCGACGGCCGTCAAGGGTGAACGAAATCTTGTTCAGGCTTACAAAGAAATCAGTGCCATGTGCGACAGCATCTCACTATCAAAGATTGTGAGCGATACGGCCAAACAACTGTATAAACGTGTGGAAGACGAAAAATTACTACGAGGAAAATCCAGCGATGCTATCATTGCTGCGTGTATTTTTATTGCGTGCCGTCAAGAAAAGGTGGGACGTACTTTCCGAGAAATCTGCGCTTTGACCCGAGTCCCGAAAAAGGAGATTGGTCGATGTTACAAATCACTGCAATCCAAACTACAGACCAATACCACCATCATGAATTCTGAGGATTTGATGTCCCGTTTCTGTTCCAACCTACAACTACCAAACTATGTGCAAAAGACGGGGATTGATCTTGTGCGGCGGGCAAAGGAATTGGGTACATTGGCAGGTAAGTCGCCCATCTCCGTTGCCGCAGCATGCATCTATCTCGTCTCCTATCTTTATCGGCATCCCAAATCAACACGAGACATTGCGCATGTGGCTGGTGTATCCGAAGTAACCATCAAGACTGCTTACAAGTCGCTGTATGCCGAACGGGATAATCTGCTGAATATCGAATCACTTCGCAGTAAACCCAATGGGGAAACAGTTAGCTTCGATGATTTGGCGCTGCCTTAGAAAATATTTCTATCTCTCTCTCTCTTCACCGCTTCTTAAACCCAAAAACTTAAGCACACTAAAGGAGAAGAAAGAAAAAGAAAAAAAAAAGGTCCAAAAAGAGGAAAAAGCAATAAAAAAACGAAGGAAGAAAAAAAGCTCCGCGTTGCGTTTTACGCTTGTACTTAGTGTATTTGATCTTTTTTTTTTAATTCCCAAATAAAGACCGTTTTCATTTTTTTTTTTTTCCTCCGGTTGATACGTCTCGTCTTTTTTCTTTCTTAGCATCTTTTTTATTACCTGCCCAGTTTTTAATATGCCTGTTAAAAAACTTGTTCTTTCCCCAGAAGCCGGTATTGAGCAATACACTCTCATCAACGACAACAAAACGCTGTGCGTCATCCTTCTTAACTATGGTGGTATCATATCGCATATTCTGACGCCAGACGCGGATGGTCAGATTCGCGACGTGGTGCTTGGTTACGACAATTATGAAAACTACAAAGATCCACAAAACCCGTATTTTGGCGCGCTCATCGGTCGCTACGCTAATCGGTAACTCACGTTTGGCAAGACAAATTTGCGTACCAATGCATACTAAAACAAGCGCTTTTTATTGCTTTAGCATCGGCGGGGCTCAATTTACAGTGGATGGACAGGAGTATCATCTGGAGGCCAATAATGGACCGAACGCGTTGCATGGTGGTAAAGAAGGATTTGATAAAAAGATATGGGATGTGGAAGTGTTATCGGAATCGCCTGCATCGGTCCAACTGACCCTCGTTTCACCTGACGGAGATCAAAATTATCCTGGCACATTACGCACCCAAGTGACTTACACCGTTACGAACGAGCAACACCTGGAAATCGAGTATCAGTGCACCACCGACCACGATACGGTAGTGAACTTGACCAACCATTCTTACTTTAATTTGGCTGGCGTTGAACTGAATCCAAATATCCTTGATACGCATGTCACCATGACCGAGGCAGTTCAGGGCGTCCTAGAAGTCGACTCCACTAGCATTCCCACGGGTCGCAAACTCTCCTGGGCAGACGCACCCTATATGGATTTCACGGTAACGTATTCCAGGCAGCTTTATTTGCTTATGGAACAAAATGAACCGCTTTTTTTTGGCTCTATTTCGGTTTTTCCGTTGTTTTCCTACTTTGTGCCGAATGTACTGACTGACTGTCCTATTTTCGGGTTGTGTAGGGTTCAAACGCAGACACTGTTATCGGGGCCAGGATCGATCAATTACCGGATACAAAGGGATATGACCACCCGTATGTCATTCATGAAGACTATCAGATCGATACATCCAAGATGCCGCTTCGCAAAGCGGTGACAGCCTACGCACCGGAAACAGGGATTATGCTCGAGTTCTTTACAACCGAACCGACGTTCCAGTTCTACACAGGCAACTTTATTCCTGATGGGTTCGAAGGCAAGAAATCTCAAGGGGGAGCAAAATATGGTCAATACGGTGGCTTCTGTTTGGAAAGTGGCCGCAATCCTGATGCCCCTAATAAGCCCGACTGGAGAAGTTCCGTGCTGTTACAAAAGGGCGACATTTATGCCGGAAAAACCGTGTTCACATTCAAAGTCCATGGCTCTCAAAATTTGTAGGCAGCCTATTTCAATAAATATTTCAAATCATCACAGTGAATGGTCATGCGAAAGGGTTCTGGTCTTTTTTTTTCAGCTATCAATCTGTAGCTAATACACTCAACCTAAAACAATTTTTTCCTCATTTCAAAAGCTTATTGATTGGCGGCACCCAAAACGCTTGCGTGAGTTTTCATGCGCTACTTTACTTGACGAGGAGGGAATCACGTAATGTACTATCATAGGGGAGAGGCCTAGGCTATTCCTTTTTTATTTAGAGCAGGGCATTGCGTCGAGTGGAAGCATTGCGTTGTAGTTCTGGCATGAGCGGTTCTTCGCGACCTTGTGTATCGTTTGGTTCTTGTTGATCCTTAGGTTGTCTACGTGAGAAGACGCGGGCCAATGGAATCTTTTTCAGCAGATCTTGGGCCTGGTGATGCAAGCTATGCACACTGTGAGTCGAAGGCGAACGGGTGGTGGAAGTGGCGCTGGACAAAGTACGAGTCAATTGAGCGGTTAATAACATTTCTTGTTCCATTTCTTGTTCCAATTCATGGCGTTGGTCTTCCGATACGGGTTCGTTATCGACTGTGATTTGGATATTGTGCCGTCTTGCGCTGGTGTCGGTTTCTTCTTCCCTTGGCATAGTGATTCCCATATCCGATGGGAAGTGATATCGAGTCTCGTACCCAGGAGGAATACGTGCACTCCAGTAGTCGAGGTCTTGCTTGAATTGCGAAACAGCTAAATCCGCCAGATCTTCGTTGGTCCACAAACGCCGCGATTTGCGTCGGTTCTTTTTGTCCGGCAATGAATTGATTTGCCAGTCATCAGGAGAGATGGCCGGCCGAATTTTTATACAATCTTGGAAATGATCGATCATCTTTTCCATGTGTCTGAAACCAAGCATAAGAATGAGAAGATGCTTTTTTTTTCTTCGTTTAAACCCCTTTTTTGCGATAGCAACTTACTCTGGATCGTCAATATCTTCCTTGGGAATGGCTTTTAGTTGCTCGAGATCCTCTTTGGCATCCTCAAGGCGACGACAATAGATATAATTTTCTAATTGGAAAGCTATGGGGTCTTCGGCTCGGTTGTACCTAGATACAAAGTAAAGATCAGTGATTTGTTATCTGTGGCGATCACAAATAATTTCTTATTATTAACATACTTGTGATAACATTGGAGGTTATCCTGAATATCCAATCGAACTGTTTGGGCGGCCAGCTGGCCATGACTAGTACAGCAGTAATACAAGGACGGATACAGTTTCGACATGCGAACTGTTCCAATACAATCCAATTTGCAAAAAGACTTGATGCTTAGTAATATAAAAAAAACCAAAAGAGTCGGACGCTTACTATCGACCACGATGCCTTTGCTTTTATCAACATCTTCATTGACAAAGACTGGGCCGGATTCTGTACGACCCCATTCGCCAATACCGTTGGCTCCTACCAGCAAGGGGGTCTCTGGGGCTTCCTGATTCCTGAACGGGGTAGGTAGTGTGCCAACCGCATTTTCATATACCCAGATATCCTTGAAGCGGCGCGCTGGATCCTCCACAGGCCGTGTATCTTGCTTCGAATACCTTGCTGTGCGATGCCACGAATCCCACACCGGCAAACAATCTGCCTTTAACATCCACATGCGCATGGTGCCATCCGACGAAGCGGTGCCCATGTTCTCGGGTCGCATATTGGACCAAGCCAACTACAGCCATGTCCGTAAGTCAATACGCTCAGGCCAAGTGTGTCAGCTGGTCACTACTTACTTTATTGATAACGCCATCATGACCATCGATTTTGGCTACGGGAGCGTGATGCATGAATCGAATATCCCAGATATTGACAAAGCAATCCTCTCCTGTGGATGCGAGCCAGAATGGAATAAAAGTACTGAATTGGGCATCGCGAACTGGTCGCCAATGCGCATTTTCGGTATACCAAACGACGTCGCCGGAGCGGCAATCCATGATGGATAACGACCGATCGTTGCCTCCTGTCACGATCAGGGTTTGGGGTGCATGAGGGGACCAACGAGCGCAGTTGATTAAAGGCTGACCTTGCGCTTGCCACCGACGGACCGGTTCCGTTTCTTTAAGCACGTCCCATATGTACAGTTGGTTGGTCACGGTCGATAAGAATTGAGTGGATAAATCGGCCGATGGAGGCTCAAACATCATGCTGACAGGTTGCCATGACTTTTGCACCAATTCAACCGAATAGTTGGCATGAAACTGTACCGATTTAACATGCGAATTCACGCAGTCAGTGATGGGCAGCTATCCAGCCTCAATTGTTACTCTTAGTTCACCCACGATGCAGTCATTGTACTTGCCTGCAAATCATAGTTTTGTTTAAAATTGGCCACCACTGTGAAATGAAGCGGTTTGTCACCATCGGGCGTGTCCAAATAACGAACACTGTACAAACGAACCCTGCCTTGGTTCAATCCAACCAATAAATGGCCTCCTTGCCAATCGAGCGAATGGATCGGAGCGCCCAATTGTTCGGTTTGCAAAAGCTACTCAAAAAAAAAAAAAAAAAAAGACCAGTGGCCGTGTCAGCTTCTTTTTCACTCAAGGAATCATGATGAAGCAGCAAACTTACATCGAAACGAGGATACACCTTGGTAGATGCATCCGGGTGGCCGGCTAGATCTTTGACAAAGTACAGATTCCCCGAAGGGCTACCGGAACCCATTACAATAAGGTCGAGATCCTAAATGGTCGCGTTTGAATTATTCTCGGTCGATGTATAGAAAAAAAAACAATCGATTGCTTACACCGGATACAGCCATGGAGGTAAGATATTTCTCGTCTTCATTAACGTTAAAGCAATTGGTGCGCAATCCTTTGGTAGCTCTGAAAGTGATCTTTGCGGTGAGCGCCTTGGCCAACATTGATACATTCACACCAAGCGACCTACTCTTCCCTGCCTTCCGATAGAATAGGCAATCCTAACGATTTATTAACAGCGCATAATCTCGGCATCCGCCGATTGGGTTGCGACGACGTGATTTTACGGTCGAACTCTTCTCTGGAGATGCGAACCATGGTGAAGAATAAAAAACTCAATAAGATACGAAAAAAGCAAAGGAAAGAAATGTGTTCGGCGGATAAACCGTTTATTGAACAAATGCTTCCATAGTTGACAGCGCGACCAGGAACATTTGTTATATTATATATTTACTATAGATACTTGGTTTTGTGTTATGAAATGCTGGGATATGTGGACTTTCTCGATAGACACGACGTTCATCGAGTTGCTTTGTGTTTTCTATTGCATTTACTTTTGGTTTCGTGGTTATATTTCCGTTTCCTCAAAGAGGGTGCCTAAAAATCTCCGGCCTAATTCTGGTTTATATTGAACATCGATTGATACACTTGATACTTCTTTCAGCTGTTGTCTGATTGTTTTACAAGTCATTTCTGGACTTGCCGACTCTATTTCAAAACCCGAAATGACTTCAAGCCAGGCGCGGGTCATCGACATAGGGCAAAGTCAATCCATATTTTGACGAGTCCAAGTTTTCATCCTCAATATGAACATCAACTCTGATGGCAATACAATACGATGCGTGTAAGTGGTATTTGTACGCATCGAGAACTATCGAAGCTTTGAGAAAGGATGTCAATTTTGCGTGGTCTTTTCTCCAGTGGGTGGTGGGGGCCCAGTCACGTTTCAAGCAGAAATTTCCCAATAGGTCAAAACGAAAAAAAAAAAGCAAAAAAAAAGCGCTTAGTCTTTAGTGATTCCCTCCCAAGTTCAGTTCCTTCATGTATAAACGCGCAAGAAAAGAATTAGCAAAGCAAGCTATACAGACAGATATCTTTGATGCTTTTGCTGAAACCAGTGAAGAAATGTTAGCCGGCATTTCCTCTGGATCCGACAGCGATGAATCCGATCTGGAGTTGGAATTCAAGGAACGGAAACGAGTGCTCAAGAAACGGAAAAGAACAACCTCAACCGAATCCGAAGAGGATTCCGAGGACGAGGAATCCGAGGATGAAATTCGCAAAATTTTGAAGAAAAACAAGGTCTCCACAGATTCAGAATCGTCAGATGCCTCCTCTGCGTCAGAGGAAGAACAAGAGGAAGAGGAAGACGATGATGATAATAGCCAGGATTCGTCAAACGAGGAGGAGGAGGAGGAGGAGGAAGAAGAAGAAGAAGCGACATCCAGCAGTGATAAAGGCGAGGAAGAGGCTGAGAAACAGAGTGAAGAAGCCGATGAGGACGAAGAAAAAGACCCCTTTGACGAGATGGAAGACAGACCCAAAGGAGGGTTTGTGTGTAACATCTGCCCACACAAAGTATTAAAGGTCAAGGGGCAAGTGCGGGCCCATTTGCAGAGCAAGGTTCGTTCACGCGTCGTATACTAAATAATCTTGATTTCATTGATATACTGATTTTTTCTTTTTTGGTTCCGCCCAGGCTCACAAACGACGAGAAAGATACCTGCAGAAACATGGCCAAATCTGATGATCATAAGCCACAATGTTTTTTTTTACCGCATCTCATCATTTTTCACACCCTCTCATTTCATCTTTGTGTATTTCATTTTCATAATCTAGAACTTTTGTATCATGTTCAACTTTTTTTGGGCAAAAACATGTGATACATTTTTATGCAGAATGAGTCTTCAAACGATCTTGTGTGCATTTTTATTGCAATATTTTTTTTTATCCTCGAGAGCCAGGAGGTATGTGAATGGGGTGATGATTCTTTTTTAGAGTTGAAAGCGGTCTTTGTACAATTGAAAGGTGGGGGAAGTGGATGGTTTGGAAGGATGGGTATGATTGGCTTGGTATAGATTGACCGACGCCAAAGACATAACAGAATGACACGATGTCGGGGAGTCGCTTGAAGGCTCAGAAGACGATGTCGCTTCGAGAAAGGGAACCGTAATAGGCGAGAGAATCACACCTCGTCGACGGGATAAAGATTTGTTGAGACGTCGCGGTCGAGAAACAGACGATTGTCCAGCAACAGTCATAGGGGAAACGGCGGGCGTGTTGACAGAGGAAGCGGAAGAACGTGACAAATAAGAAGGGAGCAAAGGAGATCGTCGTTTGGGTGTCTCAGTCAATTTGGAAAGACGAAACTGGATAGCATCCATCCATGCTTCCAACTCAAACAATGATTGACATTCGATCGTCCATGGTTTTACTGCTTTATCCGCATCGGGGGTCACTGGGGTGGTCCCGAGTTCCGGATGAGGTTCCAGTCGGAAGGTAAATGGATGATTCGGCGAAGGATTGATCACCACTTTTCCAACGTGGCGCAAGTTAAGAGTATTGGAAGGTGTGACAGCATGCTGTGAAGAATTTTGCATGGATATTTTAGCTGATTTGTTGATATTCATATAAGCGTTCCTTATGGTCCCTTACCTCGCTTTTATAATATCGTAACTCGGTATCCAGCAAGACAAAGAACCGTTGCTGCCATCTGGACCGGCCAAATGACTGTGTTAATTTGGAGAGCCAAGCGGCTCTGGGCGTAATAGAAAGATTCATTCCAAGGCGCCAATAAATGTACAGAGAACAATGGTTGTATAAACAAGAAAAAAAAAGAAAGCCTAAAATGACAGAATAGCATGATGGCCTTTATATAAGGCAATCATTTACAAAAATTCTGGAACATGGATCACAAATTACTCTTCATTTCCACCGATCACCGCCATCATTTGGATTTTTTTTTATCCTTCTGGAATCATCCAACCAACGAATAACAATACACGCATTTATGAATAAATGCTCATTCGAGTTGTAGGATGACTTTGATCACAATGCATGAGTATATCATTCTTCCATCTTTTGAGTGTTTCTCCAGCGCGCATTGACCTTGTTGGCATGGTGAATAGGTGCCAAGTGACGAGACAAGGAGACTGACCTGACAGATGCATGCAGTATGGCCTGGACTCTTGTGAGAGTTTAATTTGCGGCGTGGTCCAGAAAAATTAGCCGCAAATTGGCATGTTTTGCGCAACGTGCCCCTTCCCCTACGTTTCACCATTTTCCTTTTCCGTTCTTGGCAAACGTTGAAGCAAGCCTACCCATTTTATCTCTTACATCCCTCCTCCCCGGACCAGCCGAACTTTATGAAATCGAATCGTAACTCCAGGCCTCTCTTCAAACATCGGCGGAGCGCCATTTTTAGGCCAATGAGCAGTTTGGGAGATGAACAAAATGTTCTATCGAACCATTGACCGATCTATCGTGTGTCACCGATTCTTTCATTTTGTTACAGACTTTTTACAGTCTATTCGACGTAGCGCCTTCTACCGTTATTCCAGACCTTTTCGTTCGGGTATTGCGACCTTCATAAAAATTGGATGACATTGTTAGGTGGGCTCGATCGGCTCAACTACGCTAAGAGGGGCATGAAGCCAAATTTTATCGCTTGGTCTTTTCGTGTCGTCCATCCACAAAAGCTCATAAACTGGAGACAATGCTTAAGTTCACAACAAAATTGAGCTGGACAACTGCATAACTATGTTTTGTCTTGTGATGTCAAATTAAATTGCTGACGCGTTTCTTGGCACTTGTCTCCATGATATTGTCATGAAAGAGCGCTTTTTTCTATCGGCCAGTCTAGAGCATCGACAAATAACTCGCGTTGTCCACGATGTGCCAGCTTAGCTTGCGGCTTTTTATCTAAAAACTCACTTATTTATCGATCAATCCAGTATGTTAATGCAGCTTTCAAGCGTGCTTAGATATTCAAATCAAAAAAATAAAATTTGTGGTAGGTATGCTCTCAAAAAATGCCTCGGACAGTTACAGGTGGTTTATAAGCGGTGTTGATCACCCAATGCAAAAGACTGGATACTTACCGCCAACTTGAATTGCGTTGTAAAAAATCCTTCAAGATGGACGCTATCTGCCAACTACAGTTCTAATCACCGTGGTACACGAATTCATAACTTATACCGGCGTCGCCTCACTGATGCTATTTTCATTATATATCCGACACAGATGATCACATTTGTCTGTTAAAAAAGAAGGTTTTGCTATGCCAGCCAGGGCCACTGTTTTTCACACGACTCTCCTACTTCCCAAAGCAATAAGAACCATTCGCTAGGCGGAGACACAATTTCGTGTCAATAGTGGGCGCTTCTTATTTGTTGATCGCTGTTCGGCGTAAGAAAAAAAAATAATTAGACCAATGTGCGCCAGCTTTTTTTAGAGGGAGAGGGATAGGAAAGAGAGAGACAGAGAATTAGAAATCTTTGAATCGCACTTTACGGCCTCTTATGCCGGGGTCATGGATCAGCCAAGTAATAAATATACGATAGCCTTTTCTGTTGTTCTATTTGTAACCACCATCACGACAAACACAAGGGGATATCCCAGCATGGTAATGTGAACTAGTCCAAAAGGTCATATGATGCTGCATGAGCAGACTCGAGATGGATGGGGGAACGCGCTCTTCGCACCCAAAAAAAAAAAAAAAAAATCAGTGACATCACACGCTGTGACTTGTTTTTTAATTAACTCCGGAATTTTTTTTTTTTTTTTGGCTTTTCAGAATTTCGAAACAAGGCACTGCCAATGATTGGGCCTTGAACAAAATAGGGGTGTGTTAATCAGTCGGTGACTGTGGGTATTTGTCCAATAGCTTTCACGTAAAAAAAATTCACATATAAAAAGCCTGGTTCAATCAAAAGCAGTGGTCTCTCTATCTCTTTTCAATCGTAGTTGTCTCTTCTACTTTTTTTATTGCTTTTTACATCATGGCATTCCAATTCGGTCATCAACGTAAGTTAAAACCATTGTCAAAAGGTCTCATGGATCACGCATGAAAAATCTAAATAATTCGCTTCTTTGTGACAGAACCATTGAATTTCACCAACGGCAACTGCAAAAGAAAATTGGAAGATAATGATGAAGAAGAGGTAAATCAATTTTTCTTTTCGCTTTCAATGCGACAAGATACAATCAGATCTAATCTAACCTGTCGGTGTAGTTTATATTGAAGCGATTCAACGATATTAGTGCTCGATTGACATCCGTAGCGCAAACCACACCGGATTCTAATTTACCATCAATCACTTACGCTTCCCCAGATTATCGTCCCCCTCCACGCACAGATGCATTGTGGCTTCAACCAGTGCCTACGGCTACACCGGCCATGGAAGAAGATTCGACGGATGAAGACGATACTCAATCGCTCATGACTCCCTCGTATCAAAACGAAGCGTTCATCGATCGTTCATGGACCGCCACCGCCATGGATCAGTAAAACAATTCTTGTCCGTTCTCTCTCACTCACTCGAAACTCTTTAACCATCCCGTCATTTTTCCGCCCCTCTTCTTCATCGGCTCTTTGCTGCTATTTTTATTACGGTTCTGCCAGCCCATTTTCCTTTATCATCCGCATCCTTGTAAATAAATGAGAAAAAGAAAAATGAATACTATTTATTTTCAACCAGAAGTCGTTCATGCCTGCTATTTATCACTACCAACCCTTTGTCATCAAAAACAATTGAGACCGAATACCAATATACAATTTGGACTGCAGATACGCTGTATGATAATTCAGTTCCGCCAAGCTCCATCGGCAACGTACAAAAATTAAAGATACTCAACAATAGACAATGTCTCATCAGGTTCATTGATCATGCACTGCTTTCTGATTCATGTTCGTTCAGACAATGAGAAAGCCGTGGCACAATGTTATTGCAATGATCTCAACCAGTCGTGGCAAGGTGACGGACTTTGGGAGCAGAATTAGTCCTCAGTTTATTTAGTGACTTGTCTCTTACTCAAAAGGAACAGACATTAGAGTCGTGCCCGACATTTGCTATGTTTCCAATAGAGTGGCGAAGTTGGCAGTACAAAAACAATTTTCTCATTGGATCAATGCAATATCTCAGAGATCGTTAAAAAAATACCAACACCGACAAAAGGCATCATCGTGCTTCCTAATAGGTTGAATGCTGCGATTTACACGCCGACATTGAAAAGTAGATGATGAAGAATAGGAAGCGGCTGAGGCAGATAGAGAAAAATTTGATTGGATGAATTTTTTCTCAGCCTGATCAGCTTATGCTTAAGTAGCGGGTGGATTTATTGGGACTGTTACTGTTGACGATTGGCGCACGAATTAGAAGGAACTGATGTGAACGGTCAAGTTTAAGGCTTTCCACCCAGATGACGGACCTTGCTTTTGCATTTCCATTCCGGGAAATCCCATTAAAGGCATAGTGCCTCCGTTGATATCCGAAGTGGCATCACCAAAACATTATCAAAGAAAAAATACCAGAGCTCATTCTATAAAATGGATGGCTGCCGAATGAAACCAATAAGCACGATTGGGCAATTGATGGCTTGTTTGTGTGAACCTAAACAAGTGTGAATCATTGACAGTAAAACGAGAAGCTTTTGTGACAATGTTTGTGGCTTTGTTTTTTCATTTTGCCGATGGATATGCCGAAGGGGTCAACATCTCTCAGACTTCTCTTGAGTAAGCAAGAAAAAAAATGAGTAGGGGTATCCATGGTAAAAGTTTTTTCTTTCTTTTCTTCTCAACGGCAACGGGACATGAATAGGAAACTGGTCAGATAAAGAAAGGCTAAGCCATATATTGACGGGGTCATGCAGTCTGTCCTGTGTATATGTGTGGTCGATCTACAAAATCGTCCAAGGAGTCCTTTCTAAACTTTCATTTAATCTATTTTGGAGGCAAAATCATGCAACATCATGCTTTTCTTTACATAATGCTTGCAAATAAAAAACATAATATATGGCAAGAAGCAGTAGCAGCAGGAAAGACTCTTATTAATCATCAACTGCATTTGTCATTCGGAGCTTCTTTTTTTTCATTTTATATGAGTTGTGGGGGTTTGCCAAGCGAACCACAAACCACCATCCATGTGCGGCGGATAATTTTTATCACTTATGCCGTTGAAATGCTTGCCAACAAAACACCCGTAATAAAAAAAAAAACCCAAGAGTAAAAATAAATCAAAGCGTCATGAATTTGCCGAAATATGCATCCTAATTTGGGAAATATTTCATTGCAAAATCCTTCAATTTTTTCTGCAGAATGCTTTTTGATGTCCAACAATTAAACCGAAGTAAACCCCTTTTGACAAAGCAGATAAGCGTTGGGACCACCCTCGACAATCCCGAGTGAGCATGTGGCCAAGTGCAGTTCATCCACAAATGGTCGCTTATGGAAAAACATCGACTTTTTCCGATATCACTCGAATCCCCCCACGATCCTGAACGAAGGAACTTCTTTTATTTTTAGGAACTTTGTTTGACTATGATTATGCAAGAAACATTAGTTTTTGGCGGCAAGCCAATCCAGGAGAAGGTTAATTCGATCTTGCGATGGGCTAGTGAAAAAGAAAAATTAGAAGAAAAAAAGCGGGGATAAATAATATGCCGTTTGCTTGTCCGGACCAATACGAAAAGAAGAAAACTCGGTGAGTCCAAGGGTTCGACACCACCGTTTCTTCCTCGTCACATGAAACCACTCTACAACAACACGTTTGTGATGCCAACCTTATCCTTATCTTTGGTTCTTTCAAATTATTCAAGCGGATAAAAAAACGGGAAGTGATATAGTGCCTTTCCAACAAGCTAATGTCGCCGTCGTTCAAAAGCGACCGTCATTGACCAATCCCAATGCTACGTTCAAGGAAAAAAGCCTTGTTTCAGGTATTATGTCGCTTGCTGTGGAAAACGATGTCGTATTACGACAATCTTTTTTGGCACTTGTAAAAAAAGTCGATGATGTAAAAAAGACCATCTTTCTCAACAGCATACTTTATATTTTACCAACAGTCTCAAGAATCAAGTAAAAATGATTACATTCAGAAGAGAAAACGTTTGCATGCGCTCCATTTTTCTCGAGCGCCAAAAAAAAAAAAAAAAAAAAAAAAAAATTGTCGTGCTATCAACGCAAAGTGTTTTGAAAAGCAACGGACATGGTTTTTTAGAAAGGTAAATGACTTCCATTTCTGTATAAGTAACTTTGATTGTGATTGGTCAATGACATTTTGACTAAGCGGATTGGGTTTTATAAGAAAAAAATTGAGATCAATCGGCGGAGCCCATTTCATCACCGGCATCATTTGCCGTGTCATCCGGTTCATTGTCGGTGGATTTGTCCATGAACAAGTGGGCCCAGTGAACGATGTGATGAATGTCCATCAAGGATAAATTATAGTTGATAAAATGTAAGAATTCGATTTCCATGCGAACAATGTGTTGCGTTCGTTCTTTGGGCGTGAGAGAATCAGTCATGTTTGGTTCAAAATAGTGATATTTTTCCAGTTCAGACGCAGTGAAAGTGGGTGAGGTCGGCGGAGACAGTGGACGAAGGTCGGTGCGGAGCGGTGGGAGGGTATCGTTTTCAAATAACAGTTTTTTCGAGCCACGTCTTGGTGGTACGTCGGATAGTGAAGGGGATGGTTCTTTGACTTTGGGTGATGGCTGCTTTTCTTGCTTTTTTTCTTCTTCCTGCCGCTGTTGTTCTTCGGTGTGGATGATGGATCGTAAATTGGTGTGAATAAATTTCGAAGCCACCATGTAAGCCACCATGATCAGCCGCTGACTACATCCTTTGGTGCCTCGGATGCCCCCGTATCGCTAAAAAGGAAAACCGGAAGACATTTAGAATGCGTTGCCACAACGGAAAAATGAATTGCTAGGTTACTGTACCTGTTTGAGTCGTTGAATATAATGCACAGCCATGAGCAAAGTGATATTTGGACACACGGTTGGCGTGGAGGTTTTGCCACGACAAAATGCTTTCAGAGCATCGTCCAGTGGGGCCTCGGGCATCAGCGCCGTCGTGTTTAGAATATTATTCATCAAAGCGACAAGATCGGTTGTGACGGAAGGCGTTGGATCCACTTCCCATGCCTGTACGACAAAATCAGCAAGGTGTCCTATTGTTGAAAAAAAAAATCAACAGCGCGTTCACGTTATTAAAACGTTGATATTGGAAAAGCTGCTTACGTATGCAATTTGGATGAAGTCGTTGGCGTCGATTTAACTGAATGGCCTGCAGCAGCAAACCGGCTTGGTTGTAACTCGCTTGGTAGACAGCTGTCAGACGTTTCTGCATGTCGTTATAGTTTCGTTCGAAGCGATACGGAGCGAACTGGAATGTATCTATTCGACCGTTGGAAGCGTGGTTGTGGAGTTTGACTTTGGTTTTCATAATAATAGAGAACTTGAGGAAGCGGAGAACAGCGGGTGATTGGGAAAAAAAATGTATTTATATTATGTGGTGGTTTAAATAATAAGCCGTTCCTCTGTCTCTTTTTGCATGAATCCACTCAGGTCCCAAAAAAAAAAGAAAATGACAAAAATTTGGCGGATAATTATTTGACCCGATGGCACAAAATGGCATGTTGGAATCTTGGGGGGGGTTCCCTTTGCCATGTTGTCTTTCTATTTTTCCGTCAGAGAGGGACAAAAAGTAAAAATAAACTGGAATTCCTGCTGTATGCAAATATCTGTTATCTCGCTTTTCATTTTAAAAAAAAACATGTCGCAAAAAAAAGGTCTCCCTTCCATCGATCGGAGAGAACACGTATTCCGCTTAGAAATCATGCTACAATTCGTTTCTCATTTTTCCATTCTGTGTTTTCGATAACCGACAATCACTTTATCCCTCCTTTCGGGCTTTTTTCACGTCAGTTAAAGGCAACGGGATTCCTTGATCCAGTGTTCTCATGACCATTTCTCCCGAATTGCCATCATCCCATGAAATAACTGGATAAGGTGGTACGAGCTGTCTGTGGTCAGAACCCACCCCCAAAGAAAAGAACAGTTTTTTTGTATACACTTTTGACTGAGTCCTTTTTTTTCCTGATGAAAATGACTCGCAAACTCGGAGATGGTGACAGAGGATCGTCAAGGTTTCCCCCTTTCCATGGTTCGTGCCCAATTTGTGTGAAAACAATGGAAACTTCCAAACCGTCGAGTTTAACGGGGATTGAGCTGGCAAATCAGGGCCGGTCTTATGTGATGCATTGTCGATCAAGTGGTGTCCAATCGACCCGCTAATTCATAGTCCGCGAACAAATGACACTGTGAGACGGGGACGACGGAGCTACTTTTTTTTTTTACCACCGTCGACCGCCAAAACGTTGATTTTTTTTCTGGTTTCAGTTTTGTCAATGTTTTTTCCAAATCATGTCAAAAAAAAAAGACAAACCAGGCCATTTTTTTCTCTTCCATGATCAGCACAGAAAAACCAAAAAATGACCGCATTACCCAGATTTTTACGTTTCAGAATGATTAAATTTTCATGCAATCGCTCTTCGCATCCCGATTTTTTTTCTTGAGTGATAATAAGTGCCGTGGAACGTATACAAACAGGACTTGGTATGGATACACAATGGACATGAAATCTTGGAAATGGGCTTTTTTTTTCTTTTTTGAATGACGGAATGGGACGTGTGCGTGTTACTTTCCATCGACAGGGTAACACGGCCAAAAACACGCGAGCTTGCTCTGCAGACACTTTTTATTGATGAGCGTCTGAATAAAAGACCGTTGTAATCAAAGGTTGCAATCATCAAACCTTTTTTGGGGGGTTTGACTATTATGTTCGACACAGGAAAGCACTTCTTTCTTTATAAAAGTGGCCAGAGAATCTCCATATTCTTTTGTTCTCGTGAGCAAGTGATTTTCACTGGTCATGGTCAGCTGTTTCGCGTTTCTCAAATCACAATAGCGTCGTTTAACTTTTTGTCATTCCGTCATGAAAACGACACAGCTATCCCATTTTTTATTTTATCACTTGGCACCGACTTTGAGGTTCTCCGTCATAACAGACACATTCTATTGACACTACTACTTTGAACAAAGGACAGACTTCTCTTCATCCAAACCTTTGGTGAGGAACCATGTACGAAATGGGATCAACCGATGAACGTATTATTTTCTCGGCATTCACTTTATAGTTGCTGTATAAAACCATGTATACCAGACGATAGCTGGTTACCAAGGGGAATAAAATCGCAATAATGAAGAGACCTTTGTAGTGATGCTTTAGTGAACCATGGTCAAAGATCGCTTCCAATCAAGGACACGAAATATGGCATTCCAATTGTACAAAAAATTCAACTTTCTGCATATCTGTTACTCTTGTTTTGAAGCTTTCTCATTCGATGCAGAAAAACCCCCCCAACAACTTTATTGCTCGCTTCTTGTATTATCATTTTTGATATTAGGCGCTCCATCATCTCGTTGTAAGGTTCGCTTCTCTGGGGCTCTGCTGTATCATGTTGTCGGACGGATTTTTTATTGTGTATCGCAGCTGATAGATTTTTGATGTTTTTCACGAGAATTCCTGGAAGTGGCTGGTTCAACAGTAGTCGATCAAGAAGTCTATAAAATGGACACTCATCGCGCTTGTCAAAGTTCTTTCTATTCCCCGACCTACATTTCAAGGTCTTGTTTGCCTCTGAGATTGTCTTTTTTTCTTGGACGAAACGAACCCAAGGTGGGCCACCCGACCATCGACGTGTTCGGCTCGTGTTTGGCAGGTTGGGTTGACCTGCGTTGCATGGCACTGCGTAGTCCAACCTGCCGACTTGGTGGGTTCCTTGGGACAGCAAAGGCCAATCAGAGTTTACAGGACTTATTATTTACATTCACATTTTGCTACAGTCTACTGCCATACTGGTTTGTTATTTTTTCAATTTTTCTTTCATTGACTTTGCTTCCCCAACTTTTTCTTTTCCATTTGATCTTTTTAGCAATCTTTGTGATTTTTTAGTTGAATAAAATTGTGTAAAAAATCTTGGATTTTCATTTTACTGGATATGATTCGGCTCTGTCAAAAGTGTGAATGGGACAACCAAAAAGGATGATTTTGTTTCCGAGAGATACAGTATCGCAAAAAAGAATTGGCCCCTTTTCTGCAGGAAAACCGTCTAATTTTTCAATAAACCATGGCAACCAATCAAGAAAGGCCCTCACGCTTATTTACACTGTAACATATCAACAACGGATAAGTATACGGGTATACGGTCGTCAAGAATGAACTGGTTAGATAAAATAAACTAAAGAGGAGACCTTGGCCGTCTATTTTCAAAACATATGGACAAGCCTTTAGATATATATGATCAGTATGAATGCTTGTTTCTTGTCTCCCGTAATCTTTTATCACATAGTTGAACTTTTTTTATGGTTGCACCGAGCCCTGATGAGCGTGACACAGGCGCACGAAACGGACTTGAAAACCAGGTTGGATGAAGCGGGGTTTGAAAAAAGAAATCAAGAAGCTTTTTTCTTTTTTTTTTGGTGCCTCAGGAAACAGTTGTACGGCGCTATTTCTCTTTTTGAAAATTATCGGAAAATGGTGCACCTGAAAAGTTTTGATTCTGCGATATTCCATACCGTCCACCATTTGATGAGGCAATTACCAGTTGCCAATAAATTCAGCAATAAATCATTTAGTGTCTTTTGGTCTTTTTGCACAGTAGTATCGGGAAGTAAAAAATCGCAGAACTGATTCAGAAAGGGAAGAAGGGGGAAAATCATGGCACGCTAATCCCTACTCGGTAAGCTTATGATATCTCCACACTTGTTTTGGTAATTGGGCCGCAAAAAATTTCAAGTGCCATTTTTACTATTGGCGCTATGTTAGTACAATTTAGGATCAGGACCTGTGAAAGCGCAAGGGCAAGGGAATGGACGAACTGTCAATTGAATAGTCCTACCTAGTGCTTGCACTATCTACAGCCAAGCTTTAGAGTTTTGCCAAGCCAAAAAAAAAAAAAAAAAAAAAAAAAAAACCACACGCAAAACGGGGTTTCCAACAGCAATTGCACTATTTAAAAATTTCCAAAGCGGCGATCAATATATCCTTCGTGCATATACGATGGACGATCCATGTGTCAAGAAAAGAAAAAAAGTGCCATTCTTTTTTTTAAGAGGCAGGACGAGGCATCTGGGTGTCAGCGAATGGAAAACCTTTCAATATGAATGACTGAACTTTGTACCAACAAAAACCTCCCCCAGGTGACCGTCACATATGATAAGCGTGCCATCAGAGTTCATGCAATGCACATCTGACGTTTCATTCATACTCTGTTCGCGCGTGGACTCATGTATGTATGTATCTGTGTCAGTAAGATTACAATTGCGTGCTCACAAATAATACATGGCGGTCTTGACATTGAAGCAAACCCTGGACTTGGGACCATATTACTTTGTCTACTTTTCTGTGCAATTTTTATCCATTTTAATCGATTATCGGGCTAAAACGGATCACCAGTAGTTCAACGTTATGCAAAGAAATTCCCAGGAAATAAAAAAGATAATCGAACAGCAAAGAAACTCTTCCATTTGATCATTCACCAACGCTCGAGCCACGCTTGCAGTAAAAAAAAAAAGAACATGGTCACCGTCAATCCTGTCTTTTACGTACCTTCCCATTGTTCCGCCCAGATGGTTTTTTTCCATTAAGGAAAACCAAAGAGTTTTTGGATTGCCAAGACTTTTTCTTGCTTTAACCTGTATTTTTTTTTCTACTACAAAAATGCATGGATGCATCTCCCCTCATCATCGGAAGTGCTCCTGCAGCTCACCTGAAATAATAGTGGTAGAAACACAGAAAGGCAGCTCCCCACTAATAAGCGTAAAGCATTGTCGGAGTTTACAAAGAAAACGATGATTGGGAAGTGACGAATAAAAAATGATGTGATCCCATTGGGGTAGGTCACACCAAGAAGCATAAGTAAAAACGATAAGTATAACATGACTCTTCTGGTTGTCTGATGACAGCATGGGTACTATTGGTTATTGATGAAGCTATTCTACTTGTTTTTTTTTGTATCTGTAGCGACATACTAATACTTATACACTCACTCTGGCCTGTGGGTTTTTAAACAGAAAAAGGGACGTTGGCTGACTTTTTTTCTGAATAGGAAGAAGGAGGGCGAAAAAAAAAATTGTAGTCCAAGGAGGTAAAAAATTTGCAACACCGAACCGGTGGTGGCGTGTGATACGAACACACAAAAAAAAAAAAATGCCAATCACAGATAAACATAAGGTACTTACACAAAAGAAAAATAATAATAATCGACATCATTGTCATCAATGATATCTGCACGTAATAAAAAGTGATTCATTCATAAATTGATCTACTTCATTCGATATCGTAAGTTTATACAAATGTTTATACTCGTTTTTTCAAACTGCGCATTGTAGTTTAAAACAGCAAAAAGGGCAAGTGCAAATGATGACGTTTGGGGCTGGACCACTTGCCTTTTTTGTATAGTGTCCCAAAGAACCGCTTCTAATTTTTCTGTTGCATCAAGTGATGTTTTTTATTTGGCCATTACCTTTTTTTCTTCTTCTTCTTCTTCTTCTCTTCTCTCTTTGCTTTCTTTCCATTATCTTCTTTTCTTTCTTGACATCTTTTTTACCTTTGATCTTTTTGATCTTTTAAACTATACATCATGGCTGATTTCATATGCATAGCGATGGCACCCCAGTATACCGATCCTCATGAATCCGAGCCTCGTGCACCTCACCCGTCTTCCAGTACTTCTTTTCGAAGATCGCTCAACTTATCTCAGGGAGCCTCTGCATTGTTAGGTCGTAGATTCTCCAGATCAAATCATCAAACACGTTCGAACTCTACCGATAATAATGAACGCTCCCCTACTTCTCGATGCAACTCCGATCCGGTGTATATTCGCATTGTTCCAAGTATCGATAATCCAGGTCGATCGCTGGTCTTCCCCATCATTGAACGCGAGTTAGAAGTCGGATCAGTCGTAAAAATTGGCCGTTTTACCGATCGATCTCAAACAAGCAATCACATCTCATTCAAAAGCAAAGTGGTGTCCCGATCACATTGTGAATTTTGGGTCGATGCAGACCACAAGGTAAACCCTCTTTTTTTTGTCTTCGGGCGGGCGGTAAAAAAAAAAAAAGATAAAAAAAAATCATTGCATTTTTTTGATCCGAAGAACAAGATCTGTTATCACCAAAAAAACGGAGCCAGGGAAAAAAAGAGCGCATGGGAGAAGTAAGGGGTTGATGCGTGTGTGCGTGTGTGTGTGAGACAGAGAGACAGAGGAGATTCGCCATAAAAAGAAATACGAAATGGTGATACATGTGGAACGAACATTGGCATCGACTGACATGCCACTTTTTTTTTCTTTCGTCTCATTTTTTGTAGCTTCATTTACGAGACACCAAATCATCGTCGGGGACGTTTGTCAACCGAATGCGTCTAAGTTCTGCTGGCCAGGAAAGCCGACCAACCGAGATCAAGGATGGTGATATCATTCAGCTGGGTGTTGATTATCAAGGCGGCGTGGAAGAAATTTATCGATCTGTAAAAATGCGATTCGAGTTGAATCGGTCCCCCACCCGACAAGGGCCTGACTCTTTCAGTGTATCAGCATTCCATAATCTACGAAATATCACCAACCCAATCGCTTCATCGTGTAGCAAACCAACCGCTCATGGAGAAGCCTCCGATGCTTGTTGTCCTTCTTTATCACCGGAAAACGGCTCATTCAACGATCTGCAAGTCGATGAATGTGTTATCTGTCTGTACGCCCTGGCGCCGTTCCAGGCGCTCTTTGTTGCGCCGTGTTCCCATTCTTATCATTTCAAGTGTATCCGCCCACTTTTGCAAAGTTACCCCGGTTTTCAGTGTCCCATTTGCCGCACCTATTCTGATCTCGAAGCCAGTGTGGCTATCGAAGCAGAAGAAGTGCTCGAAAAATACGGTGTCAAATCCAAATCTTCCACACAGCCGTCCTCGCCATCTTCGCCATCCTCGCACACCACTTCCCAGCAAGCGGATCACGACCCCCAATCCCTTTTGATGCAGCCATGTGCATCGCAGCCTTCTTCACCGGGATCCGTTGAAGAACCTGATCAGCAACAACCTGACCCATCTGAAACGCGAGCCGAAAATTCAACCTCCGTAGCGCAACCGATGCCTTCGGAAGCGAACACTGGGCAACCCCATCGAGGCCCCGATCCGCTGTCCACTACGTTGGTGGCCTCACCACCCAGTTTCTCGCCCTTGTCGTCTTCCACGTATCATCGTACTTCCGCTGAAGGTGAGTGTATTACAATGAGTGAAATCGAATGCGCTGTATCTGGCCATTCCCACCGAACAAGTCGGCTGATAAAGGATGATGACAGCAGGCGATCACGGGGCGACCCTTTTATTCGAAGATTTTAGCAATGTGATAACCGAAGAAGAAAGTGGCATTGCCAGCACCCCAAGCAGTCCTCGATCCTTGGATGAAGACGTGGTTTCCCGATCCACCACACGGTCATCCGAACGCCGGTTGAGTGCTTCCAATCTCGTGGAGAAGCTTAAAGTAGCCTTTTCCGAAAAATGTAAATCCAGTGGATTCAACAACCGAGACGGCAAACGTTCGTCTGCAAAGTTACGGCATCGATCTCAGGAAGAAGACGCCGACATCATGGAAGTCGATGATATATCTGGTCCCTCATCGCCTCGGCCTTCTTCGGCTCCACTGACTCAAACTTTATCTCGGCAATCAACCACCCACACATCTCAACTCCCAGAGATCGTGGAAGACGTTGCAGCCGAGGAAGGCCAACCTTTTTACCCACAAGCATCTTCCATGATCATTGATCACCACTACTGATCATTATCATTATCACCATCATCATCAACGATATAGGAAATATTCCTGGCTAATCTTATTATTTTCTTTCTTCTCGTCTTCCTTTTTCTTGTCCCATTGATATCTCAACTGTCTTTGTATCATATTGCGCATAGTTTGCTTTTTTTATTCTTTTTTTTTTTTACCTTACAAATTTACTACACCCTCTTTTACATTAAGTTATCCAATGGAATTTCTGTTATGCATGTTTACTCTTTTCCAATCACTGTCTGCATTGCTGTGTACATCTGTGAACTACCACTGGTTCCTCCTTTATGTCATACAAAGCAAAAAGCTTCATTGTTACCAGTAATCAGCGCCCTAGTTTCTCATACATGAGACACTTTTACTAGGCCCCCTGCTGTTTGCTCTCCAACAATCTTGCCATACAGTATTTCATACTTTGCGGCAAAATTCATATGATTAGCCCACTACCGTACGGCTCTGACTTTAGCTGCGTTTCAATGACGCATGTTTTGCTTTCTGATAGAGGGATCTATTGCAATGTGATTTCTTTTATTTTACACAGCATGATCCCATTTCAATTTGATACCTCAAAGGATCTGTTTGTTAGTGAAGACATGAACTTAGCCCTGATCAATAATACCCTTACCGTTGGATCATATCTGGCAAAAAATATCAGATTGCAAACTGTCACTTGTGTGCCTTGCGAACATAAACAAATTTTTGTCTTTCTGCATCATGAATCACTAAACATATACAGTACTCACTATATATGCGTGCAGATACGACGATGAAGACAATGCAGAATTTTTTTAGTGAGCAATTTAGCCAAATGTACGTACCACTGCGTTCATTTTGTTGATTTTGCTTTTCTCTTCGTTAATCCAGGCGATTATTACAAGATAGCAAGATCACAGTCGAAGCAAACGCCGTCTGATCAACGAACTGTTGTAGCAATCCAAAATGGTAATTCTCGCACGCCGTGTCTGAATAGGTGATGCAGAAAAAGAGAGAGGAGTCACTGTATGTATCAAGTGCTTTAAATTGAGATAAGGTATGGTATCAAGGCGTCGGAGGTACATCCGTCCTTGAGACATGCGTTCAAGCTTTTCTTTTGCAGCTTGCACTTGTATTTGTCACTTGCATGCTGCAAAAAATTGCAGCAACAGCGTTTTGCCCAAGCAGCACAGCGCGGTTGCAACAGCATTTTCCAACCACGTTAATCCTCAGGTCAAACCTAGTGAAACAATGAGATTCCACCACAAATTTACTGTAAATTCATACGTTTTGACGATTTGAGTTTTGTAATCGCAATTCCAGGATAACATCTGAGAAACATGAACAAAACACACACACAAACGGGCACTGGTTTTATGAGGATGCATTGATTATTGGATGAAACATGAAATGAATTTGGAATACTTTATAAAGCTTTAACCCATATTCTAAGCTTCGTATGGGTTATTTATATCATGGCGACGGGGTGTGGGCCATTTTTTTGTAGTAATAAATTATAGGTGTTTGGTATTCGAAATATGTTATTGAGCTACGGCTGCTCTTTCCACATAGTTACTTGGAAAGACACCTTGGAGTGGATCACCGGAACCTAATTTTGCAACATGACATAGATATGTGGTGAGCAGACTGAACATCCAAACGAATAAATAATAACCTACCATTGTCCTTGTAACCCATCCACCAGATATCATCGCTGGAATCGACTACAATAATAGGATCTCCCTTGTCAAATCCCAGCTCACCGTGTTCACGCGCACTGAAATCGAATTTGGCATAGTACAAATGAGGATGATCTTCAGTCGATGGCAAATCATCGGCATTGTTTCGCAGAGCAATGTCCATCACACTGCGGAAATCGCTTCGATACCGTTCCTTCTTACTATCCTTGCTGTTGTTATCCTTGTTGACCGTCACCGGTTCTCGTGATGAAAAGTAATCTTCAACCATACGTTTGGAAGCGGCTCTTCCTTCAAGGGCTGAAAGTACGTTGCCGCTCATTGGGCTGACTGCAGTCGTATTGTTATTGCTCAACTTTTCATGGATATCATCCGTCTCGGTGGCAGTGGTTACGGCAGCAGCTTCCGGCTCAACTGTTTCAGACAACGTGGTGACAGTGGCAGCATACGCTTCAGGGGTACGAGGTGCATGTCGTGTTTCAATGGGGGAGCCAAACTTGGCCACTTTCCAACGAACCGACGGCGATTCAGGACTTGTAAGGCCATTCGTTGGGTTTAGATCAAACGACGTTGGGAAAGTGGTGTTAAGAGGCGGTAAGGTCGACGCTTCTGACAGACGGAAAGAACTCTTATTCATGGCTTCGATTTGCTTTGAGAACGAATCTTTTTCGTCTTGATCCGCGACGTCCATGACCTCAGTGGCAGACTGGGCAGCCTTGGCAACGGTGGGTCCAGAGTGGTCGTATTTGTCGGAAAATGAAGATGCCGTCGATGATGAAATATCGGCGGTCGTTCCAGATGCCATTTCCAATGCACCACTGACCGGTTGACTCAAACGGTTGGCTAAGTCATGTTCCACTTCGTTGGGTAAATTGACGGACGAAAAGTTCAAGGTCGAAGTATACGTTTGGGACGGACTCAGCTGTCTCGGTGAATTGGTAACAAGTTCGAAACGATCATAAGTACTGTACACACTGTCGCGCTGCTCGCTTTCTCGGCTAATTTCGAGTGCGGCCTTGGCCTTTTCGGCATCAGGGGCGGTGGTCCAGCGAACAATGTCAGGATCGGTGGCAAAATCGTCCGAAATCGATATCATGCTCGGAGCAAAGGAACGGGTATCAGGCAGCTGCAATGATGATTGCGTTTCGGAATACATGGAAGACAATACCGGACGCACCATAGCTGTGCCTACCGCGTTATCCGTATTGTAATTGGTCCAACGTACTGACGAAGGTTCTGTCACCGATCCAGCAGTGAGCAAGGTAGGGTTCGATGATGGCATATCGCGCATGGTGTTGTTGTTTTCTTGACTGGATCTATCCTCATGTGTATGCGTCACAATAACAGGCGCTACCACGGCCGTACCTATAGCCGCCCCCGCGTCCCCAGCGTTGGTCCATCGTACAGGCGCACCATTGTCGGATCCGAGACTGGGTGGAAGCAACGAGACTGGCGAAACAACAGCAGCCGTGGCTGGTTCACTTGCCATGGTCGTCCAATGTACAGGAGCTCCTTGCGTATTGTATTGCGGCGTGTTGGAGAAAAGCATCGAAGCAGGGGCTACAACGGCCGAACTGGCCACTCCAGCAGGTGCGGTTGTCCATCGTACAGAAGAAGGATCCACTGAATTGGGAGCTGGAACAGGTGCAAGGGAAGGTGCCGTAGTAACATTGCCAATGTTACTCATGGGCGTCGATCCGTAGAGGTAACTTCCCGTCGCCGTTTCGCCGGTAGGATAATCACTGCTGACAGCTAGACCAATGGTCGATGTTCTGAATGGGTTGTTGGAGTAGCGGATTTCTCGTTGCACCGTAGGCGACGATCGAGCGTCTTGGTTGAAACCCGAGGCGAGCTCGCTTTCAGGGCGTGTGAAGGAATCAGCTTTGGCCGGTTTGGATTCTTCTGGTGCAGCGCCGGTCGCAGCTGATATCGCTCCCGCAGCAAGGAGTCCACCCGCTCCAACGTTGGTCAACGCCACTGGTGGTGGAGGCGTGACGTGTTCGAATCCCAGCTTTTCATCCTTTATGAATTCGGTCGAAGAGGCATGCGAGGGTACAATGGTTTCGTCGATAGGGTACTGTTTGTAGGAATAGGGATAATCGTCGTTTTTCGTGAGCGCCACGCCTGCATCAGCGGCAGTCAACATGGCCAAAAGCGATTGAGGGCGACAAGGAGGTTTGCCGTAATATGCAGCTGGATTATTGGTGGGATCGTTCTGATTTTGATATCGTCGCTTGACGACAACGAAACCGAAAGCGGAGCATACGATGGCAAATACAATACCCAGAGCTGCCGCAATGGAAATCACAACCACAATCGGGGTAGACAAAAATCCTGTAAAGATAAATATTACGCGTGAGTATGTGTTGTGTGTATCCATAGGCCAACTTTTTTTAATTTTTTTCATCCTATTCGTGTTTCAAGGACTTACGTTCCGTTGGATGATCCCAAAAATAGGATTTGAAGAAAATGTGACTTAATGCATCAATATCACCGTCGGCTGTGGATGCGACCAGATAGGGGAGGTACGCGGAGCCATTGAATAAAGCGGCACTCACGTTGCCGTACTCTTGCAGGTTCAGGAACCCTGTCAATAGTAAGACACTGTTGGTGTCACCCATTAAACCCGAACTGTTATCGCCCTGTCGAAGCGGAAGTACAGTGATCTGTCGTACACGACTGCCAGGACCAAGCAATTGGGACGTTTGCTCCAATTGCTGTCCGTCCCATACCACCAGATACGTAGAATCTCCCGATTGACCGACAATAAACGTCTTTTTTGTATGACTGTCGTGAGCCAAGGCATGCGATGGTCCAGGTAAACTGCTGCCCTGCGCTGTGGATAATGAGCTCCATGCATTGGCGTGATAATCGTAAACAGCCGCAGGGACAGCCGCATCTTTAAGAAGCAAATTTCCAGCTGCAATCAATTTCCCCTAGGCAACACAAGATCGGTTAATATTCATACTTTTTGATCTACAGGATACATGAAACTTGACAAAGAAAAAATTGGGGGTGGGTGGGAAAGAGACGAAGATGATGATGATCACTTACCTCATGAAAGACGAAATCCGTGACTTCCCCAGCAAGTCCTTCACCGAGATTATTCCATTGCCGATCACTGGTGCCCAGCATACAGATGCCTTTGCAGTTCAACGATCCGGCAGTGGTAAAGTTACCAGCCACCACCACGGCGTGAGCGGAAGGATTGAATCGAATCGTGTTCACTTTGGCAAGAGATCCATCTGAAGCTAAAATCCGAGTAAATACATATTCAAGCCTTCCAGTTCTTTCGCTCTTGATTTTATCCTCATCCAACTTACTGTGTAAGGCTGGCACAGCCACAAATGTCTTATTCACCAAGTCGTACACTGCCAAACTGGTCATGTTTTCGCTGACAAATTCGCCACCAATATAGAGATAATCATGATGAACCGTCATCGCGTGGATATTGCCTTGCCAGTTGGCTTGAATTCCGGTCCAGCCGCCGTTGCCGTATAATGCGACGTTGCGAATGTTTCCATTGTTGAGCGTAAAATCGCCACCGATAATCGTGGTCGACATGTTACCGTGGCGAGCATCGTTCCAAAATACACCGGCATTGACTTTATTATCACGACCACCATCAGGATAGAAGGGGAATGAAGTCAGCGACATGTTGTTGCGAATAAACGAAAATCCAGACGCTGGAATTTGCTGGGCGCTTCGGATGTTGCCGACGTAATAATCCGTAGCCAATGGGTTTCGGTCACTGGGCGATCGCGAAAGGATACCATAGACGGTTCCCGCAATGTAAGGAATATCGTGGCGCCACGCCTGCGTTCGAATGTCCCACCACAGGTTTCCAGCTGTTTGATTGCGTGGATGACCTGAGGCGTCTAGAAGCGCTGAAAATTCGCCAGAGACAAGAATGGCTTGCTTATCCAAAGTTGGATGAAGCGACTCCACTGGTCCATTCACTCCCTGTAACAGATACTGAGTACTCGCACTTTTTTGTGATTAACCCAGCAGAGACCCACTTACAGTTTGCATGGCATTCCATTTCTGTTTGTCGGTATTGTAACGTGCTAAGCGGCTCAATGTTGTTGTGCTATTGCCCGCGACACCGGTGAATTCGCCACCCACAAAGAGATCTATCAATATGTATCAGACGTACTTGTCGTAGACATAACGCAGACTACTAAGAAATTACCTAACCCAGCGTACACCATTGTTTTCACGGGTCCATTGAGTCCGATATCCTCGAGTGGGATCAGTTTCTGGCTCGTTGTATCCAACTTTACAATGTTACGATAGCTTCCTGCCCCTCCATTGCCAGACGAAAAATTGCCAGCAATGAACAAATCGGTTTTTGTCGAGACCATGCTCTTTACGATCGATCCATACGGCACATTCTCTAGAAAATAGAAATAATCCAGATCTCACTAGTGAGAAAAAAAAGAAATCGGTGAATGATGCCCAAATGGTGACACTTGCCTGTCAAAGATTTCCATGGCAGATGACTGCGGTTCAAAGGAGTGATCGACCGGGTTTCCGTATAATTGAGGATACTAGACAACGCGGATAACGATGCCGATTTCACAAACTGAATCGAGTTGGCGACCACGGTCACGGTCGTATTCGACGGTTTTGTGGCATTATGGGCAATCGCCATGGTAATGTGAGGTTGAAACGTGCCTGAGGTGGAAGTAATGTAACCTGAATAAATAACATCGTGGCGATTCTGTTTTGTGTCCTGGCTAAGCGTTCTATTCACGGTATGATTCGCCGAAAAATACATGGTGAGATCGACGTCTGTACGTTGGCCGCAGCTGGAAGTACCGACACAGCCGGGTGTGTACATGTAAACATCGTAGAATCCGGATTCGGGAAGGAAAGGGATGAAGTCAATCGAAGTTTTCGACGAGTGAAGCTGGGAGACGGGAAACGATGATGACAGGGCGGTTTCTCTGGTTTCCGCATCGACAATGGTTTTCCAAGAACCTGAAGTGACGGATTTGGACTGCGGCAGATTGGTTGCCATAGCACAGTCGGTAGCATTACCCGAGTCGATGGCGTGTACAAAGATTTCGGCTTGGAAGATTTCAACTTTGGATAATCCCGCGCCTAGACCATACCATGAAGAAATCACAATACGCGCACTGGTAGCCTGAGCGGAAGCGTCGCGTACTTGGAAATCCTGATATTCGACGGATGGATCGTTCGTCAACATACAATTGGTGCTGCAAAACATGGTTTGCTTGGTAGTTGGATCGATGTACGACAAGTTAAGGTAGGTATTGGAAGGTAAAATTAAGACACTGTGAGCGATGGGTGAGTCAATTTTTTGTTTTCAGAGTCCATGAAAAACTACTGTTTTGTTATTTTGTGTTGACGCTGATGGTCGCGGTATTACCTAAACTCTTTGGTTGCATAATTTTCGGTACGTGCATTGGATAATCGGATCAGCGAAAGCGTGATCTGATAATCAAAATCCGCTTGCCAATAACCTCCCGCCCCTTGTTCCAAAACCCAAGGTTGATCGGTGGGATTAGTGCTGTTGACGGTGCAAAACAGGGCATTGGGAGGCGCCAGATCAGAGTCCGTATTTCCTGCTGAGATTTTCTAGCGGGTGATATCGTTTTGTTAGTATTCCCATTGAGAGTTTGCAACAAAAAGGAAGGAGAATGACCGAATCATAATAAGCAGATATGCCGAAAATAGAAATCAAAAAGTTTTGGGGGGAGGCGTTCAAAATGAGGGAGAACCGACAAACAAAAATATAGAAAGAACAAGATTGGTTGACAAAGGAGAAAGTGGGAGGTGAATGTTAAAATAAAATAAAATAAAACACAAATGGATACGACAAGAAATAGAATTAAATTAAAAAAAAATAGCCCACTCCAAAAGGAGAAGGGTTCAGTGGAAAAGCTTACCGTGGGCGATGATACACGAACGGGTTGCGTGGCCGGTGCATGGTTGGTTTGACCGTCGGCGGTTGTATCGAACAATCCACCAAAAAGAAGGGAATCGGTTTGAACGTCTCGAGTGATACTGTGAACCGGGCCGTTGAATCCTTTCCAGGGGACGCCTGTCCATTGATTATTGGACCACACGGCAACCGATCCACCAAAATAAGCCAGGGACTCTGAATATTGAGGTGCAGATGCAACTGGGGCGACGAATTGACCACCTGCAAGCACCCGTCCGGTTTTTGTGTCACAGTATAAACTGTAAACTGGACCATCCAATCCTTGCGCGAGTGACGAAACGTAGTGTGAACCGTCGTTTTGAAAGTGAATCAAGGCAATATTGGAAAGGTTAACGTGACCAAACTGAGTAAAATTGCCGCCTACGTACAATTGATATTCGGTGGCGGTAGGTAAAGCGCAAGTGGTGTAAATGGAGCCATGGAGCGACGACGATGCCAGCAAGTTGAATGTGTGATTGGAATGCGAGATTAGGGATGCGGTATTGGGTGGTATTTGGGTCAGTTGATAGTTGTCGGTATACAATGAAATGCCGCTGTACGATCCAGCGATGCCAATTTCCTGAAGTTGTTCAAGGTCGATGGTTGGTTGGGAAACGAATGAAGCTCCGCTCCACTGGGCCAGCAAAGCCCACCAGAACCAGGCATATGAGCGGATCATTGACCTCGATGTATCAAAGCGCTCTCAAACGTAGGAATTGAAACGAAGGAATAAGGCTCGGAAAGAGAGGTTGAAGAAGGGAGAAAAATACGGAGCTGAATCTAATATAACGGTTTAGTTTTTCTCTCTTTTGAATGGGCTTTTTTTTTGCAGGAGAGGCTCATTCTGTCTGAGCGAGCGATTTTTTTTTTATCTTATCACCTTAGTTGAACAGTAACATGAATCAGTCCGAATGCTGAAAAGGACGGTAATGGGGGAATAAATAAAAATTTTTTTATTCTCTCTCTTTGTTCAAGTAGACGAACCAAAAAGGAAGGAATAAGGGGGGTGCAAAATGTTTGCAAGCAGCGCGGAAAAAGGAGAATAACAAAAAGAAAAAAAAAGAAAAAAGAAAATCGAAAGAATCTAAGCGAGATATATAAAATATTCTAATCAGGAGAGGACGATAAAAAAAATCTTCTCGTCTACCAAAAGACAAGAAAAAATTGACAGAGACACATGTTTATAATGTATAGAGCTCATTTTCATGTTACACCAGTCATAATGAACTGAGTTGATAATGAGTTTATTTTCGGCTGAGATTGGTTTTTAATAGCTTCTTTCACTTGTCGTCTTTTCTATTCCCAACATGCCTAGGGCTCACCCATTCTGGGAACTTGAAAAAGTTTACAGAGACAACAGCAACGTCACTATCATGACAGGTTGAAAAACAAAATTGTCCAAACGATTAACTTAGGAGTCTGATTTCACTAAGGTCATGAAAAAAAACAAAAAGCCGCTCATTATGTTACATAAGACTCGCATTCATTGTACTGTTTCCCTCATGCATGAATTCTTTTGAGCAGACTACTTATTTTGACTTGGAACCGCCATTACGGTTCGCTGTAAAAATTCATCCATACATGAGTTGGACCCATGAACTATCTACTGTTTATGGTGAACGTTGGTGTGGATTTCATTAGCCGTTTACCTGGTAACAGAAAACGACCATGGGGACGTGAGACGGGAAAGCATGTAGCTTGGCTGCATTTTCGTGCCTGCGAGATGAAGGAGTTTCATCTTGAGACCTACTAAATTGGGCACAGTGCCTTTTTTGTTCCAACCGCACGTGGTGTCACTTTCAAACACCACGTTGTTCCATAAAGGGACACACGATGCAAACTATTCGTTCACACTAAATCGTCATGCAGTCAACCTGCAGCGACGTGACAGAATGGGAATCAGAAATGTATTATAACAGGATGTTGATGGACAGTGTGAAAAGGGTATAGAATTGGAGAATGATAGAGACAATAACAAAAATGGGTTACCAAGGAATAGGGATAAAACCAAAAATAAAGACAACGGTTCAAAGGTCGTTACCCATCGTCGACTGGGGTTGGGAAATCATTGGATCACCGTCACACTGGGTCGAGCTTCTTTACTGTTGATCTCGCTTCTGAGCGACGAGTTGTCGAAGAGCGGCGACTTCGTTCTCTGCGCAACGATCCCGTTGCTTCAAGGCGGAAACATATTCGATGGCTATCCATGTCATATCCATGCTTAGTCAACTATAACGTTGCAATGCCTCATTTTTTTTTTGTGAGTTTGCCTATTTGTGCTTACATCTGCTCAAAATCTCCCATTTGCTTGTCTTTAGACTTCTCTCCACGGGTAGAATATCTCGCAACTCATCGAATAATTCCTTCATCTCTTTTCGACGCTTCCGCTCCGCCAGTTTATGACTCACGCGTAGTTCGGGTGTCCTGGAATACATGATTTCTGATGACCGTGGCACGCTAACATCTCTTGGATGCTGTTTGTTTCCACTGGATGATCCATGGTGGGCCGGAGCAAAGGAGGTTAGATCGGTGGGAGGTCGAGCGTATTGATGCATTGGGTGGCCGTTGGTAGGATCTGTGGCAGTATTCAGCGATGTCATTGGCATAGACGCGCGTCGACTCACATCGGGTTCTATCTCCGCTTCCTGCATTAACAATGAAGTTCGTCGATGAGCGAGCGCTTTGGCGTAGGGATGATGCGATGGAGGTTGAACCCCGTAACTTGGCAGGCCGAAAGATTCTGTCGACATGTCTACGGTTTCAGAAAGACGTTGTATAGGTGGATAGCCTGGGATGGTAGATGCAGGTGGCCGCAACACTTTTGCTCGTCGAGATGGACTGGAAGGTGCGGAATAGGATTGCTGATCAGGAATATCATTCATGGTATTGGAGGAATGATACGCTAATGACGGGCCAAAATAAAAAGAAAAGCGTAATTTAGTTCAAGGTATGAGCACTTTTGAGGATCCGCGACCCCCAAGGTACAAACCTCGATTCCTTGGCATGCTCAATACTCTGGGCCGTCTTGTGTGTACGCCAGGCTCTGCTGTGGCAATGGAATGTCGTCTTTTATACGCTTCAAGTCCATCTTCACCCATTATACAGGATGGTAAGGTCGGCCCGTTCGATAACGGATACTGCTGTACTTCTTCTTTTCTTGTCGTTTGGAGACCAGCATCATCCATAATAGGTTTACCGGATTTGGATTCCCGATGGAAGGATAACGGGGAGGTTGATCGAGATGAGAAATCCAATTCGGTGGCAATGGATTCTCTACGACTGGAAGGAGCAGAAGAGAGTGACATATCATGGATGGAGGATCGGCGGATATCGGATGGCAGCATGGTGGAACCACGTCGTGATACATTCTGTATTGTCTGCATACTTGGTTCCAGAAGAGGCATTAATTTCGGCATCTCTGTCACGGGCAAAGCTGCGGTGGGACCTGGAAAAACCGTTCTGGTGGGCGACGATACACAGATACCCGATAATCGTCGTCGCAATTGTTCATCCGCAGTGCACAGGACAGACGTCTGAATATTTGAAATGGGCGGTAGCTGAGGTTTGGCACGCCTCTCTAATTAGCACACAGAAACATAAAAAAAAAAAACATTTTTCCCCAGAAAATAATTAGGTTTTTCATATCAATGCCATGTTTCAATCTTCTAGTCTTCCTGTTCCAGCGAACATTTCCCTCCCGACCGCCATGATATGTACCATCGACATCCCAGTCTCTAAATTGAAAATGGACTGCATCGGAAGCTTCGTCAATCACCATGGTGTCTGCGCCATGGTCATTCATCAGGGCGTAAGTCGGCTGCTCTTTGCTCGCTGACCCAGTTGTTGCGTTGAACAACTCACGAGCGGATGGTAATATAAACATATGGGTTTCAGATTGAATAGAACTCATCATTACCAGAGTAAAAAAGACAATATTATAGATCCCAATCCACCACAAAAGAAAGAAGGCTTTTAAGAAAAAAGGAAAGAAAAAAGACTGCACGAAAAAAAAAAAAAAAATAGCTTGGCCTAATGGAAAAGCGACAAGGTGTAACCTGTCTGGAGGCTCCGAAAATGATGGACCAGCAACAACGAACCCCCCGTCATTCAATTAACAGCAACTACATAAGCTATTCTTATACCGCTTAATCCTGAATAGGCTATCGATCCTGTTGACGAATCCACCACAAAAAAAAAAAAGAAAAAAAGAAAGAGGCACCAAGTTTCTGTCACTGTGCAATTTGGCTTTTTATATCGCAGTCACGATCAGATTGAGATTACATGGCAAGGGTCAAATCTCAGCGATTGATGCGTTAGACAAGCTCAATGCTTTTAAGATTAAGGCTTGTCATGCTGCCTCATCAATAAAAGTTTTTTTTCCCATGGGCACTCTTTCTTCCTCCGACAAAAAGAATTGCATTCTCCGAAATTGAGCCATGCAATTCCGCGGAACCAATCACCTGAGGCCATTTTCCTCACACTCATTCACTGTTGAAGACAGGTCAATAACGTCCCTCCATTCAAGCATTTTGCTTTCTATACATTTTCCTAATAGAAAATAAGCGAGTAAGTGAGTCCCTGAATGTTATTTAAAAACAATGACTCTTCTTTTGTGGGGCTGTGATCTCAAAATACGGCAACTGCAAACGATGCCGTCACTTATTGATAACCCAAGATCATATTACGGCACGTCATCAAAATAATAATCAGGTGAAGATGATGTTATTAGAGCAAAGTTGAGCATGTGTGTCACGGATTATATAGGTGTTTATCAGACATAAGGAACGTACAGATGGCCCAGTACCTGTGAGTCAATTGAATAAGAAGGAATTATTATCTTATTGCGGTAAACCTTGGATCTTTTCATCGAAAAATGAGACGCAGATGATACCTCTCTTGTATATATATTTTTGAGCGGGTGATAACCAACACGCCATCCGCCTGTCACAACATCCACCTACTTCATGGATCTGCATTCAGCGCAAATCCGTTGGATTAAAAAATAAACACATAAAACTTTTGGTCTGCATTTGTTGATACTTTGTGAGCCGATTTTTCGATCGGGAGTCAAGAGCGGTCCATTTCTTCTTTCTGCAAAGACAGCTGTCAGTCAGTGTATGATCAAATAAGCAGAGGAACGCCGTTTAAAATGACCGCCTTTGCAGCCAATAAAAAGGGATAGTTGCGATTGTGAATTGTCCCCAACTTTTCTCTCCATTTCTCCACTCATTTTTAGCAGTAATCGCTGCTCCTTAACCGCAACCTCCATTTTGGAGGTATCAACAGCACTTCTACCCCTCCTCCCTCTCAATAATAAGCCTTCACACACGGTCTGCCTTCGTCCCTCCATTCGCAATGTCTAGAAACTTACTCAAGGGGTAGTGTTTCCGCAGTCAGTGCAAAACTCAAAGCCAACACGTCGTCTCAGCTGCACCATCGATCTTCAAACTGCAACTGAAACACCATTCCTATGTCGAACATCCACTGATGTTTACTATGGTAATCATGTCTGTTTCATTTTTCTTTGTTCCTATTGCCTACGCATTGACCAGCATTTTTAATCAGTTTCTCAACTTAGTTTCCCGCACGATCGGCGCCTTGAAAACAAAGAATAACGCCAGGCTAATTCAATCAAGCCTCAAAAAAGGGCAGTTCTCTGACATTCAAATTTCGTGCAATACGATATTCATGCACAAAAAGTGCCTCAAGCAAGCTGGTCTGAACTCAAGAAACTGGTTCAGCTTTCCAGCCGCCACTGTCATCGAAAGCGCCACGCAAATGACCGCCACGCAAGAGTGACGCCACCGCCACCATTAGCCAAAATTTACTTCAATTGAAACACCGGCAAAGCAAGCCCATCTTCCCAAAACGGCACAGGCGAAATTTTCCCCCGCTTCAGATCAATAATTTTCAAAACGCAAGCGTTCCTGCAGTCAACTCCAAAATCCAAAGCGGGATTTTAAAGTCTTATCACAAGTGGCTCAATCAAAACATTTTCTATTCCTCTCCCGATGCTACGAAGTGTTCCAAACCAGAATACAAGCTTTAAGCTTCAAAAAACTCAACTTGCTAAAAACCAGAAATTAACTTTTTGTGCTCATTTTCAACAATTAGGCAACCACATCCGCATGCCAACAATTTAGTTTCACCAAAGCTCAAAGCGGAAAACGTTCCTACAATCACGTCAAATTCGGAAGAGGAAGTCATAAGCCTTATACATGACTATCCAACGATCAAGGCGCCCCTTTACCAGACACAGGTTCCGCAGGTGTAGCTACAAGAAATGAAATTATGGGCTTACAGTAAGTCTCAGCCAAGCTCAACTCAATTGAAGCCAAAGCAGATAAATTAATCTTATCTACATCTAATCCACCGTCACGCCTTTGATTCGAATCAGAAACGCTCCAGTTCAAGGATTCCTTCTGTCTTTTCAATCCGAACAAGACTTAAAAGTCTTACAAACGACTGATTCATCCATCGAGGCGTTTTTTTAATCCGTTCCCAAATGCAGCAGGTGTTCCAAAACCAGAAAATATAAGCCATGGTAAGCCTCATAGCAAACTCAATTCGCCTTAAATCAAACATTAACTGTTGTATCGACCTTGTAGAAAACACACGGCCACGCCTCTACATTCGGATCTCACAAATACGGAGGAAATCGTTCTACAGTCCGATCAAATCCTCATTAATTAGCCTTAAAGGTGGCTACTGATTCGAATCAAGGCGTATTTAATCCATCTCCGAATGCAAAGAGGTGTTGATCTAGAATCAAAAAAGTAGCTTTGGAATCTCTGAACCGACGCACTGATCTTGGCTGCTTGTTAGAATGCACCTCCACGCCCTTGATGCAAGATTATTTTCCCAACCTACGGCTGCTATTCCAGCAGGCACTTTATTCAAGCAAAATTTGTGGCGTATCAATGGTAATGAGTCCTATTTGTGAATTTCGGTCCCTGTTTCAAATGCACTGACAATTGGATTTCTGTTTAACACGAAAAACTCAGTCCTCACCATGTTGCTGTCATACAACAAAGAAGAACTTAGATTAGACTTCTTCATTTTTCTATTTTCCACTTTCTTTATTTATTCATATTTCTTCTTTCCGTTTGCACGTAGTCATCCTCCTCGAAACAATTATTCAAGCAAGGCTCGGAGATCAAGGTGATTCAAAGGCAAGTTGTAGCAACAACGCTCATTCATCGGTCATTGTATGATACTTATCTACGCGTCACCTTAGCAATGCCGATTATGGTGAATGATTCGTCCGAAATCTACCGTATGTCTCAGTGAGTTGGTCTCATGGAAGTTTGATATGCTCACCTTTTACCCAAATAGGACCTTCAACTATGAGGAATATATTGCCGATCGCAATTCTTCAAGCTGACGTCCAGGATACAGATCGACAAGCAAGCTCCCCAGTGCCAAAATCTGCTCGACAAATACCCTGAATGCTAAATACGTTTGAAGCAGCCCAAGTAGGTGGGATTCTGAGGTCACGAAAAATATTCGTATGCTTACTCCTTCTTTTCTACATAGTTCTCGTACTTCCAAGTTTTTCGTATCATCGATTAGCCACATCCCCGTGCTGTCGACTTCTTCAAGGATATTCACAAGAGCTTTATCAAAGCGTCATGGTCTCATGGATCCAGCATTTCTCGATACGATGCCAGCAGTTCATGTGCCCTGTCCAGATTTTTAACGAATGGCGTCGATTACTTTGTCAACCTAGTTGTAAGCATTATATAGCATGAAAATCGTTCGAATCTCATTGGCGAATTCCTCCTTCGTCCTGCTTGCGATCTGCCAGATTTATCCGAAAGCGCCCTCCACGATGACCTTTCCTCACAATCAAGACGCCCGTTGACAGCAGTGAGGGCGAATCCCATTCCTACATTTATCGGCTATATACCGTATCGCCGACTTTAACGGCGTTTTTCACTTATCGGCGACCGTCAATTCGTCATGCCATCCTCCAACATGTGGTGAATATCTCTCCAGCAGATCCGCAGGTGATCGATACGATCGTCAACCCAATTATATGGTAAGTTGTATCAATTTTGCTTTGCTGTTATTCGCCAACATGCTTATATTTCTTCAAAAGCCTGCCATTCTACCGTCCGTCCTCAAACATGTATTCACAGCTCCGTCGATCGGCGATCGATTCTCAATTCTCTGGCGGACAAGCATAGTAATGTCATTTCAAACGACCTCTTCCACGCGTCGGCGACCACCAACCATTCGTTCCGACGCCTATTATCTTTGGTAAACATTTTTCACGCAAAAACTTTATGGTACCATGACATTCATATACGGGTAAGTTACATGAGCGATTCTTTGGTTTGTTGTCAACGAGCTCACATATTGTCAAAAGCCATTCATTATCAAGTTATCTCCTCGACAAGGCGATCCGTGGTCGGTTATTTACAACCAATGCAAAACCCCTTTTGGCGAATACATACCGCTCCAATGAGCATTCGTATGTCCACTTCTCCGCGATATCATCGGATCGGTTGCCTCATCGTTCAATCATGTCACCTGCGCTCAAATTCGAAATTACTTACTACACTATTTCATAGGCTTTGCTTCCATGGGAATGATGCGCAAGAATGAAACAAGTACGTTGACACACAACAAACCGCGATATTATGAATGGTTACTTACTGATATCATACCCTTTAACGAGCGTTTGAACATCTACGAAGACATGAGAAATCAAGTTACCGACGAAACTGTGCAAGGGTAAGTATATCTAGTGGCTATGAAACTACGGATAATGAGTGCTTGAATGGTCCAACTGAGTTATTTTCTTGTGAATGGCAGCGCTTGGCCGATGGATCCACCGGAAGAAGAAGTCACTCAAGTTGCAAGGGTTGATCCAGGAACCGTTGTTGGCTCAGGCTTGGAGTAGGGAACCATGTATGGTGGCACGTATGCAGGCAGCGAGCTGTTGGTAAGACGTCTAAACGACTACTTTACGGAACCCTTTTTCCGGACGACGCAACTAGGTTCAGCAATTGTAATGAAGGGATGACCAATTGGACCGGGGTTTTCCGTCGACATGGGATACATCTATGGATGATCCATTTGGGGATCTGCGAGCAAAACGGAGAACTCAAAATCATGCACAACCAAATTCACTCGTTGAATATTGAAGAGCAAATTTTGTCTGATTATCCATATTATCTGCAACCAAGCGGTGGCTGTGCTCATTTATTATTTACATTTATTGAGGCCCTTCATTTGTCCTGAGCGTAAGCAACGGCAAATAAGGGTCATTATCTGCCAGATAAGTATTTTTTTTTCTTACGATGGTTGCTCTATACTCTTGACTAAACAAATTGTCGCAGATTTCTTTGTGATTGTCGATCGATCCAAGGATAGTTGGTCCAGGGAGTCACTGAGACTCGCATCAGTTAGGATTTCATTTATGTTCTGCAAAACTGGTGCAAGATATATTGAGTTGGGTGCCAAATCGGTTATCTGACAAGTAGGGAATTGGAACACTTGGCCTATGTTAATCATTCTTTACGAATAAATATCTTTTTTAAGAAATTAAAAGCTGTGAATTTAGTCAATGCTGCTCCTTCTATTCTATTTACAATGATTGGTTTTCATTGAAGGACATAAAAAATAAGAGAACTTGCTTTTAGATGAGGGAGATCAGGCCAAAGTTTATTTGTTAAGAAAGACCAATGATGTCGTTCTTTTGATCTGTTCATTTTGAAGAACACAGTCATTCAATGCTAGCGTAAATTGGCTTGTCATCCATCCTTTTCCACAGTCGCTTTCTCCTGGCTCGCTGTTGTACCTTCCCTGATCTCCGATCACTCCCACTACAATTCGTCTAGCATTATCTGAACACATTTTTGGCCCAACCTTAGTTTTTGCTGAGCGCTTCATACAGCCAATCAGCATAATTGCTGCGTACTGCTTGGTAGATGAAAATTTCATCATCACATCATTGAACAGAAATTTTATGGACAGCTCATCATAAAGCCGACATACCTCTTCATAAAGTGCAATTGTGGCAGGCTGAGCTGTTTACTGGTACAATGACAGTCCCCCATATCGTTTCGCTTTCACGAACCATACTTTGCGATAATGATTAGCCGTTTTGTTCGGGGTGGGGTTTTGCCATCATTCACACCCCAAAAATTCGATCCCATAATGGCAAACTCAGCCTGATCAATGAAAAATGTAAAGATGTAACCTGCATCATCCTCTGAGGGTCTGGGGGGTGATCTGCAGACAAAGGCAAGTAACTAGAGAGAGTGAGAGAGTGGGTTAATCCAATTTTTTTTCCTTTTTCGCTTCGTTTTTGCATTGTAGCAGGGGTCTGCTCAACCATGTTCCATAGTACGATAATGCGCCAGTTCTCTGCTTCTTCAGGTTATCTGTCCGTGCTTAGACCGACTGGGCTAAAAATACCATGTCTGCTTTGGGGCTCATAAGGCGAGCACCCTTTATGATAGGCTGATGATGGGTTGTGACGGTCATTTCTCTCGATTTTGGGGGGTCGGCTTCATGTTGGATCGCTGTATCAACTCAACTTCCATCCCATCCAAGCTGCCGTATCGCTCGCTTTTTCTCTCGGCGGCTCAGTTTGCAAATCGACGTCTCGCCACTTATTGTCCACCCCTCGCTTCATTTACTAACAGCATGAATGTTTTGCTTTACAACGGCAACGGGACGTCCCCGACCGCCGTTCAAATGACTCACGAAACACTCAAGTCGTTGCTCGGTCACGCCTACGATGTCATGAAAGTCGATGCTGCCGCTCTTCGTAATGAACCTTGGGAAGAAACTTGCTCACTGCTGGTAATTCCGGGAGGACGAGATAAACCTTATTGCGACGAATTGAACGGCCCCACCAACCGGCGCATCCGTCGATATGTTGAAGGCGGTGGTTGCTATGTCGGCTTTTGTGCGGGAGGATACTACGGTTCTCATGGCATTGAATTCGAAAAGGGAGTGCCTGGAATGGCCATTGTCGAACCACGTGAACTGGGATTCTTTCCTGGTACCTGCAAAGGTACCATGTTCCCTGGGTTTGTGTACAACAGCGAAAGGGGCGCTCGTTCCGTCGCTGTCAAAATGAATCAAACGTTTCTTCAACCATTGTATGGATCCGCTCAGGCCACCGTCCCAGAGAGACTGGCAGTCTATCATAATGGCGGCGGTTATTTTGAACACGCCGACCAATATCCAAACGTCGACGTTTTATGCACGTATGAGGACGCCGGTCTCGCCAAAGGAGTTGAAGAAAATCCAGCTGCCGCCATTTACTGCCGCGTGGGGGAGGGCCATGCCGTACTGATGGGCATTCATCCCGAATACAATGTCACCGAGGCCGATCTAGCTGATAACAGTAATGGCAAGGCGATCGTCTCGGAGCTCATAACGTCCGCCGCCGCACGAAAGGATTTCCTTGGTGCTATTTTCAGAAAAATCGGGCTCAACGTCCCCTCGTCCGTCTCTCATAAAGATTCCTCCACCGCCTCGGTCGAACTCGAGTTGACGCCGATTTACCTCGCGGGGAATACAGCGGACGTTGTTCGAGCCATTGCTTCCAATGTGGGACAACAAGCCGATGCCGCCACTCGCCTTTTGAAAGATGCCCATGATACTTTCTATTGTGGGCCTTTGGACCAAAGCCAGGATTTATCTCAGAAACTTGAATCGTTATCGGTAAACGACCCATCCACTGTCACGCAAATTCTTTATCCTTCGACGACAACCGCACCTTCGCAGGACCCCTTGTGCCCACCAAAGACGCTGACACGCTATTTTGATACGTCAAAGTACTTTGAGGCCCTGAGACATTGGCGAGCGCAGCAATGGGGCGGTGGAACCTGGTATCGATTTGGTAATGCTATGCTGTATGGCGAAGTGGTAACCAGTACACAGACTCTTCTGGACAAGTAAGAATTTTTCTACTGTTTGCAAAAAATCGTGAAAGATTTTCTCATTATACGTTTTGTTATTCCAGAAACTATACTTTCTCCCAAGCATTACCTTCTGGGTTAGTCTGCACAGCGACGCATCAGGTGGCAGGTCGAGGTAATATTTGGTCAATGACAGTGTAAGCATGGAAACGCGCTGATCTGTAACCTTCCTTTTTTTTTTCATCAGGTCGAGGACGAAATTCATGGGTGTCACAAAGAGGAGCTGTGCAATTCAGTTTGATTGTGAGACACAGTCTTAGTCTTACGCATGCGCCGGTGGTGTTTATCCAGTACATGATTTCATTGGCTGTCATTGAAAGCATTCGGTCACGAAAGGGTTATGAAGATGTACCACTGAGACTCAAGTGGCCCAACGATATTTATGCGGATTTGCCGGCGGACAAGGGAGGTTTGAAAAAGGTCGGTGGTCTCTTGGTCAATTCCAGCTTTTCTGGTCAAGAGTTTTTGTTGGTCATTGGTAAGTTATTCGACTGCACAGCAAGAAAACACAGGTGGATAACACGATGCTCATCAACGCCTATGCGATGCTAGGATGTGGTATCAATCTCTCTAATGCTCAACCCACGGTTTCAATTAATGACGTGATCAAATCGCATAACCCAAGATTGGCCAAATTGGAAGCGGAAGATGTGTTGGCAGGCGTGATTGTTACTTTTGAAAATTACTATCTCGAATTTTGTGAAAAAGGCATGGGATCATGGTTCCTCGATACCTACTATCGACGTTGGCTTCACAGGTAAGGAGCGTTCAAGAAGTGGTTTCATCCTCTTTAAATATTGACGGATGATTTATCTTTTTTTTTTTTTTTTTTGACAGTGATAAATTGGTTACGCTGACAACGCATGACAATGTGCGCGCGAGAATCGTCGGCATCACCAAGGACTGGGGAATGCTTGAAGCCGTGGGTGTGGATGACTCTCGTCAACGTTATACCCTTCAGCCTGACGGCAACAGTTTCGACATGCTCAAAGGGCTCATTATCAAGAAAACATAGATTATCTATCTAAACATTTTCATCATTTATATTTATTAAATTTAATCGACCAAAATGTGTGGTATCGGTATGTATTTGGGGAATCCATAGATCCCATGGATTGGGTCGATATTGCTTAAATGGATAAAGCATGGAAATTCACCGGTAACATGCGTGCACAGCTATTGTTATTTTACAGGAGTGGAGCTATTTTGTGCAATCTTTTACATCACTGTATTTATGTCGTAACAATCACTAGGACTAACGTTGCATTCCGTGACTTGATGCTTGCTGTTTATGTAAGATTCCTTGATGATATCATCTTGATTGACAATGATCCCACCCAAAGCAGGGGAAATGAAATCAACAGGAATGCGCACAGTACTCAGATCAATTCAGTTATCTACGATCTATTATTTCTCCGTAGCGGTGTTCCTGCGTATGAAAAGCAAAATAGACACACGTAAGATAAATCTATTTCGATTTGGGGCTCGCTATCCGAAGTGGGTTTGATTTGTATCTGATAAGGACTCGGTTTTAATGGTTGATTCTTTCTAGAAACAAGCCAGAATAGCATGATACAAACCCACTGGAAATTAGGCTTCTAAAAAGATTAAAACGACTGTGTAAGTCTCGGTAAGTAACTGCGCCCTCACCAGCCGTTGCAGTCACATGGAGCCAGTTTACAGCGCAATATTCGATAGAGTTGTTCACAAGCGGCGTTCCGACCGTCGAAGCAATTGTTCTGAGGAAAACAATGAAACTCAGGCGGAGAAAAATCGCCGGTAGCGCTTTTAGAGTTGGTGTTCGTATTCTGCGCGGTATAGCAAAAAGACCAGGTCAGTAGGTGTTTGAATATTGAGCTTTTTCGTCCCGCATTGAGTAATTGAAATGGTACGAAAAAGCGAAAAACCGACGGTTCATGAACGTGACTCATTTTACCCGATTCGGGCAACCACGGTAGGCCCAAGGTGGTTCAACCGCAACACACACAAATACGATCCTGGAATTCATTCATTCCGAGAGCCTGGAAAATTCGCATGCGAAATAAACACGCAATTTTTATAAGTGCAATCACTGACACCTATACTATCCGCGCGGAGATAGAGGACGCCAACAAAGAACGGCTTGACAAATGCGCCATGGTGACAACAAACCCATGTGACGCCTGGCTGTACCTTCAACTGCAGCAAATTCCGCGCAAAAACGGAGGTTTGACTATTAAATGGTATGCTATACTGGGATAAAAAAGAAGGCAATGTGCTGCTATCGATGCCGAAAGTCCACGAACAACCACTTTGCCACTGAGGTGGTTCAAGCGGAGCGTTGGTGTGGCTGGTCGTGCAATGTTCGGTTTTTCCACTCGAGCAGGGTTCAATGACTCGGCGATTGACCAATGAAACTGCGCGCATCTGACTACCTCTCAGAAATCACGGAAACCCGCCCCTTTCAGACACCGAATCAAGCCAGAGAAATAAAATAAAAAAAAAAGCTAGAAATAGAGTTGTTGGGTCCAACAACAATAACTGGTTCTTGTTCTGCCAAATCTTTTTTCTTTTTGCTTCCATTGCCATGACTGACTCTGCTCCTACTACTGCTATGCCTCCTCATCCGGGTCTTGATATGATCTCCAACCCCGAAGAATTGAAGCACTTGTGCCCTGCCTTTGCTTCGGGCTGTCCTTATGCTAAAATGGAGGAAGTCGAATCTGTTGCCGTCTCATTCGGTGAATTGTCTAAATGGTAAGTGGATCAGAGGCATCGTATGAAACGGTGAATTGGTGAAGGGCGATATTAATACTTGGATGTTTTTTCTGTAGCCCGGCTTTCCAAAAGGGTAATATTTTTGGTCACACTGGGCATCCGAAACTTTGGGTCATTCTCAGGTACTAAATGCTGTCATTTTTTTTTTTTTCGGTTAGGCTGTCCTTTCTCCAACAAGTCCAAGGAAGAGATTTCCACTATGTTGTCGCAAATTCCCAAGGAACATCCCGTATTGAATATGGATGGTAAGTCGCTGAACCGTGGATAGACAAGCGGGGAAATATCAAACAGGAAAAACGGATATTCAAAGTTTTTTTCTTTTCTTTTTCTTTTTTATTTGGTGGTCACGTTAGAAATTCCTTCGTGTGCCGAAGGTGTGATGCTTGTCAATCTGTTGAACCAGTTCTTGACTCAAGCTCAATTGGATACCCTGTTTGAAAAGCGCGGCAAACCCGAAGAGCCCGTTGTGCCGGCTGAAGAACAAAAGGCTATTGAAGAGCAACTTTTGGAAGATCCTCAACTGGCCTCGGCCATGCGTGAAGGCACCAAAGTCGTGCATCGCGCTGCCGAAACCAGTGTATTCACAAAGTAAGTACGAGTATTTGCATCAATCTTTTTTCAGAAACAATATACTAAGGTAGACTTTTGTTTTCGGCATCTTTCGATAGGCGTTTCTTGAAGGGTGATATCAACAAGCCTGAATATGGCCGCTACATCAACTCGCTTTACTTTGTTTACCAGTAAGTTTCACATTGAAAAAATGACGATATTCTAGTACTCGGTTGCTTAAACCCGACTTAGGACAATGGAAGAATTGCTTGAAAAGCACAAAGCCAACCCCGTCATTGAGCTTATTCACTTTCCTCACGAATTGAACCGTAAAGAAGCTCTCCTCAATGGTATGTAGAACACCAAAGAGTTCATCGATCCTCTCTTGAAATTAGCTTTACTGAACACCATGGTCTTGTTCAGATTTGGAATTCTATTACGGCAAGGACCGCGTGGCCGGTTTGATTGATCCTAGCACGATGACCCCTGCTGTCAAGACATATGTCCAAGCCATGCATGATGCTTGTGCTACCAACCCTGCCTTGCTCATTGCTCACAGCTACTCCCGTTATCTCGGTGATTTGAGTGGTACGTACACATGCTTCATGGATATCATTGCTTTTCGTGTTCTTATCCAGTGTGATGGTAGGTGGTCAAATCCTTGCCAAGCGTTTGAAGAAGCACGTTTTCGGTATGGAGGAAGATGACGGTTCCTGGGATACCAAGGACGGTCTCAACTTTTACTATTTCGATAACCTCGGCAACCAAACCGAGTTCAAGAACTTTTACCGTGAACGCTTAAACGCCGCCAAGGTGGATGCCAAAACCAGAGGTAAGACAAATAAGAGCTTTGAACCATGGGGAACTTAGTTTCAGGGAAACTGATGGATGATTTGTATAGATCTTATTGTGGAGGAAGCCGTCCGATCTTTCGAATTGAATATTGCCGTGTTTGACGAGATCCAAGTGCTGTCTGAAACCGGTCAATTGACCCCTACCGTGGGCGCGGACAAGGCAAAGAAAGAGTCCGTTGTCGAGGCACCTGCATCTGCTGCTGCTGCTCCCAAAGAGACCAAGGGCAGCTGCTGCAGTGGAGCCGTCCAGTGGGTGGGTGTGGTGGCTGCGGCAGTGGCTGTGGCTGCGGTGGGTGCTGCTGTTTATCAGCGTTACGCACGACAGCAATAATTATGTCGGCCATATCATGTTTATCATTGCTACCTTATTTATTTTTGTTTAATCCAAAGTACCAATACAAACCAACCATCACTAAAGTCGCTGTGGCTGGCAGCAAATCCAGCTGTACAATGAAATAAATCCATATTGTCGCCAAACCGGGTGCGCGTAGCATTTGTCCCAGTGAAGGAGAATGGGTCAGGGTATATAGTAGGAGTGACCCTACAAACATGGACCCACACGTCATGGCCGCCTGCATCCATTTCTTGTTTTTATAACGATTCGTAAGATAAATGAAGGGACATAAAACTACCGGAGGAAAACGAGACGACAGCAGTAGGTTTAGTCGCAGCGGTTTCGCAGTTGCAAGATGAAAAAGTTTACCTGGAGCCGATTTAACTGCTTTCATCATTAGACCGTAATAAGTCCACGGTTCACTGAATTGAACTTTAACAGTGACGTCAAATGTAGCCACAAGAAATCCAAAGGGGATACTAAGAAAGATGGCTTGCCAAATATATTCGGCTGTCGATGCCTGATTGTGTTGTGCTGCCAGTTCCGCTTCGCGTTGCTTGACCTTTTGTAAAAGGCCAGTCTGCTCTATTAAGCGCAGCTTCTCATCATCAGGCACGTCATCCTGTTTCTTCTGCTTAGGAATCCGGTTAATGAGTGGTTCGGGAGCCATGTGCAAAATAGGAAAGCGAAAAAAGTAAAAACCAGGAGAATCAAACAGCAGGAACATCAGGCCACGCATTTCAAATAAGCAGTGTCGGCTGACGACGCTTCATCGTGGCGGAGATTCAATTGTTTTTTTGTGTCTGTGATTCAACTGTCCGCTTTGGAGGAATGAAAAAGCGAAGAGAAAAAAAAAATGACGAGCTGGGTTCATCTCGTTTTTCCTTTCCTTTCCTTTCCGTTCCCTTTTGGCGCCTTTCATCACTTCATCTGCAAAGAAAACCAAAGTGAGAAAGAAAGGAGATAAAAAAGCAAGTCGATAATACCTTGAAGAGAAGATACCAGTAACGTTTACCCATGGCTGAAGGCACTACCGCGCGTACCCGAGTCTCGTCCCTGGCCGCCGCGGGAGTCTCGTCCACGGCGGCTCCCAAACGACCTACCAAGACGCCAGGCGTTACAGCAACGGGTCGACCCACCAGTGCGGCGCGAACTTCTTTGACGCGATCAGGCACCGGTGCCACACCGGCATCACCTACTACCCCCACCCGTACTTCGACAGCCCGTGCAACAAAAACACCGGTGCCTGGAACTACTTCGAGCGCCGCTCGACAAAGTCCTACGCTAAGTCGCGCCAGCAGTACGCTGAATAAGACCGCCTCACCTACCTCTTCCACTCTCAGTCGTCGAGCCACCACCACCGGCACGGCTTCCGCTCGATCCCCCACAACTTCCACCGCCTCGTCGAGCCGAGCTTCCCCTTCTACCACACGAAGAACCTCCACCGTAGGCATGACCTCCGCCACCGCCCGCACTGCATCCACTAAACCGGGTGCTTCGACCGTAACCTCCACGGGCGTGAAAGCTTCCGAGCTAATGGCTGAGCTCAAAGCTCTCAAAGAAAAGGTAAAGATCGCATACCTCTAAACCGTCACTATGGGAAGGATCATGGAAGTTGATTGAGTCTTTTTTTTTCGTATCATCTTACACCGGGTGATTTTTCATAGTATGCCGAGCAGGAAAAGTCGTTGGCTGAGAAGCAGGAATTGTTGCAGACCACTGAATCGGATTTGGAAGCGTTAAAAATCAAGTACGCTGAAGTGGAACGGGCATTGGCAGAGAAAACGACTAAGCCTGCTGCCGACGAGCAAACATCATCAAAGGAAGCTGTCAACACCGAGACCGAGACTGAGACCGAGACCGAGACTGGCGAGTCTGAGGAGTCGAAGAATGAAATGGAAACGCTTCGTAACGAGATTAATCAATTATCGGAAGCACTGGAAAAGGCCAAAGAAGCCCAATTGGAAGCCGAATCTAAACTTTCTACTGTGGCTGCCGAGCGAGAGGAAGAGATGACCAGATTCAGCAACGAGCAGGAAGCCGCCGAAGAGCGATGGCGTGACAATATGGAAAAGTTGCGTGAAAAGCTGGAAAATGAGAAAGAAGCTCTCAATGACCAGATTCTTGAAAAAGAGGCTGAAATAGCAAGGCTGAAAAAGGACATGGATGAGATGCGCGACAACATTCAGGTAGCTGACTGATACGACTGTGGTTTAAGGGATCAAGGATGGTGTCTAAATGTTAGTCTGTAGGAAATGCACAAGTCACATCAAAGCCGATTGACCAGTCTCACCAACCAGCTGAATCAACGTCACGCTGAACAGCTCGAGAATTTGAAAACCGTATACGAGGGAAAAATCACTGAACTCACTGAACTGCAGCAAAAAAGCTTGGAAACCGATGCGGATGCAGGACGAGCTGCAGAAGAAAAGCAAAAGGAGCTTTTGCAAACGATCGAGGTACAGTAAAAATGGAATATGGAAAACGTACCATCACCCGTATTTACAAGTGATGACGCTGCAGGAATTGGAGCGTCGTTCCATCGAAATCAGTGCTTCAAAGGAAGAGGCTATTAGTGCAGTTCAGGATCAATTCACTAAAGAAATTGAAAGCTTAAAAGCCAAGCATGAAGAGGAAGTGAAAAGCGTGAGGCATTCACTACAGGTAAGTCAAAGCGGCGAAGTAGGAAGGTCGATTCACCCAAATTTATCAAGGGATCCATTTAGGTACGAATAGAAGAGTTGCAAAATACACACAAGGAAGAGGTAGCGGCCCTTATTGCGTCACATGAGAGCAAGCTAGAACAAGTTCGTGAAGCGGCCTTGAATGATACGTCATCCAAGACAAAGGAGGAAACCGAGGTAAAGGCGGATCACTACGTGAGAAATAAACTGTGGGTACTAAAAAAATTTCCCCTGCTGGCAGAGAGCTTGCCGCGAAGCGTTTGACCAAGAGTTAAGCACAATTCAAGCTGAGCATCAAGCCACCATCACCAAGTTGGAAGAAGAACATCGCGAAGCAATGGATGAACTTGAAAAACAAAAGCTCAAGTCGATTGAAGAAAAGGACGCATTGAAAGCGGAATACGAAAACAAGATTCAAGAAGCAACCGAAAAAGAAAAGGTAAGCCGCTAAAGCTTTTATCCATTTCAGGATCTTGACAGTTTTCTTGTATGACAGGCGTCGCTGGAAACCGCCTTAGCTGATCAGTTGGCTACACTTGAATCCAAACATGCTGCCGCTCTTGAGAAACAAACCGAGGCTTTGAAACAAGACACTGTCGAGCAGTTGGAAAAGGCCAAGAAGGAGTACGAGGAAGCGTTGGCAGAAATGAAATCGGCGCATGAAGTGGCGTTGAAAGATATTCGAGGCACCAGCGCCAGTGCCAGTCGTACTGAAACAGAGCGTGAATTGCGAGCTGAATTCGAGTCCACCATGGAACGCATGACGTCGACGCATCAGCAAGCAATAGAGCAGTTGCAGCAACATCATCATGAACGGTTACAACAACTTGAAACTGAACTGCATCGTGAAATGGAGAAACAAAAGGAAATGACCGAACAGCATCGGAAGGAAATTGAAGCCTTATCCGCCGAGAGAAATGACCAGCTCGATACTATTCGTCATGAAATTGAGGTAGATACACGACTAACTGGATTCCACCGACACCGACGATGATACTCAATTCAATTTGGTTTACCCCATCATAGACGGCGCTCAAAGAAGTGCATGCGGCTGAAATCGCCCGTTTAACTACGGAACATGAATCCAAAATCAGCGATCTGAAAGGTCAACACTTGTTGCAGCGAGAGCAAGAATGCGAAAAGTTGAAAGCAGCACATACTAATGAACTCAAACAACTTCGTGAAACACACATTCAACAACTCAAGGAGGCCGAGAGCAAGGCGCAACAGCAGTTGGAAGCGTCTCAAAGCGAAGCCGTAGTGAGTGGACTGATCGAGGATTAAAAACATAGATATCGATATATTGAGCGGGCGCTCTTTAGGATTCCTTGAAAGAAGAAGCAAGAAAGGAAGCAGAGGAAGCGAAACAGGAGCAAGAAAAGAAGCTTGAACAACAAAAGAACGAGCATTTGCAGCAACTCGAAGCGTTGAAACAGCAACATGACGAGGCCCTCGAGTTATTAAAGAATCAGCACAGTCAAGAAATGCAAGCTTTGAAAGAGCAACATCAATCCCACTCGGAACAAGTCACTTCCATCGAGATGCTTGAAAAGTCCCACAAGGAAGAAATCGAAAAGTTGAAAGAATCGCATGCCGCAACATTGGCCGAAATACAAACCCAAGCTGGCAAGCATGTCGATGAACTCAAAGCCGAGTTGGAGGTATGGTCAGAAAAATAGAAGACAACGTTTGGTAACGTGCATTTAAAAACAAATGATGATACTAGGCGTCGTTGCAGCAAGGCTTCCAATCACAAATCGAACACTTGAAGACTGAGCATGAGGAACAGATCCAGCGTTTGATGTCCGAACATGAACAGGCGCTGAAGAAAGCTGACATGCGTTTGGAAACCCACAGCGAGACTGTGCGTGCCGAAGTCGAAGTAAGTTTGTATTCTCGGGGAATGATGTTGGTTCTCTTTTCTCATTTGCGGTATCCAAGGCGACGTTGGCCAGTGATTACGAGTCGCAAATCCAACAACTGACCTCGAAACATACATTGCATCGGGAAACATTGGAAAAAGAGCTTGCTCGACTGCAGAGTGAATATGAAACATTTAAAACAGCCAAGCAAGCCGAGTTGGCGAGTCTGGAAACAAGCTATCGTGAGAAGCTCACCATTGCGGAAGCACGTCACGATACCGATTACGATAAGATGCGAGAGGAAATTGAGGCCAAGGCACAGCAGGACGTCGAAGATGCCTGGAACAAACTGAACGAAGAACACCGCAATACCCTGAAAGCCTTAGAAAATGACCATAAGAGTGCCATGCAAGTTTTGGAGGAGGAACATGCCGTCGCCCTACGTACTCTTGAAGATACCCATGCGACTGCACTTGCTTCTTTGCGTGACGAGCACACAAAAGACCAACAATCCTTGAAAGATACCCACAGTGAATCTTTGAAAGCTAAGGAGAAGGAACACGAGGAAAAGCAAAGACGTTTGGAACAAGAGCATGCTGATCTCTTGGCGCGTTTGGAGAAAGAATATTCTGATAAGGTTAATGTTGTACAAGCCGGTCATGCCAATGTTCTTGAATCCATCCAAAAAGAGCATCATGATGCCTCTGCATCACTTGAGGAGCAGCTGAAATTAGCTCAAGAAACGGCAAATACCCTGAAAACCAATGTCGAGGTAACAATAATGATAAGAAAGAAAAAGAATGCTGAATATCGCAGGCAGTGGAGTGGATGAGGGTACTGACGTATGTAACACGGTAGGCTGCTCACAAGGAGCATGAAGCACAATTGTCGGAATTAGCGGCGAGCCATGAAAAAGCGCTCGAAGCATTAAAGGCACAGATGGAGCAACAGGAGGAGAAGTATGGAAAGCAGCTCGCCGCATTGCAGGAACAGTTGGTCAAGGAGAGCGACAATAGCAAGAGAAAAGAAGAGGATTTGGACCGGTTAACGACCGAAGTGGAACGGTTACAGAACGCACTGTCTGCTTCCACGGAAAGTCTTGAAACGCTAAGCAAGCAAGATGATAAGGAAGAAGAAATTCGATTGATGCGTTTATCGTTTGATAAAGTCGTGCAAGCCAAGGATCAAGAACTGGAAGAAGTCGAAGAACGTTACCGCAAGCTCCATGAAGCCAACCATCAAAGCAAGGAAGTTCAGAAAAACAAAGAAGTAAGTTCCTTCGTCCCATTGGATTATGACGTATCAAAGAATTATGTGCATTGACACCGTGGTAGAATGAAATCGAACAAAAGCTGCAAGCGGTGGTGACACAACATCAGAAAGAATTAAGGGTGTTGCAAACTCAATTCCAGCAATTACTGGACTTGAAGGACAAGGAACTCGAAGATTTCTCGTACCGATTAAAGACCGTCACCAGCTCACAACAAAAAGATCTAGAGAAACTACATCAAGGTCACCGTGCCAAGGTGGCGGCTCTGGAAGAAGAAAATCAACGACGTGAAGAAGAACTCAAATCGAAAGCCATGGAATTGCGATTCATGGAAGCGGACATGGAAGGAAATGAGGTAAATAATCATCTTTGGATGCGCTTTATCCTATTTCCACAACAGTAGGGTCTCACAGGAATGAAAATATAGAAAAAGGTGCAGAAACTGGAGAACGACAATGCCCATCTTTTGCGAGAAGTGGACCGATTCAAGGATGAAAATGATCGCATGCTCAGGTAATCTGACTTGACAACTGGTACCTCCACAGTGTTGATGCTGACTCTTCCTTATCTTTCATAGTTTAATTCATCAATTGCAAGCCCAGCTTCATGAACTTCAAAGAATTCGTTAAAAAAAATTCATAGGAACGAACAAAAAAAAGATAATAGCACCAAGTGCACTGTTCATTCATTTCATCCAATCAGTCTCCAGAGTGTCTTAAAGTTTTTCGGCACGTGGAGTTTCTATTTTTATCCAATCACTTTCAACACAGTCGAGTGGAATTAGATTATTTTTTTTTATTATTTTTGGCTTTCTTCCTTTCCCTGCCTTTTTTTTTCTGCTTTTTTTCTATACATTTTTTTTATATTTTTTTTTTTTGTACTTTTATTCATGTTATTGCGTCTCATGTAAATGAATGCCTATCAGCAATTTACGACATCTACGCCTATCCACACTCCTCCCACCCCCACACCTTCAAGTTCAGCACTCTCTTCCCCACCCCTAAAACGTACTCGTGCCAAACGCAGTTGCGATTTCTGTAGAAAACGTAAATCTCGATGCGATGCAGATAATTCGATACCATGCTCCAACTGCAAAGCTGTACGTCACATTGCATCAATGCTTTGTTCTCTGTCATACTATTGATTTTGCCTTGCAGCATTGATCTCACGCTTTGTTTGTATTATTTTATTTTTCGCAGTGGGGTTATACCTGTGAATTTCAAACCGTGCGCAAAAAACGAGGGCCACCCAGCGTGTAAGTGGAACTGACGAACCGCATGTCGGGTTTAATTTTTTTTTCTTTTAAAAAAAATGTTTCTCGGGCTGGCATTATCAAATCATGTCATGTTTTTATATTTTCCCTTGGTCGGAATGCTGCTTTTCATGCGTTGCTTTTGAACTTTGTTTGGACTATGGGGTTGGGGGCGCTTTACTGATACCTGATTCTGTTCTCTAGTTACGTCGATAATTTGGAAAAACGATGCAAAAAGATGGAAACATTGTTGATGTCGCTGACTAATGTGCCTATCAAGGAATTGGAGCGAAACAATTTCCAGTTGACGGGGCGAACACAGCGAGTCATGGCTTCACCGGTCGATGAATCGGATTCATCGTCCGAAGACGACGACGAAGATGATGACGACGAACAAGGTGGAGACGACGTTGCGATATACGACAGCCATTCCGACCCTACTTTGGATATACGAGATCGATTATCAGGGCTCAATATCCGAGATTACGACACGCTAAAGTATACAGGACAATCAGCGGGTTTGCAATTGTTTGACAATGATTTATTTAAATCAAAAACTTTTGTACGCTGGCCTGGCCGAGACGATGTTGTGCTTCAAATGATGGCCGACGACGAATTGATGGTCGTTCGCACCGATACAACGGCTTCCGGCAAGCCAGATAAACGCTTAGATGTAGGCATTTCCATGCGTTCTGCCATTTTTGACAACCCACGATCATGTTCCCCTCCCTCTTCCGCGACGCTAAAAAAACCCAGCAAACAACTGATGGATAAAATGATTGGCCTGTAAGTTTATGCTTTCTCCACTGAATTTTCTCTTTTTTCTTTTCTCTTCCCCTCGTTGAAAGGGAAAAACAAAAAAAGAAAATGACGTGTAACATTTTTCGGTTTTATTTCATGTTCCACTTGGCTAAAAGTTGACATTCCGACAATTTTTTTTGGTTTTCACAGATACTTTAGTCACCTCCACCATTTCTTGCCGATTGTCAACAAATATCGGTTCCTCCAACAATGCAATTCCAATTTCAAAAGCAAAATGCCCATTGTGGTACAATCAGTACTTGCCCTTGCTTTTCGCTTTGCTTCTCAACACTTTCCTTCGTTGGAAAGTGCCGCCAGTGATTTCGCTGACAGCTATTTTAGGAAAGTCATGAAACAATTGCGTGACTTGCAAAGATCAAGGTTGTGTCATGTCCAGGCCGCACTCCTGATGACCTTGTACCTGGATATGGACGGTGGCGATGTTGAATCCGTTCAGTGGTGCACTCTCGGCAGTGCCATTCGTATGGCTCAAGACCTTGGTTTACATCGATCGTGTGAACACTGGCACTTGCCGCCTTCTGAAATTGAAACTCGCCATCGGGTGTTTTACGCATGTTACGTTCTCGATCGTTGGATGGGTGCCCGCGCCGGTAAACCATTGACAATTTTAGATCGCGATTTCGATACCGCCATGCCGTCATACTATGAAATCTCCGACTCACCTGCGGCAGCCTCCGACGCCAAAGAGCCAATTTATCGCCCCTTCATCCTTCTCATCAAACTGTCGGAAATTCTCGGTCGTGTTCTCAAAGCTCTCTATGCACCCAATGCCAAAAACTCCAACTCCAATGCCAATCTGGACGATCCAACCATTCTCGCCGTCTTTGATCGCCGTTTGAAGCATTGGAAAGCGTCGCTGGACGAAACCGTCGACAGCGTCGGACTTTCTGTGGCTCAAAAAGGTAATTTAGTCTTTATCCCTCGTGATTTTTTTTTTCTATTGCCCATGTTTGGAGAAATTAATCAAGGGGCTTTTAGTGAACTTGCAAATTTTCTACAATACTATTGTGCTACTATTACATCGACCTTTCTTACAACTGTCAACGGCCAGATTTCCTCACCTTGAATCCATTGTCATTGAATCGCGTTCAGCTTGCGATGCTGCGGCAGCGCGGATTTCTAGTCTGGTCCAGCAGCAACGAGCGCAACAGGCAGATCCCACGTCTTACGGTCTGCTGTGTCTGCCAACGTGTTTTATCTATGCCATGTTTCAGTCATCGCTTGTTCACCTGTCCAATGCATTGAAAGATCGGATATCCGCCGTGAATTTGGCGCGATTAAAGCAATCCATTGCGCTGGTCCAACAGTACCAACATCTAGGTCCCGCGCCTCGCGCTTTGGAAATTTTAAACATGCTGGTCACCGTCAACGAACTCTCATTCGATCAAGTGAGCCGACAAGACGATTCATTGCTCAGCTGGTCGTCGCCTTCCGTCTCGCCCACGAAACTGACATCGATGCCGCAGTCTTCACCTTCACAGTGCTTACCCATGCCACCTGCGGAAGATGAAATGCCTAAATCGGCCTGGTTTCAACGCATGATCAATACCAGTATTGTCGGTGGCATTACGCCCGATATCCACCGTGATGTTGAGTCAATGATCTCGCGACAGTCAATGCCGCGTTATTTGCCGACATCGAATACCGTGTCTCCTTATGTTGTGAATTACGTTAACCATACGTCGTCGCAATCCCCCATGTATCCTCAACGACCGGGAATGGAATACGGGATGCATGTGCCTTCCCCTCATGCAGTCGGCATGACATCGCTACCACCGACCAATTATGGAAATACGATCGATGCACCGTCATTGTTGCCACAAACGACGCCACCCCCACCTCAACCCTTGCAGCATGATCCATCTTTGCTTCCGCAGCGACCCGTCTATGCAGCTCAATCCATGCCTCCATCACTCGCTCAAGCACCGACCGCTTTCACTGCTTACAATCACACCGTCGCTTCGTCACAAGCCATTCTTCCCCCTTCTAGCTTGAACTGGAACGATTGGGACATGTATATTGATCATCACCAAGCTTACTCCCAACGGCATCCTCATCTTCCACTTCGTGATGCTTAAATCAGCTTTTTCTTTTCTCGTTCCCCCCTCCCGCTTTTGACCTGTATTAACCTCGTTTCCGCGTCTTTCTTTGAGTGTCACTTTCCGGTTTTTTTTTTTCATGTTGCATTTTTGATTTTGGCGGTTTGGTTGGTTTTTTTTTTATTTCTTTTCTCTTCTATTCATGTCATGTATTTTTAGTATTTATTCATTTTGGGATAAGGAAGAAAAACTGGAAGAAGAGGGACAAATCCAAAACGTGATCTTATGAATGCCAACCTACCTTTTTAATACTCAGAGTAGTGCAATAGTGTTGATTTGTATCTTACGTAGGCTGTCATTATACTATGCTGATCAAAAAAGTCTGTGTCCTCGAAAGTGCGATAATTTCAACATGATGTCATTGGCAGAATTTGGAGAGCGCATGAAATTTTCCAGCGTCCAATTTAACGCGCGCTTGTGCTCAGTCTTTCCTTGTTTCTTTCCTCATATTGTTCACTGGTTTAAACAGCAGAGAACAACATGTTGGAATCACTCGTATCCACTTTACTGAATAGGTTCCTTGGAGCCTATGTCTCCAACTTGAACTATAACCAACTTCAAATCGGCATATGGTCAGGTACACCACGACCTCAATTTCACGCGAGTGTATATTGTCTAGCAATAAAAGACGCAATTAACCCACGGCATTTGGAATGACCTAGGCGAGGTGGTTCTACGTAATCTAAAACTGAAACGCGAAGCCCTCGATAAGCTGAATCTTCCCGTGGATGTTTTGGAAGGTTCGTTTTTCTTATGTTTGACGACATTTTTATGCTACACGGGATCGCCAAGACGGACCTTAACTTTAACCATTGATTTCCTTGTTCAGGTTATTTGGGCGAGTTGACGCTCAATATCCCATGGTCCAACTTGAAAGGCAAGCCAGTCATGGTGGATATCAAGGATGTCTATGTCCTTGCCGTGCCGAGAAATGAGTCCACCGTGAGTTAAAAACCGAGAACGCCGTCATGCCCAATGGCGCCTAGGAAGTCATGGGTCAAGCAAGTCAAAACAGAATTAACGTGGTTTTATGCTGAATTAGATGACGACCGAGGAATTGCAACAGAGACAATACGAAGCGAAAATGCGAAAGCTCGCGAATGCCGAACTTGTGGATCGTGGCCGAGCGGTTGAACCTACCGATAACACCAAGGACGCCCAAAACGAGACCTTTGTAAACCAGCTCGTAACCAAGATTCTCAACAACTTGCAGTTTTCCATTACCAATATTCATATTCGTTACGAAGACGATGTATCGGCCCCCGGTCATCGATTTGCAGCCGGTATTACGTTGAGCGAATTATCGGCGATTTCTACAGACGAGAACTGGATTCCTCAGACCATCGGAGACGCCGTCAACACGATTCATAAGGTAATATCAGTGGACATGCAAACATACCAACACGATAAAGAACAATTTCTCACATATACGGATATTCTATAGTTGGCTACACTCGAATCACTGTCGGTGTACTGGAACACCGATACACGATCTCTGTCTCAGCTGTCGCCAGAAGAAGCACACAAAACGTTCATGGAATTGGTAATGAGAGGGCATACATAAGATTGATTTACTCGGATCTAAAACTGACTTCCACGCTGAAATGATCCATCGATCCAGATCGCCACCAAATCCAACATTCCGTCTGAACATCAGTATATTCTAAAGCCTGTGTCTGGAACGGGAAGAGTATGTTTTATCTTTTTTTTTTTAAAATGGTTTCTTCAGGAGAACATCATGGCTTACGGTGGATGCTAGGTTAAAATGAACAAGAAATTCGGATCGGATGTACCAAAGGGAGACGTGACCATGTTGTTTGATGAGCTCGCTTTTGTTATTGATGATGAGCAGTATCGGGATGCCATCTTGATGATTGATTTATTCCATTCCTACTTGAAAAAGCAAAAGGTGAGGGTTCCATTGCCATTTCATATTGTCGCGCGGCAACTAAGCTTTTACGTCTTTACGCTGGCTAGTATCAACATCTGCACCCACCGCGTGCGGTGAAGCCAAAACAAGATCCTCGTGCCTATTTTCAATTTGCGGCAAGAGCCGTTTTATCGGAAATTCAAGAGAGAAACCATCGATGGACGTGGGATCACTTTAAAGAAAGAAGAGACAATCGCCGATCGTACCTTGAATGCTATGTGGCGGAGAAATTGGGCCGTGCCACCCCGGATCAGCAGGATCGCTTGAATGAACTCGAACACAAACTTAGCTTTGAAGATATTCGTTTCTATCGGAGCCTCGCCAAAAGTCGTCTCAAACGCGAGAAAGCCATATTAGGTAAGCGCGAAAAGTTTATCGCATCCACAAGGTATCTAACGTCGATCCTTTTTCCTTTTTTAGCGGCCGAGGAAGAGCGTAAGAAAAAGGAAGCTGCAGCCAATGCTTCCAATAAAGGCTGGCTCAGCTCTTGGTGGTACGGTTCAGGGGCAACGACACCAGGCGAACAAGATTCAGTGAGTGTTATCAATGAATACGGAAAATGACGACTGATCCATTAATTCACTTGACAATACCACAGGACGAGGACAGCTTGGTGGTGACCGAAGAGCAGAAACAAGAGTTTTACGATGCCATTGAATACGACGAGGATAAAGTGGCCTTGGCTGAATCTATTGATCTTGCAAAAGATGTAAGTCATTTGTATTTGTCCTCTGCTTATCAATTTTATTTGTTTTGCTTACATGCTACTTGGTATTCGCAAAGACCATCATGCTTGCGTTGCGTATGACGCTTAACAAAGGCTCGTTCACTGTTAAAAGAAAACCGCATAGCGAAAATCCTGTAGAACTTGTGTCGCTTGTTTTCGATACCGTCATGCTAGGCGCTATTCGGTACGTGGAATCCTTCAAAGCGACGGCAGCACTCGGTGATCTGCGACTGTACGATGGTGTAACGCAAAGCTCGCAGTACCGCCAATTAATTGGCGTCAAACAAAAGGAAGAGAATTCAGACAAACGATCGAGCGTGGATCAGCAGATCTTCAAATTCTCCAACATGAACAACCCCTTTTTCTCGGTGGTGTTTGAGCATATGCCGTTGGATGGGCGTGCCGATAACGCGGTGGCACTCACCATGCGCAATATTGATATCGTATACAATCCAGTGATCATTCGCGAGATATTGGAATTTTTCCGGCCACCGGAAACCAGCGCAGACAGCGTCAATGCATTGATCGAAGTCGCCGGCGATACCTTTGAAGACATCAAAAATCAAACGCGAAGCACCCTCGAATTTGCGCTGGAACGTCACACCACCCTGGATCTTCGCGTAGACATGGATGCCCCTGTTATTGTTATTCCAGAAGAGTATGCATATCAATTACATTGGCTCGCTTAGCCGGGAATGAATTCTTACTAATATCCTATATTAGCTGCACGTCTTCAAGTTCGCGTGGCATTGTACTCGATGCGGGTCACATCAATGTGGAGAGCAACTTGGCCGATCCTCAAGCGGTGGAACAGATGAAAGCCAAGAAGAATACGGAGTACACTAGTGAAGACTATGTTCACTTGCGGTCCATGATGTATGACAAGTTTACTGTTCATCTGACCCAAACCAAGATTTTGGTGGGCGATTCCGTCAAGACGTGCTTGGAGCAAGTGCGATCGCCCAAACCTGAATACAACTATTTGCACTTGGTGGAGCGCATCGATATGACATTTTTGGTGGAAATGTGTATCCTGCGGAAATCCAATGATTTGGCCCGATTCCGCGTTTCCGGACATCTTCCGTTACTGGCGGTGAATTTCTCGGATACCAAATACCGAAGCATCATGCAGCTCCCCAAACTGATCGACGACTCTGGGCTTTTCGCCGATGCGCAGGAGAGCGTTGACAACGAGGAGAAAGACGCATTGAACGTGCCTGGAAGTGATCGACGCATGAGCTTCATGAATACCCGGCTTTGGGAACAAGCCGAACGTGAATTGTTTCTGGATACCGACAGCGAACAGACTGAATCGAACGTGGATGACGACGAAACGACTACTCAGTCACTGACCGAGACGGCCGATACCGAGATTTCATCGCAGCCAGCTACCACGTCTTCTCGAAGCACCAAGGCAAACAAACAGCGATCCAGTGATCTTCAACGCATTTTTGAGCTTAGCTTCAAAGTAGATCAAGTGACCGCAACAGTCCGCGAAGCCCGCAGAAGATGGGATCGGTCAGAGGATGGGCCTTTGGAAATCGCATTGTGTGACTTGTCCTTGCAACACTTGTCGCTTGATTACTGTCTTCGACCGCACGATATGACCGTGAATCTGGCTCTGAAATCCTTGGATGTCGTCGATCGAATGGAACATGGCAACGAATTCAAGTACCTAGTGACATCTGACGTTGAAGTGTTGCACAGCGAGGATCAGGACGTCGACGACGTTCAACAGAAAGATCTGGTCAATGTCGAATATATTCGAGTGGATTCCGATCATCATGCTTACATTGAAAAGTATAAGGGGATCGATCAGACCGCCAAAGTCACCTTGTCCACATTGAACTTTATCGTCACCCGCAGCTCCGTGTTGACGCTTTACAATTTCGTCCTGAATACTTTTGTCGACCAAGAAACACCGTCATCGTCTGCCATGGCACCGAAACGAGCATCAGGAGCCAATTTATTATCGGCGGATAACAAAGACAAGCCACCGCAGGACCGTCGACGATCGTCAGCGGCTTATTTACCAGCCGTCTTGCAACCGCAGCCCCAATCCAGTAGCAGTATTCACGTTCGTCTGTTGCTCGACAGTGTCAACTTTGTTCTTAACAACGACGGGATCCGTTTGGCGACTGGAGAATTGTCGCATGGTGATCTTACCACGCTCATGGCGAATGGCAAAATGAAATTGGCGGCCAAGTTTGCCAACTTTAGTTTGACCGACGATCTGGGCCATGGCCAGGGATCGAAAGACGCTCAAACCCGATATACCAATCAGTTATTGACTATCCAAGGTGAAGAACTGATTGACTTTTCGTATGAATCTTTCCTAAAGGACGATCATGATTACCCGGGATACGATCAATCGCTGTTCTTGAGGATGGGATCGGCGCAACTCACGTTCCTGGAACGGCCGGTGATTCAGTTACTCGAATTTCTGAGCAAGTTTGCTGCTATGAAAGAGTTCTACGATCGCGCACGCGAAGCAGCTTTGCAATCAGCACAACAACTGCAGCAATCGGTTTCCAAGCTTCACTTTGACATTATCATCAAAACTCCCGTAGTCCTGTTTCCAGAAATGCACGAACATCCATCTGACGTGGTGGTAGCTCACCTGGGCGAGATTTGGGCGTCCAACTCGTTTGTGGATGAAGATGGCGATTGTATTAGCATGATCCAGGCCGGTATTCGAGCCATCAGTCTCACCTCCAAATTCTACGTCACCTCCAAAGATTCCGACCGGGCTCGACTGCAGACCCTCCCGATTGTGGATGACATCGACCTTATCTTTGACATTAAAAGACCTCAAGATGACGCCGTGATGAAACGACCCGAACTGGATGTCAAGGGAAAAATTAAGGACGTTTCCATGAGACTCACGGAGCGTCAGTACGTTTTCCTGATGGATGCCATCAACATGGTCTCCCGCATTGTCTCCCCCACCGAAGTAACCGAGGCACCGTCACCGTCCGTCCGTGGCCCTACTTCTCAGTCCACTCTGGAATCAAACGATCAGCGTGCGGCAACGGCCAGCAACGAAACCGAATCGACCAATCAAGATGGGGAGGAGGCAGTAGGAAACTTGCCGCCGCGAATTCACCTGGATTTCCATGTGCAAACCATTTGTCTGGAAGTGTATAAAGGTAACGAAGACCAGAACGAATTGCAAACCCCGGCAAGTTTGGCGCGTATTGCTCTGAACGATTCGTCCTTGCAGCTTGACATGCTGAAAAATGACACCATGAAACTCAACTTGCAAACCGTATCATTGACCCTTGATGATACACGTCCCAATATCAAGAGCAAGTTTAAAGAGATCATGCCTGCCATGGACAATGGTCACCAATTCGAGCTGCAAATGGATATTTCCAAACCGGATCCGAACCGTCACGCCATCGCATTGATCACCATCAACGACCCTAAAGTGATCTTGTCACTCGATCACACGTTTATGCTGAGTACGTTTGCCATGAAACCGTTCACGAATCGGGCCTTACCGTCGTCCTCGAACCAACCATCGGATCAATCTACCCCACCTCCAGCTGGCAACGAAGGATCCATGGAGATTTCATTCCGCTTAAATGTCATTAATGCCGATTTTGTATTGCTCGCCAATCCCGATGCCAGTGATTCCGAAGCGGTGGTTCTGTCAGCGGAACAAGTGATGATTTCCCAGCAAACGGTGACAGCGATTGTGGTCAAACAGATGGGCATGTTCCTTTGTCGTATGGATACGCGTAAAATGTCGACATTACGTTTTATACAGCCGTTTGATATCTCGCTGTCAATGAATAACAACATGGGTACCGGGGACCAGCAAACCAACCAATCGATGGAACTAGAAATGGATGTGGATGCCTTGGTGCTGCGTCTGTCCTATCGTGATGTGATGCTCATCACCGATATTTTCAACAAGGCATACGAACTGTACAACGGAAGCATTGGTGCCACTACTACGGATGCGGCTTTGGATTCTTCCCCGGCATCGGCCAGTGTTCTTAAGACTGGTCTGAAAGAGCTACCTCCGGTTGTGCATGCTGCCAAACAGACACTGTCGCGTGAATCGGTAGGTTTTGCTGTTTTGCCTGTTGACAATTCCACCCTTTTTTTTCATGAATTCAGTACTAATGAGCTTTTTCGATATAGCTTCGTGCAGCGTTCCACGGTATGCAGGTGATCCTCATTGAGGATATCCATGAAATGCCCATGGTCGATATGACATTAAAACCGTTTGATGTGGACGTGACAAATTGGTCCCGATCGGTAAGCGATGAGCGCTGAATACAGCTATAACAATGTTTTTCCTTCCGAGACAAAAAGTATTCCTTTCTCACTTCTTGAGCCTGTGCGTAATAGTTGGCCGCCGATGTGTCTTTTTCAGCCTACGTAAATTATTTCAACATCAAGAACTCTCACTGGGAACCCTTGATCGAGCCATGGGATTTCAAGATTGAAGTCGCCAAGAAGAGCACACGTCCACAAGATCCACTTAATGTCAAGCTCATTTCCAACACTGCGCTGAATGTGAATGTTACGCACACCTTCCTGGAAAGTGCGCTTGCCACCGTTCATTTATGGCATAAACGAAATGATGTAAGAAGCTTACATGGGAAAGAAAAAGGTCCTTGACTGGGGTGGATGCTGATGTTGTTGTCTTATAGCTTGCATATAGCGGTGAACGTGGTACCATTGCTCCGTATAAGCTTCGCAACCGAACTGGTTATCAACTTCATCTGTGGAACTCCGGCGATCCTAACGGTGAAACCGTGATCAAAGAGCTCAATGATGGTGAAGATATGCCCTGGTGGTTCGAAGACTGGAAAAAGCGTCGCGAGGTAAAAAGGATCAAACCTGTTTTTTTTTTAATATACGCTGAGGAGGAAGTAGAAAGAAAACTTACGAAAGGTGTTTAGACTACCACAACCAGCAACAACTTGCTGAATGTTCAATTGGATGGAGCTTTGTGGGAAAGTTTGCGAAATATTCCTGTAGATACCGAAGGCGAACACATTTACGCTTTGCGTCCTGTGATCCATGATGTTCAGCATCGCGTTATCTTTGATGTCAAACTGGTCGACAATCTAAAAGTAGTGACCATTCGTTCGGCCTTGGTGATCGAAAATCGAACCCTGCTTCCTGTAGATGTCCTTCTCGTCGATGCTCGAGGGAACCCAGAACGCTCTTTCAAGAAAATCGGTACGTTGATCGCGTCAGTTACCCATATGGTGGGAACCTCAAACACTCAATTGTGCACTTTATTTCACAGCACCGGGCGAGGATTATCCTATTCCCATCGAAAAGGCATATCATAATCGTTTCAGTATTCGCCCGGATGGTAAGTGTAGAAAAAGATCGAAATGCGAGTCAGCGTAACTGACTTGTACTGGTGTTTCACAAAAAAGCGGGCTTCGGTTACCAATGGACAAACCAAACACTGCACTGGAAGGATTTTGCGCGTCCCAAGACAAGAACCAACATTGTCAAGTGTACAAGCAAGGAAAACGATATGGCTCCCTTCCTATTCCAAGTGAATGCAATTTTGGACAAGAAGAATATCTTGTTTGGGTATGTTACATGAGCGGAATAGGTCGAATAGCGCCAGGCTATTAATGCATGTTGACTGTAGACACTATCCTGTCATGTCGATCCGACTGAGCGCACCGGTGGAAATCGAAAACCTGCTACCCTATGATTTCAACTTTCGGGTGATTGATCGTACAGCTGGACAAGAATTTAGTTCTTTCCTTCGCAAAGGAGGAGTGACACCGATCCACGTTATCGAGAATGGTCACTTCCTCTTGTTAAGCGTACAAATGCCAGATACAAGTATGTCATGATGTTTCTGTTTCTTTTATTTCCATATATCACATCTAACGGGCATTGCCAATATCACAGAATATAAAGCAAGCGAATTCGCGATTATTAGTACCCGAGGATCGGATGACTTTAACGTGGAAGACTCCCTGCAATTTGAAGGGCCCAATAACACGCGATTGTCACTCCGAATTAGTGCCATGTAAGTCTTTTTGCTGAAAAAAAACATCGATCCATGTGACAGGTTATTGAATTGTAGGTCTATTTTGCAGAGATGTTCCTGATTCCGGCGGTGCGCGCAAGTACAGTATCTACTGTCCTTATGTGATCATCAATAAAACAGACAGTATGATTGCTTTCAAGGCCAAACCAGCTTGGCAGAGCGCCATGTTTCAAGGTTCGCATGACACTGTCGTCTGCCGTCCAAGTAGCAAGGTATTGTTGTATTCACGTTGCAGTAAACATCAAACTACCGGTATACTGAAACAACGTTCTTTAGGCGGAACCTTTCATGTACTCGTATCCCAAGCATGACAACCGAAACCGTTCTCTGATTCAGGTGGCCGGTTCCGAATGGAGTCAGGTAAGAAATTTCCATTTTATGTTCACGTAATTGACGACATGGTTGGTAACCGAAAAATAGCCTTTGAGTTTTGAAGCGGTAGGCAGTGTGTATGATGTGGCGATGCCGACCCCCAACAAAGCCGAAGAAGTACACGTTGGCATCAGTATTCAGGAAGGCCACGGCAAGGTAAGCACGGATCAGAAAATTTTCGTCACTCCCATGGCACACTCAAAACGCCATTCTGTAGAACAAACTATCAAAAGTCATTACGTTCACACCTCGCTTTATTCTGAGCAATCATATGGACGTCGAGATTCGATTCCGCGAACCAGAGTCACGAGTTGACCATTCGTTGGCCCCTAAGCAGAGAATCCCCTTGTATAATCTTCGTCGCATTGCTGACAAACAGCTCAGTGTCAAACTGCCCGGCATAAGTAACACCTGGTAATATTCCCTTGGCAGTAACTTTGCTATCCATCCTATATTAACCGATTTCTCGTGAATATTAGGTCGGCGCCGTTTAACATCCAGGATATCGGCAAGGTGCATGTGCGATTGGATAGTGCTGATGGTTCGACGGCCATGTTGATGAGCGTTACTACCATTCTGCAAGATGCTACTATCTTTATCCTGTTGAACAAGGAAAGCAGTGACAAATGGCCATACAAGCTTGTCAATCAGACCAAAGAAGATATGACATTTTATCAAGAAGTACGTGTGACCATTTACAATGGAACAAATGGTGACACGAACTGACATATCTACCTTTTTGTAGGATCCCGTTCTGCTGCGTGACGATTATAGTGAACCTCGAGCGCGCAGCCATCGTACGCGACGCTATCGCTTACCTGCGGGACAATCCGTAGTTTATTCCTGGGATATGCCCGCTGTGAAAGATAAGAGGATCATCTTGAATATCAATGGTCACGAACGAAGCATCAACTTGCAAGAGATCGGTAGTCAACCACCTTTCCAGCATACTGTAAGTAGACATGGGAAACAGTAGGCGAGAACATGTTGTTGACTTCGCATCACTTTATAGACTAAAAGCGGTGGTAAAGCGATCACTTCGATTGATATCCGAACCAAAGGCACTATGCAAATTCTTCAGCTGACGCCGTTTAACCAGCAACAAAGTTATTTCCGTCCATTGCCTTCTCGTTCGTCTAGCATGGCATCGATGACTACCAAAGACACCGCTGCCCGAGAAGGATTTGAAGCAATCGATGTCAAACTGGTCTTTAACTTTGTATTCCAGCTGCAGCTTTCACAGATTGGATGCTCCCTGATCAACAGGCAACTTCAGGTAAATCTTGATCTTGTCAAAACACAGTGACCTAATACTCACTTACACTTACTACGACAGGAAATTGCCTACATCACATTCAGAGGATTCGATATCAAGTTTACCGATTCCAATATGTATCAATCTGTGCGTTGGAATATCGAATGGGTGCAAATTGACAGTCAGATATACGGCACCATGTTCCCTATCCTTCTTTATCCTACGAATATGACCAAGGAAACCAACCACGAAATCTTGCCAACCTTGCAAATGGCCTTGGATAGAGTCAAGGATGATTGTAAGTACCTTATAATAATGTACCAGTTTATCATCACTGACAATGTTGTGCAGCTCATGGCGTGCTCTATTTCAAATACTTTTCCATTCTCTTGCAAGAAATGAGTGTTGAAATTGACGAAGCGTTTATTTACGCGATTATCGATTTCACGCATGTGGATGTTCCAGGCTGGAACGAACCCGCTGAGAGCAGGTAAAAAATCGTGGAGAAAAAAGATGACAGTCGATTATCCTATGTGTGTCTGATTGTTCCGTTCTTAGCGAACTCTGGGAATACACCACCGAGATTCCTGATGTAAAGCCTACCGAAGACATTGCGCAATTGTATTTTGAAGTCCTCAGTATTCAGCCGATTCGTTTCGATCTTTCCTTTTTGCGTACCGATCAAGTGAATATTGTCGATGAAAGGTATAAATCATATCCCGTTTTTATTCTGTGATGACATTTAGTGACCTCGGTACTTATGCTTTGGTACAAAAGACCTCAAGGAAGCTCTCCTTTGATGTTCTTTATCAATGTATTGACAATGGCCATTGGTAACATCAACGTAAGTAATCAATAAGCATCGGCGACAAGAAAAAAAAAAAAAAATACTCGTAATAATTCTAATATGGGTTTCACAGGCTGCTCCTATGCGATTTAATGCACTTGCTGTGGAAAATCTGAGAGCAAGCGGACCGGATCTGGCCAACCGTGTCTTTATCCATTACAGCGATCAATTCGTTTATCAAGTGCACCGAATGCTTGGTTCAGCCGATTTCTTGGGCAATCCTGGTAGGATAGGAGGAATTTTCGGTATCAACATTGCAATGAAGTGTACTCATTCCAACTATCACTAGTGGGCTTGTTTAACAATCTCAGTTCAGGTGTAGCCGAACTCTTTTATGAGCCTTGGCAAGGTCTGATTATGAGTGATCGTCCTCAAGATCTTGGCATGGGCATCGCAAGGGTAAGTGACTTTTGCACATGATGGTGATCTGTAGAGAGAAAGAGGGAGTAAGCTGACCGACTTGGGACTCTTAGGGTTTCAGCGGGTTTGTCCGCAAGAGTGTTTTCGGTGTTTCGGATAGCTTTACGAAATTTACTGGCAGCATCAGCAAAGGTCTGTCAGCTGCCACGATGGACCGCGAGTATCAAGACAAACGACGTATGACCATGGCCAGAAACAAACCGCGTCATGCCCTGGGCGGCGTGACTCAAGGTGCCAACTATTTTGCCAACAGTCTTGCTAGTGGTGTCGCCGGTCTTGTGGTAAGTATTATCAGCGTTTAGTCAAAAACTTGGTTCGCTAAACGTTTTTTTTTTTTTTTTTTTTTTTTACGATCAGACTCGACCAATTGAAGGTGCGACCAAGGAAGGTGTCGGCGGGTTCTTCTCCGGTGTAGGAAAAGGACTCATGGGGTAAGGATTGGATCTTTGATCATTCATCTCTGTATGCGACCTTTATCGCTGACGCATTTTGGATAGCGCTGTGACCAAACCTGTTGTAGGTGTGTTTGATCTCGCAAGTAATGTTTCGGAAGGTATCCGGAACACTACAACGCCTAGTGACACCAACGATATTGAGCCGATCCGTCTGCCGCGATTTATCGATCAAGATGGCATTTTAAGACCGTATTCTGCAAAAGAAGCGCAGGGTCAAAGTTGGCTCAAGGATGTGGATGGCGGCCGATATGCACAAGATGCGTATATTGCGCACTGTTACGTCCAGAGCAATGAGCGTGTGGCGCTATTATCTTCCCAACGTGTGATGTTGATCAGAACGCGGCGTTTATCGCTTGAATGGCAGGAACCATTTACGGAGATTCAAACGATCAAGTGTGAAGCGACGGGTATCGCAATTTATCTGCGAAATATGAGCCAGGAACCGTTCCTGGTGATTGCCGATAAAAAAGCGCGCGAATGGTTCTTTAAAAAAATTGAAGAAGCCGTCATCAAGTATAACGCCGCGCGATGCCTCGAATAAATCTTGTATTGTATAGATTGACCGACAGTAAATAAATACGCCTTTCAAAATATATTTGTATATCTTATATATGAAATCACTTACTACTGTAACAAACTGTGCACCCGTTTCTGGATAAGATGCCACCTGCTACTGGAGGTCATCCTCTTATGTTGAGGGGGTTACATCAGCCAAAATCCGATGCATACCTGGGCATAACCTGGGCGAGAATTTTGACGGCACTTTGGTATACTGATGATGTGCCGTTTGTCCTATGTTTAGTCTCGCTTCCACACATTGAGGAGTGGTCATGAAAAAGGATCCAGAACGGATACAGTGAAGATGAGAATTAGTTTTGGGTTTGAAGCAGCTTGTGCTTTCTTTGGCATAAAGGTAGGAGGGATGTTTCGCGCTGTTGGAGCGATGCATAGCAGTGGTTATCAATCTGTTCGTGGAGAATCGATTGCAACATCATGGATAAAGGGTGCTCCACAGGTTACCTTTTTTTTTTATAGCGGACGTTTCAATAAATGCGGGATTCAGACATTGTTCGCGCGTTCTCAGAAAGTCGGTTATTTGCGAATCACTTATTGAATACCAAATTCATGATCCGTTATCTGCTGCATACAAGTTATCAAATCGATTTAAGAATAATTGGTTGAAGTAAAGGTCTACGCGTGTCTTTCAAAAAGCTTTGCCCAGCCGAGGCTTTGGCATTACTGAGCGGTCTCACGCATACTTTCATGGATTACAAGATACTTTGTAGAAGTTACTTATCTGACGGTGACTTGAATAGTACGCAGAAAAGATATATTTATTTGATGGTATGGAATGTACAAATAAGGAGATGATAGAAAATGCGGACTATGACTAATTATTATGATGCGACCACCGGGTGAAACAGATTTGAATCAAGCGTCGGTGTGGAGACCAGGAAAACCAAAGCAGCAATCAGGTGACGATGATGGTTGATAACAAGCGATGACAGAACAAAATGGGAAAAAAAGAAGAAAATACTTACCAATCGATATTCGTATCTGCCCTTCTCATTGAGCTACAATGTGGTGATCTATTCTTTGCTTTATTTTTCGTGCCTATTATTTTTAATTTCAAGTTCTCTTTTTTCGCCTTCCTTTGTCTTTTTAATGCACTCTTCAGCAATCCAGAGGATAGATTACATAAGTGGCGATCTTTCTTTTTTAAATATCACATGAAGCCTTTATACGGTGGTCAATCATATAATCATTCGTCGCTAACGGCCTTTACCATTATTTCTTAGCTCAAAATAGAAATATACATAACTTACTTTTTTTATGCCTTCATGCCCTACATATAATATAGCAACAACGGTTGTTATCGAATTTACTAAGCAAGAAAATATGTAATGTAGTAAGGATATACTGTGATTTGAATGGAATACAGTAAATACATTTCTGTATCAATGAGATTCCTTCCTATTGACTCCTGTCACAAAGTCCTATCCCAAGAATCTAATGAAACACTCCAAGCTGAGGGAAGTCATAATATGACAACTCAAGATTAAGCTGTGACGGGACGGAACAAGAGAGATTGAGCGGCGCAAAGGATCCAAACGGAACTGGATTGATCGATACCATTTGGGTAAGAAACAGGAACGGAAGTATGGACGGACGCACATAAGCAAAACCACCATAGTCATGGCTGTTAATTCTCCACCCCGATTCTTTATATCGATACCCCTTTTTTCTCACCGAACTACAGACGCTGATGTTCATTATATTCACATTCTTATGTTCATCATTTCATCTTATGAAATCACCAGTTGATATTCGTTACCTCACGTTCCGATGCTAACTTATTCATCTACTGTAGTGATAATATTCACTTCACTCAATGACTTCTAGCTTCATTGATTTTAGTATAGTTGCCTTGTTTTTTTATTCGAATAAATCAGGAAATAACATACCAGCGTAATTCTTTGATCTTTTCGACGCTCAGATTATTGCAATTCTGCTTTTTCTTCTATCTTATATCGTTTTTCGATCCAGACATCATGTGTCTTTGACTCTTTGCATTTTCCCTTTGTTTCTTTTCCAGTTTCCAACGGTATACCCCGGGCACACAAAAAAATTTCGAATTAAAAAACGCAAATCTCGACCACTTTATCTCAAGCCAATTATACTTATAACAACGGGACAAGCAAGGCGTTATTTGGTTTTCACAGGAAACGGATGTGAAAAAACAAGGAAAAAATAACCATTGAATATGCATCCATCAACACCTGCTGATGGTAATCCTAAATAATGTAAACATGAGTAGGTCCACTGTCATTCCTCTTTCGTATTTGATCCTGCAGATAAGTATCATCGTCGAATGTATGTCTTATAGGAATTAATCCGGACAACGGAAAACCATATATAAGCAGCCATACTTGCCGATTTGGATAAAGCTGGATCATATTACGCGTCATTTCAGAATTTCCACTGTCGATTTTTGTCCTGTGTAAATACACACTGCAGGAACGGTTTACAGTACATAATCACCAGCTGGATTTCTGCGATACTTTAAAAATTATTTAGCAAGCAGCGATCGGTGGTAGTCCGGCTTTCGACAAGGGTTGCGCTTCGTATATCGACGACAGGTGATCACGCTGAAGAATATCTACAACGCCTCAGCAGAAAAATGGTACAGAGTATACTTCAGCTCATTTGCAAACTTACTCCAAGGTGCATTCATTTTTCTTTGGCTTCAAAGTCAATTTGATTGTCGGCAGCTTCCAATGTTTGATGCTTGGTGAAGGGCGGAAAGAATGGTGATGAGGCAGTGTGGCGACAGGGAAAAAAAATTTATAGTTGTAGAGTCGGAGTTTCAATCAAGGGAAGCCAACTGTGGGAAGAGAGAAAACCGGCCAGTTCTGGGCGACAGAAAGGCAACAGCAGGATGCTTCCTAAAGCAGCTGTTTGCGTAACAGGGTGCCATTGTTTGTGTGGGGTTTAAAACTATAAATGGGGTGTTCATGTAACGTTACACGAACCCCCTATTTTGGGGAAAATTTTGAATTTTGAAGCCATTTGGAGGGCTGAGAAAGGCAGTTTGGGCAGTAAAAGGCAAGCATTTAGGTTAATCTCTTTCTTGTTTTTTCTCTTTTTTCTTCCTTTAGCTTTCTCTTTTTGGGACCGGTTCGGCAAATTGCCTTTTATTGAAAATGATAATGTGCCAACTGAAAATGGCAACAGCTGTTGCCACTTTGAGAAAGTGACGCACAGTTAAAGTTGAGACACGCTACCCAAGCACAACAGCAAGGTTTGCAGTCCAGTGACATATTCCCATAGCAAGCAAGGTCTCGAGGGCTTTTTTTAGACCGACTTAGATGGCTTGTGTCGAATGACCTTCTTATTTGCGGCGGCACTTGTTCTATCAGCAAGGAAAGAAAACAAATGAAAACATGCTCTTTTTTTTTCTACGGATTTTTTTCTTTTTTTTTTTGAGGCGGGCCAAGCGAATCCTCATGTTACGCTGAATCATCTGTATGGAATAATCTATTCTGCTTTATTATTGGGAGTTGTTGCGCTTAACATTTTGGATTTGCTCATTCATGTTAAGATTTGGGTACAGGGGAAAATTGTCATTAAAAAATGTTGCTTTATTCACGTCCAAACTTGAAGTATGATCCTTTTTCGACTTATTGTATCGCACTTACCTTGTTATTATCAAAGCACTCTCGACACTTACATACGTTGTCTGCAAAGCTGTGAGAATAAGAGCCGTAGACACTCTGCGTTGCATTTTGTTCAAGGCGGTCAGTCGGTAGCGATCAATAATGACGTAGGTGACATTGAGCGAAATCTGATGGCAGTCAATGTCGTAATCCCAGAACCCAAAGATGCTTAGATCCCAAAAGCCATTGCTTTCTATTGAGTTGCACAATCCAATAATTGGGTTAGGCAATACAGTGATTATTTTACCAGTCCCTGAAAATGCATATAAAAAAAAGTAGATGCAGTGAATACCGGCGTGAAGCGGTTTTCAAGAAGGAAGACTTTTGTAAGTGGGCCTAATTTTTTCCGCATGGATTCAGGGCTGACCTGAGCGCTCTTTTTATTTCTGCGCTTCTGAGATCGGGATGTCACTAATTTCCAGGTGATACAATCGGTTGCAGGTCTCTATCACAACCCCAAAATACAGACTGCTTATGCTTATCCGAAAAACTTTTAGTTACTCTATGGAAACTGCCAAACAGTGTGGACAATAATACAGGCACTTGTGCTGTCCAACATTAAAAAAAGGGTCGGTGATTTCTCTCGTGCTGCGAAACCATCCGTCAAAACAAATTGATCCGGATTTGCTATGAAACATCCAATTCCTATGACAACGCACAGAGAAAATTCATCCATCGGTGTTACCCGGCACCGGTCCACAGAAACAGCGAATGAGCACAACTGGTAAAACAAAAGAGAAGCACCATAAACTGAAAAATCGAATCATGTCATGTATGCAGCCTAATCCGGAGTAGCGCCACCAGGAAAACTCTCTTGTTATCGGAGCCAACTTTATTTTACGCATGTACCCATTTACTCCATTTTCTGGCTTCTTTCAATCTTGACACTTTACTTTTTTTAAACCGTCGTTTCCCTTGCCCAAAATAATGATGGATTTCCCCACTTCCGCGTCTATTTTCATCGAGATGGGAGCTCGTTAGAAAGATTGATCTTGCAAGACGTGCCTTTTTTGGTAGCCTAGTGCCAAGACCAAAAAACTACAGTTGCCAAATTTGGGAGATTCGTTGTCAAAAAGAGGCACGAATATTGTCGACATGATGTCAATAAAGGATTCGGATCCAATGGAATGAACAGAAGCAAACTTCATATGCAATTTTTTTTTCAAACGACGACGGAAAATGATGAATGATAAAACGAACAAGCGCGTCGTTTTTTCTTCTTTGTTCTTCGCCCTCTTCTTTTTACTCTTTTCACCACTTTTGATCTCTCATAACTTAATTAATATCATACGATACTAATATGATGCCTCGCCCTTTCTTTTTTCTTTTAGCTCCCACTCGAAGGATGATGGATTACAAGCAATGATAGCGTTTTTATTGCTACATCGGTTGCAGAGCATCCTTTTACTGACTTGATCTTCATTTTACACTGTATCAGCTAATTCTCTTTTGCAGTGTCGTTGTTACAGCAACGTCAGGCTGTCCGATGTGAGGTAAGTGAAGTAAGGTAGGTGAAATGTGTGGGTTAAAAGAAGAAGAAAAAAAAAAGACACGAAAACTGCAGTATAAAAAAGTAGGCCGCCAGGAAAAAAAGTTGGCCGTCAAAGGAAAAGGAAAATGGAAAAATGAGAAATGGGGAAAATGAAGGTGAGGTGAGGTGAGGGCAAGAGGGAGGTGTGGGTGGGCGTGGGTGGCTGACCTTTTTGTAGAAAGACAAATTCGAGCCGGTTGCTGTAAAGGGTGAGTTGTCTATTTTTTTTCGCTTGTAATTTTGCTTGTCATCCATCATCCTCCGCCCGCTGTCTGTCTCTTGTCTTTGCCATGGTTCCTTCTCTCTGGTTGCCTGGAAAATTCCCACTGGTTCAAGTCTCTTTCTGCTTGGTGCTCTAGTATTTAGCTTATTGTAGTTGTAGTCTTTCTATATTTAGTTTGTCTCTTGTATATGTAAATTAATCACTTGCACTGTTGTGTGAACAGATCTGAAATACATGTGTGAAAGTGTGGTCGTTGTTTTTAGTTTTTACGTTGTTCCTATTTTCTATTATATTTTGCAAAGCTATAATTGAAGGGCCTGATTTATTTGAACTATAAAAGATCAGCAATTATTGAACACCGCAGGGACCCTACACATATGAACTTCATATCAGATCAAATCATGAAAATAAAAGTAAAAAGGTCGAAGCTTTCAAATCATCCGGGCGGCATTCGTGAAAAACCGGTGTCGAGTTTGTGTTTCTTTCATGCAGGATATCTGTGGCGGGTAGTTACAGTTTTCATTTACAGGATTATTACTTTAAGAACAGAACACTTGTGTATGCTTTGGATTTCTGAACTTGTGGGCTTTCATTATGGACATCCTCATTTTCTGTCCACTTGTGCCTAAATCGAGTGGTGGTCGGCATTTGGACTGCTTGAGATGTAAACAAAATTGAAAAGTTTTTTTGCAGGACACATATTAGGTGGCTTTGCGTTTATCTGGCTAGATTGACATAACTTTTTATCTTACACCCGGAAAAGGGGACAGGATGATGAACTTTTTTAAGGACGACCATGGCCGTCCCTGATCCACACAATATGCGTGGTGGTTTTTTAAATATCAGATTGTTATCGCGAGCTCATTTGGTGATACGATTGATTATGTTTCGTTTCACGTGCCTTGTATTTTAGACGGAAATTTTTATCTGAACACCATCAAGCCTCTGTATCATTGTCTATACTGTTTGAGAGTTGTCATATAGTGACTAAAAGCTTGCCAAATAAGAGCAAGCAATCTGCATTTTCGGGGTTGGGATAGAGACCTGCAACCGATCGTATCACCACCTGGAAATTAAAATGATACCCGATTACAGCAGCGCAGAAAAAAAGAGCGCTCAGATCAGCCCTGAATTCATGCGGAAAAGTAGGCACATTCAAAAAGACTTGCTTTCTGACAACCACTTCTCGCGGGTTCCCACAACATCTATTTCCTTTAGCGGTATTTACGTCGATTGGTAAAATTCTCACTGTATTGCCTAAAACAAGATTATTGGATTCTGCAAGTCAAGTGAGAGCGATGGCTTATTGGGATTTGGGCTCACGATATTGTTTGCAATCAAGATTTCGCTCATTGTCACCTGTAATGGCGCGTCCATAATAAACGATATATACTGTACATCACCGTCTCCTTTCTCTATTAAATGCATTTCCTCTACGAATCAGTCACAGTTACGGATCACTAAGTCTGTGGTTTCCAGTCACCCAGCTGAGAAGTATAGTATGGACTATACGGTAATGGGTATCACAACTTCCCGTAGTAGTCGCTTTAGTTTTTTTCCTTTAGGATGACTCACCAAAATCGTCATCTGCACAAGCTTAATTGATACGCATCCCACCAAAATTTAATCTAGGCAATGACATTTGGGGATTCACCAAACTTGACAGTTTACGCTCCTTGCACCAGCAGTTTGTTCACCCCGATTATATTGAATTCGAGACTTTCCGCATCTTTTTTCATCGAGGTGGGAGGGAGTTAGAAGATATCGTTTTTATTATTCGTGGCCTTTTTGGGATACACCCAAGGAGCGAGGTTTTTAATGAAAACGAATGGTTAAACCAATTTGGGAAGATTCCTGGAAATCGACGACCAAAAACTGTACACGCCATCAAACAGGCACGCCCAACTTTGAATCGGTCAAAGTTGTCCAGGGAATGCACTTGAAACTGTTGTACTATTGGTTGACATCCATTTTGTTTCCGTTGCTTTGACGATAACCTGTTTACTATAAGCAACATTTGAAGGAAATAATGCGATCAGAAACGCGCGATTTTTTCGATGAGCTGAATATGTTATATATGAGAAATTTGTAGAATAAAAGAGACAATAAGAATCCTTTGAGACTGCTGAATGTCTTTATTTCAATTGATCTGATCTGCTCATTTATACTTTTAGTCTTGTATCGGAATTGATAACTATCTGTGAGCAGTCCACCCTTATAAGGTTTATTTACAAGGATCCATGTGCCGTGATGTGACAGCGTTACTCTTATGCCCTGATCCATCAGTGATGAGAAGTTATGGACGGAGAAGCTCAATCGGTAATAGGAGTTATGGATGAAGAGATTGAATGGTGTTCTAATGGAGAAGCTCACTCAGAATGGGAACACGTCAAGATCCCGATCCATCCTGTTTTGGAACACATGTTTAAGGTCGCTAATACGACAAGTAGTGGACATACCACAAGCATCATACATAACCCTGACTTTGATTTCCGAGCTCGAGTCGTTATAACGCATGGCAATATAAATAAATGATTGGGCCTATAAAATCTCTGTCTCTCTTTTTCTCTCTCTCTTTTCAATGTACTTTCCCTTTGTATTACTGTATCAATAGATATTATAAGTGAGTCGAGAAATCATAATGACTAGGACCATATAAGTTATTCACTCGGTACTAAACAGTAATTTTGGAATATCTGTATGTCTCAGGGTTTTTGCCTGGCGGGTTCACTCGATCCCACATTTATCTCTTACCATGAGACTCATGTTTTCAAAATATTCCTTTCTTCTATTATTTTAAGCGGAGTCGCAGCAGAATTCATGCGCTTTGCAGGGCCATCAGCTCGAGCTTTAGATTGGTTAGCCGTTTGATATCAAATATCTGTAACGGTAGAACCCGCAATAACCCACGCACGTGTTCATTGGATTGAATTTGGAGACCACATCAATAGCCGCTGCTAGGCGTCTCGCACACGTATTCTTTGAAACGACGGGCTGAACCTTCCACAGCGCACGTGTCTAATAATTAAAGAATTGTAACTAAGTAAATTGCGCTTGCTCACAGCTCATTAAACATGCATTTAGCTTATCAAATCTGTGGATCCACAATCAGTCGAACTCATTCTACTGAATTCACGGTTTGTTTGACGCACTCATTGGATCCGCATTTCTTTATGCACCCTGTCTAACGAATATTTTGTATTTTCTTCGTATCACATTGAAAGGATAAGCTTATTCTTATATCAAATATTGCATATTTCAAGTGCTTTAAAATAAAAGTAGAGGAGAATCAGCTAGGCGTGGCAATGTGTGGTTACATACAGTAGCAACATATATTTGTATTGTCTAGCGTTTACAGTATGTCAATCGCCAAAGACCTCAATAAGTCATAAAAAGATTCAAACAATTTGAACACGCGCATGTGGGGTAGCTAAATTGAGGCATATTGGTAACTCATTGCATAGCAGATAAAGAATGTAGCGAGAGGAGCATATGGACAAGTTGGTCACTAAGCTAAAACTCCAATTTATTGAACCCGACATCGCCAACGAAGGGATGGCGGCACCTATATAATACAGGTATTAAATTCTAGCTATTATTTATACAGAAGAACATGTTGTTACGAACTCCTGGAGATTTCAACAGAATGTGTTATGAAAGATGGGATTCAGGTGTGCCGAAGACTTTGGATCCGTGCGGGCTTTTAAAATCACCGACTAACGACGAGCGAAATTGGTGGATGCGACATTGATAGTTGGAAAATTGGGTTCCAAAAAGTCTCAAAGATTTGGGTCTGACGTGCGAAATGAGAGTATTGTAAGGTTATCCCTTTTTTTATTTTTCGATGGATTTCATCTATACGAATCAGTCGACAACTTCGGACCAGGCCTCCATGTACAACAACAATGCGTATCATGAGCAGTATCCTGCCGGAGCCGATATGATGAACGTTACTTACTCTTACCAGCAAGCTCCCGCGCCTTCATCCGTACCGTCCGAAACCAACTTTGTCCGATCCACCGAAGGTTTTCCTCGGAGTGTGCTGGACAGAGCCACAGCTGCGAAATTGAGACTAGAACACAACTATAAAGCAGCGCTTCAACAAGCCATTGAACGTAATCAAAGGTAAAACCCGTTGGGTTGTGTAGCCCGTCTCATCTTGTTGCTGCACCCGCTTTATCGTCGCACAGAAGAAGATGCGTTTTTACGGAGAAGCTCGTTAATTCAACTCAAACCTCCTACCATTAGACGCACCGAACTCGAGCAAAAGTTAGCCAAAGAGCCAGGCAGCAGCGAAAAAAAGAATCGTCAGTTACAATCCTTAGGACGGAAAGAATCGCAATACCTTCGTTTGCGTCGAACTCGAATGGGATTAGATGATTTTATTACGGTCAAAGTGATTGGCAAAGGTGCTTTCGGCGAGGTACGTTGGAATCTGCACGAGCAAATTCAGTATTTTTGGGCTTTTGAGACTCAACTGTGTTTAACTAGGTACGACTCGTTCAAGCCGCCGATACTGGCAAGATCTACGCCATGAAGACATTGAAAAAGTCTGAAATGTTAAAAAAGGATCAGGTACCTTTTGCATGCGTCAGTCAACGGGAATGTCCATGTTGAGATTACTTACATTTTGTTTTTGCTTGTTTTAGCTTGCTCACGTCAAAGCGGAACGAGATGTGCTTGCGGAATCCGATTCTCCTTGGGTGGTGCAACTTTACTTTTCGTTTCAAGACACACAATACCTCTACCTGATTATGGAGTTTTTACCCGGAGGCGATCTGATGACAATGTTGATCAAATATGATACCTTTAGCGAGCCAGTGACTCGATTCTACATTGCAGAGTGCGTACTTGCGCTAGAAACGATTCATAAGTTGGGCTTTATTCACCGGTAAGGCATAATTACAGGCGATCGGATGGGGGATAGGGAGAGAAAGAGAGAGATCGCGGGATGGGTGGGGTGTAATTTGAGCTAATATTCATTCAATGGACAGCGATATCAAACCCGACAATATTCTCATTGATAAAGATGGACATGTCAAACTTTCCGATTTTGGTCTTTCAACGGGCTTCCACAAAACGCACGATTCACAGTACTATCAACGACTATTGGAAGGCGCTCAGCACGCGAGTGGCACGGAAAGCATCAATCTGAACATCCTTAGCACCAAGGAAAAGATCGCTACGTGGAAAAAGAATCGACGAGCATTGGCTTATTCCACGGTAGGAACACCGGACTACATTGCTCCCGAAATCTTTTTGCAGAGAGGATATGGTCAAGAATGCGATTGGTGGTCGTTGGGAGCCATCATGTTTGAATGTCTTTGCGGTTACCCACCCTTCTGTTCCGAGAATCCTCATGAAACGTATCGAAAAATTATGAACTGGCGTGAGACATTGATTTTCCCTGACGATCAACCCATCAGTCGCGAAGCCGAAGATCTGATTCGACGGTAAGGGATTTCTACTAATGATTGGCCGGTAAAATTTGTGATGCTGACGCAACTTACCACTGCCAACCTCCCCCCCCCCCCTTAGCCTCATCTGTAACCCTGAGCATCGTTTGGGTCGCAATGGAGCCGATGAAATTAAAGCCCATCCTTTCTTTTACGGAGTGAATTGGGAAAATATTCGAAATGAACCATCACCGCACGTTCCTCAGTTGCGCAGTATCACTGATACCAGCTATTTCCCGACCGATGAGCTGGAAGCTGTGCCTGATGCAGTGGACAGTAATATGCATGGTATGAACAGCTTCTTTTATTGTATAACTGTGCAACACATTGATTCTCATCCATATCGATAGGTTATCAAACGGACTCGCTTAACACGCAAAAGGATCTTGCCTTCGTCGGTTACACCTACAAGCGGTTCGATTACCTGACGCGCAAGAATATTTTGTAGACAAATATGCAGCCATTTGCATTTTCTTCTTGGTGCCATTTCATTGTTCCATCTCCTTTTTTATCATTATCACTTTTTTTTTTGTGCTTTCGTCCGTTTGTTTGCCGTGTATCTTCATCACAGTTATTGCAATCATTTACAGCTCGTTGTTTTTCCATTGTTCCAGTTTTCGATCTTTGTTCTCTTTTTTCTTTTCTGTCGACTAATACCAGTAAACATTTTTATCCAGTTGATGCCTCGTAAATCCTCGCGTGTTTTTGATATCCGGACCTTTTGGAGCGACACATGATGTATTTTTCCTTACAAAAAATGTCTGAGATTTTCCAAAGTCACAATGGGTTCGTTTTTTTCTCCCGCGTATCGAAATCATGCAAATTCTTGAGATTTGGTTTGCTTTACTTCACCGCGGGTCATGAAACTCAAATGCAAGCTTGAATCGCATCATCGTATACCCCCGCCCGTTTTATCCATTCTTGTCGGACGCTTACCGCAAGTCTCAACCCCATTGCCGCACCGTTCACCCAATCCACTGTCTCCGAGACAAGACGATCAAGGCAAGTGGATTGCTGCAGCCAACTATGGAAATGCAGTTAACTGACTCTTTGCTATTTCTACAGATGACAGTTGGAATAATGATTGGGATTGGGAGGATGACGACGAGGACGAGGACGACAAGGTGCTAGAAAACTGTCTATATTAGCTTGACTGTTATCACTAATGGCTGCTTTTTTTCTTTTGTTCTAGTCAAGCGACGACACTTCCGTCGAACTACCGCCGGTGAATGAAGCTTATCTAGCTTCGGCATCGCCAGTGGGTCGCTATATTCTTCTCGCCCATCAGACAAAGTTTGTCATGTTAGCACTTCATGAAGAAGAGGACGAGTATTATGCTGTTGGACAAGGATCCGGATGTGAAGTAGCGGGGTAAACTGGCACGCTTAACCAGTCTTCAAATGACCAGCATGCTAAATAACAATGGTACATAGGGAAACCATTACGGCTGTATTATGCTTACCATTATTTGTACCTTCGATACGAAGAAAGTTTGTATCACTTACATGGTCGATATGTTGTCGATTTTTGAGAATTAACCAAGGGTTTATTCCATTAGTCAGATGTGTGCTATGATTGGATATTCCACCGGCTGGCTCCGAGTGTTTTCAGAGGTCCGTATGGTTTGCTTGGGATATAAAAATGGATCAGATCATTGAAACTACTACATGTGTAGAAAGGAACAATGCTGACAGCTCAACTTCTGGAGCCGGCGGCGATCTTGTCGATTAAAATGCGAACACCAACTCCTGTTTTTAAAGTATCACCGCAAATGATGTTGAACGAAGACGAAGAGATTACTCTTTTGTTCGCGAACAAAAAAGTGGTTAGTATCAATGGTCAAACGCTGTGGATGGTGCTTCGAGTATGCGATGGTCAACGGGAAAGCGGCATAGGTAAGTTGGATGGGTACACAAGTTCGTGGGGACTTTCTTTGGTGACTCAACCGGTTCCCTAGATGCTTCACGATCGCAAGTATCATTTAGTTATCAGAAATGGGAATTTCAAGGCCAAGAGAATATAACAGACGTAATTAGTTTGGGTAAACGAGAAATGAGTCATCAGCGCAAAAGACCTTTATTTGTGACGCGTTCTTTTATGGCAGGCGCTAGTCCTTCCGATGAACCTGGCCCTTTGAGCGCGGCGTCTTCTACTTCAACGTACGTATTTCAGCCTGGAGCTACGTCACGATACGTTGGTGTTGGGTCCAATCCCATGTTTTCCTATTACGAGACTAGCGAAGTGAATCGTCCATTGACTTCGGCTGTATCGATGGCAAGTTACGTGGTGTCTCGCGTAGCTACACCGGTTCTGTCCCTGGCCAAGTCATGGTGGACAGGCACTGCCATTGGAAATCAGGCTTCTTCTCGATCCAGCAAACCTTCACCCTATGTTCCCAACATGCCCATGCCTCCCAGCCAAATCGAACCTGCTACCCCGATTCGCGCGACTTTATCACTCAGTGACGCCTTTCGCACCATCCGATATGTCTCTGTATGTCCCCCTTCCAGCAGTGATCGTCATCACAAACTCGCGGCGACCAGCGATGCTCTCGGCCGTGTGATTCTGTGGAGTCTGGATGACGGTGAAATGATCCGCATGTGGAAAGGAATACGGGACGCAGTATGCGGATGGGTGGAAGTATTTGAAGATGATCTATATTCTCCAAACGAAGAAAACAATACAGGTCAGGGAAGCCGCAGCAAGCTACTTCGGTACGAGCGAGAACGGGCTAAAATTTTGCTGTTTCTGGTCATCTTTTCTCCTCGAAGAGGTCTTTTGAAAGTGATCCAAATGCGGCATGGGCATCAAATTGGTGTATTTCACATTGGCTCTGGATGGAATCTCGTTAGTTGCGGACGCGAACCACTCGGTAGTAGTATGGTCAGTATCGAGCGACGACGAATGGCGATGAAAAATGGCGAAGACGAATGTGGGGCCTTGTCCAAATGTTTCCTCATCGGTCCCAAAGGAGAAGTGTGCAATATCAACATCTACTTGAATCACTAGAAAAACTCGATTTTTTTTTCCCTTTTATTTCCGTGTATACCGCTTGTAAAACCATATGAATAATAGATCTAGTCTCTCTAACTGTATTGAAAAAGGTCATGGAATGAGTAGAGCCAATGCACAGGAAGGATGGTAACCGCTGCAAATCCACCCTTACATTACAAGTACTGAATTCGAGAGAATTGCACTAAATGCAGATACCATAAGAGGAAGGGAGAATATCACGAATGAACTAATACTCTCACCAACTTCATGTCCTACGAACACTGGATGTACATAAATTGTGTCAGCCCCCCCCTTTTTTTTTTTGGAAAACAGCAGCAGCAAGCCAAATAAAAAAATAAAAAAAAGAGAGAGGATAGGCCACCATGTATCCGAGAGATTACCAACATGATACTCCAACATTATAGTCTAGTTGGATAAGTTTTTTTTTTTATCATTAAAGGCAGGGTAACTTGGAATAAACTGTACAAAGACTAATTGAAAAAATATGCAGATGGTTGCAATGAATACCTTTTTTGTTTTTGTGAAAGAGGCTAGGTTGTCCGTGTTATCGAACATGAAGAATGCCTGAAAATCACGCTAAACTTCTTCTTGACAACAACGATTCGTTGATAACGGCGGGTATTTGCTGTAGATTTGTCCGACATCGTATAATTCGTACCAATTCACATTACCGGACCGTCCGTCGTGGGAGTCGGACCAAAATTCGACGCAATTGGTCCAACATCCTTGATCAAAAGCATTTCCTCCAAGCTGACCGGCGTTACGTCGTCGGGTGCGTTGTTTGTGAAGACTTCGGGCTCCAGCGAATAATTGCATACAAGGACAGAACCCGCCAGCGTGGCCATGGCCGTGAGCGTGTCGATGACCATGGCTGTGTACTGCAGGCCCACCGTTCGGATTCAGATCAGGTCCATCCACGCCGGCTACTCCACCGGCGGCTCCCGCTGCCAAGTTGGCTACCATGCTTGGACCATCAGCAGGTTGGCCGTTCATGTACCCATATCGATGAGCGTTGGCACTTTCATTCGTGGTGGTAGCAACTGCAATCTGATAACATTGAACAACAAGCAAAACGAGGGACCATGATAACTGGAAAGACGTCCAGATGGTGAGCGCCAATGTCCACGTATCAAACGCAAAGTAACTGCAAAGTGTGGATCCGAGGAAACACCCATCTTCCGATTGCACTTCCGTGATAGGAGCTGTGTTTGATAAATCTTCGCGGGCAATCCATGTCTCAGTCAGCTGGGCTATTCCTTATGCTATTGCCCCACCCTTCAACCAGTACTTACATTCCATTACCAGAAACACAAAAGTAATAATAGCGACCACCATATTGAGAAGGAAGACCATGAATAAACGGTGATTACGAAAACCAATACAGTTGAAAATCCATGGACAATGACTAGAATGAAAGGTTAAGAAATCCTTGGAGCAAAAAAAAAAAAAAAAATGTGGTTGACCGGGGGACGCGAAATACTTACTGGTCAAAGCGAGCTACACATCGGTTGCATATCTTGCAGTGCTTGGAACGCAATGGCTTCTTGATCTGATATCACACAATCGCGAATTGTCAGTTGGGCTCAATTCATGCAGTTGAAGAAAGAATTCAATTTTACCAGGCAAGTTACACAGAAGTGGCGAATATCGAGGGTATTGGCTTCGGCTAATTCAAAGACCGACTGCTGTTGCTGGTCTCGTGGCAAGTCCTTCTTCACAAATCCAGGATCCATCATCACGGCTCGATAGAAAGCGTACATGGCGACAAAGAAGGAAATCATGAATAAAATGTTGAGAAGCGGCATGGTTGCTGCAGAGCCGTGGCTGTTAAAAAAGCGCAATAGGGTGGGTCATTTAAAGGTACATACCAGGTAAAACGACAAACGCCCAAGTCAAAAGGACCCAAAAAGCGGACGATTGAAATATGGCAGAGAAGTAAGGAGTTTTCCATAAAGCATCGTTGCTCGGCACAGGTATAAGGTATTTGACAATCATGATATGGATGGCCATGAATTCAAACACAGCCAATGGCAGACCAGCGTACCATGGAAACAGCGACAACGTCTTTAAGGCCATGAATAGCATGACAAAAGGAGCAAAATAGATAATGGTATTTAGTTTGCGCTGAGAGAAAGGAGTTAGAATTTCAATGAACTACGCTGTGAGCGATCGATAAATTGAAGCGTACCTTGGAGAGGTGATGCCCCTTGGATCCAGGGTATTGTCCGATCCGCGAGGCTAGTTGTGGTTTATCTTCGGCCATGACATCGAATTCCAGGACGGCCCGATCCCATACGCGTTCGAGTTTCTTTTCATGGACAAAATCCATGACGGACTTGCCCGACTGATCGCGGGCATGAGGATCCGCGCCGTGCTCGAGTAGTTTTCGAACGCACATTTTATTCCCTTTGACGACGGCCCAATGCAGAGGTGTGAGTTGGGAATGATCCGTGACTTGCACGCTGGCGCCAAAACGCAGTAATAAATCGCAAGTAATGGCGTGTCCTTGGTAAGCAGCCCACATGAGTGGGGTATGGCCACCGACATCATCGGCAGCGTCGATTTCCATGCCGAGATACAGAAGATACAGCACCAACAAAGCTTGAGACGAATGCACTGCCAAATGAAGTACATTGAATCCTTGCGCATCTTTCAATGTCGGATTAGCGCCTTCTTTAATCAGTCGATGAACGGAAGCTAGTCGGCCCTGTCTAAAAAAGGAACGGAAAATAGCATCAGCGAGACGCCTCGGGAAAAGAGATGAGCTATTTTCAACCGACACCATTTGCCTTACCTTGCGGCCCAGTGAAGCGGGGTTGCTTTCAGGTCTCCTCCGGGCGCATCCACTGTGGCGCCTCGATCAATGAGATATTTTACACAGACATCGTTATGGGCCAACGTAGCGTAGTGCAAAGGGGTGATCCCGCCCGCATCGACATCGTTGACAGAGGCTAATTTGTTATCAAGCAAGTAACGGATGGTCTGAAACGATCCTCGTTGAGCCGCCTCAAAGATGGTGGTAGCTGAATGATAAAGTGAGCAGCATTATTCCAAAGGGTGGTTAAGCACCTTACCGTCTTCGGCTCGAAGTTCCGCGGTCGCTTGATCGGTGGATACGGCGGATACGGCAGTTACGGGAGGTGCAGCGAACTGGGTCGTGGAGGCATCTTCGTGAGCTTCTTCAGAGGCCAGCAATGGCTGTTTATCCTCGGAGGTGTTTTGCTCAGTGATGGGCATATAAAAGGGAGGTTAAGCAAGAAAAGCTCGCTTGGCGTGGGCGGGATAGACACAGAAGTCGTTGCACTCGGACCCAACGACATCTCCGAGAGAAAAAGCGGGTCAATTTCGAGTCCAAAAAGTCAGTCACATGAAAATTGTCATTAGCCTTCTTGCTTCAACAAAACGCACAGCCTCGCATGTCTCTCCAAACAATTGTCATCCCTGTTACACACATGTATTAGCCTTCTCAAGCTAATCACCCATCGTTTATTAGCATGAACTGCTCTCTTTTGATCTGAATGTACGATACGCCAAGATATTTAAAAATAAAGACGATCGAAGCTCAGCTTTGCGGGATTAAATTCAGGTGAGGGGGAAAGATGCAAATCACACAAGTCACGCACTACGGTTGGGCGTGGGTAGGTTAATAAGGAATCGGATGAACAAGAATGCACAAATATTCACTGCGTTTTTGGGAATTGTCGCAGAATCAAAAACGTGCTCATCGACAGTTACACGATATATGCCCAATTTTCCTGCTGAGCACCTGTTGCTAAAGATTTTATGGTCCGGACCCTATTTGAGTCTCCGAAGCTTGGCGCAGCCATGTTCACTGAGGTCGCTGCAAGGTGGATTTTTCATTCCAAGAGAACAAGTGCGCAAGAGACATTGCAGCAAGCAATGCTTACATCCAACTATCACGGTCCTTTTTCTCTACCGAATTCATCCAAAAACCACTATATAATTGCCCTTGCAATGCCCTCAAGGGAGTTCAAGTAAGCAACACTCATGGACCTGGTTGTTTGTGTTGTTTGTTTATATTACAGTCTATTTTGTCGGAACATATACAAGAGGAATTAAAAGACAACATTAAATACAAGGACCCGAAAAAAAAAGTGAGGGAATAATAATACAAAGTGGGAGCCGATCAGCATTGTCGCCCATCACAGATGGTTGTCGATGAAAAGCTGTTCCACAAGGTCTTTAGGAGACACGCGTTCGGAAGTACTGGTTTGTCTACAAAATTGAGGCTACAACATCACACCATAATCAATACATCCCACTCAACTGGTAAACCGAGAAGCAATCTTTTATAAAAATAAAAATAAAAAAAAAACTTACAAGAGACATGACCGAACTTGATTTTCTCACCATGGACACGCCCGCGCGTAAATCATTCTCAAAGCTCGCTTCACCTAGAAAGGATATCGTCAGCATTTCATTCCCCGGATCCTGCCATTTGATGCTCCATTTTTCTTTTACCTAGTGATTGTTCTTCAATGGCTCGATTACGGTCTTTGCGCTCGGTGATCAGGGAGGGGATATCGGTAAACATGTGCTGCTTTTTCAATGGCGGTCTGTAAAATGGTTATCGTTAGCATTGGTGATGCAATTAATCAGTCATTCAATGCTTACGTTGAAAACTCGGCATCGATTCGAGATTTCTGGGTCAAATTTATCGATAACTATAGCAAGCTTGAGTACAATGCAACCATAGAAAAAGGGAAGCGCAATAAAGACAAAAAGAAAGAAACAAATACCTTGATGGTGGAATTGAATTTACAGTGATCGAGTAGATACCTTCGTGTGGTCAATCCGGAACGAGAATACTCAGATAGATTGATGGTCAAGTCGCCAATGGCAACAATGGCCTTGCTACCACCCAACTGCTGAAACACTTCCAGTTTGAGTTCGCAAGGGTTCAGTGCTTGGTGCTTGTTGATGATCAGTTGCACCATGGTATTTGCAGGCTGATTCCACACGATACAGTGATCCTTGATAGATTCTCTACAGGAATAGGGTATAAGTCGAATAACGTTGATAATGGACGAAAACAGATGTCGCTACCTAGCTGTGTATCCGTTGGACGGTGAAGCATGCTTTATGCGCCATTTGACGAAATATAAACCACTGACCAGTGGCACATTGGCCAGATCCTGTATGAGAAAGCTAACGTCAAAGTCCACCTTCCGATGACTCGAAATGAATAGGCGGGAAAATGACATAATATGCAGGAAATAAGAGAACGCAGGAAAACGAGCGAAATCGAGAAAAAAGCCTAATTGCACTTTTTTTCTTTTTTTTTTTTTTTTCTATCGGATTTTGACCCGTTTTCAATGGCCCAAAAATTCGTATCATCTGACTCTGAAAAAATGAGAGGCCGGAGCATATCACTCTTGGTGGAGAAATCGCCAAACCTTCTTTGCTCCCCTTTTGCGCTCCATTCTCGTTTCTTGAAATTCCTTCTCGTCTCTCGTATTTTTTTGTCTTTTTCTTCTTTTTACTCTTTCATTCCTTCAGAAGACAAGCAAGATGACGTCGAATGATCCGACCGCATACACTGTTTTCACTTTACCTACTCACGTAGATGCCCCTTTGAGCCCCTTTTGGATCGTGCTTCGAGAGAATCCATACTTTTATCTTCAACAGACCAAACGACAAAAGAACGCCATCGTACGCAATGTGCTGGGCACACTGCAAAACGTGTAAGAACACGAAACCTTGTCATGTAATTGACCTGCTTTTGAACTCATGTCTTTGTCGCATGTAGTTTGGATACAAAGCAATCACCCTTTCGCATAATATATCGACGACCCAACGGTACTTGTCTGCAGATAGCAGCAGCGGAAAACGAAAAACAAGCAGAGATTACATGGCAGTGGATCCAAGGTATGACATAGCTTACGAATGCGTATCTCTGCGTTTTTTCCATTGATATTCACCTTTCGTTCGCACCCAGAGCATCTGGTGCCTGCTTTGGACATTTTAGAGAATTCGGAAAAAGAAGCGTTTGTGGTGACCAAGGTCAACTCTATTGTCACTCGTCGAGGTAAATTAAACATCCCGTGAACCACGTAAACCATGGCTACGGCCCCATAGCTACTATCTCATGGCTAAACGTTTCCATTAGATGCAGGAACCGACGAGATTTCGATGGATGAGAAAGTAAGAAACGCATCCAGGAGTTTCCGACAGACGTTTAATGTTCCGGTCACTGAACGTCTCGTCAATTGTAAGTCTGTGCGTTCTCCTAGATGGGTGGATGAACTCTCTCGATTTTTCTCCGTTACTGGGCTTCCCTATTGACTATGAATATTACAGATTATTCCGCGGCCTACCATACCAACCGTCTCACCAGCCAAGGCTGGTTATATATCAGCGAAAACTATGTCGCGTTTTATTCCTATTTATTGGGTTTTGAGACCAAAGTATTGATCGAATTAAAGGATATACAAGATATCAAAAAAGAGAAATCCAAGCGTGGTGTATTCGCTGACGCTATTCGTCTCATAATGAAGGATAAAACCGAGGTACTCCCCTGAAACAAGTCCAAGTATCGTGTTCAACTTGATTACTAACCCTTCTTCTTTTGTTTGTCTTCTATTTTGCGTAGCACTTCTTCTCCAATCTGTTCAAGCGGGATGAAGTGCATGAAATTCTTGTGCAACTGACCAGTTTAGCTATGCAGCGATTGTTGAAAAACACGGGACTGGAACAGTCACCGGGAAGCGACATGGCCATCAGTATTCAGGACAGCGAGATAGATGCGGCCAATGACAAGGAACTGTCGTCGACAAAAATGGCATCGTTGCCTGCTGCCGAAATCCGAAAACTGATTCAACCTCTTAAGACCAACTTGGCTGCACAGAAACGAGATGAGAAATTTAGAGCTCGATTTCGGTTACCTTCCAGTGAACATTTACTTCTCACCGCGGACTGCATTCATACCGTCATGATGTCCGACGGTCAAAGCGACCCAAAACCGGTGACTTACCATGGGCACCTCAGTCTCTCCGAAGCTTACTTGGCTTTCAACGCAACGACCAAAGGCCAGTTTTTCGAATCCGTCTTGCCTTTATATACCGTTCGTCGCGTCGAACGATTAACGGATGACGCCGCTTCTTTCTCTATCAAGATCGTCACTTGGCATCAAGCCGAACGCTTATTCCAGCTTCAGATGTAATTTAAATGGTCACCATGTCTTGGGTTTTGGGTTTTTTTTTTTCTAACTTGCCAGCCACTTTATTGATTGATGCAGATCTGAATCGCAGTATCAAGCCTTTTCGAACGCATTGACCTCCCATCTCAAGGGACAAATTATGCAAATGAAAATGCTGAAGCAGTTCCTCGGTACGTGCGCGTCCGAAGCGCTGTTGGCTGATAAATCAAAGGACGATTTGGACAAGCTACCGGGCGGTCTGGGACTTGAATTTGGTTTTCCAGGCGACAGTAAAAAACTGAAAGACAAGACAAAGACTCGGCTTTGGAAAGAATACTTTAAAGGTAACCGATCTTGTCTTTTTGGCATATTTATTGGGGCTGTCGCATTTATGATAACGGATATCTGCTTTGCAGTGCACGGTAGAAATTTGACGGTGTGCAAGACGCCACGATTTGGTAAACTGCTCCGTGTGGGATTGCCAAATCGATTGCGTGGTGAAATCTGGGAATCGTGTTCCGGAGCTATGTACCAACGGTTCATGAATCAAGGCCTTTATGCAAGAATTCTTGAAGAAAACAAAAATAAGAGTTCATTGAGCTTGGAAGAGATCGAAAAGGATCTCAACAGGTGGATACTGACGAGCTAACAACACTATCTATTCATACGGACGTTAACCTGGTTCTTGTAGATCATTGCCTGAATACTCTGCCTATCAGACCCCGCAAGGTATCGACAGTCTACGAAGAGTGCTCAGTGCGTATTCATGGAAAGATCCCGAACTTGGCTACTGTCAAGCGATGAACATTGTCACTTCAGCGATATTGATGTAAGTACCTCGGAGGCTTCTCCTTTGAGGGCGATAATTCTGATAAAATGGTATTGTTTTTAGCTATATGAGTGAAGAGCAGGCTTTTTTCACACTCGGCGTGCTTTGCGACGATATGCTACCTGGTTATTACAGCACCTCTATGTATGGGGCACTGCTTGATCAGATTATTTTTGAACACATGCTGGAGACGACGATGCCACTATTGCACACCCATTTTAAAAAGACCGATATTCAGCTTTCAGTGGCGTGTCTACCATGGTTCCTCAGCTTGTACATCAATTCAATGCCTCTCTTGTTCGCCTTCAGAATCCTCGATTGCTTCTTCATGGATGGGCCCAGAATATTGTTCCAGATTGGGTAAGTACGGCAACCCCCGATACGTAATTTCTCTTTTGCTAATGTAATTTTTCAGCTTAGGTACTGTTAAAGTTAATACCAATAGAAAGAAAATGCGTCCAGTGACTAATATTTTTCTTTTTCTTTTTCTTTCTCTTCTTTTTTTGTTGCAGCCATTCTAAAGATCAATGGCGATGCTTTGTTGCAAGCGACAGATGATGGTGCGTTTATGAATATCCTCAAGAATTACTTTAATTCATTGCATGAACCACTGTATCCCAATTCCGAGGACGCCAAAGCGAAAAATTTGACGGTAAGTCCAAGTTTATCTATCTCTCACCTCGCCATCGAGGCGTTCTCTGATGTCATTATGCGTTTAGAAATTCAATGAATTGTTACTTGTGGCCTACCGTGAATTTAGCAGTATCACGGATGACAGGGTCCGCGAACTGCGTCAAACCCATCAACTCAAAGTCGTGGCCGGTATCGAATCGTTCACTAAACGTTCAGCGATCCGTAACCTGGATAACACTGCCGGACTCAGCAAGGATGAATTGGGCATCATCTACGATAAATTTTACAATGTCCTTTACTACAAACAAGTCCGAAACGATCGTAACGATTCACGCATGGATGTGGTATCCTTTGAACGATTTATGGGCGGTCTTGCGGGATGGGCCAAATTCACATCGGAAGACCAAGATCCGGATAAGGAACGATTGACCAAAGTGGGCAAAACATTCCTGACTCGATTGTTCCAGCAATTTGATAAAAGCAATGCCGGTGATCTGAATTTCCAGGTACCGTTGTATTGGCTATAGACTAAGCCAAAGTTGATAATGATACATTCAACACTGACACATCTTGGATGTAGGATATTGTGGCTGGCATGGGATCGATTATCAAGGGAAATCACAACGATCAAATTAGTCTCTTCTTCAAGCTTCATGACGTCGATCAAGATGACCATCTTAGCCGAGATGAACTGTTGGAACTATCGGAAACTTTGCTTTGGATTTTCAGACGAACCGTGGATGAGACAAAGTTGAGTTCGGTGTCGACTTTCCTGCGACATGCTTTTGAATATTCTGAACCCAAGACTGATGACGATAACTCTAATGAACGGTTCCTATCGTTGGCATCATTGCGGTAGGCCAACCATTGCCGTATTCCCATTAAGACATGAGCATTAATCCTTGCGCTTTATTTTTTTTTTTTTTTCAGTATGATTATTCTAGCCGAAGAACCGCTGGAAAAATTCTTTGAGCATGAGTTTGCCGATTCATTCATATTATCTGAGAAGGCGGTGGAAAAGCAACGCAGCCTGGGTAGAGAAATCTTTGACAGTTTGTTTGCTACAGGGGCCAAGTTCGCCAGCGGTCGTGCTCAATTACGTCCAAAGCCTTTGCCCAAGGTACCTTCCAGCCGAACCTCATTTACGTCTGTCTCCTCCGCCCCATCTGCCAGTCACGTCTCTCTGTCTGTCTCCTCTTCTCCTTCACTGAATGAATCACCTGCCGTAGAACATTCAGGAGAACCCTCGGTGGAGAAATTCCCCAAGAAACTCGATACCAAAAATCAAGGTACCAAGCAAGAGCAGACAAAAGTAGAGCAGCCTACACCGGAAGACAAGCCAGTCTCGTCGACCTCGACCGCTACACCGGCAACTGCAAGAACGGCAGCAGTGGCGACAGCGACTGCAGCAACTGCGGCGATAGCAGGAGTCGCTTTGGCCTTGGAAAAGGAAGCGGAAACGCAAGACAAAGAAGACGAACCAGTGACCGGCAAAGATGTTGAAAAGGAGGAATTGGCGGATAATGCACTTGAAGATGAAGCCCCGGTGAATGAAGAAGAAGAAGAAGAAGAAGACGATCATGAGGATATGGAAGGCGGCGACGTTTTAGAAGAAGTGGATCGATTACTACAGGAATACGGTGACGATGATGAGGACGACGAAGAGGAGGAATATGATGACCTCTAACAATGCAGAGCAAATTTGAAAGATCGTACTTATTGACGTCTACGGCCATCATTTCTCAACCACAGCTAAATTATTTTCATTTTTATCATTTATGGATTAAAGCCAATCATAAACATACATCGCGACTCTAGCATTACACTTGAATCATGAATTTAGACCAATACTTTACCTGGGCGTTTCCTGAGCACTTGTCTTCAGTGCTATTACAATGACTCGATACATCATTTTTATGCCATCCTGAAAAACATGGAGTCTTTTGACTAGCGAAATACATTTTCACCTTATGTTTTAGAATGCGTGTCTCTTGCACGACATTGGTGTCGCAAACAGCGACTTTAAAAAGTCTAAAGTCGTCATGCAGGCAACAAAATAAATTTTTGATTCGAAATCACTTGACTTGGGAATCACTTTTTGACTTTCCGAAAGCATGGGATGCATAGAGTGGGGAGCCTGTGTCTCGCGGCATGATGACTAGGTAAAAGCGGTTTATTCGGAAGCATGATAGGTTACTCCATAGCGTGCATAGCATAAAAGTTGGATTTTTATGGTCAACTCGTTGTAGGACTTTTCATTCCGATGAAGTGGCTATGTTTTCATCATCCAGGTTGTCAAATTTGGGTTGTTATTTTTTTTTTTTTTCGATTGCTACTCCTTGCATGCAAACCAAAAAGATGATGACATGCGTGCCACTTGACCAATGTGTTACCTAGAAACAAAAAAAAGTGGGTTCAGTGAATATCCACCCGTCAATATTAGCTACACTCGCATATAAAAATTCAGCCGAGTCATGAGCAGCTACAAGCGCCATTTTGATCATTGATTCTTCTCCCTTTTATCATTTACTCTTGCAGAATTTTTGATTGAAAAGGGCCATGGATGTTATCAGCCTGCAGCCAGGCAGTCAGACCATATCAGGCGTGGGAAATTGCATCGTGGTATAAGGTTGCTTCCATGTCAAAAGCGACCAAGTAAAAAGCAAAAAAAGAAGGTCTTGAATAAAATAGGAAAAACAAGGATTCAGAGAGTTTTGGAAACAGGCTTCTTCGGATCACGCCAAACAATGCTTCGGGATCTTGATGGATTTTGGTTCTTTTTTTGGGCTTCTGGATGCGGAGTTCCAATGTGTGAAAGCGCATCAGCATCCTCAGCCTCGTTCAGCCCGTGAAAATGGTCAAAGCATGAACCAAATAGACGACCAAAACGGTCAAGAGAAAACGATCAGTATGAACTTTGTTGGATTATGTTAGTGATTACAGATAAGCTGAAATAAGAGAGACAAAAAAATGGGATTGCAGAAGAGTCAAATTTTGAGCCATTTTTTTTAGGTCTGCAATTTTTGTTAGGTTGGTGGAATTGCCAGTTTATCGAATTTTTTTTTCTTTTCTTGAATTAGTTGTTTTTCTCATTTCTCTGTATTTCTTTTATTTTTCACACTTAGAACTTGGAGAAAACGTTGGCTTTATCCACCCTTTTTCCTTACTACTTGCAACTTCATGGGTTTGCATCGAGCCTTCTCGTCTTCCCCATCGTCACGATCGACCCCACCAGCTGCTCTGTCGCCACGTGAGGACCTGACGAGATCGAATAGCAGCTCGCAATGGAAAGTGAGCTCTAAATGGTTGAAACGACTGGGTTCCCGTCGTACCTCCACAGCCTCCCCTTCACCAACCGCCACCCCCACAGACCGCGGTGCTTTGGTCACCATCGTGGAGAATGCACAACACAATGCGGTCATGCCATTCACACTATCTCCGCCTCCCCTAGACTGGAAGACCGACTATATTGCTGGAACCAATAAATCCACATCCTTTCCTACGTCTCCAAACCCCACCAACAACACCACGACGGAAACTGACGAGACGGAAAACCCCAACGACCAAGTATTACCGTTGCCCCGTAAAATTTATCCGGCATTGTTATCGTCGGTCGCTTTGGAATTTCAGCAAAAAGTCGTTTTAAGTGACCGTATTAAACACAACATTGAATACAAAGCGGTATTCGATGGTCAAGAAGCAGTGGTAATGTTCATCACCATTCTCGTTTTCTTTTTTTATATATGTACCTGGGGTTGCACGGAGTTTTTATTGGTTGTCATCATTCATGCCCCTTCGTTTCTCACAAATTTTCTTTACAGGATAAACTTTTAATCATTCTTGGCACCAAAAATCGCTCACTGGCCATCCGGGTGGGCCGATCCCTAGGCGCCCAACGGTTATTTCACGATGTCCACTACGAGAATGAACTTATGGATTCTTCCTCAGAGATTTATCAGTTTTCGCAACGAGTGGCGTACTATGACGACGATCGATTGTCCCACAGCACCATGACTACCGCCACCACCCTCAGCAGTCAAAGTAGTTGCAGTACGCTTCATCAGTTGATGAACGACGATGATAACGATGACGACGACGACGAAAATGCCCATGGAGAAGGAGACCAAACAATGCGGTCTACCAATGGGCTGCAGGATCCAGATCGTCGCGTGAATGGTATCTTTACACCGCTCACTTATTGTTATGCGCCTACATGCACCAAACAACATCCTTGTTACAGTTATGCGTGCCCCCAGAAACGGAAATACCGAGCCGGTAGCGTGGATACACGAGGGGCCAGTTCAACCCCGCATGCGTACTTGCAAAAGGAAACACAACAACTGTGGGTCACCACCGTTCCCTCCGCAGTCAGAGATTCGATTTCACCTAGAGATCGCAAACGACAAGAAATCATTTACGAACTTATATACACAGAGTTTGACTATGTGATGGATCTTGAATACATACACAAGGTAACAAAAATGCAGCGCCCCACCGCCCTCCTCTTTGGTCACTTTCTTATATGCTGTCCGAATTTATAATCGCTCATACTCTCATGAATAGATGTGGATCAATCCTTTACGTGAATCCGATGTCATTCCTTTAGATCGTCGAGAATATTTCATCAAAAAAGTGTTTTCGAATTTGTATAAAATATATCAGGTCAATTCACGCCTCATCGAGGCATTGCTGTTGCGACAAAAAGAGCATCCGATCGTACACCATATTGGCGACATTCTTCTTCGCTATGCTGTAGACTTTGAACCCTACATACACTACGGCGCCATGCAGTACGAGGGCAAATGTGTTTTAGAACACGAACGATTTCGGAATAGACGTTTCAATCAATTCGCAGAGGTAAACCCCCGCATTATCATCGCGCGTTTGGAGACGACCTATTCATCTATTCATTTTTATATCGGCGCATTATACTGTAGGAAACCGAACGTCATCCTTCATCGCGAAAATTGGAATTGAATGGTTATCTTACCAAGCCCACGACACGATTGGGACGCTATACCTTGTTTCTGGATAACATTTTGAAATATACACAGGAAGATCATCCTGACCGCCCCAACCTGTTAAAAGTGATGGAGGTCATTAAACAGTTTCTAACACGCGTCAATACGGAAACTGGCAAAGCCAAGAATCGATACGATCTGGATCGATTGCATCAACATATTCTCTTCAAAAATGAACAAGATGAGCTGGTAAGTCTTTTCCTGGTGTGCAAAAAGAGAAGATCCAAAATGAACTTACCTTGATCAAAACTAGGACCTCAACTTGATGGATGTGAATCGTCAGATTATCAAACAAGGCACACTTCGAAAGGCGTCTACTTCGCACTCTACAGAATACCATGTGATTCTGCTGGATCATTATTTACTTATCACCAAAATGAAAATGATTGGCGTGACCGAATACTTTATCGTACAAACCAAGGTAAATTACGATCTGCCTGCATATTACTGCTTTTTGATTTCATTGGAAGCCAAAGAAGAAGAAAAAAACATTAACTTTACGGCATGGTCTCGTGCTTGTTTGTAGCCTATTCCTCTACCTTTGCTTTCAGTGACCGTGCCTTCCACACGAGTTCGCGTGAAACGGACCGTGTCTGTACTTCCGCAACTTGCTCAATCCAATCTTGGCCCCGAGTTACCGAAACGATCCTTGACCGATGCTCAGCCACTAGATGCAGGAGTTCACGGAGAAATGGGATATCCAATTGCGTTTCAGCATTTGGGACGTTACGGAACCGATCAATTTGTTCTCTATGCATCGTCGCTGGCGACACGCAAACCGTGGCTGGACCAAGTGCAAAAGCAACAATCAGTCTACGAAAAATTGCCAATTTTCAAACCAGTGCCACGCATTTCGTCCAAAGTATTGCCATTTGGTGTAAAAATTCATCAGTTGATACTTTTTTGTGAGTCTTATCACCGCGGCATTTCCCAACGCGTTATATAAGAGTACTGATCAATTGGGTGTTTTTTTACTTGCAGCTAATGGAAAACGGTATGCTCTGGCGACGGATGCAGGCGTTTACGTTGCTAGTGCGGATCAACTTGGCCGACCCAAACGTATCTTGGAGTTGGAAAAAGTGACGCAAATTCACATCATGGAACCGTATCAGCTATTGCTCGTGCTGGCTGACAAGATTCTCTGGGAATATCCTCTATCGGTATTTGACCCAAAGTGCGAGAACCCACTGACAGGAAAGAAAGTGCAAGGGCAGGTTCCCTTTTTTCATGTGGGTACATGCCTAAATCGCACTCTCGTCTGTGTACCGCGTACGTCACCACTCAAGTCGACCATCACCACTTATGAAGCATGCCACTCCGAGACCAATCGAAGACAAAAGATGTTTTCCAACTGGATGCGATCGTCAGCCCTGAATGATCTGCACTTGCAGCGGTTCAAGGATGTCTATGTCCCGAGCGAAGCGTGGGCTCTCGATTTGACCCCCAGCAAAGTATTGATTACCAGTCCGCGTGGTATTATTCTGGTCGACATGCAAACCGCCAAACCGCAACGTAAGATGATAAAAATGGATTACAAGGGCTGCTTTTTGATTATTCGAATGTTCATTCTTACCATGGTGATCTTTACAGAATTATTGAATCCTAGAGATCGCCAATTGTCGTTTGTGACCGATCGAGAAAAGGAAGAATCCAACTTGAGTCTTCGTCCGACCGTCAAACACATTCATGTGTTCCGCACTCCCTCGGGACATCACTTTGTGTGTTATGACGGTAAGTGTCCCGCTAATGGATCCTATGTTTTTTTCTGGCAAATGTATTCATTCGCGTTGGTTGCAGAATTTGCTTTTTACATTGACGGCAAAGGCAACCGTGTACATCCCAACTTTTTCATCGAATGGGCCGGTGCGCCGGAATGTTTTAGCTTTCATTTTCCCTATGTGATTGCCTTCGAACCGTCTCTTATTGAAATCCGCAACATCATCACTGTAAGTAATCTGATCCTCCCTGCATAATAATGGGTTCAACGTATTAAACCAAATATTTGATAGGGTGATCTTGAGCAGATTATTCAAGGAAATCACATCCGCTGTATCCAACCGGGCCATAAATTGGATAAACCCGTTATCTTCTATCTGATGGAGGATCCTGACCGACCTTTCCAGCAAACCGTCTTTGAGCTTCAGTTCTCCAAAGAAACGCATTGATACCTGAACCCTTTATCTTATTTCATCCGTGACGACGAGATGAACAATTTTGTTTTCAAGGCAATATCTTGATTGTCTGCTATCAAGAACCTTCTGTCTTGAAAAGTTAACATCTCATTGCCGTGTAAATTTTCTACATAGAAGCTGTATTTTTCTCTTACCGTAATTCTATCTATTAATCACCTGCTTGCATTCTCTTCTATTACTATTGCCTATTATTATTATCATGCTAATCCCTTCCTTTTCCCTTTCTGTACGCGATATTTTATCCAACAATGTTTCTTATAACAATCTGTGATGACTTTTTATGATGAACTAATGTGGCAAGCAGCAGTATTAATTCTTCAAAGTATAAAAATTAGACTGTATAGCAATAGAGAGATGGTTATCCTCTTTCGAATGATGTAAAAAATGTAATTTTTGTTTATTTTTTGTCAACCGCCCTTCAGCACTATCGCCATCGAGTGCTTTTGCCCTTCTGCTTCGTTAACATGCTCACCTGAGCAGGCATAGAACATTATTAGCTTGTCTATCTGCTTGATGGTTACTCATACCATGCCTTCTTAGTGATCTCCAGATGACGTTTTTACATTCTTCAATTGTCAATGAAAGATGTTCCAACGCAAAGAGCCGCCTCTGGACAATGTGCCTATCCATCAGGTATGGCTTCACACGGGCGACTCTACTGCTGATCCCTTCTTGCATGCAACATGCGCCTGACTGTGTCTGTGCTAACGTTTGACCGACCTAATGTAGCGCGACGATGCGTTTTGTTATACCAAAGTATGGCTCGCTTGTCCCTTTCTGTCAGTTTTGGTGGCCGTCCTACAGGTTTGCGTTCTGCTGGAACCTCATCTTGTAGTAAGAGAGAGAAACACGTAAACAACGAAAAATTTTAATCTGCGCGAAGGGCAGATCTGCCACTTTACAGCAAAGACATTGTCTACCGTTACAGCCTTATTATAAACGTGAAAAAGGTGAAAAGGTTGAAAAAGGAATTGTAATATGAAAGATCAAGTCATTGAGCAGCACCTTCTGTTCCGTGAGATATAAATGTATGGAAAAAGAGGCCTCTCTCCTTTTTTCAAAAAACTGTTAGTCTTTTTTTCTTGGCTACGAACCGGCAGTGACTTTCCCAACCAAGAGGGACTACCCACCACCTACTAAGCGGATATGAATATTGGAAAACTTTCAAGTAGGTGCCGCGACAAGGGATAGAAAGACGGGGCGTTTTTCCAATGCGAATGTATAAAGGACTGGCTTAGTAGACTGGGATCCAGTATATTGTTTTTGCCTCCTTTTTGGTTGTCGAGCAAGTAATATGTAACAAGAACAAAAAAAAAAAGTAAATCATATATTGTATTTTGTTTTTAACCAATGGTGTAATCGTCCGCAGCAAGCATCACTTCCTTGGAAAAGGTGATTGGCGAATGTGTCTCTAAATTCTCGACGCTCACCACCTAAAAAGAGAAAGTTGAGGAATCAGCAAACAGACACGGCAGTGTAAATCAGCATCAGAACTTACATCGACATCGCAGATCAGTCGTTCGCTCACAAACGCAACCATCACAGGGAAGAAGCCCGTCACATCATCAGCAGGAATACTGCATTCAAGTAATCCAGACTTGTTCGAACTATTGATAAGAGGCAATTGCCATTCGAGGACACGTCGCTGACGATCGATAAAGTAGTTGCCATCCACGTTTTTTACATTGGCTGATGGCTCGCCACTAAATTAAAAAAAAAAAAACCATTGGATTCAGGCACCGTTTTTCCCCCATCATGAACTACAGTGAGCACACTTACGGGAAGGGGATAGAAATAACGACGTCGTGCAATTCCAAGTGATCTGACTCCAGTTCGTATTCGATATTCACATCACAAAGACCATTACCAGCAGGTGAAGGCCAGCAATTGACTGGAAAGAGAAAACATGCACATCAATCCCACCATTTTCACCTCTCGTCAGATTTTTTAATATACGTACTTATTAGTGGCACCGCTGTTTCGTCTTGAGTGGTATATTTCCACTTGACTACCTTCAAGTTCTCGTTCAATGGGAAAGGTCTTGATTGATCTCGCATTTGAACCACGTTTTCATTTTTGAAGGCCACCTTATCTACGTTGGGATGGGTCTAAAAATGAAAGAACAATGTTAAGCACTCGATTCGTCTCTTTTCTTTTGGCCAGTTTCCTCCATACCTTGAATTGAATAGCACTGTCATCTGCTGAACGGAGCGCAAGACGTACGCGCGCGTTGTTTGGATCTGCTACTCTCAATGTCAACACACCCTTCACTTCCAGTTGTTCCAAATCACCATCTCTGTTGGCCGTCATTGAAACATGTTCTTCAATAGTGACGTGAACGCTGTTTGAAACCCATTTAGTACCCTAGACACCGATCGCTGGTATTCCTAATCCTTTTTACCTTTCATGATTCTTGTTCACGGCACTGCTTACGCCCGAGAAAGAGGAAGAAGAGGATTTAAGCAGTGGTTCTTCTACCTCAGTTTTCATGGCTTCAAAAAGATCGGCGGTCTTTGGTTTACGACCCAGTTGCATGCCTCTTGCTTTGGAGGCAGGCGGCGTGGATGATCGTCTACAAGAAAATGGACGGTTAGCGATGATGAAATGCAACTTTTTGCATGGAAAATCAAGCTCGTACCCGACATAGCTGGGGGTTTCTGTAACGGTTTGAACGGTTGGTTCCAAAGATGGCGAGAATCTACCGCCGTTAAAGTTGTTGGTGGAACTAAAGTTGCCTTGCATGAACCCTTGGCCACGTTTGGAGGCTTCCTTTCTTTGCATCTCAAACTGTTTCGCTCTTCTCTTTAATTCTTCCTTTGCCTCTTGTTCTTTGTTCTGCGAGAAAAAGAAGAAGAAAAAAAAGTTGACCTGTGAGTCTTGCAACCCACGCGACAAGGTGTGAAAGATGAGTTTACCTTGGCAATGATTTCCTGAATTCTTTCTTCGTGACTCTCCATTTCAATGATGCTCTTGACTTGTGACAAGTTGACGTTTTCTCTGTAGCCTTCAGAGATGATTTCGTCAAATGCACACAATAACTCGAATGCATTGCGAAGGATGTCTTGCTCATCACACGAACGGCAAGTGTCGGTGACCACGCGTGCAAACAAGTGCAACGATTCAATGTCTTGCAGGATATTGGACTAGTACTACGTTAATTGCAGGTTCGCGCTACAATCAAGCAGCAGCTAAATTTTACCTGACGGTTGGTAATCAAGACCATGAAGAGTTCCTCCAGGGGTTGATAGACATAACGGACATGCTCTGTCTCGATAGTCGTGTGCTGTTGTCCTGAGCTCGTCAATTTAGGGAACGACACCAAAAGCCCTTCAATGCGAGAACGTTGCAATTCGCGGAACTGACGAGAGATGATAACTGGAGAGGAGGTGAGAAAAAATAGAAAGGGAAGACGTGTCGATGATGAGTGGATGGTTATTGTAAAGGTGCATCGAGTTTCATCCTGTGGTACCTTTGCCACTCTTGGTGACGATAGACGCTGCTAAGACGACCTATAACCGACAAGGAATAAGAATGTATCAGACGTGTTACCGTTATAATGCGTTGTGAACGTAAATGAAGTATACCATGACAAGACGTTGATAATGTTTCTGCTTAACAGATACGGGAAAGCGAATACAAAAAATAAAAAGGCGGTGTGTTGGCACACCTAGAAAATATTCAGGCTCCGGAAACGATCATTTCGCGACCGAAAGCTGGTTTCCTACGGACACGACAGTCCGGCACGACAGTCCGGCACCAAATCTCGCTGGGCGCACGTGATGTACACGGCACTCTGTGCAACCTTGGGCCAGTAAGATGTGCACGACTGAATGCTACGTCTAAAGTTTACATGTTATGAAGCACGTCTTAAAGGCTATGTACAGTAAAGTGAATGAAAAATTAAAAGCCACTTTGGCCTAAAAGCGCCATAACCCAGCTGAGAAGCCTTCAATGGACCGAGAAAAAGAATGAGCTATCAAAAAATTAATTGGGTATAATATGCACCGACTGTGCCGAAATCGGCACAGTAAAAACATTCACTTTTCTCAAAAGTAAGATAAGCAAGCGGATGGTGTATCCTATATTAAACAAAATTTTGGCTTGGCTTTTTTCTCTAATTATCTTTTGCGATAGGGTTTTTGGTTGTTGAAGTATAAAGTAATTCAAAAGCTTGGATCTGGGAAACTTTTAGGTGTGCCGAAATCGGCACAGTTATCGTTGTCTCTATCGATTTCTTTTCCTACTTCAAAATATGTTAGCTTATTAATGTTTGTATTGTCTTTATCAAATATATCTGCAGCTAAAGTTGTCATAACTGCAAATAAAGTCATCAGTGGAAGGGTTATAACCCGGTATTTTGGCATTGTAACTCTTAATGTTATTTGACAGCGTTAGTAAACCCAAAAATCCAGACAGCATCAGGTCAAAGCATTGATATTCAAGTATATCACTTACTGTTTACTTGGCAACAATATTTTACAGGAGCATAATTTGGTGCCATCCCTATGAAAAAGAAAGCCATATTCCCCTTTTTATACCAGGATGAAATGTACTTTACCCTCTTTACTTTCTCTCTTTCATTATGATTCTATAACCTTACCTCAATAATGCATAGTACCAACCCAACATCAAGTAAAAAATACAACGACTTCACACCAAGAACTTATATGGTTTAAGAAGCAAAGGAAGCAGAGATTAATAAAGGAGAAGCGTTTGCGTGAGGAATCCGAAACACAGGACCAAGGTGTGTAATACGTAAATGCTTACAGATAAATTGCTGCAATTGACATATATACTCTATCATTGGTAGCTTGCAAAATGGTAAAGGTCCGGACATAAAGATGCAGTAGTCTGGAGCCTTGCAAAAAGTGCACAAGCCAAGGCACATACGACCCTGCAAACCCACATTCCAGTAGCCGTTCTCCTCGTTGCCCTTTCCACAATTTGCTACTAGACGAACACCTGGCGCAGAAATTCCAAGGCCATTGCAGGTGTTTTGTTGTCAAAATCGGCCTCACAAAAGCTTTGAACTTGAACGAATGGTCGGTTTCGCAAGGGGAGTGACGATCAAGTCCATGCGGTTCGTCAACCATTCCTTTTGCATCTTTTGGACAACCCCGCCAACGACCTACCCTAATATCGCTTATTTTTGAAGAACTTCATACAGCCATTCCCTGCATCAAAAACTTTGCAAGACCAAGCTGTCACATACGCAGACATCCTCGCATACCTCGCCGAACAGTCAGCGAAAATATTTGTCAACAACATCGTTATGCCTTTTGTGAGCAGAGCAAGCGCTACTTTTTCGTCCGAATCCGAATGCTCTTACCGGTAACGTCAGAATCAACAAAATATTAGCTTTTCACTTATTTGACTGAGATAGAATTTTGATGATCAACAATCACGGCATCTTATGGCGTACATCTACAGTTGCATGACCCCCGGGGCCCATCGATTGGCCCGAAGATGTGGGGCATACCGCAGAACTAGATATCATGGTCGGCGAAATTTTGGAAAAAAGCACACAACCTTACAGTAGATAGAAAATTCATAGAAATAGTTACTACTACTACTTCTCAAATAAAAATATAATTAATTGAAAATTACTTAAAGATAACTTGATAATTTCTTAGCATTTGCAAAGAGCTCAAAGGTTGCCAGCAAAGAAAAGACTCGCTTGACCCATTTGCGACTCTATCAACAAGACGGAGTCTTAATTCGAAAAAGCAGGTCTTTCGAGCGGGGAAATAAAGATAAAAAATGTCGCCAAAACGAGCGCGCTTGAAAATTTTCCAGGTTGTCTCGTTTCCCCATGAAGATCACCATCGCTTCGCGTAATCCCAAGTCTTCCAAGTTCCCGGTAACCTTGGAACTTGCCGGTTCCCCGGACACCGTGACAGTACATGATGTTTGCGAAGCGCTTCACAAGAAGTTTCCCAAATACTACCCCGCACGTCAGCGATTGACAACCCAAGACAAACAACCCTTGGACGCCGACAAGACATTGACCCATCTCGGGATTGCTGACGGCGCTACGGTCATGTTCAAGGACTTGGGTAAAAAATTATACTCTACAATAGTCTCATGAATGGTTGTTGATACTAAAAAACGCGATTGGATTAGGGCCCCAAATCGGCTGGCGTACGGTGTTCTTGGTGGAATACGGAGGACCATTGTTAATTCATCCATTGTTCTTCTATTTATCCAAACTATTTTACGGTCGCAGCTTTGAACATTCGACCATGCAAACGGTGACGTTTTGGTTGGTCATGGTCCACTTTTTGAAGCGCGAGTTGGAAACCTTGTTTGTGCACCGATTTTCACATGGTACCATGCCATTGACCAACCTGTTTAAGAACTCGGCTCATTATTGGTTCCTCTCCGGTATCAACCTTGCCTATTGGGTCTATGGTCCATGGTACGCCGATGCAGTGAGAAGCGATGTTTGGTTGTATGGATCCGTTGCCGTATGGGCTGTAAGTATCTTGAACTATCAATGTCTCGGGGATCCAACAGACAATTGACAAAAGAAAAACGATAGTGGGCTGAATTATCCAACCTTTGCAATCACATCACTTTGCGCAACTTGCGTCCTCCGGGAACTCGCACTCGCGCTATTCCTTACGGTTACGGCTTTGATCTTGTCTCATGCCCCAATTACTTTTTCGAATTTATCTCATGGACTTCCGTCTGCTTTTTGACCACCAGCTGGAGCGGTAAGTGATATCTCCGCCAAAACGCCCATTTCGCAGTTCAAGCTTAGTCATGATCAATCTTCTAGCTTTTCTCTTTAACATTGTCGCCACCGGTCAAATGTACATCTGGGCCGTCAAGAAGCACAAGATTTACCGAAAAGAATTCAAGGGCTATCCTCGTAACCGAAAAGCCATGTTCCCCTTTATTGCTTAATTTTCCTTGGGGTTATTATTATTTTCCCTTTTGACAAGATGTTACTTGTATGTAATACTAATGGCACAATAAAAAAAAGCATAAATGAATATTCTATATCACTGAAATTTTTGATATACAGTAAACTGTAGGAATGGTAATTCATTGCATCAAAGAAGGAGGATGCATCAAATGAGGGAGGACATGCATGTGTTAATAGTTCATATACAATTGCGTGCTACAAAAATTGGGAGTATGAATAAGAAATAAAACAAAACACATTGGATGGAAGGATCTTTTGTTTAGAATGTAGGATATCCCGGTCGGGGAGGATACCCCGTGGCGCCAGGTGGATACCGTTGAGGTGTCGGTTGTGGAGGGTAATGAGATCCACCAGAGTGAGGAGGAGGTGGACCGGAATGTGGATGTGAGTAAGTAGGACGCGCGCCAGCGTAAACATGCTGACCACCAGCTCCTCCCGCAGGGTGCACAGCACCATGAGGCTGAGGTGGTGGAGGTCGTGAAGCAAAGCTGGCGGAGCGATGTGGTTCAGGGAATGGTACTGACGATGGCGGCGGTGGATAATGCACGGGTCTTCCTTGCATAGGAGGGTGACCTAAAACACTAGATCAATAAAACCCAGTCCACTCTATAGCGAAAAAGAAAAAGAAAAAGAAAAAGAAAAAAAAAAGAGATTTACCGTGGTGAGCTGGCGGTGCAGTAGGTTGATAGGGTGCTGACAGCAACGGCGCGGGAGGCAATGGTTTTGAAGATGGACGGGTCGGCAATGGATGATGTTGCTGTTGCATGGGACGCGAATATACCGGGGCCATAGGCGGATGAGGCGATGGTTGATAATGCGATGGTGGAACCGGACGTGCTACACCCGAACCAGCAGGTGAAGGCATAGCATGTGGCATTGGATAAGGCGACGGTGCAGGCCTCGGATGCGCGTGATATGCGCCGTTGCCGTTGGTGCGAACGGGAGTGGACATGGATTGAACAAGATGAGGGCGAGGCGGTGGATGCATCGGACCGGATGTGACCATCATGGGCGTCGAAGGTGCGAGCGTCACGGGGGGACGAGGATAAGCCGGACGCATTGGAGGTGGAGGATGCATCCCCGTCGGTGGTGGACGAGCAGCGTATCGCACTGGTTGTTGAATCGCAGATGCCGGTTGCTAAAAAGAAGGGTCCAGGATTTTAGCTTAGCGTTTGTAGCATAAGAAAAAAAAAGAATGGCTTACGGCTGAATAAAATGTCAATTCCAGGTAAATCTCGCCTGCCCGCTTTCCTCGAAACGTCAATGGAAAGAAATCTAATAAAATCGACCGGGAACAATGCAATTGCACAGAGTCAATTCGTCTGCTTCATAGATTTTGCAGGTTTTGGGCCAGACATTACCGTCGTGTTCTCCTTCTCTCAGCACCTTTGATAAATCTACGTAGCCTTCGGCTATCAAATTGCTTATGTTGGTGTTTTTATCAAAGAGCTGCATATGCAGCTTCGTGGCGCCTACAGGAACAGGCAAATTCACCTGTCAAGGGCTCAACAACTCAAGCTGACCGGGGAACATTCTTTTTTTTTCACCAGTATATATTACCTGATCATCCCAGATGGGATTCTGACCACCTCGTACATCGGTTTTGGTTTTCATGGCCACATCACCGAGACGAAAGACACATAACGGATCTTGCTTTCCAGCCACCTATTACAAAAATTGAATGGGTGATTGAGATCGCGAGAAACCAAGTAGTGACAGCCATCAAGCGAGCATCTACCTCAATATTGGGTAAATTCTCCTAACATGAGCAAGGCAATGAGTGAGAAATAAGAGACATGGCTACTGTTGCTAAGGTGGGAATGGGGACATTTACTGCTTTTAAAGCGACGACAACGAGTTCACCAACGATACCCGGAGGGAACATGATGAAGAGGTATTAAACAAATGTATTAAAAAGAACAGAAAATTTGATAACGAATGAAAAAATCATAAGAACACCGAAACAGCGCTCCCCTCGAGCACGTTTCCCCCTCCACGTTTTTGGCGGCCTCTTAAAAAACCCTAATGCAACATCACCAGCCATTGCTGTTCACTTCAAAAGAACCTCAAAAATCAATGTGAAAAGTGATCAGAAAAGAAACCATTATAGTGATTAAGAAAGCAAGATTGAGAGAGAGTATTACAGTTGAGAAAGAAAGATGGGTGAAAAGAAGAAAAAAAAAAAAAAAAGAGAGAGGGAAGAAAGGGCAAAGGTGCTGTTTTTCTTTTTTTCTTTTTGGTTTCGTTGTGCTGTCTTGATTGCTTTTTTTATTTTAATGGAGAGCTAAATTGTGCATTTTCACCATTTAAGCGTCGGTCTTCTTTTCTTCCTCCTTCTTGTCGTCTTCCTTGGCCTCACCCTTCTTGAGAGCCTCGTTGCTCTTTTGAGCCTTTTCAAACTCTTCCTTGAACAAGTTGGCATTGTCGGAATTGGCGAAACGGATAGCCAAAGTTTCAGCCTTGGGTTCGCCGTCGGAAACGTCGGCGGTGACATTCCACACCCAGGAACGGTCGGATCCCACATTGGGAGACAAGGTCATCTCCTTGGTGACGAGATGGTTGGCACACACCTTGAGGGTCTTATCACGTCGCATCAATAAACGAATCTTCTTGGACTCTTTGTGTTGCAAGAACTTGACATCACCCGTGCCACGTTCTTTCCATTCCTTGGTGGTCTTTTCGTAGCGGAACAACTTGGCTCGCCTAGCGCCATAAAAGTTTAGTGACACCCCAACTCCAAGCTCCTCTTCATCCTTCTTGCATTTTTCTCTTCTTCCCCCAATTCTTCCTACTTGGTTTTTCTTTCATTTTACTTACATTTTGAAAAGAACATCTTCATCTTCTTCAAAAGTCTTAACATCGACCTTTTCCAAGGTGACGACAGGTTCAAAATGAACATCAGGAGATTCTTCAACTTCTTCCTGCTGTACGCGTCATCATATTGGTTAGCTCCGTTAGTGTCATTGGTCATCCATCCGACGGGTACATACCTGTTCTTCCTTCACAATCTTCTTTTCTTCAGTATCGGCCATGGTTGTTATATTCAAAGAGATGGATGGATAGGGGGGGTTAGGATGGATGGATTAATGGATGAGGATGGGTGCGGAGAGTGGGAAGAAGTGAAATTGCGAATGGTTGGGCCGGGATTCCCTCGGACTGAGCTGGCTGTATATTTTGTATTGTAAACTGTTATGCAAACTATTTCCTTATTCTGCTGGCCCTCTCATGACAATCCTCCAATCTGCTCTTTTTCAGCAAACTATTGAGGCGACTCATTTTTTTCAACGTTTTTTTTATTCATCGTTTCTTCTCGCGGTTCTTTGATCATTGTTGTTTAGTGTCATTCCCATTTCATTCTCTCGTTGATTGACGGAGTTTGTATTTTCATTTCCCTCGATGGCCTGAGCATGAGCTTTTTTTTTTTTTTTTTTTTGGCAGTAACTTGCAATGAAGTTGAGCTTGAACAGGCCGAGAAAGGTCGCTCTCAAAATAACCTATTGGGAAAGCGTGCAGTTTCTTTTTCAAACCCATTGAATAAACAAACACGCATTGAAAATGAGCAACGGCAGCTGCTGCTGCTGCCTTTTTCTTTTGCGCTGCGCTTATATATGGTCATTGTTTCTTTTATCAGCCAAAACGCTGCCTTTGTTTACAGTTGTATTTCCCCAGTATTACATTAGCTGAAAACCAAGAACGATTGACATACCTGTCTGTGGTAACACCAGGTAACAAGACAGCACGTGCTCCAAACAAACAACCATTTGTTCGCCATTCAGTACCAATTTGCATAATTGCACTTCTTCATGTTCCGCCGGTATCACCCCCGTCGGCCTCAAACTTGTCACATATGGAGCTTCATTTGAGGTCCCCATGTGGTTTACTTTGAAAAAGGACACCCAATAGTTCGTAAACTTGCACCATCATTCTATCATGTCTATGAACCAACCCACTGCATCTTTAATAAGATTCTCACGTATGGGAAGCGGTTTCATATTTCAATGGAAGTGGCCCCGTTGTTCCGGAAGTATGTCCATCAGCTGATATTCTTTACATGAAGCCAAATAGAACGGCATCACATGGGATAAAGAAGTCGGTTGGGGTCCAAAATTTTGTTCGTTGAAACCTTGACCGGCGGGTCATCTGCTGGGCAAATAAAAAGCGTTCTAGAAGATTTGCATTGCTTAATTCCAAAAGTCTTTTTACTTCATGTCATATGATGCCATGTAGACGGTACAAAAGGGATTTCCACGCTAATTTTTCTTAATGTTGATGAAACCATGGCAAGTTTTTTTCTTAATTTTAGGGGTCCGTCGCCACGTTACATCGAATGCAACTCAAAAAAACTCTTATTCGGCAGTAGCTGCTGGTTTTTTGATTATGGACAAAAAGAAAAAAAGTGAACACCAGATATGCTGTTGTGCACCAATCAAATCGACTGCTTTCTATGACGTCGACTTGCTTTTTTTGGAAGGACTCTTTGTCTGGGTGGAAAAAGATACGAGAGAGAAAAAAAAAGAAGAGCGACTGCCCCGACGCACGAGTCTCCTTGATAATTCCAGTTTCTTCTCGTCCATGACCATTCGGCCTCAATAATATATGAATTACATGGACAGCGATAAGCAAGCCACGTCGTTGAACCCTTGTTCTTCACCAAGTGATACCGACTCAGGCACTTCTCCTTCTTCTTCTTCTTCTTCCACACCATACTTCATGTCCTCCGATCGATCGCAACGGACAGCCTCGGTCGGTCTGACAGAAGTGACCACTTCGGCCGAAATCACCAATCCCCCTTGCTCCACTTCATCTGCCAAACTTCGTAGCGTCCCGATACCCCAACCATTACTACTAAAACGACGCGCCAGTCGATCCTCCATGTCTTCGACCGACGACACCGCCACCGAGTCTCCGCGTTCCACAGCCGCAGCAAAATCGTCCAATGGACATGCTGTCGTGCCTCCGCGTACCCACCATACTCTTGCGTCGCCATCCAGTCCTCACCATGCGGGTGCTACGGTCACTCGTCCTTCGTTCGCCGAGTCTCATTCACCGAGTCGTAATAGCCCGCAACAAGAATCGCCACTTGTCGTCACCATGGAACTAGGAAGTAGCCCAAAAAACGGTCTGGATATTGTCACCGGTGCACGGACACTGCATCAAGACTTGTCATCCCATACGCACGTAGCACCTGTCAACGAGTCACATGGTCATGCTCCTTCAAGTGATGCTTCCTCGCCTCGTTACGCCAGTCCTCCCGCCGGTAGTGGAGGCAAGTATATGGTAAAATCGAAACGAGCGAGCTGGATTGATGCCAGTGCAGGGTCCCCTTCATCTAGCACTGCCGCAAGTCACTCGAGTGATCCGCCAATGACTTTTAGTTCATCACCTACCATGAGTTCGTCCTTGACAAGTTACAGAAAGGTGTCCAATGCCGCCGACAGTCCCAAATCGTCCGATCCACACACGACCAGCGACCCACGATTCCACAACAACCTTGATTCGGATACCTTGCATAAATCCGGCTCTTTATCGCTTCTACGTGAAAAACGGTCATCGTTTCCGAAACAACGAGAAAACTCCCTGGAAAGTGGCGTCCCTTCTTCTTCCTCTTCTACCGAACATTCCGCAGGAGACCTCCATTTACGACGCACGGTTCACACTTCACCTGTCGCAGCCGAAGGAGGTGCATCGGAAGCCGATGAACTGCTCGACATTTCCACCATGGTTAATTATTCCTTGACAGGTCGAAGACGACGAGCAGCTAACCCATCGCCTTCCCTTCACCATGAACGCACCTCTTCCATTTCCTCCAACATCACCGAATCCAGCATGACCAGCGATGATTACAATTCGGCTTCTTCCTCTCCCCGCATTGTCTATTCCCCGCTTTCAGGAAGCCCTCTGCAATACGCCATGCCCAACGATCGTGGTACAGTCTATTCATGTCGCCGCAGAAAGTTCATTCATTGAAACTCACCTTTCCCCTGTCTCTTTCTTTCTTATATTAGCACGAACGAAATCAGCGGCTCATTCAACGTCGTCTCCTCTTACATCGCATGCGGCGATTCATTCCACACCTCACACGCCAAAATTGGGCCCCAACGTTCAACCGAAAACCCGCCGTCGCTCCTCCATGAGCATGCTTCGCACCATTCCAAGTTCGGAACTCGCCAGCATTGTTAGCGGCAACTCGCCTAATCCGGTTATTGATGCTCCTCCGTCGGAGATTTATTCCCATAATACCGTCGACGCCGCCAGCTGGTCTACCAGTTCCGGCAGTCCGAAAATGCCCGTCTATCAATCCGTCTTGCGACGTCAAATGTCGACCAAGCAAAAGATGCAGAAAAAGCTATCCGGAGCCAGTACCACGGATGGTGAAATGAATCCGCGCTCAGAAGCTGACAGAGATGTGATTGAACTTAGTCTGGACAGCGGTATTTCCCGCATCGATGCCGTTGATCCCCAACCCTCAGAAAGCAGCAATACCTCCGGTCACCGTGACGATCTGAACACCCCCGTCTATCCCGCCCTGTTACTTGGCGCCGACCACATGGCTTCCGATACCCATACGTCACTGCATCCACGATGGTATGATGGTCTATCGAACACTTCTGCCCCACCCACCACCCGCAAAACTACGCAAGAGTCTCTTGATTATTTTTCCCATTCGCTACCCACAAAAGGTAAGTCCTGAAACCCATCATAGTTTGAAGAGTGGAGGGGGATGGTAGCTAATAATTAAACGTTGCGTCTTGTAGACGAACATCAAGATGAACTTTATCGTGCCAAAAAGGCGCCATTCCCGACCACCCCGTCATCGTTTTCGCTTCAACAGGTTCACGGCACGGACGAAGAGTATGCGAAAAAGCTATACTTGTCACGATCCGCGAAATTGAAACGATGGTGTCAGCTAAAGATTGAAAACGCCGAGGATCGAAAATCGAAACCATCACCCGTAGATGGTCAGGAACAATCATCGGCATCGACTGAATCTGAAAATAATGTCACGTCGCCACGATCGACCACGCGCATCTACAGATACCCCGGTGAACAGTCGTCCATGCCGACCATTCTCGTGACGATGGATGAAGATGAACACCGTTTACAAAATAATCAGGCCGTGGAAGCTTTGAATGTGGTAAATGAGGTTCCGTGGATCGATTGGTTGGAGGAATATAAAGTCGTAAAAGCCAAAGAAATGCGTCGTCGATCGTTTCAGCAATCGAACTCCTCTTCATCCAAAAGTCAGGATCCTCCCAGTGATGTAGAAACACTGGTCAAAGGGGTTCTTACCACTTGGTGGAATGCCGTCAAATTCAATGCAGAGCATTACACCACCACTTTGGACCGTCGCACCTCCAAATCGTCTTCCTCTGTCACTCGTGTCGCCAATGATTGGATCAATGCCAAACTGCATTCTCAGCGTGATCGTTTCAAGAAATCCGTCATTGATCGCGAGCGGCTCAAGAAACAGAGCGCCAAACGTCACAAGTACAATTTATCCCTCGATCTCGCCGACATTCAGCAGGAACTGTCGCGTAACGCCGGTCACATTTGGGGAAGTGATCAAAAGATGCTTGAAAAGCCCATGTTGCGACGATGGTTCACCAGTCCGGTGGCCGAACTGAACTCCATCCCTCCTTCGTCTTCGGCCGCGTTACCCAACGCGTCGTCGCCACCTTCTTCCAATCACAGCTTGAATACGGGTCCTCCTTCGCAAGCCAGTACCTCGTCCTTTGTGGGACAATCGCCCGTGAAACTATCAGCGACCAGTCGTTTTCCTTTGCATGCCCAGCATCACCGTGTCGGCTATCAGTTTGATAATACGGGCAACCGCATGGGCGCTTACGGTCGTCTCGGACGCATTCTCGGCGGCTATCACGAGGAAGATGACCGATCCCGTGGTCGTATCCAACACACCATCAAATCGCGTTTGCAATATGCAAAAGACGCGTGTGATGTGGAATTGCGAAAAATCATTGACGGTTTGAACGAGTATGTTGAACGAGGGTTGCAATACGTGGAAGATATGCATGAAATTATCGAGCAAGGTGTGCAATCCGTAGGGAGTCAAGATGACGATACGGGCGACGAGTATCGTGAGGAGGACTCGCTAGACCACATCGACAATGAACCTGTCGATGAATCGTACAGCCAGCCGTCCTACAACAACAGCGACCACCCGTTGGACAAGGGGTTGGATGGTCATGTCCCCAGCCGATCGTTACCCGATATTGCTGAACAGGAAGAACCCGTGTTTGAAACGGGACCATCGACAGAGATGGCCAGTTTGCCGAGTATGCCAGTATCTGATCCAAGCTTGGGCATCCACCCAATGGTCGAAGCCATGTCATCCGAGCCACTGACTTCCTCTGAAGACACCGGCATCAACAACATGGTGACACTGATTTCCGAGGATTCTTACCTTCCGACGCCTTTTATTCTAACTCTGCAGGATCTAATTTCGTTGGCGCAAAATATTTTGGATACCCCATTGGACTCGATTTTGGATAGTTCCGGAGCGTGTGCCATGACGGTGTCGGAGATTCAGGCAATTGGCAGTCGATGGGATGCCCACCCTGAATGGCCCTGTCGAGAATGGTATGTGCGCCTTTTACTCAGCATGGCCGCCTTGAATCGCGTTGTGGAATGGTGGGAAGTCGAACGCGGTTTCTGGAACGCCTGCAGCAGTGCTCCGGTGACAGTACCTCCCAGTGACACCGAAGCCACCGATACAGAATCGTTGGGCGGTGTATCGAGAGCTAGTGATGCGGAAATGGCTGCTTATTGCTCTGACGCTTCAAAACGATTACCTCAAGATGTCAAATCTCCTGTGTGCGAGGAGGGCGAGGAATTGCATACATCAGAAGATCAAGGATTGGAAGAAGCCGCTTCACGCAGTCAAAACAGTACCATTATCATTGAATTGACCCTAGGCACCACCGTAGTTCAGTATGTGAGTCCAGTATGGTCGCAAGTCGTTGGGTAAGTTATCTTACAAAAAAAAAACGAGGAGTCTATATTTCCCATTGTATTCATTGATCGTTTCTTTTAGTACCGATCCCCAATCGGTTTTAGGCACCAATATTGCTCATTTGCTGCTGGGAGATGACAAGAACGTGTTTGAGGTAGCGACGGAAGAATTGTTGACGGACGATTCACGTACGGTGGAAATCCGATTTACCATGTCCGTGACAGACGCTGGGTCGATGGAAATGGATGCCAAGGGCATGCTGATGTATAACCGTGTGACGAGCGAGCCCAGTCATACCATGTGGGTGATTAAACCGGTGGCCAATCGTCGATGGAACGTCATGGATCATGCCTTGACAACGAATTCGCTTGTCCATGATGTGACGGTGCGCGGAATCGATGAACAAGACCCCTCGATGATGGGTGATCAAGAAAAGTCGAGTTTGCGTCTGCGGTCACTGTCCTTGCCGGCCATTGAAAAATCCGACTTTGAAATCCACTCCCCTGAAGAGGACGACGAGGCCGCCATGGCAACCCAAGATACTGGCAATGCCGTCACGCCTGCTAGCTTGATGGCGCTACCGCCTGTCCTGTGTCACATTTGTGAACGATGGGTAGTGGCGGCTTTTTTCGAACAGCATTCGGAATTGTGTGTGGAAATCCATCAATGTGAAATGGATGTGAACAACTGCAACGATAATCTGCGTGAAATCAAACACCATGTTCATGAATACTGTGAAACACTAAAAGATGACATTGCACGATTATCAGACAAAAAGACCGCTTCGAATGCCACGGCAACAACGATGACTGACGTGGCCGTCTCGCCTCCAATACATCCTTCCGTTGTCAAGCCAATCGAATCTGTTTCTGATGATGCTTTCCCCGAGGCGGACGAGACCGACCCTGTCGACAACAAATTGGTGGAATTGGAAGCGAATAAAGACATTTTGGAAATCCTCGATACGGCGCTTAGTATTTCCACCCCCGGCAGTACGGCAGATGAGTCGAATGCGACCGATGCACAGTGGGATACAGAAGGGGCGGATGAAGACAATGCGCTAGCCAAATCAGTGCGGTCGTTGCAGTCACCACGGTCCCAGGATAAAATGGTGCAAATCGTGTATTGGCGACCTCCGGTGACAGATGATCCCGACACGTTGGCGTTGATTCGCGATGTGGAAAAGATGACACGTACCAAGGTGGATGCCGTCAACCGTATGCGTGATCGTCTGGAGTACAATGAACGTGCACGACAGGATTTCCAACGGATCATGCAGCAAGAAGTAGGCTGGACAGAATTTGTGCCTTCCACGACCTCGGAAGAAAACCTAGCCAATGTCGTGCCAGAGTTGTCAAAAGAAGAACCAGACAAGCCAACCGAAACCATGCCTGCAGAACCGGTGCCTCCACGCAAAGGCTTACTGGGACGATTGAAATCATGGCGTTCAAAAAGCGCCATGGGCCGGTTTGCACGACGCTACAAAAAGAGTGTGGCCGATGTTTCATCCGATTGCGCGACGCCTATTGTGGAGATGGAAACCATCGACACGCCCATGGCCTCGCCTGGCCTTCGACCACGTTCGTCCAGTCAAATGAAAGAATTGGCCATGCCGTCGGGAACCAATACACCCAACAGTATCGCTATAGGCAAATCGCCCTTGTCACCTTTACATGCGCCCATTCCATCGGGGCGAGCAACTCTGCCTGGTATCAAGGACTTTGACATTATCAAACCTATTAGCAAGGGAGCTTTCGGTTCCGTGTTCCTGGCCAAAAAACGCACCACCGGCGATTACTACGCTATCAAGTTTCTCAAGAAATCGGATATGATTGCCAAGAATCAAGTGACCAATGTCAAGGCGGAGCGAATGATTCTCATGACGCAAACCGATAGTCCTTTTGTAACACGACTCTACTACACCTTTCAGTCCAAAGATTATCTGTATCTCGTGATGGAATACTTGAATGGAGGTGATTGCTCGTCGCTTGTCAAGGTCCTTGGTAGCCTCCCGGAAGATTGGGCACGCAATTATCTTGCCGAAGTGACTCTCGGCCTCGAGTATTTGGAAAGCAAGAATGTGATTCATCGGTGAGATTTTATACTTCATTCAATATTAGGGCCGGATACAACGCCGAATATCGGGTACTGACATGCTTTTACATCGTTTAGGGATCTGAAACCTGATAATTTATTGATTGATCACAATGGTCATTTAAAGTTGACCGATTTTGGATTATCACGGATCGGTTTCTTGGATCGACGAGTCCGCGACGAATTGACTACGGGTGGGTATCCACGCGACCCACCTTTGCCGACGTCGCCCATGCCTTCACCTACGGGTACTTCCCCGCCTTCGGTGGTCCAGGGGAACACTTCCGAACAAGCCGCCAGTCCTGATCAGGGCCCCACGTCGACGTTGTACCGACATTCCTACTTTAGCTTTTTGTTCGACCGAGATCGTCGAGGGTCAGCCACCAGTTCGATTTCGACGGACCACAGTATGTCCGAAGGCATACATGCGACGTTGGAAACGAGCTCATCGACTCCGCGAAGCAGCAGCGCCCTTGCCGGCCACGGTCATCGTAGCAGTGGACACCCGGAGATCAGCCCTTTTGGTTTATCGACCTCTGGATTCATGCACAGTGAACGGTTCTCCAAAGAACAGAATGACTCGGCTTGCCGTGCCGTCGGTACCCCGGATTACCTTGCTCCAGAAAGCATTCTAGGCACCGGCGATGACTCGATGGTGGATTGGGTATGATTGAGGAATAATAAGGATTGAATGAGAGAGAGGTTGGAAATAGTGATTATCCTTGCTAACGTTTGTTGATGGGGTAGTGGGCGCTGGGTGTTATTTGTTACGAGTTTTTGTACGGCTATCCCCCCTTTCATGCAGAAACTCCCGACAAGGTGTTTGAGAATATTTTATCTCGTCGAATCGACTGGCATGAAGATGAAGTGGAGGTGTCATGTGAAGCGCGTGATTTCATGGAACGGTTAATGACGCTGGACCCCGAGAAACGACTTGGTTTCAACGGAGCGCAAGAAGTCAAGAACCATCCATTTTTCAGGGAAATTCAATGGGATACGCTGCTAAGTGATGCTCCTTCGTTTGTTCCACAACCGGTCGATATGGAGGATACCGATTACTTCGATGCGAGAGGAGCGACGATGATGCCGCCTGTCGCAGACGAGTCGAATTTGGACGAAGTAGCCAAAGCTCAGGTGGAAAGAGCCAAAGCGATTATCCAAGAACAAAATCCTGAAACTGTCAAGGCGATGGAACCGATCCTGGATCGGTCCAAAGAAGCCGACACCAAAACAGAGGATACGAGTGAAGCTGATTTTGGCACGTTTACATATAAAAACTTACCCGTGTTGGAGAAGGCCAATGAGGACATGATTCGAAAAATACGCCACGACAGTATCTCAGCGGTGAGTGCTGGTCATGAACTTACGCCGCCGACGAAAACGTCCCCTGCCAATCTGCGGAACAAACGCAATTCTGTGCTGGATTCCGCGAGCTCGACTCCTTCCGGCAGTCTCTCTCCGGGTTTGAATTTCATGACGCCATTAATGATGTCGCCTTCCACTTCCACACGCACCAAAATGTCCAACAGCACACGTCCGTCCCTGGATGGACCGCAACGAACAACACCACCGAAACTCTCTGACAAAATGATCCAGCGAGAACCGCTCACACGTTCACGATCGTCTTCACTTCCCGGTAACCCTCTTGACCTTCATCAAGCCACCGCCGCGACGCAAGCGAAATCACCACTAGAGCCAGATACCAAGCTATCGCAAGATGCGACCGGCACCGGTTCTGGCGATGGTAGTTCGGTTTCGAAAGCGAGATCATTGGATTGTTTGGTAGTCGATGATAATCCTATCAGTTGCAAGATTCTTGAAACGATTTTACAAATGCTCCACCATCGGTGCATTATTCTTCGTAACGGTGCTCAAGCGATCCGGTCTGCCATGAGTGATGTGAAATTCGACATCATTTTTATGGATATCCGTATGCCAATCAGTAAGTTGATCAAATGGGATTTTGTGATACCCGGACCGATTTCATTCTAACCAGGTTTATTTATTTTAGTTGATGGTGAAACAGCGGCACGTATGATCAAATCCACCAACAATGTGAATCGAACGACGCCCATCATTGCTGTTACGGCATATGAGCGCACGGTTCAGTTGGCGGGAGCATTTGATGATATTCTCGGCAAACCTGTAACGAAGGATGTGATTCAGCATTGTCTCGCTCGCTTTTGCGACTGCAAAGAAGAACCCAGTCATTTTTGTCCTGTAATAAGCACATCCTCGTCTCGCAAATCCATCCCATCCAACAACAACAACAACAACATGCTCTCCACCTAGACCTAGCAACATTGCATCTTCTTTATATTTTTCCATTTCTTTTTGTAGCTCCTTTTATATGCATTATCCCTTCCATTCACATATTCAATTCCATCCAAGCATTCCATGAAGCAAGAGAAGAAAGAACTCCAAAATCCAACTCAAAGAGTCGTATGATTCCTGTAAACCTCTCATCCGCATCATTTGTCGCAAAAAGCTCCATTGACAAATAAAATCAAGATGGTTCTTTCTCCAAACAACTAGCATGCATAGAACGTGTTTGGATATGTATTAAAAAAATACCATGATGGATCCAGTTATAATCATTTTAGACTTAGATGAAGACCAGCAACAATTATTAAGGTTTGATTTGTGAAAGGGTATGCCAAAAATATTAGAGTCTTCTATCAGGGGATTGCCAAAGCCAATCACGGACCATGCGATCCCGGCTCCCGCCCGCAGGAGATGGTAATGAAGGATCGATGGTGGTGATGGCGTGCTGCCCTGCTGCGGCTGGATCAGTGGTATGATTCATTGGATTGGCAGCGTGGCTTTGAGAATCATTGCGGCGGAACGGTGGCGTATTGGGAACGGGAGGCAACGGCGACCGTCGTTCGTCAAACGTATGTAAAGACTGGATGGTGTGCATAGGAATTTCTACGGCGTCATGTTCTTGCGGACGAAGGGTGGTAGAGTGAGGAGAGGAAGGACGTCGTTCGCTCGGATAGTGTATGGTGGGATCGATCATGGAGAAAGTGATGGGTTCGCTTGTATATGGATCTTCGATGGAGACGTTGCGTTCGGCGGGCTTGGCCTGGAATGAGGTGGAGGAAGAGGGAGGAGAGAAAGGTCGGCCGGCACTGGAATCGGTCAAAGGCGAAGTATCTGTGTAGAGCGACTGAGGATAATCGACGGCCACAGGAGACATGGGACGCATGAAGCCCGCAGGAGTCGCCGTGTCCACCACGGTCTTGGGATACAGTGTTTCGCCTGGTCCACTCGTCATTGTCGGTTGTTTTCTTTGGTGCATGTCATTGCTAGCAATAAAGTTGGTGATACGCCCGCTGTAACGTTGTTGTTGTTGATGAGGATGATGAACTTCTCCGAGCATTTCCGACCCTTTCGACGGTTGGATCGATTGGCTTTCCGAATCGCTTCGCGTACTGATGGCCACATTGGTAGCGTACTGTCGTCGTGGATGGAAAATACAAATCTGAAACACACACACAGTTAATCCATCATGTCCCTGCATCCTATATTAGGTGGTGGTGGTGGTGGTGTTCAGCGCTACTTACGAACAAGAGCCAGAGGAAAACAACACACATGTTGGCGTTGGCGATCAAGACATCTGAAGCAAACTTGTTCTGACTGATGACCTTGGCTGGCGTTAAGCCGTCGACGCACATGATAACGAACGAAGCGCCGTAACTAATCAGCGTAAATACGAGCATCACATTCATGTCTCTGAAATACGATAGTTTGTTGATGATGGCTGCGTTCTTGTTGCCACGACGGGTCATGGCAATGATCCGGCGAAATCTCAGATGCGACCGTACACCCAGCAAAGCGGTGATTAAAACTGATAATAAAGGACCAAAAAAAAAAAGCTTCGGTTACACCACGTCGCCCGATATGGCGATTTATTGAGAGCGTACCTTCGATACCGTAAGCCAATTGGGGCACAATTTCTCGATTCAATTCGTCGTTTCGATACACCCATTGCAAAATTGGAAACATGGCCATACTGCCCATAGCCCTAAAAGACGAAAACTTTTAGTCATGCATAACAAAACTTTTGGCCGCCCTAAATGCATCACCAATCGAAATGGCGTCTCTTCTTTTTTTGCTATTCTTATCTGATTAGCTTACCAAAAAATATAGAATTTGAACTCAAACGAACCCATGAAACTCTTGCGAGCCACACTGTTCGAGAGATAATTCCAGAAACACTGCATCAAGAAGAAGACGCCAGTGTGAAAAGAAAAGGTCACGCATTCAACATAGTCGATCGCCTGTGGGAATTCCAAATGAGTGTCACAGATTCCCAATCATTTGTATCACCGTTCAAAAAAAAAAAAAAAAAAAAACGTACCTGGATAGGTTGTTGATGTTCGCGCGCCCAAAAGTCAAAAGGTTTTTGAATAATGCGACCATCGGGCAATGCCATGAACCCCTCTTTGTACTTGATGGAAGTCGATATTGCATCTAACGTTATGGTGACAGAATATTAGACATCACAGTGATTGTCCATCTAGAATCGCTGCCGTCTTACCCCATGTTGTCTGTGTTATCATCATTAGAAACATGATGATGGTAATGATACTTTTTAGCTCGCCCGCCATGATTTTGGATGGTCGAAGGCATTGGAATCGATCGTTATGCCAAATATTATAGAGCAAATAGATGGTTATATAGAATGCAATGGTGCATCTCTCTAATTGGAAATGACATGTTTATATTTGTGTTTTTCGAGACCATGCCATGGCAATGGAATAAACAATACCTAAATAAGAAAAATCGCTATGGAGATGCCATCATGAATTAGTCTCCATGCCCTTTGGAAAATCATGACAACAAAGGCGTCTTACCTCAGATGGGTCATTGGCCTAAAGCAAACGAGAGTAACAAAAATGCAATTAGGTAAATGAACAAGAAGAACAAGAGGAAGAAGAAGAAAGAAGCAAAACGAGATAAAAAGAAGGTACGGTGTTGCAATTAGTAGCGAACCGAGAAAAGAATAAGGTTAAAAAGTGTATTAGGGTGATGTGGTGTGACGGATCTGAGCGTCCTGGTTGTCGTTGGTTTGTTCCTGCGTTTGGAATCTAAGCCATTGGTGCGACATGGAAAAAGAGGGCCAAGCTCCAGTTGTATGGGCTCAACCTATCAACGAGATGACCTGCTTCTTTTGGCAAATGGGATGGAAATGGAGTTTGAATTGGTTCGATGGGAGGAACCTCAATTGTTCCCTTTGGTTAGGACCAAGATGACGCTTTTAATTCTCCATTCACTCTTTTTTTATTTTCGTTTTCTTTGGTTCATTTTTTTTTCCCTCTCTTTCAATTTTTTTTTTGTTTGCTAGTTCACATGCAGTTTCGATTTTTACTTTCATTCTTTTCTGTGGCGATCCTTTCCGTAGTGGCCGCCAGTGACGCGGTTGAAGAGTTGCACTTTTTGTTCAAACGAGATAAAAAGCTTCCATTCAATGAATTGCCCAACACCAACTGTGGAGCGGTATCGTCATGTAGCAACATTCAAGGCTCGTTCAGTTGCCGTTGTAACGACGTCTTGACCGTGTGTCAAAACGACAAGCAGTTTTGCTGGGGTTCAAAAACGCTTCAATCCAACGAATGTCCTTCCATCCCTGCACCTTGCAGCAACCAATTCAACGGCACCGCTTCTTGTCTTTGCAACTCGGAACATGTTCTCTGCGTCGATAGCTACAACAATTATTGTTTCGGTAACGTAGCCGGTACGGGACCGCAAGCGTCTGTCTCGGTGGGTCCCATCCCCGTCAGTGGTTCTCCTTCTTCGCCTTCCTCTTCCCCATCTCCTTCCACCTCGGCTAATCAACCCAACAACGACAATAATAATCAGCAGCAACAACAAGACAAATCAAACGCTGCGGGTCATTTGATGCCGACCATGCACTTGGGCGTTTTATCCGTATTCTTGTACGTGCTGCTTCATTAAAAAAAACAGAAAGGTCGATAACCGCTTTCATCCATACTTTTTCTACGCTTTTTTATTCTATTGTTCAAAGCTCGATCCTTCTTGATGCTTTGTACAAGTGGGCGATGGAGAAAAATCCCGGATAAAATCGCCTTTTTTTCATTTTCATTCTTCCCTATTTTCCATTTCAATGATCTCATGTTAATTAAACTGCTTCATTTTCCGATTTCGAGAAAATTTCTCCATCTCCCATATCATCAACCATTCAAAAGCATCCCTACGGCCCAAGAGGTTGCTTTCGAGAATACATCTATGCTGGGCGTATTTGCGTGCGTCCTTTTTTTAGAGTTTTCGTTACGTTTCATTGTCGAGAAACGTGGATTCGATCCATCAAATTATTTGGGGATCCAGCCTTCTATTTAACAAATATTGGCTATTTCTATTGCTTCATGTCTGAGTGCCAATTAAGCAGATGGTCAACGACTCATTGTTGCCTAGACTGTAAAATAGCCATAGAATCAACGTCACCTTTACTTCTCTTTGCTCTTCCTTTTTTTTTGCTGCATAGATGCATATGCTTCTCCTTACTTGATGTGATGGACGCTCTTTGTCTGTCGGCGAAAAGGATTTATCAACCTTACAAGGGATAAGCTACGAGGGCCATCCAGGGGCAAGAAAAAAAGCTTGGTTCATTCTGTAAAGCATGTGCTAAAAATAGCTCAGCTGATTCTCATTCAATTAAACTTTCTGGCGATCCATAAAAGAAAATGAATGTATAATTACTAGAAAAGTTTTTGCATCTGATTAGTGGTTTCGAGTGAATTGATGGAATGTATGTTTTTCAGTGTATGCCCTGAGGAATGGCGATATGGCGAGGAATCACTTCTTTTCGTAAAGATATTCTCGTTTGAGCATAAAAAATTTTAGGTCCATGTTTAAATCAAGTGGCTATTGCCTATTTCGGTCGTGCCTGAACCGAAAAATAAAAAAAAAATACATTCGAATATATTCGACTTGATCATCAATCTATGAAATACCTATGTGCATAGGTTGCCAGTTATCCAAAGAAATAGCAACATGGAAATTTTGGCTATTTTGTTCAGTGATAATACTTTTCCTGGCCTTTTAAAATACTAATGCTTCAGAGTGAAAATATCAACCTATACGATCACTTGGGTTGGTTGGTTGGTTGGTTTTTTTTTTTTTTTTTTTTTTTTTTTGATGCGCGAATAACCTCTTGGAGTCTATTACCAAGTTAAAGTCTGCTTGGTCCGGCAGTGCTCTTTATCGGTACATTTAAAAATCGAGCGACACCTTTCGACACAAACTGCAAAATGAAAGATTATGCGTGGAAGGGCTGTCCCCATAATATGTCGGCAGTTGTGCTGCTTAAGATTCACTAGAAATATTATACTAAATCTGTCAAAAAAGCAGGTTTCTTTGTAGATCTCATCGTCTTTACCCTAATATTAGGTCATATAAATTTCCCATGCATTTACATATACAAGTGAAAAAGGAGTTTTTCAGCGTCAACAATATCGCAACTTCAAGGTGCAACTCTCATTCACTATTTTCGCTGCGTGCTGGGCATTCCTATCGCCAAACGAGTTGCAGTAACAAGGAAAATGGCCATGGCCGAGCCTAGCAGATATTGATAATAGTGACATGCTGTCTTTAACGTTAACAAAATAAATTATTAGGCACTGCTTGGATCTCCAACAAGCTGAAATTCGTAAATACAAGACCACCACCTATATACGTTTTTGTGTGGTTATAAACGTTTGTCTCTGAAATGTTCGCGTTTGAACAATGACAAGCTTGTAGTCAAAGTAAAATAACTTGGGTCTTGTCGGCTATCCTGATCTTTCTTCTTTAGCCTGTTGTAATCAGTAATAAAAGCAGTTCAATTTTCCTGGTCAAGCGGTGACTGTATTGATAAAAAAAATGGCTTCGCGGCAATTACGGTAACTGGAACTGACATTGTTTTGTCTCAAAGGACCTCTTGATGTTATGAGAAGGTCAACAACAAAAAAAGGATTTCATTATAATTTGAAAGGCCTCACAAAATAGATATGCATATCGTGGGGTTGTAGCTGTACCTCTCTATATATCATGCCATTCAGATATCGTTAAGCAGTAATTGTAAAATCATAAATCACGAAACAACTGTGAAATTCACTTTTAAGAGTCCAAATCCCGGTGTTTTGGGGCTGCTGTTGATAATGAAAGAGTTTTATTGTGTATTTTTGAGCGGTTTCAATTGGAGTATGGACGGAAATATGGGATGATAAAAAAAAAAAAAGGATGACAGATTAAAAAAATGGTTTACTCTTGTTTCTTTTCGAGGACGTTGTTTTGGTAATCATGGAGACGGAGCAAGTTGCGTTCCAACATGGCGACGGTGACTTTGCCGACTGAAGGGACAAAAATGGAAGAGTGGCATTTGACGTCATCTTCAAAGTTGGCAAACGAAGAAAAGTTGATGGCGACGACACCATCCTTCAACAGAGACGAGGGCAATTTGTAGTTGGGGGTAGGCACACCGGTAATGACGACATCGGACTTGGGGACCACGTCTTCCAACTTGTCATCGATATCCTCGACCTTGTGAGCGGCCAACTTGATACCGTTACCACGTGTGAACAGTTGAATACCGTTCACATCCACCGAGTACACCTTGGCACCGTCATTGGCCAACATGGCAGCCAGAGGACGACCCACAATTTCACTACGGTTCACCACCGTAATGGTTCTTCCATAAAGACGGTTGCCGTAAGGAAGCACTGAATTGTATACACCAATGTACTCCAAGATCTACAGTATCAAATTCACCCCCACCAAACAACACAGTCAGCCAACTTTTTTTTTTTCACAGCGCAATCTCTTTTCTTCTTTCTTTACCTTTACAATAGCCAAGGGAGTACAGGGAATAATACATTTCATGGTTTCGGATTCATCGAGGTAGCGGATATTGTGGTACACGTTGTAGACAAACTTGTGGCACAGACCTTCCACATCCTTCATGGCGCTCACACAGCTTTGCAGGTATAAATCCTAAAATGGATACGTATAATCCTTATTATGATCGGTTCCACCCGAAATTCCATTTCTTTTTTCATTTCTGGAGAACATACCTGCTTACCACCGAATACGGGGTAATAGACCATGATACCATTGACGGATTTGTCTTGGTTCGCTTCAGTGATCTTTTCTTCCAAATCCTGCTTATCGACCTTGCGAAGTTCGAATTCCACTCCGGTTTCCGCACACGTCTTGGATGTCCATTCAGCATACTTCATAGCGGCGGGATCTTCATTGGCAAGGAAGCCGACCAGCTTGGGTCGAATATTGCGCTCTTTGATATCGGCCTTGATTTGATCTCTATACTTACGTGTCAGGATATCTCGGTGGCAATACCTTCATCCCAAAACCAGCGCTTACCTGAAGGAGGCAGAAACCTTGGAAGCGAGAACGGTTTTGCAGGAAACACCCATGGCTGATATCGGGAAGAAAAAGGGAACGGTTTTTTTGGTATAATGTATTAGAAAACAAGGCTTGCCAAGGCAAAAGTGTCGGTGGATTTTAAAGAATAGGCTGAACCCCGAGGAGAAAAGCAGTCCACTGATGACTGACTGCATCAAAGCCGCCAATCTCCGCTCTACTCCGAGGCGGAGGGTGTGGGAAACCCGAAGCCCAACGAACCGTCGTTGCAGAAAGTGGCAGCATTTAAGGAAAACAAGGATGTTGGGGGCAATATACGACAGCATGCCGAATTTAAACACGGTAATGATCTCATCTTTTTTTCGCTTCCCCAATCCCAACATTTGAAGTTAAATAAGGGCATTGTTTATTTGAATTTCCCTGGTCGGAGAAGCCAGCCGTCGTCTATGGTGACAAGGGTGTTTGCAAGGTGTGTGGCGTTGTGGCGCTAACGAGATTGATCAATTCTTGTCTTTGCGTCAACCGTTTCTTTCGGCGGTCATCGCTCCCTTCCAACAACTCCACTTCCGCTTCCGTATGCGGAATAGCATGTGGAAGCAATACAGGCACATTCTTTTCATCCATGGCCGCTGTACACCAGCCAAAAAGAATCATCCATCAGCACTGGCACTTGTCTTTGAACATTAAGAAAAAACACCTACTTATCGTAAAGAACCCGTCATTGGTAAAGTTGACTTGCCCCGTTTGCAAGTTTTCTATTGATCATTTTTTCATTAGCAGTCCACATCATATACATCACCAATCGAGAGACAATATATATTACCGGCTTCCACACTGACATACACTTCCATGGATGATTTAAAGGTCCTGGACACAATGGATCGCACGGTCACCACATCCCCCACTCGGGTCGGAGTTATAAAGTTCAGTGAATCGATGCTGTAAAAGAACAAAAATAATTCAGTTTGGGCCCTGGCAATAAGAGGATCTTCTCCTTTTTGACATTGTCTTACCTTGCCGTAAGGAGATATGCCTTGGTCAATCGATGAGCACTTGTTAACGCGCACAATTCCATCCATGCCATGATTTGACCACCAAATGTGATACTCAGTGTGTTGGCATGTTGAGGCATAACCAGCTCCACCACTTCGGCAAAGGTGGTGGCCATGGCTTTTTCAGACATGGGCATCATTCGTGGATCCGTGGAATAGCGGCGTTGTGGCAATCTATCTCGTGGCGATTGGCTGGGAGAATCGTCAGCATTGTTACTGTTGATATTGTTGGATGCGCCCTCCGGTTCCACCGCGTACAGGGCTGGATGAGGAATAATGGGGGCATTCTTTCCAGTATCGTGCCGAAGGCCTTGAGACCACGCTTGGAACAATTGGCGAATATTTTTGAGATCCTGGGCTTTTCTAGCAAACCGGGCTTGTCTTCGACTCTCGGCCATGTCATACCGTTTGATTTCCTCTTGTGAATACGGAATAACCTCAGGCACGCGAATCGGTTGATATTCAATGAGTTTACGTCCAAGATACGTTTTCGGCGACGGTCTCGGAGACAGGGCCACAAACGTTAGATACGCGTGAGCAACAAATACCCGTTCCGCGGTCAACGGGGACTCCGCTTCCACTTTGACACCGACCTATCGTCAAGCCGTTCAGTATCAAGTATCAAGTAAATGCGCCGTGTCCTTTTTTTTTTTTTACCTCCATGGATGTTTTCCAGGATTTATTGACGGACGCTTGAATCGTAAGCTTTAATACAAGGTGAATATCAGGCTTTGTTTGGTTTTTTCTTTATCTGCTTACAATATCTCCCACTTTAACGGGATGCAGAAAGGCAACATCATCCACTGATCGCGTCACCTAGAATTTCCCTTTTTAGTAATGTATCAAAAAGGTTTACGAACGATGATTACCGATGGCACCGAAGCATGGCGCTTGGCAGCGATACCGGCTGCGACGTCAATCCATCCGAGGACAGTGCCAGCGTAAGCGAGTCCCTAAGAATGTTGATTATCAGTTGTGTCCTATTCTCCATTGTCAACCACATAAAGCGAATATATACTTTGGTGTTGGCATGCGCTGGCGTGATAATCTCCGTCATGGTAACTCGACTTTCGTAAGTAGGTCTTGCGTCGACGCGAACATTGCCTGCATTGGTGTAAGGATCGGGAAGCCAGCGGGTAATGATAGGCTGGGTTATAAAGAGAAAGGTCTTGAGCCACAACGACCGGATATATTCAAAGGCAGAGTAAGCACTCCACAGCGGCATGATTGGGTAATTGAAATAAAAAAAAAAGATGTTCAAAAGAGCAAATCCCAAAAACGTGCACTGAACGCGTGTGACCAAAAAAAGCAAAGCGGGACTATGGGTGTAAAAATAGTAACATCGCCTTCCGCGGTTGAACACACTCCATCACTTGCCCCCTTGCCCCCCGCGGAATCAGAAAAAGCTCATAGATAAAATCCATGTTTCTGCTCTCTTTTTTTTGACGACACATCTTTTTCCGTTTTTTTTTTCTTGTATCATTTTTATCACCATGGTTGAAGTCGCTTTGTTTGATGACAGTCTTATTTCTCCCGAAGTGCAAGCCGCTTTGCCCGCCGGTTACACGCTCCGTCCTCTTCGTTCCGGCGACTATGAACGTGGTTTCCTCAAAGTGCTCGAAGTCTTGACCGAAGTTGGCAACCATACCAAAGAACAGTGGCTCGGTAAGCTCCTACAAGAATGACCGTCCCGGTTAAGTCTAACATTTTGACACCTCCTCCGCTCTTACAGAACAGTTCAACTATATGAAGCAACACAACGACCAATGTAAGGACAGAGTGACGATCAAAGGAAAAAGTAGTTGCAGAGGAATTGAATGACCATGTCTGTAGATTACACCATTGCCATTACCGATGATGTCAACAATCGCGTGGTGGCAGCTGGCACCATTTTTGTGGAACGCAAATTTGTGCATTTGAACGGTCTTGTGGGACACATTGAAGATATCGCCGTGGACGGTCATCAACAAGGAAAGAAGCTCGGTTTGCGTATTATCCATGCTCTCATGTACATTGGTGCCCAACGTGGATGCTATAAAGGTAAGATAAAGAGGATTAGCAGGAGGAGTTGGGGGGATAATCAACGGATCACATCTGTTCGTGTGTACTTATGGCTGGGTTCTTTCTTGTTGTATTCTAGTCATCTTGGATTGTTCAGACAAGGTACATTTCATTGTTTGTCACACTGTTTATGCACGCACGACGTGAATGCTCACTGCATTTTTCTTTCATAGAATATCCCCTTTTACGAAAAGTGCGGTTTCAAGCACAAGGAATACGAAATGGTTTGGTACGTGCCTCAGGATAAGGCACGCTTGTAGTTTCATACCTATCATCAGCTTTTGATCTCTCATCCTTTACCCATCCTGCTTCCTTTTTGATTCCTATTTTTCTTTCTCGTTGCCATTTTTCCATCATCATTTATCAATAAAAATTCATCACAGTTTCCCTTTAGTTCAACGGCGTTGATTTTACCTCTTCATGTGACGTGATGAGAACTGCGTAAACACATATGTGCATTGGAAAAGAAAAAAAAAATTGGTCCCCATTTTTGGATACAGATTTGTGTTGCACTGCGCAGAACCAACCAAGTCAGATCCGTGTAAATCGCGATAGCGACAGTGAAGAGGGGGACGAGTCGGTGTAGTAATAGGTGATATGAACAAGGTTTATTACATCTTATTATCCCATTGTGCTGATGATGATAATACTTTGAATATCCCGGGGTATGTGGTGTCGAGGTTATCATGGCCCCAGATCGTATCCATATGCTCATAATCGGGAATCCGTTCTACATGTATGAGATTCAACATGGGGAACAGGTTGTTTTCGGCGTGGTCGGTGACAGGATCAGGGATAAAATGGCCTGAAGCATCGTACTTTTCGTAACCGGCAAAAGTACGAATAAATCGTTCACCGCTGACCAGGTAATCATCGGAGCCATAAAAAACGGCCAAAGGCACTTTTTCCGATGGAAGTCTATTTTTCAAATCTGCATGACTGCCATTGCTGCCTGTCAGATGAAGACACACGCCACGTCGGCCCCATCCTTCCAACCAGTCGGCAATCAGACGTGAACTCACTAGCCGGGGTGTGAATTGGAAATATTTCACTTTTCTTCGTCGTAACCAGTGACGGTCCCACCATGAGAACAAATACGCAAACATACTGTAAGCCAGTACGGAAAAGGGACGCGGAGGCAACCATTTCTGAGCCGTCATCATCAATGGCAAAAAGGCCGTCGTACCTTTGGGATGGACGAAACAATGACTTCAATGCACCGCGCTTAATTAAAAGACCGCCCAAGAAAAAGGGCACTTACCAAATATGAGTTTGTACCACCGATCGTCCAAATTGATCAATAGTCGAATCGGAAAAGTACTATGTCAATCCAATGAATTCATGAGCTCACTCTTATGTATCCATCACCATCCATGGGGGAATATCGACGTTACCTTGTCAAACTTCCCGAAAACACCGCAGGAGCCAAGGCAATGAAACAACTCAACTTGGTGGCAATCTCTGGCTGCAGTGCCAACGCCACAAAACCCTGGGCATTTCCTTGAGAATGACCAATGTAGGCAATCTATCACACCATCTGATCAGGTTCATTGTCATGGTAATGAGCATGACCAAAAGAGGAGTTTCCCTTTTTTCCATTTTTACCTTGTCACTATCTGTCGCTTGTCTCACATGGTCGATCATGGCTGTAAAATCGTACAGTGCCAGTTCCTTGATTCCCCAGTCCCAGAATTCGGGATCTTCATGTGATAATGTGGTATGGTCCAATGTTGCCGTGGCCCGATTGTTGCCCAGCCACACGTCATAGCCTTGATCGGCTAACACAAAAGCCAGAGACTTGTCTTCATTCAGTACAAAGTCGCCGGAACACTGGAAAAGACCATGGCCCAACAAAACCGCTCGTTTCCCTACAAGTTCGGAAGAGAAGGGAGGGAGGGAGGGGTTGAAGAGGGTTCGTTTCGTTGCCTCAGTAAACATGCAACAACTCCCTGATTCACCTGCCTTGTAAACTTACCCTTGATATCCGCCTCCTTTTTATTGATTCTGTACATTCGTAATACGTAGCCGTCTTGTGTGGTAATATCATATGCTTCACAGCTGTAACCCCAGTGGCGTGCATAATAGGCTTCATCATGGGTAATCTGTTCTTTTGTTTCCTCCCACTCTTGATCATTTTTGGGGATGTGATCACTTCCTCGTCGATTCTTGTCGGTATGGTTGCGTACAGCTGTTTGAAATAATGCCAACGGAAGGAAGCATAGAACCACCGCCAGTGACAAAACGGAAGAAACAGCGTACGTTAACCACAACGCTACGTGTTCGGACGTATGACGTTGAATACGATGCACACGTCTTGGTACATAGTGTGTGGTTGAGTCTGGTTTGACGAGTAGTTTGTCGGATTCATCCGTATTGAGATCAGAGGAATCGGAGGTGGATCCACTGAGTGCTGGGGTGGGTAATGACACGCTCGATGAAGGTGTGGATATACATCGGCGAATTTCGTCATTTTTGTCTCCAAAAGGGTCTAAATCAGAAGACGTATAGAGTGGCGATATCGAAAAATCGTCTTTCCATGAAATCGGTCTTGTAGCTGTAGGCGTTCTTGGCTGCATGTTGATATGCTGAGAAGTAGATAATACAAAAATGAACAAACAAGAGAAAAGAAATGAAATGAGATATGAGCCGATTGAAAAAATAGTCCAAGCGTTGAAAAAAGCCTTGCGTACCGATTTTTAAAGTCCGCATGGTTTATGCGGGCAGGAAGGCTTGGCAAGTCAAAGGCACCCGTGCGTGGCGCTTTGCACACAAGCATGTCGTAGGGAAACAAAAAGAAAACAAACAAAGAAATGAAACCCGGACAGCTTGTTGTATACGATTACAGAGATGCAACACCAGCATCAATCTCTACCACAGAATCGCATCCTTCACTTAAAGTGTTGCAATGGAATGTAGAACGTAACTATGGTAGGCAAAATTATTCGTTGAGAATTGAGTCGTATTGTATGAACTGAACCACTCGGTTTGTATTGCAGCATCTGAGGATATTTTGACCATCATGAACCAACTGGATCCCGATGTCGCCATTCTGCAAGAAGTCGATATCGACTGCAAGCGTTCAGGCTCACGCAATCATATGGAAGAAATGTGCAAGGCCCTCAAGATGAAAGGCGGATTTGTTTGCGAATTTCACGAAATCGACAGCCCAGTCCGCGAATTGCGCAACGAGGTAAACTAAAAAACAAAGAGCAAGATGCTTTTCTTTGACAAGAAAGTTGAGAAAGACAAAGGTCGACTAACTTGTACTGTCCAAAAAAAAAAAAAAAAGGGGGGCGGTTTTCACGGGAACGCTATTTTATCAAAATACGATATTGATTTCCAAGTGTTGGAGCATCAGTATCAACCTTTTGACTGGCCCAAGGATGGACTTGGTCTTGGTGAACCACGCGAGGGACGGTAAGAGTATATACAAGCATTTACGGTAGAAAATACCTCCAATTGCCTAAAAAAACTCACGACCGGGGGGTTCCCCAAAAGCCGTTATACGTTAATAGGTGTGGTCAAGGCTGGTTCCTTGCCGCCTATACGGTGCTATTGCGTTCATTTAGAGGTATAACAAAAAACACTGGACCACTATAGAAGCGTGGTGATTGGCAGATTAAACAGAACCCAAATTGACCTACTTTGGATGTAGGTGTTCACTGGTATTATTGGACGAGTGGCCAGTTTTTCAGAGATTCTGAAAGACGCCGCCCACCACGTGGCCGACACACCTCATCAGATTATCTTTGGTGACCTCAATACCATGGCTCACTCCATTGTTCGACTATCACCAAAGTACGCCCGCGATCGATACCGCTGGCTGTCGCTGGGAGAATCCGAGAGCAGTTGGTGGCATCAAAACGTTTTTGGGTTCCACTGGGACGACGGCGAGGTGAATCACCTTTTGGCACGGGCGGGGTTCACAAGGCATTACCCATTATGGCTCTTTCATCTGCTGTGGAGCATCTTGGGGGCATGGCCATTTACACTGATAAGTGGATTTAATTTACCTGTGTTACGGACGGCGCGCAACCCAGGTTTCTACGATCCGTGGCCGTACGATGATGTCACGCTCGAGAACCCATCGTACGGTGGTCTGTTTAAAGCCAAGTTGGATTGGACGTTGGTGAGATATTTCAAGGTGGTCCAGAAGTGGACAGGCAACGCCGATTATCGCGCGAGTGATCATCGGTATTTGATGGTCCGAATCACACCAGATGAGGTGACTCAAACTGAAGATTCAAATTACCACGTCACCTGGGCGGCTCGACGGCGACAATATGAAGAAGAAAGCGCATTGGCGATGATTTCAAGAAGGAAATCGGCCATCGTTACGGCTCTTATTATCGCCGTTATCCTAGGATTCTACAGATATTTTATCATTTGAGTAACCTTGTCCAAGAACCAATAAAAATGGTCGAGATTACATGAGAAAATGCCGTTTTCTGCCATGGTTGCAATTCGATATCAATCCTCGCACAAAAAAAGCGTGCTTTCAAATCTTATTTTATTATCCAAAGGCGATGCCCAAAAATGGGCCATAATTGAACTCTAAAATGATTAGCCATTTCGCGGCCGAACGCTGTTGGGTGTTTGGGATGCAACTGAACCCACCGTGTCGGACCTGATGAGAAATTTTGAGCCAACGAAGCGAGTTTTAGATCGCTGTCCAATGGCACCGTTCGGTTGTCGGAGTTACATCATTGTTCGTCATCTGCATGTTGTTGCTGACGATCTGAGAGGTGCATCGAACTAGTCCAGACTGATCTGCAAAGAGAGATATGTTACTAGTTTATTGTTCGTGCAATTTAAATGAAATGAACAAACTATGACAATGCTTACTAACTAGGCCTTTGTGATTGCGTAACGAAGTAGCAGAAACAGATGAGAAACATTTTTCATTTCAAAAAAACCACTCCGTCACCGTGGATCTGATGATGATCCACGGTTTGAATTCTTGAGAATTGTTGGAACGTGTGGATGTTTCATACCCAAAATTATGCATGTGATTCTTGACTCTTCGTATGAAATTCACATTGTGAAAAATGGGAATTCGTAAAATACCGATCCATACTCTTACCAAAAATCTATCTATTAAATACCCAACATTCCCACACATCTTTGTAGATCTATCATAACCTTGGGCGGGACAGAACGGAGGGGGTCAATAAGTGCTGCTTTGTTCATTAAAAGTGTTTCATGGTATGCCAGAGTATTGACATTAATATACCAAAGTTCCATCAAGAGTCTCGCCCAGGTTATGCCGTATTGCGTTAGGCTTTTTGTCTGACGAATGTCGCTCAAGGCAAGAGTGCGGCATCCAGTAGCAGGTGGCATCCATTGCACAGCGGGTGTACGGCTTGTTAAGAAAAAATATACAACGGATGAAGAGGCATATATGCAGGCATGTAATTAGAATCATTTGGTGGAAGCTTGCATTATGGATTATCTTGAATTTTTTATTCTATTCTATTCTGATTTAAAGCAGGCACATGAACAATAAGAGATTTTAATGCATAGTGGGCATGACACAATAGAATAAAATGAAATACGGTGCATGAAGTTTGTGATCGCGTCTTTTTTTTTAATTTCGGTTTTTCTTTTTGCGCATTATACTTGTAATGCAGTATCGCGATGATAATAATACACTAGAATCAGATCATATTGATGCAAGAAAAGAAAAACAATTCTTCATTACAAGGACCAACTTAGAAGGTTTGATTTATTATTTGCATTTTTCATTATCATGTTTTCATTCAAAAAAAAAGATATTCTTGTTTCAAAGAAAGTTCAGGGCAAAAGCACGGCATATAATTAATCACAATTTCTTTAGGATTCTATTAAAAAAAAATGGCAAAGTTGCAAGTCTTTGGAGAGACCATCTAATTTTTTTAATGTAATGAGGTGTCAAAGGGCGAGATCACACAGGCGAGATCACACTATTTCGGATCAGAAAAAAAAAATCTGGATCATCGAGCACTTAATTTTACTTGTGCTGACCAGAGCAAGTGGCTAACGAAGGTCTAGAAAAAATCTTGTTGTAAGGATTGGAAGCTCGATGAAGAACTGGAAGCACCGATGAAGGACAAATCGATTTAACATTTCATCATAGTTTCTGGTTGATAACCCATCTTAATTTTATTTTTTTCTATTTACAGAGATTAAAAACACGTCTGGATCGCCGAGACATTTAGTGAACAGATCAGGGCTGGATGATTCTTCTCCGGCTATTGTATTAAAGTAAGTTAGGGCGAATCGGGATTGCACCATGAGCGGCTTTTTCAACAGGACACTAAGCATTATGGTTTTTTTTTTTTTTTTTTTTTTTTTTTTTTTTTTTTTTTGGTCGGCTTGCCGTGGGCGGTCTTTGAAGCCTGTGTTCGCTTGGCTTCGGGATGAAGCCGAACCTATCGTCGAAAAAACTAGGTTCAGTGCTAAGGTGTATAATGGCTACTTTCACTTACAAAACACCCATCATTACGCTTTTTCAATGGCCAAGAAAATGGATCTAGATAGACCAAAGAATCAATTCAAAAAAAAAGCTTATTACGCTTTAATTCCGCATTGCAGATAAACTAACCTATTCTAGCAGGTGCCCGAAGAAGAAAAATTCTTTGAAATTTACAGTGGTAAGAAAAAAGCGCTTCATCATACGTTTTTCTTGCTGGCACTGAAAGTCGTGTTCAACTATAACATTAATGAAAAATGCAACGTCAAAAAGCGCGGCAATAACTTTTTTCTCTTTGGGAACAGGTAGACTGATGGATAAATTATTAAAGTTGATGGAACACCAATTTATTGCCTCCCTATCAAGAATTCTAAATCTGTTTTCGACGTGCATCCAGATAATAGTACAATGATGCATTTAATTACAACCAAATCATTGACATGAATAGCCAAGAAAAAAAAAACAATACAGCCATATGGCAGGGAAAAAGAAAAATCCAATGTCAGACTGGTAGGCCATCATTTTAGCCGGACTGAGTTTCCTTTTTGGTTCAGAGTCAACGCAAGCCATCAGGCACCCGATGCTGTTTCCCCTTCTGTGAAGACAGTGCAAATGTTTGGTAACAATAGCCATGGTATTTTTCTCCTTTCAAAACGTGGAGCGTGGGACGTTTCAGGAACCTGATCGATTGGATCGATTTGTGGAAAAATGGGAAGTGGTTTCTTTTTTCATTATCATATGTATTCAGATGCTACTGAGCGATTGTGAAGGACAACAAGGGTGGCACAAAGATATCTAGAACTTGTCCAAGATAGGGATATCTGTCCTACCCAACATGCACCACTCAATGTGCCTTGGTGATAATGATATCGTCATCCTAGTGAATTTTTTCTTGTTCCCCCCCCCCAAAACCGCTATTTCCGTCTTTCTCTCCGTGCTTTTTGGGCGTGGCTTTCCACCTTCCTCCCTTCCCCCCAAAAAAAGCGACGGCAAAGGAAAATGCCACCTGAGAAAAAAAAAAGAGAGACCGGTCTTTTTGACATGCATGGGTAAAGAATCCTTCCGCAGTGAATTTGGAAAATTTTAGGTCGTCCCTGGGTAGATTCATTACAATAACCGAAGCAAACACATATTTCCAGTGGTAAAAATCTTTGGCTCAGCACTTTTTTTTTTCCAACAAGTATGAAAAGAGGCAAATGGCTCGTTGTCTTACAATTGTATGGCGTACTGGGGGTGTGGAGTCAATATTTTTATTCTTTATATGGATACGTGGAGAAAAAGCCAAAACAAATGAACAAGATGAACTTTCATGGGCGGAAATGATGGAAATGGAATTTGGGCAAAGTTAGGTAACCTACTGGTTGTTGTGGTTGCAAGGCAACATGGGTGTGGGGGTTTAAGATTTCAAGTATAGCTTGACAAAGTACAATGTGGCTATATTTCGAGGTCACTGGATGTGGTTGCTTGAAACGCACTAGAGCCGTTCATGGGTCAAGCCTGACCGTCTGAAAACAGAAGAGCCTGCGAAAAAAAAAAATCCCCAATCAATATGGGAAGTCATGATTTGGTGCTCTGTGAAAAAGAAAGTTTAGTACTGTTATTGAATCTGTCTAACCCAAGCATATGACTTGTAATATACCATGATCGTCGATGCATCCAAAATTCGTTTACTTTCAAAAGCTTTCTTTCGACTCAATCAAAGAAACAATCAGATCGATGGCTCCCCCGCTCGCTCGTTCACTCGTTCCCACGGTAGAAGAGGACTTTTATCGACATAGAGACCATGTTCTATTGGCTAGGAAACTTTAATATTTTTGGTAATAAACCGGTTTTTTTTTATTTTTCTTATTCAGAGACATTCGAATTGTCATGAGTAATGCAGAAAGACTAGAGTCTACGAACGTTCCAATTTTTTTTTTTTTTTTTTTTTTTTTTTTTTTTTTTTGGTTCGATGCCAAAAACCAAAAAAAAAGAGATAACTCTTCTCGGAGTGACAATTTCCAACTAAATTCCCTTTTTTTCAAGCTCCCGATTTTTCATGATAGCGCGGGATTGGGTTGTGGATGGTGCGACACGGATGTGAATGACATTCGCCTTTTTGGCACTCCAAAATGGAGAGAAAGTGAAGAATGGAAGATATGTTTTTGTCACCAGGCCATGTGTGGTTCAACGCCCAAAAAAAATCCAAAAAAATTGAGTTTCAATCTCGAAAAATGTGGGGAAGATAGGATTACGTTTTTTGGCAAATCTCGAAGAAAGAAGTGGAAAATGATTATTTCTGTTTGATTGTTCATTGTGGTACAGTTTGAGAGGTAGTAATAGTAGGTCTCTAGAATTACCATAGTAGCACAACCTTTGCATGGGAAAGCATAGCTTTTTTTTCGTGTTTTGTTTTTACTTTGGGAAAGAGTTCAGTTGTACTTGGTATAATTCGCCCGTACGGTTGTGTCGTCCCTTCTCAACCGTCTGTCGATTCTTTGTGTTGGTGTTTTCCTAATACGTCGTAAAAAGAAAAAGAATATAAATATCCTCCCAATATTCAGGAAGAAAGGACATCGTCCGTAATGTCTCCTAAAATAAAAAGTAATCCTTCGGCCCCCCGCTGAAGTTGTCCCATCGTCTGTGGAAGCTATCCAAAATAGGCAACTCCTCTCTCTCATGACAACGACACGTCATCCCATCAACTCCCACTCATAAGAGAGGAAAAAAAAATGGCATTCAGAGATTATTGTGGTATCGGCTCCGACACAATCTGGTCGACGCGGGTCACCGACACCAAAAAAGATGTTGTAATAGCTGTGCGGGTTACGTAGGTGGAGTTAGGTCGCAACCAACCAAAAAAGAATGGCTGCGGGCTTCCATTTTTAAGTTGGAAAGCCGCTCAAGTGAGTCGAGTAGAATGTGTACCACGGAATAACGAATCACAATCGCTGATTGCGGGGTATATCACGTCTTACTCTTTTTAGTAATCGAAAATAGCCTCGACATATTCTACATCCGATTTCCTATAAATTACGATCACCCAGCCATCGTTCTTGCAGCCATCGATCTCTTGGTCAATCAACTCCTCCTCTTTCTTCTCGACAACCCTCGATTTTTTTTTCTTTTTTTCTTTTTTCTTGAATTCTTTGATCCTTCTCTTTTTTTCCGTTCAACTTTCCTCGTCGAACCCGAAAAAAACCCAACCTTTCACAAAAGAAGAAGAAAAAACTTGGAGTTTCGTTGATCGTCGTTCCTCTTTCACACATTAATTCCAACTTTCGAATTCACCCACAATAACAATGGCGCTGCAAAAGTCGCAAGATATGGGTTATCCCAAATACATGGTGTTCTGCGCCCTCGTCGCAGCTTTCTCTGGTTTCAACGTTGGTTGGCATATCAGTAAGTATTTTTTTTTCTCGATCCTTAGATTGAAAATTTTTTATTATTGTCAATCCCGATAAAATTAGCATCCTTTTATTATGAATTTTTGACACTCAACGAATTTTTATTTTAGGTGTACCCAATATGCCTCAAGGTTATATTACCAAGTGTCCTCCGGAAGGAGCTGGTAATGGTGCGTTGCCCAACTGTTTCCCCATGTCCGATGGTACCTGGTAAGCAGAAGCGATATTTTTTAATCTGTACAGCCAATGACGTATTTTGTACCTGTTTACTTATCAACATTGGAACTGTCAATTCTAGGGGTTTCACTGTCGGTGCTTTCCCTCTAGGTGGTTTAGTTGGTGGTCTTGCCAGTATGAATCTTAACAACTGGTTCTCTCGTCGTACCTGTATCCTGATCTCTTGCGGCTGGTTCATTCTCGGTGGTGTCCTCTCTGCTTGTGCCGTTAACCTTTACATGGTGAGTCATCATCGCTTGTTCAAAAAAAAATATTCCCAGAAATTTGTCGACTCATCACTATTCTGTCATTTTTTAAAGTACTCTGTTGGCCGTGCCTTTGTTGGTATCGGTGCCGGTATTTGCGGTTCTTCCGTTGCTATCTACGTCTCTGAAATCTCCACCATCACCGCTCGTGGTGCTCTCGGTTCCTTGTTTGAAATGTACTTGAACTTGGGTATTTTGTTCACCCAATTGTTCGGTTTGTGGCTCGGTAACACTCCCTCGTGGCGTGTCTTGTGGGCTATTCCCACTGTCCTTGCTGCCATTCAACTTGCCGTTATTCTTTTCTTCACTGTCGAAACTCCTCGTCGTCTTTGCGGTGACAAGAAATACGATGCTGCCTGTGCTGCTCTTCAGAAACTCCGTGCTGGCGCTGATGTTGAAGAAGAATTCGCCCACATGCTTGCTGCTCGTCAACGTGAAAGTGAAGGCCATCCTCGCATGAACGTCTTCCAAGTTCTCTTCTGGAAGGACAAGCACGTTACATGGCACGCTATCATTGTCATGGTCTTGCAAGCTTACAACCAAGTCGGTGGTATCGGTCCCATGTCGGTCTACTCTGTCGGTTTCCTTTCCAACGTCTTGTCAAATGCTCCCTTGGCTACCGCCATTTCCTTAACCGATGCCGGTGTCAACTGTATTGCCACCTTGATTTCTTTGATCTTCATGCGTGTCGTTGGTCGTAAGGGTTTCATGTTGCTCTCCTTGGGTGGTACCACTCTCGGTTGTATCTTCATGGTCATTGGTGCTTCCGTCAAGGATCCCGCCAACCCTACCAAACTCGGTCCTTTGGTCATCACTGCCTGTATCGTTTACACCTTCTCTTACTCCATGGGTTGCGGTGTCATTCCATGGATGATTGCCCCCGAACTTTTGCCTATGCACGCCTTGGCTGCTGGTTCTGCCCTGGGTTCCGGTTCCAACTGGCTCTTCAACTTTATCATCAACACCATCTGGCCCTACATGGACTCCGGTATGGGAAGCTACAGTTTCATCGTGTTCGTTGCCATCAACTTTATCGGTTTCGTCTTTGTCCTGTTCTGCATGCCTGAAACCACTGGCAAGGATCTTGATGATGACTCGGATGATAAGAAGAAGCACGACACCCTTGAATCTGGCGCCGCTGGTTCGAGCCAGAGCAGCACAAAGGAGAAGGCCCACGAGAATGTCGAACATCTCGAGAATGCCAAATAATTATTTTTTTCTTAATGGCAAAAATTCCCCTTCTTCTTTCCCCCCTCTAAAACTTTCAGAATAATATTCCCTTTACCTATTCTTTAGTCCGTTTAACTTTTTCCTATCCACTTTGTTTCCGACTTCTTTTTTTTTGTGTTTGAATTTCCTTTATTTCATCTTTCCCACGATTTTGTTGTATGTGTACAGTAGTTGTATTATTTTATCCCTTTTTCTTTTTTTCTTTCAACTTACCTCCCTCGAGTTTTCTCGTGAATCTCAAATATACTTTCTATCCATTTCTTACTTTCTCTCTTTATTCCCTCTTTTTTTATCATTTGAATTTGCTTTACATAAAATAATGTGGTTCAAATCTATAAAAAAAGTCGTTGATTTCTATTTTTAGTATTTCATTTTTGTTTAAATTTCTCCAAAATCAGATCTAAGCTCAAAGTGGCAGTGCCAATCTATGAATGATCAAATCTTGCAACTGATTTTTCGGTAGATTATTTTCCCTCCTCTGTCTGTTGTAGGTCAATGGGCAAAATGCAAAAAGGTGACAAAGCATATATGCGTGAAACGGATCGCTTGGTTGAAAAGTTTTTTGCCACGTTTGACTAATCATCAAATGCGCCGACAATGCTAGTGGAATATTTTTTTTTGTTTTGGACCAGTGTTGTCATGGCAAATGCGTGATTACAATTGAATCATGTGGGAATTGGAAGTCCGTGCTGTAAAACGGAATTAAGTGTGTTGGGAAACTCCACTGGATCCAGCTTTTTTTAATTGTGTCGAACCAGAAAAAAGGAACGATCAGATTAATCATCCTTTTAGATCATTCACCGTAGATCATCTGGGTCATTTCCTTTTGACTTCTTTTTGCGATTTCGTTTTGTTGCAGCGTTGCAATGACAATTGCAGAAGAAGAAAACAGATGCAGATAGTTTGTTTTTGTTGATGTGCTTTTTTGAAATTGGCGGGTGTCTTGATGCATTCGTGAAGTGCATTTCTTTTTTTTTTTTTTTTTTTTTTTTTGGTTGTTCTAGCGCGCATCGATGACGGTTCGTAAGCATTTTGTCCAGCCACATGCACGAGGAATTTTTTTTGAGTCTCCGTTCAGTCCAAAGTGGGTGTGGACTAGGTGAGCCATTTCGGATAAACGATTCCGTCCAAACTCCGTTATCTGCACACCATGGAGTTCTCAGGGTTCCAGTGAAAAAAAGAACGGCCCGCCAGCCCATATTTTCGGTGTGCAAATGGTGCAGATAGTTTTCCATATCCGCTCTTAAAGCCTAATTTGTTCTCAGGAGGACGCGGTCGAGAAAGCCGAAAATTTCATTGGGTGCTTTCAAGCTGGTCAATGTCATTAGTGAGTGCTCACTATTGTGTTCATCATTCGTATTCATCATTTCGTGTTCACCATTCGTATTCAACAAATGATCTCATATATTTTACTTTTGCAATTCATCAGGTTCAGCTGAGAAAGGCTCTTCATATATATGATTCCATTGCAGTTCCAAAAGCTTGTTGACGGTGAACTGATGCCACGCTTCAATCATCTTCACTCGCTGTTTGAAAATTATAGCGAAACAGGACACGCAAAAAATAGAGACTCCACAGGCGTTCCATGGATGTCGAACATCCAAAACGAAAAAAGGGAATGATTTTTTTTCAAGACGAGAAGAAAAAGGAAGAAAATACCAAAAAAAATAGACGCACTTATTTTTTTTTCCTCTTTCACAGTGGCCCCTAACCTTTTCACACGGCCGTAAGTGTTGTGTATTGTTGTATGATGGCATGAGCTATGTCATCATGAATAGCCTATTTTCGCACTAAAAAAATAGTGATGCTAGACATGGCAGTCATCTCGTTTCAGCCAAAAGCGTACTTATGCTGTAAAACCAATGATGGCTGCTACATTTAGCTTAATCAATGGCAGTAAGCAACAATCACGCAATAAAATAAAAGTATCCCATTCAGTTGAGCATATCATCATCCCCAAAACATCTCGTTGTTTCCCCTTTTGAGATACGTTGTGTGATTATTTCAGGTATTTCATGCAAAAATTGGGGACTCAAGAAGATAAATGACGTCATGGTGAAAGAAAAATTGACGTGATTGGGTGTTCATGCAAAGGACGGTTTCAGTATAAAAAGGTCATCATCAGACGATTTTTTTCCCACTATTAGCAAAAACACTCTATATCTTTAATATTTTAAAACATCATGTATGCAAACGAAGTTATTGGAGAACCCGTCAAGCAAGATAAGCTTGGTAACGATAAGCCCGTCGAAACCAACGATGAAAACGAACGTCTCAGCCGACGTGAAGCTGCACGTCGAGCCGACGTACGCACTGCTGGTATGTCCGGTCCAAAAATAATAACTTTGATGGATTTTCTTTTTACTAACTCACTGTCCGCATGGTAATTCCAAAAAGTGTCTCCACCTTCTCGACGTGGTCGCGATCGCGGTTTAGAAGCCAGCAATAACGTCTCGTCTAATACAGATGATCTCGGTCACGTTTATGCTCGGGATGAATTGATGGAGCAAAACGTTGAGCGACGAGGACGTCAATTCGATCGTCACAGCGGTACCGGCTTGGTGTAAGTGGTCTGATGGTGGACAATGGCAACGGTGTATATCGCGAACTCTGGCTTTTGAGACTGACTCTTTTTTTTAGTGACTCGGCCAAAAAACTCAAACAAGGTTGGGGCCATTTGGATACCGCACAAGAAGACGCGTAAGTAGAACATTGTGCTGTTAGCATTTTGAACATAATGGGGAGCACTCTTTGAGTAATTAAATCATCTAATTTGTTTCTCGTTTACTTTTGTCCCAAATTCAGTGCCGTGGATTACATGCCGTCAGCCCAAGATCCCGCCGGCGAAGGCATGGCTACACCAAGAGACGATTTCGACACCGACGATGACACAAAGACACTCGATGAGTACAAAAAGTCACAAAAGAATTCGCATGTACCTTCTTTGCCGACGGCTCGTAAGCCGAACGAAGGCGGCGTCGATAAATCACAATTGAAAGATGGAATTCCTCTTCATCGAGAAGATCAAGTGTTGTCTTAAGTGGATATAAAAAAAAGGGATAGTGTAAATGTATTATAACTTTTTCTGGGGGACTCAGATTTTTTTTTTTTTTTTTTTTTTGTAAATGTATAAAATAAAACAAATTTGAAAAAGTTCATGCCGTTATATGGAGATGCGGGAGTGGGTTTGGATGGGTAAAAACGAGTGAACCAATGAAAAGCGATGATGTGAGCAAAAGAGAGACGGTCATCGAGCCACGAAAGCGAATAGCAGCTTAGGGAGTTGGTCTGGAACGGAGGACAAGTGACAGGGCTTGAAGGATTGTATTTGTGATACAGGCACAATGAAGCCAATTTTTCTAATTAACCATCTAGACGAATGATTGGCCAAGCAATTAAAATGAGGTGCATTTATTATCCCGCCGAACAAACTATTAGGTGTTTTTTTATTGATGAATGAATTTTGGGTTCTTTTTTTCTTGTGTTCTTTTTTGGGTGGGTGCGTCTCCCCCTTCTTGGGTTCATATAAATTCATACACTCCCGTCCTATTTACATCTGTTTTATCTTTTTCTTCTCCTTTTTCTTCTTTGCCCTCTCTTGTCTCTTTTCCTTTTTTTTTCTGGTGACTTTTTTTTTTAACTTCAGTTGGACGTGACAAAAAAAAAAAACCTTGTAGCTTTTTTTCTTCTATATTATAATTTCAAATACATCGTTCAATATGACTGCTTCTACTGTTAGTAGTGCGACCAGCCCTTTTACTACCAAGAGCACACCGTTATCGTCTTGTACGGATCGGCCATTGTCGTTGGGATTACCTCCTAGTGCGTCTTCTGGCCTGGCCAATCGAAGACGTAACAACAAAAACTTATCACTGTGTCTCACCAATTCAGCACGCATGTTTGCCCCTGCATCACCCAAATCTGCTGCTTTTGCACGGACACCCACCTTTGATAACATCATGTCACAACATCCCACGGCCAACAACCCATACCTCCAGGGACCCGTCTGCATTATGCCCAAACTCTATTTAGGTGCTGAACATAATGCATGCGATCTGATCCAGCTCCGACAATTGTCCATTCAATGCATTCTCAATGTGGCCGCCGAAGTCCATCATCCTCATGAACACCTGTTTGAACCGCTGGAAGATTTTCTAATTGCACCCACTCCTTCGTTATCCATGACCTCTACCGCCAGTAGTCACGCTTCCAGTCTCCAAAGTACCGCCGCCAATGTCGCCGATCCTCACTCCAAATTGTCTTGGTCTTACAATAGCCGAAAATCTGATGATTCGGCGCCACTGTCAAGTCTCCCGTCCAGCAAGCGAGGATCCGCCGATACCTTGTTTGCAGCTCATATTGGATACAAAAAGTTGCCATGGGATCATCAAGAAGAGAATCTCGCCCATGAATTGAAATACGCTGTGGACGCGGTGCGTCGAGCCATGGATGCTGGTTATACTATCTTGGTGCACTGTCAATGCGGCGTGGCGCGGTCCGCCACGGTGATAATTGCCTTTGTCATGACTACCATGGGCTTGCCCATGTCCGAAGCTTACGATTACGTCAAAGCACGAGCTCCTGCCATTAGTCCCAATCTCCATTTACTGTATCAATTGAGAGAATACGAGCAGTATTTGACGCTGCAAAAATTGACGTCCTCTTTACCGGCCCCTGCCCCGGCTCCCGCTGTACCTTGTTCTTTGGACAACAATGTGGATCATCGTTCTCCTCCTTCTTCTTTCATCTCTTCATGCGGAGACCAAATGAAACCCATTCATGTAAATGAACCGACTCCTTATCAATCGGAGTCGCCCTTGTCTCCCATCCATTCCAAGCTGCTCTTTCGCTCCTCTTCGGCGGGTTTGGCGTCCACATGGAAACGTCGTGTGGCCAAAGCGACACGAGTGTTTGGTCACAAAGCAACCGCCAGCAATACCAAGCCTACGATTCACGGTGAAGAATGGTGGGCTTTAAAGAAGTAAAGCGAGCTTTTGTACTGTATTACACCTTCCCCTCCCTCCACACTACATGAATATTCCCATTTTGAAAACATATCCCCTTTATACTCATTTTGATTGTATGCAGTTAATTCATCTTTTTTTTTTCTCTTTCCTACCTTCTTGTTGTCCATTTAATTACATTCATTTCTCTTTTCCTTCTTTCCCCTTTTTTTTTTCCCGGCTGTATCATTGTTTCAGGCCGCCATTCATCCCATCGCATCTGTAGATAAGTAAACATATCTCATCAGTTTTTTTCCCCGTTTAAACGTTGTATAAAAATGAAAGAAAAAAAAAGGAAATCTGTGGATAAACCAATCTTGATAAACAACCTTGGATCCTTTTCTCCATAATCGCTTTTACTTCTTCATGTACTTTTGAATTGGCCGAGCCATTATTGTTCTCTGTAAACAATGCCGGATTTGATGAGTTATGTAATCTATTAGAGATATGAAGTCATTGTTGCAAAGCAATGTCGGATCGTGTCATGTCTGCTTTCCAATGGTAGTTAGTGATCAACTTGGCATGAGGTTATGATGTCGATATGATTCATCGGTATATTGTAGTGCAAATGGTGTATCTATGAATGGCGAAAAAAATTAGGATTTTTTTTAATTCGGGTTGCACGGAGAAAGATGAAAAATAAAAAGATGCAGTAATTTCCTTGCTGCATTGCGATTGGCTTACTGTTTGAATAAAGTTTTACTTTTCTTCCTCCCCTTCCGCTTGTGGAATCATTGAACCAGCGAGAATTTCTTCAAATCAACACCTTTTGCATAACATGGACTGTATCATGTTCATACTTTTCAGGTACATCATTGGATCCTCCTGCTACCACAGCTGGAGAAGGACGTCGGTCATGTCGTTCACCCAAAGCAATAGCAATTAACAAAAATCTATAAAAAGGTGATAACAAGGTTACATCAATGCGCACTGTGCAACCATTCTGCAAAGTTCTTTCGCAAACTTTCCCCTGGATCTTTTTATTCCGCATAAATGAGTGGATTCGTTATACAAATTAGACCATGAAAATGTTGGGGGAAAAGAAAAAAAAGAAGGCTGGATGCAATGCCCAATTGCATGAATGAATTCGGATATGGGAATCGTGCATCTCGCCTGGTATGGTGTTGATTGCAGCCACCGGATGATTCATCATGGGCATTGTCAGGATTTAGAGGTGAGGGCCTGAGGAGGACAGATCATCCATTGGGTAATACTGAAATTTGGTTTGACGATAGTAACGACGATACAACACAGCCATTGCGATCATAACGCCAATGGCGAACACTAAAGCACCAAAGGATACCGGCGGAGGCTGAGGAGCGGAAGAGCGTAACTGATCAAAGAAATTGCGATAAACGCAGATATCCCCCATAATCGTATCGGCCATGCCATGACAGGTTGGATACGTTTCCTTGGTAATCAATCGACTATCATCTTGCTTGGCGAAATTGCGAAGCCACACGTATTGATGATAAGGACTATACCCAGGATACACCATATGAATAACATCTAACCGTCCCCATCAGCTCGGAATTCTCGGAAATAATGCTCAGTATTGCTCAAACCTCTTAATGCAAGATCCGGACGTGCCGCCGAACGCTGGGGCCAATCTATAAGGTCGCCAGAAAGAGAAAGATCAGGTGTCAATGCATGCCCAAATTTGCCAATTTCTTCTTTCTTACCAGAGTAGCCCATATCGTCTGTCAATCCGTCGGTGCGATGTAATGTTTTGCGAGTGATAAAGGACTGATTGTAGATATCAACATTGGCATCAGTAAAGCCGGCCAGTTTCAGCCAGTCATCGTAGTCTTGGTCTTGGGTTACGGTAAGAGAAGACACATCGATGACGCAGTCGGCGTTACGCAAATCGGCATGGAATTCTGCCACTCTATCTGAATTCTCAGAAGACGATTTGGGTTGTACCAGAGAAGCACCTGTTGAGCAAGAAAAAAAAATGGCAGGTATCATTATATTATCCTTCAGGGGAATAAATGCTCATCAACATTACCTGCGTCCGCTACCAATTGTGCATAAAATGGATCCTTCAGCAGTGACCATGTTTTCTTGGAAGAATCGTACATTGTCCATGCTACATTGCGTGGATGTGGAGCTCCGATCAGGTTGGTTTGGTGGCAAGAATACCGGTTGACAATATCTGCGAATATTTTATCCGCGGTTTTCTCAAGATCAAAGAATAAGGCAATATAGACCAGCCATGAACCTTTCTACAGTATCATTGAATCGATTAATCACGGTTGACATGATGAGCGAAGGGAATTGCGAAAAATAAAGAAGACGAGGCGGTTTCCCTTTTTTACCTGCAACGGTGTGAGTTGATCGTTGTCTGCATTGAATCCCACCGATGGCATCTCGCTTTTTTCAGCATGAATCGAACGAAGAACGAGATCCGGTCTGACCGATGTGTTGTCGGTCAAATTGGCATAGCAAGGTGAAGTCACTTCCTGAGACTGCTTGATCTGCACCACTTTATCTTGTTGTCCCAGCAACTAGATCAACATCGAAAAAGGTGAATACACGATCTCCATGATATCTTAACCCAATTGATCCCGATCTATCCTACCTCGATAAATGGTAACGCGTCCAGCGCACCGTCCACTGCGACGTGAGCCACAGGGATATTGATAACGGCCGTGAACTCGGCATCGTCTTTCAGAGTCTGTCCACAACACACAAGAGCGTAGGTTTCATTCCAAACATGGTTACGCACGACTTTATACCATGAACGGTATTCCACCGAAAACTTGCCCGCTAATGCCACGATATAAGAAAAAGAGGACAACGAACAGAATGTTGTGACATTGAATGAAATCGAGGTCATGGTTGACATGGACGTACCAAGTGCATTATCGAGGGATGTTTCTTCAAAGCGAGGAATGGTAGTGTCAAATTCGTTGGTCTGACAGTATCCACCGAGAGTTAGGAATGCTGCAAGCAGCAGAGGCATTCCCCAAAGAAAAGATCGGGGCATGAGCTGCAAAGGAAAAACAATATCAAAGAAACGTAAAAAAAAGAGATAGACAACAGCACAACCAATAAAAAAAATATTAACGAATTAAGATGAGAGGTTACACGGTGATTATCAGTATGTAGAAATACAGTAGCACTTTCTTTTTTTTTCTGCTATTTATTTTATTTTCGAGTGCCAAAGGTGGGTTCATTGATTTGAGCACATGCGAGTTTATCTGCTTTGAGTTCAAACAGCAAGGTACGAAGGAACGCTTGTTCGTATTTGGAATTTTCAAAAACAGCTGTCAAACTTTCGGAAGGACAACGCAAAAAGTTGGGAGCAAACACCATGGCCAGATTGGACACGTTCATCAGGGTCTCCTTGATCACCTCGGGCGCGGTAAACTCTTGCAAGAAGCTAATCATATACAGCACAATGCGCCGATTGAGTTCCGGCAACTTGTTCACAATCGCAATAGCTTGATCAGGCTGATCCGAACAGGCAATACACTCATCGTAGTATTCCGTGCCGATCAACGGCTCGGACAAATCGCGCAACCAATATTTCAAAAGTGATGCCGGGACATTGGGATCCGTGATATCTGTCGCATCATAACGACCATTCTCAATTCGTATACGCTAAACAGGAAAAGAAAAGAGAAGAAAATGAACATTCTGTTTTCGTTCAATAAAGGTCTAGCTTCTATTTCTTTTGGCTTACCAATTCGGTGACTGCATCCGCGTCGCCAGGAACACGGAAAATTCCTTCCGAGTGTTGACCGTTCAATTGATGCACCGTGTCGGCCAAGAAGGGCACAATGCGTGGTATCTTTAATGCATCTTGCGACTGTAATCGCATAATGAGGTCCAACGATTCTCCAAATACCGATGGTTTGAAAGGCGCTTCCTGTGAATTGGGAGAGGTCAGTTCACCGACATATTATAATCAAATATGAAGGTTTGTCCATGCTCAATGATTCTTACCTTGGCACGTTCAATTTCCGCCGCGGTGAGGACTTTGCCTTTGGCGCCACGAAGACAAATGCGTTTCAACTTGTTGGTGACATGGTGACTGAAAACATTGACCTGGTTGGCCTGAAGGTGATGATGCTGTTGGATGAAATTGAACAGATACGACTCGAGGTTTTTCGACGGCGGGAACGTCACGCTGATCACGCACAGAATTTCCCATCCCTTCTTGATACTTTCACTAGAAAATCATCATGAAAAAAAAGTATTACTATGGAGATGTGGGGGGCCAGATCTGTGTGGCAAATCTTTTTTTTTCTTACCCTTTGGGATTGCCGTTCAACTGTCGACAGAGTTGGACGTAAATTTCATCGCGCATTTGTCCTTTGGTGATGCCGCAACTCAGAATCGTTTGCATTTCTTCGATTTCGTTGGATCCACGCGGTCTTGGCCGCTCTCCCATGATGATCTGAATCAATTTGAAGCATCGAAGTGCATCCTTGTAAAGATCCTTATTCAACATAATCAACGGTTGACGTATCGAATCCTAATCAAGACCGATGAGTCAATCTGTCGGAGCTAACACGTATATTCCATCGCAAAAGGATCTTTACCTTTGTCCATTGCAACATTTGATTCATGGGTACACGACGTCGAAAGAGTCCTCGTTTATGGGTAGCAAAGTATTTTTTGGCAAAGCCGTCAATGGCGAACTGATTAATATCTTGTTGTAGACTTGTAGGTAATGATTTCCTTCCATCATAAGTGATCCAAAATAAGCAAAAAAAGCCAACCACACCGAAAAAGCCAACCTTCACTTACTTGGAATCACCGGTCTGAGCCAGCGGACCGATGTAGGGAGGATGTTGGACCGTCGGTAGTTTTTTCAATGGGCTGACGGCAGTTACTGTTTCTGTTGGCCAGTGAGTCTTTGTTCCTATGACAATCGATGGAAAATAAGCTTTACCTGGATTGGTGGCCGGCGCACTGACCGCTACCGAGTTACGATTCATCATACCACCTGCACCAAACTTGTAAGGTCGTGTGAGACTGGAGAAAGCCGACTCTATCGACGCACGCGATTTGGCAAAATTCGTCAATCGCGAGGAATCGGCCTAGAGAAAAAAATATATATATACCACCATCAAAAATAAAAAAGGTTACTATCGTTGCGGAAATGGAGTGAACCACGTTGTCATTTTTTTTTTCCCAAGACAACAGTTGCTCCCCCCCCCCTTTTTTTTGGATCCGTTTGGCGCGTGTTTTACCTGTGGTCGTATACTGGGTCTCCTTAATGGAGCGGGAAGTTTACTGGAAAGAGAGAAATTAAACATGCTGGAAGGCGTGACGATGTGGTGCGGTTTGTCTTTTGGGATATCATCGTCGTTCATAATGGGAAGGGTGGATTTTTTCCCACTTTCCGAGGCTGACCGTTGCAGTGATGGTTGAATTCGGCCCTGATACGAAGCAAGGTCAAGCGATCGACTGTGCCGTTTGGTAGAAGGATCCAAGGGTCCAGCCCCAGGATCGAGTGAATTAAAAGGCGAGGGGGAAGAAGGTGGTGGCGGGGAAATAGGTAGAGACATGTGCCTGGCAAACGTAGAAGCCTATTTTGCACGTTGTTTCCATGATCAATTTTTTTTATCTCTTTTAGCTGGCCCACAAAAAATTAAAAACCCACCTGAATTTTGGTCAAACACAATACTTGTCCTTGGCTAGGTGGAGTCCATACGGTAGTGTTGGTTTTCGAGTGGTAATAGTAAGGTAACCGATTCTTTTCATCCCATAATTCCCACCAATCTTCCTCGGCGTTGGCAAGCTTACTACACATGTATCATCCATTTCGTCAGTTCCCATGGTGAGCGATCCTTAATAGAAATGCATTAATCGAAAAAAAAGAAGGTTTCAATTGTCTTACGTCAAGCCCGCACTCGGAGTTTGCCAAGAGCATTCACCTGTAATCTAAGGCAACCCATCTTGCTGATTAGCATGCTGCATTTGGTATTCATTCACTCGTGTGTTTTCGGGGTCATTACCACGTTGGCGTAGAAGGAATGATTCAATTGAGGATCGACAAGTTCAACCCAGTCATAACTCGTCGTCGTCGCCATGAGAGTTCGCCAAACAGTTTTATATTACTAGACAACGGATAGTGGGTAAATGCACACACACAATAAAAAAAAAGACAAGGAAAAAAATTAGAGGGGTATGAATAATGGCGGATAAAGACGGATAAGGAAACAAAAAAGAAGAAAATAGGTGTGTTGTAAAAGAGAAAAAACCACTATTTATATTAACACTTGCTGAGAAGGGAACTCAAAACGCAAGAAATTAAAAATGAAAGATGCGCGGGCGAAAAGAAAGAAAGGGAGAAAAAAAAAAGAATACAAAAAAAAGGGAGAGTTAAAAAATCAATGAACTAGACAAAACGGAAGAACAAGGAGACTCAAAAAAGTTCAATTGATGTAAATAAAGAAGCGAGTAGACCCACCACTGTTTTTTTTTTCTTTTTCTTTGATTCATTATCCCTTTTGTATTTTGGCTTTCTTTTTTTTTTGGCTGCTCTCCAAAGATGGATTTGTGCTACATTCAACGGTGAAAATTCCACCTCTCTTGCTTGGGTTATGGTGGTACAGCCTCTCTAAAAGACGCACTTGCTAATCATGGCGAGTGAAACACGACGCATGGGGAAGACGCTAAATTTGGCGGAGAGGCAAAAAAAAGAGTCAAATCACCAACATGACTACAGCAACAAATTTTTTTTTTTTCCTTTTATTCCCATTTATACACTGACGACCGCGAAAATGCCCATTGCCAATAGAGATGAATGAAAATGATTGAGGTCGGCTGTTGGTGTTTTTTTATTATTGATGTTGGTTAGGATCGACGAGGATGGCTGGTGGGGACCCGCTGTGGGTTGAAGGATAGATGAAATATATGCTGCATATCAGATCGCTGACTGTGGGTCATGCACAAATGAATCACTGGTGTTTCTCCACCGCCATTGTAATAAGTGAGACGAATATTTTCACCGGGAATAATTTGCACCAGTTCACCCTAAACAAAAAAAATGAAATACCAAAAGTGAGCAAGCCTTATCATACATTTATGGTCTGCTTTCCCACCCGTCCACCAACCCCCATTTGCGCCTAATTCTAGTCTTTAAAAGGAAAAGTGCGAGAGACTTACCGTATCCACATGACGGACTTCAATAAATTGCTGATCCACAGCAATCACATATGGATGTTGATAAACAATATGATCAGGATTGCCTTCCCATTCACACAACAAGGGTGATCTACAACAAAAACCATTTTGTCAATAACCATTCATGTTGGCTGTTTAAAAACCACTCGGTTGACTTACCGTCCTTCGCCTCGTTGGACTAGGGAACCATTGCGATTATTGACATAGAATGCAAACTTGTTGTAACAAAGCAAGAATTTGTCTTGGATACGGTACATGGCCAACGGCTTCAGGTGTTCATTATGACGTTGCACAAAGTTGAACTGAGGGTCTTCCGAATCAGGAATGTCACGTCCAACACTCAGATTCTCAGGATCAATGATCTCAAAGCCTCGTTCACACACCACATTCAACTTGGCCTTTAGGAAATGGATGTTGCTTGCATCCGCACCCACATAAAATTCCTGTAAACATAAAACGTCAGAACCAAAAAAATCAACTAACGAGAGCCCATCGGGGGCCCGTCGTTCCCTTTTTAGAACTTTTTCTTCTTTGTTACCTTGTACTTTTCAAACCACGACAAACTGGATCGTTGGCCGAGGAAGCCGGTGCGTTGGGTTAAATACTTGTGGTTCTTTGGATCGCGTAAATCGCAAATGGGTTGAAGGGCGGTAAATACGCTAGAGGTATTCTTCTTCTTTTTGTATACCAAAAGATCGCGGTTGTTGCAGAAGCCTTCCTGGAAGAAACTCACATGCTGAGCCAGTTCTTGCGCAAGTCGTTCCGGCGCTTTGGTATTGGTGGGCGAATTCAATGCATCCACAGGGTAAGCGCGTAACGCTTTCTCCGACAACACAAGAAGAATGTGATGTTTCTCCAACACCGCCAATTGTTTCACATTCTCACATGCAATCACCCTTCGCACGTTGCTCTGGCCAACCGTCTTGAAGTATACACCGATATCCGTACCGATGGCTACTTTGTATTCGTTGTTGATCGTCACAAAAGGCACGGAACAATTCACTCGACCATGACCGTTGGCGGATCCCGTCGATCCAACGTATCGGAACGACGAATCATCCAATGTACGTAGTTCAAACACATCATTTTCGCCTTGTCGTTTCCGTAGCGCCGCTTTCGCGTCCTCAATCGCCTTGATCCATGCTTGTTTTTCTTCCACCGAAGAACACGCAAAGTTGTACACGCCACCACGCTGACCCAAATGATGCAATGTCAAAGACACGTTGCTCGCCATACTTTGCATCATATGCGAACTGGACGCACTTGACAGTTGCGACTTGGATGTGCTGCCAAAGTAATCGTTGCTACCCTGAACAAACAGCATTTGCAAAGGAATCGGTCGTTTCCAGATGCGATATTCCTCTCCATTGCTCGTCTTTCTCGGCTTGGTCATCAGGAGCACATGGTCAAACACGAAACCGTGGATATCGGATTTTTCCGTCACTTCAATACCGTTACTGCGTCGTTTCAGATCGGCACGATGATACAATTTGCGGTGCGGATCTGCTAATTGCAGATCATGGAATTCTCCCTGTTTGCATGTCAGCGAATCGTTGATCTTGAGGATCTCGAGGCGCCGTTTAGTGATTTCAGCTTGTTGATCCGCCCGTGCAGCGACCTCGCGAATCATTTCCTGACAACGTACCAGGTACGCGTAGTCAGGATGATCCTCATCGGTCTTTTTGATAATGGCTCCCAACAGCAACGGGTACCGCTGCATACGGGACACCGGGTTGAGCAAAAAATGACGGAAGGCAAGACGTCGCATGCGTTCATGTTTCTCTGTTTCTGTCAAAAATCGCTGGAATTCCGGATTCGCTTGGCATTCCACCGCCACAATGTACTCGGCTAACGACACATGTGGACTGTAGGTCGTAAACGGTTTTTCGAAATACGCAAAGTGCTGCACAAGGATATCGCCGATCATTGGAACACATTTTTGATCGTACCGATGCTGCAACTCCAAAAGATCCTTGAACAAGGCCGCACTGATTTCCCGCAATTCTTCGTAATTATTGAATACTTCTCGCACAAAGTGTTTACGGCGACGGGGTTCAATGATATTGGATTCCAGTAATGGGCACACAATCAACTAGGCATATCCAATCGCTGTTCAGTCAAGCTTGTTTTCCTTGTCATGGGTTTTCTTTTATTGCACTACTCACCTCATGCAAGGTATCCAGATCGTTGCGATAGACTTCTTCCGAGTAGATCATTTCATTGATGGCCTCCTGCCGATCACGTTCTCGCTTACTTACACTTTCAAGCAGTTCTCTTGGCACTCGTTGAGCCCATGCCGTATGCGGATATGACTAAATCAAACCATCATTAGCGTCATCATCCTCTAACAGCCACTATCATCACTCCATGCTTACCGTATTGGCTTCAATCGATGTGGTCGATCGAGTGGATGTTTGACGCATTAATGTCACGTTTGTCTTGAAAAAAGAGTGAGATGACGTCTGCTCGTTGTGTTGATCACCGTTGATAGATACTTGGATAATAGCTTACCATAAACTCCTTCTCAAAGACTTCTGGTTTGTTGGGACAGTGGGGAGCATAACAGCCGCCTTCCTCGGGAACACAGCCATAGGTGTAACACTTTGTTAAACTGGTGAACACACCCACAGGGATATCCGTGGCGGAGGCGTCTTCATCAAAGGTATACACTTCGTCAGGAGAGTTGTACACTGTTCCCTTGATCAGCGATTTTTGGGAATAGTGAACCGGCTGAAACAATGAGGGTCGACAATGCATCAATGCATTCGCCACAGTAATACAGTACTCGTCTGGAATTTTTTCGCCAAGAATCGCTCGCAATACAGTCTAGGGAATTCCCGTTAAATTCTCCCGTCTTTTCTATATCTAGTTTTTCCTATTGTTTCTTTTTACTTACCACGGCTTCCTGGCCTGTAAATGACTCTGGGTATTCGTTGGCACAAAACAGTTCTCGCACATGCTCCAAAGCCTTGATTCGCTGAATAAATTGCTTGGATAACGTAGAGAGCAAGGAAGGATCGTCTTCTTTTGGTGGTGCGGAACGAACAGGCGGGGTCACTGAAGGCGGCGGTGGAAGGTGATCAAAAATACGATCTTGGGATAATGAGGATGACGGATGTGGCGGTGGAGGTGGTGGCATGGAGTTGAAATCGTCATCTTTTGGTGGAACGGGAGGTGGCACCTCTGTCGGATAGCCTCCGTGAGCAGGAGCGAAAGGTGGTGGGGGTGGAGGAGGCATAAAATCTTCATCGTCCGAATCTGGCGAGACAGGAATAAAAGGAATCTCTTCTGGATCGTCCGGGTTGTCGGTATTAATAGGCGTAGGTCGTGCATGGTATTTAGGACGTTCGATCGTGTTGATGAAATTATTGCGTAGAGAAGAGGTCGTTCTTCGATGTTGATAGTTGGTAGGTGGGTAAAAGGACTGATCCATCGAGGAAGGCGTGGAAACGGCACTGGCGGTTTGCTGAACTTGCGAAGGCCGATAAGTGCTGATATAATCCTGAGAACTGGGTCGGGAGTAATCCGACGGCGGGTACGACGGTGACGGATCGTACGAATATCCTTGTTCGTCGTGGGGCAAGATGGAAGGTCGAGCGGGAGGCGACCCCGGTGGCGACGTATGACTCTGACTCTGACTTTGACCTTGGTAGTCCAATGGTGGGTATACTTGAGCGGCAGGAGGTCCCATGGCGTAGTTATTGGGCGTAGGCATGCGGTAAGACGAAGAATTGGAAGCGATAGGCGCGGGAGCTTGCGAAACCGGTTCGATGTAAGCTTGTGATTCGTACGACCTACCCGGGACCGGGGGTGGCGCGGCAGGTGAAGGAAAATAACCCGAAGAAGGAGGAGGAGGATAACCATAAGTGTACGACGACGTATCATACTGATAACCATAATCCGGCATGTCATGGCTGCTATGCGATGCCGTGCGATGATGCATGGTTCCCGTTCCCGGCATCGTCATGTAATACTTGTTGCTACTTTCCTCACTGTTGTCCACCAACGTTTTCCCGTAATGTCCAGAAAACGATGACGACGGCTCGTGATAATAACCATGATATCCATTCACATCAGCCTATCAATTGTGTCCCTGGCAATATTAGCTCCTTGAATCTCGGCTTTCAGCAATGAATGAGGGAAAGAATACAATACATTGGGTGGCAAAGCATATCCAGGGCCTGTGGAACGGCTCTGTCCATACTGCCCTGCTGTCGGCATAGAATCGCCATGGTTTGAATGACCCGTATTGAGTTCATCCAGAAACGAATTGACGTCGTGCATGAGGCCGTGAAGGCTGTCAGCGGGAACATCGCTTTCGTAATTGTATCCCCGTTGCTGACTCGACATGAAAGACGACTAACCCAAAGACAAAAGGGACAACCGATCATAATTAGAATCCATTCTGAGTACACTGGACCATCCTGCGGTCCAATCGCATTACTGCCATATCCCTAAGTTTTTTTTACCTATTGGATAACTGGAACAGAAAAATAAAATAGGAAAACGGCCACACACCAACAAAAAAGTGGGCTCAGCTGAGGACGAAAAAAACCTAATACATAAATCACAACTCCGCCAATGGCGTGATGTCATTTTTATTGAGCTGAGAAAGTTATTTTTCGGGTGCCGTCATCCTTTCCTGCACAATTGTTGCGTTTCTGCTTGAATCTATATAATTAAAATCTTTGGCATCCATTGCACAGCGGGTGTACGGCTTGTTAAGACAATATTTTGTGAACAAATAAACCCCCAGTATGCGTTCTCTATACCGCCATTTCTTTTTTGCTATCAGTTTCTACGTAACGTAAGTCATGTCTGTCCGTCAAAGCGATATCACTGCTGCTGTTGTTCAGCCTGTCGGTCCCTTTTCCGCAGACTCCCCTGCTGTCATCTTGCGAAAGCATGGTGATATTGCTTGCTTCATCAAAGAACAGAATAGTGGTAATATATTTCCTATCGTGAACATGTGCAGGGGCAGCGTCTCCATGATGATGTGAATGAGACCTTGTGTTTGTGGCGTCTGCGAATTGAAGAAACTGGCTATTTATGCAAATGCGACGCTGTTGATGGTGGGTGGTCGATGTTGGCCTTCATGGGCACATGACAGAGTGAGGTAAGTTGAAAAGCACGATGCTTTGTCATAGCTTAAGATTAGTCCTATTTTTTTTTTTTTCAAACCAATAAATAAGCTCGGTACAGCTTTTGAAGAAACATCTCTGCTATTGTATACATTGGGCGCCTCGTATAATACAGTGAAGGCATGTCACTGGCAGAAAGCCATATTTTTTCACCATTATTGCCAAATCTTGCGTGGGTTGCTTAGTGCATTCCACAAAATCCAGCCGCAAATAAACAAATAAACACTGTGCCGTTGCTGCGTGCCTATTTTTCTTCCCTCTCTTTCCGCTCTTCTTCATCTTTTAAGGTATGTGTTTTGGCTATTTCTATAGTTCAATACTATTACTGGCGCGTGTGTCTTACCTTATCAATAGTATTATCACACGACGCTATCACCAACTCGGTCATCCGTTCTGTTGAAGACTTTTGCATCTGAATGCTCTACCGTCTTCATACTTCCGCAGGATGTGCTTGCTCAAATTTATTGAGAAACAAGAAGCCAAGTATCGCTGTAAGTTCCTCAGGGTCCATCGAGCCCCATCCTTTTTTTTTTGTAGTTATCACGAATGCCACCGGGAAACTAAATTATGTATCTCAGGCAAGAAGCGCCGCACTTGCCCCTATTCGCCGTGGTTGCACGGCCACAATTTCGGCTTCATTGTTCGCTGCCGACTATGGTCATGTGAAGGTGACCTATCATTGGAAGGACGACGGCCATAACCTTGGAGGACTGCTTACTGGCTCGCTCAACCCTAACCTTCTAGATCGATTATATGACGAGCAGGTGCAGTACAACTTTACTGGGCTAAAATGAATGAGATGCTTCGTATGAACAACGCTACGTTGACGAAGATAAAACAATCTTCCATGTGACTTTGAATGTTGGGCTCTTGTCTCAGAAAGCTTTTTCGATCGGCTACACGCACGATACAACATGATGCAACGAACTTGGAAGAAGAAATTACAGCTTAAAACGTCCATGTGAGTTTGGCTTTGTGGCCGCAGAAGACCGATCACGATTGTTTCCTCATGCTATTTGACGGTCGATAATTGTTTTCAAGAGTTAATGGCAGGTTTGGGGTGAGTGTATAGATTGGGTCATTTCTTTATAACAGCAAAGTCTTCGAAATAAATAAATGTCCAAATACCGCTTCTCAAAAAGCGGTTAATTTCTATTTGTGGATGGATGTATGGATCTACACATAACACCTCCAAATTCCTCAGTGGCAAGAAAGCATTTTATACCATTGCGGCTCAAATGCCCGGGGATTGGAAGGTATGCCGTTGATATGGATGCTGAGTACCCTTTCAATGTACCCCATCGTAAATGCTGGTTGAAACACGGCCATGGGTCAAATCCAGGCAGTTATAATCGATAATGATGGTAGCTAGATCAGCAGAATTCATTCTATGTCGCTCCTCCTACTCCGTAATTGCGATACACCCTTTTCCTTGGGTCAGACCCGTACCTTGTCGTTCCTGAAAATACCACTGCGAAATGTTTGCAGAATCGGATCGCTTCCTGTCCCAATATAGCAGATCCAGAGTCTCGTTCGCGAAGCTAATTGAAGACGTTGCTCGCAATGCAACCGTCGGGATTTAAAAGCACGCATGGACAGCTTGCGAATAGCCGCAGAAGTGGTCGAAAAGTGTGAAAATGTAAGAGACGGCATTCACACACTTGAATACAGAGTTAAAATATTACTGTTGGCCATACTTCGAATTACAATACTAATGGTGCTATATTTATCAGGGTTTTTATTGGACCATGTCGTCAATGATAGTTATCATTTTCATGGAATCACCGGATTTACGTGACTAGAAAAAAGTCGTCGGAAAACTTGTCGATCATGCTTTTGCATACTGGCGCGTTGAACAAATGGCGCTGCCCTTGATACCGAAACCAAGCTCGTGAGGCACTTGCAATAAAAAGCATTTGAGCGCTCCTTGCTCTCACTTCCATCTGTTTCTTTCTACAGGTGTGTTGATCACAATATATGGAGCACGAATGTAAAATAATATATTCTTATGCTTGCTTATAGTAAATTACAGCAGACGTATAATCAACAGTTTGGGGATCGCAACAGTGACGCCATCGAAGCCCTTGCAGGCCCCTCAGGAAGCGTTCGATTGATCCAGTTTTCTACCTGGCTGCTTCGCAAGCCAAGCTTCATAATGGACGTATATGGTCCGTTCTGCCTTTTGGCCTCTCACCAACTAGGTATGTATCAAAGATTATAAGCCATATATTGCTATTCACAGTGGGTTCCCAGGCTATCTCCCATTGAGTGGTGTATGCTTTCATTATTTCTGTTAGCACGCCTACAACAAATGGCACATCGTGCCTAATGAAATGAAAGTAAGCAATATATCACCTAACCTTCCACTTTTTTTTTTTGGTGACAATGTATTTAACTCCAATATAAATAATGAGGAGGGTCGTTACGAGATTGAGGCGACAGAACATTTTATTGGACTTCAAGTTTTTCAACGGTCGTGTCCAGATGATCAGATTTTCAAACAAACCATGTGGGAGACGATATTTGACTTGGACAAAATCATGCCCAATCGATTCAGAGCTGGGCTCATCGAGGCCGGTAAGTCGCCACTTAACATGATCTCTCATTTTTTTTCGATACAATAACCAGGCCTCAAATAGCCGACAATTCAAAAAAGTATCAATTCGCCTACGGACTCGAAACCAACGGAGTGATGGCGACGATAAAATTCTGCAAGCGCTATGACCTTGTATTTCAAAATGGAATATTGAATACTTACTTTCTTGCCACACTTGTAAATGGTAGTCCAAATCCATTCATCGAAGAGAGAATTTGATTTCCTTCCGCGTGAGCCGGACATGACTGGTTGGCGTCGTGGTTTATACCACTTGAAGAAAGAACCAACTGGAATTGTTCCCAATGCAAGAATCATTGGCATAGATCCGGGTAAACTGCGCTATCCGTGGGAAATACATCAATATGTTAACTTATGATATCCGCATCAATAGGGTTTCGATCTGTCATAACAGCGGTAGATTCAAATGAAAAATCTACATATGCCTGAGCAACGAGATAGGCACGTTTTCTCAATATCAAATGGAGCATATCAGTAAGTAGAGGTTAATTGGGCAAGAAGAGAAAATGTATTCACTTATTTGGCATCCTTCGCAATATAGACGAAGCAGTAGGTTCCATTGGAGTCATCAGATCGAACTGAACAATAGGTAACCTGCGAGCATTTAGGATGTATATGACCGATTAGGCGAGAACACTGCCAAATGTGGTACGGTCGCAGAATTCCGAGACCATTTAAGAACTTTGGCAAGTGTCTACAACAGGTAAGCTGCATATCGTCAGATCGATTCTCAGGACTTAAAACTTCAAGAACAGGCTGTACAATTTCAATCGGTCGTATCGTCACCGAGAGAAACGTGCTTTACTCGAGAGAAAGCGGCAAAATGACCATGCACAAAATGGGCAACAGCTTGTTAGGAGACCCAGCAGAAAAGAATTTGCAAGTGAGTTTTGTGTTATCGTACGTAAAAGTGATAGCGGCTCATTCTATGCTATAGAAACCACTGTGGGTCTACAAGCAGTCCAACGATGCCGCAAGCAGCAAAGACGACAGAGAGCCCGTCGCGGGCGGAAGAGACCCCAAGATGCGGCTGTAGTTGCATTTGGCGACGCCGATCTGTCTTCATTGAACGGCAATCCGCCAGTTCCCGTCAAGGTGAGACAGAAAAAAAGGAATGTAATTCGTACGAGGAAAATAACTTATAAGATGAACGGATAGAAATTCCGACAAGTTCTTGCACAAAAAGCTCTTGTGCTCTGTATAGATGAGTATAGGACGAGTAAAGTCTGTAGCAGTTGTGATACCACGACGATCGAAGTCCGAGACAACAATCAAATGTTTTGCAGACACAAGTAAGTTATCAAAAGCCCGGGTAGATATCCAGATCGATATTCACGCAATTATACCTAGAAAAAAGAAGAAACGAGTGCGAGAAATTGACAAGAGACTGCGACAGAGATGTCTTGACGAAAACAACGACATCAGCTCTGACTGTGGAGCGAGACGACCCGGTAAGCAGCATTATCCACAGCTTTAACGTACATATCTGGCAGTGAAGTTTAAGGTCAAGGGTATTTGAGCATTGTTTATCCGGTACGAATGTACCCCCATTGCGTTTCTAAAAACGATGTTTCCAAACCCTTGGTAAGGAGGAACGGTATGGCATCACTTGCAAGATCACACTAACTTTAGAAACTAGGCCTGGAACAGGGATATTAATGCTGGCGTAAACATGAGACGAATTCTACAGGCCTACATAGAATCAGGTTATCCGTCCGGCAGCTCTTTCGACGGCCCTACGGCGCACAATCTGCGCTCCGCGAGCAAGGTTCTCCAACTAGCCTCCTGTTAGGCCCAGTTTAAGGAATTGTTGCCGTGCAAGTTTAGTAATTTTGATGACGTTCACTCGAAAATAAGGGCATGCTTTGCTGCTGGGCAAATTATATCAGACTCCCATGTCATCTGCGTTATAAGGACAGAAAATCGCATTCTCTGGTTGATGGATCAGTAACCGGGTGATAGCTTTTAATTCTTTGTCTATAGGAGACTGTGAATGCATATTTTTTGGTGACCAATTTTATCTATCCAGGCTCAGCGAGGCTTTTTTCAAGAAAAAAAAAAAGAAAAATAAAAGATGGTATTTATCGACATAAAAATGATAATCCATACGTGGAGATAAAGAGAGAAGGGAGAGAATGATAATAGAATGGTACTGATGCCTTGGCTTTGGAATAATGAAATAGTAGGGGAAAGAAAAAGGCCCACATGTTGTATTTACAGAGATAGGTTTTTTTTTTTTTTTTTACAAATCCATATAGTCTTTGTAGACGCTCACCCAGGCATATAACATGGTATTTTTGAGCTGCAATACATCTTGCCTTTTTACCTGACGTACTTGATGATTGATGTCTTCACAACGATTGACGTTTTCGGGACTGACGAAATCATATGCGCATTTGATGGCGCTGTGATAATTGCTCACTTGATGAGCACACCCTGCAGGAATAAAAACCGCATCACCCGGGTTTTGATACAGTCGCCAGCTTTTGACGCTGTATTCTTCGAAAAGACGTTGACGCAATTGATCATTGAGGTATATCCATTGGCTGTGAATGGGATGGCCAATATTCTTGAAGCCTTGCTCGACCGCCAGCTTTTGAACAAACGTTTGCAACTTGGGTAGTGCTTCATAGGGAAAAATGTCCCATACCGCGGCGGGTTGATCGTCGTCCTGACACGCGTAGCACATAATGTTGACGGCATCCGACATGTCACAATGGAGATTCGTGGTGCCCACATCTTTCTCGCCACTGACCGATCCGTAAGCAATAAACATTTTTGGCCCGAGATCTGGTCGAATAAAGTCATCGGGAAGCCGGTTCGACAGATTGCAATAGCCATCAGCCGTGCAGTACTCGGGAACAGGCAACATCCGCATAAAATCATCGTACAGGATGGGGAATTGGTTCTTGAAATCGTCTTTGGGCGGCCAATCCTTTTACATAACTTGCATGTCAGCCATCTCTCTCTCTCAGGTGGCCCATTCTTTTTTTCTACACTTATTTCAACGGACTTACCTTGATTTTCAGGGTTTTCGATGTCTTGCTTGTGGGGTCATAACTTGCACGCTTGGATGGATCATCAAACCCTTCAAAGTACTCCCGAACCGTTGACGGTTCAAAAATACCGGTACTGCAATCAATGGCATCAATCTTCTCGTTGCCATACGTGTTGATGAAATACGATGGTGACCAATCCGCTTGGCTTTTCTGATCCACTTGCTGAATCATGACTGGTTTCCCCTTTTTCCATTCTTGTTGAAACAAAGTCGAACTCATTTGTTGGTAGGGCAACACGAGCACGTCATTTTTATCATCCTCAGTGGTTTCCATCCTATTGTCGTTATTGGCGGAAAGGGAGTCAATCGTGGCAATATTGGTATCGTGTTCGCATGGCGCCGGTTCATTACATAGTAGGGGAATCGAGGCATTTGTGAGAAGTGGATCATCCATTTTCATTGCTATGGCATCGTTTCGTAACTGTGACAATGCTTCTTGGGTGTGTTTAACCACGGGAATCATATGACCTTTGGTGTGGATTCGGCGATAAGTGCAACGAGAGATCGATCGATATTTCTTGTCGCTGTCCCACTGCAGATGGAAACAATCGGGGCAAATGTCCATACCGCACACCGCACACATCCAATGGATATTGAAAATTGCAGCCGCACAGAAATCACACAGATGAAGCATGTGAAGCACCGGTGGACGACGACGGACGGTTGCGCGATAACGATCGTACAGGGCAAGATCTTGTTCCAACAACTTTACGAATGCACTGCGGATGGTCCTTAGAATGTACTTTTTCTGATCACGGTCTGAGCCGATCATGACGCGACATGGGACGGCTTGAAGGGTGTCGGGAGCGGAGGTGGAAGGGAAATACGGGTTATAGATAGGATCGCCACTGGCGCCCTTTTTGAATGCGCGAAAATGGTCAAACAGACAGACGGCTTCCTTCTTACTTACGCACGCTTTGCACCGCGATGGAAGCTTTCTGCAGTGAGTGTGTTGAATGTCGAGGTTATTGGCGTCCTTCTTTTTAAGATTGCGTTGAATGACCGAAGCAGGCACCACCGCGACTTTCTTTTCACGACACAACTGTCTCGTCATGGTAACAGTAGAAAAAAACAAATCACAAAGATTCAAGTAATGTGATCCGCAGAAGCGATTCCGCTCAAGAAAAGAAAAAAGAGTAAAAAGAGAAAGATAAAACTGATAACAAATCGAGGGGGGACTTGTTTTTCTTTGGCGTTCTTTTCGGTTCAAACTGTCAAATCCGGTTCTGAGTTACACAACCTTTTTTTTTGTCAGGCATCCAAAATAAACCCAAGCAATCCAAAGAGGTCACAGAGTATCCAAGAGATTGATCCTGATGGGCTTTTTTATGCAATGACTGGCGGGTATTGATTTCATGTAATCGTGTTGCACTGGTGGATTGACTGGATACAATCCCATGGTTAGTTAGAGATAAGAACAAGAGCCTGACACAGTATCGTTATTAAGACCATTAAAGTCGTGAGACGCAGAAACGACAATGTACTCATACATTGAATGAGCTGCACTTGGCCTTGGTCAAGTAGTACTGTGCGGTATTCGTCTGTGTGGTTCATAATTCCATGTTGATAGAAATTCAGTGACATTGGAATTTCGGCGTCCGTCGTCGTCTTTTTTTTTTTTTTTTTTTTTGGTCGCTCACACAGAAATTCCTTTCTTGGTATTTCAAAGGCTCTTACTTTTGGACAACTGCGACAAAGCACCATGAGCGGTTATACCTTTGATGAGGACGAGGTACTTGAACCTTGTCAACACAATCACACTGTCACTTTCAGCAAATCCAGTTGTTCTAATTCACTTTCCTCCGTAGCCTGACGTTGTTCCGTATAAACGAGCGCGAGTCACTCGTGATGTATTACGACGATATCCAGCCGTCGATACCGCATCCGCCCATGCATCATCCGTCGAAAAAGGTGCATTCCTCCAAATCGGGCAATGACTCGCCACAAGAAAACTCACCTGTTCCTTCGCATTGTACTTTGTAGCGTATCAACAGAAACTGAGCGAAATGGAGACGTTAATGAAAGCTGCTCAGGAATCACTGCGGGTCAAGGAAGTGGAATGTGAGACCATTCGGTCCACATGCAAGATTGAACGACAAGAAATGCAGCTAATGCTCGAAGAAGTCAGAGCTCAGAAACAGGTCTGTGTGTACTCGCGAACCTGGTCCATATCAACCCATTGAACGGAAACCTTTTTTCTGTGTTTTTTCAGGAAGCCGAGAAACGAGCGGTATACCATATGAAAAAATCAGAAGAAGCCTCCTCGACCCTCAATGTTATCAAAACAGAACATGCATCGATTGCTGTAAGTAGAGAAATGACAGTCAAAAGCAATGCATGGATAAATTGCTGACAGCAAGAGAACATGGATGCAGAATTCGTTGCGTGATACAGTGGAAACGTTGAGAAATGAGAATCATCAGCTATCCACCGAATTGACCACGGTCCGACATGAAAAAAGCGTTCTTGAAACACGATATCACAGCCTCGAAGCGGAAATGGCCGACACCGTCAAAGGATTACAGGCCAATATTGATCTTCTAAAAGAACAGGTAGCGACAACTTTCCATAGAGGACACATGAGAACGACCAAAAAAAGTAACCACGGTTGAGATTAGATGCAACGACAAGAAGAGACAGTAGCGCAACGTTGTCAGCGAGAAAAAGATCTGGTATCAAAGCTGACGGAAGCAGAAGACAAGTTACGCATGGTGGATACAGCTAAATACAACATGGACATTGTGCCAACCTTGAATGAGAACTTTGAGCGTGAGTTCATCCAGTATGATGCCAAGCGAGCGTGGATTAACGGTATACCTTTCTCTCTCTCTCTCTCTCTCTCTCTATTTTTTTCTTTTTTGGTGGGTTTTTTATTACAGGACAAGCATTAAGGGCTCATGAATTGGAAATGGAAAACGTCAACTTGAAACAATCGCTGGACGGGTATAAATCGATTTATGAAAATGTACAACAGCTTCGAGCCGAGAAATCCATACTGGAAGCCGATGCACGCGATGCACAGCAGCTTCGCAAAGCGAACAAACTGTTGGAAGTGGAAAATGCTCAGTTAAAGATGGATCAGCAGGAATGGTAAGGACTCTCTTTTGTTACTTGATTGAAGAGGACCACAGTGGATTGATCGGATGGTGTGTTGCATGAATTTCTGCAGGGCTGCGTATTTGGAAACAGCCGAAGCCGCCGAGTTCGTGTCACCCCAGGATTTGGTGTACAAATTAACGCGCGAAAGAAATCAAGCCAAAGCCGCCGCGGCTCACGCTGATATTTTGCAGCACGAATTACGCAAGAAGGACGAGTTTATGATGAAACTCGAGGAACATGTAACATTTACCTGGCACGATCTACCGCGTTGCTTGACATTCATCATTTCATTTGTGTGGTTTAGATTGATGAACTGAAAGCGACGATCCGTGAAAAGGAAAAGGTGCATCAAATGGATCAAGTCGATAAAAAGTCGCTGCAGAATGACAAGGAATTCGCGTTACGGCGGGTCAAGGCCGTGGAAGATCAATTGGTACGGACCGCTTTTCTGATGATGACATACGAGAGACTAACTGGTGCACACTCAATGGGGATAGAAATTGTACGATCTGGCAGAAAAGAAATTCGCTGACGGTAGTTATGATGGTCAAAAAGCGGAGCGCATTTCACAGTTAGAAGCTGCATTGCAAGCATGTCAGCAGGAGTTGCAGACCAAGACCGAACAGTGGTTACGACAGGAAGCAGCCTTGCAAGCGCATACAACAGACACCCAACCCGACCCATCCTCCACCACTGAACCATGGTCTTCTTCTTTGCAAGCATTTGTCACTGAACTGTCTGAGGAAAAACTGAATGCTTTACAAGGTAAAATCATTTTCACTACAGAAAACGGTCCTTTGCCACGTCCATCATCATTAAAACCTTGTATTGTGCCATTTGGAAAATAGAAAAAGAAACATTACAAGCAGACAATGCGACACTCACGGCTGAACTTGCTCTTTGGAAAGAGAAAGCCGCCCTTCGTGCGCGTATCGTCGAACATCAAGAGACGGAACCCTCTAGTGTTTCCATCGACCGACAGGAAGAAACGGAAGAACGTCTCTTGGTGCCCAAAACCAGTCCCGCGTTTTTGGAACAGACGATTCGCCAATCCCAGCTGGACGGATTGCGAGCTGAGAATGCTACTCTTTTGAAACAGTTGCAAGTGCTGCAAGACCAGTTGCAGAGCGGCATTGAGCAAACCATGGATGAAGAACTCACCATTACAATACCCCGAGCCACCTTGAAAAATATGCAAGACCACGATGCCCAACTCGAGAAAACGGTCGCCTCACGAGAAAAACGAATCATGCGCTTACATCAGGTCAGTGAGAAACTTATTGGAATAAAGCGATATCTTGGCAATCCACTGATGATTGCTATTATCTGTCGTCTAGGTATGGGAAGCGAAAGTGAAAGAATTCGTGGGTGCGGTTCGAAGTTTGCTTGGTTACAATATGGAGATCCGTGCCGATGGAGCGGTGAGACTGGAATCGATCTACGTTGAAGGATCACAGTTTGCGTTTCTTTTCAAATCGGGCGATAACGATCTCGGTACATTACAAGTCATTGGCACTGATAAAGAGGAGTGCATGCAGACGTTGCAGTCCAGCTACGAATTCTTTGTCCTGGAACAAGGCAACATTCCCGCCTTTCTCAGTTCCGCCACCCTTGAACTCATGGATATGTAAGTCTTGTCATGCTGTCGTATGGGATATTTCCAAAACTTATATTTTTTTGTCGCTAGGGTAACGCAGCGTCCATTATCCAATGATGAGGAAGAGATGGAAGAAGCAGAAGAAGCAATAGAAGAAGATGAAGCACACGATTATGATGAAGAGCAAGACCAAGATGAAGACGAACTTGAAGAGTATCCATCGATGGAAGAAGAAGAAGAAGACGAAGGCGAAGACGACGACGACGATGAAATATCAAACGAAGGAGGTGATTCCCCCATCATGCTGGATTAGTTTGACTAGTGTTTGTTTTCATTGAAAGAGGGAATTCAGAAAATGAGTCAAAACAAAAAGAAGATCTATGAATCGGGTAGAGAGAAAAAAAGACATGCTAAAAAGATAAAAATAAAAAAAGGAACAAGAAACAGTAAGAACTATTGGGAAGACATGTGGACGAAGATAAAAAAAAATGATACACAGCTAATAAGGATGATATGGTCAAGACAGTTTTCTTTTGTTTGTTTGCTTAGAAGCGTTCCTTCATTCTTGCAGAGATGGTACGCAGAGTAGCATACACCTTGCCGGGAGGGCTACCGAGAATCAAGCTTACGACGGCATCTCGTGCGATCTTGATATTTTGGAAAGAACCGAGAATGTGGATTTTACTATATAAAAAAATTATACTCACATTAGTTCATTTGATACGACTGTGGCAAAATAAATTCAGCGAATTGCTTACGTATCGGCCAACACAATTCTTGTTTTGCTGGCATTTTCAATAGTGAATTTAGTCTTGCCATCACGACCAGCAATGCGACCAATGGCTCGAGCTAAATGATCACCGTGCAATGTCTTGACATCCTTGATCTCAAACGTATCCAAAAAGATATCGTCCAATCGTAAGAGTGCCATGGCATCTTCCACTTCGAAACCCAAAGCAAATGCTCGCACAAAGTCGGCCCCTTTTTGAAGAGCACCACTGTCGGTCGTCGATGGTGATGTCTGAATTGTGTGTAAAAAAAAAAAAAAAATACAAAGTTTCCAACCATTCAGTATTTGGTATTACTCATAACAACCGTCTCAAATACTTACTCGGAGTTCGACTGTTCTTGTTTTGACATTCATACGCACTTGAAGGTTCATGTGTTCAACGAGGGGTGAATAAATTTCCAACCAGTGACGCTTCAGAGGGGACATGCGGTGAGGAGGAATTGGTATTTTTCGAGAGCCTTTGACGACCGACTAGAAATTAAAATGACAGGTAGAATGAGTAATCTTGGGCTGGATCAACCGAGAATTTCAGGTGAAAAATAGTTTACATTGAGTTCCGATGCACTGGCAGGAGCAAATTTGGGTTTGGCATCATCGTCTTCCATGGCAACGTCTTCTTCTTTGCGAGAAGGCAGCGAGTTGGCGTCAATGACAACGTCGTCATCAGCGTCTTTACGAAGTTGAGATTTGGTCTTTTTGCTGACCAACGAAGGAGCTTTGTACGAATCGATCAAAGCCATGATGCACTTGTCAATATGAAAAAAAAGAAGAAAAAAAAATTTAGCAGGACTAGAAGAAAAAAAAAAAAAAGACACTTCGAAGCAAAAACGCCGTCACAATCTGAGGGCAAGAGGAAAAAAAAAAAAGAGGTGGCTCGCCCCCTTTTTGGGCAAGCGCGGTAGCCAAAAGAAATTTCACGAACCATGACCCAACTGATAAAGCAAGGAGCCGAAGCGGTAGGAACCAAAAAGTCACCATGGGAGTTTGTTTTTTCTCCATTTATTTTTGGCATGGATTTTGGCTGACGAGAGCAATTTAGCGTGTATTTGAAGTGTCCAGTTTCTTATCGATTCCTGAAGGATGTATTGCCAAGGAGCGATTCAAAAAGACGTATCGCCATCCTGTGCTCGATCAACAGTTAACTACCCGACGCGTAGCCCAAGAGGCACGTTGTCTTTACAAATGTAAAAAGGCCGGCATGGACACACCCGCACTCTACTTTGTCGACCAGGACCGCTCCACCATTTACATGGAGAAAATCGTCGGTCTCACTGTCAAACAACGGCTACTGGACAATCAATCCAATCAATATCAAGACATAGACCTCCGTAAGCCTCTTTTCCCCCTCCCCCAATTCAACACTAGGAAACGTGCGTGCTCAAACATTGCATTTTTTGTGTAGCACAACTCGCAGAAAAGATTGGTGTTGCGTTGGCCAAGATGCACAGTCTCGATGTGATCCACGGTGATCTGACCACTTCCAATTTGATGCTTAGAGACAAGAACGAGTCGTTGGTAGGGAACTCCTGGACAATGCACCGATTTTATCGACGTGGTGATTCATTCATTTTTTTTCTTCAAAAAAAAAAGGTGGTGATTGATTTTGGTTTAAGTTACGTATCGACTTTGCCCGAAGACAAGGCCGTCGATTTGTATGTGCTGGAACGCGCCTTTTCCAGCACGCACCCACAGACAGAGCAATTGGTACGGGATTCTACGATTGAGTTGTGTAGTTCTATTTATGCTCAACCATCCAATTCCTTTAGTTTGCTACTATTTTGTCCCATTACATGAAATCTTACAAACAGTCGAAAGCTATCATGAGCAAATTGGAAGATGGTTTGTATCTTTGAGCGCGCTATTTCTCATACACGTTACATGGAAAACTCACGCTCATTTTAGTACGATTACGAGGTCGCAAACGAAGCATGGTCGGCTAAAATAATTTTTCATATATTCCCCCTCTACTCCGAAATACAGATCACACATAAAACAGCAAACTAAGCGTCTGTTCCATTATTTCTTTGCAAGTGGTCTGCAATTAGCATCGCCAGATATGCCGAATGGGGACGGTGGACCTTAGAGCTTGTTGCGTCCAAAGCCAGTGATTTGCAAATCAAGACTGATATAGAGTTGCCCGGAGAGCGAGAACTTTTATAGTTTGGATGAATGTAGGCCGCGTTCTAAAAGGTCGGCGGTGTAAGCCGATGCGCCCCAACTTGACTGAAATCCGAAGCCGCCGTGGCCGTAGGCATGGGTCACAAGGATCTTGGTTTGTTTCGCTGTGTCTATTTTTGAAATCATGGTGTAAGAGGCGTGGATAATTGCAATGCATGGATCTTTGAACTTGCCGTAATACTGGTTCTCGATGCGGACGCCGCCTTGGCGTGATGGACGGAATCCGACCGATATTTTCAAAACGGAACACGACTTGAGTTCAGGACATAATAGGACGGTTTCTTGAAGAATTTTTTGGGTTGTTTCTTGTTGAGGGTTTGGATCGCTATTTTTTTGTAATGCATGGTCAGTTCATGGTAAGACCTACGTGGGAAAAGTTCCTGTTGAGTGCTTACAAGTTATTTGGTTGCGAAGTCCCACCCAAAACCACGGTGCCATCCGAGCGAGGAATCACATAATGAATAAACCCATTGCCTAAAATGGGATCGTGAGAAATGGACCTAAAAAAAGATCTACTGCAGATGGCTAAAGGACGTACCAATATGGGTGATGGTCTTTCGAATCGGAGTGGTGGGTTGAACAATCAGTGTTTGACCACGCGTAGGGAACATGGCAGCATCTTGCACACCACCAAGCTGACGTGCGCCTAATCCAGTGCAGTTGACCACTGCATCCATAGGTTTGCCGTCCAATTCAAACACTTGGCTGATGTGTTGAACCGACTGTCGCCGAAGGGTGCCACCGAGTTTTACAAATTCTCGCGACAACCATTGAATGTAGTGAGGGGCATTGATCAGGACTGGACTGGTTGGATTAGTAAAAAGTTGTGTGCGAGAACTTATTGTAAATATCAATCATGGTATCCACTACCTGTTGTATAGCTGTGGCCGACTTTGGCTCCTTTCGGTAATTTGTTTGTGGGGATGAATGCAAACTGTGCGTCAATTTAGCCCTTTTTCGGTTTTTTATTTACGTGGCGTTTGTTCTCCTCTTACGTTCTTCACCATCTCCTTGAACCATGGATCCTCGGTTTCAGGGATCGCATTGTCATAGTAATCGATTCCCGGTACAATGACTACACCGGTGTCGGTTGGCATGGTCCGACCAAACTCCAAGAACTTTTCGTACGAACACTTGTCGAAGTCTATGCTCATCCTCAATCAGCGTACTATCGCAACACTCGAATCACAGTAATTTACCTTGCAGTAAGCGATTGTCGTTGGGTGCCATGGTTCGCCAGTGAGCGCCTGCCCAGCACACACATCAATTAGTACGAACTCTGCGAGTAAAAAATGACAATGCAATCAGTCGACCATACCTGCGCGGGGCGAAGCATAGTCTGTAGACTCATCACCCGGCATGCTTTGGGCAACGATGGTTACTCCGTGACCTCGCTGCTTGAGGACCAAGGCTGTAGTGAGCCCCGCCACTCCCGCTCCCAGCACCACAACATCATGCGAAGTCTTCATGGTTCTGTACGGAAATCGAACTGAGATGGAAAGAAAAAAAAAACTCACCGAACCACACACCTCGAGCATTCTACAGCCGAGTCTGACTTGGATCATGTTGCCCGAATCTGATATTACCACAGATTGTACGTCCATTTCTCATCGCTGGTGCAACCGCTGTGTTCGTTCATGGTAGCTCTTCAGGACTATTTCGCACTTGCACAACAGTAGCGTGGGAGTATATCCACCAATGGGACAGTGGTTAGGGGATCAATTTATGGGAGCCTCGGAACCTAACCACTTGCTTCGCAAAGAATCCAAAGTATGAAAAAAGTACCGCATACGACTCATAAAAAAGTAAAGTGGCGGTGCGCCACACAGAGAAAATGATACTGATTGAACAAGGACATTTACATCGGTCGCATACTGGTTCTTGCGTGTTTGTGTCTGATCATTCTGCGGTTTTCGGGTTGACCAGTGTCTAATCCGGTCACCCTCATCAGCGAATGCTGGTGTGATGAAATATATTGGTACTGCTCCTTCAAAGTCGAAAACCGTCGTTACCAGCGTATTTTCAAGATACAATATCAGTAGACAACGACCACAAATGCTTTTCTGGCTTCATCTGAACTGGGTAATTGCTCTCAGATATGTTTTGCGTGTCCACAGGTTCAAATATCGTAATATCTGAACACCTTGATTAAACTGCTAATCACGCTGACCATGGCCTTTTCTTTTGGAATCAAAAAAGTAATGTCATTATTGAACAAAAAGTCTGCACCACAGCCAGCCCTTTTTTTTGGTTTTGACATGATTATCGAGCAAATCAGTGCGAAGGGATTACAGTAATGGTGCCTCAAATAATGAGAACAAAATATATTCAGATTATCAGCTTAATCATAGAAAGGTTACCTTGGATACCGTGGTTGAACTACCCGGAAAAAGCTATTCAGTTAAAACCACATATGCATTGCATATTGTGCATGCATACTCGTCACGTTGAGCACCGATATTGTACGTTTCACAGTTCGTTTTTTCATAAAATGGGATGATACACATGGCGGGTCGAAGACAGAGTCCTGATTCGCTATATTTTACACACTGACAAGTTTCGATATGCCCATTAGGGATGATGGTGGTTCTGATCGGAATGTGAAGTGTCCCAAGCTGTTGTTAGAAATTTCTTGGCTTGTTCGAAATTTTTTTTTTTTTCACATTAGCGTTGTTTTGCCAGATGGAAGCTCGTGGATAATAATCGGAAGTTTATCTATCAGGTTACCTATACGAGAGTTTATTTCTCTGAAGGATTTTAGTACCTGAACTCAAAACTTGATCAGGAAAACACCCTATATTCCATAACATTTCCTTGACCACGGTTCTTCTGTCATCAGTTTCATCGTGATCAGTAAGTGCTTGTCAAGAGCTGTATGACTTGTTCAAAATGACGATGCAATCCAATTTTATTGGAATGTCCGAGCACACGCCTTGGTCTGTTCAGAACACATAGGAAAGTGTGGCAGATTTTACCCTGTTACTGTTGGTTTTCCCGGATTGCATTGCAGCCGTGCATTGTTAAACTGTTTCATCGAAATGAGGCCATTTTTATCCCCGTGGCAACCCATTCGTTGCTGATAAGCTATCTCAGCAATATACCACCGTACCGTACCGTACCGCACCGTACAATGGACTTTTTTTTTGTTTGCCGCAGAACAACGTGGTGCTTTGCAGGCGAATTTTTTTTTCCGACTAACGGCAGAAGCAATAAGACAATGAGCCAATGATGGAATCTCCTTGGCAAGTCCGATAAATCACCCTTTTGAGTGAGCACTGGGTCATCCGCAACAATACGGGTCATTTACAGCCTTACTAATAAAAAAAAATTGATGCCTACCAATGAGGCTGTGCATGCATCCTTACTGCCATGCCCAAACGACAGTGAAAGTTGGGTACATATTTTGTTTTTTGGTAAACAGAAGATGGGCTGACCAACCAAGGGAAAATGTTTGCTTTAGTTTCTCCATATGGGGTAAAGAGATTTCGGCCAACGATTGTTAAATGAGTTTGTCCGAGACATATTATACCTTTTTGGAAAAGACGTCATGGAGGGGGAAAGGGGATCGGCTTCCGAAATGAAATTGTCAGATTGGTCAGTGACCATCCCGCTGTTTCGTGTTGCACAAAACTACGGTGGATGGGAATTCGCGGGGTAGGACTGCAAGTTGCGCGGAAACAGGATCACGACCCTTTTTTCTTTTAGTTTCTTTGGCCGTCCCACGGGGTCACTGAACACCATGAAGTGTTATCATAATTATCGTTTGGAGTTGTTGTTACTCGGACAACAAATGAAAACGGCAATGTAGGATGCAATATCCAAGCCACAATGCATGGTAGGCTTTGCATTGCATGTTTGGTAAAAACTTGTGGAGTGCCGAAACAGGATTCCGCCCCATACAGTCAGGTCCCATGATAGGCTTCTTATTGCATCCCGCGGAAAGATAAACTTGAAACTAGTACGTAATATGGGATAAGGGTCACCCAATCGAGGTAATTGCACCCACACAACGAGCTATTCCTTATGTGGTATCTGAGAAGAAAATCTGATGTATAAAATCTTCAGCACAATGTGGGTGAAAATACTCCATTGTTTTTCTTTTTTCCAATTACCCAATGTCTAAACACGAAAAGGAAGAGAGCTCACAGAAGCATCGAAAAGATTCGATTGTAAGCTCGAGTCATGAATCCTTGGCTAAATTAAGAGGTTCCTCGGGTATCAAGGGACTGGTGCAAAATCCCTATGTCTTTGCCACCGCCATTTTCGCTTCCATTGGTGGCGTGCTTTTTGGCTGTAAGCAATGACTTGTTGTTCACCAATGTTAGGAACCATGACAACTTAACTTTTTTTTCTTATTATGTCATTTAGATGATCAGGGTGTAATTTCCGGTGTTCAGGAAATGCCGGTAAGTGATCAAGATAAATAAAGATGTCATGATGACGGGCACGATAAATTTACCAGAAAACGTCGTTCGTATAGACCTTTATCGCCCGTTTTCCCATGAATGACGCTATCAATGGTTTCGTTGTATCCATTCTTGAACTGGGTGCATGGTTCGGTGCTCTCATTGTGGGGTATTTTGCCGATCGTCTGGGTCGCAAATATTCCATCGTCGTGTTTTCCGTGGTCTTTTTGCTGGGCAGCTCTATTGTAAGTTCCACGAGGTTGATCGTTACCCAAAGATATGATAACTAATATCGTGATTATTTATTACAGCAAGGTGGTGCTCAAAATATTGGTTACCTGCTAGGCGGCCGTTTCGTGACGGGCATGGGCGTGGGTGCAATGAGTATGCTTGTGCCTTTATACCAGTCGGAGATTGCCCCACCGGAAATCCGCGGTTCGCTTGTATCACTTCAACAGCTGGCTGTTACATTTGGTATCTTCATTTCCTTCTGGATCGATTACGGATGCAACAACATCGACGGTGAAGCGCAGTGGCGCGTACCTTTGTGTATCCAGATCGCCTTTGCTCTGATTCTCGGTGTCGGTATTCTCTTCTTCCCTCACTCGCCCCGTTGGTTGATGTCTGTCGATCGCGAACAAGAGGCGTTGCAGGTGCTTTCTCAATTACGTCGTCTTTCCATCGATCATCCGCTTGTGCAAGAAGAATGGCGCGAAATCAAGATTACCGTCGAATTTGATCGCGAAGTTGAACGTCAGACATATCCTCATCTTTTGGAACAAGGCAACCGTGGACGTATGAAGATCACCGCCTTGAGTTATCTGGAACTGTTCAAGAAAGCGACTCGAAAGAGACTGTTTATCGGATGTGTTATCATGTTCTTCCAACAATTTATCGGTGTCAATGCACTCATCTACTACGCACCCAAGATTTTCAAATCGGTCGGTCTTACGGGAGATACCGTGTCTCTGCTCGCGACGGGTGTGGTGGGTATCATCAACTTGGTGTTGACCATTCCCACCGTTCTTTTCCTCGATCAACTTGGTCGCAAGCCGATTCTTCTCGTGGCTTCCGTCGGTCTTACTATTTCCATGCTTATCATTGCCGTGATCACTGGTCTCTTTGAGGATAACTGGGAAGCGCACCGTACCGAAGGCTGGGTGGCCATTGTCTTTGTGTACATTTTCATTGCCAACTTTGCTTACTCCTGGGGTCCCATTGCCTGGGTCATTCCCGCCGAAATCTTCCCTCTGCGTACTCGTGCCAAAGCCATGAGTATCTCAACTTCGGCCAACTGGATGTGTAACTTTATCATTGGTCTGGTGGTGCCTCCTATGCTGAGCAATATCAAGTTTGGTACCTACGTGTTCTTCTGCGTCTTTTGTGCATTATCCTTCTTCTTTGTCTTGTTCTTTGTTCCCGAAACCAAAGGCCGAAGTCTGGAAGAAATGGATGAAATCTTTGGTGGCCAAGAAGCGGCCAAGGACGACGCCATCATGTCCAGAGTCAAGGAACAAGTCGCTCGTACCTCCATTCCTGGTGTCAAGCCCGAAACCACCCAAACGGGTCCTACTGTCTAATCAAAAAAACTAATTTCCCTCCCCTACTTTCTTTTCTTGGCCTACCTTTTTTGGAGCCAAATGCGATACTTTTTTCTATTGCTTTTACTTAACTCTCCTTTGTACATACAGTTTCTTGAAATTGTGCTATACCATAGAATAATTCTTATTAAACAACGGTTTCAACTTGATTTTATTCCATGTGGTCTGGTCACCGCATATTTTCTTGTGATTTATTTTTTGTCCCACATTGTTGAAAAAAGACACTGTAGTTATCCATGCCACATATCCATAGCTATAGCTGCGTCTTTCTTTATTTTTTCCTTTATTGTATACAGAACTTCTTGCATATAATATGTTCACGCGAAGCCAGTGCTCGTTTGCGTTTTTGTATTTGTTTACAAAGTTTACAAAGTTTACAAGTTTACACAGTTTACACAGGTTAATAGTTGCTGGCGGGCCAATCAATGACAGCGTCGGTACGTTTGGCCTAATTATGCAGTAAGGACACGAATCCCCACCCATCACTGTTTTCTCGCTGATCAAAGCTCAACATATTGTGTTTTTCCTGTTTTGAAACAGAGGTATCAAACAAAGTAGCGGTCACAAGTACAATCACTTTGCAGCTGCAGGAAATGAGGCTCAGTATAAAAAATGTCTCGTATTGCATAATGACCGATCAGTGAAAATCACATACCGTGCTCGAGATAGAGCCACATTCCATCGATGGAAACTGAATAGGAAATCGGTATTGTATGGTTGGATATCGTTAAAGGTAAAGCAACTGATCACCAATTCGCATTCTTGGCCTTGAAGTTTTTCGACCGTTTCGACAATAAAATCGTCTTGCGATGCTATTTGATTGAGCTGATTTTGAATGGTGACTCGTTGACGATGATGAGGTGTGACGATCATCAATTTAGGCTGACCGTCTCGTACGGCGCTCTTGGGAGTTTGGGCCGCGGTTCCTTCCATGTGGGTGGAAAGATGAGCTTTGACAAGTTCAGTGACTATATCGGCCTCCATCTGGATCTCTACTGCGGCAGCGGCGGCGCGTGTTCGATTTCCCATGTGGATTTTGATCATCTATCGCGTTTTCAGAGTCCAGAGCCATATACACTTCATCACGAATCGACCTCTTTTTGGGGGTCCAGTTATATAAAAGCCGTAATTTGGGATAACGTGCAATGAGGTCGTTGCCATAGATTTGTTGGAAAAATTCATTCAAACCTACGTTCTGAATGCATTTGATGAGTTAAAAACGGCAGCAATGTAACAGGAGCCTTGCTTACCATGCGCCAATTATCTTGAAGCTTGATGGTATTGGGGCCGAAATCATGTTTCACACCCTTTTCCAACAGGAAGCTCTTGATTGAAATGCTTCGATTGTCGAGCGTACGCATGAGGCACTGCTGAATGGAGCCATAGAGGAGCGGATGATGTCGAGGCAGCCGAGGGTAGCTGTTCTGCAAGATAGGTCCCAGTTGGTAAAGATGAAATCGCAAATATCAGAATATACAGTGGTGTTCAATTCTAAGTAATGACAAGTTGAGGCACGGACCATATGATTACCAGCAACGATCAGCTTGCTGTCGGCTTTTTCGAGACATTGGATGGCAATAGCGCATCGGCTACCAGCAACTGTTTGAACACCAGAGAATGAACCATGTCACTTTGTGTGCGACATACTTGAGAACTTTCGTCGATGATCATGATGTTGCAGCCTTTCCACGTTTTTCCCTCCCTTACTTTCCACCAATCCCACACCGTGCCTCCGACCACGACGGCATCCACGTTTTTTATTTTCTTCTGTCGCCAACATACTGGCGTGTTTACAGGACATGGTATCTCCAAACTTGGCATCATGTTCTCCCATGCTGACCACCTGTAACGGAGCACCATTTGTTTGTTGCTGCCGAATCGTTTCAACGTGTTGCAACAAATTGGGGATGGCCGACCGCGTCGAGGCAGTAATACCAATCATAAACGGTACTATTGAATTCTTTCTCTGCTTCGGACACAGATAGGTAATATACCATGAGATAAAAAGAGCCAAAAATTCCGCCTTTCCTGATCCCTAACATCAAATGGGATGAGCCTCAACAAAATACGGAAAGAAAAATGTTGGTCGTACGTACAGCTAGACCCCATACAATTTGTAATCGACTATTTGTAATCTTTGTCGCAATATCTTTCTGAGACGGCGACATGGCCAATTTCTCAAGCAAGTGGTTGAACGCTGAATTAAGGACATAGTCAGGCTCTTTGGCAGGCGTTAATGCCCATGCATTTGGATTCTCCAATAAATGCTAAAAAACACAAACCAAGACCCTGTGTCAACAACCATCGCTTTTTTTTTCGGGGTAAAATCTTTTGCTTATCAAAAAGTTACTTTCGTTAGGGTCTTCTTGGTCTATCTTATTCAGCGTAGCGTGAACCTTTTTTGAATTAAAGTCAATGAACCGTCGATACAGTCTGAAACCTTCCCGCGCCGTGGGTTGAGAGGTCCGATTTGTCCGCGAAGTGTAATGGTGTATATAGACCTGATTCTTCGCTCAGTCCAATGATATTGACCGTGGTGATGGAAAGGTCGTTCACTTTATGTTGTCCTTCTACATCAGGATAGCGAATGGCTTCAATGATTCCCTAATCCCTAAATAATAGGCAAACGGATTACATACGGTCCTCTGACTCGAATAGTTTAGATACGTTACCTTGGTGTTGTCAGGCACAAGGATATATTCCTTGAAAGGGCTTTATGTGCAAGGTGTTAATCTGGATTTCCAAAGCGACAGGATCGAATCCATTTTAAAAAATATAAAGTCGTCGGACAAAGCCCACCGACGGCAAGTTAACACAATCAACGTATTCCAATCCCAATCCATACTTTTTGCTAGTGTCATATCGATGATAGCTCCTGAGATCCGCCAGGCGAGGAGCACGAATTTTTTCACATTGATAAATACATTCCATTCGTTTGAAGAAAGCTAAACGAGCGAGCAATGGGTTTTCGATTGTTTGTGTTTTGGGCCATACAAATGGTTGAGTATCCAATGGATGAATACAATGTCCAGTACTGCGTTAGTAATCGGCAACTATTTTACGGTAGCTGCTCATGATCGTGTGGTAAGCAAAAAGGCGAAGTGAAAGCTGGGCCTCCACTGCATCGGCGGACCCATTTTGCCCAGTATAATAGAACATATCGTCATCATAGACTTCTTCTTCTCCTGTTGCCTCTGAGTAAAAGCCAGAGGCAGAGGCCCGTCTCATCCACAATGCAGCTTTTTGCAAGCTGTAATATCCGGGGACACCCAAAGCAATGTTGTCCTTGAGAATAGCTTCAATACTTGCGATGCGGCCTACGCCAACGCCATTCATATCCTCTTCAGCGGGCAGATTTGTCATGTTGACGATGCTCAAAATGTGTGTGTCCTGGAACAAGACGAGTAAATAGTTCATAATTTTGTTGCAGAGACCCATGTTATCCTTGTCGTTGTCCTGGCGGCGGACAAGGTGGTAAGCAAGGCCATAAGGGATCGCTGAATGTGGGCTTTGGCTTCTTCATGATACACATAAATGGTGATTGATCTTCCGCCACCTCATCTAAAATTTCCATCAAATCCTCGACAAAGGACACCAAGAGATCCGTGTGTTCGTCGAATGAGTCATCTGAAAGCAACGATCGCAAGAGTTGATGGTATGGGTAATCACATTTGTCGCCGAAAACGGAAATAGCGTAAGCAAATGGACGTTAGAATTTTTGGTTCATTTGAAACGGGACATAGATTGCATCATCCTCTTGCGCTCCCACCAAAATTGTTGGATCCCCAATCAACTAAAGCACAGGTACAGTGAGATGAATGGGTCAAGGCGATAGAAAAAGAAACCCAGAGTAAAGTCCCGTTGTTTCTTACTTGGGGTTTCTGTGTCTCGTATGATTTAGCGTAAGGTCGTAAAGAAAATGTTTCTCTACAGCTGCCGATGGAATGTACGTATGGTTTGCTCCGTTATCTAGTCTGATATTCTCCAAATCATCGATCAAGTTCTCAATGTCTTTGCTCGGCGTTTGCTTCAATTCTTTGATCTTAGATTCCGTCATGTAGGGTATCGTGCCTATTGTTCCTCGTGTTTCTTGTCGGCATCGATTGGTATGAGGACAGTATCTGCATTTGGCATTATACAACCATTTGGGTCGCTGGGTCCTCACAATCGACACCAACTGCTTTGTGAAGAAATCCCTCATTCTGGGGATCATGAAATCGACGCGGAACGTTTCGGGTTCGTTGAGGTCCGAAGGGAGCCAGATAGCGCCAATAATATCCATCTCGAGATTACGGATATCGCGAATATAATACGACAACAAGTATACATACGCGGCGACTTGAAACTACGCCAGTGATAAGATGCCATTTTTTTGTTCTCATCGCGCCACGTATCTTTCGATGAAAATCAACGATATACTTTACCTGTAATCCATTTTTCGAGAAGATTTAGCGTCAATAACGAAAATCAGTCTTGTTTTCGTTTGCGGATCTTATTTGATGCATAAAAAATCGGGAATGAAATGGCGCAGATGATACACATTGGTTGCTTTGACTTCGTCCTCGGAAAAGCTGTCGGGCATTTGAAATCTCAATCGGTATAGAACCTGATTAGGCTTGGCGTCACGAAGTATTTGACGACTGTCGCTCGACGACTTATTGGTGCAGTCCACGAGCGCGGAACCGAATTTGTCTCGGCTAAAGCGGCCTCGAATTTGTAACCTCGATCCGCAGCCCCTTTGGTGGTATCTTCTTTTGGAGAATCATGGGGACTTTGTTTGGCGCTCCCCAACTTTTTGTACTTTTAACAGTTTAAAAACTGCTCTTGGCTAAATAAGAAACGGCGAAATGAGGTAATTCACGATTCGCGTCATTGGTTTCATTTATCCCAGCAGACGACAACACCGTCTTTACAAAATGCAGAGTGAGGAATGCATATCACAAGTCAAGAAAAATGCAGCAGCAGCAGTAATGCAAGCTTACATTGGGCGGTGTGTCTTTTGTCATGGTCAACTTTGTGCAGTTTCTCCGTTCAAATAAAAAAAAAACCTGACCGCTTTTTACTTTCCTGACCCGGAAACCAGCATAAGCTGGTGTAACAACTCCATTTCCATGGTTTGTCGATCCGCCGTTTGTCATTTGACAAAAAAGGATAGAATGTACAGCAATATATCCATTTTTATTTCTATGTGCATCAAGCCGGAAGAGCTTGTTTGATTAAGTTATATACAGGTATTCAAATATTTTTATACTTTGTTTTGCATTTCTTCAGTGGAGGTGGCAGGAACGTTGGATTGGTCGGATGACCGATGAGGCCCGCTTTGGGACGCGCTTCTTGACCCAGCTTGGGATCCGCTGGCTCGATTGCTTCTTCGTCCGGAGAACATTCTTGCCAAGGGTAGATTGACGGGAGGAACATAGTCTTCTTCGAATTCATCCAAGTCTCTACCTTTGGATTCCGGAATCCACAGGATCGTCACAATCATACCGATAAACATGATGGCGGCAAAAATACCAAGGGTTTGTGGTAAAAATGCATGATCGCCCGGCTTTTTACTGCCTATATCGGAAACGACATTGAAAGCAAAAGCGGCCAGGATGGCGCCTGCTTTGCCTGATGCTGCGGAAACGCCATGAGCGGATGCTCTGACTTTGGTGGGAAACACTTCACCCGGAATAATGAATGTCGTGGTATTGGGACCAAAATTTTGGAACAATTGGGCAAGGGTAAAAATGGTAATAAAGGCCGGCAAGGCTTGATCCCGCAATTGGTAGTAAGCGGCAGACAAGATGGTGAACAAGATAGTGCACATGGCAAACCCCATAATCTGGATCGGGCGACGGCCCATGCGTTCAATGAAAAACACCGTCAGATAGTACCCTGGCACCGAACCAAGACAGGTAATGATAAGCTGGCCGACGGTATTCGCCCACAGTGTATCAAAGGGGGTGCTTTTGTTGGAGAACCCAATGGCGTTCAGCACATACGCATTGTTCAAGCCGAGACCGTAAAATGCAATATCCAGAAGAAACCACGATAAGCACGTCCCCAGTAATACTTTGCCGTACTTCCACTGGCGAAAGTAGGCGAAAAATTCCTGACAGTGATTTCGCTTGGGCGCTCGATCTGGATTGGAAAACTGTCGAATAAGATCAGTGGAGGGTTCGTGGCCTTTGGCTTCCGCCGCGGCTCGAGCATTATGCTGGACATTGAGTGAGTAGCGAGGCGATTCTGGCATGCTAAAACGTAGATAAATGGTGGCAAAGGCCGGCACCGCGCCTAGTCCGATACAAAACCGCCAAACATAATCGAGCATGTAGACGTCGGATTGAATCCCTTGCTTGAAAATAGCGAGCATGATCAATGTCACGATGGCCGCTGCCAAATTGCCAATGCCTTGCATGGAAAAGATCAAGGCTAGCATCATGCCTCGCCGACCCGTCGAAGACCACTCGGACGTGATGGTCGCGCTCATGGGGTAATCGCCGCCAATACCAAGACCGAGTATGAGACGCCAAAATCCCAAAAATGCAATGGCCGAGACGCCTCGAATAGCTGAGGAGGCCGTGGCGCAGTTGATGGTACCGACGATGATGATAATAAGTTCGAAACCGTAGATCCTTCGACCAAATGTATCGCCGAGAAAACCAAACAAAATCTGCCCAAAAAGTGTTCCGACGGACGCCATGCCTTTAAGAATGCCTTCTATATCGGCAGGCATTTTGTTGGGACCGGAATAGTAGATGTAGCCCAGCATGGGTGTGACCAAGTTGATGACGAAAACATCGTAGGAATCGGTAAAGAAGCCGGCGCCTGAAGTTAAAATGGTTCGCACTGTAAACCAATTGAATGATGAACCAGCTCCTCCACGTTCGAGTTTTTCCAAGCTTCTCAGCTTTTGAGAAGCTGTCTCGTACGCGTCTGGACTGGATGAGGATCCTTCCGCTGCTGACATGTAGTTGTTAAAATGCGCTGGGGAGCAAAAAAGGTAAACCAGAAAATATGTCAAGATGCAGATCGAAAAAGGGAAGGAAAAAAAATATTCGGATCCATGCAAGCGTACTAAATCACTCGTCAATTGGAGGGGAATTGACAGGTTTCACTGGCTCTGGAAAAGTCGAATCGTATTGCTAGGCTTAGATGGACGACGTTTTCTGCCCAAAGTTATTCAAAAGAAGCAAATTTTTTATGAAACATTCCTGGATAACCAATCATGGCTTCATGTTTCTTTTATTCAAAGGGCCTTGCTCATTTTACATGGGTTACAGAATGAGAATTGGCGTCGTACTGACCCCGCCAGACAAGGCTTGACCTTTTTCGGGCGTGTTGGGATGAAAGTAGAAAGCCATGGCGACAATAGCATAAGACGACTGTGAGTTTTTTAGAAAAAGACGATGAGTCACGATGTGTTTGTCGTCCTTTTTTTTGTGTATCTCCTTACCAAAAGCAAGATGCCTTCAAGCCAGTTGGAACGACCGTCTTGGATGAGGTAATTGACAATCAGAACGCTGGCGAATAAAATGATGGTTTCAAAGTCCTCGAAAAATAGTGTCATGGGTTGGCCAATAACCCATCCAGCAATCACCAACACGGGAGTGACCAGCAAACCAATTTGCAAAGACGACGACACAGCAATGCCGATACACAAATTCATCTTGTCCTTCATCGCAAACGTAACGGAGCTCACATGTTCGGCCGCGCTGGGAGAAAAAAACAAGAAAAGAAAAGACTGAATACGAAAAAATAAAAGAGACGTGGCGTGGGCCTTATCACTTACTTGCCGACCAAAGGCAAAAGAATGATACCGACAAAGGTCTCGTTAATACCCCAGCTTGTAACAACACCTTCAATACTGTTGCACGCAAAAAAAGTTAATTCATTTGACCAAAGAGTTTCCGAATTTAGGACAACTTACGCGCCAACCAAATGCTCGGCATGCAAGGCGACGAGACCAGCAATCACCAATAAACTATTCAAAATTTATCAGCGTTATCAGTAGACTAAAATCCATAGTATGGTATACACCCAACTTACGAGATAACAGAGAACAGTAAAGTGGTACTGGGCACCTCTTCCTCGTCAGCTTCATCTTCGTACTGTTAGCACACATTGATTAGTATGACAAGGGAATGAGAAAAAAAAATCAAAGATCAAATGATACAATACCAGGTGTGTATGGGTTTTCAACTATTTGACAAAAAAAAGTTTAAAAAGTTTTAGGATTTTCTTTCAATAGAAATGGGGACAATGTAACCTAAGCTAGGATCTTTTACCTGGAAGAATAAAAACAGGATATAGACGATCAACAAGATGATGGCGGTTCCGTGACTGACGGCCAAGATGCCCTCTTCAGCTTCTTGCGCGGTGCCTTGTGTGAGACTGAAAGCCGCAGGAACGAGCAACGACAACGTTGTCAATGCAAGTAATGAACAAGACGTTTGTGCAGCTATGAATCCAAAAAGAAAATGTTAAGGTCACACAATACTTCCATTTTCATCCCTTCCACCGAGATCGGTCAAGCCTCGTCGCTCCCAGTTTACCTGTAACATTGAAGGTTTGCTCGGTTCGCGTCGCTCCTCCCAATAAGAAACAGAAGCCAAGAACCTAAATGGCACCCCAAGTTATTTCGTTGTGCAGCCAACAGGGAATTTTTTCAAGTTGTTACCAATAAAATGTTGGAAAGGATGGAACCCAAAATGGAAGCTATTCAAAGAGTCAACATCCCAGAATTCCCAACCACTGTTTGTGTGTGGTAATATTTACCTTGAACGACGCGGATAAGACCCTCTTTCAAGGCGATGACTCCCAAAATAAGTTCCACAGCGTTGCCAAATGTAGCATTCAATAACTAGTAAAGAACAAACGATGGACATTTAGCACACAAGTCGATCACTGCACTTGTGAGACCTTGGAAAAAAAAAAAAAAAAAAAAAAAAAAAAACTTACAGAGCCGACGGTGCTACCACTTCGTAAAGCGATTTCCTCAGTAGCTGGTGTAACGGGTATTAGAAAAAAAAAGGTTCGTTGCCTGAATTGCAGGACGTGCGAAAAAATAAAACAAGAACCATCATTTACCGAAACCCAACAACTTGGCCAGAGGAATAATGGCAATAAAGTTCAAACTAAAGACCACGGTATCCGAGGCGTTCAGACCGGAAACTACTAAGGCAATAGGAACGAAAACGAGCAAGAGGTTGAAATAAGAGGAAGTTGCTGTCACTTTAAAGGAGGACCAAAAGGTCGGTTCGGCATGATGGTGACCGTGGGTTGAATTACCCAAAAGAGGTTCGTTCTCTGAATGTTGCACCATTGAGAGAAAATAAGCTTGAGGAAGAAAAGACGTAAAGAAAAAAGGAACAAGCAATCCAAAGGTTTTTATACGATGGAAAAATTTCATCACCAGTCAAAACCTGATATGGTAAACAAACTTTCGAAGGTTCTGTTTGTGCAATGGATCTTCTCCTTGTGCGACGTTCGGCTCATCCACAGAGATTGTTGCTTACGTGCACACGCTATTTGTTGTTTTGATGCATATAAAGCATGTATCCTGTCCATCTTGGTCGTCTCAGAACCGGTGACGGGACGTATCCAGCTGTTTACTCTTATGCAAGTCCAATCAGTTTCACGTCATGGTCGATGATGTGCTTCTATCATTTCGCGTCACCTCTCCGGGAACCCCAGTTTCTTTTGTCTGTAAAAAAAAAAAAAAAAAAAAAAAAAAAGAAAACAGCAGTATTTCGCGAATCGGGTGCCCGAGTATCCCACAGGGTTATCAACTGCCCTCACAAAGAATTGCTTCTCTTCACGGTGCATGTTGCGATATGCAGTTCATAAATCGAGTCGTGAAGTTCAATCAAGGGTATTTTTGGATATGGTTTGCCCAAAGAAGTGAATGCAGGGCCGAAATAATTATGGGTAATAAGCGCTCAAGGGGATAATGGACCTTTATTCGAGAGGGATTCAATTTATTTCTTGTTTTGACTTGCGCGACAATGTCTCCATAGCTGGAATATCTCTGTGGTTCTTACAACATCTTATGCTGTGAATATCTGATGATCAGTATATGGAAAACTGTACGCGGCGGATTCACAAGCCCACTGTATAGACAGTTGATAAGTGAGGTTGATAGTCTATCCGAGATGAGAAGCAACAAAGGAGAGTCAATAAAGTAAACGGTAACTGGAAAGGAGTATAATAGTTGTCAATAGCTCTAAGCAACAACTCTAGGCGCAACACGCACATTGTAGCTGGTTGCGTGACATTAGGCCACACACAAGAACAGCAAGAAGGATAAAGTGTTGGTAAAACACGTAATCGAGTGTTTCAGAGAAATAGCATGCTCGACGAAAAAGGATTGCGTGAAAAAGCTCTAGTGCTTTTCAATGCGTATGGTTATTTGCTAGTTCCCTATGCATGTGATACATTGCCTTTATAAACAACTGCAATAACGCGTTGTTTTCATGTAATTTTGGTTTTTTATTTCTCTGTCCGTCTCTTGTATTGACAGCTGTCGAGGACATGGCAGTGATTCATTTGCATCCATGACTGAACAAGGTTCGTGTACCGGGGAGGAAAAATCGGTTCACGTGCAAAAGGCAAGAAACGTTGTTTCCCTTTCGCTCCGTCCTGACCGAGCCTCCTCTCTCGGACGTTTGTCATATTGTTATTATTATTGTTATTATTATTATTGTTATTGCCTTTTCTCTTCTCTTTTTTTTGGGGGTGTGTGTGTGTTGTGTGTTTTCCTTCTTCCTTATTTTGTATAGCGGGCTTTCTCTTTCCTTTTTCTAAGCATCCACATATCACCTTTTGGCTCGTTTAGGCTTGGTTCTTTGTTTTGCCTTTATTTCAATTCGATTTTCTTTTTCTTTCTCCATTCCTTCATCACTTGGCTGAGTATGACCATTTCACATCACGAAAAAGTATCCACCAAAGGGGCTAGCTCCATTATGCATAGATTCAGGTTCTTTGGAAAATCCGAAGGTGCAAAAGCAATCTCAACCTCATGGATCATCGCTTGTCTATGGTATTGATATTCGTTTGTCTTTTTGTTTATGCAGCCAAACGAAAAACACTCAGCTCCACGGAATCGATAAAGTCATCGAGCAAGCTCGCTAAATCCAGCGCTCGTCGTTTATTTCGTTCACGTACAGGTGGCAGCTTTTTGTCCATGCTCATGTGTTGTACTTTTGGCGGTACTGCGCATCGTCAGGAGAAAGACTATGTCTATCGACCATCGCATCATACTGCTCGCCGGACGAGCAGCAACAATGTTACCACTTCACAGACCATCACCTATTCCACCAATTCTGTGATTTCCAAAGACGAAAGAAGCGTCGAGATCCATCCTATCGAAGAGAAAACCAGTCATAGTTTCACGGACGACAACGATAATGATGCATCCAATATCAAAGCCGACCAAGCTGAAACAAAGCGAGTGTCCGCCGATGCAAAAGATTTAACCATTGCTATTCCGCCTACTTTGCCCTCTTCTTCGCCCGAGACTACCACGCCCATCCTTGAATCTTCTCAGGTAAGCGCTCACAGTATTTTGCTTCATCATCATTGTCATCCTCGAAAAGCTAACCTGGAGCTTTGATTTTTAATTAGGATCTATGGCTTCTTAAGCCTATTGCGCCCCAAGATCACGGTCGAAAATGCCTGGTCCTTGATTTGGATGAAACGCTCGTTCACAGCTCGTTCAAAGTAAGTATACTTAACCGTGTGGCGTGAGTTAAAAATCGCTAGACCCTAATCCATTCAGCGAATGCACGCTAGACTGCCACACATGCTGATTTTGTCGTACCGGTTGAAATTGATGGTCAAGTGCACAACGTCTTTGTACTGAAGCGGCCAGGTGTCGATGCATTTATGAAACGCATGGGCGAAATCTACGAGATTGTTGTGTTTACAGCAAGTTTGTCCAAGGCAAGTAAAGCACCGTGGTCCGCGAATCGTTGTTGTTCGTTTCATTTGTTTTATTTTTTCTAACGATTGTTTATTTTTCTGGTGAATTGCTGTTTAGTATGCTGACCCCGTGCTCGATACCTTTGACCTTCATAAAGTGGTACGACACCGTTTATTCCGTGAATCGTGTTTCAATTACAAAGGAAGCTATGTCAAGGTAAAGTCCGGATAGTCATGACAAAGAAAAAAAACCTGTCATTTTCTAAAGTCATTGGGGGGCATCATAAGGATCTGTCTCAGCTGGGGCGCGACCTTAACCAGGTGATTATTCTCGATAATTCGCCAGCGAGCTACATATTCCATACCACCAACGCTATACCTGTGTCTTCCTGGTTCAACGATCCTCACGATTCAGAACTGGTGGATTTGATTCCCTTCTTGGAGGATCTAGCGACAGTGGATAATGTGACCGATATCCTGGATACCACCATTCCTGGCCCCTTTTCTCGCTTTTGATATGCTTGTTGATGAAATACCTTCTTTTCTTCTCCCCCCGTTCCTTCATTTCTTTTTCTCGATCCCGCCATCATACAACCACCTTGACTCTTTTTGTTTTCTAATGCCACTGACTCCTCTATTTCGTTTGCTATGTCTCTTGCTTACTGTCATTGATTCCTGCTCTTGTTTCTGTGCAATGTTTGGGCACCGATGATCCCTTTATTCAGTATCACAATGCCCAATTCTACCCTTTTATGCATGAATCATCTGCCTGTTTCTATCGTTTGACGGATTGCCTCATTATGCCGCTTTTGGTATTATTTATTGAACTTTTTTTTCCCGGTTGCCCATTGTTTTCTTTTGTTACTCGTGTTAATCCAGCATGTATATCCTTGAGGCGACATCGTTGACCACCCAATCCATCCCTTTCAGTAAATTGTCGCCAGTCACGGCACTGCATGCTTGTATGGCCCAATGATGACTCTTGATCTCATCTAATGCCAGCGTCTAGTGGACAAGTAAATTCAGCCTCGGTTTTCTTTTTTCCCTTTTTTTCTCTCTTTTTTCGTCCAATAAAAAATCATTGATACCATGACTTTTTCCTAGTTACCCACCTTTTTTAATTCTTGTTCTGACAGTGATCCGGCTAGATCTTGCTTGTTGGCGAAAACGAGCAATGTTGCTCCTGCTAAGCGTTCTTCTTGGAGTAATTGGAGTAATTCTCGTTTGCAGTCTTGCAGTCGTAGTCGGTCGGCCGAATCAACCACCCATACCAATGCATCGGTTTGTTCGAAATAATTACGCCAATAGGAACGAATAGATTTTTGTCCCCCAACATCCCAGATATTCAACTTGTAACTACCGCGTGGTCGACCAACCACGGTCAATACCGAGAAAAAAGATGATCGACGCTCCTATATATTTCGACTTACGCATCGTGTTCCAAAGTCTTGATATTGAATCCCAAAGTGGGCGAAATGGTATCGATGGGTTCACCGTTGATTCGTTTCAAAATGGTGGTCTTGCCGGCATTGTCAAGACCCCTGTTGGGAACAAGTGGGTTAGATCGAGTGGCTTCAAGCTCGTTCAGCCAATAATGATACTTGCAGCATGAGGATGCGCATTTCCTTTTCTTTCTGTCGGTTCTTTTTTAGAATAGTCAGTAATCCCATGCTGATGGATTTCTTTCTATTCTGGGTATACGATGCGTGTGCTGAAGCGGCACGGGTCTTTCGGTTTGCATGCAATTAAAATGACAGACCCGAGCGGAGAATAAAATGCAGCTTTTTTTTTTCTTCCTCTTTTCCCTTATAACTCTTCCATACATACTCATATGCTTCCTCGAACGAAATCGGTAGACGATACAAATGCTGGGTCAAAGCGATCGGCCCTTGGAAGCGGGAGTGTATCGCACCAGCCACCAAAGGCTTCGGCTATTTCCAAGCAAGTGCTCAAGAATAGCCCCATTCCACAACCGGTTCGGTCCAAGACGACTTTGGGGCTGGAATCCTCGGCTCGACCCAAAGTCAATCAGCCACTGCGAAGTAGTAAAGTGTCACAAAAGCTTGTCTTGTTTCCTCAACCGTTTTCAGAATCGGAAACTACCATGCAAGCCACACTGCCCATTGACAATGAAGTACTTGTCTCGCCCACTTATGATCAACGTCGACTGAGTGAAATAGAAGAAGAACAAGAACCGTGGCGGTATGACCATGCTCAACTCACAGCTGGTGTTCCCTTACCGACGGAATGGACGTTTGGATCTCGTACCCCGGCAGAACGTATGCCCAAAGATGAGCGCGATTTCGCCGGGTTGCCTCGCGTGGCAGCTTATTGCACTGGCGAAGGATACGATTTGAACCGTCTTCGTCCGTTTTTGCGTCAACACCATCATGTAACACCACGATTGTACGATGAATGCCTTTATGCAGCCTATTACTTTCCATTAATGACCTTACGCCCCGATAAGGACAACCTGCACAATATTCGCATACGCAGCGCATCACCACGTCCTGCTCGTCGAGATGCCACAGAAGAAGAAGAAGCCATCAGTTATGACGAAGATCATTATCCCCACGAAGGAGGCATGAACAATGAAGGTCCTCCTCGCCCAGGAAACCCGTATCCCGAGCATTATCATAGTCACCCGTCCGCCGAATCGCATTCCGCCGACACGGATAAAATGAATGGCACCGCAACCGAACACTCAGAACCCCATGGCAGTCTCGATCAACCCTCGACTTACTCTGATGAAATTGCCAAATCCAGTGAAAAGCATGATGATACCCTACCCGAGCCTCGCATTGAATCCATATCGGCACCAGCCACACCTTACGCGGAGCAGGTATCCGAACCTATCGAAGTACCAGAATTGGCCCAGGATATCAAACGACAACATCGCTCTTCCATCAAACCTCCTTTCAAAGGCGGCGAAGTGTTTATTTTCGATTACGGCGTGGTCGTCTTTTGGAACTTTCACCGTGCGGAGGAACTGCTCATGCTGGAAGATTTGAATGAATTCTCCATTCGAGCGTTCCGCGACAACCCAGATGAAGATATGCAGATCGAGGAAATGCATTTCCAGTATGACACCTCGCAGTTAAAACCTCGCATTTTCAATGATATGATCACCTTGAAGAGCGGGAATCACATGATCAAACTGACTCTATCGCACGGATTGTCGCAAAGTGCGGTGCTGGCTCGCTATGAAGATATCATGGATAAAACCATCGAGGTAAAAAACTTACTCTCGGTACCAATTTTCTTCCGTTGAATTGCGTGAATTAAATCATCCGCTTTATTAGGATACGAAATATCTTCCAAAGGAGATGGCTCAAACCGGACGTCTTGACAAGAATCGTGCCGAAATCACAAAGATCAATGGCGAACTGTTTAGTTTACGAATGAACGTCAATCTTGTTTCCAATGTGCTGGGTAAGAAATAAGGTGATTGACAATTTTTATCCCCCGGGTAGTCATTGAAACATCCATTCCTTTTAGATACACCGGAAATCTTTTGGTCAGAGCCTGCATTACAGCCAATGTATAATGCGATCAGAGGTACAGTTCTTTGTGGATGATCTATCCATCGTATATCTTGACTAAAAGCAATTCGATGCTTGTAGAATATTTGGAAATTCCTCAACGAGCAAAGATTCTGAATGATCGCTTACGCGTTATATCTGATATGCTTTCCATGCTACGTGATCATTTGAATAATTTTGGTGTCGAATATCAAACCCTGCTTGTCATTTACCTGATTATTGTGGCCGTGATTGTTGCCTGCGTAAGTCTTATTTTACTGCTGTTTCTCTGTTATCGATGTCCCATCTCAATGCGTTTTTTCTTTTCATCTAGTTTGAAATCGCGGTCAAGATCTTGCAATCAATTGAAGTCATGTAGATACGATATCTTTTCTTCCCCCTTTACACTTTATCATTTTGATGCCACCTTTTTCTTGATTGTATTCATTGATGTTACTTTCCATTTGCCCCAAGCAGCAGGGTCATGGGACGAAGCTAAATAAGAGCCTGGGTGAACTTTGGAACGACCACGTATGCAAAAGATTCACCTGGAAAGTGTAAGGTGGAGCTTTTGTGTTCTATTTGAATTCAATCGATAATGATGAATGATAAACAATTGTATTTAAGATATAAAAAGAGTGTATATCGTCGTTCTAATGAAAAAAAAAGAAAACAAAAAAAAGTGTGCATGTCTACAAATATAGTGATTAATACTACAATAACTGAGGAGTTAGGGGGAGGGAGAAGGGTTTTATATGGGTAGTTTGCGTGGATTAATGAATTTCAACTTCTTGCCCACCACCATGGGGCCACCGATCAGAGCGACAAATAAAAAGAACAAAGCAAAGAATAGCAGACCGTAAGTGATGGCGATTTTTCGACGGGCTCGCCTCTGTTTGGCGGTCCATACGGGAGGCCGGATCTGCTTGCTTGGTCGTAGCCAAAAGAGCATAAGGGAATGCGCCGTGTTGATGTAAGGAATAAGGCAAAAGATAGATAGGAAAAATAAAATGAAATGGCCCAGCACGAAATCAATGGCAAAAATGCTCATCTCAACAATCTTGCACAGGTATTCACGTAACGGTTGAGACACAGCTACAAAATAAAAGTGCAGATAGTTAGAAACGTCTTTTTTCTTTTTCACACCGCTTCTACTTCATCTGACCAACTTACCATGCCATCCAAGCTAATCGGGAAGAAAAATTATCAACCAAAAAAAAAAAAAAAAAAAAAAAAAAAAAAAAAAAAAAAAAAAAAAAACATGATGGGATGGTGAGTACCAAGTGGTGTAACATATGATATGAAAAATAAAGAAAGACTACTTACGCCACGCCCGTACCACTTGCCGGTCCACCAGCCACGGTTGGCTTCGTCGTGTTTGAATTCCCGGGTCAGAAACAGGACGGTCAGCGATTTCAGTACAAATCGTTGGACGCCAATCATGCATACGAGCCCCAGAATGATATTGGTTAATTTCCACTCTTCCAAAAGCATCAGTGCTTCCACAAAAATAATCAAGTTGATCACCGCCCATCCGTGAGCCATGGCGGCAACCGTCGATCCGAATTTCGTACAGCATAAACTTAAGCTGGAACCCAGCACAATCGAAAGGAAGAAGAGCATGGCCAAAGCCCCGGCATTCAGGAGAATAGGACCCATAGCAATGGCCCCTACACGTAGTAGTGCGCTCGGACCCTTGGATGCAAGTGTACTGTCATCCGGATCGAAGCTCCTTACGAAAAGATATGGCACGACGCAAAGAATAGCCACGATGAAGGGCAATACCACTTCTGAAAAGAAGATGGCTCCTATACGAGCTCGAGGAATGTCGCCAACCACCGTACTGTTCTTGCTGGTCCGTCGACGCTTGTAACCGGTGATGCGTGTGCGAGAAAGTCGGCAATGGTTGATCCACGAGGATTGATGCGTTTTCGAGTTGCCGCGCGAAAGCCACCGCATGAATTCACGATAATCTACCAAGAAATCGACCAATGAAAATTGGTTGGGATTGAAAATGAAGGGCGACACAATCAGCGCCACCACCGTGAACCAGAAATAGATCAGATGCGGAAGCCACACAGCCAACGACGCAAACAGCATAATGAGCAAGTTCCGTGATCCAGAATAGATGCTGGATCCTGAGAAGCGCGAATACAGCAGAGCAAATGGAATACGAGACGTTGCGAATCCACGCCCTGTCGCAATATACTGAGCCCCGCCGTACACCATGTTGTCCAGGACCGAATTGGTGTAGATCTGCGTGACAAAGATCTCAAACAACGGTGAAAAGGACATGAAATGCCGTCCGAGACGTGTCAGACTTCGCCAAAATCCACGTTCTGTCAACTCTTGAAGGAACAGTGGCAAGAAGGACACAAAGAACACGATGAAAATGGATAAAATACAACGCTTGACCCATTCAAAGATCGGCACCATGTTGTAGCAGCCGTCCGGGGTTAGTGGGGCGTCCGGAGGCGCATCTGCATTGTACTCGCAGATCAAAAGTGTGGATCCCATAGCACCGATAAACATGAGAGCATACATGAACATTTGCACCGAAAACATGATAAAGATGTTGTTGATGTGGAAACCGGGATGCGCATAGTAAAAGGTCAAGAACCGATCGAGTGGCAACTGCGTACCGATGTAATAGTACTCTCGTGATAACATTTGCTCGCCCATGCCTGTACCGATCTTGGTAGTGAAATTCAGAATAGAACCAAAACCGAGATCACGACCTTTGCCGCACTGGAAATACTCCGTATGCTTGATACGTCCACCGCGCGTAAACGCGTTCATGCCCGCATAGATGTCTTCGTTCAAGTGCAGACCCTTTTGCGCTTTGCTCACACCGCCACGCGTTGTCATGAAAATCGCATTGAGGAAATCGGGATGACCGTAATGTAATTTTCCTCCCACTTTGGCCATGATACGCTGCGTGAGGGTACCAAACGTCTGTTCTTTGCCGGCTGCAACGTCGCCCAAGACACCAATGTTTTCAGAGAAAATGTACTCCCGGGCGCCCACGATGGCCACAGGCGCGGTTTGTTTATCTTGCCACGCAGGGGAATAGGGTGACACTTCGGACGGTTCGAGGCATTCAAATTCACCCAGAACGTTGCGGATCTTGAGACATTCCTCCAGATAATTATCTTGATTGGCGTCAATTAACTGCAAGAATTCGCCTCGATAAAAGATGAGCGCATGATTCTGGTTGTCGGACTTCCCATCACCCAAAATCGGGTTTCCCGGGAGACGGACACGGTATTTTGGTTTTCTCTTGCCGTTCTCCAAGCGTTCGCAGTGACCGTCAATGAGTGCCGAGTAATACGTTACTTCGCCGTCCGGCTCATCTTCGCGAGGCTCCACTTCCTCAATGTAGGCTACCTGTAAATCCGGATACGCTTTAAACAACAGTTCCGCATCTTCAGCCTCTTGTTGGTTGAATTTCGCATAACGCTGCATGGCAACCAAGAATTTGAACTTTCGACGGGCCAGCCGATCAAGATCGCGATCGAGTCGACTGACATCGTCGTGATAACTGCTGATAATGTCGGGATGTTCTACTCGGTACAGCAACTTGATGGCTTTTCTGTAATTCATGAATCCAGACACCGTACGGTAAAGCGTTTGTGATCGCAAGGAAGCCCAGATGCGAGTGCGTAATGTGTATTCGGGCTTGGACGATTTGAATCCAATGCAGTAGAATGGAAGATCGTCAATCTTGCTCTTGACGGTGTCCTTTTCTGACATTTCCGAGAACAGCGACGAACTGCGCGTGGCGTTGCCGCTACATGCGGCTTCTTCGGCCATGATCTTGGTATCGCGAACAAAATTATCCCACTCAATAGGATGCAATTGCTTCAAATATTCTAACAATGTAATGCGCGTGTACTGATCTTCTTCTCGAATGATTTCACGGAGTGTCAACAAGATTTTCTCTCCATAGTGCGGCTGTGATCGTAAATTTCTTTGAGCAACTTTGACGTACTGATGCCAATGACAAGAGAAAAAAAAAAGATACTTACGGTGAGTACCGTAAATGACGGCATACAACCGATGGGACGAGGCGGCGGCATAGGGGTGGTCAAACTCTGAGCAAAAAAGTGAATACGACGTTCGGCCTCACTATGCTGAGGGAAATATTCCGTTTTGAAAGCGGTGTCTTCTTGGGATACAAAAAATGTAGGCGGCTTTAACGTCTTTCGACCATCGACCGGGTTTATCTCCTGCATTTTAAAGAGAAAAGTCATCAAGGTAAGACGAGTGAGTATGTCAATAGGCGAGGGAAGGGGACACCGGGTTATTACCTGCTCGTAAAGCATGCGTTGAGCATGGTCGACGGTAATGAGATGTTCTCGATACATGGTAATGACAATGGCATTCCATATCTGAGAACACACCACCTTCGTTTTAAGCTTGATTTGAATATCGGACGTTGCGAGCAGCTTGACAAAAATGCGGGTGGGTAAGCGGGAAAAGATGTTGCGCCAAGGCGTCCATATGGAAATCCCGAGGTAGAACGAACGTGCCACTGAGAAGACGGTGTTCCATATAATGTACCAGAGATAGGTATCGAGAAAATACAGGACAAGGTCCATGAGAAACATGAGTACAATGGTAATGTTGGGCATGCGGCTGCAAAGCGCGGAACCGATAATCTTGTCGTTGCAGTGTTCAATATGCATCGCGTGCATGACTTTGAGTGGATCCTTGAATGAAAGTGCCAAGAAGAAGTACGATTCCAACAACTTGCAAGTGAACACAAAGACCCACAGAGCAATGGACATGATGCGATCGATGCGTTTGAGCGGAGGGAAGTTGGCGGTAAATTTTTGAAGAACCAGATCCGAACGTGCACTACGTTTGGATCGAACAAACAGTTTGGACGACGGCGTGATCGCGAGGTATAAAGTCGTGGCAATACTTATTAGCAGTTGCGAGGCGGCCACGAGCCTTGAGATGGGGCTCCGTCGATCGATAAACACACAGTAAACGGTAGGACCGGCGTTGAGCACCAACAGAACGCACAGTAGCATGATGCGTCTTGTAATCACCCGCGTGCTTGACCATGATATGGGCAAATAGGAGAGCTCGGAGAAGGACCCAATCAGCATCAACATGACGGCGATCACTCCACCCAACGCCACGATGGACCATTGAACGGCAGACTCGGTTTGGGCGATTTCTGGATCGGCGCTGAGGTATAATGTGGTAGCGTTGGAAGAAATGTAGTAGTAGAATGAAACGATGTGAATAATCCATACGCGGGTGAAATTGATCGAAGCATGCATCCACGTTCGCTTTTCTTTGTACGTCTTAAAAAACGTGTGGTTCCAATCGACGCCTTTCAGGGCAGGAAACCGTTCATGCGGAGCAAGTCCGTGTAACGTCCGTTTGTCGGACAATTTTATAGCGCGAAAACAGGTCGGCTGCCAAAAGAACTGATTGACGTCGTCGTAGCCGATAATCTTGTCGTGGTCTTTTTCCCGCTTCACAAGTCGACCATTGATCTTTTCGTAGGTTTGGTCGCGGAAAAACCGGTACAGTGGAATGACGATGTCGTCCAGAAAAGTTCCCTCTGGTACATCGGGGCAGTCCCCGTGACAGTAGTAATCACTCGCCACTTTGTAGAAGAAACAGAGGGCTTCAGGCGTGAAACGAACCGCCGCCGCTTCTCCCCATATCAAGAGGTATAACGCCAAATCTCTTACTTTCTCCTCGTTGGTGAGTGCACGCATTTTTAGCTTCCATCGTTCGGCGGCTTTGGCCAATTGCTGTGCTTCATCAAGGTCATCCTCGTTTAACGGGTCCTTTTCCTCATTGTCGAGGACATCGATTTGAGCAGCAAAGTACCACTGACGGTAATTGGCCAGTTCGCCTCCAATGTAATCGGCATGCAGCGTATCCAGTGCTTGCTGTGGTTTCATTCGCGATGATCGGGAATCCAGCATGACCATGAGATGGTCCAGCATATTCTGAACATTATCGTTTTGAAATCCAAATTTTTTGGCAATATCGGTGAAAATCGCTTCGATACCGCTGAGGGTCATTGGAATGTTGTCGGCTGGACCCCATGAAGGATAGTTGGCGTCCTCACCAAACCCGGTCAGACTGTTTTTGGATATCTGGGAGGTCGATGCATTATTCATGGAAAGGTTGCTTCCTGCAAATGTGTTGCCCTTGTATTTTCGACTTTCCAGCAAAGCCAAGGTGGAATCGGCCGAGGTCGCGTACTGTATGTAACGACTTTCATCGTTATCTGCCAAAGCCGCCAAAACGTCAATGTTGTATGTGACCTCCTCGCGGAACGCATGGTAGGGAGGGTATCGTGAGTCGATGGATTCCCGATCCATCGGTACTCCGTCGACCATCGACATGGAATCAATGGAGGATCCATAGAATTGACTAGATGCACGTCCGCCCCTCGACCTGTGACCATTGCCTTTGGGATGTTGAACAATGTAAAGGTAAGAAAAGGAGGATCCATAAGGTGCACACGCGCCATGCACGGGGAAAAACTGCGGTGGACTTACCTGGCGTATGAACGATGGGAGGTGGTTGATCTGGCGGAGCGACGGGTGCACCGGGTACATTGTTGGCGTTTTGGCGCGACATACTGTGATGATTTGAACCAAGAAAATTTGGTGATTAATGACAGGTTATACAAATTGATTTTTGACAGGATGATTTTTTTTTACTTTGCATAGTAGGCTCGAATTTCGGGAAAATCACCGGCTTCTTTGCCTGCCATGAGGGCGCTTGAATCGAGACTTTGTCTTCCAGCATGAGAGGCGAGATGACTCCGACTGACATCGTAGCTCCGACGCTCGGAGCTTAAGGCGTTGGAACTTCGATTGGTTCTACGATCATTGTGTCGATAATCCGAATTCATGACTTTGAGGGTATCGTGGCTTCGATTTTCTGATCTGGCTTTCAAAGGACGGCGATCGTTATCATGACTTTGACGTTCGGTATGGGTAGGTAGGGTACTGCCTGAAGGTTGGAGCGAATCGCGATTCGTCTGTGTGGATGTGCGTGTGGTATGAACTGAAGTGCGATTGGAGGGGGCAAGGGTGGAGCCTTCCGAATCGTACGTCATGGAACTTCTCGATCCTGGCAATTGATTGGACCCGTGCGACAATGCACGATGTCGATTGGGTTCAGACATTTGAACAGGACACGAAAGGTTAAACACCGGCGGGGTTAAGAGGCTGTTCTTTCAATGCACGCTTCAAGGCCAAAAAACTGCTAGCTTAGAAGCAATGCTATAAAATAATATTAAAAAAATAAAGATATGCTTCAAAGAGACTGAAAAGCAATGAGAGCAAAAACTTCCTTACCAAGGATTCGCTTGATTGAACTTTGTCTAATAGCCGACCGTGTTTGATGGTACGGAAGAAATAAAAGAATCCGGGAAAAAGAATATAAAGAATAAGTGCTTGGTTGCATTTTAAACGTCTGATAAAAATGTATCTGCGTCATGAACAACCATTATTTTCCGTTCAAATACTTTTATCAAACAAACCACAAACCCACCATGGTTAATTCTTGATGCTCTCTGTGTTTATTCCCAGCTTGCAAGTGCACTTAACAAAGCTTACTCTTTGTCTTCAACAAACACGCTTTGAAGGGGGCTTCTAATCGCATGTGTCGATCGATCGTTGGGTCGCTTCTTTTGGGTGCTTTTGGGAGAGAGAAAAAATGTTTATAAGCTAGAAACCACATCATGGAAGCCGTTTTGTCATTCAATCTCTTCAGAAAAGGCTCTGATCTGTTTTCTTGGAGACAAAGTCCAATGGAGAGCATACTATGGCTCATCACAGACTGCTGCTCATTATAATGCCAACTGAAGTTTATCTGAAAAGATGGCATTATGGTTATCACCATTATATTTGTCTAGAAGCTGACAGTTTTATAGGAAGCAGTTGTTCATGATACAACGGCGTCTTATCCGATATGTAAATGTTATGCGTCCGCTTTCAGTATAAAGTCAATGTCGCAGAAGTCGCAATTTTGCAACGGCAGATCACGCTGTAAGTACTGCAAGGCAATTATTTTGTAACGTTGCAAAGATCTATGCCTAAATATGGCAGATTGAAGATCATTGGAGCATCAAGTAAGCAGAATTCCGTTCGAAAATCTTGGATTTTCTTGCAGACATAGTTCATACTAGTCTCTTGATCTTGGGCTCGAGATGAGGTTGACTCTGTTGCTACCTTTTTTTGATATTTTACTTTGTAAACAGTGAAAGATTATGGTAAACTTGCTTTAAAACTGTTCTTCTTGCATTATCAAGACATTTTACTATAGTAAAATAACGCGTTCCATTGCAGGTGTGACATTCTTCTCCCCTGATACAATTATGTACTGACCTTGCAATATAAATAATTTCCATTCATCGCATTTTGGTGCATGTAAATATACCGCCATTGAAAACAAAAAAAAAAGATCAAAACTAGTTGACTGTTCGGATACAATGTAACAAAGCCCATTTGTGTGATAGGCAGTGAGACGCTCACAAGGAACTAAATTTCATCACTCCATATTTTTTTTCGGTTTCCGCCAAAAGTGAATCTGCCCTTAATGTGTCTAAGCCACCCTGAGCGTTCAATTAGTGCATCTTTTGGAAGGGCCCATGGCAGGTTGAACTCAACAGCTTCCATGTTCCGTAAAAGTCTCTCGAGCGTTCAACGCACCGCACGCATTGCTTGGCGACAAGCTTACAGCACCAATGCAGACCAACCTTCCACTACCAAGGCAGCGGCAGGATTGGCCGAGGAAGCCTTGGCTCAGAAAACAGGTGGTCGCAAAGCGACATTACCCAAAGGCGACAAGAAACCCGCTAAAGCGGCAGGCGAGAAGTCGAATCAGTGGAAGTCTTTTGCTTTGGGTGCAGGCGCTGTGACAGGCGGCGCTCTCGGCGGTCTCTTCTATTTCGGTATGCTTAATAATGCCGCCATTAGTCTGAGTTCCTTCCCACTGACATGCTGCGTCTTGTGTAGGTCGACCTTTCGATGACGGTAGAGAGGACAAGGCAAGCTCCAGACATGCTCTTCAATCAAAAAGAGAATTGTCTTGCTGATATTTTTTCTCTGATTTTATAGTATGCCAACGAAAATCCTCTCTCGGCTGCTTACTCTCGTTGCATTGATCGTTATAATGAATTCCAGCAGGTAACTGAATTGTTTGTTTTCGTTACTCTCGTTTAGCGAGTACTAACGATAATGGGAATAGAAAATGAACGAACCTATGTGGGACAAGCTTTTGCCTGATCCTCTTCCCGAACCTTACAGACGTCCTTACACTTTGGTTATCAACTTGGACGAGACATTGATTTATTCCACCTGGGATGTAAGTTGGGAAAGTAAAAAGCCTGTGGGGAGAATTTTGTGTTGAGTTTTATGTGGTCAATGTAGAAAGAACATGGCTGGAGACACGCTAAGCGTCCTGGTGTGGATTACTTCTTGTCTTATCTTTCTCAATTCTACGAAATTATCATCTTTACTTCGCAACCCTCAGCAGTAAGTTGACGCAGAAACAAGTCTCCAGAATGACAGGCCACTAACGGAAGCATCGTGACGTTAATTGTCGTAGAATGCTTTCCCTATTCTGGATAAACTCGATCCCTACCAGTATGCCATGTACAGACTTTACCGTGAATCTACGCGCTATGTAGATGGCAAGTTTATCAAGGATTTATCGCACTTGAACCGTGATCTTAGCAAGGTCATCATCATGGATTCCAACCCTGAAGCCTTCTCCCTGCAGCCAGAAAATGGTATCCCATTGACACCTTGGAAGGGAACACCGAACGACACCGGTTTGCTTGCCTACATTCCCTTCTTGGAAGGTAAGTGAATTTTGTGCACTAAACCATGTTGCGCTGGTGGATCACTTACAGTACTTTAACAGCTGTTGCTCTTACGAATCCTGAGGATGTTCGACCAGTGTTGAAGAGTTTCGAGGGTAAAAACATCCCTATTGAATGGCACAAGCGCGAGGAAGAAATGAATGAACGACACCGACAGCAATGGTACGAAGAGCAAGCGGCCAAAAAGACCAAGCGTAATTTGGGTTCGCTCTTTGGCTCCGCCGCCGCTCCCCAAGTGGAAGGTCCTCCTCCCACCTACTTGGAGCAGATGAGAAAGCACGTTCGAGAAACTTTCGCGGCAGAACACGAGCAAATGAAGCAACAACAGGATGAAATGATGAAGAAGGAAATGGAAGAAAATATGGCCAAATTGAAGGAAATGAAGTTGACTATGTGGGATCTCATGACCCAAATGTCTTCGGTAAGTTTTTACTTTGGCAAGCGAAAGCTTCATATGAGCAGTTGTTAACTTGGTTTTTTTTTGTTTGCTTTTAAACAGGGACAACCTTTACTTCCTCCTCCCGAGGCCGGTAGCGATGGATCGCAGCAACAGCAACAGCCTCAGCAGCCTCAACAATAAACTAGATAGATCAATAAAAAAAATGCAATAATGTAAATGGATACACGCTCAATATCCTCATCCTACTTTTTAAAACGTGTGCATGGGTGTCTTTGTTGGAGTCTGCTCCTGCTCTCTTCGGGTGTTCACGAATGAATGTAATCTTATTGGAATGGGGCGTTCTTATTCAACTACTGTCATAAGGGTAAGCTATGGTTTATTATAAAGAGGCCCATCGCTCAACGAAAAATCTAGAGCCGTCGATGTAATTCAATTGATTCCTCTCTTCCTTGACCAGTTTCGGCGGACAACAACTGGACATCGGCAAAGTCTTGAGCCATATGACGGGCATCGCTTGTTTGATGGATAACGTAAAGAATCGCCATGGTGACAAACGAAGCAATGACAAAGATGATGTCCGACCATCGTCGGAAAAAGTCGAATTTTATGCGCCCGAGCGAAGAGGACATCAGGTACCTAGAATTTTTGGCATTGAGTGATTTGGATGCCAACGCGACGAAATCAAAGCCTGTCATTTTTACCGGTATTCTGGCGGCAGGCTGGTTTGCATCATCAAAACCGAGCTTAGAAAATACATGCCCATCATATGCGCTGCCAGCAACAGTAGATGAATGATGGAAAATGACACTCTTTGCGAGAACATTAACAGAATCTAAGCAGGGAACCGTGTGAAAAATAGCTCTATAAGCCGGCCTTTCATCAGTTCAATTACCTTGTTTAAAATAGTGAGAAATCCTCTAATGGATCCAAACACAATAATTCCAGCAAACCAAAAACTTAGTTGCTGCGACCAAAATGTCGTATCAATGACGATTTTATCACTGTCACCAAAATGACTGATCATAAGCGACAGCATATTGGTGATGGGATCCGTAGATCCAACGCGTCTGAATACCACGTTCAAGGTCGTCTAACCACAAGCATTAATGACTAGATCATCACTGTTTACAAGGCTAACTTACCGCTATCAGCTTGTATACACAGTATACAGCAAACAATGACGTGACGAGACTCCAGCAGCGGCCTTTCCATGTTTTCGCAAATCGGCTCTGAAACCTTCCTCGAGACAACTCGTCCAAATCGAGCTTCATATTGGCAGCAAGATGCTCCAGCTGTTCAATTTCAAGTTGTAACAAGCTGTGTTCTGCAAATGGGCTAAAATTATCAGAAGGCATTGCTTGGGAAAACAAAAAATCGAGAATTTACCATCTTGTCGAGACCCGCCTACGATCGATGTCATCAAACGTCCAATGGATCCCAAGGAAGTCCCCTTTTCGATCACGTTAGCATATAAATGCCAGTTTGCGGCAACTGGATTTGACATACCCCGTTATTAACATCTGCCGAGGTTGCTTTTTGTAGGTTGTCAAGCGCTTTTTTCTTATCATTGATCACGGTCATCGTTTGCTCGTAGGCTCTTTCGGCGACGGCATAATCCCGCTCGCTTACAGGCCTTGCAAAGATTTTGAACGTGGAATAAGGCGCATTGACCACACCGAAACCGGATAACAAGGAGATGATGGTGATACCCACTGTGCTGACACGAAAGATCCCAAGTTCAGTCCAGCTGTAGGTGCTAGGATCCTCCATCGTGCCGGACGACGGTGTGTAGCCAACATTATAAAAAAGATACAGGTACCCACACCAAACAATGGTGGATACATAGATCGATGTTCTAAAAGACCACACTACCCGAACATCATTTAGCTGGACCATCTACTTTTTTTTTCCCGCAGATATGAATTCAGTCTCACCTCTTGTGTGACGAAGAAATGCAAATGTTTGATACCAAGGTATGATCAAGATCACATTGATGAGCAGAATGCTCAAATTGGCGTGCCAATAGTGCCACCGTGTCCTAATTCACTCATTAGCCTCAAAAGCGTCAGCCTTTTTTCGCAATAAACTCACGTTTTGGACAGGTGATTTGTGATTTCGCCCAAGACTAACAGAAACAGGGCGCACGAACTACTCAGTGTTATCGCGAATAGGACGTGCGGAATGTAGGTTGAGCTGCGGAATGCTGTTAATGCTGGAGGTGAGTAGTGACTGAAAATCAGTCGTGATACAACGTTCGATCCGACAGTAAAGCATAACAACTGGATAATTATAAAGAACACGTTGTCAATGACGGGCATGATGGTTCACGAACGCTTTTGGCAGAATGATGAATTCTTGGCCGAACAATGCCTAATTGAACCTCCGACCAAGAAGGATCTAAAACTGGAAATTGGAGATCCATTCCGTTTTGATTTGGCCTTTTTATTTTTAGTTTTTTAAAACGTCGAAAAATATGGCAAGTTTGAAACAGTATGGTTATGTAAGATGAAGCGAAAGTGGGAGATGGCCCGATTTTCACAGAGTCGGATGGTTTGTTGTGACCGTTGCCGATACAGTGTCAGACCAGTGGCCGATTGACCAGTCTGTTACAGTACCTGTATATTTTTCTCTGGATATCTCTTCGCCGGATATCTTTAATGAGCTCATCAATGAGGCTAGTTCAACCACAGCCAGTATTAGCCAAATACAAAAACGATGCCACAGACTTTAACAGTGTTACTTACCACCGATCCATCCTCGCTGGTTATTCACAAAAACGCTTTTCACACCCGTCTCTTCAGAGTTATGCATGAATCGAATAAATTTGTGCAGACGTAATAACGAACTGTACTTTCGTTTTTCATAGTCCGTTGGACTACGCATCAAGCGCGTGAATTCCTGCTTTAAGCGAGATTGAAATCCAGGTAAAAGACTGGTTCCTCCAATCAGAAGCAGTGATGACACCAATGGTTTGCGTAGATCGGGTTGCAACTGAAACAAAGTAAATTAAGCAACCAGCACGCATGCACCAAAGAATCGTATTGACTAGCGTACCTTTAGCAAACAGTTCAACACACAGTGAGCCAAACTCGGTTCATCATCGTCTCCCTCAAACAGCACCTCAGCACTGCGTTCACGAATCCAGCCAGGTACAAGCAGTGTTGCGCTTCCGTCCATGAGAGAAACATAGAGATCGGTGGCACTGCTAAAGTTTTTATATACGGCGTGTCGATCGTCATTGTGCTCTCGGCCGATCAAGACAGGTGAGCAAAATAACATTCGACTTTTGATATCCTCAAGTAATTCCGGGGTCAATATGTGTTCGGGTATCGGCATCTGTGGCGCAAGGGAAATGTGAAGATTGGAAGGAGGAATATAGCGACCGTGTTCAAGTAGCAAGGAATGAAGTCGTTGCGTCACGGCACGTCCTGCCAAAGGTGTTGTCGTAATATAGGGTATCAGAGGTCGGGCCGTATAGATCTACACAGCGATCGTAAATAGTTTCCAAAAAGGTTGAATCACCAACACAAGCTTGATACCCTACTTACAGGTAGTACACTCGTTTCCAGATTGCCGCAATCCAGGACAAGGCCGGTCGTCATACCCGTAGTTAATAACGCCGTGAGATGGATGGGAACAAAAGATAGCGAAGGAACCTGCATCATCGTTGTGGTGGTGTAAGGTTGAAGTCACAGTTCCCTTTTTTTTTTTTTGGTAGTACCTGAAGATAGCCAAACAAGATTTTGGCAATGGTTTGCTTCAAAATAATGGGGGCCAACGGGGATTCGCACAAGATAACTTTGCGTGATTTGGGGTCCGTCAGTAACAGTCTATAAAACCCATCATACGGATCGTGAGTTCTTCCAGTCACCATGGTTTTTACGCGCATGGATACCAACCGAAAATAGATATCATGTAATAGCCGTTTCAGTTTCTCTTCCAGTTGCTGCAAGTCCCCATTCATAATATTCAGATCGTACAGTTCCTCGAGCTATCGTACGAAAAAAACTGGTTTAGCTTTTTTGGAACACGCAGGGAATACCAACGAATGGAACTGCCAATACCTGGCCATTGATTCTGTACGCTTCACCTTCCACACTTTTGGACCGTTGAAGCTTTGTCCAGGTGGGCACAATATGTCGAGGATGAGATTCACCCGAGAATCCGCATTTTATATACATGGATCCTATATCGAGCACCACACGATCCTCTGTGCCATAAATGGAATGACGACGCGTAAATGAATGGAGGGATGCAGCAGATGAGTAGTTTGAAAGGTAACTAGGCGTGAGTGACTCGGAAGAGATGGATGTCGTAGTCATCTTATTCAACGTGGGCTGCTCAGAAGAGGAGGCCATAGGCTACACTTTTGGACGGAACAGAGTCAATCTTTGGCATGCTTTGTCTCGTCCAATCAAATTCCACACTCGATTTTTTGCCCAAGTCACGCCGCATGGAACTGTAAAAAACCTAAATCCAAGGGTCCCTTTTTTTTCTATGTGGTAGTCATAAGAATCTGCCTTTCTGACAAAAACCGTGATTTCTGAGAAATTTTATACTTGGAGCGTGCTAGGGATCAGTTACATGTTGGGGTGGAAGAGTTTTTAATAAAGTCATTGGCCAATAAGGGTATGATTTTTTTATCATGAGTATCATAAAACAAAAAAAAAAAAGAAATCTTGAAGGATATAAGAATAGAGGGGAATAAGGGACATCAGATCATATAAAAAAATAAACTAGAAAAAATTTTCAAGGGCTTAGGAAGAGGGGACCGATTCCCGGATAGGACTCGAAGGAGGTGTGTCTTGCTGTGAGCTCAAGACGGACCAAAAACGTCCGTAGAAACTGGATCGTTTATTCAAGGGAAGATCCGAACTGTATCGTGAGTCAAGACTGCGTCTCGATGGATGGACAGGGTCAATAGGCGAGGTCGGCGTGCTGGCAGCCGAGCTCTTTGTGCGGAGAAGTCGAGACCCGGTTGGTACGGCTTTGGTAGGAATGGCGCTATGTCGTTGCGGACGCATGCTCTGGTTATCGGTTTCCAACTGCACGATTCGCAATTTGGCATCCACCAGCATTTGTTCGAGTTCCCTTACACTGGCTTCGGAACCACGCCGGTGGGTGACGGTCGATTTGGGTCGACGATCGTAGTTGGCCATGGCCGGATTACTTTCAGGGACACACACTGACATGGGACGACGGCGGCTTGGCTTACTCATTTTGTCCAAGTCTTGCAGTAATCGCGTCTTTTCATTCTGTAGTTCCTGAATCCCTTGCTCCGCATCATTTAACCGCTGTTTCAACCGTCGAGTCTCCCGTTGTTCCATTTTCAATTGATCTTCGGTGTTTTTCAAATCCATCAATTGCTCAATTAATGCGTTTTGAGCATCTTTGGCCATTTGGTTTTGATGCGTCAACTCTTCAATTTGTTGCCGCAGTTCGCAATTTTCTACCTTGACCTTGACAAATTCGTCATAGTGGTCGCCTTTGGCCGCCACCTCTTCCATGGTCATTTTAAGTGCATCTCGCTCAGCTTCGGCATCCATTTTGTCCATTTTCATTTGTATGAATTCCTGTTTCAGTTGGATGTGTTCTTTCTGGGTCTGTGACAACGCCAGGAGCAGCTCTTCGATCTGGTGATGTAGAGTGGCGACGTCGGGACCGATGGGAGCGGGGACGGCTGGCGTGGGAGCTGGTTGAAGAGACAGTGGCCGTGGCTGCGGTTTGTGATCTTCGTCACTGGTGGTAGAGGAAGAAGAAGAATTACGTTTTGCAAGCCAGCTGCTGGATTCACGCTTCTTTTTCTTGTCTTCCTTGGAATTCGACTGTTGTTGTGCGTTTTTCGACCAAAAATTGAATCGGACTGCCAAGACTTGTTCCGTTTGCTTTTTCTCTTTCTCTAGTTCGCCCACGTAAAGATCGTTCAAATCGTCCATTTTCTCTTTTGTAATGAGTCCACTGAGGGCCATGGCGTCCGCAATGACTGGGGTGGGATCGTCGTTATAAGCGTCGTACAACTTGGTGGTGACAAAATCAAGAATGTCTTCAAATTCAGTTAAAGCCAAGATTTGTTTTTCGGATCGTTTCAGCATTGCAATTGCAACGCGCATGATAGTTTCCGCCGCTCCTTCGGCAAAAACAATATCGTAGATGCGCATGACAAGGGGAATGGGAAAAGCATAGGCAAAGAGGGTCAAGAACCATTGAGAGGCATACATGGGTGGATTGATCGCATGGTCGGCCAAGTGATCGGACAGTTGAGGAAGGATTTGTGTCAGCAAGCTAGTAAATTGATACAAACGCAGCTGAAGGCCTTCCATATTCAACGTAAACATGGTTCTTAGTTCGTAGGTTTCCATGATCCTAAAGAGAAGGAGGAGGTTTATCAGTCTTGTTTGAACATACCGCAATGAATGAGATGAACTACAGGGAGTTTGAAAAGAAGGCATTGGATGACTTGCCTTACAAACACACAAAACGCTTGTTGTTCAGGCATCTGCAGTAGTTTCGCTGTCAGTATGGACTCAATTCAGGGCTCGCGATGATCTTACATTCATCAACAACGGACCGACCAGGAAAGCCAGACCCTGACAGTAGCCTACTAAAGAATCGTACAGACTGTAGGCTTTCAAGATGCGCTCCAATGCGCGCTGACCGTCCCCGCCCTCTTGTTTAAACATGTCAATGTGAGGAAACGTACGGGCCAGATCGCGTTGGATAATTCGTTCGTAAGGTGAATGTTCTTCCACGAGTTGGCCATACATGGTTTCGAGATTGAGCGAAGCCGATTGGGACATGGCTTGCCAAATCACACCTCGCACTTTGGGAGGAATGCCCGCTCGGAGTTTGGCTGAAACAAGATGGGGCAATTTCAGGGCCACGGTAGTGAAGTCTTCTGTCAAAGCTGTCCAGAATTCCCAATCAATGTCCTCCTGTTTAGCATCGTTGGACGAGTCGGTCACCAAATTCTGCAACGTGGAAAGATGCGCTTTCAGTTGATTGGACTGAATGCACACTGATTTGGGATCTTCATCTAAGATGGCATTTTGACGTTCGATTTGGGCCAGAATGAACTCGATCGAATCCTGTAACAATAAACATGTGAGTAATAGAAACTGAGATGGAGGTATTGCAGTGCGTCAAAGTAAAAAAAAGAGTACAACTGAAGAAAAAGAAGCAGTATAAAAAAAAGGGCTGGGATGTTTGTTCTTTTTTTTTTTTTTTTACCTGGGGTGGTAAGTTGGCGTTTTCTTCTTCTAAACGCGGTAATAACTTGAGGTCTGACGGTTTGTAGTGACAGGGAACGGCACGTCGACGCTGACTGAGAGTCATACTGGGCGTTCGTGTGGGTGTGGGTGTCATACTAGGACGTCGTCTGGCTTGGTATGGCGTACTTTTGGAAGGAATAGTCAGACGTAACCGTTGTTGTTCGGCCTGCTGAAAGGCTCCTATCAACTTGGAAGGCGTCTCTTCGAGTACCATGATATTGCTTTTCCTTGAACAAATAAGCAATCAGTATATAAAAAGTAAACGGATGACCAAGCAAGAAAGAAAAAGAGAAAAAGAGAAAAAAGAGAAGAGAAACAAAAAAAAAATCCAACAGAATCAGAAAAAAAACAAAGCGGTTGGAATTCGTTCCTGTTTTGGTTTTTAACCTATCCAAGAGAATGAGGCCATAAGAAATAATAGTCTGCGTAACATTGCCGCTTGCCCGCTTTTCATTTTTCTTTTTTTTTTTTGCCCAGTTTTTCCTCCAGTGCGGACATTTGACGACTCGCAGCGTCAGATTGGGATGCAAGCTTCTCGGTAACACCACAAACGAACCTTGATTTGCCCAATCACAGACAAAAACCAATCGAAAACAGAGGATCCCCGATAACTGTATGCACCTGATCACAACAACTGTGATACTGCATCCGGGTTTTCCTTCATAACATTGACAAAACACAAAATAGACAGTAGAGCTGAACTAAAACCCATTAAACACATTGTGTAGGTCGGTTTGAGGTGGCCATGAAATATCAAACTTACGAGCTATAAATAACCGAGACCCATTAGGCAATCATGGTTGGCCAGCGTGCATATGAACTGGAAGCTCAGATGATATAAAAAACCAGCCATGATTTTTACTGCCGTAAAAAAAGGCAAAGCCGGCTACAGATAAAAATCATGCGTTTGTAGCAGCCTTATGGCTTTTTTTTTTTTTGTCAACGAGAGGAAATCCTTCAGCGAATTCGTTCCAGCAGAACAAAAAGCTGTTATAGTCAACGATCTTTCTGCCTTTTTTTTGTGTGTGGGTAAAATCTTCCTCTGCTGCTCCATCTCTGCATTTAGCCAGGCCGTTTACCAGCAAATAATTCAATACACAAGTCTCATCCTTCCTCATTCTGTAGAGAACCTGGACAGTGATTTTCGGCCAAGTCTTGTATATGTATAGCGAAACCAGGACCTGGCGATCGATTACCAATATCGAAATATTCACACAAGCCTATCGTCGTGGTTCGGCAAATGTGAATCACTGCATCACGAACATATCGGTAACCTCAAGCACTTTGGATGTGCCAATCTCCAATTGGGCAAGGGCTACTTCTCTATCAAGTAATTGGCAGCTGGAAAATGGTCGAGTACATCGGTCCATTCATCTGCACACAACCATTCAGAGACCCTCAGCAGCAACGCATAAAGCCGTCGTCTCGGCGTTGGTCTTGGCTACGTGGTAGGCAAGTAGCGGGATTAGCTGGGAACTTTACTTTTTTTTGGGAAAAAAGAAGAATGAGATTGTGAAGCCCACTTCATCAACGATTTTCCACAGTGCGTACGTCAGGGTCATTGACACCAAGTGTTGGCTTTTTGTAATCCATCGCAAGAAAAGCTTATCCGTCTTTGACTTGTTCAGTTTGATCTATTGTCCCTTTTTTTGAAGCATTGGCGACGAAAAGCGGCCAAGGAGACTACAGCTCTCATCGTAATATGGCTTTATCTGCAGCCGTGTTTCATTGAGCGGGCAAAATGGTCAATAATTTAGCAATGGACGGTTGAATTTTTAGATTTTAGTATGCCTGGATGCTCAATTAATGTGATATCATATAATACCACTCTCGAATGCACATCTAATGGGCGAAACAAAAGACTGAACGAACACAAGCAGTGTGCCGACCTTTTGCAAGTAAAATGTCACATAGATACATAGGCATCATCAATGAATCTTCATAGCATTGTATGATCAATTTATCAATTTTGATGTTGTTTTCCAATTTTCTGCCATTTTCATTTATGCGATAATTGAAGTCCCTGCTTTTGGGAGAAGTCGAGTCTGTTTGTAATTTTGTCTTAAATGGGAATTCGACCTTTTGTGTCGTCTGCACAAGTTATGTAAACACCAAAGGCCGTATGACAATGACTTTTTTTTGTATGAGAAAAAACCCTCGGATGCAATTGCCCAGATTCTCGTCAGAGTGAAGAAAATAAAACGGGTATATAATTCGGTCCGATATGACTTTATGTGGCTTCACAAGAGGTTGACACGTAGATCGATTTTCCACGAACTAGGGGATGGCGTTGTAAAAACTCCGCATCCAATCATGGCGTGCTACATGGAAGACGTCCCTTTCATGCTCCGCTTGAATTGTTCATTTAAAATAACCGCCCTAGATCGCGAGCTACCTGGTTTCTTCACAAACTTTTTTTTTTTTTTTTACTCTCCCTTCCATCGTTTTTCCTTTCCGTCGAACGACCAAAAAAAAAGAAAAAAAGATGCAGAGACAGGCCTCTCTGTTGGTACTTTTGTTGGCCCTTGTCTGTGCGCTGTTTGTCAGCACACCAGTAAAGGCATCAGATAATAAGGAAGCTTATGGCACTGGTAAGTTTTTTTTTTCTGGCATTGTTTTTACCGTTTTTTTGGTTGGGTTTTGAGTTGTCATTGGACTAATGTGGCACTATTTTTTTCATCTTTGTTTTTAGTGATTGGTATTGATTTGGGTACCACTTACTCTTGTGTGGGTGTTCAGAAGAATGGACGTGTCGAAATTATCGCCAATGACCAAGGTCATCGTATTACTCCTTCCTACGTCGCTTTCACTGATGATGAACGTCTCATTGGTGACGCCGCGAAGAATCAATACGCCGCTAACCCTGAACGCACTGTTTTTGACGCCAAGCGTCTCATTGGTCGTCGTTTTACCGATAAGGAAGTGAAGCAAGATATGAAGCACTTCCCCTTCAAGATCGTGAACAAGGGCGGTGCCCCCAACATCAAGGTCGCTGTCAAGAACGAGGACAAGGTCTTCACTCCTGAAGAAATCTCTGGTATGGTTCTTACCAAGATGAAGGAAACCGCCGAAGCCTACCTTGGCAAGCCTGTGACTCACGCCGTCGTGACTGTCCCTGCTTACTTCAACGATGCTCAGCGTCAAGCTACCAAGGATGCCGGTACAATTGCTGGTCTGAACATTCTCCGTATCATCAACGAACCTACTGCCGCAGCTATTGCTTACGGCTTGGACAAGACCGGCGGTGAAAAGAATGTTCTTGTGTACGATTTGGGTGGTGGTACTTTTGATGTGTCTCTGTTGTCCATTGAAGATGGCATTTTCGAAGTGTTGGCCACAGCCGGTGACACTCACTTGGGTGGTGAAGATTTCGATAGCCGTGTCATGGATCATTTCATCAAGTTGTGGAAGAAGAAGAACAACGGCGAAGATATTACCAAGGACCTCAAAACCATGGGTAAACTCAAGCGCGAAGTCGAAAAGGCCAAGCGTGCTCTGTCCTCGCAAATGTCCGTCCGCATCGAAATCGAATCCTTCTTCAAGGGCAAGGACTTCTCCGAAACTTTGACCCGTGCCAAGTTTGAGGAATTGAACAACGATTTGTTCCGCAAGACTCTCAAGCCCGTTGAACAGGTCCTCAAGGATGCCGGTTTCACCAAGGATCAGGTCGATGATATCGTTCTTGTTGGTGGTTCTACTCGTATTCCCAAGGTTCAGAAGCTTTTGGAAGATTTCTTCAACGGTAAGAAGCCTTCCAAGGGTATCAACCCCGATGAGGCCGTGGCCTATGGTGCTGCTGTTCAAGGTGGTATTCTCGCTGGTGAAGAAGGTTCCGACAAGGTTTTGTTGTTGGATGTCAACCCCTTGACCCTCGGTATTGAAACCACCGGTGGTGTAATGACCAAGTTGATCCCCCGTAACACCGTGATCCCCACCAAGAAGTCCCAGATCTTCTCTACCGCCGCCGATAACCAGCCTACCGTCTTGATCCAGGTCTACGAAGGTGAACGTGCCATGACCAAGGATAACAACAAGCTCGGCAAGTTTGAATTGACCGGTATTGCGCCTGCTCCTCGTGGTGTGCCCCAGATCGAAGTCACTTTTGAAATTGACGCCAACGGTATCTTGAAGGTCAGCGCCGCCGATAAGGCTTCTGGCAAGTCCGAGACCATCACCATCACCAACGACAAGGGCCGTCTTTCCCAAGAGGACATTGACCGTATGGTGCGTGAAGCTGAAGAGTTTGCCGAGGAAGACAAGGCCGTGCGTGATCGTACCGAGTCCAAGAACCAGTTGGAGAACTATATTTATACCTTGAAGAGCCAGTTGTCCGATGATGGTGCTTTAGGTACCAAAGTTTCCGAAGATGACCGTGAAGTCATTGAAGATGCTATCCGTGAGAAGCTCGACTGGCTTGACGAGAACCCTACCGCTGAGAAGGAGGACTATGATGAGAAGCGCGAAGAATTGGAATCCGTGGTCAACCCCATCACTTCCAAGCTTTACGCTGACGGAGGCTCAGCTCCCGAAGATGATGAGCCTTTGAGAGATCATGACGAATTGTAAATTGCCCAAACCATTTTTTTTCTCCCCTTATTCATGTTTTTTTCATGCTTTTCATATAAATAAAACTCGATACTACTGTTTTTATCTAAATGCAATGACTCACTTCTCTGCGAGAGTAAACATCGAACCTCTTCCAAGAAGCTCACTAGCTTTTTTGTCTATCAAATAAAATGGCGTGCCATCAATTGTCCCATCAAGGTCGTATAAGAGACATGACGAATTGGGTCCTGGGTCGTTCATCTACTCGAGGCATTTTGACAGAATATATCGGATATACAGCTTATCGCAAAGAAAACAGTAGCCTTGTTGTATCTACCTTTTAATCATAGTTAAAGACGACAGTGCAAATGAAGTGTCAACATCATTTCACAAGCCGTCTCTTTTTTTTCCCTTTTTTTTTTCTTTTGTTTACTTTTTCCTTGCTGTGTTTGACAGAGAAGTACAAAAATTGCGATTCAACCCTTTCTTGTGGTTGTTTTTTGCGTCTCTTTTGTCTCTTCTTTTCACTTTTTTAAACATTTTCAATTGCTCAACTGAATTGATGAATGAATCCACAGTGGACGGCTACTTGGACGTTCATTTGCAAGATTTGGCAGAAATCCGAAAATTAGTGGATGGCATGAATGCCATTATTAATAGCCAAGCCATACAACAACAATACAACCAGGCTTCATCCATCACTTTGGCGGATTCGTCCAACTGTGATCTCTCTCAAGACGCTCCGCCATGTCTTCCGTCGTCTGGCACTCTATCCAACGTTTCTACCGACGCGCCCAATACCCCCAACTGGAACAATACAGAAGATTTGACCATAGCCAATGTTTTAGCAGCAGCTATCATGGCGGCGTCGGCTCAAAATTCAGGGGCGAGACCGGAATACAAGTGAGCGTCTGTGCAAAAAAGAGATAAAGAAAAAAGAGAACAATGAAACTGATTTGCTTATTTTTACCAGTCCGCCACAGCTGAATAACAGCATTGTGGTTGAAGTCCACCATTTGGGTCTAATACGGACGCTGTATTTCCAAATAACAGGTGTGGCTCGCTGTAAACCATTTTTTTAGGAGAATGGAGGTCTGATATGTTTGTGTTCGATGTTTTTTATATCAGTGGACGCCACGATAGAGTCCTTGATTGCATGGCTGCGGCTATCTTTCCAAGATCCGGATATATCTGGCATGGTATTGCAATACAAAGGGTTTGATGGCTTGTGGAAGTGTCTCCTAAACCGTAAGTGGGCACGGAAGATGGAGATGAAAGAAAACCATGAATGATAAACGTTGAAAAACACTTGACGCTAGGCGACGATTCGCTGAAGCGTATATTGAAGCAGAATCTAAAGGCAAACAGCATTCTTTACATCCGGGTGCCACAAGAACAAGATTTGTTGAATGTAAAAACTACCCAAAACGGACCAAGTTTCGATCATGGGTGCGTGGTAACTAAACTGATTTGTCATTTGCTGTTTTTGTTTAGTCTGGCTATACGGATCGTCGACTGCTTGCTTTAACCAAATCACGGGTTTGAGAATGTCAGCACTAGCAACGCATCATCCTCAATGATGCGCGAGCAACCCTAGGCACTTTTTTTTTCCACGTAGCATGTAAAGACCCCTTCCCCATTATCCAGTTCCAACTAACGTGATACTCCAAGTCCCATAATATACCAGCTGACCATCACCACTATTTCCCATTATATCTATTTAGGTTTTTCTGCTGTGTATGATACACATTAAGCCCATCTGTTCTAGTTTACGTATAACGATTGATAGTACAAATTTAATCGACGGGTGCTGTCAGATATAAAATACTAGTCGATGAGATCAAGAAATGATGCAACTGACAGCGAAGCAGAGAACTGGGAGATTTTTTTTCGAGCTCCCCCTTTACAGACTTTCCAAATTCAGTAACCGCAGAATTGTTCGCTCATCTGGAAAAATTCAGCGCAAAACTGCCTTGACTTTGACTTTTTTTTATTCTCTTGAGCTCCATGAATCGCGCAACGACCAAAGCATCTCCTTCATCTCCGTCTCTTGCGCCTCTAATGGCCAATGATGCACAGGATGAAGAAGCTGATCTCTCTATCCCAACCTCGACACTTAATTGGGAACAGTTAAGGCGACAAGCGAGACAGTTGATTAACGAAATCGAATTGAAACTGGCAGCGCTTTCGAAAATTGGCGCCGATATTCATAATCAGGCCCCTACTACAACTAGAGAAGTAGCGCAACAACAAGAAACGGAAGAATTGCTCAAAAAGGTACGGGAAATTAGCTGAATGGGCGATTGAACCATGCATTGCTAAGCTTGAAAACCATCAGTTTGAAACCGTCATTACTTCCATGGAAGAATATCTTGCCCGACCCAGTGCGACACCCACCAATCCTTCGCTTTTACATATGTTGGAACGGCACAAGGACATCTTGCATGACTATACCAAGGAGTTTCGGAGAGTAAAGGTACAGGTCGAGCAAGGACACGATCCCACCCGCATATTTATTGACGTTACACGTTGTTCAGGCCAATATTAAAGCAGCGCGCGATAAGGCGGATCTTATTTCACAAGTGCAAGACGAGATCAGGTAAATCCAATGAGAGAGATAAGAAATTTTGGACGTGTCACAGTCAGAACCGATGCCAACCCACCAACTCCATAGGATATTCAACGCGAATGAGAATAGCGAGGCCGATTATTATTTATCAGAGCGTGGCCGTGTTGAAAGCTCGCATCGGATGACCGACATGATCTTGGAGTGAGTATCCTGGATTGATGAACTTAAGGGAGATGAAATAACGGTACATGATCGATAGGCAAGCGTATGCTACACGGCAGGATATTTCGCGACAAGGTCGCATGATTCAAGGGTTCAATAATCGTGTCGGCGGAGTGATAAGTAAGGACCCTTTTTTTTTTATGTATACAGCTTCTATAATGTCCCATGCTAACATTCGTTTCCAGATCGTATACCAGGAATCAATAATCTCATTAGTCGCATTAATACCAGGAGAAAGCGGGATACTTTGATCATGGCAGCGGTGATATCCACTGGTTGCATTCTTATTTTACTGTATATGTTGCGAACATAAACAAGAATTATTTTATTCAAGTAACGATTGGATGATACAAGCGTGGTTATGGTATGGTTATATGTCATTGCAAGGGAGAGGGGGGATTAGACAATAGCGAGATTAAGATTATGTTGATAAGGATGGCTTACTTTCTCTTGTGCTAACTAATTCATCTTCTCAACTATTGCCTGAGTAATTGCGATGAACGATTAATCGCGTATCTAACCAGTATCCAAGCTTCATCATTATTCCTTTGGAGAGGTCATCCACTTAAAGGATTCCCCTGCGAATTTCTTCTGCCACTGTTGCAACGTGCTTGGTCTTATGTGATTTCGGAGGCATCCCCGGCGCATGGGCTGGGACCTGAAAACATTGTGTTTATTCAGGAATCTTCTCCGTAATTCAAACCTGCGATTACTATATACCGCTTTAGTTAAAGATTGCATTACCGAATGGTTTTTGATGGCTAGTTATTCCACAAGGTAGTGAATCAATTATTTTGACAAGGCACGCGTCAAAGGACGCGATTTTTGAGGTCGTTGCGTTTGGATGCCCTGCCAGACAGTTAGAAATACGTCTATGATTGGTTGAGTTAATGCGTCGCTTTTGGCATGAAATCACTGGCTTGAGTAAAGAATAAAGCGAAAATTCACACAGTTTCGAATTCTTTCTTTAAATGCACGAATAACAGATGAAACAGCATAGTTTTCACTTGAGTTAAATTTTGCTTTCGGTCATCATCAAAAATAAACAGCTTATGGTTCTTTTATTTGTGATACGATGGGTCTCGAAGTGGGGGCTATGATACTCGCTTGATTGTTGCTTGCACTTGTGGATGGTCTGATCGTTTATATCTGACCATCATTTCTAGTCAATACTATGTAATTACCTTATGTACTCGGTGGCGCAAGTGCTTGTATTTATCTCACATGATATTACGTCGTAGTATGTGAGAAGTAGCCAAAAAAAAAAAAAAAAGGAATCACCTTAGGAGTCGAGAAAATAAATCGATTTGATAACTTATATGCGGTGGATTACATATAATAAATTTGGGAATTCCAAAAAGTGATTCTTAAATAGAGAATATTCTTAGATCAAGTGGGGACTGTAAGCGATATCCAAAAATGAGTAATACAGAGTGAATTGGATAAGAGGTTGGTTGCGCGAATGTTGCCGGACAGGAAAGTGAGATATGTAAAACATTCTCGGAACCCATTTGTCCGTGCAATCCAACCACAATTGCTATCTTGTAATGTCTTGATGGGCCTTAAAATGCCTATAACAAATAAAAAGAGCATCCAGTCAGAAAAAAAAATCTTTGGCCTGCGCCTCATTTGATAAAGATATTCAGTGGCGCGGATTTACATAGGATGCTGTAATGCAGCATCGTGGGGAAGCTCCGAAATTGGAGAGGCCAGCATACTGCCTAATTTGACAACATAAGAGATAATACTGTGATTGATACATATTTAGTGGAGTAAACCCGTTGCCATCGCTTTAGCAAACCATGTATTCCTCCTACCTCGAACATATCAATCTGCTACGTTTTATTTTTATTTTATTTTATTTTTTGTGGTATCATACGATCCTAGCTCGTCACTTCGAATAAAAGTAGGCTATCGGCAAATACAGTGCATTTGTTTCCATCTACTAATGATGCTCAATTGCAATATAGGCTTTATGTAGTATTGAATTACCATATGGAAGAAGCTCAGGGGACTTGGCAACCCATAGTTCCGCCGCTTTCTCACCTTGGTCCTTTTCAGGCAAAGTTTCCATCAGTTGTCCCAAGAACCTATACATCATGACTCACGAGGATCAGTGCGCACTGGAATCCCGCTACAGTAACGCGTCAACGAAATTATCAATCGTACTCATATCAAATGGTTTGTGATTTCATTAAGAATCAAGATATGCAAAAATTAGTATAATGACATGGCAAAAAACCACACGACTATGTTGATCCACTTCAAACTCTCGATTTTCCACAACACCACCTCTCCACTGACACCCTAAACCGGCTGTCCCAAAATGAGTGCGACATTTTTGCTCGCTGAGCGATGGGTACTGTTGATTTGAATACCATATGTTTGTTTCTATCTTACCTCGGTTCGTCAACCACAGAATATCAGGTTCCAACAAAGAAAGTTTTCACCAAAGCAATTGCGGATAGGATTGTGTCGCCCGTAACTTCTCGGGCGCCAGACGATGGTTGATTACTGGAAGTAATTCAAGAAACCAGCACGATTTTCTACAGCCGATGCTTCACGTCCCTTAAAATCTGTCAGCAGCCACCGTCGATAAAAGTCGTCATCACGTTCGGATCGTTGTTGGACTCTGCTTGTTCGTCGAGCCCGGTTTTTTTTTTTTTTTTTTTTTGGGGGGGGGGGGCGTTGCTTCGGTGAGTAGGTTTACAAATCAGTCATATCGTCACCGTAAACTTTGAAGCAGACAGTTGTATCTTTGACTGACCGATGAGGGATCGTAAATGGAATTTATTGTGGAGGGGCAATAACATGGGGAATTTTAGGTGATTGTGTACTGTATTGCTTATCAACGGTATTTCGACACCTCAAAAACACATTATTTGATTCGGCCTTCATAGGGTATGTGTTTTTTCACGTTATTAGATTAGGGTGATATGATGTATCTCAGGAATCTCTGACAACATATTGTATATAACCATGTGATCCATACACATCCCTCGGTTCTTTAACTGCTTTGCCATGGAAATACTGTAACGACGAACAACGAGAAAACGACGCGCCCTGCAGAATAGCATCTGATATGACTGCCCTGCTCGTATGATGTCCATAAGCATTTTCCACTGATCCATCCGTGACCCCTATTCTGTTGTCATTTTCTCTTCTTTTACTGCTCGTCAATATCATCATTTACTGAATCGGTTGTAATTGTAAACTTACCGTTGCTTTTGCAGTCCTTTTTACATACAAATACGCATTTTTGATCTGAATGCTTTGATTATCACTTTTCGTTGCTGTGTAACGGCGCCTTGCAATTCAAACTGCGTCGAAAAGATCGACTTGATCGACCGACCTGAGCCCATGAAACTCCATGCATAATTTCGCTTAGTCAATTCAACGGCAATCGTAGTTTACAAAATATCTATTACTATGAGCAAGTGGACTTTGACATAGTTGATAAATCTAAGAAAGCGACAGACTCGGTTTCGATAATGTCATCTTTTGAATGCGAAACTCCAATGAAATGCAGAGGCACCCCCCCCCCACAAAAAATAACCATAGAAGAACAACAACTATGCGAATAGTCACTTTGTTGTTGTGCATGTGTGGCGACAGGTATGGGTTAAATGTAAGACCCAACATTTGGTGGGTGCCTCATCGAAAGCCCATGTGACGGCGCGTTTGATAATTTTTGGAACTCCTTTCCCCAACCTAAAAAATTATACCCAGTTGAGGGTTCGAGTGTCAAAAAAGAAAAACACCAGGTTTTCCTTCCCCTCTCGAGCCCATGCGCTTCATTACCGATTTGCTTGCGTACGCTACGGGCGTTCCGGAATCGACTTTGCGGTTGCTTCTGACCATTATTCTCGCATACCCGGTGGCCAAGATTTACAATGACACCTACGGTCGCACTTCCACAAAGACAGCCGCCGATCGTAATGCTTACGTCCTGTTGACGGGTCTCGGTCTGGCTTTCTTCTTTAACGGATTCTCCATTATCCATTCCCTCATTACTGTCTCCGTCAGTTATGGTATGTGTTATGCCGCTGACCAGGTCAACAACCGCCGTTTGGCCGTGGCCGGGGTCTGGGTCTTCAATGCACTGTATCTGTTGCTGGGTTACTATTATATGGCTTCCGAAGAATACGATATCTCGTGGACCATGCCTCAATGTATCCTGTGTCTGAGATTGATGGGCTTCAGCTTTGATTTCCTGGATGGCGCTCAATCCATCAAGATGGCCGGGCCCGAAAAGGCAAAGAACGATACCGAGGTCCGTGAAGGCGTCGTTCGTCCCACCGCTGATAAGCGATCCCCGAGCAGCTTGCCTCTGTCTTTTGATGTTGATACTCCGTTGCGTCAGTTGCCGGCTTTTCAGGAAGTCATGGCCTACTGCTATTTCCCTTCGGCCTTCCTCGTCGGTCCTCAGTTCTCCTTCTCGTTGTATCGCAAGTGGCTGAACCGAGCCATGTACACCCGCAAATCCGTGGATCTCGAAGAACAGCAAGAAAAGGCCCAGATTACCTACGTGTGGCGTTCAGTCGCTTTGGCGTTTATCTACTTGAGCCTTCAGCAGACTGTGGGTGCCAGCTACCCTACTTCGTACCTGACCACCGACGCTTTTGCCGCTCTGCCCTTCTACAAGCGCATGTTCATCTTTATGTTGTCCGGTAAATTCGTGTTCAACAAATATCTCGGTGTTTGGTTGTTGACCGAAGGTAAAGTACATGGCCAAAAAAGAAAATGTCGCTTTTACAATTTTTTGGCATCGGACTCACGTCATGCATGATCATTAGGTGCGTGCGCTTATTTCGGCATCACGTACATGGGAGACAATGAGGAGGGATATTCACTTTATGGAGGTCTTGCCAATGCCTTGCCCGGACGTTACGAAACCGCCACATCGATTGACCACGTCATTGCATCTTTCAACGTCAACACCAACTACTGGGTCAAATACTACGTGTTCAAGCGTCTCAAGTTCTTGGGCAACAAGCAGATTTCTCAGTTCGCGGCACTGGCCTTCTTGGCCATTTGGCACGGGTTCCATCCCATGTACTTTGTGACCTTTTTCATGGAATTCCTGACCACGATCTGTGAAAAGATTCTTCGTCAACGAGTCGTCCCCTTGATCCAACCTTACCTGCAACGCAATGAGGTCGCGACCTACGCTTGGAAATTCGCGGCATGGTTGGCTTGTTTCTTCACTACCAGTTACTGCGTGATCGGTTTCGATATGTTGCTGGTCGGAAAATCCTTGCGAGCCTACAGCAACGTGTGGTTCATTGGTCACCTCATCTTTGCCGCCATCGTCGCTGCCAACCACTTCATTCCCAAGCGTCGCGTCATTGGCAAAAAGACCATGTAAAATTATCTCCACGAAGTGAAAGGGTTAGAAGATACACATTTCAATAATAGAGCATATACTATTTCATCGCATGATGGGTCTGGGGGGGGAGATGTTTTATTTTCTGGGATCTATGCAGGGTTTGGATGATTGAATTAGCCGACACAGAGTCATGGGGAGTTGAAACTAGCTAAAGGCAAAGGGTCACGGAAGGATGGGAATTTAGCTAAAGAATTTCTTTAATCCCCGTTTTTTCTTCTTTTCTGCCTTTTCTTCAGAGTTCTTCTCGGGAGTAGCCGTGCCACTTCCGCTGCGAAGACTCAAACCGCTCAAGCTGAGAGTGGACGACGACGATTGGCCCATGTGGGGGACGTGCGAAAGGATCGACGGCGTTTTGGGGTGGGATTCGGATTTCGGTAGTGAAGGTGGTGTGTATGGTGGAATTGGATTGGGCATGGGTGGAGCGGGACGGCGCAGTTGGCCCATTTCTTTGACAAACGGCGCTGGTCGTAGAATTTTCGTACTGCCAATATACACATCGCGTTTATACATTTCCGCCAACTCGTACACCGATCGTATTTCCGAATAGGTGACCCCACCAATCACAAAAACAATCAATTTCGCTCCATTCGATGATCGTGCCTGAATCTAGTTTCATTGGAAAAAAAAAAAAAAAAAAAAAAACAAAGCGTATGCATGAGTATGCGACAACCCAAACTTGGAATTCGATGGATTACTTTTTAAAAAGACTTACAGGGGAGGTTGGCGTTCGTTTTTCAAAAGTGCGTTTCGTTGTACGAAGTGACACGCCGCTGGCGACAGCCGCCGGACTATTCACAGCATGGCCACCGTCGCCTGCACCTTCCATGTCGGTTTGACGCGTGTATGCAAATTGCGTGCTGTCCAAAGAATTGCACAATTGGGCCTAAGAAAATAATTACACGCAAACCATGAGAACGCATAACAACCGAGTGGCAATCGTTGAGTTTTGTAACCTACATCCATCACTTTTTTCAGGGTGGGAACGTAGCGAGACAGTTCATAGGGTGTTTCTTCTTCTCGAGATCCTCGCTTTCGTGGCATACGTTTTTTGAGCGACTTTTCCCCACTGTGACGTTCGCGGGTCACTTTGACTCCTAATAAGCCAAGATTGTCAAGGGCATCGCGAAGATCGTTGGGCAAACGGGCGTGTTCCATCAATTTGCGTTTGTCATCGTCAAATAATCCTCCCTCTTTCGATATCACGTACAACATCAGTAAACGCGTCTTATCCACCGCACTATAAAATCACGAAACATTTAAACACTAAGCAGGCCACTTCTTGCGCAAATAACCACCATTTTACCTCACATGAGGATCGTCCAGCAGGGGTACCATATCAAGAACCACTGTCTTGGGGATTTCTCCATCCGGTGTTTCACCCGTCGCCATGTTCTATGAAACATTTTCGTATAAATTTTACAGACATCCGGTTTACTGCAGAAAAAAAAAAATTCAAACAGCTTACCTGCTCCAAATTCGCCACGGAGCTCAGTTTATGTCTTTCAAAGAACGACATGCATTCTTGTGCAATGCTCAGGTGCGCGGAATACTAGCAGAGAGCAACAAGGTGAATACGTTGTGAATGTAACCTCATAACAACGTCTCCGTTTTCTTACTTTGGCCTTCATTTCCTGAAACTGCGGAAGGTTGCTCAGCATTTCTTTCATATCTTTTAAACTCTTGGCCGTGTCTTTGGGCAGGTTGGGATCGCGTTGTCTGATAGAATACAGAGAGGTCAGCGTAAACGCAACCATCAATGAACCGCATAGTCCAATTACCCGCTCTGAGTTGCTTGTTTGTTCTCGGCCAAAAATTCGTTAAACTTTTCAATCAGACGATCAGTACAGTCGGCGATGTGAAGATGGCGGATGGATTTGTAGACGTTATCATCTTCATCCAACGATACTTTCTTTGTCCCCATAGATCCATCCGATTGATGATATTCATAAGTAAATTCGACACCATTTCCCGACTCGTTCGTTTCTACGGGCAACAAATCGTTGATCATGGCTTGGTAGGTGAATTCGTGAAGCAGAGGTGCATTGGGATCTAATGAGCGATCGACGATTAACAAAGTAGCACGGGGTCGTGGCGGGTGAGAGGGAGGCTAAATTGCATGTTAGCTCGTTTGGTCAAGAAGGATCATCATCATCATTGGAAGAGAATTTGTACCGGAAATTTATCATTCAGTTTACAAAACTCATCAATTTCCCTTTGAACAAAGGTGGCAAGTGTGCGTGCAGGCGTTCGCTGGTGACGCCCTGAAGGATCATCTTCGCCAGCTACTTGATATCGGATGATGGGATCTTCGCCCAGGGTCACACATACGGATAGAAGCTACATTACAAAAAAAAAAAAAAAAAAAATCAATATAGCTGCATTTCTTTTGCTTTGATAGGCGTTTTATTTCGATTGTACCTGTTTTGCCATGGTAGCGAAACTCAAATTGGGATCGCAATGCTGGTCTACACCGAATACAGAGTAGAAAGCAGTAGATGGATCGACGGTGAATACGGCAGATTCGGACACTGATCAAGGGGAATCAGTAAGACGTGCAAGCTATCCGCTATCCACACAGCAAGAAACGTTACCTAAAAAGTCGACATACATCTCCTTGAGACTCAAAAAGTATTGAGCCGCGCCCGTCGATTTGAGTCTGCGATTCAGATCCGTAAACAGATTGTCATTCAAACCTAATACGTAGCGGTGAGATCCTGAAATCCCACCATGTAAATCGTCGAGCCAAATAAATTTTCCTACCACTGGTAAAATAAACGTGAGCCGCCTTGTACAAAGGTGGTTTGTGGGCCGTAAAGTCGTCGAGCAGACGCAACACGGACTCCCGACAAGGCGTCAGGAAATAAAGCGCTTCCAATGTTGGGTACGGCTGGCGTGGTTTTTCGATATTCTCAACCACTTGCAAATACGAATAAGATTACAGTGTGTACGTGGTATGTCAGTGAGTCCTGTCTAACTTACGCGTTACCTAGACCGCTGTCAGCTTCACATGAATGGATAAAGCGTCTGCACTTACTTACATTTTCTTCCAAAATATCATACATTTTGCATGCTGCATTCAGGATTTGAATACTCTTTGAATCGACCACAATGATTTTCCATTTGCCTGCTGGACGAACGGCTCGGATGCTGTCCATCAAGCCTACATTTTCATCGAGTCTTGTGTTAGCGTGAACTTGAACTTTTTCGACGTGTCTCGATGGCTACATCTTACTAACGTTTTTGCATAATTTCAATGAGGCCTGTCATACTTGCGTAATGATGGATTTATAGAAACAATAGTGGAATAAAGAAAGGTCACGGACACGGATGGGCTACTGATGCATAAAAAAATTGGCTCGATCTGTGTGATCTGGGAAATAACTCCATAGAGTAATGTCAATATAAGTAGAAGGAAATGCAATCTCACGTTCATCTTTTACTGTGTCCGAGATGCCATTGCCTAAAACAAGGGAGCTTGGCTTGCATGACTTACCCAATCCCGTCGAGGGTTGAAAAGAGAGTGGAGAAAAAAAAAAAGACGGTTTCCAAAAGACAAGCCAAAAATGTGCATATCGCGACAACGTGGGTATGCCTATATATGGAAGGTAATGATACGGTTGTGCAAACAAAATGGCATTGCTCATTCCTTTCTACAATTTGAAGCTCATCCATTTGATAGATAGGAGTAAAAAGGGTCTAGAAGGGTAATTACTTGATGCTACGTAGCAGACGACTGTGTCTCTCTTCCTTTCTTTTTATTGCTGTTCCAATGTCTTTAATCTTTCTTCCAATTTGGTAACATAGGCTTCTGTCTCGTCCCTGAATTCACGATATTCCAGATTCTGCCAGAGTAGCTGCAATGCCAAAGTTGTTCCCGAAGCCACCACGGTGCATCGTACAATTGGGGTGCCATACTGATAGTAAAACGATCTCGCTCCACCGGATGAGGTGGCATAACCACGGACCGTCACTTGTCTCTTGGTAGCATTTAACGCATTCCGTAACAACAACATGGCTACAGTAAACAATGAGAAGCAAAAGCTAACAATCAGCAAGAAAGAAAGTCATATACGGAATGCACACTTCTACTTACTGTTGGATTGAGTGGACAAGTGTGCTGTTTTTGAAAAGTTGGGTCTTTCACAGGGAAACGCCCAGTTGTCAAGACGGGCTCTGAAAATTTCAACAATTTTTTTTTTGGTCTTTTACCCATTGCTGGAGTTTTCAAAAGAAAAAATGTTTGCAATGGTTATTTTTTTAAAACAGTCTCCAGAAGATAGTGAAAAAAAAAGATATCTACAATATCTGCCATTAGAAGATTTGCATACCCTCAGCTAGGCTTTTCATTTGACTGAATTCAATTTTTTCAAGCCACAAGGTCCTGCTACCCTGTAACAGGAAACCATGACAAGCATGACAACAATAACTGCTATACAGTGACAGATAAACCCCCAATTCATGATAATACAAAGATAAAAAATTCTCTCACTGATGGATGTGTCAAGATGGACTGAACAAAAGACTCTCCTTTGGTCACATGAAGCTGGCTCTTAAATTTTTGATCGACATTGTGGGGTTCCTCTGAAGTGACTGCACCATTATAACCATGTTTCAACGATTACTGCAACTGCATTCAGTCAGGACTGGCGCAAGGTCATGCTTCTTACCTATCCGGTCACGCATTGCTGCGTCGACTGTTTCAATTCCATGTCCCTGGAGTAGCCAGCACACACGGGAACACTCGACCGAGTCGACCGACAGTCCTGCCGCTATCGTGGATCGGTGGCGGCAAGAGATGCTTCAGAGAGAAGTGGTGACTCACGATACATTGGTAGCCTCGCCTTTCAACTTGCTTGCAAATACCCTCGAAGAATCGGCCGTGCCATTCCAGCATGAACAGTTTCCACCCAACGGGACCGTAATTCCGGCAACGTGGCATCACGTTTACTTTCCACCCAGAATGCCGAACCGCGATCTGGCGTGCGACGGCTATGAGACTGATTTTTTTCCGCCTTCGCCATTTGTTCAACGCATGTGGGGTGGTGCCAAATATACGTGGAGTCCCAATTCGCTACGCGTGGGTCAAAACGTGACCATGAAAACGACCATGGAACGCACTGAACACCAACAGGGTCGCCTGGGCGATTCGTGCTTTGTATGGCTCAATAAGGACATTGAGAACGAAAACGGTTGGTCCATGCAAGAACAACGATGCCTTGTCTATCTAACAAGGCAAGACGACCGGGTGACACCAAGTCGTGCCATTCCAGGTGACTAGATAAACCTCTCACCAATCTTTTCCTATTTTCATGACTCTGATCCCTACTGTCATCATTTCGTAGCTAAAAAGACGCCCGCCTTTTCCAAAATCATTCATCCTGCTTCCATCCTACTGTTCAGATACTCAGCTTTAACCTTTAACGCCCACCTGATCCATTACGATCATCTTTATGCAACTGGCAAAGAACATCATCCTGGTACGTAACTCTTTTGTATTGTGCGAACCTGTGCGTTGTTTCAGAAAATGCTCACTCATTTCTATCAAAAAGCATGCCTTGTTCACGGGCCATTAAGCGGTACCATGATGATGGGCTTATTACGAAACCACTTGGCGGATCAAGGTTCATTGGATGAAGCCCGCTTCCGTTCTTTCCAATACCGATGCTTGATGCCATTGTATGTCGGTCAACCTCTCAAGTTGTGTGGCCGTCGTTTGCCAGCCACAACGGCAGGCATCGAAGAGTATGAGCTTTGGATAGCCAATCACCAAGGGAATCTCGCCGTCAAAGGCACAGTCGAACTGGCCACGGCATAAAAGAAATACCTTGTAAAAAAAAAAAAAAAAAAAAAAAAAAAAAAAAAAAAAAAAGACATCTATTTTTCGCTTTTATTACTTATGCTACATCTACATATATACAAATCTTGCTTAAAAGCACGTTTATTTTTGCAGCCACCGTCATCCAGATGGCTCCGTGGATAAAGAGTTCATCAAACTCATCATGGCATCTGATAAAATAAATAACACATATCAGTTGTTCCAGTTTTAATTTCACAACCAACAGTTACGATCTTAATTTTGCGACTTACCTAAATTGGTGGGATCGCCAGGTTGGGATGGTGACATGGGACTTGAGCGGGCAAATTGGGCATAGTCTGGAGTGAGAAGGGGTGATGATGTTTGATTGGAACGAGGAAGTTCCGGTGTATAATCAAAGTCCATGTGTTGACCTTGCGTAGGATGGATATTGCGCAATGTCTCCAAGTCTGGCATTCCTGGCGATCGCATCTTGTGGTCGGTATTCTGACTGAAACCGCGTTTATCTTCCATTTGTGGTCCTGGCTCAATGTCTGGCAATCCCTTCAAGCGACGCCACGCGTTGGTCCGTCGTACTTCGTAACTCACGGTTAGGTACCAGAATTCGCTGAAAAACGCGGGTGGTAATTCCCAACTTGAACCTTTGGTGGGATCACCGCCATGGAAGATGGCCCCGCTCAACAGCATGTCGAAACAGCGATCGTAATCCATCTGGTCACGGAAAAGAATCATGCGATCACGCATATGCGGGGAAGGAATCAGATCAATACGGGGATCGTGAGGAATTGCCAACTGTAAAACAGTAGGTTGAAGTCGACCCATGGATTGGCCCATTTGCCGCAACATCGATTGGAAACGAAGTTCGAGTCGGATTCGTTGAATAGCCGCCAAACTCGACCCTGGCAAAGCATCAATGGTCATTTTCTCTGCATCCAAGGCGGCCACGCTGTCGATCCACGGTGAAGCGTTGTGTTCTTGACTGAGGTTTTTATACCGTTGTCGCATCACTTCGATATCGTCTACTTGATCTTCTTGTTTAATGTCGTAGTCTGGTAAAGGAGCTTCCGAGTCGGCGGGAGGGTTGGGCGATGGCGTTGGTGCATACTCAGGCGTGGACTCTTTGGCTCTGTCAAACGCGGCTTCGTCGGTTTTCGGATCAGCGTGGCATTTTCCATAAGAGGAACTGGCAAAGTATGATGCTAAGCTCGGCTTCAAATTCGCGTTATTACGTATGCGTGTCTGATTGTAGGCTTCGATCGCTTGGGGAACAGTTTCGGCCACTTTCGCCAGGGTATGGTCGGACAGATAAGGTCCGTGAGTAGGAATGTGAACATGATTTTGAAAGCAAACGAGCTGAAGCGATAAGATGATGCCTTTCAAGTACCAGTTTTCCGTCTGATAAATATCTGCTTTGTTTTTCAACTGATGCACTTCTTTGCTCAAGTTGGTACGTTGTTCGCGAAGGTTGCGAATCGTGTTCTCAAGTTCTCGAAGATGCGACTCTTTCCGTTCTCTAAAGGCACGTTGCGCTGCACGATTTTGCGCTTTACGAATAGCCGGTGAAGCAGGGTTAGGTTTTCGCCCGGGTTTCTTGCGAATCTTCACGGGTTGACCATAAGTATCTGTCAGTGGTTGCGATGTCGGTGCTCGCGAAGGTGGTAATGGTGGCTCATTGTTGGCATTGAACGAGGGCGGAACACCATTGGAGACGGGGACAGGTATGGAAGAGGGAATAAAAGGTGTGCCCAAAGCCAATAACGAATCGAGAGAGAAATCCGTCACCCCCGTGCTCATAGGCGGTTGAGACGGTGGTTGCTGCTGCTGCTGTTGTTGTTGCTGCTCAAACCACAGTGGATCAAACTCGAAAGGTTGCGATGTCAACGGTGGCGGAGGCATCGCTGTCATGGAACTCTCATTTGTCCGTGGTGGCTGTTGTTGTTGTTGCTGCTGCTGCCGCTGCTGCTGCTGATGTAAATAATTGTCGATATTGGCTAGATATTCGTCCATGGCCCTTGTACCCTTTTGATCATCAAACTCAATAGAAAGGGAATTAAAAAAAAAAACTTGATTAAAAAAAAAATTGGTTATCTGAAACAGAATAAAAAAAATTTAGCTGCCCCAATCTCCCCGGTCTCAGCCAATGTGATATGAAAGGTCAGATGACTGGCATTGCAGAAACAAATCACTCGGAATGGCCGGAATGAGTCCGATTGGGAAATTTTTCGTAGAATATCATCCACGGCTTGGGATCAAATCAACAATGGAAAGAACTCTCAAGAACTACAGGTCGCTTATTCTTTTAAAAGAACCCCAACAATTGCTGGCAAAAAAAAAAACCTGTAATTTGGCTTATTCAGCACCATTGCACAAGTACCATAGATTATTCTTTCAAGACAGAAAAATTCATACAGGCCAAAAGAATTAGTTCAAGGAAAACCATCTTCAATTGGAAATGTATTTTGTTCCCAATAACAGAAAAGTTTCAATACAATAGTTTAAAATATGTGATAAAACGGACCTAAGTTTTTAGTCTCTTGGGCACAAGAATTGCTTCCCAATTAGTTGCTCAACCATAACCAAGAACCCGTCACCAAAGCGATAAAGAAGGTCATACCGGAAGTGCTGCTTAACGAAGAGCCAGCATTTCCGTGAGCATTGCTAGGTTTGACGGAAGACGAGCTAGAAGCACTGGCCGAACTGAACGACGACGAGGCAGCTAATGAATGATATATTGAGTATTCGACCTATCCATGGCAGTTTCTTTTTTCATCCTTTTGTTTTTTCCAAATACCATTAGAATTCGTTGCCATAGAAGTAGCCGAGCTAGCAGCACTGGTGGGTCCAAGCATTTCTTTTTGCACCTTGGCGGGTGTAGGCCTACGTTCCGTGTTTTTTAATACAGAGTAAGATTTACTTATTTTTAGCCGTCATGTTGGCAAATGATGTTTACCACTTGTTATCGATGCAATTCTCGTAGCACACGGTATCGCCTTTGCAGTCAGAAACACAAGCATTGGCTTCCACAACTAACATCAAAAAATACAAAGAGGATCAGAAACACAGATGTCATGTCTTGGTCCGTACAATGTCGACAGCGTACCACATTGACTGACACACTTGTAGTCGGATGCATCACAGTTACAGGCCGCCCAGCAGGAAGCCACAAAGAAGGCTAAAGCGATAAGCACCGTACAAAACTTCATGATCAAGAAGATAGAAAATTCTGCAAATGATGAAATGGTTCAATTCAATTGCTTCTTTTATATATTCCTTGACCTTGTATATAGTCTCCTCTTTTTCATTATTCTTACATAGGTTATTGAATATTTTTTTCTACCTTGTAGTCTAGTGATAAATTACGGCTGGGTAATGACCGTTTCTCACGACATTTTCTTTGGATGATGAGCGGAGAGTCAACCCTCAGGAGTAGGCTATATTTATTTTTTATTTGAACAAATTGGGAAGAGGATCATATTGCAGTAGCATTCATTATGATTTCCTAGCTGGCATCTCTGAATTGTCATAAATTCGAATTCATGTCTTTTATTCAGATTACACAAGTGATAATGAAGCGTAGTGTCGCAAGCAGCTCCGTTTTCTTTTCCTTGTGTATTATGATCCAAACAAGCAGCAGGTCGTTTTTTCGTGATTCATTGATTTCAATCGATCTGGGTTTTTGTCATGATTTTATTAAAACTCCTGCTGTCATTTTAGCAAGACGCTTTCTTAGCACATTCCTTCAACTCGTTTATTAGGCGTCAATACCCCTTTCTCTTTCATCAGCCACTATATATCATCTGAACAAGCTCGATTCTTCGTCAGGCTTATAGACTGATTATAACAAAACGTCTGGATATTTATTCATCATTTCCTGCTGCAGATATAGTCACACTATTATATTTATATGAAGTGGACACGGCGTCAAGCACTTGCTGAAAAAAAAAAAAGCTTGGTACCCACAGCGCATCGTGCACTCCTGTACGAACTATGGAGTTACAACTACTGTTCCAATAGTATAATTTTTTATATTATGCTGTTGCCTGAGGTGCTCGTTTTAGGGTTACATCACTCTTCTACAGTGACTGCTCAGGTTTTTGTCCTTCTTTCATTTTGTTTGCATTCACTTCATCTAGACACTTTTTTCCCGGGCACAGATGTGGTTGTAAAAATGAAATCAAAGCATTGAAAGGTCGATTATTCACATCATTGTGAACTCATGTGACGATATGACAATTGTTAACCATGCTGCGAATAAAAAATCATGTTGCATGATTCAAAAAAAAAAGACCTTTTGCATTTAGCAGATAGTGATAGACGCGGTTTTATTTTACTAAGATCCACTACCTGATATAGATTGGTTGCCGCCCATTGCACCGGTCAGATAAAGATACTTGTTAGAATGACATCGATTGAATAAAATACTATAAACTGTATAATTGCATCTTGTCACGACAGTAGTACGTGTATGTGATGATTGAATGATCACGATACTATCTAGGGAGAGCCATGATGTGATTTCAGTGCTGTATCAATAATATGTCATGCTGCAGTCGACAATGAAAAAAAGAGGCTTGCTTTGGCTATGCACACGATGATCTCCTCGAATGTATCTCCATGGATAAATTACTGCGCTGATCGATCGATACCTGATTGAAGATTTTCAAAATTTTCCACCTCACTTGACTCATTTTTTCTTTTTGAGAAATTGATATTTTTTGGCGGCGAAATCACAAGGATTACACCATGTTACTGCTTGTTGTAATAGAAATGATGTGACCGCAGCATAAAGTCATGGTGATAATGCTGTCATTGAGACATAAAAAGTGATTCCCTTTTTTATCATGGTCCTATACGCTGTGCGGGGATAAGTTTGGATTTGCGTACTTTTGACATCACTGACGTCTCTTGAAGCCAGCGCTATTCTATCTAGCGAATGCCTATTTCTGAATTTCTCAACTTCAACGACATTTTTATTCTTGTGATTGAATGGTATGTTTAACAAGATTAGCCTTATAGAGTAGTATATCAACATGATGGAGAAAGGGTTGCATAAACAGGTTACAACAAACATGGCAGTAAATTCGAAAATAAAAAGCAAAATGATGACAAAAAGATTACCATAAGCAAGCATTTAAAAAAAAAATCAAAGGGCATATGAAGCGCTGATGGTTGCACGAGATAAGTTTGCCTGGGTCGGTTTAGAAAAAGGAATGAAGAGGATTCGATGGGTGACGGTAATGGATATCTTTGAGTGCATCGTGCGATAAGGTGGAAAGGATCGGCGGAAGGAGTGGAAGGGGCTCGGAATCTTCAGAAGCGACACTGCTAATGGGGCTGTGGCAACCGCTGCTGACAGTGTGTGAATTGGTTGCACAGTTGGCCAACGGTGACCCTGCAGAGGCTTCGCTTTCTTCACGGGATCGGATGGACCCTGCTGGCGATCCAAGTGGACCGGAGTACAATGGATGGTCGCTCCAAAGCCCCGCCGCCTTAGTCACAAGTGTCCGAACATCGACCTTGCGTTTGGCGGCTTTCAGAAACAGTTCAGCCGGACGAGCCTTGTTGTGCCGTAAATAATAGCTTTTGCACGTTTCGCACCAGTGCCCACTGCCGCACAGATTGCGGTACCACTGATGAGTTTCGTGCACGCCGCAATTGGCACAGCTTTTTTGCATTGTGTTTCGTGCATCCGTCACGGCGATGACGCGGGCATGCGCCATGGAATAAGAATCCGACATTAACGAAGAAGAACCATTCGTGGAATGTTGACGAAGAGAAGAACTGGTGTACAGATTAGTGCCTTGACGATTGGCGATGATAAGACGTAGAGGTCGTGGTTCGTTGTGCTTCAACTGATATCGGTAGCAAGCAACACACAGCTTTCTCCGCGATGCGGGCTTGCTGTTACAGTTGAGACAGCGTGCTTTTTGTTTGGACGGCCTTGGAGCATGTAACAGCAAGAGCAATGTGGCGTAAATGGTAGGCTGATTGCATAGAGAGAAGGTCAAGGTTGGTGGAGGTAAATGATCGTGGTCAAGGCCGGCGTTGTCGAATAAATAGTGGGCCAGGTGAATGGCGGCTTTGAGTTTTGCTTGTTCAAAATCATGCAAATTGAACCGAAATAGGGTGTTCAAGACATGGTTTAATCGGTAAATGTGATCTTCTTTGGCTAGATTGGCGTTTTCAAGGAACCGGACATCCGTGCGTCCTGGATTTGCACCGTGTTGCGTGTATCGAAACAGATGAAGGATCCACGTAGGGAAAAAAATGAATTCAGGGGCAATCCACTTTGTACGATCGGTTCGAAAAAATACCACCAGCATCCGCATTTGCCGGCACAGTTCGACGGATCGCAAAGGTCGCGAGGCTTTTCCCGTACCGATATGGCAACGGAAGGAGCCATTCATATGACGACCAATCATTTTGATGTGAATGGGAGTGTTGGGTAGGGCGGCCGCATCGCCATGAATAGGACTCAGAATCGCGTCGGTCAAGGACGTTCGCTCAAACGTGGATTTCAGTCGAAATCCGCTGTTGTGGAGAACCCTTTGAAACACTGCCATCAACTGATCGTCAGGAATAGATGATTTCGGCGTTTCTATAGCATTGGCACAAGGCGTAATAAGGTCATGTATATTCATTGTAACAAAGAAAGGGCCAAAAAGGGCTGTTGGATTGAATCAGAACCATACGAGTATGAAGGAAGAAAATTTCTCTTTTTATATCTATTCCTGTTTACTGTATGCGATTTACTTTTTTTTTCTGAGTAGCTCTTTTTGTCTGGCTTTCTCCTGTTGCTGATGTGGTCTCCAAAAAAAAGGATCTTTTACACCTTCTGTAAACAGCCGGTCATTTTAATTTAAGCAAAGACTATCGCCTGAATAAAATGGTTCATCCAATGAATGGTCAATATTCTGTCTACTATGTACCAAAATCCATTGAGCAGAATGCGTGTTCCTCTTTTCTCTTCACGTCCGCATCCGCACACACACAGTGAGCGAGATGACCTGAATTCTCCTTTTGAGCGTAGCTCGTGTAAGCCATGAGACAATAATGACAACAATAACAATGCTAAAACTCTCGCGCGTTTTTCCCCTGGATCTCCTACACAGCAGCGTGATGTTTTCCCCAAAAGTTACTCACCATCTCCTTTGTTCGCAAATTCCATTCCCAAACCTTGAATCAAGAAAGTTGTATCGCTTATACATAACACAGGTAAACAAGATGGTTTAACGTGCAATTGCAAGCCGGGATACTCCAGCAGAAGATGAGGGCAAGTAGATCCAGACAAATAATATTGAAGTATCATACTTGTTCATGACAAGACGATGGGACACAAAAAAGTTTTCGGATATGTGCATTCTAGAACTTACCAAGATACAAAATTAGGTCTAGAGTTCGGGGTTCTTGTTGTTCTTTTTTTTACCCAATCCATTTGTTCATGTAGGTTCGCGACGACTTTTTAGAAAAAAAAATTAAGCTTCGGTGCCTCCTATAAACCGTGCTGCATTTAATAAAAATTCAAAGGACAAGCGTAGAGAAAAAAAAAACGACCTCCTCTTCGTTGTTCTTAACTTGAATCAAGCCAATCTTATCCGCGAAAAAAGAAGATCCGTTCGCATGGGTTTCATGATGCTGAAGCTTAGGGTGAAGACGAACGCCCATGCCACGAGCTTCGGTCACTACAGAAACGCCTGTCACCACCCCTGGCATTCCTATTTGCTGTTATCGTTCACTGCTCATGCAAGTTACCTCCAAGTGCAGTAACAAGAAATTCCGAGATGGGATGACTTCGGTAAACCAACAAAAAAAAAAAAAAAAAAAAAAAAGTGATTCCGAGTGCCACGAAAAATACATTGGGACTGCAAAGGGTGAAAAATAAGCGATTACCCTGCCAGTGGGGCATCATTATTGGAAGAGATCGCCCACGGTACACGATTTTCGATTGATTTCTATTGTTCATCTGACCTCCGACGATGGGTTACAATTGCATGGATGGTGAACCAGGAAACCATTATAAATAGTTCTCATGGTAATACAACGGGTTCATGGCATAAAAAATGAAAAATGCAATACGCCAAAGTAAAAAGGAATGAGTGTCTCTTTTCAAAGGCTTTTGGTTCTTTATGCGCTCGCATGACTATTTTTTCTTTGTTCACAGAGAAAGCAGAATGAAATTGTGTTTTGTATTTGGTTAGTGTGCCTTCATTGCCAACAAAACCATGCTTGACCTTTTTCTTACCGTCGAGTCAAACTCCGTGATTTTTTTTTTCCATTTTTTCCGGTCATTGTGGCACTGAAAATAGGCATGAAGCGGGTTTATGGGGCTAGTCTATGTACAACAAGGTGCTCAAAATGGTAATTTTCTGAAATCGGATGCGCAACAAAACCTCGGTGCAACCATCAACGATTGCAATATGACGCAACCACAATCAATTTTCGCCAGCAACCCTTATAAAAGCACACTCGGTGATTCCATTGTCTTGGCAATATCTTTTTTTCTTTCCCTCAAAAAAATAATACTCGGACACAGCCCTTTCTTTGACATTACAGATTAAAGGAAAAAAAATAATGAAATTCTCGCTTGCTTTATTGGCCGTTCTCGCTTTGTCTACCAGTTCCGTCATGGCGGCTGGATGCGATTGTGATCCTTCTGATAACGATTGCTTGACCACATGTGGTAAGGAGTGTTTGTTTTCGACCAAGGGTGTGGTTCTGTAGTTGATAACATTGATCATTCTTTGTAGTCGGTACCACTGGCGATTGTATCCAACAGTGTCAGGGAGATACCAACTGTTATGACAGCTGCATTCAATCGCACTGGCCTGGTCAAGACCAAGGATCCTCGACGGCTGCACAACCTACTGCCACGGTTGCACCTTCGGGTGCAGCTTCAGACAATCCATCGGCTTCGCCTACCGCCACAGGCGCTTCCGAGTCACCTGTCGCTTCCAATGACCCGGCTTCTTCGGCGCCACCCACTCCGGTCGTCACAAACGATCCATCATCATCACCTTTGCCCGTCCAATCCAGCGATGTGCCGCCAGCTCAGTCTTCGCCAGCTTCCATTCCCGCGTCGGGTTCCTCGGTCCAGCCCAGTGGAAATGTTGCACCTACGACTAATCCTTCCACCTCTCAACCCGCTCAAGAAACTCCCGATAACGCAGCAGGCTATGTTTTGCCTGCTTACGGTATCACCGTTTTGGCGGCTGTCGCGGGTTTGATCCTTCAATAATAAAACAAGATTACGCCGTTGTCCCTCACTTTCTTTTTCTTATACTCCCTCTTTTTTTTTATATCACCAATCATTGAATATCCCTTTTTTTCATCACCCTTTCTTTTTTGTGCGTGATGCTTTTTGAAAAACCATGAAATAAAAAATCATATATCTTTATATCTGTTATTTAATGACCCATATTAAACATGCCTCCCGAATTTCCAAAGAAATTCAACTCAGAAGGTGGGTTTTTCGTAGAAAATGGTTAGCAGAAAATTTTGGAAAAGAGCAGAATTTAAGGTTCGATAACCGCCCGCTCTCGGTCCAACTCCTGAACCACGCAACTTCATCATTATCATCCCACATATCGTTCACCACGGACGATGAAGCAAGAGATTGACATTTTTTTCAGGGTAAAACATCATGTCATAACATAAAGTTGAAGATTCCATCATCTGATGTTGCTGTTTCAAAAATGATCGCCTTTGTGTAACCACATCATCGAAATAAAGTCATCATACTTCTTGACATGGGTTGGCAACAGACACCGCTCGTTTCAACAATGATTCCTTCGAGCGTTAATACCCGTCTTTTGTTACTCGCAGATGATAATGCACGTTTTATTGGTACAACTTTTTGGAAGTGTGAATAAATGAGCTGGAAAATTATTTTACCAATGTGTGTTGCAAATATACAGCAAGTAACAGTGTCAAGAGGAATCACCAAGTAGTTCGGTTTTCCTTTGCACTGTACTCTACATTATAAATCAATTTCTTATTCCTACAGCATTTTACTTCTAGTACGGGGTATAAGCTACAGTATTTCGACGCGATTTGAAAGTCTCTTTCGGCAGCATAACAAAACTTCAGGTACCTTGGCATGAGCAAGCACTGTGAAAAAAAAATAAGTTCGGGGGATGACTCGCTCGCTTGCTTGCAAATCAATGACTGAATATATGTCCACTGATTAAGTATCCTGAGTGAGTGCGATTTGCCTTTTTAAACCTAATCTATTAGGCTTATATGATACAGTGCGACTGCTTTGCAGCAAAACACCGCCACGCTGAAATTCGCTCAGCATTGCCTTTCTTGAGGCAAGCTCCGTCACTTGCACGAATGGCGTCGGATCACATTTATAAAAACGTCAGCAACTATCAAGTGCTTCAACGTAATTCGCGTGGTTACGCTGGTGTGATACCTTCCGGCGGTAAACGTGTACAATATTTGGCCACGGGCGGCCCTCACCGGGTGGGCGACCGGTTCCCCGTTTACGTCGGCGATGTGTGGGTCATGGCCGGCCAAAGTAACATGCGTGGTCATGCTTACTACAATGATCCATTTACTCTCGAGGCCTTTGAAGATGAAATTCTTAAGGATACCATGTTGTTTACATCCGAGGAGACGTGGAAGCCACTGAGCGAGCCCAGCCATAGTCTGCACCTATCGCCTCGGTCCGTTCATCATCAGTTGCCCGATCCTACCGTGCGCGACCCCAACCTGCTCAAATTTCGTGGATATTCACTGGCAACAACGTTTGCTCTCGAATACCGGAAGCTCAACGACAATGTTCCTGTAGGATTGATCGCTTGTGCTCACGGCGGCGTTACCATGGATAAGTGGGCTCCTGTCTCCATGGGCACGGAAGATGACGGTGCCACGTTGTATGGAGCCATGATAAGCCGCCTTCGTGGACTCGAAGGCCGATTCGCAGGCATATTATGGTATCAGGGAGAATCCGATGCAGTCGAATATGGGCAAACGATTACACGTCGCCGGAAGCAACTCAAGCATAAATACAAAGATCAGTTGCTGCGTTTTATCGACGCTGTCCGTCAAGAGTTTCAGCTCAGCACATTGCCCTTCGCCATGGTGCAGTTAGCACGGCATATTGATGACGAGGACAGCGACGAAGGGTGGCAAATCATTCGTGCCCAACAGCAACAGATGATGTCGGATCGAATCGCTGTCGTGGCCAGTATCGATTGTCAAATGGATGACAGGATCCATTTGAGCGCTTTCGGTTTGAGCACAGTGGGCGTTCGATTAGCCAGGGCTGCAACCAACGCCAAATTGGGAGTTGGAACCAAAACTAGTCCCATCATTCGTTCCGTGCAAGCCATCACACTGCAGGATTCGGCCACCCAAAGCACCATGTTATCCCTGCTCATTCTGTTTGATAATGTGTCTGACTGGGGTTACCGAGAAGAAGTGCATGGATTCAGTTTGCGGGACTCGGACGGTCTGATTCACGATGTGATTTACAGCGCACGCATCGAGCAGAAAACCCGCGTACGACTATACCTGAAACCGCAACTGTTGCAAGATCAAAGAAGACATGACTTGTCGCTTTATTACGGATACGGGAAAAACCCGATTTGCAATCTCGTGACTGTGAAAGGCATGGCCCTGCTGGCTTCGGGGCCGTATTCTAATCTTTTCAAAAGCGCTGGTGAACAAAACGTGGCAACATAATGAAATAAAAACACGCACACAAGGGAGGATAAAATTACAGCATCAAAGTATTAAGATTTTCGTTGAGAATGATATCGGATACAGCCATCATCACATGTTGCAAGAGATTTGTATCAGTGGCGTCAGTATAGTGGGAATACACACGCTTTTCAGTGCTGCGGTTCAAATGCTGGAATCTTCGTTTAAAATAGGTTCGCGTTTGTTCGAGATCGTTATTATCGCCTCGGAAGTCGGGAAACCATTTGGATACTGGGGATGTGAGGATCTTTTTCTTGAAAATATCAATCTTGTTCAGGAAAAGGATCATCGACGTATGGACAAACCATTTTGAATTGCAAATCGTATCAAACAGCATCAGCGCCTCTTGCATCTATTTCTTGTGTTTAAGGGAAAAACATGGGAAGGACGGTCAAAGAATTCTCTGGGGACCTACTTGATTCTAAAATATGGACGGTTTAGAATTGTGCATCGCGACAGTGAACGGACCGTTCTTCGAGAAGAGAAAGACTTACTGAATCGCGATCTTCCACCAAGCATTGATCGTAACCACTAATAGCCACCACGAATAAAATGGCGGTGACATTCTCAAAGCAGTGGATCCTGAAAGATGTGTGAAAAGAAGTTCATCGATGCGCTGATAACGACAACTGCTAGCCTATTTACCATTTTTTCCGTTCACTGCGTTGACCACCGACGTCAAACATGTGATAGGTCAACGGCCCTAGATGGAAAATGGTTTCTATGATACCTGTTGTCTTGGCGCGACAGCGAATAATATCTTGATCGTTGGGCAAGTATCCTGGTTGCCACAACCGATCCAAATCATCAAAGAAGCTATATAAATTGCAGCATCATAGTGTAAGTAACCGCTTGTAACTTTTTCCGTCCCATCTTTTGGCTTACTAATGGATATTGTCATGTAGTGCGAAAGCATTTCCGTGTTGGCATGCTTCCTGAATCCCGGAATCGGACCACAGCTGCTTCAAAGGTTCTAGATACTCTTGAGGATAAGGCTGTGCATTACTTATCAATGGAGCATCTTCAAAGAACGATTTGTATTGCTAAAGAGTTTTTTTCTCAATTAAGCCTCGAGTTCCCCCCAAATAAAACAAAAATTAATTTTTTGCCATGAAAATAACCTACGAGAAGCGATGGATCTTTTAATGAGATATTTAGTTGATCGACGGCCTCAAACAATGTCTGCATCGCTGCGACGATATTGGAAAACACTACCATGCGAAAAGTTTCGCGCTCGGACTCGCTGAACCCAGAAGCGTGGATTAATTTCATCTGCTTGAGAATCGTTGATTTTCCCGATTCGCCTGCGCCTGAGTTGCATTGAAAGTGGAGATGAGACAAAGAGAAAAAAATTCATTCCGCTTGACGGCGATAAAGAACTTACCCAGCAGTAAAATCTTGACTTCGGTTTTCATACGCTTTTCATCGGCTTTGATTTGCTTGTCAATTATATGACTCTGTGTGGCATCGGGTGAATTCCGGCCTACAAGATCACGTAAACTGGTACAATTGCCCATGCTGATTGATCATGGAATGGATCCACAAGACTACATTGTCAATTAAAATACATGCGACGCCGTGGATTGGTTAAAGTCGAAAATAAAAAAGATAACGTACGACCAGGGTATTTATCGAAAGGAACAACCGAAAGAAAAAGAAAAAAGAGAGGACGTTGATTTGCCACTGAAAATGGCAATGCGTATTTAAAACAAGACTGTAGTTCATAACTAGTGCGTGCCTTATTGAGTGAGCCAATGTTAGTTTTTACTGCAAATAGCTTGATTTTTTGGTATTCTCTCATACTGGTGTAGCCCCAACTTTATTCACAAACTTTATTCAGAGTATTGCACCAACGAATCATGCCGAGTGGAAACGTGGCTCAGATATGGCTGCGGTTTATTGGCGATAGCCGCCATGCATGATTTTTTGGTGTCCGCTAATGATCGGTAGTCCCATTGTTGTGGCGATCTCAAAAAAGATCCCGTATTTGGGATTCTTGTGTCACTATTCTTGGCTGACCAGCAGAGACAAAGCCCGCTCGCTGTACGTAATGTCGGACAGATTCGCGGTTTCTAGACAAGAATGCAATCAAGGCGAGAGATATGTTACGATATGAGTTCAATAAGGCCGTCAAACCTTTGCAAACCCCGCGTTCTCACCTCAACTGTACAACGATGGTTACTCTACCAAAATCATACGAACAGATTTCCAATGATCAACAGGCCATTGGGCTATAGATTTGAATAAAGGGGAGATTTTGAATAAGATACCTTTATACGAGTCATTGATGCGAATTTATTACAAGACTTGGCCATTACTTCAAGAAGATATATAGAGATGTGGATTGATTTTTATACTTTTGTAGAAAATAATGTTGTATGGGTTTGGAAAACCATCGAGAATACAGGAAGTTGGGGATGAGCATGGACGGAACAGAGATTGGGGGGCGGGGGGCGAATGCTTTTTTTGTAGATGCATTTTGATGTTGTGGTGATGAGCTGATTAAAGGAACGCGGACTTTTGGGCTTATTTTTACAATTTCGGAGCGTCGTCACGGTTGCCGGGCGTGATCCGTCGAACGGAAGTCCATCGTTTGGCCCTCTTTCCACCTAAAACGCCCAGCAACAATTTAGTTTAGGCCGTCAATGACATCTGAGGTGTAGCTATCTTATTTTATTTTACCTCCTTGACTGGGATTGCGGTTTACATGCACGACCTGAGGGAGTTCGTGCTCACCATATGGACTGCGTTTGCTGGGAGCCGTTTTGGATCGTCGCAAACTCGTCCGTGGCCCCGGTGTCAGTCGCGTCAATGAATTATTCGGTTCACAAACAAGGGAATCAAGCGCAGCCCCGGAATAGGAGCCGGTGGCAATGGAATACAGTGTCGATGCACGATGTTCATTAGAATAGGAAGCTCCGGCTTTGGGAGGGACGGTCGATTCTGGTTCGGGAGGCCCTGTAATTTGAGACAGATTAGAGAGAGCTTCTCGGAGCTATCGGAATGTCCGTGAGGATACTTTACCCAAAGGTAGATCTTGTGGTGGTGGAGCAATTGGCGAGTGGGCTTGACCGGTGGCAGGCCGCGGTATTGAAAAGTTCTCTTGATTTTCAATAAGGTACTGAAGCACGTGTTTGGATTCTTCATACCCTGCAGGGTTGAGCTCATCGTCCGGATGTGACAATATTCCCTAAAAAAGCAAGCATGAGAATTTCCTCAGAAAATATGGACAGTTGTGCAGGGTTCCCCTTACCGGCGCGAAAATCGAAGCGAGCGTTTGGGTTCCCATTCGTGTATATTCTTCGGCTGTTACAAATAAACTTAGCATATCTAGCAAATAGAGTAACAGATACTGATGTGCGATCGGTAGACATTGGATCAACTTTTGGAAAGCATCGATTTTCGCTTCCGGCGTAGGAAAGGACATTTCTACAAGAAAGAAAAAAAAACTGCCGTGAACACCAATTTTGGACTTTTCCTTTTTTTTTGGAAGCAATTCCTTTTAGAAAAAAAAAACGTACTCATTGTGTCTTTGAATGGACGATAATATTCCAAAGTAATGACAGGGTCGGGTAAATGGTTAAGAAATCGTTTCATGACAGCGGCTGCATCGTGCACGGTATACCCTCGCCAATCGAGTTCGGCACCATAACTGTCCGGTGTATCAAACATCGTTTGTAGCATTCTCGTCCGTTTGGCGCTTCCCGATAATCGAAAGATGCCTTCAACGGCCATGCCTAGGTTTGAATGTAATTCGAGTATAAATAAAATAAAATAAAAAAGGTTTGGCGAAGCATGTCACACAAAAATGCTAACCTTCTTCCTTCAGAAATGATCCACATTTGGCAATGATCGTAGGCACCACACCGAAGCATTGAGCACCGGTATCATCATCGATGTAGGATATACTCGAATGGGCGTATTTGATGGATTCCACCAGTGGTATTCCGAATACACCCCGTTCTACAATGAAAAGGAAGAAAAAGCTCGGACTGAGTTGACATGCCAAAGTTTTTGACATTTTGGGCTAATGTTGCGGGAAAGTCATTGGCCTCACTTACCGACTACCGGCACTTTCATATTTCGGAAATTCTGTGCTTTGGGATGCGCCGCGGTGACTTTACGCCACCACGTCCGCATCAATGCTTTTTGGGTGGGAGTGAGTACACCCGGTATTTCGAATGAGGACATGGGAAATGGAATGAGTAATGTGTGAAAACGGCTGTTGGCAAATTGGGAAAACTCCAAATGGGAGTTTCAAAATTTGTTCGGAAGCAAAGCAAGTGACGTCGCCCGGCCGGCCGGCCACCCATTTTCAAATTGATTGAGACAGGGAGTTATTCTTTTGCTACAAGGTTTTTGCTTCAATTGTGTTGCAAAAATTATACATTCTGTACCATTCAACCTTGTGTTCCGTTGTTTATTGAATGATAAAAAGGAATCTTGAATCGTCAATGAATCATTTATTCTATGAATCCGTCTTCGTTTTCCTTGGAAAAACTCTTCCAATTTCGTAATTTCTGTTTCATAATTTCATGCGGAACTCGTTTTTTATTATTATTATTTTTGAATTGACAGTGTGTATTGTATTCCATGAACCGACGATTGCGGTATGTCCGCGCGAGGGTCGCGATTATCGTATGGCGGGATGGAGCACGTTTTATAGACTTATCCAAAATAAGAAATTCCGCTAATCCCAAAGCATGAAATGAAAAAAGCTACTAGGCTGTTTCCCAGTTTTCGGCACCTGTGATATTCAATCCCTAGAACCAAGCTAATACCATTTCGTTTAAAGCAGAACGGACCTTCTCGATTCACTGCAGCACGAGGTAGACAATAGGAATCAATAAATAAAAATAGAGTTCTTACGGTTCATATTTTCTTTTATTTCATTTACAAAAATTCTTTATAAAATCTTTCTTATTACTTTTTGTCAGCAAAAGGTGGAAAAACTTCTTTTTGGGGTTCAAAAAATTTACAATCTAAATAAAACAAGTATGTACAAGGCACAAAGATTATTCAAAAGGAACAAATGGAGTGCATGAGAAAAAGCCGTGATTATTTATATTTCAATAGGAGTGGAATCACCAGCATGACGGAAATTATGGGAATTCGACCTGCGTTGCTTTTCTCTGGTATCGGCAACGCTGTTGGGAACTCGTTTCTTCATCTGCGAGCGAGTGTATCTAGCTAGTTGACGTGCATACTCGTGTCGTGCAAGTGCGAGCAAGTCTTCCCGAGTCATGGTAGAAGTAGGGCTGTGACAGGTATCGCAGGATTCCGGTTTCATGTTCGGTACGGCAGTCATGATTGGATTATTGACTCAAAAGAAAATTAATATAAAGAAAAAAAGAAAAAAGGCGGCTAATATTTATCAATTATCAAAACGAAAAAAGAAATATGTTAGGTTGTTGCTTTATATATGCGTCTTGAGCTAGCCCTTCCTCAGGAGAAAGGGCTGGCTGGGCCTAGTAACAGGAGTTACCATTTATAGAACTATGATGTCATGGTGGGTTGACACAAAGATTTTTTTTTTAAATTAGCTTCATCGTCATCGAATGGAAAGCATAAAGCAAACAACAGCCCATATCCAGCAACGCTATTTTTTTTTATCATCGTTATTGGCCAAAGCGCCTAGGTATGCTATCATTTTTTTAAACTACATTCTCAATGATGTAAAATCTTGCATCATGGGATGGCTCTTTTAATAATAATCATATCTTTGAATCGACAAATCGCATGAAATGAAAAACATCCGTCGAGTGGCGCTGGATTTTCCACGGCAATTTTTTTTTTTCATTCAAGGGTAAACCATTGAGTGATGATGATCGAGTGGTTCGTTTCCGTGAAACATGTCTAAACATTGGAGGAACTAACGCTAAACCATAATAGTTTATTTTTTCATTCTCGGGGACAGCTTGACGAACCGTCGACATCAAACTTTAATTTGGAGCTATTTTTCCTGGCTGTCCGCTCACCCATTGGTGGTGGTATCTCGATTTTGTGCAGATATGATTCGTTACGTGATCTCCGCCCTGGTCTTCCCGTTTGTCTAAAATACAGGCTTGGTTCGCCTAAAGTGCACCAAATACAGTGCGCATTGACTTCCACCGTCTCGCAGAATTACCACCTGAAAACACAAGTTGTAATTATATGCTTCATCAATAGGAGAGAATTTTTATCTAAACTGAAAGGCCAGAAAGTTGTTTTGGTAAGCAAGAGGGCGGAATGCTCCACTTTGTGTAACCGATCAAGCTGATGCATCATTCACTCGATCGACCTATAGAAACACAGTATCATGCTAAACTTTTTTGTGTAACCTAAGTTTTCTGCAGCACTGCAGATTCAGCTTCACTCGATAAAATAATCACCATATCTGTCCATGCTGCCTCCATCTCCATCTTTGGAATATTCGTCTCACGGGTGACACTAATCATGACTTTTTTCTCCTTTGCTACCATTCCTCTTAACATTCTCTTTCAATTAGTGATAAATGAAGATGACGTTGAACCATGTATTAATAGGCTTGACGGTCAGTCAAAACAAAAAAGTTTTCTCGGCCCGACCACGCACATCGTGCTCTGTTCTGTTCTATTTGCTCCTTGGATTTTTTTTTATTGGGGGGTTTGGGTTGGATTGGTAGATTGCATTAAGTGTGCGATCACGGACTAACTTTTTATTGTCAGCGACATGACAGGCGTAGAATGGACAATCGAGCGCGATCGACGATAACGTAATTGTCAGAAAAAAAAAAGGTTTCAGTGTGAAGTCATTCTATTCCATGATCAAGCCCGGATCATTAAAACATTTTACACACTAAACTTCTCATTCTTTCCTCTTCTTCCAAATTTTACTTACCAGGAAGTCCAGTAACAGCTCGCTTCCCATGTCGACCTGACCAAGTACTTTTTTTTCTTTCTTTTTTGATGACCGCCTGATTATTGACATTGTTATGGAGAACAAACGATATGACGTAAATTTTTTACAATAAACGGTAGAATTTTTGCATACTGTTTTTTCATGGATTTTGAAAGGTAGACCATGATCGATAAAGTGCTACGGAATTCAGGTCAATGCTGAATTACTATTACAATGACCCTTACATAATTGAATTTACGCATCTGATATCTATCATGCCGGCTGTTGTTTCATTCTATGAAGATTGCAAAAAATAATACGGGTCTGACATGCTTCAACTCATTTATTTAGCTATTGCTAAATGTCATTTTTTTATATGATATCATGGTTGCACAAAAAGCGAGTTTTTCTGCAATCCACGCAAGTCAAACAGAAGCAAAACCAGACATATTCAATAGGTGCGCAAATGCCATGATCATGAAGAGCAGTAGTAGTCATTATCAAGTGTTTATTTCGCTATACAAATATGAAATGACCGTCTTCACTAATACAGCAGAAATTGGTTCAACCGCATTCATCATGTATTCGTCGAACTACATTTCATTCGACATTGCTTATTTCGAATAAACTCCAAAAGATACTGTATACATACTGAATATTTGTAAGACCCATGTAGCTCTACAAAACGGTTTTGTATATGCACTATCCCGTTGTCCTTGTATTTTTAGCTTCGGTGCGGGGAATGACGGGAAAACCGAAACATGAAAGCTTTTACAGCATATGTCGTAGTGTGACAAAGTAACACATGGGGTCACTGTATGAGGAGCACCATAAATAAGACACAACCTAAACTGATTGGCGTGTCGTGCTGCAGAGTAGATGAAAGTTGATCTGCTGCAGCAAAGCCATGGCCGTATATTACCATTATTGCCATCTGTTAAGTCTGTTTAATGTTTAACGTTGGTCGTCAAATTTTTTACCAACTCGTCTGAGCTCGAGTCATTCAAAAACTACCGACATTTACATGCTATTGACACTTACTTCATAGGGTATTGAACTATGGTAGTGCCATTAAAAAAATGAAAAACCAACACTATTCGAACTTAGCTCCAATTTTTTTTTTTTGATGACATCCTTTTCATGTGATAAGATGCGTGTTTGCCTGAGACCCTTTTGTTGGTGTTAAAAGAAAAGCTATTAATACTTACTGTAGACTGGGTTGATATTTTATTTCCTCTTTCCTTCCTTTGCTTTCTACAATGTTCTTTTCCGAATTCGTCTGGGAAAAAAATAATGAGTCATGGATCCAGGCAAAGTATAAATTGCTAAAGTCTGGACCCAGTAGGAACGATGAGCGTCATCTCAGAGTTGAAAGTTGCTTTAACTGATTGAAGCAAAAACAGACCAAAGTGGGTCTACAAATATTGTGCGCCTAATGCAATATGATTGTTATGTTTAGGGACATATTTTCTCATGACACAGCACGAATGCTTCTATTTAGTCTATGCAGTTTCTGTTAATGGTATCATCATTACAGAAAACTTTGCCAAAAACCATAGTATAATGAAGACTCCTTTTCGTCCAGTTTCTCGAATGGATCATGTTTTCTAAAGAGTTATTGTATGCAGTACATATTCCTTTCACATTAGAGCAATTGGGCCATTACTAACAACATACAACTTGCTTTCATCTGCACATTATGTCCAAAAATGGTATATTAATTCTTTTAGGTTTGCCAAAAAAAAAAAAAATCAGAGAAGTTTTTCTTCTGCAAACTTATTTGTATGATCCTCTTCCTAACCAAGCATGCAATTTATCGGTTAGTTTTGTTTTTTAATTATGTTCATGGACGATAAAGAAAAGAGAGATCCATCGACGAGCATACTCGAAGATTAGATCTTCTCCAGGTCCATCGTATCTTTTTTTTTTTTTTTTTTTTTTTTTTTTTCGCTAAAAAAGTATGTGGATGAATTGTAACGAATAAAATCCTCCAAATGACTAAGTATATAATTTCGAGCAAGTCTCAACGCCTTTGACATAATTCGTACACAGCAAAACTCTTTGTGATTAACCTTTTTCGCGCGTCGTAGCCAAAAAACTGAAAAGGGTACCCGCGTTATGCTTCGGCGGCGGGATCACGTGACGATATGCCGAGCACAGAGAAGGCAGGCAGAAAGAAGCGCAGCCGAGGGCGGAGCTTTGATGTCCGCCAGCCAGTCACTGGTGAGTTTCTTTCCATTCTTCCATTGGAGGGAAAATCTTTACAGTTGGGTTGCTCTTTTTATTTTATTCCCCTTTAGTTATGGCCAACCCACAGGTCCCCTTCATAAGTGCGCCTTTCAAACGCACAGAAGATATCGACTGGATTAATCCGCTCAAGCGGTACATTGCGCAAGTTTATCAAGACGATCCGGAAAAGTACAATGAAGAGACTTACACTCTCAATCGACTACGCCAAGACACACGGGGTGCAGGCAAAGACGTCACAGGTCGCGACTTGCTGTACCGATATTTTGGTCAGTTGGAACTCTTGGACTTGCGTTTTCCTGTGGATGAAAAACATGTCAAGGTCCTTTTCACTTGGTAAGTTGTTTCAAAAGATGAAAGCAAGGAGCGAGGATTGGGACAGGCAGGTTTGGTTGCAGAAAACTCGTTATTCACACGCAAGGTTTATGTTACTATTTGCTCGGTTCACGTCGTAACGTTTAGGTATGATGCTTTTAACGGTCGTGCCACCGCTCAGTATTCTCTTGCGTACGAAAAAGCCAGCGTCATTTTCAACATTGCAGCAACCTTGTCGGCCATTGCGGCTGCTCAGAACCGTGCCGAGGCCGATGGACGCAAGCGGGCTTTCAACTTTTTCCAAGCAGCGGCGGGCATGTTCCAATACATCAACGACAATTTCCTGCATGCGCCATCCCAGGACCTGAGTCGTGAATCCGTGAAAATGCTCGCGGAGTTGATGCTTGCCCAGGCCCACGAATGTTTTCTGGAAAATAGTATCCGAGAAAAGAAGAAGGAGGGACTCATTGCTAAGCTGGCCAGTCATGCGGTGTGGACTTATGGCAACCTGGTGGACGAGCTGAACGATATGATTGGCAAGGGTCATGGTATGGAGAAGGCGTGGGTCCTCATTTGCCAAGTAAAGCAAAAATACTATCAAGCGTTAGCCCAGCAGTACAAGGCGGCCGCCTGTGAAGGCGAAGCCAAGTACGGTGAGCAAGTCTCGCGATTATCCGTGGCAGAAACGTCGGCCAAAGAAGGAAGCAAGCTCGGTCCTACCCTGGTGAATCAATGCCTATCGAGTCTGCATGCCAACAGTACCATTCCCAGCGACAGTAGTGGCGCCTTGCAAGAACTTTGCAAATCTCTCGCGGCGACCTGCAACGAAAAAAAAGTCAAGGCGGAGCGTGACAACGACATGATTTATCATGACCAAGTCCCACAAGAATCCGTGTTGACTCCCATTGATCGCTTGAATGCCGTTAAACCCGTATCCATTTCGGAGTTGTATGGTCCAAATGAAGTGAACAAGGTGATTGGTGCCGATATTTTTGCACGTCTCATCCCGTTGAGCGTGCACGAAAGTGCTTCCATGTATTCTGAAGAAAAGGCAAAATTGGTTCGTGCCGAAAGTGAACGGTGCGACCTTGCCAAGGCCGAGTTGAACGCTTCCCTCGATTACATGAAGTTACCTGGTGCTTTGGCCAAATTCAGGCAGCGAGACAACGATCACGCTCAGGCGGCCGCCATGCTCGATGATTTCACCACGGTGCCGGCGGAAGTCAAGTCATGGGCCGACCAAATCGCGTCGGAAGAATCCAAGAACAGTACAACGATTCGTGAACTCATGGATACACTGGAAGGAATGAAATCACGGGCCCGAGGTCTCATGGATGACATGAGCATGAAGCTCGATCAGGAAATGCAACAGTGCGAAAGCATGAGAGTAAGTGAGATTGGGAGATTCATCTACCGGGGGCATGGACCAAAAGAAAACTGACACAGAAGTTCAGGTCAAATACGGCGATCAATGGCAGCAACAGCCTTCAGGTCAGCTGACAAACGAATATCGTCACGATATACGAAACCATCGAGAAGCACTTCAGGGAGGCGCGCAATCGGATGATCAACTTTTGCGACGTTATCAAGCGATTCAGCAGGATATTGCCATTCTGCGCCAAGGCGGTCAAGGCCGCGAACTGGAACGATTTTTCGCCGAGAACATGACATCGTTATTCCAAGATAATGGACAAGACGGCAAAGAGAAAGATAAGAACAGTTTATTGGACTTGGACCTGGATGCTGGTACGGAAGCCAAACATGCGTCGGAAGGCAAGGTGCAACGCGTGGAAGCCGTGCTTGAAAAATTGCGCAAAATCGAAAATGACCGCAAGCAAACACTGCAGGATCTCAAGGAAAAGGTACGAAGAGGATTGATATGGCTGTCAATGGAAATGCAAGAGTTCTAATCAAATCACTGGCATAGACGGTTCAAGATGATATTTCACATGTATTGATTCTGAACAAGAAATCGAATGCGGAACAGCAGATTTTCTCCACGGAACTTGAGAAATTCCGACCTCATCAGCAGCGCATTGCGGCCACCATCCATCAGCAGCAGCAAGCGATTCAGGAACTGACGGCGGCGTTCAAATCATTGATGGAGGGTGAAGAAGCGCAACGATTGCAAACTCGATGGGATGCCGCCGATCGACAACGACGCGCATTGATGGACCGTTTGAATAAAGCCAAATCCAGTTATTCGGAAGTCAAAGATGGGTTGAGGTAAGCACGGTTGCCGGGAGCCATGGTTTTCGTATTGGATTTGGGTGAAGAAAAATACTGATGACATGATGGATGGTATTTCCTCGTTACAGTAAAGGGGTACAGTTTTATTCCAATCTATTGGATGTCATTGAATCACTGTCGCAGAATATTCAGCGATTTACCCAGGAACGATCGCGTGAAAGAGAAAAGATGGTCGAGGACATTGAAAGTACACGCAGTGCACGAGAGCAGGAAATGCTTCGTGAAAAGATCAACCGCTACAGCGGCGCGAGCCCCAGTGCTCCACCGGGGATCCCGGAAACCAATCCACACCTTTCCCAATTGGCCGATCGTACACGGCAAATGTCGTTGAATGACAAACCGCCCCATCCTCCTACCCCATCTGAACCTACTTATTCTACTTCGTCGCGGGGTTCCTACAACAGTGGAATGATGACTTCACCGGTGTCATCGCAGCCGTCACCGATGCACCATGTAGGTTACGGTGGCTACCCCGGTTCACAAAATCAAGGCTATGGCGGTAGCACTTCGAATCCATCGATACCTTTGTCGCAGTCCGGTTATATGGGTTATCAACCTTATGTGCCATCGACGGCACCGAGCATGCCTGCCATGTATCAGCAACCGACACCCACCCCACCCCAACAACCACAGCAACCCCCCTATCAAGCAAATCAACCTCCACCGGCGGCTCAACCCATACCGTCGATGCAGCGACCAATGAATGCACCGTATCCTCCTCCTCCTCCTCCCAGCAACAGTTATGGGTCAATACCCGGGGCGGCAGGTTATGGTGCTCCACGTCCGAATGGACCTCCATCGGGTCATGATGCCTATGGTATGGGATCTCAAGGCCGACCTTCAGGAGCTGCTCCCGGTCCACCTTACGGCATGAATATGATGGGATCGCATCCACCGCGTCCAATGTATGGTCAACAAGGTCCTCCTATGCAACCTTCTCCACCTTCTACACAATATCGACCTGGAGCTCAGCAACCACCTGTGCCCGGTCATCCACCGCCTCCACTCCCTCAGCAGCAGCAACAACAACAACAGCCGCCACCTCCAGCTACGCCTGCTAAGTACTCGATGCCGCCTTCTCACGGTGGTAATTATTATTCTGCCACCTCTTCTTCTTCTCCTGGCACGCCACAGTATGGCATGCCACCTTCACCTGCAGCTGGTTATGGGTATCAACAGATCCGCCCGGCCGCACCGCAAGGGTATCAGCAACCAATGCCTCCTCCTGCTCCTCAATGGCAACAGCAGGGACCGTCTCAGCCACCACCACCACCAGCGCCATCCTCCAACTATTGGAATGGACCCAATACACCAGGTGGTAACAGTGGAAATTCGCTTATGGATTAGTTTACCGATAATATTGTTTATTTTCCTCTTTTTTTTTGGGATGATTTCTATGGGAGAGTATTTGATGTTTGCTTTCTTTTTTGACAAGGTTTGAGTGGAAACTCCTTAGATCAAGGAGATCCATGACGATTAAAAAAAAAGTGATACAAAAATTCATGCGGCTGTCTATGCGTTGACAAAGAAGGAAAGAAAGAGAAAGAAAAACGAAACTCGACAGGGATTTTTGAGGAGCTGTCCAGTTGTGAGTGAAAAAAAAATCAGGGTAAAACAAAACAAAAAAAAAAAATCGAGGGGATGGTGAATCAGGAATCAGGGGGTGACAGAGTACAAAAGCCAGAGATTGAAGTGTTTATGACAACAAGGTATTTTTACGGTCCATCGATCCGATGTGGCTCCTTGGTGACAATTAAGGTAATCCATGCTTGCCCTTTGACAACCTTGGAACTAGGATGCTGAAGGTTGCCCAATTTCCTTATTCGTACGGTTGGTCCTTATTGGGTTACTTTTTCCCTGAGCTTGTCGACTCATGGTGGGTTACATTACAAAAAAGAAAAGCCCACCCAAATTTGTGGAATCCCTACTAGCTATTCTTCTTTCTCATCTTTCAGTATCTAGTTACTTTCTCCTTGATCCCCTAATTCTTGTATTCTCTAACAATTTACTGACTCGCTCCCTCACACGGTTTGCTTGTTTTCCTTCTCATCATTCCACATTCTTGAGAATTCCAAAATAGGCAAGCGGTTCATCAGGTAATTTTTTCATTTCCTTTGGACATTGTGTCTGCTCGTTTCCTGACACGGCCATCATCACCGTGGGTGATTGGTGATATATCAATACTACACCGTAAACAACAAAAGTGAAGCATAGGTTGACAGTGTGTTAAATATTCCATCCAAAAAAAAGGAAATCAAGGAGACAATTACGAGGAGTATTACAAAAACGAAAAAAAGTGTACAACAAGAAAAGGAGCTGGCATGGAGCATGAGAGAGAGTAGAAAAAAAAAAAAACGGGATAAAGATTTTTTTTTTTATCTTCATCTGGGGCTGACGATCGTCTTTTTTCCTTTTTTCTTTTCTTTTCTCTTTTTTTTCCTAGTCTTTTATTTCTCCTCTTTTATCTTGTTTATTTTATTACGTTGCGTAAAGAAATGGGTTGCTGTCAATCAAACGAAGCGCAGGAGGACAAGGCGCGTAATGAAGAAATCGAAAACCAAATTAAGCGAGACAAGCTTAATATGCGAAATGAAGTGAAACTATTGTTACTGGGTACGGTGCTTTTTTTTTCATTGTATTAGACAGTGTTCTGTAATCCTGCAAGGGGATGATGATTGGCATGAACTGACGGGTATTATTTATCACATCTATTTGACAGGTGCGGGTGAATCGGGAAAATCCACGATTTTAAAACAAATGAAACTTATCCATGATGGCGGATATTCGCGTGACGAGCGAGAAGCTTTCAAAGAGATCATCTTTTCCAACACTATTCAATCCATGCGTGTGATTCTGGAAGCAATGGAGAAGATGGATGTTCCTTTACAAAGCGAAAACCGACATCACGCCGCCGTCATCTTTGATCTTCCAGTGCAAATTGAACGCGACTCATTACCACCGGAAGTCACTCAAGCAGTAGCTACCTTGTGGAAAGATCCCGGCTTACAGAGCGTTTATGAACGAAGTAGAGAATATCAATTGAACGATTCTGCTAAATAGTAAGACCCGACTGACCAATACGATCCAAAGGTGTACCAATTTTTATCCTGACTTAATTTTTTTTTTCTTCCGCTACAGTTACTTTGATTCCATTGATCGTATCGGCGACCCCAACTATGTTCCCACTGACCAAGATGTGCTTCGTTCACGCGTTAAAACTACAGGCATCACAGAAACCACATTTGTCATTGGAGATCTAACTTATCGCATGTTTGATGTCGGTGGTCAACGATCCGAACGCAAGAAATGGATTCATTGCTTTGAAAACGTAACGGCCATCATCTTTTTGGTGGCTATTTCCGAATACGATCAAGTGCTGATTGAAGATGAGACAGTGGTAAGTGGACAAGACAGAGTGTGAGCTCTCTCTCTCTTAATTTTTAAGGGGTCAGCGTTTTCAAAATGGCCAAGCGACCAAAAAAATGAACAAGCGTAACAAAGAAAAAATCTAACTTGGGGTTATGATAATGTATAGGATCGTATGCAAGAAGCTTTGACGCTATTTGATTCGATTTGCAATTCACGATGGTTTGTCAAGACATCGATTATTCTGTTCCTGAATAAAATCGACATCTTCAAGGAAAAACTGATAAAGCATCCTTTGACAGAGTGTGATCCTGAATTCCCGGGTAAGTGGAGACTAAACCATAACAAGCAGTCTGGGAACCGTCGATACTAAGCTTCCCACATCGTGGGCATTTTTGCAGGTCCCAACACGTATGATGCGGCATCGGATTACATTCTGAACCGATTCGTGTCTTTGAATCAATCGGATTCGAAACAAATATACACCCACTTTACTTGCGCAACGGATACCCAACAGATTAAGTTTGTCATGGCAGCAGTCAATGATATTATCATCCAAAATAATTTGCGAGACGTCGGTCTACTGTAAGACGGACTTTTGTCCCATCTTCTTACTTTTATTTTTACCCCCTTGTTTTTTTTTCCACTCCTCATGCCATGATTCATCCTTTCCCATATTATCTGATCTTTTTAGCTCCACCTGTTTCCATGTCTGTTCTTCTTTTCTTATTTTCTCCTTGCTACAAAAAGATTACAAAAGGGAAAAAAAGAGAAACCCCATCACTATGTAATAAATAAAGTTATGAGAGCAGTTGTTATGGTGCGCCTCCTAGCTGCAGTGTTATCATCATCATCAAAAAAAAAAAAGCACGCTTCGGGGGGGGAAGGTGGGGGTTAAAAACGTGAAGCATAAAAAGAGAAGAAAAAGAAAAAGGTGCGAGTTCATTCGTTGAATGGGGACGGCCATTGGGCCAGGTTGTTTTGAAGGGCCCAAGATCTTTACCCACAACTCACACTCAGGACAATACATTTAAAAAATAGTATTGGATCGGACTTTGCAGTAACGGTATACCAAGCAGATGTGTTGAAGACGTTAGCCAATTATCAAGTTGATCCTTGTTCCGGAAGATGAACATTGAGCTCCAGCTGTTGGTTGTGCTCCCTCTCACACTCTAAGAGATTGACCAAATGACGGAGACTGGGTGAGACCGGTCTCTTATCATGAAGCTAAAAAGCCGGTTTTGCCGAATGGACGCTGAAATATTGCAACCTGGAGGACAAAATGACTTTGGCATCGCACATTTTTTCACTCTATTGTAACTCCAATGAAAAACATTCAAACTCCTTCAATCGACAATCCATTCCTCAGCTTTTTGGGAAGGGAGGTTGGATCATTTTTTGTAATTTCGTGATCCGCTCCTCTTTCCTTTTTTTGCTGGCACCGAGTTTGTGTAACATGGCAAAATGGAGTCGCGTCTATGCGAAGCTTAATGAATGCTGATAAAGAGCAGATGATCATCAGATACCACAAACAAATAAAAAAAGTTGGCCCTACTCTTTCCTGCTGGGAAAGAAATGGAGGACGGAAACAAAAAGTATTAAGCAGTCCATTTGCATTGCAAAAAAAAAAAAAGTGGTAGATTTTCTATTTCAGGCTGCTTCTGCAAAATAAAAATAAATTGAGGGAAATCAGGGATGACTCTATTTTCTTTTGGAACTTTGACCTCTTTCTCTCATTCCTTCTCATCCGTCCCATCTCGATCGTCCTGATGGTGAACATCACCTTTAAATTTGAAGCGTTCAGTTTCAACGGGATATGTCAAACAGTGGCTCTCACATTATGTCCTCTTATCGGCAAGCATGATGGCATTGAACCCGTGTGCTATTCACGTAACGTGGATCTTGCAGGCAATCTCATTTTTCAACCGGGTAGGTACATCGTCTTTTTTTTTGATTTTCATCATAGAGGAGATCATAATTTTTAATTGATCCTATCTCTTTTTTTTTTTCTAATGATCCAGCTACATTAATCATTGATATCGTTGCCATTATCATGGCGGCCATCATGATTTATCATATTAAATCAAAATACACAGCCGTCGGTAAGTCATCAAACAAAAAAGGGAGAAAAAATCAATAAAACCAGAGAAACACGCATCTCACATGAAAAGTAATCGGTCCCCCTGTTTCTCTTTTTCGCCACTTTGAATGGTCGTGATATGTAGGTCGCAAGGAAATCGTCATGTTTTTTTATCTTTACATGATTACCGTGCTTTTGGAAATGTTGCTTGTTACTGGCATCATTCCTACCTCTTCCAGTGTGTATCCGGTAAGTGGCATCGTTTTTTTCCACAGGCATTGGATTGATTATGGCAATAACCCATGTGGTTCAAATCCATCCAAAATCTTCAGTGGTTTACGGCAGTTCACATTGGTTTGATCAGTGCCACTTTCTGGTGCTTGCTTCTTAATGGGTTTGTTGGATTCCAGTTTGCAGAAGATGGTACTCCGCTGTCGCTTTGGGTATGTGTATTTTTGTATGGAATTGGACCCAAATCGTATCGTTAACGCGTCTATCCTGCATGTCGTTGCATCTACTCTACATCTAGTCGATTCGTATCAGTTCCTTTGTCATTTTCATGGTAGTGGGATTCATCTCCATTGCCACGTTTCAGAATATTGGGCCGTTCACTTACACCAAACCCGCCGCGTTATGGGTCTTCTTTTTTATCATCAACGGTGTCGCCTTTATCATTTACGTCATTTCGCAAATTATCCTCGTCGTGAATACCCTGGACGATCGATGGCCACTGGGTGATATTCTATTTGGCACGGCCTTCTTTATCGTGGGTCAAGTGATCATGTTTATATTTTCCGTGACCATTTGCGACCAAGTGAAGCATTACGTCGACGGGCTCTTCTTTGGTACAACGTGTACCTTACTTGCCGTCATGATGGTTTACAAATATTGGGATTCCATTACCAAAGAGGATCTCGAATTTTCCGTCGGATCCAAACAAAACGTGTGGGAAGTCAAGGAATTATTGGCGGATGATGACTTGTCACAAAACTACGGCACCAACTATGTTCACTCTCCTCCTCCTCCTTCTTCGGGACCCATGCATCCTCCTCCACAACCACAATACGGTCAACAATACCAGCATTATCAACAACATCCTTACTAAATGCCTTTTTATTAGATTCCCTCTGCCCTATTTTACATAAATTTACCATGATCAATCTTCTTTTTCTTCGTTTCATTTGTCATCACTATCATCACCATTATTTTTGTTGATTTGCGCTTTTGCCTTTTTTTTTTTTGCCGCATACCCTATCCCTCATCCTTCAATAAACTTTTCTGTTCATTTTTGCTTCCTTTTTTTTCAATTTCGTTTTATGTGTTCGGGTCGCCCAATGGGTGGTTCCCATTTATTTTTCAAACGGCGACCTAAAGGCTTCAATTGAACCACGGAGATTCATCCTTTTGTCATTCACTGCGCATTTTTTTATTACCTTCTGTTTGCCAAGACAAAATTCCAGGCCGCTTCATGGCAGCACCACCGACCAAACAAGACATTAGCAATGTTTTTAAGCCCTTGTTAGCAAATAAATACAACAAGGTGAGTTTTTGTTAGCAGTCACCCCGTAGGTCGACCATTGTCGTGACCTCATTTTGTTTTTTAGGCTTGCTTTGATTGTCATGCCAAAGGGCCTACATGGGCTTCCGTGACATTTGCCGTTTATTTATGTCAAGATTGTGCTTCGGCCCATCGTAATTTAGGTGTGCACATCAGCTTTGTAAAGTAAGGTCCCCCCCCCTGTCTCTGAACTCCTGGTTTTACGGCACTGACGGGTACTCTTACTTTTTTTCTTCTTTTCAGATCCACCATTCTAGACACTTGGGCATGGGATCAACTTCATCGTATGCAATGCGGCGGTAATCAAGCTGCGCAAGAGTTCATTTCGAGTTCCACCAAAGATATTTCGGCCAAATACAGTAGCAAGCAAGCGCAGCAATATAAACGCCAATTACAGCTAAAAGCTGATAAAGCGTCCATAGAACAGGAAGTCACCGCGGACGATTTGTTGGGGAATGGCCCTGAACCCGCTGTGCAGGATTTATTGGGAACCGCGACTCGAACGGAAGCATTGGTGGATGGAGATCCGGTAATGGAAGCGCTCGGCCTTGCACAAGCCAAACCCCACCATGGATCCCTATATCAACCCTCCGCACCACCGTCTGCTCGTCCACACACCAATTCAGCCGCATTGATTGACCTTGATACCGCGCCACGAACAAAGGACGATGATTTCTTTGCCATGTGGGAAAAGAACGCTGGGACAGGGTCCGGGACCTCAAAAACGAAAAAAAGTACAACATTGCAGCATAAACCATCACCCAAGCATCCATTAAAGGCTCGCAAGTTACAAAGTGGAGCCTTCAATTTTGAGGAAGCACAAGCTCGAGAAAAACAACAAGCCAAATCATCTTTCCACATGCACGGTGAACCCTCCCCTTCACCGTCTTCGCCATCTGTCACCACCTCACATTCATCCCCCGCTTCGACCCCGCGTGTGCTATCTTCACGACTGACGTATCAACCAGCGACCTCTTCCGCGAAGCAGACTATACCACAAGAGGAACATCCTGATCTGGATCGTCTAGGCATGGGCAAAGCTCGAGCCAACAACACGTATACATTCAAAGCGACAGCAGCACCATCATCCTCTGCGACCGAAGAGGTCACCGAAGCACGGGATCGGTTCGGGAATGCCAAATCGATCTCTTCCGACCAATATTTCGGACGCAATCAGTACGATCCTCAAATGATGGCGGAAAATACGGCACGTTTAGCGCAATTTCAGGGCGCGCAAAGTATATCCTCAGACCAGTACTTTGGACGACAGGATCGAGCGTCCGATGACATGGGCGGTTACATCCGCGGCTCAGGCACCTACGGTCGTTCAGCATCCTCTTCATCCTCGTCCAACAACGCCTTGTCCAGAAAATTATTGCGGGTATCAAGCAAGATGGCGGCCAAGGTAAAGTCTATTATTTGCACCTATGCAGGTATAAATTTACCATGGAAAAAGTTGCTTACATTTGTGTCTTTCAATGGTACCAGTTGCAGCATGTGTTGTCTGATCTCGAGTAAACCTTCTTTTTCCCACCCATCATTTCAAATTTTTTAATTTTATTTTGCATATCCCGATAACAAGCCGTACACCATTTCTGGATGCCGCCTGCCAGTCAGTAGAAGTCACCCCTCTCACATTCAGCAAATTCTCGTTAGACCAAAAAAGTCGAACGCATAAGGCATAACCTGGGCGAGAATCTTTGGATGGGAATTTTTGATATACTTATGCCCCAGGTAACACGATTTTATTTCTCTAACAAGCACAAAAGCAGCACTTATTGGCCCCTCCGTTCCATCCCATCCAGGCAGGACCGGTTTTGTTGGATATGTCAATGCATTAGCAAGAGATCTTATAATTCATTAAGAAATTAGACTTTTTTTTTCTCTGAACCAAACATGCTGAAAAAAAAGTGTGGATAGAATAGAACGCGCAAGTATTTACAGTATTCTCTTTGGGGAGGAAGAAAGGAGTGTCTTCAGAGTTAACTTATTGTTGCAACGTTGTGTATCTGTGTGTTAGCTTGAACAAGCGATTCATTATCGTGGGCATAAGTGAAAGTATCGCTGGTTTTATTTGGTGATGAATGCTCTTTTCCTTCTTTTCTCTTCATTATCATGATTAAACGATATGTGACGAGAAAGCTGATCTGTACCTTTTCATGCATTGATGGTGTGACTCTTTTTTTTTTATGCTTCTTTTGCCAGAGAAAACCCTCACATGCATCCATCCGATGTATGCTTATCCTGCGTCCAATAAATTCGCATGTTATCATATCAAATCAACCGCTTATTCAAGAAGCGTCTCCCATCATTGAGCGTCCATCCAACTGTTCTCTTTTCTAAATCATCCAATGACATTCAAGTGTCGTAGCTGAAATCCAAAGACAGAGTGCTTTGGGATTTCAAGCCACAAATTTTTTTTTGGTTCAGGCTGCTCCAATGGGAAACGGTGACCCAAATTTTAGATTTGTGCTCACCCTTCGCCTTTCCCTGTTCATTACCTTTTTTTTTTCTTGTCACTTCACATAACCTTGCACAACGATCCATGTCGTCCCGGTTAGCTAAGCAATCACTCAATTTGCTGTTAAAATCACCTTCGAATACACCCCGTGATCAGCACGATAGCTCCGTGACGAAGCGGAGACACGGCATTAATAAACTTCCCGATACCAACAAAGGATTGAAGAAGATCAAATATGAGATTCGATATGGACGATTAAAGAAAGAAAAGTTGCAACGTGCCGAACAACAGAAAAAGGAAAATCCATTAGGTAACAAGAGACGAAAAAAAAAATCGCTCGCCAGGATGGAAATCTAAGATGCCTAATTTTTTTTTCTTGTTCTGGATTTGGTCACAGATGCACTGGCAAGGAAAGAAGCAGCTATGGATGAGAATTTGGCACGGAATATTCGACTTTTGACCACAAAAATGAAAGCAACTGAAGTTGAAAAGGCGATTCGTAAAGAGGTAAACATATTATTAAATGATACAAAAAACTTGCTCAGCAAGGGTAACGGGCTATTTATAACATGCATTTGGTTGCAGATGATGCGATATACCAAGTCGACCAATTTAACCAAAAAGTCACAGACTATGGAAGAGGACGACGACGACGACGATGACGACGACGACGTATAAATCAAAAAATTTTGGGAAATAAATAAGTAAAAAAAAAAAGGGGGGGCCGGAGACGGATCAAACATTCTTTGGCGGTTTGCATGTCAAGCATTTGGAAAGAGTTTTCACTGTGGGCAAGTTTCAACAACATATGAAGAAAGGGATGAGAATCACAAGCGATTGTTTTTGGGATCACAAGCAAAAAGGAAACAAATAATAGGTTTACCGATGGTATCCACGGGACGACGTTGCGGTTCTTCATCGGCGTGTGTATAGTAATGAACGGCAGGAGCGTTGGTTGAAAAAGAAACATTGCAAGGGCGAGTCCGAGGTTGAAGGCAAGGTCGATGGAACGAGGGTGTGGAGGAGGGCGGAGGGGATGGGTCTTGATACCATGAATCAAGACACGGTAGGGTATCGAAGAGTGATGCCGTGGGTGATGACGATTGGATTATCATGAGGTATTTGATTTTTTTTTTGTCCTGAATAGGAGGAAAATGAAAGGCGATTTGAATGATGAAACGGCAAGAAGAGATGAAAAAAGCGATAAGAAAGTAAAAACGGAAGAGGAAGCAGGAAAAAAGAAAGAAAGAAAAAGAAAAAGTCAATCAATTATGGAATATAAAGTAAAAAAGAGAGGGCCCACAAAACAAAGCAGTGGAGCGAACGGGCACGGTTTCTGCATAATTTGCAAGCAGGCTCAAAACCAGCCCAAAATGTATGAGCGTAGTTCCGATGAGATCATTTGAGCGGTTGGAAATGAGGTCGATTCTCATTTGCTGGAAAACGTAACACAGGCAAGATTTTTATATGAGGTTCCTTCATTCTCTGGTTGGGTCCGCCCAGCCCTCCTTTTTTCTCAACTCCTAGAGGACTTGAATCAGCAGCAGCAGCAGCAGCCCAAAAAAAAAAAGGATCGACCCCTCATATAACCCCTACCAGTCCCTCCTTTTGCAAAGTCTACTTTAGAGCCCTTTTTTTCTCTCTCTCTCTTTTTCTCTCTTTTTGCTTGTATCTCCTTTTTTTTTATATTCTTCTAGTCTTTCCTTCTTTTTATTGCCCTTCTCTCATCTAAACATGTCTGGTAAGTCCACCATACATTTTCAAGCTATTCATTGGGCATTCATCATCATCATCTGACCGACGCTCATCATCGTTACTTACCTGGTTGCACTAATGTCGTAGATCAAATGAATGGCGCGTCATCTGGCGTAAGTGATACTTCACCTGGCTCCTCTTTTTTTGTGTAGCATAAACTTACTCTGTGACGCATATTAACCCATTCTATCCATCTTATCTTCCTCTGTGGTTTCTTTTATATTAGATCACTGTGGTGCGCAAGAAACTTCAAGGATATGTTGGCTTTGCCAACCTGCCCAATCAAGTTCACCGCAAGTCGGTAAAAAAAGGTTTCCAATTCACCTGTATGGTTGTCGGTACGTAGTTCAACGCAGGGGTTGCTTTCCTCTTTTTTTTTTTTTCAGGGAAAAACAAAGAGAAATAGAGATGAACAAGAGAGAAGGAGGCGAATATTTATATTTTGTATAAATTCTAAAATACAAAACACGAAACATGGAATCTTTTATACACCTCAAGAAAAATAATACCATGCGTATTACACATGTATAAAGATGCATGATTTCGAGAAAAATTCAAAAAAAGGGGGAGGAGAGGGGGTTCTCAAAAGTTTACTCTTCATGAACAACACACTTATTCATTCTATCGGTTCTTTTTTTTTTTTTTAGGTGAATCCGGTCTCGGCAAGTCTACATTGGTCAATACTTTATTTAATACGCAACTGTACCCACCCAAGGAGAATGTGGAATTGACGCATGAAACCCCACAAACGGTGGAAATTCAATCCATCACTTCCGATATCGAAGAAAATGGCGTCAAGTTGCGTTTGACCGTGGTGGACACACCTGGCTTTGGTGACTTTGTCAATAACGAAGAAAGGTATGACAACATTTTACCACGTGTTTATAATATTTCCAGTGCTAAAATATTCATTCATCTCTTTTTTTTTTTATCCCCGATTCAGCTGGAAACCTATCCTTGACAGCATCGAGTCACGCTTTGATGCTTATCTTGAACAAGAAAATCGCGTTAACCGTCGCCGAATGGTCGACAATCGTATTCACGCTTGTATCTACTTCATTACCCCCACCGGTCACGCGTAAGTTTTTGTCTCTTTATCAGTCTTGCCGCTCTGCCCAAAGACCTCATCTTGACTTAATCGTCTGTTTTTAGATTGAAGCCTCTCGATATCGAGTTCATGCGTCGTCTTCACACCCGTGTGAACCTGATTCCCGTGATTGCGAAGGCTGATACGCTCACCGAAGAAGAAGTGTTGGCTTTCAAACAACGCATCTTGGCCGATATCAACTACCATCAAATCCAGATTTACCAAGCTCCCGTCTACGAGTACGACGACAAGGAAACCATTGCTGAAAACCGTGAAATCATGTCCAAGATTCCATTCGCCGTTGTCGGTTCCGATAAGGAGTTTGAAGTGGAAGGTGGACGTCGTGTCCGTGGTCGTAGATATCCTTGGGGTGTGATCGAGGTCGACAATGAAGAACACTGTGACTTTGTCAAGCTCCGACAAATGTTGATTCGGTAAGAAAATCTCCTTTTGAGCTTACAAACGACATGCATAATGCACATTTCGAAAAGGATGTCTGTAGCTTACATACTTTCTTTTGTGACCTTTTTTTAACAGTACTCATATGGAAGAGCTCAAGGAGTATACCAACGATGTTCTCTATGAAAACTACCGTACCGAAAAGTTGACCGCTATGGGTATTCAGCAAGATCCTTCGGTCTTCAAGGAAGTCAAGTAAGTCATGACATCCCTCCCCCACCACACTGGGATCCGTCAATCAAACTCAACTTTTTACTTTCGTTGTAGCCCTGTGCAAAAGATGGAAGAAGAACGTATTGCTCACGAACAAAAACTGGCCAAGATGGAAGCGGAAATGCGTGCCGTGTTCCAAGCCAAGGTGCAAGAAAAGGAGGCCAAGTTGAAGCAATCCGAAGAAGAACTGTATGCGCGTCACAAGGAAATGAAGGACGCACTCGAGAAGCAACGTCTGGAATTGGAAGAGAAGAGACGTCGTTTGGAATCTGGCAGACCCATGACACCCGAGAAGTCTGCAAAGAAAAAGGGCTTCTCCTTTAACAAATAAGATGGCTCTCTTTCTTTCTTAATAGAAGTCTAATTCCAAATAAGATATCCTAGCACCCTTAGTTTTCTTCTTCTTTTTTCTCTCAAATTTCGTTGATTTACTTCTTTTTCTTTCTTTCTCTTTTTCTGGTCTCTTATTAATTTTTTTCTTTTTCATTTAATTATATTATGCTTGTTCCAAGTAAAAACGTCTTGATGGTAAACCTTGTCCTGGCACATCTGCAAAGAATTGCTTGTACTGCCACTTGTCCTTGTCATCCTAAAGAAATCAATGAGCCATGACCTTCTTTTTCCATGCTAAACCACTAGTACGAAAATTACCTTGATCATTTCCAGCAAGCAAGTTCCTGTGCTGTTGGGTCCCTCGACATAGAATCGCATAAACAAGTGCGGTTTGCCTTCGTGATCATCCACAATTTGATACTGCACGCGTCGATTGCGTCGAGCTCGACTGCGACTAGGTTCACCATGTCCAATCACCGGCTCTCCCAAGATTTCTACCAGCTAGAAAAAGTGGTTGGTCACCACAACTGTTGACACCCGTATTGGTTCCAAACTTTTTCTTTTTTACCTTTTCGTGTGACTTGATTCGATCTACGGCCGCATTGAAAATACTGGTGCTGCTCTGTGAACCAAACAGTTCATTGAAAGCCAGATACAATAGGGTGGCCGTCAATGCAAACCCTCCAAGAACGAATCCCACATTCACCGTTGCCTTGGTCGCTGCCACCGCTAAAATACACAAAAAAAAGCCAAATGAGTTCCCTGCTGGCTAGGTCGTTCTCTTTTGTGTTGCCTTAAAACGTACTTTTCTGCGGAATAGTCAATTCCTCCCACTTTTTCTGCTGCACTTGAGAAGTCAAGCTTGTGCGTGAAGAAGGCGACGGAGGTCTGGCCGAAGCAAACGATCGGGTGACCGCCAACTTTCTGGAGCACGAAGCACGCAGTAACTGAGAATGGACAGCTTGTGATGTTCTACACGCGAAAAAAGTTGAGTTGACAAGACCAGAAAGGAACACAAAGGTGAAGCTGGAATGTGCGATTTTACCGGAATGTTGAGCGAAGCATAACTAACTCGGCAGTGGGTTTCAGACGAAAAAGGCTGTGAAAAAGCGCGCATCTCCAAGTGTTAGTGCAGATGTGACGTCATACACGGGCGCGCGTCCGGTCACTCGACCCCGCAAAAAATGAATGACAAACGTGCAAAAGATATCCCCGAAGCGTTATGAAGACCAAGATAGATCACTATCGATGATTATTTATATTATAAGTTTCTTGGGAGGGGGGGGGGGGCGCATTGCAGCCAAACCAGCCATGTTCATTAATTCAAGGTCTGCGTTGCGTTGATGGAGCATACACTTTGAAATGGATATAGACCCTTCTCGTATTTACATTATTACTGTATCTCCAAGAAGATGATTTTAGTTTATTTTGTCAAATTTCTCAAACAAGGCAAAGTTTAGAATAGCTTCTTGGGCGCCATTTTCCCGCTTGTTAATTTTTTCAAACTATTTCCAACAAATCATTTTTTGTCTTTCTATATAAGAGATGTAACCGTCTCCCAGTTCAACAATGACATGGCCAAAAAAAGAAAAAGGAATCTACCGACTCGTAATAGTAAACGAATATCACATCTCTACAACAAGACGATATTGTGAAAGGGAAAAGCATCTCAGCACGTATCACAGGCAATGCACTTGCTGAAATAAGGTCTCCCAGTAGAAAGAGAACTTGTGTTGGGCGTTCCAAACGTCGATGATCCCTTTTTTTTTTCTTCTTCATTTAACAATAAACATTTTCATAATGGATGTATTAAATCAAATGTAGTGTGCCCTGAATTCGATGACCATCCGTATCTGTCACTCTGACACTTTGTCACTCTGTCACTCATCAAGCGCGCTTTAAGCTCACAGAAGGTTATTGCATGGAATAGAGTTAAAACAATTGACGGTCGAAAAAAAAGCTCAGTATGAGGATATAGTTATGATTTGAATTCGTTGGATATTGGCGGCATATTTCACAGATAATGGATGCCACATGCAATCAAGAGCAGAGAGGTTGGTTGCTCGAGATGCGGATGCTGAATCCAAAAGGTTTTATGACGTAAAATTCCCGCGGAGTTTCAATACGTATCGGTGTCTACACACCTCCCACTCGTCTCTTTTTGCGAGCCATATTACAAACCCCCAAGTTCGTTACCTTTTTTCTGTTCACCATGTCCTGGCGCACCATCGATATTGACCAATATGACGAGGATGCTTATACCGAAGACGAAATCTTGGCTGATTTCGACTCTGGTTTATCACCCGAACAAATTCAAGAAAACACACAAACACGCGCAACCGACGTACGGAATCTGATGACTCGGTACGTACACCTGTAACGAAATATAATGGCACGTTTTATCGGTGGTTCTGCAATATACTAATAGGTAGTGTTAACATTGTAGTGGCGATGCTCAGGCTGCGTTAGTGCGTGCGCTTGAGGACCCACCTTATGGTCGTAATGTGGACTCGTCCAAGGTAGTTGTTGATTTATCGCTTTATTGTAGAGAAGACCGCGGTTGTTGGGAAAGAGGGAAAGAGAAAGTCTGTCTCACCCATGACTTATAGGAAACGAGCATCCAAGTTCTAACGGATGTGCTGAACTTATTCCGTGCGACGGACATTGCGGGCGTTCTTCAACAACTGAATCGGGAACAGCAAGAGACACTGATGAAGTACTTGTATGCGGGCATGGCCAAACCCGAACGATTTAATTCGAGCGTCTTGTTGACATGGCATGAAAAGGTAGGCTGATATATTGGAGGTTAACAAGGATAAAAGCGAGAATTTGACTTAACTTTTTTTGGTTCTTGTTCATTAGTTGACTGAAGCTGCTGGCACTGGCTGCATTGTTCGTGTGATGACCGATAAGCGTAGTTTGACCGTTGCCTAGATCCCTTTTCTTGTTTTTCTCTGTTTCTACGTTTTGTGCTTCGCTACCAAGTTCCTTTTGAGCAGGGAAACCATAGCATTTGTCGTTTACACAAAATGTGATTCGCTCCACGACCAGTGACTCCCAATAAAAGTTGCCCTTGTTAATTTTCATTTCCAATTCTGATGTCAGATACATCATTCACCACAGGTACACTGTCCGAAAAGCCCACTTTCATGAGATACAGTATCACGATAAGGACGAATCTAAAGGATCAAAATGATGGCTGTATGATACGAAAAAAGACAAACGGTTGGCAAACAGCCGAAATGAAAGACCTGTCGCACGAATAGAGTTGTCGCCTGATTATTTTAGCCTGAGGTGACCCATGCACACAAGCGCAGCACAAGGAGAACCAAACAAACCGGTTCGGGATGATGGTCTTTTGCTATACAAAAGCTTTCTATCTAGCGATTGGTACAGTAGATTACCCACAACCTATTCGAATTCTTTGGACGAATGTATGCCGCTATCGGAGAAGAACAAACTTTCTCACAGATGTCTTATCTGATCACGCAGCCAGACACTGGAATTCAACAGCTGATGTATCAGATATTATCCAATTTTTTTTTCTCCAATAACAAAAAAATTAACTCACCACAGGACTTTCGTTTGATATTGCTTGGTCCAACTTATGCCGATCTTGATGATCCCCACTGTGCAGAGATGATAGGAAATGAAAAACATCGGCGAGTCGAACTTTCCTCAGTCAAAACCATAAGGGAGGGCTAATGTTACGGCTGCCGACGTTACAGTGATATTGTAAAAATATTGGCGGGAATATTCAAGGGTCGTTCTACGTCGAACATCATTCAATAAGGGCCGAGTAATTCCCCGCACGGGAAGGCGCGGGAACGTCGCTTGGTTCAATGGATCATTCATTTATCAGACTTTTTTTTTTGTGTGTTGCCTAGGCAAGGGTAAACTTTCCAACCGTGTCAGAAGTCTTTCCTCTCACAAACGTGTCTTTTTTGACTGAATTTCTTTTAGTCATCAACAGATACAACAAGAGGTGGCGCAAAATATTGGTTTTTTTATGCTACAGCGGGGAGAACGAGGGAAAAAAAAAAGAAACCTACAAGTGAAAAGAGAGAAAAATGGATGCGTCAAAAGAGGGGGAAAAAAGTTACAAATCTAATGTGAGATTAACTAAAATCAGGCGGATGTCGATTGCTTGACTTGGGACGCTTTGTGCGACATCATGGCCACCATGGCCGCACCAAAACCAGAGCCATCTCTGGCCAGGTCGAATTTGACGCGGTTCACAATATCATCGCCAAACAGTTCTTTCAAGGCCGTAGTCATCATCTGTTCAAAGTCGGGATAGAATTCATACACCGAGCCGTCAATGGCCACCACGGATTTCTTCTCCGATTCACCCGTATGCTGCAATACGCTGGCAATACCGCAAGCTGCCAGACGAGCCGCTCGTTGTCCAACCAGGAAACAGATGTGCTTGACGATCTGGCGATCCTCCTTGGTTGTCGAGGGGATTTGCAAAATTTCTTCCAAAACATGTTTTGTATCCTTGAGATCAGCCGATGTATCTTCACCAATCGTGGACATGTAAGCCGTTTCAAATCTCCATTGTGTGTTCAGATCATGCGATGAATCTCCCTTGAACAGTAATAATCGATCCACCAACATCAAAATCGTGTTGCGCGCAATTTCACCCAAATACATGCCGGAAATCATCTTTTCAAACATTTGTTCGCCAGGGTTGATTGATTCACGGTCCAACTTGTTGTCGTAGATAGTCAACGGAAGCACGCGTCTTTCATTGTCGAAAGCACCCCATTCCATATTGACCACCATCTCCTCAAATACCGTATCACCACCCTTCCATTTTTTGATACCAGTTAATTTTTCATAGTAACCTAGATTCATGTGTATCAGTGTTAGCATGCTTTTTCACCTGATCACTCTCTCTTCCGCTCCGTTCATTTTTGACCAAAACAATGACTTACAAGCATTGGTTCCGGTTCCGAGGATCACACCCATACTCGTTTCCGGATACTTGTATGCATGGGCCATTAACGTTCCGACGGTGTCATTGACGATCTATTTTGTTAGACAAAAGAAAAAAAAAAATAAAGTGAATTCATCGCCGATTAGAATCGTTACCCAAAAAAAAAAAAAAAAATCACGCTCCCGAATTAACCCATGTCCTTCCGTCGGTTCTCAAAGGAACCTGATACAACTTAATGCGGGAAAAAACTGAATAATTGAAAAAAACTAACTTACGGCAGCAATGTGAACATTGAGATTTTTTCGAAGGAAAGCGTCTTGGAGTAACACCACAACATCCTTATCAACTGCACCGGTACACTTGAATCCTTTGGTCCAATGCATCAAGGTACCGCGGTTAATGTCGGTTTGCAACACGGGAAAAGAAAATGTGAATCCCAGTTGCAGGTTGCTGTCGACATTGTTGGACCCGTTTTCAGTGACAAAGTTGTCGACACAATCGGCGATAAAATCACACAGATGGCGCATTTCACCCGTCTTGAGCTCATCAGACACCACGTATTTTTGCTGATGCACCTTGTATTCGCCTTGACCAAGCAATTCAAATTGACAAACACGAAGATTGGTGCCTCCAAGATCCAATGCAAGATATTTGCCCTTTTCATCTCCCGTAGGACGACCAGTAACAAAGCTAGGAATCATGGCAACTACAAAGAAACACCCAAACAATCACACATCAGCCCACGGTTCTTTCGCTAGTCATTATCTCGCGCCACTCTTTTTTTTTTCGCTTGACACTGCCATCAAGGTCCCCTCTGGCAACCACCGGACACCGCCCGACGTTTACCTGTAGCGCCTTCACGATCCAGACCCTTTTGCATTTCCTCTTGAAACTGAGCCACGATTTTCTTGAGATGATCGGTGGGAATATCAAACTCTTGGGTGAGTTGTTCAGTGATAGCTTTCACGTCCGGAACCTGAGACGGATCGACGGTAGGTAACTTATGCGACAACCAAGTGCTCATGCTGAAGGAAAATCAAGTCTGATATCGAGATATGACAGCAAAGGGAAAGAAAAAAGAGAAGTAAAAAAGATGGGAATACAGAAAAACACGAAACAAAGAAAGACAAAAGAAGAAGAAGAGGTGACGCATAGTCAAAGATGACTCTTCTTTTATAGCTCCTGAGTATGAGAAAACGGCTTCGGCCTAATCGAGCGCGAGGGTGTGACGACTGGTGAAATCATCGGTTCACACTCCGCCCATGTTTTCAACAGTCCCTTGCAACGTTCTCTCTTCGTGTCACCCTATTCTACTTGTTTTGCATCATGCTCTTTTTCTCTGCTTCACTCTTCATAGAAAAACTTGAATTAAACCTATATCATTCAATAAAACCGTTGTTTTTCTTTATCGGAAAGTAGCGTTAACCTAGCGTGCCCGAGGCCAGAAGTAGAGACAAACAAAACCAAAAAAAAGCAGCGTACAAGCTTTTTACCATATCAGCTCATGTCATTTCATGCTGTTTTTTCCTTTTCGCCTGATATTTGCGGTAGATAGTTTCATGAACATATTGTTGTGGTGCTACAAAGATTGTTGGAAAAAAAAAAAGACTGCATAGTGGCGGGTGCTTACTGAGTGATATCTGACTTTCAAGTGCAGGCTTCTGGCATTCTCCATTGACAAATCCGTTGAGCGGTGGGTGGCTTATCGGTGGATCGGTACAAAAACGTTCGAAGGGTGACTAATCGATCGCTTTCATCACGAACCATGTCCGCCTTGGAGGAATCCGTACAGAAAGCCTACGTTACAGCGGAACGTTCCGTCATCCTCAATGTTGCGTTGGATGCTGAGGTCGCCGAGCAACTGCCTGCTGTGGTTGTGGAAACCGTAAACGATCTGTTGAAAGGAAGATATGCCGCTGTCATCCGACGTAGTCCCGTCTTTATCGATGCCACGGGCGATGCCACGGATATGGTGGACTGGATCAACCAACGCCTTGCTACCTTGGACCAGGATGCCGCCACCGATTTTCTTGTGCTTGCAACGGGTATTGCTTGCTTGAATGCGTTTGTACAAGTCAACTGGACCGGTCCCATGCTTGATCTGACCTTGGCTCAACTGTTTACCGCCGACAAACCAGCACAAACCGACCTCCAAAAAAAGATGCATGCTACTTGTTTGCAGACACTTTCGGTCGACAGTGCTGAAGTGTATCATTTGACAGGCGAACTGGGTTTCCTCGCTGCAGCTCGTACTCTGTTGTTGTCCGAACCGCTTCGAAAGCAAACTCATACCGCCTCCTTCTGGGCAGCTCGTGCCGTGTTTATTCAGCAGCAACTCCTCGATGATCCGACCGGTACGCTTCAAGAATTGCTTGTCAGTTTGGCCGCGGAAACGAAACAAAGGTTGGACCTTGCCAACGATGCATCGAGCGATGACACGGTTCAAGCCGCTCTGCGTGTACGCTACGAATTGGAAAAGGCACTTGTGTTTAGTTACTTTGGTCAGGATAAGGAAGCATTTGAGAAGATGAAGGATGCGCAGGCCGCGTCCGGATTTGAATGGTCCCTCACCGGTGCGCTTGGTCGACGCACCAAGTTCCAGCAATTCGATGTATCCCAGCTCGTGGTACTTGCCGAAAGCAAGAAATCCGACAAAAAACAAGACGCCAATGCCAAGTCTGACGACGACGATAACGACGATCCTCGACCGGAAACCCTGGATCTTAACGACGATACATTGCTCGAAAAGATTTCGTTTACCCAAACCGACGAGAACGATCAAAACAAGGAAAGGCGGGTGGGCAACTTGAGTGTGATTGATCAATGTTTATTGCTCGCGTTTTGTCTTAACGTCAAAAACACCAATCCCGATCACGGCATCACCACGGAAGAAATGAAGCCTTATGTCGCGCGTGTGTTGGAAAACTGCAACAACTGGATGGTGCACACCATGGCCTTGTTGCTGCGCACCCGTTTGGAAGCTCACAAATCACGAACCGTCGAAAGATCCGCGTTACAGTTGCAAGCGTTGGTCGATCAAGTCAAGGTCGAGGATTCCGGCGTTGAAGAACGTCTTGCCTATTTCTACGATCTGTTACTGCCAAGCAAATGGGAAATGGAGCGTGAGTTGGCAGGACGTTTCATGTCATTGGGTGTCGTGCGTTCCGCTCTGGAGATATTCGAACGACTGGAAATGTGGGAAGATGTCGTGTCCTGTTACCAAATGCTCGAACAACCTGAAAAGGCCAAGCAAGTGCTTCAACGTCTCATGGAACAAGATCCCAACTCGCCCAAGTTGTGGTGTATTCTCGGTGACGTCGAAAAGAATCCCGATCATTGGCGCAAGGCTTGGGAGATTTCCAATCATCGTTTCGCTCGTGCCATGCGTAGCTTGGGTTCTTATCTGTACAGGCAGAACGATATGCAGGGATGTATCGAGTGTTATCAAAAGGCCTTGGAGATCAATCCGCTCTTTGAAGGATCTTGGTACGTGCTTGGTTGTGCGGCTATTCAAGCCGAAGAATGGGAGATTGGTGCGCGCGCTTTCCGACGTGTGGTTTCTCTCGACAACGAACAAGCTGAAGGGTGGAACAACTTGGCCAGTATCTACGTACAAATGGACCGCAAGCCGGACGCTTTCCTCGCCCTTCAGCAAGCGACCAAGTTAAAATTCGACAACTGGAAAATGTGGCAAAATCTCATGATCATCGCGGTTGATGTCGGTCAATTTCCCGATGCGATCTGGGCGATGCAACGAGTGGTTGAACTGCGATGGGACAAGGCCCGTGAGAGAGCCGTCGATATTCAGGTGTTGCAAGTGATTGTGGAGAATGTCATCCAAAACTGGGAAGATCCTCATCAACGCGAAGGTCGTCGATTGTCGGGACAAGTGCAACGCTTGTTGGAAGAAGTCATCTTGAGTCGTATTACCAACTCCCCGGATATCTGGCGTATTTGCAGCAAGTTTTACCTGTGGCAACAACGCTATACAGATGCCTTGGAAGCTACCGTCAAAGGCTATCGCGCCGTGATGCATGATCCCCGCATTGAAACTGAAATTGGAGTTTTTGAAGATGTCGCAACGGTGGCTTTGGAAACCGTCGATATGTACGAGACTTTGGGCGACAAAGAGCAAGACGGCGCGCCTGTCTGCAGTGATTGGCGCTATCAATCAAGACAAATTATCAAGGGACTTTTGGGTAAAGTGCGCGACATTTTCGAAGATACCGAGCCTTACGATCGCTTGAAGGAACGATTGGAAGATCTCAAACGATCATAAACAACTATATTACTTGCAATCATCACCACCAAAAAAAAAAAAAGAACTAGCATCTATAGACTCCTTCTCATCATTTAAAGATCGTTTTTTTTAATGTACAAAGTTGAATAAAAAATTAGCAAAATCTGAATTCCAACATTTAGAACAAGAAGAAGGAGTAATATATTGTTTATTGTACAGAGATAGACATGATCATGGATAGATTAGAGACATTATTGAAAATGATACAGAAAAAAAAAGAATTGTTTACAGGTGCTTGAGATCGATTTTACCAACGGGTTGTTTGCCGGTGAGACCACCCATGCCTTGTTCTGCCTGTTCGGCAATATGGTGGGCGTCACCTCCAGTGTTCTTGGGCTTCACATCGGTTTTACCCTTCTTTGCATTGGGATCGTTGGGCAAGTTCTCGTCAGTCTTGTCATTGGCCTTTGCCAAACTTCCGCCTTCCATCGTTGAACGACGGTCACCATCACCCTCCTTATCATCGGCACCTGCTTCCTCGGCATTCTGGGGAGCGTTCTCCATGTCGTTGGTGGGAGCGGTACCGGCACCGGCCATAGTGGTTCCGGTGGGTTGCTGGTGTTGAGGGTCTTGATGCTGAGGACTACGCTTGGCACCGGGTTCGCCGGTTTCCTCGGCCAACTTTTCACTATGGTGACTTTGACTGGGCACCTGGTCGCGGTTGACGCCAGCGTCGTTGGAAGCGTGATGGCTTACATGGTCACCGCCACCCATGCTGTGATCAGCCTTGGCACCCACAGCGGCACCAGCGGCACCGGCCGCCAAAGCCGCCTTTTCTCCTTGCTGGTGATGAGGGACTTGTTGGGAGTGACCACCCACCGCCTTGTTTTCTTGCTCCGGGGTATGCTGGCTGCCAGACATCATGCTGGTGGAAGGATGAACTTCGCCATTGGGAGCAGTCGATTGATCACTGCCGAGCTGAGAGCTGGCGGGCACACTGGAAGGATTGTTCTTGTGAGTCTCATCGCCCAAATGGTTGGCTCCTTCCACGGAGGAGGCAGTAACACCGGGTGCCATATTTGCCTGGTTGGTCGAAGAGGCGTTCGATTCACCCACAACTCCACTCTTTTGATTGTCCTGATGGCCGTTCATATTCAACAATTCATCGGCAGCTTCTCTGGATGCGTGGCGAATGTTGAGCGATCGTGCCTTGTCACCTTCGGTCTGCTGGGGCGAGTTGGTACCATCGTCTTCGGGACGTCTCTGAACCCAGTCAGGATTGCTCTGCAACCATTCAGAAGCGTACTGTTCGGCTCTGTCGATCAATTGCTTTCGATCCATGGGACCACCAGACTCTTTCTGAGACTTGTAAGCCTATCAAATAGTCATCGTTCAAGTTAGGAACCGCCCATTCGATAAAATTACCAATACCTCTGCGACGTTACCTTGTAGGCCGCTGCACGAGCCAAATGCTGGTTGTCATGGCTTTGGGGACCCATGGAAGAGCTGTTCTTTTCGAAAAAGTGACGGTAAGCTTCGGCGAAATTGTCCATAGTTGATATACAATTAATTAAAACTTTTTTGATATATAAAGATGTGTAAAAAAACAGTGAAAAACCCTTTCGGCAAGAGAGTCGATTTTATATTGCATGTTTTGGGTCGCTCTTTCTATGTTAACATGTTCAAGAATCATAATGATATCATGCCCGCCTGCCATAACCAGAATGGCGGAGATTCATTATTGCAACAATGACGATCTTTCACTTTCTGTTTTTCATTCCCCGAAGAGTTACAGCGCTGACGCCCTTCTTCATCCGGTTAAAGCATCATGATTGACCGCTGTGCGTCTATGATGTGTCGATCATATGAAAAAAAAGTCTTTCTCTAAACATGAACAGCTGTGAGCAAGGTGAGAACACGGAAATCTGTTTGCGTTCAGACCAGTTGATTTTTTTCCAGAACGCTATTTTTTCGAACTACGACTGATGAATGACGGTATACAGTATACCAAAAAGCCCAGCATTCAATGAAAACAAAAAGGCGCACCACATGAAGCGTCGCTGAATATTTGTTCCTGATTATTGACACCAATATTCAATAAAATACAATCCCTGAGAATTAAGTACGGGCAATTATATGGTTGCTTTACTGATATTCAAAGAAGCATGAACCATGAAAATATTACGACGCACCGCGAAACTAGGTGGACTTGCTCTCGTTTACGCCCGTTTGTAATTGTTTACCCGATTTTTTATCTAACACCTAGGCCACTGGTCGTGGTATACACTTTATATAGTCTATTCTAATCTCTCTTACACGTTTTGTGGGTGGCCCTGAATTGGCCAGACATCTGATTTTATATCCTGGCACTGAATCACCATATTGAAGCGTCAAGGTGGTGATTGGGATCCAGCTTTTATCGGCTGACATTTTGATTTGTTCATTCCGAGGATTGGGCTGGTATACATTAGTGGCAAAAAACTGTGGGGTTCGTTGAGAAACTGTTTATCAACCCTAATACGTTCAATCTTTTATACGATTATCGCCAAGTTACCGATCGATTCGGGAATTGTCCCGGGAAACACCAGAATTGATTCCAAAGTCGATCGGAGTCATCTTATATGCCTATTGTATCGTGCGAAAAATGGTTCAAGTACATCGGGCGAGCTGCCTTGAATTGATCGGTGGGAGGATTGTTGTACCTCTTGCAACATAATTGGTTTTCCAACGAGCTCAGATCTGTGGACCAAAAAAATACGCGGAAAACGCCTAAGTTGGCATCATCAATAAAAACGAAAACGATGGCGCGAAGAAAGTACTGTAAGTGGTTCCTTAGGAAATGGTGCAGAAGCATTCTTTTTGTTAGTGACCCATTGAAACACAGTTAAAGTTTGATTGATGGGCATTCCGAAATAATAATAAAAATAAGGGTCCAAGAGCGCCACACCCTGCTGCCATCCATACGAGGCGAGTGAATCCTATTATCCAAAAAAATTCCATGAAACGAGAAAAGATCGATCCACAGGAAATGTGAACTCCACTTTGGGCCACATAAAAATCCTCCCTCACAAAAAAAAAACCCACATTTGGTCACAAAACGGCTGTAAACTGAGAAATCAAGGTCATTCATGCAGCGTGACTGGACAATATCCACAAAGTGGTGTCACTCAAGAAAACTGACCCACACATCCCCTTTATTTTTCTTATCGGACAGGCCCACCGACCCAAAGTTTATTTTTCTTTTGGACTTTTCCAAGTAATTCCCATGGCTTTAGCCAAACCTAATCCTTTACACTATTTGCACTATCATTTTTCTTGACGCCCATGATAGTGGATCAGCAACTTTCCGCACCTCTTTCCATCGAGATTTAAGCTTGATAGAGAAGATTATCTTTTGCAGAATGTGCGCTTTTTCGGTTACACCAAGGGAAGAGGTTTCAGATATCATAAAGTATAACAATATAAAAAAAGGACGGTAACCAAATCGGGACCTCTCTGGCAATTGGCAGAAAGCGTATGTGAGATATTATAAAAAAAGCCGCTTGTGAATAAATGAAAGCCTATCGGAAAATGCATATTGAAACTATATTAACAGATGAAAGGATGGATCGCGTATAACGGACGACACCGAAGCCTGCCGCTTAAGCGACAAAATCTGCATATGTAAGAAGGTGCTGCGGTAAAGAATGATGATTCATAGCGACATGTTCCACAACAGGAAAGGGCGTGATTGCATAATGAAAACGCTGGTTTGTTCCAGTGGTAAATGAATTGAACGCGAAAAAAAAATTAAAGGCAGAAGGATGAGTATAAAAAGGGAAAGAATCGTTTTTCTTTTTCTTCGCTCTTCTTCTGCACCTTCCTCTTTCTCTTTATCCTTATACTCTTTCTATCCATCCATCCGCTCTCACTGGTTCGCTTAATATAAGCCCGTTTAATAAAAATGCTGATGCCTCGTTGATTTTTTTCTTTAGGTGCCCTTTTTTTGGGGGGGGGCGTTGATGGATGAAAGCATTTGACAGCATTTTTATTGCTATCATAAGTACAAGTTGAAGGACATCTTTTTACTAACTTGCGCTTTTTTTTTTCCTTAATTTTTTACAGTTTGAGACTAACCATTTGTAGATTTCCAGTAGGGTAGACCAGTCGGGAAGGTAGGTATAGAGCTGATTCTTGATTAAATAGATACGAGGCCGCTCCGCGAACAGACTACTGCTCCAGGGTGAGTTTTCATTCTTTTTAATCTTATTTTTCTTTTCGCTTGTCATTTTGCTTGTCATCCATCATCCTTCCGCCGCTGTCTGCCTCCTGCTCTCATGCCTGGAAGTCCCATTGGTGCAAGTTCGCTCTCTGCTGAGTGCTTTAGTATTAGCTTATCACCGTAGCTACTATGTTTGTCTAGTTGTCTCTTATGTAAATTTGACCACCTGGAAATAAAATTATCCTTGATTTACTTTCATTGCTTCTCCAAAAATTGTGTTTTGCGCAGCGTCCGTGTCTGAATTTCTTTAACGTCCGATCAGTAGCTTTCAGTGAATAGTGTCTTCAACCGCAATTTTTTTAGCGCTTGAATTCATACAAACGATTCAGACCGATGACAACCTCTTTTGCATTCCAAATGATCAACGCGCGCTTGGCGATACATTGGCATTAATGGCTATGGCGACAAACTATTAGAACCACCGAGAGACTTTTGGATAAAAATATTTTTTTTTATGGTGCTGCAAATGGTATTTTTTGAAAAAAGGGCTACAAGTTGTCGGTGATCACCAAAGGTCACCACAGTGTTCTTCATAGTCTTGGAGGAGCTTCGTAACAAGCTTAATGACTGTATAGTATTCCACAGGTGCAAGACGAAAAAGAGCTTACCTGGTCCTGAGCATCCTCCACAGTGTCGTATTCCTTGAAAGAACCAACGCTGATCAGGTACGCCAGTCCTTCAGCACCTTGATCTTGCTGGCTGACGCAGCCGGTGTTGTTTTCATTGCTGCTGCCAGCGGAAAGCTTTTCCCCTCCTTCAACCTGCTGCATCTGTGCAACGAACGAGTCGTTGTAGACCTGGACGCAGTAGTTGAAGTCAGATAAAGCTTCTTTCCGACCGGCAGCAGAGTGGCAGGGGAGGTCTTTGGCCTTGCAGGGAGGGCGGTTGTAGGGGCACGCCCCTCGCTGTATTGGCTAGAGTAGTAAAAAGGACGCACGGACGTGACATAAACGGATTGTTACTTCACGATTGGAAAGTGCGTCAGGCACTTACCTTTGCGCTATTCTTGAACTTGGCGCGAGAGAAGGAAGATGGAGAAGCAGAAGTCGTTTGCTTTTTTTCGTGTGGCGTGAAGCAGGCATTGCGTAAGGTAAAAAAAAAAAAAAGAAAAAAATAAGAGCGGGCAAAAAGAAAAAAAAAATGGACAAAAAAAATATTTATGCAGTATAAGAATCATCGGAGCCTCAAAATTTCCCATTTGATGAACAATTGATAGAGCCATAGCAGACATGAACGTCCCCTCCTTTAACAAGGTTCAAGTACAGAAGGAAAAATTATCTATATTATCTGTCGATTCTTTTAAATCCGTGCACAGCAAATAGCTCTGAATCATGGAGTCTGTACTCATGGCAATGCGCAATTCAGGAACATTGCTACACACGTTTTCCAATTAGATGATTTTCGGTGTATTGCCACTGTAATTAGTTGCCCTGATCAACAATTTTCCTCCCAAATGACAACGCAAAAAGTCAAGAAAACAAGCAAATTAACAAAATTGAATGCTTTCATTGGCTTTTTCCACAATCACACTATTAAAACTTCAAGCTGGACAACATCGCTTTAGACATTGGCGCTGATCACAATTGAATGACAAGTCAACGAAGCTGCGACGTGATTACCAACAAGAGAGAGGAGTAGAGGGCAGAGGTATAGATAAAAATCACAGTGGATCTCGCATGGCAGATTGTGTAGCTGCTAAGGACGACGGAAAAACAGAGATTTCTGTAGACAGTGACACAGTGTGAGACAGAGATAAGGATGATGAGGATGATGTGAAGCACAATAAAACAAAAAAAAAACTTTTTAGTATGATTGGTAAAATACAGAATTTTTGGGGGCTAAGCTCGTGCCTTTCCTTTTCCTTTATCTTTCTTCTTGGGAGCTGCGGTGGATTTGGATGGCGCCTTGGCCGCTTCTATTGCTTGGATTTTCGCAGCGATTTGAGCCTCTATTCTTTGTCGCTCTTTTTCTTCTTCTCGTTGCGCTTGTTGAATGGCATCCTCCTCTTGGTCCTGCTCTTCATCATCTTTCACCTGTTCAAACTTTTCTCGTACACGCTGATAATGGGCTAATTCGGTGGCGGAAACACTGGGCACTAATTCATCCAATGCTTTGACGAAATCCACTTCTTCTACCTGTACCACGATATCTTCTGGAGAGACCAGATGCGACAAAAAGTACTGAACCGTAACAGGCTGTGGAAGATCGCTTCGGTTTTCTTCATTGAGCTTTTGCACCTTGGTCTCGATCGAATCCGCCACACGGACCATGGCCTTGAGCATCGCGTCGGAACATAACGCATAGAAATCAGCACCGGTGTAATGGAACGGACACCGTTCAGCTACACGAGCAAGATCCAGTTCGGGATGAAGACGGAACCTAATGAAAAACGGAACAATTTTTACATATCAGCAAAAATTGGATATCAAGGCTTTAATGCTTGAACAAGAGACTTACTTTCGTGTCAGCGCCTGAATAATTCTTAGTTGGGACTCGTGATCTTCGCTCACACCAAGGTATAACAACTTGTCAAATCTGTCAGACATTCATACATTGTACATTAGTCATTGAGTTTGCAAGTGTAGAAAGAGAGAACGATGGGCTTACCTTCCTGGACGTAATAAAGCCGGATCCAGCAAATCGGGTCGATTTGTAGCACCGACAATAAACACATCGCCGACCCCGGACCCTTCGCCGCCTTCACTCATACCATCCAATTCGGCCAACAACTGACTGACAATACGATCCATGACGCCGCCAGAGTCGCCCTTTTCACCGCGTTTGGGCGCCACGGAATCCAATTCGTCGAAAAAGATGACACACGGTTTGGCGTCGCGGGCTCGCTGGAACACACGTCGAACGTTGGCTTCGGATTCACCGATATACATGTTGAGCAATTCCGGGCCCTTGACAGAGAAGAAATTCAAAGAGCAAGAGGTGGCAATGGCCTTGGCCAAAAGTGTTTTGCCCGTACCGGGAGGACCATACAAAAGAATACCACTGCGTTTCTTGAGACCAGCTCCAAATAATTCCGGATGTTCTAATGGCAGTTGAATCGTATCCAAAATATCGTCTTTGACATGGGCCAAACCACCCACATCGTCCCAGGTCACGTTTGGAATCTATTTTACAATGTCATAAGCTTAAATATTCTTGCTGCGTCACCGTTGGCATCCACGAGAATTGTTTTACCTTGGGCGCACCGATCGAGTCAGAGTAACTGGCACGCGCTTCGTTCAAAGCCGCATCAAAATCGGCAGCCGTCAAGGTGATACCAGCCGCTTTAATATCACTCGTCGTCACCGTCGCATGGATCGATGATGAGGACGTGGAGGAACCCGCTCCATCCTGCTCATCTTCTGCGTCCTGCTTTCCGTGACTACGCATTTCAATTTCACATTAGCCTTTTTTCTATCAAAATCGGGAGCACTGCCAAAGACAGTACTTTTTCCGTAGACTTACATGCTTCGATTGATACGTTGCAAGGCCAACACACCGGTGCGGGCGACCAGATCCACAAGATCCTTTCCTAGTAATGCCGCCGTCTGGGTCGCCAAATTCGATAATGACACATCGGGAGCAATTGGACAGCCTTGCGTGAGATTCTTCAAAATTTGCAAACGTGTCTTTTCATCAGGCGCCTGTCGAACGAAAGCAAAAGAACAAAAAAAAAAAAGGTACAGCTCATGAGCATAAAAGAATCAATTTTTTTTTGGGTTGGGTTGCTCACTTCGATGGTAATCTCGTGACGGAAACAGGCCAAGATGCTGGAGGGTAGACTTTCAATATCGCCGGTGGTAGCGGCTACCATGACAGGATAGCCTGTTGATACTTGGGTGGCATTCACGTCTTTGATACATTCTTGGAGTACCGTTGCGAGTAAAGGCTCTATTGGAAAAAAAAAGGAGGCATCATGTGAATAATATGATACAATTGTTGAGGGGGGAACGAATTTTAATAGACGTTACCTTGACCGGTTTCCACCACGGCACTCTTTTTGGCCAATCCTTCAATGCCGCGCAGCAGCACAATACAAGGTGCCAAAGCGGCCGCTTTCTCAAATTTGGCTCGCAAATGAACTTCAGTCTTTGCATCGGTTTCCGAGACCACGTCATAGGCGGTAAATTCAAAGACGTGAACCCCGAGTTCTTCTGCGATGGTGTGTACCAAGGTGGCTTTGCCGCCGCCTCGGGGACCGTGCAGCAGCACATTGCATGAAAGCTCGAAATCGCGACCAAGGGGATGAAGCGATGAAGACACCAATTCATGAAGTTGCGCGTAAGCCGCCGTCTGGGGCCGACCCAGCGGCAGTTGGTGGGCAAGTTCATAGTACTGCGAAATGGTACCGACAGGAACACGAGAATGTTCAACACCGGTTTGAACCATCTTTGTGTAGCTCGGTACAATACGACGTCCTGCGCCATAGTAAGCAGGATGAATGTCCGCCGATTCGGAGGTGGCCTCGTCTTCCAGATTCGTTACTTTAAAGTACGCCAGCGTAGTAGGTGGACCGGTTTTCAGTGCCACCGATTCATCTTCGGTTTCGTGAGGTCTTAAACGCGCGGCTTCTCTATCCAGGGTTACTGCAATGATGTCGTTCTTGCACAGGATTCTGTCCTTTTCCTCAAACCATGTTCTCAGCGCATCGAGAACCGCATTTTGAAGCGATTTATCCATGGACACGGGGGAAGCAATGCGGGCCACGTTGAGCGCACTCGCACGCGGAGGACCCTCCACCGGGGGTGGCGTGGCCAGGCGGGTAATATTTACCTTGACATCCGAAACAGAGGCAGGTGGTAACGGCAAATCGAGATTAAAATAAAGAACAGGAGGGAGATAGATCATCGAGCTAATTTTGAAAAAAAAAAATGCATCAGAAAAGTGCGTTTGCATCAGAGTCATTGCATTCCTAGTGAACACTCACTCGGTGTCGTCCGGTAGATCAATGCCATAGATTCGACATAATCTGGATTTCTTGACGTTGTCTGCACTGATGAGCACCCAGTCACCGCTGAACACGCCGCATTTTGCCAGACAACTGACATCCACAAATACACGAGTCTCGTCATCTTGTTTACGTGGAGGTACGGGTGCCAATCGAGTTTCAGGCCATGCTTTTTGGAGAATGCGAGCCGTGAATTCTTGGGGCTCAATGACTTCCGGCGTGATGGGCGAGCTAAGCATGGAGAAGGAAGTGGTACCGAAATGGGTTTGAGAGTCAGATAACGATGCGGTGGAGGGTTCCTGGTCCTCGGAAGAGATGGTATCGACCACAAAGATTTTTGTATGTTCAGTGGACATGATGAAGCCTTGTTGCACAGGATTTGTCATGAGCACTCGGAAACGAAGTTCATCAAAGGTATAAGTGGCTCCACTGCGAATAATGAGCGGTTGCGGACTCGAAGTGAATAAACGCGCCAATCCCTGCTCATCTATTGAAAATCGCAATGTAAGAAAAACTCTGATCTCTGCCTTTTTCCTGCCCTTTGTCCAAATTATACCTTTTTGTGCAAATTCATACGATTTTTCATTCATTGCGCCCACAATCAATTCATCCAACTGAATAAGGTCAACGCTTTTGATTTCGCAAGGCATCATTTCGTTCAAATCGTCCTCCTGCTTCTCGTCGGTCACCTCATCGTCTTCGTCCTCTTCTTCCACCAGTCGAGTGAGCGCATCCTGACCGTAGACAGACTTGATCAAATGGGTATTCATATAGACGACGGCATGCTTTTTCTAGCATAACAAAGAAAGGTTAGCTTGATATCGTTTTGGAGGCAAAACCATGGAAATTAGATGCCTACATGGCCATCCGTAGCTGGACGAGCATGAACAATGACGGACTGGAGACTGGGTTGACACTGGTCGGTGGTAGCGAGAGGGACCTTGCTTGTCAGCGAAGGAATGGTAACGGAAACAGCCAATGTGTCTTTTTTTTTTGGGTGAAGTTGAGTTTGAGAATATGAAATGAGTCAGCGTATATTATCAAGGGCAAAGCTTACCAATGCCATCGCCATTGCCATTGGAGTTGGCAGTGAGCTGGTCCCACAGAGGAGGCGAGACTTGTATGTATTGCGGTTCGTTGCCTCCGAAACGAACTTTAAGGTTAGCAGTAATGAGAGGAGGCATAAGAGTGTGGGGAAAACCTGACGGAGCCGGGGCGATAAGAGATTTCTATTTCACAAAGGGGGAGTACAAAAAAAGTGAGCGGAACAAGAAAAAAAGTGGCCTCAGATTTTGCCTAATGATTTCCCTTTTTGGACATTTATATTTGACAAACCCAGTGCAGCACTTGAACAAGTCAGCTTCGCGAATAGTATGAACCATCAACAATTTCTCCTCTCACAATAAGGAAATCACATCAGATGGCTTGCAGAGAAAGTATAAAAGTAATGGTAGGCTGCATCATTTTTGCTAGCTTCGTTTCAATAAAATAATAGGATTCAGTGAATATCGCGTACATGTATTACGGTGCCTCACCGGTCCTGCCACTCGTATATGGATTTGATAGAAGCTAGTAAACTTAATGCTGTTGGCAATAATAGCAATACAGGTGGAGCAATCCATTGAGTCTGAAGGTATCTTTGCAAGAAAATTTAGAAGTGATCCATGGATTGCCACTTTGTTATTGACGTGTTTCCTTGTGGACGTATTTCTTTGTTGCAGGAAAATCCGAAAATTTTCAGCAGTCTCACAAAGACTCAAAAAACCAATGATTGGCAAAGCATGGACCGCAGTTTTGCACACACAACATCATGGACGATCATTTGTACACTGGTAAAATGATGAAAGAGTAAAAAAAAAGTCAGTCTATCCGTTATTCACAATGCATTGCCAAAAAAAAAAAAAAAAAAATAGATTCAGAGCCGGGCTACAGAGCCACGCATGTAGATTCTCGCATTCCGCCTCCTTCCACGCGCGATTATTTGTCTTCTCGATCACGAAACAATCATCATTCCTCCAACCAGAACCAACGCTCGCGACGCTACGAACCGTATCACTCCAATCGATCCAACGATGCGCCCACGAGAGCGCCACCAGCTTCGCATTCACAGTACAACGACTCGCCACCTGCTGCACCGCGATCCGTCCAACCCGAACCGCCCAAACAGAAACCTGTGCTTAAAATCGATTTTCACGCCAATACCGACTTTGTAGAATGTGCCACGGAACCCGAATCGAAACGATACAGTGTCGAGGATATCGTCGAACTCATTGATATAAGAGAAGCCAAGGTACAAAGTTTGCAATCAAATTGAATACCTTTCAAAAATTTAACTGTCCAGCAGACCGATGTGGATTTTTTGAGTTTCGGTGATGTGATGCAAAAATTGAACGCATTGCGACTGAAAACAGGCCGATTATCCCATGAACAATTATCTTCAGCCCGACAACGTAGCAATCCTTTCGAACACATTGGTAAATCCATTTTCATGAACCGTGCCGCCACCAAATTAGCGGCCTTGGATGCCACGTTCCAGTTGACAGCGACCGAATTGAACAAGGTAAAATGATTAAAAAATACAAATTGCTTAAACTCTCTTCAAGTCTTGCTGATGGGGGTTCTGATAGCCATTACTGTTTGCCGACATCTGTGGCGGACCGGGCGGTTTCACAGGTAAGTAGATTCAATTTTTTTTATAGTCCATGTTGTTTCTGTGTTTACCAATGCTCTTCTTCTCTTTTTGTTTCTTTCTTTCCTTTTGGTGCTGATAATGATTAGAGTATTTGCTGTGGCGTACTTCCAGCGGGGGCGGATCGGCTCACGGATATGGTATTACGTTGAAAAGCTCGGATGATGCGGCCAACTGGCATTTGGAAGAGATGCGTCGCGATATTCCGCTGAACTTTACGCAGATCGATGGGGTGGATGGAACAGGTAAAAAGTGGATGAATATCGTTATCATGGAAGAATCACCCCGTACCAAATGCAACTGCTTATTTAGGCGATCTCTACAAGGAAGCCAATATCCGAGAATTTGCAGCTGTGGTCTCAAATCATACGAAAAAGCGAGGCGTGGATCTTGTCGTCGCTGATGGCGTAAGTCACTTTAATGTATCATCAACAGCGCGAAACCAGAAGATGACTTATTGGCTCTGGCTATTCAGGGATTCGATTTCACCGGCAAGGAGCACATGCAAGAACAGTTGGCACGAAAGCTCATTCTGTGCGAAATCATCACGATGCTTACATGCTTGAAGCAAGGTACATTTCAGAGATTAGACCGATCCGGCCCTATCGTAAACTCACCAGAGCGAGAAAAACAAAATAGGTGGTACATTTGTCTGCAAATTCTTTGACATGATGGAAGATTTTACGGCCGATCTTGTTTGGCTGTTGTATCAACTGTTCGATCGTATCTGTATCACCAAACCGTTGACGAGTCGACCTGCCAACTCTGAACGTTATGTCGTATGCAAAAACTTACGGCCCGGTCATCCTATCAAATTAATCGAAGCACTTCTGGATGTCAATCGAAAATTAGACGAGAATGCAACAAAGGATATTTGTTTCGTTCCTAGATCCGTATTGGAGAAGGATGAAACCTTTGTCAATTATGTCAAAATGCGAAATATGAAGTAAGCGACTGGAGGAAGGATGGTCGGTAGAAATCCTACTAATTCCGTGACCATAGATTTGCCGTGAAACAAACGGAGACACTCGAACAATTTGGACAATTCGTCAATGATCCGTAAGTGCTAACACAACTAGACAAAGTAAACCAATGCAAGAATTTAAAATTCCATCTCTCTAGTCATCGACCGGCAACTTACGATCAAAATCAGGTGCGACGCCAATGCTTAAATGAATGGCACTTGCCCTTGAGCGAGAATGAACCGTAAAACCTCTACTTCTTACATGTCATCGCCTCTTAGCTATACGCTCACAGTGATAGTAAACACGTTTATCGCAACCAAGCTCTTGATTTGTAAGATGGTGGATCGTTTCATTTCTAGATAAAAAAAAAGATCAATAAGAATCCATCATCCAAAGTCAAAATGAAAGATAGCCTTGCCATTAGCCATTTGCCATTACGTATCATTTTTTTTACTTCCCTTACTTTTCCCTTATTTTGGGCAAAGTTTTCTATACAGAGAGTGGTGTTTATGGATAGAAATAACAGTAGAAAACCTGAGACTCTATTTATTGAGAAACAAGAGAAGGGAAAAAAGAACCCCTCGATCAATTCTTTATTCTATATCAGCTTATATAGTTTTCGATGAATCGTTTATCCTGTAGATATTGCCATTGTATGTGCTGTGGACTGTAGACGAACGGCAAGAGCATACAGTCGTCCTTGTGACTTTCGGATGACAAGGTGACGGTATAATGGCGAGTTGCGGATAATAGGAATGCGTGACTCGGATTCAGAGGATAGTGCTGCGGCAAGCCTCTTTGCTACGCCTTTGTCTGGTTTGCAAAGCTTAGCTAAATCTTCCAAGGACTCACGATCAATGGTCGCACTGACTCCATCGGTCCAAACTGCTTCCACCAGGTCCTGGAATACACGAGAAGCCACTCTTGCGTCGCTGCCTTGGCTTAATTTCGCCGGATGGTCAGCGAGTGTCCAAATTGTCACAGGTTCGCTTTGCAAATCGTTAACGCGAGGGGCGCTTGAACGCTTCATCAAGCAGGTTGGCTGCTGATCAAATCTTGATCTCAATTGAGGCAGCCCAGTTCGTGCAATGGGTATAGAATTTTGAGGTCGGCGAAACCTTCTTCCTCTTGAGGTGTACACCACTCAAAGAAGGAACGGCGGAGGATTATCGCAGAATGTACCATGAAAGAGAAACCATTCGCGCAGGATGAGAGAATACCAGCCGGGTGGTTGCTAGCGGCTCGAATAGAGCCAGTGACCAGAGCATTCATAGTCGTCGTACCGATTTCTAACTTCATGCTCTCATCTTCACGGGTCAGAAATGCTTGAATGCTGCGGTAACGTGAATTGAATTGCGGAATGGTAGTGGGTTATTTGTCGATCGCTCGTAGTGTGCATCAAGGGTTGGGTAACGCGAATACACTTTGGCGTGACAGATCACTAACGCTTTTGCAGCCTTCGACCAGGATCGTTTTTTCCACTGCTCGCGCGCAAATGATACGCATCCACGGTCCCCGTCTCCAATCGATGTTTAATATATTTGCAATTTCCTGATACATCTCGGTGTAATCGCTTGCACTAATCGTTAAATTTGTACGTTGCAGAAGATAATAGAGAGCAGTGGGTGCTGGTTGCTTTGAATCGATACCCATTTCGGAGTGTGTACGTTTGCGTGGCATATACTGCCTTGATCGCCACAAGGGGCGATATCACGTGACATCCATGATCGCCACATCAACAAAAATATAAAAGTCGCCACAAACCCAGCATCGCCCCGCGAGGATTATGCAATGACTGCATCACTGACGGCGGTAGGGTGACCCAGGAAGTCATGTTCTTGGTTCTGCTCGGTGAAAAATAGCGACGACATTCGAACCAACATACGTTTGCGAGCATGAGTTTCTTGCGCTGTTTCTCGAGTAGAAGGTTCGTAGCCTCCATTGCTGTGAGTATCGCCTCTTGTTCACTGCGTGTTCCAAGTTCTTCATTCTTCATGGTCAGACGATCCGGCATCGTTTCAATGACGGAAAAGCTCGCATCAACGGGCTTTTTTGACGTCTTCACCGGCATACTCCGCACTTCTATCTCCACGTTCCTGCGCATCAGTTTCATCACCACTGTCGACGCTCTCTCATCGGGTTGTTCTCCTTGAATCTTTTCGCTAAAAATGAACCAGAAAATATCGAATCAGTCAGTCATATCAAGCTTGACGCGAACAATGCGCGCCATGAGAGTTGCAAAAGTGTTTTTACCTGATTCCAACTTCACGAGAACGGCTGACATCAATATGTTTAGCAAGTTGGTCTTCCAAGATTTCGGAAAGTGTCGGGCAGCAGATGCAGGCATACAAGATAACTGATGCTTCTTGCTTACATAGATAGCATTCTGTTCTAGGGACTTCCTCGGTTGCATGCAGAGAATCGACCTTAGTGCTTCTTCTGCAGATGCATAAGCACGGTTGAAGTCGATCAACACTTGGTACACTCCAAACTTCACTTCCAAAAATTGAAAGTATTCCCAGAGAAAGTTGAAAGAATTGGCGTCCTCTGCTTGCATTAATGCCACCTTTGTGATTCAAAGGGGTTCTTCCTTCTTGCTTTGACGATAAGCACGGGCATGAGGTTCGTTTCGATCGATCGTCGTAATGATTGAACGAAAGATGTCTACGCAGGCGCAGCAACTAAAGCAGGACGGAAACAAAGGAGACGCGCGGCAAATGATGACGTGCGCTGGCAAAGCAAATTCATTGTTTCTCGAAGGAAATTTTGAAGTGAAATTTTGGAGTATGCCAGGTTGTTGGCCAAAAACAATCTACAATTTGATTTGATTTGCAAAGCTGTCCAACCTTTTTTTTTCTTTTCTTTCCTTTCAAGAAGGAAACGAATTTCAATATTGAACAATGAAGAACCTATGAAAAAAGGCCAATGGAATGGTATCTATGCTTTAAAAAAAAAAAAAAAAAAAAAAGGAAAAAGGCAAGAAAAAAGAAAAAGTAGCGAAAGAGAGAAAAAAGTGGATGTAACTGATAATAGAGGAAAAAGTAACAAGCCGAAAAAAAAATAGAAAAAAAAGTAATTAGGTATTAGAGATATCCGCAGCAAAGGGAAGAGTTGGAAGGCGTGTCTTCGACAATCGTCATGGTAGGCTGTCTTTTTCTGTCACGAGGCAAATACTGTTTACGTTCCACCAATGCATGAGTTAAATGAAGAAAGATGTCTTCGATAGTACCTACAGATAACATATACAAAATCCATTTCAAATGTCACGATTTCAGTAAGAACGCCAAAAAAAAAAAAAAAAAAAAAAAAAGCCCAACCCCAACCGAAAGAAAAAAATCTAGTCTTCTTATTAAATTTTTTACCATCATCATCTTTTGCAGAGACTTCATAGAGCGGAGTCTCTGGACCCAAGACGCGCGTGACATATTCCCGTGCTTGCTCCAGTGGTACTTCTCGACGTGTTTGGGCCAAATCCAACTTGTTGGCCACGACTACGATGACCAGGTCTTCAGTCATGTTCCTTTTGAGCTCTAACTTTCCCCTTGAATGTTAAATCACTTTGGTAACCAGTATGCAGCGGGGTATCACCTTCAATCCACGAATGCATCTCCGCAAAGCTCTCTTGCGATGTAAGATCATATACCAATAATGCCGCTTGCGCTCCTCGATAGTACATTGGTGCCATGGCACGAAATCGTTCTTTTTATACAGATACGGATATACACATTAGAATTGCAAGATCACCTTTGTCTCTCTTTTTTTTTTTTTTTTTTTTTTTTTTGTATTGGGTACTTTTCCACTCTTTTTTTTTTCTTTTCTCCACTGTCTCCTTATTTCTGTGAACACTTTTTTTTTTTGCGTTTGATCCTATCGTTGGAGCCTGCCTGCGCCTTTTTTTCCCCTCCTGTTGTAAAATGCTGTGAATACTGTACCTTGACCGGCTGTATCCCATATCTGCAATCGTACTTTGCAATGGTCGACTGTTCTTGAAGTGAAATAAGGTCTCCAGTGAATAATGAGGAGCTTCCAGGACCCGTTGTGAAAAAGACACTTACAATTTCTTGGTCATGAACGAAGCTCCAATAGTGGATGTGGAGTTGGGTGAAAAGGTTTTGGATATGTAGCGTACAACCAACGAAGTTTTACCAACGCCTAATGTTGCAAACTCTTTTTTCAGTAAAACTCAATGCCACGGTGTCTTCTGAAGTAAACCTACTTGCCTTGACTCCCCAAAATGACGACTTTGGCTTCTAATGTGGAAGAGGCGTACATGCACGGTAAATTTAAAAAAACAGGCAATGTCAAAAAAGCAGGGCAAGGAAAAAAAAGTGAAATAAAAAAAATCAAAGTGGGGAAACAAAAATGGAGCTATGAAAAAAATATAAAAAATAAAAAAAATCAGCGAGTAAGGAAAGAGGGAAAAAAAAAATAAGAAAAATTGATTGCATGAGTGCACCTGAAAGGGAAAAAATATAAACTATAAAAAAAAAAGATGGGATGTTCAAATCGTTGTATCTTGATGCTCTTCCTTTTTTTATATATATATTTATTTTTTCTTTGTCAATACAAGAAGCACTAAAAACTATGTGAGAACAAGATGGGCCCCAAAGATTGATTCTCAGGAAGCTAAAGTAGGAAGTCGAGAGATATCTCTTTTCACTACCCGTTTAACTCGCCACGATTGTTCATTGCGTTTTAAACCTGCACGCAAATCTCGCAACATTTGCTCAAAGCCGCCTTCTTCAGCCAACGCATCTGCTTCGGCCAGCAGGGAATGGTGTTGACGGTCGTCACTGGAGACACTTTCCGAAGACGTCGATCGTGACAACAGACTGGGAGAGAGGAACATAGGAAATCGCGGAGATGGGAGTAACGCTTCTTCTTTTTGCCGTTTCTAAGTTACAATATTTTTGGTCAATCATGGGGCCACTCTATTTTTTTTCACCCTTGTTCAAGTCACTCACAATCTTCATTTCCTGCTGTTTCTGTCGCTGAAGTGCTCTTTGACGCGCTTCATGGATCTCCACTTGGGCTCGACCAAATGACATGGTAAAGGTATTGATGATATCGAAAAACTCTTCCGATTTCACCACGGTCGGGTCTTCTCCGTAGTAGACAATCAGGTCTCTGAGCTTTTCTTCCACGTCTTTGGCCATAGATTTCAGATCGTCCACAATAGGCTCCGCTTCGATCAAGAACTCCTCCATTGCCTCCGCGAAACGATCGATTTGCAGCATTGATGTCCTTCGTCGTCGGTGCATATTGAGTTCATCCTTGATTTGGGCAAGGCTACCACTCAATGTATTGATGGAAGCAAACAGCGTAGGTGGGGAAACTATGAAAAAGTAAAAGTAGACGCGGAATGAATTCGAAACTGTCACGGTTGAAAGAACGTGCATTGTTCTTACGTTTCGCAGCGGCCTCGAGATGAACAATGTCATCTCGGAAGTCCACCACATCATCTCCAGATTTGGTTAAGAAATATACAAGGTAGTGAAGCAAAGTAGGCATGTTAGTGGTTCCCTCGCCTTCGGCACGTGTATCTCGCATCTATTTTGACGTAACAAGACATGGCATGAGAATAAAGTCACCTGAGAAGAGGTGATCATTGGCGATTATTTCAATGTGCCTTTATGATTTACCTTGAGAAGTGCGTCCAAGTGAAATCCGTAAGCATTTCCACGGATGGTTTGGCCGTTCAAATAGTTGCCGATGGCCAAGACCGTCTGTTGGATTGAAAGAAAAAAAAAAGAAAGAAAGAGATGGGCAAGGTATAACCTGTGGTGAGTTCCATTGCAACCATAGTTAAAAAGAGCAAATTCTACTTTTTTTTCTACCTTGAGCACTCGCTTGAAGCGCGCACTTTCTCTCAGCTCGCAAATAGCGTTTTGAAGTGTATCCAGATTCTAATGCAATCGGTCATTTCACCTCGAGGACAGAAAAAAACCTTCAACTCATGTGTTGCATTTTTACTTACGGGAATAATTTCTTCCAATTCGTACTTGAAGCGTCTTCGGAAAATCATGCAGCTCACACGATCCGCCAAACGAGGGATGTACATGATCTAAGTAATCAAGAGAGCGTAAGCTATCTAGAGAATATCCATGGTCATCATCCATCATGAAAAAAAATTCTTACCGCTCGGAAATAGCGTTCAGCATTGCCGAGCAATTCCACATCCTGGTCGTATTCCTTGACAATTTCAATCTATTCGACAGGAAAAAATGTAAATAACAAAATGCTGACAAGGTTCATGCGTCCCCTCATAATATACTTCTTCTTTGGTGGGAATATACTGGCGTATCGCGACCAGGTTATCGATGGTAAGACGATGATCATCAATATTCCAAATGGCATCTCGAATTTCGGGATAGGTCAACTTGATACGAGCCAGCATAATGCCTATAAGAAAATTGTCAATGACATTGAACATTCCAGCGATATTTGTCTGCAAATTGAAGCTAACCGATATTGTTGGCGCGATTGAATTCGAGTAGAGTGACCATGCCGGTCTTGCGACCTGTTGGTTGTCCTCCGTTATTGTTGATCTCTATAAGCACGCACAGAGTTAAGTGAACATATCCGAATTTTAACAATAAACGAACCATCATCTTACGTTTGCAGATGCCTTGGGGCTTTTTGAACAAACGTTCCAATTCGTTGGTGTCAATTTTAAGCGCATTGTAAACACTATCTGGAGTACTCTGTTCTGACGCGCGTCTTGAAATATTGTGCACAGAAGATGCATCATCGGATTCTGCCTCGCTACTGCTGCTGGTCAAAGGTGACTCTAGGCTGCTGTGATCGAAATCGGTCGACAGGATTTCTTTCCACACAGTATTTTGAATCCGCTCAGGCGTCAATTTGGACCAGAACAATTGCTGCGCCAACAGGAACACATTTATATCAAAACCTCCTCTTTTTTATTGCCTTGTCGTTTGCAAGCATGGCCAAACCTTACCTTCATGGTAATATTGGTGGATGGATGAGCTTGGCGTAAGCTGTTCTGGGCGTCCAGCAACGTGTTGGTGCTGTCGGTAAGATGATCCGAGATGGAGGGAAATGTGTAACACGTTGTGGCGGAAGGTGACGCACATGGTGGGCTTTTAGGCGAAACCGAGTTTTCCTGAAGCGACTTGAGATTGGGGAAACAAAGATTCAGGGCTAACGGATGGAAATATTTCGATGATCTCGAAGCACTGCGTTTTCTAAAGTTTCGTCGTGCGACAATCGAAGGCATCAGCATCTGCGGTGGTGGCGGTGGTGGGGGTGGAGGTGGCGGGGGAGGAGGCACCGTGTCAGGTCCTGGTGCGCTCGCATCGGGTGCAGGCGTGGGAGGCGCCGTGTACGTTTCTGACCGAAGCTGTTCCTGTTTCTGATGTGCCTGTTGCATGGATACGATTTGGTGATCCTTCTCCTGTATCTCGGCTTGGAACTTGGACACTTTCATCAACAACTCATTTTTCTCTCGCCGGATCTTGGCCGTCGCTTCCTCATTTTTTTGAATCATGTCTTTCAATTCTTCCACCATATTGCGTAATCCTTCGACATCTTCCATGTTGTTTCGGTTCCCGTCCGTCGCCGTCGCATGAGCCGATTCCTCGTCGGCCTTTCGATCCAATAAAATATCAGACGACAGTTTACCGACAATCGGTTGCGTGGATAATAAGAATTGCTGCAATGCGTGCTGAAAGTCATCTAATACAAGTGTTTTAATCAACCTTTTTTGTTGTTTGTCTGCAAAGGATGCGTAACATACCAGTGGATCGCACCGGTTTCAAGTTTTTGGAAAAGATGCTGATAAGACTCCATACATCTTGCACAAATCTAAAAGGAAAATATAAATTCAGTCCCCTACCGTTGCGATCGCTTCTTACACCAACTCTTTACCTCTTGTTGGATTTGAGTTTATCGCTTCCAAGACTCAACAACTCACTGACACTGTCGACAATGAGATAGTAGATATCGGGTTCTTCCGAATAACCTTTCAAGGCCGCCGAGATCATATCAGTAGGTTGCCTAAAAGAAAAGTAGACGATAATCAGTTGACAAGGTCTGGTGTAAACCGTGGATTTTTGGAAATACTTGCATGTGCCAAACACTTTGACGTTTGGTCATTTCCACTTCACGCAACAGCTTCATATCTGATCGTTTGCCTTGAAGGTACTTGTTGACATGTTCCTGCATGACATCCGGTAGCTCGGCCGTCTCCAAACTCTAACCATCGTGTCATTGGTCAATTATCCGCACTACAAAAAAAAAAAAAAAAAAAAAAAAAAAATATATATTGCAGGCGAGCTCACCTTTAAATAATCGTCCAGGCCACGACGTTCGAGTTCAGCACGAATAGAGCGACGCGTTTCAATATCCTCGGGCGAGTTGGCAAGGGCGTTGAATAAGCTAACGATAGATGCCTTGGATTCCCACAGCAAGGCTTCGTCTGTGTGCTGCTGCGGCTGTTGCTTCCATGCCGGTTTGCCACACAGACTTTGTACTAACCGCTCGAATCGGTACTGTTCTCCTCGCACTTCGGAAAGCACGAGTAAAATAAAGTCGTAGCCTTGTTGTGATAACAAACACACCGTCGATAATATTTCAAGCGTGTGAATGCATACTTTGAAGACGACCGTAGACAAAGCGGTCAATGAGTCATCTTTCGAATCCGATGCATCCGCTCCAAGGGGTTTGGTCATGGTCGATGTGGACGGAGACGGTATTTCCTGGGACGCCACGGAGCCTTGCGACGGTGATCGTGTGAGGGTGGAAACAGTATCAATGCATATTAAGACTGAGGCAAGTCCAGTAAATAGAGCAAAGATGAGCTGATGGAATAGATTGGGTCGCATCAAGATCTGCTGCTGACCGATCTGGCAACCCCATGACGAGAATAAAGCAAGAAAAAAAAAGTTACAACGAAGAACCAAAAAAGCAAGGAGATAATGCACCCCTGGTCTGTTTTCTTTTGTCACGAACCTCTGTGTTCAATAAAGCACCAAGGCACTTTAAGCATTCAAGAAGACACAGTTCGTCGGATTTCACCAGTCGTTGACTGTCCCGTTTTCTGGTAATAGCAGTGGTGGTTAATACGGGTCGGATTGAGTCACGAGGCAGCAGGGATGCTTACTTTTTCTTTTTCGTATTTAGGCGTTCCAACACGCCTTCCAAGGCACCAAGGCCGTCGTGACGTCGTGAAAGAAACTCATTGATCCAAGAAATGTTTCCGGTGGATAACGTTACCTTGAGACCGGTGAGATGCTTGGTAATCGAATCCATGGGCGTGTTTCTATATCAAAAATTCTACATTTTAGTTTTGCTGAAAGTGGGTGATAAAGTGTTTCTGCACGCGGTTGGGCGTGCGATTAAAGACCTGCATCGTAGTCGCTCGACAAAGTAGTAAGGGCTAGTTCGATCCCTGCAGCGTTTAGGATCGTCTGCGTTGACTAGTGTGGAAAACTGCAAGCCGTCTTTTCGTGACAGACTTTGGAAGGGTTGTGCTTTGGTGGATTCGCTTTTTCGCGGTGTGAGATTCAGGGGTTGGCGGGGGAGTGTATTATCAAACAACAGCCATGCCGCGGCTTCTTTATCTTCATGTTGGGCCAAAGCATCGAATTCCAGGATCATCGATCCGACTTTGGAGTTGCAGTGATTGCCGACCAACATGTTACGACGACGGTACTTGTAAATGGCCGCTCGTCCTTCGGTGGCCGCCATGGGTTTCCTGGTGGCCGGCTTGGCCGGTTCGACGGAATTGGCCACGGCGGATGTGTCTTTTTCCTTGGTAGCCGCTGCCGTCGGGACGGTTGTCGTCTTGTCACTGCTTGCCAAGCTGTTGAGTTGACTTGGTCGACTAGGCAACCGACTACCGAACAAAAGCCGGGATGTATCGCTTCGTTTAATAGCGGCCGCTTTCTGTCGAAACCCGCTGCGTGTATTGGAAAACAGGGAATTGCTGGAACTTGACTCGATCAAGCTTTTCCGATGGCCGTCTTCTGCTGGCGCCGGCTGTTTTCCAGACGCTGTCGATGTACTGGGATTGGAGGACAGTGTACCAGCGGCCGTATTACTATGGGTTGTGGCACTGGCGCTGGTGCTTGGACTGTGGTTGTTATCTTTGATGTGTTGGTTTTGTTGCAAGAGATAGAGCTTCCGTTCGCGCGGCAATTCTCGAAGCTTGTCTCTTTGACTCGATTTCATATTCAGTTCATCCAGCAACGTCTCAAACTTGCTGTGCAGTTCGTTGTCCGTGAGATCCATGTCGACGGGTGGTTGCGGTTCCTGCTGGTTGACGAGTTCGGTCGAGATGGACTCGCAAGACACCGACGGTGTGACGCTGCTGACACCTCCGAGCCAAGCCGGAAGAAGACTTTTGCCAAATCTTGATGAACTGCTGGTTCGTAGGACGGGTGGATGGTCATGATGACTGTCGGGGGTTTTGGAAAGTTTTAAACGAGTTGGAATGGAGGAAGTATTGATTTGATGATGCGATAATCGGGCGCTTCCTTTCTTGGGATTGGAAGCTTTGGACTTTGCTGGGTTTTCGTTTGAGTTCATAGCTGCATCAGCGACAAAGGAAGGGAAAGGTGGTCGTGCATGCGAAGTAGAAGGATTATGAGCGCCTACCATGAATTAAAATAAATATCTAAGATATGGAAAATAAAATAAATAGAAAACAAAAGGAGAGGAAGGGGAGACTAAGAAAAAAAAGAGTGAAAGAGAGAGTACAATCTAACGATTTAGTTATGCAAAATAGACAGAAATAAAACAAGAAGAAGGTCGAATAGATAGAAAGAAAAAAAAAACGATATAAACGTTACAGACGACGAACAAGGGGTCGGGAGGTTTTATGGAGCATCTCAACATGAAAAACAGAGGCAGCGAAAAAGTAGTTGTTCCTGAAAGGAGCATATTCATCCAACGATGGCTGATCCTTTTTTCTGGGACTACCCCTTCAAATCACTCTAATTCTTTTATTACTTTTTTGGTATCTCTTTTCTCCTCCCCTCCCCCGGCTCTCCACCCCCAAAAAATAAAGTACTCCTGCCATGGCTATTACTTTCATACACGGTGTCAAACATAGCAATTCATTTTCAAGTCTATGTTTGTTTTCGTCATCCTACCATATGATTGGAAGTGCACATCATTATTACTCTGTCCATACTCATAAAAAGGCAACATCTCGTGGTATCGATCGAGTAAATTAACCATTTCATTCAAGTGCATACCCGTAACAAAGCAATGTATAGAAAAAGCCATTGTTCACATTCTTTTTCCCTGACAACTACAGTCCATTGATAAATGATTTTTTAATTGTCACTTTTTGCTATCCTTCAACATATGAAAAAAAAAAAGCAAACCCTGCGTTTGCTCAACCCCGCATCATGTCTGGGCTCCAACATCATGCATTGAAAACAGCTAACCAGCCTTACCGAAATCTTTTTATCTGTGTCCAGCTGGCTAGTTCTCATATCAAAGAGTCAGACGGCACAATTTAACACTGTTAAGCATCGAGGGATCCATTGTGCGGACGACGCGATGCAAAGATGTTTGCAGGTCAGCAGGATGACGATCCGGATTTTTCTTCCGATACAGTAGCAAAGTACGACATGGCAGCCGCAGTTATACGTTGCTATTGCTTGAGCAAGATGCAGAGAAAAGAAAAACCCTACACACAGGAGAGAGAGAGAGAGAGAGAGAAAGACTACAATGGTATGCAGGTTCATCGATTTCAACGGTTCTGATTGGCCAACATTTATGAGTGGTGACGTAGCTTTGTACAAAAAAAGTTCGGGCTTTCCGGAAAATACGCGGGCAACAGCAGCTTCACGTTCAGATAGTGTCCATTTTTTTTCCTTGCTTCAAACGTTTCTAGCATGTCAAAGGACAATTCCAATGGGTCCAATCGTTTGCAGAATTTAAATTTCTCGCTCCCGGACATGTTGAACGATCATGGGTCGTTGAATAATAATAATGCGAATTTCCAGTCCATCATGCAGAGTTTGAATAGTGGAGACACTTCGTCGCCGTCCATGGCTCATCTTCCTGTCGAACTTCAACAACTGTTCAGTTCCAAAGCGACAGACGATTTACTTGCCAGTGGAGCTTCTCACAATACTAATCCCATGAATCAACCCAACATTACCGACATGGCATCCATGTGGCACGCAAAGACAAACGATAAGCGATCCGATCCGTTACACACCATGCCGTCGAATTTACCGAACCCTGTACCCTATATACCTCACCTTCAAAACGCTTCACTACAGCAGCGTCCGCATCCTTCATCGCTATCTCATCCTGCTGCCTCACCGGTCATGTCAATGAACCATGCCAACATGACCGATCACAACTCGATGCCTGCTCCTTCCACTGGAGGTATACATTTTTATTTTCTGATACCACTGTTTATTCAAAAAAAAAAAACCAGTTCGTATGGGTACATATTGAATATTCACCAATTGGATTTCTATTTTTTGTTTGGTTAGGGGCTACGACTTTGCTGGAAAAACTTCAATCGCAATTACCGCCAGAGCGAAAAGAGAAGTTCATCCAACTGTTCTGGGAATTGACGGTACGGGTTGATTGGCGGCAGAGGATGTTATTGACAATCATTTCGATTATCAGTATCACTCATTTGTGTTTGTATTTGACAGAGTAATTCCTTGACTCCCGATCAATTTCTGACACAAGCGAATATGTTGCTTGGACCGGAACAATATCAGCAATTACTACTAGAGTTGAAAAACAAGCCATCTGCGAATCCATCGGCTGCGAGTTCCTCAGCCGCCACTGCGCCGTCAACTCTACAGCAGTCACCATCATCCAGACCGGACAGTTTGGGAGACAGAAAGAGAACCATCAGTAGTTCACAGTTACGCGCAGAAGATACACAGCGAGCCATGTCAGGGTTTATGTACGTTTTTGCGCCGTGGTGGTGGGATGGAGCTTTTGGGCCTTTTGTGTTGATCTCTGTTTTGATATTGTAGTAGTCCGCAGTTAAAGCGTGCAAAGACGGAACATATACCAATGAGCATGCCCCTGAGTACACCCACTGGTGGCAATGGTGCACCCATGTTCCAAACACCCGGTATGCCCACCACACCCTCAGTACCGACTACACCAGCCGTACCCAACACACCCAGCATGCCAACGACACCAGCAGTTCCAGCAACGCCTGCTGTTCCAAATGTGTCGACAGCAACGCCCAACATATCCAATGCAGCCAGCGTCTCAGGAACGCCAGCGGTACCAGGCACACCCGCGACACCAGGTGCCCAGGGTACAGCCGGAACGCCAGCATTACAGATTCCTCGTACCATTGCTCCTACTACACCTACAACGTATGTGTGGCTGATTTTATTCTTTACTTCCAGAGTCGCTGAGCTAACTAGTTTCTTTTTTTTTTTGCGACTGACTACAGTAAACCACCGACCACCTCAGCATCCTCCACGTCCGCCCCATCCGGCGGTCCCTCCAGCGATCGAATTGATTATGAAACACTCACCGATGTCATGGGCTATGCAGGCGTAGACCTAAAGGTACGTGGAAACGATCTTATGTCATTCAAAGAAGAGACCGTTTAATCGCCCTGCAGGAAGAAGTAGAGCACTTTTTAAAGGATGGAGACGCTATTGGTGGTGTATTACCCGATGGCATAGATCGATCAAAGATGCAAGATTTTATGAATACAGATATGCTACGCGATATCGTCCTCAGACATGGTGAGCATCGCATCGTCATCCAAATAGATCCAAAATGTATCTGACAGACCATTTAATCTTAGCAAAAACGGTGGCGATAAGTAAAGTGGATTCTGACTTTATCTCTTACCTTGCCCTGGCGACACAGGATCGAATTCGAACATTGATTGAACAAATGATCACAGCCTCCCGGCATCGAGTACGAACTCAAAGCTTCAAACCTCCACCCACCGACGACAATGATCAACCAGTATACAAAATTGTCGTTGAAAAGGATGTCAAGAGGCAGCTATTGGCTGTGGAACGAGCAGAGCGCGAAAAGGAGCTGAAACGAAGATCATCCAGTGATACGACATCGGTATCGGATAAAAACGACGATTCGGCCAAAGACAGCAAGAGCCGTCGTCTTGCACTAAAAGAAGCAAACGAAAAGGACGAATTGCAGGCACGTAATAAAAATACCAACGACACTGCCCTCATGAGCGCAGGTGGGGTACGGAAAAGCTGGATGCTTACGGGGATTATGAAACGATCCCAACAATCATTATCAGCGACAATCGCGACGAACGGTGACGGAGAAAATCAGCCCGAAAGCTTGGATCTCCCCTCTGTTTCTAAACGGGAACGTGGCCGATACCTTGCATTTACGAAGAACTTACCACAAGATCAACTTTCATCTGCATCATTGTCAGCATCATCCATTCGATTGTTACACGGGAGATCGGACGATCCAGGGGTCGTTACGGTTCGAGATGCGATATTTGCCATGGAACAAGATGCTCAAGCAGGAAGAAAAACGGGTCAGCGAGCATTACTAAAATCATACAGTCATTGGTTAAAATAGTTTAATAGGAGGGAAAATCATAGTAAAAAGGAAAAAAACATCTTTAGAAAAGTGTTTGGTTTGGCAAATCAGAAAATTTTGTAGCTGCCTTGTGAAAAACTTCATTCAATTTCAATCACTTTTTTTTTCTGCCCACAAATTGAGGGGGAATTTTCAGCAGTCCGTTGCCCAAAAGTGAAATTTTTCTTCTTTTGGCTGACATTACCGTTCTTGTCGGGATCCCCACATGGCCAAGAGTCGAGTAAAGAAACCCATTACATCAGCTGCGCCTACGTCTGGAGCCAAGTTTAAGCGGTCGCGTGTAGAAACGGCTCGTCTCATTCGCCGATTTCACGTTCTCAACAAAGAATTAGCGAAATGTCGCAATGAACATCCAAAGGATACGGTCAAGGAGAAACAGATTCTTGATGAAATGGAGGCCATGGGAGGTTTGGACTGGTACCAGCGAGCGTCCCAGCTAGGGCAGAGCAAAGAACGAGGAGGTGATTCGTCGAAATGGCTTATACAAGCATTAAAGACCGAGTGCAAAGCGATGGTGGATACAGCGAAAAAGCCATTGCAAGTGCTTGACGTGGGCGCGGTTCAGCCAGACAATTACAAGGCTTACCAGTCATGGATCCAAGCTAAACCCATTGATCTGAATCCACAGCATCCGGATATCGAGAAACAAGACTTTCTGCGTATGCAGCCCACTGACGCCAAATTCGATATTGTATGTCTCAGCTTGGTCGTCAATTTTGTCGGAGATCCCAGAGATCGAGGTAAAAGAAAGAGAAAAAAAAAAAAGTAATGCTTGGATTATCGGCTGACAGGCCATCTATTTTACGTAAACGGTTAGGTCAAATGCTACTGCATACTCGAAATTTCTTGTTCTCGCCTGTGGTGAAAGATCGTCTGCATCTACTGTACCTTGTCCTGCCGTTACCGTGTATCGACAATTCGCGCTACATGTCACACGATCATTTGATGGCCATGATGGCTTCCATTGGATACAGTCACTGTATCAAGCATCATTTTTCAAAGAAATTGGCGTATTACTTATTTGAATACAAGGCCAATCTGCGTCCCAAAACAGCGTGGAAAAAGAAGATTTTACCACAGCAAGAAGGTGGAGGACGAAATAATTTTGCCATTGTCATCGATCCTCCTTCAGCGACAAAGTAATTGTCCTTCTACTCTTTTTTTTTTTATATTTCTTCATTTTGTACATAATTAGCGTTTAGTTAATGGATATCATGGTTCTTACTCGGGATATTCGTTTTTGTCTGTGAACGGGATCGGGCGTTTCTTATTATTTTGTTGCCTATGTAAGGAGCACATCCCGAATGACGACCATATTATCGCAGTTCCATACCGCATAGAGTATCATGATGTGATTCATCGGTAAATGGATGGATTGTTCGAAACTCTCCAGTGATGCCATTCTCGCCAACAGTATATGATCGATCAAATAATGAACGCGTGGCTCTTGGTTAGCGTATGAGACGTTAGCTAAAAATGCACAGCGGCTGGTTACCAAGCATCTACCGGTTCCTTGGCATGTACAGCTCCATATTCTCACAATGTCACTTAACCTCGTTGAGGCTCATCGACTTGAGGTGGGAGATCATCTCGGTCATTTTTATAAATTAAAACGCTCTATTTGATATATACATTTAACGACGATCGTAGTATTTACAAATGCATTCTTCACTCTTTTTAATTGTCTTGTTCTTCTTCGTCCTCTGGCAAATAGCCTCCTTCGAAAGGCTCACTGACAAAACCGCCGCCAGCTACCTCAGTTTCCTGTTGCTCTTGACGTGACTTTAAAAATGATTCCCATTTGGTCTCGACAGCTTCCGCCTTGTCCTCCTTATTTGCGGGTTCGGCAGTGGGAGCTGTCGGCTGTCCATAGTCTTCTTCCACTCTTGCGTGGATCAGAACACCCATAATGATCTTCCGCCAGCGAGCATACGTTTCTTTTTCATGCTTCGCAATGGCCTTGTTCGACTCGTTCTGTTCAAATTCGCCCCAAGCCTACACGGTCGATACATATTTTAGCTGTAGATCATCCCAACCTGTCAACCGTCATTCATGTGTTACCTCCAAAAGCATCTGCTCTGCTTCTTTTGCTACAACGATGCCTCGTGTCACAGGCACTGATCGTCGTTTCACAAAATCAAACCCAACCTACAGTCGCCCATTGTCCATTTATTAGATAATGTGTGGGCATATCGAAACGTTTATCATTGTATGCTCTTACCACTGCGTCTGCAAAATCCACGCCCAGTTTACGAGCAACCTTGCCAATACCGTCGACTGTGACATCAGGGTCAGTCCTTTGCCCTTGCCTCTTTTGACAATCAAATCACTCCACTTACTGGGAATATGCGCTGCACCTTCCGGTAGCATATCAGGCGTAAACAGGTCAATATTTCCGTACGCATTGCGTGGTACTCGACCCTTGAAAATGCAAACACAGTTTAGTGTATTTTTCAAACTATACAGCAAGCTTTACTTACATCCACAACAGGAGATGGTTTGTAGGCGACGGTTTGCCATTCACCGTAACACCCGACTTGCAGGGTCTCGCCTTCTTGTTTGGCCAGTTCTTGCATTCGCTTTTTTTCTGCCGTCACGGCGCGAGCATTAACTCGCTTGATCGGCTGTTCGCCGTCTCCAATCACCCGGCCGTATTTCATCCAAGTTTCCGCCGTGTGCACGGGTTTCACACACGATCTTGGGTAGATTTTTTCGCCTTTGATATGCCCTAGGACCGGTTCCTTGGGATGCAACACTTCGAATTTCTTGAGATGCCTTTCCAAAGCATACACGGGATGATTGTTGAACCCTTGAATAGATGTGGGCATGGCTTCCTGTGTTTCCGCGGCCTCCAGATGCTGCTTCTCTCGTTGTTCTCGAGGACCATGCTTGCGACGTTGGATTTTGTTTAACAGCATGTCCGACCACTGCTGCAAACCGCCTTCTTTTTCTCTTTTGGTCAGCTCACGATCTCGCAGTTTCACGGCTTTACTGTAGCGAGAAGAATACCGCCGGGTGACATCCGTGCAACCATCCTTATCGGCATCAAATGCAAGCACATACGAAATGATATTCCGACGATCCGTGCTGGATGGTTCCATCGCTTTCGGTTGATCAAAAAGGCCTCGAACTGGGTCGATGCAGATCCACTTTTCGTTGTGAGTGTCATACACTTCGGCCCACACCGTCGGTGGTCGGGCTGTGGCAAGCTTTAATTTGGTGTCAGTTTCTTCGGCGTTGGGTGTGTCTAGCCGAGGTCGAGGGGATCGGAAAGGAAACGCCAAATCTTCGGTGGGTTCAGGCAATGCTTCCTTCTGATCGTCCGCAGCAGCTGAGATGAAAAAGAAAGGAGTCAATAACGCGCACGACGGTCAAACCTCCAGCGTGTATGTGTGTGTATAGGCCAGTAGTCTACCTTTTAACATCAGGTTGTTTGCTTTGTTGCGTTCATTCTCTGAACGTTGTGCCGGGACACGGTACGGTATGGGCTGTAGTGAAGCAACCAGGCGGACATCAAAATCAAGGGCTCTTAAAATGGCGATAAAAAGTTCGGCAGAAGTATCACTTGTTCCGGAGGGTTTGGTCAATTTCTCCACAAAATCACGCGTGTCTTTGATGGTTTCACTACCGACATTCCGCGTATTGGCAAGCCCCTGTCCCCATGCCCTTTATTTTTAGTAATTGTGGAGAGGTATTACCACGGCCACACGAACACTTACTTGCAAGTTTTCGATGGAAATATCATTGTCAGCCGCAGTCAGAAGAGTGTCAATTTCATTGTATGTCCAAGTGAGCAACCCGGGGCCTGTGAGGGTGAAAAACGATTTCCACCAACTGAGAGCCCATTTGAGAGCGGTTTGGAATTCATGAAAAGATTCCTCTTTGCTTGCACTTTGATTCTGGATATAATCGGGTATCACTGACAGACAAACAGACTATACGTCGTACGCATGGTTAACCGCAAAAATCGCGAAGCGATGATTGAAATTTCCATTATTCGATTTTACCTGGACATCTTGCGAGGCACACCATGAATTCCGCAGCATATAATGCGCAATCAGCGCCACAACGTGACTATTATGGATCCATTCACGCACCATCCGTTCATAAGCCATTTCCCACTTGGAACGTCTAATTCACGCATAGATTTCAGTAACAAGAACAAGTCGCATCATCATCAATGGTCAGCCACTTACTTTAGAACGGCACGAGGTGCTTCAAAAACGACTTCGACATCGTCGTATACTTTTTTATGGTCGTCGACTGCTTCACCAACCTCGGATTCCGGAAGCGAGGGAACATCAACGGTTTCCCAATCCATGTCGTCGTCGCTCTCTTCAGCTTCGTGGTCAACACTGTCCGTGGGTATTGTATTTTCGTTAGAATGTTCGTCTGAAGACCAAAATCGTGATTCGGCGGCTGTCACTTGAACATTGCTGTGCTCATGGTCCAACGCCGACTCTCGCTGCGGCCTGTCGTCTGGCAACTCAGGCGCTTCAACATGGCCGTCATCACTCAAAGCACTGGTCTCCTTGAGCTCAGGCTTTGCTTTTTTCGGTGTTTTTGCATTCTTTTTTGATGTCGCTTTACTGCGGTTTGTTGAACGCGCAGGCGTCGGTTTGGAAGAGCCTGCTTGCACGGTGTTTCGCGAAGAGCGCGTGACCCGCTTGGTCGGTGGGGGATCCTCAAAGTCATCATCGTGTGGATCGTTGCTACTTTGCGATTTCGCAGTTCTTTTTTTGGCCATGAACAAAAAAACACACAAAAAAAGGTGGTGCTACTTAAAAGATATGCGGGACGATCGGTTTGTCAATGATGAATGAATGAGCACAGAATCGGTCTTCCAAAAAAAGAAAAAAATTACATGTTGCAGGAATGCCCACTCCACTGATGCACCGAAAATCTTGGATTTTGGTCGGGTATTTTTAATTTTATTATTTTATTGATTCATCTGTCAAATTTTTATTGCAATGGCTCTCCAAAGGGGACGGCTCGTAAAGCGCCATCCAAACGGATAACGCTACCATTTAACATGACATTATGGATGACGTGAATCACTAGATCGGCAAATTCGGTTGGCTGCCCAAGACGCTTGGGGAAGGGGGATACGGGGGCCTTTACTGCCAGCTTGTCAAGCAACGGGGTAGCTGTATAAAAATCACATGAGAAAAACGCGTTCAGGACTGCCAATATCGACCAAATGAAATTTCTTACCGAAAGCACTAGGAGCAATCGACATCACGCGGATACCATAGGGGGCAAGTTCGTTGGCCAGTGGGAAGGTTAAACCCGCAATCGCCGCTTTTGGATGCATGTCGGTCAAAATCCTTTTGGTTGAGCATGCGTTTCATAGAAATATTTACCTTTGGATGTACCGTAGCCTACGGTAACTCCGTCTAAACCTAAAATGGACGAAACAGAAATGATCACTCCACGTTCACCTACAAATAGACATGTTGAGTAAAATCCCCCACGTTGCATCACCACTGGTGATAAAAAGTCTTTACCATCATCGTTGAAAGGTTGGTTTTTTATCATGTAAGGTACCACCTTCTCAGCCACGTTATAGCTCCCAAGCACGTTGACCTTCATGATGCTCTCAAACTGTTTATAACTGGTCAACATTCCGTTGGGTCCGTAACCTGGAAGGCTCGTTGGCGGTACGATAACACCACTGCAAAGCACCGCACCAACAAGGGGAATGTCTTTGTACACGCCCATAGCCGTCTCGATGGCCTTGGTAACGCTTTCCTAACGTTCCCCATAAGATGTTGTGTATCAGTATCCACAGATACAATAAAAAACCTAGTGAAGCCTTACCTCACAAGTAACATTGACCGAACCAGGACAGTAGACTTGACTGCCAAGTTCTTCCACCAACTTTTTGGCTCTTTCTGCGTTCAAATCCAAGATCTAGACGTTCCACAAAAAAAAATAGCCTCAGTCAGGATTGGGTTTGACTCATGAAGATTACTTATTAAACACTGACCACCACATTGCCGCCATGTGATACGAGAGTTCGCACCACTTGTTCACCAAGTCCACTGGCTCTACACGTTCCCAACGTATTAGGTCACATGAGTCTAGTTTATCCGAGAGTGGGGGAGTTTGCTGTGTAGCTTACCCGCCTGTCACAATGAACACCGAGTCTAAAATTTGCATGTTAAAGAGAGAACAAATGAAAAAAGTGAAAGAAAACAAAGTCGAAAGAAAAAGCGACAGATCCAAATTCTCTCACACTTTTATTTTGCCCATGTTCACGAGGCTTTTGTTCGCTGAAAACGTAAAAAAAAATGGCTTTTTATTTGATAAACTGGGCACATTTGCCTCCTGCAGTGAGGGGATGCTTTTCGTCGGACTTTTTTTGTTCTGACAGGCAACCGAAAAATCTATTCATCGCCAAAAAAGGAAGATAGGGAAATGTTGAAACTCCGAGGCAACACCCGGTCGATCCGACGTGATTACGGTCAGCGATTCCGGGAATAATGTCACGATAATAGTGTAGCCATGGCTTTCCATTTGCCAATACAATGCCAAATATTCCCATATTGCAATCAAGTGTGCCTTGCTAATATGTGACTATTTCGAATGCCATTGACGGATGAAAAAAGAAACAATATCGCTTTAAATTACGTAGATTCGCATTGTGCAAAATAAAAAAAAAATTATGCTTGTATCTTTTATCATTGACCAATCTATTCTATCTCTGTTTCTGTTTTAACCCCATGTCACGTTGTTTCTGAATTTTTTGGACAATTTATATAAGAAAACGATCGTTGGATGAGTGTGTAACCTTCCAGATATTGTATCTATTTTTCTCTATGGTAACCTCGATGGCTCAACCATTCAATCGCATAGAGTCGTCAGCCACCATCGTCGGCGATCATCCTGCCGAACCTAAATTACCAGATGTTTCCAGGGAGCATGGGTCTGATGATGATGATGACGAATTACTACAAATGAAAAGATCCATACATTACGGCCCTGTGGAGGAGGAGCCGTATTCAGTCTTCTCGCTATCGAAAAAACGATGGATTGTCACGTTGGCTTCAGTGGCCGCTTTTTTCTCGCCCTTTTCCATCAACAGTTATTACCCGGCAATGAATCAAATTCAAGAGGTAAAAAAAAAAAAAAAAAAAATCGAAACAGCCCCAAAAATGGAAAAAAGCTGATAAATTGAGGTATTTCCTTTTTTTTACAATCGATAGGAACTTCATGTTTCATCGCAAGAAGTGTAAGTGAATTTTTTTTCTATTCAATTGGTTTCATTTCTGTTTGAGACCGTCCCAATCAAATACTTCAAATACTTATCGACGATTGAAATCATGCAGGAATCTTTCCGTGACGGTATACATGATTTTTCAAGCTATCACGCCTTCCATCTGGGGCTCGATGGCCGATAATCAAGGTCGACGCCCTGTCTATCTGTTGACACTTTTCATCTATATCCTGTCCAATATTGCCCTGGCTTTATCCGTGAACTATCCCATGCTGCTTATCTTTCGTATGCTTCAAGCCTTCGGAGCCAGTTCCGTCGTGGCTATTGGCGCCGGCACCATTGGTACGTTTTAATGCTACCTTTTTTACTTTATGCAAAGAATCCTTTCCTAACTTTCTTTTTTTTATTTTCGTTTTTTCTTTTTTAGCTGATATTACTGTACCCGAAGAACGCGGTGGCTACATTGGATGGTTTTCACTAGGGTTCACCCTTGGCCCTGTACTAGGTCCTGCTATTGGCGGCTTCATTTCTCACCTACTCGGTTGGCGTTGGATTTTCTGGTTCTTGGCCATTGTATGCAGCGCCCATTGGCTGTTGATGGTCTTTACGTTCCCAGAAACACTTCGATCCAGAGTAGGCAATGGTACGGGGTACGCCAATCCGACCCCGCAACAATGGTGGCATCACCGAAAAGAACGCAAACAACGCGAAAAACAAATCCAAATGCAATCCATTGACTCTGACGCACAGAGTATATCTGACACTGCTTCTACGCATACAATGGTGGATCCTGAAGCGCATCACAGCAAGTGGTCCTGGTTGATGGCGCCTCTTCGACCGCTCATGTACGCAAAAGAAAAAGATGCTCTTCTCCTGGTCATTGTCAATGCATTCCAGTATGCCGCCGTTTACACCGTCACTTCCACGCTGCCATACTTGTTTAGCCGCTTGTATAATATGAATGACGCCATCATGGGCGTTTCATATCTTCCCAATGGATTTGGCTCTGTCTGTGGCTCTGTCCTTCAAGGTCGACTCCTAAATCGACACTATCGAAATATGCGCAAACGAACCATTTTGCAAGGAATCCCCGACGATGAATTCCCGCTGGAATATACTCGATTGCGTACATTTTGGTTTTATGCCCTTGTGTATAATATAGCTATGATCGCTTATGGCTGGTGCCTTTACGTGAGTGCTCCGTTGGCCGTTGTCTTGGTGATCCACTTTTTCTGTAAGTTTTTAATCATCATCAGTTTCTAAATGCCGCAAAATACTCATGCAATTTTTTTTTTCTTTTGATCCACAGTTGGTTTCACATCGCAGGCTATTTTCAATTCGATCCAAACTTTGTTTGTCGATCTTTTCCCTGATAATTCCGCCACGATTACGGCTTGCAACAACTTTTTCCGTTGCTTGTTTGGTGCTTTAGCCACCGTGGTGATTTTGCCCGTCATCCTTGCCTTGGGTCCAGGGTGGGCTTACACCGTGGTGTCGGCCATTTTGCTGGTTTCTCGCTTGCTCGTTTTCGTTGTGATGCGTAAAAGTCCCGGCTGGCGTCGTGAACGTGAAAAGCGCAAAGCGGAAGATGCTGCTGCCAAACATGATACCTCTTCCCCTCCTTCTTCTCCTTCCCAATAATCAAAATACCCCATGTATTTTTTTTCTTCTTTCTTATTCTAAAAAGAAGTTTTTTATCCTGTATTTTCTAAACATTTTTCCCAAACCTTACTTCTAATATTCATACTGGTGAATGATCTGCGTTCATTGTGAATCATGTACTACGAACAAAATAAACTTGTATGCCACCGCGAACAAAAATTCAGGAACAATGCTAATATTCGTCGATGCTTCCCTCTTTAATATTAAAACGTCATGATGGTTGAATCATCAGCGATCTGCAAATAAGATGGATTGGAATATGCCCCACACCCCACGCACTCTAGGACTTTTTTTTTTTTTTTGATGCTAAGAGCAAAAAAGGCAAATCAATAGAGGCCCGGATTTCCGCAAATAGATCAAGCAACGTAAGAAAATGGCGGGTCGCGTGCAAACTTTTGTGTCCGCTCACCGCGGCCTTTTGAATTCATTAATGTTGTGGCAGGCACCGATTTCCATTGCTGGTCTATCCAGTCTCGATTAGCGACCAAAAAAGAAAAACAACTAAAAACGAAAAAAAAAGCTTTCTTTTCCGCATCGTCTACTTTCTATTCACACATCACACGACCATCGATCCTTGAACAGTGCGTAGCCTTGTGTTGACCGGATCGTTCTATTTTTAAAGAAGAAAAACACATCAACCTGTTTCTAGTCAACCACGTCCGTCTAAAACAACCAGGTTTTTTTTTTTTTTTTTTTTTTTTGTCGTCATCACGATCATTACGTCGAACCATGTTCGATTCACAAGACATGGCGCAACGCATTGCGGAAGCCAGACGCGAAGCCGAGCAATTAAAAGACCGTATAAAGCAACGTCGAGGTGCTTTAATGGACGCATCTTGTAAGTGACAAGGAAAAAAATATACAAACAAAATCATTATACAGTAGGCATGGATCACCAAATGCGGGTGATTTTACTTCTGCACCCCCCTGGTCAAATTTATTAAACTTTAATTCTACAGTGGGCGAAATGGCTGAAGATATTGAGCCTCTACCGCGTTTGACCATGAAAGCACGACGTCATTTACGTGGTCATCTTGCCAAGATTTACGCCATGCACTGGGCCAATGATGCTCAGCATGTCGTATCCGCATCCCAGGATGGCAAGCTCATTGTATGGAACGCTTTTTCGACCAATAAACTCCACGCTATTCCGCTTCGTTCAGCATGGGTCATGACGTGCGCTTACTCACCTTCCGGCAACTTTGTCGCAAGTGGCGGTCTCGACAACGTATGTTCGATTTATAACCTCGTCGCCAAAGATGGACCGGTGCGTCCTGCACGTGAATTACTAGCGCATACAGGCTACATTAGCTGCTGTCGTTTTCTTGATGAAAACCGCATTTTAACCTGTTCAGGCGATATGACCTGTCTCCTGTGGGACATTGATGCGGGCGTCAAATTGTACGAATTCGCCGACCACACAAGCGACGTCATGAGGTATATACTGTCCAGCCATCACAAAAAAAAAGAGAGAAAGAGAAAAAAAAAAAGCCATGAAGCAGCGTTTTAATTTTTCTTTAGTGTGTCTCTGTCGCCTACGGATCCGAATGTTTTCATTTCGGGTGCATGTGATGCTACGGCTCGATTATGGGATATTCGTACTCAGAAATGTGTTCAGATCTTTGCCGGGCATGAGTCCGACATTAACTCAGTGCAATTCTTCCCCAACGGTATGGCGTTTGGCACGGGATCGGACGATGCCAGTTGTCGTTTGTTTGATTTGCGAGCGGATTGTGAACTCAATAACTATGGAAACGACTCGCTTCTCCATGGCATCACGTCTGTCGATTTTTCAAAGTCGGGTCGATTATTATTTGCTGGTTACGACGACTACAACACGCATGTGTGGGACACCCTCAAGGGCGATCGTGTGGGGATTCTGAATGGTCACGATAACCGCGTATCGTGTCTCGGGATTTCCAAGGACGGTATGGCACTATGTACCGGCAGTTGGGATGGTTTCCTAAAGGTCAGTAAAGCAACTAATGCTTATCTGCCGCCATTTTATTCAATATGCTTTTTTAGGTCTGGGCGTAAAATGGTTGCCATCTACAAAACATTAGTACCTTTTTCAAAGTTTTCATTCTTTAAACCTGTCGTTTATGATGATTTCGTTTGATTGCATGAATCATCCCCAGATTTTTTTTTCCCTTTTCATGACAATGCTTGTGTGCGTCAGGCACGCCAAGTATTGCTTTTCACTTTCCCTCTTTTGAAAATATGCTTCCTGTATTTCATACCCTATTCTATTCAATATCTCCATCAAAAAGAGAAAAACACAGGAAGTTACAGTATTGCAATCTTCATTACAGTCATAGAAATGTCCTACATTTTGCTACGCCCATACACTCATCTGTATCCGCCAGTTACACTGCAGGAGATTTAATAAAACACTTTTATCGCTAGGCCAAGTGAAAAAATGTCAATTAAGGGATCAACGGTAAGAGTGCACATCTGGACGATGCATCATGTAAAAAATATATGTAGAAATTACCGCAGAAGACTAGTTATCTGTATTTTATTTCCATTCTTTGAGAGGCGCTACGGGATTCTGATCCGCTTCCAGATGAAGATCCTTAAAAACGACCTTGTCCACACCAACATAGTCTACATGGTCTTCGTCCTTTTCTTCCATCTTTTCCAAATCCTTGGCTGTTTTGCCCAGCTCTTTATCAAGATCCTCCGTGGCCCCAATCATGACAAGCTCGCAATAATCGTAATTGAGGAAATCCGTGGTCTCCATAGCGACAAAACGACGATCGGAAAATGCCTTTTGCAGCTTGTCTGGAAATTCCGCCTTTTCATTACCACTTAATCCAGATCCCGGCGGTGATGATTTTTTTGGGTTCTATGATACAACAACGTTAAAGAGCTGATATTTTCCATCTGCCAACCTAGTCATTCTTGTGGTACCTTGACATTCAGTACAATGCTGGCTTGTTTCTCAATGTTGAAAGCGTCTTGAACTTTGGTAGGTTCTTCAGGCAACGTGAGAATGTAGGCCAAATGCGAGTGTCCGTTGTGAGACGTGATTGTGTAGACGCCCTCACCCTGATAAACACCATGTCAGTCATGCGTCTGTTATGATTCGTCCTATATATTCTAGTGTAATTACCATGGGACGAGCGGCTTGAATGGTGCGCTCTCCTTTGGTTTTCGTCGAATAGGTCGATTCTTTCAATGCACCCACCACATCGTCAATATTGGAGGACGTTTTACCCACAAAACCCCAATATCTGGCATGTTGTTCGACCTGGGGTAATTTCTTTTTGCCAAGCACAATCAGCGTGGGGCTACGTTTGGCGTCCGACGACCAATAAGGCTTCAAAATCATGTACGCCTTTTGGACATCATCAATGCTGCCGACTTCATCCGCGTCCACCTATTCAACAATTTGGTGAGATAAATCATCAATGGAATTAATAAATCATAATAGAAATCCTACCTTGGGACGATAAAAGAAGTAGATGTGTCCTTTTTCAAGACTATGAGCCTTCTTTGATTCATCCACTGATTCTGATTTGTCTTTTACAATATCTTCCCCGACAGCCGATGTCTTTTCTTTCTTTTGTGGTGGTTCTTCTGTCTTTTCATCAGGCTTTCGCTTCGATCCGACATCTTCCTTGTCTTCTACTGCGTCTTCAGGTTGGTCTTTGACCTCCTTATTCGATGCTGCCTTATTTTCTTCCTTGGAAGTTGAGGTGTGTTTTTTGGGTGGCATATTAATTACAGTAAACGCTATACAAGATATACAAAAAGATAAGAAAAAAGAATTGCATTGAAGCGCGCGACTAAAAATTCTTGTTAAGGATCATGCATACGTCATGATCGGCACAATAAAAAACCAACGTACAGATCCTTGTTAAAAAATTCCTAAACAAATGTCTGGAACACGACATAATCATGAAGACATACTCACCGTACTAAATAAAAAATGTCAGCTTCCACGCTAACGCAAGAATCAAGGTCGCTATTTCTTTGTTGCGGAGACTATCATCTCTTATCCAATGTAACATCCAATCGCTGCTCGATCAAGGTAACCACTTCTCCTCCCTATCGATTTTTTTTTGTAAATATTCTTTTATAAAAATGAAAAGGTGTAAATTTGGTTGGCATTTCTTTTGGCAATTCTCTTGAGGGCGACCGTTGCTGTGAAAAGGGAATAGAAAAAATGGAAAGGTTTTGTTTCCTTCCAACGTAAGATTGCCTGTCCGCATCTTAAAAACTGCGCGGAAAGAAAATCTTGGTCGAAACAGGAAATGTTAGTACGGGCGTATTTGGATGTTGATTGGTGAAAATGAGTGTAAGAACTGTTTCAGCCAATCATAGAAGCTGGCGGGTCCCAATTTGAGATGCCGCTGTTGATAGATTCGATCTCCACGGGCGTTGCTGCCCCAGTCAAATGGTGGCGAGTTCAGGCTATTATTTTTTTTGTGACATGGTCCACCAATGAAATTGGTTGGCCGTATTATTTTTCTTCCGCCCTTTTTCTCGTTTTCTTCCTCTCCATACCAACCATGGGCCATCGAGTTTACATTGGTCGTTTAGCTCGTGATGCACGACGAAGAGATCTTGAAACTCTCTTCAAGAACTACGGAAAGCTTCAAGAAGTGACCGTCAAGAACGGTTTTGGTTTTGTTGAATTCACTGATAAAGTCGACGCTGAAGACGCCGTCCATGACTTTCACGGCAGATCGTTCCTTGGGCAAAGGTATTTCTCAGCCCAAGCTCTTTTTTATTTATGTTATGTTAGGACCATATTTTTCCTTCCTTTTCCCAGTGTCGTCTTGTGTAGTCTTCTATTTTTATTTTATTTTTTATTTTTGACATAACGAAGGGTTGTATGTGACAAATACTAATGTTTATGGTATGTTTTATCTAGAATTGTAGTAGAGTTGGCTATGCAACGCAAGAACCGTGACCGCAGCGAACGGTAAGTTACCTTGGCAACCTGTCTCTTTTTTTTGTTGCTTTTCCATTGTTACAGTGGAGGATGAAAAAATTGGGTGCAATAGTTGTCGTGGGTTAGGGAGAGTTGGGGGGAAGAGAAAAATATAATAATATAGGACTTGAAAGAAAAACTAACTTTTTCGGTTTCTTTGGGTTACGTAGTGAACAAAACCGAATTGTCGTCCAAGGTATTCCGCCAAAGACCACATGGCAGGTAATTCAACACCCTTTTCCTCAAGTTTCTGGGTCTACTCTTGTGAGCTGGTTGAAAAGTTCTCCGTGGTTTTTTCTTCCTTTTCCCCCCTGAGTTTTATGGTTGCTGGTTTTTGGCGAATCGTTTGGTCCTTGGCTTTTCTTTTGTCTAGACTCCGACAGATGAGTTTCTGTGGAGATGGCTTGAATTGGGACTCCTACTTTTCTCTCTCTCTTTTTTTTGATGGTCCGATGCGCTGAACCATGGATTGGCTGCCGCCTTGGCTGGGATATTGCGAAATCGATGTCTAACTTTGTGTCTTTGCTCTCTCTTTATGTTTACTTTTTTTGTTGCTATCGCTTTGTGCTTGGTGTCTGCAGGATCTCAAGGATTTCATGAAGAAGGCCGGTCGTGTGACTTTTGCTGATATCCTCAAAGATCGTGATGGTGAAGGGTAAAATAACTCGCTACCAATTTGTTTTTTGTTTTTGTCATGCTCATTTTTCCCAACTTATTTTTTTTTTTTTGTCTTGCAGTGTTGTTGAATTTGCCAATCGCTCGGATATGAAGTATGCATTGCGTGAATTGGATAATACCAGACTTAATGGTCAACGAGTCACTCTTCAAGAAGCGGTAAGTACACAAAGATAAGCTTAGCAACACCCCGATCACTTTTGTTTGGGTCTTGCACAAACAAAGATTGGAGAGGTTGTTTTTTTTTTCCTTCAACTGATTTTGATACCTTTTTTTTTCCTCTCTCAGGGACGTAGAAGATCTTCTCGCGATCGTAGAAGATCACCACGTCGTCGAGCCTCGAGAAGATCCCCCAGTACGGATCGATCTCGTTCTCGATCCCGTTCTCGATCCCCTGTTCGTTCCCGTTCTCGCTCGCGTTCTCGGTCTCGCTCGCGTTCTGTTTCCAAGACTCGGTCTTCTCGTGGCCGAAGGAACAGCGATGATCGTGACAAGGAAGACCGACGCTCCATGAGTCCGGCTTCACGACACAGCCAGGATGAAGATGAAGTCATGGACACCAAACGTGAAAGAAGTGCAAGCGTTCAGAGTCGTCATGAGTCGGTGGATTCCAGAGAGTGAACCCAAAAAAGAAAAAAAGAAGTGTAACAATAATTTGATCAAATAAAGAAACGTGATAAGGATCCGTGTATGGCAAAAGAGAAGACCAAACCAATTTTGGGTGGTACGTTGGAAAATGGGTGTACATTGAAAGGTGGGACAAAGAAATTATCTTTTTTTTTTTTTATCCCAAATCCTTCTTGTCGAGTCTTTCTCTTTTTTGAAGTTCTCCTCATTTTTCTTTTGCAGAATCCGTCTTCTCTTTCTTGTTTATTTTTTTTGCGATTCTAATCCTTTCTTCCCCCCACCCGCGCCCATCCTTGAACCCATTCCTTTCATTAGCAATCTTTATGTGTTCCCGTAGATGATTAATACCAATTCGCCCGCGAGCTCTTGTTTTCGTCTCTACACCACACTATTGATTTTAATATGGTTGATTCACAGTAGTAATGGATTGGCCTCAAACCCCCATTTGAGATGTAGTGAAATCAGTGATCATGTATGTGCATATCAATCCACATGAGAAACCAAATTACCGTTGCATAAAGGGGAAACTCATGCACAGTATTTTTTTTTTTACTGCTGCTTTTTTTTTATAGAGATCAGAAGCGACGGATGTCGTGCCTTGTGTGACCCAACCCGCCCGTAAATTTTCAATTATCACGCCAGGTTTCCGGTTGCATAGACCTGTAATTCAGGCACGGCTGATTCCACGTGCAGAAAAAGCTTTTGAAAAGGAGGGACACGACAACAATGAAAACCCATCTTCCGACACTGCATCCAAACCATCGTCCGACGCGTCCACCGTCAACGTATCCATCACTACCGGCACCACACTAACCTCCGAATTAACGTCATCCACTGAATCGACATCTTCTTCGCCTTCAGAAACACACGACTCCACTCCCTCTTCTCGGGTACAAGTATCCGCAGCAAACCCTCACGACATTTCCTCAGCCGCGCCCACACCGTCCTCACACTCGTCTTCTACCGAAACTGTGCAGTACCTTGACGACGATGATGGCTCGTTACCAGAATCATCATCCAAGACAACATCGAATCACGGAATAGATTCTACCGCGGATATAAACGACGATATATCGTCGACGAAAACTTCTAAAGATCACGACGACAGTCAAAAAAGCGCGTCAAAGCATGTGAAGGAAGATGAAACGGACGATGATACCGCTGAAACCACGACAACAACGACGACATCCAAGACAACTAGTGGCACGGTATCCTCTTCCACGAAACCCACATCCACACCTTCGGACGAAAGTCATGAAGCGAACAAAGACTCTGATTCTGATTCTGACTCTGGCTCTGACTCTGATGTATCTTCTACAGTCCATGGAACAAAGTCGTCCTCCAAAGATCCTTTGGCTCCAACCGACCAAGACAAAGAATCGACAACAGCAGGAGAAGACAGCGAAACTGAATCTGTCAATAAATCAGACAGCAAAGACTCGTCTGATAAATCGTCGGATTCAAAAACGGATGACACGGACAACTCAACACCGTCTTCCACCAAAGAAACAAAAGATCCATCTGGACATTTGTCTCCGTCCAAGACAGATGATGAGGATAGCTCCAAGACATCTGGCAAACCCTCAGAAACTCAAGATTCGACTGATAAATTAACTCCATCAAAATCTGAGGACGAAGACAGCTCCAAGGCATCAGGTACACCGTCTCCTACACCGAATGAATCCGTCAAAGATGAAGATACCAAAGATCCATCGGATCATTCGACTCCATCAAAGACTGGGGACAAAGACAGTTCCAAGGCATCAGGCACACCATCTTCAACCCCGACTGGATCTGACAAGGATGAAGAGACCAAAAATCCTTCAGGTCATTTGACTCCGTCAGAGATTGAGGATAAAGACAGCTCCAAGCCATCAGGCACACCGTCTCCTACGCCGACTGAATCTGTCAAAGATGAAGAAACCAAGGACCCATCGGATCACTCGACTCCATCAAAGACCGAGGATAAAGATAGTTCCAAGGTTTCCGGCACGCCATCTCCAGCCCCTACTGAATCCGGCAAGGATGAAGAGACCAAAGATCCTTCAGGTCATTTGACTCCGTCAGAGACTGAAGATAAGGACAGCTCCAAGCCATCAGGCACACCGTCTCCTACGCCGACTGAATCTGTCAAAGATGAAGAAACCAAGGACCCATCGGATCACTCGACTCCATCAAAGACCGAGGACAAAGACAGTTCCAAGCCATCAGGCACGCCGTCTTCTACACCGACTGAATCTGTCAAGGATGAAGAAACCAAAGATCCATCGGATCATTCGACTCCGACTCCATCAAAGACCGAAGATAAGGACAGTTCCAAGTCATCAGGCACGCCGTCTTCTACCCCGACTGAATCTGTCAAGGAAGATGAGACCAAAGACCCATCGGATCACTCGACTCCATCAAAGACTGAGGATAAGGACAGCTCCAAGGCTTCCGGCACACCGTCTCCTACACCGACCGAATCCGCCAAGGATGAAGGCAGCAAAAATCCATCGGATCATCCGACTCCATCAAAGACTGTGGATGAGGACAGCTCCAAGGCTTCCAGCACACCGTCTGAATCTGCCAACAAGCCAGATTCTCAAGATCCGTCTGATGACTTGACTCCGTCGAAAGGGGATAAGGATGGCGCTCTACCGTCTACGCCATCTTCAGTGCCGACGGATAAGAACACACCAGAAGCATCAAAACCCGAGTCTCTGCCAAAGGAAACACCTGGCTCAACCTCACCCACGTCAACAAGCTCAGCAAGCGCCACACCAAGCTCTGATGACCCGTCCAAAGTTCATGAGCCCACCGATAATGGGAACACATTGCCAACAAAGACGACGACCGCAAGCAAAGACCAACCTGGCACCCCAAAACCTAACGATCCGACAAAAACGGATGGATCCACCGATTCTGTAAGTGGTTGATCTATCATTCAATTATTCATTTATTCTTATATTTTCCCGATTTTTCCGCTTACCATTGCGATTCTTTTTTGCTTAGGAGAATGAAAAGGAACATCCATCAAAATCGGGATCGAATGGGACCAAACCGACAGAAGCTTCGGGCACCAACACGCCAAAGCCAAGTAAATCAGAGGAGACGCCAGTTTCCTCCGTAGAGACAACCCCCTCTCCCGCCACCTCACCTCCTGCAACCTGTATCGGATTGGATGGTGAGAATAGCGAGATCGAATCCGTACTGAGCAACCTTCCCTCCTGCGTCTTGCCCGATGGAAAACCGGCAACCAAGCCCCCAAAGATGCCAACGCCTGAGACGCCTGAGACCCCCGAGACTACACCGACCAAGACTACTACGCCAACGTCATCTACCGAAACTCAAAAAACATTGCCCACTGATGAGACGCTTCCAGAAGAATCCAATGTTGAGACTCCAAAACCATCGTTAACTGAGGAAACCCCAGTAGCCTCGCCTGTGGAGACGCCAGAAGCATCGCCGGTTGAAACCCCTAAAGAATCACCTATTGAGACTCCAAAAACATCTCCTACTGATGATACTCTTCCAGAAGCTTCACCGGTAGAGACTCCAAAACCATCAGTAACCGATGAGACTCCAGATGTATCACCTGCTGAGACTCCCGAAACAACGCCTGCTGGTACTGCGGAAACGTCACCCGACAATGCTACGCCTACAGATATATCAGGGGACCAATCAAACGCTAAACCACCATCGACAGAAGGTGACGCTGAAAACATAGCAACGCCTACCACCACGACATCCACAACCACGACCACGACCACGCCAGCAAGTGAATTTACGCCCAAGTCCAAATATCGCTACCAAACGTATTCGTGGTTAAGCAATTCGTTCAGTGTGCCTATCCCTACGCACACCTCGAGTTCGAGTTCGAGCTCGGTCAGTGATGCGGCCAAGGCATCCAATGGTGCCGTCGAAACACCGCCTCCTGTCCCTGTGAACGACAATCTTCCAGAATACATTGCACCTAATCTGGATTCGATTATTCCAGGTAATAGCTCTTTATAAGGATTTGGAATCAAGAAATGCAAAATGTCTAACATAAAATAGATACGAGTGAAAGGGTTTATATGAAGTTCAAATATCTGTCATATCCTCAAATGGTGCACGACGCGATCCTGACCGCTGAATTTGTGCAATCGCTGCCAGTCCTGATCAGTCAAAGTCTGAATATTTCGGTGGATGATGTGATTGTGGTGACGATCACCAGTGTTTCCAAAGGCCATCACAAGAAACGCGACGTGGAATCCAGTGAAGACATCTCGAATGAGGGAGTGATTGTGTCCTTGGCCGTACCTGAGGACCGAGTGGAAGAACTTCAGCAGCTGATCGCCACCCCTGATAGTCATTTGTACGCACCCTCCAACGGCCAACTTGCTACGTTGATTGATTCTTCGTTCCCTATCAGTGGCAATGGACCGAGCCAAAAAGGATCTACAGCGAATAGCGTGATCGATCCCAACGCGCCTACAGGGTCATCCAACGGTTCAGGTAATAATGGAAATCAGAGCAACGGTGGTTCCGGATTGTCCAAAGCCTCCATCATTGGTATCTGTGTCTCCGCTGGTGTGGTAGTATATGCTGCCGCTACAGTGGCTGTGATTCGAGTGTATCGAAAACGAAGAGCGCGACAGCGAGAACAAGCGGCTGAACAACATAACGTGTTTGCTCAAAGCATCTCGTATCCTATTATGCAAGAAAATTCCTTGGGTTGGGGTGGGGTAGGACATCCTGCTCAATCCCAATGGTAAAAACCCACCTTATTTTTGGTCGCCCAATGCGATTTTCAATTAATTTCTGTACTGCCTGTATCTTTTTGTCTTTCTACTCTCTTTTTGTTTTTCTTTTTTTTTCCTTATTTTCGTAAATATATTATTGCGTCCTTGATCGAGAAAATAAAGTTTTTTTTTTCTCAATTACGTGAAAAATTGGTTAAGGAGCACAAGTGAGTGACGGATTACCATAATCATCCATAGACGTGTTCGCGACCGTACAACAGACCCTTGGATGGCGTGACACCATGTAACTGACTTCATTGCTTTTGTATCCCGATAACCATGTTCGTACGTTCATTGATGCAGGTTTCACTCTTGTACACGGTTTCTATGATCCCAATTCATGGTTGTACCTGATGTTTTTTTTTTGTTCCATGAGAAGAATGCATGTTGTCGTTACTCAATTAAGCTTTTTTATTTTTAAAAAAAAAATCCCATCCAATGTTTTTTTCTTCTGCTGAGACAAAATGTCCGTTTGATTAACGATCAAATGAGGAAGGTGATTTAACAGCGCGATTACAGTTTTCTCTTGTGCTCCGAGACTTTTTACAACTTTTTCATTCAGCGGGGATATTCAACAGCAAATGAAAATTTTACATGCCCGTGTATAGATTCACTGAAACTAAAATATCATCGCTTTCAAACATGTTACCAGGTGGCACTGTATCTCGGACCATACGCTCAGCACGATAATCATGCTACTGATTCATGTTTTCAGGAATTTTCTTTTGCCCAGTTCGATGAATACTTTGTGTAATCATCGTATCTAGCTCATGTGAACGTTTCAATGGGAAGAAGCCACAATTGTATGACGAGGCTGAACGAGGAGGTAGGAAGGCAACAACGGGTTCCTGTCAACCAATCCCGTTGATGTCACCCAAATTCAATGATGGACAGTGTTCTTCGTATGTGTTAACACCAAGTTGTCCCTATAACCCAAGTCATCGCTTTCGCCTTCACTACACTGTAAATCTATACTTCTCGATGCGTCACTATCCTGTAATCTCAATGCAACAAAACAACTGCGCTTTTTGTTGTGAAAGTCGACCCATTATGATCCTATTCTTTGAGTGTAAATTTAACAGATGTGGTAATAATAAACTGCTCTGTCTTGGTAGATGTATTGTCTCTTTTTTTTGGTTTGCAGCCATGTTTTTTTCAAATTGAATTATTCTCATCCACAGATGCCGGCTCTGCGGTTTCTCAGGAAACCAGGGCGAATGTTCCTTTGCACTTGCCATACCGATGACAAGTATCAATGGCATTCGCGATGATTCTGTGAGGATGATTTACTCTGTCAAAGGTCTATGTGGGGCTAGATGGACTGCACAAATAGACGATCAGGTCAAGACATAGGGCGCTTACCCATAGCATTTGATTGTCTCGCGTGGAGTACAGTATTCTCAAGTGGTCCTTGTTTGAACCATAGAATACTGTATAGTTCGCTATACGTTAAAACTTGGAGCATCAATTCATCCTCAAGTAACTATCGTATACTTGGCCTACAATTGTCAGCGTTATAATGCAAGCGAGTCAAAGAAAACCGGTGCTTTGCGCTCAGCAAATATAGTTTCGAGGGGCGCGTATGCAAAGAAAACAAAAATGGAAAACATAGAAAATGTGATCCTACATTCTAGGTGTTGATATAAAAGATGATGTGAACTCTTTTACCCATGAAAAAGTTGTTGTTGGCGCTCCGCAGTGGCATGAACGGGAGAAAGAGCCGATGAAGAAATAAAAAGATGGGAGCCAGTGGAAAATTGCCAGCTATTTGATGGACCACCTAAATTTGAAGGGCCGACCAAATGATTTGTTGCTGGGTGGCGAATTTCGATACGAACTCTTTGTTCATCCACACAAATGGCCGGCCATCATCACGCTTCCATCTTTTCCTTGGCGTTATGTATCCTTTTAGGATTCGCCTTTCTTCTTCCTGGAACCAACGCCACCGCTTTAACCTATAATGTAGCCGCTAACGAAGAAGCTTGCTTCTACGCATGGGCCGATGCTCCTGGCAAAAAAGTTGGATTCTACTTTGCTGTAAGTGATGCATGGCTGTTATTGGAATGCGCACAAAATATCTGATGCACGACCTGCTGTGATCCGAATATTGACATTTGGGGTTGAATACATACTAGGTTCAAGCTGGCGGTGCATTTGATATTGATTACAAAGTGACCGATCCTCGCGGTAAAGTTGTCTTGAGCAACCAACGCGAACGACAGGGCGACTATGTGTTCACGGCCAACTTTGTGGGAGAGTATTCTTTCTGTTTCTCCAATGACATGTCAACGGTCACGGAAAAACTGGTCGACTTTGAGATTACCGTGGAAAACGAAGTGCGACCCAGTTTCCAGAAGGAGACTGCCAACTCGCAAGCCCCGGAATTGTCATCCATGGAGGAAATTCTTTTCCGCTTATCGAGATCGTTGACGGATATTTCGCGTAGACAAAAGTATATCCGCACCCGCGAAAACCGTAACTCGAGCACTGTGTATTCGACGGAAAGCCGCATCTTCTGGTTCTCTCTTTCCGAAAGTGCCGCCATTATCGCTATGGCCGCATTGCAGGTGTTTGTGGTTAGAAATTTCTTCAATGTCAAGAAAGGAGGTGTATAAAAGAGAAACCGAGTTTGATCTATTACGTGCAAAAACCATGCCCTTTTTCTTCTTTTTGGTCCGTCTTTTGTAAAGAGAAAAACAAAGAGATTATTAAAAAAAAACGAACATAGTAAATATTGGGATGGATGAGGATGTTCACAACAATAGTGTGTAGTGTGTCTATATATAACCAAAAAACGCGGTCCACGTTTTCCAGTATTTTCATGTCGCAAATCAGGATGAACCCTTCGATGTAGATTGAGCAAAGCGTTGGTGTGCCACTTCTGACAAAATTTGGAATCGCGCCCGTTTCAGTTCAAGTTCCAAGGGGCCCATATCGAGTTCGTGAGCCAGCTGGGATATGGTTTGAAGATCCAGCACGCCATCAACGTCGTCTTCCAACCTCTGCAGATTAGGTTTAGACGGAGATTCTGTAAACGAAGCGACAATGTCTGACGGAAAAACGACGTCATGGCTTGATGCGAATGTTTTTTTCAGCAGAATGTGATCCATGGTGCTGTTTGTAGCGAAATCCAATGTATTATTCTGCATCAACGCTTCGATATGCTGCACTCCTTTGTAAGCTACAATCAAAGACGATTAGATGACGGGAATCAGCCGCCGACGAGGGACACAAAATTAAATTTTACCTTTGTAGTGACTGTATAGACGAAACAGGTTATAGGCGAGTGGAATATTGGGGATCAAGGGTACAACGACGAACAGGCATGAAACAGGGACCCAATACATGGAATATTTCATATACTTGTAATGATACGGTCCTCTCTCCTTCAGAAACTGTTGCAAATGGGTGTGGATTTCTTTTTCGTTTAATAAGGAAGTATACTCGATGGTCGCCTGTATGGCCAAAAAGTAGAATGTCAGTATAGGCAGATATGGCGAATAAATTCGAAGCAGATAACTACCTTTTCCACGGGTTCTTTCAAATGTTCTCGGATAGGAACGCCTTTGAGGAACCATTCCTGGTAATCCAGTTGATTCACGACATGGTTACCTTTGACGTACAGCTTCTTTTTCCAAGTGCCGTCGTCGGCGGTGCCCAGCTGATCCCACTTTTTACTCGACCAGTCGACAAATTGGGTTAAACGTGAAGTCGACGGGAGCGATGAATGACAGTAGTAGGCCCAGCGATTACGTAGAATGGGAACAGCAACGATGCGCATGAAGGAAACACGAAAGGCTGTTGGTGTTCAACAATTTTCGCATACGCATATAATTAAAATGTTTGATTTCCTTATTTGGGTTCTATTTCGTCACCACATTTATTTACCGCCAAATTGAAAAAATTGATTGGATAATTTTTATGTTTCAGCGAGATGATTGGGTGAAAAAAGTGAAGCCCAGACGTTACGATTTGTAAATCACATGATTTACGATGATCGTGTACAAGCCATCAATAATAGAAACTCCGATCTTCGACCGGTAATATGAAATGAAGTCCCTCAGGTACATCTAATAAATCAGACTTTACTTTACCATCCATTGTCTCCATCTTCATTATAGTACACCGCGCTGATGTCATTGCGCTCAGAACTATACACGATTTTAGTTCTCCAGAGTCTCTCATGATCTATGCTTCCTTTTCTGGATGGATAGCCCATGATAAATTTGACCCGATTCAACGTTTAGTAATCTATACTTCCTTTTCTGAACAAGTCAACCGTGAATTTTTATTGATTTGAAGTAATAACCCGTACTGCACAAACTGTCTAGATTTGTTTCACTCTTTCTCTATTTTCCCCGAGTTGCAATCTTTCATAATAAAATGTCGTCTTCAAACGTTGTTTGCGCTTCCTGTGGTCTGCCCGGACACTCTCGATCCACCAACCGCAACTGTCCCAATAACCCGAGACATTTTCATGAAAACCAATGTCGCCGCCACATCAAACGTTCTTTGCATGTCTTGCGGTCTGCCAGGACATTCTCGCTCCAGCAACCACAACTGTCCCAACAATCCGAGAAATGCTCGAGAAAACAATACGTCTGCAACCCAAGGATCACCTGAAATCCGTTGCCATACTTGCCAGTAATTGGGACACCAGCGGGCCAGCCATATGGCTTGCCCATTGAATCCAGCAAGACTAGCTTCAAGAGCAGCCAACGAAAATGATGATGTGCGACGCATTCGTATTTTACCTGTACCTGTTGCTGCCGTGGAATCGCTCCATCATGTCAATGTGCCTTCTCGCGAGAGACCAGGAACGCTGAATATCGGCAGGAACGACGATTTGGAGCTTCCTGATGTGCAATATTTGGGACGCATGAATACTGTGTGCAACTTTTGCCAAGCACACATGTGGCTCAAAGAGAGCATGTCCGGATCGAACTCGAATCCGCAGTTCCAAATTTGCTGCGCCCAAGGCTCCATTGTCCTTCCGCCTTTGACTCCTACACCGCCAGCAATTGCACGCCTTCTCCGTAGCGATACCCAAGAAGGAAGAGATTTCCGTGAGCAAATTCGCGGCTATAATGCGAACTTGAGCTTCACTTCAGTTGGAGTTCAATTAGATCAATCCGTGGCGAACAATCGTGGTGGCGCCTACTGCTTCCGTATTCAAGGGAGCATTTACCATCATATCGGTGGTTTGCTTCCACCAACCGATAACCATGCGCCTGCATTCGCTCAAATGTATATCTACGATTCCGAGACTCAACTGGCACACCGACACGCCGTGGCACCTCACCTTAGAAACGCCAGTCTCCTCATTCTGCAGGATATGTTAACTGAGATCAACCCATTTGTGCCGTTGCTGAAGTCCATGGCCCAAGTCTTGCGCGAGTCAAATGGTGCCGTAGATGTACAATTACTCATACGTGCGGAAGATAGCCCTGATTCCCGCAGATATAATGCACCCACCTCGAACGAAATTGGCGTAATGATACTCGATCATACAGTGACACCCAATAGTAGTCGTGATATCGTAATTCGAACAAGAAGCTATGGTCTGCAACGCATCAGTGAAATGCATCAATATTACGACGCGCTTCACTATGTACTTTTGTTTCCACATGGTGATCCCGGGTGGAGTATCAACGCACGCTCTCCGAGTGGCCGAAACATTACGGTCATGCAATGGTACAGTCACCGCTTGATGGTACGCAATAATGGTCATGATCTACATCTCTGTGGTCGTTTATTTCAGCAGTATATCGTCGATATGTACGCCAAGATGGAGCAAAATCGCCTTAACTATCTACGGTTGAATCAGTCCAGTCTCCGCACAGAGTTGTATCGAGGTATCGCAGACGCAGTTGAACTTGGCGACAATGATCTTCAGAATGTCGGTCAAAGGGTAATTCTGCCATCCACCTTCATTGGCAGCCCAAGGCACATGCGCCAACTATACCACGATGCCATGAACATCGTACGTCGATGCGGACAGCCTGACCTTTTCATTACTTTTACTTGCAATCCGCAGTGGAAGGAGATCCAGGATGAGTTATCCCCGTTCCAGACAGCAGTCGATAGGCCCGACCTTTGTGCTCGAGTGTTCAACATGAAGCGTAAAGCTTTCCTGGAAGATCTGACGAAGAGGCATGTTCTGGGTAGAGTAGTTGCTCACGTCCATACAGTTGAGTTTCAAAAGCGAGGCTTGCCGCACCTACATTTGCTTCTGGTTCTCCATCCGGATGATAAGCCAAGAATACTCGAAGACTACGATAAAATCGTATCCGCGGAACTTCCAAACAGAGGCAAAGCGAATTTCTCGGGACTTTCAAAATGATACCGATTCCACCGATACCTGATGGGTTACAAGATAGATTGCATGCGAGAGTCGAGGACGGCACCAGCAAGAAGCAGCTTGATGCGCATGATGATCTTCTATCGTCGCGGCATTTACAGTTTTCATATTCGCGGTTTATAAGTTCCGCGACAACGAAAAAAGAATCAAGTGACTTTCCTTCCCTCTGGTTCGATTGGTGCAAGGGTTTACCAGAAATGGCGCAATAGTTTTCGGATATGCCTGGCTGCTCTCAAACGATCAATGCTACAATCAAGGAATATTCGACCAACGTCAAAACTCTATGGTCCCGCGCAGCGCCCGGAAAGATCTTGGATCGAGTGGTTCGTACTTTATTACGCATCCACTTGGCTCCTGTTCGCGAAAAAGCATACCAGGAAAAACTCAGGAAGTCGACGATTCGTAAAAGAAACGATAAGCGAAAATGCCCCCGTGCAACAAAGAAAGCGTTGAAACGGCGAATCAAGCAAGAAATGAAAAGTTTAGCGCAAGCTCAGAACAGCGAAAAGTCCCTGATCAGGTTACGCCGGTTGTATGTACAATCTGAGCCAGACAGAGAGGTGACTATGCGCGATATCACCGATGAAATCGAAACGCTGTATATATCGGATGTGCCAAATGTCGATGAAGAAGATCTGTTGGAGCTCATTGAGGAAGAAGACGACGAAGAAGAAAGATTAGAGGAAGAGGAGGGGATAGATATCCGTCAAACCGAAGAACAACAAATAACATTTGTTGACCATCAGGTGAGTCACGAGAAGGGAAGTCCAGTTCAGAATTTGCATTTAACACTTTATTAAAGGACCTGAGCTGTCGTCGTTTGAACTCTATAAAGGCGGTGGTCAAGAAGTTGATTATGGAATCAAGCACTGATGAAACCGGTACAGAATCACGTATTCAAAAGCACACACCTAGAAATATCTCAGGACAACTGAGGAACACCGAGTAATTACATTGATTTCCGACCAACTTGCCCCTTATTTTCCAAAGTACGGGAAATTGCAGAAGCACCCGGCCCTCCTGTTACCATTCATGACACTGTGTAATGCGATCTTTCGTCTGGCGGGTTACGGCAAAATTTACAAGATCAGTTCATCCTGTGGTCTCGCCATCCGCCGAACAAACGCTCCACCTAGACGAAACAAGTATCTACGAGCTTTTCGGTTCATCTTCTGGCATGTATCAATTCGTTTCAAGAAACAACAATCCCATCACATCCTTGGTCGAAGCGCGGAAAAATCCTGTCGGCATTATTGCAGCGATATTTGATCTGGGAAAAGCCAAGGACATCTGCGAGAGCTGTGGATTGACGTTCCAACACCGAATCTCAACAAATGGCAAAGTGGCGATCCTCCAAGGATCACTGATTCATCGTCGAACGTACGAAATGACATCGAGATACGATAGACGGCATGAACGCAAAAAAGCAAGTGCTAAACCGGCCGTTCAAGACGACGATACGAAAAATCAGATCGGTTCATTGACTGATGTTATTGATGGCTTGCAAAAACGGCAAAAAGAGATCGTGAAATTGAGGCAATCATTACAAAACGAGGTGAAACTGGCAAAAGGCCGATTCTATGAAGACCGTTCCGACCTGAATTTCAGAAATTGGCAAGATAAAAAGGCTGCAATGCAGACGGAAAATCGGGCGCTTTTGACATGCTGAACAAGTTTGCGCAAGGCAAAAAATGAACGTTATTTGTTGCAAGGCCAGGTAAGTTAATTTGTAAATTGAACCAACGGCTCATTGAACTAATGCAACCATATTGATAGCTGTACCGAGGAAAAGATACAGAGGAAGAAAGACGTGATACAGTCCCTACAGCAGCATTTCCTCAGTGCATGGACGGGGCGAAAAGATTGGACATCTCCCAATTACAGCATGCCGTAACTTTTTCCGGAACGGATTACGGAATCCAAACAATGTCGGTGACCGTGCCTTTGACCATACCGACCATCAGTAGGCACTTGCAGTTATACAACAGATACGCTTGTCTTGAAACTTGCGCTGACGTCGAAGCAGGAGACGTTCTTACCGATTCTGAGCTGTTCCTTCCGAAACCGGTTAAAATCCGTGCCAAGAACATCAAGAAATCTCATTTGCAAGAAGACACAGAAGAAGACGTGAAAAATTAAAAAAGGTATTGTTTTATTCACATCTGGAGAATGGCTGACTGACTGGAAAATAGATGACTCCTTCCATCAGGAGCACTGCAGAAATGTTGAGCCGTAACCCAATTTCGCACGCTTGGACGCAGGAAGAAGCATTGCATAGTTACAAAGTATGCAGATTTTTCTTGAACCAAGTGGATATACTAAACTCACACCGTCATTGTTGTAGTTACAAGAAGATGCAAGCGACACATTGCGTAATTTTTATCATAATCGCAAGTCCAAGAAGATAGCATATACGCAGTCATTGCGTACAAAGCGAGCCTATGCGATGCTGGCGTCAAGCGAACGGGCGCAAATGACCGATCGAAATGTTCCAACGAACTTAGTGATGAGCATTGGAAACGCTGGAACCGGTGATGACTCTCATGCACGAAGAGGGGGGAAGAAGATGCGGACAGAACACTCAAGAAACACGACAGTCGCTATAACAAATGAATTTTGTCATCGAAGACTTGTGTATTCTGTTTCCAACAAACAGAGCTAGCGAAACGAAGATTACCTGATGGGAAAACGAAGCAAGTCTCTGGTGCAGTCCGATGCATCAACCCAGATTGTCCTGCCGTCCGAAGAGGTCACGCAACGAGGATCGCGACCAGCAAGCTGCATTCGCTATTGGTCTGGCAGGTGCGGTCCGAATGCTTTCGAAGAACAACATGACCTTGCCACCCTTCGATCCACGGCCGCAAAGCAACGACAATATGTTATTCAAAATGAATAACGATACAAACACTATCGAGGCTATCCGAAGCGATACGCCTATGGTCCTACTCAGCTTGAGTGGATTAACAGTGGGCCAACACGCCCAAGACTAGTTAAAAATGCTAAATGAAAAAAAAGCGCCCAAATATTTTTTTTCTCGGGACTTTATCACACTCTATGGCGATCTCTTCCTTGCAACGTCTAAATCGACGTCCTTTTTGCTGAAGAAGACGCATCCGCTAATCGTCATCAGTGATACATTCAAACAAGTTTCCTTTTCGTATATTTCATATCAACTCTACAAGTACGCCTAAATGACGCGCTTTTTTCACATTCAATGGAGCGACTGAGTCTGAAATCAAACGACAGATTGGGACAAATTCAGAGCACGCCATGTTCATGAAAAAAGAAATTGTTTGTTCAAAGGATTGAGAGAAATCCATCCAACACGCCATCATGCTTCGATCATCGCGTGTTTCTCAACTAGCCGATGCTGCAACAACGGCGGAAAATGCCACCGTTTTGGAAACCAATGTCACTTCTCCGACCCATGAGGCTGGGCACCGCGGCATGTCCGATGCCAAACACAAGTTGATTCAGGAGAAAACGCGCGAACTGGAAGAACTAATGAAAATCAAGACCATGAGCGATCAAATGGTTCAGTACTTTGAAGAACTAGGCAACAGCATGCAAGAACTATCAAAAGGAGCTCAAGGTAAGCATTGTTTGCAACCCCCCTTTTTTTCTGGTGGTTTTCGTCGTGTAGGATCTAAACAAGTGAACATTAGGCGTCGCCAATACCCTTACCAACTGGGATTATGTGTTCCGCACCATGAGTTTCATGGATACAGATGACAAGCAAGCTGATAAAACATTGGTGAAACTTCCCATTGTCAACAACAACAACCAACCATCCAAATCTTCCTAAGATCTCTCATGTTTACTTTTGCTTTCTCCATTTCTATATTTATTCATCGCATCATGCTCATTCTTTGTATACCCGAGATGGACTCTCATTCACTTTTTCTTCACCAATATATAACATGTTACCATTTTACCGTTACTATGATATGAAAAAGAAAATTAGGCTTGATGGAGCTGCATCTAGGCACCGTGCAATTATCTGGGTATGGGTGGAATGCCAAATGTTTTTTTCTTCTTCTATCCCTTTATGCTCCACGCCAGCGTACCTACAGTTTCCTACATAAACTCGACCAATCGCATGCACGCTGATTGAGAACAAGTTTCATGGTTACTCTCGCTAGGCGGGTTTCCCAGTCTGCGAGATTGTAGTCCGATTTTCAAGGGACATTACTCTATCTCTGATTCCGGCGAATCTAGAACCTTCAGCTCAGTGATAAGCATTCAAAAACGTCGCATTTACCGCCAAATCCTGCGCCTTGCACCAACAAGGTTGTAGTGTCACTGCTCTGCGATATATGCTCATACCGTCCACTAGAAACACGCGGGGACCGTCTTATCGAGCTGTATACTTTTCATATGATCTCAAGAAAAAAAAAGCATGTTAGCGCTGTCTATAAATAGTGTCAAACTTGCTGAATATAGGGATTTGTTGTCATTTGTTTTTTTTTGAAGTCAAAAGGTCAGCCATCCATGAACTGGGTGGCTGTTGGATTTGATTGGCTGACAAGCGTACTGTTTCGCATGTCCCTTTTCAGCGACGGGTCAAGACCCCGCACACACTGTTTTTCACTTACTCCTCTGCCGTCCACGCAGCCGACATTCTCGTTTACTTGCAGCTTTATGCATCATGGCGACTTTACCAAAAGATGCCACTACGCAAGACCGTCTTCAGTCCACTACTTCCTCCATCCGATCTGCAACTAGTGTGCCTGAATCGATCCGTGCCAACAAAGACACCGTGAATGAAGATGCCTCAGCGACAGAAGAAGCCATGTCCGTTACCGATAACGGGAAATACGCCGATGACAGCAGAAAAAGTGAAAGCACCAGTGATAATACCGCTGTGACCTCGGTAGTGGAACCTGCAGAAGAGCGGAAAAGCATATACCGACGTATGGATCATCGCAGTGATACCGATTCAGATAAAGATCTGCTCATCTATTCGCTGCACGAATCATTGCAAATTCACAAGGAGATCGTCGAACGTATACAGGGCGATAAGGAAGATTATGAAGAACGAGTGGAGCAGGAACGAATGGTGGAAAGAGCGCAGTATGAGAAGGAACGCGAGCGGTCCCAGCAGGTCCTGGAAGACCAAACCCATCGTTTCCACCGTTTGGAGTCCGCTTATCACTCCTTGATGAAGGAATTTGAACAGAGAAAGCAAGAGTATAAGCGCATGGAGAGTAATTTCTATTCCCATGTCCGATCGATCCGCGCCACCGATGATGACTTGTCCACAGTTCAACCAAAAATTCAACAACTGCTCAGCAACGTCAATAACTTTTGTATGAGCATGAAGTCCAAGATCGATCGCGCCTCCGCCACATCCTTCATTTTTCAGCATTGGCCTGAAAAGGAAGCAGGCATTCGTCAGTACATGCTTTCCTCAGATGACGACGAAACCGATCCACTGTTAGATACTGTATTTATTACCATTTTCGCCGAAAAGTTATTGTTCAACCTCTTGGTGAAGCACATCTTGGATCAGCCACTGCATCTGGGCATCTCGGTCAATGAATCGTTCGCGGATTTGGACGCTTGGATATCGAAACGAAACGAGTCGTGGGCCACCCGATTACGACAACAACTCAGTTCTCTAATCGTCAAACAACCCAATGAAGAGGAGGCTTTGATAGAAAAGGCCAAAGAAGAAGTCGTGCAACGAATCATCGATGATCTTGGCTACATTTATCCCAAAATCAAAACAGAAACGCACGACCGCAAGAGGATCACCAATATTGTCAACCGAGCCGCCACGCTCAACATGGCCATCAAAGGTCTCGAAATTCGAATTCAAATCCTGAACGTTGAAGAAGGCGACACTCACTTTGACAGTCATCTCATGAAAGCCTCCGCCAAAGGCAAACCAGAAGGCGTGGTATTTCTCATGATCACTCCGGCATTTGTAGCCAAGGATGAAAATGATCCAGAACACGGATTCCTCATCCCATCCACCGTGTTTTGCGTTGAAAAGAAGTCTGATGTGACAGAGTAAAAGTGCATCCTCTCATGATTTATATCACCTCCAGCTGATTGAGGTGTTAATGCACGCGAATGTAAATAAAAAGCAAAATGAATGTGTATAAAAGCATCGGTGGGGAAAGGTGGAGGAAGGCAAGTACTGTATATGAAGGGGAGCTTTACTTGTCAGCCTGCTTGGACTACTAGCTACAGCTTGATCAGGCGATTCGGCGTGATCTGTGTTTAGGAAGTTGTGGCATATTGAGTTGAAGGAGATGGCTATCAACGTCTATTGGACAAGCATTGCTTGTACCACACAAATGGTTGCTCGGACACCGTTCCTTTTTGTTCATGAAACAGTGCACCGGACTTGCCTAAATAGGTCTTAGTTCGTGAACTCTTGCCTTGGCGGTGACTTTGTTCATCCCTTTCTGCACAGTTCATTTCCGGCACCCGAATTCGATGAACAAGGAAGCAATAGCCAAGTACGCGCTACAGCAAATGCTGAAGCCTCAGCAGCCAACCACCAAGCAAACCGCCCCATCGCATATCACGACACGAAGCGAGGCTGGAACCGAGACGTCGAAACAGAGAAAATGGTGGTGGAGCCGTAAACCGGAGCCGACGGCTATTCTTTCAAAGGAAGAACAAAAGATATTGAAGAAGGTCAAATCTCGAGCCTACTTTCTCGATCGTGGCATGAGCTGTTGCTGTATCCAAATCGGGTTTGACGGGTTAATTGGTAACTTTTCTTCGTGCAAAAAGCCCAATGCTTGTGATGACATGCTCATCGAGCCGGATTCATAGGTTTGATTCCCGTTGTGGGGGACTTTATCGGGTTAATTCTCGCTTTCCAACTTGTGGAGATAGCCATGAAAGCACAACTGCCCCAGCGAATCATATCGCAAATGATGTTTAATATAGGCGTTGATTTCATGGTAAAAGATGGAGCTCTCTTTGCGCGTTTTTATTGGATTTGTCACTTAATAGAAACTTCTAGATCGGACTGGTTCCCTTGGTTGGCGATATACTGGACATATTTTATAAATGCAATACAAGAAATGCACTTCTACTGGAAGACTATCTGATCAAACGACGTCAAAAGGAGTTGCGGCATCTTGACCAAGCCGGCATTTATCCCAATCATGCATCGATCCCGGCTTCGAACTCAGCCTCTATACCATTGACCCCACAGCACCACATCAAGCCAAAACCGCATAACTGATGCAGCAGAGTTCTAACTAATTAATCTGTACCAAAGAATCGCAAGCAATAGTAATAAAAACATAATCCAGCACGCAATCGTGTCATCAATTTTCCGCATTGTAAATTTGGCAGATCATCACTCTGGAAACCCTTATCACGGGTCAATTACTCGGCACTTGTTTGAGTTTCATGATGGATATAAAAATAAACTCTGTTTTTTATGCATGACACATAGTTGCCCACTGGTAAGATCAGATCATGGGCGATTGATTTTTAAAAACATCCGCGCAATAAACCAAGTATTTTTGGATCTTTTTCTACACATTGCAATGACATTCATTGGATACACTGGCTCATTTGACTTTATTATCTCATCCTTCGTGGCAGGGCCGTTTCCTTTGAGCTTGACATCAGGACAAATGACAAGGCTGATCCAAAAGAGGTCATGGTAACACACCACATACAGAAATAGAAAATGCATGCACTCTCAGGTTAACAAATTTGTTTTATGACAGTCAGAGCAATGCAAATTAAACAACTCGAGCTTGCAAGGTCGAACTGGTTGTAGTTTTTTTAGACCTTGTGTATACGAATTTCCTCAATTTATTTGTAACTCACCTTGTTTCGAAATAGTAGCAAAATATTTCACAAAAATTGCACAACATATTACAATTTCTTTGCAGTGCCCATTCTTGATCTCTGCCAAAACTCTCTGGAATTACTGTTTTACGGCTATCTTTTATTACTTTGGCATTTGTATCAAATTTCTCGTTGTCATCGACTTCTTCCAGTCATTTGTAACGGATTCATTGCTAAGCCGTAATAATAATGAATTCCCAATTCATAACGGTGAGGTGTGGTGAAGATTGAAGCGTGACTGCTTTCTTTCCAAGTGGGAAGGCACAATGAGAGAACTCCTTAACCAAAAAAAAAAAAAAAGACAACGCAAAACCAGCATTGTTAATTATAGTCTAGAACTTTGGTCAATTGTTGGCATTATTCTGTTCCTTTTTTATGGCTTCTCAGTCGTCGGATAATGCGCAATGGGAGTTTGATGCGCCTAAATATTGGGATTTCTCGAAACCGGATTCGGTGAATGCGCTCAGTGACTCGTGGTTTGGTACGTTGACATGCTGGTTCTGAACGGGTGGTTTTGCATTCCACGTTTTTGTTTTACTTATTACTTGAATCATAGCCAATGGACAAAATGTGCGTGTGCAAGCAGAGAGTAGCCGATCAAGAGAGTCGTTGCACAAGACACAGCAGCGAAAAAACGTTCTTGCACGACTGACAAAAGACACCATATCCTCTCTCAACCGCCACAACCTCAACCGAGCACGACAAATTGGCGCTTCAAATCAACCAGCCAACCCACCAAAAAGGCAATCCTACATTTCTACTTCTATATCATCAAAATACGCGGCTCCAAAAGAGAAAGCCAAAGCCCCATTGCACTCAGATCCAACCGATACTGCGCATATCAAAACACCCTCTAGGCAGTCGATCGTCTCCGAATCGAATCATTTGTCACCTGCAAGACATACCCTCACTCCCACTCGCGAACAACATACCCAATCTCCCAGACATCGTGCCAGTGGGTCCAACCGCCGGAGTACATACTCGTACTCTGCGTTGGATACACCAAGCCCGTCCGCGCCCAAACCGTTTTCGGATCCGCAGAAACAGTTTGCTCCGGTCAAGACTGCCGAAGTGGATAGTGTCATTGCGAGGTTGGACAAGATACGGCAGCAGTTGGCGCATGTGGCGAAAAATTCAGGGATCAAGCCGATCGAATCTCAACTGACGCGGAATAAGTGGCTCGATACACCAATGGATGAGTTAGCAAAAAAGAACGGATCGCTTTCTCCCAACTTCAACAGCAGTTCAGTCGATGACCGAATTCGTCGAGCCAGACGAGTCCTTGAAGAATCCAAACGAAAAAGCCAGCAATGGCTGCAAACACACACCCTTCCGGAAACGTCAGCGAGTACTTTCACGCCCTCGGTTCCTGTGCCCACCAATCTACCATCCCATTCACGTCTCTTTGATTACAGTCGACGAAACGATCACTTGTTGGAGAAATCCCAAGGTGGAATCCAGGTGAGTTTTATGCTGTGCCATAGTAACTGAAGCAGAAACTTAACCATGGATATTTTGTAGAAACCATCTGTTCGCCGAATATCCTTATTGAGTACTTCATCCAAATCAGCACTCCTTCTGGGAGATGACGACGAACCCCTCACTATCAGACAACGTATTGAAAAACTACACAATGCTATGCAATCCACCAACAACAGACGTGAATCCAAGGTAAGAATCCTTTTGATGATGATCAAACATACTTTTACAGACAAATATTCACAGGTTACTGGTTTTTTTTTTACAGCGATTTAAATCCCCTTATCTACCCGTCGCACTCACCGTGCCAAAAAGCCCCAACTTTGCTACCGACGATCGACTGAAAGCATCTCGATGAAAAACCCTCATGGCAAACGGATACTCCCTGTTTTTCCATCCATTTTCACTCTTTTCAGTTTATGAACCAAAATAAATTTACCTTTTAATTGAGATACTCTCTATCTGATCCAAACCTCAATCTGTGATATATTGATGGTCTCCATTCCAAGTCCCAATCACCCATTAATCCCTCATAAAATACCCATAATCACGTATTACAATTTTGTATTCTGCCACTGCAATATCTGTAACACCAATGATCCAACTTTTTTTCAAATAAGACCATCCCTCTCACTTGGAATGGTAGATCGTCCTCTGTTGACTTGAGCTTCCCATAGACTCGTCGCAAAATAACTTCAAGAAACATGTAATATACATCAAGCAAAATGTTGATCCATGGAAACACCCTTATCTAATCGTTTATTTAATCCTATAGAAAAGACCATCAAGGTACGATGAGTTATGGAATGATGGAAAAAGATGATAGCCGAGTTACTTACCTGACGCGATTTTAATGTTCGAGTAATGATTTGATCGGGAGTTCTAAGGAAAAGGCCCAGTTACAGCAAACCCATTAGCGAAGTAAAACAGATCATGGTAACTTACATGATGTGAACAACGGCACCCCATCCTGATAAAGCATCACGATCTTGTGCGTTCAACAATGCTTGCGAAATGGTTTCAAAGAGATCCTCGGGTTCCAGATCCGGTTCCCAGAGCGACTCACACATACCGTAAAGATTAGGTCCTGCTGTGCCGCTTACAACGAAATCTTTGGCAAAGTTGATACATCCAATCAAGTCCATCGAACAAATAAACGGTTTGTTATCCTTGCCCAAACCAGCCACTACCGGTTCTACAAAGTATGGACCAAATCTATTTTTTTCACATCGATTAGTGAGCATGGCAAGATCCAGTGACCGAGTGAATATGATGGATTAGTTACCGTCGTTCGTATAATGTCGAGGATACCAAATGAGCCAATGTCTTTGGCTCAATATCGCGCTCTTCACGCATTTTGTACATGTTGATCTTGAATCGAAATCGTTCGGCTCTGATGGTGAAGAAAAAGCAAGCAATCGTCAGTATAGAGATACTCAGATGGTAGCATATACAGGTACGTTACAATGTCAAAACATCGGTGGCAAGACCAGGCAGGCCAATGAAACTCTTTTCTGTCGCTTGGTACATCTTTTGGAATTCGGTGGAAACCGTCATGAACTGTTGACCCAATCGCTTGTCAGCCGCAATAGCCACACAGTCTTTTCCGACCATGGCGACCACCGAGCCACCGTTATATTGCATAATCGACTATATTTCAGAAAGCAAAACAGACATTTAGATTCGTCACATATAAGCGAGCTCTATGTGTGAATAAATAAAAGAGCAACGAATGGCTTTTACCATGATGATATATGAATTGCTTTACGAATAGAGTAGCGACTAGAAAAAAGAGAAAAAAAAAGACAGCTTGCCAAAGACGACGAAATTCGTAACTGGGAATACGCGTCCACAGCGCAACCAGAGGGAAGAATGACGTCGACCCATTGACGGAGTTTAATTTGGAGGTCTATTCATTTTTTTATAACAAATGCGCAATTCAGTTACTAAATTTGGACTTCAGAATTCAGTCGTGTATGTGCTTTCCACCAATAAAATATAATTTATGTTCTTTTATCACAAATGTCTCCACTGTTCGCCAGACAGCGACACGAGTTGATTGAAGCAATCATCTCGCTTCACCACATTTTCGAAGCGAAGAACCTAATGTGAAAAAATGAGTTACAACATGTAAAGAGAATAAAGGATTTACAAGCAGTGAAATATATACCTCGCCTTCGGAAGTGGTGATCTCGAGTCCGTTGGTATGCCAGATCACCACGTCAATATTTTTTGTTTTTCGGACGCCCACAATATCAGACCATGGATAGTCCACTAGTATACGAGCACCTGTTACACGAGAAGTACGGAATTGCAGGCTTTCAGGTGTAAGCACAATTCTTCCGGGAATCGTTCCCTTGTACATGCATCCATAAGCTAAGGCACAAAACAGAACAATAAATGAGAAGTCACTAGATGTCATTATCCATTACTTGTACTTACTATCGCATGCTTCTTCTGTGCTTTTCCTTGAAAGGCGTTTCTGACGACCTCGTTTTCTCAAAGTATCGTCATTTTCCGTGTCCTGTTCGATGCGTTCTTCAATGATTTGTTTGACCTGATCCACCGCAGCAGCTGCCATCATGGTAGCAAGCGTGGCGGCCGTTGAGGTGGCTTTACCAGGCATCACATCTGGTTCTTCCACAAGCTCGGTTGTGTCCGCGGTAGAGATGGAGCTGTTGGTCGATTGTGACGGTGAAGGCTTGGGAGGAACAGTAAGTGTGGGCGCGGTGATGGATCTCGATTTGACGTGATGAGGTTCTTTCGGCTTGGAGGGCTGAGTTCGACGCAGTTGGATGACTTCCAAAGCATACTCAGCATCGTTTGGCACTCCCCGAAGCAGCCAATCAATGACGTTGAACGCACGTCGATGCGTGGGGTAATGCGAACGCAGTGCCTGTAAAAAGAAAAACTCGACGCCAATCCAAAGCAGCAGGAGCTTGCCGAGGTACCGCATTGGCATGTATGCAAGGACCACCGTCACAATGATAAGGACACACAGCAGCAGTCGTGTCATGGCTGGACGTTTCCACGTAATCAAACTAGAGCAAACCGACTAAGTCTTCAATGACCGAATCCAAACCAATCATCACCTACTTTTTCAGTCGTTCTAATCGATCCACCAAGTCATTCATCTACACGTCAATTATCAGACCTTGTCCATGGAGTTAAATAAATAAAAAAGGATTATGATTGGATTTTTACCAAGAGTTGCGCCTTGGGTCCGTACTGTTCTTTGACATCCGAACGCCATTCGCTCAAGGACTTGTGTTCCAGGGCGCTGAATCCCAAGTATGGCTGTGTGCCGTAATGATGGCGAAATTTTTTCCAAAAGCGACCGTTGGTTTCTGGTACTTCATTATCCTTGGCAAGTGCCTCTACTCCGTACTGTGCGAATGTATCCATGCGGATGGAAATAATAAACATGATCAAGAGTGCAAAACTGACAGTCAGGAGGAGATCATGATACCACAGAATCACGTAGATCTGTTATGCGGGATGAGTAAATCACGTTTGGATGGGCTGTTATGTTCAGCTTACCGAAAGACTCGCGCCTGTCACCCACACCTTCTCCCATCGGTAAACTCGGCGTATAGACTTTGCAGGCTTGGCCAAGGGCTCAAGAAGCAGGTACAAACGATCCATGCTGCTTTTAATGACATGTAGCGAAAAAGGCTCCAATCGATCGTCAATACGATCACCGGCTTGTGAATTTACAAGATAAAGGAACCACTATAAATCAGGTTTAGCATGAAATTATACATGTCACATGGACGCCTGGATGTTTTGTCCCTTACCGCCTGTATAAAAGCTGTCCACTGGACCGATATTGTACCCTGATCGTCACGGATTTCAAAGTCGGCTCGTACAGGCGGCATAAGATGGCTCTTATTGGTACGTTTCACTTGACGTACGTGCTTGTGCAAGTGAGAGTAATAAGAAGCCATTTCGTCCGGCGGATTGACTTCTTCGGATGGCGATGACTGAGGTGAAATGGCGGCTGCTCGCGCAGAAGATTCCGCTACACCAACGTCCGAGGTTGATCGAGGCCGTTGACCCGATTTGCCATGAATTTTTGAAAAGACATTGGATGCACCAGCACTGAGCCGGTGATGTTTTGTCCGAGGAGGTGAGATAGGATAATCTGTTTTTGAAGTTCGAGGCGGTAACTGGGGTGGACCAGGGTCCAATCGATCAAAAGGTACCTCTGGCATGTTCATGGAGAAAGAGGGAATTGGGCAAAAGGAGAATGGTTTCAACTTGCCCAAAAGAGGAATAATACCATTTTAGGCAGTGTGTTTTTAGAAACGTGTGCGTTCCGCTTGAAAAATTATGCGTTTTTTTTCTTTGAAATAAAAAAAAAAGCGTCATGTCAAGCATAGTTTCCTTATGCGACAGTAGCTCCATTTTGGAAGTTTTATCTTATGTTACAGTAGTGTAAAAGAACTGCTTTGTACAATACAAAAGATAACAAAAATCCATTGTACAGCAACTTAAAAAAAAGAGCAAATATTATAGCAAGGTACCTTTCATTTGTTTTCGCAGCACCAATTGCTCGCTCAGGCAATTATGGCGTACTAATTGAGAGATGGTTTTTATTGATTCTGATTTATAGTCAGGGTGGCGGCAGCTGCCAACGCAAGTTCTGCAGAAGTCATGTTTGAACAGTGTGGTACTTTGTATGAAAATACAGTAACTTTGTTGTTGCAAAACTCCAAGGTACCTTCTCAGGCGCCAAATAACGGCAAATTTTCACAATGGACGATGACTTTTACGACACACCGTCAATGTCAAAAACTTCGTCTTTATCAGCACCCACCGTTCTTGTGTTTTCCTTCATATTATCTCCGGGCAATTTCCTGCTTTAGGTGGTTGATGACACTGACGGTGATATTGCTGTGGCTTGAAATGCTTACAAATCAGAAGATATCATCATCTTTTTTTACAAGGGAATACATGAGGCACAAAAAGGATGCCTCAAAAGCTTCACAGCCAATTGTATTTCTGAGAATGGGGATGCGTTTTCTTATTGGCTGCGAAACTCGGAGTGTGTGTTGTCTTGGCACCACGCATGCTTAATTTTCGTTCCGAGGAAAAGAAATGCGTTATTTTCTGTTATTGGTTACAAAAAACCCTCAAAACAGTAAATACGAAGCCTGTTAAGACAAGTCAACAGATTTCTAAGCATCTGTGAAATGGGCCTGGGGTACACTTCGTGCTTTCTTCCTACTCCATTGGCCATTCAAAGAACAACCAAGTTCCGAATAAAAAAATGTTTGAAACCATACTTTTTTTGTCCATGGGCTCATTCAAATCTTAGTCACCATTCCACGTGGCGTCTCTGTTATGCTCATTAAGCAACATGTGAGTTCATGTCCGTACAAATAATATGCTCATACTCTGAGGAAAAAAAAATTAGTCGAGTTTTTCTATCAAGAAAAAGCGACTGTTGGGCAAACTAGACGCATGGGTCCTTCCAGCTTGACCGTAGACCTTGAAAAAGGGTCGCACACAAACTGAAAGGGGTCTTTTTCACCTATTTTTTTCACCTTTTTAAAAAAAAAATTCTAGTTTTCATTTTCTATACAAAAAAAAGTGATATGCGATCAACGTCAATATGAGTTTGGGGTGGAAATGCTGGAAATAAGGGAATGGCGCTAAGAAAAGACAGGCTAACTCTAATTGTTCCATTTTAACAGTAGAGAGGATCGGTAGTCGTAGTTTGACGAATCAAGTTCGTCGGAAAGAGTGGGTTTGGAATATCGAAAAACTTTAGGCGGTTCGGTGGTGAAACGCACAGACCGTGATCGACGCAACCCTGACGCTGGTGGAGCAAGTAAGTCTGACCCTGTCGAAGTTTGTAGAGAATCTGTCCTTGGTACATCCGTCATGCTTGAGGAACGTCGCACAAGAATGCCGTGGGGATTTCTGTCATCCGGTGACGGTGAACGAACAATAGATGGAGCCGACAGCAAGTCCGATTGATGTTGTTCTTGCTCTTCCTGTTCTCTTTTGTTTATCAGATCCTGCAATTTTTGAAAGCAATCCCCATGGCTGCGTCCATTGCCATGCGACCGAGGCCACGCCGCCGGTTTCTGCGGTGAAGGAGCTACAGGTACATCAGACGAAGGAGCTGGACTCATAGTTATAGTCGTCATGGACAAGTATCGATTGAGTGAGAAAAAAAAAGGAAAAAAAAAGTTTTGACAGAGAAAAAAGAGAGTTGAAGAAAAAAAAAGGACTCTTGACAGGTCGCTTAAATTGGAGGGGTATTGGAGCAATAAGGAAGCGGGATGCAAAGTCTGGCCACAAAAAGCACCAATGAAACAAATCCAATCCTGATTCATACACACTCAACAATTGAGAATGGAAAATCATTTTTCGCTTTTTTCGAAAAGTTCTTTTTTTTTTGGGCAAGCTTTTTTAGGGAATGCTTGCAAAAGAAAAAAAAAATCGTATTGTTATGTACAATGTTGGCAAAAAAAAAAAGCTTAATTTTGCCGGTTTTATCCTTCCTCTGTCTGAGATACTACTGCGGATCAAATTATTCACCGTACTCATCATCTTCATAATCGTCTTCCTCCTCTTCATCATCATCTTCGTAATAAGCTTGCTTTTTCCTTGGTGTAGGCGCGTTGTTCCACGTTGGCTGTTGTGCTGGCGGCATGGCTTGATAACCGGCAAAAGGCCGCTTCCCCGGCATCGGAGGTTGCATGGCCATTCCGTTGCTATAATTATGCAAAGGCGGTAACATGCCACCCGGGCATAAACGATTTAGTGTTTCATCAAAGATTTTCTAAGATAAAATAGCGTGTTTAGAACGATCCCTGTGGCAATTCATCAGTTCATGCCAAGTGAAAATTTTACCTGCATTTCATCGGCGTCTTGATACACGATCGATCCTTCTTCGTTGAAAGTTCTGGCATTATCAAACATCAGATGGAAATCATCTCGGAACTGAGCAATCGTTTTATAGTGCGACGAATGAATACGCTTCTTGATCATTTTCATAGCAATAGGTTGCTTGATCATCATATAATACATGGGGTAATCGCGTTTGCTCACAAGATCCATAAACAATTGAGCGCGTTGTCGATAGGTGCTGCAGAAAACACAAGACATTAGAACCACTCGCGTTTCAACCGTTCCATAAGTTCTTATTTTTTGTTCACTTACTGTTCGTCCTCTTCGGTGGACTCTTCCACTGCTTTGTAACATTGTTCGAATACACTGGTCATCTGTCTTCGAATTTCTGGAGGTACAGGATCACTTTCCGTTTTCTTTGATCGTTTGCGCTTGGCCTAACGATCCCACCGGAAAATTAGTGAGAGGTGGAGGAGGTCTACTATCGCTGCCTAGTTTCAACTTACCGGATCTTCTTCTTTCTTTGGTCGTCCTCGCTTCTTTGAAGGGTATGGTTCATCGTAAGCAACGATATTTTCTTCTCGCTGTCGTCGTCCACGTCTGCTTCCGGTATCACTGACGACCTTGTCTCCAGTCTCCTGCGCTTCCATCAGACGTTTCCGTCGTTGTTCGTTCTTTTCGATTAATTCGTCAATGTCGTCTTCATTCTCCAAGGCCTTTAGAAAAAGCGTCGTTAATATCAAAGCGATCCTGAAAACGACGAGAATTTCAACTCACATTCAACCACTGTTCTTCGGTCAAACCGTCGTCATAACGCACATCGTCCTTGGCCCGTCGTCCGCGACCGAAATCCAATATGGGTTTGATTTCAGGTACAGGTTCTTCCTTTAAAAGATATACTTCTGGAAGTTCATCTTCTTGTATCAGACGCTCGGGCTTCTTGCCACGACCGCCCATGCGACGATATTGATCCAGTTCATTTCGATGGCGTTCCGCATCAATCTTTCGGAAAATGGTCAATTCCTCATCTGATCGTTTCAGCATTTCGTTCAACTCTTCATCATCCATCTCTTCTTCCGCGTCCACGTCATTATCCTCATCATTTTTGTCTTCCAGCAGCGAACGCTAATACACCCCATGCTTAGTTTCGACGAACTCTTATTTTTGGAAGAATACAAATGCCTTACCAGGAATGCTTCTCTGTCTTCATCCGTACTTCGATTATCGAATTTACCAGCCTGAATAACTTTGCCATCGATATCCAATTTATAGTTGGCCTTGGCCAGGATATTTTCTTCAATCGAATTGGCCGAGATTAATCGGAAAATGCGCACTTCTTTGGTTTGACCGATACGATGAGCTCGATCCTGCGCTTGGAGATCCTGATGAGGATTCCTGGAGAGAAATAAAAGTCAGAAAAGGCATCAGCGTGACGGGTGATCGTTGATGGCAGGGACAACGAAGATAGCTTACCAATCAGAATCAAAGATAATGACAGTATCAGCTGTTTGCAAATTGAGACCTAAACCACCGGCGCGGGTGCTCAACAAGAATAAAAAGTAGGGTGAATCGGGAGCGTTGAAAACCTGAAGCAGTTGCGAACGATCATCGGCCTTGGTAGAACCGTCCAAACGAAGGTAAGTGAAACCTCGATAATTCAGAAAATCTTCCATGATGCTCATGATTTGGGTCATCTGGAAAAAGATCAAGACCTAAAACATGCCAAGCATAGAGTGAATATTTTTCCCGTCAGCTTTCTCCCATGGTTCTTTATCCCATTCTTCTTTACTTACGCGATGCCCGGTTTGACGCAGTTTGGGAAGCATACGATCCAGCAGTTCAAATTTGCCCGCCACTCGGTAAAGCAATTCATTGGACGTACGGTTGGGATTGATCGAGTTTTCCACTTGCTCAAATACAAAGGGATGGTTGCAAATCTTTCGGAGTTGCATCAGTGTATTGTTAAGACCCTTGATGCCTGTACGTCTGTGGGTTGCCGTAGGATTAGTTGTGGTTTCCATCCAAACCATTCCATTGCTTGGTCCAACTTACCCTTTCTCATTGAGACCGGTGTAAAGATTGCCACTCTTCTTCATTTGAGCGTAAAGTTTGACTTGCAAAGCTGATAACTTGCATTTAATCACCCGTTCCACCTTGTCCGGAAGTTCCGCTTCCACATCCTTTTTCAGACGGCGCAGTAAGAATGGACGCAGCACTTTGTGAAGACGCTTAATAATCAGCAGCTGTTCTTCTTCGTTGAGATCGATTTTATCCTGCACGCCTTGGTTAGAGAACGGGGTATTGAACCATTCTTCAAAGCTCTTGACACTCTTGAAAATTTTGGGTAAAATGAAATTGAGTAGTGCCCACAGTTCAGGAAGGTTATTCTATAAGTGATGGTGAGACAACCGAATCACACAAAAGACACCATACTGAATTGCTGAACAGCGACGGGTTATTTTTATATACCTGTAATGGGGTACCGGTCAAAATAAGGCGGTATCGAGAATGATAGTATTGACGCAAGGCGAGAGTAAGTTTGGAATTGACATTCTTCATACGATGACCTTCATCCACAATCATGTGCAGCCATTTGACTTTACTCAGCAGCGGGCGATCCTTGATGATATATTCAAAGGTCGTTAGCAGCACCTGGAAATCACCATGTCTGATTTCCTGTTGCAGCGATCGGCGCACCGCAGGTGGACCCTTATAAACAATTTTTGAGACGGACGGTGCCCATTTGTCGAATTCCATATTCCAGTTGGTAATTGTGCTACACGATAACTAATGAGTCTTCTCAATCCAGACTGGGTTTCCACAAAAACCAACTTACGACAAAGGTACGATAATGAGAAAAGGACCATTCTGACGCTTCTTCTCGATCAGATAAGTGATCAAGCTGAGGGTTTGAATGGTTTTACCCAGACCCATTTCATCGGCCAAAATACCATTCAGATGATTGTTATACAATGACACCATCCATTGAAGACCCTTCAACTATCGCCACCATTCACTATCAGTCATCTGAAGCTCCAACAGCATCCTTTTACAAAACATACCTGGTAATCCTTCAAACGACCACCCACCAGCATATTCGGCTGCTGCACTTCTTCTTTGACACGATGTGTCACTTGGAAGTAATCTACCTTGGTGTCGGATTCCTTTCAAACGACGGTGTGAGTCAGATGATTTTCATGTAACGCCAGTGGTGCCAATTTTTTCCCCTCCCATAAATAAAGTAATACTTACATCCGTTGGAGATGATACTTCGTCGATACCAGTGCCTTGGCCTTGATACATAGAATCATTTTGTTGATCCAAGACCGCTTTTGTAAGCGATTCCAAAAAGGAGCCGGTTTGTTTCAACAGTTGGGTCAAACGTGTATCCTTGGCTTCATCGATCAATTTCATGTAAGCTTCTTCATCGTCGTTCTTCAGCGCAAGGATACGTTCCTTGGAAATGCGTTCTGCCTTCTTTTGCTCTTCTTTTTCAATGTGCTGATGGAATTGAACAACAGCCCGTCCCAATTTGGATTGCTTCGCCTCCCATAAACGCTGCGTTGCCAACAGGTCGCGTCCATGGTCACAGATCGTTTGCAAATAATCCAAATGTTTTTGTTTTTCAAACTGTTCGCGATCGATACGTTGCTGACGTTCAATTTTCTCTGTCAAACGTGCCTCATGCAAACTTTGCTTCTTCATGTGACGGTAAGCCATGCGATCCACGGTGGTCGCCAAAACCGTAGCTTTTGTTACACCGTTTGTAAATTCTTCGCGTAGCTATAAGAGCACAGACTTCAGTTGTTCTGACAGACCAAAATAACCCCTCCTCCGCGTAACTGCTCAACCCACCTTGCGTTGTTTCTCCAAAAGTTTAAGCGCTTTGAGTTCAATGACAGCCTTGATCCGCAAACCCGGCTTTGTACCCTTTGATTGAATATCTTTCTCGAGATCGGCCATGCGCTTTTCCAACGCCTCTGTTCCTGCTACCTTTTCCAATTGATCGATGCGATGGTGAATCCTTGCTTGAATACGGCGTTCACGTTCCTTCATGACCAGTTGAACATCGATACCACATGGGGTAATGCTAGGTATCAGTAATCGCTGCTGTCGAGAAGCGTGGGCATAAGACGAAATCGGTTTCTTCAACAAATGATAAGGTGACGCATAAGCATTGAATTCCGGTTCTCTCAGTTGTGGAGAGATGGATGCGGCCTGTGGCGTCACCAATTTCTCAGGGGCAGGTACCGGCACGGAATTGGCAGGCGACACGCCATTGGGTGCCGTACTTGCAAGCACCGGTGTGTTACCTTGGAAAGGTGGATTTACGGTGGGTGATGCTATTTTCACCCCTTGTCCTTCCGATGCGGCCGGTGAAAATACGGCTTGTTGTATATTGGGCGGGATGGGCATATTCTTTGATATCAGCTTGTAGGCGTAAATTTGATATTTCAATGCAGAAAGCTGGTTCTGTGTGAAGACAGATGCCGCTTCTGACCCTGTATTACAATCGAAACGGTAAGTTAAGGAACAGCGTTATTCAACGGACAGAGCAAAAACAAACATACCTGGATAGCCTGTATTTGAAGCTTCGACAGCGGGAGACATCTGCGTCGGCTGCATTGGATGCGGCTGTGACATGGGCTGTGGCGGTCGCTGCTGTGTGGGCGTGTAGGCTTGTTGCTGAACGGATTGAGGTGGAGTAGCATGAGATGGTTGTAATGAAGGCTGTGTTTGTTGTTGTGACGGCGGGGTCGGTTGTTGCTGTGTGGGTAATGGTGGTTGTTGGTGCTGTTGTTGTTGTTGCTGCTGCAGTTGAGGTGATGATTGAGCCGACATGGGGGATTGCTGCATATTAGCGGATCCATACGGTGACATGGACTGACGTTGCTGCTGTTGTAGCATTTGTTGTGTCTGCAGATTCTTCAGGAACCGCATGATGCTTGCTAATTCCATGTTGTTATCTTCTCTGGCCCCTTGCGATTGCAAGAATCGAGCGCGCTGTAGAACAAGGTTGCAAAGTCAGACATTAGTGGTAAGTGAGAATGCTCGAAGAAGACGAGGAAGTTGGGGGGCACGGTTTGTCTACCTGAAGTAAGCCATTCAGCTTATCCTTGGTAATGTTCCCAGGCATCATGTTCATCGAAGGCCCGTTTGGCGGCATGCCACCAGAAAGAGAGCTCATTATGCGAATTCACCAGAAAGAAAAACCAATAATACGCTGAAGCCAATGAATACCAATAAAATAAAAAGTGGCAATAGGTACACAAGTTTCGCGGTGTCAAAATAACACAGTCTTGAGGCTGGTTCTGCAAAAAAATAAAAAAAAGGGCAAGAAAAAAAAATAAAAAAAAACCCAGTTTTTAGTCGACCATGTTCTGTCATAATGATTTGCTTCTCCCATAAGAAAAAGTCTTAAGTCAAAGAAAGCATGGAGTGCGATAGAATCTGCATAATTCTAATCGATAGGACAAAAATAGCTGGTTCTGAGATAGGTTATACTCACTTTTTCTAACAAGGTTTTTTTTTTCTGAGGAGAGAAAAGACAACTTGCATCAGCGAAACCGCCCGCTCAATATTCATTTTTCCAGGGAATCTCTCATTGGTTGGTTTTTTATTTACGTCATTGACTATATTCAAAGGCCGCCATTTGATCCTGAATGGGTGTTGTGGGCATGCTCCCGATATTTAAGGGCTCTTCTTCGTCTACAAGTTAAAATTCATGAGTTTTCAACTTGATGCAAATATGAGTCTAATAAGATCAATGGAGAGATTATGTAATCTGTTTATAAAGCTTAAAATGCTGCACTGGTGGTCTGCTTTGTTATGATGTGGCGCTTCTCAAGGGCCGCCCTTTCCAGTTTAGAGACAAAAAGTCATTTGTTTGCTATTCGCAGATGTCCCAAAGAAAAGCAAATGCACAGTTGACTTGAAACTACCTTTGGAGAATGTTTTTTCTATGCGGTTCCCAGCATAAGAGGTGCATCTGTTATATAATGTAGACCAAATGACGTGTCTTGAGAAACAAAAATCATACGGACCTCATCCTAAGGTAAACCACCACAGTTACCATCATTTGTGATCCATGAAATGGTTATTTTACTGTGACTGCTGCCATATTCCTGCTCGAGAGCGGCCAAAGGACAAAGACCTTGTTGCTGTTTATTTGTTAGGTTTGCTTCCGGAGGGGAAGATCGAATATTGGCAAAGTACAACTTATCAATGCATACGCTGCAGTATGCTTTGTCCAAAGGTATATGAATTTGGCCACATCTTATCATCTGTTTGGATGGCAGCGCCCTGTTATAATGAAGAAGAAATACAAATGGGATCATCACGAATGGTGAGGCGAATTTGGTGGACGGCTCGATTTTTGAGAGTCAGCACAAGCACGATCTTTTTAATTTTTTTTTTCGTGCCATTGTCACGTAGACACACTTTTGGCACACCGTTTTTCAATTGCTTGTAAGAATGGGCATTGAAAAATACTTTTCCGCGAATAAGGTTAAGGTAGCTGCTTCAGCTAATCTATCCATTACATTGTACGCTGATCATTATGTATACAACAGGAGGGCAACACTGGCAATGCCAATCCTACCAAAGCCAAACGCGTGCACCGTATCGCTATTGGTAAGAGACTATGTTTCTGTGACCACCCCTCATTTTGTTGACAACTGACCCTCCATGTAGAATCGGACGATGACGAAGATTTGTAAGTATATACACTTGGCACGAATTCACTATTCGCGATCGCTGATCTTGTCCGCAGTCAGCAGCCCATTTCAGTAGCTACCGCGAATCATGCCAAGATGCCCAATAATTCCTCAGCAAAGCGATCAGAGAAAAACGTATCTGCATCGCCTAGCCCTGATCCAGAACAGAGACCAAGGTACACATTCCGATGTCAATACAGTCTTGTCACGGTTCATAATCTCACTATCGCTGTAGGAAACGACAGCAGATACAGGAGCCAACCAAAGAATATGTCGATCCCAAGGATTTTTTTGCGTCGAGCAAAAAGAGTAAGCCGGCCAAAGCGCTTCGAGAAAATATGCAGCGAGCTGTTCCTGTAAATGAAGAGATCAAACGCAAAGAGACCCGTGCTCCCGAAGTGTCAAAGATCCAATCCGACGTGTCAACGGTACCGAGTCGTGATGGAAACGAGGTAGCGAGAGAAACCATCGATTCATCGCAAATCGTGGTTCCCGACGTTACCTCGGTGAAAGCACCTATCGGCGAAAATAAATCGACGCCCAGTCCGTTAAAAAAGGAGCGTTCAGAATCTATAACGAAAACAGACACACCATCATCCACACCCCGCCAGGGTCAGCTTTCACCTGTAAAGCCCGCTCCCATGCCAAAGTCAGTGAACAAAGCTGAGCCAGTGAACAAAATCAAGGAGACCAAGGTAGCTGAAAAAGCAGAAAATGGGATGGCTTCGCCAATGGCGGCAACCAGTACCAAAGAAACCATATCCGTACCGAAACCTAAAGCGGCACCTCCCACTCCGTCCGCTATTGATAAAGGAAAACAAAAGGCTGGACCGCTTACGAATCAAAGTCCAGTCTCCCGTCGGTACGTGCTTGCTCTTATTACCGTTCAAAGTATATTCAGCTTATTAAATTATGTGATATTCTAGTGTGGATTCAGAGGAAAATTCTCTGTGGACAGAAAAGTACAAACCCAAAACGATGAATGAGATCATTGGCAACAAGGAAATGGTGAAGCAGATTGCTTCATGGCTTCAGCGTTGGTATGTTTAATTCAACAAGGGATAAAAAGGAATACTAGCAATGATCAGTTGACAATATTACTTCAGGCAACCCAATGTGACGATATCGAAGCCTGTTGATAACGACATTCACACTTTTCGTGGTGTCTTGATCAGTGGTCCACCAGGCATCGGCAAAACCACCACGGCCCAAGTAGTGCCGAAAGAACTCGGTTATGAAGTATTGGAATTCAACGCCAGTGATGTTCGCAACAAAAAAGTGCTCGAGGTATGTGATGCCATTCTGGGAAAAAAATCGTCCTTTAGTTTTTTGCTAAAAGATACTCGCATCTGTAGGAAAATCTTTCAGAAATGATGGATAATCGCACCATGACCGAATTTTTTATGGCCGGAAAACCATCGGTTACGTTACCCAAGGGCAAGAAGATTGTGCTTGTTATGGATGAAGTGGATGGTATGTCAGCAGGGGATCGTGGTGGAGCTGCGGAATTAGCCAATCTGATCCGAAAGTCAAAGGTAAAAAAAATACTCTCTCCCAACCGTGTTCATGAAATGATGAAGGCTGAATAATTGGTCACAGATTCCTGTGATATGTATATGTAATGATGTGCGATCCAAAAAGGTAGCGCCGCTACTGAAAGTCTGCTTTGATGCACGGTTCAAAAGGTAATAGAGATATACAACAATGTGGAAAAAAATACCCATCGATAGGAGATACCAAACGTCACATATACTTACTGTAGAACGCCGGTCAATCAATTACGTGCACGCATCATGACGATAGCATTCAGGTAAAGACGTTGAAGACTATGTGGGCAAGACAAACCGCAAACTGATCAATTCCTTGCAGAGAGAAATTGAAAATGGGAGCGGGGGCTTTGGATGAATTGGTGGCCTCGACGGGAAATGATGTGCGCAAAATTATCAACATCATGTCAACGTATCGATTAAAGGAAGAGTCGATGACCTATGATCAGGCCAAGATCACGTAAGTTCATCGTATGCTGTGTGCATTGTAAAAGCATACTAATGCTCACCTGGGATGCCAGTGGTGAAAAGAATGAAAAATATGCGCAAATGAGCGTCTTTGATATCCCGCACGCTCTGTTAAGTTCGACTTCCTGGCATTCAAAAAACTTGGCACAAAAATCGGAGGTGTATTTCCACGATTATTCGCTTGCCCCGCTGATGGTATTTGTATGTTGATGGATCAATCCCCCCGATATTTTTGCGTGAACCGAGGAAAAACGAGGAAGGGCTAAACTGATGATAGGAAAACTATTTGAGATCGACGCCGGAAAAGGCCGCTCAGATGTCTAAATCGGGCTCGCCACGAGATATTGGTTGTTACACCATGGAATTAGCCTCCAAGGCCGCCGAAGCCATGGCGGACGGTGACTTGGTTGACACGATGATCCACGGGTAAGTCTACCATAATGTTCCTAATATTTTGTCCCACATTGAAATTTGACATCATTGTCTCGATGCAGCACCGTGCAGCATTATTCTTTGATGCCGCTTCACTCCATTTTCTCATGTGTCAGTCCAGCTTCGTTTATGGAAGGTAGTCTGTCGGGCGGTTTCCGACTGAATTTCCCTGCGTAAGTAAAAACCCCATACTAAAAATATGCATCATTGAAAAAAAAGGGACATTTTCATTCATCGAGGAGAAATGTATAGATGGCTTGGACAAAATTCGAAAGCTGCGAAATACGCACGACTTATGAGTGATGTGCAGACCCACATGCGATCAAAGGCTTCCGGAGATAAATACGAAATACGACAACACTATGTGCCCACCCTGAATGCCCGAATTTTTAGCAATCTAAAACAGGTAATCCATCACGTTTGTGCAACGCTTGAGCCGGCGGCACCCTAACCTGTCAAAAAAAGGAAAATTACCAAGAGGCCATGCGTGTGCTCGATTCGTATTATCTCGATCGAGACCATCTCGACACACTCAGCGAAATTTGCCTTGGACCTCAAGCCCCATTGAGCGAACTCCCCACCAAAACGAAATCTTCATTTACACGACTGTAAGTTACTTTGAATGCGGTTCTCAAGTCAACATTCGATGGTTCCTTTTTTTTTGGCTTTCTGTCTTATCGGAATTTTCTATTTTTGTTGATAGTTACAACTCAAGTCAACATCCGATATTGTTTCAAACGGGTGGCACTCCAATTAAAAAGGCAATATCAACTCCGTCGGAAGATCTGGAAGGGGCTATATTTGATGACGAAGAAGCTGATTATGGTGAAGCGGTGTCCGAAGAAGAAGATGACGAAAAGGCCAACGATGAGAATGCATTGGATGATGATAAACTTATTCGTCAAAGCAAAAAGAAAAAGCCGGCCAAACGAAGCAAATCGGCTCAAGCTGGACGCTCCACCACGAAGAAGCGAAAGACATAAGATTTCTCTCTCTCTCTGTAGGCCATCCCCTCATTGTCCCCTTTTTTTCATTTTTATAATTCATGCCTTGATTTCTTCTTCTTCTACATCCTTTAGAGTCAAACAGAGGCCGTTGTAAATATATTTTCATTATTTAAGAAAAGTACACTTCTATATAAAAAAAATTCATGTTGGCTGAGCAAGAAATTTTTCATAAATCAGAAACAAAATAACAATGTTGAACCATTTGCGTGCGGTGCCTGGTTTTTTTTTTTTTTTTTTGGGTGATTTGCGGGTATATGTATTTTATTCTTTTTATTCTTTGTCTAGCCCCTTTGATTCTCTCTTCCTCTTCCTCCGCTCTGTGGTGGTCTTTTTTCCCCTTGAATTACAAAGCTTCATGCCGTCCGATATTCATCTCTCCACACGATCGACACGAGGTGGATGCCTCGATTCATCACGCATGTGGCTCGCCTTGTACTTCTTTCTGAATTTGGCCCTCACCCTTTATAACAAGGTGATCATGTCCATTTTCCGCTTTCCTTTCCCCTGGACGTTAACGGCGATACATACCTTGTGTGGCGCTATTGGTTCTTTTATTTTTTGGAAATGCGGGATCTTCACTCCAGCCAAACTCGGCCAACGAGAGAATATTGTCATGCTGCTATTCTCGGTGTTATATACCATTAATATTGCTATCAGCAATGTTTCACTGTAAGTAGAAAATTTATTGGCAAGCGAGTGTGGACAGGAACAAAGAGTGAAAAATATTATCCGCCCATACTGACAGGTCTCTCATCTTGTAGGAATCTAGTTTCCGTGCCTGTAAGTTAGACTCAAGTAGATGGGATGGTGGCAACTGATAAGCCCTTTATCGATGAACAAGAAACTAATGATGGGAACGCTTAGTTTCATCAAGTAGTACGCGCCATGACACCCGTGTTCACCATTATGTTGTCCGTCATGTTTCTCAGCAAAACCTACTCGCCAAAAATTTACATATCGTTGCTACCCGTAAGTTTGCGTCTGTTTGAATAGAAGAGACTGAGTGAGGCATCGTTGATAACCCATCGAGCTTAGGTCATTGCAGGTGTGGGATTTGCAACATTTGGTGATTACAACTATACCGGTATGGGTTTCTTCCTGACGGTGTTGGGAACGGTTTTGGCTGCAGTGAAAACGGTGGTGACAAACCGAGTCCAGGTCGGACGATTGAAGCTCCACCCATTGGATTTGTTACTACGAATGTCTCCACTTGCATTTGTTCAAACATTAGTGTATTCCTACGCTACAGGCGAAATGGAACAAGTCAACGTATTTTTTGATGAGAGCTTCAGTATGTCCTTGTTTTGGGTGTTATTGGTGAATGGCATCTTTGCATTTTTCTTGAACGTCGTGAGCTTCACTGCCAACAAGAAGACAAGCGCATTGACCATGACAGTGGCTGGTATGTTGGAAGGATGATTTTGTTACTAGCTTTTTTCTTTTTTTACGTGACTTGACTGATCAAACGGGGGTATTCGGTATTATTTAGGCAACGTAAAGCAGGTCCTTTCCATTGTGCTCGCTGTTATTATTTTTGATTTGAAAATTACTGTGATGAACTTGGCTGGTATTTTGTTGACACTTTTTGGAGGAGCATGGTATACGTAAGTGACTCGGGAGATGGTATACATGACTGGTTTGCTAAGTTAGCATGCTTTTTTTTATAGTCAAGTAGAAATGGCAGAAAAGAGTCGAAGCAACCGGTTGAGCTCACATGATTCTTTACTGGGCACCTCCATGAATATGAACGAGAAAACTTTTCGATGAAGGGTGTGTCCTTATTTTAGAAGCGGTAACTTTATTCCATCATTCTTTATTTTCATACAACCATTTCTTTACATCTCAACTATCTATCCTCTCCCGATCTATATTGTCATCTAACATCACAAAACGACTCGAGAGATTCATTGCGCTATCACTTTCCATAAACGAACATGCAAATCAAAATAAATACCGAAATCCGACAACTTGCCTTTTATTCCTTTTCATGTGAGCCGTTCCAGGATGCCGTTAATCTTATTGACTGGCTGTTGAAAGAGGTGATGACAATTTTTTTGTACGGCAGTAAAGGATGATACATAATTGAACGGCTTGCAGCGGGTCGTGAGCATAACGTTCATTAGTTGGCACATAGGCTTTTGGTAAGCAATATTCAGAATATCCTATAATAGACATGGTTTGGCTATTGGAGCAAATGGAAAGGTGTTTCAAGTGCGGATGTCGGACATTGGATGCGAGCAAAAAAAGTTCCACAAAACATCATTGGGGGAAGTTGGGAAAAGGAAAAACACAGAAATTTTCGGAAACCCCAACCCGAATTGAGACCTCTGTCAAGCGATAAACCATCAACCTGGAAACAAATTGGCGACAAATATATGCAGTTCAGCATCGTACAACGCCTGTTTTCTTTTTTGATGCACTCATAGCCCATCCATATCTCTGAGCAATGAAGATTATTTATTTACGATGATTTTGATATGAAAATCATTTAGTTTTCGTAGATCAAGCTGTGGAGGGACTTGCTGCGTTCATAAGACTTGACACCGCGGGGGAACCACAAAGCGATCTCGCGCTCAGCAGATTCGACAGAGTCGGAACCGTGGCAGACGTTACGGCCAACCTGTTGGTAATTTCGTAAGCATGTATTTCTTCATGTTTTATCCACGTCCTTTCTCAGCAAGGACAAATGTCATCTTACCTCAATACAGAAGTCACCACGGATGGTGCCGGGAGCGCTAGCCAAGGGGTTGGTTTCACCAAGCATCTTGCGGCCAACCTTGACAACGTCAACACCAGCCCAGACCATACCAACAACGGGGCCAGAAAGCATGTACTGGATAAGACCAGCGAAGAAACCCTTGCCCTTCAAGTCCTTGTACTAATAAAAACATCCAACAGCATGATATAAGTCAAGAGCACAACTTGATAGGATATCCATACAATTTTATTTTTTTCAACTTACGTGTTCCTCAAGGTGTTCCTGAGTGGGGTGCATCAACTCAAGAGCGAGGAGCTGGTAACCACGTTGTTCGAAACGCTTGATGATTTCACCGACGAGACCACGCTCGACACCATCGGGCTTGACCATAATATAAGTGCGTTCCATTTTTTCTGTATTTCTTGTGGAGGAAGGTTAAAGAAGACAAAAAAAGAAAACAAATTGGAAACAAATTTTCTTGTTTATCGGACTCGATTCACCGTCCTCACACAAGGACTGCTCTGTGACTGTAATATGTTCCGACATTGAGAGAAGCAGGGGACCACAATAAATTTCGTGCATTACATTACAGTTTTACCATCGCCAATGCTCTTATCCCGCGCCATGTGGTATTATCGTCTTTATTGAGATTTCTATTATATGAACATTTTGAAAGAAAAACAGGAAAAGGAAAGCATAACTGAGTGCCTTGGTGAATCTAAGAAAGCACACGCATAGCCATTTCGAAACTAGATAAAACAAAAAAAAACAGCAAATTAGTGCACTAAGTATAAGAACGATGATGGCGCAAATAAAAATTCCTTACCCAACAAAAGTGGCCGCATTGACGGGAGCGGCTCTGAGCAAACAAGGACCGATACCACGGAAGAAGCCACCCATGCCTTCCACGGCGAGTGTCTTACGAGCACAGTCCAGTGCGGAAGAGTACTTGCGAGTCGCCTTGTCGAAACCATCGGTCTGTAACTTGGACTTGATGGCATCCAAAGGATAGACAGTGAACCACATCGCATAACCAGCCGCGGCACCAAAAGTACACACTTGCCAGGTCGGCAACTCCGATCGCTTGGTGATACCGGCACGCTCCATCGACTTCTTCACGAGCCACTCGTAAGCAAAGAAATAGGCACCGTAACCTTGGAATTCTCTGGCCATGGTAATACCCTGACCCTTGTAGATACCGGCCAAACCGTGGCTACGGTAGATCTGCTTGATACAATCAATGGGGCCCTTGTATCCAGTGCCGGTTTGCACTTGAAGACGAGTACGGATATGTTCGACGGGACCAGACACCACCGAGTTGGCCAAACCACTAGCGGCACCAGCAAGGTAGAACTGAGTGTTGGTCAAATCTTGTCCACCCTTGGAGAAGTGGCGCTTCATGGATTCAAGAACAACAAACTGAATCGACACGCACGCACCAATACCGACGAGTGGCGTGGTGGTACCCTAATCCATATCAACCCAAAAAAAGTAATCGACGAAAAAAAAAAATCGTTGAGCTTGAAATAGAAACATTTAGGTGCTGCCATTGCCTCGTTTACCTTGTAAAAACCGGCCAAACCTTCCTTCTGACGGGTCTTGCGAACACAGTCCATCATGTTCTTGTAGATGGGGTTGGTAGTCGACTGGGTTTGAAGACGCTATAGAGTAAAAGAGGCCGTTATTGTCGTTGTTCCTGTGGTCGGTTTCAGGTACGGAACAAAGCACTTACGACTTTGACGGTATCAAAAGGCTACAATCAAAAAACAGGAATTATGAATTGCTTTTTGCTTTCACGCCCTCTATCAATCGATGCTTACCTGACCCACGAGCACCTGAAGAATACCACCAACGGTACCACTAGCACAATCAATCAAGGCTTGAGAGGCACTAATAAAAAATAAAAATAAAAATCGAGCATGCATTAGCGTCCATGCCATTCGTTGCTTAATATTATGTGGAGGAAATTCCATACCCAGCTTCGGCAACAATGGGTTCGCTGGTGACAAGGTTAGGAGTAGCGACTTCAGCTGCCATGATGAAATAGAAGGAAGGATTGAAAGGAAAAGAAAAAAGAAGAAAGGGAAACAGAGATGGGATAAGAGGAGATCATTTTTTTATTGTTGACTCAGTGAGATTGCATTGGCAACTCGGAACCAAAGTGAAGTCACAAATCATTAAACTTTTTGAGATCCGTAACGCCAAATCAAAGGGCACATCTTGATTTTTTTCTTTTTTGCATCACAGATATGGCTGCCAACCAATCCACATACGACCCAGAATGTTGGGATCGGTGGCTAGATCGATCAAGCAACTCACTTGCTCGTGCGCATCGTTGCACTTTTTGTCCACTTGGGCTCGTTTGTTGAATTTGCGGTCACCCCGAGCCACTTTGTCTAAAGCCTTAAAATACGGCTTACTTTTATGGCCATTTGCAAGTTCGTCCACAATGATATCTAACAAAACTCCGCTCAGTATCTCGGTCCGCATGAATTCGTCTCGACACACATGCAAGGTCCCGGTTAATTCAACGAGCTAAACTTACATGCTGGATTCTCGCCTTGCAATTTACGCTTGGCCACGTCCAGTTTCTGTTGCGGATACCATGCAATTTCTTCATCCAGACTGGAACCACTGGACCATTCCGATGATCGTCCTGAAGATCCCGAGGAGCGACTTGCGCTCAAGCTAGTCTCGCCGCCACGTTCTACAAATAATATACACATACAACATGATTACTCGTGTTGTAACAGTCGGGAGCCAAGGAAAAAAAATCTTACTTTGAGTTCGAGCCTGTTTTGTTGCGGCCTTTTGCCAATCCAGCAAGGGTTCATGGATAAACACATTCATTGTATTGAGCAGTAAATCCTTTTCTTGTTGAATCGCTTTTTGAGTGCCAAAAAAATAAAAGGATAATTTTAGTGCGCGAATAAAATGATAAGAAAAAAATTGTTGATGACCCTACCTTGTAACACGTTGGTCATTGGTACTTCGATACCTCCTGCAATGCCAATGGGTTCTAGAGTACCGATCAGTTGTCTGGTTAAGCGGAAAGGCACCAGTTCGGGTACTGGAAGGAGTTCCGTGGCGGATCCAAAGGCGTGGCCAAAATCAATGGGAATAAGACGGCCTCTACATGTGGAAAATTCAGTACGCTTGAGGATAACCACTTAAAGGTAAAGCAAAAACAGTAATCATTTTTACCTCTTAAGATCGATCAAAAAGTTTTCCAAGTGACGATCCCCAATACCTGTTTGGGTTTTTGAATCAGCACCACAACGCACTTCATCCATTTAAGTAAAAATGTTTACCTAGTAAATAGCCGGAAACGCAAATGGCTGCCAAACTATTGGCAAAGTCCTTGCGAATAAACAAGAATGCTTCAGGAGAAGCCGCTAGCTTGAATAAATAATTGTTTAGGATGTCATCTCTGAATAAACCAGCACACTGTTCAAAATGCCGGACAACATCATCACGCGACGCCTTGAATGCATTGTGGTAGCCTAAAAATGGTTAAAAAAAAGTACGCATCATTAGTTTGTACATTCTCACAGGACATTTTTCCGCTTACCCATCATGTCGCCTTTATGCTTCCAAATCCAGGAACGGTAATTTTCCTGAGCTTTTGTCATCAGTTGTTTGTTGTTCAATTGCTCATCGATACACGAACGCAAAGGCTTGGTATCGCTGACCCATTCAATGATACCAATATTGGTGGCCATGGGCACGACTTTGTAAGTATTGATGTGAATATTTTGTCGTGCGCAAAAGCTGTTGCGTTTGATCATTTCATTCATCACAGTAAATAACTGCTCAATACGTTGGTCCAAACGCAAATCTTCGCCACCCTAATAAAAAGTATTCCAGTGAGCCTGCTTTGTAAAAAAAAATGTCAGCAAGCAGGTTGACCTACCTTGACCAGAAATAGATATTCTTTTTCGTCAGTACCGTAGATGCGGATTCGCTTCGGTTTTCGTAAAGAATTCATCACCAACAACCTCTCATCAAAGCTGGCAATTTTTGCATGCAGTTCGGGGTACGGTTTGCCCACGCCCGTGTATTGCCCGGGAACTTCAATCGATTGATCATAGTTGGCACTTTGAAATTCGGCCAACCAAGGCGAATAAGAACGAAGCAATTCCGGAGGACCGGGTAGTTTCTGGTTTTGCACCTCCTTTTGATAATACTTGATCAATTTGTTGATATCTTTGCTGCTGAGTTTCAGCAATTTCCCGCCGTCTTTGCCTAGAATGAGCGTAAATCTCGGAACCGTAAACCGTACACATATTATGGATATATACCGCAAATCTCTCGGATGTCCGACCCATGTTTGACCGCAAAGGCTTTCGGAATCGTTCCCATACGCCGATCATTGTGGTCCAAAAGTAAGTGGCTGAATTCTTGGAACGCACCCTCGACATAGGCTTTGCTGACATCAGTACGGTCGGCCATGGACTAACGGAAAATATAAGCGGCCGATGATTCTGTATTTCAATTCAATTTTATCATTTACCTGCATGAAATCCAGGAAATCTTTCATAATATGTTCAGGATTTGTCAGTCTTCTTAACTCCATCGAGAACTCTTCTAATAGCGGTGAAGCAATAGCGTGTTTGATGGCTTTGATTTGTTCGCGGTTAGCAGGATCCAATTTGTCCGCAATACGTTCGTAATGCTCGTTGCTGATATGGAAGGGATAGTATAACGCGTTGGGATAGGTGGAAGCAATCTAGCAAAAGTCCTCAGTCTACCGATCCATTGGAATCAGTTCACCATCTACTTTCTTTCTTACCTTGTGTAACACTAGGAATACGTGTTTGGCTATGGGGGTATCCAGGATAGCCACCAACTGAGGAATCCATTTAATATACATCCATGTAGCATCAAATGTTTCAGCCTATTCACCAAGGATGAGCATCAAATAGACAATGGTCATCCTACGAAACATCATTCCATACATTCTTTTCAAAGTCCTTGCTGCTCTCTGGGTATTTTTCAATCAGTTCTAATAACCGGGGAAATCGCTCCATCGCCTGACGCTGGCCAAGCGCCATGGCCTTGAAATAGCAATTGACCACTGTGCGACTGTACGTGTCATTATTTAGTCGTAACTAAAAAGCGGGAGTCCCATAAGCGAGTGTGAGACTAGGCGTTACGATTTGTAGTGAGCGAGAACATACCTGGACATCCGATGTTTCATCTTCGTTGCTGCGTAATGCATTATCGCAGTATTGACCCAGGGCCCAGTAGCACTCGGCTTGTACCGTTTCCTATCAATGACCTCTCAGTATAGGATTCTACATGGAGCGTTTTTGTTTACATGAGCGACCAAGTCTAGTACGTACATTGTCTGTCATTTTCGCTTGAGCTGCTTTGGCCCATTTGTGTCCATGCTTTTCAAGGTGATTGGCCAATAATCCCGCGTTCTTGAACTGACCAGGTTCGAGGTGCTTAGATGCGTAACGGCTTTCGAGGATTTCTTTGTATCCTTCGGGAACAGTTTGCACGTAAGATCGCGCCAGCTCAAACACTTTGGACGCCGTGAGACAGTAGTTGTAATCCGTATTGTCCGATGCCTGTATCAAATCCTAATGAATACGAAGAACTTTCACTCGTCCCTGTCAATATGCAACTTGCCTGCTGTTTCAAAAGACGAGCCAGGGCACGAGCAATCATTTGTGGTCGTTGCGGGTTGTCAATCATGGATACCGAAAGACGCTTCAGGTCGATCTGTAAAATGATGTATTGTCGTTCCATGGATGGCAAACCGATCTGATTTAAAAACTGTAAACGATCAGCTGCCACATTAAAGTTGTTCTGTTCTCGAGCTCCTAAAATCATCTCTTTCAGGAATCCTTTGCGACTTTCAGTGCATGCATCCTTGATTTCAGCCTGTGCCTGTGCATGGTTCAGTGGTCCGTCGATAAACAATAAAATACAACGTAATATCTACCTCCCAGTCCTGAGTAATATTCTCAAAGGTGTCCATGAAGACCAATCGGCTGTCAATGATATTATCCCAAATGTTCATTTCATCCAGCTTTGTATCGGGATATCTATTTTCGGGATGTTAAATTCCTCTGATGATACTGGCGGCATACACACAATACTGACCTTGCCGACAGGGATCGTATATACTTCAAGATGCCTGCTTTATCGACCGCTGACCGTTGGATCCCAGCAATCATATCAAGGAAATCGTCCAATTCGACCGTCTAAAATAGAGGTAGATGTGTTTTGTCAGAATAGAAATGCCAATGGTGAGTCCGCCATGTTGGATGGACATACTCTTTGCAACATGGCTAATTTCGCTTGTCTGCTATTCAAAGCCAGGGGGTGCAGACTGGTCCACACGGAAAGCAACACCTCGTATGCGTTACGGACATAATAGCGCGCACGATCATACTCGTTCTGGTAGATCGCGGACAAAGCCGTCTCTGTAATAAAAGAAAGGACGATCGTCAGCAAGGCAGACAATGGATGTAGCACAAACTGTCAGTACCAGAAGAGTAGTGTTGTATAAGATATTCCAATTTTTCAGGCGATTGTATAGCTGCAGCGACGAAAGGAAAGAGGGGGTTTGGGTTCTCGTTGGTCCAGGGAATCATTTCCTCCTTGTCATCGTGAAGGCCATCACGCAGTTTGACAAAACTGCACATGAAATACGGCAAAAATATATCCTGCATCACAACCTAAGAATCAAGGCGCTTCATTCCATTCCATAACAGAAACGTTACCCTGTTATCAACATCCCACAATAAATTGTAATCTCCGTGAAGATCTTCTTTCACAGTCGTGGCAATCGATTCCCACTGGGTGAGCTTCTCGTAACACTGAAGCCGTTCCTGGTCCCACAAGGACACCTAACACGCCGATCGTGTTAAAATTATATAGTAAGCGAAAGACTTGCTCACAAATCACCTCTTTCGGATCAGTGTCTTCGTGCAATGTCTCGTACGCGTCAAAGAACAAGTTGACGGCCTCGGGGTAATTTCCATCAATTTCCGCGTTAATGGCCTCTATCAAAAGAAAAACCGACAACCCAGCGGTCCAATTGAGTCATTGCTACTTTATAATGTGGCAACGAGAAACGAGCAACTTACTCTTGGGCAAATCGTCGGTAGCAATATGTGTTTGATACAGCATGCGGAAAATTTCTGGCTCGTCAATGCTCTTGTACAGCAGTGCTAGATCAATCCATTTCTGTTTGGCAATTGGTAGTCTCCTGGCCGTCCCGCTGCGAGCCCTTTTGTTTCCTGAAAGATTTTGAGGGAGAAAACGAAATTTGAGTAATGCTGGTCTCGAGTTAAGCCTTGATCATGATCTTACGAGGTTCTTCCGGTAATGCCGACTGCTTTTCGAGCACGCAAATGCCGATGTGTTGGTTATAACTTTGTTCACTGACATGATTCACAAGTGCGCTGTCAAGCTGACCACCGCCGAGTTCATAGCATATTCTTAGGAACGATCCTACCGTCGGCGGAAAGTAGGCAACGCAGAGTTCCAAGTTCCGTTCAATGACCGAGAGAATCTCATTCTTGTAATCGGCCTATCACGCAAGTAGCGTCAATTGCCTCTTGTCCATCCCACCCCTGGTCTTTCAATCTTACCATTTTTTGCGTATTACTGCTGTCATTGACAATAGCGACGACGAGATGTGCATGAAGCATACGTGCAATTTCATTATCGTAGCGTCCGAGCGTTTGCAGTGGCTCTATCAACTCCTTGTGTTTGATCTGGATATCCGGCAGTTCACCTATAGATCAACAAATGAGACTTCAGTTTGCACTCCATCAATCATTATGTACACGCCTTACCAATTCTGTATTGACGACACAGCGACACTTTTTTCTCACGTGCTTCTTTTTGCATCGATTCGTACATACGCAATCGTTTCTGGAGTCTCTCTTGCTGATACCTAAAGTAGGCGGAGTTGTCCGTTGAAGACGACTTTACAAACCGCCGTCGCAATCCGCTGTACTGTTTCTTTCTCTCTTCCATTTGACTGCGCATTCCTGTATAAGTACTTTTCCGTAGAGCATTTGATTCGCTTTACCTTTTTTGAGCTTCACCGTTGCTGGGCGAGTCGACCTGTGTACCAACACTAGGCGCTTCCGTACTCATCGTGGTAAACGTGGCTTGTGATGGTCCAAGGCTCGCCAACAGAGATCCTCCTGCTATTAACCTCTAATATCAGCCAAGTTTTCCGTGAAATGGATGCACTGTTATCAAGTACCTCCTGTTTGAGTTTGACTAAACGCTAAACTTTGTTGCGTGGCTCGAATGTTAAGCTCCAGGTCTTCAGGGTTCAGCTATACCACATCGTAAGTGAAAGACTCAGGAATTCAGGGTATACGGATATTCTTACGGATTGGTGCTGTGTAGCGACGAAAAGAGGCATCATCGACATATTCCTCTGCCACGATGTATCAAGCACCTGATAGTTTTCGTCGAAACGAGCATTGGGTAGAGGCTCTTCAAAGATAGGGTTTTCATATTCAAAGCTCTCCTTTGTTCCATCCAGGATGATTTGATTGCTGTAAAGGATGTAAATATTTTCGACATCCGGCAAATACATATTGCTACAGAAAGACCAGTACATGAGTCAATTCATCGGTATTAGCTTGCCATTTTCTGCATTACGTACTGCAACACGGTTCGAAGCCGTTCATATACGTCCGTATGAATATTATGTCGTGACTTTAGGAAAATCCCAATATCTTCACGGATGTTGTCGTCCTTGTCCAATAGACCCCGCAGTAGGCTCACCGAAATTTTGTCTTTGAGCGCCGATTTTTTATCCAACCCATCGTGCGCTTGCTTCAGAATGGAATAATACAGAGTCTATCAAGAAGGCATTATGTGAGTACCAGCGTCATATCCTATTGGCGGCACGAGATTCTCCTCTCACTTACACGACACTCCACATTTGTGTGGTTTTGAAATGACGACATCAAAATATCCATAAAGAAATTGAGCTGTCCAGCGTCAAGTGTTCGTACGATTTTATCGAGAAGACGAAGGATTGCCAATTGGGAAGCATTATCCCTGGGGAAAAAAAACACCATAAATAACTGCAGCCAAAAAGCAAGATCAGCTCAAGTGGATTACCTGTGGCGGATAATGTTAAGCAAGCCCTTGGTTTGCAAGGTCTGGAAAAGATCGTCCACTGAATCGCTGCATGCTCGTACAATATCCAAAGCAAAGATCTTAGATTGTCCATGCAACTGACCAAGCAAGAACATCACCTTGTTGATGAACGGTAGGCAGAGTGATGCCTCGTGCAGATGGATCCGATGAAGACAAACCAGGAATCGAGCCGTGTCTTGTCCTTGATTAATAATTGGGTCCAGTTCCTCAAGCTACCGAATGTTTAGAAGAGTACAGCAGTGCGGACACACATTATTCCGAGCAATTTACCTTTCTCATCAGCAAGCGTTCAATGTCCTCTTGCAACATGATCCCATGCTCTTTCATGAAATGGATAGACCAACCAGCCACCTACAAAAATTTGTCAGGTTCGGTTCGTGGCGATCATAAATAATTTGTATCTTGGCATTGATTACCTCGGCTGCGTCAGCATATACATCGCGATATTTGTTGCCCATATTGTCAATGAGTGCTGTATAGAACTGCTGTTCCGTCATATCGTCCAGATTCACTTCTGGGCCACTGTAATACGGATTGATGTCATTGGCTAACAGAATGCCCACCAACTGTAATCCTGTGAGGTTTCTCTTCGTTTGCTTGTCTCGACTGGCAAATTGGTCATAAATGTCGTGCTGTAGATGTGGAGTGTGAGTCATCTTGGAGCAAAGGATAAAGACAATGCAAGAATTACCGTAGGAATAATCATATTGTCATGCCAATTATCCATGACAGCCTTGATCGTCTGAATATTATTGCGCAGCACACGGTTGGTCTCATGGAAAGCATTGTTCACAAGATATTTCTATCCAAAGGCACCCACGTTTAGATCAATCACAGCTTGAAAACACATTGTATTTTCTCCATGTTTACCAAGAAGCTGAATAGCAAGTATCGGTCTTCATACGAATCATGGAGTGGCACAGTTTTGCCCCAAGCAATGATAATGACACATAAATCCTGTTGTCAAAGAGAGAACCAAACATGGTTCAGACATTGACAAGTGACGATGTTCTCCAGGTCCACCCCTCTTACCTGGATGAAATAATTCATTGGTTCGCCGTATTGATTTCCCTCAATAGCCAACTTCATCAATGGTCGCACCCAGTGATCGGCATGGGCTTCAAAGGCTTCTGGACAATTGATCACGATTTTCGCAATGAACAAGCGCACGGTCAAAGGTGTCTCTGCAATGCTAGTCAGTATGTGGTTGCTTGGCAAGAATGAAAACATGGATGGTATTTACCAATATGCGTAAATGTTTTATAAATGACGTTCATCCACAAGGGCATGGCGTTGGACCCTTCTTCATGCGGAACAATCGTCTTGTGAAGCATCTGAACAATAGCAACGAGATATTTCATGCAAGGGTTCTCGTTGAAAACATCGAGCTCGACTTCAGATTCATCTGTCGCCGCTGCAGTTGCTTGGCTACTCAACGGCAAGAAAAAAAAAAGGTAAATATGGACATGCGCAAAAGAAAACTTTTTTGCATACCTGCTGCTATCTACATCCATCGCGGTAGCAGCATCTTGACTTGCGCTTTCTTGTGATTTAGTTTCCTCCGGTGCCTGACTCATACCGCTTGTCTCGAGTGCCATCTTGCGGTTTTTGTTAGTCTTTTTTTACATATTGCAGGGTTTACACCATTCCAATAACTTACATCTGATAAGGAGGCCTGAGTTAAGCTGCTTCCCGAAAGGGCGACGGATGACATGTAAGAGACGTTGGATCTACGCGTTTTTGGGACTCGCAATCCCGTGCTAGCTCGAAAGTCTTCGAGCCGGGCTTTCATGAGTGGTTGTTTCAATTCGGCCGTCAGCTGGATGGTTTCTTCCGTGTCGATGATGTTGCTCCACAACGGTTCTTGCGGCTTATCTTGAAGTAAAAATCCTACATAGTAACGCTCACTGGTCCCCTTGGTGGTCTGCGTGCGTAGAATAGCCGATGCCGCAGCATTATAGGCCGCTTGTTCAAATTTCAGTCGTACTTTACGCATGCTGGCATCATCTTGAGCGACCTGTCATGACCATTTCCTAAATATCATCATACTACTATCAATCGACATATCCATTCTCAATACCTGAAGTTTCTTTGCGCTCACAGCGGTTTTCAAAAGAGCAGCAGTCAACTTTCGTCCGTTGCCGGCCTTGTCACCCACAGACGCCTCCCAAGTGCGGCTAATCTTGCTGTCTGGGCTGTGGACTTTGGAAATTGGCAGCAATTCATACATGATGTAAAGTTGCGGTTAAGGATAAAAAGATGAATCACTGCATCTTTCACGCGCGCGTGATCACCCTGGTAAGAGTGCGATTGAAAAAAAAAGGATATTTGCATGAGGCGGAAACAGCAGGCTTTCATTTCAAGGTCCTTGATGGTATCCTCCAGGGTGCCGAATTGCGGGAACCCTCTGGAAATAATTCCCATAATATACTCAATATTGGTATTGTAAAAAGCGACCGCATGCGTTTCAGGAACACGGGCAATCATCGAAGACACGATATTGATGGCATGTTGGCGAAGATTCATGTTGAGACCTTCATCCTTAAAATACCTGTTCACACGCAGAGTTAGCATTGATTGATGGATGAAAGCGACTATGACTGCATGGTACGAACCCAAGGCATGTCTGTGATACTTCTGTGAAGCTAGATAAACCGAGTGCTTGAGAAAAGGTGGTAATAGAGTCTTGAATAGCTGTCTCATGGACATGTTCGTCCTCTTGAATAAACACCGGCACTAAGCGATTGAAAATGATGATGGACTGGAAGCTGCTCATAATATTGAGCAATTTGTCCAAAGCGGTGATATACGTATTGTAACTGCAATCCACATGAGTTTCACGGTGCAGCAGCAGAATGGCTCTGTTTCACTCACATATCACTGCCGATTTTGAGATCTCTCGATGTCATTGGGAAATCATGGTTCACAATTTCCTTCAACGATTCGGATATCTGCCATGAATAAAAGCCTTTGTCAGCGTATCATAAAAGCCACTCGTGGTGTTGGCTTACCATTTCCTTGTGCGGCCCATCGACGCAAAGAAACATGGGTAAAAGATCAAACGCTTCAATTTTGGAAGCAAGTGGTTGACCTCGTCCGAGTGCTAGCTCCAAGGTTTTGCAAAAGTCGTCGAATAACGACGTGTCTTTGGACTGACTCAGCATATTCGGATTGGCGGTAAAGATCCACTTGACCACTGAAACAAGATCGTCTACATCCGACCCCGACTTCCACTGCTGCAATCTGCATTGGCACTTTTAGTACATTACCCCTTTATAAACCACTTTAAAAAGATCGTACAGTTCACTAAAGAAGGATCCGGCAAGGAACTGGCATTTACGTCAACAAAACATCGTTAAATAAAATAAATACGATTCGCTGACTTACATCTTTGCTAAATTTTTGAATCGGTTGATGAAGATGGGCCTTTTCGACGCTTAAATACTTCGCCATTCCTAGAATAACATCGCGGGCAAAGACGTCGGTTTGAACCTTTTCAATAAGCAGCGGCCCGAAATCCTTAAAGTGGCTTGCAATGCAGTCGTTGATCTAGAACAGCATACAGGTTTCAGAGACATCATCGCAAGCCCGAAGAGACCCCACTTACACTGCCATTGAATTTCTGGTAAATGGAAAGCTTTTCGTCGTAATCTTGAGTAGACAAGACACCGGAATAACCCTTGTATATATATATCAGGTTAGACAGTCGCTCATGTGGTTGTAAAGATGGGTACACCTACTAATAGGTCACGGCCATGTTCACCAGCAAATCCTGGTTGCTTGAAAGCAATACGAATGAGATCACCAAGAAAAGCGTTGGTCATGGGTTCTTCCAGGGATCGCAGTTCAAGAAACTCGTCAAAGAGGATAGCACAGTAGGTATCGGCCGATGAGGCATTTTTCCATTTTTTGTGCGATTCCTTGCAAATATCGTCCAACAATCCTAAGGACTGAAGGGAAAGGATACCTTCAATCAGTTGGGGCCTTTCGCCGAGAGCACCTAAACAAAACGAATTGATTTTTACATCATTTTTCAACGGCAATGTCAACAAATGTTACTTGAATCGTGAATAAACGTCGTCAAATCAGTTTCCGGTGCGAACAGAATATCACCAATGGCCCGGCAGACAGGTCGCATCGTTTTGGCAGGCGCTGCTTCCGACAAGGCGGCCAACAATGTAGCGGCTGATTTTCGGATCGCCTTTGGTCGCAGCCAGCTTGCCAAGGTCCCTTGTTCGGCTTGCGCATTCTCGGCAAAGTCCCTCGGCAGTAATAACATCTTGGCGATAAGTTCAAACAGTCCCTGTTTCAAAAGCAGTTGCGTGCTCTTTGAAGTCAGGATATCTTCGCATTCTTTGGCGGAGCTACCGATAATGAATTGGAGCAATCCAATCATGCGATAGGCTGCATAAGCGTACAAAGACATGGTCTTCCACCTTTCCATAGTGCTGTGTTGGAACTCGTTCTTCAAGATCTCCCCCGGCTTGGTATCGACAAAGAATTGCAAAGCATCCAGAAGCACGGCAGACTCTTGCTGCAAAATCCATTCAACCTCTACCAATTCGCGTTCAAGCAGCCAGATGTATCCGTCCAGCGCACAGTGGAGCTGTTTCAGCCACAATTGGTACGAAGCAATGGTCATGTTCGTCTGTAAAGCGTTGACATCTAATTGTTGTGTTCCATAGATTGATGCGAGGAAGGACGGATCGTCGTTGATTTGCTTTTTCATCCATTGTTTACCATTCTTGATTCCTATCATTATTTCTCATGAGCTGACCTGCATGTGACTCACAGCCTAGCAAAAAAAAAAAAAAAAAAAAAAAAATCAATTCATACCAGGAAGCACAAGAACAAATTCATTAAAGAAATCCATGCATGTCTTGGCGTATTCGCGCTGCAATTGTCCCGTTTCTTGAAATATGTAGACCACGAGCGACGGCATATCTGCGTTTGACAAACCCGGGAACGAACGTCGGGATCGCGTCTGCTTCATGAAGAGCGACGACTTGACGCGGAGGATCCGTTTGATGTGTGAAATCGCTTCCTTGATCTGTTCGCGCGTGCCAATGGAAGGATGGTCCTGTTCCGCCAAGCGAAGACTGAACAGGAAATCATGCAGGATTTCAAACGTGTACTCGTCAATCACGGTTTCCTCTTCACGAATAATTCGATAGATACGGTTGAAAATGAGGGCGGCTCCAAGACGTTTGGATGAGCTCGGGTTGGATGACAGGTTACGCAAGCGTTTCAGCAGCGACTTGATGTTCATGGGCCCTTGCACCGCACGTTGACTGGTTTGCTTGATCGACCATTTCACAAATTGTTGCAAGCAGTCGGCGCCGTAATCACGGAGCGCCGCGTTGGTGTCACATGCCGCGTCCAAACACGTCTGCAGTAAGGCAATCGTTTCTGGATTTTCGTACTGCGCATTATTGGTTAACCAGTGGATAAGTTGGGATAGCAGTGTTCGGAACATTTCGCGGGCCAATTGATCGATATCAATAGCCAAGCGCATCAGGATGGGAAACACACGCAAGTAGATTCGGTGATACCTCGATTGAACGGCTTCTCGTTTATCCTTGGCCTGAAAAGCGCTGTTGCCGATCATTACCAAGACCAGGGCATGCAATAGTTCACAAGCCGCGACTTTGACTTGTCTGTCGGGAGACGATTCAGCCAACTCGCATATTCTTGGTAGTAACTCATCTACACATTCCTCGTTAGAACGTCATTCTACCAGTTGCGATTTTAGGAATACTTGCCCAAGGTCATATCGATTCTAGCATTGGGAAAGGGAATATGAATTCTGAGTTTCCTGTCAGGGTCCCATGCTAGTGTTGGATGGGCGGACTGTGTCTCGCGATTGACATTGGAAGACCGGTTTGTTCCAGTGTTGTCCATCGTGTCTTGGAGCATGAGCTTGTTGAGCCCACCGATGCGACCCACGAAACGCATAATACGTAGCTGAATATCGTGAAGACTGACATACTCCGTATCGGTTACACCGAGCTGTGCGGCTGTAAGTTGACGGTGAATCCCTTCATGCCGTCGCGTAGATCTTGTTGACAGTTTAAACTTGCGCTTGGTATTGACGGCGTCGGCTTTGGATTTTAACGCCATCATTAGGTAATCGTTGAGTAAAGGTAATATGTCGATGAGAAATTGTGGGTGTTTGGATACCGGCGAATCGCAGTCCATCAAACTTTCCAAGGTGTCGATAGCGATCATGGCTAGAGGATGGAAACTGAGGCCAAGAGACAGCGACGTTTGCAATGGTGGGACCAATTCAGCAATATCAAAGAAATCCATGGGACAAGCGAGAATTAATCGAAGACAAGACGCTAGTAATTCATCCTTGAACTGCTGAAGGCGATACCACACCTCTCGCAAGTAGTCGGAAAACATGACAAAGGCGTTGTAGACGTCCTAGGCAACTCGGTTAGTATCAAGCCATAGATAATCTACGCATCAAGTATTAATCGTTACGTGATTTATGTGAGCATCCGAAAATTCGAGGTTCGGCTGTTGCTGTTGCTGCAGGTACAGTTTTCTGCATCCCCGGAAATAGCCTGCGTCATTGGCCAGGCGAAGAATTACGGCGTTCATACGATAAAAGCCGCTCACCAGAGAATGGCGCAGCGACAGTTCCGTCAGCGGTCCACCCACCACATGAACCCAGTTATGCAACTGCTGTTCTGGCAATTTCGGAAGCAGCGCGCACCAAAAATCCACAAGGTTTTGGAACAGGATAAAATCTTTGGCATTGGCAGGTTGCAACGCATTCGATACGGCATTGATAAAATCAAACGGGCTGTTCTCGGCCCTCTCGTCGCTCTCCTCTTGATCAGCGGCTTTTACCAATTCCAAGTTGAACGTTTTGATCAATCGCTGGAGCGCATAACAGAATTCATCGTACAGTATCGTATTTAATTTTTCATATTTGCCTGTATCCTCATTGTCCGCAGCAGGTTTGGTACCGCTCTTCAAGATCGCTTCCCAGAAATATAACAGATCGGTATACGCATGATACTGTTCCTGCTCCGCACCATAGACATCCGTGCAAGTACATACAAGAGCATTGTAAACTGGAGGTGACATGTAAAATCCCATGAGTGATATCGAACTCTTCATGACCAGTGGTGACCAACTTACAAAACCCTCGGAGAAACATGCGTAGCATGCCTTCGCCTTTACCATAAAGGATCATCACCACATCCTGCATGGCAAAGATCGCTGGTTGTCGCGTATATACCGATAAGCGGCTGTAATTGATTATGATCCTGTCCGCCATTTTTGTCAACGTCGACAGCAACTCGGACGGAATCTGATCAAGTTGGCGCGAAAATTGAGCGTAAGCTTGCAGGAATGAAGGTAAATGGCCAATCAGACGATCTTGATCGGGATTGACACTGAAAAACGTATCTTGATTAGCAAGCCAGGATCCCGCCTGGTGTTTTGTAAACTGCATACGTACTCTGAACAAAACCATGAGCCCTTTTTGATCAGTTCGTCCTGCAAAAGGCTGAAATCGTCTGGTTTCATGTATTTCCTGCATGCTTGAGCGAAATAACCGATGCCGCGAATGACAATGGACAGATCCTGAAAATCCACATTGTCATAGTCCGTTTGCAGAATCGTCATGAAATACTTGAAATAAAACTGCAAGGTCGAATAAGGTTAAAATAGATCATCTGATTTATCTTGTCCAATCCATGGGCTTACCAGGAACACCTGCTTTTCGACGTTGCCTGCTGAATGTTGAGCCAAAGCCACGGATTCCTACGTGTTATTTTGATCCACCCAAAAGTTAATAACATCGTATGGTGTGTGTGATTATGTGAATATCCAAACCTGTTTAAAGAGTGTTTCCAGGGCTCGATAGCCGAGCTTTGATAAGTCTCGATTTCCGTGATGGGCCATTTTCTGCAGTTGATCCAGCAACAGCTGACTGTCCTTGATCATTTCTCCATCAAACAATTGGGCATGATTGGCAAACAATTCCAAGGCGGCTATGCCACGTGTCACCATAATAAGGTTTAAAGTCAGTAATGGGTATGGGTCATGTTGGTGCTGTCAAAAACTATTTTACCAATAGGGGCCATAAATCTTGCCAAGTCGCCCGGCATATTCCACACTTCTTTAATGGCACGATAGATTTTTTTGCTATCGGCGGACCCTATAATGTGTGTTAATGCACCAGCATGGAGGGCGGATCACATCGCTCTAAAAAAAACACTTGCCAGGCTCGATTTTGAATTTTGAACTCGAAAGCATAGCATTGATGCATTTGAAAGATCCCGCTATAAGACTGTTTTCGGCTTTTCTGGCTTCGAATAATTGGTAATGCAGTGTTCCAACACACCATCGTTGAATGGTCTTAATTTGACTGTTGGTCATCACATCGGAATGATATTTGGCAACGACACCGAGTAATTCCAGAATGCGCGCTTCAAAGGTGGTGGGCGCTGTGCCCACGGGAAATTTATGATAGAAACTAGTCACCCAATTCGATCCATTAATCCTCCTGCATGACTACGAGAAAATGCTCACTCATGTCGTTTTGTCTTACTTTTGATAGATATTGGTTACGTCTGTTTGACTCAGATCAATCTTGCTTGCATCTCTGTCCAGCAGCGTAATGAATACGTCCACGGCGCCACTTCGTACGCGAACGGAGCGTGAGCCGGCCATAAATAGACAACAATTCTATGGTGAAAAATGCGACGCCAAGCTGCCATTAGCCGATTGAGTCTTCCTGTCGTTGATTTTTCTCACGTACAATAATGGTTGGTAAATAGGCCGAGAGGATTGAGTGGCATTTTCGGATATAGGAGATCAAAAATTCCAGCAAGATCGCCTCTGCAGAAATAATGGTTGGATCACGCGATTGGACGTTGGCCTTCAGAAAACGGATAATGCCGTTTTCTGGTGATAGAAGCATAGAAGAAGCATAATCTAAGGGGCATAAACAATATATTATTTTTTAACTGTCTGTGGTGATATGGAATGACAATAAGGGCCACTTGCCGAGATCCTTGGCTGCCACATCGGACATGGTTATGGTGGCAATGTCAGTGGCCAGTGATTTGGCATCGGCGACGGTTTGGCCTGTTCCACCGGTTGCACTTTCTATATTGTCAGGAACGTATTCTATAAGCTCTTGCAAGAGCGACTCGAGGTCCGTAAGCGTGCTCATGACATAGACTTTTTGGGTCGAAAAAGTCCAAAAGTGACAAGAAAAGTGACAAGGCTCGATTTCAAGCTCAGTGACTTCATTCTTCGTCAATGCCATTGAAAGGGCGGACCGCAGCCATTGGCTAGAAAATAAGGGCTCGCGCTTGTGCATTCTGCAGACCTTCTACAACGGTCTCGTGTTTGTCGCCACCTTTTTTTTGGGGGAGTCTTCATCTACTTTGCATTTTGATCAGACAGCCGGCAGGACCATTTCGAGCGATCAACCGCAAACTTAATCTTGAGGATGCGAGGTCTTTGGGAATGGGTCCATGGCGACTCATCAGAGCGCTAAACATATGCATGTTTTTATGTTATTATGTCATCCGAGCGTCGGTTTGAAGCGAAGATTCGTCTCAACTTTGCTCAAACGCTGACTTCGTTTATCAATGGCGACCACAGAGTTGTGGTTTCTATCCTGCTCCTGCGGAAAATCCCTCCTTTTCCTGATTGGCCCTCGCTCAACTTGTTTGCCGCGGAGCTGCTTTGACCGGATCTGCGAAATAGACTCACAGGAATTCGTCAACAAAAAGAAATAAAAAAAGCGGTTTGCGGTAAGTGTTTGCTCAGCAAAGTTGTCAATTAAATCCTTCAAAAGGTCAACTATGGCATTTTTACAGTGGCAATGAACAGACAATTTAAAAACTTGCAAACATGTCGCACGCATTGCCCAACTAAACAATGTAAGACATTGAAGTTTCATCTCATCTTTCCAAGATGGATATACTTCTTCTAACCGTAATAGTTCCTATATTGTATTGGAAATGTGATGCTGTATGGCTTATGATATCGAATAAACTTTTAAAAACCTCCAGCCACTGATCAAAATAACTTGATCAATAAATGGTACTCAGGGGGACGAGCGTCTGGCTTAAATACTTTTTTAATTCATTTCTTTCTCATTTTTATTTCTTTCTGTGTATGTTTTATTTTTTTATGATCAGTAGGCAATAAATCAATCACAGATGTCAAAATAAGTTTGTTGCGAAGTGGATGCAAAAAAAAAAAAAAAAAAAAAAAATACATTGGCCCTCTCAGCAGTGTCGCTTGGATCCAAGCGAGGCAGGGCCAACTCTGTCCAATTAGATAATGACTTGGAGGCATCGTATGTAAGTGACGACGACATCGACAAGGCTAGATTCGCCGATCCATGTCGAGGGCTCTTCCACAGTGGTGTATAATAACAAAAAGGAAAAGTTCAAAAGACCTAAGAAGGTAAGAAAATTTTGGAGCCTATTATCTTTGTTTACATATATTCTCCCATGCGGTCCCGTCCTTTTTTTTATTTATCTTATGAAATTTGGCTCCCTGGATGTAACAAAAACGAGCACATTCTACAGAATATAACCTTCTCTGTCAAGCTCAATTTTAGATAGAAAGAGGAACGGAAAGTTGTTAATCCACTGTAACCAATGCAAGCAAAATAATGGTGCAAAGATGTAGAGGATCAGGTTTGGTGAAAGCCATGCAAAATAACCTGGAAAGGTCCCTGCGTACAATAAACTTTTGATCAGTGGCCTATCTGATAAGAAAAAAAAAAATAATGGCCGGTGGGACAGCTTCCATGAGTGGCACCACTTTCACGATAATAGGCGAAACAATCAGCAGCAAGATACCGTTTGCACCAGTTGTGGTCAAACAGAGCATCGTCGTCTTTCGAATAAAAATGTGAGTAGAGCTCTTTTTGAAGAAAAGTGGTTGATGATACGACTGGCGTTCTTTTGTAGCATCATTCAATTTGTTGTTTTTTTTGTCAGTTATACTATATATGTCCTTTCATTCTCTTTCAATTTTCAATGAATCGAATAATACATAAGCAGACGTGCTTCGATCTATGAATTCATGCATCAGTGGGGTGACTATTGTTTCATCCATGGAAAACCATATATTTTGGTCTTCAATCTTATCTTTCTTCTTTTGATTTCTCTCTCTATTTCTGTTTGCTTGATAAACCCTCACTATCATTGTATCAAGATCCCATCCGCATCCGTCATCCATCATCCAGACCATTCTTATCCCGTGTATCTAACTTGGTTAAATCGACCACCATCCTCAAAAAGGTAAGCGTCGAGTGGTCTACCATCGATTTTGCTCCGGCAAAACAGACTTACCTCTCCTTTACTTCCATCCTTCTTCCAGCTTCCAGTTTCCATTTTCTTTTCGCATGACAAGTTCTGGATACTACAAGTTGACTTTCTCTCGCCATCCATCTGGCGAAACCGGATGACGTCAAAGGCCATCGTTGGTGGTGTGGCTCTTTTTTTAATCAGAAAAACGCTTACGTGTCCTCTTCATGTTCCTCTCCTTTGGATTGCTTCTCATCATATGGTATTCGAGATGTCTTCCCGATTATTTATTTTGTAGTTTATAGTTTGTATTTTGCATTTTATATTTCATGTACATATTCTTTTCGCAGTCTTTTCCTCTTTTTTTCCCACAGGGTTTTTTTATGAGGTTTTTACTGACGCGACCATTGTTTTTTTTATCATCATGTACTTTATTTGTTTCTTTCTTTTTATTTGGGGGACTCTCGATATCTGGAATCCAACTCGAAGTTACCGTCACTTCTGGCCACGTCAATATTTTTTGCCTGCTCAAGCTGACACCACCGATCCATCTCCTAACTGTCCCTGGAAGCAATTTTATTTTCCGCATCGAAGAAGAAGCTTACCTGGCGGTCCGTATCATCTTTTTTTTTTCCGGTACACCATTTAGTTCAAAGGCAAGTCCAATTTCTTTTCCTTTGCTATGATGTAATGAACGTATACTAATTCAAATTTCTTCAATGTCATATAATCCAAGTCATGTCAAGCGATCAATGGCTATTGCAAACTCAAATAACAAAGGTAAAATATCTTGACGAAAATTTGAATCAATCAAAGAGCTTACTAACTCATTTTTTTAAATACCCAACATTCCCACACATCATTCTAGATCTATCATAAGCTTGGGCGGGACGGGACTGAGGGGGTCAATAAGTGCTGCTGCACACATGTTTGGAAACCATGACTGTACGGTATGCCAGAGTATTGACATTAATATACCAAAGTTCCATCAAGAGTCTCGCCCAGGTTATGCCGTATTGCGTTAGGCTTTTGTCTGACGAATGTCGCTCAATGTAAGGGGGCGACGTCCAGTAGCAGGTGGCATCCATTGCACAGCGGGTGTACGGCTTGTTAAAGGCGATATTGGCGATTACCGCCAATGTTGGCGTTCGGCCCGCACAAACTTCGGGCCGGACTAACCCGGTGGCCTTCGTTTTTCCCATTATCACTTTCTTTTTTCCAGTCATGGGTCATTTGCGCAAACGGTTACAATGTCAAAGCTTTTTTGTCCGAGAAACCTCAGAAAATTATTCAGGATATGTTGTCTACCTATTCACATCTCCGAGACTCTTTTTCAATGCCAGGACGGAAAGGGAAAATACTGATGCTTATGGCCAAAGGTCATTTTTGATCAGATATCACGCGCTATTTTCTTTTTAGGGGTTTTATAGCCACCAAGCGCAAAAAGACCGTCAGTGCACTCAAAAGGAATATTATGCACATGCACTTTGCACGCATGCATGCACGTAACGGTTGCATGAATGACGATAGCAGTATCATGTTCGCTCACATTACCTAGCCAAGCTTTTCCGTTAATGACGAAAATTCATTTTGTTGTATACCGATAACAAAGCCCAGCCGATCGAGTATAAAGGAAAGGACTTGCTTTTTTGTGCCACAGTTGTTGGGGATTCTCCACACATGGGAGGGAATGCTTGTGCTTGGCAACCATTGGTACCAGAAAAAAAAGGCCAGGAAAAATTAATGCCGTGGTGGTTCCTGCATTAGTAAGGATTGCCGACCAATACGATTTTCTGATTGGTTGTTGGGTAAGCATACCACAAATAAAAAAGAAAAATATTTGTGTCAAAAAGTGGCCAACTTGATTGATGAGATCTGGGAATCGGAGAAGTTATTTTTCGAATGAGCAAGTAGAAACCCGATTTCGGGCGGGGAGATTGCGGCAGTGATTTTGTGTGACGGTCTGTCGGGGATAATAAAAAAAAGAAAAGCAGAACATTAAAAAGAGCTTCTTCTGTTTTCTTGATCCGTTTCCCACAGTTCACTCATTGTATACCTTTTTGCATCATTGAATTACCAGCTACTCTAGAGATTAACAAAACAAAAATTAATTCTATAATGACAATGAATGAAGAAGAAGGCGGATCGAATGACTCCCGCTTTAAGCGCATGCTCAAGTCACGTCTCCAACTTCGTCCCCCCGTGCTTGAAGACCCTCGGTTACTCCCCTCCACCACCAAAGGCATCATCCTTGCCTGCCTTGCCATGTGCGCTAGTACCTCTGGTTTCTCCAGCACCATTTATTTCCCTGGTAAGTAATTGAATTGACGTGGCAACGGAATTAACACCATCCCTTGGAAATAAAAAGAAACAGCGTACTGACTGATCCGGTAACTTTCTTTGGATTGTGATTTTTAGGTTTGCCATATATCACCCGAGATTTGAATGCGCCACCCATGGCGACTACGTTGACCGCTGCTCTTTTTGTGCTTTTTATGGGCATTGCTCCTGTATTTTGGGCTTCGATTTCCGATTTTTACGAAGTACGACGTGTACTTTTCATGATCTCCATGGTGATCTTCATTGCGGCGTCTCTTGGCTCGGCGTTCATTACCAACATTTGGGGTCTCGTCGTCTTGCGCTGCGTGCAATCCATTGGTTCCTCTTGCGGTCAATCAGTAGGAGCAGGTACGCTTTTCAACAACGTTGCACCTTTATTCAACCCGACTTTTTTTTTTCTTAACTCACAAATTTATTCGTTTTCTCGTTATTTCAATGTAGGCGTCATTGCAGTAAGTTGATTCAGATAAAATACCGGTTATCAGATCAAAAGCTCATTGATATGCAATTTATGTAGGATTGTTACCCTGTTGAACGACGTGGCGCGGCTTTTGGCAAATACTTTTTCGGTGTTTTCATTGGTCCCTTGACCGGTACGTTGGAGAAGGGCGTTGATCGCTTACTTTTTTTTTTTTTTTGCTTATTTGAAATGAACCGGCAGCTGATCTTTTGAATCTTGTTTTTTTTTTCTCGTGTCACCTGCAGGTCCTATTATTGGTGGCGCCTTGATCATGAGCAGTCTGACGTGGCGAGCAACGTTTTGGTTCTGTGTGGCCCTCGGTGCTGTGATTGTGATCTGCTTGTTTTTCCTTTTACCCGAGACGTATCGAGTCAACGCACGTTTCGATACCACTTTGCCGACGAGCGACAAGGATGTCAAGGCCAACGAGACCAATACCAATACAGATTCGATGGACGGGGACAGCCGTTCAGAAACGATCTCCGTTACCAATGAAAAGGGTCAAGACGTGGCTGCACCTTCTTCGAAACCAGTGCTCCATACACCTATGGCCAAGAAACGATTCAACATTTTGGCTCCCTTCCTGATGCTTCGTCATCCCTTTGTATTCCTTGCATCGCTGATTTCCGGTATTACCTTTGGCAGTATGTTTGCCGTGGAAACCATTATTCCCGGACTGTATGGCGAACACTACGGATTTTCATCGTGGCAAACCGGTCTTAGTTATTTGGGTGCCGGTGTCGGTAATATGACAGCCACGTTTATCGTGGGAATGATTTCCGATCGTCTGTTGCTTCGCGCTCGCCGTCTGCGTGGAGGCAAAGCCCTGGTGGAAGATCGTCTTACGATCAATTTGTGGCCTTGCGGTTTGCTCATCATTCCTTTCGGACAGCTGCTGTTCGGTTGGTCCATTGAAAGCGGTCTGTCGGTGTGGGCTCCCATTATTGGCTTCGGTATTCACACCTTTGGTATGAATCAAATCACCACCGCCACATCGGCCTACCTGGTGGATGCGGTTCCTGGTGTGGGCGCTTCGGCCACTGCCGCGGCGAATCTCGTGCGTATGGTAATTGCCTGTGTTTTGACCTTGGTGGCCAATCCCATGGTGCAAGCTTTAGGTCCCGGTTGGACCAGTGTCTTGTTGGCCGCTTTGAGCTGGGTATCCATGGCACTCATGTTTGTCCTCAAATTCCGCGGCGAAGCCTTGCGAAAATGGAGTGGTTTTGCTTAATTCACTCGCTTTCCTTAAATTTTTGTCTTTTTTTTTTTAGTGTTTGCTTTGCATCATCATTTTCCATATCCCCATACTCTTTTTTTTTTGTACTTTCTAGTTCATCACTCAACTTTTAATTTATCACACAGTCTTCATATTTTGCACTCATTCATTTTTCCTGACAAGAAAAATAAAAACCACTGCCAAAGAAAGAAAATCATGTCATGTCATAAAATCTGTTATCAATTGGTTCATGCTGGTATATCTGCTGTTCTATTGCACTCCGAATAAAATAAAATTAGAGTTCACGCATCGGGTTTCAGACGTTTATTTTTTTATTCTACTGTTTTCTACTGATTAAAGGTTTGGGATATCTTTAATCTTCGCGAATTTCGGCGGAGACTCTTTGCACAGTTTCCAAATAGGTTCGAAGAGCTTCGGGATCGACAGTGGGTAGAATACCGTGACCGAGATTAGCAATGTGTTTACCGTCTCTACCAAAGGCTTGCACCATGCGTGTGGCGGTTTCGCGGATCGCGTCATGACCGGCAAACAAAACGGAAGGATCCATATTGCCTTGAAGCACGACCTGGTCCTTGGTTGCGTGACGCGCGTATTCTGGGTCAATGGTCCAATCCAAGGACACCACTTCATATCCAATGTTGGTTAAATCGGCCAAAGCATACCAAGCGCCTTTAGCGAAAATGGTCATGGGCACCACCTCGAGGTTTTCTCTCGCGAGACGCTCCTTCACCTCTGTGGCGATCTGTTTGATATAAGGCAAGGAATAGGTTCTAAAGTCGTGAGGGCTCAATTCGCCCGCCCAGGAATCAAAGATTTGCAACATCTATTCCATCACGCATTAGCAACTGGCACTAAGCACTGACACGGCACGGCTATCCACTTCGCCAAAGTGTTCTCCTGAAGTACACACCCTAAGGCGACGAATGTCCCCAATAATAGGCTTACCTGTGCACCTGCTCTCACTTGTCCCACTAAAAACTCGACCGTGACACCAGTGATGCGTTGCAAGAGTTCATGGGTTTCCTCGGGAAATTTCCATAACCAAGTCTTGGCTTTGGACAGTGTTTTGCTACCGCCACCTTCAATCATGTAAGCCATCAGTGTCCAAGGAGCACCGGTGAAACCAAACAGAGGGACACGGCCATCGAGTTTATGTCGTGTCAGAGTGATGGCTTTATACACGTAACCCAACTCTTGATCCACGTTGACGTGTTCACGAAGACGAGCGACATCCTTGGGGTGGACCAAGGGCTCCGGAAAGACGGGACCGCGACCTTCGACCATTTGCACTTCCATACCCAAAGCTTGTGGAATAACCAAAATGTCGGAAAAGATAATGGACGCATCCAACAATGAGCCGTAACGATCGATGGGTTGCAGCGTCAACTGACAAGCCAGTTCGGGCGTGCGACAAATTTCAAAGAAACCGTGATGTTTACGCACTTCCTGGAATTCTACAAGATTCAATTCATTTCCGTGTCAGTTCATGGTAGAAAAACCCAAATGGACAGAGGTGTGTTACCGGGTAAGTAGCGGCCGGCTTGTCTCATAATCCAGATAGGCACCCGCTCGACCTTTTCGCCTACAAACTCGATAAGTCTACGAGCGGACGAAAATCACATACAGTTTCAAAATAATTCACCTCGCGAGGCACGAAGAATAAGGTCGTTTTTCAAGGGTGGAAAATTGGTGGCTGACATGGCGTTCATGAACAGTTAGGTTGCAAGAGCACAGTACGAAAAAATAGGCCGTCCTGGAGAAGAGGAAATTGACTCGCGAACACACACCGACCGGGGCGTGACTGCTGTATTCTCCAACTCGCCGTGGATTTTTTTTTTAAACCACTCCTGTACTCACTGATGTACAAACAAGGAACACATTCTGAATGCCGGTTTCTTGTTGTCATTGTTTATCGCCTCGGTCATTGAATGCGAAAAATAATAATGTAGGTACTTTGAGTTGTATCGGAATGCGAAGATGCAAGGGGAGCGGGTTCGGAGCAGATGATGTGAAACGGGTTTGGTTGTGTTCATGCATCCAAGAACGACTGGCATCAATTGATGTCAATTTTTAGAAAATGGCAGATGACTTTGTGGTATCTCAGTAACCCAGCTTTTGGGTTACTTAGTTTCATGGATATTTTTGACAAGTCAACCGTTCTTATTGGCACAAAAACCAAAAAGTAGAACTAGACTTTTAGAAAAACCGGATTCAGATGAACTTTGTTTCCCATTTGCTTTACTTTTCCCGCTGCAAAGTGGGTCTTGTGTGAAAAATGTAAAGAAACATAGGCGGCATGAAATAAAAAAAAGAAGAAAAACATGTTTCGGTTGTTTTGTTTGGTTTCCCACAGCAACGTACTAGTGTCCGCGGATGCACTTGCAGATGAGATGCCATGGTTTTTTGGGGAGAAGTTGTTCATTTTTCCAAAACTTCCGCACTAAAATAATATTATGCAATCCTCGCACATCAAATCTTTTGGGTGTTTCCTTTTAGGGTGATCATCAATGTTCGTGACCAATCAGCACGTGGTGGAACACGATTGGATTTGTCTAACGTGCATTATACTGATTCGATAAGTTTATTCTACGAAAAATCAAAGGATCGAGACCTACTATGTTACTATGTGCCTGTGTGCCAGCGGATAGAAGGACAGCTCCCATCCCCACAAAGAAATTTTTCAGACGATCTTGTCAGAGGGTAAAAGAACAACACAAAAAACTACACAGAAGGAACGTCAAATAAAAATAAAGCAGCTGTTTTTTGTTGCAGTGATATATACACAATATTCAAACGATTTTATTACAGGGAAATAAGATAAAAAAAAAAGGAAATAGAACTACATTATGTATGAGGGATTTTTTGGTTGTATAGATGGAACATTTACAGCCACCAAGACTCTTTTTCGTGAGTATGGACAAACATATCAGTGTCTTCATAATCCTGTGCAGATGGAGCAGCCGACGAATGGGTACTGTTGCGACCACAGAAAGAGGCGTCCAAGTCGACATCATCGTCATCATCGTCCACCATATCAGACCAGGAAAAGTTGGCACCGGTACTGAAGAAGGCGGAATCGTAGCTGGCGTGATTGGTTTGCTTGGGAGCACAAGGGATATTGACAGGCACATGATCACTCTGATCTTCATCAAGAAGGGAAAGGGTACTGAATTCAGCCTTCATTTCGGCCACCGAAGGACGCGAGTGAGCATCGACAGACAACACCGAAGAAAGGAAACGGAAAGCATCGGCCGACAACAGAGGAAAAAGATGTTGCTTCAACATGGAAGGATTGTTCTTGTATTCGACAAAAGCCGCATCGGCCGACGAAGCTTCCTGCCAAGGGTTGCGACCAAACAAAAGAGCGAGCAAGAGAACACCCAAGCTCCAAACATCGGAGGCGGCGGCATCGTAGGGAACGGTTTCGGGATGGCCATTGTCATCATCAAAGTGTTCAGGAGCGAGGTAGGTGGTGGAACCACAACCAAACTCCATCGAGTAACGTTCACGAGTCGCCAGGCCAAAGTCGGCCACCTTGCACACCAGGTCTTCGGTATCTTCGCCTTCGTCCTTGAGAAGAATGTTTTCAAGTTTCAAATCGCGGTGGTAGATGCCATGAGCGTGCATGTACTCGATGCCTTCAAGGATTTGCATAAAGGCTTTCTTGACAAATGCTTCATTGCGCACCTTGTTGGATTCTTGATCGCGGATAACGTAATCGAAAAGATCGCCTTGGTCGCATACATCCATCACCATGTAAACGTACTTGTCGTCTTGGATCACATTGTGAAGTCCCAGGAGATAAGGATGCTTGAGTGACGATTGAATGTCGATTTCCAGTTGTTGCAGTTGAAGCTGTTGATGGTCCAGACCTTGTTTGCTGAGGACCTTGACCGCCACGTACTCGTTGTTGCGCAGAGACTGGCCAAGGAACAGGCAACCATAGGAGCCGTGACCGAGTTCCTCGATGAGCTGATAATCGCCGATGGTTTGGTCAACCATGGATTGGGAGAATTGAGTCCAGTAATCTTGTTTCTGATTCATTTCAGTAGTGTCGTTGATACTGTTAACGGTATAAGTATTGAGCTTGGTGTAAGAAGGTAGTGTGGGTAGAGGTGTAAGGTAGTATAAAGCAGACGGTTGCTTCTTGATCAAATGGATGACTTGAATTGATACTGAATGAGTCGACTTAGTCGAATGATGCGATGTATGATTGACATGGTTTTGTTATAAAAGAAAAGAGGAGAGAAAAAGCTAGGCGCTTATGTTCTGTCGTTTGGATATTGTTGTTATCGTTTCAAAAAAAGGATAAAGAAAAAACTACTGCGTATTTTTCCAGAGATCTCAAAAGAGAGTGACGGATTTAGAAAAGGAGAGCCATGGTGGGCAATATCTTAAGAAATAGAAAGGAGATGTGTAAAGGGTTAAAAAGGAAAAACAAGCAGTAAGGTAACAAGAAGAAAAAAGACAAAATGGTGGGCCAAGGATGAGCCGTTTTTATAGTACCAAGAATGGAATCATTTCCACCAGCAATTTCTCGTAACTTCCTTGCATTTTGATTGGTAAACAACATGACATGACGCAAAGCTACATTTGGCAGTTTTTCACTCTGAGTCAGCTGGCTGGCTCTTAATAAGCTAACGAATGAAGGGAGCGAGAGGCATCAGAAACCGTAATTTTCTTCGGGGGAATGGGGGGACGGAGAAAGCGTTTGAGAGAATTTACCGGAGAAAAAAAACAAATGGCACAACTCAGCTCCTCTGTTTTGCCGGTTCCGTAAAAGGCAACTTTCTAAGAAGAAAGATGAAGGAAAAGAAAAAGATTATCAGATCGGCGACCCTTCAAAAGAAATAAAGATGAGCAATAGTTGACTATGAATACAAGATGACAGAGTATATAATCTTGATCAGATGATCCATTTTCTACTAGATACTTGTTGTCACAGCAACGACGAAAGCTATTTTCATAAAAACGATGACCCAAAGCTTTATTGATCTTGGCACACCAAAAGAAAAAAAAAAAGGTGTGTTGGAATTTGAAAAATAGTGTCGTGAAATGATGTGATTGGCTCCAAACTATAAGGAGCTTTTAGGATCTCATTAGCTGCAATGGTATGTCCAAATTGAGTCATCAGAACTTGCGAAAAACTCCCCATCACCCCCCAAAAAAAATATTGACAATCAGTGCACAGAATAACGTCGATTGCTCCAAAAAACCCGCAGAAACAAAAACAAAAAAAGCTATGCGTGTTGGAACCTTTTGATGTTGCACAATCCCAGCAACCAAAATTACACACGGATCCCATGATGCGTGTAAAAATAATAAGACCATTTATCCATATTTCCCATGGCAAAATAACCCCAGAAATTTTTTGTAAAGATTTTTTTGGTGACATGCGTCTCTATCGTGCAAGTAAGACCTTATTCGTTGCCTAGGATTTGGCGCAGCCTTATCAACTGCGGCGCTCAATCCAAGCGCCTCTTGTTTCTTCTCACATCACCGTCGCAGCAAAAATATAACAGAAAGATCCTTACATCAACTTGTGCAACCTCATCTTCCAGATTGCGCACTAACCCATTTTGGAAAGCTTGGAAACCCAATGAAGGAATGTCCCAACGCATCAACGTGATTGGATAATTTTAAACGCTTGCGTTTATTTTCCACAGGTCGACGCGATGAAATGACGGCGGTCGCCTTGTGTGCATCGCACAGAACATGGCCCGATTTCAACAGCCCATCCTGCAGGAACCTTCAACAGCAACTATCTATTTTTAAAAAAAAATGGAGATGCGACTTTGAACAACATGCCACCTTTTTTCTGTGACAGAAACGCTAATAATCCAATTTGGTGTGGCTCCCATTAGCGTGGCTCGTTTTTTGATGAGCAAAAAGTCCTAGACTTTGGATGTCGTGCAAATTGCGCATAAAATTAATTCCAAACCTCCTCATTGCCTGCCCATGATCTCAGTTTATTCATTTATAACGTGTAACTCATGCGTAAAAAAACATACAATACGCTAATTTTTTTTTTCAATCACATCATGGCGTCGTTCTTCCCTGTTTGGGTACAGTTCCCTACAAATAAAGTTGATCGAGACCGTGCCCCACAGTATGGATGGTTTTACGTTGGAAAGCTCAGCATAGCGAAGTCCCTTGACGTTTGCTCGTAATTTATCCATTCTCCAATAAGGCGACGAGTAGCACTTGCTTACTTTTTGAGCGGAGATCTATGGGGGGAAAACACTGTTTTTGGGAGTCCAAAGACGTAATGTGGCCGAAAAAACTGTCATTTTGAGATGGATGGTACGAGCATCAAGCCATCTTTTATCTCACGACTTGCACAGTCAACATTGATGCTCCTATTCACACTCGCCAACCTGGATCTGTGGCAAATAATAATGTGCTTTGCCACGGAAACTCTGTTTCAGAAAGCTGGGCCGTTGGGGAAAATTGAATCAATCCATGGCAAGGCAGTGCCGTGAAACCCGCAAAGCCAGCGGCCGAGAAAATCCGAAAATCCAGAACTTTTTTTTCTATTTTTGGACTACGGGCCATTGTAACATCCACAGATGAATTTCGATGGATTACGGCAGCAAAAAAGAGGAGCACGGAAAGAAACGGCTATTCTTTTGGCTGCAGCAACATCCGGAGCCGATCAACAATACGCACACTCGGGAGGGTTTTACCGAAGCCTCATCAATTACTGTGACCAAGCTGTGGGCCTGGCAATTTATTATGCCTAAACCTCTTGGTCTTGGCTGAATCATCACATTTTGTCCTTACGTTGCTTGGCAAAGACCGTGGCACAACAGTGCAGTTTTGTTGATTGATTAGTGCTAAAAAAAATTAGCTACGGTAGATCTGCGGCACACATGTGTTTAGTTTGGCTGACATTGCCGTGAATGGAATGGGGTATTCCTTTTTTCTTGATTTGTAAAAAAATCGAGACTTCGTTACGACTCGGAAACACACACCACTGCGGCAGAAAGTGGCACAGTCTATCGATCGACATCAGGGACTTGCCTCTTTTTTAAAAATCAGGGCCAATGACCAATGTTTTAGAAAATTCCTGTTGTCAACGTGTGCTGTGCCATTCCCCGTCATGAGGCCCGCCAACGGTGAACAAGGCAACATGACCTTTATGTCTGTGTTGCCGAAACATTGATTTCGTAACCACATTGACAATTATGGGATCTTTACAGAAATTTTCCACCATGGCCCCGCAAAGCCACCCTTGGTTCGGGTTTTGGTAGTCCGCCAACGAAATCCACTTGAACCTGCACGAACGCTGCGTTTCCCTCCCAGCCCAAGCGTCCTTGTTCGATGAAAGTGAATCCTCGTGTCTTTTTCGATATAGACATCGATGGCCAGCGAGGTAATACTTGAACTGATAGCCAAACAAGCGAGACATGCTGACGATGAATGTTTTTCGTTGCAGTTGGTCGAGTCATCTTCGAATTGTTCGCCGATGAAGTCCCAAGAACCGCAGAAAACTTTCGAGTGCTGTGCACAGGTATGAAAATTAGTGTGACAAACACACGATTGATGTCAAGATTTGACTGACTTGAGGGGTTGGAATAGGTGAACAAGGTCTTGGAAAAGTGAGCAATATGCCGCTTCACTATCGTGGATCCATCTTTCACAGGTAATTCACGAGTTACACGGCTCGATCCAAGACTATTGCTCACTCGTCTATTATCAAGAGTTATCAAAGGTTTTATGATTCAGGGTGGTGATTTTACTCGACGCAATGGCACGGGTGGTGAAAGTATTTACGGGGCCACTTTCCCTGATGAATCGTTTGCTCGCAAACATACGGTTCACGGTCTGTTGAGCATGGCAAATCGTGGACCCAACACACAGTCGTCTCAGTTCTTCATTACCACTCGACCTACACCTCACTTGGACGGTAAACACGTCGTCTTTGGTCGTGTGGTGTCCGGCTACAACATTATTGAACAACTCGAATGCGAACCCGTGGACGACAAGGATCGCCCGCTCCGTACCCTTATGATCGCCAATTCCGGTGAACTCATATTGAAACTGCCTCCAGGTGTTAAACGTACGTTATCCGAGAAAAGATTTTGCCGTGGACTGCAGCATGAAAATCTCTCTAACGCTGTTCTCTAGTGAAGGATCCAAAGGAGCAAGCCAAAGGAACCAAGAGATCACGATCGAACTCAGTTTCGGACGAAGACTCCGGCACGGCATCCGAATCACATACAGACAGTGAGGAAGAAAGTAGACGGCGGAAAAAGAGAAAGAGTAAAAAGAAAGACAAGAAGAAGCATAAGAAGAAACGAAAGCACGAAAAGAAACACTCTCGACACCACAGTTCAAGCCCGGAGCGGTCTGCATCGCCCATCAAGGTGACCTACCAATCAGACGAGGATGTACCTTTACTCTCCTCCAAAGAAGACGCCCCCCGCCGTCGTTCCTCCGATACACGATTACCTTACTCATCCTTTCACGAAAAGGATGCTGAAAAACCTGAGTGGGAGCGTCGACGTCGGTTCGATGACCCGAACGTCACATTCAAAGGAAGAGGCCATGTGGTAAGCAACCCAAATGTCACAACGTATGAACGTGGAAGAATCTACAACTTGTGGATTTTTTTTGTTTTAGAAATATCGATCAAAGGGTAAAGGCATGCGTGCCTGGTAAAGTGCCTGTGACGTTTGAAAGCCCCCTTCTGAAATCAAATCACGTCGCCAAGGTTGATGCGATGTTAATTCATGCATAAAAACGAACTTATTCTGCTTTGATGGTACAACGAACGAATATGAAGCTGCACTACCGTGAGCCGTCACACGAATCTCCTCATAATCACACTCATTTACAATAAATACTCGTCATCCTGTGATCATTGCTTTTCTTTTCTTTCTTGAGGAAACCTAGTATCCATAATGTAGATTGTATAAATGTTAATAGTGAATAACTATGGATTATTTTGGATATGATGCTTTACTTTAAAAAAAAACTCGGGATTATCCATAATTTTTTCAAGGAGACTGTACAAGAGAAATGGGTAAAAAATACGAAATACGGAATACGAATGAAGCAAAAACGCTTCTGGTATGAAAAAAGCGAGAGAAATATGACGGACTACTCGATATTGATCTGAGATCGTACAGCACTGTCATCGACCTCCAGCTCTTGACACAGTTGCAGCAGCAACTGCCACCCGGCAATGGTCTTTTTGACAGCCTCAGAGTAAGTCCACGGTCGTACTCGGCCATGGGATGTTTCGGCGGCCCAAGTGAGCGTTGGACGGTATCCCATCACGGTTTGCACGTTCGTCATGGCCGTGATACTTTCGGCGTAAACGCTGTGCAGTGTCGGTGACACCTTTTGCGATTCGGCCGATTCTTCTGATGTTTGTAATAAGGCCCGTGCCGCATCGTTGGCAGAAAGATTGGACGAGCTGCTGCGTGGTCCACCTAATCCGGGCTCTGCTTCGGTATCGGATCCTCCCGGGGAAGACGCGGCGTGGACAGATAAAGAGGGTGAACTCGGTGAAGGAGGTACACTGCGTGTGGAAGGAATGTGCAAACCCAGGCCACACGTTGGAGACGATGCCGGAGCCACAGAGCTCTTTGCTTCCGTCTCACCTTCAGATGGCCCAATGATATTGACGGCAGGCACAGTTTCTTTCGGCGACGACGATGATCCTCCGCCCCAACTTCGCCAACGCGATCGTCGACCTTGCGAATCCATCGTCGGCGCGGGTGAATGCTGCGCATAACCGCTCGTTCGCGGACTCGTACTGTATACGGACGAACTTCGTGGATATGAACTTGAATTCCCGTCACGTAATTTTTCATGGATGTAGCCCCTTAGCGACAGGATCAGTGGACTGCGGTAGCTGACAATAAACTCCAAAAGACGCCAGGTCGCGAAATCATACACCGTAGCCGTCGAACCGACCGCACTGCCGGCCACCGACGTACGAGGACCCGGCGAACTAGGACCGAGTGACCATGGCAAAGGAGAAAATCCCGGCGAACTTGGTAGCAGATGCGGACTCGATCGACCGGAACCGCTCGTACGTGGTTTCAGTGATTTCAGAGACTGGGCAAAGATCAAAGTGCCTTTCAAAAAATGCGCCACTTGCATCCATGCGCCTTTCATTTTATCAAACGAGGCAGCGCCCCGGATGAGCACCACTTGCAGCGCCGTGAGACTCATGGAAAGCAAAAGTGCAATATCCATGGGCGGTTGCTTGACGACGTCTTCTGGTATTTCCGATGTCTCGCCCAGTTCTGGATTCGTACTCTGCGCCATATTCGATGTCAACGCCGTCAGTAAAAATCCGGGGGCTTTGCCTTTGAGCAGCGATGCTTGGTGGCATGCTCGCGAAATGTAGCCTAGTAATCGCATCCAGTGACTGGTGGGATCCGGCCGGTATTTCTGATTGGCAGACACTGTAGGCGAACTCCACTGCAACCCAAACTGAAGCGCAATGGGTACCACAATTTTGCCCATCAGGAAAGACGACGGCGCAAGCGCCTCGATGGTTTCCAGCACATCCTGGGTAGAATTCTCCATAATGGCCACGATCACCCGCACGAGTGCTTGATAGAACCGGGATTGACGTTCGGTCTCATTGGCCCACGCTTGACGTGCGGCCAACGATAAACCAAATAGCACGAATCGGTCTTTGATCAATCCTGCAATATCATGCATGTTGACCGCCTTGCCTTGACCTCGTTCGAGAACAATCGCCAATCCTTCATACAAATCTGCCCCATCCACCGTTTTCCACTGAGATCGATATTGCGTATAGATTTGGGTAAGGAGCTTTTTGAAAGCTTTGGTATAATTTCGCAGATTCATATCCACCATGGAATTCAAACAATCCACTAGATAAATCTTGATCCAGTCCGTAGAACAAAGGTGGCCCCGGAGCGCGCCATATTCTCGTAAAATACTTCTGATAATCATCGCCATCTTTTCATGATTTACCTCGGACAACGTGCCCCCGTTTTTAAAATATTCATGCACCAACAGAACAAATTCCTTCTTGATGGTAAGGCGATCGTTTTGCTGCCATTGTTTGCCGTACGCGTGCTGGGTCGAATCATTGATGGTCCCCCCTGTGGATGCGCGACGATCTTCGCTCGTGGTGGCATTGGCTTCGTTGCCCTGATGAGCATGATTCGCTTGGCCCGACGAAGACGCGCCACCGCCTCCTCCCAACCCTCCAAACACGGGTCGTCCGCTCTTGCTGAATTTGACAAAAACGTCAATCAAGGCCACAATGCCTTCCGTCATCAAGTCTTTCAAACCCCCCAATTTAAAGAAGCGAGGCAGCATGTGACGAAACATCTTGACAAATTGTTCGGCACGCAGTGAACCGGGATCATACGCAATGATGGTGAGAAACAGTTTGACGAAATTTTGCAAAGGAAATGGAATATTCTTGTAGTGGTTGATCTCGGGCGCCACCATCGGTACGGCCATGCTGCGTTTCAACGGTTTGAGGAGCGACGTCGACAGAGGAACCGCAAGTGGATTGCTGACGATATCGATCTGTTCGTGGATATTGCGCTCGAGATCATCCAATTCCACCTGCAGCTGAAGGCCAAGCACGTCCGATGTCGACCCCAATGGCGGTGGGTTATTCATGGCTTGCATCAATGCAAACAAATTATCCGTCATCCAAGCCCCCAGGCGTACGGATTTCGAATATCCCTTGAGAATCAGAGGTACCAAGACACCCAACATTTGAAATACAAACGCTTCTTCGTGCACCGCATAGAATCGACACCAAGCAAACGTGATGGCCGACCTTACATGCGGGTAGCGGTCCATTTCGCAAAACACTTTGAAAAGAGCAGGCAAAAATGCGCTGTAACCATGACTGGACACAAACAACCGCTTAAATCGAGTCACCACACGTGTATACAATAGGACGGCCTGGCCAAGGATTCCAAAATCGTTCGCATGTTCGATAATGATACTGTTGACGGATCGCAAAATGTTTTCAAACTCGGCACGGTCATTGTAATTCTTATTCAGACCAGTCAGCAAGATGTCGATAAAGCGAAGCCATACACGGGCCCGCAGGACAGCCAGGTTCCTGATGTCCTCGACTTGCTGCGTCGGTCGTCGTTGGGGCTTGATTTCCTCGTAGTAGGCGGTAGCGGAGGCTTCCTCGTCTTCAAAGATGATTTCACTGTCGCGGCGTTTGCGCAAGTCGAGGTTTGGGAAATAATAATCGTCCGATTCGATACTGGCACCAGGGGCCGGCATGCCAGGAATCGGGGTATGCTCGTAATTCTGCACCGATTTTTTGACAGCATATACTTCACGCGGGTATCGGATGAGGAAATTGGTCAACAGCTGCAAATGGCTAATGCGAACCAAGGACACGGCAAATATATCCCAGGGAATATCCAAAATGGTAAAAGGGGAACGTGTGTCGGTCAATTCATGTGGAAACATGGCCGCCGGTTGCTGCTCCTGCGTAAACCAGAATCGACCGCTGCTCACCAGAATGAGCTCAATCTTGTTTTTGCGCAGATCTCGCAAAGAGATTTCATTGGTGGAAATCATCAACTCGGTAAGGATCGGATGGATCAACGTCATGAGCAGTAACCCGTCGGCTTTGTTCTCTCGTGCCAACCATTTTAACATCCCCGCCAAATAGTTGAACAAGATATGCGTAAACCCAGGCGGCAGTTTTGCTTGCATTCCGATCAAATACCGCACGCGGGTCAAGATGTCGCGGTGATGGTCCGGCTTGTGTTTGCCGAGATCGTTGAGGAATACGCGCAGGAACAAAGCCGCATCGTCTCGCATTACATACTCCAACAACTCGTGAAGCGCATTGAAATTGCCACCGTAATTGTCATTGAGCAAATCCACCATGCTGACAAAAGCGATCGTCAACGAGTGCACCGCCGCGGCGCGTTTCTTTCTTGTAATAATTTTCGTGACATCAATGCGTTTCCCTTCAGGGCGGCCGTCACCATTCGCTCGAGGGCCTTCGTTGACGCCATCCTCTATTTCATCTTCATCTTCCGTCATGAAAAGGGACGGTAGCACCCCAAGCGGGATGAGAACCTTTTTCAATGCTTCATGCTCTTCGCCCTGATCGTCATCGCCCCAGCCTAATTCCTGAATTTGCCGCTTCAATTCAATGGGAAAGTTGTTTGTGTTCTTCAACTTGGCCATCCATCGAGGTTCATCCATCGTCATTTGATCACTTCCCAGATCGGTTGGCACAAACGGGGTCGAGAACGCCCCGCTATCGCCACGAAAAGGCCGTTTTCTCGATGAAACAGGAATATACTCTTGTGAAATGACGTTGAATCGAAGCGCATTCAAAGAGGCGTGTTTTCGAATAGCGGCTAACCGATCCAGTGCATTATCGCTACACAACATAACGCTTCCTGTGAATAAAATCGTACTGCACACACACGTGCATACACACTCACTCACTCAAGCACTCACTCACTCACTTACTCACATCTCGCCCCTCCACCCTTCCTCCCAAAAAATAAATCGAAGAGCCTACCAGTAAAGATCATGGGTGGTAATATCGGTTACTGTCTTTGGAATTTTTTCACCGCATTGCATTAACAAAAAGGCGGCAGGGACCGCCGCCAGGGTATTCGGATTGTCGATAAAGCAATCCCACAAGGGACGAGCGAGACGACTGTATTCCTGAGGCACAAGTGTGGTGAATACAGCCACCAACAAGGAAAGGACCGACCCGAACGCATCTTGATTCATGGATTTTATGTTTTCGACACGAGTTTTGGCCAACACGGTGGCGGGACCTTCTTGATGGATGCCGCCTCTTTTAACAGACAAGGACGGGGGCTGAATATCCAAGGAGGAAGCGGTGGTACGGCTGATCGGATAGATGGATTGAATCGTAAGCTGACGTCGGTTACGGATAGTCAGCATCCGGTCCGCGGCGTCGCCATGCATGGTGGTATCAATGAGATCATCCACTTTCTGTCGTTCGGAATAAGAATAGCCTTCCTTGGGTATCGCGCTCGCGGGCTGATCGGTATAATCGTGATAGGCACTCGATTCATGCTGCAATTGTTCGACAATCACCTTATATACCTCATGTAAAGTCTCAAACTTTGTTGCCATCTCTTCCAAATGCCACACATGCAAGGTTCCTGAGGACGCACGAGACAATCGGCTATCAGTGCCAGACTCCATGCCCTGATCGGCATGGTGACTGGATGTGAGGAATGCGTTGACTGTAGGAACCACGGGTTGAATCGTCCATTCAATGGCCCGACTGAGCCATCCGGGTCGATGCGTGGTGTTGCAGAAAAAGCGAATGTCGAGAAAAATATTGCACAAAATGACACGCAGCGTGATGGGAATGAGGATTGATTTCTCCTTGGCTGCCATGAAAACGGAGAACCGTCTCTCCAGATCGATCAGGAATTTCTTGGCAATTTCATCCTCTTCCATGTTTCTCGACGGGTCATGCTGTTTGGCTCGTAACTCTTTGATGGCCCACATGAATTCCGCAGCAATCGCACATTGACCCAGTGACGTGCTTCCCCACTCGACCTGGGCATGATGTTGTTGAGTGTCCCCCGGACTGGCATCCGATTTAGATGGATTGTCTTTGTCTTGTGGCTGAGACGGTCCCGAAGAGGGTGAAGCGGGTTGGTTCTTCTGTCGTTGTGGTTGTTTTTTCTTCTTGCCCACGTCGCTTAGAAGAAGCACAGTTATCATCTCGGAGTCGACCATCCAAAGATCAACGCCGGACATGTACCGTCTTAAACAAGAAAGAAGCGTGAGGTAACTGACCACCTTCTCTTTATCATTGCAAGCTACACAGGCAACCACCGGTTTGTAAAATGCGGGGCGATGACGTTTGGATAACTGGACGAGCAACTTGCAAAGAGAAGAAATAGGCGACGGGTAAGTCGCGGTCAAGCGACGAAACAGGGTCGGCAGAGTCCTTTTCACTATCTCTTCACCTATGGTGCTGTCAATGTGGAACGACAGATTTTCAAACACTCGTACCACGCGTTCGCTGGTAGCGTCTTCCAACATGGCTTCGACGCCGTTCAAGATAAAGTCTTGGTAGCCCACCTGCCAGCACTCTTCAATCATTTGCTTGAGGGCGTTCAAGGACTGTCTTACTCCGGGAGCGTCACTGAGGTTCGTCGAGCTGTAGACACTGGCTTGATCGGTTTTATCGTTATTAGTCCATAAACTGGCTGTATCACTCGCGGGAAACTCTGTAACGGATAACTGAGGACTCAAGCTGGGGGATCGAGGCTCAATTTTCGGTGGGATTTCCAAACTGGCAATCGATAAGCTCGCCAGTAACATGGAAATTACGTTGGTGGTCACCACCTTGTCGACCACATCCGTTCGCGGTTCCGTCAAGTATACCTGTAATTTCGAAGCCACCAATTTCTCTTGCACGAATTGGAGAATTAACGATACCGTAGAATCCTCGTATTTTAAATCTTCTACTGTGGCAGCGAGAAACTTTTCGGCGGCTTAATGAAAAGAAAAGAAAAGAAAAAAGCAACCCCCACAAGGCAAGGAATTGAGTCTCGTCATTAGCATGAATAATTTCGTTTCGTATAACCAAGAAAATCTGACTTACCAACTTCAGTTAAAATGAATATAATCAAACGAAAACCCATACGAGTGTCTGGACCAGGTTCAATCCAATAGCGCTACGAGAGTAAAAAATACGAGGTGAGGAGGACAACATTTCGATGCATCCGCATGAATGTCAGTTTATTTTACCGGTAAAAGTTCCTGTAGGATGATGCGATCTCTATTTCGTTGCCGGACGGTAACAGCCCACGAATTATCTGCATTTCCCACGTATGGATTGATTTGAGTTCCTCCACCCACCATCAGCATACGACAAAGGGCTTCGATGACACATAGTTTGGCGACCAGCTTTGGTATGGTATCTTCGGTAGATTGATGATAGTGAACCCAATTGGATGATCCATGGACCGGGATCATATCACCATTGGCTAAGCTGTCAAACATATTCAGCACGCTGGCTCGAATATGCTCGTACTCGTGCTGATCTTGAGAAATAGGTCGATCGTGCGGGGAAGACTGAGCGCTGCGGTGGACCAAGCCATTGACAAGTGCATAAACAAGCGAATGAAACGCATAAGGTGTGGATGGAATCAAGGTGGGATTGCCCATGCATGGGGCTAGCAAAAGTTTGAGCGTGGAAATAATACGAAGCTAGCCATATTGGAATTATTATCAACAAAAACATGGTAGATCCTCGGATGAAAATGTACCTTGAGTTTCAGATGTTCAATCTCCAGCAATCGGGCGCAAAATAAGATTTGTTCAAAATTTTCCTGATTTGGAAATATTATCAGTGGGTGGGGCAAGGGAAAAAAAAAATTGAACACAAAGCAAAGCCTCCTCGGTTCCATGCACTTACTCTCGGATCGACTTGCTTAAAATGTTCGCGAATATAATCAAATACGTCCAGCGCTTGTTTGCAATCATCCACTAATTGGTGGGGCGGTGACAATTTTTAGAATACGAGAAAGAAAAGGGCAATGACTGCTGAAAGTTTACCTTTAAGCGGCTTTTGGTCGAATGGAAGGGAAAGAATGGCCAGGATATCTTGTGCTAAAGGAAGCCATGTTGCCAACTTGTGTTTCTGCATGGTATCCATTAACGAGGTCATGATGCGAGAAATATGTGTTTCATTGGATCGCATATCTTCGTTGATGGCAAACGTCATTTGTGAGCTGGAAGGCATAGGCGAACGGAATGGATCAGTTCTGGACTGTCTTGCAAATAAGGTACGTTTGAAAGAAGGCGATGATTTGTTACTGGGATCGTTCTTGCTGGTGTCCGACAGGTTAGTAGTGGATGCAACGAAACTGGCCTGACGATTTCGGACGCTTAGATTACGAAATAATTTTTCCAGATCACGTTCGAGACGATAAATGTGTTGTTGAACGGCGGTGGTCGTGGCGAATATGCCTCCCGTAGGATTGTGCCTCGCACCTGAACCAGCAGGGCTAAAGTTGCGGGTAAAATTGGCCATGCCTGCCGCGTGAGCTGCAGACAGTGCGGTGGAAGCCAAATGAAAAGGACGGTGGGTATCGTAAAAATTGGTCTGACTGCTCTCCAAGGGCGAGTGCGATCGTGAAAAGGCGCTGAATTTGGGTTTCCGAGGATGAGGACGAGATGCGGGGGTGGACGGGCGAGAGGAAGAAGACGACGAAGGAGCCCCCGTAGATTTAGGTGACATGGCACCGAGACCGTTGACCTCCTGTGCCTCATTCAAGTGATCGTTGGGATTGGTTCTTACAGCATCGCGTAATTTGTTCCATCCGGAAGCAGAAGAAGGCTTATTCTTGTCGGGAGGTGGTTTGTGAAGCGATGTGTTCCGTAAAGGAGGAAGTAACTTTGGTTGAGTGACAGATGGAGACGAAGGACTGTTGGAATCCGTGTCATATTCGTCCGACATGATTGAAAAAAGCGCAATTAACAGTACGGAACAGGCACAGTTGGGAACGATCCGTTGAATCCCTCTTTCTTTTCCTGCACGCCAAAAAGACAAAAAATAACGCTGCTGAAACCTTGGTTTTGACCGGAAGTTGATTTTGAGACTCAAATTCCGTTTAATGGGCAACACGGGATATTTTTTTTCTGATCCTCTAACACAAGCTTTGGGCGTAATTCCGTCTAGCTGATTGAATATGTCACGTGGATTGATGCTTTGGTTGCGTTTTGCCGATGCCTCATTAACTCGCTTTGATCAAAAAGTCGTTTGAAAGTGCAAAAAAGAAAAAGAAAAAGCCAAGACTTGGCGTAGCCCACAGTCCGCTCCAATCGATTCCATGGACGGAATTTAAAGCCAAAGTCAACATTGAGTGATACGCAAATGCCATGCCGTAAATACAAGGACACGTTTACTTTTTTTTGGGAGGGGGGATACTGAAACTTTACACCCTATACCAATGCAGAGTATTTTAATAGCAAGTAGAAATCTTTACAAACAGTATTGTAACTTTAAAGTAATCATGCTGTATGAACTAAAAACCTATTGGATGTTCCAATTGCACGCTTACAGGAATATGATACAGTATCAGCGTTTTGTTTAGAAAAAAAAAAGAAATAGGTATACATTACCAATAACTAACTTGCAGTTTCATATCAAATCGACTGCTTGGCGAGTTTCAGAATTACCTAAGCGTATTTGCGCATATTGCATGGTTTTGCCAGCAATCATAGATACAAAAAGAACAAGCACTTGTATGACAGTCAAAGCTCCACGCACAACACGATAACCTGGATGGAATACCCCATCAAATCGTTAACGCCCGTCTTTTGCTTGATAATCATGGACAAGCTTACAGAGGAATTTTAGATTCTTGGCACATCAGGGACATTCTCTCTCATCAAGTATCATAAGATTTGCTAATTGAACTTGTTTAATTATATCAAACCAAGAGTTTATCCATGGAAATCAACTGCACGATTGCGAATAATTGATAACGTCAATTTCCTGTCTCTGCTTATTTGGTCCATTCGCAATCTTAGGTCTCAGTCTTCCCACGCTGACCATCTCACCGAAACGATGCGAGCCTCAAAACGGAAGAATTCGAAGAAAATCTGTATGAGGGAAATTTGACCCGGCTATTTAAGATGAGTGATTTTCAAATGGGAAATAAAGAAAATAAAGAATAAACTATACAAAGATGTCCGAGTCATTGAGTAAGTCTCTAGTTCAAGGTTTCCTCTTTTGACCATTATAAAAGGCCACGCTCGCTTCACTGGTAATATAATTTCGCCGTTGGGCCCTAAACACAATTTTAACGCGCCAGCCTAGGCCAGTCTATTCCCACAAGCACCTGAAATAAAGCGTTACAAGCTGAGAGAGACGGTCTGGACGTAAAGAAGGTGTGACAGCATTGGTATACCAACAACCTTAGGTTTCGATTCAGCTGCTCCAAAGTCTCATTCATAGAGAGAACAGCATATGTAAAGGATGCTTAAAGACGGTTATTTTCTATCATCAATGCAGCACAACTTGCGGGTAACACATACAACAGTAGGACATTCATGAATTTGTCGCCCATTCGAACCTTACTTTTTCGGAGGACAGAACTATCGCGGGTGGATAAGATTCGTGGAGGCGGAATACAGTATAACCATTGGGAAGTTAATAAGGCAACCATTCCCAGTTTTACAGAAAATACACGGGTTAGTCATTCGGGAACCGGTTGGACAATTCTTCGCATTTCCGCGTTGGCTTGTGTGCCTTCTTTTTTTTCCTGCCGTCTCATAACGAAAAAAATGCTGAGGCAAGGTTTGCAATGTCTTACAGAACCTCAAAAGACCCCCCCCAAAGAGCAATGATAACACATCAACCATTGACAAATTATGAATCTGTGAAATGTTATTTGTGCAAAGCAAATATCCGTCACCGGATGATATGTATTTCTGACGCTTTTTTTACAAGCTAAATATAAACAGTTTTTTTGTACAAATGAATCCCAACAACTAGAATAACCATAGCGCGTAGATAAGGTGTAATGATAATGAATTGTGTTTCTTTTACATGCCCTTCTCTTCACCCTGTTCGACAATCTTCTTGACGACTTCATCCACATTATCGGTACCGAACACGCTGCTCAAAATACCGGAGGGGGGACGGCTGGCTTCACCGCTGTTGCCGCCGTTGGTGACAGTGAGGACATCGAAGCTCTGGACAACATCGATCAAGGGAATAGTCTTGTCCTTCTTCCATTGGGCGGCCATACCAGCGTTGGCAATCACAAAGTATTCACTGCCGTCTTCGGACTTGTAGACGAGTTTGCAAGGGTTCTTGGTAGCGGTTCCAGACATGATGTGTAAATTGATATAGAAATAGACAGATGTAGTTAACTCGAAGAAAAAATCAAGCGAGGCAGGGTTTTATATAAGCAAACCAAAACCTTTTTTTTCTTTTTTTTTTGGGAACGAATGATTTCATGAAAACGTCATAATTGGACTGCCTATGACGCGCTTGCTATGGCGTGGTTTGCATAGCAATTTTTTTGAAGCACAGCAAATCGAGTCCCTGAACGGCCAATTTTGGATTGACCGTATCCACTGTCACAAAACTATTCTCAGTCACGCGTTCACATCGTTCCCGTCGTCTTTGCAAAAGAAAAAAAAAAAAGAACTCTGGGGCCGCCATTGCACCATGAATAGATGGGAAGAAATCGCTAATGGTAAATACACACTACTCTTTTTTATTTATTTTTGCAAGTCCAAGGAGATTGGGGAGGGGAGATGTTTAGACTACCGATGCACGGCCACCATAAGAACTCAAATGGAGAAATGGAGCAATGGAGCAAAATGGGGAAAACAGGAAAAAAAAGGAGTGAAATGGCGCGACTTCTTTTTTCCAAGATTCGAGATTGAATGCAGACTGTATATACTACTTTAGACGAACTTGAATTTGACGATCAACCCATGGAACCTACTACTGTAAGATAGAACCCGTGTTTTCTCTATATACGCTAGTTGACCCGGCCAAAAATCATTAATGAAAATATCCATGGAAATTAGTGGATCAATTGGTTTTGTTCTTTGCCCGGGCATGAATTCTATATTGAAGTCTCCGATGAGTTTATTGAAGATTCATTCAATTTGACCGGTCTTTCCGACCATGTCCCTCTGTATAAAGAAGCCCTCGAACTCATTCTGGATATTGAACCGGAAGATGACGATATGTGTAATAAAATTCCCGACTTGAGCTTGCTGGAACCTTACGCGACGATGCTCTATGGACTCATTCATCAACGTTATATCTGCACAAAACAAGGACTGTACAAAATGGTGAGTCCTCTCTTCTCATTGTATCTTCCCATTCTATAACAAGTTTATCAATGCCCTCGGTCATATTTTTTTTTCCAGCTTCACATGTTCCAATCCGGCTATTTTGGCTGCTGTCCCCGAGTTTATTGCGATAAATGTTATGTATTGCCATGCGGCCAGCACGATATACCGAAACAGAGCACCGTCCGACTCTATTGTCCTAATTGCAAAGATATTTACATTCCCCCCAACTCTAAATACAAGAATATAGACGGTAAGTCACTCACACTCGTCAATGAAAGTTTGGCTGTAGTTCTCACGCATTTTTTCATCCGCGCCCACACAGGAGCCCATTTTGGCACGACCTTTCCACATCTTTTTTTGCAAACATTTCAGGACATTATACCAACCATGTCTTCTCAAGTCTACGTGGCCAAGATATTCGGATTTCGTATCAATGAACAATCGCCTTCAGGTCCGCGAATGAAGTGGCTACGCCAGAAGCCACCCCGAAACCGACTATCATCCCGAACATCGACCGAAACTTCTTCCAGTGAATATCGTCCCGCTCTTCCATAATATAACTCATCTTTTTCTCCATATTTACACTAGCAGAACAATCTCTAATGCTTTATTGCATGGATTTGATAAGCCATATAAAAAATCCAACAATAGAATAGGTGGGGGGGGCGAAAACGCTTATTTCAACTATACAAAAACATGAGTGAATCCAAACCAGCCAGTCATTCGTTGAGTCTAACGTGCTTACCTTCTTCTTGGGGCGCAATTGGTTGGTATGACCGCACTTTCTCTTGCGGCAGTTGGTGGCACGAGGAGGAAGACGAGCATAGCACTTGCGGCAAATCATCTTGTCGCAGTTGTATTTGGAAGCCAAAGCCTTCAAGGAAGGTTCAATGATACCACCACGAAGACGGAGGACCAAGTGAAGAGTGGATTCCTTTTGGATGTTGTAGTCGGACAAGGTGCGGCCATCTTCGAGCTGCTTACCAGCGAAAATCAAACGCTGCTGATCCGGAGGAATACCTAATCAATGCCCCACCATTTATTGGTCCTAATGGTTCTCTCTCACACATGTCGCTGCGCCAATGACCGACATACCTTCCTTGTCTTGAATCTTTTGCTTGACATTGTCAATGCTGTCCGAGCTAATAAAGAATCGTTGGTCAAATTATCTTCTCTTTTTTTTTTTTTTTTTTTTTTTTACTAAAACGTGGGATTGGGTCGTACCTCTCCACCTCAAGGGTGATGGTCTTACCGGTAAGGGTCTTGACAAAGATCTGCATAGTGCTATTAAAAAATCAAAGATAAGTCATCCATCCGTTCGTAATTCAATGCATCCATTGCATTTCTGTCGTCATTGAACGTTATTTCAATGGATCTATGATACATACAATCTCTTTGTAAGATGGGTAAAGGAAAGGGCTGGATGTGAGCAGAGGCGATGACCATTAAGAGCGGGGTTCATACATTCTCATCCATCATTGGCCGATAGCCACATCATTTTCCTTTTTCGGCATTTGCCGGACCTCACTTCTTACCTTTGATCAGCTCACACAACTTTACGATGATAGCTCAGAAAATTCTTTGCCAAGCATTAAACATGATCCCAGTGTAATTATAAGAAGATGACATCGGATGAATATAGTATTAAACTGTGGAGGGCGAAAAGTTTAAAATGTATATATATAAAAAGAGGAAGTCTACGAAGAAGAGGAACAAGTAATCGGGCCGGTCTATCGTTTCTTAACAATGGAATGATTACATGCCGTAACCGTTGGCTTGACCGCGTTCCTGCCTATCTGCTTGTCGTTTCACAAGATAGTTGAGTTTATCCATGACTTCTTCGAGTTTCATCTTGCGTTCCTGCAGATTCAAGTGTTTCTGTATCGGCGGGTTTTCTCGAGCAAACTGTTGGATTTGTTGACGGTTCATTTCGTAGACTAGACGATTGTCGACTTCGCGTGGGAATTGGAAAAAGAATTCATTCAACAATTCGACTTGAATGAACATGACAGCCTAGAGCACAATAAAGATGAGCGACCAATTTCTTTAGATAAGATCATAGGGTACTTACTGTGTAGGTCAACTTTTCAGCAATCACATTTAAAAATGCTTCAGGGCAGTACTGCTTATTTTCTGCGGATTTGCATTGACGGCTTTTCAAAGCAGCGATGCGATATTTGAGGATCATGGCTCGGTCTCGCAAATACAACGCTTCTTTGGCTTTTTCGAGCACACGCGGATTATAAAAGGGTTTCACCACTTCTTCATCATCTTGAGCAAACATGGCTGAATCAGTGGATCCATCACCATCTTCGGCTATTGGCTGCTGACGATCATGCGCCCGTTCAGAATCCAAAAGATAGTTGATGGCACTTCGAAGTTTCTTCTTTCCAACCGCGTTTTTAATCGTGCTCGCCATCTGTTCACACATTTCCAGTTCTTTCTCCAACAATGCGACCGACCGCTTCACACCATCGCTCCATTCCATCTCGGTCACTTCCACCTAGAATAATTCCAAAGGTCAGTCATTCACCGCTCTCAAAAAGAAAAAAAAAAAAAAATGAAGCGGGACGCTTTACCTCGTATTTGTAAGGTTTGATGGTGTTCTCCACTTGATCGCTGGTGGTCAAGTATTTGGCTCGCAGAATTTCGCTGGTGAAATTCATGATTTGTTTGCGCGTGTCAGGATGGAAGGTAAAGGGTTCCGCATTGGCTAGACGTTCCATGTTGCTCATCAGTACGTCAACCACCAATTGCGTGGTGGATCGACCAATACCGCTCTTGGTCAGAGCCGCCGAGGCCAAATCGATCTTGTACAACCAGTAAATGTCGTCGGATCCACTTTTCGGCAACTCGCTGATCTTGGGATCGCTCCAGTACTGCTCGGCACAAATGTCCAGAACGCGCTGTTCAAGCATCGAACGCACTTCATGGCGTACTTGAGGTTTACCGAAGCGAGTAGCGAAATCTTTGAAATTGTGCTTGAGAGAATCCATCGTTTCTGCAACATATGATTCAGCCGTCACCCGTCGGTCGTTGTATTGCACCTTGAACTGGTATCGGGCTTCCTCCAATTCACGTTGCACGGCATCCACAATGCTGTACAGCGATTTGCCCATGCTTTGTTCCAAGACATTCATCAGTTTATGTCGCAATGTCGCTGTGCCGACCTGGATATCACGCTGATTGTAAATCAGATGATGACGGAAAAACGCTTCTTCGCTTCGAATCAAGGCATTCGTCATATTGCCTTCGATGCGATCGGGGGCTTTGCAAACGACACCAATGTAACCGAGATGCAAAGGATAATCCGCATTACGAAGAATACCGGCACCAACTTCGGGTGAAACCAGATCCATTTTGGTAATGACACCAATGGTGCGCAGACCTAAAGGATCCCATTTGCGACTGGCTCTCAATGCGGGCGAATTCGCGAGATCGACATTGGCGGCACACACGGCCAAGATGATGTTGGGACCTCGGATATACTTTTCACACAAATCTTCAATCTTGTTTTTCAGTGTTTCCGGTTGATTGCGATTGGAAATCTGGATATAACCCGGCAGATCGATCAGAGTCAAATCAGGAACATTGGGAGAATAAACACGAAGCTCGATTGGTTTGTCCGAAACGCACTCCTCTTCCGATACCGCCAAGTTCATATCCACCAGTGTCTTCTGAATCTTTTTGAAATCGTGCATTTTGCCGAGTCCAAGTTGAGGAAATTCACCGTATTCCTCATCTTGACCTGGCGTATGGATCAATGTCAATTCAATCGGACGTCGAGTGACCATATTGGTTCCTCTACACAACACACAAAAACCATGATCACCGTCAGAAAAACTGCAATTCTGCCGCCGTACACTGATTTTCGCTACTTACTTTGGCAAGAATTCATGACCCACAATCGCCTCTAATACGGAGCTTTTGCCGGAACTCTGGGATCCAATCACCACGATACTCGGCAATTTCAGTGTCTCGTTGTGATCGATGGACATGAGGATACTTCGAATTTCAATCAATTTTTTCGTAAGCATCATTAATTGCTCATCATGCACGGACATCGTGGATTGCCGCTTGGATTTCTTGCGCGCTTTTTTCTGCGCTGGCTCCTCTTCCTCGTCTTCGCTATCAGCAAGATACACAGCAGCTGCCGCAGCAGCTGCTGTTGCTGCGCCTCCACCGTTGCCAGGATCTCCACTGTCATCTCCAGGCTGCTCACTCTTTCGTTGCTTTCGTTGTTGTTCGGCATCGGCTTTGTTTTCGGAGAACTTGTGATTCACCGTGGGTTCCTCTTCCGCTTTAGTGGCCCCGGCCAGAAAGTCTTTCAAGGATTGAGGTACTCGAAGATGGATTTCAGGAATGGAAACATCAAACTCATCGATTCCTTTCTGTATGCTGCCAAGAACGGATTCTGCTACTGCCACCGTGTCCCGTAAAAAGGCCGCGCTCTTGTCGGACATGTCTGCAAGAGAATATTTTAGAAATCAAGATCAACTGATGTTGACAATGGCGTCACATTAACACCTTACCTTGCAGTTTATTGTTTGCTAATGTCGCTCCTGCGACTGTGGTACCGGCAATAATGGCGGGAAGACGTACAACCGAGAATGCGATGCGGGGAATAGCCGTAAATCGAAACATTCTGACTTGGTTGTGTAAGGGAAAAGCCGCAGCAGCATGAGAAAAGGTCCGTGCTCTTTCTGAGCGGTATAAGAGTGGTATAGGCTGGAAACCAGCGAGATCTTTTGCAGGACCCAAATGGTGGTAGGAACGGGGAGTGGTACGGGTCGACACTTGACCCAGCAGCGATCCACGCAACAGCGAGAACGCTGGGGTTCGATAAGAAGTGGTACGAGACGTCACTGCCCGTACAAGCGTCGGTTTGGTCACATTAAGAATCTGTGAAATCATAGGATCATTGGACAAAGGAATCAAACCAAAAAATGTACACAAAACAAACGAGCACCAACTGCTGGACTGAAATTTGTCTTGTCCGGAGTGGCCCACCACTCATGATTTCAAATTGCCTGCCAAAGTCGGCCTTTTAATAAAATCCGACCAGCGTCACCCACACCACCTTTGACACTGAACAATAGACGGGAAAATTCAGCCCCTTTTTCTTTTTCACACACGAGATACATAAAAAAACAAGACAAAAGACAGAAAGAAGATAAGATGAATTCAATTAAAAATAGGATTAACTATAAAGTAATCATTTTTATTGAAAAATAAAATGCAAATGATCGAAGTTTCCGAGCTCCCAAATGATATTGGCACCCATGTCCAAAACCTTGGTACACCGTCAGAGAGAAGTAGGAAAAAATTTGACACGTAAACCAATCAATGCATTTCTTTTACACTCAAGCCAAAAGGACTTAGAACAAACGGTGAGGCTTGCCCATGGTGGACTTGAGGTACAGCGACTTGACGTTCTGCCAGTGCTTCTTGAGCAAGGAGACCAAGAAGTTGATAGACAACATGATGTTGGCAACAAGTTCGTCTTCGGACATGGCAATGTGACCAACGGCCACACCCAAACAGAGGACCTTCTTCAACTGGAACTTGATGGTGGCACGGATGTCGTTGGCCTTGGCGGTCAAGTCGTCGTTGTGAGACACAGGGGTAGGGAACTTGCCGACCTTGTGAAGACCGGGACCCAAGAGACGAGGAATCTGCTTGATAAGAGCTTCCGAAGCAAGGAAAGCATCATACTTCTTGGCAAGCTTCTTGATCAACTTCTTGTTCTTGTTGAGCTTCTTCAAGTCATCGACGGACTGGAATTCCATACCAATGGCCTTGGCCTGGTCACAGTGGAAAGCATCACCCAAAATGCACACAGACATGTTGGGACGAGCAATGTTGGGAAGCTTGATGGTACCCGAGAAACGCTTATCACGCTGGGGATCGTAGTTCTTCAAACCAATCTGAAGTTCGATGGTTTCGGTGAAGTTACGCTTCTTGGCCTCAGAATCGGCCATGATCTGCTTGATCACTTCTCTGACGGCAGAACCGCTAACTTTGCTGTAGGAACATGTGAGTTATCCGTGGATGCATACAATACCCTTTCCGTCAACAGATGGATGGATGTCTTCAATCTACTCACCTCATTGCAAATGATGTTTAAAGGTGAAGAAAAGGGAAGAACCACTTGAAAAAACATTTTGACCGCAAAATAGAAGTCCGGTTGGATCCCCGACGATATTTGGAAAAAACTCTGTTGGTGAAACCCCAGTAACTCGGGGCTTGACCCAACCAAAATCAATCTCATTTGCAAGGATACAAAATGATACAACACGGAAAGAATAAAAGAATAAAAAAAAAAAGGAACATCAATAACAACGTACGGAAAAAAAAAACAAATAAATAATAATACTAGATAGGAGTACAAAAAAGGGTATAAGCTATATGGTGGTAAAAAAAAAAAAAAAGAAAATTCAGTTGAAGAAAACGAGTGAGTTATGAAAAGAGATCAAAAGCATGCGTAATAAGGTACTCAATGGTGGCGTTTTTATAGCACATATCCACCAAATCGCGAGCTGCATCCTTGTCTCGAAGCAGTGTCGGTCCAAAAACCATGGCCAGATTTTTCGTGGTCATTAAATTCTCATTGCTGTGTTGCTGTACACTATCACCAACGCATACTTTCTTAGCCTTTTTTTTCTATTATCCAATGCCGCGAAATAGCTTCATGTCACTTACCGATGCAAATGTTGGATCAAAAGTTTTAGAGTACCGTAATTGGCGTGTGGGAGTTGCGATAAAAGTTCGGAAAATCTTTTCAGTTTGGCTTGCCCTGTGGTTTCAGCTAGGAAACATATCAAACATGGTTAGTAAAGTGGATATGGCGTCGTTGCAGAAATGGTTACCAATGGCGGACAGAAAGGTGGAATACAGTTCAAAGGTGATCAGAGGATTAGGTAATTCTCGAAAGTATTGTTTCAGGACGCTGGTGACGGCACAAATATCGTTAAACTCTTCGGCATTGTTGAGCTGGATAGGATCGCCTTGCTCAAACGCCAACTGGATCGCTCGCATTTGCGCGGCTCCACCCGATTTGCGGTAAATGCCTTCATAATTCATGCCTCGACTTTCCACTGCAGCAATACATTCTTCCACCAGCAAAGGCACCGTTCGATCTTCGCGAGCCACTTGGGCGGATAAATCGGTGCCAAAGAGCGTCCTTGTTAAATCAGTTTCCGACGGAGAGGAAGCCAGATCCAGTGTGCTGGTGGTACCGGCGTAACACAATTGCGGGACGTGACTGAGGCACCGCGTGTGAGCGGCATAACCACATTCTTGACACCGATAGCCCGATAAGCCCCACATTTTCTCACCGCATCCATCGCAACGAACGGGACGAAGGAACGAGGTGGGCTGGAAAGCGTGCGAGCCGTGATGGATCAGTAAATCCTGGGATGGTTTTCGCTTGTCACGGGAATTCACGGGAGATCCTGCACTGACCAAACTGTCGGTACTCATGGAGGCTATCGAATCGATCTTGTTTGGTTTGTTGGCAAATTTACCAAACACATTGGTCTTTTTGATTTTGAACATCTTGGGGGCCTGAGTACCGTTGAAACTGTCGCGTGCGGCGATATTTCGCGTGATGGATGTTTCGGACGACTTGCGTTGCATCGATACCGGGGATGCCATTTCGCTGGAGATACTGGACGTCGGTGAATGCAAGAAGGAAGTCCCTGCCATCACTGCGGCTGCTTCTCGTTCACGCTCCGTCACACGTCGTGACAAGTCATTGTTCATTTCGCTGAGTTCGGCATTTTTCGTATTCAGCATCACCATCTCGTTGAGAATATCTTCGCGGACTTTGTCAAGATTCTGAGTTTCTCCTTTCAGTAAGTCTCTTTCCATAATTAGCGACTTGATTTCTGCCCTGAGCGCTTTCTGCTGTTCTTGCAAATGGGAAACAGGACTGATTACACTAAAAATGGGAAAAAGAAAAAAAGCAGGGAGATCAATGATCCATGGAAACATATGAAAAAGGAGTTGGCAATTTTGAAACCAGTGTGCATGGATAGGCCCCAACTTACCTCGCTAGATTGGCTTGCTTTTCCCTGACAAATCCTTCGAGATCCTGCATCAGAGTGGTACGGTAGGCCTTTAGTTGCTGACAGCTTTTCTGCAATTCAACGTGAAATTGGGCCAACTTTTCAATGTCTTGCTTTTCCTGGGTAGAAAATCCTTCCCGCGTCAATGATCGCGCTTGTTGCGTTAGTAAAAGCTGCTGGCGTAATCGGCTAACGGATGCTTCATGTTGTTGACGAAGCTCAACTTCCTTGGCGTAATCTGCTTTGGCTTTGGAAAACTCATCGAGAGCACGTTTGCTCGCTTCTTTCAAACGGCTCATGTTGGCTTCCAGACTTGCGATTTTCTGGTTGGCGGTATTGAGATCGGACACGGCCGTATTAGATCGAGACCGATTGGTCGCTGCCGCAGGGGAACGGGAAGCCGGCGTGGCAGGAAAAGCCTCCAGATCAGCATCATCCAATGACGACTGAAGCAATTCTGATGCTTTGGCTATTTTGTTATCGGTCGATTTGGATTTATTGTTGAAATCGAGCGCCAAACTTGCGCCCAACGTTTTTGTGAGATTCGCCAGTTCGGCTGAATCGTTGTCAAAAAAGGAGAAATTCAGGGATGGGATCTCCGGTAATGCGAAATCAAATGAGGTGCGTTTGTCGTTCTTTACAGGTTGAAGCGACCGTAACTTGGATGGTGGCTTCTCCACAGGAGCGGTGGCGTGTTTATGGGTACTACTGATCACGTCGGACCGAGAAGGCAGTGGTTGGGTGATACTGTTGAGACGGATGGCTCGGGTGGTATTATCGACTGAACTACTTCGGGACCGATGGGATGGATAAGGAACGGCTGTGATCGCTGCATTGTCCAAAGGGTGAAGATGATTTGCGGCCTGATGATTCTCCAACACATCCGATAAACGGTTCCTTTCGCGATTTGTAGGTGATAATGGTGATCCATGCCAAGACTGTGTTGGTGATGAGACCGGCGAGGGCAACTAAAAGAGAAAATCGATAGCATAAGATTTTCAGTGATCATCGTTTTTCCCTTGCATATGTTTTTTATCATGTCGTGAAAAAATGGATACCTGAGTATTAGATGCATCAATGGCCATTTTTTGTTGTTGAATTTGTCGTTTTTCTTTGGCTTCACGTCGTCGCATTTTCTCCAATTTACGTTTGTCGTGACACACGGTACAATAGATGCCCTGATAAAAATGAATGACAAGGATAAGGATGATATAAATTTGGAGTGATGGGCTTTTTATTCGCCTGGCCTAAGTTACGACTGGAAATGTGCGCAAACGGGATGAGACAAAAAAAAAAGAAGATGGTATAGTTTACCTTGCTGGTCTGAGTAAATACGAGGTCTTCAATGCGTTTTTTGCATGACACACATCGGAAACAATCATCATGGTATGCATCGTTGCCTGTGATTGGATGGTACGTTTAGCATATCAGAGAATATCATGTGAAAAAGCTAAAATAGCCAACAAGTCGGTCACCAATTTACCAGTCATAATTGCTTCATCTTGAATAGATTTCTTACAATAGGCACAACTATCCGAACATCCTTCGCACACAGGTCGCCCACTGGTTAACAATAACAAGTTGGAATTACAGTCGACAGGCTGTGTACATTTGGCACAAACAAAGCTAATGGAGGAATCACGCGTTTAACAAAAAAAGCTTTCCACCTCATCGTGGTCCGTGGTTCACGACCATGGTCCAGCATCAGATCACGTACCAGTCCAAGTGAAAAAGCGAATCACCAAAGGCGATCACTGATCCTTCGTCAATAGGGTTCTCACAGCCAGTGCATGCTGGACCAATCGAATCAGTCATAACTGGTATAGTGAATATGAGGAAAAATGGAACGGACAATGATAGATGAACACAAAAAGTGGACCCAGTCTATCGTGGTTTATAAAGTAGAGGAATTGGATAGACTCCTGTGAGGAAAAATGGGCCGTGGACAAAAGCAAGATACCCTGATATTCAAGGGTATAAATGAAAAAAAAAAGAGAGAGACGGGAAGCGGGTAGCCAAGTGGAGCGAAGGAGTAAGAAGTGGATAAATGAAGTGGAAATGTGGAAGGGCCAACTAATATGAATAGTGTTGCACAACCCCTTCCCATTGGGATACAATTTGCATTTTGTGTCTTGAAGTCTATATCTGTCTCAGTACGATCTTTACCGTAACGGGAAATCCGACACATTGATATTCTAGAAATCCATGCTGATCTTGTCAAACTGACGGATGGACGGTTTTTATTTTTATCTTTATTTTCTCACCAGTTGTTTATCTAATCCTTTATCAATAACTTCCTGAATAAGTTGCATATCCAGTTTGCGAGCTTCTTCCGTATTCTTCTGATAGCTCTTGAGGGCGAATTTCTCGATGGACGAACGGAATGGAATCATCAGAGTGGGCTTGACCATGAAAAACGCATATTGCATAAACAGGCACGCATGGTTGTGGGGGTTTGGATAGGCGGTGGAAGACGCGATCATCGCTTCAAGGGTCGTGGCGTCATGTGGTTTCATCTCCCTATGGCCCCACTGAATCGGTGCAACCGGTAGTTTGCCGCGCAGCGATAATGGATCGTCGACGTGTTTATAAAGTGTCACATCGCCTACCACCGCGGAATTTTCCAATGTCTCGTTGGTGCATAAAATCAACATTTCCTTTCGACGGGTATCAATAACTGTCTCGTGCTTCACCACCAATTCGTTTGTACGCAGTGCCTTTTTTACCACCATTGGCACATCGAGCATTAAGCGACATTGTCGAACCACATGACGAATGCCAGTGCAAGGGATAGGATTCATCTCGGATTGCAATAAAAGCCGAGTGGGCACCGCGACCACACCGTCCAAATGAAGTTGAGGCACAGTGTCCATCTTGGCTGGCTGCTGATTGTCTAGATCAGCAGGGAATAGCAAACTGAGACTCTGACTCTGGACGTCGGTTTGGCTGATCTTTCGACAGACAGAGGGCGGAATCCGATCACGGAATTGACTCAGTTCCTCGGCGGACAGGTAAGTATCGTCCACCATTATTTCACTATCCAGGAGCATCGGAAAGCGTTCATTCGTAGGGTATCGTTTCTGGTGAGCATAAACCGCCAATTCCCATGGTCGTGGGTAAAGCATCCGGGATACAGGAGTCGTACTCATTGCGAAGGATTGACTCGTTCGTTTAACCTGTCGTTTTCTTCAAACTCTGGTTTTGAATAGCCAGCTTTTTGTATCCATTTTCTTTTGCCTGCCCTCTTTCGTCATTCTCTACGGTCTCCTTTATTTCAAGAAAACAAAAAGCCAAAGAAAGAAAGAAAGACCAAAAAATAATCACCCACATTTACCTCCTTTTTTTGGAAAAGAGGTTTATTCTTTGGGAGAAATCTCATCTCAGCGAGTCATCAATGCGAACAACATGTCGCTCGGCAAGCATACCTATCAACTTGTCTATTTCATCTGCAATCCTTTGCCGACAACGTCAACAGGAATACCTATGTCTGCTCATGAGGACTGGATGGCAGAGAATAAGCGTTAGATTGGAACCGGTAGAGAAGAAAAAAAGAGATATTTGCACAGTGCTTTTGTTTTTCACCTGGGCTTACCAAAAGATCCGCTGATGATGATTTCAATATTTTGCTATAAATATAGCAGCAGATAGCATGATCTTGACATTAAGAAATAAAGGAAGAAATCAAAGTCATGAGATTGCCTTGTGCGCCTTTTAGATAGGATCAGGGCAATCCGAGAGCGTATGGAAATACCGTACGGTGCGATCCGCTGATGTGATAGACTCACTTTTTTGATTTTATCTTTCTTTTTTCAAATCATGTCTTATAAGGAGCTTTTTCATATTATACACTTTACGAAGCATTGTACTCACATGCAAATGTCCGTATGCTGTGTGTTTCATCATGATAAAAGAAAACTAACTTGGATCGGGTGGCATGTGTTTGCCTGAAGCATCGAACGTCATTGTCTAAACAAATTCTGACTTAGCTAATAAATCAATCATCTGATGGTGGTGGTAAAGGGGGTACCAGCAGAAGCAATGGTTAAACGACAATTGTATCTGTGTGTTTTTACGAAACCTTTCTCCGAAAGTCATCCGTTGCAAGACCCGTATCCACTGGATCCAAGCGCCGTGAAGGCCCCGGTCTTAAGTCATCGGTAAAAGAAAAAAGTCCCTTGGCAAGGGCAAGGGATACTTGTTCACCAAGAACCAAAGGAGCCGACCGTTACGCCATCTGGAAGGGATCACTCGGTCGTTTATGAAACATTTTGCAGCGCTATTTTCGCCGATAACCAAATTTGCTCATTCATAGTCATTGATCGGCCTGGAGCAATTGCCACATCCCAATAAGGGCTTGCAAATCTGATCGCGCCACCGACCTTTTACGGCATCATTTTTTGCAAAATGGCGCTTCAAAATATAACACCTACAATCGATACTTCACTGCAACAACAAACGGCAAAAATCCCAAAAGCGTCGCTCTGTTGCGGCACAGGAACACTCAAAAACGTCAAAGCCGCCGAACCAGCAAGTTGCTCTTCAACATTCCTCAATGTAGCGTAAGTGACAAAGATTTTGAGGCCGAGACATGAAGGCTAGTCACAACATGCTGTCCATTGCTGCTGTTGGTTTCAGGGGCCAATGATCGGCCAATCCATTTACACAACAAAGAGAACAAATAGATGATTTTGTTCATGTCTGGGCCATACAAGGCCTCGGCGGGGGGCAGATGACAGTGTGAAGGTGACGATCAACCCAATCCATTTTCTTGTTATGTGACTTTTGTTGGGATGGTCAACTAGTTTGTGAGATGAATCAGTTCTGCTCTCTGCTCATATAAAGAGAGAATATCATCGTCACAGCAAAACATTAAAAGTAATATACGAACTACTACAGAAATATATACAGTAGGATGATTGATGACTTGAGGGGCTCAGGTCAGCGACCGGAGTTGACACGACCCAAAAAGCCAACGAAAGAGTCACATAGAGACCCAAAACGCACAGCCAAGTTTTTAGGCTTGCAAAAAATTTTATTATTTTTTTTTCTTCTTCTCCTTACCTTTTTTGATTGAAAAATATGAGCGCCGAGACTGCCAGCAAGGAAGTTACCAAAAGCAAGATTTTGAAGCAAGTCGAGTTCTATTTCAGTGACTCCAACTTGCCCTATGACAAATACCTCTGGTCCTTGTTCAAGAAGACACCTGAAGGATGTAAGATCTCCGTTTTTGACATCCCCACACGTCACACTCGCGCGATTTCCACTGACTAACGTCACTCCTTTTAGGGATCGATATCAAGACCATTGCTAGCTTCAAGAAGATGAAGAAGATCTCCACCGATCAGGATCTGATCGTCGAAGCCTTGAAGGAATCACCCGAAATGCTGGAAGTCAGCGAAGACAACGAGAAAGTGCGAAGAAAGACTCAGCTCGAAAAGCAGGACCACATCTCTCGTAGTATCTATGCTGTATGTATCGATCATTTTCGCCCTCTTATCCGACGGTAGACTGATATAAATGCATGTATATTACAGAAAGGTTTCCCATTGATGGACAACGACGCAGACAAGCTCATGGATCTCCAGGATAAGATTGATGAGTTTTTCTCCCAATATGGAAAAGTTTTGTGCGTTCGCATGAAGAAGGAACATGTCAAACCCTTCAATTTCAAGGTGAGCTCCGATACCCGAATGGGAGTGGTAGACTGTTTATTGCGGATGGATTGATGGAATGAATATCGGTTGGTGTTTTTTTTCTTACAGGGCAGCGCTTATATTGAGTTCTCTTCACCTGAAGAATCGGATAAGGTTGCAAAGATGGATCTTGAATTCGAAGGCAACAAGCTTGAGGTCAAGACGAGGTAAATGAAATGATCCAGCCGGGAAAATGAACGTCACAGGAGGCCCGGTTTTATTCACAGAGGTTTTATTTTTTGTGTCAACAGAAAGGACTACATTGCTGTCAAGTCGGAAGAATACAACAATAAACCCAGAACGGACCGTGTCTTTAAGAAGAAGGCCTTCAACGCATGGTACCAAGACGTTTCCGCCAACTCGACACAAAAGAGAGCACGTGAAAACGATCAAGGTTTGGCTGAACCCAACGAAAAGAAGCCCAAATCTGAGGAAACCCCCGCGGCCGAAAACAAAGAGTCCACCGACTAGGCTGTCCATCACCACTGAAATTTGTTTTTGTTCATTTTCTCGTCTCATTTTGTACTCTCATTTAGCTATGCTGTCATATTTAGAAAAAATAGTAGATGCACATCGTTTATCTCGTTATTTTTTCATGAGGGTGATGATGATGATGATGTTTGGGTCGTTGGTGGTTGGTTTGGTGGTTGTAACATGTATGTACTGAGCCAGCGTTCTAAAATCCGTTTGACTACCGCTCCGCCGCTCGGATCCAGTTTCTCCAAAAAACGAATCGTGATGGTGTAAGTGGAATGGGAAGGAATAAGATTGATATCGAACCGACGCGCGGTTTCCCCCACGCTCGGTGAACATGTCATGATTAACACTTCACGTCCGATCTGATCTTCTGTCGTGACCATAAATCCAGCATTCTGTAATTCGCGTTTATCCACGTCCAGCACAATCGGGGCCAGTCCTTCTTTTGATAATCGAATGGAAAAATGGCCGTCAACGAGGGTCACTCCGCAATTTGGATGAGCAAAGTAGGCCAAACCGCCAAAGTCGATGGACAAGGTCGGCAACGGAATCCCTGCCGTGTTATACAACGATAATGCAGGGGCAGGTGCAGTTGAAGCAGCAGAGGGTTGGGCGGTAGAAGCGGATGGAGAGGCGGAGGTGGAGGTGGAGGAAGCCGATGGTGGTGCGGCGTTAGATGCTGCTGTTGCTGTTGCTGTTGATGATGGTGTCGTGGCTTTGGTAGCGATGGTTTTAGGCACAGGTGCGCTAGCCGTATCAGCTTTTGTCTTGACCAAAGACTTTTGCGTGGGTATGGGAGATGGAGCAGAAGTAGACGGCGAGGATGCTGCCGCAATGGGAGAAACTATACAATGGCATCAGATTTGAGACAATTTATGTCAGTTTTTTCCTTTTTCCACGATCCATGGTTCCCCATACCTTGGGATGAGGGTGAGGCAGTAGGTGCCGACGATGTAGACTGTGTAGCTGTTTGCTGTTGTTGATGCTGTTGATGCAAAAGTTGAGCCGCGAAATATCCAATGTTGGCTTTGACACCATTGCCTACTTTGAGCGATGCTTTTTCGCCGTGGCCAGCTTGCTGATTCTTGGCTTCGGCCTTCTTCTTTAATCGCTGCTTTTCCTGCTCCAATCGTTCTTTTTCTTGCTCTTCCTGGAGCTTCCTTTGTTGCTCGCGTCGTTCTTTGGCCAGTCGTTTTTCTTCTTCGATGCTTATCACTGGAGCACCCTTTAAAATCTTGCCTTGTCTCCATAAAAGGCCACAGCCATTGCACAGCGTTCCGTGGCCGGCCGGTCCAGGACGCCACATGGCCGTATGCTTTGTACTGCAATAAACACATTTGCGTAATCCGTCATCTTTCACATGGGTATGTTTGGCTTTCGGAACCACTATATACAGGTGATTCACGGTGAGACGATGCAAGATTCACGTGCCCGAACAAATGACCTGCAGTTACCTTCGTTTACGCCTTCCTCTGGACGCGGCCTTTTGCCAAGATTGACGGCATTCAGAATCTCATTTCGCTTCTTTTCTGCCAGCACAGGACCAGAGATGATCTCTGGGGCGGTATATATTTTGTGAAGCATCTCATCAATGTTACGGTCCGTCTCTTCGTCCTGGGTTGCATAATTCAAATAGGATCGAACAGGCAATTTTTCCATCTAAAATGAAGAGCGTTGAGTGTCATGATGCTCATGATGCTCATGATCCAAAATATCACAGCGAGGTACGTACCTTGCTCATCATCTGCTGCCGTACAATATCGGGGTTGGTGACATTTGCCACTAGGGCTTTAAGAATTTCCCCGTTCACACCAATCATGCGAATGTTGGCAGCGTAAGAATCGGTTGTTTCAAGATCCATGGATTCGGATTTCAGCGGTGGTATTGCTGCAGTAGCTGCATGTTCTTTGATAAGTTCAAGGTTGGATCGACTGCCCCATCGAGCAATTTTTTCCTTGGCATCCAATTCGAAATAGGTGGCGGGCGCAGGGTCCAGGGGCAAAAGAAAGGAAGCCAGGAGCTAACGACATGCAGCAAAAGAAGAATGAGTTTTCTTTTGCCTTCATACTTGCAAATGCTAACCAAGCTGGCACGGATGAACCCACCTCAAAAGGAGCTTCCATGGAGGTTAATTCAAGAATCATATCCTTTGGAAACAGAAACCGTTCATTGGTCGTCTCTTTAAATTCCATCACCACATCAGAGAATGTCAATTCCGCAGCCCCGTCCGGCAACGTCTTCAACGTGCCGTTAGTGGATGACTCTTGCAGTTCTGACGATGCAGCTGTCTCTGAGGATTTGCTCGCGTCCGACGCGCTGCTTTCTTCTTTTTTTCCATCAGCATCTGTCTGCATTGCTTCTGTCGTCGCTGCTGTTGCTGACGTTGCTGCTGTTGGATTTTCCGAAGGCTTTTCCGAAGGCTTTTCCGTGTCTGCTGATGGAGGATCGGTGGTCGCGGATGAGGGTTTGCCGTTTTCAGGAACACTGGCCTGTTTGGGCAACAGATCGGCGGCTTTGGCGAGATCCAACCATGACTCTTTGCGTATAGCTTCAAAAAATTGCACGTCTGAAAATCGATGAGGCCCCAACTGCAAGGTGCAGGTGCCTAAAAAGCGCATGTTGGGCCACTTTTTTCGACTGTTGTTGGTTCGTCGGGGCTGTTGAACATTGTCAGCTCGATACTTAACAAACACCGAGTTGGCCCAATTAAGACGCGATTGAAGCAAAGATAGCAGCAATGTAGCACTAAACCCATGAAAAGAAGCAAGTCAAAAGAGAAAGAAAAACAAAGGCGTTAGTCAAAGAAAAAGCGGGTGTGCTTTTTTCTTTTTTCGTACTTTTTCTTCTGTGACGGATCAGTGGATTCAGTGGGATCGGGCTGTGTTGATAACTGAAAATTCTTTAAAGCGTTTTCAGCTCGTTTTCTTGCAGCGAAAAGGGCTGACGTGGACATGATCAGAGTAGAACCAATGGAAGTGAATGCGACTGCACCATGAAAGCTTTCAATATAAGATCGTGCGTGCCACCAGTGCAAAGGTAGCCCGACATTGGGAAAATTCAGCCCTCGCTGCCAAATGCACGTCACGTGATAAGGAGCAGCACATTGTTCCTCTTTTTTACCCCAGTGAATGATAAATCAAAAAGGCACACTAACAAGAAAACTGACAGCGGCAATGACAAAAACGTGCGTAACAAAAAAGGAAATGTTACACTGACTGTTTGTCCCATTTGCAGGTTGCTTCGAGATACCCAACGTCATAACGTACGTATGGTGCATAGTTTGTCTGCGCCGATCTTCTGCAAGAACATGTACATAGCCATTGAGGCAAATCAGACAAAATACACGCAATTTTGATCATGGAGTTTGGCGTTTGGCGTTTGATAACGGTTAAGTAAGGGTCAAGGTTTGGAAACGCCCATGCCAAGCATTTTACCCTTTTCTTTCCCCTGTTGATCATTTAACCTTGTCATGCTTCGGCTTTTTTGAACCTTTTTGGCCTACGTTGTCTGTCAAGCTATTGGTGGATAATGCAGCGTTACGAGACTGCAATTACGGATGTATATTATGGCTAGCGCAAACCTTCTTCAAAACTCACATTACAGCTTACTTGATAAAAATAACATCTGGATAAAGTTGCAAAGTCGAAATTTTAAAGGCGCAAAACTACATTAACAAGTTTTTACAGCGCAGATGATTCAAGTTACCCAAATAGCGCGAAAACCAAAGGATAAAGACATAAAGGATGGGTTCCTTAGACAGACGAAGCGCGTGGTCTTCTGTTGCGAAAAGACTCTTGTCACCATACGATGGTTAAATCCGCCGTCTCATACTAATCTGGCATTGGAACATTATACAATTCTTTGCCAGATTTTGGACTCTCTGTAAGCTGCATATATCTGATCATGGTCCTGTTAGAGATATGAAATACGATGAACAGATAGAAATTATCTAATAACTTGTACGCCATCTTTCCCCCAGTGAACAGTTAATGCTGCGGAAATCAAATAGGAAGAAACCTCGCTATAACAATTGCTCTGTTTTTTTCATCTACAAAGAATTGTGCCTTGTTATTTCTGATTTAGCATATACGAAGCAGTTCTTTTTTACGCTGACACGATCAAACTCTTCAGATGGAGTTACTGTTCCATGAGAAAATCTCGAATTATTTCGTCTTTTCTCGGGCTTATCCATAATTTTTCAAGGGGACTGCACCAAGACCAAGGTGTCGTGGATGCGCAATGAGTTCATCCCTGCAGTTGAGTGTTGTCCGCCATGGAACCTTTTTAAAATTCCGCCAACTTGCCTTTCATCGGGGATTATGTCCGGACATCCTGTTTCCGGTCCGGAACGTTGGGCTCACATTGACGATTGCAGCAACCGCTCAGGTATGCCATTTGCTCGAATCACGCAGAGAGTTAGAATCCTCCCTTTTAGTTCGATAAAATGATCTGCAGAGTAAGTAGATGATAAGCACAAGATAGAAACGGATGAAAGTAGCATCGATATACATTACGAGGCGGATGGATGATGGATGAAATAACCGATTCTTGTGGTCGTCTGTCGACATAACTTTATGTCTTTAACATGGGGAAAATGGTGTACAGGATTATGGAATTGGATACTAATTGCTTTTTCTAATTTGCTTTTGGATTATGACAGCTCAAGGAATATCAGGCAAGTAGCATTCATTGAGCCAATGGAACATATAAAACGAAAGGCTAACGGCAATTCCTTCTTTTTTTGACTTGATATAGGTGGTTGGTCGCAAGCTTCCTTCCGAGCAGGAGCCTTCTCCCAAGCTCTACCGTATGAGAATCTTTGCCCCCAACACTGTGGTTGCCAAGTCTCGCTTCTGGTACTTCTTGAAGAAGCTCCGCAAGGTCAAGAAGGCCGCTGGTGAGATTGTCTCCTTGAACGAGGTATTATTCATGTGCACTTGTTATGGTGCCCATTCAACCAACGCTCACGTTGTGCCATTTCCTTTGTCTTTAGATTCACGAGAAGCGTCCCGAACAGATCAAGAACTTTGGTGTCTGGCTTCGTTACGATTCTCGTTCCGGTACTCACAACATGTACAAGGAATACCGTGAGATGTCCCGTGTCGAAGCTGTCCACACCTGTTATCAGGATATGGCCGCTCGTCACCGTGCTCGTTTCAGCTCTATCCAGATCATTCGCGTAAGTTGTCTTCAGCAAGATAATGGTTGTATTAGATACTAATTATTTTCATTTCTTTGGGGATTGATTTAAAAAAGGTTGCTGAGATCAAGTCTGCCGATATTCGTCGCCAGTACATCAAGCAGCTCTTGACCCCCAAGCTCGCTTTCCCCTTGCCTCACCGCATCCAGCGTGCCGAAAAGGGTCACCGTTCTCTCTTCGTCGCCAAGCGTCCTTCCACTTTCTATTAGATTGGATGTTTTCCTTTCCATTTTATTCGTGTATGATCAAGGTAGATGCTTTGAATAAAATGGTCCATTGGAATTGAACAATGCAATCGTCGGAATCATGGTTACACAGACAGATAGATGCTTGCCAAGCTAAACATGTGCAGCATGAGAAAAAAAGAAAGTTACGGTACACTTATGCACATCAGCGGTTAAACTCATCCCATAAAACAATGCTGCTAGGCCTTTTTTTTTTGCTCCTTACATTAATTGATCATCACGGCATTCTGTGCGGCGTATCATTCGGTTTATCTGGTGAAAGAGCGCACAGATAGCCATGGCATGGATCATTGCATCTGCAAATCGCAACGTAAATAGCGGATCAATAAGGGAAAGATGAAAAATTCTTTCTGCCAAAACGACTGATGCGATGCATAGAGAAAAAAGAAAAAAAGCGTGGAAGAATTCCATAGAAACAGATTAACATGCCTGCATATACAAAACAAGGTTCACTGAGCTGTAGATAGGTAAAGAAAAAAAAAAAGGCAGTGGGTTCTAGGCATGATATGATGTGCTGCATATTTTGGGTGTTCCTTCCCCCGCTCCCCACGCGACCGAGGACACACAACAACAAAGCGCAGCCTATCAAGGGTAGATGATCGGTCCAAGTGTTGTTCAAAGACCATTCATCATTGCTGCCGGTGCCGTTATCCTGCATAGAGTATATCACGTTGATCTTCCCTTCCAATTTGAGCCACGTGGTGTTCTAGAAAGCCAAAAGAGAAAAGAGAAATCAAGAAATCGCCCGCCCGTAAAATAAAAATAAAAAAAAAAAGAGTTTGTTCGGGATAGGCTTGGATAAGCGGGATCATCCACACCTCTCTCCATAAGGAAAGGGAAAAATAGAATGCGAGGAAGACCGATTTGGTACGCGGCTGCATATTTTTTGATGATTTTCTGCGGCAAGGCCAAGTTGCTTGCGTTTTTTAGATCATGATATGCATCACACAATAATTGCCGTTTTTACACTAGGCCCATCCTGCTGTAAACTTTAGCCGGAAAACCTGGAGGTGATGTCCACATCCACAGTGATATAAACAAAAAGGCGCACTTGGGTTGGCTAGGGGACCGTAGCATGGTGTCAAGTGTTGTTTGATAACGATGCTGATTGGCTCTTCTATTTTTGGCCCTCAGGTTTTGCCTTGTTGGCATAATATTTAAAAGCCAAGAGGCATGTTTCGTCTGCAAATCAATTTTTTAACTGAAATAACTTTTTTATTCTTCCCCCCGTTCCATTGTCTGTTCTTCTTTTTTACTCTTCCTTCCCTTCTTGTGCATCATCATTTTCTGTACCATCTTTTAATTTGCAGCATTGGAACAAATGGATTACTATGACCCTCATCGACATTCACTCAGTGCCTCGTCGGCTTCTTCAGGCCATTCCAGCCGTCAAATGCGATCCATGTGGTCCAAGCTGACTGACCTGTTCCAACGTCACAGTCGCTATGGTTCTCGAAGATCGTCCACATCGACATGTAGTACAGATCGACGAAGTAGTGCCATTTCTTCAGACGACGGTCAACGCCACCGACCTCGAAGAAAACTAGTAGAAGATTGCACTGGCATGACCACTATACCGCCGTACAGTCCGACCTACTGTAAACCGAACGAATTCCCGTACTCCAATTTCTACGTAAAATTACCCAACGGCAAATGGATGGTTCGATATCGATCCGGTAATCGCGATATCCTGGGAACAGACGAGTTTGCCGGCTACATGATCTAAGAAAGGGACTTAGGGCCCCCTTTTCCAATTGACCGCCACCAGATCAAAGATATCATGTTGCGCCTTTTTTTTGATTCCTATCCCCATATTCTAATTACATCCCCCTACTAACACCATCGCTCTCTCTCCACCCCCCAGCCCCTTTTCCCCCTTGCATCCTTCATCTTGGCGCTTATCTATTTTTTTTATTGCCTAACTGTTTATATCTCATCTATGCATACTTTTTACTATTTATTTTGTATTCCTTTTTGATTATCCTTCGCATCTGTATCTCGCGTTATCATTTATCTCATTCAATTTTCATTATGCCCATGAATAATCAAAAATAAAAAAAGGAGAAACCCAAGTTTCAAAATCGTCGTGCACACGAGCAATATGAATTGACAGGAATGGCTGGGTCTTGGGTTGGTAATTTTTAAATTTTTTTTTCGGAGATCGGCAATGGAGCTCCGAGATGTCCAAAGGACAGGGAATGTTGCGAGACATGAAATGAAGGAGAAAAGAAAAATAAAAACAACAAAACAAAAAGAAAAGAGAATGAAAGGACAGTAAAAGATGGTGGTGATGAACGGAGAATTAAAGTAGGCTGCAAAGATGGGGTTATGCTACGTTTGGCTTTCTGCCGCAGTACGCCCACAGCTTGACGTACCAATGGTAACGGTCACAATCTTGAATAAAACGATCGACCACCATATCGTACTGATCCGGATGCTGCGTAACTCGGTGACCCAACAATGGTTTCAATGAGTGCATGGCATTTTTCCAGTTCCACAACATTTCGCGAGAAACAGGGTTTTCATCGTCGCCTAAATTGTTTTGTATGTTAGTCTCACGACGCATTCCTTCATTATTGAGTGTGGCAGGATACTTTACCATAGTCAAGGACACGCACGTCTTCCATTTCAATATTAAATGAAGCATTGGTCAACAACTTGGCCAGTTTGGAACCAATGTATGGATCTTGTCTCCGTTCTTGAAGGCATTGGAGGACTAGACAAAGCCAAAAAAGTTAAGGCTATCGTCATCGTGAAGCATACAAAAATAATGGCTGAATAGTTACAGGTGGAGATAAATGACTCGATAACGGGGCTTTGCTCGGTGGCCTAAAACATCAAGGTACTGTTAGGGGGGGGGGAAGGCACAACATGACGGTAAAGGTTGACGTACGGTAAAATCGGATTCCATGAGTTGTACCAGGCCGTTGGGTTTCAGGACGCGGAATATTTCAGCAATGACCAAGGGCCATTCATGTTCGCGAAAAGCCGCGATCAATAGACGCATATGCACGAAATCAAAGGTATTATCGGGATAGGGTATACCGTTGAGAACGTTGGCCAGCTCGAATTTTACATTTTCTGGTCGGATCATGGTAGGAAACATGTCGGCCATATCAATACCGGTCACATGAGCATGAGGATGATCAATGGCCATTTCCTATTCAGGTAACTCGGTTTTATTTCTTGCACATTTTGGCTTTGATATTCTACTGCTTGTCGCATTCCTCCATTTTTTGTTTCCCCTGTCCCGAGAAAAGAAAAACTTGTTTAGCGCACTTACCATGACCCACGAACCGGATCCACATCCAATGTCGAGGATTTTGGCTTCCAGCGTCAAGTTCTCCTGGACATAGGATAAGGTATTGCTGAGCAAGTTTACGTTGGTTCATTAGTGTCATTGGTCTCATCATCATCCCGCGTTGCACATGGCTGGTCTCTTCCTATGCATCGCGCTTCTTTGGGGTTTTCTAGTTACCTTCCAAAAAGAGCTTTCAGGGCAAAATGTTGCTATACAAAGATAAAAAGAAAATGAGAAAAAAATAGAAACATGGTTTAAGAACGTCGATCCAATGGAACCCGTTCCTAGATGTTTGCAAACTGAACGTTGTAAAAGATATACGCACAGAGTTGAGTCGATCTTGTTCTTCTTCATCACGTGGTAAACAGTAAGAACTTAATTCGTCGCTGTGGTAGACTCGTCCGTCGATAGTCACGGTGGGCGTCGTCGATGAGATTTGACTCGCAGTACTGGCGGCTTCGGGATTCCCGTCGTAACGTACTGCTTTGGATGGTTTGCCTCCCATGATTAACAAAGAAAAAAAACCGTTCCTTTTGGTGTGTATGGTTACCAAAAAAAAAAAAAAAAAAAAAAAAAAAAAGAATAAAGCAACAAGGAAAAAAATAAAAAAACACAAAAAACACAAAAAAGAAAAAAAAAAGTTTTTTTAAACGTAATAATATGGTCTTCGTGACACGTTGCGCGACATGGGTGATTCCGCATAGATGGAAGCCATTGTGAGTACGGTGTTTAATCTTTTGTTTCTTTTTCGACAAATAAACGAAGCGTGCTATCGACAATAAAAAAAAGCAGCAATGGATTGATGTTGTTATTCTAACAAAAAAGTAGCATCGGAAGATATCCGAGCTTTGTTTCGTCAGTCTGTGATGTTTCACGCCAAGGAAACTCCTCTAATACGAAATTCAAAGACCTTAATTCATCTGGACTTGATCCTCTTATTGCTGATTAACAAAGAAATATTACACTTGATTTTGAAATGAGAATAGAGATTGATGTGAATTATTATCCCATGACTCAAAGGAACAACATTGGCTTTTTAATGTGTCTAGTTCTGAGAACACACAATTAATAAGAGGGAAGCGGCAATGTCGCAACAAGTTATTTCTTTCCAAAGCCATTAAAATGCCTCAACTTGTCCCGCGGGGCCTGAATCGTCGCATGCTTGAGATCGGGGCTTTGGAAACTGGACACAAAAAACACCATTTTTTTTTCAGACGGTTGCCATTTTTCTTTGTCCAATGTCTGGACCCACCAAACATCCGCCGAAATACAAGGCGTACGATCTCTTTTTATTTCGTCCTACTCTGAGCGGTTGATTTAAGCGTAATCTATCACCATATTATCGATATTGTCATCTATGCTTGGAAGATGGCCTTTTTTTTATCGTTTGCTATTTTAAACTTTTGAAAACGAAAGCCACTTTTCGGAAATCAGTGGAAATAGAGACTTCTCAAGTCTCCATCCCGTAATTTTCCAACCCACTCGGGTTATAGAGCCTATTACTATGCTCACCAATCCTTTCCATTTCCAGCTCCTTTGAAATGGTGAACGTTGGTGAATGAACAAGCCCGAGAGGGGATTCTTTTTTACTTACGGACAGGTTACGGCATACCGTGCTGAAATTCCAATGAACCTTCAGGGTCATTGAATCATTGCATTTTCATGCCACATCCTTGAAAACAAGATTCCCTGACAAAGCATACGATAAACATAATAAGTCATCATGAGCAGTAAGACTGAAAGCATACGCATGTCAAACATCATGCCACTTGATACTCTTGTACACACTCTCTACAAATTCTCTGAAGGGGAGCAATCGGCCTCTCATATGTTACTGACGTTATATGACTTTGAACTTCAAGGAAAGCCAAGTGAGCCCCCAATGCCTAAATTCACCTGATATATGCCAATGGTCTGTTTGACATACCACAACAGATAGACAAACCAGCCTTTTTGTAATTTCTATCAACAAGTCACTGATCACCAACAGCTGCTCTTGCATGTTAAAAATGACAAAAAGGAAGCGGCAACTTGCCATAATATGCGAGCCATCAAATGGATAAACGTTTGAACGCAACTCCCGTGCTAAAGCAGTTGACCTTAAATCGCTGTCACCATCTAATTTTCTACGACGCGATGCCTTTTTTAAATCAGGTTCATGCTCAAACACAAGTAGAAAAGTGACCTCTTTTTCCTTATTTTCGATGTCCTGGGGCATCTTGCGACACGTATCATGACAAGTTAAGAATTATCCCATACCCAACACCACACTATCGATTGAGACAATGATTACGTCATGCAATCTGGACGTGTAATGCGTTATTGGGACCAAATGTAAGGAATTTGGTCCCGCATCGCGTCCGTCCATCTGCCTCACGTCAACCAAAGAGCCAAAAAATAGCACCTTTCACAGGATGTCATCCTTAATCCGCTACATTCATCTCACGTAGGTACACAGGTATATGCCCATAAGAAGAACCATTTCACGTTATATTTCGATAATGAAAAAAATGCACAGATGCTAAATTTATTTTATTTTTGTTGGTTGGAGTTTTCCATCTATTGCTTGCCAGCAACATACGTCGAGACGATCTTGCCAAAGTTCTCACCCTGAGTGTGGGCGATTTCCTTTTCCTTGTCGCTGACTTGGCGGGAACCATCACCGTTGGCAACGGTACCGGCACCGTAGGCGGAGCCACCAATCACTTCCGAGTTATCGAACAAGTGAGGGTTGGCGAAACCGAGAGGGACGTAGATCATACCGTGATGAGCAAAGTAGGTGACGGTGGTAAGAGCGGTGGTTTCTTGACCACCGTGCTGAGAAGCAGTAGAGAAGAAAGTACCGGCGAACTTGCCAGCCAAAGCACCCGAGGCCCAGAGACTGCCAGTAGCATCCAAGAAAGCCTTCATTTGAGCGGGCATGGTACCGAAACGAGTACCAAAACCGAAAAGATAACCATCAGCTTCAGTCAATTGAGCGGTGGTAATCACGGGGATCTCGGGCTTGGGAGGAGCGTGCATCTTGGTAAGAATTTCATCGCTCAAAGTTTCGGGAACTAGACATGAAAAAAGACGCGAGAAAGAATCAGCCTACCATCCTCCTTTAATCATTCACCGTGTCCCTTTTATATTTTCTTACCTTGGAAAAGTTCGACTTCAACGCCGGCAGCTTCAAGACCCTTCTTGGCTTCAAGAGCCAATGTGTAGATGTGGTGGTAGAGGGTATAGATGATGATGTAAACTTTGGGAGCCATTGTAGTATGTGTGTATGGAGTAGGAAAAGAATAAAAGTACTGAACACAAGAACGAGCTCGACCATCGCTTCTTTTTTATTGTGCGCGACGAGATTTCGGATTCCGAATGATTTGTCAATGCTGACCACCGCAACACACGACCCGTGGTCGGAGACTCAATTTCCGGTTTGACAAACCCTCTGGACCATTTTTCAAGCTTATTCGTTGCTTAGAAATCACAGGTCACAAGCACTACAGCAGCACTTTATTTTCAATTTACTTGCTGCCATCTTGATTCTTTCCATAAACTTTAATATGACTTCGTTTGCAATGAAGAAAGTTTAGGTGACTGTGTGACTGTCTCTGAACGGAAGAATCGATGTGAAACCGCCGATCAACCGCAAGGGCATGGTTCATCCGATTTGCTATCTTTGGGAATTTGTCAAGTATCGTTAATCCCCAAATAAGCAACCAAATTTTGGTAATTTTCCAAAAGACGAGTCACGAAACTCTTATCATTGCTTCAATAATCAAAAAATGGTGAATTGGGGTGACCAATAAAAAAGAACGGAGCTTGACATGGTCATTTCATAATCAAGGGCAGATTTTGACACTTTGAACGATAGGGTAACCACTGACTAATGATTCAACATTGATGACTACTGGAGTACCTAGATACCTCTTCTATCCAGGAGATTCGATTGGAATCCTAATAAAATAACACTCCCAGACGAAAAGTACTTCGGCCATCCTGAAAAAAAGTTCCATCGCGTATTTTTTTATTTTTATGCAAACTATTTTTTTTTGTTCTTCTCACAGCTGTCAAAAAAAGAGAGACATTCGTACCTAGATGGCAGATTCTAGATGGAAACGCCTATTTGTAATGCCCCTATACGATTATCCGTCCATTGTTCTTACCCAAAAAATACCCCTTACACGCATAGACCGATTTGTTTCACTTTATCGAAATTTCCACTTGCTACAGCAGGGTGTCCAGGACATTGGCACATTTTGTATGTCAGGCATAACAGGTCACCGACAACAGTCCCATAAAGGGCTGCTCCCCTGGAAATGCGGAATAAACAATGCGCAGGAGATGAGGATGATCTGTTATCCACAACCTGTTGATCATAAAACCTAATGTAAAAAAGATCTTGGACAAAATTTACATATAAAGTGTACAACACGCCCGCAAAGCCGTCGATCACATCCAGACAATGACGCCAGTGTTTTTGCCAAGGGATTTTGACCGTTTTTCAAAAAAAGCGTGTTCCTCATAAAGGTTAGCTGGATTATGCAAGATTCGTTCGCTGCAATGCAGTGAACCCTACCTCTCTTTTTTTTTCACCAGGTCGCGCTGCTCGCTAACGGCGGTGACCCAAAAATAACTCTTTCATTCTGCCTTTGGATGAGAATAGATTCCATCTCCGCCTACAGTCTAATATCATCACGTTGGCACGCCAGTCTCCTTTTTTCCTCTTTTATTGATTTGCTTTTTTTTTTTTTTACATCTTTGCCCTCTTTTCGTTGTTTTGGTTTTATTATTTTTATTTTTATTTTTCTAGTCTATTGGCTAAAGTCTATATAATAAGCGATGCTTTCAACCCATGAATCTAAAATCAAACGTCTACTGGCCAATCGGCATAAATATCGACATTCTCTCAGCGAAAAACTACCAAAACCCGGCTATTGGTTCACTCCGTCACCGACCGACGATCAGCGATGGGAATCAGCATCGGCATCACCAGAGCTCGATCGTCCCACTCCAACCGTAGAGAAACAAACCCCGAAACCATGGAGAAAACCACTGCCAATAGACTGCCCTGTGTTTGATTTCAGTAATGACAAGACATTGATCGAAGAGACCAGTGAATCGACCGGTTCGGTTGTTATGCCAACCACGATCCTCGTTACGCCACCTCAACCACCTACCCCGCCTACCCCGCCTAAGCCTATCTCGGCCACCATCCCTGCAAGACACACCAGTCGCTTCTATGGCAACGATCCGGAAGTACAAATCCAATTGGAACGCATGGCGCAGGACGAACGAATGATTTTATTATCAAAAACAATGCAGTTACAGCACACCACGAAACCTGACCCATCAGGACCACCGCCTTTGCCTCCCCCAAGAACCTATTTTGAAGTGGAGCCAGTGCAGCCAGTGCAGCCATATTGATCCACTCAAATATATTTATATGGCCTTGAAGATACCATCCCCTTTTTGACAATTGCCTCCGTAATTAAGCCGTCGGATGTTCAAGTCTTGGCAACCGGGGAAATTATTTTTTTTCTGTACAACTTTCCAATAATGTAAAAAGTAAGCAAACGAATCAAACAATGAAAACCCCCAAACAATGAACAATGGGTGATGTATGTGTGTTGCGTATCTTTTTGTGTGCGAGTGTGTGATCATATTTTGTAAAGGAAATGAATGTATAAATGACAGCTATGCTAAATTTTCTTTGTTTCTCTATTTGCGTCCCTGTCGCTTGCGCAACTTGGTCTTGGATTCTGTAAAAGAAAAAGAAGAGAAGTGAGTTACTCATGACTTAATATTTTTTAAATGCAATTTGTAAAATTACCTTCAATGAGTTTCTGATCTTCTTCATCATTGAATCCGGTCCATTCTTCTTCTAGTGCTTCGACTTCCATACCATCATCTGCTTGATCTGATGAGGCGTCATCCTTGCCCTTCTTATCGTCAAACTTGTTGCTGAATTTCTTGAATTTAGCAACATAGAAACCGTCCATGTTGTGCACATGAGGATAGAATCGTCGAGTTAACTTGACGCTGGGATGGAAGTTCTTTCCACGGTATCTGTACATTGCAGTGTTAAAAAAAAAAAGATATGCCTTCGTTTTTCTCTTTTACTTACGATACAAAGCCTTCGCGACCAAAATCGAGACCGGTAGACACCAATTTCACATTGTTACGTTTACTTAAAGCGTAGTTGACAACTGCTTCGTTTTCCTCCACAGCCACCGAACACGTAGAATAGACAATGTAACCACCCGTTTCGGACTTGGCATCCACGGAATCAATGGCACTCAAAATCAGTTGTTTTTGAAGGAATGGAATATCGATGAAATCTTTTTCAGTCTAATTGCATCATTTCTTCAAGTCAGTATTTATGTAATCATAACAATGGCATTCAGCAAGACGAGATGTTTTACCTTGTTTAATTTAGCACTAGGATCCTTGGAAATGACACCAGTACCGGAACAGGGAGCATCCAACAATACGCGATCGAAACCACCAATCACCTTGGGGAATTCACGACCATCGTAGTTGCAGACCACCGCATTCTTCACACCCATACGATGGATATTGGCTATTAAACTCTTCAAACGATCTTTGCTTGCATCATTGGCAAACACCGTACCGGTGTTCTTCTGAAGTGCCGCAATATAGGTTGTTTTACCACCGGGAGCCGAGGCCATATCCAACACACGTTCATTAGGTTGGGGTGCGAGGGCCATAACGGGCAAGAACGAGGAAGCCGCTTGAAGCATGTAGTGACCAGCGAGGTATTCCGGGGTAGCACCGATGGGGACTTGAGAATCAAAAATTTGCAAACCGACCTTGCTCCATTTACCAATGGGGTCAAGATTTACGCCACGGTTGATCAGTGCTTGGGCAAGATCACGACGGCGGGTTCTTAATGTGTTGGTACGAATGGTCACGGGTCGAGGGACTTCGTTGGATTCGAAAAATTCAATGGCTTCGGACACAGGGAATAGATGGAAAAGCTTTTCCGCCAAGAAATGCGAGTAACCGTAATAATGAGCGATATCTTTGATCAAACGATCGACGTAATCCTGACGAGACTTGCTGGGATCACGCATGGTTTTGAAGTTGTTCAGAATGTTCACGATCTCCTGGATACGTTGATTGACAACTGTCACATCCGCCACCAATTGTTCCTCATCCTCCTCGTCGGGAAGCTGGAAGTGTTCGCCTTCCTCCAAGATATTGGTCTGCATCGAATCCTGCAATTCAGCTTCGGCCATGGCTGCCTCTCGCTTTTGTCGTGCTTCCATCTGAGCTGACTTTTTCTCATCCAAGCCGGTGAACTAGATCAAACACGAAGATGAGCTAATTCTGTCACTAATGTCGCCCATAAAATAAAATCATCACAAACCTCATCGTCTTCGTCAGACTCATCTTCAAGACCGGACACTTCGTCTTGGTCCTCTTCTTCCTGTTCGGAATCAGAACCGAGGAAATCGGTTGAAGATTTGGGAAAGATGCGTTCGTCGTCGTTGTCCTCATCGTCTTCATCGCCCAACTGTTCCATACCGAATTCATCGTCATCGTCTTCTTCACCGGCCTCTTCGAGACCTGCCAAGATATCTTCTTCGTCTTCGTCGTCGTCATCCGAAGCAGGTTCCATGTCGTCCCACAGATCAGAAGCGGGAGCAGCTTTGGGAGCTTTGTCATTCTTCTTGGATCCATTGACTTGCTTGACTGCAGACTTGGATTGGGCTACCGATTGCTTGGTAACGGCAGCATCGGCCTTTACCTTTTTCGAGATCGGTTCCTCGTCCGAAGCTTGTCGCTTTCTCTTGACATCAGTATTCTTTCCCTTCTTTCTGTTTTGCTTTTTGTCAAACTTCTTGGGTCCATCGAGAGGAGCAGGAGGGCCTTGTTTATTTCTCGCACGACGTCCCATAATGATTACTGGATTCTCTGATGAATAAAAAAGGGTAACTGAACTTCGAATACGAAAAAAAAAAGAAAAAGAGAGAAATCTTTCCCTCATAACGACCCTTCATTTTCACCGTCACAGAATCAAACCTGCGAAATTCGTTTTGCAGAAAAGGTGGCTTGGAAGCACCAATTGCAAAACGTCGCCGTCAACGACAAAAATGCGACATCGGCATTTGAATGGCACATCCATTTGGCTGAAAGATTGATGCGATGATGTAAGTTCTCCAAGCCAAATCCAGAAAAAGCATGCTTCATCTCAGAAAATGATAACATCTTATATACAAAATCAATACCTTATATTACAGGCCAAATCAAAAAAAGTGAGACGTATTGGACAGCATAAGAATGAGAATGTTCATGTTGACTTGTCAAGGGTCAGTTTGTGCCAAATGGTTGAACTTTCAAATGATTTGATATCAAAACTTCTGTCTCTCTGGCTTTTCCTATTTTCGTGGATGCGATTCGATCGTGGTTTTAGGGAAATAATGACAACTCTAGTTGAATAAATTGTACAAAGCGGTTCTTTACGAAAAGAGGGGAAAAAAAAGAGAAATCCAAAGAAGGTCTTCAAAGTAATGCAAATAAAGAAAAAGGAAGGAGAATATAATTAAATTATACAAAATTATGTCGAGTTCACTTCACCATCATTGGGTTTGCTCTCAGGAAAAGGCGGTGGAGAAGAAACCTGTCAAAGAAAAAAAAAAAAGGATGTCAGTCCATGGTCAACTTTTCGCTGCTCAAGATTGCCACAGGCAGGTAGACCAATAACTTACTTCCTTGCGACGAACGTATTCGTCATAGACAGTCTTTTCCACAAACGGACGTCTTCCTAACAGGTTCTCCATGTCTTCGCGGGTGATCACTTCCTTTTCCAGTAAGAGCTTGGCCACCTTTTCGACATCGCCCTTCTTTTCCGTCAACAGTTGCACGGTACGCGTGTAGGCTCCATTGACCAACTTTCGTACTTCGTCATCGATCAGGGTACCGGTCTGTTCAGAGAAAGGTTTCTGGAATTGTTGCTCCGAGTTGGGATCGTGGAAAGACAGAGGACCGACTTTCTCGTTCATACCATATGTCGACACTTGCGCATATGCAATCTTGGTCACCTTTTGCAGATCGTCCTGAGCACCGGTGGTGATGGTGTCAAAGAAAATCTGTTCCGACACACGACCGCCCAGGGTCATGCACATGCGATCCATTAACTGTTTGGTCGAATAAAGGTACTGATCCTTTGGTAAATATTGAGCGTAACCCAGTGCCGCTACTCCGCGAGGAATAATCGACACCTTCAACAAGGGATCGGCGTACTGCAAGTACCAGCCCGCGACGGCGTGGCCGGCTTCGTGGTACGCCACCGTCTTCTTCTCCTCAGGCGACAACACACGCGACTTCTTCTCCAAACCGGCAATCACACGTTCAATGGCTTGTTCAAAATCGACCTCGGTCACACTGTCCTTGTGGTGACGTGCAGCAATCAAGGCGGCTTCATTACACACATTGTGAATGTCAGCGCCAGAGAAGCCAGGGGTCAGGGCCGCCAATTTTCTCGATAATCGTTCCATATCCTCGGTGGTCTTGATCGGTTTCAAGTGGACCATGAAAATCTGAGCACGACCGCCAATGTCTGGACGATCAATGGCAATATGACGATCAAATCGACCGGGACGCATTAAAGCCGGATCCAGCACATCAGGTCGATTCGTACCAGCCAACACGACCACATGTTCGTCCGAGTTGAAACCATCCATCTCCACCAAGAGCTGATTCAGGGTGCTTTCACGTTCGTCATTGCCGCCCATGTGACCGCCTTTGCCACGGGCTTTACCAATGGCATCGATTTCATCCACAAAGATAATGCAAGGCGCGTTCTTCTTGGCCGTCGCAAACAAATCACGCACACGCGAAGGACCGACACCGACAAACATTTCCACGAATTCGGAACCGGACACACTCAAGAAAGGCACACCGGCTTCACCAGCCGTGGCCTTGGCCAGCAGGGTTTTACCTGTACCGGGAGGACCAGACAAAATGGCGCCACGCGGTAATCTTGCGCCCAACCGTTCGTAAGCCGCCGGGTTCTTCAAGAATTTGACAAATTCCATGATTTCCTCCTTGGCTTCATCGGCGCCGGCCACATTCTTGAACTTGACCTTGACATCGGTTTCCTGATTGAACATTTTAGCGCGACTCTTGCCAATGCCGAAAATGCCCTGGCCACCGGCCCCACCGGCTCCGCGTTTGGTGATGTAGTAGAGCACACCGATCAGAAGTAAAGTGGGAGCGAAATGTAAAGCGGTTTGGAAGATACTGATTTCGTCCCGGTAAGCGACGGGAATTCGTTCGTTGGAGGGAATACCGAGCTCGTTTTGTGCTTCTTCCAATTTGCGTTCAAAGCTCTCTATGGAGCCGATGCTAAAGACAAAGGTTTGCTGCGGTGAGACGCCCAAGGAACCGGCTTCGGGACGCAAATGAACTCGAACTCGGTTGCGATTGACGACGGTGAGACGATCGACGATACCCTTATCGAGCAATGAAGTACGGAATCCTTGCCATGTGACTTCGCGAGCATTGTCGGCCGGAGAAGTCATCTTCCACATGAGCCATGTACCAAATGCAGTACCTAGTACCATATTCATATTGATCTGGGGCATCTCCGGTGGTTTGTTACCGCCGGCCTTGTTGTTGTTCTTGTTGTTGCCTTTGGGCGGTTTCGGAACTTCGTCCGAGGCTCGTTTGGCGTTTTGTTCGGCCGCTTCGTTCGCAGCTTGTTTTGAATGCTTGGGTGTCTCCTTGCCAAAGAAGCCTTCAAACCCTTTGGGAATATGCGGTTCTTCTTTGTCTTTGGAGTTGCCATTGTTATTTTCCTTTGGCTTGCTGTCTTTGTTGGAGCTATATTTGCGCTGACCCGTCCAGCGGCGATGGGTCAACAGCCCACGCTGCGAAGCCAACCGTTGACCGGCGTAAACCTGACTCCATTTCGGATTGGCCGATCGGACGCCGATCTGGCTTAAACGTGAAAGCATTGAGAAATGTAGAGGGGTAAAAAAAGAAAAGCGATGAATCGAGATGGCCTTCCTAAGGACCGGGATGGAAAACAAAAACTTTATCCGGGTCAATCTCTCACCAGCGCACTGTGACCGGCGACACGTCACGGCAGCCGACGGCTCGGGCGGGTTGGCGGGTCGGCGAATTCGCGGGTTCGGAGACCCAACGGACCGCAGCTTCAGAAACAGTACCTCATCATCATCATCATCGACCATCTTCTTGGTCCTGTTATTATGCATAGAAGGGGGGACATTCTTGGATAGGGTTGATCGTATGGTATCGAAGTTGAATACTTTGCGCAGAAGTGGTGCGATCATGCATATTTTTTTCTCACAACCTTGGATGTCGCGAAATGAGATATTTTCAAGGGCAGACGCTGGCCGAATCAAACTCGTATTGCATGGAAATTTCGATTGAAATTATCCAATGCTGGGCACCCTCGTTTTTCAAAGCGATGTGGGCATAGACGATATGGCTGTTGTAGAAGCGAGTCCTCTCATTCAGATACGTGCTGTTTACTTTGTCGGCAGTTCTTTTCTGTGGAATAACCTTATCGTTTTTTGTTTTTTGTTTTTTTTGGTTTCTTTTCAAAATAATGGTATGATTTTTTCTAGATATATTTACACAGTGATGGGAAACTCGACAAGGAAACAATCACATGTGTTGAAATAAAAAAATGTCATTTCATCGGAATTTTTCTTTGCCTAAGCCTACTTCTTTCTTGACATTGGTCATTCTTCATCTTTGATGCTCTCGTTCAGGGGAAATCACTGGTTTTGTTATTTGTTAAATACACGATGTGTTATATAAATAAGAAATTCTAGTGAATGAGTTTAATGAGGTTTTTTGGTTTTTTTTTTCATTCCTTGAACGGAGAAATTGTAAAAAAACGGAAAAAATAAAAAAAAAGAATTATGGGAGACAGAAAATCAGCCCATTCAAACAATCAACCACCATCACAAAGGATGAATATAATATTATTCTTTTTTGCACAATTTTTTGTTTTCCGTCAATGCTTTAGAAACCCATCTCCTCCTTGGTCAAGATACCCAATTCCTTTCTAAGAGGGGCCAGCTCCTCGAGATACTGTTCGTATTGCTTGTTGTTCTCCACCTTAGCCTGGAGACCCTCGAAGACGCGGACAGCGGTAGCATAGTCGTTGACGCGACGAGCAGCCTTGAGAGCAGACTCAATCACAGAGGGAGCAGGAACAAGATCGTAAGCGAAAGCATTGTTCAAACCGCGTTGGAGTTCAAAGAGATCCTCAACACCATCAAAGAACTTGACGTAACGTTCAGTGAAAGCTTCAAAGCTCTCATCTTCGTGACCGGCAGAGTAGAAACGCTTGCTCACGCCTAATGAACAATTTCAAACATCCGTATTAAGTTTGCGTATAAATTCGACGTAAATGGGGAGAGAGAGAGAGAGAGAGAGAGAGAGAGAGAGACAGTGACATGGAATGGTGTAGACGACGATTGAAAGTGATGAAAAAAAGATTATCATAATAAACAATAAACAGAAAACCATTAGTCACAATTTCCAAAAGGTTGCGAGCGCATTTGGTTTCAAAATGAACAAGAAATAATTACCCATGGCAACGGGACGGACGGCAACAGCGGAGCGAGCGACAGTTGCGCGGGAAACAACACCAGTGAAAGCAGCGCGAAGCATGATGGTCAAATATCAAATGGAGTGGGGGTTAGGAATTAAAAAAAAAGAGGAAGAAGCTTCTGGCCTATGTTTTTTTTTCACCAGTAAAACAAAAAAAAAAAGACCGACCATGTCGAAAACCAAAAAAATTTGATGCCCAGCCACTGGGGGGGCGGCCACACGAAACTTCCTTTTGAATGAGAAAATTGGGACTCCATGTCGTCATCAAAAACAGAGGGGGGCCACCCTCATTGGTGGTTTTTCTAGAAGAAAACATCCATGAACCTTGAGTGTGAACTTGAAAAGACTCTAACGGAGCGGTTACTAAAACAATATGCCAATGACATGCACGTGCACGTAGCTTTAACATTGGAAGCGTGGGGGCTTGGTTCTCCCGAGGATGGTTGTTAATATGGCGAACTCGGTTTCAACCAGCTTCATGGACTTGTTTGTTCATCGCGCGATTGCCTTTGCTAGATTGTCTACGTTTGGTGTGCTTTGCCAAAAGGTCCGTATCAGACCCTTTTCTATTCGCTTTATCATTCCAAATAGCGCGATAAATAACTTGATTTTTGTCTCGTAAAAGCAATCACTCACTTTGATCGCAGGGACGTACAGAATATATATCAATTTCCAAATACCGGACTTTTTTGAACATTGATGAGAATATTTGTATGCAAAAAGAATTGTGCGTAACTATACACACGTTGGTTATATTTGAGTCTTCAGTTATCATGCTACTGCGTCATGACCCGAGTATAAACAAAACTGAATACTCAAATCAAAATGCTTTCAGATACTTTGTCAATGAACACGTTGCATTTCAGAAAAGAGACAGTACTCTGGTCAGTGAGGACACTCTTGATATTATTTTTATTCAATGATATACGTTATGCTTGAATGAAGGGTGATATGAGTGATGATAGGGAATATGGAGAGTGGCGAAAAGATCAGGGGTTTTTTTTTCATGATAAAGTGATGCAAAAGGGGACAATGAGCTGGGTAGGATACCCCTTCCTTGGGCACCAAGGACTGGATGACGCTCTAGGTATTGTAAATGATTTCTACTTCATCATCGCTGCCAGCTTCCTCACGTTGACGTAAACGCGCTTCAGCTCGCTGGGCACGCACCTCGTTACAGTTGCAGTAGAGGTCGAACAGATCGGGTTCTTCTTCCAAACGCAGATTGGCCTTTTCAGCTGCCTTTTTTCTCGCTTCCTTTAGGTTATCCGAGGATCCACATGCCAAAGGCTTGTCGTGCAAGAATATAACACATTTTTGGCTGTTTTCGTCCGTGCCAGTACTCGTATGGTTGCTAAACAAACACAATGCAATATTAGTTTTTGATCCGGACCGTCCCCATCTAAACGTGGAAGAATCATCGCTTACCGGAACATGAATCCTTCGCAGCCAGCTTGTTGCAACGTCCGTGTGAGTCTTTGGAAAGGATGCACACGAATCAATTCCGGCGTCACGTGCGTATCAAAGAAATTTAAAAACCACTTGTCGAAGAGCTTCTCAATGGGGGCCAGGTTGAAACCCGCATCGACAAAGATGGCCCCAATCATACTTTCCACCACATCGGACAACACTTTTGGAATATTCATATCCGTCCAGTATTCGCCCACCGCCGTGCCATCTTCCTTCATCTGTTGCACCTCTTCGTACGTTTCCTGAATGGCGCGGATCAACGCATTCGAATAGTGGATAATGTGTCGGTGTAAATTGCACTCCAGACAAATGATACCCAGCACACGGTTATTGACACACGACCCCTTCAGATCGGTAATCAGACCAGGAGACGCCGACGGGTATTTTTCAAACAGGTAACGAATAACCAAGAAATCCAGAATAGCGTCGCCCAAGAACTCCAAACGTTGATAACACGGCACAGTCGAATTGGAATTTGGCAAACTTGCGTGGGTCAACGCCTCGACAGCTAGCAGGGGTCGATTGAATTGATATCCACAGATGCCTTCAAGACGGGGAACATCCAATTCGCTCAGCGCTTTCGCTCCCGCACGCTCAGGCACCTTGTCACGGTTGACCAAATAATACGGCATGAAATCATCCCAGCAAGTGATTTCGTCAAAAGGCACCTGCATTTGAATCGCACACCGCAGACCACCGTCCAATCCTTCACTGAGATAAGCCGCTCCCAGCGACGCTTCGACAATATCGGCCAGCGTCTTGTCCGACAGCATGTGTTGTCTCGTCTCCTTCAGACTTTCCTCGGTATCCGTACTGGCAATAAAATGGTGCGGTCGCCAGTACCGACGATTGAACGCTTGCGTACTGACATAACGAGCAATCTTTAATCGCTTGGCTGCCCTGTAAAGAGCACGATTGCAAATCACACGAATACGCAGACAATGCAGCTCACCTTCGTTGGAAAACGGAAAGTTGATGTATAATCGGATTGTCGCAATGAATTTCAACAAGGAATCTGTGTGTATGTGAAAGACAGAGAGAGAAAGAGACACGTATGAGTTAATCCTTTTGGTTGCAAAAATTCTCGCTTTTTGATGTTACCTCCCAAGGTTTCCAATCGTTCATAATCCATGCTCATATTGGCAGACGGCGCGGTGTAGGCTTCCAGCATTAGGGTATCGGTGGCGGGAATCTTGAAACGATTTCGCGCTTCAAAACACAGGAGAAGCGAATCGATGCGGGTCATGATGGCAGGAAACAACAAGGCAGCTTGAAGTACACTGGCTGTCATGGTGAACGTTTTACAAAACTCGGGAATCACGAATGTCGCAGTGGACTTTTTCTCTTTGGGTTCCTGATGCGGGAGCTTGGTCAAGTAATTCATCATTTTCCGTACTCGGCTCACGCGCACCATGGGTTGCTCGGGTTGAGTCAGTTTCAGCGAATACGATTGTTCGTAAAACGCAGCAAAACTTTCAAAACCAGTCTCACGGATCTCCATATCGCTGGGAGGAGGCGAATGCGGATGCATATCGTGACAGACCTCCTTGATATAGTAACGTCGTTGATTGTCCGCGTAATCAATGAGAATCACGTCTTCGAAGCAATTGGGCGCACTCAAATCAAAAGGCACAAACGCAGCCGCGGTGGCGCGTTCCATTTCCGCCCAATCGATCACATTCATGCATGTGTCAACCGAGTCAAGCACCGGCAGTGGTTCATGGCATTTGAAGACAAGTGGCGCAACAAAGTAAGGGAATTCGTCCAACGGACAAGTGAATTGCTTGTTCGTCACCGTCGTACACATGGTTAGCAAAAATTGAGCCAAGAGCTGGATCTTTTCCTCGTCCAACGTAAAAGTAAAGTCGAGAGGATGCACGGCGGCCATGAAAGTTTCGCCGTGGCCATACAATTCGATCCCTGGAAGGCTCGGGAATGGTTTCTTTGTAAACAGTGCCATTCGTCGAACGTGGACCCCGTTGAGTTTTTCGTGCGATAGCCTAACCTCGATCGTCGACAAATACAATGTCGGAATCTCGAATGGTTCTTCTTGTTCCTCTGTCACAAAACGTGACATTCAGTATTTCCATGCGTAAAACACATTGATAGAAATCATTCTTACCATCCGTTGCGTCTTGGGCATTTTCAGCAACCAACGGTTCGGTCATGGTATCGACGGCCTCGGTGATGATATCCACCGTTTTCTGGGAGGCATCCTCGGCAGTCGGGGACTCGCTGATCGTATCTTTTTGTTGTGGTGGTTCGTTTTCCTTGTCTTGGACAGCGATGGGGGCTTGGTCGTGACCCTCGACATGACCTTGCTCTGTTTCGTGGACTTCTTCCTCTTCTTCCTCTTCTTCCTTTTCCCAGAATTTGGGGGAATTTTTTGGATAGTAGTTGCGTCGACGTCGACTACCGATGATGAGACCGTTTTCATCAACTTGGGGCGCCATTTCGCCAAGGTAGTTGGATTTTTGAAATGCCGGAAGCAAGTGATCGGTAAGCGCTTTGTAGCTGTGAAGCTGCGTGCAAGCCGCTAAAGCCGCCAATCGTTTGGCTTGGATTTTGCTTCGCGCGACTTTGGACGTGACCTCGCGTATAGGCGCACTGTTGGGCAGATACAACGTGCAGCAGTAGCCGCCGCCATTGGCAAACACTTCGAAAAGCGGTTGCGGGATACAAAATGCATCCGATGGTAAAGACGCGCAGTAACGATGAATGAGAGGCACCGCGGACTGTTTGGTAATTTTAGCCCCGGTCGACAGCACCAGGTAGCACTCTTCCAGCATATCATCGTCTGAATCGTCTGAATCATACATGCCATCGGCTTCTTCGTCACCTTCATCGTTGCCGTACAGAAACTTGGAGGCCATGTTTCGTTCGGCAGGCAAGGTCTGACAAAAGATTCTCATATCTTCCTCCAATCTCCGGAATTCGTCAATCATTCCCAACTGGCTCATATTGTTGGATTCCGTCAGAATGATATACTTGGAATCACGGCGACGCGCACGACCTCGCGATTGGATATAGTTGATCAGGGTAGTGAAAAAGTCAAAACTAATACCAAACCACATCAAATTTCAATAGATAAATTCAAGTTTGTTCAAACGCGGCCAGCGCGGCCAAAATTACTTACCGAATCACAACATTACAGGGCTGGATATCAAGACCTTCTTCGGCGACATTGGTAGCGATTAGCAAGTTGGTATCACCATCACGGAACTGTCGAATAATTCTGTTTTGTTCGTGAAATTTCATTTGAAAATCGCCTTCGTCTTTGGTGCCGTGGCCTGTCAGCACCGCGCATTTGAGAGATGAGAGCGATTCGGAAGCTTGGATCAAGGCACACAAAGCAATGGCGGTGTGTCTTCGTTCAACAAAAACAATGCCACGGAAATCCTCCATGCGGGTATAAATGGAAAGCACTTTCATAAGCTTGATGACCTTGGGGCTGAACAAGTTGAAATCCGATAGATTCGGATTGTCAGGAGCACCCTTTAAGCTGATATCATAGGCCGCGTTCAACAGATTCTCGGTTTCCAGCGTGCGTTTCTTGCCTTCGTTGGTAAACTTTTTTCGAATCGATTGCAGCATGTCTCGCCACAGACGTTCGGTACACCAGGGCCCCAGATGGTCCAAGGAACTGCCGGCAATCACAAAACATCGATTGTACAGCTCCTCGGATTTTAATTTCTCGTAAAGCGTCCGAAGCGTGGGCGTCAAATCATAACCAGGTGACGGATGATATGCAATGACGATCTCTTTGGGTTTTTGTACTAGACTATTCAGGCTCTCCAAATTGGTCGCGGTATAAATACGGCAGTCTAGGTTATGCTCGAGGTGACTAGGTTCAAAAATTCCCCCAAGAAAAAGTCGTCAATAGAGGTTTGTTCCGGGTGGGAGTCTTTTTTTCGTGGGCTTACGTTGCACTGTATTGTACGTCGGTCTTTGAATGCATGGGCGAAGCGGTCATGCCAAAGATTTTGGGTCGGCCCTCGACGGGACAACAGTCGTAAAATTCACGCATGATCAAATTGTAAGGATGGCGTCGCGTAGCGTGATGACATTCGTCAAAAATAATGAGATTGACCTAGGATTATATATCAATGGAAAAAGACCGACAACAATAGTGTGGAAGAAACAGGTTGATAATTACTTCATCCAGGCTGACAAAACCGTGTCGAAGGGTATCCAAAAAGATCTGGGCCGTCATGACAAAAACGTCGCTTTCCTCAAACAAAAGACGCCAGGTCTTTTCTGTCCAACTATCCACATCCATTTGTCCACAGACATGCTTTACCACGACATCGCAGTTGGCACTAATCACACTCGCTTGCTGGAACACAAGAGGCACACGATCGACAAGAAAAAAAGTCATTTTGGCCTAAATCACAATATGTCAGTTATCAGTGATCCAGTATCATCATCAACCGAAAGGGTTAGTAACCCCTCTACCTTGCGTCTCACGAGACGTTGATCCCGCTCCAATCTCGCCATGTGTTGAATGAGCATAACAGCAATCAGCGTTTTACCACTGCCAGTATCGAGTACGGCAATGATATTCTCGTTCTGGGCCTTCTTGAACAACTCGTACTGATACTCTTTCGGTTGCAGGTATTGTTTGACGGCAGCTTGATCATCGACCATTTCTTCAGGTTCTTCTAATTCGTCGAGATCCAGCTTTTCCTTGACCTCCATCTCAAGTTGATAAGTCGATTTCGTTTTGGCATCGGGTTTGGCTTCAAAGAATTCGGGATCGAGGTACTTTAGCAATCGATCCCTATCACCTTCATTCATTTTGTTCGGAATGGGAATAATGGGCAGCGAGGTTCTGTCCTTGTCCTGCTCATTACACTCCACTACAGCTGCTGCATCGCCAACCATTGATGTGATGCAATTTTATCGGGAAGGCCAAGGCACAAAATAGAACCGCTTTGGAATGGAACCAACTACCAAAAAAAAAAAAAAAAAAAAAAAAAAAAAAAACTGGTAGAAAAAAAAAAAAAAGAAATGTCAATGATTTCGGTGACTTTTTCTCTCCTGCAGATCACTGTTTTATTTACCAAAAAAAAATTTCAACAGCTTTCATTGTTCATTCATTGTGCTGGTTTTTTTTTTTTTTGGTCGTGCTTTCACCTTGCCCATCCTTTTATCCTTTCTCGTTTCCACTATGCACTTCATTCTGTCTATTATGAACAGAGGTTATTCCACTTTCTCAGTAGTTCATAAAAGCTTGCGCTTTCAGGCACATGCGTAACTAGTTTTACAGCCCATCTGGTCATCATAAAACTAATAATACGTTCATGCCATTAACAGATTTCATCGTCGCAAAAGGTCCCTTTTTATTTTCTATACAGGCATCATGAAAAACGACCACGTAATCGAAAGTGAACATGCCCACCATCGTCTGTTATCGTCCCTGGACGTTCTTAATTATTATAGCTTTCTTAATATCAAATAAAAGGAAAATCACCTAGTTACTGGCTGATAAGACTGCATTACAACTAACTAAAAGTTGCATGCGGCGCAACAATGAGCTCAATATAGCATAGAACAAAAAGCTAATCCCAATAACTTTACAATCGTCTTTGTCGGCAGATATCACCTTTTCGGACTTCATCATAGCTTTTGTACATAAGTACCAAAACGTGTAAAGTAATACTTCTCTAAGCAAATCAACAATTGAAAAATCCAATTCACACTCGACCGACAAAAGCAAGACATGCAGTTTTTTTGGCATTAATGAGGCAGATACACCGGACCGTCACGTGACCGTCCGGCAAAGATTGATATATTGCTGTCACGGACTTCAAAAATTTCAGTCAAAAATGTCGCTTTGGCGGAGTGGTTAACGCGGTGCCCTGCTAAGGCATTGTCCTTTGGACGCGCAGGTTCGAATCCTGCAGGCGACGCTCTTTTTTTTTCTTCCGGGCCAAAATTTCCACCAATCAGATTCGTGTTTTTTTTTGAAAAAAATAAAAACGATCATCAACGTCCTGATATACTGACAGGATCACCAGAATGGATAACGAAAAGGTTACGGATAGGAAAGAAGATATTTTTTTATTTTATTAATAGCAAGCCGATGATTTTTTGCATGTCTCTGGGTAATTTTGTAGAAGAGGATAATGGCTGAGGCGGAAAGGCGAAGAGCTGAGAGAGCGGGTAAAACTTCTTTTATAAAAGGATGGTTGTGTTTGGCAAGATCAACATTTTTCTTCGCTTTATTCACAACAAAAGTTCCATGGTCACACTCTCTGCTGGGACTTCAATGGCCAAAGAGGAATCAGGTCAATAGGAATGATGAAACGAGGAAATTAATCTATTTATTCTTTTTGATTTGTGTGGATATTGATCTAAGCGAATGTTATGATAACAAGCCGTACACCCGCTGTGCAATGGATGCCACCTGCTACTGGATGCCGCACTCTTACATTGAGCGACATTCGTCAGACAAAAAGCCTAACGCAATACGGCATAACCTGGGCGAGACTCTTGATGGAACTTTGGTATATTAATGTCAATACTCTGGCATACCATGAAACACTTTTAATGAACAAAGCAGCACTCATTGACCCCCTCCGTTCTGTCCCGCCCAAGGTTATGATAGATCTACAAAGATGTGTGGGAATGTTGGGTATTTAAAAAAAAAATGAGTTAGTAAGCTCTTTGGTTGATTCAAATTTCGTTGAGATATTTTACCTTTGATGTTTGATGCAGCAGATACCGAGGGCTTCCCGACCGAAATAAAGAAAGGATACAAATATAAAAAAAAAAAGTAAATACAATAGGTGCGTCTGTAAAAACCCCCTGAAAACCCTGTGGGAAAAAAAGGAGGAAAAGACTGCAAGAAGACTATTCACTAAAATACAAAATACATACTACAACTACAAAATAAAATGGTCGGGAAGAAATATCGAAAGCGATACCACGGGAAGCAATCCATATGAGAGGAACCTGGGGAGGACGCGTCAGCGTTTCCCAATGAAAAAGAGAGTCACACCACCGACGATGCCTTTGACGACAAAAACCGGATTGGCCACAATCTGGTGCCCGAACAAAGTAGAAAGGTTTTGGAGGGATGGATGGCTTGAATGGCTTGCCAGGCAAAAGAAAACCGGAGAGAAAACCAAAAGCTAAAGACAGAATAGAGAAAAAGGACAGGTAAATTTTTTCTTGTCGAAAAACGGATAGTCGTATCACACAAAAGGTACCTTTTTTCATAATAATCGAATCGACCGGATCAGATACACGCCATAGTCTGAATGATGGATGATGGATGCAATGATAGTGAGGGATTTCCAGGCAAACAGAAGAGATGCAAAACTAAAGAAGAAGAAAAAATTCGGACAAAAATATGTGATTTTCCATGGATGAAACAATAGTCACCTCACTGATGCATGAATGATGAGCTACACAGATCGAAGCATATCTGCTCCATGTATCATTCGATTACTGAAGAGAATGAAAGGGCATATACAGTATAACTGACAGATAACCCAAATTAAATGATGCTACAAAACACCAGATCGTCGTATCGTCAATCACCTTTCTTCAAAAAAGAGCTCCACTCACATTTTATGTGAACGGCGACGATGCTCTGTTTGACCACAACTGGCGCAAACGGCATCTTGCTGCTGATTGTTTCGCCTATTATCGTGAAAGTGGGCAGCGAGGCATGGTTGAAAGATGAAAAAAAGGTTTAACAGGTCTTGATAACTTAGTGTAGATCATGTGATTTACAAAATCGCTAATTTTTCAAAGATTTTAATTATGATAAGAACGTAAACTCATATGAAAGGGAGGCTACGGTCATGGCGCATAATGTCTAAGCAAAATTTGATGCTGCATTCTAAAGAGTATTACAAGGCGACTTTACGCAGGTAATCGCGAAAGGAGTTAACCAGAAAATGACTACAACAGATTCAAGTCCGCTATGTTGGATCCAGATTTGCACCTGGACTAACCGTAAGGTCAGAACGCGATTACTTTAAGACAACATTTATATATAAATGGATTAGAAGGTTATTCAGAAATCCATCGCAGACCAGAAATTTACGCATTGCAGTTAGTGGAACGTATATCATCGTCCAGGCTTCATTTAGTTACAGGTAGTATTTCTCAATCAATGGAGAATATTTATATCGTAGGGCGTCCTTGCAGTGTAGGTTGAAGACATACCTGGCATGTGCCTGAAGGGGTCGTTTACAAAGACCAGAAACGAAAACGAGACGAATATTTCTTGACCCAAACGAATTGATTTAACAAACGTAGCAAAGAATTCACATTGTTTTCGTCTTATAAAAGCAATTCAAGGGAGTAAACAGCCAAGAGAAGCACCAAGAGAATTTTTGGTAGGTAATAATCAATGGCTAATACTGTAACTGGTTTTTCAATATCCATATGCATACCACAAGTGATTGATATCCGCAATGAAGACCATTAAGGGCATGCCCACACTCGATATTGCTCGTGGGGATCATACGCAGGCAAGGCCAAGGGAATATACAATAGGATAATGTACACAGGATGTTATACGTTTCCGTGTATGCTGGTGCCAAGAACATTTTATATTATCTGTCTTTATATTAAAGATCAGTGCCTTTCAGATAAAGTGACTTCGCATCGTTTCCTCTTCCATTGGATCTCGCAAGCAGGCAGTCTAATGTAACTCCAAAGACTTAAAAGACTAAGAAAATCAGGGTTATCGTTTTTACTTTTTTGGTCTATTCCATTAAATACAAATTAAGTGTCTGTACAGAAAACAAAATATTATAGTACAATTTATGATACATTAATGACGGCAGTTTTGCCGTCGATCCATGCAGCGTGCCATGCTTTGAAGCGTTCCATGACAACGAAGGTGATGGTGGTTTGAGGGCCGAGACGGATAAAGGCCGGCGTCCAACCTTTGAAAAAGGCCCGGAGACCTTCAGCTTTGTACATCTGCGCCATGATATTCAGTGAGGACAATTTGCGATCAGCTGCACTGGAAGACATGATTCGTGTTTTGATGACATCCACAGGAGAGCACACGGTGGTTGCAACAAAACCCTAAGAAATACCACCTGTCAGAACCTTTTTTTGCCCAATCCAAAAAAAAAGCCCCAATCACAGTAAAGATAGAGGTGTACACTTACTGCCATGACGCTGGAAAGAAAGTGAAGGCCCAGACCGTCGGATATGAAGGTTTGGGTTAAGAAAAAGTTTTTAAAGATATCGTAAGAAACACATTGGGAGGAAGTGACGAGAATAGCACGGCTGATATTAGGACCGATACCGCGGAAGAGAGAAGAAATGCCTTCTTCTTTGCTCATACGTATGATACCGTCCAAAGCATGCTTGTAATGTCGACGTTGATGAGGCGGCAGTTGACCGTCGTTTTGCATTCGTACATTGACAATGTCGCCTGGGTTCCCGCATGCACCGCCCATGGCTCCTGCAGTAGTGGAGCACGCCAACAAGTGCCACACGGTGGGATCTGTGGGGAGGATGTCACACAAGGAGGAGTTAGAAAAAAAAAGGACGAATACCATTGGATCAATGGGGCCAAAAAGACTCACGTTCCGTTTTCGATTGCACCATTTGCTTCAACTTGTCATAAGCACCAAATCGAACGGTAGAATACGTCGCTTGACGTAACAGACTAGCTGACAGACCAGCATACAAACGAATCAATCCCTCATTCTTTCCAATGGCTATCATGGTCGCCAGCATCGACGCTCGGTGGATTCCTTTAGTGGTTTGAAGGCGGACTTTGGCAAGATCAAAAGGATGTACGACACAAGTAGCCACACACGAAGCCGCCCCACCAAAATAAAAAGGCGTTGACCTTGCCACACTGGTCATGATTTACGAAGCGTTGGATAAAGAAAGACGAAAGAGAAAAAAGAGAAACCGGTATCCAAAGGATCCAGGAGATGTAAAATTTTAAAAGAAAAGGGAACAAAAAAAGTGATTCATCCAGGTCCAAAACATACCCCGTTTTGTGTCTCTGCGTCAAGGCACGGGCCAGCTCGTCATTGGGTGAGAGCGAGTTGCAGAGGACGACATTTTGCGTCAGCATAATTTCCTTTTTTGTAAAATTTTATCGGCCGGTTTCTCGGAGTTTCCCGTTTTTGTTTTTTGGTTGACCTGTCCTTTGGGGGTGGACGATTCGAATTACAGCCCCTGTATGCAAGCAAGCAGCCAAATCGACTCCTTACAGCACTGCTAAGCCTCATCGCACATACATATCCCAACGTTGCTCAATACACGATGCATACAGTTCTTTGTTGACGGTCATCGTCAACTCATTCTATATAAATAGTCTCAAGAAGATCGTATAGGGTCATTTCCAGCCGGCCGCAAATATTTTTTTCTCCACAAGCAAAAACTATAGAATAAAAAGATCAGGAGCCTAACCCGTAGAAAGTCAAATGGAGCAGGTGGGCAAACCATCCGTGGCTCGACAGTAATAGCAACATGTGCGTGGTGGTGACAAGTAAGCAAACGATGAGCTGCTTTATTGTGCTGTATGTCCAAGGTCTTGGTTGAAAAAAAAAAAAAAAAAAAGAAATAATGTAAAAATGGGTAAGTGGGGGAAATTCTCTGCAAATACGGATTACACACTGTTCTTTTGGGTCCATGCATGTTGACTGGAAGGACAGACAAACCGTTTTTTAAATTACGACGGCCTGAAAACTGGAAAAATCAAAACCGAGTCATGGGCAACCGAATTTTTTAATCATCTTCATCTTCGTCGTCCAAATCGTAGTTATCATCGTCTGCATCAAAATCACTGGCATCGCCTGATTCGTACCAACTAACAATTGCCACAGTGTTAAGGTCCATCGTAACCTTGCTCTCCCGCGACAATCTCCGCCTTTACTTACAAGTTGTCGTCTTCTTCTATTTCTAAAGGTGCTGCAATCATGAAATCCTTTTCTGATTGTGGCATTTTGAATCCAGGAGGGATATCTTTTTTGGAAATCTCGACTTGATCTGTGGAAAAAAAAAGAAAGTGCAAGGAACAGCGTCAGCCCGTGGGTTTGCATTTATCGTCTAGCACGCCATTCTTACTTTTTACTATGCTGTCGTACAATTCACGATCTTTGCGATAGGCGACCTAATAACGACACTTGAGTTAGAAATCATGCTAACCACCAGTATAAAAAAAAAAAAAAAGAATCCCATATTTACCCCCGCATCGACGTTGGCTGGACTTGAGCAGTTGGGATCGGCAAGCAATGAAATAATGGACATCAAAACACCTGCCAAGTAACCGGATGAGACATACTGAAGCATGAACAAATAAGGGATGCAAAAAAAAAGAAAAGATGATACTTACTTTCAACTGACTGATAATACATTGCAGGCAATGATACCTTTTATTAGCCCGACCGAATAAAAATGGTACCTTTTTTGTTACAAGACAAAAGTCTTACCTGTGTTGGATTCCAACGTTCCTAATGCATGACATGAGTATTACCATACCAACAGTCAAAAAGTTCACATGATCTCACTTACTTCCGCCTTTTCTCCGCTGATGGGATCATCCCCTGGAGGATGTAATATGGATATACAAAGTCTACCGTCCAAGTACACTGCGCAAAAGAAAATCATTTAAAAAAACGTTGGTAAAGAAGATGTGCCGATAGAGACTTACCATTTGGATGATAGAAGTCACGATCGAATCTGAATGTGGGAGGATTGAATGGGTAATCTGGGGGAAACGCCATGGTTGCCTATTGATGGAATGAGAAGGAAAAAAAAAGATGAGCTGCATGATTCCAAGGCAATTGCAAGACCTTCTTTTTTTCTCATCGGATATTACTTTGAAATAGCCGCCTTCGTAAATGGTTTTAGGTGATCCAATGATGGCGACATCCCTTGAATTATGCAAAGTGATAATTTTCTTTTAATTTAGTGACATAAATCCTCAGGGCTTGTCTGTTGCTATCAGGGACACTACTACGTACCAGACAAATATATTGTCATCCTTCAAGTCGACAGCAAACCCCGGTACGGGATTCCGCGTTAATTCTATTCGAGACAAAGCAAACCTAGGGTCAATACCGATGGTTGAACAAAAAAAAAAAGACATGACCCGTCACACTGGTTGAATGGTAGTCCCAGTTCAAATGGGTCCAATGCAATGGGGAAAAAAGAGGACCATGGGGTTCCTTTACCTTTGAACTGACGCTGGAGAATATTTGCAGCAGAAGATGCCATGAGGAAAAGGGAATTAGTGAGTGAAGAACAAAACAAAAGTGAATGAGGAGTGAATTTAGAATGCGGAGAAAAGAGAGAGAGAGAGAGAGAGGGAAAAAAAAGAGAGAATAGAGAGAGAAGGCAAGAGAAAAGGGGAGTAGCAGCCGTCCTTTGGGTCCGGTGTGAATGGCCAGTTTGTGACTTGGGTTTTTGTATTTTTCGGATCGACGCTCCGCTTTTGTTCATTTGTTGTATGAACTGAATGGTCGGTTTTTTTGTTGCGAAAAAAAAGGTGGGCTGAGTGGAGTTTTAAACCAATCAATTTCATGCGATGGTGAAATTTAGGCTTTTTCTGAGTTTTTTTTCTTTTCTCTCTTGGTTTTCGCTCTTTTTTTGTTATTTTCTTTTTTTTTCGTTTTTCGATTGTTTTTTATTATTATTTGAAAAGATGATCTCGTCAAGTTCTTCAAATGCCGAACAACCTGTTTATTACATTGATTGTGATCAGTACTATGTCGGTGATGAACCGCCTATATTATCGGTGCGTCGAGATTCAGTCAAGCCGCCTATTGTTATCTTGACGGGAACGCGGACTTCAGCCCCTGTTCCGAGTGTGTAGCCAATGTTTTTTCTTTCTTGTTGTCCTTTTTTGTACACATGGATTTATATGATTCAGAAACAAGACCATACAGACCTCATTGTTCTAATATCCCGCTCCTTCTTTTTTTTTCTTCTTCACAAGCCATCCAGGATGAACGCATGCACCGAGAACACAGTATTATTTTACTAGATCAACGTACACCGGCAGCTGATCGAGCCGGTCTGGATGAACCCGCGGGATCCACAGGTCCAAATCACCATCCTTCTTCCTCCATGCATCCTTTTCCCGGTGGTAGTATGGGAGGCGGGCCAGGCGGCCCAGGACCAGGCGGACCTCGTGGCGGCTTACCAGGTGGTGGTGGACACTATGGTTCGATTCCTCCCATGCCTTGGCCCATGTTTCCACCGATGGGCGATCCGGCAGGCCTACAGATGCAAATGCCGAGGCCAATGCCAACGCCGTGGGTGCCTGGTCACCGACCGGATATGTTGTCTCATGGTCCTCTGCAACCGCCGTTGTTTCCCGGGCAATTATCACATGGTATGAGCCCGGCTGGCATGACCCATCCATTGGGATCGCCTTTCAATCTGAACCCGCATTTACCCTTTGCTTTAAATGAGGCTCCTCCGTTTCATGCTTACCCAACACCTCCTTTTCATCCCGAATATCCATCGCCCTTTTCAGGCTCCCCCGTCTTCCGTCCACGGGAACCTCGCTTGTCAGGATGGCCATCGCCACATCATGAATGGCCCATGCGAGCCTCATCGATGCGATCCAGTCACTCTCCTTCTGTTCACGCTCCTCCTCCTCCGCCTCCACCGCTTGGGTCCATGCGCATGCCATCGTCAGCTTCTTCTCCACGAATGCCTTCCAAGTTACGTCGTTCACTCAGCGATCGTGTCGTCCCAACCCATCGACAGTATGCATCGCCATCCGCGTACCATCCACCTCATGAAAAACCCCGCAGTCGGTCCACACGAAAAAATGTTCGTTTCCTTGGAAACAGACGCGATGATTCCATCACCCTAGGTTACCCCTCCGATTCCGATCGTGAATAACTTATACCATACGAAACATTCATTGCCATGACGAAAAAATAATAATAATATCGACTGCCATTCTGTTACAGCGGCTAGTGTTCTTTTTTTAGGGGAAACTTGTCGTCACTTGCACTACCTTGGCGCTGTATCGAATTACCCAAAAAAGACAATGTTATTACTCTCTACTGAACTATAAAAAACAAGCACAAGTTAGACCCTCCAGGTGGGTCGTTGACCATTATCACAGGAGCCAATTTTGGTTATATGGATATAGAATAAATAATCCAATCCTATATACGGACGGATATCTATTTGTAGTCATTTTTTTGATATTCGTGAAACGATAAAGAGATGGCGACCAGATTTTTAAATAAGTCATGAATTGATGGAGCGATGAATGGTGAATGATACCATTCTTTTTTATTTTATTTGGTAAGGGCTTAAAAGAGGAAGAAGCCGCTTTGGTTGTTTGCAGCAACGAACTTGCAGTGTGGCAGTGTGGAGAAATGGCATGGCCATGTTCCGTCCGCGTTGCATAAAGACAATGTTACACTGAGATTGCCAAGGGAAATGACGCTCAGACGCTCCTTTTTTTTTGTTACCGGATCTTCTTTGGAGCCAGCGTACCACAGTGACTGTGGTCTTGTGCGATCGTCCATCCTACCCACTTGCACCAGAAATCAGGGCTGCGAATGCATACCATCACAAAACAGGGACCAACTGTTCATCCAGTGAAAGTTGCAAGTGTACAGCGTGTGGCCGATCCTGTTTCGAAAAAATAGGTGATGAACAACTGCGGCAATCATTGGTACGAGCTGGCCACCAGGGGCCACCACGTCATGGCGTTATAGTTTTGACCAATGAGACGGCGCGGAGAGTGAAATCCAGTTGTTGGCAAGGTGGTATGTTGAAGGCTATATGAGGTCACCCTTTTTCGGAAAAAGATGGAGAGAAGCCATCGATGAATGTAGATAAGTGCCCAATAAAATGTTGATGATGCTGTGGTTACAGATGGGGAAAAATAACTTGTCTGACCTTTGTTCGTTTTATTCCGTTATTCCCAATTCGCAACCCCAAAAAGGCTGGGGGATTCAAAATTTTTGGATTGGTAAAAAGAAATGGCAGCAATTTTTTTGTTTATTGTTTTTTTTCCTCTGGTTCATTTTCTGTGCACGGAAAGAAAAAGAGAAGCGGCTGTGCATTGACGAAAAGCAACTTCCCTTTGGACGACTAATTCTTTGGTGCTCATTGTCGAATTGACCAGCATCATCTTTTGATCAAACCTTGTTTCTCCACCTTTGAAGCTACTGGTATGTCATGGGGAGTCATGGTGACAGGATAGGAAGGCCAGGGAAGAAAAGGAGGAAGGAAACGGAGACGTGGATCATCAGACGTGGCTGGGCGAGCGATGTCAACGTCATTCACGAAAAAAGTGTCATGTCACGCCCCACGAGACCCCATGTCAATTATGGGTGGATGGTCTCATGGAGTAGCTGTGCGGTGTGGAAAAGAGGGAAAACAGAGAGAAAAAAGAAAAAGGGGTCGCATCAGTCATCTGAACTTTTTTCAAGATTGACCATGCAATCCTGTGGAGGGAGTGAGTGGCAGGTGGCATGGCCTGACATGGAAAAAAAGAGGAGATTGGCAACAGTTAATTGACAGTTGATGACATTGACAGAAGCAGCGGATGGAAGGGCGGGAGGGTAAATCAAGAAAAAGTAAAAAAAAAGCGGAGTGTTGAAAAAGGACCAAAAGAGAAAGAGAAAAGAGAGAGATAGTGAGAGAGGATGATGATAAAAATAGGAAGGGTGGAGCAAAGAAAGGCCAGGCCGGTGTGTGACCATAGTGAGTTCTTAATCTAACGGTCTTGACTCTTTTTTTCTTTTTATGGTGTAGGGAAAAAAAAACGATCAATCGTATCTCGGCTTTTTTCTTTTTCTCTAGCGCGTTCTGATTCCATTCATTTGATTTGAACGAGCCTTTCTTTTCACCGCGCCCTTTCTTCTTCATTTCCTCTTCTTTGGAGAGTCCTTGACGAATGGCGCATCAGCGCGATATGTTCCAACATTACATGTCTTCGTCGGGCTACCAAATGCCTGGCGCAGATCCGTCGTCGTCCCCTCAGCAAGGCATGACCGCCGCGTCCTCGGCAACGCCACCAACAGGACAACCACCATCACAACAGCAGCAGCAACGGCAGCAACAACAGCAACCGCCTCATCCTAATTTTATGGGCATGCAACAGCCCAATTATCCGCCTATAGATCCTGCCTTCTCTATTCCATTATATCATCCACAACAATATCATCCACAGCAACAACAACCCAATCCACAACAACAACAGCAGCAACAACAGCCGCCCAACCCACAGCAACAACGCATGATGCAACAACAACAACAACAACAGTCTTCCCCCATTCAACAGTCTCCTCAACAGATCAATTTCATGACCCAGCAAGCCATGGGATATCCGTCTCCGCATGGTTTCCCGCCGTATTCGCAACCGCCGCCAATGCAATATCCGCAGCAAACCATGATGAGTCCAACGCCAGGAGCAACCCCCATGAACATGCGCAATCCAACCACCCCGACGGGTCATCCCGCCATCATGTCGCCTGGCAATCCCCACATGAACATGATGAACGCCAGTCCCAACCCCAACATGATGGGCCAGCCACCGCCGCCCAACATGATGTACAATATGCAACCTTCCATGATGGCTCATCCCAACATGCAGGCCATGCGACCCATGGCCCCACCTCCGAATGCCCAATTCATCAACACATTTTCTCGATCCAATGGCTATCCCATGACCGCCGAAGCCCAATTCGCCATGCAAGCTGCTTACCGACAACGTTTGCAGCAACAACAGCAACAAATGCAGCAACGGCAAATGTACATGCAGCAATTCCAGCGTCCCATGATGATGATGCAACAGCCTCCGGCGCCACCGCCACCGCAACAGCTCCAACAACAGGCACCTCCTCCGCCCCGACCGAAACGACCCGTTCGTAACGCCAAAAAGAAAAAGGTGTCCTACGACGAATCCTCGGATGAAGAAGATGAAATGGTAAGTTGTTTCCGGTCGTGTGTCGTGATGACCCACCATGGCTAATGAGCCCTTTGTTTGATAGGATTTCTTGGAAGAATCAGAAGGGTCGGAAGACAGCGAATTTGAAGACAGTGATAGCGGACGCAAGTCAAAGCGAAAGGGTAAAAATGCTCAGGTTCATCAGGGAGCCCCTGATGAAGAACCGGTGGTTATTCCCATGGGAACAAAGGTAAAGAGAAAGACGATGAGGTGTAATGACGTGCAATCCGAATCCTTCATTTTCTTACAGATAGTCCATTTGGTTTACAGGTGTTTGAGAAGATTCTCGATTATCGTACCAATGAGGATACCGGTGAAGAAGAACTCCTCATCAAATATAAAGTAAGTTACATTTTACAAGGTAGAATGGCGTTATTCTGTAGGGTCATGGGGTACTGATACACGGTTGGGATTAGAATACAAGTTATCATCATGTGGATTGGGTACCTTTGGAACAGGTTGAAGGAGAACATCTCGGTAAACACCGTGTCAAGAAATTCCTTCAGCGATGGAATCAAGAAGGACAGAAAGGAGAGGATTTCAGAGAATACCTAAAGGTAAAACCGAATACTTGTGTATTATCTACCATCACCTCACACACACGCATGGTTAGATGGATCGCATTATTGATGAAGGCGAGTTGACCGATCCTGCCACTGGCGAAGCCAAGATTTATTACCTTGTCAAGTGGAATGCGCAGTTTTATGATGCCAGTACCTGGGAAAACGAGGATGATGTGGAAGAGGTAAACTAACAACGCGAGACTGGCAAATATGCCGATTTTCTGATGTGCTTTGTTTAGATCGATGAATCGAAAATTGAAGAGTTCCACGATCGTCGCCAAATCTCGCCTCAGAAACTGGCACCTCCCCCTCCTCGTCCTGACTTGTCACGTTTCATGAAATACGATGCATCCCCCAGGTAAAAAACACCAAAAGCTACAGAAAGTGAAAGCTCGTTTGGACTGACACGTTTTATTTTCATGAAACAGCTATCGTTACGGCAATAATCTGCGTTCTTATCAGCTGGAAGGTCTCAATTGGTTGCGGTTCTGCTATTACAGCTACCGATCATGTATTTTGGCCGATGAAATGGGTCTAGGTAACGTACCATCCTCCACATAGACCGTTGGAGAGAAGAAATGATTTCATGGCTCACGCATGTGGCGCGGTTCTTTGTAGGAAAAACGGTACAATCGGTCGCTTTCCTTGTCGATCTATATCATAATTTGGGCGTTCGCGGTCCGTTCTTGGTGGTCGCCCCACTTTCGACTATTCCTCATTGGGAACGCGCTTTCAAAGCATGGACGGATTTGAACGTAGTGGATTTCCGAGGTAGCACGCTAGCTCGTAGCTTGATCGTCGATACCGAGTTTTACTACAAAGATGTGCAAGGCAACACCATCCCAAATCGATACAAGTTTGACGTCCTGATCACGACCTACGAAATGGTGAGTTTTCCTCTTCTTTTGTGGTATGCGTCTGAGCGAATCGAATGACTCATCCTTCTTCTTGTTGCAATTCACTTCATAGGCCTCAGCCAGTGCCACTCTGTTGCGTGAAATCAACTGGAAATGCGCAGTATTTGACGAAGCTCATCGTTTAAAAAACAAGGTAGGATCCGCCCTGTTACTTTTCGGGTTTCCTCCAAAAGGCCACGCTTGCTTACGCTGTATTGAATCTAGCAATCCAAGGTGCTGGAAATCTTGAAGACATTTTATATCGAACATAAGCTTCTGTTGACGGGTGAGTCAGAGATCCGCGGGAAAAAACCCCCATCGGGGCATCCGACTCATCGCATTGTTTTGGTGGTATAGGCACGCCTTTGCAAAACAACTTGGACGAACTGTACAGTTTGCTGAACTTTATGCAACCCGAAGTGTTTTACGACGAACGTTATTTCTTTGCTGAATACGGAAATCTGCAAAGCGCGGCTCAAGTCGAACGGTTGCAACTCCTTTTGAAGCCCATCATGTTGAGACGTTTCAAGGAAGACGTGGAAAAGACGATTCCCGTCAAGGAGGAAACCGTGATTGAAGTAGAATTAACCAATCCACAAAAGAAATGGTACAGAGCCATCTTGGAGAAGAACTTTAGTTTCTTAAAGAAAGCCAAGAGTAAGTAGTAATCTTGGATGCCGAGAAAAAAATATGGTGTCAATTGACTCACTTTTTACCGCAGCCAACAAGGAAATGCCCCATCTTCGCAATATCATGATGCAGCTTCGAAAGTGCTGTATCCATCCCTATTTACTGGAAGGTGCGGAAGAAGTGATTGTATCGGAATGTCACGCCAGATCACCTCAGGAACAGTTCAACTGTCTTGTTCAATCTTCCGGTAAACTGGTAAGTGCTCACCCACCTCATCATAATAAGGCTCATCCACTGACACTGTCACAATTTTCATTTTCATTTTTAATATAAAAGGTGTTGATCGATAAATTGCTCAAGAGGCTTATGCAGGGCAATCACAAAGTTTTGATCTTTTCGCAATTCACCAGGTAAGCCGATCTTTTTTTTTTTTTTTTTTTCATTGCTCATGGTATATTGACAATGAAGCTTTCTGTAGCTGTTTGGATATTCTTGCCGACTATCTTCGGGGACGTGAATATGCTCACGAACGTATCGACGGCAGTGTTCCTGGCGATCAGCGTCAAGCTGCTATTGATCGATTTTCTACTCTGCCCATTGAGGAATCATTTGTCTTTTTATTATGTACACGTGCTGGTGGTGTTGGTATCAATCTGACGGTACGTATTATTCAAAGAATCAGATCAGTGGGTGAAAGAAAAAAAAAAGGTGTCGACGACTAACAACTATTAATTGCTTTTAGGCTGCAGATACGGTCATCATTTTCGACAGTGATTGGAATCCTCAAAATGACTTGCAAGCACAAGCTCGATGCCATCGTATCGGACAAACCAAGCCTGTCCAGGTAAATCATTCCCCTCGTCAGTATAAAAAGAAAGAGACAAAAGCTTACAAAATTGCATCATTCTCGGGCTGTTGATAGATTTATCGCTTGATTTGTGCCAATACGTATGAAAAAGACATGTTTGACCGAGCGGGCATGAAGCTTGGTCTTGACAAGGCCGTGATGTCACGTTCCGGAGGATCTCATGACAATGAAGAAGGCGGCGGTAAACACGAATTGAGTAAGAAGGAGATCGAAGATCTATTGAAGAAAGGTGCTTATGGCGCCATGTTGGATGACGAAGCAAGGTAAGAAGAAAAAACGGCTTCTGAGACACTTGAGAGCAAGTAGGGCATTCATTTATAATTATTTTTTTTTAGTACCAAATTCTGTGAGGAAGATATTGACCAGATTTTGGAACGTCGTACGACGGTCATTCGACATGAAGGCAACGAAAAGGGATCGGTGTTCTCCAAAGCGACGTTCTCGGCTGCGGAAGATGGTCTCGGGGTGGAATTGGATGATCCCGACTTTTGGGAAAAGTGGGCCAAGAAGGCCAACATTGATACGACCGAAGCGCCCGATGAGAATAAACTGATCTTGCTTCAACCTCGACGTCGAAGACAGGTGCATCGATTCGGTAGTCGACCAGCGGATGGATCTTACTCGTCCAACGATAATGCGGATGATTCCGATGCTGCGTACGAAGAAGAACCGGAACGTGTGACTCGACGAAGAGATCAGCAACATCGTTTGTGGAGCTTGTCGGAAAAGACGAAATACGAACGTAAACTCATGATCTACGGTTACGGTTGTTGGGATCAAATGAGCGTCTACTTCCCGCGTCGATCGGAAAAGGACTTGAAAGCCGTGACCCGTGCTTTAATGCGAAGAGTGCTGCCTCAGTTGCATGAAGAAGATCGAAAACTCATTGACGATATTGAAAGTATTCTTGAAACCGATGCAGCTGATGAAGTGGCCGACGAAACCATCCCCTACGCTCACGCTACCAAGAAACAAATTGCCGAATTCAGATCTTTCCTTCATCAAGCGACCGCTGACTATGCTGAACACATTGAACGCAAAGGTAAAAAAAAGAAAAGAGGGATTTCGCATGTTCCCTCTGTTGGATGTGTTTGTGAACGGTTGCCTGATTGCATATCTTTGTTTTTTTGTTCATTATTTAGGACGTAATTTCCTGTTGCGTATTCAAATGCTGCATATCATTCGCGACAAGATTGTACCGAAAGATTGGGAGGAAGCCAAGGAACTGGCGATTCCAAAGGTAACAGGCAATGCTCCTGCGGAATGGTGGGGTGAAGAAGAAGATCGCAGTTTATTGCTGGGTATTTGCAAGCACGGATATCAACAGTAAGTTGAAAAGCATACATGCATTGATCCTGATGAGTGAGCTCATTGCTAAAATTAATTGTAGGTATTTGGCGATGCGTAACGATCCCGAGTTTTCGTTTTACGGTCGAAAGTACGACGACAGCAAAGCCGGACCTTTGGAAGATGAGGATTCGGCGCCGAGTCACGGCAAACAGGACGATGACGATTACAGTGATCGCGAAGCTTCGGATACCGAAGACAAGGTCAAATCCAAGAGCGATGAGGATGAGGAGGATGAGCAGACGTACGTATGGCCGTCCAAGGCGGAAATCGGCATGCGATTACGACGTATCATTGCTGCCTTCCAACGCGAACATGCCAACGACGCAAGGAAACGTAAGAGTCAGGAAAAAGAACAAAAGAAGACCGAACGTCGAACACGGCAACGCACCGGCAAAGAAACTCGATCACAGCGTCAACGCGCCAAAGCGGCAGCTGCAGCAGCGGCAGCAGCAGCCACCGCAGAGGAAGAGGATGCATCAGAAACCATCAAAGATGTGGACATGTCCAATGACGCTGAATCCGCCAAGGAAACCGATGGCATCAAAGAGGAAACCGACGGCACCAAAGAGGTTGACGCATCCAAAGAAGCCACGCCCTCCAACGACGTCGACACATCCTCTGAAACGGCAACTGCTTCAGAAGCAGTAAAAGGAGAGGAGGACGAATCGGCCAAGGTAGACGCCGAGGCAGACAACAAGGAAGACGTCAAGGAGGACGAATCCCAATCCGAAACGGCTAACGACGGGGCAATACAAGCTTCCGAGGAAGCCGTGAAAATGGAAACCGATTCCCCTTTGCAAGAACCTACTCAATCGCAACATAATGAAACGGCGGAAGAGGCGGATGAAGCAGAAAAGGGACAAGAGTCATCCACGAGCGATCAGAAACCATCAGATCGGTAGTGGCAAGCCGTGTGAAACTTGTAGTAGCATGGTTTAAAAAAGAATCAGACAAACATTTATTTGACAAAAATCTCCTTTCCAGACAAATCCGCTCGCTTATAAAACACTCACAAAGAAAGAGCATTGATAACTCCTTCACATTCTATACATAAACACCTCAGAACAGCAAAATATATATTTTATTGATTAAACGAATTCACGTCTTTTTTTCTCTTTTTTTTTTCTCTTGTTTGAATATAATTACTACCATGGTTAAACGCAAGAATCTAGTTCGGATAGACATCAAGAAGAAAATATTATTGTCCAAACTCATGATAACACAGTATTATAGAGACATCGATTGTCATGTCTATGGGGGATCTGTATTATCGTTGCACCATGAAAGGCAGCTCGCTTGCTTGCTGAACAATTCACCACTAAAAGCCGGAGTTTCATTTATGGATGGGATAAAGCGCGCTATTGGCTATGTCGGTGTGCAGCCCAAACTGGGCTCAAGGGTTGCAACTCAAATAGTCTGGTGGGTGGGTTGCTCTTTCTATTTTCTAACCAGAAGAAAAAAAAAAGACAATAACGTCATGGTGGTAGGATAACCTGCGCTTGTTGTATCGTTGAATCAGTACTAATGATGGTCATTATGGGGTTTTCTTTTTTTATTTTTTAGTTGGTTCTTGTTATAGGTGATTTGCATATTCCTCATCGTGTGCACGATTTGCCACTCAAATTCAAAAAGTTATTGGTACGGTAGCTCACACAGAAAAGACTCTCACTAATGTGTCAAATGATATTCCCATTGTTGACCTTGCATTTGTACAGGTGCCCGGAAAGATTCAGCAGATTATTTGCACCGGTAACATTTGCGACAAGGAAACCTATGACTACCTGAGAACGATCGCAGGCGATATCACCGTTGTCAAAGGCGACTTTGACGAGGTAAAGAGAAAACATGTATAAAGCGTATGCGTAAAAGTAGGACTCACTCTGTTTTTTTTTTTCTAAAAAAAAAGAATCCCAACTTTCCTCAGTCCAAAGTGGTGACGATTGGTAATATTCGTGTGGGTGTATTGCATGGACATCAAGTGATTCCTTGGGGTGATCAAGAATCGCTCGATATCACGGCAAGACAAATGGAAGTGGATGTACTTCTTTCAGGACACACACATCAGTTTGAAGCGTTTGAAAATAACGGCCGATTTTTCATTAACCCCGGAAGTGCCACCGGCGCCTACTCTGCATCACCCAGTGTCAGGTAAGAATGAAGGGAATCGAAAGGATGGGACAATAGTGAGGTTTCTCATAAAGGGATCTATGTAGTGAGTCGATACCCTCGTTCGTGTTAATGGACATTCAAGGCAGTGTGGTGGTGACTTATGTCTATAAACTTATTGAGAATGAGGTCAAGGTCGAAAAGCTCGAGTATAAAAAGTCGGCCGAATCCGGCAAAATGCTGTGATAATGTCTAAGATATAAATGTATTATTCTTCGTTTTGATAAAAAAAATACCAATGGGTCATCATTTCATTGGGGTTGTGGTATATTGCCATCAACGATCTCCCCCTTTTTATTTTTTTTTATTTTTTAAAAGGCTGGATCTACATTCTGTATTTCTCGGGTATGTAGCCTTCAAAGGCCGCCACGTCCTCCTCGTCATCTTGCCATTGAGGTTGGCTAACAGGGACAGAAGGACGCGAAGGAGTGTTTGACCCGACGGGATGATCTTCTCTCCACTGATTCTCAGCTTGCTGATCCGCTTCGGTCCACTGCGGTAGCTTGGAAGCCAAATACTCTTGCATAGATATGAGACCGTCTTGGTCCTTGTCCAGTTCTTGCAATGCCCGTTGAATAATGTCCTGAATGTGGTTGGCATCGGGATTCACATCACGCTCCCAACCGTAGATGGCGCGTAACTCGTTGGCGTCAAGGAAACCATTGCCATCGAGATCATGAAGTTTAAAAAAAGTGACAGCATCCGCTATTTCCATGCGATGAGTTTCGCGCATGTGCCTGATCCATCAGTCAGCACTACCAAAAAAAAAACCGTGGGTTGGAATAAACTCGGCAAAGCTTACTTGTCTTCAAAGTTGGCAAAAGGTTGCTGCTGCTGAAGAGCAGAAACGAGACCCAACGAAACGGCCAAAAGTAGCTTGGACTTCATAGTTGGACCAAAGGAGATTGCACTACCAGAAAAGGGTCCAGCTGATTTGGGCTTGCTGAGGGGGGACAAAGCGGAGTTTTGTCTGATCACCAAAACCATCCGCTGCATTGATTGTTTTCTCTGCCATTTCTTTGTTCAGCATTGCATAATCTATGTTCTGCTCTGATGATGTATAATATACAGCATGTGCTACTGCTTAGAACAGTGGTAGTATCAATAGGATGCTCCTATCAAAAACGCAGAGAGGAAATGATGATGCGTCCTATTTTGAATCATTGATGAATTTGTTTTCTCATAGAATATTTCTTCCAGCAACAGCCTGAAAATGGGGTGGGGAGGGGGGGGGGAGAGGGAATGGCTTACTAGCAAATGAGAAAATCATAAATGAATGAGTAACAAGTCATTCAAGCATAATTACTCACTGTGGAATTCATTGATGCAAAAAACGGTTAATGAACAATATCAGCAGTCACTCTGCAGTGGTTTTGCTTTATCCAAAAAGGCCAAAAAAGGGTCCCTTTTTTTTTATTGTGAAGTATACTGCTTTTTTTTTCTTTCATATGTTTGTGTTCGATCCTTTGTCGAGTGCACCCGGCAGACCGTATACCAGAATCGCGCCAAAATTGCCTCACCATTCCATGCCAGGGCCACATAATTTTGTCATGTACTCTATTCCCGTTACACCAACCATTGACAACACGTCGCCAATGTTTCAGTCCGAATCATCTTTACGGTTGCGCCCTCTTTCTCACCGTGCCATGTTGACACCTGTACCTTCCATGGACGTCCCTTCGGATCAGTCATCGAGTTCGTTTGCCACCAGGTCGTCGGTGCCTCTGGCTGCTTCGGTGGCCAGTGGGCATGAAGCGAATGGGTCTGTTACTTTGTACCCAGTGCCTGCTTCTGATCCCGGTAGGCTCAATTAGGCTTTATTCCATTCATTTGTGACTATTAGACGCTAATGCTGTTTCCCAGGCAATGTGCAGGAAGATGGATCGCCACAACCATCGGCCAGATCGCTGACAAACATTGCACACCCTTCAACCCCATCCATAACATCAATTTCCAAAGTCCATCACCTTTCCGATCACGACTCTGCATCCGAATTTTCAAGTGACAACGAAACAGACAGCGACAGTAACAATGACGATCCTATCAGTGACTTGCCGGAACGACCCGAAGAAAAAAAGGAATGGTTGAAAAAATGGGTACGCACACTCACAGAGAGATACACGATATCATCATCCTGACTCACTTTCTTTATACATATTTACGCACAGAAATTCAACGACCCAGAAATTTGCTGCATTTGCTACAAGGACACGTGCGATGATGATAATTGCTTTGTTTACTGCGACGATCCGGCTTGCGAAGTGATTGTGCATCAAAGTAAAAAAGAAAAGAGAAATTGGGAGGGAAAACGACGATCGTTCTGTGGTGTTTAATTCAACCTTATCGCTTTTTTATTTATCATCGCTAGACTGTTATGCGGTTCATCCTTTACCGGCGGACGACGAACCATGGTACTGTCAGCGTTGCAAGGCGAAACGTAATGACGGAATGACACCTGTCGTAAGTGATTGCCCAAAATCCAGGTTCTGTCAGGGATTATTAACATGGCATCATGTCACCTCTTGACGTGGGATGATAGGTATGCGCTCTTTGTCCATTTACGTATGGTGCGTTTTGCAAACTCGAGGAGCCTTTTTGTGGTATGGAATGGGTCCATGTTAGCTGCGCGACGTGGTTGCCTTGTGCGACAATACGAGACCAGAAATCATTAAGTGGCATCACTCTCCATGGCTATCCGGCGGCGAATTGGGACTCGGTAAGTTACGGTTTTCTTCCAACCGATCGGCTTTTTTCCAATAGTGAAGGGTTGGGGTCCTGACTTTATATCTATAGCGGTGCTCTTTATGTGACGATGAAGTGCGAGCACAGTATGGTGCTTGTATCAAGTGCACGTCCATGGATTGCGATACCATGTTTCACGTGACGTGTGGTTTAAGGTATTCGTATATCTGGGTGCTCGCGTTTCCCTATGCCAACGTGATCCGGTGTGGGACGCATGATTGCCGCAAAGAAAAGCCGTTGAAAGGTCGACGGAAACGTATCAGCCCATATGATGTGTGGATTTTACAACGGGACCACTTTTTACAGACGCATGAAGGCGTGAATGATGGCAAAGAATTGTGTCTTACTGCATTTTACGAGGCATTCTCCGAAATTCCCAAGGAAGCGTCGGCGGCGCTTCTGGGGTCCACGTTCCAGGAATTCACGATCACCTTGCAAGATGAGGTTCGGAAACGACGATTGAAAGTGATGGAGGAGTGGCAAGAGGTCATGGAAAGTTTGGTGGTATTTCGACAACGCGTGGCCTCCGGGGAAGAAGACGGGGATCGTAATGCGTTGACGAAGCGCGTGAAAGAACTCCAAAAGCAAATCAAGGCCGTCTACGCCTCTAGACAACTGATGAGTCGGGTGAATATGGATATACGCAAACAGATGCGCGAAATATCGTATCAGATTTTGTTGAAGCAGATCAAACGATCGCCCCTCAAGAGCGTCGCGTTGTCAACCGTGAAGCCCGAAACATCCGATGCCGACTTGGGACTCATTCAAAGCATGGCACAAATCGCCGATTCTCCACCAACGCCCGCTGCACCCATAGAAGAAATTGCCGAAAACACGCAAACGAGTACATCAGCAGGTAAAAAAATTCTTTTTTCTATTTAATTTTATTTCTATTTTTCACTATTCGTTGTTGGGGGAAACATCGCCATGGAATTCACCAAACGTTGGTTAGCATCCGTGTTTAATCCACGAGGGCAATCCCCAATTGAAATTCTTTCTGATGGGCACTCGGAAGCCGACAGTGCCACGTTGCCGGAAAGCGAGCCAACGTACCATGACGCGCAAATGTCACAAACCATTGAACTTGATGACGATGATGATGATGAAACTGCAGCTGTGGTGGTGCCGTCCAAACGCGATGCTTCAGGGTCCTCGCGGCGAAGCGTGTCACCTGACGATCATGCCTCACACGAGTCCAGTTCTCCCTACGCGTCTGCATCGGAATCACAAGATGAATCGTTTGCGCCGAGCCACTCGCATAATCCCGACAAGACTCGGTTGCCAGTCTCGCTACCATCCACATCGGCTTCGGCATCGCCTGCGCCGGCACGTTCTTCCCCGATTTCAAGACTCTTTTCTTCCCCCATTGCCAAATTATTCGTGACAGGTCGATCCCGAACCAAGCCATCCCCAACCCCCATTGTATATCCCACCCTACTCTCCGAATCCACTTCTTCCGAAAAGAGCAATCATGTCAATAGCGTATCTAACGCGTCGATTTTATCGTCAGACAATCACGCTCTTAAGAGCGCAGTACAAGACAAAGTTCCGGCGGCAAAGAAGCGAAAGACAGAGAAACAAGCAATCACCAAAACTACCACTCACAAGAAACAAATGTTGCCCGGACCCCCATCGAAAGAGTCACATCAAGGCCCACCGAAATCAGAGACCAAGATCACCAAGGTTACCTGGCACACGCATGTTTTCAATGGTCCACAGTGGTATAACGATCCCAACCTGGTATGTACAGAGTGTGGCCATCACGAACTGCCGCAAGAAGTGCTTGATCGATTGCATCTGTCACCCGAAGACATGAAGCATATCAGCGAAACGGAGCACATGCGTCCGGCCGGATACACCGGTCGTGGTAAGTTTTGGGATCCGCGCGTATTTATCGAATGTTCCGCTTGTCGTCGCAAGTTACACTGTGGATGTCCCGATCCGCCTATCAAAAACTACCCTTCCAAGTAGGTCTATTGCTTAATTTTATTTCTCGGCAAGGTACTCATCTCCTTGGGGCTTTTTATTTAGAAACGAAGCGTTTGTATGTGTGGATTGTGATCCGACATTGGACGAAGAGGGAGGTGCCAAAGAGGTCGAATCAGAACCCAAAGAACGATTTAGAAGGAGGAAAACCATCAATTACAAAGTCTAGAAAAACTAATTACTCTTCCACAATACTGTGTCTAATTCCTGTGCCATACATGACTTGAAAGTCACAGGCCAAGCAAAATCATTCATCATCTCCCATTAGCTATTGCAAAAATAATACAATATATCCGAACCATTTTTTTTTCTTGGTTCAGCAGCAACATCCTATCAGCAAATTAAATTTGGATCGAGTATACTGAGATCCCGACCACTGGGCCATGGTGGTGTGGTCTTGCAAATGAATGGCGTCTCCATGTACGTAACTCGCTATGGACAACGAGACTTTGCAAATGTGTATCACGGCGTTGGGAGTTGCGGCTTACTTTATGTTACATGATGTAAATATGCGAAGAAATAGCTTGTCGATTTGGTAAGAAAAATACTGATTTTGCTTGGGTACACGGCATGAAGTGCGTGTTGCGCCAAGATCAGATAGCCAAAAAATGTTATAATGTAGTAAAACGATGGGTGTGTGTTTCTTTTGGGATCTACCTTTTGTGATACAGCCAAGACAGGCTTTTTTTTTGTGTTCTGCCAATCATCGTTTTCATGCCATGTCGCCGAAAACGCCGGTCCAAAAAAGGTCAAGAAAAAAAAATCCGGGGAACATCACACATGCGTTACCGTCAAGTATGGTTATAACCTCATTCTAAAGAAGTTTCCATCCAAAGGCCAGCCATTTTAGTACGCGTTTTATTTTTAGATTTTCTCTGTTGCAACAACAACAACAACACTTGAATTCACACCGATTCCATCGCTCGACGTGCGCGCAAAGTCTTTTGTTAGTGATTCTCATGCATCAAAAAGGTTTTTTTACTGATGGACCATGCGCGAAGGTATGCTGATAAAGACAGTGTCTGAACGGGTGGCCCCAAAGTCAGTTAATCAAAAAAAAAAGTCATATGACTTGAGCTGCTTATGATGATTGAGAGTTTTTCATGCAATTTATCAGATCGGCATATCATTGGTGATGAAGTATTGCATCATTTCTTTATTGCCGTTGTTTTAATGGAAAACATGCTAGCTATTATCACTGTGCATAACCGGCTTGGCAGTGACGATGACCCCCTGTCAATTTGACGCCAAAAAATTCAATGGCATCCGCTTCATTGTCCGCCCTAGCATTGATAACATCACCAAACGGTTTCCCCACTTCCTTTTTTTTTTCTCAGGCATCACAAGCTGGTTCTGGTAAAGATGAACTTTCCAGTGGTACAATTGGGTCGACGGCTGTTTAGAAAAGCAATTCATCGGACACTAAACCTGTTTATTTTCCCAACATCTTGTCTTGTTTTCATTGGATCACAACGATTCTATCAATATTTGCCTAAATGGCTACATCAATTTCTTTTATTTTGACGAAAAAAAAAAAAAAAAAGCCAAACATTCAATTTCAGCCATTCGGAAGTTTACAATGTTTTTGGGTATTTGTACACAGTTTTGGTGGAGGGTGGTCGTGCGCGTGTGATTTTTATGTATATTGTGTGTGTTCGAACATGGATGAAAGTGGGGGGCGATATGCGTGTGTGGAAAAAGTGCGTGCGTGAATGTATACAGTGGAAAAAAAAAAAAGACAATCAAAAAGGGAGAAAATTAATTGGGCGTGATCAAAGGTAGACTGTGAATTGGTGTGTATAGAGTTAAAAAACGAAATAGAATGATGAGGTGAGAGTAGGGGAAATTGCCCAATTCGGGATAAAGAGGATGATAATGACATTGGATTTCAAAGAGGGGCATCAGAAGGGAAAAGTACACACAATAGAATACGTTTTTTTTTTCTGGGTCTTTTGCTTTTTTCCTTTTTTTTTTTTTTTTTTTTTTTTTTACAGTCAAATGCTTTGATGACCGGCACTGTAGTAGGTGTGATAGTACTGATTCCAACCGTGAATGCCTCCACCTTCTTCACCACCGGACATGCTGGGTGTACCGGCTACGGGGGCAGGAGGTCGCATGGTGTGCATATCGTAAGTTCCAGTGATCGGTTGAAACCATCCGTTGTTTCGATATCCAGGAGCGTAGTAATTTAAAGGAGGAGGCGCCGTGGGTTCGGATGTGTGATTTGGCCGATCTTTGCCCCACGATAGTTTGACAGCCTTGCCACCGATATTGAAACCCTGCAGTGCGAAAATAGCCGTTGCCGCATTCGCGTGTGTATCCAGTTTCACAAAGGCAACACCTTTATCGTTCTGTAATCGAATGTCGGACACGAAACCGTATTGTTGAAAGTAGGGAGCGATATCTTGGGCTGTAAAAAAAAAATCAAAAAAAAAAGTTTACATTTAGTTCCGAGGTTCGGCTGGTGTCACCCATCTGGCTACTTACGTGTGATTTCTTGCGGAAGATTACCAATGAAGATGGTGGTATTGTAAGGAGGAGTCTGTGCAAAGATGTCTTCATACGACATATTGGCCGATGCAACTAATGGAAAAAAAAACGTCTTAGTTACCAAATCCAAAGAATCGCATGCCCGTGGGGTTGCGTGACATCAAATCAAAAAAATTTACCTTGCATTTTTTCGGTCTTGGTGATGTGAGCAGCGGATGTGGTGGTGGAAACGCTGGGACTGACGTTCTTTTGATTTGCCCAGTTGCATTTGACAGCGCCGGAACCCAAGTATTCGCCATCCATGATATCCATGGCTTCTTCGGCTTCGGCTTTATCACGGAAAGCCACGTAACCAAAACCTCTTGATTTTCCAGTGGTTTGATCCCACATCACTCGTGCGTCACTAAAAGGGCGAAAAAAACGTGTGTGTGAATATTTTTTTGTGTATGCATGGTGCACAAGCTAGTCGTTGTTCATGCTCTTCAACGAAATAAGATACGTACGACATGCTTGGAAATGGAGCAAATGCTTTGCTCAGTTCTTCGTCATTGACATCTGGACTCAAATCGCCTACGAGGATACGGTAATGCCGACTGGTATCTTCTTTTTGAGCAGTGGGGGTTGTGGAACCCTGGGTTTCCCATTTTACACTGATTTCCTGTTTCATGATCGTTTGTGTTAGATTAACCCAAAAATAAGCTTGAAACTCAGCCATTTACCTGACCAAAAATGATTCTTCCACCCATCGCATGGAGGGCCTGTTCCGCACCTTGATGTTCGCAAAACTCGACCAGTCCATAATTCAGGTCATCTTCGGAAGCCTAAAAGGGAGCCAGTAAAAAAAAGGGAAAAGGAAAAAAAAGGTACCATCAGTTCACTGTTTCAGGTCAAATTAACACTCCACAACTCCACACTCCGAACAATGTCAGCTCATTAGTGCCAAGGTAAATGGGAAATGGGGCGGACGAAACGAAAGAGAGGAAAAAATATGTAATAAAAAAAAAATCTAATCTAATCACCCACTTGATTGGCCAATGGATCGTTTCCAAACAATGACCAAAACAACATGATGTGTGTGACCAAGACTAGCATAAAGAAGATCAAGAATCCAAGAGCCCCCACCCCCAAAAATAAACAAAAAGCATACACCAAAAGTAGGATGGGGAATAATCCTTGGCATGGCAACACTTGGCATGATCCACAGAAAAACTGTTAAAAAAATCTCCTTCCATCAAGGTCCCCCCTATTTTGGTGCCCTCGACTCTCATGGTTTCTCCCCCAATTTCACTCCGTATCACAGCACACTGCTTACTGCAATTCACCAAAACCCCCCATTCTCCTTTTACCTCCTTGTTTTTTTTCTGCGCTGCACATTTGTAGAATAAAAAAGCATGTAAAGATAGAAAAAAAATGTGGATAAAAGAAAAACCCAAAGGATCGACTGCATAAAAGGGAAAAAAAAGGGAATCCCTTCACCCATCAAACAAAATGGTGAAAGCGCAGCAATAAGAAAAAAAAAAGAGAAGAGGAAAAAAAAATCCACCAGAGCTCAGCAGAGAGACAATGTAGAAAAAATATAGTCCACTGTACTGCAAGTTTCCCAAAAAAGAGAAGAGGTAGAAAGCTTACTTTGGGATCTTTGACAATTTTAACGTGATCGACTGGTGAAATCATGGAGAAGATTTGTTCCAACATGGTGTCGGTGACTCGAGCGTCGAGATGTCCGACGTATAGGGTTTTGCAACCTTCGTTAAATATTTGTACCATAATAATAAGACAAGAAAAAGAGATATTGGTTTGTAAAGAGAATGTATGTAATAGAGTGTGTGTGTGTCTGTGGAGAAGGGGTTAAAGGAAATAACAATGATGAAAAAAACCACCTAGCGGCAAAAGTTTGAACATTTTATATTCTGCACGTCGGTCCCTTCCAAAAAAGGGTTTGTGTGCGTCATTGTTCTAGTTCCATAATTGGACACCACCCAATGTCAGAGCTTGAATTTTTGCCGAGTCACATTATTCAGCACCCTCATTGCGAGTTTAAAAAATTTGCGGTCACGAGGGTGTTTACCCGTTTTTTCAACGTCATTGGACGGTTAGAAGCAAACTTGCAGCGGCACACAGTTTACGTCGTTACTGTTTCTTTACACTATAAGGAAAGCCGCTTTTCTATGTTCAGAGCCTGGAAAGCAACCCATGCCATAATCAGGCCACGAGCCTCTTCCGCCATTGCGCATCAATCCATCAATAAACCATGGCTCATGTTGGAAGGTAACAAAATGAGTTGCTTCTACAATAGAGTTTTCCCGGCATCGTATGACCTGACTTTTTTTTTTTTTTTTTTTTTTTTTGGGTCAATTGTTCAGCCAAGCATATGCCTTTGACACAAAGGGCGCTAAGCACCGCTGTGCCGAATTCACCCAACTTTAGTCGTGTGAATCCTTCCTTGGATGTACTGACCTCGAAACATGCCGTTTACGAAGCTTTGGATGCATTCAAAGGAACCAACAATGCTCGATTAGCCGTCAATCTTGTCAAGAAAGCCCAGGAACAGCAGTTGACCACACCGGAAACGTATCATAAATTATTGCAAGTAGTGAATTCGCCCGATTTGGATGTAGATGCAAGTGCGACGGTGGCGCGATGGTTCTACGATACCAAAACATCCCCGCTGCCGACGGACATACGCCATAATTTGGATGTGTGGAAAGATTTATTCAAATTAGGATTCCGTTTGAGTTCGATGCACCGACGGGAGGATTTGCAGGCATTGGTGACCTCATTTTTGTCAACGTTTGAAATGACCCTCGTCACCGATCAGTTGGCATGGGAATTGCTGTTCAGGGTAAAGTGGAGAAAAACAAAAATTTCTGCATCATGCTGTGAAAAAAGAGTAGAAAAAGAAAAAAGGAAAAAAAAATTGGGGGAAGGGGAGGGGCTTGGTTTTTTTTTTATCTTATCTTGGTTTGTGTAAGCTAATAGTTTTCTTTGTTTTTGGTGGTTTATTTTTATAGTCGTATGGAATTCTGCATCAGGCGCATAATCTTGATATGTGGATGGACAAAATCATGCATCATCAGTTCCTGACCGATTCACTTGATATGACGTCGTTGAAAAGGAGTGCCATTCTCGCTTACGCGGCTTGCGGATCCACTTCCAAGGGGGAAACCCTTATGGACAGTCTCGAGCAAACGACGACGGCCTTACCACAGGAATTCTGGGAAAAGCTCATTGAAAATTGTGCCTATCGCGGTGACATCCGTACGACGAGCAAGTATATTCGTCAATGCCAACAATTGTTCCCTGATTACAAGCAAGACACCATGCCGATGATGGCGCACAAAGTCGCTTTGGAACAGTTGCATAATTCACTGGCCAAATCACGCGGGGTTCGGGGGTTGCCTCTAAAGACAGGCCACAATCCCCGTTTGGATGCATTGCATGAATCGTGGGCGGCCTTGACCGAGAATAGACAGCATTGGGATGTCGTCCAATGCACCATTGCCGTGGATTATTTGAGACTGGCCAACCGTATTGATCCTCAAAACTTCCCCATGTCCAAAGCACGCGACATTATCGACAAGTTCATGCCTGCTCACGGCCTTAAACCGGACGCTTGGATTTACGAGACCCTATTACGTGGATACGCCACCACGCGTGAGTACTCGTCCAACCACAACGAACGATTGGAGAAATCGCTGCAAGTGATGGACGAGATGCAAAAGCACGGATACGATATCAGCACGCAAAACATCTTCCATCTATTGTTCCTGGCTTGTATCCCTCACCGGTATAACCGCTATCCCTTTGACTATTTCCTGTTGGCGTCGATGTTACCACCTTCGCCCGCTCACCTTCCCTTGGATCCTCGACTATTCGAAATCGAAAAGATCATGCTCAAAGCGCAAATTCGTCACACACGCATGTCCATCAAGACGTTGTTGACGTGTCTCGGGGCCTCGGGTCAATACAAAGCCATGTGGAATCGATGGCGACTGATCAAATTGTCGGGTATGCGTCGTGATTTGGAATTGTATCGTCACGTTTTTGCTTTGGCTTCCCTGGACAGTCAGCAAGCCAACTACGCGTTGGCCGTGATCAAGAACGAGCTGGCTCGTGAACATCGCAAAGAAAAAATCACATGGAATACGTATTGTGCCATGCTCGATTGTGCGGTGGCCGCTCAACTGCCGTCGGAAGCCAAGCAGATTATGACGGCGATGCGCGAACCGGGACTGGTTCGACGTTACGACCAGCGACCGAAATTGGACACAGCTGAATACTACCTACCGTTGGTACGTGCGTGCAGCGCCATTGAAGGGTTGCAGTCGGACGCTGGCAAGTTGTTGGATGAAATGAAGCAGAAGCAAGTACCTTACAATCAAGGCATCTGGGTGTGTGTGATGACGCATGCTGCGGTGAACAAGGCCGACCGAGAGGAGATTCAGACCATCTTTAACCGATACACCATGGAACGGTTTGAACGTTCAGGCAAAATTCCTATTCCTGTACGTGAATTATCTCCCGTGGTACCGTTCCCGTCGGCTCCTTACAACACTGGCGACGTTCAAATGATGAATATGTACATGGGATCTTTGCTGGATTCACAGGACGTGTCTTTAATATTAGACGTACTGGAGGTGATCAAGGAACAAGCTCCTGATCTGAAATTATCGCCCGTCATTGTCCAAGGTGTCCTGGATTTGGCCCGACGGGAAAAGAGCCCTGTCAATCTTGACTGGTTAACCAAATCCAACCATGTAGCATAAATTTATCAATCCCAAAAACAGAATGTCGCTCTTTTTTTTTTTCTTTTTCTTTGTAATTTTTCTTTCTTTCTTCTTTTTATTCCACTTGCACTCTTTTTCTTGATACAATAATACATTGGCACACTGACTGTTACTTTTTCACAATGCTTCGGAAAATGACGTGTTCCCGATCTTATCGGAGACTTTTCTATGGGCCAATAAACAGCGTTTGCACGTGAAGCCGACGAATGCGGAAGAATTCAGGAATTGGCCAAACCGAATGGAGTCTCCCACGCGGGAAAATCAAGATAGATACAACAAGTGATAAGATGGGAAACATGGGTATGTGTACATATCAATGCATGGTTACTGTCGTACAAAAACGATGGATACTTCAGCTTATTACCAACCAACTGATTGAATCTAGAGCTAAAGCAGCTTCTTGAACCCGACCATAGGAATGCTCAGTGAACCGCAAAGCGACTAGGTATGCTCTCTGCAATACAATTTAATAGTTTTAAATTTTTTTTTTTTTTTGCTCTCCGGGTTCTTCCTGCAAAAGCCATGCTCGAATGGATGAGTAAGTCGAGGTGACTGCTCATCCTTGCCTTTTCAAACCCCCAAAAAGCGACCGTTCCCAGTTTTCTACCACTTTCTTTTTATTTTTTTTATTCCTTACTCTTCTTGCCAGCATAAACGTTTACGTTTTTTTTTAATCATGTCAAATCCCGTGGAAGAAGGAAAGCGTTTGGCGGCCTACCGAGCTGTAGATGAATACATCAAGCCCGAACATAAAGTGATCGGTATTGGCTCAGGTTCAACTGTGGTCTATGTTGTTCAGCGTATCCTGGAACGACCCGAATTGAAGCATCTTGTATATATTCCTACGAGTTTCCAAAGTAAATTGCTCATTATCGAAGGCGGTTTGACGCTGGGAAGTGTGGAACAGTAGGTTTCTTTTTTTTTGTATCTCCATTTACACAGACGTCGCCAAAAAAAAAATCAAATCCATTGACTTCTCTTTTTGACAGATATCCTGTCATTGATGTGACGATTGACGGTGCGGATGAAGTCGATAGTCAACTCAACGCTATCAAGGGCGGCGGAGCCTGCCAATTTCAAGAAAAGGTGGTTGCCGAAGCCGCCAAGAAATTTGTCATTGTCGCTGGTAACGTGCGCGCAAGGGTCGGGACCGGGAACAACGGGCAAGACTAAAAAGGAGCAAAAGAGAAGAGAAGAGAGAGACAAAAGAGAGCGTATGCTGAAACTCGTTATTTTCACAGACTACCGTAAAAAGTCAAAGATCCTCGGCACCCAGGTGAGTTTGAATGTTAAAAGCTTATTGAAGCATCGTGGCGGTGGGCCCTTCAAAGAAGAAAAAAAAATTCGAAGAGACGACGAAACTGCGACGACAGTGATATTGACGTTGTTATGTCTGTGTAGTGGTTGAAGGGAGTACCTATTGAAGTGGTGCCTTTGACGTATCAATCGGTGATCAACTCGTTATTGAACAAACTGTCACTGCAACCACAAGAAGTGGCCTTGCGTATGGCCGTGAACAAGGCTGGCCCCGTGGTAACGGATAACGGTAACTTTGTCATTGATGCTCATTTCGGACCCATTGAAGATCCTGCTTCTCTGTTGAAGGAAATCAAACTGTTGACTGGTGTCTACGAAGTGGGCTTATTCTGTAACATGGCTGAAGTGGCTTTCTTTGGTGAAGCCGACGGCAGTGTGGATGTTTTGAAAGCATAACTCCTTTAAAAGAAACCTCGACTTGGTTACAAAAAGAAAGGTTTTTTTTCCCCTCTTCTCATTCATGTGTCCCCCACGACTTCTTTTTTTTTTTTTTTTCATCAGATATAAAAAAAAAGGCTGCATTTCTAAAAAAAATTCATCCCAGCGCGAATTTTTTTTTTCTCGTTCGCGTAACGTCTCATTTTGTAAAAATAAAAAAAAAAAGTAAGAAAAAAAATCACGCTTTTAAATTTAACGCTCCGCACGAAACGCGCTAGTTTTTTCCTGCCGGACACGCCCAATGCCCAAATTTTATCTTTTTTTTTTTGCACACGAGGGAAGAAAAAAAAATTTTATGAGGTTGAAAAAAAAAAGAGAATTAAAAAAAAGACTGTACAAGAAATGAGAAGATCAACCTTTCTCTTTGTCGATAAACAGAATAGAAGAGAGAGAGAAAAGGAAATAAAAGGAAAGAAAGAACGCAATGAAAACGACTATATACGGATATGTTTATGCCTTGGTGGTGCGCTTCTTAGGGGCAGCCTTCTTGGGGGCGGCCTTCTTTGGTGCTTTCACGCCAGCCTTTTCTGTGACTGATTTCTTGGTGGGGGAAGCACGCTTGGTGGGAGCGGCGCGTTTGGTCGGAGGCTTTCTGGGGGTGGTCGATTTCTTGGTGGTGGAAGCAGTTGTATCGGCCTTCTTGGCTTTGGTGGCTGCTGCAGGCTTCTTTGCAGGTGCTTTCTTGGTAGCGGTGGAGGTAGCCTTCTTAGCGGGAGCGGCCTTTTTGGTGGTAGTGGTGGTGGTAGCCTTCTTTGTGGATGCGGCCTTCTTGGGAGCAGCAGCCTTCTTGGCGGTAGGCTTCTTGGCCTTGGGAGCTGCGGTGCTCTTCTTAGTGGCATCCTTTTCAGCCGCGGATTTCTTTTCAGGCTTGACCAATTTCACACTGCCAGAAACACCTAAATTTCACCATGTCATCATTGCATTAGATAAGCAAATAATCAAAATCAAATAAAAAAGACACCAGAAAAAAAATTTCAAAGGATCGGAAAATCCAGCGCGCGCGTCCATGGCCAATGCCATTATTTTTTTTCTCCGCTTTGTCCTTTTTTTTCTGCTGCCAGCGCTCTTTTTTTTTTCCTCCAGCGATCAAGGTCCAAAAAAAAAGAAAAAAAAATTGAAGTGAAATTTTTTACCTTTGGGCAAAGCAAAGATTTCTTTGGCGGCACCGCGTTTGATGGCAGCAGCGATTTGAGTGTCAAAGTGAGCACCGGCGTTGACGTTGTAGTTGGCCAAGATGTACTTTTTGATAGCGGGTCTGGAGCTACCCTTGCGTTCCTTGAGAGCGAGAATGGCAGCTGAAACGAGAAAGAAAAAAAAGACAAGGTGAGTAACAATGATATCATCATTAGGCGCGTAAGAAAAAAAAAACCGGACGCGCCCATGATCTTTCCATCACAAGTTCCTTTTTTTTTTTCTTCCGGTCTCTGCTTTCAAGCTCGTTCTGATTGAATAGAAAATGAATGGTGGGAATAGTTTACCTTTGATCATAGCCTCGTACTAGGGAAAGTCAAGAAAAAAAAAGGAAACACGACAAAGGTATAAAAGCGTATGAATGAGTGAGTGTGACAAATTGAAGCTTGGGTTGGGTGGTGAAAAAAAAGCACTTACGGTAGGATGATCGGCCTTCTTGGCAGAAGAGGTAGTCTTGGATTTGGTGGTGGTGGCCATAATAATAAACAATGAGAACAAATGTATTTGTTTGTGCAGAGAAAAGAAAAAAAAAAGAAGAAGAAAAGAGAAATCTGCGATCTGTAAAATGGGCACGCATTTTATAAGGCACATTTTTTTAAATTGATTTTTTTTTTTTGGAGGAATGGGGGAATTCAAATGAATCGACCAATCAGAACGCGCGCTTGACCGAAAAACTTGCATCCGATGTTTTTGAATCTTTTCTTGCCTTTTCATGAGGTCACGATCGACGTGAATTGTTTCTTCTTTTCCGGCCACATGAGCCCCTAAATAAAAAAAGGTTGAAATGATGGGATTTGAAAAGTGTCTCCTCGTTCAAAATGGGTCTCAAAAAGAATGGAAAGCCCTGGTTTTGAATGGGATATGATTTTTTTTCTCCCAAGATAACCCCAAACCAGGATTTTCTCCGCAACACTTTTTTTTTCCTTGTGTGTTTGAATGGGCTCCCTCTTCGTCCAGGGCTCCTTTGACTTGTGAAAAAAAAATTAAGATTTTCTTTATTATCCAAAAGTCCACCAATCCCAACTAGATACAGAAAGCGAATTATCAGGGGTGGGTAAAGGGGATGCTTTATTTTCTAGTTTGACGGTGTCATCGTTTTGTTATCTCTTCTGCTTTCTTATTTTTTTCCTCTTTTTCTTTTTCCACTAAAGCCTTATCCTTGGTTGCTCCATGCCTGCATTTGTCCGAGAGTAAGTGAAGTCAATCAATAAAAAAAAACCCCCCACTTACCATGACCGGCAACGGTAAAGCACACCATTTTTCGTTCTAATTGGAACCTGTGTATCATAGATACAAGCTCGTTGTCGTAGGCGGTGGTGGTAAGTTGCCCCCACTCCTCCTCACGTCAGATAGAGAAAGACTAACAAACTAACGAGTACTTCTTGTCACTTTGTTCAGGTGTGGGTAAATCGGCATTGACCTCACAATTTGTACAATCGCAATTCGTTCAAGAGTACGATCCAACCATTGAAGGTATGGATATTTTCGGTCTTTCGCCCTTACTGATTTCCAATCCATTTTCAGAAAGTTCAAAGAAGAATATAACGTTGGCATTTTTTCCCTTTAGATTCTTATCGGAAACAGTGTATCATTGATGATGAATCGGCTCTGCTAGATGTATTAGATACGGCTGGACAAGAAGAATACAGGTACGACAACGAACCTTGACAGCAGCAATGGTTCACAATAATGGTGATGATGATGACGAGGACAACATGTATCAGCCAAATAAAAAAGAAACAAAAAAAAGGAAAATGAGTAACGTTAAATAACCTCCATCATAATAGTGCGATGCGAGAACAGTACATGAAAAATGGTGAAGGGTTTTTATTGGTTTATTCCATCACCTCCCGTGTTTCATTCGAGGAAATTCGAGAATACCATCAACAAATCCAACGCGTCAAAGATCGTCGTTCTTTTCCCATGGTATTGGTCGCCAATAAATCCGATCTGGAATCTGAACGTCAATTATCTTCTCAAGGTACGAGTTTGTTCTTTTTTTTTTTTTTCGCTGTAATGTTTTTTTTTCATGTTCGTCTTTTCTTTTTTTTTTCAGAGGGACGGGATCTTGCTCAGTTATTTGGGTGTCCTTGGATTGAAACATCGGCCAAGCAACGATACAACGTGGATGAAGCTTTTTATCAGGTGGTACGCGACATTCGAGAACACAATCGACAGCAGCAAACAATGGAAACCGCCCAACGGTTAGCGCAACAGAACAATCTTGTGGAAAAGGACGTGGTGAAAGAAGGCTATTGTACGTCACGAAATTGTTGCTTACTCATGTGACAAGATTTGACATGGACTACGGTAAAAAATCTTTGCTCTCTCTATTTTTGGCTTAAGTAGAATCGGATGCTGATCGATCTTTTTCTCTTTTTTACACAATGCTGCATGACCGCAGATTGAATGTATCCAATCCAAGATAGTTCTATACATCTGCCATGATCATCGGTCATAACCGCAGCAACCCAAGTAACCTCATCCTACACATACTACCCATACCCATCCATACCCAACTTCAACCCCCCCCCCACTTTGCATACAACAGCACGCATTCATGCATCTTTTTTTTAAAAGAAAAAAACACAAAACAAAATGAATCATTTATTTATCCATACATTATGCTTTGGAAACAAAAAATATTGGTTCATTGAGATCCTTTGAAACTCATGGCTTCCCACTCGTAAAAAGAAAACATAATTTATTGGGCACCATCATCATTATGAAGACATCTTGACATCATGAAATTTCTCTTGTTCTTTTAATTCAAAGGCATTTTGAATTCTTCGCATTTGACAACTGGTGCATGACGTAATCGCGAATGAAAAAAAAAAAGACAAGAAAGAGGGGCATTGTTTTTTTTTATTCGTTGTCGGCAGAGATGTTTATGCGTAATTTACAATGTTGAGGATTTTTTGCAAGGTGACCAATTACCGTGGTCAGCAATTATGTTTTTTACACATTGGTATCACGGGCGCAGTTTTGTTATGATGCTTGGCATTCGAAAATTCTCCTCACTTGTCAGATCAAACAAAACATACTCGATTAAAAAAAAACAAGTACAAGTTCATAAAACATTGCTACTGTTGAGGAGTCAAAAACTAAAAAATAAAATAAAAGCATTATCAAAATAAAAAACGGACCAAGAACCATAAAGACGCCCAGGAGAAAGAAAGTACTAAGAGAACGTAAAACGATATTGAGCCAACCGGTATAATACAATAAAATATAAAGAGCGAAGAAAAAAAAAGAGGATAATTCAAATAAGCATTTCGCGTTGTTCGCGTTGTCGTTGTTGTCGTGCTCGTTCGATTTGAATGGATCGAGCATCGGTGAGATGGGCCGTAACACCCCGCCCTGGTAGTGTAATAAACTTGGGCATCGGACGATATTCAAGGTCCAACGAAATATTGATCGCTAAAAAGAGTTAGTCTCCACCGGTGTTACAGGATGCCTCACCGAAGCTATCCGAAATGAAAATGCTAACCTGCTTGCAAATGTTCAACCCATGAAATCATCTCCACTCCCGTATTCAGTCGTAACAATAACTGAGGTCCGTGAGCCGTGATTAGTCGTAACGAGTTTGGCCGCTTGGTGTAATCGTACGCTCGAATCGCTTCCGCCCCAGCCAAAGAAATCGTCATTAATGGAGTATAGTAATAACGATTCCATCGGAAATGGAATGGAAATCGGGAAGACAAACGTCGGTTGTTGTTGGCTTCATTAGGAGCTGTCCGATAGATCCGCAGGATCGTCCCCCAAAGTTCCACATAAAGTTTTCTAATTAAAAAATACAATCAACTGTTAGCTACCTGGCCTTGAAAAATAAATAAACGTAATGTGTTTTTCATATTTTGGTTTCGCGTTGAAAGGCGGGGGGGGGCGAAAGGAAAGGCAGGGAAGGGGAATAGAATAAAAAGAGAATAAAAAAGAAAAGTAAACAGTGAAGCAAAAATGCTTCATTGAACTGCTTATTGTAATGTGATCATCATCACAGCTAAAAGAATAGGAAAAAAAAAAGGATGATGCAACTTGTAATCAAAGGTAGTAAATTTTTTTTTAAAGTTCGAATGTTGAAAAAGAATCCTCTGGTTGGAATAAAAAAGAAAAAAAAAAGCATGACACATACCTCCAACGACGCCATCGAGTTTTGAGTCCGGGAGAGTCCATCTCCCGTTTGATATACACATGACCCATTTTATACACTGTACATTGATAAGGGGGAAGTTCCTCCCGACCTTCTTCTTCTCGCGGCAAAATACAGGAACGACATTTTTCCCAACGCTTAATGAGCGCCATTTCGTGATAGTCAGGTGGTTCCGGCGCGGCATAACTGACGGGTCGAGCACGAAGTGGGATGGTTGTATTTGGATTAGTGGCGGGGGTCACGGTTGTGGCTGTGGCCATGGAATTGCGATGGCTTGCTAGTTCACTCTGATCATTCTCATCATCGTCATGAAGAGAATCCATCATAATATGAATTGGCATCGACAATGGTCGGGGTATCCGTAGATTCAACTTCCGAGGCCGAGGGATCACGGTCCCAGGTTTACCGATCCGTGACAGTAACGTACCTTGTTGTTGTTGTTGCTGCTGCGGTGGGAGTGGCGGGGGTGATTGCTGCTGCTGTTGTGTTTGTTGTTGTTGTTGCTGTTGTTGTGTCAGTGGAGCCGGGGAGGGTGAAAGGTAAGGTGGAGGGTTTTCAGAAGACATATCCAGCATGCCTCCCTCTTCGCCTTCTTCGGCGACTGTAGTCATCATAATCATGGGTTTACTACTGACAGTTGTCATAACGGTAGCCGCACTAGCAGTATTCTCAGAAGGAATAGAAAGAACAGGACTAGAACAAGGTTTGGATTTCGACTCGCTACTGACAATGTCGTCAGATGGCAAATCAAACGATACCATCGATTGCCGATTCGCTTTCGGTTCGGTAGTCACTGTTACCGGTTGCGTTACTACCGGCGATGTGGATGACGCCATGTATCGATCAAAGGCATCAATGGCTCGACAGACGGCTTGTCGGTGGGCTTCTTCATCCATGCACCAATCAATATCCGAGGGAGTGACATCGCTGGGGGTACTGAGGGTGGAAGGGCATGTTGAAGAAGACGGCCTTGAGTTACTGGGACTACTATCGATGACGGAATAGTAAGAGGAACTGGAGGAAGAAATGAACGAGGAAATAAAGTGATCGTATCCATTCTGGGCGAGGTGAGTACGTAATGATTGAACACAAAGAGAAAGTCGATCACATTCACGAGGTTCGCGTATCCCAATATTGGCAAAATCTTGCGGTTCTGTCATTCGTAAGAATTTGTTCATATCCATTTCAGCACCTTGAAAGAAACCGATACAATGCTCCAACGATAAATAGAGCAAAAGAACACAAGGGAGCTGATGAAGAACTTTTTTCATATATATATAAAACCATGGTTAGTTAGGGGGTAAAGCAGAAAGTACGATGATTAGGATTGATAAATTAAAGGCATCTTCGTTGCCGCAGATTTGCCAACGATAGATGATGAATAATATGAAAGAGCGCTTTTTTCTTTACCTTCGGATCGGGCCATCATGGTAAGACAAATGAAAAGAAAAGGACATGAGTCACTCCACGATGTACAAGAACAAAGACAAGAAGAAAACCAAAATAATAAAGAGAAAGCAACGGAAAGAGAAAAAAGAAGAGTGGAAAATTATAACCGAAAAAAAAAGATAGAATCCTTTTTTTGGCAACAACGTCAACCGGATTGTCTCTAATCGTAGTTTGCTTGTGTACTGTCTGTCTCTCTGTAATTTTTTTATACAGCCGCGTGACACATATGATTTTTTTTTTTTTTTTTTTTTTTGAAAGCATACGCATGTCACACATCGCAGATCTTTTTAAGCACGATACTTGTCTTTATACAGTCTAGTCGGATCAACATTACCCCGCTAATGCTCTTTTCTGTTTCGTTGGGCATTTTTTCCCAGCAATGACATCAGCCAAAAAAAGCTTTCAAGTCTATTCAACATCATTGGCATTTTGCGATGCGCCAAAAATCCGCACTTTCCTTCAAGGGGGAAACAACATTTTCGCAAAATTTCATTTCCATGCGCGTGTCACCGTGATCGAACCAATTAAATCTCAGCCAACTTACCTCGTCCTGTGCAAGCTCAACAGCGGAGCGAAAATTAAAAAAGAACCAAAGCTCGAAAAATCCACGCATAGCCAAAGTAAAATAAAGCCGAAATGGACTCATACCCGCTTCCCTTCTCATCAATACAATAGTCATTTGAGGCTTGACAAGGTTGCACAGAAACAAATCCTTTTTTTTTTTTTCACTGTTCGATGACGTTACATCCAACCAAAAACAGGTGTATTTTTCTTGGCTGTTGCTTTTTTTTTTCGGCTTGGCTTCAAAAAGCTCCCTGACAAGTGAAAGATTTTCTGGAGCCGCTTCATTTTATTGCTTTGTTTTTTTGATTCTTATGCTACTCGACCAACTCCCTCCCGAACTTTTATGGTGTGTTTTTCACGGGTTAACTTATGACGACCTTGATACCCTTCTTCATTTCGATTTCTTGGCTCCACTAGTCCGGCATTACCTTCATCGCCACTACCGCTTTCATTACAAGATTGCATCGTTACTGCGGTTGTTCGAATCATTGACTCCCACGGAACGACACAAAGATGAAACCCGAAAAGCCATGGCGACCCAGTTGCTGCACTTCATAACAACTCTTGTTGAAAAACGTCCCAAATATGAGCACCGAAACACTTTTACGGACCTACTGGATACTTTGCACCATCTTGTGTTGCGAAGAGTACTGTCACCGGATTTGCGATCCACACTGGAACACGATTATGCTTCTCTTTGTCTTGAAATACGTCACATCTACCTTCACACTTCCTCCATTCGTGTCCTTCATGATCCCGTAAGTGTTGACGAACCTCGGTTTCGAGCGTTTCTATTATTGTAGTCCTGACCCAAAAAACCAGGAAGGTTGCACAATTAATGCTTGTTGTTTTTGTTTTATTTTTAGAAATACCGGAGGCGAAGTACCAAATACCCCTTGGCACCATTTTTGCCGAGAGATTTTACTAGTGTGTGGCGTAGCCACTGTGCAAGAGGGGTTGAAATGTTGAATGGTCCGGGTCTGGACGCTGAATTGTTGGCTTGGCGGGAAACGCGGTTAAGATTTGCTCAATTTTTTGGAGCGTTATTTGAAGTGACGAGTCTTTACCTTGAATCGAATTTGGACGGTACCTTTGACGAATGTCTGCGTGAAGCGTTGGTAACGGGGGATGTGGAAAGTTTGCTCGTGCTGTGTGTGGCGGCTGACCGACCGGTCGACGTGGAAGCCATGTGCACCATGGTCACGCATGCCGGTGAACAACTGTGGAGTTACCTTGACACCATGGAAGATTGGATGACCACCGATCCCACTCCACAACAAGCAGCGCCACTGGAACAATTAGAACATCAAACCGACCAACTCATTGAATCCCCACCCGAATGGCTTTTACAAGATCGATATAAAATTCACTCGGATGCGAAATTACGCCTCAAGGTAAAAAAATTCAGAACCACGATATGTTACCATCGTAACTCATTTTTAATATAGTTAATGGATCGTTTATATAAACATGGCTGGGATTGGTTTCACTGAAGCAGGTCTTTTTAATGAATACTTGTCCAACATTTTATAACATAGTCCGTCATCCCAAAATACAACAAAGATCGACACCAACGGCAGAGAAATTTTGTAACCCCTACCCTAAGGCTGCATGAATTTTTTCAGTGACTTTGAATTGGAAATGGAGCATTTTTTTTTTTTCCTTTTTTTTCCTTCCCGTCTTCCATGCGGGGCATTGGTCAAAGGTTCTATCTATTTTCGTTCGTCCATCTTTTTTTTTTTTTTCATTCAGTACGTGCAACTAGTTTCGATTCCTCCTTCCAACCTACATTAGCCGTCCACCGCCCAGTGTCTATTGGGAATGCTCTTATACCGAGTCAGAATCTACCTTATATCCAGGTAAAAAAAAATTAAAAAAAAAAACCTCCACCGGAAACAAACCAACCGTTTCAATCCAAATGCTCATTCTTTTTTTGTTCATCGTCAGTTTCGTATCGCTTGGAGGATTCATGGTAATCGTATAGCTCATTTTCAAACTACGATGTGTGGATCTTTTTTCCTTTAGCTAAAATCGCGCTTTTCTTTCCTTCGCCACGTTGCTATGCTCCATTTAGTATGGGTAAGACTATTTCGTTGTCGTAATTGATGCGCGAACCACTCATTAAGATCTCGCACTGTATATTAGTTACGGCAATGGCGCATTGACGGCATGTTTGGTGATTCCCGCATTTCGAGAACAGTTCTCGTTTGATACTCCCCCCGAACGGCCCGTTACTGTCGTAACAGTGACAGTTGCTCTGGCAGCGTCGTTTCTGGCTTCCATGGTAATATTTTGATACGAGTAGTGGATTATCTGTGCTGAAACACGCATCCCCCCTCCCTCTTCTTTTTTGATATTGCTTTAGGTAGCAGGGTTTCTTGCAGATGGCATTGGACGTAAGAAGCTGTTTTATGTTGCTGCTGCCATTGACCTCGTAGGAGGAATCATCCAAGTCGCCGGATTTACTTTGGGAATGCTTATTACAGGCAGAATCATTACTGGTCTGGCCATAGGGTAAGTCTAATTTTCACGTGGCGAAACAAAACTAAATAGTATTGACCGTTTCCGGTATAGCATTTTCAGCATGCTCGTACCATTATGTGAGTTTGAGGAAAGCCATCATCCATTTCGGGTTGACCAAATAACTTATTGCCACTTTCTCTTAAAAACAGACCAAAGTGAGATTGCTCAAGCACATAATCGAGGTCGTCTTATTACGCTGTATCAATTCGGGATCACCCTGGGCTTTTTTATCGCGTACTGGGTTTCCTATGGCACCTACGATTTACCCGGGCCACTCTCATGGCGAGTCACCGTAGGATTGCAAATTGTTCCTGCTGGACTCATGCTCATCGGCTTATTTGCCATTCCAGAAAGGTAAGCGTGGGCACACGTTCCGTGGAGCCAACCATCATCTCTAACTCCGTGCAACAATGTGGGTTTGGAACCCAAAAAAAAGTCCACGTTGGCTCATTTTTCGAGGGCGGCATGATGAAGCATTACGGATACTAAGCCGATTACGCAACAATCAATGCGACGAACGCGATATGGAAGTGCAAATGGAATTCACTAGTGTGGTTCAGGATGTGTCTTATGAGAAAGTATTTGGCAAAAAGAATATTACCGGTCTCACTTCCACCGTCGGCATTGATAATTATCGAAAACGTACTGTTCTCGGCATCGGCATCCACACATTTAACCAATTATCGGGCATCAATGCGTTGCTGTAAGTCCACCCGGGGGGGGTGGAGTTGAGAGGGCAATAAACGCCTTGGGAATTTGGCTCAAAAAATACTCACCTTATCTTAGTTTTTACCTTCCTTATGTTCTCGAATCCGCAGGCATTGAACACTTCGGGCCCATACTGCTCAGTAAGTAACTTTCCCACTGTTATCATCAATTCTACTTATTCAATCGTGCCGCTCACTAGTTGGCAATGGCATTGTGGGCGCCATCAACTTTATTAGCACAATTCCTGCATTTATGATTGTAAGTAGAAAGAGACCTTTTGAAAATTGTGAGCGTTGTCGTATAGGTGCTAAACCATGGCCTCGGGAATTTTTTTTAACAAGATCGATCGAGTGGATCGTCGAAAAATTCTTGTTTATGGTGCGTTAGCCATGGGGGTTTGCATGATCGCGGTGGCGGGAGTCTCAGGAGCCTATAATCCTTCCATTGGCGCCGGTGAAGGCCCGTTTGCCAACATCACTTTGGGCATCACCAATCGAGCGGCTATGATTATCGTATTGGTGCTTATGGGGATTTTTGTTGCCTCTTTTGCCATGAGCTGGTATGGATTTTCGAGACGGACAAATTATCACTTCCCTACCTCCCTTCCGCAGTATGCTCACTGTTTGTTTCTCATAGGGGCACGGTCGGTTGGGTGTATCCTGCCGAGATCTATCCTCAGTTGATTCGTGCAAATGCCATGGGTATCACCACTTCGGTTGGCTACTTCTGGAACGCGCTGGTCACGGCGGTGTCACCACTCATGCTTCGCTACATGCTATGGGGAACCTACCTTTTCTTTGGTTGCATTTGCCTTATCATGGCATGGATCAGCCATCGCTATTACCCAGAAACCAAGGTAACGTCCCCTTTATTGGTGGCGATTTTCCCCTTTTATTCGGATCCACTGAATTTGTGACATTTTTGTAGGGACGGTCTTTGGAAGAGATCAATTTAATTTTTAGCGGGGCGTTATTGGATCAGCGGCCCGGGGCTCATCATCCTGCTACGGCGGCAGAAGCTTTGATTCATTTGGAGCAAGTGCGATACCAAGAGCAGCGGAAGCGTTTGGCACGTGCAGGCTCGGCAGCCGGCACCAATGCGGGGTCGCGTGCCCCATCCATTATTCACGGAGAAAGCGGTGACGACGCTCAATCACTGACTCTTCCCCGTCATCCCTCGGATTTAGAATCCTCGCTGCGGCAAAGTCTAGACAAACAGAGATCTAGTGTCGCAAATCAAGATGCGTGATATCGTGGCTGATTCAAATTGAGCCTTTTTTCCGTCTCATTCTTCATCGACTGAATTCTAAAAGCATAGGGCACTCCTCCCTCCACCAACCCCATTACAGTGTACAAAATAATTTCCAATCCAGTAGATATTTTTCATGACAAACCGTCTAGATGTCACTTTCTTTTCATTAATGTTCTTGACGCTGGCCGTCCACATGTGAATAAAATTTCAAGAAAAATCCCATCTCTTACCAACCAGAGTTTTCTTTCTTTTTTTTTCTTCATAAAATGGATGCAGTCAGGGATTTGCATTGTCCTTGCTCAGATCATGGAACGGTTTTGCAAGGGCGACACAAATCGTTCCAGAACACGTAGTGAAGGCAGTCTTCTCAATAAGTGTCGGAGCCCATCCGTACTTGGTGAAAACCACAGCGCATGTCCAGGGCAGAAAATGTTTTGGTATTTCCCTGACGAGTCAAGCAACTCATCAATGCGGGGCAGTGGGTACGCGTCTTTACCGGTGATTTTATTTAATTTGCGATAGTCTACTACGAGGCGGTATTTACGTTTTTTCTTCTGTACTAGCAAAATAGGGGAAGCCCAGGGACTATTCGAGGGTCGGATTATACCGAGGCGACAGAATTATCAAGTTGCTCCTTGAGTGCAGCAATTTCAGGGTATGACCCAGGAAAACTCGATCATTTGGCAAAAGATTTTTCGCAATGGGGGCCTGTGTGGGGTTTCACCAGTTACATCCAGCGATAAGAGGAACGGTATTAGGCAAGAGCTTTGACAGTTATCACTGTGCAACCTGCCTTCCCCACTGGCTTCAGCTTTCCTTGCATTTGGCATCGCTAGGCTCTTTAGGGAAAGGAATGGCATCGTCTTTTTGTACACCCATGGAGCTTTCGCGGTGCCCCGGCAGTTGCAATCTTCGTCTGCGTTATCGTAAAGCTTGCACCCACGTGGACAGACACCAATGGATTGCGGTTGCACTGGAAAGTTCTTCCGAAAGATTTGCAGGGTTGTGGGTTGGCTTAGCAACGGAGGAAGCTTGCCCTCTGTGAATTGATTGATTCGAGCAATTACTTTCTCGCACAATTCACGAGGAGCTCCGTGCTGCACCATCATCGAGTAAATATACAGGTTCGTTTGGATATTTTCCTCAGAGGTTGCTCGTAACTCCGGAAATCGTACTTGTCTTGATGGTCATTTATATTTGTGGCGAAATCCGGCTCTTCGTCGTCAGATGGATCGTCAACCACCTCGTCGTGAAAATCACCTGCAACAGCTGCCTCTGCAGCGGAAAGAAGCTCGTCCACTGTAGACTGGTGTATTGAGCCATCTGCTGTTGGCTCAACCGGAATCTGTCAGAGACATCAAAGGAAAATGCTACGTTAGTATCACCAATTTCTCAACTGCATCCATTGACTAACGAATGTAATCCTACTTCTTTATTGTTTGCTTCGCCCATTTCTTCATCACTTTCCATATGGACCGACTCGACAAAAGCTTGAGAGCTCTTATTGTAATAGATATAACAGGTCTCATAAGCAATATGTATCTAACTCCTCGTTCAGACGCATTTACTGTGGGCAATTTGCCGAGGATGTCTGACAGGCGTCCTTGAATGCAATCTTTTTCGTGAGTTGAGGGATCAGCTAAGTTCTTCATATAGACCATCTGGCAGTAGGTGCAATAAAACGAGGCTGTGGCGTTAAAAATAGTATTGAGGTCCAAGGGAGGTCGTTGGTTCCTCCCTGGGAATCTTAACCAAGACCATGACTCGTAAAAAAATGACTGAGAATTTTATTCATTTTCAAATGTTTTCATACATGGATGTGCGTAATCAAATTTTTGTTACCAAGGTGAAAATGGCGTCAGTAGCTTAGTTATAGTGATAGTCATCAGACGCTTGGGAAGTTCGGCGCTTTTTACGGCGTCCTGTGAATAGGTAGTAGAAACAATGGTTAGTTTCCGACTTTTTTTGTAGCTTAAAGTATCAACTTGTACTTACGAATTGGTCGACGTTGACCCGGCGCATAGGGGACTTCGATGTCACCTTCCTCCTCTGGGATTTCTGTAGCCACAGGGTCAGAGAAATAAACGTTGCGCTTTCTTTTGCCAGCGCCTGTGGTTGTTGTTCCGGTTGTATTGGATGCATCGCGAAGTGCGGTTCGGTTTCGTGAGGATTCGGCTCGTTGGATAAAGTTTTGGGTGGCATGGGCGGCGTTGTTGTGTTCGTATGTTTGGTTTTCCATGCTATTGTCTTTGTTCATTGAACTTTCATCCATCAGCTCAGCAAATAAACACATGGTGTATTCCCTTTTAATGATGTCCTGGGTCAAGACAGGCATGTCCTCATTCGAGATCTCCTCACCGTTGGGCCATTCGCCACCGAAAGAGGTATGCCATCTGGGATAGCTGGGATGTGAAAAGAATCGGGTCTGTCGTTCATAATCAGCTGTAGTCATATTCAGCCGTTGAAGCTCTTCTTCTTGTTTTTGAAGTTCCGTGAGTTGATTTGTGTGCTCTTCCTGGAACCAGCGCGCAAAGTTCGCATAGTATCGTTCATTGCTTCGCACCGTGTGTTTCAGATTGGTTATCTCGTCCTCTTTGTCTTCGATCATTTCTTCCAAGCGCACGATCTCTTCATCCTTTTCTTGAATGCATTCGTTCAGCTCAGCCAGCGTTTCATTGAAGACCACCCTGCGGGATTTCAATTCCTCTTTTTGATTTTCAGTCACGTTTGTCAATGTTTCGACTTGTTCCTCCATTTTTTGCACCAAATCAGCATATTTCAAGCATCGGTTTTCGAAAGAAGCCATATGTTGCTGTTCCACTTGCTGTGAAAAGATCTTGGATTGCAGTTCTTGTTTTGCTTTGTGCGCCTGCTGTCGTGTTTTATGCAGTTCATGGTCGGTTTCTTGGATTTTCTTTTTTAGTTCTTCTCTGTCCTGCATCCAAGTCTGGAAAAAGTCGCGCGACATGCGGACTCCGTTCATTTTCTGGTTATACTAAAAAATCGTAACAAAATACGTTGTTAGCACGGATGAAGCGGGTCTGACATTAGATATAAAAAATTCGCTCACTCACCTCGAGTTCTGCTTCGAGGTTTTCGATTGTGTTTTGCAAATCGCCGATGTTGCGATCGCGTTGGACGGGCGCATTGCGGCGTGGATGGTTGATAATTTTTCTGGCCAAAGTAGCTGTTTGAAGGGTGGCCAGCGTGTCATCGTGGTGGACCTCGGCAGTTGAGGCAGTGGCGAGAATGGATGTTTGAACGTTGCCACCCAAACAATTTTGAAGTAGCCACGCCAGCTTGTTGTATCTATCCACAATGAGACATAAAAATTTAGCTAAAATTCAAAAAGATAAAGGAAAAAAGACATCCGGTACAGTTACCTGAACAAATGGGATGAACCACGGGCAGCGAGGTCTTGGATGGTATTCATGAGTGTGATCAAGTCTTGATTGACCGAAACGGTTTCGGGTTCGAGCCTGTGGCGGGGATAATCGGCGTGGATGATTTCGGAACCAGCAAGGTCCACAAAGGTTAGTTTGCCACTGCGAACCATGGCCTTGTCGTCGACGATATTTTGATAAGAAAGTTTGACAGTAAAAAAGCAGTGACCACGGCTTAAATAAAGGCAATTTAGTACATGTTGGTAATGCTTCAGAGAAAGTTTCTTCTTGCTTACTCGGATGTTTCATTCCAGCGTGTGGGACCGATGGTTCTTTGAGCCATGCCATAACGAAGTATGCGGAGGCCCTCATCGGCAGAGCGAATCAAAGGTTCGCGACATCCGTGGATGGTCACAGTGGAAGTGGTGGGATCTTCTTGAATCTGCAAATGGGAGTCTTGGTCGTAAATGTTGAGCAAATCATAAAGACGATTGTTGCACAATTCGACGAGAGAGATTTGGACCGAGGCATTATGATGTTGAAAGAGTCTCAAGTACTCAAAGAGCCTGCAGAGGGTGCGGGGAATGATGCCTGCTTCAGTTGGAGTGCTGTCAGAAAATTCTGTCAAATCTCCTTGCAGGGTATGCCTATCGTGACGAAAAACATCAAAAAGTTAAAAATATTGGATATAAGGTTATCTGATGGGGTCTTTGACCAATCAAAAAATTCGGTTTACTCACGATTTGCCGGTGCCTGTCTGTCCGCAGGCAATCACGGAGCAGTTGTAACTAAATTGAGTAATTTTAAATCAGTCACCCGTGAAACGACACATTAAAGTGCACGGACTGTCCGCATTGTTTTTTTTAATTACCCATTCACGATTTGTTCAATCATAGGTCCAGCAACTTGACGAAAGATGGCTTCTTGGGAAGACGATTGATCAAAAACATGATCAAAGTCGTAGCATTCTTGATTAGGGCCGAACAGGATTTGTCCTTCAGGTTGACACGGGTTAGCCACCAAATTAATACGAGACACGTTGTTGGCGTCAGGGACATTTCTTGAAAAAAAAAAAAGTCAATGGCATCAGATCATTCAAGCAACATGGGCGTCATGGCATCATTGCGATTTACCGATAACGAAGGAAGACTTGAATATTCTTGGCTTGTTCAACCGCCTGATCAGGAATAGGCAGAGAGGTAGAGAGCCACGAAGGCAAAGATACGTTTTGGAAGGTGTTGAAAATACGAGAAGTAAAAGAGTTGCAGTTGGAGCTTTCGCTGGTAGAAGTGGAGGAGAGCTTAAAAAACCACATAATAAAAGTAAAGAAGTCGAAAAAAAAAGGATAAAGAAGTGGGAAAGGAACGCGTTTTTTTTTCGTTAATATTGTTGACAAAAATGGGTGGCTTGCGAATGATTTGTGAATGCCGTCATTTGTCTGCTTTTCCTTGGACGTCTCATGGTCACAAGGGTGAAGAAAAAAAAAGGCCTGGTGGGCATCAATCAAAGAGTTACAGAACTTTCACATTGGGCATTTTGTCGGTCTTGAAATTTTGTCAAAGCTGTGCTGCTCTAATGGACAATGCCCGACAAAAAATTTCGCAAACTCCACTTCATCGGTCCGCTCAAAAATTTAAGCTTTTTCAAGGAATCGATCCACAATAAAATAACAAGTAGTGAAAATCAAGGTCTTTTCATTTAATATTGAACAAGAAAGAACTGTATGCGGAAAACCTCGGACGCAAAGGGTACTGTGGGTCACAATCCAATCATTTTGTAGCTTGCAAACCATTTGAGGCCACAATGAAGCGGTCTGATTTGGGAATTAAAATGTCCACTGACGATGACACTAACAGCGTCTTGGCAACACGACGGCTAAATTGCGTTACATGGAGCCTCCGGCTTGTCGAGAAGCAAACGTGCCTACAGAGGTAAAAAGTTTCCTGGGCAGCCATGACCAGGGGATTACAAAGTTTTGCAAACCCTATCAAGGCGATTGAACCAAGTATGATTTATTCTGAAATGTGTATTCTGTAAGCCTGGCATTTGCTTGCTGTTAAATACATACAGATCGTTCACGCAATCCATTGTGATCCACACAATCACAGAGAATAAGCACCAAGCTTCCAGTCCTTTGGCATATGCCGTACAAATGCAACTAGACTAGTACAAATAAGCTACAGCTGCAATAAAGCTACATTGGAACCTCATCAAATGTCATTTCAGAAACCAGAAGGACACCATATTGAGAGAAAGAGGTAGTGGATGATGGATGACTAGTAGAAAAAAAAGAATGCTTTTCCGTCGTAATAAGCTCAAAAACAAATTGGAGGGTGGTTCATTTTTTCTTATGCACACCATTAGCGAGACCGTCTGTATAGTCCAGAACGTTATCAGGTGATGATATCGATCCAAGACATCACGCTGACAAGCATGCATGCATGCATATGCTTGGCATGAAGGAAAAGGAGGAAGTCCACTTTGTGGTTTTTCTTCCCAGTCAAAAGTCATTGTTTTCATTATCATTTCTTCATGACAACATGATTGGTACTTGTCGTTATCGTTGTCATGTCACGCTTGCCTGATATGGCGATGCCGCAGGCTTCTCAAGGCTAACAATCCGCCAAAGCAGATTTATTGTGAACAGAATTGGGAGATCCGATAAAGTTTTGCAACCTCATTTCATTTTTCGAGTCTCACCAGTCATTGTGGAAATGGATGAAGATGAAACCCCGGTGTGAGCGGAGCAGGTCAACCGACGAGCAGAAAAACAAAATTCCATCCAAGGGAACAGACCCGATGCAGAATAAGGGGTGGCGAGCTTTTAAGGATGTTGTTTGGTTAGCGGATAAAGGCCTTCTCCGCACAAAATGCAAACAACAACAACATCAACAATAAGAATGTTAGCTTTATATAGTGGCCGCTCCATTTGATAAAATGGGTCATTTTTTTCTTCCCTCTCTTTGTTCGGAATTCGCTTGCCAGTTTGTGTGTTATATCTCCCAATTTTTTTTTTTTTGGATTTTTTCGGCTCTTGTCCTGTTATACATCATATGCTGCTCGGAGCATCGTCCAGCGGTCCACAATGCACTGATTCAAAAAATGAACACGTCGTGACTCGGTCGTTTTCCAGCCATCAATTGCAAGATGTACAAGAAGAAATAGTGCGTCCTTTACCTTCGGTCCTTATAGGTAGATAACGTGAAAGCAGAGAAACCCAAAATGCATCTTTTTTGACTCGCTTTTTGCATCCTTCGAAATTTCAAGATTTTATGGCAATGACGTTGTGCGATTTGGTGCCAAAGAGACCGCAGCGACGTGCATCGCATGCAGATACGAGTACCGCATTAAACGAGCCGTTCATTCCAGAACTGGTGTATTTTATCCAAAAAATTACATTCCAATCGAATACCAATTGTCGGACGGCGCTGGTGGCATTGATCTATCTCGACCGTGCCAAAGCGGCCATGCCTCCCCGAGCTGTGGGCGATCGCGATGCATGCCATCGTCTATTTCTGGCGGCGTTACTTTTGGCATCCAAATTCTTGCGCGATACGGCGTGGCAACGGTTCTCATTCACGCAAGTAGCCACGGTGCCTTCGACGTGGTCTCATTACTATTCGTTTCATTACCGTGGCAGCCATCCTCCACTCAAGGGACCATTGACAAACGGACAACTGTGCGTAATGTGTCACGGTCTTTACTCCTTGGACGATATCAACCAACTGGAACGCGCCTTTTTAAAATTGATTCAATATCAACTATGGGTAGATGACACTCACGTCAATGCTTTTCTTGTTCAACATCGTGTAGATTTGTCTCTGTAAAATAGCCATGAGAGCATGAATTCCCATTTACATATATCTTAACATTATCGCCTCCATTCACTGTATACCCAATAGTTTCATCATCCTACTACAATACATTGCTTTGTACAACCACTCCTTTTTCTGTTCGTTACCATTTTTGACGATGCGATTTTGAATGTTGCCACGTATTTCGTTTTGGCGAACACTGAACGATTTGCGATGAAATTGACGAATAGAAGTCCGCCACCAATGACCGCGTCATAATCCCGCAAGTATTTCTCTGGTGCCTAGTTCTTTTTTTTTTCTTGTTGCATTCCCACTCTTTATTCAGTTCATCAACTCATCATGGTCCGTGTTGCTGGCATCAGCTTCCTCGCTACTTTGTTTGCTCTCGGTGTTCAAGCATTGAAAGAGCCTCCGAAGGGTTTGCAAATCGGTTAGGTTTCTAAACCCGCTGTCAACGCGGCAACGTGTTTTGTCCTTGATTTCTTTCTTCTAACAGTAGTCTTTTTCACATTTTGTAGGTATCAAGAAGAGAATTCCCGACGAGGAATGTACTAAGCGTTCTCATGACGGGTAGAATAACAAAGCTTGCTGTGATGCAGAAGAATGTTCAATTCACTAAAACAAACTGCCGTGCGGATTTTCTAGTGATATGTTAACGATGCATTATACGGGCACGTTGTTCGATACGGGCGAGAAGTTTGACAGCAGTCTTGACCGAAACCAACCCTTCGAATTCACTTTGGGAACCGGTCGAGTGATTCAAGGCTGGGAACAAGGTCTTAAAAAGTGAGTTGCATGGAATGGATGATCCCGTTGGAACACGGGTCACTAAAGCATCCTCTTTGTTTCAATTGTACAGTATGTGTATTGGAGAAAAGAGACGATTGGTGATTCCTCCCCATTTGGGTTACGGAGATCGAGGTGCCGGTAGTGCCATTCCTGGTGGCGCCACCCTCGTGTTTGACGTGGAACTTGTCAACATCAAGGAAGGCACTCGACCTTATGACTATGCACAGAACAAACAACAACAGCTGCAGGAGAAAATAGCCAACTATTTTGAGTAAGGATATGAATGCCCCAACTGGTCTCTATGTTTTCGTATTCAATTGAACTCTCTTGTAGTTTGTCCTCGCCCTTATTCTTGTACTCTACGGGCGGCCTCTTGGCTTTGTTGGTTCTCTGTTACTGGTTGACCAACAAAGGTTCATCCGAAGAGACCAAGGAAGTCAAAGTGACTGAAACCAAATCTGAAGGTGAAAAGGTCAAAAAGGCCGACTAACAGATCTCGGCCTCTCGCACTTTTTTTTTATGTACAGCAAAAAAGAAAACGCAGCACATACAAGACGGGATGCTCAACATAATAAAAAGCTAGTATGAATTGGGCTTGTAACTTTGAAAGGATTGCGTAGTATTTATTGCAAATGATGAAAATAATTGTGGATTGCATAAACGAAGAATGAACAACAGCGAATTGGAGGGTGAAATAGATTTTGTTGAAAGGAAAGTAGGTTTTTTTTTTTTGCATACGGGCTCACTGTTTACCAGAAAGTTTGTCACCCACATGTTTGGCACCTTGCTTCATGGATTCGCCCGTCTGGCCTATCAAGGAGCCTTGTTCGGCGTTGTGCGTTGTACCAGATTTCTTGGTGTCATAGTCGCCCGCTTTGAATAAACCGGATCCCGTATCACTGGGATTCTTGGTGTCTTTGCTGCTGTCTCTCGAAAAAGGGTTCTTTGTTTGACCAATATCCATTTTGTTAAAAGAAAAGAGGGTGTTTAAGAAAACAGACAAGGAACTTTGACAGTTCTTTTTTATGTTTTTATTATTCCTTGTGTTTTGAATTTTTTCTTGAACATGATGTCATGCGTTATCATGCAACACGGGAGAAAATTGATGCATTTGCTCATTTTCATTCCGTAACATGCTGAGTATGAATTTACAGGATGACAGCGCGCAAATGAGGGCTTTTCACCTTTTTTTTTTGGGGGGGGGGAAAGGGGGCGATCAGAAAGGCGACGGTGTCATTCGCAAGTAAGGCTTGATGACCTTGACACCCTTTGGAAATAAAGTGTGGGCTTCTTCCGTCGATACACTGGGATGAATAATGACATCATCCCCCTTTTGCCAATTGCCCGGGGTGGTGATACGGTATTGGTCTCCCAGCTGCAACGAATCGATCACACGTAAAATTTCATCGAAATTACGACCTGTTGATGCAGGATAGGTCATGATAAGCCGGATCGTCTTTTTGGGATCAATGATGAAAACAGACCGAATTGTAAACGGAACTCCCTGCTGATCTTTATTCGTCGCATCCTACGAAATTCCAAGCCATATCCCGCATTATAACTATTCATCCTCGCTCATTCTGCTTTTTTATCTTTTTACCTGATAGTCCAACATGTCATAAAGAACCGATACCTTTCGGTCGGCATCGGCAATGATGGGAAAACTCAACTTGACGTGACTAATTTCGTTAATGTCTCGAATCCACTGTTCATGTTCAGCGAGACCGTTGGCTGAAAGTCCAATGACCTTGACGTGACGCTGGGCGAATTCATCCTCCAATGCTGCCACTAGTCCTAATTCAGTGGTACAAACAGGTGCTGCGCAAGAAACCATTTTTTAAGTATGCGTGTTGAAATGAAAAACACTCTTTTTTTTTCACTGCAGTCTTACTGAAATCAGCAGGGTGCGAAAACAAGATACCCCAGCTGTCACCAAGAAAGTCGTGGAAGCGGATAGGCCCTTGGGTGGTATCCGCTTCAAAATCTATGCGACCAGCAAAAATGAATATAAAAAGTAATCACCACAATCCAAAATGACAATTTTAACGCACCAGGAGCGATGGAACCAAGTCTCAGTGTCATGGCAAGCAAGAACAATGGAAACAAAATGAAAAGCTTTTCACCAAATGAGCCAAGTGGACCAAAAGTGAACCAAGAAAAATTTATCGTCAGCCACTCCCCCCACCTGTGCTTGGTTTCTTTTTTTTTTATAGTTTATTTTGATCGAATTGCACTCATGGCCACCCACACCACTGCATTATTATTGGCAAGGTTGAAAGCGTGGAAAGAATCAGCGGTGGGCAGTACACTTTGTTTGGATCTGCGATCGGCCTCGGAATACAAAAAGAACCACTTGGCTCCATCCACGAATATTCCGTGGCCGCAATTATCATTGCGCTGTGCTGAATTACCACCAAAGCGTACGCCATTTGCCGTGGTTGAACCTTTGGAAACTCAAGGATGCAGCTCATGGTTACAGGAACAAGGATGGCAGTGCCCGTGGGTCTTTTGGGAAGGCGACTGTTCAGCCGGTTTCTGGACAGCCGCACGACAAGCTGGCTGGGCCAGCGACGCCAACGATACCCCCTCTGATTTGCCGAAACCATGGCTTCTTTTCAGGCCTTGTCCTTTCCTTGCTCAACATATTGATCGCATCGAGCGAGATCTCGGATCCCACCATTCCGCATTGGCATGTCTCGACATTGGTTGCGGTTCCGGTCGTGATGCGGCCTGGCTCTTATCCCGACCGATCGGATCATGGCGAGTGACCGCGGTGGATTCCTTAAAACACGCTTTGCAACGAACCGAGGCGTTGACGACGCATTTGGGAGTGCGTGATCGATTGGACCACGTGGTGCATGCCAAAATTATGGCAGATGGCGCATGGAAATCGATCGACACTGATAAGCCAGCTATGCCCGCCATCCTGACGCAGCAAGACAAGGAAACCGAACCCTGTCACGATACCAAGCAACATCAGTTTTTGAAAAAGAAGGCCACTTTTTCTCCCGGTATTCCTACATCTGAATTCTTTGGTCAGCTGTCATCCTCCTCCTCCTTCTCGCCGTCGTCTCGGACAGCTACCTCCGGCTATGCCAAGTATGATCTTATCTTGACCATTCGGTTTCTGGTCCGATCGCTGTTACCCCAGTTACCGGATCTACTGAATATCGGTGGGTTCCTGGTGATCTCGCATTTTGTAGATGATGGTTCCGAGTATGATCAGCCTCGTAAAGATCATCGATTGGCCGTAGGCGAACTCAGCTCGTTATATGGTTCCATGGCTCATATGGAAGTGGTCATGGATGTCATTGAAACCATTGAGGACGGAAGGCCCGTGAACTCGGTGATAATTCGAAAGACACGAGAAAAGATAGATGACTAATTCAAAAAAATTTCTATAACTTATTTGTGTGGGGGAGTTTGCTTTTTTTTTTCCAATGGTGAGTGGTTTACTTTTCATCTATTAGTGGATTGCTGTTTGCGGTAGTGCTTGTTCTTTCTCTTTTCTTCTTTTATGGTGATTCTCACGGGGTGGAATTTGGATAGATAAAAAAAAATACCCCTCAAACTCCGGAACGATAATTGTCTTACCAAACTTTAAGACAAGGCCCCCGTTCGGCCTCCGATTGGCCCTTCACATAAAGGGCGTAGCAACGCGACTGTCTTAAGTTTTTCCACTTCAATCCCCCTTTCTTTCATTTCTGACTTGATTGGTCAAAAAACAGTCTAATATTGCTCGTCACATGATTGGTTTTGCCCGGTGCATAAGATGGATCTTGCTTCTCAGCTCGTTCACTACCTTCTTCCACTTTCTTCATCCTAAATTTCTATCCAACATGTCTGCCCGTAAGCTTTGTATGATTCCTGGTAAGTTGTGAGAGAAGAGCGTAAAATGAGATCATATCACGTAAAAGAGAGAGGTTGCCATGATACTGACGGTCGTGATATTATTTGATATTATTCAGGCCCCATTGAATTCCATGAGGATGTCTTGGCCGCTATGGGAACTCCTGCCACCTCCCACGTCGACCCCAACTTCATCCCCATTCTCGGTGAGAGCATCGAAATGGTCCGCAAGGTCATCCTCTCCGAAGTTGCTCAGCCTTTCATCACCTCCGGCTCCGGTACCCTCGGTTGGGACATGATGGTCAACTTGATCGAACAAGGTGATGAAGTCTTGTTGCTCAACACCGGTTACTTTGGTGAGAACTTGGCTGACTGGTAAGTTATCAACGAAAAACTTTCTTTTCCTCTTATTATTATTTTTTTTTTTTATCTACCCGCCCTTGGTTGTAAACTGTTTTCGATCGTTTGGGCGGGGAGTATAAAAAAAATATATTGCGAGGACCTATTTTTTTTTCACTGATGACGTGAGTTGGTTTCTTATCGGTTATTTAATTTTCTTTTTTAGTTTGACCACCTATGGTGCCAAGGTCACTCAGCTCCGTGCTCCCGCTGGCAGCCGCCCCTCTGCTGATGAATTGAAGGCTGCTTTGGCCGAGAAGAAGTACAAGATGGTCACTGTCACCCACGTTGACACCTCGTAAGTAATACTTTCTATATTTGGCAATCATCTATAATTTTATACTTTAATTGGTTTTACCGTGCCCAATTTTTTTTTTGGGTGATGGGCGGACTCTGTGAACGAATATTTTTTGGGGAAGAGGAAGGGAAGACAAAGGACACAAACGGATCGGTGGATGAAAGAGTAAAGGGCAGGCTGTGTGCATGATTCAACTAACTCATCATTTTTCTTTCTTAGCACTGGTGTTCTCTCTGACATCAAGAAGGTTGCCGAGATTGTCAAGGCTACTTCTCCCGAAACCTTGGTCGTTGTTGATGGTGTGTGCTCCGTCGGTTCTGAGGAAATCCGTTTCGATGAATGGAACTTGGACATCGTCATCACCGGTTCTCAGAAGGGTTTGGGTGTTCCCCCCGGTCTTTCCATTGTCATTGCTTCCCCCTATGCCATCAAGGTCTTCCAGGAAAGAAAGACCCCCATCCCCGCCTACTACTCCAACTGGAACAAGTGGCTTCCTGGTAAGTAAAAATCAGAATCCCATCCGAGCCTTCGGAGATACAGAAGAGATACATAGGAATCGGATGGATTCGAGTGAAAAAAAAATCATGGGAGGAAACGGTAGATTAATCGGACTGTGTTGTATTTTTTCTAGTCATGCAAGCTTATGAAGCTCGCAAGCCCGCTTACTTTGCCACCCCCGCTGTTCAGCTTGTCTATGCTCTCCACGCTTCTTTGAAGAAGATCACCAGCGAACCCATGCAGGTCCGTTTCGACAAGCACCGTCAGGTCGCTTCCGACTTCCGCAAGACTGTCAAGGACCTTGGTTTGAAGCAGGTTGCTCAGTGCGAGGAATGCTCTGCCAACGGTATGACTGCCATCTGGTTGCCTGAAGGTGTTGAAGTTGCCAAGTTGGTTCCTGCTCTTGCCAACAAGGGTGTCCAGATTGCCGGTGGTATCTTGAAGGACATTGCCACCAAGTACTTCCGTATTGGTCACATGGGTATCTCCGTCATGGAAGATGAACGTCAGCACATCCCCAAGGTCGTCGATGCTTTGACCTCCTCCTTGACCGAACTCGGCTACAAGTCCGCCTGAATTCCTGCACGCGCGCGTCTTTAAACCTCCTATATCTCCTGTTATAAACATATAAAATCATTTGACTTTTTTGAACGAAGCATGGCTCTGGAGCATGTTTGTGGAAGAAACATCCAAACAATAAAATATAAAATCCCTTTTTTCGAGATAGAAATGTAAAAAAATACTCATCGTCTTGTTTGGTCCCCCTTTTTTTTTGTTTATTCCGTGTGATGATCTTCAATTTGTCTTTTCATTTTAAGAGGGGAAAAAAGGAAAGAAGATCTACACGTTCGTATGTCCCCTGGCAAGTGTTGAAGTGATTCACCTGTTTTTTCCTTATATTTTGACACTGCACATGGATGAATATGGGAATTTTTATCGTATGCGTCGCACAACCAGTTCTTTGAAAGCTCAAAAATAGTCAGTCACCGCACGCTCAAATTTACGGCCTCTTTATAATCCGCTCTTTGATCATAGCGTAACAGGGCTTTCTTTTAACTACTTTTTTTTTTTTTAATTTAACCATAAGAAATTGTGTATTGCTCAAGCTGTAATCAAGCTGGCCATCAGCATAGGACTCACCGTAGCTGTCCGTTGAATCCCAGAAACGGTATAACTGAAGACGTGGGAACGAGTGAAGCCAGTACATCCGATGTTGCTCAGATAGCAACCGTCTACGGCTCCAGCTGTCAACAACCAGGACACAGGGCCGTCGGACACATCCTAATTTGTCCTCACAAGGCCAGTCAGAAAACTTCTGGGGAATGGTCTCCTACTGCAAAATGCATCAGACGTATTCCACACGCTGAAAAAAAACGGCGCAATTGCAGCTATCCAACGTACAGGCAAACGGCTGTGCTTCCTGCTCGTCATAAACTGGGGCCAATGGGGATCATTTTGCCAAGCTTTGATGTCGGATAGATGAAAAGAACATCAAGGAGTGTCTTTTTCTTTCAATAATGAGTGTTTCTAACGAATTATCAACAAAATGTCCAACTATATCTTTCATGTACACTTTCATGCTTCTCGGCCCACCCCCGCCGCCCCCTTCAAGGAAAATGATGGAATCAAGAAAAAGTCCTCTGGGACAACGCACTTTCCCCGTTTTGGCCGATCCGACGGAAAACGTTTTCCTCGTCAGCTTTTAATCCATCTTGCCTTATCTTTTTGTAATAAAGCATGCATTTGCTGGAGTCGAGATAGAAAATATATAATAGAGCGACTCATGACAATAATGAAGATGCAAGGCTACCTCAGAACCGTTCCAAGGTTGTCGGTAGTTCGTTCAGAGGTCTTGCCAACCAATGGAAGAAAGAAATAATAGAGGCGAACAACATGGATTTAATAAATAAGTCGTACAAGTTTTATCTGTAAAAAAATGTATGAAAAAGTTAGGAAAAATATTTATTCATTGCTTGACATTTAAGTCTATTGCTTTGGCAAAGTGTAATTTGGCCTTTTTTTTGCATTATTTCAAAAGTTCAAGGCATTGTTGAAAAGTTCAACTGGCGATAAAAGCCGTCACAAACCTGTTTTGAAATTTTTCAAAATCATCCACCGAACAAGAATGCTGTGCAAGGACGTCCGTCACCTCAAAGAGCTGAGTCGGTTGTGCCATCTGTTTTTTTTTTTGCGCATTTTTTCCCATTCTCGATCGCATTACTTGCACTTGCTTACCATTGACTAGGTATATGAACCTACTGAAACCCGTATTATAGTTGGATTCTTGACACTAATATCCCCTACGCAACGCGACTTTTTTTTTTTCTGCATCTGTCTTATTGCCGTGTCGTTTCATTCTTTATCTGTAGAACATGGATTCGCCAGCTGACGAAAAGACTGCTAGCCCACAGGAACAACATCAGACGCCGCAGGCAGGCCATGATATTCCTGACGATAAAAAAGTGGAAAAACGACCGCGATCCGACGACGATGCAGCGGCAGACATGCATGCGGCTGAAAAGCAGCAAAAACCATCCAACGATGCATCACATCCATCGGCTCCAGCACCGCCCAAAACGGAATCGAGGAAACCGCAATACGAATTGAAATATTCTCTTGTAGGCCATCGCATGTCAGTATCAAGCGTCAAGTTTTCACCCGACGGCAAATGGCTGGCAAGTTGCTGTGAGTAGCATGGAGCATTTCCATCATGGACCCGTTGAATTTGCTGACTGGCTTGTTTTGTAGCGGCTGACAAGACAATTAAAATTTGGCACGCGCTGGACGGTAAATACGAAGCGACACTGGAAGGGCATTCACAAGGTATTTCCGATGTCGCGTGGGCATCGGATTCGCAGAGTTTATGCTCTGCATCGGATGACAAGACGATTCGCATATGGAGCTTAAGCACCGTAAGTTGTCCTCAGTGCATTTATAACCGTGTTCACTGTGACTCAGGGTTTTTTTGGCATGCGATCAGAGAGAAACCGTCAAAATCTTGAGAGGTCATTCCAATTATGTGTTCTGCGTGAATTACAACCCGCAGTCCAATCTAATTGTCTCTGGTTCCTTTGATGAAAGTATCAAAATCTGGGATGTCAAAAAAGGTGAGACTTAAAGTCCCTTGGGGATCTTTTTGCATGAATCGACTAACCCAGTCTACTTTGCAGGAAAATGCATGAAGACCCTGCCAGCACATTCAGATCCAGTATCAGCTGTCCATTTCAACCGAGACGGAACAATGATCGTTTCTTGTAGTCATGACGGTTTGATGTAAGAATGAAGGAAAAATTGACAATGGCAACCCGGTTACCATGATTTCACACTGATCAACGGGCATTCTCATTTTTCAGTCGTATCTGGGATACTGCAAGTGGGCAATGTTTGAAAACATTGGTTGACGATGATAATCCACCTGTGTATGTAATTTCATTTATTGAGATGGGCGTGGAGTGAGGTTTTTGCAAATAGTGGGGATGGCTAATGACGCGTGGTTTCCAGTTCTTTTGTCAAATTCTCGCCCAACGGCAAATACATTCTCGCATCCACACTCGACAACACCCTTCGACTGTGGAATTATCATACTGGCAAATGTTTAAAAACGTATCGAGGTCATGAGAACAACAAGTATTGTATTTTTGCAAGCTTTAGTGTCACCGGTGGCAAATGGATTGTCAGTGGCAGCGAAGATCATTGCATCTATATTTGGAATCTGCAAACCAAGGAAATTGTGCAGAAACTCGAAGGCCATTCTGGTAAGTGGACTGTCGCCAAAGTGCTGCCCAACCTCGTTGCATCGATTAGAAGATTAAGCCGTTGTTACAGATGTTGTACTTTGCATAGCTTGTCATCCTACCATGAATATTATTGCTTCCGGTTCCATCGACAAGGACAAATCCGTGAAACTGTGGTTTGACAAATCACAACCGGCAGCATAATAGGGCTTTGTTGGTTTTTTTTTTTCCTTTGTGTTCCTCTTTTTTTTTTGGTTTTCTACATACTACATCTTTGAATCCTTTTGTCACATCATATTGCTCCTTATTTGTCTGTTTTTTACGTTTTTTCTTATGAATAGACAAATCAACGAGTCGTCTACCTCTACTCTCAAATAAACCGTAAAAAAAAAGAATAAACTACAATAACGAAAGAAAAATAAGAGTTTTTTCGGATTGAAACAAACTCATCATGCACAGTATGGAGAATTTTGGAGTTTGGCTGTTGTGACAAGCTTATCGCATTGCGGGTTCTTTGGCAGGTTTGACGTTTTTCTTTGCGCTCTTCTTTCTTTTTTTCCACTGTCTATGCCGAACACCGCTTTTCGACGTTTTGCACGTCGTTCTTCTGTAAAAGATACGTTTGATCTGCTGTCGGGCATGCACGATGATAGCCACGATGCAGACAGTCATGTGTTTCAAGATCCTATTATTCCCAGACGACGTCGACCGTTGGCTCAACCCGTCAAAGTGACGTACTTGCAAGCCAAGAGAGAAAAGCGAAAACGAACGTTGGAAGAACAGAGAGCCGCCAGTGACAGTAGTAGTGAACAGGAAGGCTCGGACAAGAACCGAAAAGACGACGATGACGACGACGACTTTCAATCTTCATCGCGTCTTCGACGCCACCGAACATCCGCCAATGCGACTCCATCCAAACGATCCAAACGTAGTACGCGTGCCAAGAATGAGACTATCGCTTCACCACCTTCTCCCGTACCCAAGCTCAATTTACCTCGGAAATCGGCCCGCATGTCCACATCCCTTGCCGAGAAACAAGAACAAAAGAAGGAACTTGAGCGCAAACGAGAAGCTTTGGAGAAAACCGGATTTTCCTCCAAACAGGCTACTCACGCTAATGGAAGAAATCAAGGTACATTTATCAAGCCGAACAGCTGCATTTCCACCAAATCGCGTATATATAGGGTGGCGATGTGGGAGGAAAGGGATGTGGTAAAAACTTATCGTTTTTTTTTGTGCCAATGCTAGGGTTTGTGTGTCCTTTCTGTCACGAAGAACTTGGGCTACCACTGCCTTATAAAGTGGATCGAGCGCTGAATCTGATCAAAGCCAAAGACCGAGAATTTGCTAATCAATCTGCGATTGCAGCGGGGGAATCGGTCAACAACGCTTCGTTCCGTGCACGCCATATCCAATACAAAAGACCCGTGGATGATCGAGAAGAAGAGAGGTTTTGTCGATTGCATCGGATCGAGTTGAAGATAAAGCCACAGGGTCGACGGAAAGGTTACCCACTGCATATCGCCTTTGAAGATTTGGAAGAACGTATCCAAGGATTCCGTCAAGAGCTCATGGATGTCATCGCAGGTCGAGTCCACAGCTCTTATCGCGAAACCGCCCTCAAAGCTTACAAAGACCTTGGCACCAATAAAGCACGCAGTGTCATGGGTGTCATGGCAAGATTTGAAACGACCTTGGTAAGTTTTTGGCGCCCATGTTCCGGTGCTGCGCCACACACACACACATGCAACAACAGGCTGTATTAGCTTGAGCGAAAAGATCTGACACACGATTTTAATTTGCATTTTAGCCTGGGTATTACGGATCAAAAGGAGCGGCCATCATATTGGATATTCTGAATTCCATGTTTCTGCAAACCGGATTACTGGGGAAAGAACAAACCTCACCGCAGCTGCCCATGGAATATCTGCAACAGGTGCTCGTCCCTGAGGTCGGCTATCGACTCATTCGCCAAGATATTATTAACCATTCGAAGCATACCCCTCAAGATTTGACATCCGATGAAACCGAAATGAGCTTAGCCGAACGCGCCAAGATCATCATGAGCGAAAGTTCCGAATTTGGCAGTCTCATCCATCCCGGAGCCGACGATCAAGATGAAGTGCTTGATATCTCGGATGATTCACAAAACGAGGAGAAAGATACAAACAATATTGCCAATCATTCCGATGATGGTTCCCTTGATCCTAATGCGTCTGACCGTTCTGACGATCCTGACCATGAAAGTCAAACTGTCATTTCTTGCAGTGAAGACGAAGAAAAAGATTCAGAGGACGACAGCACCAACGATGAACGTACAGAGGATGATAACGCGTCCCCAAGCGAATTAGACAGACTTGAGAACATTCCTACTGTCGCACCGCCGCCAAACAAAAAACCATCGGTGCTTATCATATCCGACAGTTCATCCGACGACGAGCCCTGAAACCAAACCCCCACTCATTAATTGTACCATAAAACAAAGAAATACCATGATGCATTTATAAATAGTTACGCATGTTCATTATTAAAAAAGACAGTGAAATAGAAAAATTGCTGTGGTAAAAAACCCACCAACATAGAGATCTTATTGACAAATGACATGACGCATTTTCTGGCAAAGGAGGGTCAGTGTATCTTTTTGAGTATAAATTCTATCATGTTTCGTATTTAATGGTGTTCAACATTCTTGTGATGCTCTACAGGTATAAAACGTCAGTTTTTTGTGTTTCGTGGATCAACCCAATATTGGTTACGTACTCAAGTGGAAGTGGTAATCGATGCTGTAACCAATGACGAAGATACCAAACACTGCATGTAATAAAGGAGTAATGGAAGCATTGTCACCGTCAATGTAACGGGCTTTGTAACGAGCCCAGGGTCCCGAAGGCTTGGAAGCTTCCACAGTACCCTTTGGCAGTTTCTAACCAGTCGTGATCCATTAGTCAACTGGTTTGGTTCACATGTCGAAGCAAAAAAAAAGTGGGGTCCAATGACAAATTAACGTACCTTGTAGAAATCGACCAACTGGTTAATCTGAGCATCTTTGGCGGAACCGGTCAACTTGGTAGCGGCAGCTACATTGGGAGGAATGAGGGTCTTGGTGCTGTAAGCACGGCGGATAATAGCGTTCATTTTCCTTTTGTTCTGTTTGTTGGAGCAAAACAAAGGCACCACACACCGCACCAAACGCGGCCCAACTAGCCATGCGGAGTTTTGCTTGGGCCCCGTCAGAAAAAGTGCCGGAAGAAGAAATTTTGTCCATCCACTTGCCAAAAGCACTGTATTCATCAATTCATGAACAATATCATCATTTAGCTCTACTCTTCTTTTCTTTGTTTATTCAAAAAATGATGTTTTATGAAGAATTATTCTGCTAACCGTGCCACTAGATGGATTTTGAAAGAGTTACTGAAAAACAAGCTAATTTCCGGCCAGGGTAAAAAAAAAAAAAAAAAAAAAAAATTGTCGACGCTGATGCCTGGAAAATCTGTCAATCTGTCAACTCGGGGCACTAACAACGTTAATGCGGCGATCGCATCACACATTAAAAGCCTGCAAAAGATTAGCAAAAAAGATTAATTGTCCGTGCCGATTCACGCTATGTTCGTGACCTCCCAGCATATTATCAGTAGCACGAATTGGTGCACCACGGTAGCGAAATGCCAAGTGACTGAAAATGACGTGCTACTGAGATGGATACCGGTACTGATTGACACCCCTTCAATATACTGTTCACAAGTGGAGTATGCTAGCTGAAGCTCGATTATGACCTGTGTTTCCGAGCAGTCATGGTTGACAGAACGCTGGCCCACCACTGATTTTCGTTGCACATGCGCACACGCAGTATAATATACTTTGAAAAACTGGAAAATATCGCACAATTGGGCAAATTGTATCCATGTTCCATCTTGGGTGACTGCGCTATGAATGAGCTTTCTATGGCAACTTCTTTGACGACGCGACGACCGGTGTTTTATTTTTTTCCTTTCCACCAAACACTGAATCAGTATGCTTCCAACCTGCCGCGGTCTGCGTTATGCCGGTCGCCGTTTTATGACCACGGGTTCAGGTGAGTAGCATGCTGAGGCCCCTTTCCTTTGATGCTTATACTGACGGCTCGACAATTAGCGACGAGTGGCCACAAACTGTATCCGACGCACATTCCCATTTCCGGATTGCAACGCACGATCCTTGCCGCTGGATCGGCTGTCACAGCTTTAAGAAATCCACTTCGTGGCGGTAATTGTTGTTTCTTTTGGACTCATGGCATTACTAGGTGTACTGGAAAATGCTAATGACAAGGGTATATACAAAAAGATATGGTGGCTGCTTTGGGCGAAACTACAGGCTACTATTTCTTGAAACGCATGCGCGATCAGATGCTTCAATCCGATACAGGTCGACAAATTTTGCGTGAACGACCGGCTATCCATACATCATCCTTGAATTTCGACGAATTACGCGCGACATGTGCTCCCGGCACGTTCGGCTATGCTTACGTCTCGTGGCTTGACGCCGAAGGTGTGACACCTGATACACGTTGTCCTGTAAGTTTCCGAACTCGGACAAAGAAAGGTAAAAAAAGAGACTAATAATGAAGGGATTGTTCCAGGTTCATTTTGTGGACGACGAAGAGTTGGCCTATGTTATCAAGCGGTATCGAGAAATCCACGACTTTTTCCATACACTGACGGGATTGGGAGTCACGGTTGAAGAGGAGCTTGCTCTGAAGTGGTTTGAGTGGGTGCAAACAGGGTTACCCATGACCGCACTTTCTTCTCTTTTTGGCCCGTTGCAACTATCTTGGCATGAACGACGCCGTCTCTATGGCACTTTTGTCCCATGGGCACTCCAATGCGGCGCTTCTTGCACTCCGCTCATGAACGTCTACTTCGAGAAGCAGTTTCATACACCGCTGGGAGAACTTCGAAAATCCTTGGGCATCATTCCCGCTCCACCCTTACACTGACTTTATCTTGCAAATAAATAAACCCATTTAGAAACACATCAATCCTCGTCTCTATCCATTATTAACCGTGAATAATGATCTTTCTCATGGTACAAAACGTATATATGCACCATATTGGCCATTCAAACAGAAAAGATGATGTTTTAAAAAAAACCATATGGAAAGCGATTTTTTAATGCGAGAGAAATAAAAAGAAGAGAATACAACGACTATACAGAACTATACAGGATTTTACAATTTTTACAAGATTTGGAGTACATATAAACAGTAGATAAAAACAATGGAGAGTGGGATGAAAAGGAAAAGGGCAACAAGTCGGGAATGCAGTTGAACAATGGGCGTGGCAAGCAAGAGTTTCGGAAACGGGAGCGGCAAAATGCGCAAAGAAAAGGTTTTTAAATGCAGATATAGGATTTGTGTCTGAACGAACTGTGAGGTGCACAGATAGGTTTTCGGAAACGAATCGTTCGGGTCGTCTTGTCGTTGTTCGATCGTGGCGGGCCACTGAGCGGGGTCATCCACTGTTTCTTTGGCTTTTTGCCTTCTACTACTTGCACGGGCCAGTCATCGAGAGGCATCTCTGCCAAGGGTAACCGTTCGATTATTGTTGTATCCTCATTTTGCAAGCAAGCGACCGATGCCGCTTCATGTACGTATCGACGAGGTTTGTATTTACCGACGTCATATCGAATAGGCGTTTTTTGATGCTTGCGAGGCATCTCGTTTTCTTGACCTTCGTCGAGGTCTAAATCATAGTCGAAAATACGGTGCTTTGAACCGATCGTCGCAGTGGACACACCGTCGTCTTGCTCAGGACACTCTTGTTGGCTGTCATTGTCGGTGTCAGAAAGAGAGGCGTTGGGCGTTGTCTCCGGAGGATGTTCTCTGCCGTAATAATACTCAAACAGGCTTGGAGGCTGATCGGGTTCGTCTTCTGGATCCACATCCTTCAAGAGAAATTCCATGGAGCGATTATAAAGGTTATTCTAAGGTGTCCCAACCCCCCAAAAAAAGAACGGGTGTTGTCAGCATTCAACCGATGCAGTAAAAGGATCAGTGTAACCGAATCAGGAAAAAAAAAAAGCGGGCTTACCATGTCTGCGTGGTCGAAATAAACGACGTCGTCCTTGTAAACAACATTAACCACAGGGTCTTTATGATCATATTTAGCTTTGGCTATGCGTTCGGTCACCGTGAAGGCGGGTTTGCGATAGTTTCTGGGCGAACGAAGGTGGCGGTCGAAAGGGCGCTTGAATTCCGTTTTAGGTGTGCGGAACCATGGACTGTCATACGCGGAATGTCGTTGCGATTCCCAGACCGGAGTGGAATGGTCAGCGATGCTGTCATGCGCTGTCGGTGACGACATGGTCAAGTTAAACAGGCAAAGAACCGGAAAAAGTAAGTTGATAAAGTGTAAATGAAAATGAAAGAAATAAAGTAGGGTGGTTGGAAAAAAAAAGAAATTTAATTTGGGATCGTTACTCTCTCATATGCATTGGAACGAAATCTATCCAATCATTTCTCTTGGAACGGTTCCAAAATAGGAAAACGGCCAAAAAAAGGACAGCTTTACGCGTTTTTTTTTTTTAAAAAAAAAAAAATTTCGACCTATTTTCCAGCTTGCTGTTTCATCATCATGACTGACACAAACGCCATGAAAATGACTATGAAAAATGTCCCCTATGGGATTCGGTGGTTTAGCGTTATTACAGACAAGGTACCTGCATTGTACTTTATGGTGTAGACATTACGCTGGGACTGTAACATAACATGAGTGGACAGACTTGAACAAGCTTTTGGCTACATGACGTTTTGCCCATGAACCCCGTGATAGGCCTAAAATGTGCCTTAATTCGCAGGTTTATTTGACAGCTGTAGTTTGGTACAGTTGTATTTCACACTATCCACTTTTCATGCCAAAAACGGCCACTGGGGTTACCTGAGGTCTCGTTACTCTTGTGGGACGATGCCAAAGTTTATGCCAAAGTATCCATAGCATGTCCCTGAATGCTTATTTCTTCACAGAAACTCACCCTGGTGGAACTTTTTTTAATGATTTTAGTGACGGGTGGTGCTCGAGGCTTGAACATCTCGAGCAATGCATACTGTTGTCAGTGGAAATCCATGCAAATTCCTGACCAATGATCGCCTGTTTACAGTCTCGGACGAACTCCCGTCCACTCGCTGTTCGATGGTGAAAAGCGGGCATTGATTGTTGCCATTTTTGTAACTTGACGCGCTGTTTATTAAACCGCTATTAGAGTCTGTCGGCAATAAAAAAAATTTAAACATGATAACAAATATTCAGTCGAGACTGTAGACAGCCATGACAGGAAGAAGAAGAAGGTCAATGGAATAAAGTGGTGTGCGGGTTTTACATCATACTTGATTTGCACATGCATTGGTAGGATTTGCGATCCAACTTTTGACGTTTGTAACCCGACAAGGAAAAAGATGTAAGAAATCAAGAAACACGGGCATGACTACTATGCTACTTACTAATAGGATCCCTCGATACTGATCGAGTTGCCAATTGCAGGGTGAAAAAACAAGCGTTTACGATAAGGAAAACTTCGTCATTACATCAAAAGATTACGCACAAAAAGGTCTTGGTCAAGAATAAAGATGAGTTTAGATTGCGTCAATGGATTTAAAAAACTTTAAAACCTTACCAACATCGCTTGTCTTTGACCGCTATTAAGATGTGTCCTATTTTGCAACTCCGTGACCATCGGACCGTCCCGCCTGTTCCCGCCAAAAATGAAACTCGGTTCTAAAAATGGCTATCCCGTGCAAGTTCTTTTGACACATGAAGGGGATATCCTTTTCCCAATTACACCTAATAATAGGCACATACTTTCAAGTGTCTAAATCCGCACCGGATATTAGCTGTCACATCTAAGCACATTTTGGTTCGCGTTTTATATGCTGTGAAGCAAAAGATATGGTATTAATAATCTTCTAGGCTCACCAATGATAAGATAACAGCAATATGCATTGATTTCAGGGCCAATAGTCTGAATGGAGCATAATTCACGCCTTTAACCTTATTTCGACGTGCATACGTTCTTTGACAGTAGCAGACGATTCTACAAAAACTTTGATCATAAATTGCATTGAAACCGAACCCGATACGATGAGCTTATTACGAAATCTGTTACCAGTGACGGTTCGAAATGGTACATACACATTACATCAATTACCTATATGGTCATTTGTCTCTGACCATCACCAAAAAAAAAAGCACCATTAATTAATTCACACACTTTCAAGGTTATTCTGTCTGTATATTTTTCTTTATTTCCAAACATTTTATATTGTCTTTGTTTATCCGATGCAAATGATAGTTTAAAGGAAACGGCATCTGAAGTTGTTCATCTACTTTTCGATTGCCAATTGCAAGATAACCAACAAGAATGGTATCTATGGTATAAGGTTTTCCTTTATAGAAACCTTTGATGGGAAAGCATTTATTCTTAAGTTATAAGAAAAAGAGGACACTATGTGTCTAATATTTTTGAGTTAATTGACGATTATCAACTGTTTGTCGCTTGAATTTTGGTCCCTGAAAGTCATCCTCAGCCGTACTACGCCTTTCCATGTTACAGAAGAATCGATTATTTACGAGCAATCTCACGCAAAATAATCAGGCAACCTTGTGTATAATTCGTCTGAATAATAGTGACCGTGTATTGAGCACAGGAAAAAAAACCCCAAACCACGACATCAAGTCAGCTCGCAATCTTTAAGAAAATATACAATGATGAACCTGTACCTTGATCAAAAGGGACAACAACGATATGAAAGCAGCCACTCATGCAGTTGTTTCTATTTGACAGCAAAATGAAGTATTTAATCAGCTCTAGACACTGTATGGGGTGTAATAAATTCTTGTATAAAGTAAGATTCTATATTCCCAGAATGTGTCACCAACTACTATGCTACCTCTATCAAGATGGTTCGATGCATTGGTATCAATTATTTATTTACTTTATTTTCTCACAGGCACGACTCATACTGTGTTGGATTGGATTGGCCCATGTGTTGGCCGCATGTTGCTGAGTATAGTCATTCTCTTAAACGCCGCGCACAGATATTTCTGGTTGCACAAACGCATGGCCCTCCACGATTGATTTGCTCTTCAGCAGCAATCACAAAAAAAAAAGGTAAAAAAAAAAAGAAAAAAAAAAGAAACTGTCGATCAATAGCTGAGTAAAGAGATGAGCATGCTGTATAGGAGGATTTTAATTACTGTAATTCTGAATAAAGAAAACTTAATTTAAAAGGATGAACAATATCAATACAAAAGGAATGGACAGTTGAAGGAATGGTGTGGATTTGGTATAATGAGTGTTGTTGAAGGAAACAAAAAGATATAAGTATTTGCGTATTTTTTTCATAGGGTGACAAGGAGTGTTTTGAATGATCAATTGACCGATTAGTTGGATTCGGTAGATGGACGTCGTACTTCTGGACAGTAGTCTTCGTGAACAAAGATGGAGGTGTCGACCCCACAATGGGCACAGAATGTAGTATAGCCATAGCTGGTTCGAGATCGGCTAGGACCACAGGAGGATTTTTCATAGCAGACGAGAGATTCTTTGGAATAATACATGATGATATATGTTGACTTGGAAGTTTGGCTTTGGATGAGAGATCAGTGAATATGTAAAGAAGAGAGTTTTTGGGATGCGTAAAAGAAGTAGTCTGATTATGTAAAAAGCTAGAGAATTTTGGTGTCCCCACTTCCGTCCGTTGGCTGTCACTTTATATATAGGGGTGGCGTTCCGTGACTTTGTGTCACCTGCCTTTTTTGGAATTGAAACATGGCTTCCACACCATTTGCACCAATCAAAACCTCGCAGGATCTTTTCCGGACAACTTGATGGCCGTTTGCATTTGTGATTTTTCTCTGCATGTTTCTGCATACTTCCACCGTCCTGCAGATCGAGCTTTTCTTTTTTCCAATTTTCTGTAGATCAGTATCATTTCCGAGGTGAAAACAACATACATGATTCTAAATTCTAAATACTCTGGACAATGGCAAATACGCAGAAAAAATAGCCCAAGTCCAATGTTTCCAGGACATTCCGATAAAATGTCTTATGGAAGCAGATAGATGCCCGTAAATTCACATCTTTGTTCTGCGTTTCCTTAATAAGCTAATCTTTTTTGATGTTGGGATCAGTATCGCTGTTTCCTAATTTCCAACACAAAAATTGCTCTGCAGAATTTTCCACGCACTTGTTATGCATGAAACAACCGCTGGTAATATGGTAGCCCGGTTTCAGGAAATTATTGGCAGGTTCCCCGAGGGATCGGTATGCATTTCAAAAAGAAAACATCCACGCTCTGGGGCTTCTAAATCATGCGCGTGTTAACAAGTGATGATACAAAATTTCCGGTTCTGTCCTTGCGAGATGAACCACCTAACAAGAACCGGTTTTCTGGAAACTGCATGATGGGTAGTACAGAAAATACCGTTTTTAGGGTCTATGTCCAAACTAGGCAATCCCATCGAGAAAGGTGGGCCTTTGGTTGCACTTCGGGGTGTTAAACAAGACCTCAAAAAAGAATTTTCATATCGGCACTTCAATTCGAAGGACGATGGCCCGGCGGAGTTTCTGTCAGCGTAAAATTTTTGTCGGTTGAGAGAGAGAGGCGCTTGGACCGTGGGGGCGGTGGCCAGAACTCCATTGTGGACAGAAAACCATGGAAATGAAAGGTCAACTTATGCTTAGATGCTTGAAACCGGGATGTCAAGATGGTTTCAATCATTTTTTAGGTTGGTTTCTGATGGAGAATGGATAATCCGTCGGATAGAGAAAGAATCCTCTGATGAGAGAGGTCTATACAGATGCATCGAATCTTTCCTCCAGAGGGTTTTCCATGCGTTCAAATGCACAGAAAACTTTTTTCCATCTATGATCGTTCATTGAGGAGATTGAACATTCACTTTGAAGTCTTGTACACTGGAATATTCGAGATCAATAGAAAAAAAGCGAAAAGCAAACAAACACACAAAATAACAAATCTGACGCAAAAACTAGAGTCTGAGGAGGTGGATGGCGTGCTCAAGGAAGACTTACTCCTCGCTTCATCTTATAGTATGGTCTTTTTTATTATTATTTGCACAAGTCTTTTTGATCCCCTTACTTCTTGCGCCGATCTCGTTCTTGATTGGGTCATTCCATTATCAGAGCGTTGATACATATTAGGGGAAAAAAAAGGAAAATCTCCAAGTGCCTTGGCATATGCATTTTATTAAGTTAATGAAAAAAAAAGCAAGGACCTGCATATCCGTATACTTCTTCCGAGATACTTATGAATCGTTTCCTATATGAGATGAAGAATGGATTCATTGCGTACATCTTTGGATTCTTGACCTCTTTTTTTCTCGGGTTCTCCTCTGCTCCTTTCCTCCTTTTCCTTGCTTCCCTTGCTATCATTCATACATATTCTGCAACACCTTTTTTTCATTTTTTTTCTGTGAACCGTCAATCATTATGTCAACAGGGTATCCGACCGATCTCATCTTGGGGATTCAAGGGCACCAGGATACTGTTCACACCATCAGCACGATCACAAACCTCGTGTCCATCATATGCACCTCGATGGTATTGCTTTTTTTGATCGCAGCCCAAATGTTGAACGGTCAACTCGTCAAGCCAATGACGGTGCGTTTAACGATCGCTATTGCCTGCACTCTGTGGGCATTGTCATTCGTCCGTCTTTTGTATCCTACCGTATCCCACGATGCTATCTCGTGCCAAAAGATCATGATCACAATCATTTGGTTCAATAACCAATACGTCTTCTTTTCCATGGTATATACGATAACACCCGCCTTCATGTAAAACCATTTCTGATGCCAAAAGAATGACACTCAGCTTTATCAATTTTTTTTTATTGTCACACAGGCGTTAGAGATGTCTATTTTTTGCAACCTTTTTTCAAAAGAAGCGCTGAGCTCCAGCATCGAGAAATGGTAAAAATAACCATGGTGCTAAAAAATCCAAGATCCGCCGTAATCAATGAAACTGATAGTTTGATGTGCCTAGGTTTTACATGACGCCAGTCCTTTTGGCTTTTCTTACTGCATTATTCACTGCGATGTTTGAAGTGGTGGGGTACAATCAGGATCGCGAAGCTTGTTGGTATAATGGTATTACAAAAAAAAAAAAAAAAAGCCGCCAAGACCATTTCCGTAAAAAGGCATGTTGCTGATGGTCGATGCATAGTGTCGGCGACGACATGGGAATATGCGACACTGATAGCACCTCAAATGCTTGGTGTCGTCAGTACTTTCCTCGGCGCCTTTTTTCTAATGATATTGAAAGTTTGCCGTCGTCATCAAGCCAAACTGTATGATGATGGCCACGAACACTACTTTGTGAAAACTGCCACTCTTTTACATCTTTTTGCGCCAATGCTAGCCCAAACAGGTTTTATTGTTTCAGAAATCTATATGCAACAGAATTTCCGGTAAGAGAATCCATTGCAATATCAACGGGGTCCAATATATAAAAAGATCCGGGCGCTTGTGTTTATGCTATTACTCCTGTAAACCTTAGTATCAGTTACTGGTTAACGATATGGGCTTCCTTGACAACCGGGTTGGTAGGCGTCTTTCATTTTTGCGGCTTTCTCACGGATCCTGTGGTTTGGGACGTCCTGGCTGACATGAGAAGGTAAAAAAAAAAGAAGGGATACCGGACCTCATGAAGATAAGCAAGAAAAAGGAATCGCCCCTCGCTCTAAAAAAAATAATGCCTCATCTACTGTTTCAGGGACATTCTCCATCAGGATGGTGCATCATCCATTTCGGCAAGTAATATATCGCCATGCAGTCTCCGATCTTTTAATGCACGGTCCTATAAATTAAACGAGGTGGATCCATCTTCTTTTCCCCAACCAACACCATTACTACCAGCACCTACGATGGGTTCATTTACTGCTTTTCACACATTCACCAATACCCACTCTTCCATGAAACCTTCACAAAAAATGATGCGATGGATCGTCATCAAACTGTGGCCCCATCATCGACAATCGACTTCAAGGTATCGGACACCTTCGCCCACCGTCGATATGCACTATGCAAGTTCACTGAACCAGTCGAGTCAGTCGAGCCAGTCATGCATGCGTCAAGAGGACTCGTTATCGTTTCATGAAACCAAAATGAAAACCACGCCTTTTTCCTTCACGTGTGAGGAGCTAGTGATGGATGAACCTCCCAATGCGATCCTGTCTCCCACTACACCTCATTTCACCATCCCTATTTGCTTCGAAGAACTCGACAGTGCCGTACCTTGGCGAGTCCTGGAAGTCGATGAAGATGAACAAGATATTGGTGATTCATTTCTTCAGCCCAAAAACAGTCAGGATGGGACCGATCCACGAAAAAGTCTTAGCAGTAGTCCTCGCACCGATAGTTGGTTAGAGCTCAACGATGATCCTCCCACCTCGCCTTCACGGGTCTCGCAATGGTTCCATAAACGTGGTGATTCTTTTGAAAATGTGCGAGAGCGAATGGCCCGAAGTTCGAAAAGCCTTCGACGTTGGCGACAGCAACAACAACAGCAGCAACAGCAATCACATCCATCGGATCTTCAAGAACCAGGTCTAGCTTCTTTGTCAACAGGTACCCGACAATCACGAGCATTATCTGACTCGTTTGATCCCACCATGTTGCAAGCCGTACCTGAATCACCGTCCGAAGAAGAATCGTTCAATGACACTGCTGTGCGTGCCGTGACGGTATTAGCCAACTCGATGCATTCAAATTATCGAATGATCTAACAACGCCAGTGAACTCGAAACAAAAAGCAACCCAAAAAGAAATAGTAATGTTTCTGTTCACTTGGTAATGAGGGCCCTCTCCCAACAAAAAAAAAGCAACAAAAAAGATAGTGTATATCGACATATGCATGTATCAGTATTTCTATTTGTGTTTATGTGCTTGAATGTGTATGTGATCTGCCTGTGTAACTTTCTTTCTGTTTCTTCCTTTCCCTTTTCTCTTGTCCTTTTTTTTGTGTGTCCTTTTTTGTGTTTTTTTGTTGTTGTTGTTGCTGTTATGTGTATATAAATTATCAGTATGAATTACGACGAGTGAGAATGGGACGTTGCGAAGAAATGTGATCATCATGTTTGGTAGCGATAGTGAGTGGAAGAGAAAAGTCGGGTTGCGAGGTATAGTGAGAGGGAGCTCTTTTCCTTGTCATGACGGATTTCCCATATCGTCGGCTGGTAATGGACCGCCTTTGAATGATTAAGGGCAAAGGAGATGGCATCACTTCGGTTAGATTGGGAGTGGTAGTGTTGAGATTGGTATTAATGTGGGTGGGGCGATCCATGAACGTTCCAGGCAACGATAAACGTCGGACTTTGGAGGAGATCCAACGCACCGGGGCGGTCCGAGTGGTCGTGGTGACGACTCGGTCAACCATGACATTGGCTAAAGCAAAGAAGAAGGCCCACGCAATCATCCCGGTAAAGTTGGAAGGTGAACCGGAAGGTGTGACGGCCGCCACGGCCGTGGTGTGATTAGGAATGGCACTGAATGCAATAGAGATAAGCGCATGAGGGATATGCAGTAATGGCAAAAGAAATAAAGCCGAGAACCGAGAATCCATGGATCGTTGTGACGGCGGTGAAGGAGAAAATGGATGGGTTGGATGATTGGCCGTAGCATCGAGAACCAGATCTCGCGAAAGGGAATCGACAAGAGCAATAGACGAATCGAGTTGTTTAAAAGATTCCAACAAGGGCGATTGTACCTGAACCATACTACGTTTAACAGATCTTGGCGTTTTGGATCGTCGAATCGGTGCAGGACAAGAAAGCGGCCGACCATTCATATGACGAAAATAAGTTTTTTTCACAGGGGAGGCAGGGGTAGGACTGGTGGCGGTGGAAGAGGATGAGGAAGGGATGGTGTGAGGCGGCGAAAACAAGGCGGTTGGTGAGGAGCAAGAAGAAGTGCAGGATAAGCTAGAGTCACGCGCATGAACGATCACTGGAGTGTGAGAAGCACGGCTGTGTTTGGGCCGTGGCAATTTCGACGACGTGACAATCGAAGTGGACCGTCGTAGAGCCGGTGCCGTGATGGGTGGTGCAGAGTATCGAAAAGGTCTGGTCATCATACTGCTCCGCTCTTTCGGTGTATTATTATTCACCGCTTCGTTGGCTTCCTGTATCAAGTTGGACAGGATATCCGATATTCGATCAAATCTTTGCTGCTGATCCATCTCACTGCAGTCGTCCTCTGCTTCATCATCCGTACTGTCGGCTGTTGAATTTGAAAGCAGCGCCAGCGCCGAATCTGGGCGTGTGATGGTATGCCGACGACGGGATCGTTGCGTCGTCAAAGATAATGTAGGCGTCATCTGTACCGGCGTTGACATGGACGGCATGGGGTCCGGCATCTTTAGGGATTCCTCTGGCGGTGGAGTATTCTAAAAGAGAAAAAAGAAAAAACAAGCTTTCAGTATTCGCGTTATCCAAAACAGAGATTGCGCACAACAACCCCAAAAACCGTCGTGGTTTAAAATGAACCACCATGAAAAAAAAGCCAAGAAACAACGTTACGGTTACCATGATAAGATGGGTTTATATATATATAATATGTATGTGTGTATGTGTGTATGGTGTGTGTGTGCCTGTGTGTCGACGTGTATGTGTACAATAAGAAAAAATAATAATCACTTGTATAACGAAGCAGGGAATAAAAAAGAAAAAAATGACAACCACGCAAAAGACGAGAAAATAAGACGGAACAAGAACAAGAATAACAAGTAGAAGAAGAGGATAGAACCAAAGAGAGAGAAAGAGGAAAGTGAAGAAGAAGAAGAACAAGAAGAAGAAGAATATAAAAATAAAGGAAAATAAAAAAAAGAGGCAAGAGGAGGCACAAGAAAGAGCAACTCCAAAATCCTAATGGTCCGGTCGACATGATTTTTGGTCAACCGCTGACTACCATTTTCGGCCCACTAAGGTAATTTTTTTTTTTTTGTGGGTTATCTCTTTCTTTGTGAATTCCACATGATGAAAGGGCCCAAGTCCAAATTGTCTCTCCTCTCTTGATGCGTGTGTGTTTTTTTTTTCTTTTCTTTGTTTCTTGTGGTCTTTTTTCTACGCGAATCCAAGATGAGGTTTCTTCTTTTTATCACCGTCACCGTATTTGGCCGCCCATTTTCGTATTTCAATCACCGAATCCATGTCTTCGCCTGAGCTTGCCGGTACCAGTTTCAAGGCTTGATCAAAATGCTCTTGACCGAGTACCCGTTTCTTCTTGGTTGACACTTCTTGTTGAACGGCACGCAAGGCCGCCGTAACACACAGATTTTTCAGATCCGAACCAGAATAATGCTCCGTCACCCGTGCCAGCTCCGCCACAGAGACTTTGTGTTGCTCATCCCGCAATAACATTTGCAGAATATGCGCACGATCTTCCTCCTTTGGCAAGTCCACTAAATCACATTCCACATTAAATCTTAATGACGCAGAAAAGAAAACACACATATACATCACCACCACCACCAACATCATCATCACCCAATTTCAATTTGACTAGTTTTGGACTGGTACCTAATATTCGTCGGGGCATCCGCCGCAATACCGCATCGTCTAAATCAAACGGTCGATTTGTCGCTGCCATCACCATGACGCCTTGATTATCACTGGTGAGACCATCCCATTCCACCATAAATTGGTTGATAATTTCACGATGGCTGTTGGAGGTAGCATCCGACCGTCGTCGATTCATCAGACTGTCCACTTCATCAATAAATATCACGCAAGGCGACAGTTTTCGAGCCAGCGAAAACAAAGCCTATCAAAGAGAACACAATGAAAAAAATGTATTTCAACATCCGACCTCGCATTCACCTGACATCTGAGTCCAATGTTTTTTTTTTTTTTTTTTTTTTTTCGTTCACGCCGCGGCTTGCTCTTTGCCCATCCGCGCCTGCCCCCCAACTCTTTTTTCCCCCCTTGATCCTTATTTAAGCTACATTGTTCATTTTCATTTCATTTACCTTTACATTTTTCTCTCCTTCACCGAGATACATCTCATATCTACCAAAAAAGAAACAATAAAAACAATTAAAAAAAGAAAAAAAAGTGAGAAAAAGGAAAGAAAGGAAATACAAAAAAAGCCAAATGCAATTTTCGTCATTACTCCGCTCATTTAAGCATGGCGATCATACCATTGGCTTTCTCAAAAAACGCGTTACTTACATATCACTTGCTTGAATTTCCAACATTCGACTTCCACTTTCCTTGGCGACGGCTTTAGCCAACATGGTCTAAAAAATTAAAGGATTCGCACAATATGTCGTTAGCACAGAAACAAATTGTTTTCAAAGGGTCCTGACGAGTTGGGATCCCCTGAGTCGACTCGATAGGTGTGTTAATTTTTTTTTTGTTACCTTTCCTGTTCCTGGTGGACCAAATAGTAATACACCGGATATGAAGTTGCGTTTTAAAATTCCATGCTGGAAAAGATCCGGTCGGATCAGCGGCAAACTGATCAGTGTCTGCAACGTTTCAATCGTAACAGAAGAAGTTCGCACATCCTTGAAAGAGCCCTGGATTTTCGCTAAAGAAAAATGAGCATGCGAAATTAGCGTCACCGACTATTACTGGACCGACTGGGAGAGGCTTTACTTACAGGGATCTACGATACGGGACAACAACTTTTTTTCATAGTCATCGCATCTCGATCTTAACGCGTCGATATTGATGGTACCGTCTTTATCGAGACGCAAGGGTTGACGTTCCAAAAGCTTGGCGGTGTCCCGTCGAAACTTAATTCCTTTTTGTACAATTTCATTGGCTACTGCAAAATCCTGCAGATCCGGTCTTGATTTCTTGTGCTGCAATGCACTGCCGACCGCGGTGGTCACGCAACGATCCACATCTTCCATGGCCCAGACTTCATCTTGGATACCTTCCAGCTGACTTAGTTCCTTGTCAAGTCCTGATACACCATCCAAGGGTTTCATGCTTAGCAGATGTTTATGGCTATACACAGCTAGGATTTGACGCACGTTCATTTCCGCAACGCGTTCGGCTCCATCCTTGGTCAGTTGCACTTCCCATGACTTGAACGACTCGTGATGAGGCAACGGGAGAGGTACAGTGATACACTTCATGCCTGTCAACAAAGGCACATCATCGATATGCATTTCGTTATCGGTGGAACGCAGCGATGGCGAATATCCGGCCAGAATCGTCAACGGATGACCTTTTTGTTTGAGATCCTCCACGGCGGTGACCAGCGCTTTGAGCATCACCGATCCAAACATATCATGCATTTCACCGTAATCCCTCAAATAAACAACCTTTGGACGAAGGGTCGGGGACACATCCTTCTCCTTATTGATCTGCTTCGATAGCATCTGTCGGAACAGCGAGCTGTACCGAGTCGACACGCCTTCCATCACCTTTGGTAACGCACCAGACTGGTCTTTGAGCAACTGAGTCACCAGTTCCTGATCGTGGGTATTCTGCTGAGAAGGCGAATCGTCATCGGCGCTCAGATAGACCGGTCCTTCTGTTCCATAATCTGCATCCAATGCCTCGTCGTCTTCGGACATCACCGACGCATGTTTTTCCGCGGTGGTGGTGGCTCGTGATGATTTCGATTTCGACATGCCTGGACGAATAGCCAGCACGGCGGTCATGTTCTGATTGGCTAGAGGAGACATCATAGGCAGTAATGTCATGGCTAAAACAATTCAAAAAGAAAAAAAAAACTCATCCCAGGGTCAGTTGATGCAACCGTGAATGAAAACGCACAATGACCCTTGATTTGGTTACCTTTTCCGTAACTATCTTTTGCCAAGAATAGAAAATCCTGAGAATCAAAGCTAAGGAGATCGGCTTCCACTTGCTGTGCCAACCGTTTCGCAATTTTATCTTGGATAAACGTGGTCCCCTTTTCAGGTATATGTAACAGGGTGTGATCGGAATGGTTATAGGCTGCCAACGACCCCTTGGGTGCCAGCCCTGTCCGTGTGCAAAAGACCAGCTCATTCCACACATGATCTGGAACAATGGAATCTTTGATCGCTTGTGGAGAGTGTCGCATAAGCGGATCATATCGAATGTAATTGGTGGAAAAAAATGTTTCTACCGAGAAAATGCGCGCCATGAGTATCATGATCGTTTCGACAACAAGCTGGATCCCACATGGATTGAAGAATCACTTACCCGATATGGTTGATAACGATCGCTTGCCTTTACGATTGAATTTTCGGCCTTTTGTATTCGCTGCACCATCCACCGCATCTTGTTGTTTGGATCCCTTGTTCTGAACCTTGTTATGGTCCTGATCCGGTGACGATTCGGACGATGAAGCCGCTGTCGCCGCTGCCGCGGCTGCTGCTGACGCTGATACCGCCGGTGTTGCCGCAAGTGCACAAGCGGTGGTACTAAGCCAACGTACATTGCTCGGTTGCGAAACTCTCAATCGACAAAGATGAAGCATTTGTCTCTTGATGAATGAAGCGGGAGGGGAGGGGGCTGAGGTAAATCAAAGGGAAATCTACTTTGGCTTATTGCTTTCCTTGCAAGGAGACATTGGCCCACCGACTTGTATCCCAATTTCAACAAATTTGGGCCATGTGACCATCTTTTTTTTTGAACTTGAAACTTGATCCGTTGTAATAGCGACCGAGGCCCGAGTCAGGCAGAAAATTGAAATGAACCGATGCTTTCTACCAACGCCTTTCATATGAAAATAAATATGCAAAGTCGCGAACCCACCAGAAATCTGTAAATACAATTGGTATTCTGTGTTTTCATTTTCTTTCCATGTCGTCGCTTGATTAAACATCGGAAAACAGGGTAAGAGGATATACAGACAGCGCCGAAGCTTCTAAGGATATATGGTCTTGATTAGATCTTGTCTGAATAAAGAACAGAATGCTGTAGTATCTTATAATCTGTAATATTATGGAAGCGTGTCACCTGTTATTCTACGTTTTCGGAATGTTGATGAAATATTGCTCTGCAACAAGAGATTTCTTAGGTCACGGGAGGCTGTGAAATCCTGTATTTGATATATGAACTACTATATCTTGATGCCGCACACACAGCTTTCTCTTATACAGTTTCGTTCATACCCAGTGAAAAAAGGGATGTAAAAAAAGTTGACGATGATTTATTTATACAAAAGAATGATGCCAAAAGAAAATTTTGCATGAAAAATATAAATTATGATTTGATGCAGAAAAATGTGCTTCCAAAGCGCGCTCTAGCACAGGCTCCTTCCAATCGTTTTTGATCGGTAGTCGTCCATCGTTCGGCTTCGGGGACTTCATCCAACTTGGTTTTACTATACTTTTCCATGAATATCTTGTACTTTGCCAGTAATCTATAAACAAAAAACAATTCCCAATGGTGAATCATGAGGAGGTGGATCTTCTCTCTAACAAAATGGTACTTACTGTTGGTATTGCGGGACATCTCCTGTGCCGCCCATGATGACGACGGCGGTAGAGGATGGGAGTTTTTGATAGAGCTGTTGCAGATAATCATCAAAACGAGCCAGTCGTTCTGCTTGTTCGCCTTTGCCGAGAACCGATTCCGGAAGTACTTTGGGAGCGAGTTCCTCGGATTGTTCACCGTGTTCCAGGACCCGGAATCGCGACAATACAAAATCGGTCTTGACTAATTTTCGAGCAACAGCATCGACGAGTTGCTCATCGGTCTCACAGCGCTCATAATCGTTGCCCAAGGAGGCACGGAACATGCCGTTGACGGTATTGGCACTTTCCAAAATCGCACCCTTTTTGGGTGGGTTATAATGACGTAAACGATCGAACAACAATTCGGTTTCTTTGCCAAAACGACCAAAGTGAGGTCCGTAGCGTAGTTTGAGTCGGAACAAATCCAAAGTTGCTTTGGCATCTTCGGCGGAATCGTGACCAAACGTGGCTTTGTTGTGTTCCTGAATCTGTCGTTTCAAAATGTTGCGTGACAGCACTCGCAACGCCGGCTTGAAAGGTGGACCACGGAAATGATCGTACAGTAAGGCGGTATCGGCACAATAGGGATGCGCAATTTGAAGCGCTCTTAAATCGTTCTCCAACGAGTGACCGACAAGGATCACGTTGTGATTCACGATTTTGCGGAAATGTTTTTGGGCTCTTCGCAAAGAACACGTCGCCTTTTCCATGATTTCAGGTGTAATACCGGAATACTGCGTAAGATAATCGATGACGGGCTCGTCGGGCTTGACAAAATCATCCAACAGAATTTTACCATCTTCATCCACAAGTGTGACACGTGCAAGTGCGCTTCCCTTGGCAGTGGCTACCATCTCACAATCCACCGCCATGATCCGTTTCTCTGGCACTGTCTCCTTGACAGCATTGGTTTCTTTCCATCCTTCCGGGAGAGTTTGAGATGCGTCGAGGCAAGAGGGTATAGGATAACCGTTGGCACGAAGTTCGTCCAACGTCAATACGTAGAATTCACGCATGTTATGGTTCACTTTCTCCTGACGGTCCATCAACTCTTTATGTTTCAAAGCCTTTGTACGGAGAGTCAGCTTGCACTGCAGTAATTCCTGAACCGGCGACATGATTTTGCCTTTGTTGCCTGAAATCTTATTGATCAGCATCTGTGAAAAGCAGCTCGTCAAGAATGGCATGGCGGCTTTGCCCACATCCTTTTCCTTGTCCAATGTATCGAGAGCGATGGACGTCGGTACTTGCACGCGGTTCTTGTCGGCGCCAAAGAACGTGATATCCAACCCCTGGGCGTAAATGAACAGAAAACGCTGGATTTTGGATCGGTTGACGACGCTGATCCACTGAGGAGGTTTGGCTTCGGCAAGACAATACAAAATATAATCCTGAATCTCTTTCATCGACAGTTTTTGTTTCATGACGGCTGGTTTTAATGTCATGACAGGAATTTGCACCTTGATAAAAAAAAAAAGCATGAGTCTCCAGCATCCTTTGCTATTGTCTTGGTTTTTTTTTTTTTTTTTTTTTTACTTACCTTGGTATCTCCAACCATGAGTTTTGCCCTTCTTTTTTCGCGTTTCTTTTGTCGAATTTCCGCTACTTTGGCCAAAGTCTCTTCTTTGGTCAACTTTTTCTTTTCGACCTGTTTCTTGTTTACAATCAACAACGGTTTGGTCTTTTTCGCATCATCTTTTCCTAAAAACCGAGTTGATAGTTATTTTCTGTTTGTGGTTCAGAACTACCGCCGAATGTTCATTTTTTTACCTTGATCATTGGCTGGTCTGGGTCGTTTTCGTTGTTGCGTTGGTTGTGATGCGGATGACGCCTTGGCAACAGTGTGTCCATTCGGCAATGCTTTTTTCTCACCATTGACTTTTGGTTGTTCCGCATCACCACTGTCGATTTTAGCCTTTTTGGCCACCGGGAGTGAGGCGTCCACGTTGGCTGATCGGGCTTCTACTACTGCAGGAGGATCATGGGCAGGATGGTGTCGTTTCTTTTTCGGTGGTTTTTCAGCACTATCGGTATCTTTTGCGTCGTTTTTCCCGTCCTTTTTATCCTTCTTGGACTTTTTATCTTTCTTCTCCTTTTTCTCCTTTTTTGGCTTTTCGTCTTTTTTCGGAGAAAGTGAATTGGTGGTGGTGGTGGGCTCGTTATCGTCAAAAGTGACGTGGATCTTCTTGGTGGTATCATGAAGAATCACATTCTTCGGAACCACAGCCGGAGTGAACTTTTGCTTCAACAATCTCGAGTTCTTCATCGCTGGCTGTCGCTGGCTGAGATGCCCTCCAATGTAGATCAAGAAATGGAGTTTCGTCCGAAAATTTAAACCATATTTAATGCGGAGCTAAGCCACCTCACATCGCTTAGCTGACAATGCCCGAGTCCGGTTATTTTATTATTCTTTCGGATCATCTACTGTTTCCTCTCCGGAGTATGCTATGGTTCTACACTTGTATGAATAAAACTGCATTCGTCTGTTTTCTCAATGGGTGCTGGTAAAAATATTTCATTGAACAGGATATTTAATGTACAACAGCAAGTGATGTAAACTGCGCAAGAAAAATTCATGCCATGATATTTCACCTGCTACCAGGAAAGGGGTGAATGAACAAAAGGTTATGCTACAAAAATACCGATGTAGTGATGCAATTTTGGTCGTATAAATATGAACCTTATGGATTTAAGAGATAGTATAATATCGAAACAGAGTGGTAAATATTCTTGATGTCTGCTTCGCTAAAAAGCTAGGTTAAAACCCAAAGTTTTGAAATAACTAAAGGATGAGTCAGAAAAAGCTAGAATAATACGCAGTAACAGATCAACAATATCAATGGATGCATTTCTTTGAAATTTGAGCACGCTAAAGGAGCAAACGGTGATACTTGTGTAGACACCATTGAAAATGATTACTTGACCTGATCATATATCATCTCTGTCTGGAAAAATGGTTTTCTTCAAAGCATGGATCCGTCTGCTTCGGTTGATATTGTGCGGCTAGCATCAGGAATCCAATGCGAGCATTTTCTGATCTCTAGCGAGATATACTGTATAACGGCATCCACCGTAGTATATGGTACATAATGGTAGTAAATAAAAGTACAGCAGCCTTCATGTAAAACCAGAGTCAGTCAATTCGGGGAGCGCGACAGCATCGGGAGGTTATGAGATACATGTTACAAAGATACTCATTTCGTCTCCAAGGCAAAGAGAAGAAAGTACATTGATGCAGCGCATCGAGTGTTATTATGTTTCGAAAAAATGGGGATATTGGGGCATGATTCTCTCCAGTTTGGTTGATTGCGTTTTTCTTATAACACCGTTGCTATCAGTTTTTATAATTTGATGACATTATAAAAATTTTGCATGGACGAGATTTAAAGTAGAGTTATTCGGGAGACAACGGTGTCCTTGGTGAATGTGATACACGCAGGTTTTATGCTTCAAATTGGTAGGTGGACAGGTGACATAATAATCGGGATCAATTCAAACTGAGAAAAAGTGGGTTCAACTGTGTCACCTCTACTGTTTCCAAAACATGGAACGATTGGCTCGCTTATTTTCAAAGTGCATATTGCTAGTATAAAAAAGCCGTGTCGACCGAAACCCTATCCGTTTCTCTCGCTTTTCTTTTCACTTGCTTTTTTACTTTATTCAAATCGCCTCTTTCTCAAACATGCTTGGTGAAGCGTCTTCTTATCAAGGTAAACAGCACCCCTATGGCTGAAGGTCCCGGGCGGAGACTGCGTTGTAAACGTGTGGAGATCATAAGACCACGATGTTTTGAGCTTCCATCCATTCCCGCCTCTAAAATAAGAACGGGGATCAAGGCAAAAGATAAGACGAAATATACTAAACTCGTTTTTTTACACAGGTGGTTATGAACGACCCAATGCCGACGAAGCAGCTCGTATTGCTACGCGTCATGGTGCTTCCGAAGGTAAGCAAATGATAGCATCCAAGCTGGGTGGGAAGGAAGAGAAAAAAAAAAAAAAGGGTTGAACGAGTGGGTCGTATTTCGTTTCATGTTTTCTTGCATTTTAAACTAAAAATCCACTGTTCGGATGGACGTGATTTTTAGAGGAACACGGTCTCTTCTCGTCGGTATTGTCAAATTTGTTACATAAAGATGACGACGACGATGATGCGCCTACCAAGAAGCCTGTCAATGCAGATGAAGTGGAGCACGCCGCACAAGCTCACGACAAAATTTACAGCCAAAACGGCGGTGAGCCCAATGAGCAAAGCTCTTCACGTGATTTAGGTTCAGCCGCAGCTTTGCAAGCGTTCAAGATGTTCTCTGGTGGTGGCGGCAGCAGCGGAGGCAGCAGCAATGAATTGATTGGTATGGCGATGGGTGAAGCCATGAAATTATTCAACGCTCAAAGTGGCAAAACCGGTGGCGGCAGCAATGTCGATCAAGCTGAAATGCTTCAAAACGCGGCTATGATGGCCATGAAATTGTATATGACGCATCAGTCATCACAAAGCAACTCGGGTGGCAGCAGCAGTGGAGGCATCGGTGCCTTGATGGGCATGTTGGGCGGTGGTCACCAGAACCAGAGCAGCAGTGGTGGTCTTGCTAGTAGCTTGCTTAGCAAACTTTTGTAATGCCCATTTTTTTTTCTTACGTCTTTTTTATTTTACCCCATCTGTCATTTGCTGTAAAGCTTCGTCTCCTGATATTGTCATAAAAAGAATAAATGATACTGTTCAGAGGAGGAAAAAGGATGGAAAGAAGGCCCAAAATTCTCATCGTCGGCAACGTGGAAACTCCGCTTTTACTATTTTTAAGAAAAAAAGGCAACAGTGGCAAGAGCATTAAACGATGGATAGGAAAATTTTATTCCCATAGCGAAAAAAAACCAGTAGATCCGCAGTGTGAGATGCGCTAACAAGGGAAAAAATAAAGCAATCAACCGATCACTCCAAGAGTATATCGTTTAGTATTTGAGAGTTCCCACGTACACTCTTTTATTTTTATTTTTTATTTTATTTTACTTGTTATTTATTTTTGGATAGTCAAGGGGAATAAAAGGGCGGTGGATGGCGGGCCGATGGATAACGAACTCCGTATTGTCCCAACTTGGTTTGCGTCCCTATAACAATCGACTGCAAACAATTGCAACCCCTCTTTTTGCTTTCTCTTCCTTCCCTGACCCCCGCCTTTTTATCTCTTTCTTTTTTTTCTTCTCTCTCACATTACCCACACGCCATTGACTGACTACTTGCGCAATGTACGATCAGAAGAAAGACAAGCCTAAAGATTACCTATTGGGTCTTCACTGGGCCGCTACAACTGGCAATGTTGGTAACTACGATGAACAAAAAAAAGCTTGCAGTTTTCTTTCCTTTCTTGGTTTCTCTTATTATCACTATTATCATTTTCTTGACATGTTATAATAACATAAAAGAAAAAAAATGATTCTTATTGATGCTATTATAATATTGATTCAAAAAATGAGGGGGTTTTTTCTTTGACGTTTTTTTTTTTTTTTTTTTTCCATGCGAATTGATGACTAACGAGGACGTTCCTATGGTTGCATTTAGGTCTAGTCAAGTTTGCGCTTGATCATGGTGCACCGATTGATTCGGTGGTGAATGGATTCATGCCTTTACAACTTGCATGTATCAGTGATAATAATATTGCGGTGGTGCAATATCTCATTGATCGTGGAGCGCAAGTCAATGCACAGAGGTAAAATGTCTTATTAATTCACGTTCCGTGGTTTCTTATCGGGCAACTCCTAAATCCTCCGTCATGTGCACTTGTCCTACTTAGATGGTCGAAAAAACACAGCGCAGATAAATCACAAGCCGTAGCAGGTGCTACAGGCTCCACCGCTCTTCACGTCGCCTGTGCCAACGGATGTGCAAAGATTGTTGATTTGCTACTACGCAACAATGCCCAAGTCGATGTCAAAGACAAGTACGGATCCACTCCCATGGATGTCGCTGCCGCCAAGCATTATATGGAAATTGCCAAGCTATTGGAAACCTTTGGACAATTACAAAAACAGCAAAAGAAGGAACATGAACAACAACAACAGCAGCAGCAGCCGTACCAGGAACGACGGTCAATGGATTTACCGGCGCGCGATGAACGCATTGAACGACTTCGCCGACCCAGCTTGCCTTCTATTTTTGAAGGCAAATCTCAGAAATTAGATGTGCCTCCGCTGTCGACGCTCCCTCAAATATTACCATCCCGACAGAGTTTGAACACAGCACGGCCATCGCTGGACGATCTCCCCGACACATCCACTCCTTCCTCTTCCATCGACATTCATCGTCGTCGTCCTTCTCGAAATAAAACGCCCGAATTAGCTTCCTCATTGGTATCGTCACCGGATGACAGCACGATTATCGGTACTCCGCCCGCCGAAGATTGGGAAACGGTGGCTCCACGTCCCAAGAAATGTGACTGGTATGGGCATGGCGTCATTAGCGATTATGGGGATGAAAGTTATCTGGCATCTTTGGAACGGAAAGCGTTCAACTTGGAAGATCGATCGCGTGCTTCCCTTGATCAGTATCGAACACGCAACTCCATGGATGGCCAGCGGCCGTCCCTGAAAAGATGTAGCTCCGACGGCGGCCGATTACGAACCACGGCGCTGATGAATGCAATGGCCGCCAAGGCCGCCAACAACCAAGAATATACCACGACAGACGGTCAATCTACCTTTGTAGACGAAGAAGCCATGCCACGGCCCTCAGTTGCTGTGGACGATGGACCGGAAGCAGAAGCATTGCGCCACTTCCAAGAAAAAGAGATGAAAAAGGCATGGTGGAGCGCATTTGGCGGACGAAAGTCGATGGATGCAGCCACCTACCACCATCAGTACCAGGGTTATACCAACGGACGTTATTCCGCCGATGTGCCTCGTAAAAGCTTGGACTTTCGACCCAGTTTTGACGGTCTTTCGCAACTGGCGAAAAAGACCATGGAACCTTTATCACGAAAAAGCATTGACGACGATGATATTGATCTCCAATACCCAATGAACCGATCCAACAATCGTCCTGGTTTCTTCTCCCGATGGGTGGGTGCTTGGTCCAAGAAATAATCACTCGCAGTCTCGTATTTTTCTTTGTGACATTTTTGTTATTGTTTTTTTTTTTTGTTCTTCTTCTTCTTCTACAGGTTGACTGTTTCTATATACTCTTCACACCTTTTTTTTTTTTTTTTTGCTATATTCCTTCTTCCCGATTTTTGATGTGATCCCTTTTTTCGATCTTTGTTTTTGTAGTATATCCCTTTTTCTCTTATACATATACGCGCACAAATATAAATATTGCAAGTCTACCCCGTGAACGTCTCTTTTTCTGCCGTTGGGGATATCGGCCAACAGAACAGTAGTAAGCTGATATAAAGCTCAACATCTTTGTGGGACAGATTTCGGCATGCAATATGACATGTAGCTGAAAATAGCAGAATTACTCTCTGTCTACCTGTGCTAATTGCTCAGCATCATCCCATACCGCAGCCACAAAACCCCCACGTCATTGTTTCTTCCAATGGGAAGAGTCTTTTTTTTTTTTTTTTTTTGTTGTTGTTGTTGTTGTGTATATTCTTTTCAGGTGACCTAATTTTTACCCCGTGGTGTTGTGTACAGTCTACTCTTCTCAAATGACTCTTTTTTTTTTTCTGACTCGCACTTTTGGATAATGACCGAAAAATAAAAAGTCGTACGAGCGTCGCTGTTGTTACGCAAATAAGTTACAGCAAGCAAATCTTCGAAAGTCTTGGCTCCTGTGAATGGTAATGTAGCTTGGTTATCTTGCGTCTGTAGAGACAGCTATCGCCACTCAATTCGAAAATAGGTTTTCTTTCTTGTCTTGACTATGATATGATATTAATCTTGTACTTCTATGCCGAGAAGATGAACCCATGTGCTGATGTATTCACGGTGGCATAAAAGAGTGAGATTTATTACAGCCTTGCTGATTACACTGTAAAACAGGATATTTATTGTTCTGAATGATATGTAGTTGGGCTCACATACCAATGCCTTTACTTCAGAGTATTCGTCATAGCCTTGATCCAGCAGGACTCTATCCCAATCTGAACATTAGTCTGAAAAAACATAACCATGTCCGTAAGTGCATATCTGCTGCGGTTTCCCTGACATAAAATGATGGCGTGCATTTGGCCAATACAACTGCCTAATATTCTCCGAATTAAACAGGCAGCTACTGCTTTGGACAAGCTCGTTTGGGATAACTGATGTATATGCCGCAATATGAATAATGCGCACTTCCCCGACATGTTATTATCGCCAGCGAAGTCTATTGAAAGCAGTGGTTATTGTTCCAACAAATCATAGATCAGTGTGAGATGAATTGGTATTATTTAATCCGTCTGGCTCACGCTTGCCAGCTTTTTGGGAAGATGATGGCAACCGTTGCTGTGTCGTTGACGATATTAAGCTGGCCTGAACAGCACATTTGCGAGATGATTCTTACGAGGTATTGCCGAAAATGGTAATGATAATCTGATTGGTCAAAACAAAAAGTAGGCTACGAGAACTACGTCAATCCTTGGTCAGAACAACTAAAGTCCTGCATTTAAATAAAGAAGGTCAAAAGGGTATACTTTCGAGTAGCGCATGATTTTTTTTTTTTGGACCCAACCGAAGCAAGACACTTTGTTCCAGCATAGCGCCGGAGTTGAATTTCCTTGGTGATGATTCGATGTGACGACGTTTTTAAAGACAGACCACTTGCCTACAATTGCTGGCAATTCCCCATTTTCCTTTATTCTTTTTTACTCGTACTCTTTTGACCCGGGAAACTAGTCATTATGCGTTTCTACATTCTAACTCTTCTCGTTGCTTTATTTTCAGCTGTCGCAATGGCAGCAGAATGTGAGTCTAGTTGTTTTTAATTTCGGCTAAATCAATGACAGTTAACTCACTGTGTTGTTTCATTGTGTAGCTGGATACACCGACTACATTTTGGCTTTACGTGAGCCTGTCGATCAGAAAAAGGTCGATAAAGCGAAATCAGACATTGAAGCTGAAGGAGGAAAAGTTACCTACGAGATCAAGACAGGCATGAAGGGACTCATTGTCAGCCTGCCCAATGATCGTGTTAAAGCCATGGCTGATAAAGACTATGTCGACTTTATGGAACAAGACAAGTCAGGTGAGTGACTAATCCATTTCCAGCCATTGTTCGTCATTCTTATCCACAGTGGTACTCATCTTATGTTTTGTCTGTGTCTTCGTAGTTCACATCAATTAAATCCTTCCCATTCAATACATTCCTACTCTTTTTTTTTTCCCTTCCAACAGCGAACACTTTTTTTTTAAAAAAAAATAGCACTTCTTTGTATCTCTTGCATGACCAAAAAAAATATCACGAATCCGCCAACCTTGTTCACTGAAGTAATCATTGTTCCAGTTTTTGATGAGATCTCTATGATCTACAAATGAGTATAGTGTGAAGCTCATGCTTGTTCTTCTTATCACGCCCATCAGCATGGCGTTCTTCTCAGTGAAGTAATAATTGAGTTCACCCAAACTGTGACGGGTGATCATGAGCTTATTTGCAAATGTGGAAGCAGCCCATTATGTAAACATTCTCGAGTTACTGGGCCCCAGATCCAAAGAAAAAAGGAAACTTCATCGAGCGGTCGCTCAAATATGATAATCTACCTTTTTTTTTGTGAATGAAATGCGCTTATATTGAATATCGAGATGTTAAGATCGTAATGTATAGTGTCAAGGCAATATTGTATAGAAACGAATGAAAATAAGATGAACTGAAAAAACAAGTTGTCAAAGTGTGCTCAGTCACAAGGCCATAAAATAATTGGTAAATTACATAAGAAGAAAAAAAACAAAGGGTTGAGGGGAGATGGCCACCCGTTTAGATCAGACCCACATCTCGCAAATTGGTTTGTAAAATGATATCGTTGACAGCCGACATGACGAATTTGATTTGCTCTGTGTCGGTTGCACACGTAAAATGGGTATACACTTGTTTGTCTGCCGAAGAGTTCAGTGAAGTGAATCGGAGCATGATGTAGTGGCTGGCTTCATCGTACGTGTCGGTGCCTAGTTGTATTGTATTGCAGCAATAGAAACCTCATCGGTGAATACGCTGTCGGAGATGTCAACAGGGCATAGTGCCGTCCTACCTTTATAATCGGGAAAGTAATTGGCCAACGGGCTGTGAAGGAGTTTCTGTTTAAAAATATCTGTCTTGTTCAAAAACAGAATTGTCGATGTCTTTTCAAACCACCGTGAGTTGCAGATCGAGTCAAAAAGCGTTAACGCTTCTTGCATGCGGTTCACTGATTCATCTTCCACCAATGTCTGATCGTACTCGGAGATCGCGACCAGGAAGATCAACGCTGTCACATCTTCGAAGCAGTGGATCCATTTTTTCCGTTCCGATCGTTGTCCACCCACATCGAACATCCGATAAGTTAACTCGCCGATATTAAATTTGGTTTCGGTGATGCCCGTCGTTTTTACTCGCGATCGCAGAACGTCCTGATCGGTTGGATTATAATCGGGCCGGCCAATACGGTCTATCGATTCGAAATAACTACAAAAGGGAATCAGCCATGCGTCGATCACTTATATTTATGGAAAATGATATTTACTAAGCAGCAGAGTCATTCAGTTGATATTCATTGCTGCGTTTAAACGTGGCCTGGACACCGTCATCGATCCATAACTCTTTGATCGCTTGGACAATATTAGGAGGCATCGTCTGATAGTTGTTGTTCATTTGACTCGGTTGACGCATAATCAAGTCAAAATGAGCTTGGCGTCCGGCATCGGCCAATGGGATATTAAGAGTCTCCATGGCTTCCAGAAGGACATGCATCGATTGGATCGCGTTGCTAAAGATGATTTCGCGAAACGCTCGTCGTTCGTCGGGTGAAAATCCACTATCGTGTATCAGCTTCATCTGCTTCAAAATCGTCGATTTGCCCGATTCGCCAGCACCTTATTGACAAATGCAAAACATCATGTCAGCCAACAATGAATAAATAAAAGTGACGCCGGACCGAAACGACGTTCGTTACCTAGTAATAGAAGCTTGACTTCATTACGTATGTTCATTTTCTCCATGCGCAATTCATTATCAATTTCTTCGCTACGCAGTTTTCCTGCACCATCTTCGACCGAAGCGCAACATCCCATATTTCTATTAAATTGAAATATTTGATGTTAATAAACTCATGCACGAAGGCAAGAGACCCCGCTCCAACGACAATGACAAGGCCACCAAAGTCAATGACTCATGCCCTCATGCTCATGGTTGGTCATGGACCGTCGTCGTCCGCTCTTTTTCCTTGTATACTTTTTCATGTTGACACTGGTTTCCCCACGGTGATCCGAAATGATTATTGGATGTTTTTTACATGCCTTTATAGATATTATTATATGATGTGATTGCTGGGTATTAAAAAAGTAGAATAAAAAAGTAAAAGAGTCAAGTTTCTCAAAACCGTGGAAACGGTAACTGAGATATATGCTGCAACGACACGGGGACAATAAATTAAAACGATTCTGGTTATGGTGCGGCCGTCAAAATCTAGGCAACACAAACGACGATGAAGCAATGAATTTGTCCGACAATGAAGCTTGTCTGCGGATCCAAAAAAAAAAGAAAAAACATTCGGTTGCACACTCTTCTCCTAGTCCAGCTTCTTTTGGCATCTCAGAAAGTCCTCTTTTTTTTTCGCACCAAAATACTTTAACTCCGATGAAAGAAAAGAAAAGGAAGGAGATCATACCAACCGTTGTCTAGATGCCAGAACAATCAAATTGTTCTACCGCACCAATGATACGACAATATTTTCGCAGCGTGAGATCCAAGCAGCCATAATGGCTACTATGCTATGACGCTGATAACGCGATTCAATGACCGCTTTCTCATGATAAAAAAGCTGCCATGTGTGCGAATACATCTGACGCGTGGATTTTTTAAATCCCCACGTTATGATAGGCCGTGCTAATGTGTGTCTTGTAACAAGGCGGCGTGGCTTTGTTGCTATTCAACGGATAAGGTTGATCCATATCTGTAAATGGCGTGATGTGGTCTCATTCTTACACAGAGTTGGTTAAACGAGTGAATTTTCACATGCGGCAATGACTGATACACAAACTAAATAACGCGAGGGCAGCTCCCCATTCTATATTTGACGGTTTGACAGAGATATTTATCCTTGGTATTGGCTCGTCCTGCTCAATAGAAGGAAGTTCTCATCGGCGGATGGCCGATCTCCACTCGCTTTTGTTTATTTTCAATGCCCGTACTTCACACGCACTTAGTTTTCGTGTAAAAATAACGTATCATTTACTGGTCTGTACTCTTTGCCTGCCAATTGTCGTGTTTCGATGGACAAACTATTGTCTCACATTTAAATATTCCAAACCAAATGAAGAAAAGGTCGTAAATGTTCGCACGGTTGACCCAGTTACCTCTTGGAGAAGTTGGCCAAATTTGGAAAGCCAAGTATAGTATGCACAACCTGGTTTGCCCGCCCCTGAATAGCTTAATTAGGATCTACTCCAACCATTCTTGTTTCGCAACACATAAGTCATCTCCCTATTTTACCAGCAAAGAAGAAACATGGAAGGAACCAATGTTAGCAAACCGCGCAACGTTAACAACAAAAAGCCGAGACATTACATATTTATGAATCATATTTCTTTGTTAGATCATCCATGTAATTTATTTCTTTCCGCTTGTTATGGGTGTACCTGCGCCAATGCGCCAATTGTCCCTGCCAAAAGAAGGAGCATCGTGTTACATGTGTGCCGGCTCACTTTTTCACTTTGTATAAAGACTGCAGATGATGCAAGACATGCCATGATTTTCAGCAACTAGGTAAATGTCCTGTTGCGGCATTGGCGGCTGGATTATGATATTAGGAACGACTCTCTATCATGTCATTCCGCGTAATTTTTGATCTTGGTCTGGATCACCCAATCATGCTCAAAGCACGAACCATGCTGCGCAAACTAACCACGTTGTAGGGTATCCAAACCTCAGTGACAAAAAAAAAAGATCGTGTGATAAGTGCGATATATATTCTAGATTTTACTCTAACTGCTTTGTACAAAAATTTTCATAATTCTACTCGCTACCAGCCACTCCACCATTGCCTAATCCGACTGCTTTCTCAACCACTTCGCGCATAAGGTCCACAAAGGTCGAACACAGAATGACAAGGTGTGCTTCAAGGTAATCCGGCCGCTGGAAGTAAGAAAGCGCTTGACGATCAATCACCAGCTTTCCTATTTGGATAAGGTATCCCATGCCATGACTGTCAAACTCGGCAATAGGCCGCCACGGTATTCTTTCGCCTGATGGTGCAGGTGTTGTTTGCTTCTTCTTGATTTCGCAAATCATATCGTGCGACAGCAAATTCGGTCGTCGCCATCGTATACGGTATTCTTCCACTTGAGATTCGTATACAAACAGTAAATGGGATTTTGCCTTGTTGATCAACTCATGGGTCGTCAAGCTTGGTGCATCATAATCGCCCCATTCTACCGTAATGTCCTTGTGAAAAGCGCGTCGTCGAGTTTCCGCCACTTTGGTTCCGTCGTCCTGCCGTTCACTACCCACTGTGCGGTATAAAATGTTTTGAAATCCCCAAGAATAAGAATGAGGTTGCATTTTACGGTAAGCCAGCATCTTGGTCCCGCTAAAATAAAAGTCGTGCATGTGCGGTTTCGTGAGAGACCGTTTGCGGATTTCAAAAGTGATCATGTCCTCCTTTGACCGCTTTCTCAATCGATTCAATAGGGATGATTTGAGTGAGCTTTTGGTTTGTTCGCTTGCACTGGTCATGGAACTCGTTGAGGGACTGAGCACTTCGGAAGACGATAAGCTCATGGACGACGTCCGAGAGGGCGTTGCCACGTCCTCGGTAAAAGTGGTTTGTGTCGTCGGAGTGGCGTGACTGAGCAGAGACGATGTGAATGAAAGAGCATCATATTCCTTGGGATGTTTAACGTAAGGTGGCGGGGGCGACGGTAAATTCTCGTCATCGACATTGTCTCTCTCATTTGTAAGATCTTTGGTATTCTCACTCTCGCCAGGTTCGCTTTCTGGGTTGGACTGGCAATCATCTTGTTGTTGCCCCTGAGTGTGAAGTGCTTCTAATTGGAGGGCGAGATTTTCAACCACGGTCGCCTTGGCAATAGCTTCCTCGCGGTTTTCGTTGGCGGCGATGGGATCGTCATCGTCATAAGCATTCGGTTTTTCGTAGATTTGGGTATCGATGGTATCAGGCTTTTGCACTTGGGTATCTGGAGATGCCAACATGGCGAGACTAACGGTTCAGAAAATTCTACCGTATCACAGCTGGCTCTATTTATTCAATATCGAGAAAGCGAATGCTATAAAAGGCAACGCTGGGAACTGCATGATGACATTTCTGTTTCCTATTTCTGTATTTACACTTTCTCCAGTGTAACAGTATGGTGCCTAATGGAACCAATCGTCGCTTGCCGTAGTGGTTCGTTGATAAAAATAAACTTTCCTCACACAGCATCAACGCCAACCGCATTTCAATCTTGATCTTGATCCCTCCAACAGAATGCCCAATCAGTCTCTCCTTTTATCTTGAAACAACAATATATATTTCCTTCATTCGCCCAGGGAAAAGGCAAAACATACAAGTGCTTGATATTAAAAGATGAGAAGGTTATTTTAATTGCACATTAGTATTTCTTATGACTTTGATGTGAGCAATTCCACATTTATTGTATATTCCGGGACTTGAGGTAATCACATGGCATTACTTCAGTGATTTGGATTTAAGCTTTTCGGGAAAAGCATCGCTCGGGGAATCCCATCGTTCTTTTCTCCTGCTTTTCGGCCTATTCCGATTACTTTGTATCCCTATTGCGTCAGATCATGATCGGTTACCGCATTACCGCAGCAAGCTCGTACCTGATAGTTCATGCTTATTGCGTTACACTTGAACTTGGCAAATGTGGTAAAAAAAAAAAAAAAGATGTATCATATATGAAAAAACAGTAATAATGACTATGGAGTATGATGTGAAATATGCGCTTTTCTCTAAATCTGAGAGATTCACCAAGATTCAGCCAGCATAGTCAAATGGAAAAAGCAAAAGGAAAAAAGAAGTGTAAAATGATACAATGAATTACTCCGAAACAACATCAATGGAGTAGAATAAATACAACATGATGCGGATGAGGAACCACGAGGACGACATCCCATACGTTTAGAACAGTTAACGCTTGAGGAAGGAACATTTTTTTTATCAAGAGGTTTTGGCTTTCTTTTCTTATGCTGATGTGTACAGAGGGGCCAGTAAAAGGCAAGACACGGTTTCTCCTTTCTTGATTGCCGATTGATGGTCACTGCTGGCGGGAAGTTGCAGTAATCCATTCGCTGCCGATAAACTCAGCATGCGGCTGCTCTGCTGCTTACCCGTGGATTCTGCAACTAACCCATTTTCAGAGATGCTGACTCGAACACGATGATATTCAGGACGACCATCCAGTGCGATATCATGGTCCATGGTTACAGGAATCAGCACATTGTCAGGCTGGCTGTTGCCAGACAGACGACGGAGGGCGGGAAGGACAAACAGATAGAACGTCACGGTCGCAGAAACCGGATTTCCAGGTAACGCAAAGATCAACTTGTGGCCGCTGACTTCAGGAATAGTGGCAAAGGTGGTGGGTTTGCTGTCATGTATCAAAAAAAGAAAAGCCAAATTAATACATTATGAAAGAGGGGGCTTTTGCGTTTTATCCATTGCTTACCCAGGCTTCATGAGCACTCGACCAAAGTGGACGGTGGCCCCCAATTTTTGTTCCAGAATGGGTTTCATAAAGTCGGCTTCGCCCATAGACACGCCACCTGTGGTGATCAAGACGTCGACATTATTCAACGCTTCCCGCATATGCTTTTCAAGGTCACCGACCGAATCGCGCACAATGCCCAAATCGACAGCTTCGAAACCAGAGGCGGAAACCGCTGCAAGGAGCGTCAGACGATTGGTATCTCGAATCTGCCCTGGCCCTAGTTTTTCCGTCTGCAAATGATCCATCACCTCGTTCCCGGACGACATGATGCCCACGCGAGGTTTACCGTAAACCATCACTTTCTTAACACCCACTGAAGCTAGTAAACCCAATTCGCCGCCGACTGAGGAGATCATTTGTCCTGCCTTGCAAACGATCATGCCTTTTTCACAATCATCGCCTGGCATACGGATGTTCTCCAAGTGAGATGATGAGGTGAGTATTTCCACTTCAAGTTCCTTTTGGCCATCTTCTGAAGCTTTGATCAATTTGGTATCCTCTACCATGACAACAGCATCGGCTCCCGGCGGTACCATTCCGCCCGTCGTAATTCGAGCGATGGTGCCAGGGGCTAGTGGCTCGCATTCGGTATTGGTATCGGCAAGAGACGCCGAGACGACGGGATAAACCCCCGGTCCATCTTTCACTAAGCAATTGAAACACGTTCAGTGAATCCTCCGCTAAATTATTTCCGTCTTGTAACTACTTTACAATGGACTGCGTAGCCGTCGACCACCGACGCTGGGTATCCAGGTACTTGTTCCGGGGCTTCGACATCTTCAGCCAAAATATAGCCTACTAGGTTTTCCGTCACAGGCTTAAGGACGGTGTGAATGGGCTTTGCATATCGAGCAACGATATCCTGGGCTTCCTGAACAGAGATCAGTGGGTAAGGCGACGACCGAGCTCGACGAGCGACTGTTGGAAAGACCATTTCATTGTCAAAAAAATATATTGTCCTAAAAAGAAGAAAGCAATCGATCCGTACCTGGGGTAGACAAGTTCTTGGAAAGGCCGGTTTGGCTGGGATGGCCTGCGGCATCATGACGATGGATGCATTTATGATGGTGCGGGTGAGCATGTTTTCTCTTGCGCGACTGCAACGAATCACTGGATTTATCTGATCCTTGGGATTCCTGCATTTGGCGATGGACCTTGGCCATGGAGACGCCCTTTTGCAGATCCAATCCATGTGGCAAGACAGGAAGAACAGCCGAGAGATTTTCTTTGCATGCTTTAGGACTCCCGGGCATCGTGATAATCAAGGTATGGTTACGGAATCCTGTCACCGGGCGGGACAAGGCAGCAAACGGAGTGACATTCAATGAACTGGACAGGAGGAGATGCGTGATACCCGGGGTCGGTCTCGTCAACAACGGCGCAACAGCCTACCGTTAAATTCAGTTGAATAATCAAACACATCAACGAAGAAGCTGAAAAATAACCAATGGAAAGGAGTATCAGTCATTACCTCGGGTGTCACATCGCGAGGGGCGAAACCGGTACCACCAGTGACAACAATGAGATCTAACCCCAAGACATCGCTCCAGTCCACGATGGTATTGGCAATTGTTTCTGCAGTATCAGCCACGACCTTTTGCTGCGTAACAGTATATTTGCCGTCGTCCGTGAGTATATCAAGACACAGCGGTCCGCTTTTATCTTGACTTGGGTCTTGAGACGCAGTATCGCTCACTAGGGGTCATTTGTTTGAGTGGTCATCTCATGGTCCCGACGGTCACGGTTCCAAGGCGTACCTGTCAATACCCCAGCTGTAAATCGAGGATCTAGACACACTCTCACTTAGTCATAATTATGTCACCCGGCAGTCAAAGAGGTCACGTAGGGAAATGACACTTTGTCATTGACCTACCAGAAGTCATAAGAAAGAGAGCGTGGCAACAATGCGGTGTCCAACAAGTGCCCAATAATGCGTCAGATCTTTGAAAAATGGGTGTCACTGGTCAAATGGGCGAGAAAACTGACCAATCAAAATTGGATCACAAGCTTCAACAATTCAAGCAGACCCAATTTTTTCTTTCTTTTTTTGGGGCCCCACTCCCCTTTTTCCTTTCACCACACTTTTTTTTTTCTTCCCTTTTCACCTCTTTTCTCTTATCGTCATTTTGCAACGTATGATTAGTTTATTCACTGCGTTAATCGTCGTTGCTGTTATTATACCTTGCATACCCATTCTAATATACGTGATTGGCTTGCTGTTGCCTGCCAGTCATATCGTCTCTCGAACCGCCCAATTCACCACCACCGCAGATCACCTCTGGCACATTTTGACCAATGTCCAACAATACCCAGAATGGCAGACCAAGCTAGAACGAGTAACTGTCAACAGCACAGAAACCGATTCATCGCCTCAAGAAGAACGCCTGATATTCACAGAACACACCAAACGTAAACGTCGAATCGTCGTCATCCATGTCATCCAAAAGCCTTATCGAAAATTATTGAGGATACTTGAAGAACAGGCGGCGTCTACACACACATCACCTCCTTCATCACCGTCAAGGAAACCCTCTTTCTCTGGTTCATGGACCTTTGAAATTATTCCCAGCGATGAAAAAGAACTGGCCCAGCCTCACGTCACTCTCAAGATTACACAGCAAGGGGTCATCAAGAAACCGATGGTGCGAGTATCGCATCTCTTGTTGTTCGGATTCTATCGACGCATTGATCGATTCCTGAAGGATATTGGTAAAAAAATTGAGGAAGACCAGTCAAAGATATCAACGGAATCATTGCCCGAGGAAGTGGAGGAGGAACAACCTCAACTTCAACCGATCCATCCGTCCGATACACCCATGTTGGAATCCACCGTCCTTGAGAAAGATTGGGATATGATGAGCGAGATTTATGATCGTAAAGCAACGTAACCTCAGCTTCTGCCCGGTGGGGTGCCTCTCCCACCATTTTTTCTTTACCCTGCCGTGAATGTGTATTGTACAATGTCTTTGCCGAGCTTGGTGTTTCATAGTTTATTTCCCCACCCCACCCCATTCCCCCTTTTCCCTCATCCATCGTTTTGCTTCGCTTGTCTCTCTCTTCTCCTTCTTTTTTCCTTTTATTCATGTTCTGTGTATGCAGTTGATGTGGTTACAATATGATGCGATTTGCGAAACCGAGCAACAAAGAATCCACTGGTTTTGCTGATGAACGGATCAAAGCGGACACAATGCTTGTTGATCCTATCTTGAATGTCCGCCTCTTGCGTAACGTGCTTGATCGCTGCCAATCGGATGTCGAGCGATTCAACGCAAGGAATCGTTTCCAATACCGCATTTTTGTGTTGACTCAAAAACCACGCCACATTCTCTTCATTTTGTTTGATAGTGAGCGAGCAGGTACTGTACACCATGATGCCGTTCTCTTTGAGCATGGACCAGCCTTGCTTCATCAAGTTGCGCTGTGATGGCCAGTAAGAAAAAATACAGTTGGATGGCAAAAAGACAAAACCATTTCAATCTACCTGCAATTCACAAATAGTTCGTATCCGATTGGGATCCATAAAGTTTTTCTCAAATGTATCCCATCCCCACTTGTCATACTATCAAATAATGTCGCAATCAATAAAAAAGATATTTAACCTATCACTCTATTCGTCCATCAAGTCAGCCGCTTACCTTTAAAATATGGATGATGGATCCGTCATGGGTGCACTCGGCATCGACCAGCACCTATCATTATTGTGTTCATCAAATCCATCCGCCAATGAACGTTCAGTGGAGACTTACCTTGTCGTACAATATGTTTGGTAGTTGTGGATCAAAACGAAGAATCTTTGGTGCCCAAAATGGCTTTTGAAGAACGGATTCTTGCGATTTCTGCCGTTTTGATGGAGGTGGTTGATCATCGTGTAGTAACACATTGCCTAATCGAGAAGGCGCAGGAACCGCGAATTGGGTGCCATCGGCTTCAAACAGACGCACATATCCCCCCACACGGTATTTTTTCAAAAGCGATCGACAAGTCGCTAATCGATGGGAAGCAAGATCCACCCCTGTGGCAGTTCCATTGCCGTGAAGTAAATTGGCAATCATGCATAGTTTTGCCCCCGGCGCACAACACAAATCCAGCACTTGATCGTCCTTTTCAATATCCAGTGCATCCACGGCGATCGCCGAACTGAGATCAATGCCAAACAGCTTGTGTTCTTTATAGCTTGAGACAAAAAACAACGGATAAGTATCACCTCGGCTTTCACGCAAAGACAAAGAACGAACCGTGTGTGACGGCACTTACAGAGGTATATCCACGAGCCGTTTGCCACCTAGATCAATGGCAAAAAACCCCTTCATTCCTTTCACTTGGTGTACATTATCTGTGTCTAATTGCTTCTTCAGTTGATCAAGCACCGATACTTCGTCCAAGGGATAACGTGTGTTCCATCGGACGTAACGTGGAAGTTGTGTAATGCTGTAGATCCGATGATCGATATCATTGTCCTTTAAAAATTCTTTGAATGAGACCGGAACGCGGTCAATGTCGAATCCTTCTGCTGAGAGTGTTGGAGCGTCTACACTGTCCTCCATGACGAATGAACGAAATGGCTATGAGATACAAAAAAGACTTGATCAAGGAACCTCCGTGGCTGATGAGCGAGCGAGCGGTTTTTGAAAAACCATGCTTTCCACTTGGCAAAGAATCACCAACAATTTCTGAAAAATTGTCACTGATACAACGAGAAAACAAAAAAGGTCTGCATCAGGTGTTTCCATCATAAAGCTCTCTCAGTTTACTCTTGATACCCAGAGACATATGTTGAGAAAGGATAACGAGACCAAAATCAGCTGAGAAAGGAACAATCTATGCCTTTTAACGCAATGTATACGCTCCCTTTACTCTCGTCTCCTTTAGCTCATTTTGACACTCGGTTATTTTGCTTTCGGTTGAATATCCAGTTGTTATCAAGGATCACGCCGAAGCAGAGTCAAAACTTGGATGTACATACTGCATCAATAAACGCTTGCAATCTCGTGTAACAAGAATATTGAGAAAAACCTTCCAACTTCATAAGTCATGATGTTTTGGTTTACGTGGCGAATAATTTTTCACACAGTATTCTCTCTGGTTCTACAGCGAATTCCAAAAGGACAACCACGCATGGTCTGTTCTGCTTCCTCAAACCTATTCTTACTTTTTTGTTGGCATCATAACTTTAATGGTAGTCATGGAGATGTTGATCATAAGCCACCATTTTCAGAAACACCAATGGTTTTCATACATGCTTTGACATGCGTTCGACGCCAATGTCGTAAGAACACAAGTTCAGTGCTGGTCTTTTTTTCCTTGAACAAATGGAAAACGTTTCAAAGGTGTGCCAAAAGTTAACAACGTTTTGACAGATGTCCCCCTAGTTCTCTCAGTGACCTTGGTAGTTACCATAGTAACGATAAACACGTTTTTTCATTTTTTGAAACTTTTTAGATAAGAGATTCGATGCATGTAGCCAAAGCATGAAGCCTTAGATGAACAGAGAATCACCCTCGGAGATTAAATTTGGCAAGCATTCTGTATTCCCTGTTCTTTGCATGTAAAGAAAGAACCGCGTTGCAGACAATGGTTATTAGCAAACTCGGCGGTAGCAGGGGTGGATTAAAGAAAAAAAGACGGTGTGCCTGATCGACGACGGGTTTTTATGGTTTTTTTTTTCTGACACCGATGTGACGATGAAAAGTGCAATTTGGCATTCCATTGGAAAGCCACAAGCCCCCAGTTCAGAGCACGCAACACCCGCTTATTACAACACCGCCTGCCGCCCATGTCGCGCAATGATAACAAGTTCATCTACTTCACTGTTGTTACCTACATGATTACCCCAAAAAAAGTTGATTATATCAATATTAGAGTTATAGAATAGTAGATGATGATGCCTATATGAAATATGATAAGCCAAATATCTTTCAAATGGGCGTTGCCCCATTGGCGCATTTGATATTATTGCAGCTGTGCAACCAAGCTGCAGATGACAAGCAATCGCGCAAAAAGGAAAAAGGAAAAGGGTCGCCCGCCCTCAGATTTCGTTGGTCACCTATGTTTGGTGGTTGAATGAAGAGTCAACTGTCGATAGCATTCCGAAATTATGTTGTCATCGTCTGTGAAAAGGCACGGAGGAGAAACGAGAACACGCGACCTACTTGCAACCGCCTCATCGACCCCATGAGAAAGGATGAACTTGACCGGTGTTTGCAATTTGGACATTGCAGGCAAAAACAACAAATATTTGTAAAGCGGGCGGACCTTTTCTCTTTTATTTTGTGTGCAGGATCAAGCTTATAGCACTATATTCTACGTTTTTCTTGCTCAAACGAAAATAACATGAATAACACATGCGGTATACAGCGCACAAACCAAGAAGGTACCATCCTATCGGTTGACGACTTGTTTCTACGTGAATCAGTTTGAGAGCACAGCAAGGGTAAAACCTGGAATAACAATATGACATGGATGCTCATGAATGATTTGTGCTCTTTGTTCGTTTCTCAGATTGCGTCTTGAGGTAGCCACTTCCGGGCCATCATTGTCTGCGGCGCAGAAGATGCGGTTATTCTCACTTGGGTGGATTGCCACGCTTTGGAAACGCTTGACAGACGCCGTGGCGGCGGCCTTCAAAAAATTTCATCGTCACAATTCGGTAGAACTGCAAGATACAACCCGCCGTGAAGTGGAGCGACGTTTTCCTGGTCAGAGTGGATCGATTCTTACAGGCCCATGGAATTTACCTTGATAGATAATTGGCTCGATGTATTGGGTGAACATCCCATTTTCGATCTCGACGTTGTTCAAACCAAGCTACCGCGACGTCTGAAAGAGCAACAAACCTTGGAACGCCATGCTGACGACGCCACTCTTTTACAACGTCGCACGCGTGTCATGGCCGTCAGTCAAACTGATCTCTTGGTAGCTGTTCGATCGCAAATCCGAGTGCTCAGCTTGACCGAATTCAAATCCACTTGGCTTTCCGAAGCGGAAAAAGCCGCCAATGCCGAAACGGTCGATACCAAGGACTGGCTGTACGAACTTCCTTACAAGGTACCCTTTTATTACAGTGTTGTCAATTCACTATAGTCTCTCGTGAACTAGTGGTTTACTCTTTTCCTTTTTTTTTGACTGCGCCACTAGATCTTGGATGTACCAGCTGTCAACTTTAATGTCGTGTCGCTTGTGCCTTCGCAAAATGGCCGTTTGTTGGCTGCCGTAGGCGATAAACAGTTGGTCGTGGTTTGGTTCCCGCGACAAGGCTTATCCAGTGTACCAGCCACGGTCGGTTCACGACGTTTCGATTGCAGAACATTCACTGTCGGTCAGAAATACTACGATACCGACCAACCTACGCGTATACTGAAGGTGGCATGGCATCCTCTCAGCAAGACCAATAGCCATCTTCTCGTGCTGGGCACAGACAATGTGCTGCGGTAAAAATTGCAAAAACCCTTTTTGATCACTTACCCTTTTTTGATCACTAATTTTCCGTTTGACCCATCATAGCATGTTTGATGTCAGTGCTGATATCGAAGAACCCGAACAGTCGTTTGATCTTTCGCCCTCTCAACCCAAAAACGATCTTCCCCCGCAAAGAGGTATCTCTCTCGACGACGATCTCGATGATGATGAAGAACAAGTCGCTACCTTTGCACTTGGCGGTGAAAGCAAAGATGATAGTGGATGGGAACCCTTCACGGTGTTTTATGCTCTCCGTAACGGCCATATGTATGCCTTGTGTCCTGTGTTGCCCTTCAAGAGGTAAGCTCACTTTAATCCTTGTGTAAAAATGCTGGTATGTCTAACCTTACGTGCTTATAGTGTGGTACAGCGTCAGCATATGGAGGGTTTAGCATGTGTGGCTGAAGCCAAGATCAACAAACTTATTCAGGAGCAAGCAACAAAGAAAGAAGACAACTCGCACCGCCAATGTCTGTCCTATCTTTTCAGGCTACAATATCAATGGATCCAGGACATGTTGGAGTCCAACAAAGAAATGCGAAAAGATAATCCGGCTTTGCTTGATAACGAAAAGCTCTCTATCGACGCTGAGGGGTCTTCGGTTCCATTTGCTCCTCATCGACAGGGCCCTTTCAGCGTCGACAATGACGAATGTCTCTGCGAAGATAGTCATGTATCCGACATGTTATTCAGCAGAGTTCAACCTGTGAACATTCTTTCTGTCGCTTACACGAACGGCACGCTGAAAAACTTTATCCTCGGCAGTGAAATGGATGCCCAGTGGCGCATGCCCATAGAACGTGAAGAATATCCCTGGCAACAACAGGTGAGTGACCATATGTTTTTCGTAACATTTTTTTCCAGACCAGGCATGGTAACGATTGAGTGATTTTGGTTATCTAGCTTCAGCAGTTCATTGGATCGTCAGCCATGCTTCCAAAGATGACTCTGCATGAATTCTTGAAGCTCAGTCCCTTGGCAGATGGCAAACAACAAAATATATCTCTTATGAATGATCCACTCTATAACGACACATTCTATGCATACCATGCTACGGGCGTCCATGCTGTATACATGAAGTCATGGATCGATGATCTGGCGGAGCTCGATGCCAAGCTGTGCAGTGGCGAAAACACAGAAGAGACCTTGCAGAAACTCAGTCAATGGCGTCACAGCGATCATGGCTCGGAAGTATGCAAGCTTGTGGATTCGGCACCGTTTGAGAATGGGTATGTAGGATGCGTCAAACCGATCAAGTTTGTCGTTGTTGCTGGTTGCTAACCCTTTTCTTTCGTTTGCAGATCTTGTACTACGTACGAGCCTATTGTTGGCATGGCGGTTCTTACGGATGTGTATCTGTCTTACTGCGTTCTGGTCTTGCCCTGTACATATAACATTGTGACAATCGATCTGCATACGCGTCGTGCCATCACTCCCGACGAATCCACTGAACTGTCAAAGGCGGTGGCGGATCAGTTGAAGAATATTGGTATCAGTGAATCTCTGAATAACGAAGACCAGAAATCCATTGGTTATGAACCCATCTTATCCTTGCCTGCGTTTGAACAACCGAAAGAACTCAAAAAGCTTCATGAAGCGCCCAACCGTACAAAGATCATTGTTCCTGCCGATATGGGCGGCAACAAAGAACTGATGATCACCGAAGCAACGCTCCGATTCTTAGGCGAAAAGTCCGAAACCGTTCGACGTGATATTAGAGCCATGCTGAAGAGCTCTACAATGATGCAAAAACGGTACACAGTCTTAAAAAACTTACCTCGTCATCGTACGCATACAAAGCTAATCACTCAATTGTCACCTTTTTTTTTTGTTAGTCTGACAATGCAAAACAAGGAATTTGAACGACAGCTCACCACTTTGCAGACGTTGTATGATAAGCTGAATCAAGAAACTACAAGTCAAGAACACATTGAAAGAGCACAGAGAGTGGCGCAAACCATTCAAAAATATACAAAGTTGGCGTTACGTGCGGATACCGTTTTACGCCGATTAATGGACCAATATCAGCCTGAACTGTCTATACACGAAAAGGAGTGGATCAAAAAACTGAAGGAAATTGAAAAGCGTATCAATGGCAGCAAAGGTTATGAACGACGACTTAGCAAGGTAAAAAAATCCTCCTCCATGAGCTGAACATACACGTTATTCACCACCCCATCTCTTTTTATTTTCGAGCAGCTGAAAGATCAAGTGGAACAGCTGGAAGCGCTTACCAACGCAGCAAAACCTGAAGTTCCGCTCAAAAATTCACGATTGACAGAAACCCAACTGGCGACCATTCGCCGATCACTGGATCATCAGTAAGTGGCTTATCATTTGTGATTGAGGTAGAGCGATAATGAACTGACATGATCACCTCGCTAGGGCTAAACTGCTGACCGATACTACTGAAAAAGTACACAAGTTGCAAGAATCGCTTGACAAAGCATAAGATATTCCCCCATGGAGTGAAATGTGACTTTTTTCCCGCCTCTATCTAGTCGTAAACTAAATGAATTATCTCTTTCAACTTTGCAATAAATATGTTATCCACTGCTCAATCGCAAGGGGTTTTTTTTTTCTTTTTCCTTGATGGTATGAATCATTTGAACAAACTTCCAATGTATTTGGTTTTTTTTTTGTGATTTTACAGGAAAAAACTCGTGTCTAATTAAAGACCACTGAATAAAAGGATAATCCATAGGCATGATCATAAAGAGAAAAAGCAAAAGGGAGAAAAAAGAAACCAAAGAGAAAAAGCAGAAGCACTTATTCTTCTTCCTGTGTCTCTTTCTTCTTGAGAACCAAAGGTTCACCGGTGATACGGTTCCAGAGATCGTACACATCATCGCACACAGTCTCGAAATGGGAAGTGGCGTCATAAGAGCGAGATACAAAGACTTGATCCTTGGTACCATCCTCCACGGGCACTTCCAAAGGAGACACATACACAATCCTAGAGTTTTCATTTTACAGGATCAGTAAGTGGTTTTTTCTTATACAAGTGGGGTCGTTGCATGAAAATGTACTTACTTGTCATGGATATTTCCTAATAGGTTGAGACCGGCTTGAAGTTCGCTTTCGGGACGATCGGTTTCGACAATGGTGGAGACGATGGCGAGATAGTAGCCTTTGGGGCAGACCATGTGGTCGCTGCTGATACAGGCAACGTACACGTCGTGTTGGCGACCGATTTGCTTTTGAGGAATGACAATCTGGACTGAGTCAATGTCTTGGGTGTTCTCGATGGGATGCTTCAAGATACAAATAGCGCGTACGACGGAACCGACTTGACGGACTTTGTCACGTGCATAGGAAGGATCGCAAATAACCTTCTTGGCGCGAATGACTTGACCTTCGGATTTCACACCCGTGACGGCACCATTGTCGTCGTAAACGAACTCAGTGACATCCTTATTCAACATGTAGGTGCCACCATACACAGCGCTCAAGCTGCAATTGATGATTATGAGTATTTTGAACGGCAAGGTTGGGTGCCAATTGTATCAAAATTTACCGTGCAAATGCTTGGGGAAGATCGCCAAGACCATACAAGGGATAAATGTACGGGCTCTTGCCGTAGCGCGTTACGGAAGCAGCGTAAAGACGAACCTTATCCACGGTGTCCTTGGCAGGTTGCTGGAGGTACGAATCATCCAAGTGGAGAGCCATAGCATGACCTTGATCAAAAGCCGTGCAACGTGAGCTTAATCTGTGTGACGTAGACATTCTTGCCATCACTTACCGATAAAGTCTTGCACATTGGGATCCAAGCTGAACTTCTTGTAAACCTCAGCCATGGTATTCGTGTTGATATTAAGACCTGTAACAAATAGATATTGAGACAGTGTTTTTTTTCAATATCATGCTCAGACCACTTTTTACCTTGTGTTGTGGACGGATCGGCCTCGTTATAATTTTGAGCCCACAGCAAAAAGTTTCTCATGCGACGCTTCTCAAAGAAGCCCATTAAGGGGGATTTCAAGGCTTCACTTTCGGTGGTGGGGACCTTTGAGATTTTTCCTTCACGGTACACAAAGGAGCCAGAAATTTGCTTGAATTCCAAATATCTCGTGACATCGGTGTGAGTTAAAAAGCTAACAATGACGCCGTTGGCCATCATGAATTTGGGAATCAAGTCAATATTCCAGTCACGGTCACGGCCCAAGTCGGAAGGCACTTCCTGGCCTGGTCTGAACTTGTTGAAAAGCTGGAAGAAGAAGAAACAATGGCCAGCATTAGAAAACTGCATCTCATTACACTGTCGATTGAAAAAAAGAAAAACCACTTCATCCTACCTGTGTTAAGTTTAAAGAAGCCGATTCACCACCATAATAGTCATTACGGTCCATATGCAAGACCTTCTTGCCATCGACCGAAAGAAGACCTGACAAAATACATTCGGTCAAGCCGGTACCCAAAACAATAACGTCGTATTCCTCGTCCTAAAGAACACCAAGCTTGAGTAAAACGGTGAAAGATGTTCTCACGACTATCCTACCACTTACCATGGTTGCGTTAGATGGAAAAAAATAGAAAAGCGCGAAAGCTGAAGTCTGAATGAGAATTTCCACAGGATTTGGGCAACGTCCTCATCGGCTTTCCAATTCATCCAATCAAACCGATTTTTAATTCATACCGACCGCACCTTGCCAAGTTCCGCCAACAGCCAAAGCCAACCAACGTGTGCCAGCGTCCTGTGTCAGCTTATCCTGTCGTAAGGCCATCTAATGAGCAAGTTTATTTTGTTTACCATTCCTACATATTACTGTCGCCGTCTCCTTAGATTAAGGAACTCTTTGTACTGTGGTATGATATTGTTCTACATTACCATACAAACAAAAAAAGAAAAGAACTTGCGGTTTCCCTCAACCCACAATCCAACTTTTTGTTTGCTTTATGTCATCTACAAGGCAGCCTGAAATGATAGGATGTGTCAGGCGTTCATAATGAGAAAAACAAATGACTATGCGCTTGAAATCTTGAGGGTTTGGTATGGTTTCTGTCATGGCGATTGGTTGTCAAAATGACCGCCATCTCAAAGGGTTATCCCTACAAATACTGTCACGTTCATCTGTGTAAAAGTCAAGCAGGTTGTCAAGAAGATATCTGCAATGATATCAAATTGCTTGACCGTCACTGAGCAGAGGGCTCTATGTCGGCTTCCGCAATATCACTTTTTGCCGTGATTGGGCATTTGTTTGTGAACAAAGACACGATCCACCCCCCCCCCTGTGCCGAGCTAGTGGACACGTTTTGTGATCCTTGTAAACTTAGCCCTCTGTCTTGTTCATGGACCGTCTTGATAACCCTGCAGTCGATAAACTGCATATAGTCGATCTTACTGACCTTTTGCGAGCAGCGGGAAATCAAAGATGATCCTGCCGATTGACTCCTGCGCCAGACAGTGTCTATACCGAGCAAAGATTATTTGTCGAAGTCGAACCATGGAAATCATGTCGCAGAACCTTCACGGCCACTTGGAATGAATGAATATGCTACTTGGGGAGCTCACGACCACTGATGTGCCTTCTCTTGCTCGCTCTTGCCCACATTTGCATTCATCCAAGACCCCCTCGCTCAAAAGTTTACCGAGAAATATCAAGACAGAAAGCGATCTCTGCAGAGATTGGTCAATTGGACTCGGAGGAGGCTATTCCGTCTGTTCACAGTTCATCAGTGAAATGATCGTTGGCAGTCTGTCATCAAAGACGTTTTTGGTGGAACACAATGAAATGCCATCCATATATAGTAATAAATGCTTTTTGTCCTGTCTACTGGACACCTGGCAGGTTTCGCGCGCGATACATGGATTGCAAAGGGACCGAGTTGGAGAAAGGATGGAGATCGTGCTCAAAGAAAAGCAATGTATGGCTGATTTGCAATACCAATTTCTGGATTTGGATGCACAATATTAATGCAGAGGGTGATGTCCCATATACATATCCAATATACGCATATTGGCTTCTTGGACATCGCCTCGCCGCAATATCTGGTCATAACATGTCAACAAACTTCATTTTCTTAAATTCACGGTGGCAGCGACCAAGTTTGCAGGTAAACTTGGCGTGAAACATTGACTCAGCAGAACATGTTTCATCGGGTAATAGATGATGAGCTATGACTATACACGTTTTGGAGGCTCCTGTGGAAATGCAAAACTGTCACTGGACCCCACAAACAATGAATCATCGCAATTCCGCGGGTGCTCGGAGATTTCTTCGTCACTTAAATTTCAGGCACGAGATAGCACGCCTCTGCTCATGTTGTCCCCAAGCAGCAAAAGGTTGACTGTATGCAACTATACTGTATCTATCAATGATTTCGGATAGATATAGATGAAGAATATGGTACATGCGGTCCCTTAGGCTACTTGCGTTCAAATCTCGAACACAGGGCTTTTACTTAATTGGCAAAGAGCTATAAGGTTTAATGACTAATTTGGTATACAGATAGCATGAGGGAATGCGCTTGAGGCATAGGTGTAAATAAACGCTAGGCTTACATCGCACGTTATCGTATCGGACACGGATGCGTACAGTCAAATTACCCTATTGTAAAATATCAGATTAATGAGACGACAAGATGTTGCTGGTTGGCCAGAGAAAGGAAGCTAGACGATAGTAGTCTGCAGCCCTGCCTATGCGTCAACCATGAACGGATAGATTAGGTTCTTTTGTCGCGAATGATACTTACACTAGGCGCTTTGAACCTATTGAAACAGATGGCGAATGAAAATATTGGATTTCCTGCCCCTGAATAACAGGCTGCGATTGGACGATGAGAATGAATGAGTGATGGCCCGACATTTTTTTTTTTTTTTTTGAACAAGTGACATCAAAGTAGAGCCCCACTACTAAAAAAATTCAGAACAGCGACTTTACTTTTCCGTCATTAGGGGCCCCACTTCTCCGAAACTAAACGCACGCTGGTTGGCGAAAAACTTATAGGCTATTTATCAGTTATCATCATCATTTTTTTTTTCTCACTTTTTTCTTTTTGGTTTGCACTTCCAAAAGCATCAAACGCAAATACCAAAGAGTCAGGCTTTTTCCTGTTCCGTAGCTATATCTTGTTACATTAAATAGGCGTCACTTTTTTATCATTAAAAAAGGTAACTCGTCACAACCAACCGTCCCGTGTTGGTTGATAACTGTGAACCATTTCGTTTTTTTGTCATGTTGACATGTCACCATCTCTCTAACTTTTGTTTTCATATAAAAGGTTGATACCGCAGTTCTTTCCTGTTCCCCTTTCTTTACTTATACTATCAACCCCCCGATTTTTTTTATATATATTTCCTTTGGACTTTCTTTTTTGCACTACGGTTTGCATAAAAAGAGGGGAAAAACATAAACACAAACGAAAAAATATTAAAAAAACAAAACAAATGAAAGATTTGAGTAAGTGCTTTAAAAATAACCGGTACATGGTATGAATAGAAAACAAGACGCTCATTCAGCGTATATTATATAGATTCTTCAACTATCCATTCGAGTCATGGAGTCAGGGAAGAGACAACACATCATCCCTCAATGCACTTTTCTCGGTATGTCCTTTTCATCGCCATCAAGTGAAAAAGGCACCCTTTTTTTTCACTGCAAATTTGCTCATCGTCCGTTAGCATGGATCCCTCCAGCGAAGATGAACTGGATAATGATATGCCTGCGGCCGATGCTTTGTTGCGTTTCAGAGACTCGGACGAACCCTCCGAATACACAACAGAGGAACGTCGTCAATCAAGAGAAGTGATCAAATTACCGCAAGAATCACTTCACAGTTTCCAGTTCTCGGCCACCAAAACGAATCGAATGGATCTTTTGGATTCATTTAAATGCACGGCGGGACGACCTCGGGAGTTTGTAAAGTATCCTATATTCACGAAACGAAGGATGTCCGGCGACCCTTTGCGGCAGTGTTCATCGCATGTCAGCTTGGAGGAGTACGCACGTGTTAAATCAAAGAGTGTGGTACACAGTCCTGTCACTTCGTTGGGCATATTGGAAGGTCAACGGCTACGCAGACGATCAATTCCTGCCACAATATTTCAAATCGCCGAAGACGATGTAGAGCATGACGAAGAAGACCAAGGAGAAGAGCAAGAGCAATGTCAAGGTGAAAAAGATGACCCTCCGTCACATACATTGGACCCTCCGGACGGATCATTGTTTAAAGCACCTCCAGAATCGGTCGAGGGATTACCTTCGGCAGGTTCTTCATCCTTGTCACTCAATTTATCAGATACCTCCTCCACTCGTCCTTCCACGGTAGAAAGCCACGTCAACGAAATGGAGCACCATGATTTAAAGGATTCTATGGATGACCATCGCATGCCTCCTTCCGCCATCTTTCCCCATCCTACGTTACACAACCCATCGCGATTTCTGCCTCAGAACCAGGCCATATTAACAACGTATGATGACTGGCACATTATTCTGTCCAACAATATTGCCGCATTTGTGCTAGTCGGCGACGCTGGTTGTGATAAAAGCCTAGTCGGTAAATCCGTCCTGGACTTCATTGATCCTTCATTCCGTACTCGATTCCAGGATATGGTTCATAAACGAAGACAGGAGTTGAATTACCTGAATGAGGATAGTCTTGCAGGTGGTATGGTTCTTGTTTGCGGTAATGTGGTAAGTATTAAAAAAAAAAGCCGGATGACTCAAAAAATGAACTCATATCCAAACAAATGAAAAAAGAAAATCAGCCATATTCACTCATTGCACGTATGATCAATTTTTTTTTGTTAGCTTCCCATTGTCAAACAAGACGGATCCAAATCGGCGGCTTCCCTATGGTTAAAGGAAAAACGCAATGATGCAGGCAAATCGGTGTACATCTGGGTGTTTGAAGAAGTCTTTGAAAGTTTGGTTCATGTTACCATCGATACGGACGTAAGTTGGATATAGAATGAGGGACAGGGAAAAGAACCCTTCAAAAAAAAACCTTAAAATGATCTGATCACGTGTGCTGACATCTTGCTCTTTATTTTATTTCTGCTCTTCTTTTTTATCATTCGATCTCCTTCCCTTTTCGTCCCTCTCCCCCACTTTTTTTCTGTCTCTCCATCTCTTATTTTACCTCGTCCCTCCTCCGTCCCCCCCCCCCAAAAAACTTTTTTTTCTTACACCATATTTTTTGTGTGCTATTTCTGGATTTGTTTTTCACAGGGCATCATTCGATATGTTGACGAAGGTGTTCAAGAAGTGTATGATTATACACCAAGCGAATTGGTCGGTCAATCGATTCAAGTTCTGATTCCGTCCTTTGATTTGGAGCAACCGTTGCGGGATTGGCAAGAAAATCAGTATTTCGGTGGTCGGACCAAAAGAGGAGCGAATTTTCCCATCATTGCTAAGATGCACATGATGTCCACATCAAAAACAGACAGTGGTGCAGCAGCGATCTCCAGTTTACGTTCTGCCATCCGCATTACATCCATACCAATGATCGCTGGGCTCGTGACCGTACGACAAAATGGTATAATTGTTGGGTGCAATAATGTGTTTGTGCAATACATGTTTGGTTTTTCACAAGAAGAATTAATTACCGGGCAACTTCACATCGCTACGTTGATGCCCCAATTTCCTACCCTCCTTCGCAATTTGCAACGCGACGATTTACTGCAGCATGGCTTTATCATCAACAGCGCTATTTGCCGTAAACTTATTGCCGACACCCACATCGACGACAGTCGTCTGTCTTACCTTGCGCCTTCGTCTTCGCCATCGGCTCCCCATACTACTTCCACCCAGACCACCGCACGGGAACCACGCTTAACTCATGCGCCCAATGGTCAGGCTTTGCCTGTCATTTTAGCTATCCATCGTGACGGCACCCCTTTTGAAGTCCAGTTACAGCTACGCTTGGTGGATGGGTCCGATGATGCCCTTGCTCTGTGGATTACTTTCAACCGCGATGCCACCTTTGCTCGCTTTGGTCACACTGCTTACGCACGACCTTCCCTGGAATTAAAACAACACAACGGACTTGGTTTCCCGACGATTCGACGAGACGATATCAAAGAATACTCAACCGCTTTACCTACGTTTGCGGCTGTGAATGAGGAACCGACCCCTTCGCCTCCTCCACGTTTTGCCAAAATGGACCCCTTCGCATCAGAAACAGTCGCCCCGTCGTATGATCCATCCTTGTCATCACTGTCCTCGTCATTATCGTCATCTTCGCTATCATCCCCATCGCCCTCGGCTCCATCCACCCCACAAGCGATGCGTGTGATCACAAACAATGTTTACCGAGCAAATAGGGAACCTCTTTTTTCACCCGTATCACCAACCGCATCCAATCATGTTACTGCATTCCCTACCTATTCTGCGCAAACCCAGACGGCAAGCATTGATGATTATCACATCCTCGATGACCTTGGTGAAGGTGCTTACGGTTTGGTTAAACTTGCCGTTCGAAAAAACGATCCTGAAAAGGTAAAAAAGAAAAGGACCCTCTTTCCGATCGCACTTACTAAAGTGGAAATCATTGTTTTTTCTTTATTTCTTATCTGGATCTCTGCATCAGAAAAAGGTCGTGATCAAGTACGTTATCAAATCTCGCATTTTAGTGGATTGTTGGACAAGAGACCGAAAGCTCGGTACAATTCCGGCTGAGATTCACATTCTGCATACTTTGCGAAAGATTCCGCATCCGCATTGTGCTGCCATGAGTAAGTCCTCGTCATCCTTTTTTGATCATCGTATTCTCATATGTTTTCCATGCGTTCCCCTCCTCCCACTCACGCTCAATTTTTTCTTTTCTTTTCTGTGTTTAGTTGATTATTTCGAAGACGATGATCATTATTATATTATTATGCCGTTGCATGGAGATGGAATGGATTTGTTCGATTACATTGAATTGAAACCGCACATGGCAGAATTCGAAATCAAATCTATTTTCCGGCAAGTGGCGGACGCTGTGCGACATCTGCATGACCACAGCATTGTGCATCGCGATATCAAGGACGAAAATGTGATTCTCGACGGAGCCGGCGCTGTTCGGTTGATTGATTTCGGTAGTGCTGCTTACATGAAAGCAGGCCGTCGCTTTGATACCTTCTTTGGAACCTTGGAATTTTCATCGCCTGAAGTGCTTCGTGGACACACTTACGAAGGTCCACCGCAAGACGTATGGGCTCTCGGCATCCTCCTTTATACCTTGATTTGCCGTGAAAATCCATTCTATGATGTGGATGAAATTATGGGAGGCGAGCTACGGTGGCCAACATTTGAAGTGTCGAAAGGTAACGTTAACGCATTACAAAACGTCCATCGATCGAACCATAGCTCATAGTCACAAAAATAGATGCGCAAGGTCTTATTCGACAAATGCTCAACCGCACGGTAGAAGAACGTCCTGATATTCATGCGGTGCTGGCTCATCCATGGTTAAGTTAAATGCATCCTCTATAAATTGCCCACAAAAGAAAAAGAGTGGCCCGTTCCTTCCAAAAAAGTAATTCCCTTGATTTCATTAATTCCATTTGTTTCTTATTTGTACTTTTTTTTTTCTTTCTATTCCCTTTTTGTTATATATGATTCCTTTTGTTTATTTATTGTTCCTCATCACTTACTCTTGTACATTTATCAGCCATCAATATACGAGATTCCTTATGAAAGTTCATGTGCAGCCTGTGTATTTCATCAATCAACTAACTAATCAAAGGCCTATCCGTTGACTCCAATCGGAAAGCTTAACCATTCACCGTGTAAATCGTATTGTATTGATCTATGGCTGGTTTGTTCTCATGATTCTATTCTACAAATGCAAGGAAGAAGAAGAAGAAGAAGAAGACGAAAAAGATACAGCGGTTTGTTCTAAAAACCTTGACCGAGACCGGTCTTATCGGTCAATGTCTTCATGGTACCTTCTTGACAGAGTTCCGGATGAACATAGAATAACATCTTGGGTTTGGTCTTGTCGCCGCCGATTTTGCCGGCAGCCGCTGCAGCATCAGTGACCATCAAACTTGTGAAAATACGGGATGACGGCCCCAAGGCTTCCACAGGCACTTGTGTCGCATGATCTTTAGCCAAAAATGAAAGGGTATGAATAGTGACTTTGGTGGGATCGTTCACATGTTCAGCATCGGTAGTGATCTTGGTGACATAAGGCGACATAACCCATTGAATCAATCCCGTCGAAGCAGCACTCGTAACCACAGCTAAAAATAAAATCATATACCAAGATCAGAACGACGGGTGATTTCAGTTTTTCCACTGACAGTAATGATTTACCTGCACCAACAAGAGCCGCCTTGGCCACAAAAGGAACAGGAACGTCAATGGCAAAGACAAATGGAGAAATACCGCAACCAAGTCCAAGCGATGTAATGGAGAAGAGTTTCAAACGACGAGCCACCTTGGCCAACGGGCCATCATAGATCACCACAGGTTCATTGTTCGTCTGAGTGGTCAAGGTACGAAGACCAGTGGTTTTTCGGAAGCTAACAAAACCAGATCGCTGGCTCACAAGCAAAGATCGTCGACAAAAAAGGGCCGCAGTGGGATTCATATTATGAGAAGGGAAACAAGGAACGCTGTGGTTTCCCTTTCACCGAGACCGTCTGACTTTGTATCCTGTCGTGGAGAACCAGGGAAATCCATACTCAGTTGGCCGCTCAAACAAAAAACAGCAAGGGAGAACACATCACATTATCCAACCAAAGAATGTCTCGGAAGAAGCAACTGGTTATTTCCACATCATTTAGGGTAATATGGCTGTTTTACGATATTGTTATTTACTACAGAATAAAACAAGTGGCATGAACGACTCGACTCGTATCTAAGCCACGAACCGGTAATGAGGTTCACACCTCACCGACCAGCATTAGAAAAGAGCTCGTAGCGGAGATGGAATAGCCCACCTTACTTGAAGTTGCTTTATTTGCCAACAATGTTTGCTAATTGTAAGTTGACATTGACTCGATGCTTGGGTATTGACAAGACCAGGAAGCACTGAATGATTATGCGTATGCTTTATCAGTGAAAATTCCTCCGGGTATTCGTGTGTTCAACAAAATTGCGGATTTCCGCTCATGGCGCCGACAATTGCTTCTTGATCGACAGACCTTGGGTTATGTTCCTACCATGGGAGCTCTTCACCAAGGTCATTTGGCTCTTGGTGAGTTTATTGCTTAGTGGCTTTTTTTTCGAGTCATACTGAGGCCTAACCTTTTTTTTTTCTTCTTTGGGCATGCATTACAGTGACGGCTGCTAAACAACAATGTGACCACGTGGCTTTAACTATCTTTGTGAACCCTGCACAATTTGCACCGAACGAAGATTTGGCTTCTTACCCTCGAACCTTGCAGTCGGATCTTGACCAGCTGGCGGCTTTGGGTCCTCATGTTGCTTCGGCGGTTCTGGTGCCGCAAGTCCAAGAAATGTATCCTACAGGAATCGAGTTGGACGTCAGCAAGCAAAAAGGCGCCTTTGTCGAAGTCAAGGGATTATCGCACCAGCTAGAAGGGATTACACGACCCCATTTTTTCAGAGGCGTCGCTACTGTTGTCACCAAGTTTCTCAATATCGTAAGTACCGTGTTATTCAACATCACATCACCGAAACTATCTTTTCATACGATTTTCATGTGTCATAGGTCCAACCGGAGCATGTCTATTTTGGTCAAAAAGATAGTAAGTAAAACCAACCTAACAATTGGTTGCCACCCTGTCTCACAGTTTGGAAATGACGATCTACAGTCCAACAGTGTTTCGTGATCCGCCGTATGTTGCAGGACCTTCACGTCCCAGTGCAAATGCACATTTGTCCTACTATTCGTGAAGAGGACGGTCTTGCCATGTCATCCCGTAACACGTATCTCAGCCCGACGCAAAGAACTCACGCTTTGTGCTTGTCCAAAGCACTTCAAACCATGGAGAAAATGTACCGTGACGGTGTCCGACATGCGCCTACCCTTATTTCGGCAGCAAAAGACGTCATTGAAACGACGCAACGACAAGTTGAAACACTTGGTCAAGATTGGCAAGTGAAATTGGACTACGTAAATGTCAATTCGCCCCATGATCTGTCCGAGATTCGTGATGAAATCACTGACGGAGCCATCATGAGTTTGGCCGTTTTTGTTGGCAAAACTCGCCTCATTGACAATATCGTGGTCGATGTCAGTTTAGATTCATAGATTCGCAAATCATACACCGCATAAACAATTTCTTCATTCAATAGCCATGTCGTTCAACATGCATGACATATAAAAAAGAAAAAAAAGGATTGAACCGGCACCTTGTATCAATAATAATAATGACGAATATAAATTATAAAATTTTCACAGATCAAGATGGCGAGATGGGAACGACTTCAGCGGATATTCTCGTGACACTCTAACAATATAACAACAGGAAAAAGATACCGAAAGTGGAAAAATGGAAGTAATGAGGGGAGAGAGGGAAAAAAAAAAAGATAGATAGAAGAACCAGCTTTTTGTGATCGGTGATGTTATTTAACGCAGTTAACCACGAATGAAAATGCCGCGCTCCAAGAGACCACCGAAACGAACACCTCTGGAAGTCTTGTCGACATGGTCCAGTCCAAGTGCATCTTCGTCACCAAATTTACTTTGACGTAAATCAAAGTCGTCTAATATTGCGACAAAAACAATATGAGATCTCGTAATCATTTTTATGAACGAAAAAAGCCCAACGTACCTTTTTCGATGGGTATCACTTCAGGATCCAACGCGTTCACATTCTTTAACAGGGAAAACTTGACTTTGGCCCACTCTTTATCGCTCATGCCACACCGCTTTTGTAAGCGTTTCTTGGTTTCAATAAACGGCTCATTCTACGTATATTTTTACAATGTCAATCCCAATGGGTTGACTTTCAGTCTTCTTTTGTAAAAACTAACCTTTTTCACAATAAATCGGAATGGAATGCCATGGAACCGTGCGGGATCTTTGTTGTAGTGGACAACTTGAATCAAACGATCGTTGTCAATATCCATGTCCAACTCATCCTGGGTGAGTCTCTATTGAAAAGATTTAAATTTGAATATCTATACGGGATAAGCCAACTGTATCATCATACTCACCTCAGCATACAGAGTCGCCCGTTTGTCTCCCAACTGATCGATACCCTGGTCGCTTGTGAATTCCTTGGAAATTTTTCCATCAATGGCTTCATAGAACCGGACGCGGTCGGCTTGAGTGTTGTTCGATTTGCATTTGGCTTCGGTGGCCGTCGCAAGATCGCATACAATGCCTGATTTCGGGACAAGGACAGTAATGGTCGATTCATCACGAAGCGTAGGACCATAAACCGTCAATTTCATGGACCGCTTTGTTTCCAAATCGGCAATACTGATGTCCATCACCTCATAATAAAGAACAGGAGGCGGTATAGACTCGAGCGAAACAGCATGAGCATATTCGGATGCACTGGGCATAGAAGGTATCAGCTCTTCCAGCGTCGCTCGTGGTTGGTACGACAAAGCCTCCTTTGGTTGGCCCGTCACCGAGTGCGCTGTAGAAAACCGCAACTTTCCAGCATCCACATTCAGAATCTTGGCCAAATTTTCAGCCGTCCTGATGTAAGTGGTACGTCGGCTCAACACCATCTTTTCCTCTCGAGCATTTTTATCGAATCGAGGTTTGAATAAAACCATCACTCGATTGTATAGGGCGTTAAAGTACTCGGGAACCGTCGCATAACGACCTTCCTCGCGCAATCGCTTGGCCCTAACACACAATAGCGCACCACTAGTTAGTTGCAGGTTCATTAAGAAGATCAGAACAACGAACAAGACTTACTCCTCTTCCGACAGTGCCATTTGGAAGCAAAGAATGTCTCCATGTTGGATATCGGCTGCCGAAAATGTCTGTTTGGTTTTCAGTAAATCGACTCGGGAAGGACGAATTTCCTGCCATCGTACAGAACGTCAACATGAGTATCACAAACGAGTCGATATGGAGCAGCAGTACGATCTTATTAGCTGCACATTACCTCGTACAGCGAGATGGGCGTGGATTTTTCGAGACCCGCCTTTTCAACCAATTGGGGAATAATATCTCCAATCTTGTCATTGTCTTTGACATAGAGCTTGCCAAGTCCACTAGTTGGGGGAAGGTTAATAACAGTTCAAGGCGTATTCCGTAATGTTCATACCGCATCTTTTGCTCTTTGACTTCAAAGTATTTGAGAAATACAATGGAATACCCTGGCTTGACATGGTTGGATAATTTGAAATCCGAGATCTCCAGGTACAGTTTGGCAAATCCCCCCAGATGATTGTACCCATTCATTGCTTCTCGCAACTTGTCGAATGCTGTCATGAAGGCAAGAACAACCAACCATTAATATGCATACAACGCCAACAGTACTCAAGTTTGGTTTGCCATACACATTCTTTCTTCCGTCGGTGTCAATGGTCGATCGACGCGTGCGGTTTCGTTGCTTCGATACGCAATCGTCCACAGTCTAAACTTTTCCGGATTGATCTTGTAGTGCTCAATGATCTTTTGTTTGAACACTACGATTTTTTCCGTACGAGGGACCTTGAAAATATCGACTTCGGGCGAAGTCTCTAGACGACGATCGTCGAACATGGCAATGTCGAATTCTTGCCGATTCGCAAATGTGGCGTCAGTAACCACCTAGGTAATGACGCAAGATCCATCAATGTCTGACGGAGAGAAATAGTCAGGGCCTAAAAATATATCCTACCGCTACTTTGGCATAAAGGTGCATTTCTTCTCGATCCTTTTTACGTCGTTCAACGGCGGCTCGTTCCTCGTTTAGTCTTTCCTCTATCCAAACCCATGTATTGTCAGCCAATATCGTCTAGACGTCTTACTTACAGTGTACATACTTAGATGAAGAGGAATGTCGTCTTCCAACACGGGCCCCAGAATTTCATCCACCTTGCTTTTTCGGATATAGACTAACATGTATGCATTGGTGAACTTTCTCATCATTCGGAAGCTACTCGTTTTCATGGCTGGATTGAGGAAAGGTGGTGCGCCATTCATGGCTCCTGGGGTTCGATGAGGCTCATCGCCATAATTTTCTTCAAACACCTCTTTTTCGGTCACCTTGGTCACACGATCATCATCAAACCGTAACCACGCCGCATCTTTTGCAGGTTTGATCAACGTAAAGTAATGGCCACCATGCACATCACCGCTGTGTACGAGCACACTACGTCAACAAATGAAACACATACGATCAGTTACATATGCCTCCAGTTGATCATTGCCACAATATCCTTCGTACCCATGCAACACATAAGTGTTTGGACCATCTTCCTTTGCGTTGGAGGAAGCAAATTCATCAAGGTTAATTTCGTTGGGGAATTCGTGACGATCATTGATCTAAAAATAACGTAATGCTAAGCAAGCTTTGACTAGAATGACACTGATGCTCATACGTACCTTGATCATTGTATCCTTCATAAAGTCGTATTCGAAACGCTTCAGCTGCAAGTGCAAGACTGGAGGAAAGGATTCGAAAATCACACCCTTTTGCGCATCTTGCAAACCATACCCTTCAGCCATGTACTTATTCTCTCCTTCCAGCGTTTCGACTGTCACATAATCCTTGAAAGAATCGTAAAGACTCTTGCATCCTCTCACATTGAGCTGGATATCTAAATAATGAAGCCTATTATCAATACCAGTCTGACTGCGATTCACTTGACATAATTACCGTAATAATCCTCAGTACGGGATGATTCATAATCCACATTGATGCATTTTATATAGCTCTTCATCTTGCCAAGAAACAATTTCGAAATGGCGCCGTCGGCTGGTGTGCCCTGAATGAAATCAAGCATGAAAAGCTGTTTTGACCATGCCTTCTTTTTTTGGCATTTTGTTACCTTCATTTTCAGTTCCAAATTGTCTTGCAAAACACGATTAAACTCCTGTACATCATGCTGCATAAAGGCTTCCAATGAATCCCAGCCAAATGACTTTGTCAGTTCGGTCGTATCTATAAAAAAAGAACCCAAGACATCCGTTTAATTACAACGCGTTGTGCCATCGGAAAATCCTGCTACTTACCAACCGGTAATTTGGATGACTGAAGATTATAAAAGCAACGTTGCAGTGCTAAGGCTACACTTTTGGTTGGTTCATCTTTCTCGGTGGGGATTTGGTACACTGCTTTTCGGAACTGGTTGGTACAGTACAGCGATTGCAGTAGCGAGTTCATGTAGCACGTTGCACCCTGATTTTTGATACCGACATACCCTGTTTCTTTCCTTGAATCATAGCTACATGAATGTGTTTAGGTCAGACGTCAGTTCACACATCACGATGCTTCCGGATCTTTCTTACTTTACAAAATTGTGCCACAGCACCCCGGTATCATCTTTTACAATGCGGATGAAGAAAGATATATCCATCTGATTGTTGATAAGGAAAGGACCTTTGCCGTTGACTCCCTGAGTAAGATTCTTGATCTCATAGAACCGTGTAAAACCCCAATCCACGTCAGTAGCGGAAAAGCGATGATTCGCAGCTATCATACCATGTGTGAGTAAGGATACAAATCGTTCACCACCCAAGGTTTGGACTGTTCGAAGGTACTGAAAGACAATTGGGTTTAACATATCAACATACCATTAGTGAAAAAGACAGTAGGATCGTTGGGATCAGATATGGCAAGCATAAATTGAGCGCAAACGTGCCAGTCTTCTGGGAGTTTTTGAGCATCGCTGTCTGCGACTTCGAGGTATAGCGATATGGCATTGTTCTGATTGTTGCCCTTTGGAAATAACAGTATACGCCTGATGCATGAATTAATAAAAAATACTTATTGTAAACGAATGACTGTTCGGTCCCCAATACAGTCATCTCGTTCCAATCTCTATCAACTCTGTCCCTTTTTTTTTTTTTTACCGACACCATTTTTTCTGCCTCACTTTTGTTGTTTGCATGTGTATGTAGTAGGTTTTTTGGTTTATAAAATGTATACTTTATACTTACCAAGGGAAGTTACCGGCCATGGAGACGGGACTGTGGCATCGTGGTTCAAGCGCTTTCCAGTCAGTGATATGCCAGTGGAATGCGTGAGTCACCTCGGTTTCTAAATCGTCCGTTTCAGGTAACATATGTTGGAAAACGTCATCGTCTGTGCAAGTATTAAAAAGACGAAGAAAGGAAAAACAGTAGTTTTTTCAGTAATTATTCATTGACAAAATGGCAGTTCCACGTCATGCACTCACGGTCTCGTATACTGTGCTTGACATCGCGACGCGTTCTCGATGGTGTGGTGTCTGACTCTAATGGACGAACGACGTTTTCTGTGGCATTATCACCATCCATCTCGGAAGTGAGATCGCTAAAGTAGGCCTCTGCCATTTCGTCTTCATTAGGGACAGCAGCGGCATAGGGCGGTGTATTACCCTGGGGCGGTTTCGTCATATTATTATAGAAAGTATACTTTCAGTACAGGGGAAAAGAAGAAAAGAGGTGGAGAATAAAAGAGTAAAATTAAGCAAAAGAGTTTAGGTACGAAAAAAAAAAATAGGCTAAACCCTAAGTGGTCGTAACTTATTGAGCTTCCTCAAAAAGGGCTTCTTGGACTGCTCAGAAAAAGAAAGGTGGAGAAAAAAAATCGCTTGCCTGTTTTGTGGGATGACTCCCGTGAAACCTTGGCTTTGAAATGCCGCGTCGCCGTAGAATTCTTGAGGCCAGTTGCATGATTTACCCAAAAACAAAAAAGCCAAAAAATAATGTAAAGTATTCAAAAACTTTTTGCTTCATCCAAAAACCTAGTGAAACTGTAAGGTTTCTATCTGCAAATTGTGAAAGGATGGTTACAAAAAGTTAAAAATAAAAATAAAAAAGAGAGAGAAGATCTCTTTGGATATTTAACCGCTTTATTTGTTTACATGGCTTTATATGACAAAAGAAAAAAAAATGACGAAGAGAGGGATCATTTACAGTGACATGATGCGTGGTAAGGTGCGTAATTTTAGGGATTTTTTTGGCATTTTCTGTGATCCATCGATTTGGATGAGTAAAGTTGCATAGGCAAGGAAAAGAATGCACATGGAGAAAAAGAAGACATAACATTGAGAGGACTAGGTAATCGGTGAGCGATATGTCCAAATTGAGATAGAAATGAAGCATGTGCAAACAGAGTTAAAAGTCTACGGTTCTTGTGACACATTGCAAAAGACATCACAGTGCATAGCTGTCCATCATTTCTGCCTAAAAAGAGATTTCGCCAATAACCATAAGGAGTCAGAATCAAAAGGACGCTAACAATGTGTTATTAAGCAGTCTCAATAGGGGAGTCCAGGATAACGAGTGAGGTTATTTCGCCTTTGGTGAAATAAAAGCGCTCATCCGCATAAGGGCTTGGCACAAGGTTCCCCAAAATGCTCATAAACGACGCATTTACTATTGGTTTTTTTTCCTCCTCCCTCTATCGACCATCATGTCCATGGCTACCGCTCTTCAGCAGCAGCATCATTTTCACGGTCATTGGTGCAAAAAAGGCCTCGCTTTCTTCCACCGAAAAAAGCAAAGGTCCAATTACTATTTACCTACCGTCATGGCAGCAGCCACCGAAAAATACGTCAGGCACCGTCCATCCTCCGTCCACGATCCATATCCTCATTCGCATTCACGCCAAATGCTCACTTCTGAAGACCTGACCGCCAGTCAGTTCGCTATTCTGACTGGTATCAAGATCAAAAAGATTGGCAAATACCAGGACCCATCTTTTTATCTGGAAAATGAGGACGATTCCTCCGACGATGACGGTGACGACGACGAGGAGTTGAACGACGATCACCTTTCATTACCCATGACTATCCGTTCAGAACGCAACTATGCCTCTTCCTCCTCTCTTTCGTCTCACACTATGCCTCATAAACCGCGTATCTGGGATTCCAATTTCTGGCACTCTCCTCACGGTTCGACAGTCACTACTCCTCTGCATTCGCGGTGTTCATCATCCACCATGACCACGTCCTCTTCCATGCCGCTCTCATCATCACACACCATGAAAAGTCGTTCGCCAAATGTAATTCAAAAAGGCCGATTTCAAATTATGATTGGTCAGATCGACCATCATCCATCGCACCCTATCACTACACCAGAGAAAAACGTTGTCGAATGGAAGCGAAAGCGATCTCTCACTCATTGATTTTGCTATTCTTTTGACGTTTTCGATTCTATTTGACGCAATGGCAATCTCCTCCTATATCAAAACAATCTCCACTCTTTTCTTTTGTATTATGTTTTTTCTTCCCTCTTGCCGTCATGTATTGTATTATAATATCTAAGTGTTGGCCATTCACATTTTCTATACCCTTGTTGCTCCCTCAAGACCTAGTTTCTTTATTGCTTCTACTTGTATGAATGTGTTGATCAGTTCCTTTCTTATCCCCGTCCTCTCGTATGTTCAATTTCTGTTGTAACTTATTTTTTTTATTCCCTATGTGCAGGCGCTTTACGTAATATTCTATGTATGTATGGATTTCACTGTCTTTTTTTTTTGAACTACTTGACGCAATTCGCTTTTTATACACTCTTTATGTTCATTTGAGAATATGAAATGTCGGTGAATAATATGATATACTGTCTAACAATATCGCTTATATCGCGGTACGCGTCATTTCCTTGATTGAGTCGTCGACAACATTTCAGCAAAATTAGTCGTATCATGCCAGAGTAATTTATCCCAGGGGAAAATCTTTACTCAAATTGGGAAAAATGAATTTTTTTTCCAAGGCAATTTTCAGGACGCAAATGCCTCATTTGTTGAGAGACATTGTGGCACTGATCGCCCAGATGATACGATGCCTCGATTTTTGGTGACATTGTAAACACAGTATACCGGCTCACTAAGGTTCATGGTCCCGTTACGACGATAACTCGTAAGATATGTCGTATAGAGTACGCTGTAAATGAAAATCAGGGTTTTCCACGCTAGATTTCCGGGTGCATGTGAAACCGTAATCCTGGGAAAAAAAAACAAAAAAGGAACATATCATAGGGCGATCATTGAAGCAAATGACTCGATCATGATTTCGTTATATGCAACTATGTCATCATTAGGGCGGTAAAAAACTTTTTTTTTCAGTACTATGATATGTCCGACTTCCATCGCCGTACCATTAAACCAGATACCGTCCGTCACGCGTTATGATCCCTTGAAAGAAACAACCGACAAGAAACTATGCAACATCGAAACATAACCAAAATCTTTGTTTGCTGACAAGGTAAAATAGACGCAAAAATTTTGAGTTGTGTTCTTTTGGATCAGATACCGCCTCTTTTGATCACACTATCTTAAAGCACACCGATCATGAGTCGTTGCATTGTTATGATATCACAAACCTTGTATCTACTCTTTACTCTTACAGTACAGATGGGGTAGCTGAATGGGGTAACCGGAGGGAATGCCAGAAAGAAGCATGGGAATGAATATAGTCTATTGATGTTCTTTACTTAAAAAAAAACAATAAGGTTTCCATGTGAATAATAGGTCTTTCCTGACTCGATCATTGCCTTGACCCCGCTTTTGAATTGATCCCATGCAATTAGAGAAAGTGCGATTCACTATTAATTCCATTGAGGTGTGGTTATCAGTGTCTATGAAATCTTGAGCATCTACGCTTGCATGGCCAAAGTAATGTTACATAGTGTACAACATTGCCTAAAACTACCACTCACTATGGCAACGGGGACATCAACGCCAGCCGAAACAGACATTGGATTGCAACTGTATAGCATTGACTGACGGTTAAAAAAGGCAGGTAATATTTTTCCTTTCATTCGCGTTTTACAGATAATGGACATTAAGACACTTTGTTCTAAATGTATCCAAGTCCAGAAAAAAGGTAGCCTAGAATATCTACCTGTTCTCTTGATGGACTGTAACGAGCTTCGACTATGGTACTGCACAGTAATGATGTATAGCTTGTTGCAAGGCCGGTAAAGGTCCAACACGGGTAAACGATTTCAAATGAACCCAATAAAAATGCATAGTTTTAATGAAGCTTTCTAGCTGTGCAAAATGTTTAAACATGTCTCTTTAAAAGATCGCCAGGAAAATCTAATAAAAATCAAGGATGATATCAAAAAATATTTAAAAAAGTGCGGATGAAGTAATGGGTTTGTCGCCTGAAGTGGCCTTGCCATCTTTGCCAATGACCGTGACATTCTACAAGGAAGAAAGAAAGACGGGATTAATAAACTGAATTGGCAGATCAAGTTTTTTTCTTTCTGATCCAAGTGAAAACCTACCTTTTGACCCAGCAATTCCTTGACAGCTTTTGTCTTGGCTTGCTTGTGACCCAAACCAGGGTTTAATTTTTCGATCATCTTCATTTGCTGTTCCTTCATTGCCTTGTCCTTTCGCTTCAACTTCTTCTTTAATTGTCTCGCGCGTTTACGTTCGCTCTGGTCCATTTCACTGGTGCTCTTCACCTCGCCTCGTTTCTTATCGTAGACTTCTTCAGGAGCAAGCAATGTAGCATCTGATACATTGACCGGTGTAACATCTTCCATACTGATAGCAGCCGCATTGCTGACAATCGAAATTTCCGGTTTCGCGGCTTTAGGTGTGTAATGGAAGTTGCTGAGGGCATCGAGTTTTTCACATAAAGAGTTGAACATGGATATAATGGATTCATGTTCCGCCCGTAATGCCTCGTCCTTTTCATGAGTTTTATCACCCGTTACTTGCTTCACATACTCGTCTTCGTACAGTTCGGCCAGCGATTTCTTGGACTTTTCATCGTCCAGACTGACTCGTTTGGAAGGAAGCCATGGTCGTAATGTGGGATCCGATTTGCGTTCGACATCATCAAACATGTTATCGGCAATACGCTTCTTGATCATGTCTTCTAAAGCGGAGGTGGTCTCCTCTGTAATGACCGGGACCGGCTTCACTGATTGATCAAACTCCAAATCTTCTTCCAACAAGCTGTTAACCGGTCGCTTCTTTGCCGAGGTTTCACCAATCATTGTCCAATGGCGTTGACCAATATTTTCCTCTTCAAACTGTTCGATTTGAGCCTGAATACGTTCCAATCGTCGCTGATGTGCCGACTTTGATTCTTCGTCTTCGCTTCCCTCTTCATCATCCGCAGCAAACAGATTGCGTACACGGTCTTCTCCTTCCGATTCTTCGTCATCTTCGGCATCCTCCTCTTCGTTTTCTGAGCCAAACGCATCCTCTTCGTCTTCTTTGAATGAAACACTTTTTGTCCTTGCCTGCGATGGTTTCTTTGCTTTTGTGGGTGCGACAAAGAAGTCTTTAAAAGTGATATCTAAAAACGTGAACAGATCCTCTATTAGAACGGTGGTACTCATGATAGAAACATGCGTTAACTGTCGTACCTGCTACGTCCGCCATATCTTCTTCATCTGCCTCTTCATCTTCATCCAAGTCAGCCTCGAAATCAATTTCTTCATCATCTTCCTCATCTTCTCGATCCGACATCATGTCTAATCGTTCTTGTTCTTCGGTCCACTTGTTGAATTCTTCCAGGTTGAAAAACTCATCATCCACTTCAGATTGTTTCACAGGACTAACATTATTCAATAATAATACATCAGCACTCCCACCTCTTTTTAACGCAGCTCGATTTCAAGCCATGCTTCAGTTTTTTACCTGCTCGATGTTTCTTCTTCTTCATCCAAGTCGGCCTCTTCGTCGTCCTCTTCATCTTTTTGTTCAATATCTTCCTCATTCTCGTCATCTTGCTCCATTTCATTAGCTGAATCCAATGCCATTTCTTCGTCTTCGTCGTCATGGTATTCTGCACTGGAATCAAACATGGTTTCGTCATTATCGTCGTCTAGCAACATGGAATGATCGGATGTCATTTCAGGTTCGCTTTCTTCGAGATTATCTGTCGATGTAACTGGGACTTTGGACTGCCGACTTTGTCTTTGAAAATCACTTAGAATGGTGTTGGCATAATCTAAGAAGGGTTCATTTTGTGTTGCAATTTCCTCCCAGATTTGATCGTTATCGAAGCCTTCTGTCAAAAGTTCTGGAAATGGCGCAAACTCCATTGGTTCGTGTGATTTGGCTATTATACAATCATGTTTCCAGAGTTTAAGATCATGGCAAGCTTTTAGATCTAAAGAATATCCATTCAACTTTACCTGTGTCATAAAAGTGCTTTGCGATCCCGAGAGCTTGATGAGCAATCTTTTCATCAGCTACGAAAAATATTTGCGGCTTCTCCACAACATTGTTGATAAATGTCTCGATGGGAGAACGCTGCTTCGCTGATTTAGCAACCATCAGATATAGAGAGCAGGACCGGGCAGGAAGACTTTTTTTTCCTTCTTCGATTACACTTTTTTTTTTTTTTTGTTCTTGCAACATTTTTGGGAGACTGGGACAACTAATTTTCAAAGTCACAGGAAACGCTCATTGATATAAAAAGTGGAAGCCCACGGTGGTGGAAACATTAAACAATGTTGCCAGATGATGAGAATTAGCCAAAGCTGAACCAACAAAAAGATTCACTCGTGGGTGTTGGGGAGTTTTGGTGTGTGTAGCATGATGAAGGAAAAAGTAGAAGCGCATTCTGTGTCTTTCCATCTTCCGATCTATTGCCATACAGCCACGCCCTAATCTCACTACAAAATTTTTTTTTTTTTTTTCATGTTGCAACCACATACGCTGAGAAGGAAACCATAAAAAGTTGTATTTTTCTGATGGCATACAAAGTTTATTGAACGTACATTAAAGGACAAAAGGATGGGATTAGTGTTTATATCAAATTGTCCATGGGTGGGGTTGTTCATCCATTACATGCGGAGTTGCAGTGTCGAAAATATAAAAAAATATAGTGAAATACAATACCCAATAATGACGAAAATGGAAAAAGTGGAAAAAGAAAAATGATTTCGAAACAATCAAGCAAAGAAAGCAAGTTTTTAAATATAAATGATATGTGCTATTTACAAAATTGTGGATTTGCTATGAAAATATAATGCTGGAAGAGAAGAAAGAGAAGAAATAGAAGAAATAAAGAAAAAAAGCAGCAGTAAAAAAAAGCAAAAGAGAATATCCCCCGAAAGTTACAGTGTGTTATGTATCAGTTGTGACGCTGGAGGGCGAACTGCAAGGCAGAGGGTTGGGTACGGATGACGAAGACGACAAGGAAGGATTGGGCGAAGATGATGTTTGTGGTGCATGTCGAAATACATTGTCGGTGATGGGAAGGTCGTGGGAAGGAGAGTCAAAGAGCGAGATGTTTTGTTGAATGAAATTCAGTAAATGTTTCCGTACATCGATGGCTAAGCGCCACTCTTCGTGCACTTCAGATCGAAAGGAATCAATTCTCTCTTTCCGTACACAAGGATTGGTTCCCATCTTTTCTAGTACCATTAACAAGATCTTGCAGAGCCTTGAGAATTTTCGAAATGTGTCGTTGAGGTAATCATTAATGTGTTGTATGTAGGCAGCGTTGCCTAGTCGCGCATCTGGTTTCCGAGGTACATTAGGGTCGAGACACGGATTGAGGCAAAGGGAAGGACAGACAGAGGCACTGAATGCTTGCAATTCTTTGACGATATTCTTTGCTTGATGAAGACAACGTGTGAATTCGATAAATGCACGGTCGGTGTTGTGAAGAGTGGACGACTCTAGTGGATTGGTACGAGGTATGGTACGGTGTTTCCGTGGTGATGACATTCCGTCCTACATAGATTGGGACGCTTTTACGGAACGAGGGTCAGTGACAAGAAAAGTAGTTCTCGACGGTTTCCTTTCTTTTTTTATTATTTTTCGTTGATTTTTTGGGATGCGAAAAAAAGGACAATCCCCAATTTTCACGCTTTCGTCAGTTGCGGGGAAATAAAAAGAAGTTTACAGAAGTTTTACGATTTGTTCGATTTTGTTTGAATGGCTTTCACGGAGTTCAGCCACACAATTCGAGATTTTGAGAATGGGAATTTTTTTCTTCCTCATCTTCATCTTCCGCACAGGAGGAAATCGCCGAATCGTGACTATTGGTACCATGCGAAGATAGACTATCGCTGCGTTGAGATTTACTCGGCCAACCTATCACCGTCATTCTTTTCAACGCTCGTGTCCAGCCCCCGCTGTTGGTCGCTTGACCGCTGTTACTTCTTGCATGGTCCCCCGAGGAACTACTAGCCGAAAACGACCTTGGCGTCATCCACGTCGAAATCGTACTACGTCTTGGACGTGAAACAGTGGTGCGAAGAGTTGGGTTGACGGTCTGACTGGTCACTGGTTTCTCACTCGATTCGTCAATATTCAAAACATCGACCAGTTGATTGTTTTCCAATATCTTTAGCAAGATCTTGTTCATATACAGCGTCAATGCTTTGTTGGATTCTTGCAAATTCTTGATTTCTTCACTCAGTTCTAATATCCCATTTGATGTTAGTATGGTTTTTTTTTTTCTTATCTAACGCTATCGCAAGCGGACCATTTTCCTTGTCCGACCCCTCTTTTTTTCTTTATATTAATTCCAACTGCGACCCTTTGTAATGTGATTCATCCTTTTACTCCCTTTTTTTCCCTTGGCAACTTACTCTGGACATGGCCTGAACTGTGAGCGACATCATCTTCACCTTCGGTGCTGTCGGGTGTCACTTTTTCCAGCTCGGCGGCTAAGGAAGTGCTGTCATCTGATCTCTAAACAAGTCAGCAAAAAGTTGGGTCAGTTTTTTCAAACACTACTTCATTTGATTTCCCCTTCTTTGCCCTTCTTCACGTCAGATGGTTCTTTTGTTTTTGTTTTCTTTCCTTCAGGGTAGATAATGTAAAAAGAAAACAAAACGATAAAAACATTAAGCTTGAAGCTGATTGGAGGGATCTCAAAATAAAAAAGGAAAGGTAAAAAATAAATGGTAAAACCCACAGAAACCCCATCCCAGCCGAATCGGAAACAAGTAAAAAAAAAAAAAAAAAAAGAAGAAAAGGAAATGCAATTACTTTAAAGAGTTCACCGGCCATGGTTTTTTCATGCAGTAGTAATTGATACCCTTCATTGTCTTCCATCAGTGAAGCGTTGACTATTTTTATATCATGCAGCTCTTGTGTCAATGCTTCGATCTGCGAAGCCTGCGCTTCCATCGTCATCGCCGTCTCGTGTCCAACTACTTTTTGTTGCTGTAACTCCGCCTTGAGATCGCTGAGTAATTGTTCTTGAATGCGGATTTTGGCATCGCGAGCAGCCAAGCTGTCAAACCGTTGAGTACACCGGTCATCCCAGCCTACCCATTCGATAACAAACATCAAAAATGAGTATAACTGCCCATCTCAAAGTAGGCAACACGCAGCTGGGCCGCAGCTGATTCTTTTTTCTATTTTGTCCTTCTGTTCTTTTCCCCCTTTCGGTTTTTCCCCTTTTTTTTGACATCATCTCATTTCAATGTCCGCCTCAGCTTTTTACCTGAAGATGAGGGCGCGGATGTGCTGGTCCCTGTCCAGGTGACATTGGATGCTGTTGCACTGCGCGTTCGTCGTGGATTGGTGTGCTGTTGGACCCACTGTTTGATTTCCGAACGGAGGTCGGATTCTTGCTGTTGCCACAGCAACCGATCGCTTTCATAGTTTTGCAACTAGGGAAAAATCACAGGGATTAAGGACACAAACAAGAGATGAGACGATCATTCACTCCTTAGGAAACAAAACACTAAATCCGAAAAGTAACCAGGCAAAAAAAAAAAAAAAAGTGTCATGACTGTTTACCTCTCTTTCCAGGCGTTTTTCAATTTCCTTATTACGCCGTGTTAATTTTTGAATCTCTTTGTTGGCGGTAGATAACTCTTGGTCTTGAGCGTATATACGAGATTCTGACCGTTCTTGAGCTTGTCGGTAGGTATGTATTTCTTGTTTCATCATGATCAATTTCTATCACATTGACAGAATTTCAGGTTAGATTGCTTTGTGTTTTTTGTTTCCTGACGTCTGATTGGTCACAGTATGCATAAGAATAAACCATACTTTTCGTAAGAAATCCGTCTCTTGGCACAGCGAACGATATTGTTCTTTGTTATCCTCCAACTGTGCGCGATGCTCTTCCTGCAAAATAAAGAGACATGATATATGAATAAGATGTCCCACCATGGCAATAAGAGACAAAAAAAGTAGGAAACGACTAAAAAGCAGTAAGCGCATTAAAATGCGTTGGGATACTTGCATAGATTATCTGATGCAGTAACTGAGGCATTCTTATCTCCAATGCTCGAAGAACGTCATTGGTATCTATGAAGAGACTGTTGCTCGATGGACGTCTAGAGGTATTTATCGTCAGGGAAGTCATAATAAAGTGTTGAACGATTTGGTAAATGATATGGGACAATCAGTGACAACTGTCAATGTAAACGAACAATTCAAATACAAACAAAGAAAGTATATATAGCAATTCAAAGAAGGAAAAAAAAAAAAAAAGAAAACAGAATAAGAACAGAGATGCGATACAAATATATAACAATATATAAAAGAAATAAATATCAGAGCCAAAGGAATAACAGAAGAGGAGAGAAACAGACGTGAAAATACAAGAAGGGAAAAAAAAAAGGAAAAAGAAAGGAAGAGCACAGGCACTAAAAAAACTCAAAACCATTCGGCTTTTTGTTCTCTTGGATGCAGTGCATTGCAGAACTGATAAAGCCAATCTTGTCACCTCCAAAAAAGATATGGTAAGAACAGGCTTGCCTCTGCTTCTTTGAGTGCCAATACTCCCTTTCTGGGCTGGCCAATGAGAAGCTTGGCATCGGAATCACTGGCGACCTCGTGCCAACAGCATAAAAAACCACGTTTCGATTTACCTCACACGTTCATCACGGAGAAAGCAGCGAGATAAGAACAAGAGAACGGCCGAACAGGCTGATCATTCCCTTCTTATGCAGACATCACCTGTTATTCTAAGTCTACGGAAGAGGGAATTTTTATTGTTACATCATTTGCTCCTCTGATGTCCCATTTTTTAAAGTCTATTTGGTTCAAAACCATTTTTGCTTTTTTCGTCATTGCTATTATTATTGCTGTCCCATTTTTTGCATTTTTTGTCCAACAGAGTTATTGACTTCAAAAAACTTGGCCACGCAATTATCAATACATGACGATTCAGGAGCCGTAAGGTCGTTGTCGACGTATTCGCGAGAGATGCACTTTTGATTACACGAATCCACAATACTAGTCATTACGATTAATCTTTTTTGTATCATGGTATGCATCAAGATGCGGCCCATGGATATTTACCGATTGAAAAGATCCGTCACCATCTCAAGCTCTTGCTCTGCCATGGCAATATTTTGCGGATTGACGGCTTGCTGATTCCTTCCACCAAAGTAAGACATGGTTACGGTCAAGATCTTTTCGTCAGTGACGCTCCTGTCTCTTTTTTTTTTTAGCCGCTTATTTTCCCCTGGCACCCGCACCACCTCAGATGCCCGCACTCTCTCTAGACTATTTTTTTTTTTTTTTGGCGGACCATGTCATCATCAGCCAAATGAGATATGGATTCTGATTGGATGGCCAGCATATGAAAATGAGAAGCAATCAAAAAAAAAATTGCGGGAAGCGAATTCTGGCGCTCAAAAATCACCAAGGACACGGTTGATTGCGCAGGTTGTGTGCGTTCAGATCCTCGAAAAAAAAAATAGTTCGAGTAGCCTATCTTTCTTAATTCCTTTACTTTGCTGCTATGGTTCCCTGGAATTTGAGTCCCTAAATGTGAGTCTCTCCGTACAAAGTGTGACCTTGATATCGATCTTTAAGCAAGGGAACAGAGCACTAATCGCTGTTCCGCGATCTCTTATGGGTGTTGGGCTTTTCCTTTTTTCTCTTTTTGTATCAAATACGGTGTTCTAGCCAACGGCTCGATAATTATGCGAGATTTTTCTTAGGCGAAAAGAAAAAAAAAAGATTGAGACACTATGTATATGGGTTCAATGGTTCTTTTTTTGGGGGAAGGGGGTTTTCGATTCACAATCGATTATAAAAATAATAGAATAAGATTAGATATTACAGTTTTTGTGCATACACATAATGGAGATTCATAAAGGCTTTTTCCCGTTCCAGTTCAACGTCGAGAGTGTCAAGTGCACTATCCAGCTCTTGATTCGTTCGTATTGCATCATCTTCTTCTTCCCAGTATTCGATGATATCGTGTAGATCATCCCTGAACATCACTCCAAGTCGACCGCCCCAAACACCGAGAGGCAAAGATATGTAATGGGTACTGTATCCGTCGCCCCGAATACGTGGTTGCCCTAGTAGCTCATTAAAGAAAAAGTCTTGAAGATGGGTTGCCACTTGAGGATCGATGGATCGCGATTTCATTTTCCTGACCACTATGCACACAGAGAAAAAAGTACGCATCAGCACGCTATTCGACAAAACCACATATACCTTTGAGGAAAATATACCTTTGCCGTTCAAACTGTGGGTCATGGGCCCAAGCGCAGGGTTGCCGTAGATATGCATATCCAATTCGACCATTTCTACATAGCCACCGGGTTTGCATACGCGCCAACATTCTTTGATGAGCTTTTCATAATAAGCAGGCTTGTTATAGAAACCCAGAAAGCGACCGTAAACAAAATCAAACTGTTGATCGGACAAGGTTTTCAAGCCTTTTAGAAGCGAAGCGTATCGTACGTAGGAAAAGTTGCGCGGCGTTCGTTTTCCCTGGATCGGAGCAGGACCCGTGTCATCAATACCGAGGACGGACCATTCCGGGTACATCAATGCCATATCCACGCACCAACTGCCATCACCGCAACTAACAGATGCACATCAGTCAGCAAATGTTTACATGCACGTGATGCTTCCGTGCGCAAAAAGGTCCATCATCCATGACAAATAAGATGACAAAAATCAATTGGCTTACCCTATTTGAAGAACATGCTTTTCCTTTGTTGCGCCACTCACAGGACTTTTGAATAAACTGCAAAAAAGAAGAAAAAAACCAGATTTGTGTGAGAGACAGAGCCGCCAAAGTGATCCATAAATCATGGTAAAAGGAAAAAAGACTAAAAAAAGCACAGATGCTCCCAGTTTAATATCCAACCAGTGGCAAACTTACCCATCGAGTGCTAAGCGGACCAATTCATGGCGTATGGGGAGAGGCCGATAGGCATCTTCATCGGAGCACGGTAAAGGTTCAGGGTCGGTTTGGGCTGTTTCGGCAGGGGTTAAACCATAAGGGTCGCAAGGTTGATATATGTATGGGTTGGTGAGTGAGCGATGCTTTGTTGTCCGTCGTTTGTTGGTATAATGGGGATCAGCTGTCATGGCGATTTCCTCAGGGGCGGTATGGTGGTAGACCTTGTTCAGGTAACTGCTGTGGCGTCTTCGTTCTTTGTCAAGGGCACAGTCGTCATGGGTGGCATGACTGTCGATGACACCTCCAGGGGATAATGGTGGAGATTCGGTTACTTGTTGCTCTGTGGAGCTAGTTGGTTTGATAGTTATGCTACTGTCGCTGCTGCTACTGCTGACGACAGTATCTTTACTGCCATGGCGTTGTTGTCGAGTACGGTGATGACCTAAATGTGTGAACCATTCAAAGAGTCGGGACTTTGACTGTGTTTGAGAAGTCTGGATCATGGATGTCAATGATAAAATTGAGCATACAGCGATGACTCAAAATAAATAAATAAATAAATTAATAAACTTTGGTATACGAACAATAATATGTATAAAAAAATTAAAATAAAAAAGAACGATTCGATGGCGTGGGGGCATTTTGGTAATACGCTCATTATATGAAACCTATCCAAAGAGCATCGGTTATGGCTGCATATGCTCATAGTTTCCATTCTTCTATGACCCCCTTTTAATGATGTTTTCTGTTCTTCGTTGGTTTCATAGATGGACTTTGCTCCGCATCTTTGCCACCCATATCCATTCTATTTCTGTAAAAAAAAAATCTCCGCTCTGTTGACAATTACTTTTTCAAAATTAAATGTCGTTCCAAGTCAACTTTTTGCTCATACTCAGAGCAAAAAAAAAAAAAAAAAAAAAGTTTAAAACACCGTACACATTGCCTTGATCTAATTCATGATAAAAAAGACATATCAACTCTTACATACGACAAAGGATTGGTAATCAACAAAATCAAGTCCTATATCCTTTGAAGACGATATTCCCCTGCGTCCACTGGCTTGTTTGGCCGCAACGCTGCGATAATCTACAACGAGGACAAGACCTTTTTCGATTTGTGTTGGATTAAGAATGACAGCATGGTTACGGCGACTCTAATTACTGCTGATGGTTTATGCCGGGCGCAACCGAAAGTCAAAGCCCATGCCACCGCATGCGCACTACCAGCAGTCAGTCCGCTCTCCTTTACGTTTAAGTGTTATACGAAATTATCACAAAGAAATCATTGTTGGATGTGTATACACTAAAGAAAAAAAAAGCACCTTGCCTCTATGTCTGCATTCATCAAAGTCAACAATCGGCCAATATGGTTTATTACTTGGCCCCACATACATTTAATCAGTTTAAAGCGCCTCTTCACTTTGGCTCGGTTGCATAATGAAGAGGTTTCTTTTTATTGGAACCGACCGACGTCATAGGCAGCTTTCTATTTTTCGATGAACGCTGCTCTTCGAATATAGCTTATTTTCGCTCTTATCCACGAATGCGCGAATCATATTTTCATACGAGCTAAAACCACAAAAACAACGGCAGTCCAGAGCTTATTCCGAACGAAAAAAAAAAAAGATGATGTATTATGCGGTAACTAAGGATATAGATGAGTAGATTGGTGAAAAACGAAAAAAGGACAAAGTAGAAGAAAAAAAAAAAAAACTAGGACTAAGTTGACAAGAAAAAGTGACAATTATATATAATGATAGACCAGATAATTTGGTAACCCCCAAATCTCATAACCAAGGGCAGTGGCCATCTTTGCCAGTCCTTCTGTTTCCACTTGATGACGAAATGGGAATGCTGGGAATATCGCTCCATCCCGATGCACTTGAGCTCGGACCAAGGTACAAGTGCCGCCCACGGCATCCAAAGGCACAGCATAATACAAATCCGTTTGCCCGTTCTCATGACGCATATCAATCATCAACTTGCGATGCGTGATTAATTCCGGATAACCTACGTGAAACCCGAATCAGTTTAGGAATTAAAGCAGTTCATACCAAACACAAGAAAGAATATCACGACAGGCGATGAATTTTTTACCTTCTACAAGCACATCATCCGGTTGCAGTGTCTTTTGGAATTCCCAACTTTCCGGAGTTTCTTGCCAGTTATTCTTGTCATAACCCCCTTCTTCGTTGTACGAGTGCCAGTAACAGTTGGGAACGATGATATCCTTGTCCATGCCGATCAGTTCTTCCAATAAGGTGGCCGGATACTCCAGCACATCACCATCCAGCCAAAGCACCCAAGAAATCTCCTCGGTCAATGCCGAATTTAATAAGATATTTCGACTCTTGGCCATGATTTGTCGTCGCTGAATTTGGACATTGAAAGCATGTCTGTCTTCGTTGGTGGCCAAATCGTAATGAAAATCTTTCTGAAAAATAGAGATCCGATGGAATTTTTCCCAGGGCTGTTGTTGTGATGCGATGTATCGTGCATGATCTTGCAGCTTTTCCACCGTACCGTCTTTGGAATCACTGACCAGGAATCCGAGCGAAATCAAGCGATGAGGATAAGTGAGTCGATTGACGCTGTCGAAATAACGTTCAATTAAATGAGCTGATTCTTTGAATGGGGTCACGATCAGCACATGTTCCGTAGGTTCGCCATCTTCTGCAGTGGTATTCATGGCATCCATGTTATAATACGTCAATTGATGATTATGACGATGTCGGCCACCGTTTAAAACGCCTCCATTATTGTCATCGCACCATGAAGACCATGCTGGCATAGCCGGTTTAAAGAGCCAATATAACAACACACAGCTTGCTATAGCAGCAAAAGCAAACTGCACTTGCGAGCTCAAAAGCATGGAAAGGAAAAAAAAAGGACGAGCAAGAAATCAAAAAAGTGCAAAAAAAAAGACCCCCCAAAAAAAATGGGAACGTCAAACAAGAATTTTGACTTCTGAAGCGGAGTTGGAAGAAATGGATCTTTTTAATGAGTATGGCGCCTTCTATACGATAAATGCGATGCTTTGATATGATCAACGAGAGTATACAGGATCTATGTTTGCTCTTATTTTTTTTTTCTTTTTCTTCCATGTATAATAGGAAGAAAAAAAAGAGAGCAAACCAATATAACCATAAGGATGTATTGAAGAGTGTATGGACATGAAAAAAAAAATGTACGATGGAGGGTTTGGTTTGCATGATGTGCCATGGGCAGTGTCGCACGAAGATCGCGGAATCAAGAAAAAAGAGGGACGAGAGAGAGAGAAAGAGATTCATCTGGGAAACGCGCCGGTAAGGTTGGACAAGATCCTTAAATAGCATGCCTCCTACTTGGCGACATTGGTTGTCGGAGATCCGGCAGACTGATGATGTTGTGCTTCGGCCATGACCACAAATCGTTCCAACACCTTGTTGAATCCTTCGCGGCCCACAGCAGCATTTTGCTGGAATCGCTTCAACGAAAACTCTTCAATGACATTTCCCCACCGACTCACTAAACTGCCTGCAGTGATAGCGGCTTGTTGGGTAAATTGTGTTCTATGAACGAAAAAAAAAAAAAGCCAGTTTTAATAAATGTCTTTTCGTTCTATCCCTTCATCGAGCCCATGAGAGGAATATCTTACTTTTGCTTATGCTCCGGATGTTCTCTGTAAACAATGGTCTCTTCCACCGACAACAAATTATTCATCGTCAAATTAATACTTTTCATCGTCAGAATTTTATCTTTGGGTTCGATGATAGAGATTTCTCGAACGTATTGCGTCGTTCCGCCGCCCAAAATCTAATGAAAAAAAAAAAAAAAAAAAAAAAAAAAACTTCTGTATCAGCACACGTTGCAAGGTGCGAGCCAAACAAAAAACAAACTCACTTTGCGGATTAACGACGGCACATTCTGCTCTACTGTAATGAGACGTTCGGTAGTCAAGATGCCGGTTTCCGGATCCACCCAGCGGTTGAGCACGTCTACATGGCGAACATGAGGGCAATTCTCATTGGGGTATTTTTGCCAGTTTGCTGCCGACACCAGGCTCCACTCATAGTTGAATTCATGAACACTCTTGAACAACTTCATGATAAGCTAATGACCAATTTCCGGGTATATGGCCAAGTAGACGAGTGAAAGGAAGAGAAAAAGGCACAAAGAACCAGGAAAAAAAGAGGGCTTTAGTGCTAGGTCCCTGCTCATTCACCTATTTTTTTTTTTCTAAAAAAAAAATCACAACAATATGAATCATCTCCGCCAATCACAACTTGCAAAACGAGTTACACGGAAGTTTTTATATTTTGAATTTCTTTTTTCTATTATTTCAAGTCAAAGAGGGTTTAAGCCATTTGGCTTCGTCATAGCAATTCGTTATCCAGGACCTTATGACCCTTGAATGATTGTTTTGCGGAGACAATATCATTTGCGACGTCATGGATTGTGCGAGTACCTTTTTGCCAAGGTGGCAAGCGCTGTAAACTCCTTTCCACTGAACCTGGGTTTCCACAGCAACTCAAAACGGCTACCTCGCTCCACCTATCAGTCTCTTAGCCAAGAAAGGTTTTGGACAGTCATTTCAGCATTTGATCCCTGGTTAGGCGACACTGTACCTTTTTTATTTGGGCAACGGTAACGCTGGAAAAATTGAAGCTCCGTGGCTGCTTTTTTGTGTCCCTTTTTTGCGTCTTTTAAATTCTTTCCATCACCACGATCATAATAAACAGATAATGATGGATTGCTCGATACAGAATGAAAAAAAGGATGCAAAATTGCTTAATGAAGAGAACGAAACATCTCTGAGATGGCTATGGCGGCCAGTTAATACCATGATTCCCAGATTCCCAGATTTCGATGATACGTAGGACAAGGGTGCAATTTTCACAAACATCTTTGTCAAACTGCAATGCTATCGTAAACTGCCCGCTTCATAGAACTACCTCCTACGGTAACATCAATGAGGCGTATATGAACACACCCTTGACCCTGAGCATGATAGGAAACGCCTGGTGCGCCAAGCAGCCATCTTTTTCAAATTGTCGATTTCATACCTATGTGCTGCAGCGATTTTTTATGATAATGAGCTTATGTGTGAAATATGATGAAATGAGAGCAGGTACAACTATAAAATCTTATGCTGATTTGACGCGTTTAGAAGGTGGCAAGGATTCGTAATCGTCCACAGTTGGTTCATCCGGATCCTCATCGTCCACCGTAATCACGACAGCTGGTTTAGGGGCCAACTGATCTGATTTGTATTCTGCTGTTGAAATCGTCAAGTCAGAGACCGTTTCGGGTACATAGGCACCATTGCGCAGCATAAGCCGCTCTTCGTTTGGGTATGTCAGAAGCGCTTGCTTCATGGGATAATCGATGTAAAGTTCCTAAATCACAATACAAACGATTAGTAAGGTAAAAACAAACTCGATCGCTTGCATTGATTACCTGCATCCCTTTGATATAAATAAAGCACTGAGGACACTGCCAAACCCGGATGTTAAGTTGACATTGAAAGAAAAAGCATGCATCAAAACAAGCTGCATGATTACAAAATATGCCTCTGGCAGGATGTTGAATACGAGAAAGCATGATTGGATCCAACAGTGAAATCGTTTCATCCCCCATGACCAAATCCTCTTCTTCACTCTCAGCATTGGGGTACCGTTGTCCTGTTATTGTGGAACGACCCATGAATCAACGGTCTGCTAATGATGTGTGGTATATTGCGTACCTTGATTCCCTCGCGAAAATTGGGCCCCACTCTCCAAAAAGACCTGCTCTGTTGGTGGGATACGGGAAAAATCTTTGGGTGGACATTGTTTTAAAATATCAACAGCCGTCTTCTGCGTTGCATCCGTATCTTTGCTTGCTGTGATTGCACGAGATATAAATTTGGTAGCGGTATGCAGATATAATTGACTAACTAACTAAAAGGGCACTTTTTCATTAGCCGATCATGCGAGAAAAAAAAAGAACCCTCAATGTATACAATGTGACTTACTTCAGAAGGAGTATATTGCCAAACAGTGCAAACCGAAACATACTTGACGTTCGGCGTGTCGTCTTGAAAGCAAAAGTCAAGCGTCAAAGCTTCAGGACAGTCACTCCACGTCATTTTCTTGGTTAGATCAATATGCTTGTAGCCATCCTTGATTGTCCGCTAAAAAAAAATATCATGTTAAGGCACCAGTGTCTCAACCGTTCCATAGATACCAAGTCAAGTTTTACCTCGTCCGTTTTATTCCACGTTTCTTTTCCGTTGATTATTAACGACGTGCAGTTGGGTGTTAAAAACGTCCGATCCGACAGCCACAGAAATAGATGCAATCGTACATTAGGTTGAGCAGACGCGATGAATGCGGACAACTTTTTGCTAGGTATGGTGACTTGCGCGTTATCACCATTCCAGTTGACAGGAATACGTGCAAGCTCTTCCAATCGTTCAAAAATGTCGCTGGTAGGCAACTTGTCGTAAGCTAAAATGATTTTTGATTTGGATATGCGCGTGCTTTGGACAAACAAGAAATCGACATCAGCTTTCAATCTCCAAATATGGAAACAGCCCTTTTTCGATGAAAACCCCTTCAATTTGAACACTTACTTTTCTCGCTCTTCTCGGCACGCTTGCTCTCTAGCACGGGCGATCGTATATCCCGGGAATATGATGTTGATCAGCAAACGAGCATGCGCGCCTTGTTGTATACGCGACGACGGCAGCTTCTCGCTTGTCAAATGATGATCCAGCAGATACTGATGCACTTTGGCAAGATTCGGTTTCTTCATGCGAAAGAAATTAGCTGGATTCTACACAGGATATTAGTATGGTGTCTCCATTGCATACATGGCCATTATGCGAAAGAAGAATAAAAGCCACATACTGTGAATTCTTCCACGGCTTGTCGTAATGAAGCGCGACCGACCAGTTGGCCCAGATCGCGAATCTGACCCATGGTCAGTATGTGATGACATCGTAGCAGCCTCTTGCGCTTCTTGTAAAGGGCTGTGTTCATAAGAAAACGCGCACGTCGGTTGAATCGATGTGGGGACAATCGACAAAATTTTGCTGCAATTTAGAAACCGACATCACAGCGACAAATAGGAAAAAGTGAATCGATTCCTTATGGAGAAAACGAGAGCAGGTTACCTGAACGCTCCGTCACATCCTCACATACCACCCTTCATTATTACTGTCGCTCGTATTTTTTAGGATCAAAACACCAATTATGAACACATGCTTCCAGATTTAGCTGAATAGTCGTTGAGTCAAAACTATACGGCAACATCGCTTTTCAGAAATATGATTGATTTCTCAATTGCCCGGCAAGAGCAGTTGGGGGCGAAAATACATCATAAGCTATCATTTGCTTTGATAGTTTTTATCAGTTGGATGCACATGTTCCAATTCTCGTTTATTCACTGGCTATTATTAGCATGTACACATCTATCCAAGGACATTGTCACTCATGACTCCATAGCTTTTGGCCGAATGCAAACACGGCTCTCTTTGTACTGCCATTGCAGATAGATTGCTTCTTTATCACACTGTTAATGCAATCGAGAGATCCAGTTGAAACAGCATTTACTCATCAATCATTGGCCATAAGCAAGTTGCTTACATTGATAAATAAATGCGCTTGAACTCAATATAAATAACGAGAAACTCTTTATCTACAACTACTTATTCATAAACTTGTTTTCTGCCATGAAATTCGCTTTCCTCGTCACACTGTTTTCTGTGATTGCATTCTCGCACATTATTTCGGCTGCTGAAGTGGACACGGAAGCCGTACCAGGGTAAAGATGACAACCATTGACAGGTTCATGAATGATCTAATCGATTTACCTACTTAGGGGACCCATGACTCCTATCCGCCCTTGGTGTCCGCCTTGTAACTGTCCTCCTCGTCCCTGCCCTCGTCCTCCGCCCTGCCCTCCTCCATGGGGTAGTCCTAGAGGCCCTGAGTAGAACAGCAGTATCCCGTCCAATACAACCACGCGGGCAATCTGAAAAGTAGATTTCTCGTTTCCAAATGGTTCCACGGATAATCAGTTTGATCAGCGACCAATAAATAATAAACTGTCAAAAATGTCTCATTCCCCTTCTTTGGAGGGTGGTGGGGGAAGTCAGTATGTAGTGGTTTTTGCACTTTTTGTAAAGATATATGTTCATAGAAACCCGCACGTTCGTTAAATGGATGTGGCGACAGCGGGCAAAATTTTTGCTGAATTTGAATGGACATTGCAGCGACAAATAAGAGAAAGTGAATCAATTCCTTCTAAAGAAAGAACAGCAGGTTCATTTTTTTTTTTTTTTTTTTACATATGATCCTTATTATTGCTATCATTCGTATTCTCAGGGTGAAGGCTACAGTTTATGAGGGCGCGTGCTTCCAGATCATAGTGATTGGCTGGAACGAGCGAGTTATGCTTCAATGGCGAGTTGATCCAATGATTTGGCTTTTTCGTTTGCTGCTTATCGATTCCATTTTACGCCCTCTTACGTAAGTTATACCTAAATGAACCGTCCCTCTGATTGGAGAATCTTTTGCTCTTGCCTTATACACAATACCGGGTCCGCGTCCCCGTCTACGTGCTTGGCTCTGGGTATTTTCAATCCATGACGTGCGGCTTCCTTCTCCTCGGTAATCTAGGACTTGGTGCGGAAGGTACTGAACAAATGAGCATTACCTCCTCGAAAATGAGATAGACAGTATTAAAAGTAGTGGTCTATTTTTTTTTCGAACGGCCAATGTCCGTTCCCCGGATAATCAATTTTTCATCAGCGCCATTTTTTCCTTTTTCTTTCTTTTTTTATTCAGGCACCCATTAGTTACCCCATTGACGTTGATCTACACATGGTCTGGTTTACTTTTGCAACATCTCTGATGCATACACCTTGCGTGGGAGCCTGAGAGATATGGATTTTGCATGATCGAAAAAGTCCTCCGTCTCATCCACGTAACGGCGACTTGAGTGTACTTCACACATAACAAATCATGCGCAGAGAAACCATCTTCGATGACGTTACTGCTTTTTTTCCATGGGGGCGGGAAATTAAAATAAAGGAGCTGACTCAGATACAAGTGCTGCTCTCCATCGGCATGTCGGTCCGTATAGTTCTGGCAGGACATAAATAATGGTTTTGCAACGTAAGTCAACATCACCTGTGTTATATGCACTCAAATCAAACATCTTGGAAACATCAATGTTCGTTGCCCCTTTTGGGTTCATCGGCTTTTCTTTTATAGTCTTTTTGTTCGAAACCTCCGATTGTCATTTCTGAGTTGCTCTTTATGATCCGGCCTCCGAAGGAAAAAGATCAAATATTCTATTGAAACAACCTTTACCCCAGATAGCAACTTCCCTGTTAACCTTTGTACGGAACCACAAACTAACAGCTTCCAAGTCGATCCATCGTACTTATTTACTACTATTCCTGTAAACATCCTCTGACGGTTCACTTCATGTCGGTCTGTTTACAAGTCTCCTTGGATCCCACTTGGACCCGGCTGTCGCCTGCTCATCGTTGAGCCGAAAACCGAGTAATCAGAACTCCTCTTGAAAAATCGCAGATTTGGGTTCGGCACAGCAGAACCATTGTCAATCTGAGATCCAACCTACCTCCGCTATTGAAACCCGTCTTATAAAAAGACGATGGGAACTTCATTCCGAGCTCGCGTAAAAAAAGTATTTTATTGTATATATTATTTATTCAGCAACAACCACTTGACGATATCCTTCCTTGCCAATGTCATTAAGCACAAAATCATCCTCTTTACCACTCGATGATCATTATAATGCAACTACAAACCAGTTAAACTTTCTCAGTCTCAATGATCTATTGCATCCCACCGAGCAATCCGAATTTTTATTGGACTTTTTAACCATGGAACAGCTGGCTGTGATGGAGAATACCTTGAGAAAAGTAAAAGACAGAAAAATGGCTTCTGTGGCCGCTGATTCCGTAATGGTGGCGTCTTCAGGTAGGGCACGGACTATAAGCAGCGAGCCTTTTTTTCGTGCTGGCTCAGGTGGCTGATTCCACTTTACTGTTCTTTAATAGATGTCAATGAATGTGCTACTACTACCTCGTCACCATCGCCATTACCACAGCAACAACAACAACAACAAAATGGGTGGATGCTGGCAGCTTCTCAACTCGCAAAAACATTAGCGGAATCCATCTCGATGAACAATGTCGTTTGTACCGAACTGGCGATCGAAAAGCCTGATACTCCTCCTTCGCAAAACAATTTACCGGCCGCCACTTCGGCTACGCTTCACGAACCGATAATTGAAAAACGGGACAATGTCGAGTGGTTAAGCTTTATCTATTCACATCATCGTGTTATGCGCCGTTACTGCATTCGCACCGATGTTGAAACCGTCGACATGTCTCTCCTCGATGATGAATTCAAACGAGAAAATTGTGTAAGTAGACACAGAAGTCGTAGACACAGCAGGCGTAGGCTGCATAATGATATAAGAGGAAGCCACTGTGTACTGATCCAAGCCATTGAAAATATTAGGTTTACCCACGGGCCAATTTACCGAAAGAAATGTATCACGGAAATCGCTGGAGTTATGAAACTGAGTGTAACAGTCTGGGCTGGAAATTAGCGTGGCTCAATACCACGGAAATTGCTGGCAAACGTGGATTGATCCAGCGAGCCGTCGACAGCTACCGTAACCGATATCCAAGCATGCGATCACGACGGGTCGCTCGACAAGAGAAGCTCAAGAAAGGCACTTTACGAAAACGCAAGTTCCAAGAAATAGTGGCCGAGGCGTCGGAACCTCATCCAAAGGTGCCTGCGTTGAGCCAGTTGCCAAAGACCATCACAGTCGATGTCGACGGCGAAAAAGTTCGTGTGAAGACCAATATCGAGTCCGTGAATCTGGATTATATTGATCCCGAATTCCGAAGAGCGAACTGCGTCTTTCCACGGGTTATGGATGTCGACCTTGCTGTAGCCACCCCACGTCAACTGGATGAAGCTCAGTGTAATCAAGTCGGTTGGAAACTCGTAAGTTGCTTTAGTAATTCAGGTTCCTTGCTCCTATTCACGACAGTTATACTAACCGTATCGTTGCAGGCATGGATGAATTCACGTCAACTCGCCAACAAACGAAACTTATTACAACGGGTGCTCGACATTTATCGTACAACCTTCATGCCTTCACTGACTCCGCGCAAATACTCGTCTCGTGCTCCTCCTACCACTGTCCCATCCACTACGCTTCCTTTAACCGCTGAATCCCTGCAATTGCTTCCCGATCATCGGCCTAAATGTGATACCGCCGATAGCGAATCCATCTACAGCGGTACTACCGCCAGTCTTGACTTTGACGATTGCATATCGCCACCCACTGATCATGCGGGCACCACTCTTCCCGGCGAAAACCTCAATCATACAACCAACGACAACGCATCCCCCGCGCTTTTATCAGATACCATGTTATGCGATCCTTTTTGCCTGAAAGATTTAGATGTACCATCTCTGCAGGATGATGGTCTCAGCACAGGCAGCAGCTGTCTCGAGTCTAAAAGCTCACCAACACACTCATCAGACCATATCTTTGATGACATCTATGATGCCCGACCTTCGTCTTTATCTCAAGATCTTGATCCCAATATCTACAGCTTGCCGGAGCCTTTGCCATTGTTTTCGGTGGATGTGGACCTCTTGTATGGCGGTGTAAAAATGGAAGATATCGATAATCCCGATGTGTGGAATGCCCTGAATTACCCATCATTTACCAATTGAATATCAACCCATAATTGTAATAAAATTGACATCCATCACTCTGAAAGGCATGGTTCATTTGCACGTATAACTGTGATCAGCTCTTCCCCGGTGCTGCCCTACAAAAAATACAGTAAAACCCCCTCCCTACCGGACCACTCAACAGGATTGCCATGTTATCACTTCAGCCGCATATGGCTTTTTGCTTTGTAAAAAATACACATCGCCAGATCAGTTAATTAAGACTCTATGCTTATGTTGTGATTAAAAGTCATACAACATGGTACTTTATATTTATTTATTTTTTCAAGATAACAATTTCAGAACACCGTTGGGTAAAAGTTCTCCGTGCGTACGTGTGTTAAACCAGCCATCAGCATCAATGACACTTTCGGTAGCTTGAGGATTCTTCCAGTAACCTCGGAACACGTTATTGCCGCGTACCCAAATTTCACCACGAGGATTGGGTTGATCTTCACTCGTCAGCGCGTGCTCCGGCAAATCCATCAACTTCAGCTCATTGCAGGGCAAAGGTGCACCGAAAGCACTCACATCGGCCTTGTAATCATAGAACATCGCCGCCGTCATCGTTGAGCTAGTCTCGGGTCGATTGAAACATTGCAACACTTGCACGCCCAACACCGCTCTCAAAAAGGGGGCAATGGGTTCCGTCGTAGCGTCTATTTCGAAAACAAAAAGGAATTAGCTGAAATCGATCATGCTAGTACCATGAAGTGAGACTTGCCATGTTTATCCACGAACATGAGACGAAGCTGACCGCCAAACAGCTTGGTGCGGATATCTCGGAACACGAGCATGTCGTACTTGCTGTCAGTGACCAAGCGACCTTCTTCAAAGTAACTCATCTTTGTATCCAATCCTCGACGGAATAAAAACGAGTTGCCGTAACGTGACTCGATGAGCGACTTGACCTGTTGAAGGAACGCAGAACCACTACCATTGCTGAACCTTGAGCATCTTTTTCACACGCACAGTACAACCCCAGCAGCATCCGAGCCTACCTAGCATACACCGTGGGCTTGGCTTCAGCTACGGCAATCAGGGTTGATGAAATATCGGCGTCCACATGATCTCCTTCCACTTCGTCGGCAAAGACAATCGATGCACCCATAAAGATGAAGACGACACTTTGCACATAACCAAACACATTATCTACATTCCCAATTCCCGGTTATCACCATAGTCCCCATTGAAGTTTCGCAAATGAGTCGTTTACCAATGGGAAGATTATGCATCAATCGGTCCTTGGGGGTCACTTTTTGCTGTGGAGGAATCACCAACAAGTAGCTTGCTATAGAAACGTTGACACACTCGGTTAGTGTCGGTCATCCGTAGTCTCTGACGGCATCCGATGTATCATTACCAATGCTGGAAAGTAGATTCTAAAATAGCGGTCCCGTAGTTAGAATATGAGCAGTATATATCTCATCAATGCACCGTCTAATATTTACCTTGTGTGTCAATACAACGCCTGCCTTTTGCTGCTAAAAAGTTAGACCATGAGCAAATACGGCGCATAGAGTCAACCAGTTAACCATCCTTACCTCGATACTGGTGCTGCTGTAGTAAATGCTCGCAAGATCATCCGCCACTATTCACGATTTCGTTAGCACATCGACAAGTTGATTTCCAAAAATGTTGGTCATTTACCGGGAGCATCTTGTTCGGCCACCTTTGTCTCTGTATTTTCAAATTCTTGTAAACGAACAATATTGATGCCATCTTTGGCGGGAGACACAGATTTGCCAATGACAATGATATGCTTCACTGAAGTGCCTTCCACCAACGACAACACGCGATCGAGGTTAGCAGCATCCACCACCAGAACTGTCAATGATGTATCGCGAAGCACATGCGATATATGGCTCGAGTTTGCTTTCGCAGCAATAGGCACAGTTACCAAACCATTCAAATGACAAGCTTATACATAAGAGAGAGAGAGAGCAAAGAACATCAGCATAACGCACATGACTACCAAGATACATTTTACATTACCAAGGCTGAATGCAACAGTATCTAATAACAAATGACATTTAACATAGTGTCTCTCAAGCTATTATATACAGGCATCAACTTACTGGGAGAATTGGTCGCATACAAGCCGACAAATGAATTAGCTTCTCCGGTGCGTGGCTTTAAGCCGAGATTGACCAAATTTGCATAGATGACTTCAGCGCGTCGAGCCATGGTCTCTATTCATATCCAGCCTCAAAGTCAGTCCCTTTTCTATTCTCGCATTTATGCGTTGATATTCTCTCTTTTCTTTTTACCATATGTGTGCTAGAAATTTTAATTTGTTTTTGCCGGTATTAGCTTGGCTGCGCTCATGTGTGTGTGAGAAAACCATGACTTGTTGACTTACCCATCGGTATCCAAATGTCGTGCGTTCGCCTACCATGTCCGATGATGCGTGCTTGCTCAATGCTTGCCGGTACAAATCTGCCACTGTACGAAAGTTTCTGTCAAAGGTTGACAAGAGCGGCGAGCCATTGGGGTACATTCTCGAGCGATAGATGGCCGATTCCCCTGGATGACGAAGCTTCGACACATCGGACTGGGTGTTGAGTAACAACGGATGAATGTCGGCACCTTTAGCATTGCGAATAGACAACACGGTGGCTGCACCAAAAATAGTAGTTAACAAGGCATAACTAAGTGTATCAAGTTGTAAGCCGGTCATAGTGGAAAAAATACAAGCAAGAAAATAAACTTTTTTTTTTCTGGCTGCACACCGAACGACGCAACCCATAATCACCATCACGGCCTGAGGGAAGTCATGGGCCGAAGCGGGCCGGAAATTCCCATCTTTCGGCACATCAAAATTTTGGGCGCAGGCACCGGTTGACATGGGCATGACTCAATATATCTTGAGCCAGATTGTGTCCCTGCATGAATGTAAATCATATGACCACAGAAGAAGCGATACATCAACTGACAGTAGAAAATGGGAAAAACTAGGTTATTTATTATACAGTGCAACATGCATGACCAAGCATAAACATGATGCAAATAGAATACAATATATAGAGCGGACTGGATTTAATGATTCGATGTGTGAGGATTGAAATGGGTGGAATGACTGGTAGCTGCAGCGGTAAAGTCATCATTGTGCGATAATGTGCGTGATTGCATTGGTGCGGGTGGAGGCGGAAGAGCTGGAATGGACAAAGAAGCGTTGGATGTGTCGGGTGGTAGCGAACTTGCTCGTACTGGCGGTGATTTGGGTGACAGTGGTGCCGGCAAATTTTCGGAAGGAAGGCTGGGTAACGATCCAAGCGGTTCAAGAGGTAGAGCATTAAAGTGTCGAGATCGTATGGGTGGTTCATCGTAATCAGCGTACAGCTTGTTGCTGTAGGCAGGCTCGGATCGGCTCAGAATTTTCGCATAGTTTTCAGGCATGTCTGAGATTGGCTCAGGATCCACATCCTCTGGTGTGAGCAATTTATGTTCGTCTTCACTTAGTCTGCGTTGCTTCCTTAAACGCATACGTTTCTTGGCCAGAACTACCGTGTCTCCGCCGCATACAAACACACTCAAGAGAAACTGAGGGATGAAAGCCAGATAGCCATCCACAAAGGCAGCCATGTATGAATGCGTCGGTTTCTCCACCAGTATATCACTGTCATCGAGCCCAAAATACCGTTGCATCAAAATGGCCACAATGACCATCGTAGCACAGATCATTAGAACATAGTAGCCGTTTTTGATCGCTGCCGCAGGCCAGTAAGTGCCACCACCGTGAGACGGCAGCTTATCTTGGATCACATCAAAATAGGATAATACCGACAACAGCACGTCCCCGAAATAAAAGATCACCATGATGGGGCCCTTTACACACCAAAACATCCCATGAGCTCGAATTCGTCCGTCTTTCCACTCATCATCGAATACCGAAAGATAGGTAAACAAGGCCATCAAGATGATTGATAAAGAAATGAAATCCAGGGCGGCCAAATACAGATAAGCTCCCTTGAATGTGAACTGGCCGTCGCAATAAATGCCATTGATTTGAGCGGCAATCGAAATAATGGCTGACAATATGTTCCTGATTCGTTCACGACCCACGTTAGTCCTTTGGCTAACCGCACCGGTGCATGCTGAAGCTGAAATACGTACCAGATCGGAAATTGGACGACAAGAATATCCGTGATCACGCGAAAGTGAAGGCCAAACTTGGACTTTCTAACACCATAATAACAACCAAAAAGTGAATCATACGAAGCGATTTGGCGTTAAATGAAAAACCAGCCGGAGGAACTTACAGCTTGAATCGGTAAATACCAAACACTTTGGTAGAGACTGGGATTTTCTGTCCTTGGTATTTATCGCGGTATGACTGCAAATAAGCTTGCAAGCAGACATAAAGGTTGTAGACGGCAAACGATTCGAATAAACTGGCAAAAAACATGATCACCGTTTCATAATCGTATCGTAGGTACGACAACCATGCCATAATAGCGTACACTGGCGGGTAAGCCAGCACCCGTACTTTGTGACGCTGAATGTCGCTGTGGCAGTAGTGATGAAGATGTTCAGAGATCGTGTGCGCCGCAAGCGTGATGGTGACAAGAACGAGAAATCCCGAAGATAGCCAACCCCACACATGCATGGTGGAACTAATTCAGACGGTCAGTTGCCAATGGAACCGATCCTGTCTTTTTTCCTATTTCGTGTATGATGCTTACCTCGGATTCAAAACCAATTGTTTTAAATCGAAATCAGGGTTGCTAAACAATGTGAATTGAGTTCATGAAAGGTTGCATCCAATGTCTTGTTTTTCTTACAATCCATTCTCGCCCAAGTGTCCTGTCGTAGGACATTGCTCCGTAGCCGACATTTATCGTAGGCGCAGTAAAGTGGTGTGTTGGGCTGAGATCGCATCAAACCGCAAACGTCTTAAATCCGAGTTGTGTGACATTTGTTGACGAGATATCCACGTGAGTTCCCTCCCATTCATGCCATGATGTAGTATACCTTCATTAAGGACAACCCACTCTCCTCTTCAAATATACGCAATTGCTTTATCCGCGTTGAATTTCGAAAAAATCACGTTTCATCTATGCTGTAAGCATATGTTTGTAGTTCTCCAACGTTGTAATGTCTGGGTGGATCAACGAAATATGTACTCTGATCATGTTTCACCCTCACACTGCTTTGCAAGCCATGAGTGGATCAAGCATGCAACACAATCATGTATTGACATTTTCTCGAAATGAAATTTACTAGAGGCCGCGTGTCTGTAGACCAGCGTTTTGCTTAAGTATCATCAAATAAAAGATACTTTGACATCTTGATCAAGGTACGATTTGTCTCATTTCTCAACCGCAGTGTTGCTCAAAAAAAAAAGTCTGCTGAGACCCATGACCTGGAACATGGATGATGAAACATAAAAGCATTTGCTCCTGTGCAGATATGCTTGGGAAACAATAGGGCGACACATTTAAAGGTGGGCAGTTGAATGAATGGCCCATTGTCAGAATGTTCAGAGGTTGCACTGGTAACACAATGATGGGCTGGTGCGGTGCACGGTATTGGAACGGATATTAACCTAATATCCTAAGAGCATATAAAACCTCGACATTCGCAGCGGTCCGTCCTCTTGAGCCATCTACTGCTTTTGCCGATGCGGACCTTGAGGGCGCACACCCTACCACGATCTGACCCATCAAACGCACTCGACAAATGAGAGAAAATAAAGTAAATGTTATGCCGCATCTTTTTCAGCATCAATCTCGAAATGTTCCGCTATGTTTATTTTCATGGTGCATGTCAATAAAGCGGCCATACAAATGGTCCTTACAGTGCCAAGGATCTCATGCTCTACTGGCATGTTTTACAGGGACGCACAAGCTAATTGCCCATAAAAGGGGATTGACAGTTGGTGCTTTAATTTCCGCCTCGTATCACCCCATTCTGCTGGCTTCTATATGAAGCCATCGCCCTGCATCCATATACGCGGTATTTGAAACCTTGTTGATATGGTGACACCTTGATCAATGAATTACTGGTTTTTTTTGGACGGCAATTTTCGTTCTATATAAGCTGCAAAAACCTGAGGCTGTTCACAGCTTTCCCTTTTAAAGTCTGGTTCTGGTGCCTCTTGCTAGGTAAAATAAGGCATGGTGACTAGGAGGATGAAACCATTGGTCTTACGTCTCGTCCATTGCTTAGCATTTTCAACATGTATCAAGGGCAATACAATTCAAAACCACCTTTGCCACAATATGATTCGGAGCAGTATCCATTGCAACAAACCAGTTATGGATCTCACGACGCTGAAAAGGTGCCTTATGATAATCCGTTTGATCAAGGCGCCTATGGAGACGCAATGGCATCGCCTCACAACATAGATACGATGGATCAACCCCTCTTGAATCATTCCGAAGCACCTTCACCTTATCCATCAAGTCCCTTTGGCAACCCATCCTATCCCAGTAGCCCTTATCCGAATGATCCATCGACACCAGTTTCCATGCCAATGCCGATGCCACCAGGGGGCGGTGTCCAGTTCGCCATGCCTCCCTCACCTGGAACTTCTATCCCGCGTCGACAACCTCGTCGATACAAGACAGGTAAATTATCATCCCGTCGGGATACTGTGGGCTGAGTTGTCACAGATGCTCATGATTCAAATCGACCATTGACAGTCCGAAAGGTGAAGCTTACGGGAGGTAATTTGGTGTTGGACAATCCCGTGCCCACCAAATATCTGCAACAATTGCCAAGGAAGGATTCCGAAGAGTTCACTCACATGCGATATACGGCCGCTACGTGTGATCCATCTGAATTCGGTGAACAAAATTACAAATTGCGACAACAGATCCTGGGACGAAAAACAGAGTTGTTTATTGTGCTTACGATGTACAACGTAATTTGAAATAGACCCTACATTGAAAGCATTCTTCACACGATATCTAATTGGTCAGGGATTATTAGGAAGACGAAGTTCTTTTTTGCCGAACCATGCACGGTGTCATGAAGAATATTGCGTACCTGTGTTCTCAGAAACGATCCCAAATTTGGGGACCCGACGGTTGGGAAAAGGTGGTTGTGTGTATTGTATCTGACGGACGAACAAAGATCCATCCGCGTACCTTGTCTGTATTAGCTGCCATGGGCGTCTATCAAGAAGGTATTGCTAAAAACGTGGTGCAAAATAAACCGGTGACAGCCCATATTTACGAGGTAATTTGATGGCGTGCCACCGTTCGCCAAATGCGGGAAACCCCAATGCCAACAATTTTAACGTCCGCTTTTGTTTATCTTGATGCCTGTAGCACACCACCCAAATTTCTGTCGACCCTGAAATGAATTTCAGAGGCGCCGACAAGGGCATTGTTCCTGTTCAGTTATTGTTCTGCTTAAAAGAGAAGAATCAGAAAAAGATCAATTCCCATCGATGGTTCTTCCAGGCATTTGGCCCCTTGATTCAACCTAACGTGTGTGTTTTGCTGGACGTCGGAACCAAACCAGGTCGTTCTTCCATCTACCATTTATGGAAATCCTTCGATATTAACAAAAACGTAGCCGGTGCTTGTGGTGAAATTCGTGCCATGACGGGTAAAATGGGACGGTACTTGCTAAATCCACTGGTGGCGTCTCAGAATTTTGAATATAAAATGTCCAATATCCTGGACAAGCCATTGGAGTCGGTGTTTGGTCATATTTCCGTGCTACCGGGTGCGTTTTCGGCTTATCGTTTCCAAGCCTTGCAGAACGATGCGAATGGTCACGGTCCTCTGGAAAAATACTTTTTGGGCGAGAAACAGCACGGAGCTGATGCCGATATTTTCACCGCCAACATGTACCTCGCTGAAGATCGTATTCTGTGCTATGAACTGGTAGCCAAGAAGGATGCCGCATGGATTTTGCATTACGTCTCCAACGCTTATGGTGAAACCGATGTCCCGGACAATGTGCCTGAATTTATCTCGCAGCGTCGGCGATGGCTCAATGGATCTTTCTTTGCCGGAATTTATTCCTTGGTTCACTTTCGCAAAGTGTGGAGTTCGGACCATTTTATCCTACGAAAGTTCATGTTTATGATTGAAGATTTGTATCAGCTGTATAACTTGTTTTTCTCCTGGGTTGCCATGGTACGTTATTTCAGACGCATGATGACCTTGACAAGTTATTTCTTTTTGACGCTCACTGTTGAATCCTTGTAGGGCAACTTCTATCTTATTTTCTACATTCTTACAACGTCGATGGAATCCGAGACGCTGAATCCGAAGCCGTATTCAAGTGAAGTGGCGCAGATTCTGCATATTGTTCTCAACTATATCTATGTGCTTCTACTGGTCGTTCAATTCATTGTGGCTATGGGTAACCGTCCGCAGGGTTTCCGATGGGCGTACATCCTCAGTATTGTATTCTTTGCTCTACTAATGGTCTACATCATGTTCTGTACAATCTGGATCACCGTGGTCGCCGTGCAAACCGCTGTGAATGAAGCCTCAACGTCCGATGACAAATTCATTTCACTGCTCAGTCAAAGCTCTTTCCGTGAACTGATTGTATCCATGATATCCACCTATGTGATGTACTTTGTGGCTAGTATCATGTTCCTGGATCCTTGGCACATGTTTACCAGCTTTATTCCTTACATCTTCATGTCGCCGAGTTATACAAACGTTTTGAACATTTACGCTTTCTGTAACACGCACGATGTTTCCTGGGGTACCAAAGGTGACAACAGTGTTTCAACCGAGTTGGGTGTAGTCAAGGCCAAGAAGGATAAAGACGGAGGTCACTCGGTGGAAGTGGAGCTGCCAACAGAGCAAAAAGATTTGAACGAACAGTATGAAGAGGCTTGCTTGGAGCTGAAGAAGATCGTCGTCCCCGAGGCCTCCCATCGTGACGCGAAAACGAAGCAAGAAGATTATTACCGAGCTTTCCGAACTCGGCTTGTGCTGGCGTGGGTATTTACCAACCTGGCCTTGGTTGCAGTAATTACGAATGGACAAATATTCCAATGGTTCGGTACCTATGAGCAGCGCAGTATGGCTTATCTCGGTTTCATCCTGTGGTCTGTGGCCGGCCTAGCTGCCATTCGCTTTGTGGGCGCCTCGCTGTACCTCTTTATGAAGATCTTTACCGGTTAATAATTTACTCAAAGTGCTGGCCACATGTGTAAAAATAGAATTTAACATAGATTAAAAAAATCATATCACACACCAAAAAAATAAATAATTTGAATACCATTTTGCTGATGGACATCATTGGAGTACGGTATCTGCGGTATATCACAGGCAACTGAAGCCTAAACAGGAATACTTGATAAAAAGAGAGACTGTCACATAAACCAACAAAGCCACCAAAAAAAAACTTCGTGCCTTCATGAATATATCTTCATTAGGGATGTATTATCCTGCTACCAGACTTTAATCTGGCCCACATAATCTGTGAAAGAGGCGGTGGAAAGGAGGGTTTAGTGGTGAGTGGGTCGCGCGTGGCGGAGTATGAATTACCACAGATACGTCATCATCATCTTTCGATTTTTGCGCTGCAGCAAGGAAAAAACACAAGAGGGCCTAAATTTTGTAGGTTTACGACAAATTTTCAAAACTCTCCTCCCCACTCTAGAATTTAAAAGAAAAACAAATGTCGACACACGGTCAGGATTTGCCACCCGCTGGAGGATACCCTGAGGTTCGATACAAGCGTTATCTTCCCAAGCGCGGTCCTTCGGGTCTCGTCATTTTATCCGCCATCACAGCTCTCTCTGTTTACGGTTTCTACAAAGTCGCACAGGGCAACCTCGAAAGAAGGTAAAACCGAATCGAGAACCGTCTTTTTTTTTACTCGACATGGCGCATTCAACTTACCAATGTTATTTTTGTTATCATTTTTTACAGAGAACTCAAGCGCGAGAAATTGTGGTCCCGCATTCATCTCGTTCCCTTGTTGACCGCCGAATCCGACCGTGATTTGTACCGTCGAACTCAAGCTGCTCTTGCTCGCGAATCCGAAATTATGAAGGATGTCAAAGGCTGGAAGGCCGGCGAATCTGTGTATAACAACACCAAATACTATACTCCTCCCTCTTATGTCATTGTCCCCGAGGAGAACTAGACACAATAGATTTAATGTCGAAGAAAACCCCCCAAAAAAGGAATACACACTTTACTCACGCAATGCATTGAAAACGATTATCTCACAATCTGCTTTCTTTTTTGGGTTTCCTTTTATATATATATAGTTTGACGATCCAGTCATTGATCTCCTGCTACAGTCGCGACGTTGAGGATCTACTTTTCTGAGCGGATTTGTTTGTTTCACTACGTGTGTTTGCATTGAGGCATTGAAAATCAACAACTAATGACAGGTTAAGGCACCAAAAAAATGGATGGGCAAATGGTACGTTTGGGGATACAGAGATCATTTCAATTCGGTGACAAAAGCATGGGAATCGCATGCCAAAAAACAAGAAAAAAGGAAGGAAGCTAGAGCAAGTGTCTGTCCAACCGTCCAGTGGGCACTTTTGTAGGCATTGGGTAAATGGTGCATAGCATAGCAGTGTGTGAACATATGTGTGATGATTGCAGGATAAAAAACAATTATGTTTGTACAGGCTAGCATAGTGAATGACAAGCATAGTAAAATCATGCGGGCATAAAAAGGTATCATATCAAAGGCCGGGGTGGGGGACAATAAATTGTGTGAGAGTTTTACTTTGAGCAGAATAACTTAAATTGGGGTATACAGATCAAAGCTGACACGCCATCTCCTCCTCTTCGCTATTTGAAAGATCCATATCTTGTTCGAAAATAGTATCTGCTTGTGATGGGTTTGCCTGGGTGTGTGCTGACGACGTATGGTTAAGAAATTGTTTCAACATCTTTTGTGCCATCATTTTGCCGCGCAACTTGTCGCACATGGCTTTGAGGCGGGTATTTTCTTGACAAAGCTGATCGAGTTGCCGTGCCATGACTTCGTTTTCCTTGGACATGGCAATGATCATGGACCGCATTTCGCCTTGCTGCTGGTTTTTCTTGGCTCGATATTTGGCGGACGCGATCTTGTTCCTTTGACGTCGTTCACCCAGCGACAGCGACCCCCCGGTGGTGGATGCATCGAGTATATGCTGAGGTAGACACTCATAGTTGGGCACGTGGCGGTAAGAAGAATAGCCATCGTCTCGACTGTACATGATGGTATCTGGTTTATCATTGGATAGCTGGTTGACGGCGGAACACCATGTCATCTGTGCACAGCGTTGGCTGACGGGTGAATTCCCGAGCGAAGATATGTCAGAGTAAGGAGACGGAAGTGAGGTCGGTGACAGTAACAAATGGGGTGGACGATAATCGTACCGGCTCGACGAGCTAGAGGCGACTGAGGAAGGGGATTTGGAGGATTCTCGGGTGGTTGTTCTTACGTTTGGATAGGTAATGGTGGAAATAGCCATAGGCTTGGGCTGACCATTCTCCTCAACGGAAGCAATTGCCATAGAATAGTGACTTGATTAACAGTGGGTTCTCACGACGGGTAAAAGATAGAACTCTCATTTATAATGAATGGGAATAACAGAAATTAACGGGTTGAAATCATTAATATGGAACTTTTTTTTTCGATCTTTGCATATTTGACCAAAAGTAATGCAAGTCGGTCGTTGCGGATGAAATTACGCCATCGAACCCATCCTTATCCCATTAAATGACATTATATCAAACTTCAGTATGAATTGAAATGCGTTTTATCGTAAAATGACAGGTGGATTAGCAATGGTACCAATAGTGAAGTAAAGCAACACCGCGATTAGTAACTGTATATCATTTACGGGTTGAGCAACCTATGACGGTTTTTATGATATTTTTTCTTATGATGAACTAGATTTTTTTTCTCGGGAACGTAATATGATATGGGGAATTTCTCATCAACTGGCTGATTTCTTACTCCAAATGGCATCACCCTGTCTCTTTAACATATTCAAGCTTCATCCTTTTTACTTTTTGAAACAAAAAAGATACACTGCCCGCAAAGAATGGTCGGGAATATGATGACTTGACCATTTATATGTGAATACCAGTCTGCCCAAAGTAGGTCTCGTGTTGTGCAAACTCAAAAATATCAAACGAATTGAGATCGTCTGTGATGACACCGCGTCCTCCGTCACACATCCCGGATAATTGATGCTCCCTCACCCTTTGTTATGGGGCCACTTGGGTTTATCAATCCATGCCTTGTCGAACAGGTAACAAGGGCTTTAATATGAACAATGTATCTTGCCCATATTTGTGAATTTATTATGTCATCGGGAAGTTTTTTTTTTCTTTGGTTTTCAGGCTTCCTTAGTATTTCACTGTGCTCATGCTCAAGTAAATGAAATGGATACTGCGCTTGTAGCTTCATGGCAATTCCAATTATACATTGTAGCTTCTCGAATAGGTTTGTTTATGAACATGTCGCCAATTTAGGCTTATCAGCCTAAAAAATACAGTAATTCATCAATCTTGACGTGCAGGTTCACGCCTGGTTTCTGTCAAATACTGGTAATCACATGAGTGATGCATAATTGTACATGGTATACACAGTAATAAAAGGTTTTATGAATGTTAATGTTACGTTCTATGTAATAGTTTACTTCTTACTGTTTGCATGATGGGGATATCCGATGAGGCCCAGCTTGATGACGTGAGTTGGGTTGTCGGGAGCTCAATTGCCGAAGGATTTCATTTGTTCCAAATGCCGAGTTTCCTCGATATTCCTTGATCTTCGAAGACTCGTATGAATCATTCCGTGCTAATCCATGTATCAAAAACTATTCCTCGCTCGAGAGTTAACCAAGTGCTAATGTCCCAGCTGCATTCAGCAACGGGGGCTAAACCTCTCGGGGCCCGTCACTTCTCCACTCACCCTACCGTGACCATTTGGGGTGGCGAAGCCATCTCGCATTCCTTACGATCCAGTCCTTCCAACTCGGTCTTTGTGGCTCTTCAACCACTGAAGAATGCCGCCGCTGTCAAACGCCACTTTGGCCGATCCGCTTCAAGCTACAAGAACTCCATGTTGATGAGAGATCGCGATCCCAATGACGATCCTGCCGATCACCCGCCCCCCGCTTCATCAGGTGATGGCGCTGCGAACGGAGGCGACGGACACGGACGAAGTGATAACGGCAACAACGGTCATGGTGATGATAAGCCTTCGTCTGGCTCGTTCAATGTGATTGATAATCAACTACAAAAACCATCGGTGCCCGAAGTATATCCCCAAGTGCTGGCCTTACCCATCGCTCGTCGACCACTCTTTCCCGGATTCTATAAAGCCGTCGTCGTGAAAGATCCTAATGTGACGGCCGCTATCAAAGAGTTGCTGAAACGTGGCCAACCTTACGTTGGCGCCTTTTTGCTCAAGGACGAGGATTTGGACGTCGACCGAATTACTAGCATGGACCAAGTTCATCCCGTGGGTGTGTTTGCTCAGATCACCAGTGTATTTCCAGCGAGTGCAGGAAAGGATGGGAACAAGGAGGATGCTGGCTTGACCGCCGTGTTGTATCCCCATCGGAGAATCAAGATGACGAAGCTACTGCCTATGGCGGAGACTGGTCACACCACAGCCTCCGTTGAAGCTGAAGAAGCATTAAGGCCCGAAGAAGACCATGTATCAGAGCAACACAATCCGGCTAAGAAGGAGGAATTACACCCAGAAGAACGTTTAAGCAGTGAATCAGGTGAATAATTTTTTTGGCACCGATTGCAGTGATCAATCGATCTCATAATGCATGTTTTAACTTATGAATATGTGATATCGTTGTATAGTATCTGAAGCTCAAAAGGGAGCAGAAGAAGGTCTTCATGGCGGTGGTGATACGCAATATGCCACTTCATTCTTAGCAAACGATTACGCGGTCTCGGTGGCCAACGTGGAAAATTTGGAGGATCTGCCTTACTCAAAGAAGAGCTCACTTGTGCGTGCTGTCACTTCGGAAATTGTTGCGGTGTTCAAGGATATCGCTTCGCTTAATCCACTTTTCAGAGATCAGATCGCCAGTTTTTCCATGTCGCAATCCGCTGGCAACGTGTTTGAGGAACCCGCCAAATTGGCCGATTTTGCTGCGGCCGTCTCGGCTGGTGAACCACTCGAGTTGCAAGAAGTGCTTGAAACATTGCCCGTGGAGGAGCGTTTGCAAAAGGCGTTGCTCGTCCTGAAAAAGGAATTGATGAATGCCCAATTGCAGAACAAGATTTCCAAGGAAGTCGAAAGCAAGATCGCCAAACGTCAACGCGAATACTATTTGATGGAACAGCTCAAGGGTATCAAGAAGGAGTTGGGATTGGAAAGTGACGGCAAGGATAAACTTGTCGAAGGATTCAAGGAGAAGGCAACGAAACTGGCGATGCCTGAAAGCGTGAAGAAAGTGTTTGACGAGGTAAAATATCACTCGCCCTTGGATAACCTTTTCCACGGACCTGTAGAAAACTGATATTTTTGCATTGCTCAGGAAATCAACAAGTTGGCGCATCTTGAACCGGCCGCTTCTGAATTCAATGTGACGCGTAATTACCTTGACTGGCTTACTCAGGTTCCCTGGGGTCAGCGATCGCGCGAAAACTACAACTTGATTCACGCTAAACGAGTGCTTGACGAAGATCATTATGGATTGAAGGATGTGAAGGATCGTATTCTGGAATTCATCGCTGTCGGCAAACTTCGAGGCTCGGTCGAAGGTAAAATTCTCTGTCTCTCTGGTCCACCTGGTGTGGGTAAGACATCCATTGGTAAAAGTATTGCTCGCGCTTTGGATCGTGAATTTTACCGCTTTTCCGTCGGTGGATTGACGGATGTGGCTGAGATCAAGGGCCATCGTCGTACCTATGTCGGTGCCATGCCAGGCAAAGTGGTTCAAGCGTTGAAGAAGGTGCAAACCGAAAACCCGCTGATTCTCATTGACGAAATTGACAAGGTCGGTCGTGGTCATCAGGGCGATCCTTCATCGGCATTGCTTGAATTGCTGGATCCCGAACAAAATGGCAGCTTCCTGGATCATTACATGGACGTTCCTGTAGACTTGTCCAAGGTGTTGTTTGTGTGTACTGCCAACGTCCTTGACACCATACCCGGCCCATTGCTTGATCGTATGGAAGTGATTCAACTTTCTGGTTACGTCGCGGAAGAAAAGGCCGCCATTGCCTCCAAGTACCTTGCACCGACTGCCAAGGCCGCCGCAGGTTTGGAACATATCAACGTCAATCTCAGTCCTGAAGCGATCGATACGCTGATCAAGAACTACTGTCGCGAAAGCGGAGTGCGTAATCTGAAGAAACAAATCGACAAAGTGTTCCGCAAAGCGGCCTATCAAGTCGTGGAAAAGGTCGGAGAAAGCAAATTCGAGCAACAGGAAGGCGACTCTCCAAAGGTGCTGTCAGCCGACAAACGATCGAATGACCCGGTCACAAACGAAAAAGCGGCTGAACAAGAATCTCCCGAGAAGGAAAAGGGACAAGAAAAGACACATGAAGAACGCAAAGCCCTGGAGGTACCGGAAGATGTCAAGATCGATATCACTCCCGACAACCTGAAAGACTACGTCGGCCCTGCCGTTTTCCAATCCGATAAATTATACGATCAACCACCACCTGGTGTGATTATGGGCTTGGCTTGGACAAGCATGGGTAAGTGTCAATCAGTTGAGCCATCCGCCGATGCGTGCCATATCATGATTCAAACTTTTTTCCATACTCTGCACAGGTGGATCATCCTTATACATTGAGTCGGTTTTGGAATCTTCACTGGGTCCCAAGTCCAGCCCTCACTTGTCAAAGACCGGTCAGCTTGGCGATGTCATGAAAGAATCAACCACTATTGCCTACACTTTTGCCAAATCCTTAATGGCCACGCGTTTCCCTGACAACAAATTCTTTGATAAAGCACGTGTCCATTTGCATTGTCCCGCAGGCGCTGTACCGAAAGATGGTAAGTTTGAAGAAAATTAGTAATGGGGTTTTTGCGAAATGCATAATGGTTGACATGGGTTTTCCATTTGAAAGGACCTTCGGCTGGTGTGACCATGGCGACTTCCTTGATTTCCTTGGCACTGAACAAGGCCGTGAATCCCAATATTGCCATGACAGGTGAACTCACGGTGACAGGCAAGGTGCTTCAAATCGGTGGATTGAAAGAAAAGACCATTGCCGCCAAACGATCCAATGTCAACACCATCTTATTTCCCAAGGATAACCAAGCCGACTGGGAAGAACTGCCGGATCACATCAAGGAAGGTATGACCGGTATCCCGATCAATTACTACGATGAGATCTTCAAGATCTGTTTTGGCGACGTCGATCAAAAGGAAGCCAACGCTTTGTGGAGTGACATGCTCAAGGAAGACGATAAAGATAAAGAAGACAAGAACAAAGATTAAGCAATAATATCTAGAAGCTTATGTATCCACATTCAATTTTTTTTCCTTCTACTACTGCAACGACTTGTCAAAAATAGACCTGTATCTTTATATTTGTTTTTTAGGTATTTCCATCCAACTTGTCCATCACTTTAGAGATGAAGACTTTGATTTTCCCCCATAATCATGACTTTTTCGAATGAGATATCACGATCATGCAGAGGAAAAGTTATATGATACAGGTGGCCAGTGAATGGCAAGCGGGCCAGTAGTGGCAGAATAGTTGCTTTTTCGACCATCACTTTGGGGGACAGAATACATGCGGACGTAAGAAGTAAAAGCACTTTTTAATCAGTAATAAAGAAAGGGCGGACACTCGCAAAAGAGGATATATGTACAGAGAGTGCATAAAAATTCTATGTTATTCATGTTCTATTTTTTCTTTATCCATGGTTGGCCAAGCACAATAGAATTGCTTTCTCAGAGCGAACTACCTGAATCAGCTGCAAGCAAGTCAGAAAACGCACATTATCAAGCATGATTTTTCTCCAAAGAAACTTACCATACTCCACAGTAGTAGGTATATTCTTAGAGTCGGGCTGATAGGCCGAAGAGGAGTTATACGTCTCAGGCGTCGTTTCGGGGAAACTGCCAGGATCCATTTGGGCATCTTCCACTAAGCATTTACCAGGACCGTTGAACCAGTATCGGGCACGGAAATGGTAGTAAGTGATGGAGCAGCCAATGACAAACACAAAGATCACGCTTGCATAATTCATATTGGCTGTTGGAAAAAGATAAAAGCAATGGGTAAGTCAATACTATCTTTTTGGCCATCAACGTGATCCGCTTCTTCAAGCACGGATGTCCTTACCTGCATCAACGGGATTTTGAGTAGGACAAACGAAAAGGACCGAGGTGAAGAGAATCCAGAAACAACTGATAAAATTGATCAAATCGGAAAAGGGCCCAAGATGGAACGGACCCTTTTTGAACGAGTTACGTGCCGTGGTTAAACGAAGGGCGATGGGAATGAAATATGCCATGGACGAAGCAATGGTATTAATCGAAACAATGGCATTGAAAGCGGTGGTATTGACAATATACTGTAAGAAAAAAAAAAAGCAGATTTCTAACATCAGTATTTGCCATCCACAATCAAAGGGTAATCGTAGAGAATGCAATCGAAGGAGGTAAACTTACAAGTAATCCTACTACGACAGCAAAGAGAATATTGCCCCACACGGCATACACGGGGGTCTGGGTAGTCTTGTTGATATAGCAGAGGTATCGACTGAATGGCTAAATGATGGTGAGGCATGAGATAAACGCAATAAACACATGTAAGAAAAAACGGTCCCATCAAGTTAACGTACCATAGCACCATCTCTGGCAAAGGCGTATACCATTCTCGAACTACCAAGAGTAAGAGCGGATCCTGAAAAGAACATGGCCCCCATGATGATGACGGTGAACACAATAGTCCAGGCATATCCAACACCGTCCATAAACACTTGAGTCATTTGAGGACTCATGGTTGTTTGCACAATTTGACGCTGGAAATCCTGAACACAAAAGTTGATGGCTAGCATAAAAGCGAAACCGACAATGGCCGCAGTACCAATAGCGTACAAGATGCCTCGAGGAGCGCTGCGTGCGGCGTCGCGCGTTTCTTCCGACATGTGAGCCGCACTGTCAAATCCAGACAGGGTATATTGAGACTGCAAAAGACCAATGAGAAAGGCGTAGCTGCTGGAAGAGAAGCCGGTATCGTTTTCAAAGTAGGAAAACACCCATTTGGCGTCGGCTTTGTTGGGCGTGAGCACCAAAGCGACAACGATAATCAATAAGGTACCGATCAAATGCCAGTACAAGGAGGCTTGATTAAAGAATCCATTGTACTTGACACTGACAGAATTGATAACACCATGAATAAAGGCAATGACCAAGAACAGTCCATATTGCCAGTAAATACCGGCATCGTAGTCTGGATTCTTGATCGCAATCACCGAAGATAAAAATTGAGCAAGACCAAGATCAGCCGAAGTGATAGCAACTAGGAAAAAAAAAAGGTTAAGCGAAAAAGGGACCATTACTATGCACACAATTTCGTGTGGGGAAGATCACGTACCAGTCTATTAAAAAAAGAGAAATTGAATCATATCCACAGTTTAGTTGATATACTTTTTTTTTCGGTCCATTGATGGGGATGATAAAAACTTACCAAGCCTAGCCAATTACACCATCCCGTAAGCCAGCAAGCGATGGGCACCCATTGGGGAGGGGCCATGCGAGATACCCAAATGTACAAGCCGCCAGTGACCGGATAAGCGGAACAGATCTCTGCCAGAGACAAACCAACAAAAAAGGTGAAAATAGAGACGAGCACCCAGCCCCAGATAATAGCAATGGAACCACCGGACATCATGGCATCACCCCACATCTATTTTGCAAATTTTTTCAACATGAGCATTGAATGTTTCGACTCGATCCAGGCTTAGAATTTTTTGGACTTACTGGGGTAAGACCTGAAAGAATCGAACAACAACCAAAAGCAATGGAGAAGTTGGAGATCGTGGACATGGTTTTATTCATTTCCTAAGAGATCGTGTTGGTTACGCGCGAAACTACCATGGCAGGGCCACTGTGGGGAGGGCTTACCTGTTTATAGCCAAACGAGGCCAAGATCTCCTCTTCAGAGGCATGGGATGACAGGCAAGGTTCGTCTACGTCATTCCACTTTTTCACGTTGCGTTTGAGGATAACCATTCAAAGGTATACGGTTCGACGACAAGAGGATTACGAGTGGCTAAATGGTGGATGATCTGTGGGCACAACCCTGAGTGATGCGATAAAGCTGTTCAAGGAGCAACTATTGCAAAAAGAAAAAAAAAAGATGCACGGACTGGTTTTGGAATAAACAAAAAGGGTCCAACCATGGTGTGTCATTGGTAAAACATTTCATTTGCCGACAGTCCGTCAACCATAACGTTACTGTTGGCATCCAAGACAATCTCTGATCTGCTTCTTTATCTTTCCTACGGTCACACAATTAATCTCTGTGTTACAGAAATCGTACGCTGTAGTATCAATAAGCTCAAGTCAATAGCAGATCGGTAGGCTATCGGATACGACATAACCACATCTTGCACTCTTAAACATCTCGACCTCATCGCCATGATGTCAAATTTTCCACACGATTTTTCTCCGCACGAAACGAACATGTTTCAAGATAAAAAAGTAACGTGGCTTCATCATGACATCCATGTTCGACAATTGTCTCCATTCTTAGCCTGACATCGCTGTGTTACACAATATAGACAAATTTAGGAGAGCCCCTTTCGAGTGACGGGCACCAGGCAATCGAAAATCGCTTTTTTCTTTTGCAAGTGAGCGAAAAGCAACCAAGCTGCAGTGCACTACTATAATTGTTATTATTGTTTGACTAACTTGCCTATTGGATTTTACCTGTAAAGGACAGGCAATTTGAATTTTATTTTGTTCTACAATTACGTTTTAGGCCTTTATTTTTACGAAAACAGGCTTCAGGAACGACAGTTGGGCTATTGTATGTTACTCGCTCGTACTGCAGTCTTTGCGGCAATGCGGTAATGCGCGTAACGGTAAACCAGGTCTACTCAGTTTGCTTATACTTTTTTTCAAGAGCACATCGCATCCGTTAGCACAAGTATGACCGTTTACGACATGCCTGTAATCTCATTAGTTCATAACTTGCCAACTGCTGCCAAGCCAAAAAGTCATACAATGGTCTGCATCAGTGTTACTGTTGTTAAGGTCAGTTATCACATGGTGCATGATACTGCTATATGATGTTGCAGTTGTTATACTCAACTATGAGCATATTATTGGACTATGATACGAATTGAGCAAATGCTCATCGTCTATGGAAAAAGATGTCACAGAAACAAGTTACTATTTTTCGAATGGTACTCATTATCCTAGTCTTCTTGCCTATGATTTGTGCGTTGCCGTTGAGTGTCGGTTGTCAATGTTGAAAGAAACATCCATCCAACAAAGAAATTTCAGGAGAGGACAATCTATGCAATCCCATTAATCAACACGCGGAGCTGCATTCAGTATTTTCCTTCTATTTTTCGAAACAGGAGCATGAAAATCCATAGCCAAAGCAAAAAGATGAAAAATCTGAAAATGTGATTTAAATTAAAAAAGGTGATAAGCTGGTAGAATCAACGTGACAAGATAACAATGTGTCGGAAATGACATGTTCGTGTAGGAAAAGGTTTTTGTGCAAGGCTATGATGTATGATAAATTGAGAGTGATCCATTTACGGTATGAATCTCGTAGGGTGCACGTTTCAGATCATTAGGGCTGTCAATTGGAAAAGCGTGGGGAAAACTGGACTGACACATCGTTAAAGTTGGAGGTCACGAGCTCAGGAAGCCATGCATTTTCCCCTTTTCAGAAAAACGGTAGTCAAATGAAAGCGTGGGAAATTTGGGTTTGGCTGATACATGGGCTCATCAGTTAGATGACGTTCAACCAGCAGGGAAAAACTTCTAAACACGGCTTCTTCTTCGCTTTTATAGCTATGCTTGACTTTGACGAAATTCGTAAGTTTCAGCTTCACTCTCATTCCCAATCGCCATGACAATGACCACTCATTCCACTCTTCTCATTCAGCCGAACAAACTTCTGTCACCACAGTGGCCAGCTTTTGGTCAGGTTTAGTCGGAGGTAAAAAAAATCCGATATACTTCTTCAATATCTATCTATCATGCAATTCCTTGCTCAACCCCTTTCTAGGGCTAGCTGGGCTAGCAGTTGGACATCCTTTTGGTGAGTAAATCACACGAATTCATCCCTGATATCATCATATCCACTCAACTTTTTATATTTTGCTTTTAGATACCGGTAAAGTTGAACGGTGATGCTTTTCACGACTCGTCCCACATGATATAACCGATAGAAAGAAACGCTGCGGCTAATCCAGGACTACACATTTTTCAATATTAGTCAAAGTCAGACTGCAATCGCGCGAATTGGCGGCTCGTTATAAAGGCACGCTCAACTGCTTTGCGGTCATTATACGTCAAGAGAAAGTAGGTGTACAGTGGCCACACTGCGTTTCAAGGACTGATTTTATACCAACCATACTCATCGTACGGTATTGTTTTCCCCATGATACTTGATCCATGCTTTAGGTGCTAGGGCTGTACAAAGGAATGGTGAGTACCACATGGGGTGCGAAATTGTCATTCTCGTATTCATCCAATTTTTTATTTCATAGGCGTCACCAGCAGTAAGAACCCTCATTTGCGATCGGAATGAATGATAAGCATGCGATTAAAAGTATAAAATTACGATAGGCGGGTGTGGCTGGTGTCAACGCTCTTGTGTTTGGTTCCTATACCTGGTTTCTGAATTTGCAAGCAAAATATGCTGGACGACCGTTAAATGGCGACCCTCCACCCCTTCGAGATACTATGATTGCCGGTATGGGGGCTGGAATCCTTACTAGGTAACTGAAGTGATGGAAAGGGAGGCGGTAGAAAACCATTGCTCACACGCACATCGTTGATAGTTTCGTTACCTGCCCCATGGAATTGGCCAAAGTCCAACTGCAGAGTCAAACCTCCAACGTAGGCGAGAAATTTAGAGGACCCATCGACTGCTTGACTCGAATGTATGTCACAGGTGGTTTACGGCAATGTTTCAAGGGGTTGGCTCCGACGACTTTGCGAGAATTAAGCTTTGGACCCTATTTTTGCTCGTATGAATTTATTTGCCGTGCACTCACACCCAAAGATCACCATGGTTCGGTCCATGATATCACCGGTCCCAAGATCATTTTTGCTGGCGGTTGTGCCGGCATTGTCGCTTGGTGTTCCACTTACGGCGCAGGTAAATGGTGCAATGACAACGCCCTTTCCTTCTTTTCATGCACCAACATATACTAATGCACCTGCTCCAAGATGTGGTCAAAACTCGTATACAATCAGAACCAAACCGATACAAAGGAAGCATCGACTGTTTCCGACAATGCTACTTGGAAGAAGGTTACCGTATCTTTTTCAGAGGGTTAACACCGACCATACTAAGAGCCTTTCCCTCCAATGCCGCTACCTTTATGGCTTACAGTTGGACAATGAAGTTATTCACAGCAAAGGAGACTCTCGAACAATGTGACAAAGCCGTGCTATAACTTCTTCACAAATTCTCCATTTTTTGTTACTCGACCCATGTCCGCCTTTCATCTACGCGGACACTTTATACCGTCTTCAATGTCTTTTTTTTCTCAGTTATTTTGGCTTCGTCGCTCGCATTTTCTAATCTTGTTCGTATTTAAACATAATTTCTAGGATGAAGAAAACGGCATTTATTGTACATAGTAAATGAATAAGAATGAAGAAAATGATTGTTAAAAGAACTAGAGTTCCTCGTGTGCCAACTCGGCTTCCAAGTCTGGGGTTTGTGGTGCAAAGAGGAGTTCAGGACCTTTGCGGTAGATGGCCGATAATTTGTCGCCTACAATCTCCAAGGATCCAAGATTGCCACCGTAGATGAAACCAATACCGATATCGATCAACACAATCTTGCCATTGCAACGGGTACGGATACGGCCGTCTCGTTGCACGCTGTGACCAACCACCATACGATCCGCCTACAACAAACAGGTCAACACCAATGTCGTTTCTAACCTGAGTGTAATTTATGAAAGAAACACTCACCTCCAGCATCTTTAAAGCTTCTTCCAACAAGGGACACACTTTGGCTTCGTCTTCAACTGCGTAGGCTCGATACCATGTTGGACCATCACCTCCAAAAATATCATGAGGATCACCCGACTGACCGTTGGTTTCAATAAATTCAGGCATGGCCGCATGAGTTTCGGCATTGATCCAGTCGATACCATGTTTTGCGTATTTTGGATGAAGACCACCGTGAACAAATACGGTGGATCCGACTTTGGCGGTTGTATTCAAGCCAACCAAATAACTTCCAATCGACCCGTCGGGCTTGAATGCGTTAATGCGATCTTGTTTACTGCCAAACTTGCGGATCTCTGGTCTCAGAACATATCGCCAGTCACCAATCAGGTTCATAATTTCATGATTGCCTAGCAAGACAATCACCTGGCCACCCTGTGCTTTGGCTTCAATCTCGAGTTCTTGCATCATTCGGTACAACTCAATTGTGTCCATGCCACGATCCACGATATCGCCCTACATATTATAACTCAGCCTAACTCTTTTTTTTTCACCCAATACCATTTCATTCTTTCCTCTAAAATGGAAAAATCAGTTTCTTACCGTCTGTACAAGTATAGCATCGCCACCGATCCAGTGTCCGTCCAGATCAGTGATATTGGCAAAGTTGAGTGACTTGACGGCATTGATGTAGTCGCCGTGCAGATCACCGATGGCAACAATGCGACGAGGTTCATCGCTCAGTGCTGAAGCCAATACTGTGAATGAAGCAACTATTGACAGCCACAATCCGAAAAAACGCATGGCCCGTGTAAATTAGATCAAAAAAAAAAAAAGAGGGATGGAAGAACCCATGAAGTTACTTGCAGAGGGCTCAAATAGTATTTTTTTTCAATCAGCGCAATCGGAGAATCGATTCGCGCCATCGCATGTTTCCTGCTGAGCGAGTGGCAGCGCAGGCCAAGAAACCTCATAGAAAACGGCCATTCTGCCTAATCCAATCGTCTTTGACTGGAGAAAAATGGATCAAAAAAAGCCTATTACGGTGAAAGTAATTCTATCTAAAGATCTACATGACGTGTATAACAAAAACGGCTTGTTCCCAATTGAGTATCCTTTGGTACACATATCGCACGGTTCAGCTTTAATATGGACGGACGGAACGGCTCATTGCGGAGGCCATTCCCGTTTTAATGAAAAGAGGGATGAAATTCTTCATCGTTATATTTTGGTTGATGAAAGGTTTTTGTCATCCTGGGCGAGAACGGAAAGGTTTCATTATTTGATTTCAAATTTTTACCGTAAAATTATATTACTCTTGTATAGAGGATGTCTAAGCTTTAGGTGGTGCAGGAGAGGGGGATCTGGATCGTCGACCAAAACTTTGGAGAGAAAGACGGCTCAACTTCTTTTCAATGGGACCTGCGGTTTCCTCATCACTCGATGACTGGAGTGTATCTCTCGTGCTTACGTTACTACTGCTGCTGATACGCATGAGTCCACTTAACCGATGTTTTTTCGCTTTATGTTTCTTGTGTTTGCCTTCAGGACGCACCACGACCACCGGTACAGGGGAATGCTGAAGACAATACTTGGATATGCTGCCGAGAAGCATACCTTTAAACTCAGACAATCCTCGTGTCCCCACGATCAAGAGCGACGGCTGGTACATTGCGATCTTTGCATAATTTCCCAATGAATAGCCGTTTTTTCCTTTCCTAGTCCTTCCGTTACTTACCATATGTTGAATGGTTTCTTGCACTTTGCCAAACACAAACTCGATAATTACACTAATCTGAACAGATTGTCAGCCAGATCCAATTTTTTTCCCTTTTGTTTCAGGATCCTAGTTGCAATCGACAAAAGATGAGTGCAATTACCTTTTTATCCGGTGTTGTATTCTTCATTATTTTATCCATAACCTCCGTAGCTTTTTCGCGTGCTTCATGCGCCTCTTGTTCCAGTACACTTTGAACATTCGCTCTTTTGTCTAAATGGCAAGAAGGTCCTGGTTAGTTTTTCTCTTTCCCGGCCGTTGAAAAAAAAAAAAATCGGGCAAAGTATCCGAAGAACGATAACACACCCGTCAAGTCGACAGTGACGACACGCAATACCACTAATTCATCGCCGTCATCCATAATTTCCTATTCGGACAATATAGCATGATGAGTATCAGGAAACATTATGTGAAAAAAAGGACAAGTTATTACTTCGCTTGCCCAAGTAAGAGCATATTCACTGTAGTTGGCTAAATCGGTAGCCACCAGGAATGACCGAGAACGACGATCTTTTTTATAGTTGGGTGTTTTACCCCGCAATGTAAAGGAATAAAGAGGGAGATCCTTGTCGGTCATGGTGTCGAATGACACACCACGAACATATTTGTCGGTGGTGGTGGTGCTCATGGTTTGTGCTGGAAAAAGCGAACAGACTTCCGGCTTGAGCTCAACCTTCCCAGCTGAGACCAATGTGACTGTGACAGTCGAAATTCAGTGAAACATTTCCTGATGGAAAAAGAAAGCAAGCTTGCAACTGACAGCACCTGGAATCCTCATTATTTTTACCAAAAAGCAGAGGTACAATGATTATTCATGCTATTCAGATTCTAAACCATACGCGTAGCTGGTTTTTTTAGAAGACTGAAGAAAATGATATCGATTTGCAAGCATTTTATACAGCCTGGATCATATCCTAGATCATCCCACTTCTTTCTTGTTACACTGCCAATAGACCCGTAAAATAAACCAGATCCTTTTGAAAGGAGCATTATCTGAGGGAACCCAACTTTCATCGTAATAATGAAAGCCTGCTTAACAACTTTAGCATTATTATTTTCCAGTGATTAGCATCGGTAAGCATTATTTTGTAGTTGCTGTTGTGAGCAGCAGCTTTCGTATTAAACGGAAATTAGAAACTCTTTGAGACATGAACCTGTGTGCGTGTTGTGCACAAATCCCAGTCCCAACGACATGATCCCAGTTTTCTTGTTGATAAGCTGGGATCTCCAATTGCATAGAAATATTTTGGCTAATGCATGATGGCGGTGACTCGTGTTTGATGTTGGAAATTTTTTTTTCTCTGAAAACATGTTTACAGTCGAAGCAGTATTTCCAGAGCGGATCATGCAACCACGGATGCACACGGATCGCGCGCTTTGGGCGGAGGCGATAGCGGAAGTTGTCTCCGCCGACGTCTTACCGAGCCGATGATCGCCAATACAGCGTAACACATTTCTTCTGCGCAACCGTTGTCACGATTCTGTTCCATAGCATGTGCACTGTCAATATATTTCGTTGAGAAGGCAAGCTTAGAGAAAATATGCTTCAACTTTTTGCTCCTGTTGGTTTGACCCCGAACAGCACACAAAGAAAAATAAAAAAAATTGATGCTGTGTCACCACAACTTTATTCCGCTCATGCCTCTCTGCAGCAAGGTAATGACTGCAACGAAACGCATCCGCTGGAACTATAACTAGTCTCTCCTGTTCTAGACGATGCGTCCGCGGTTATCTCTTATTTTAGCAATTTGTTTGGCACAAATAACCATGTCTTTGCTTTTTACGCCGACGCCCACCATCAATGTCTCCTTGATGCACTTTTGGATACCAATTAAAAGGCAATACCGAAGATACACCGAATAAGCAATGACAGCAGAGGGGCGGAGGGGAAAGAAACTCCAATTCTAGAAATGCCACTTTTCGGTATCTCATACCGAAAAAAAAAAATGGGCTCCATGGATCGCCCTCCGTGGCACAGCAATAGCTACGCCTTGGATATGAATATTGCAGCATTTTATTCACCAGTTACTGCCATGTTCAATTTTGTTTTAATGAATTTCTCCCCCCCCCCCCAAAGTATTTTCTTTCTGATTTGCTATACGCTTCAAGCTTTCTCACATCCTGTATTGTCGGTATTTAAGCAATTGACATTTTGCGAAATAGGGGGTTGATGTGAATGATCTACCTGATTTGAAAAATAGTGTTTAATCATGTGATATGTCTAACGGAGAGGGCAACGATCAATAGTGCGCTAGGGATGGACATCGATTCCATTTGGACTATTTGTTCTATGTTTTTCCGACGGCACTAAATACTAATTGCATGCATTCAGTTGCTCCATGAACTGATTTTTAAAAAACTATTTTGAAGAAAAAAACGAGTCATTATGAATTTTCAATGGCTTCCACATAAAAAAAACAAACTACATGAAAAAAACAAAGTTTTGGTAAAAAACGGTTTTGCACCTGTAAATAAATCATGCAATCACTCCAGCTTTTTAAAAACTTGCAGATCAAAGCTATCAAATATGCAAGACGAGATCGATCCAAAAAGGTCCAATGGAACAGGCAACCGTTGCAAAAAGCATACAATGAAAATGAACAGAAGCACGCTACTTATTTTCAAGGTCACATTAACCGGTAAATTGGGTAAATCCATATTTTTTAGATTGTGGGCATGATCTATTAACTTTTTTGTCAGAAATGAAAAAAAAAAAAAAATACGGGTGATTTGCGAAAATAGAATCCCCCATCTCAAATTCCACCCTGTTGATTGGCCAAAGTCTTTATGCATGTTCCAAAGGACCGTGCTTCCTTAGGTGCAGCTGATGATTTTGGTCCGTTGCACAGAGAAAAAAAAATTCACAGAAACTGACGAAAGAAAGTCAATTGGAGGCTGAAGAGATGAACACGCGAGAAAAAAAAGATTGATAATGTGAATGACACTGAAAGAGAAAAAGAAAAAAACCACATCATCTTTCAACGAGAACGTAAATGGTCAAGGGAAACACTGGGAATCTGCAGTTGTAATCCGTAAAAAGAAGGCGTATGCACTGTATGTCATTCATGTTGTTGTCAATTACGGCATCGTTATTTTTTGCTCTAGCATTTTGTCCCATTCTTTGACTTAACCTTGTTGGATTCTGTCGTTCATCATAAACTCCTTATCCGTGTGTTACAAACAGTCAGATATCAGGTGTTTAGGGTCTATCATCCTATCTCTCATTTTTTTTTATTTACCTATTTTTTTTTTTTTTTTACTCCTTAGTTTTAGAGTTTGGAGAAACTGATGAACTCGAAGAAATAAAAAATTTTTAAAGTTAATTAACATGATTATTGAAATTTCGGTTTAACCAAGACGACAGTTGAGCCGCCTAATACAACAGGTTTCATTACTGAAAAAAAAGTAACAATGAGGCCAAATGGTTGTTGTCCATCCATCGCTGCAACCTTTTTTTTTTACTGTTTGTGGTTGGAAACGTTTTCAACATGACCTTCGTACTGAAAATGAAAAAAGAAAGACTAAAAAAATACAAAGGAAAAAAAAATTGGATTAGAAGGGGCGGCACGGGAAAGCCGATCCAAATATAAACCGATTTCATCTTCTTTTTCGTTTCCCTTTTTTCTTGACCTTCTTGACCAATTTAATTCTTTTGCCTTTTTATCGCTTGCCTAAATTTTAAGGGTAAAAAAAAAGTAACTCATCACACTGCTTACATCAAGCTTCTCCGCGATGAAGAAAAACAAGTCTTACTCGTTTATACACGTTCATCCCACATCAAATTTTGCTGCCACGCGATCTCGTGCCAATCATCACTTGAAACAATGGTACAAAGCAACCAAAGAAGTTGCCAAGGTAATAAAAAGTTCAAGAAATGCAAAATCATCAACCGATAAATCTATCCATGCTTGTCTTCATTTACACTGGTACGATCAAGTCACTTATACCTCTTTTTTGTTGAATTATTGAATGTAGGAGCACCGCGATCGACTGGTCAATGTTGTTGGAAAGCCAACGCAATGGCTTCGCAGACATCCATCCCAATTCGACGCTTGTTCCACCAAAAGTGCGCCTTCCAAACTTCAGGGTCGCTCTGTCTCCATTAACCCTGACAACTTTTCACTCTCGTCTTCGTGTCAAATCGATTCTCCAACGCTATCTTCGTCCATTAATTCATCCATTTGTTCCACTGACGAATCCCCGCACGATCTCGGCATCGTCACTCTTCCTCCCACACCTCTTTTAACACCGCTTCTCCACAGCCATGATTCTTCAACCGTATATGCTTCTTCTGTGGTGTCGCTTTCTACTTCGTCACCTACCGTGTCTGAATATCCAGCACAGTCTAGCTTGGATTGTGAATGCAACCCAATTTCCATATCCACAACGGATTTATCCCCCATTACCGCAACTTTGCCATCGTCATTGCCTTGTTCTCCTGTATCGTTATCGGACCATGCATGCGTTCCTGCGCCTTGCTCACCTCCTTCACCTTCCCCCTCGTCGGCAGCTGTATCCGCCCGGCCGCACTCGGTGGTCGTCCAGGCTTTGATTCTATGTGCCACGGTTCACGAAATCATTCAGCAAGTTATCCTTACCATGTATATACTCGCTTATATTGCGTTTTTTACAATGTTGCTCCATCTGCTTGTTTCCGTTCCGCTACCGCGGACAACTCCAATGCAACCCGGTTCTCCTCGCCGAATTATCGATTCCACCGAATCACAGACTCACATGGCCCAAAGAGACCCAACGACTATTGCAACCGTGACCAGCGTGAACCATGTTGGAAATCCAAGCCAGAAAACTACCTACTCTACCCATTTCGTCACAAATATTTACGGTATCCAATCGCTCCGTCCTGAGATTCAAGAGTTGTGGAAAACACATAACTTGATCCTTCAAAGAACCTACGGTCAACGCATGCAGCCTTCGAAAAGAGCCACACCCTGTGCACGAACAGTTGCCGTCGAACCTACAGGTCGACATCCGGCTCTCATGAATTTGATTAAAGATGTCCTCAAGTACACCAGTACAAACACCATTTATTCCAGTCAGTTTAAGCACGTTGCTGAGCAACTGAATGCTTACATCGAAACTGTTCCCTCCGAATTGCATCGTTAAAGTGGATGTGGCCCTTTTTTACTGTACTATTTTACTCATTGTCTATTTTCTGTTTCTATTTTCATCACAAGCTTTTCCTGTAAAAATTTCTCACGCTATCCATTCGCTTTTTTCACTCTCACCTCACCCCACCTGTATTTGTTTCTTTTTTTTTTGTTTTCCTGCGCATTCACATCTCATCCAGAATCAGTCTCGATAACTGAAAAACTGCTGCACATACTATGTACTCTACTCTAGTGTCTACTTTTTTTTTCTACCGTGTTCATGCATCGTACATACGCGTCCAAAAGAAATAAACCAAGAAAAAACTCGAATGATACAATATTACTATTATTACAACAACCGTACAAACTATTTTGTATGTTCTTTTTCAAATTCCTTCATGTAATCGATCAGGATATCGACATCCTCTTCCGGTGTTGCATTGTAAATGGAGGCACGGACACCACCTAAGAAAGATTCAAGAAAAGAAAAAGAAAATGAGCCACATGTATATTTACCATAAACAGCATCGTTGATTTTGGATCTTCCTCCCTCCCTCCCTGCCCCTCCCCCAAACTCATCATTGGCTCTGGCGACCTTTTTTTTCCCTTTCCCCCCCCCCTCCTTTTCTCTTCTCCGCATCAGAATTTCCCACTCCTCTCACAAATAAAACGATAATAAGCAACGTACCAACGGAACGATGTCCCTTAAGCTGTACCATATTACGCGCTTCGGCTCCTGCAAGGAATTCTTTCTCCAATGCTTCCGTTAAACGAAAAACAACATTCATTCGGCTTCGACAGCCTGCTTGCACGGGCGAGGTATAAATCTTGCTCTGTTCAATCACGTCGTACAATTTTTTGGCTTTGCGCGCATTGGCCTCCTCGATGCCGCTCAAGCCTCCTTGCTCCAGCAGCCATTCCAAAGTCAACCCCACGATATAGATAGCAAATGTCGGTGGTGTATTGTACATCGAATCGTGCTTGGCCATGGTCGCATAATCCAGCATGAGTGGACGCACCGGACCCAGCGACAAATCCGTCAATAAATCTTTACGAATGATGATAATGGATACACCAGCAGGTCCCAAGTTCTTTTGAGCGCCGCCATAAATAACACCGTGCTTGCTGACATCCATCGGTCGACTCAAGAAATTGCTCGAGATGTCAGCTACCAAGGGCACCGAAGGATCGATTTCCGGTCGTTGGGGGAACTCCACACCGTGAATGGTTTCGTTATCGCAGTAATACACATAAGCCACATTATTTTTTGCGGGATCGGTTAAATTCCACGTGGAAGGGATGCTGCCGAATTGACCAGTCTGCTGCTTTACATCCACCACGCGATTGACATGCACCGGTTGACTCACGGTGGCTGCTAAGCGTTCCGCTTCCACGGCTGCACGAGCGGACCATGTACCGGTGACGAAATAATCCACGACGATCGTTTCTTTTTCTCTACCTAATTTTCTCAGCTCTTCCTGCTTGGCGGCCAACAAGTTATAAAAGACGGCCGCAAACTGTGTTGAAGCTCCACCCTGCATGAACAGAATGTCGTAATTGTCGGGAATGTCCAGCAGCTGACGCAGACTCTCTTTGGTTCGCGCCATGACATTGGCAAACGGTTTGGTACGGTGCGAGATTTCCAGAATGGACATGCCAGTATGATCAAAGTCAAGCAGCTCGTCTTGAGCCTTTTTCAGCACGCTCTGTGGGCTATTGAACGCTTTTTAACTCTGTGTCGTTTTGACTACCCGTTCAAACTGCACGACATATCATTGACTTACATTTTCGCGGGGCCTGCACCAAAATTTAACACACGATTGTTCGACATAATATCAGTTGAAACGGGGAAGAAGAAGAGAAGCTAAAGGGAAACAAATCGATGATCGGTGCAGGTAATGAAAAAGGGTGCAATTTGCATCGATTCCCCGTTCTGTGTGACTGCAGTGTGACACATCCATGTCCCATGCCGATGACACATTTTTTCGAGATTGTGTTTTTGAAGCATCCAATGGGCGATCGAATTTTTTTATTTTTTGAGATGTTGATGACATAAGAAATTAAAAGAACAAAAAATGAAAACCGGCTATGCCTTCTCTAATGCAGGTACGAGATTTGCTTCGATATCATCGACGGAAAGAATTGGTTTCGCTAACCGTCCTTGGGCATATTCCTTTTGGCCACCGCCACCACCTTTAACATGCTTCAACACATGTTTCAAAATCTAAAGCATAGTGCAAATTAGCCAGGAACTTGACAAGATAAGACTTGGAAACAAGACTTACCGAGTTGGCAGTAATTTGACTTGTCAGTTTAGCAGGGACAGAGACAACAATTGTATTGCCATTCAGCAGAATATGGGCTGCCGTGGATTGACTTTCTTTGAGCACGTTGGCTCGTTTTTGCATAAAATTGGCATCCAGTTCGGGGTCAACTAAGTGAAGCCGCACATTCACACCTAGATACATTTATCGTATTAGCAAGTGGAACACGCGCCAATACTGTCTTGTCACATCCACAGCCTACCTTGCAAAGCAGCATCAATCGGATGCTGAATGGCCTCACCGGCAGACGCCAGCTTCTCGGTCATAAAGTCGAGCCGCTTCTGGAGATCTCTGGTTTGCTGCTGGATCTTTTCCAACTTGCCCACCATCTCATCCGTAGAATTCGCCTATCGATGCCACCCAAGGCAACAAGTTAGAAATATTCGAATGCTTCTATTTTGTAGAACTGTCCAACGGACTTACCCTTAGCATTTTCAAGACATTGGGAATAGGAGCAAAGGTCTTTTGATACCATTGAATACTTGAGAGACCTGCCACAGCTTCGATACGTCGTGTACCTAGCAAATCGATCTTTAGATGTTGCACAAAATCATCCCCCATCTATGTTTCTCAACCTGCCGCCACCGAGGTTTCGCTCAAGATCTTGAATGGGTACAATTTGCGGACATTGTCCACATGGGTGCCACCACACAATTCTTTACCAACACCAGGAACATCAATAACGCGAACAACGTCGCCGTATTTTTCCGAAAACGCAGCAATTGCTCCTGCAGATGTGGCTTCCAATAATTTCATGTGCTAATGCCATTTTAAAAAAAGCGGAAATAGGAAAAAAGAAGCCGAGTTTTAGGAAAACTGACATTTCGTTGTACATAGGAGATACCTACCTTGATCGAAGTATAGACACCCGTTAATGCAACTTTGTTTACCCAATCCTCCAGTTCCAAAAGCTGTTCTGCTTTGATCGGCTTTCCATACGTAAAATCGAACCGTAACTTGGAAGGCTCCACAGTAGAACCTAATTGTATAACACGGGAGATGTCTCTTTTGAGCAACATGATGTAATCTTGTCTTGATTTCATCTCCTTGATTTCCATAGACTCACCTGCTTGTACGATGTCTGTGTTTAGAACTGCCCGCAGTCCCGCATTGAGAATATGTGTAGCTGTATGATGGACTTCGGCGCCCTGTCGTCGAGCTAAATCCACTTCGGTCTTGACAATCTTACCCACCTAATTTGCATAATTTATGAACCACCGTTTTATCGGTAATGGCTTCGTTTTTTCACCTTCCGACTGCTTGCTTACCTGAAAATAGGCTTCATCTTTTTGTAATCGTTCTTGGATGGTTTCGCCTTCTGCTGTCTGAGGAGTCAGACGAAGGGCAAGGCAACCTTCGTATGGTTGGACAACGTCAGTCACATTCCACTGACTACCGTTGGCAAGCGTAATATTGCCCTGATCAGGCACTTGACCGCCGCCAAGACCATAGAAGGGACAAGGATCAATGGCTACATTCACTTCCAGCTTTTTGCCCTTCTTTACTATATCCATAGCAATAACTTCTGATTCTTGATGCAGTAAGGCATGGTCATAGCCCGTGAATTGAGGAAGAATGTTCCGGTTTCGCCATTCTACCCGTGATGTTTATCAGCATGCTTTTTTCTTTTATCCAGCGTATTGCTTCTTGTTGACTTACCAGTCCAACGCGTTTTATCTTCGGCACTAAAAGCTTTCCATGATTCTCTGCCCATGGATTTTTGCTTTTCTTGCAATGCTTCGACGGCTTTCCGATGATATAGGATGAGTTGTCATTAAATTTTCATTCAGAGTTTGGCACATAAGACGATATTTACCTTTTAGGTCAACGTTCCATCCTCTCTCCTTGGCAATAATTAGAGTCAAATCGAACGGGAACCCATAGGTATCATATAATTGAAAGGCAATTTCCGCCGGGATGGTTTTGGATTGTTGCAAATTGGGTTGTTCAAAAACGGAATCGAGCAGTGCAATACCACGATCCAACGTAGCAAGGAACGCACTCTCTTCATTCGTGATAATGTTGCAAATAGAGGAAGCGCGCACAGATAACTCGGGATAAGATCCATCCACAAATCCCTGAAGCAATGATGGATATAAATCCGTCAAGAATGGTTCTACATATATATGCATGTTCGTCAGATAGATTCGACCATCAAATCCGAAAAGTGACATACCATTGATACCCAATTGACGTGCTGATCGAAGGGCACGGCGGATGATTCTTCGCAAGACATAACCACGACCAATGTTACTGTTGTAAACGAAGCGCATCAAGTAAGAACCCATCCCATCTAGAATACATGGCGGCCCTTTAAGGTACTCACCTGGGTACTACACCATCGCAGATAAGGAAGCACATTGCACGGAAATGATCGGCAATAATTTTTTCATGCGCGCTAGGATCCTCTGTTTTCAAGCTCTACATGCATCTTGTATATTAGTACTGCGCTATATGGGGAGCAGCACACTGTTGGCCTTACCGCAAGCCCACGTCGATCCATACACTCTCGCACACCGGCAATCAAATCCCGGAATTGGTCAATCTGAAAGTTATTCTTCTTGCCCTGATGAAAAAAGTTCGGTAAGCAATGTAGCCACGGATGCAACGCAAATCTTGACTTTTTTATTACCTGAAGTACGGCCGCCATGCGCTCCAAACCCATACCCGTATCAATGCATGGTTTTGGCAGTTCGGATAGTTGACCTTCGGCATTCCGATAATTTTGCATAAACACTAAATTCCAAATTTCCAGCCATCGATCTTCGCCTAGACTAGCGTCTCTTGTATCCCAAAAGATCTCTGTGCACGGACCGCAAGGGCCTTCACCATCGCCCATGGACCAAAAGTTATCTTCGGGACCGCATTGCACAATCATGTCATCCGTCAAACCCTGCTTTTTCCAGAGTTCATACCCCTCTTGATCACCGGCCAAAATTCTATACGATACGTCAGTCACTTTTGACTAACCCTTTGCTTCTTTTTTTTTTCGGCTCCGGAAAACGATTGCAGTGAGCAGAAAGAAACCAAAAACTTACGTGACTCGTAGCCGATCCACAGGTAATTTGAGTTCGTCCAATAAGAATCGCCAGGCATATCGAATTGCCTCTTCTTTTCCATATTGACCAAAAGAGAAATTGCCCAGCATTTCAAAGAATGTATGGTGACGAGGAGTGTAGCCGACATTGTCGAGATCGTTGTGTTTGCCACCTGCACGCATACACTTTTGAGCACTGGTTGCTGCTCCAAAGGGGGCTGTGTCAGGCTGGCGAAAGTAGTCTTTGAATGGCACCATGCCAGCATTGGTAAAGAGGAGCGATTTATCATTATGCGGTATCAAACTGGCACTCTTGACAATCGTGTGATTCTTATCCTGAAAATACTTCAAGAATCGCGATCGCAACTCGGGCGACGACAACTGTTGTATATTTCTTACGGACAGTTGTCCTGATAACCTTAATAGGTTCGATCGTGGACGCAAACGACTACGAACGTAAAGCAGGCAGCTCTGATGCATGATGACAGCCAATCCTGGGAATGCCAGATCGTCGTTCTTCTGTGTGTCCGACCTTTTTTTTTCCCGCTCACTTGGACAGGGACTCGGTTTTTATGTGCGGGAATTCAAATTTTCGAATTCGCCTGCGACGGCACGACGTTTGTTTGTTGGTATTTCCCATTCTTCAGGGTCCGAAAGAAAGAAAGAAAAAGAGAAGTGATAGACAGGGAACATGTAATGCAGCGGGAATACTGCTCTCCGTTCCGAAGCTGACATGAGCCCAATCTACGTCATTTGGTTCGAGGATGGTTGCTGTTTTCGATCGTTTTTCGTTTTGTCCCAAAGAATTAAGGTTGCCAAACCAGTAAAATGAACCGAGTTGCAACCAACATGAAACAGAAGAATTCCAAGAACGAAAACAACCGCAGTTGGATCATAGCAATGATGTCTGCTGTCACGTAACCACAATAACATAACTTCACGATCAGAGTTCTAATAGACTTTTGTATTTTAGAGAACAGTCGTCTTTCATATAATGGTAAATCTTATCATTGCTATCAGCTCAAAGTTCGATAACTGATATTTTATTGCCTCAAAAGGGTACAACACAGTGGTATCATTCATCGAAACAAAAAAAGTTAGTATATTACAAAGCAAACATTGCAAGAGCTGGGAGAAAAAAAAACACGAAAAAGAAGAATGAAAAAAAAAGGAATATCAATAATGTACAAGAACAGAGACAATAATAATAAATAAGTAAGCAACAGGACCCCGTCAACGATTAACCAAATGTACTGACAACATGGGCCAGCTGCAATAAACCATCGCTGCTTGGTTCAATCTCTGAGCCCTCATTGTCTTGGGTGCGAGATCGTTCTGTGCCGTGTTGTTGTGCTTCTTTGTATTGTTCTTGCAGCTGCGCAGGCATATAACTGGTTTTTGTTGTCATCTCGTGTTGCAAAGCAGGTGCAGGAAAATCGGATGCTGGTTCAGCTGAATTAGTGGGTCCGAGCAATGTCGTGCAGATAGTGTCTGGTTTTTTAGAGAATGTCAAAGGACGATGCTGAAAAAAGGTTTCTGTGGAAGTTGAAGAGACGGATGGACAAGCGAGTCGATCAGGGGAAGGACTTTGAGGTTCTTCTACCGAAATACTGGAAGAAGACGATCGAGACGACAACGGTGAGAAGCCAATCGGCAACCCCACTGAACTGGGAGTCGGCAAAACTCGAATGGGGGCAGATACGTGCTGTTTCGGTGGTGACAGAGTATCGAGTTTGACAAGTCGAGATGACAACGAGCGGTGGTAGTTGTTCAAATGCTGATCAATTGTCAATGGTCGTTCCACATCATAGGAATCAGATTGGATGCGATGATGAGCATGAAGCCGTGGTCGAGGATGTTGAGCTTCCTCGCACACTCTTTTCTGTGTTTTCCTAGATTTGGGAGACATATGGGTTCGATAATGCTGCATCATATTATCCTGACGGGAAAACCGGGATTGGCAGCCAGGAAACAAACAAGGAAAGTTCTTCTCTCCTGTATGGATGCGGAAATGGCGAGCCAAATGACCACTATACAAACATCATAACAATATCCTGTTAGAGTCAATGCTTTGAAAAACTAAGGGGTAAAAAAAAAAAAAAGGAAATTTGATAAATGACACATACCTTGTGGTAAAGCTCTTGTTACAACCAGGCTCAGTACAGTGATACTTTCTCTTTTGCTGTGATACAGGTTGTGTTTGTGATGGTTGTTGTAAGGGGTGGGGGGCTGTTTTTTGTTGATGAAGCAACCATCCTGGGTTCTTTGGGTGATCTTGGGAGGTATAATAATTGTATGGCCATGGCTGGGGTGAGTCGGGAAACAGCGACCGAGGCGGTGTAATAGGGTCCAAAGGGTCATTCGAACACTCCGCTGGAGACTTGAGCGGTTGACCAAAATGATCGTTCAACAGGCTCACTTGCCGTCCCGAAGCATTCACAATGGACAGCGTAGAATCTTTGGATTCATTCATTATATACAAGAAGATAGGAATCGGTTGGAAATGAAAAACACTTGAAGAAGGAAAAACGAAATGATGAACGAAAACGGGAAATAAAGAAAAAGGAAAAAATATGTAAGAAAAAAAAACACAAAAAGAAAAAAATAAAAAAGGTGAGGAACATTGGCAGAGGTTTCAGAAATATAATAGTCTCAGACAAAATGATCGAATGAGAATCCGCTTATCAAATCAGAGGTTCTACATGGTCTCAGAGACCCTGAACAACAAAAACAGGTACATTTTCTAACACCGCTTTCCACGGATCCATTGCCAAAAACTTGTTGCTTGTGGAGACAGCTGAGTTTCGTCTCTCAAGTCCGCTTTGGTGGCTGGCTTCTTTCCAAGAGTCCCACCAAATGTTCATTCATAAACCCACTGCATCAGTATGCCAGTTAAGAATTTAGACCTTCTTATTACGGTTGCTCTCGTATTTTTTCCCCCTATTTTATGTCACATGCATTGCTGACGAACATATAAAGTGGTCTGGGCGGATTTATACTCTTTCTATTGATTCTCCCCAACCACTATTTTTTTATCACCATCATTCTACTATCATCTATCCCTAAACCTTGATGTTGATCCGTGCTTGCTCCACGATTCTGCGTATTTCGCCTTATTCTCGCTATTCGTTACCCGTCGATGGTTGCAGGTCTCTAGCTGATGAACCAACGTCGTGTTGTGTATCCGCGGATCCAATGTATGACAAAGACGGTGACACAAAGATGGGTCATCAAAGCATAAATTGTTCTTCCGCACTGGGTAAGCTAAATGTCATGATTTCAAAAAATCAAAAATTCCTCACAAAAAAAAAAAAAAAAAAAAAAAAAAAAAAAAATGGGGCGCACTGCATGCAGCCACTGTTGCGACTGCATCTTTGCCCAGAAGACTAGTGAAAACAAAATTAACCTATTGAGCATAGCGCTAAAAGGAGATAATGATACCACGAGGGCTTGCAGTTGTAATAATGCAATGTCGAAAGCTCCTGCAACTTCGAATATCGAGTTAGATGAAGATCAGTCACAAGTGACTCCTTCGTTCGATTTTCTCTCTGTCCACGGTCATGACGGTCCTCACCGCGCCGAAAGAGTAACATGGACCGCAAGCAGTATAGCAGACAACCATGATTACGATGGTGACGCTGACAACGGTGATGATTCCAACTCTGCAGCTACAAAGCAAGAAATGGAGAGTGAAAATATCATTGTCTCTTCCACCACTGTCGACAACTGTCAACAAAAGGAGGAAAGTACAGCTGACATTGCATTAGTATTGCAGCAGGAAGGTCCTTGTCTGAAACCCAAAATACGTAAAGTGCCGGCCACAATTTCCTTTTTCTCCTCCGCCATGAAGAAGAGACCACGACTTGCAAATTTTTTTGAAGACGCCCCATCAAGGTATGCTCCTTTTCCGGTGCGTGGAACTCATTATCAATGTATTTAATGATTCCCAATGGACTAGCCATACAATAGGTCGTGCGTTAGACCCGCTCGTCCACCAAACTTCAAGTTGTACACCCACTGCCGCTGCTCCGACGCTAGTCTCACCTACTAAGATCGACATGGCATATGTCGAACAGAAAAAAACGACAAAACGAAAACAACTGCTGAACAAACTGAGAAAAACGTTTAAGAAACCAATCATTAATGTCCATTGATCAACCACCCAGAGACCGTGACAGGATGCACGTTCGTCTGTGCACGAAATATCATAAAACCGACGGGCCCTACCACATATCTATGAATTTAGTAAAACGTCATTGAAACGCCCTATTCTCAACAATAAAGTTTCCAGTTAAGTTACTAAACCAAGCATCTTTCTTGTCAACATACCCTTCTATACCGTTGCAGATGGAATATAACTGCTCATGATAGGCGTTCGTTTCTGTTTATCGATGTTATCCAGATTCTCTCACTTTTTCAGCGACTAGAGGGGTTTCAGAAAAAAATTAAAGTACAACCTCATCGTTGGTGAGCCTCATTCAATGTGGAAATGCTTTTGCCTTGCAGAGACAAGGGATTCGATTTTGAGCATTGATAGGATGGCGAATTCCCCGAATCCAAGGTATCCAAGTGAAAATTTGGGAGGGCGGAAAATCAAGTCACAAATGACAGTCCCTGCTTGAACGTACAACAAGGGATGTTTTGATGGGCAAATGGGCTTTTACTCGATCGTTGTGCTGTGAGTAGAATATAATGTTGAAGGCAGCTTCCCTCAGATCGTGGAGTTCGGCTATGGGTAAATTACAGAAAGGATGGTTGTCATGACCAAGGACAGTGTTATTCATTTTTCTTTTCTTCGACAGCTTACGCTCCCTTGCGACGAAGTCTCCACGTATCTCGCCCTGCATTGATTGAAAAGGCAGCCAGTAACTTCGATGCCGACGCAGCTGCTAAAAGATTGAACATCACCTTCGAAACCCCTGGCATTCTCGCACAAGCATTAACGCACAAGAACTTCCGCAACGGAACTGTTCCTAACAATGAGCGTCTTGTGCTCTTGGGTCGCCGTGCCCTCGAATTGTTCACCACAGAGACTGCCGTTCAAAAGTTCGGTGTCAACGCTCCGTCGTCTGCTATTTCGGACTACATCAAGCAGTACTCTTTACGACATGGTGCGGTTTTACCAGACGCTTTCGACAAGTTGGACCTGGAAGCTGGTGTGCAATGTGACAATAATGTAAGTTTTATTTATGTCAAAATCATATCCGCCTAACTAGGTCCCTTATTCTTTTTTTTTTTTTGTGTAAATCAGGGAACCACTCAGGGTACTCCGTCTTTGGTCAAGTCAAAAGCCATGTCCGCATTAATAGGCGCGGTGTATCACGACAAGGTAAAAACAATCTCTCACCTATCCCATTAATTCCCAACACTTACTAAAAATCATTTTTCTTTGGTTTCTAGGGACTGCAAGCAGCAAGAGAATTTGTAAAAACTCATTTATTGAAGTAGATCAAAACACACACCATGTAATAAACGTAAATAAACAATCATTAGACACGAATAAGCTGGGTACCGGGAATCCGTGAGGATGGTATGGCAGGACATTGCGTTAACCGTTAAAAAAGGTCACTAATTCCTACATCAACATCACTCAATGCATCAATAAAAGTTTTATCAGGAATGCTGACTCATAAGAAATCTGGAATTCTGCGTAATGATTTCCGAGGAATATCTTTTATTGATCGTTTTCTTCAAAAGCTTTATAGATCACTAGAATAGCAGATCCTTTCAAATAGAGCATAACGGTATCAAACATAAGTGCGCATAGATTGCTGTACATGATTTCTTAGTATGACATGCCTTCCTACCGTTCATTTTTGGGAGCTCTGATAAGTAGTACTGATTAACATCGCAACAAATTGCACGATAAAAAAAAAGCACCAAAATTTTGTGTGGTTTGGTTGGCCTCGCAATTATGCTGTGACGGAGGCTGAAAATTTTGAGAAAAAGGCAAAAAGTCCACCATGACGTTGTGTTTTTCTTCCAACTTTGTTGCCATGTCATCCCATGCATACCGTACTCTAAATCGCTTTTGTTCCCAACAGTTATTCTCGCATATGCTGTTCATTCGGCAATATGCAGCATTCAGTACTTCGACCTCTCGCTGGTTTCGACGTTTTTTAAGTCCCTCTGAAGAAAAAGAGTTATATCTTGGCATTACTTCCGCATTTCGTGAGAAATTGGCGGAAAAGACAACCAAGAACGAGACATCGTACAGTAGTATTATCGAACAAGTCATATTTTCTGGAGACGCTTCCAACAAACACCTAGCGACCTCTTTATCTCTCGAGCGAATCGACCAAATGAAGCAAGAGTTAGACGCTGCCGCCAAACTCCGTGATACCCACACACTGGATCACTTATGGCAAGAAATGGATCGTAATCATCTCCGATTGGTGACAATGTACAATCGTCTTATTCGTTCTTACATTGCAAGCGATGCGTTACCCACGGCGGAGAAAGTTTTACAAGGATTGGAAAAGCGGCGCTTGTTACCGACCACACGAACTCTCACGTATTTGATACAAGCACACATCAAAAGCAATCAGCTGGACCGTGCTGGATTCTATGTGGAAAAAATGAAACATTTATCTCTTTTGAAGTTGAGAACCGCGTTTGATGCATCTGTCATTCTCCAATATTACATGGCAGCTCAAGAACCTCATGCCATTGAAATTTTGTGGCGTGATATTCTACAACATGTGGACCAAGTCAAGCCGGATTTAACGCTTTACATGCTTCATATGAACTGGCTTTTACCCCGACTTCGCGATCACTCCAATGCATACAGCACATCTGTCAACATTCATTTGGAATCCATCACTCACACCATGACTCATTTCGTAGCCTATCTTCGTGACCACCACCCCACTCTGAAATCACAGCATATTCAGACACTCATGGAAACAGCCAATGTGCTAGCGACGTCCGCAAACAATCCCACCATGGCAGAACAACTCATGCTTTTGCTGAGTCAACCATCCTATGTGGAGCAATGGCAATCCTTGTCGTTGCCGCGTGACATTGTTAGCCACATCATTACGCAATATGTTGAAAAGGATCAAGATCTGAAAGCATTGGCTTTCTACTATCGGTTGCGAAAAAACAATGTATCGGATGACGTATTCACTGCGGAGACGACATCGACGGTGAAAAAGGTACTCGATCGGGTGGAGCTGCGACGGGAATTGGATGAAGCTGAAGAGAGCAAAGCAATACTTGCTGAATTTAGTAGCTTGATCCCCCATTTGGTCAAGTAGACACTGTAAATCATAGAAGATCCAAATGACACTACCCCCCGATTCCCACTTTTGTAAATAGTCCTTTCCGAACAGAGATGCTTCCGTTCCGAAATCCTCGCTTCTTCTAATACATAATCTTTTCCCAACACCCCAAAACGCCATTGACCATGGTTGGCATGGTATATAAGCACTGAATGAGGTATTTATAATTTTGCGATAGGTGGGGAAGATGATACACTTGATGTAAAATGCTCATCCAGCAATTGATTATACCGATGAGGCTGCTCTTCGGGAATACCATGGCCGCTGCCCTGAAACAATTCAAGTCTAGCGTCTAGCACTTTTTTCATGTGATAAGAATATTCGGGTCTCACGAGATTATCCCACGTCCCTGTAACAATCAACACCGGCAATCCGGATTTCTTGATTGCTAAGAGCCGTTCATCTGAAAAGTAGTGCCGTAGACATGCGACGGTCTGACCCACATTACCACGGAGAGGTTGCAATCGTGACTGACGAATATATTTGATGAAATTGTCAATGGCCATTTCTCGGTTGGTATCGTATTGCGTTTTCGTCGTCGGTTTTTGGTCCAGCCATTCCTTGGGGTAGATAAGCTCGATGCCTGCATTTAACTGATCTTTAGGATAGCGATACATGAAAGCAATTTTGGACAGTGTCGACACAGCTTTCCACTGTTTTGGTTATTTTGTGTTATGCAATAGGTATCAATGGTAAGAATGAGAACAAAGTTCGGTTGGCATGTGAAAATTCTCCATCTGACGCTTACGGTGGGGATATTGCGTTTCGCCGCGGTGCTTGTGAGTGTCAGGGAGGCAAATCGATCCGGTGCCGCATCCACCATTTCCAGAGAGATCATACCACCCATCGAAATTCCCACTAAATGAACTCGTTTTTCCCATCCTAGATAGTCAAGAAGTTCCAACGCATCCAAAGCCATCTGCGATGTTCTGCAATTATTGCGAATAGCATTTCTTAGCTGAAACGCGCTTGTTTGTAACACCGCACATGAAGAAAAAAAAACTTACGAATAAAATCCTATTGGTGCATCTACGCTTTCACCGTCAATAACAATGGAGTCATACTGCAATGACCAAATATTACATCCGTACCTGACAAGCCCATGCCACGATTATCAAAGATCACCACGGTATACTTCTTCGATTCACCCAGATAGCGTACCTGGAAACCGTCGTCAATATGAAAATCCACTATTATCATTCTCGAAAGTACCTGATTGTCCCACGCGCTGCATGGCGTGCTGAGGCCTAGATACATGTTAGTAAATAAACAGATCGCCCTGGAAGGGAAAAGAAAAAAAGATATCTAAGGCCTAAGGGACTCACCCATGACGAGAAGCACCGTTTCGGGACCATCACCATGCACTTCATAATAAAGTCTTACTGGTTTTGACTCGCGTTTCGCAGCCACTTCTACCAAGCCTTTTTTTCTTAAAGTATGCAACGTATGCATTTTGGGGAGGAAAAGAAAAAAAGAAAAAGCAGCGTGACGACTGCAATTAAAAGGATGGGGATTTTTTTTGTTCACCGAATTGGTGGATGCCATCTGTCATCAATTGCACTATTTCAGGCACTCTATACTTTCAGATTCGACTGATGTTACACGAATGATCAAAACAAGATGGCAGGACTCAAACATCAAGCATTTAAATCGGATTGGCTCACGGTTCATCTGCAATATGCCTCTGAGTGCATGCGTTGAGAATGTATGTCGGCATGTCTGCACTATGAGCTGTTCAATAGACTGAAACTGGTAATTGAACGCACGGTAAGGTCGGTAAAAATGGGGCTTGGGTTCCTGCCGTTTGTCTCCCCCGGTGTTCTCTGTTGCAAGGAAAAAAAAAAAAAGAATTAAGAAGGAGTATAAAGACCCGGCAGGATGATGTTCCATTTTAAAATGATCCTCAGGTGCGCGCTTTGCAGCAATACCATTGGAACCCTACGTGAACGGAAATCCGAAAATGCAGCCTCGCACTTTGCAGGATTCATAGGCCACATACGGAAGAGCAGAGCGCAAACCGCGTGTCTGTTCTATTTCGGGTCGTACGGTAGCGTCAAACGGCATGCGTACGGCGGATCAAAACTGTCAAGCCCAGCCATGCGATGGATGCTCCGGAAACCGACCAGTTCACGGTCGTCGACACGATCGTCGACGAGTGTAACACAATCAGACTGTGTCCGTATCGCTTGCATTATATTGAACACCATCGATAACGCCGAAACAATAGCTAGGTGCTTGCCCGTTAGCCATCATGAATTGTACGACACAGACTGTGATGCAAACGGTCGCGCCGATATTCATTAGCAAGACCTTTCAACTACCTATCTCTATTAATGGACAACCGTTGCCATAACATCAGCAACCCAATCAAGATACGAGTTACTAAACTCGTATCAGCATTCTCGAAATACGGTTTGGGCCCAGTACGGTCATTGAGCGAGTGTAACCGTAGATCGAGAGGCCAATACAGTGAAGGGTATGTTATATTTTCCATCTCCGCTGCATGTTATGCTGGAAAGCTGTTTTTCTGACCCAAAATCCTTAAGCTATTTTGGAACCATGTGACGATTTCCCTACGTGACACAAAAAAACCGTGACGGCTATCAGTGATCGTTTAATTGAAATTCCGCCGCTTTTTCCCCACGGTCGATTGAAGTAAGTCTGCCAAAACGTTGCTATATTCGCTTTCTTTACCTCTTATTTTCTCACGATTTCATTATCCCCATTTTTGCCCGATGACTACAGGATCAGATACATTGTACGGTAGCGAGTCCAACCTCGTCGTTGATGCCAAGTGTTTGTGGACGCCTGCACGTCCAGAGGATACAGAAATGGAACGTTTCCGTCATCACGTCAACGAGAAGTATGGGCTTCAACTCGGTAAGTCATATCGAAACGCAACGTAAATCTTTGTTGAGCACGGGGAACTTACTGGTTGATTTCCTTGCAGATAATTATCAAGATTTGTGGCGCTGGTCTGTCACTGCACAAGAAGAGTTTTGGTCAACAGTGTGGGATTATACCAAGATCATTTCCTCGTACAAGTCTACTGAAGTTCTCGACAAATCTGCACGCATGGACTCTATTCCTGAGTGGTTCAAGGGCTCCCGTTTGAATATGGCCGAGAACATGTTGTGGTGCAGAGATGCCAACAAAACGGCGATCATCGCCACTGGTAAAGTTCGATATGCTGAAAAACGAAAAAAAGGGCTAATCTGACGTCTTACATTATCCTCTCCAACAGGTGAAGGTCATCCTCGTCGCTCCATTTCCTATGCCACCTTGTACGAGCAAGTCTTAAAATGCGCTGAAGCCATGAAGGCTTCCGGTATTCAAGTGGGCGATCGTGTCGCCGCTTACATTCCCAACTGCGCTGAAGCTATTATCGCCATGTTGGCAGCCACTAGTCTGGGTGCTATCTGGAGGTATGTGCTACGTCTTTCGATAAGGTTCTGATTTAGAATGGTTTACTGAACCCGAACTGGATAGTTCCACCTCACCTGATTTTGGCACTACTGTAAGTCGACACAAGTTTTGGTCTTGCCTGGCCATGGATTAAATTTGACATTGGATATTGTAGGGTGTGCTTGATCGATTTGCGCAAATCAAGCCAAAGATTCTGTTCTCCGTAAATGGTGTTTACTATAATGGAAAGAAATTGGACCATACTGGCAAGCTGAAAATGGTGGTGGAAGGATTGCCTTCTGTGGAGAAGGTGGTGGTTATCCCATTTGTCCCTGATATCTCTAGCGCCGATGTCCCTAAAAGGTAAATTGGGCTCTAATCTGTTATGATGACGGTTTGTTTACTTACCTGCTTTGAATTGCATGTTCACAGCTGCACGTGGGATGATTACCTCAACACTGTGCCTAGCGACCAACTGCCTTCAGACATTGTTTTTGAACAATTGCCTTTCAACCATCCTGCTTTCATCTTGTTCAGCTCTGGCACTACGGGTCTTCCCAAGTGCATTGTGCATTCCGGTGCCGGTCTTTTGTTGCAGCTTAAGAAGGAGCATATTCTCCATGGTAACATGACCCCCGACGACGTTTTCTTTTATTACACCACCACCGGTTGGATGATGTGGAACTGGCTTGTATCGGCACTTAGTGTGGGCTGCACTATCGTTCTCTGGGACGGTAGCCCGTTCAAGCCTGCTCCTATTTCGTTGTGGGAACTTGTGGATGAGCTGAAGTAAGTGGGATAAAATGAACTGCATTCATGCTATCTTTTTTTCCTTTATATTTTACTGACATGGTTCATAGGGTTACGCATTTCGGCACCTCTGCTAAATATATTCAGTCGTTGCAAGAAGCCAACGTGCACCCCAAGGATCAGTGCAAACTGGATTCCCTCAAAGCTGTCTATTCAACGGGCTCTCCTCTGAAGCCTGAAAGCTATGAATTTGTGTATGAACATATCAAGAAGGATATTATGCTTGGCAGTATTACTGGTGGTACCGATATCTGCTCTCTGTTTGCCGGTCACAATGCAGCTTTGCCTGTATATCGCGGCGAGATCCAATGTATTTGCTTGGGCATGAAGATCGAGGCCTGGGCCGAAGCTGGTATGTTGCATCAATGTGAATTTTTTATCGTTTCACTTGCATCGTGTCGCTCACCATGCCCCTCTGATGTCTTTTTGTAGACAAGCCTGTTTTCGCTGAAGCTGCCGATCTTGTGTGTACAGCTCCGTTCCCATGCATGCCTGTGTATATGTATGGGGATGACGAAAATCGCAACAAGTATAAGAATGCCTACTTTTCTGTATACGACAATGTCTGGTACCACGGTGACTTTGTGTGGATCAATCCCAAAACTGGCGGTGTTATCATGCTGGGTCGCTCTGATGGCACGCTTAATCCTTCGGGTGTGCGCTTTGGCAGTGCCGAAATCTACAATGTGGTTGATCGCTTTGTGAGCGATGGTGTAGAGGACACACTTTGTGTTGGTCAAAAGATCAAAGACCAAGACGACGAGCGTGTGGTGTTGTTTATCAAGATGCGAGAAGGAAAGACCCTCTCGGAGGATTTGGTCAAGGCCATCAAAACCACGATCCGTAGCGAGTTGAGTCCTCGTCATGTTCCTGCTTTTGTACTTCCCATTGCTGATATCCCAGTAAGTTGAACACGCATACTGTATATCAATTTGATGGCATGAATTATTAACCACAAACTACAGTATACCATCAACGGCAAAAAGGTCGAAGTGGCAGTGAAGGTAAGTTTCATTTGCACCCTCTTTTTTTTCTGTTAAATGTGGGATTTCTCACGCAACATTATATTAGAAAATCATTTCGGGGCAGACAGTAACACCTTCGGCTACCCTTGTCAACCCTCAGTGTTTGGATCTTTATTATAATATTCCCGTGTTAGCTCAATAATCCGTATAGCTAAAATCATGTTGTCCGCCATGAAAATTGCGACTTATAGAATAAAGACAAGTAAACATTGAAGAACGTGTTGATTGAGCTGCTGGTTTTGTCTTTTTGTTGTCAAGCGCTCAGCCGGTCTGGGTTTCAGTCCAACCACGCACAACAACGGGGAAATTTCCCATAATTATAATTTTTCCTTTTGGAAACTGGTGTTCTTCTTCCACAAATTTCTGTTTCGTGATGATGGCATATTCTGGTCGAGACATTGCACTTTTTGTCATTGCAATCTTCTTTCCTCCGTTCCCGGTACTCATAAAGCGAGGATGCGGAGTTGATTTTTTGATCAACGTCTGCTTGTTTGTGCTCGGAGCTGGTAGGTGAAAAAAAGCAGGACACACCAATGTCTTGGCATTGAAGCATCTCCACTGGACAACTGCCGATTATTCATCATTTATCATTTCGTGTTTGAACTCAAAGTGCCGGGTATCATTCATGCTTTTTATATCATCCACAAGTATAATGAGAACTTTGAAGACCTTGAAAGCGGTGGTTTGCAATATCAGCAAGTGCCAACGGAGGACCCTGCACGAGTGGCATACGGTGCGACTAATAGTCCAAGAGGTAAAAGAGCAAAAGGGTGAGAAAATAACAAGAGATATAAAGCTTGCTCACATTTTATCTTTCCGTCCTAGCATAATTCCCAAGGTTTTCTCTCCCGAGAAACTGACAATAAAGCGGAAGTTTGCGTTACAAGAGTTGATAACCGATCTTCCCAATTAGCTGGAATAACGCTTCCCTTTTGGATGTGTGTGTGTTGGAGTGAAAAGGACTAGGGTGAAAAAGGTTGTCATCATCAGCAACATTATTGCCAATCCTATCATTACAAGGTTCGCAGATTTTTGAAACGTCGAAGAGGAAGAACATACATTTTCCTTATAATGCAAACTTCGTATTATGAGCTACTGATGTGAATAACATTATGCTGAAAAGGTTTCCGAGGCAAGTTTAGATTACGGTTGAGCACAGATGATCGACGATGAAGAAATTTTAAGAAGCGCCTCGAGAAAAGAAAAAAAAAAGGTTGGTCGTCAAAAAAAAAAAAAAAAAAAAAACTGTAAAAACGGGTTCTTTTCAAAAAATCGAGGACAACATGTTGTTTGGCTGAGAGAACGTGTTAAAAGGCACGGAATGCACTGAGGTAATAAAAGCTCGGAAGAACTATATCATATTTATCGTTCTTTTGTTCACATCTATCTTTGACCCATCTTCGTCACGACGTCGAAAGTAACCTTTTCTTTTTTTTTACTTTTTTTTTTTTTTTTAGCTGCGCGATAAAAAATTGGGCTGAAGCGAAAAGAGTCACACCAATCGCGCTATGCACGCGCCATACGAATAAGGCTCCGCTTTTTACAGTTCAGCGTTTTACGCTCTGACTGTGGGTGAATCTTGACATGAGATGCAAGTCGTAATGGTTGACATTCTCTTCCATCACATATCGGTTCCTAAGAGTTCACTTTTCCATTGGGAAGGCTTTTTCAAGTTAAATGTTAACTATCGTAACTTGCTACACTTTAAAAAAAAAAAAAAAAAAAAAAACCTAGGAAAATACGCGTTCCCCCCAGAAAAAACAAAAAAAAATTGCGAAAAAAAACAATTGGAAATCCGACGCAAGATTTCAATTACCTTTTGGAACGTTCGCTCATCTTGTCAATGCACAGGCACAACTAATGGTAATGTCGGAATAGATCCTTACTGGGATTGTATAAGCAACTCCTCCTTTATTGAATACTAGCACTCATACTTATTGCTGGAACAATTCAGGACATGTGAGAGCTCGTATTGCGCGCTACACCACACAAAAAGGAAAAATAAAAAAATAAAAAGGAAGAAACGGAATCAGCCCACTTCACCGTCAATGATGGCTCATCACGAATCCACAAAAAGCACTATTATTCGATATTGCTTGATCCTTTCTCTTTTCTCCGTTTTGGACATCAATATGCTCCAATGAAGTGTACTTCTGCTCGGAAATTCGGCCCAATATTATTTTTCATCGTAAAAAGGATAGCTATTTCAAACCGCGCTTTTCCCATTTCCCTAGCGCTCAGCCTATCCTTTACAGCATATAATATTTCTTCGGGTGATAAAACAGCGACAAACAACCTTGCAGGTATCTAGATGGTTTCTATTTAAGGCAATAGGCTGCTGTGGCCGTTGTGTAATCGCGTAGTTCATTGTATTGTCAGCGTGGGAGAAAAAAAAAACCGGAGAACGCGATAATTCGCGTAGTTCGAGTAGAGGCAATCTTTTTGAACTCAGAGAAACGCGCTACATTTTTACGCGCGTCCAATTTTTTTTTTTTTACTTACACATTGCAGTCTCATTTACCTTGTTCAAAGAAAAAAAAAAAAAGTTACCTGAGCCGGATCACTGTCGGACTACATGAGAGTTTATTTCCAATTCATAGATTATCTTCTTTACTCCTACTCTACCTTTCTCCTTTTCCCTTTTCCACCGTTTTCGAATTTTTTTTTTCCCCTCTTACTGCATAGAGCAGCATTTAACCTATGACCCTGGGAAATCAACTATTATATCAAACTCCTCATGCATCCTACGAATATATGAGCATGAATCCATCAGACGAAATATCAAAGGTAAATTTAGGTGCAAAAAAAAAAAAAAAAAATTGTCTATATCTGTTTGCCTTGCTGAATGACTTACCATAATGATGTTTATTTTTTTATTTTATTTTTTTGCAACAGCATGTTGAATGTCTTAAAACACGTTTAAATTTCGCTCGCTTCAAAGTACGAAATGGATGGGAAAAAAATACATTATTTGACGTGGAATCATTGTGGAAACAACGCCGACGTCAACTCATCAATGATATACCAACGCCTCGATTTACCCAGCAGGACATTATCGATAAACGCGCTTATTTTCCATCGACGGGCGCGCGAACCGCCAAACATATCAAAAAAGCGAAATTAACGCGTTCGTTGTCGAGTCCTGCATCAGCATCCAATGAGGAGTTTTCCATGGATACTTTGGCTATGGCCTGTGCGACCATTGGATACAAATCCCGAAACGCGACTCTTCGACGAAAAAGTCACCCACCCTCACGTTCCAAAACAATCGCCGTCGATACCGTCACCCATTTCCCAAACCACTCGCTACCCCAGAATCTTTCCACCCGTCAGACCGTGCCATATGAACGAAAACTGTGGCATCACTCGGCAGGTGGCAAGTCCACTTTTGATCACGATCATTCTTCATTTGACGCTGCCAATGTTCCATTCACAACGGATGAGGAGCCCCAAGTAAAAAATTCGCTTGATTTCCTTTCCTATGCTATTGCTATGAGAGAAGAACGTGACGATCACAATATTACACAATCGCAACCATTGCCCGAGCCATGCAGCTCTCAGGAAATTGATATCGACGATCAAGGCAGAATGACATTATCAAGCGGAGATACGGAAAGTGAAGACACCATGAGCCCGCCTTCATCACCCGCCACTGCTGCTGCTCAAGCTATTATGATGTTTGTCAACGGCAATCAGGAACCGATCTATTAGCCCAACTTTGGCTGTGTTTTTCTGTTTCACTTACTTGTTCCTATTATGTCCTTTCACATACATACTCTGCAATCATACACATGCATGCCATTCACGCCTCACTCAGCTTTACTCTTTCTTTTGTACAATCCACTTCTTTTTTTTTTTTTTTTTGCCTATATCTTTTTTTTGCCCTCCTCTTTGGTCACTCATTTCACCAGAACATGGTCTGGATTTTGTTAATCTCAATTGTAAATTTTACCCCACTTTTTCGCTGTAACAATGGACTTTTCAAAGGTATCCGACTTACCACATCTATCAGAACTCTGTTTTGCAAAAGTACCTCTGAATTGTTGAGAACTCACATTAGCAATTTCTTGCTAGACTGTATATCTTTTCTTGAAGCTCGATATCACAATTCTTGAATTCGCCCAATAGCGGTCTGCATTTATTTAGTGATTACTTTCAACGTATCTTTTTGCTGCTGTTACCACTTACTATCGCTTCAGCCCTGTAAAGTAAATTGTGCAAAGTTGCGCAAAGTAGTCAATTATTGATTTATTACTAGTAGAACTTGTGCTATACCCGGTCGCACTCGTGAGCGTAATGAAATAAATCCATTGAGTCTTTCTCGGGAAAAAAATGAAAAAGAACAATCTGCCTAAGCATATTTTATTTTATTTCATTAATCTTGCACAAAGTAAATAAACAGTTTTATGTACTGCTTCGATTATCACAAAGAAGTATGATGTCTACTTTACTCACTTTTAGATATGAATATATTGCTCGGTCGACACCTGGATTATGCCCTGATCATAGAGGAATCTTCCGCCGACAAGAAATTTTTCTGTGGGGTGACGTCAGGTTTTTCTCTTTTTTTTTTGGTGCCGGTTTTCCAACCCAACCCAATTTTTCCTTGACCGCCAGTCCTGTGTGGCAAGAAAAAAGATAGACGAAACCTAATCTCGTTGGGATTTCTATTTCCTGTTTTCCATCTAGTTCTCACACTCAGTGCATAACGTGATGGACAGCATTAACAGCATTACCAAGCAGGTTCTTGCGAAACTGCCACTGTACCGGTTGAAGGGTAAGTCGACAATAACTAAGCCTTGCTCACGATGGCGCCAGTATCGAAACAGTTAATTCAACCATTTCTATAAAGATCTCATCAAAGCCGTTCGAGCTTGCAAAACTGCAGCCGAGGAGAGAGCCGTTATTCAAAAGGAGAGCGCCAACATCAGAACAGCTTTCAAAAACGAAAACAGTGACACGCGTCATACCAATGTTGCCAAACTGCTTTACATTCATATGCTCGGTTATCCCGCTCACTTCGGTCAAATGGAATGCTTGAAACTGGTTGCCAGCCCTAAATATGCAGACAAACGCTTGGGTTATCTTGGCATTATGTTACTCATCGACGAAAAAACCGAAATCTTGACATTGGTCACCAACAGTTTGAAAAAGTAAGAATGGTGGTCATCTCCTCAGTCCGCACACACATGTTTTGACTTATCACCCATTTTCTACAGTGACCTGAATCACAGCAATATGTATATCGTAGGATTGGCACTCTGTACATTAGGTAACATTTCATCTTCGGAGATGGCGCGAGATTTGTGCTCCGAAGTGGAGAAGCTCCTTGGAAGCTCCAATACATATATACGCAAAAAGGTAAATCATCACCCACCCTGTCCATCCTCAGAGTCGCCGCTCGCTTTTTCGATTGCTGCACTTCTTTTAACTCGATGTACTGATTTTCTTATACGATGTCTCAGGTTGCCATTTGTGCTTTGCGTATTATTCGCCGAGTGCCCGAACTGTATGAGAATTTCATTCCCAAAGCCAAAGGGTTGCTAAATGATCGCAGCCATGGTGTGCTTATTTCGGGTATCACACTCATCTCCGAGATGTGCCAACAAAATCCCCAGATTGTGCCTGTATTCCGGAAGGTAAGTATGATTTTTAAGCGCGTGCAAAGGAAGAGAGAACGGGTTCTCATTATTGATGGGGTGATCGCAGGCCATTCCTCTCTTAGTGCGCCATTTGAAGAATTTGGTTACAGCAGGCTATTCTCCCGAGCATGATGTTACCGGTGTCACGGATCCATTTTTGCAAGTGAAAATTCTTCGTCTTCTACGTATTCTCGCGAAAAACGAACCCGAAGTTGATGATGCATTGAATGACATCCTGGCTCAGGTAGCCACCAACACTGAAAGCGCAAAAAACGTCGGCAATGCTATCTTGTACGAAACTGTGGTGACCATCATGAATATCAAGAGCGAAGCTGGTTTGCGTGTGCTTGCTGTGAATATTCTCGGCAAGTTCCTGAGCAATCGTGATAACAATATTCGGTAAGCATAGCATGATCGCCTTGCAGCAGCAGATCGCTCATCGGACCTTGCGGAAAAACAGATACGTAGCGTTGGAGACACTTAACAAAACCGTGGGTATCGAAACACAAGCAGTTCAACGCCATCGCAATACCATTCTAGACTGTTTGAGAGATGGAGATATCTCGATCCGACGACGTGCACTCGAGCTGAGCTTTGCTCTCATTAATGAGGGCAATGTCCGTGTTCTCACCAGAGAGTTACTCGCTTTCCTGGAAATTGCCGATGCTGAATTCAAGCAGAGCATGACAACCAAGTTGGCTTTAGCTGCTGATCGATTTGCTCCTAATAAGCGATGGCATATCGACACCATGTTACGTGTACTCAAACTCGCAGGCAATTATGTGCGCGAAGAAGTTTTAGCTGGCTTCATTCGTCTTTTGGCCCAGTCTTCCGACTTTCAGCAATACACCGCCCAGAAACTTTATGCAGGTTTGAAAAACGATATTTCACAGGTAAACTGTTCAACGTTTTTTTACAAAAAGTTTCTTTAATGATCGCAACTCGTTCTGATAAATGCATGTCGTATAGGATGGCCTTGTTTTGGCTGGTGTTTGGGTCATTGGCGAGTACGGCGATGTTCTCATTGGCGGTGGTGCTTTTGAAGAAGATGGTGTGATGTTGGATGTATGTATTCCTAAAACTGACGGATGCGTGAAATTTGAGGAAACTGAAAGACACGGTTTTCCCTTGCAGGTATCGGATGAGTCGGTGGTGAACCTTTTGGAATCCATTATTATCGGCCCTTATGCTACGCAGGTGACCCGAGAATATGTATTGACGGCCTTGATGAAATTGACTTCACGCTTGAATGATTCCATGGTGCAAGATCGCGTGAAGACTCTACTACACAAATATATGACCAGCATGGAAGTTGAGATTCAGCAACGTTCTGTGGAATACACCAATCTATTCAAATTCGATACCATCCGTCCTGCCGTTCTTGAACGCATGCCCGTGCCCGAACCACGCACCATCATTCAAACAAAAGACAGCAGTCATGCCGGTAAGTAACTCCTAATATGACGTGGAAAGCTATTGAATGACTGATGGCGTGAGTGATCCACAGCAGAACCCGGGCAATCTCCTGTCACTACTGGACCTTCCGATCAAGATGTAAGTTGAATAGGGTGGACATCTTTTTCGGTGATAGTTTTACTTACACACGATTTCAGCTGTTGTTGGATCTTATGGGTGTCGGTACTGCTTCGGCTGGTGTGACCGAGGACGCAGCAAGTACTTCGCCACAGTTGCCGCAAAGTAGCGCGTCTACCTCACAGCAACCGCAGAATATGGATCTCTTGGCCGATATTTTCGGCTCTTCCTCGATTTCTTCGACGCAGCCTGATCCCGCGCCTGCTGCTCCCTCTACAATGGGTGGCGGCTCTCTTTTAGATTTACTTGGCTCGGCCCAAGAATCGCCTCAGAATAACTCCATGTCTGCAGCCGCCAGCCCTAGCTTAGACGTGTTCGCTTCTCTAGAAAAATCTTCACCAACACAACCTACACCATCCGCAGCCAGTTTGCCAGGTTACAGCGCCTATTCAAAGCATGGCTTTTCGATCCATCTAGTACCCTCTCGAGACCGCAATAACCCGGCGATTTTGAATATTCAAGTACTCTTTGCATGTGATAGCCAGACTGATATATCCAATTTACAATTCCAAGCCGCAGTACCCAAAAGTCAGAAACTGCAAATGAACGCCGCCAGCAGCAATACCGTACGACGTAATACGACAGAAAAGCAGATGATGCGCATCAATAATCCACAAAACGTGAGTGTGTTCTGTGAGACGGTTTTTGGTTAGCTTGAACCCCATTACTGACACATGAGTGTTGATCTGTTAGACCACTGTAAAACTTCGACTCCGTATCTCCTATGTTCTCTCAGACTCACAACAAAAAATTGACGATATTGCGGAATATGGACCTTTCCCAGAAGGTGCATTTTAATCAAGAACAGTTAAAGAAAAGCGATGCGCTGAAACATACAGATCAACGAACTTGATACACAATTTATCTGTGGAAAATACACCCCTCATTTTAATGTCACTAAACACAATATAACAGCAGTATCGATTACTAGAATTTATGACCACTGTGATGAAACGCTGATAATATTCATCGTCTACATAGTTCATACGATCAGTTCAGCAATTTGCTATAGTGATCCACTGACATAGTATGCCATTTACTCGACTATGGCGTTGTATGAAATGTATGCTTGCTTGCAGTGAGCCCGAGATGGGCAAACAATTCTGTTCGTCGTTTGTCTGCGTCTGTGCACGCTTTTTCTTGGGCTCTTATGTTAACTGATTTTTTCACTGAGCTTTCTGCCCAGTCCGTAGTTATTGTATTCCTGTAAATGACTGAAAGATTTATCCGTTGTTTAGATATTCCTGGCCGAAAAATGGACACCTCAGGCCTGCCAGGTTGTTTCCTTAAAACATCCACCTGTGACCTTCTATACCGTTGATATATGACGCTTCGACGCCTATGCTGTTTCTACAACCTCCATCGACCACCCATGCAGTGCAACCATTTCAACTAACACAATGTCTTTGTCGTCTAGGAATCTTCATCTTACCTCTTTCTATTTATTTATTACAGAAATCTGATTCTATTATTTGGTTCCAGTACTGCTATTCTTGATACTTCAAAGTTCTCCTTCACCAGGATGCCTAGTTATGAAAATATCTCTCTTGCAGAGCCAATACAATACAGTGTGCAGTTGACTCTTCCGCTTTTACCGTTGTTCTCTTTCTCCTGCATTTCCTGTGTCTGCGCAAATCAGTAAGTCTACCAAGTCATATACAAGCTTCGGAATTTCCGTACACTGTTTTATATGGCATGTCCAATTATTCTGGCAAGCAGTTAATAACGTTCTTTTCTTGACTTTTAGTACCACTTGACTTCTATATGAAACCGCTTTTGATATGGTTTTCCATAGTATCCTAAAAGTTGTATCGACTGCAGAGCCAACTTGCCTGGAGTGTGCCTGTTAAAACCTACAATTCTACTATTAGCTACTCCAAGCTCTCGCACCTTCCTTTCTTATCCTACGTAGTTTCTTTAGAACAATTTTCTCATCGATGCAAGGCGAGTAATAGTCTGAGACGGCCGCGTGTTCATACACCCTTTTCAACATAAAACCTTTTACTTTACTTTAATATACCCGTCAGCAAAAAAAAAAAAAAAAAAAAAAAAAATTTTACTCGTAATTCTACTGTAATCCTTCATCATCATTTTCAATGTTGCTAAAAAAGAATAGTCCCCAATTGTATATAACTATGCGAATACTGTGAACCTAGAACATAATTGCAATGTGATCAACAAACCTCAAAAAAAAAAAACCCCTCCAGCAGAGGATTTTTTAAAAAAGAGGAAACTTCAAAAAAGAATGCCTTCTGCCAGAATCGAACTGGCGACCTTCTGCTTACTAGGCAGACGCTCTGCCAACTGAGCCAAGAAGGCTTTTTGGTGAAAATGTGGCTTTTCAAAGCATGTTATAGAGAAAAGAGCGGGTAAAAATTTAGCCTTCAGAGATGGATGCATCCATGGTTTTATTCTTCGATCAATCAATGAAAATACTGCATCCAGTCTTCACCGATGCTTAGGAAGGTGGTTCCTTTTTGTCAACCTTGGAAAGCTTTATTTAGCCTTGAATTACAACTACCCTGGCTTTTCCGGGATATGTCGGAAAAAAGTCGTGAGTGATTCGGCCCGGAGCGTCCAAGCTCGGGCTGGAAGAATGTGAATGGATCAAACGCTGTTTGCTTTCACTATCCACGCAGCACGAATGAATGCAAGTAAGCATAGTGCAACCGGTCCAAGAGTTGTAAGTTGCAGACGGTAACCATGGCTTCGAGAGTTAAACAAGGGAACTCACTTGTGGACGAGCAAGTCTACAAAAAATAGAAGCATGAGTATGAATATTTCGATGTGGTCTTCGTTACCTTGACTTAACAATTTATGTCAATGTCCAATGTCCTATTTTTATCCCTTAACACCATTAACGCAGTTTATTTGTTACCCGCGTCTTCATTTGTATTTCTAGCCATCGAAACTCAAACTACAGCCAAGCGTTCCTCAGTCACTGTGTCTCCCATGGTCTCACCCGAATTCGATGATTATGAATATGCATCGTAAAAAACGATCTTCCACTGTTTTCTCCGCAGGCATCATTGACCTCGCAAAAAAAAAAAAAAGGTGGGGGGCGATCCTTGTGCCAAAGATAATATTCATGCCGCTTCTGGCTCCGCCAAGGCAGCAATCCACTTTAGTTCCTTTTTTTCGCCGTTGAATGCCGCTTTCTAGACTTGGTCTACAGATGTGCATGTCTTAACACCTCGAGACGCCTTGACTCGCTGCTTTTTGTATGTTATTGAGCCTCGGGGCTCTTCCGTGCACGACGACTTATCGATGGAAAACATTTCATTGTCTCTGTCGTTCTAAATAACGGTAATTTTGGACAATCTTGAAACGGTTTCGTTTGCTTCGACCGAAGAATATCACAATGTTATCATTCCGCATGTCTGCGTTTCCTTCGTTCTAATTTTTAGCTTAATTATGCGGTCTGAATAAGAGGAACGAGCATAACATTTGATTGCGGGAATTGATCATTTCAATCCACATAGCATAGCGACGTAGGGGAATTAAATGAACTTGAATTACTTGCTTGTATATTCAGGCTTTATTCTGCTCTAAATAACAGAGGGACGTCAGCCATTAGTTTTGCCGTCCTTAAAAGCGATTTCGCTGAAATAACCTGCATTCTATTGATTACAGTTCGATACGGTGGGGTTTTTTTTTTATTGGAAACACAGCACTAAAAGCTAGCCCTGTCTTCCGGTGAGGTTACAGATTTGAACAGAAGCCCTATTGGCGGAATATTGCAAAAAATTCATGGCTATGGGAGACAACCCATGATAGCTCTACTGAGAGCATATTTCAACAAAAGGTCTATTCTTGTTACAGCATGTCAGTCGCAAGAAGCTCTCTTTAGTGACGAAAATCATGATTTCATTGTTGAATATGATGCACAAAAAGCCAATTAATTTGCTAATACGCTAGGCAAATTATCCGTTTCAGAATGCCCCAAGGCTAATTATATACTACGACAGAAATATTTGGTCTGTGCTAGCATGTCTGACAGCGATTGATCAAAGTGAAAAAAGTACCGTAATTTATACTTCGCTGTCTGTCACGAACACTTCAAGAAATGATTCTTTCGGACTTGTAATACTAGAGTCAAGACGCAACGTGGTGTGGAAGGAGAACACAAGCTGGAAGTTAAAATATGCAGACATCAAGGTTTTAAATGGTACTACAGTGAAATGACCTCATATGGCGTGGGTATTCCAGTATTCAATTTGCAGATTAACAATGGTCTGGTACGTGGTTACGGATCGCAAAGAATCGGCATAAAATGTGATATATTGCACTTATCTAGACTGTTTTATTACTATTATAAAATGGCACCTGAGAAAATAGGGGGAGGCAGAGCAGAAAGGAAAGTGACCGAGCAAGGTTGAGCGTAACGTGATTCAGTCTCGTAACCGGTTCCTGTTCAAGTAGAACCCAGGTCTAGTGTTATCATCTGTTGTGTTACAGAAGTCTAAATCCTGAATAGCGGCAGATGATATGAATTTTATCTTATCGGCTGATATGGTTTTTTACTATCCAGAAGTGAAGGGGAAAAAGGAAAAAGAGCCGAAAATACAGCGCTGGATTCTGTCAATTCACATGCCACAAATCAAAAAAAGTCGGATCCCCAAAGCTTAAAGGCCACCAACGACACCTTGTGCGTGTTGAAAATCGAGGTAGCCAATACAATGAGATATTTGTGCTTCAATCCTCAGCAACGCAGAACAAACCCAAATGGTGAATAAAAAAAAGTGGAAAGGTTATCGATTTGTTTGCCATCGCGCTGGATGGCGCAATCGTTTGTGCTCATGGATGTTGGACAATTGACCAATCATACGGAGCTGCAGTTGACCATACTCTTAAAAAACTCGGATCGCCATGGATTCCCAGCTCTGATACACAGCAGAACGTTTTTGTATATAAATTTATTTTACCATTTCTTCCTCTTTTAGTAGTTTGTACGCTGTAGAAAGCGGAAAGAAGCTGTTACTCACGCGGTGATGTGCCAATCAAGTGCTCAACGATAGTGGTAAGGAGGCAAAACGCCGACCAGGTGCGGATGTAAAACAGGCGTTTCATTGGATGGATAACAAACATTCAAACTCTGCTGGAGGGTTTTGGGACCAGCCAGCGGCAGCCGTCTTACGGATAGGCCTATTAAACGCCCGCTGCATGTTTCTGTATCCAATCACAGCTTATCACTCATAATGTATACATCCTTATGCTCTGCCAATTGAGTCGACTTTTTTTTCTTTTTCAGAGATACCCATAAACTAGGAATAGCTAACCATACCTTGGATAGAACTTCTAAATTAAAAACAAACCTTTTACGACAGAATTCGTTGACGGGCATAGGTGAGAAATAATATGTTGTACAATACGGAACCGACTTGGTTTCCGTGCTTCAATGCTTCTCTGCGAGCATATGGAGCTTGTGAAAAATTTCATACAACGTCGGAAAAAGAGGCTAATGGTTATCATATTTATGCAAAAGCATTGAAAATATGTGAGTGTGAATTCAAATTCATTTGATTTTTTTTTTCCCTTGCCCTTGAGTGTTGTGGTGGTAGTGAACATCACACGACAGAGTTTATATTGGCAAAGTAAATTGTATCGTGCCGGATACAAAAGTAAGGTCATATAAATACGGCTATATAAATATATTGACTATCCTTATACGATCCAAAACTGACTTTTTTTTTCGGAGCAGAAAGAAGTATAAAATTCAACTCTTCAGTTTTCTCGACTCTTTTTCTTTTCTTGTTCTTCGTCCTTTTTTAAAAAAAAAGAATAATTTGTTATGACAGAATCCAACTATCTATTAGAATCTTCTGAAAACTTGTTTGGTAAAAACCATTTTTCTCATTTGATGCAGCAAACCCATCTTCCTTCACCTGTGTCAGAAAGCCAGCAATTCAGCAATTTTCCTTCGCCGAGTTCTTCTACCGATTCTTTGGACGAAAGTCAAACGTGCTCCCCATTATTCCTTGATCCCAATGTTCTGCACCATTTTCCGCCCTCCGTACTACAATCCCTGGCCAGTCTTTACTCGCAGCAGTGTGAAACCAGTTTTGAGCAATTTGTTCAGTTTGATGACGACCAACAACCTTCCAGCCACAGTTCCGAGAATACCTGCGCTACCGAAACCGTTTTGTCCTTTGATGAAGAAGACAATAAAAACACCATGGATCCTGTCCCGTCAGTGTCGGAGTGCGCCGAAAATTCGTCTGCTCTCTCCAGTGTGGTCATGACTCGATCCACACGTCAACTCGAGTGTTTTAACTGCCACGTGACTAAGACACCTCTATGGCGTCGCACACCCGATCGGGCTCATTCTCTCTGTAACGCCTGCGGTCTCTACTACAAACAATATGGAAGCCACCGACCCCATCACATCCGTCAAAAAAGCCAAAACAAACAACATATCGCCATCGTAAAACCCGAACCAGCAGCTGGCTCTGCTGCTCCTTCCGCATTAGTTTGTTCGCCTACCACCAGCATTGTCCCTACCAGCACTGATCCAGCTGTCTCGGTTCCTGAAACACCTAGCCCCGCTTCGGCTGAAGGCGAACAGCGGTGCGCTAATTGCTTGCAGACAAATACACCTTTATGGCGCAAAAATGAACGTGGTGAATCTGTATGCAATGCCTGCGGTTTATATGCCAAATTACATCACCGAGACCGTCCTCCAGCAATGCGCAAGCAAAAAGTTCAAAAGCGGCGTCGCGGTTGGTCATCCGAGAAAGAAGAAGAACTTACCGTCAACGTGAAGCGAGCCAATACCACCATGTCTAGCCCAATGTCTCCTTTCATCTCCGTTATACCAGCTCAAAAACCTCCTACATCTATACAAAAAGCGAACGAACAACTGAATGATGTCGATGATTCTCGATTCAAAAGCTTACTCAGCAGAATGAACAACCAGCAAATGCACGAATTTTTAAACATGCTTGAGCGGCGATGCGCTATTTTACGATCAGTCTTGTATATGACGGAACAATATGAGCAACAACAAGAGCAACAACAGCAAGAGTCAGAACAGCACTACCAAACACTGCAGTTGTCTCAAACCTCTGAATAATTTGCTTATCTCGATCCTTCTTTTATATGCATTCCTACTTCTTCACATCATCCCATTTAATTTCATTACTGAAAGTCTTAACACACTTTCATCTCTATGTTATACTGTCATATAGTCATTGCTTCATGTTTCTTTTTTTTTCGTTTATTTCTTATTTTGCCTTTTTTTTTTTTCATTAGCCAAAAAGTTCCCATCAATCATTTGGACGAAGTGACTTTTGCTCTTCGGTTATTGTATATGAATCACAAATAAACCATCTATCAATACTGTAAAGAAAATATTCATTGTTTCTCGCAAATGTGGCATCAAGTGGACTACAAAGGTTGGGAAGAAAATCACAGTTTTTTTAATGTCAAGTATAAAAAACAAGTTAATTCACATTAATCGACATTGAAGAACACCTAGTCGAATACAGCGCGGTGAGAAATATATAAAAAAAAAAGGCGAAGTATAATGAATAAAAGATGAGTATAGCTTCTATGCTGTTGGTTTGGTTTGGCGCTTTTTTATGATAGAAGGGAAAAAATCAAATATAACAGACATTGAGGGGAATAGATATCGCTTATGCCTTGTTATTCAACACCTGCGCAGCATGATTGGTTTGCACCGAGGAAAAGCGACGCATTTCTTTTGCATCCATGCTTCGCTTATTCTTGCCGAGCAATTTTTTGCCAAAATTCTGAGGTCGTTCCAATGACTTGAGCGATCGCGTACGGTTGGCATAGTAACGAGCAGACGAAGTGCCAGAAATGGCCGAAGCACGACGACTCTGACTTCCAGCCATAGGTACCTTGGATTCTTGAAGGGTATTCTTCGGTTCAAAGACAGCTTGCATTGTAAACTTGAGAAGATCCAATGGGATAAACCAGATGATGTTCCATACCCAAACGATAGCCGCCCAGCCCCAGCCGCAGCCGCGAATAGCCGTGAAGGACCAATCAGCATATACGGCAAGGAAAGTAGCCACCAGCTGTGCAACGATAAAAGCGCACATCAGCATAACGGAAGGTCGCTCGGTAAAGAAGAAACCGCGAGAACGAGTCACAAAGATAAGAGCTTGTGAAATTGTGGATACTTGTAGGTATATGATGGAATGGTAGATAGGATGATTGGAATCCAAACTTTGTTCCACGCCAAAGGTACTGCTGAAAAATTGGGTTTTGAATGCGATTGCAAAGAAAACAACGGTGGAAGCGGTCAGATAGAGGCCGTAGATAATAGCGTAACTGAAGATTTCCCGTAAATTCCATGCATCAGGATAAGGTGAAGGCTTTACACGGTCGGTAGAAATTGTCATGATAGTACCGTCGTTCAGGATAGCGAGGATCAAGACCATGAATGGCGGGAAGTCGTGCTCAAATGCAAAACATAGGATAGCAAAACCGACAACGACACGAATAGTAACGGAGCAAGTATAGATTGAGTAATTGCGCATGCGTTGGAAAATTTGGCGCGAACCGATGATAGCTTCAATAATGACAGATAAACCAGGTTCGGTAAGGACAATATCCGCAGCAGATCTTGCAGCATCGGAGGCGTCGGCAACAGCGATACCAACATTGGCCTTGGAAAGGGCTGGAGCGTCGTTCACACCATCACCTGTCATGGCAGTCATATGGCCCATGGCTTGCAGACGTTCGACAATTCGGTACTTGTGTTCGGGATAGACACCGGCAAAACCATCGGACTGGAGAACGAGTTCATCAACATCGGTATAACCAGAGCCTGCAGGGGGCCCATCCTTGAGCGTCTTTGACAAAAACATATTATCACCCATACCGAGACGACGACCGGTTTCTTTGGCAATAGCCAACTGATCACCAGTAATCATTTTCACTTGAACGCCAAGTGCAATAGCCCGATCGATGGTTTCCTTGGTATCAGATCGAGGAGGATCATAAATCGGTAATAGGCCAATGAGACGGAACCCTTTGCCTTCATCTTCGGCATTGCCACTTGGTACTTCATCAACGGCTACAGCCAACGCACGGAGACCACGACGGGCGAATTCATCCACGTCTTCATTGAGAGCTTTGATCTGATCTTCCGATTTATCCCTTGTACATAAATCGAGAATCGTGTGCGACATGCCCTTGCTTACGCGAAGCACTTGACCATCGGATTGTCGCTGGTAAGTGATTTCTGTTCGCTTGACCACGGGATTAAATGGCTTGAATTCCAGTTCTGTAATTCCTTCGCGCGCCAGCTTTGGATCAGGTAATGAGTTGACGATACAGAAATCGATAGCATCTTGATTCTCGGTACGGGAGGCGAAGGCGGAAAGCTGAATCACTTCGTCACCGGAGAATTCAGCGTATGTCTTGATAGTAGGTTTATCAACGATGAGCTTGTTCAGAGTCAACGTTCCTGTCTTGTCTGAGCACAGAATCGTAACGGCCGCCATTTCTTCAATAGCAGTAATGCGGGTGACAATAGCTTTATGCTCGGCTAACTGCTTAGCACCGATCGCCAAGGTAACAGAAAGCACCGTAGGCATAGCAATTGGGATACCACCAATGAGTAATACCAGCAAATTGTCGATACCTCGGCGATACGAGTATCGGAAGGCGGCATACATGACAATGATCTCAATGAGGATAAAGATACCAATCGAGCAGAGGCAGAAATTTCCAATTTTGGCAAGGATGGTCTGCAGATGGCCAACATCATCGTTGGCTTCGCCAACAAGCTTTGCGGCGCGACCAAAGAACGTATTGAGACCGGTACCAATGACAATAGCTTCAGCTTCTCCTTGCTTGACGGTAGATCCAGAGAAAATTTCATCGCCGGCTTCTTTGCCCACCGGCAAGGACTCGCCCGTGAGGGCAGCTTGATCAATAGATACTTGACCGTGAGCCTATGGAAACCCCATCAGTTAATAAATTAGGCCGCCAAAATGGATCTTTATTAGTGGGGCTTACCGTAATCAGACGACCGTCGGCGGGGACAACATCACCAAGCTTAATACTAATGATATCGCCAGGGACAAGATTGGCGGCTTCCATAGTTGACCATTCTCCATTTCGTTTCACTTTGCATTCAGGAGCCAAGGACTCCATTAAAGCTTTGACAGCATTTCCTGCTTGACGTTCCTCCATAAAACCGATGATGGAATTGGCCAGTAACAGTAGAACGATACCGATAAAATCGGGGTAATCCGGAGGTCGTCCTTCGCCATTAGCAAGAGCAATAGAAACAATGGCAGCGGCTTCCATGACCCATGACAACGGGTTCCACATGAATCCCAAGAACTGTAAGATAGGATTGATCTCTTTCTGTTCCAATTTATTTGGACCGAATTTCTCGATACGTCGGGCGGCTTCCTCGCTTGTCAAGCCATCTGAACTTGTCCTACCACATCATCATCAGTTCATCTGTGTCCAGTATCAAATAAAAAAAAAACGGCTAAATAAGGGCAGAAACATATTATCTATGATAATCCAGCAAAAAAAAAAAAAGGGAGTTGAATTCTTGAGGGTTGTCTGGGTGAAAAAAGGGGTTTCTCTTTTTTCGAATGTGGATTATTAAGCAAATAAGGAGATTGGAAGAAGAGAGAGAAAAAAAGGCTGAGAGAAAATAGAGGAGCTATACGTACTGAAGTAGCTCGAATACATCGCCAGGTTCCATTGTTGACAGATCGAATTTGTCTTTATCGTACAATTCCTCGACCGTAAGCGAAGCCAAATTACCGGCGGTTTTGGTTTCGAGAGGGGTATCACCCATCATCTCAACATCATCATACTTCTCCGACATGATCTAGAGAAGTGTAGGGTATGGGTCTATGAATATCAAAGGAAAGAAAAAGTAGAATCCAGCAGATCACGCAAAGAAGCGCAGCTTCGACAATGAATCAAGTCTTGGCAAAAAGGAGGAAAAAAAAATAAAGAGAATGTAGAGATATACGGAAATGAAGGGAAGTTAAACGACTCGAAGACGAAAACTGGAAAGAAAATCAAAAGTGCTAGAGGAGATCCCAACAACTCATTTATATATAAATGAGTGATCCAGATTTAGATGATGGCAATGACGGGTCTACAGCACGGGCAGGAGAAGACAAATAGGCATTGCCTAATGCGGTAAGCCCTTCCGCATACAATTTACAATGGGAAGCCTGTATGCTTATGCTGCGAGATGCTTGGGACCCACATAATCGATATTTGCATCTATTTGTCATTCTCGGGTTGGGTAACTTTCATTTTCATAGATGGTGGGTCATTGATTTCTTGGTCATGCGTTTTTTTTGATATCATTGTTGTCATCATAATATACAACATGTTGCTGTTTTTATTATAATTTTTTTAAATTTCACTCTTATCCAGTCCATCATTATGCGCAAGATAACCGGTAAGTATTCTGAAAAGGGAAATTCACCGGGCACAAGGTGGTTATGAAAAACTGGAGTCGTCGATCTTTATGCTCCATATAAACTAATGCTAAAAGGTAGAGATGGCAGTGAAACTGTTCATCATGGATCTTGAAGTGCTTATGCTGCCACTGTTGTTTTTTCTTTTTTTTTTTTTTTTCGTGCAAAAAGATAAAATCCCGCTTATCCCCTGATTTGTCCACAGAAGACGGTACTTTCACTTCCGTTCTCCCTTTTTCCTCCATCTTTCTTCTTGTTCTTTGATCGCTCTTCTCCTGGTTCCCAGAATCAATAATGAACCATTTTTGTGAAGGATATTATTGCCACCTTCTCCTACCGTTCCCCTTGTGGACATGATTTATCTATGACCTTATATGGGTTAATAATACCGATTACCTCCAAGGTAAATGACGAGGTGAATGTTATTGATGAAATGGATCGGTCTCTGAGCGGTATATCATGTTTGATCGGCTTTGGTTTTCCCCTGCCGTTAGGTGCGACAACATAATTTCCAACGTTTCTGTCAAAATCAATTTCCAATAAGGGATACTCAGGAGGTCATGCAAACAACCTAGCGACATGGTCCAGAAATGGTGCCAATGCCATAGTAAAGAAAACCTTAACTGCTGGCGGATAATCGTTCTCACCACCAAGTTAAGGGACGCTGGATAAATGTTTTCATTTTTTCTTCTCGTGTTTCATCAGGATTATGGCGCAACCATGTTACTTTACAGATTTTCACTGATAAGGCTCCCCTTTTCTTCGCACTCAATGATAACTTGAATTTCTTAACATTCGAAAGAAGAAAAAGAAAAGAAGACGAACACAATCAACCAAGAACTGGTGCATGCAGTATCGTCTGTAATTGTTACCAAATCTGATATCCCATTACGTCCATTCTCTTCTGCATAACCCGATACAAATTATCGACGCTTTCAGCCATGATGTATATTGGTTTGGCGTACTCGCCCAGTTCTAGACAACACTGTATCCTATTCTTCAAGTATGCTCACTTTTACATGGAATTCAGAGTAATTTAATCGAACACTAATCGATCAGTCATCTGTTGTTAATATGTTTGGTATGAACTTCGGTTCCAGGGTTGAAAGACGGCTGGTGATGATATGCAAAATGATAAATTCGTCACAATAGTATCTGATGATAGTTACTGCTTGAGCTCAGCACGCACCGACAACAGCCACTGCAAAACAAACAAAAAAAAAGTCAAGATACCGAGATGACCATGGCACTATTATTTTAGTCGATCAAAAGTTACTTCTCTTGTCATCCACCTAAAAATTTCATGTGTTTCAGTTGTAACTGCGATTAAATCGCTCAGAGGATCGACTTGAAGAGATATTTCTTCTTATAATAGACCCTGATCTCATTGCTTGTCTTGTCGCTGAGAGCCGAAAATGACACAACAAGGTGTAGGTTGTTTGGACATTCTTCGCAACGCCTTAAGTTATTACTGCCATCAGCTGCATATGAACTATTTATGAACTGCATGAGTCCTTTTTTTTTCTTGCCATAGATAGCAGCATTTTGTGCGGTGCTTGTGGTCGACCGGATTTGTCATTGCTTCCGATGGCACTCAAATACAGATATTGCAAGCAGCTGACGACGCTTTGCATAGCGATGAGTAAGGAATTAACGCTCAAGATACCTGCCCTATGATCAGTTATGCCACATCTATTCATTTTGTTACCCCTGTTAAATCTAAAAATCGCCTTGACTTGATTTGTCAGAGCTTGTCCGACTGCTTCTGGGAACTGCATAGATCCTTGCTTTAGCGTGGCTCATGCTTCATGCCCAATTCGAGGCGCTTGCAGATTTCCGCATCCCTCAGTTTGCACTCTTCTCCAAGATAGTGATTCGCCATAGGCCATCTCAACATTGGTAAGAATGATGAAATTAGAACCCTGATGCTCCGAGCTATCCAAGAATTTTTGCATATATCGTCAAGTATGATGATACATACCCAACTTTTTCATTTACAGCAATAACCAAATTCCAACAAAATAACCTCTTGTAGATGGTTGTGAGACAAACTAGCAAGATGTATCAGAAGATTTGAGTTGCCATTCTAATATAAACAACCAATTCTCGTCGACCAGAATCAACACCATACCCAACCGTAACTCAAAAGATAGCTTATTGATTTCTTCTTCTTTTTTCTTCCATTACTACATGTTGTCCGCATTGATGTTTGTCCCTGACATGTGTAATACTTCTCGTATGAAATTTGTCATTGTCTATGCATGATTTTCATTTTATTTCTACGTCGCCATATACTATGATTGTAATCTATGATAGAGAACCTAGGAGCTCTTGAATAGGAGGTAAGCCTATGTTGGAATAACAAGAAGTACAAGATGATCCAAGAAATATTCTCGATGCAGGGCTTTACTCTTCGTGGGTAAGTCCGATGGAAGTTGCGGATTCCCCTGATTCTGAGAATCTTTGACACTTACCGCATAAAAGGAACATTTGATAATGTCCATGGACCAGGCTTGTCCTATTATACTGGCCAGATTATGCGAAGTAGCCAGTTACTACCGGTTGACAGCAGATGGCAAGCCGGCGCATGTCTGATATTCGTCATTTCACATATGGTCTCTCGCGTGAAAGGATCGGGTATAGTTTAAGAAACTTACATTATGCTCAACGGTTTGTTTGATCAAAATAAACAGCAATGGATTATTATCACTGCATTTGGCATTATTAATTTTGGGAAATATTATGCACACATTATTATGTAAAGCTTTTTACAAACAAGAAAGAATAGCCAAAGTCTCAAGGGCTAAGGACGTAAAATGAGATTTTTTTTTGGATTTTTGGATTTTGATCTGCGTCCCGCTTATCTCACATAATATTTCCAAACTGTCACACGACCGATGGTAGGTTAGCCGAATCAGCTAGAAACCAAATAATAATCGTCATTTGCTGTAAAGTTAGGTTGACGCTTTGTAATAGCACAAAAAGCTACAGCACAGCATAAATTGAAGTACGTCCGCCTAATAAAAAAAAAAGAGGCCAACCCACTTTGCATTTAATGGATTGGGTAAGCTGGGTAATCTCTTAAGTAGTGGCTATCGGTAGCTTTCCACAATTTCTTTGCTTTCTTATTTTCTTAAACCCTTTATCACCATATCATTGCCAAAATATAGCTTCTAGTTGACCGTCCATTCGTTCGCCTATCATCCATGATAGCTAACCTTGAGAGTAAAATTCGACAGTATCTCTCAAGACATATAGTCGAGAATGCTTATGTTAACAATGCATCCCAACATGCAATTGAATGCCAAACTATACAACGGCATTAAAACCCGCGTATGGGACAGTGGATAGAGCTGTTGTCTGGCGCGCATTTGAATCAACTACGCCTACAGTTTATTCAACCCTTTGAAGTCAACAAAAAAAATCGGCGTTCAAATGACCAATAAAAAAATGGAGAAGCAACCAATGAGAAATCAGATTGAACGAAACAAATTGGGAAAAAGATCATAAGTCAAAAAATGTGGTCAGCCAGACGAAAAATAGAAAAAGAGCAAGTCAGTATGACTATATAGCAAAAAATGTTGAATGCAGCTGGATTGCCTGTAAACATCTACAGGCCTTCGTTTCCCGGAAAAACCAACCAGTGGGCCAGGACGGACTACGCAGTACTGTTCAGCGCTTGTCGAACGTGGAGAGCACGCGCCGGAACCGTCGATGGTCGGCCAGTTGAATAAATCAATTATAGGGAAATCATATTTAGAATTACAAATTTCTATTCTTAAAGGATCAACAGCCTTGAGCTTACCTTCAGTTCAATGCAAAAAAAAAAAAAGACAAATACACCTTATAACCGAGAATTTGCTCACTGATAATGAATGATTGATTCCGACTCAAGACATAATTGTTAAATAGGCATGTCACATTAATCGAAATAAACATGTCCAACCTGTCTCAAAAGGGCTCTCATTGTTTCTTTTGCTCTAAATTCTCTCATTTATCACAAGGGTAACCACAATAGCAAGTGGCCTAACCTGACATCGAATTTCAGTAACGCGTTTTGATACGTAATCATATGGAATATGTTTTATTTCTCATTCCATTAGTATTTTCTATGTCTATTGACGGACTACATTCTTATGATCAAGTACTGGATAACATGCTTAATTACACTTACTACAGATTGAAGCATTAGCAGTGATTGATTCAGTATAGGAAATAAACTGCACCACCTTTGTCAACAGATTCACCACAACCCACATCGTCTTGGACCCCTGAGTAAGAGGTAGCCCGGTGATAAAATCCATGCTGATAGAAGATCAGGCTCGAGCAGGTATTTTGGAGAGGACAAAGATAGCCGTGTGGTTCCCGCCGAGTTCGGCACCCAATCTGTATCGAAACCACCATTGGCCAAGTTCAGGGAACATGGTCCAATTGCTTTGATGAATATATCCTAGATATATCCAATTTGGGTATAAAAGTGTTCACGGTCAGTGACAGGCGGCAACCTGAATTTTTGAATCGTGAATACGCTGGGATGTCTTCCAGTCGTCAGTGAGAACCAGTTGAGCAAGCGAGTTCCACCACTCTTGCTTTGTAACCTGTCCGCTTCTGCACATTTTTGGGCAGTTGTAGAAGTCGTAACGCCAGCGTAAAGCAGTGATACGGAGATAGAGCCCGGCTTTTGTTCGAGTTGTCCGATAACTTCAGTAACCCAATCTTTGTCCGATGGAAAGTTCTTGGAATATAGTGGTAATGTATCCAAAAGTTCGTTTCTGTCCAATTCTTGCACCCGAATATAGAACTGAGGAAGATCATTTTCAGTATTGTGTTCCCTTGACAAGACACCTTGGTGATTGTTGACGACAAGTGAAAGAGGCGATTCAATCAGTTCGGCCAACAGGTTGTAATGAGCGGTGGTAAACGTATCTCAGATTGGATCATTTAGCTCCAGTGGTCTTTGACTCCCAAGGAATCGACGCAATGCAATTGTGGCTTTAACGTTGTCAATATAAGTGGCCATTGTAAGTGGCCATCATCAATCAGATCGATAGAAACAGTGAGGTAGAGGTATATAATACTGACAAGGAGACAACAAAAAGTTAGCTGTGATAATCAAAAAGTTTCCTCGGTCAAGTGCACGAAAACAATACCTTTGATAAGCAAGAGCTACCTTTTTATTTACACTTGATGTAGAGCGTTTGTTACAAATGTGAATATGGTTTGAGGTAAAAAGAAGACTGAAAAGGAGAAAGGCAGGAAAAGATAGAGATGAGAACCAAAATGTGAGAACGCCATCTTCATATATCTTTGGATTTTTCTCCAAAAACGAAACAGTAAATGGCATTTCAATGACCATGCCATCACTCGAAAGTCCGTGCGGCAACCAAATCAACCACCCAGAATACGAAGGATGAATCATGGGATCGATCTTCACTAAAATCTAGGGGTTCTTTGAAAACCAAACAATGACTTTATATCTGCGGCAGCTCTTTTTTTTTTTTTGGCTGAGCTCTTCAGGACATAGAATCTGACGCAAATCAGAGGGAAATATAGTATAACTACCCACAGCAAGGTTGCTACAATGTTTTGTCTCAAGATCTTAGTTCGGTCGTTGCGTTACAGTATATGTCTCTTTTTTAACCAAGATACGCGTCAGATTTGAATAGAGAAAAAAGGAACCTGGATTGTCAACGCTAATTCCAGCTAGATGAGACGATATTGTTGTATATGAGAGAATCGGAAAAGAAAAGAGTGCAAGAAGGATCTGAGATCGTTGAATCTCGCTATTTCACTAGAATGTGTCTGTTTATCTATACTTCCAGCCTTATTCGGCAAAGCAACAACCAGTGAACAGTCCTCTCGGTTAAGATGTTTTTTTGGAATGTACCCTATACCGTACCATAGTAATCTTAACCCTATTTAGATCTCAATAATAATTCCATGTCGTGGGAGTGGAAATTCGATCAGTATCCTAATATATAAAAATTTACTTGAAAGGAAATATTTTTTTTTGTTTTTTTGCTGCGGGACAACAGTTCAAGGATGGATGATCGACAAAGTCGGTAGTACAGTATCAGTCGCATGAATTCACTTTGAAGCTTCATCCTCAAGGCCAATTGGTACTACGCGTCGGTTTGGAAGGGGAGAAGAACGATATTACATCCTCGGTGAGAGCAGCGATAATAACCTAGTTAATCCGCACGCACATCGATCGTCTACAAAGATGTGATTACACAAAACAATAACAAGCTTCAATGTGGAAGTGAAGGAAAAAGGAAAAAAAAAATAGAAGTCAAGTGCTGCACTTCCTCCGATTTTTCGAGAATCTTTGAAAAAGGCCCACAGTCTCATTTCTTGCCAACGTCTTTCCAACATTTTATATAAACAATGGAACTACTGAAATATGCATATACAGATACAACAAGATGAAGTAGAGTTCGTGTATGTAGTGGGTATTGGCTGGATCGCTCGGAAACCATAGCCTTGCGTTCTATGACAATTTAAACGAATATATGAACGTCTTTCAATCGGAATAAAGGGCTGTCAGGCGCGAAAGTACATCTTTGGTGATTTTTTGATTGCATGCCGACAACTTTGTCCAGCCAAGTCCGCCATGGGCCCAAAGTTGACAAGATTTGCAAGTACCAACGGTGGAATATGCTGATGCTCTCGCAAGCTTATTGTAAACTTCTCAAGAGCGCTCCAATTCGAACTCTGTTGCTGTTTTTTATAGCTGCGGACAGTTGACGCAGTATCATATGCCGTGATTGCTGAACTGAAATTTCCCGGTTTCTTAAACATGACGGCGACAGCTAGAGACTGCAGAAATCGTGATGCCAGTTTGCTGGCTGATGTAGATGACGAGCCGTAGCCATTATGGGGCATATTACACAAATTGAAGACTGTAGCCCGCATCATGGTTTCGGCGTCAAATGCTTCATGAGCACATCGTACCGCCAGGTAAGTGGATTCGTCGGCAAACCCGAAACCAGTTGCCGCAAGGACACCACATTCGTTGGCAAATCATAATTCCCCGGATTCCGCATTATATCAAGATAGCGCTGAATTTCGGTGTCACGATAAAAAATCTTGGCTGTTGAAGGGCGAATTGCTTGTGGCGATGCTGAAGTCTCTGGTCCGATGTCAAGTCCATTTTGTGAACGCAACGGAGCCGACATTGTTACCAGAATGTTCATCGTCTTACTGCCGATTTTCAGCTTTTGCTTCATGCCGTTTCCATCAGACTCTTCAAAGACGCCTACGGATAACGATTCATATTTGCAGCTGGATGGAGTCGGGTAAGACTTCTGATTCGTTTCTCCGTGTATGTCAATCGATTTTGATCGTCCGTATGCTTCGGCTACTAAGACAAACACCACCTCCTTCTCGACAATAATCGCGCCTGTATGTAATTTAGCGGTGGCATGGAGGAGCGATGGATATGCACAGAATTCTAGTCGCCATTTTTTTGCATTACAGCAGGAATGAATGAATTACACAGTGTTTTTTGAAGGTACGAATTATCACTGTGGACTTTCGCTGTTGAAGCCTCCGACGTTGTGACCTTATATTGCTCTGAATGGAGCTGGATAGTACATTTCAAGGGAGCCGATATTCGTGGGCTATCAAATGGCAAGTTCGCATGCATATTCGTGACATCATTGATGTGCATTAGGCTGTATATGCTGTGCCGACTTGGCATGGAGTCATGCAGCAGATGTAGGGCAATGGGCTCGCAGTCGAAAATGGATGCAGCGTTGGATGCGCGTAGTTCGCTGTCTAACTTCAATGTCTTCTGACATCCTTCCCCCATGCTGAACGTGTCCAGCCTTGAATCCTCGTTTTTGCGTTTAAGAGAACGAAGCGTTTGAGTATCCGCAACGTTTTCGGCGTCGGCGGCTAGTTCGACTATCGACACCTTGCCCTCAGGGTGATGTTCTTTCACATGCTTGCTGAACGTGTCGTTGTTAATATAGCGTCGCAAACAACTGGTCAGTGGGCAACGGAAATTGCCTTCGCTTTTCAGTACGGAAATAGAACCTAAGGAACAGTTAGTCACCTTTTTTTTTTTTTTTTTTTTTTTGTTTTTGTTTCAGATAGTTTCCACGTCAAAGTTCAAGGGACTTACAGTCGTTGATGGAAAGATGTAATTCGCGGACATGTTCCCGTCTGCGGTGCTTACGTGCAGCGTTGACATTTTGGAAGCAGATCCCACACGCAACACAAGTGAATGGACTCGAATTTATTGTCTTGCTTGCAGCAGGTCCCAATTGTGACACGTTCACGTGGGGAAGTAATATTTGCAAAAAAAAAAAAAAAAAAAAAAAAAAAAAAAAAGGCGGCGGGGAATCCAACAATTCGCTGCATATGAACCAGTCTTCCGCCAGACACCGAATAATCCATCTGCTTCTGAAAGTCCTATCAACCAAGAAGTCCCTGAAATCAAATCTTCACGAAACCACACCAATCCAAGCATCCACCAAGTCAAAGGGTCCACGAAAATCAGCGTTCATCCATGACCAAGCGTTCGCCAACAGCATGAGCGACCTCTCCAAAACAACCTGGGCGACCACCAAAAATCGTGGGCGTCCACTACCCTTCTGGCGAGCAATTGTCCGCAGACGAGACGTGTTCATACATCCCTAATCAAAAATAAAAATCAATTGTTTTATTTCCATATATCATGCAACATTTATTATAAAAGCAAATAAATAAAATCGAAGCCACTCAGCTTCAAGGTACTTTTTGCTTTTCCTACAGAATAAAAAGTAAAAAAAAATAAAATAAAAACAATAGTATAAAAAATAAAAAATAAAAAATAAAAAAAAACGAGAGGTCCCGCCGAGATTTGAACTCGGATAATGAGATTCAGAGTCTCATATGCTAACCATTACATCACGGGACCGAGACATTGTCGAGGTCGCGCGCGTATCTTCTTTGTCCTTTTATAGTTTTTTCTTTCGCCGAAAACAGCAATTTTTACTAGTAACATTCCGCCAAAAATACCTCAAAACAGTCACCCAACCTTCCCCGAAAATACCTCTTTTTGTCCCGAGTCAAAACACCGAGTCAAACTGACAAAAATCAAAAAAAACGAATTACCTATCGATCCCGAAACTATCGATATCCCGCCCAAAGTTCTCGGCAAACGCCAGATTTCCGCAATTTCCGAATTTTCCGACCGCCCAGCAAACTCGAAATTTTCATTCACCGACGTTCCCTCGATCACGAAACGACGTACCCCCAACATGTCAGAAAATAATTCTGTCACCAACACCACTGCCACGCCCAACCCTTTTGATTTCGGACCTACTGGTCTACCAGTTGATCCCAATCAATTGCCACCTGCCTTGAATACATTTCTTGAAATGTTCAACTCCCGCTTTGCTTCCCTGGAAAAACTGTTCCAGGAGGAACGTGCTCGTGCCGCCCGCCTTGAGCAAGCAAACGCTGAGCTACTGCAACAAAATGCTGCTCTGCTTCAACAATTGCTCAGCTTAAAAACAGCGCCAAATCCACCAAAGCCCGCTCCCAAGCCCAAGCAGTCCACACAGACAGCTACTCCCCCGATCCCAATGCATCTTACAACCGCCGCTTCTAAGCATGCGCCTAAACCCTCCAATGAGGCGAAAAAACCCACCTGGGCTGATAAAGCCAAAATCCACCGCCCTGCTACCAAGCCCAAAAACAATAAGGCTAAGCGTCCCATCACCTCTGCAACGATGCAACGGTTGTTTTCCGCTCCCACGGGCGCATCACAGTATACTTTCGTATACTTGAATTGTAAACACCGTCTCACCCACAGTGAAGTGCGTAAAAACCTTGCCACGGCCAAAGTCCAGCAATCTCGAATTTTGGATGTCCAATTCCCAGCGCGCAATATCATTGCACTCCTCATTAACCGCGAATACAAGCCCGATCTAATCACCTTGCTTAACAAGCAAGGCGTCAGCATTAACTCTGACTTTGATATCGCCGACCCCAAGATCATTGCTGATCCCAAGCATGCCACCAAAACCCTCGAAGAGAAACGTGAACTTGCTCGCTCCTTTGTCGCTGACCGTTTGTTACGTCTGGGATCCCGACTTCCCTACCATTTAACACTCAGTATCCTCCGCTCCTTCACTCAGCCCGAATCCATCGTCCAACTTCCGGAATCCGTTATTCAACGTTACACTGATGCACGCAAACCCGTTTTGGAACCCCCAACAGCATCCTTAACTGCGGCTCCCACTGATAATAACGGTAACACCGAAACTCCCAACCACCTCGACACCACCCCCACCAATGCCCAACCTTCATCGACTGATGCTCCAGAAATGGACACCTCTCAATGAACGCACCTCGTTTGAAAATCGCCACTTTCAATGCCGCTGGTCTTCGGACCAAACATTACGAATTATTCCAAGAATGCACCACCTCACAGATCGATATAATTTTAGTTACCGAAACTTTCCTGTCAAAAGGAAATATTCATACCAAATGGAAACAATTCCACAACTATGGCCAGGTATCGGCTCATCGACCATTCGATGGGCTGTCCCTCTTTATCCGTCCCGATTTTCCACACCATGTTCACCTTCTGCCAATCACTGATCCTTATGTTATTTCGTGTAGGATTGGTCCCTATACCCTGCATGGCCTGTACCTCCCTCCTCGACTTTCTCTTGCAGAGGCCGAGAAAAGGTGGCGTTCCTTGGAGATTGACGATCACACTATTGTGTTTGGAGATCTGAACGTACGTCTGGGCAGTGATACTGGAGATCACCGTGCCAACGACAGAGCCCCTGCGCTACGCAACTGGATCAGTACACTGGGTTTAACCTTGTGGAACTCAGAATTGGCGTATGGCATACCCACTTTTGAAGGTCACCAAGGAGCAAGCATCATTGATTTTTTTATCTCGATGCACACAAACATTCTGGACGTGCAATTGCAAATAAGGAGTGATTTGTCACTGAGTTCCGACCACCACTTGTGTGAGCTATCCTTTGTACCTGTGCCCATACCACAGCTTCCCAGAGCAAATGCTGCCCGACGCCACTGGAAACTTCAGCGATTCCAAGATCCTGAGGTATTAGCCAGGTACGCTGACAGGCTAAAAGATCTTACGGGTGATCTTTTAGAAGGGATCTCAGTTGCGCTTTCCGAAATTGAAAACAACCATGCGTCGCGCGCTTGTAAACTGGAGGGCTTTGTGAATAAACTCATTGAGTCTATTTACGCCGCCTTGGATCACAGCGTTGGACCATCCGATTCCCGTGATAAAACCTGGAAATGGTTTTGGAACGCCAATTTACAAGCTCTAGCCAACCGCCGTCAAGCCCTTTATCAAAGGTGGAGACGGTCTGGCAATGACTTTGAACGCCTTACAATTCGTCGCCGGTATGAGGCGGCTTGTGCCGAACTGACACAAGCGATACGAATTGCGCGACGCATCACCTGGCGACAATTTTGTCAAAAGATGGACCAAGACCCTGTGAACATGAGTAGTGCGATCAAACGGATGAGGCTTCGGCAACGTTCAAATGTGACCCTCTCATCACCAGAAGGACCACTCCACGATGCTAACCGTATGGTGACCCATCTGGAAAGTGTGTACGGCGGCTCTGTCGACCTACGTTCGGAACCCTCACCAGAAATGGATGATTTCCAGGACAGTACACGAATCCCATGGACTCAGGCCACTGTTTATCAAGCGATCCGGAACTTGCCGTCCCGGAAAGCACCAGGTGTTGACCACATACGAGCAGAAATGCTCAAACCTGTGGCTGACCACATGAGCGTCATTCTCCATAAGCTTTTTCGCTTATGTTGGAGGTGGTCGTGGACCCCAAGGCAGTGGCGAACTGCACAGGTAGTCCCGATCTACAAGAATAAAGGTTCTCCATCGGACCCATCCAGTTATAGGCCCATCAGTCTTACCTCGGTTTTCCGAAAGCTGTTGGAGCGTTGCCTGGTACCTGAGCTTCTCTCAACGATGCCTCAGTTAGACATTGCGCAAGGTGGTTTTCGTGCCTCTCGGGGTACCCTCGACCAAGCACTTTGTCTCGATGAACTCATGCGGCTTTATACTCGTGTCCAAGGGCAAGAGCAGTTGCCTACTCCCCCCGTGGTTGTTTTCCTCGATATTAAAGCTGCATATGACAGTGTCAATCGCTTGATCATATGGGAACTTTTGGGACATTATGTATCCCAACGACTGCTTCGCTTACTGCGTAATCTCTTTGATGACATTGTCGTCCAAGTCATATTACAAAATGTAGCGTCCCGGGAAATTTCGCCAAAGCAAGGTGTTCTTCAGGGCAGTATTCTTTCTCCTTTTCTTTACTCTATTTTTATTGATACGTTACCCCGCTTATTGCGGTCCGTATCTTCTTTCCCACAACTTATTCGCATACCTAAGCCAGCCACTGGGCGTTCGCTCAACCTGTGCTCAAGGATGCCTTTTTCTTATTCTTCTACTCATGCGAACCCGCGTTCTCTTATTGATGAGCTGCGGTCTAACCATGATCCGTATTCTGCTCCCCATGATCCTCGCCGATCTTGGGCCCCTATTAATAGTTTGCTGTATGCGGATGACGTGGCAATTATTGGTTATCCAGTAGATGTCCATCGGATGCTTGCAGTAGCTGAAATTCATTCTTATCTGTTTGGATACCGTTGGAGTCCCACCAAGTGTGAAGTCCTCAACGCTCCGGCTGATTCTTCTTTTTTTCTTTACAACAACGAACTCCCTGCTTGTACTTCTTTTAAATATTTGGGGATTCCTTTTTCTCAGTGGGGTATAGATCGTAAGGCCTTACTCGCGCACTCTAATCGCAAGACAATCGCAGCAATGCGGGCGTTGAGTGAGTCAGGTGTGCACATGTATGGCTTTGGTCTCACTGCCTCACTTCGGGCTTACAAGATTTTTGCGAGACCTATTCTCGAATATGGTTTAGCGATCTGTATCCTTTTCCGAGCTGACTTGAAGGAACTCGAGGACACCCAACGGTGTTGCCTACGGATGTGTCTCAGGCGCCCTGCTTTTTGCAAGGCAATAGGGACCGCCACTGTGGCCTCACTCGCTGCTCTCCCTTCTATGTCTTCTCGTTTTCTTATTCTACAGGCCAAATTTGTTGGTCGTGCTCATACACTCCCTGCTGATACACTCTTGCGCTGTATTATCCCGCAGCTTCAGACTCGCCGAGGGAA